CCTGCAACACCAACACCAACACCATGGCTACCTTCACAGACGATTGCCTCCCTCCCGAATCTATCTACGACTCCCGAGAGGCCTTATTCGAACGTCCATTAATATGTCGGCTGCTGTTAGGGGTTATGCATTTATAGCACGGAGGTCAACTAAAGAGAAGAATGGGCCGAGGTTCTGATAAGTTAGATGGATTTTTTAGAGGATTACATAATCTTAAAGTTTACGTAATCGCGACGGACCCGTCGCTCTAGTGGGAGCCCTAATCAAGGAAAGCTTACAACATTGATACAAGGAAAATTCGAGAATTGAAGTCACAAGATTGAATCTACGTGTCGGAATATCAATCTCATGATTCGGCGCTTCTGCACCCCGGTGCAGAAGCAAGCACGTACGTACGGGAGCGGGATAACGTTATCCCTAGCGCCCGTACGGCAACCTCGTATATAGCTACCATGACACCCCGGGGCCCCCTACTTTCTCTGAGTTAGGCTTTATAATATCGAATATCATATATATACAGCTTCACCCTTGACAGGCTTGTCGGACTAGCCTTGCTACCGTCTATGCTTCGTGATACGGACCGTAGTTAAACCGACACTGATCAGTGAGGCCCACAGATCAAGACCCTATTCTTATTACCCCGATACCCCTATATTGAGCCGTTCAGTCGACCTCAATTCATACCTATCTCCAACGCTCTGAACCACGCGCTGGAAACCCTGACAAGATGCCTCCAACTACGGATTACTCGAAAAGCTTCGATCCGACAGACAAGGACGCAAAAACTATTGAGAAGTGTATAATAGCCCGAATCGAGGACTACACCGACTTATACGATGAAGATCTATAGAATACATTTCGCGAAGACTTCTCAACATGGACCGAAGGAGCTTTTAGAATTACGCCTCTAAAGACTCTTATCAACCTACGTGACACTCTGCGAACAAATGGTGTATACGTAGCGAAAGAACGACAATATGCAGCTACTACACTATCTAAGACAATTGCCGAATCAGAGCAGCATGAATGGACTGAAAGTGAAGTTATATACTATGTATAACGCTGTGGAACGTTCAGCTCATCAAATATCAAGCTCACGTATGGACCTGCGATTCGAAGGCTCCAAGCTACGACCCCTAAGGCACCTTAACAAGCTGTCCACTCTGAACTATAAGCAATGACTATACCATACAGAATGACACTACGATCTCAGCGTAATAAGGAGAGAGATATAACACTGACCCCAATTGCACAATCAGTGCAGCAACAGTACAATCCAATAACCTCTACCACAACTATGTTATATAAGCAGGCCATACTGGCTACGACGCATAGCCGCCAGACCATTCATACAAACTATACCACGCAAGACACCTCGTACTACAGGGCGAATATCAGTCAGCTATGAAAGGCTTATTCAGAAGATCTCCGCTACGGCAATAATAAGGACACATTCGACTATTCATATCAATATTTCTTAGAAATGTGCGGTTATATAGGAATCCACACCCAAGATGCACAAAGAAAGGCGTTTTTCGTGATGCTTAAAGGAGAAGCCCTTTGGTACTACTTTGACAACAAGGACGAATGGGTCCGGCAAGGAATCAACCCTATCTGCTATGAAAAGCTACTTTGAGACTGAGGAGCACCTTCGATTCGTACAGAGTCAATGGGATGCTACGAATCTAGCCAGTACTATGAGTAAGAACCCTGATAAGCCAATTCTAGAATGCCTTGAAATTATACTTCGGGACCTATAAAGACTCTATAGCAAGATTTGTCTAGAGCTATGAAACGATGTCTATTACCATTCAAAGCTTATATTAGCAACCCGTCTCGTCCCTGCGTGCCATGCCGCAACTAGAAAATCTTCACTGAATATCTCCAGCCTTATACAGGACCTACAATCAAGTATAAGCTAATGGGAAGACTCAAAACAAGTAGCAGCGTAACATCCTATGGATTCATACTATATGGATTGCCGCTACTACAGCCGACAGTCACGTTCGCTACATAGAAGACGTTCACCATACGGACGAAGCTACTCATGAGGAAGGAGCAATCTACACTATCCTAGCCGTTTACCACGTCGCTACCAAAGCGAAGCACTGAAAACCTGCCACGTATACTATAAACTAGACTGCTAGTTAACTAACCATATGGAAGAGGAACAACAAGCTGCTAGACGCCCATACGAGGCTGCAATAGACAAATTTATCATGGAATCCGAAGGACAGCCTCCAACGCCAGGGAAACGCTTCGAATTGTACTTGGCTGAGATCGACGAACCGAGCCAGTACGACCTCCCAGACCGTACAAAAAGCGAGCCAACTATGGCAACAGGATACTTCACAGTTGCCACTACAGATCATGCCAAATTCTCACCTTCACTAGCAAGCGAACTCACTAATCATTCTGCAGCTCACTATCTTAGCTGCTTGCTAGGTAACAATCAAGAATGTACAGCCAAGCTCACCCCTAGTGACGAAGATGACACTGACGTACAGATTATACCAAGCTCTCATCATCTTACTATACCTGAATATGCGTTTCTTGCAGAAGATTAATATTTATTAAACATGTTTATAGGGCTACTTATTGATACTGGCGCTGTAGCATTCTCAACGGCTGGATACGCTTAATATCTCGCATTTCGGAAAGTTGCTAAGAATTGTACGATGGACACGTCAACTGCCGGATCTATAACTATACGATTTGGCGCTGGTAACGCGCTACAATCTCTAGGTTCGATTGATATAGAGACCCCGGTTGGCAATGTACGATTCTATATTATTGAGGCCATGACACCATTTCTATTCTCTATCAAAGATCTCGACCGCCTCAAGGTTTACTACGATAATACGAAGGATCTCCTTATCTGCAGCGAACCGTACCTGACCGTGCCAATTGTACGCCGATTTGGCCATCCTTTCCTTATTTGGGACTATTCACTAGCAATGTATATCTCATAATCCTTTAACGATAAGCAATGCTTCCTTACAGATACGGAACTATGTCGATTACACCGCCGCTTTGGACATCCTTCTGTCAGACAACTACATAAAACCCTACAACGCGTAGGCTATGATACACACCCTAAAGTAATAGAAGAGATCAACAAATTCTGTCACCATTGCCAAACCCATAGTAGATTACTAGGCCGTTTCCACTTCACCCTACAGGACAACATTGAATTCAATCATTCAATCATTGTGGACATTATGTATATTAATGGCAAGCCCGTACTCCATATTGTGGATGAAGCAACGCATTTTAATGCTGCATGTTGGCTTATAAGTATATCTGCAAAAGCAACATGGGACACACTATAAATGTTATAGATTGATACATACCTCAGACCCCTGGATTTCATTGTTACCGACGCAGGAAAGAACTTCATAAGCAAAGAATTCACACAACTCGCCTCATCTGTTAGTATAATGATGGTCAGCATTCCTGTTGAAGCACATTAGTTAATTAGTGCTGTTGAATGTTATTATGCCATACTACATCGCTCGTACGAGATTATTTCGGAAGAAGTGCCAGAGCTAGCACCCGAATTAGCACTTCAAATGGCTGTCAAAGCTGTCAACGATACCGCAGGCCCAGATGGTTACATGCCCACACTTCTTGTATTTAGAGTGTACCCCCGGATGACGGAATACAGTCCTCCTGCACCTATGGTTGCTCAACGCGCTGCCGCAGTCAAGAAAGCAATGACTGAAGTACGAAGGCTTCACACTGTACGCCAGATTAATAACGCGCTTAACACCTAAAATAGACCATCGTCTACACTTATACACCGTCTTCCCCTCAATTTGGATGTGCTTATATGGCGCGAAGGAGGAACTGGATACCCTGGCAAATGGAAAGGACCATACAAACTTATATTAATTGATGGAGAAACATGCACAATTAATCTCCTAAATGGCCCTACAAAGTTCAGATTAACTGTTGTCAAACCATATCATAAAGATAATAATCCGAAGCAAGAAAACACTAATAATAATGATAAGGCTGAACTATATAGTGCACCTACAGCACCATTAATAGAACCGTCGAACGTACTCCCACCTCCTCTAAAAGTTGCGATCCTACTATACGAACCAAATTACACCGAACCTCAATCACAACGCCCACAACGCGAACGCCGCTTACCACCTCAATATAAGGATAATCTTACGTACTTATAAGAGCTAGATGCCCCAGATCTACACGCCATCGCGGAGATATTCACACAACTTCTTGCTCCAGGCACGTACGACGAATCTCGCAAAAAGGAAGTTAACAGACTACTAGAAAGAGGTGTATTTGCAGCAGTCAATTGAGAAGACATCCCGCCAAAGGCCCACATCTATGGCTTTAGATTTATTAACGAGATCAAGAATAAAGGCACTAACAAAGCCTTTGAGAAATCACGACTCATCGTCTAAGCGTACAACGACAAGGACAAAGAATTCATACTTACGCAGTCACCTATGATTCAGCACTCTAGTCAACGTTTGATTCTCTGTATCGGAGCAAGCAAGGACAACGTACAATTTTAAATCTGAGATGTCATGCAGGCTTATATTTAGTCAACAACGCACCTCAATCGTGATTTCTATATTCGAATCCCCTCCGATTTGCAACGCTTTTTCCCTAGATGCGAATTCTTGAAGGTTGAACAACCGTTATACAGAATCCCCAAAGCAGGCAATCACTGGTTCCGTATGTATTATGAACACTACATGAAGCAGCTAGCCATGGAGACCTCAACCTATAATCCGTGCCTCCTTCACTGCCGCGATCTGAAGCAAGGATTCAGCATTATTGGAATGCAAACAGATGATACGCTCATTGTCGCTGACGAAGCCTTTGCTGTATGAGAGGAAGAGCAAATCAAACGTGCAAATATCCTTTACAAGCCACGTGAACAGCTTATAACCAGCAAACCGCTACAATTCAATGGTGCGGTAATTATAGAAGATGCCCAGGGTGTTACTCTTATCCAAGAACGCACCTGCAAGAATATCCGACTCGTACAAGATCACCCTTCAGATATAGTCAACTCCTGTGGTAAGATTTGTAAGAATGCATCTCCATATAAGTAGTACGTTGCTCAATGAGCTCTTGGTGCATATATTGCTTCTGTATCCCAACCTGAAGCTTCGTTTGATCTCTCTTTTGCAGCACAAGCCACACAACTGGATGAAGAGGATATAAAAGCGCTCAACAAACGACTCAAATGGCAGGCTGACAACCCCAACCGCGGACTATGATTTGTCAAGATTGATCTACGGACCGCACAATTGTACGCATTCGTTGATACTTCGTTCACCAACAATAAGGACTCGTCTTCACAAATTGGCTATATTATCGTACTCGCTGACATCTAAAATAACACGAATATCCTCCACTGGTCCTCTACAAAGTGTAAGAGGATTACCTGAAGCGTACTTGCTTCGGAGATGTACGGTATGGCTAATAGATTTGATGCGGCTACAGCAATCAAATCAACTCTCACCCAACTGCTGCATCTTTTAGAGCCGCTCCCACTAGTCCTTTGCACTGATTTGAAGAGCCTTTACGAATGCCTTGTCAAGCTGGGTACGACATGTGAAAAACGCCTTATGATTGATCTCATGTGCCTCCGTCAATCGTACAAACGTCAAGAGATCACGGAAGTGAGATGGATCAACAGTAACAGCAATCCTGCGGACGCCATGACAAAGAGCAAGCCCTACCGCGCTCTATAAGAACTTATTGATATGAACAAGCTACATATCGATGTTGACGGATGGGTAGAAAGGCCATTAACAAAGCGCAACTCTGAGTCAAAGAATGTATGATTTGCAACACCTGTTACTACACCAGCTCCATAGATTGTCATTCCTTACCCCAGTCCGCATCCATTACTTTTGCTTTATTCTTTTGATTTTTCCTTTACCACATCAGATTGTATGTCATTCATTGATATTCCTTCTTTTCCATTCCTTTAGAGAGTTGCCAGTGTCGGAATATCAATCTCATGATTCAGCGCTTCTGCACCCCGGTGCAGAAGCAAGCACGTACGTACGGGAGCGGGATAACGTTATCCCTAGCGCCCGTACGGCAACCTCGTATATAGCTACCATGACACCCCGGGGCCCCCTACTTTCTCTGAGTTAGGCTTTATAATATCGAATATCATATATATACAGCTTCACCCTTGACAGGCTTGTCGGACTAGCCTTGCTACCGTCTATGCTTCGTGATACGGACCGTAGTTAAACCGACACTACGAATCAACTTTACAGCTCTGTGTCGAGAATCTTCTATTTGAGATTGCGTGGATGGGATTCTCAAGCATAAATAGTGTCCAACAATCCCCTCAATATGTAGATAGAAGAGTGCGCAGAATAAGGTCAATATCAATATTTCCACTATAAAGATATCTTTGAGTATTAAGCTTAACTGAGTTTGTGCTAGTGCACAGCAAGTTCCGATATATAAGCTGTTTCTGGCCAATATGCTTCACGCCAAACATGATAGACAACGATTTTCGAGTTGGTAGGCGACTTCCTTATAATTATTCATACCAAACAGTCGGAGGCTCAAAATCCTCAACCCTCTCTACCACCTAGCTCCCAGGAGTGCAGCCTTTGACGCGTCTCAACGCGCCCGGCAACACCATGGCGCGTAAAGGCCCTGGTACAGACGGCCCTCTACAGACAGCCCTTCTAGAATCCACGTCTGCAGCCACAACAAGAGCTTCTGAAGGACAGAAGATCTTCAGCCCCATAGCTATATTCCTTGATAAACACCGCAGCTAAACCACCAGCCTTGCTCCTCACCTACTGAGAGCTCTCACCACTCTAAGCGATGACCTCGCCTTAATAGCTTAACAACATTTTAACACTTATATTAGCGGTATCTCAACGACCTCTATTCTACCTGCCCTGTCTCCTTCCCCTTCCTCTTCTCTCACCCTAAATCCCTTACCCCCTTTACCCCCTCCCTCACGTCCCCCCTCAGGTCTTAACCAGTCAACTTATACAACTATTACCCAATATGCCCCAGTCAAATTAACTCCTACCACTCACCCTAAAGCCTCCATCAAAAAGCCTATGCCTTTGGTAAAACAACCCCTTCCTAATATCTGGCTCTTTATATGCCTCCCAGCTAACCATGCAGCTAGAAAAATAGAAGCCTACGCTATCTATTCTAGCCTATAATCTCAACTAAACTTAAATAGTGCAGCACTAAAAGAAGTCCAAGCTACAAAGACTGGCTTTGCACTATGTCTCTTATCTCCAGAAGCCCTCCTAGCCTTTAAGGCCCAAAAAGAGACTATCTCTGCATTCTTTGTTAACTACCAGATAGAATGCAGCTCCCGATGGGTCTTGTACTAAGTCACCAATGTGCCAAGGAAAATTGGCTAAATCTTAGATAGTCAATACTTTCTAATTCCTGTCAATCCTATACTACTATCCTTAGAAATTAGCGAAACTACAGGGCTCAAGCCTATATCTATTAGTAAGACTACTATAAGCGCTGCTAATTCTAATACTCTCTCCTCAAGCTAGTTTATTAACTTCCTAGAAGACACAAAATTACCACTGCCTATCCAGCTATATCTTTTTGGCACTATTACCAATGCTTATCACCTCTCTAAGAAAATAACAGTTATTTAATACATATAATGCTAGAAATGGCATAATGCACGATCCTGTGCACGCCCTTCTTAATGCTAACTATACGGCTTCTCAGAGTATACTAAAGAAGGCCATGTCAACTGCTGTATAGCCCTAGAGCCTTATCAATGCTCTCCTAGATGCATATACTGCCATGGACTACATCTAGCTGATTTCACAGAATGCCTTCTGTGCCTTAAAAGCAATACTAAATATACTAAAGCTCAATAAACAGAGATCTATAAATCCTACACTATAAACCTCACAAAAGCTCAAACTGAAGGAGGATATAGCTCTCAGCTCTCTATAGGCATATAAGAAACATCTATAGCATTAGATGAGATGCCATTACAGCCTTCAATCCACAAGATTATCTCTCCTTTCTATTTAGTAACCTCTCCACCTTGCGCCCCAACTAAAGATTCTCCTATTATAGCTTGTGCAGTCTATTTTATAATCCCTTAACTATAAAACCAGTTCACCTCTCTTCTTGAATAGGAGCTATAATCTATCACTATCCAACTTAAAAAGTGCCTCTCAAAATACTACAGTTAAATGTAGGGCACGCGCTAGACACACATGAAATAGCCCTCACATTAGCATACACTAGCAACATCAATGTTATTCTAATCTAAGAACTATATATATTCAAAGACCTCAGCCAACAGATCACTAAAAAACATCCATCATATGAATACTTCTTCCCAACTAATAGCTAGGCAATAAGTGGCCGACCACAAGTCCTCACCTATATCTGAAAGAAGAAAGGCATCCAGACCTCCTAGCTACACCCCTTTACAACTGACACTAAAGAAGCCTCGGATCTCCTATTCCTTTAGATTTTTTCGCCCATAGGAAAGTCCGCTCTAATAGTTAACATCTATAATGCCCCAGTAGGCTGCAGCAGAGCAGGTGAAGCTGCAAAAGCTCTTATAACCCTACTAGAGGTATATTTCCCTCAAACAACAATACTTATAGGCAATCTCAACCTGCTACACAATAGATGGCAACTCTCACTATAACGCAGTCCTACAACTTTTGCAGAGCCATTTATCAACTAGCTGGATCTCCAGAGTCTAGTACTTATTTCCAACATAGACTGTCCCATATATGAAAGGAGTAACATGTTAGATCTCAGTTTCACCTCAAGCCCTCTGGCACTCATAGGAGCCAAAGCTAGCATAGCGAGCCACTTAGATGCTACCTCTGATTATCAACCACTAATTACCACTGTTCCATGGGATCAGAAATACAAGAAAACAGCTCAGAAACTAAGATTTAACATACTAGACTATACCTCCTTCCTCTCGCTCCTCGCCTCTAATCTCGCTGGCACTGAGAGTTCAGCCATAATAGAAGAAGATCTTAATGCCCTTACTAAAAAACTAACATCTACAATTCAAGGAGCATATAGAGGCTCTGCTAAGAGGACCATAACATAAAGTATAGAATAACCATAGTGGAACAAAGACTGCAAGAAAGCTTTACACAATTACTGCTTAGGCCTCTGCTCAAAGACAGACTTCTATAGGATAACTAGATGGTCTTAACAACAATTCTGGTGAGAGAAGCTCTCTATAGTAACACAAATAAAGGATGTTTTTGACATAAGTAAATAGCATAAGTCTATAGGCATCTTCTAAAGCCCTCCACTAAAAGATCTGCTAAGGCCTAACAGCCTCCCAGCAGTTACTATACACAAGAAACAAGACGTACTAGTCCGCAATCTTCTCCAGAACTCGGTAGAGGCAGGAGATATACCTCTAGACTCCCCAGCAGTGTCTTCTACTAGTCTCTACTTCCCAGATATATTGATGCTACAAGTGGAGGAGTCAGTACTTCAGGCAGGAAACACAGCCCCTGGCGCAGATGAAATCCCAACCTGCATACTCAAAGTAGCCTGGCCTCTAATCAAAGATAAGGTACTAATGCTATATTAAGGGTGCCTAAAGATTGATTATCATCCTAAATACTTTTAACATACAATCTTAGCAATCATCTAGAAACCAAAAAAGACTGATTGGTCTTCACCTAGATTATACAGACTAATTACTCTCCTATCAGTACTTAGCAAAGGACTGGAGCGCTTGGTGGTACAGAATATAGCATGGATCTCTATATACTATAAAGTATTAGTAAGGCAACAATTTGGAGCTCTCCCACTAAGATCTGCAACTGACCTAACCACATGCCTAACACATGATGTTAAACAAGCACTAAATCAAGGCATGACTACCTCACTCCTTACCCTAGATGTCAAAGGCGCCTTTGATTCCATGCTTCCCGGCAGACTGATCCACAGACGCGAGCAGGGCTGGCCTACCAATCTCATTCTCTGGATTGCCTCCTTCACTACTGGAAGATCAGTTCAGATCCGACTCGATGGAGAGATCGGCCCCTCAACAGACATTGCCTGCGGTCTTCCACAAGGATCCCCAGTATCTGGCATTCTTTTCATGCTCTACATAGCGCCTCTATTCTGTCTAGGAAACCTAAGAAACAGATTTAGTTACGCGGACAACACAACTAACCTAGCAATCTCAACTTCTCTTACTACTAATTGTGAAGCCTTATCAGACTCACTTTAAAAAGCTCTTAATTAGAGTGCTGCAGAGAGCATTACATTTGCACTAGATAAATATAAGCTTCTTCACTTCTCCCAACATAAAGCAGACCAGGACCCAACCTACACACCTTCAGTGAAAGCTAGATCTATTACAATATTAAAAAACACTAAATAGCTATATCTATAATAGCTAGGAATCCTCTTTGATAAAAAGCTAACATTCAAATAGCACATTAAAGAAACAGCATCTAAAGCCCTCACTGTAGCCAACGCTCTTTGCTCTCTAGGGAATACTATTTAAGGAGTTAAACCTGATTTACTATAGCAGACTGTATCAGCCTGTGTACTCCATGAAGCATACTATGGCGCAGAAACCTGATAGCTAGGACATACTCGCTCTAGACCTTTCCAGATTTCAAACTAAGTTAGAGAACATCTTGAGAAACTAACTAAAGTAATACTAACAGGCACAAGAGCAGTCCTTCCAGTCTTCCGCATAACCCCAAAGCCAGTCCTTTATTGAGAGTCTGGATTCTCTCCACCAGAAATTGAACTAGATTGAATAGCCCTCCTTGCAACTGTCCGCCTATAGCGTCTTAACCCTTATCACCTACTTCAAAGACACGCAGAACAGATCGCTAGTAATGGCTAATAAACCAGCTGATTTGCCTACTATACACTGGCCCTCCCAAACTCTAAATAGATAAACCCTCTCCAATATACTCCCTAGCACCCTCGCGAGCCTTATAGAAATACTCAAGCTCAAATAGGAGCTCCCATGGGATGCACTAAGGAATAGGCAGCGGCTAATTTCATAGCTTTTCAATGTATCATTCCTAGCTCAGATATTGTAATCTTTTCAGATAGATCTAGGCTAGCAGATAGACGTGCAGGGGGTAGCTATATTGAACTTTAAGCACACCATCAGTTCCTCCACTCCTCACTCTTATATGGATATGAGAAAGAGGTCTTTAACACAGAAGCAGAAGCAGCTCTAGCTGGCGCTCAAGCAGCAATAGTGTACCTAACAGCTCAATTTGCTATTAACCTATAAATCTGCCTTAATAACCTAGAAGTTACCATACATCTTCTATCTCCCTCTACAGGATCTTCCTAAGAAATCTTTAAATCCTTCCACACCCTTACAGCTGCCTGGCCACTTCGCAAAAGGCTTCCTCACATTAAAAGTAGATCTATCTAAATCTGATGGGTCCCTGGACACGCTAAAATCCCTAAGAATGAAGCGGCTGATCTCGCTGCCAAAGAGGGAGCTGCCTTAATCCCTCCTGCTCCTCACAAATTCTCATACACCTTGCTAAAGAGATACACCAAGACTCAATCCCTATCCGCTGCTCAGTCACAATAGAAGAAGATGGCACCATAGAGCTATCAAGATCTAGAAATAACCACTTCCTCTAAGCGCCCTGGGGAGCTTCAACTTAACTGACTTGACCTTGGCCATATTATTGCAGCCCGTATTGGTCATGGAGACTTTATAGACTACTATGAATGCTTCAACTATGATGATGCTTATCTTCTTTGCTAATGCAGAGCATGAAAAGCATCTCTGCACTTCTTCTTCTATCATATAGCTAAGAGACGAGCCCCTTGGCCTTCTAGGCCCCCTTCTGAGGTCATCTCTTTTCTCTTAGACACTACTAAAGAAGCATAAAAGCTAGCTACATGGCTAGCAGAGACCCACTTCTTTGAGGATATCTGCCCTTGCTAACCTCTCCTTAGCACCTAGCTAAGACAGCCCTACTCTTCCTTTATATTTCTCTTCTTCTTCTTTCTTTCTCTTCTCTTCTTTCTTTCCCTTGTTCATCATCCAATGATCATGGCTCATTGTGTATGCCACTTATCTTCCTTATCATCACGTGACTCCTGTCTTCTGATTGCACAGTACACTTTACTGTTCATGACTGGTAACAGCTCAATTTGCTACTAACTTATGGATCTGCCTTGATAACTTAGAAGTTGCCACGCGCCTTCTATCTCCCTCTACCGGATCTTCTCAAGAAGCCTTTGAATCCTTCCGCACCCTTGCAGCTGGCTGGCCACTACGTGAAAGGCTTCCACACACCAAAAGTGGATCAGTCCAAATCCGATGGGTCCCTGGACACACTAAAATCCCTGAGAATGAAGCAGCAGATTCTGCTGCTAAAGAGGGAGCTGCCTCTACCCCCCCCTCTCCATGCAAGTCCTCATATGCCTCGCTAAAGAGACACGCCAAGACTCAATCTCTCTCTGCTGCCCAGACACGGTGGCAGACCATAGCACCACAAACTTACCAAGATCTAGAAATAACTACATCTCCTAAGCGCCCTGGAGAGCTTCAACTTAACCGACTTAACCTTGGCCATATCATTGCAGCCCGTACTGGACATGGAGATTTCGCAGACTACCATGAACGTTTTAATCATGATGATGCTCATCTCCTCTGTCGATGTGGAGCACGAAAAGCACCTCTACATTTCTTCTTCTGCTATATAGCTAAGAGACGAGCCCCTCGTCCTCCTGGACCTCCTTCTGAGGTCATATCCTTCCTTCTAGGCACTGCGAAAGAAGCACAAAAACTAGCTACATGGCTAGCAGAGACCCGTTTTTTTGAGGATATCTGTCCTCGCCAACCTCTCCTTAGCACCTAGCTAAGTCAGCCCTACTTTTCCCTTATATCTCTCTTTTCCCTCTTTCTTTCTCTCTTTCTTCCCTTCTTTCTTTTAAACTCTCACTGCTTGATTACTATTATGGTAGAGTTATGGGTCATGGAGCGTAGGTGGACCATTGCAGCTGGCAAATATCTAAAACCCACTCGGAAGTGGACCTCCCTGTAAGACCACAGCAGCTATGGAAATGCGCCAAAGAGTCCCTTATTTGTATATAAATCTGATAGGACCTGAAGCCCGAGGTTTACCCCTCGGCGGCCTATGTCCCAGTAGGGATTGGTGGAAAGCGTGCGAGTCACGATCCACGGCCGTTAAATACACACACACACACACACATTCATGACTGGTACTGGTTTCTTCTTGTAATTTGAAACCTTTCCTTTTCCGTAATAGTACCTTTTAGCGTCATGCAGTTTAGCTTCGTAACAACATACGTTTACTTCATCTCCTCTAGTATACTATACAGCGAGTTCTCCTAAGCATTGCTTCTACAAGTGTTCTGTAGCCGATATCCACATTCGAACTATCGTTCAACCCGGTCATTACACTATATTTCTTATATTCAAAACCAGGGATTCCTAATTTATTAGATTATTTGAAAAAATCAAAAATTGTTACGAGAAAATGGATTTTACTTGTTACGGGCTAGTCCCGCCTAATGCTCACTATAAGGGCATACTCGAATAGAAATCACAACATGAGGAAAAGAAAGAGAGAAAAGTAACAAGTTCCGGGGGCGTATACAGGTTTATATGGATAAGGGGAAATAGGGGCTTCGGCAGGTGTTGCCTGGCAACGGGGTTGCTTCTGCCCCCCGGGGGGCAGAAGCTAGCGCGTAGACGTAGGCACAGAGCGTAGGTGTAGGCACCGTGCAGGTGCCGGATCAATGAGGCGATTGTTGAAGCGATCATAATACTGCCGGGCGGTGAGAGCCTAATGAGGCGATCAATGAAGCGATCGTGAGGGCTTCGCCCGAACACCCTTCATGAGGTCAGCTCATAACATTACTAGAGAGTATATTTATATGACGTTAAATGAAAAATGAGTAGTTTTAGAAGTTTTATAGAATTTCATAAGTTTTGAAGAAATAAATAAATGCTTGTCTCATTCTATAGACATTTGCTCCTTAGGACTAGACAGGACTCGTTGCAAGTCCCATGAGAATTGGTGAGGCCTATTCTAGTGATAGGATTGTCAGGAATGCAAGCATGGACCAATGCGTTTCATTTGCAGAGTACGATGAGCGTACTGACAAGAGACGATGACTATATTTATTTGTTACCAGCCATAGCAGCTGCTGCTGCGGCAGCGGACGCAGACACTTTCTCCCACGAAGGTCGGGTTGAAACACGTTGCCACCATGCCTTCCAGTTTGGACGCAATTCAATCAAGGAGCCTGCTCCGGCACGGAAAAGTAAGGCCACCGCCGGCATGTAGAAGATGTCAATCAAGGAAAATTCTTTGCCTCCCAAATATTCCTGGGTTCCAAGGACCTTATCAAATGTATCCAACTTCTCCTCAAAACGCTTAGTGGCATCATCCAAGATGGCGTCAACAGTAGGAAGACCCTTGTATCTATATGATATAAGAAAATCAGTAACAGAAGAGATGCAGTCAGGCTGTTCAGACGCATGGTGTGAGACTTACGGATTCCACATCTTCTGTGTCAGGATTTGTTCACAATAGTAGTGGAAGTTGCTTGATTCGACGGCTGCCCACTGCTCAAAAAGAGCCCATCCTGCCCAATCTCCAGCACTGGGCACAAGAGAGGTACCTTTGTCTTTGTACTTAATTGCGAGATATCGAGAGATTGCTCGGGATTCTGAGGGCCACGTCATTAACCAGTGATAACGAGATGTAAGCGGTAAGAAAGGAGCTTACCGAAGAGCCGGAACTCTCCTTCTTCGAGCAATGGAATCACACCAAACGGATGCTTCTCAGTGTAGTTTGGCATCTGACAGCGACAGGTCAGTCGCGACAAGTCATGTCGTGAAAAGCGTTATCTCACCTTGTGCTCCCCTTTCATAAGATTAACTGGGAGCAGCTCGAAGTCCTCAACGCCTTTTTCGGCAAGAACAAGAAGCACACGCTGAGTGCATCCTGATAAAGGACTACCATAAAGTTTAAACGCCATGGCAGTTGTAATAATTTATTTCGAATCTTTGAAGAGAAGCTTGCGATGAATAAAGGTAGAGTACAAGTTGTTCTTGACTTAACTGGTGAAGCAAATTTATTATTGCAGCAGCAGAGATTGAACGGAATATCTAATCTTGATATAGACAGGATAACATGCTGCATAGGTGGTTCGACGTAAAGTTTCAGAATCTGTAAGAGCCAGTAGCGGTGGGAAGGCGGCCGCTTCTTAGTCAGTATCTATAAAGGTAATTAGTCATTCTGTGCAGCAAAATAACGTAATCAGTAAGCGAACCGGCCATGTAAGCGAACCGGCCACCTCTCCGGAAAATAACTCTCTATATTGATTTCAAATCCCAATTTCTCAATCACGTACAAATTATATACAAAAATCTAACTACTAGTACGACTAGGACATTGATTTATTCTATGCCCCATAACGTTACAACCACTGCAGCGAAATTGGCGGCGTACGACTGCTTGAGAAGCTGGGAGCTCCGGCTCAGCCAGAGTAGTAGTAACAGCATGAGATGCCTCAACCTGACCTTGTACGAGCGCCTGAGCTTCCTCTCTAGTAATCCCTTGCTCAATAGAATATCTGTTTATTAGATCTTTTGCGCTTTTGCTTCTCTTTTTCATGCGCAGCTCGTAAATCACGGTTTTCTTTCCGTACGAGTAAAGCATCATTCGCTAGTATTTCGTAGGCTTTTGATAACCGTATAACTGCCTGATTGATTTCTTCATTCTGATTCAGGCTTCCTGTACGCTTATTTATACGCTTATTGATTGTAGTTGACTGGCGTACAAATTGGCGTATATTTTGAGGTGTTTGTAAGCAGGATGATGCTGTATTGCTTGATCGACTTGGAGGGGGGGTTGGAGTCTTCAATTGAATATTGAGATGTTGAAGAACTCGATCTGGATTGAAAGGCACTAATCCGGTGGCTGCGAAGCTATTCCGAATAGTTTGAGCTTTATATGCCACTGTACGAGCCTGTGGAAATGCTGTTAAGAAGTCGATTTTGTCAATATGATTAAAACCAAGCCTCATTCGTTGTTCAACAAGCTGCCCATAATATCGCTTTAGAACTGCAAAACAGCCAACATCAAGAGGCTGTAAGAGATGTGAAGAATGAGGAGGCATACAGACTGGAATAATCTTATGATCCGTACATGTACGGTCAAATTCTGCAGTCAAATGGCTTCTATGGCCATCAAGAATCAACATACTATATGTTCCCAATGTACGACCACTAGTAAGAGGAATAAAATGGGTTTTAAGCCATTCTAATCCTATCTGATCTGTAGTCCAGCCATTATCGCGAATATTGATTCTCCAATCATCCGGAAGCTCATCAAACCAGCCTAATCGTACGTTTTTCTTTGCTTTGAAAATCACGTACGAAGGCAGAGCCCATCCGGTTGAATTTGTTGCCTCAATTGCAGTCACCCATTCTCGATTTCCAGGCTGTAGAAGCTTTGGCTGAGCATATCGATCGCTTCCAGTAATAACCTTTGCAGTTGCGCAGAGTCCCATAGCAAAGCCCGTCTCATCAAAATTATAGATATCTTCTGGTAAGATGCCGTACTCAGATATTATATCTCTTACGCGGTCAAAATGGCCTTGTATAATCTTTGGATCTTCACATTTGGCACGTTCGTAGTTGTATTTTCGTGAGAATTTGGATTCAATCTCTGGGCGACGTTGAACAAGATTATATACCCATTTATCTCCAACCCGTTGATCTCCATGTTGTGAGAGAAGATAATTAGCCATATTTCGTACGAGAAAGTGCCGGGGCTGTAATCCACGTTTAGTTAAATCAAGCACCCATTTGACAAGCAAATCCTCCTCAGATTGACTCAATTTATGGTTGTTGGCGCGTGTTATTTGTCGATACGGCACTCCTTTCATTCGATCTTGAAGAGTTGTACGAGCAACCATATAGATTCTTGCAGCTTCACGAATACTGCGAATTCTTCCATTTTTTAAATCGGAAATAGCTAATTCGACCTTTCCCTCATCCTGAGTGGATTTTAGGGGGTCTTTTTTGCGAATTGGTGGCATTTTGACGCGTTGTAATATGGTAAATCAATATAGAGAGTTATTTTCTGGAGAGGTGGCCGGTTCGCTTACCGATTACGTTAGGTAACTAACGTAATCCACAAGCGAGCCGCCACCCCAAGCGAGCCGCCACTTTTTCCCGAACCCGTACGCGATATTGATTTCAAATGTCAATTTTCCAATTCCCATACATTTCTCATACAAAAAATTAACTACTAGTACGACTTAGGACATTGGTTTATTCTATGCCCCATAACGTTACAACCGCTGCAGCGAAATTGGCGGCGTACGAGTGGTTGAGAAGCTGGGAGCTCCGGCTCAACCGGAGTAGTAATAACAGCCTGAGATGCCTCAACCTGACCTTGTACGAGCGCTTGAGCTTCTTCTCTAGTAATCCCTTGCTCGATAGATATCTGTTTATTAGACCTTTTACGCTTTTGCTTCTCTTTCTCATTCGCAGCTCGTAAATCGTTAAGTTCTTTCCGTGAGAGTAAATAGTCATTTCTGGCCGTTTCATAAGCTTTTGACATCCGTAAAAGAACCTGATCAAAGACTTGATTTGGGCTTCCCGTACGCTCATTTATACGCTTCGTTATTGTAGTTGACTGGCGTATAAATTGACGTGTATTTTGAGGTGTTTGTAAGCAGGATGATTGTGAATTGCTTGATCAACTTGGAAGGGGGGGTTGGCGTCTTTAATTGAATATTAAGCTGTTGGATAACTCGATCCGGATTGAAAGGCACCAATCCGGTGGCTGCGAAGCTATTCCGAATAGTTTGAGCTTTATATGCCACCGTACGAGCCTGTGGAAATGCCGTTAAAAAGTCGATTTTATCGATATGGTTAAAACCATGTCTCATCCGCTGTTCAACGTGCTGCCCATATTGTCGTTTTAAAACTGCAAAACAGCCAACATCAAGAGGCTGTAAAAGATGGGAAGAATGAGGTGGCATGCAAATTGGAATAATATCATTCTCAGTGCATGTACGGTCAAATTCTGGTGTTAAATGACTTCCATGGCCATCAAGAATTAACATTCGATATTTTCCCATTGAACGACCATTAATATAGGGAATGAAATGGGTTTTAAGCCATTCTAGCCCTATTTGATCTGTAGTCCAACCATTATCACTAATATTGATTCTCCAATCACCAGGAAGCTCATCAAACCAGCCTAATCGTACGTTTTTTTTTTGCTTTGAAAATAACGTACGAAGGCAGAGCCCAACCGGTTGAATTTGTTGCTTCAATTGCAGTCACCCATTCTCGATTTCCAGGCTGTAAAAGCTTCGGCCGAGCATATCGATCGCTTCCGGTAATAACTTTTGCAGTTGCGCAGAGTCCCATGGCAAAGCCGGTCTCATCAAAATTGTATATATCTTCCGGTAAGATCCCATATTCGGATATAGCAGCTTGTACAAGCATTCTTTGTTCAATGCCATGTAGTCGATTCCGGAGAGTGGTACGGGGGATATTGTAAATTCTAGCAGCTTGTGCAATTTTTGGAATTTTGCCATTCTGAAAATCGGAAATAGCCAATAAGATTCGGCCTTCTTGCTCAATCAAATCTTTTGAATCTTTTTTGCGAATTGGTGGCATATTGACGTGTTGAATCATTTGAAATCAATATCGCGTACGGGTTCGGGAAAAAGTGGCGGCTCGCTTGGGGTGGCGGCTCGCTTGTGGATTACGTTATTGAGTGTGTATGTATGACAAATGCATTCAAGAAAAGCCGCATTGTGGAGGGTTGTTTGAAAGTATCTCATTTTTGATTATAACTTAATGTTAATGTATAATGTTAGTATGGTGGCTAAGAGAAGCCTATGGAATTAAGCAGAATCTACTAATGTACATATAACCACGCACCCTAGTACCTAATCATACCCTGCGGAGGCTAGAGTCAAAAGTGATGGCTATGCGGTGATTAGCTCGTTTTGAGATACATTATAATACATGGAAATTTCAAGGGTTAGGGCAGTATAAGCTATGTAATTATAGAGAATCTAACTATAATTTCTATATAAAGATTATAATAACCCTAGGGTACGCAACTTTGTAATCGTAATACTTAGGTTGTACGCTAATTATGTAGCTATAAATCTAGCGTCGCCAACACTTTTGACTCCAACCCCCATATCTAGTAGTGTTAATTAAGGTTAGCCATGATTATATAAAATCTTGTGCGTGTCCACATTAAATAGGAAAGGTGCTTAGTGGAGCTTACTAACAATCTAAAGAATTCGAGGTGCGAGGTTTGCTTTCGTCTAATTAGGCGAATGCTATGTGGCCGAGGAAGCGCTTTCAAGAGGAAAGAAAGCTGTACGTGTGGGTGCTGTATCGATGATAAATAACAAATAACAACTGATACAAGTATCTATGGCCTGAAAGCCAGATTTTGTATAAAAAGACAGACACATGGATAGTATTCTTGGCTCATTTCATATCAAAAGACTTCTAAAATTTGCGCTTCTGTATTGAGGATGTGACTATATTTGGGGTTGGGGGGGGCTTGAACATAGTGTCACTGTATCATCTTTCATATTTCAATCTTCATGCTTCTCTAAAGTAGACGGCATGGGACTTGACAATTTGAAATAATTGGAGGCTGGCTCTAAACACTTCCATTCTTTGCCATCTTTCCCTCCTTTATCATCCCCATAAGGTGCTGCAACCGATCATGGAGATATTCGATGCCATTGTAGTCTAAGGTTCGCATCATATTGTCCCACGTCTGCTTCTGTTTCTGTTCTCCGATCTTCCACATGATCTCCTCATAGTTCTTCACTGCCTGAGGTATATCAGTTGGATTGGCAATAATGGCTTGTGCTAACTCCAAGGAATCACGCATGGCAGCGTTGACTCCTTCGCCCTCAAATGGAGTCATAACATGAGCCGCGTCACCAATAATCGTAAAATTGTCCTTATGCGGCCACCGGAGACCAACAGGTAAGATGTAGAGTTTGCGCGCGAGAACAGGGTTCTCAGTCGCCGTCACGAACTGAGTGAACTGAGGGTCCCAGTCGTTAAACCAAGGCAGCAAGGCTTCTCGCGCCGCTTTAGGGTCGTGCCAATCGACGTCAGAGCCCCAAGTCTCTGGCTGACGGATATAGGCGTACGTTCGGATGGAACGGTCACCTTGCCTTTGTGTCATTTGGTGAATGCCTGTCTCGTTGCCGATAACCAACAGGGAGCCTTCTCCTACCAAGGCCGCAAATTCAGGGTGGGCCTCGTCGACATTTTCGTACAGAGTCTCGTAAACGGTGACTCCAGAATAGAAGGGTTGGATCGGCGTGAGAACATTTCGCACCTTGGACCACGTGCCCTCAGCGCCAACAATAAGGTCGAATCCGCTTTCTATAGTGTGTGCAAGGTGAAGAGTTCCATCAGGGTCCACCCTTTTCAGGTGATGGTTCCATCTAATGTATTCTTTAGGCAATGACTCAAGTAGAATACGTCGAAGTTCAGTGCGATCAATCTCAGGTCTTCCAGTGTCAAATCCGGTGCTGTCGAGATAGACTTTGCCGTGTCGGTCTATAAGCTTCAATGCTTCGGCCTCGTAACGCGCTAATTTGTTGTATTCTTCCCAGATGCCTGCCATGCGGATGGCTTTCTGACCCCCATCAAGACTTAAATCCAAAGAGCCACCTTCGGTTTTCCTCGCGTTTTGACTCTCATCCCTCTCAAAAATGGTCGTCGGGATCCCATGTTGGTGAAGAATCCTCGCAAGCGTGAGGCCGCTAGGCCCTGCACCAATGATTGCAATATTTGGTTTTCGCTCCATTGTGCCTTGCGAAGTAATACTCTTCTGCTGATTGTCAGATGGCTTGAAAATTATGCCAAAGTATTATCTATATTGACAATGGAATCAATGATGTTTAAATCACTGCACGAATTCTCTTGAACCTCCCGTCCTAAGCTTCAAGAGTCCGTAAGAAAATGTGACGCGGCACTCTTTAATTACCCCTGCATCTTCATTTCAGGAGAACAGCTGAAATATGCGATGTCACACCTGGAATAAATGTCGGACCTAGTCGGCCGCCTTGTTGCGTGCATTTTTTCCAAATTGGAATGATCTACAAGTAGATTATTAATTACTGTGGGCATCGCTGGCTTCGTTCCATTGTGCCCATTAAAATAGTGGATAGCCTGCATAGGTTTCGTGTAATTGAGCACGTTAGCTGGGAAAAATCCAAGGCGGCCGACGTGTTTTCCAACAAGTGGATTCTCTACAAGTAGCCAGCTGTGCGTAACATATAGGGTTGAGTATCAGGCAGTAAGACGGCATCTGCGATACCGAGCGCTTGTCTCCGATTTTCGGATCGTCTTAAGGATATCAGACGGACTAATGAGTTGTCTGAAGCATTGACAAGGGATTTTTTTCCTTCAAAAACCGGGGCGGGATAGTTCAATTCCTCGCAGGAACACAAACAACGAAAATTTCGAAGATTCCAGGAACGGCCAAAGCCTAGAAGAAAAGGAAATATGGATACCACAACCTTCTTGATTACCGACGTACAGATTTTCACAGGCAAATTTGCCATCCCCTGTGGCTATGTCTATGTTGTTGAGGGGAAAATCGCAGATTACGGTTGTGTTCCTGCACCAGAGAAGCTTTTGGAGTCACAAAGCGCCATCAAGAAGCTGTCCATGCCTGACCACAAACTTCTCCCTGGTCTGATCGATGCACATATGCACGCGGACGGCGGAAACGAGTTGTCTCTAGAACAATCACTTCGTTTTGGGGTAACCACAGTTTTGGATCTTCACAATGAACCGGAAAACATGGCAAAGCTCAAGCGTCTGGCAGCGCAGAACAAGAACTTTTCCGATTTCAAATGTGCAAGTTTGGCAGCGATGATCAGTGGTGGGTGGCCTGAGGCAGTTATGCCTCGTATCAGCCAAAGCCCAGAGGTGCGTTGGCTAAAACCTTCATTATTCATAGCCATAAAGCATCAAGGAAGAACGAAATCAATAAATCACTGACGTGCTCTACTATTAGGCTATCGCTAAAGTCGCTTCTTGGCCCAAGATTTCATCACCCTCAGAAGCTTCAAAGTTTGTGGATGATCGTATTTCCGAGGGAGCCGACTACGTCAAGTTGATGCATGAATCTGGGGGGTCTATGGGCTTTGAAGTCAAGCTGCCATCCATCGAACTACAAAAAGCACTAGTTTCTGCAGCACATGACCGTCAGCTGAAGTTGTCGCTCACGCTTTGACTTTGTCAGATACTATGGAGATATTAAACGCAGGTGTGGACGGAATGGCGCACACTTTTTGTGACAAAGCAATAACTCCGGAGCTGGTTCAAGCCTACAAGACAAACAGCGCCTGGTGCAGTCCAACCTTAGTTACCATCGGGAGCCTAACAAAGCAAGACAGATCCATTGCCGAGAGGTTTGCGCACGACCACCGCGTCCAAAATCTGCTCGATCCTTCCTCGAAGCGGAACATGTGCATGTGCATGGGTTTTGGCCATGAGACCGCCTCCGTCGAATACGCATATGAGAGTGTGAGGCAGTTGAAGCAGGCTGGTATTGACATTCTTTGGTTGATCATTCTAGTATGTCCCCGCCTTGTATTAACTGACCAGCTTGTAGTGGCTCAGATTCAGGCTCATCCCCTGGGACTGCCTGGGGTCTCTCGCAACACCATGAGATGTTCCTGTTGGTAAACAAGTGTGATTTTACTTGTGAAGAGGCAATACGCTCAGCTACTGAAGTGGTTGCTCGATGTTTCGGGCTAAATGATCGAGGCCTCATTGAAAAGGGCTTCAAAGCTGACCTCCTGCTTGTCAAGGGCAATCCACTCGATAATATCGAGGATTCTTTGAATATCCAAGCTGTGTGGAGAGATGGAGTGCTGTGCACAAAATACCAGCTTTAGCTCAGGACGATTACTACGAATTCAGTCTGAATATTTTTTTTCTATTTTCATTTCAAACTTCGCAATATTATAACGCAATTTTTTAAATGTGCATTGAAAGCCAAGTGAAATAGAACCACTCTAGTGATACTGCTTATTCTGTTCATTGTAAGCTTCTTTCATAAGGTATCTCCCAAGAGGGCCTAGAGACATCAAGTATAACTGGGTGTTTTTGGCCTGCAAGGAACCGATCGTCAATCCAAATTTATGTGGTAGTGATTGTACATCTTAGGACGTAATCTATACTTAGTTACATTTTCATCTGCCTTATAGTTCAAGTTTTTCCTTAGAAATATCTTTTTTTTATTGTATTTGAAGATAGTTGAATAGACTATAACATTTCAATATCATTTATATTATCAATTCTTCTACTCCTATTTCAGCTTTTCAAGAATAATAATAATAATACATTATTAACTATTTTGTTTTCAAGCTGCTATTTACTTTATATTGATCTCGCCTAGCTCTCATCATTTTTGGCAGTGATGACCCTGAGCTGCCCAACAGCTCAATGCAAATATTAATACTGATGATGAAATTCACTGTAGGCCGCCGTAAGTAAGGCCAATAGACAGGAACGAAATTAGAAAATACTACTGCCGCAAAACAACTAGACAGCAGCTGAGTGAATCTTGCAAATTTGTCCCAAAAATCGTGGCCGAGAAAAAAAAAATACGCTCTGTTCAGAGATTCTCCACTGAATATTTTCGACGCAAGAATTCGCCATAGCGAATGATCACCCAGGGAACTGGAATCATGCAAGCGGCAATAAACCCCAATAGACTATTACCCCAGCCATATCCGAGAGTCTCGTACATTTTACTGCCAGCAAGAGGGAGAACAGACCCAGCAATGGAACGGATGACAGTATTAGCTGCCATGGCACTAGCTGCATAGATTGTGAAAGCATCGACCAAGTAGGTGATAGTCGGTATCATGCAAAGAATAGCGCCTATGCCGAATATGGCTGTGCCTAGAATTGGTACAATCCACTGCACTTTGTATTCCACTGTCCATCCGTAAATGAAAAGTCCCGTAGGGAGTAAGACAGCCCCAACCCTGAGCAACGGAAGACGATATTCAGGTTTCAGGTCTTGAGTGTCTTTACTCATCTTTGCCATTCGTTGCATCGTGCGATCAGAGGTAGCACTATAGTAAACCAGCCCGCACAGGTTGCCCACGCCGATTCCTAGGTAAGAAAGTCCACTGGTGCCAGTGTTGAAACCATACACAGTCGTGAAGACTTCCGAAAAGGAAGTAAACAGTAAATAGAGGTAGCCATACACAATGGCCAAGTAAACTGCGAAAATAGTACAAATGGGAGAAAGGAATAGCAATTTTATGGGGCGTACGATGCTGCGAATAAAATAGTCTCGTGGACTAAGATTTCGATCAAGTTTGGAGCGCAGCAGTGGATTATTGGTGGTCTTCCTGAGCCTTTGAGCTTTCCGCTCTAAGAGGATGGGAGCGTATGTCTCACTGCAACAAAAAAACATGGCCAAACCGAGAGCACCAGCAACGATTGTGCATAACCAGAATACCCAGCGCCAGCCCTTCGCATTTGCTAAAAAGCCGCCAATAACAGGTCCCACGGCAGGTCCCAGTAAGGTCCCAATCAAGGTTATGGACATGACCCTGCCACGCTTCTCTTGGTGAATTGTGTCCGCAACCGTGCCGCCACTGTTCGTTAGAGGCGCTGATCCCAGCGCACCAGAGAAAAAACGGAAAACGATGAGGCTATTCAGAGACGGAGCGACAGCACATGCAATAAGGAAAGCAATGAAGCCGACATTGCAGACGTGATAAACTATCAAACGGCCATAGATTTCGGACAACGGAGCGACCAGAAGCGGACCCAAGGCAAACCCAAGAACGAAAACAGATACGACGAAAGATGCTAACTCGGTGTTGTCATTATGAAAATCTCTCATCAACTGAGGAACACCAGGTGCAAAGATGGCTGCAAATTAGTCCTGAGTCAGCATTGAGAAAAGTGAAATTGTGGAGATGATCAAAACAGGCTGGGATTCCTACATGAAGTTAGAGGTGTGATAAAGCTCAACGCGCTGACAAGTCCGCAGTTCAAAGCCTTCCTCCATGTAGGCCAGTTGTATGGATTGTTAGGATCATTTTCACCATCCCACCACACAAGATTTGGATCGATATCTGCTATGTTTGTTTCTTCAGCAACGTCGCCATCCTTTTCAGGATCCGTGACAGGTTGTGACACAAGGTCCGAGTCGCTGGGTTCTGGCATCGTCGGAAACGGTAGGTGGTTTTTCAACTGGTGTTTTTTTTAAGTCCAAATGACCGTTCTTGTGTCAGGCAATTAAAATATTTATTACCTCGACTAGCAAGACATTGAGCTGTACTCCCTACAGAGTGCATAAATGGTCCTGGGCATATGTGCACTGTCAGTTTAGTATACCTGTGATCCATCTCAGCGGAAATCGGCGGTAAGTTGCATAACTCGGGACGGGACTCTGGTATCTCCAAACAAACTACTCATGGAATTTTCTCCACGCATTTGCATTGAGTCTTGTTTAGTACATAACACCACCCCCGGGAATTGTCTGAGGGTCACATTATGTTAACCCGGTTGTCGATCACTTAGTAACATGTGCAAGCGAAAGGCGGATGCCAGTGGAGAAGGGCGGCCGCCCTCATCCTTGTTACCAGCTATTGGATGGAAATGGCTTCAAGGGGTTGTAATATGGTTATTCAAAGCAGTATCGTCAAATCCACCTGGATTTTCTTTTCATAAGGTTGGTAAAACCTAACCCGCAACCCTTGGTTATTAACTGTAACAGTGCACGCCAAAGTAGTCTATTGGGAAGCTTTGTTCACGAAGATATAGAACATGGAGATCGGGAGTATACAACTTGCTAGGAAACTAAGCCTATAAACATAGATAACAGATCCAAAGAGTAAGCTGGGAATATATTGCTACATACAAAGAAGATGCAATGGGCATTTCGGTAAATATACCATAATGACAGAGGAATTCTATTTACATACAAAGGCATAAAACAAAATTCAGGGTCCATCCCGTTAGGCGCTGAGACCTGTAGGGCTTGTCCGTCACAGGACTGCTAATTGGATTTTTGTATTTTGTATTTGGGTTACACATTCAGGCTTGAAATTTGTATGAAGTGCATTTTCCGGAGGAAATGATCCGGTCGGTGTCCGAATACCTAATTTATTACTCTTCTAAAGTAACACTAACCGTGCCGTCCGGCGCACTACCTCTTCCGGGTGTTGGAAATAAAATCACGTGACTAGCAGGATATGTTGGATATTTGATACGCTAATCCCAATCAGGATGTCATTACTAATCATGATTCCTCGGAATAACGACATATCCGTGAGAACATGAGAGCCAAACTCAAGCCTACAGTTTGGAGTCAGGATGGTCATTTATCCCGTAAATCCGTGATACTTTGCCACTATGATGTGTATATAAAGAGGATCAAGATGTGTAGTTAGCTATGTTTTAGAAGACGTGCAAATCAGAGTCAATTATTCCTCACCCAAATTGTACAACTCCTATCAGAGCCTAACCCCGTTCGGACTAGTACCCAAAAGATTCCAATAGTTATGAGCCCGGGATCACTGTGAGCTACACTTGAAGCTATTCACAGATCAATCCTCAATTCGGAAATCTTGTACAGCCAGCCACGATACCAAACCAGTGAGCGTCCTCGATTGTGATACAGTTCAAAACGATCCAAGAGCAATACAAGATATTAGCAATGGATACCAGGAAGAACATTGTAATCCTAAAAACGACAGACGACTGGAGAAAATGGATCGAACAGCTTAGCACGGAGGCAATGAAGGAGAATGTATGGGAATACATTAACCCTGACCCAAACCGGATGGTACTTGAGCCCGCACCAGCCAAGCCTATGGAGCCAGTTGCGCCTGAGATAGACTTCAGCAAAACAAGTGAAGCGCAGCTGTTATTACAGAAATATCAGATTGAATCCAACACATACGAACGACAACTCAGTCGGTACGAGAAACACCAGAAACGTATGAAGCATATGCGTTCTTATATTCTCGACACTGTGTACATTGGACATAAGCCTATGATTCGAGAAATCAGCGAAGTTTCTGAAATAATACGAAAGCTTAAGAAAGAGCTTGCTCCAAAACCAAACCGAGAAAGAGCCTTGTTAATTGAGCAGCATCGAGAGCTCATAATGACGAAAAATTCCTTGAAACCAAAAGAGTTGATTCAGAAATGGCGAGATTTAATAATTGACATGAAATTCGCCAAATTCACTGAGATTCCGGACGACCGATTAACCAGGGACTTCATCAAACAACTGAGAATGTTTTACCCAAGTTCTATGAGACATGGACCACCCGTATGATCGAATTCGATCTTGATTCTGGAGCTACCATCTAATAGAAATACCAACAGTTGATGAGATTATTAGTCAATTCGAACAATGGGAAGAGGTGTATACCAAATCTAATCCACCTTCCAGACGGGATATTGCTATGGCGACATTTGGCGATAAATCCGACCAGACAGAGAAGGAAAAACAAGACACAACACCCAAACAAAAGACGAGAACCTGCATATGCGGTCAGGAACATCTATTTGAAGATTGCCCATATGTGAATTCGAAGAAACGTACCGTCAATTGGAAACCAGATGAAGCCATACAGAAAAAGTTCGAGCAACTAGAGCGACGTCATGGACATCCCAGAGCAAAAATGCTCCAAAGAATCAAGAAGAAACTGGAAAAAGAAGGCAGTAGTGGGACGAAAGTCTCATTTTTAACTGATGCTAAGAATGACAATGGGAATAAAGAATCAGCAAATTTATTGTATGATTCGGATGAGTATATTGGCATACTTCTCAACGCCAAGCAACCATCTCTAAATCCACCGATCAGTACAGCACTGTCAGCCTCAAGCAGAAATCTTGATATTAAGGAGATGACCTTACTCGACAGTGGAGCGACAGTTCATATCACCAATAAACGGGATAAGCTTATTAATATGCAGTCGAATGTTCGAACAATCATGGCCGGAAAAACAGAGATCCAAATGTATGGACCAGGACAGTACATCCTTCACCCAACAGATCCTATTAGCGATAAAGTTATATGCAAAGGAATACGGATCTTGGAAATGTGGTATGTGGAAGGGTTTCCTACAACAATTATCTCAATGAGCCAGCTTCGGAGCCACGGTATCAAATACGATGGAAAAACCGACAGATTGTGGAGCGAGCGAACAAACGAGGACCTTTGCCATGTCAAATGCACTGGCAAGCTATATCTGCTTGAATGGAACTCGAATAAGAATTCTAAGACATCCCTATCAAAGGAGTTAGCCTTAAGTTCGTTTGACAAAAGAATACTGAAGGATCCCGCACAGGTATGGCATAAGAGATTCGCCCACGTATCCAATAAATCGATTGAAAACATAGAGAAGGCCACTGAGGGAGCAAACATTACCGCACCGTTCCAAAAAAGGAACGAGGAAGGATTCGAGGAAAAATGCGAAGTCTGTGCAATCACCAAGATACGCAAGAAAATCAGCAGAGTTCCAATGACGCCACCGACAAGGCCATTCCAAAAGTTATTTGTGGATATTATTGTCATGAATCTTGCAATGAACAAGGATTCATATGCATTGCATGCTGTTGACCCATACACGAAGTTTCACATCCTAACGACAACTCGTACAAAGTCAGTCAACTTCAACCTTGAAAACATGATTGAAGAGATCGAACATACCTTCAAGACAAGGATTGAGGAGATCCAACTAGACGGAGAGTCATCGCTTAATGGAATCAGCTTCAGGGACTATTCTCAAAAGAGAAAAATCAGACTGATTGTCACCGTGCCAGATACACCAGAGCAAAACGGCCCAAGCGAGCGAGCTGGAGGAATTATCAGCATGAAATCTCGCAGCCTAATCCAGGAAGCCAACTTACCTCAAGGATTATGGCCAGAGGCTATGAAAGCTGCCGTTTGGATCCTAAACAGAACTCCGATAAAAGCCTTGGGCTATAAGACAGCATATGAGATGGCTCATGGGACGAAACCATACGTTGGGAATCTGTTTCTATTCGGATCTAAGGCATATGTCAGAGTGGACACTAAGAAAAGCGAGAAGATGGCTCTGCGCGCCCAGATAGGATTCTTGGTGGGATATGAAGCTCACAATATCTGGAAGGTATGGACTACTGGACCTAATGGATCGAAAGTCATACGCGCCAGAGACGTCATCTTCGACGAGACGAAGAAATATGACCCAGAACATCCATTTGTTAAAGAGATTGTCAGAGAAGGTGTGCAGAGATACGTTGACAACGTTGACATACCAAATCTTGAAGACATCGAGCAAAACGATATAATCGACTCAGTTGACGAAGATATGAATCTACAAAGCATGGTCAGCCCAGTTGTGTCAAATATTGAAAATACTGGAGGCACATTACCTCATGATTCCATGGATATTAGCAGGCCAGGTCAAGCACTGGATATACAACAAGATGTGCCACAAAACATGGAGATTGACGAACCAACCCAGCCGGATCAGGATACTATGGATATTGACCACGAAAATCCAGAAAATGAAGCCCAAGAAGCGACACAAATTGACAATCGTGAGAAATCCGTGGTGAAGAAGTTGAAAATCGACTCAGCTGGAGGGGTGGAGCATGAGGATAATATCAAGGAAGAAGTTGACGAGGATAAGAATATCCCCAGCGACAAACAGCTTCCTCAATCTTCAAGTCCCGTGACCATGGAAAGGCTTTCAGCCAATCATGATGCAGAAAAAGCAAATAACGTCAACAACGACTTACCTACCCCGCCTCAAGGAGCCTCTCAGCATTCAAGCGAAAAGAATGAGTCAACAGGAACTCAGGAACCCCTTAGTACCTCTCGAGCACAGGAGATTAACGCGGACCTCTCAGAAAGCAATATAGTGACAGGACCCAGGATTCGAGTACCGTCAAAAAGAGCCCTAAGTCCAGAATCAAGCTCTTTATCAAGGAAGAAGCACAAAAAACTCAGCCGCGCATTTTTAGCCAGGCAAAAGTTGCTACAAGATTCGACAACGGACAAAATCCTTTTAGCTGCACTAGAAAAGCTTGAAAAACCACTTACAGAACAGCTTCCACCAGAACCTAAGAATTGGACGGGCGTTTTACGACACAAATTCAAAAATCAGTTCATACAAGCTGCGAAAACCGAGTTTGAAGCTTTAAACAAGAAAGGCACGTTTGAGTTTGTTCCTAGACCTCAAAATAAGCATATTCTACCACTGACATGGGTTTTCAAATACAAATTTGACAAGTATGGCAAACTTTCAAAGTTCAAAGCAAGGATCTGTGTGCGCGGTGATCTACAACAGCCCAATGAGCTCGAGAAGCGAGCAGCCACACTGGCAGCCCGAAATTTTAGGCTGATGATGGCTCTAGCCGCTATATTCGACTTGGAGATTGTGCAATACGATGCCGTGAATGCCTTCATAAACAGTCTATTGGATAAGGAGGTTTATACATTGTGTCCAGATGGCTTCAAACAAAGTAGCAAGGTCATAAAATTACGGCGAGCTCTATACGGATTACGGAGAAGTCCTCGGTTATGGCAGAAAGAACTAACAACGACCTTATTAAGCCTGGGATTTGTTCCAATACCTGATGAAGAATGTCTATTTATCAAAAATGGCGTTCTTATACTATTTTTTGTTGATGACATCCTTGTGTTCTACGACAAGGACAAAAAACAAGCTATTTTCGAAGAAACTGAGAAAGGCCTTACGAGCAAATACGAGCTCCGAAAAATGGATAAATTCGAATGGTTTCTGAACATTAGGATCCTTCGTGACCGAGCCCAGAGAAAGATTTGGCTCTGTCAGGATTCCTATATCGCGAAGATAGCCAGTCAGTTCAATATCAACACCACGAACAACGTCGACACACCAATATCTGGCAATATTGAGGCCTCAAAAGGAGAAGCAACTAATCAAGAGATTCACGCCTATCAAGAGCTTGTTGGATCCGCCCTGTATGCCTCTATCATGACACGGATCGACGTTGCAAAGGCTGTCAACGAACTAGCCAAACACACGAAAAATCCTTCAATCGCCCATTTCCAGCAGATAAGGAGGGTTATCCAATATCTTTATAACACTCGCTTCCTAGCTATTGAATTCTCACCACCGCAAAATCCTGAGAAAGACGCGTTTATATGTGCCTCAGATGCCTCATTTGGAGACAACCCCGACCGTACAAGTTCCGAGGGTTATTTGGTCCAAATATATGGGGGCCCAGTCGACTGGAGAGCCACAAAACAACGCCTAGTCACGACATCAACCACCGAAGCCGAACTCCGAGCTGCCACCGAGGCCGCCAAGAGGCTTCAAGTTTGGAAACGTGTTTTCAGGTCAATTGGCTTCAAGCCTGATAGAGAGCTCTCTATCCAATGCGATAACAAGCAGACTGTTGCACTATTGACTAGTGAAGAACCGCAGTTTCGAACGAATCTCAAACATGTTGATATATATCATCACTGGCTAAGGCAAGAGATCTCCAAGAAGCGCCTCCGGATTGAATGGGTGGACACCAAGCGAATGGCTGCAGATGGACTTACCAAGATCCTACGCGGTCAGCCGTTCCTAGATTGGAGAAAACACCAAGGACTAGTGAATATAGGCCATTTGACACAGGAATAAAAAGCTCTAAGCTTCCATTCCTGGAGGGGTGTGTTGGATATTTGATACGCTAATCCCAATCAGGATGTCATTACTAATCATGATTCCTCGGAATAACGACATATCCGTGAGAACATGAGAGCCAAACTCAAGCCTACAGTTTGGAGTCAGGATGGTCATTTATCCCGTAAATCCGTGATACTTTGCCACTATGATGTGTATATAAAGAGGATCAAGATGTGTAGTTAGCTATGTTTTAGAAGACGTGCAAATCAGAGTCAATTATTCCTCACCCAAATTGTACAACTCCTATCAGAGCCTAACCCCGTTCGGACTAGTACCCAAAAGATTCCAATAGGATACATATAACGGGCACACTAATCGTGGAAGGATGATGAATATCATTGGTCCCTATCTAGGTCTCCGGGGACCAGTAACTAACTAAGTGGTGTCACGTGACAATACAGAAGTCGAACTACGGAACGGTTCGCAAATACCTCAAAAATACCAAATTCCCTTTAAGGGCGTCCTTTTTGGTGAAACGGTATTACGTTCAAGTTCCGACACCGGGTGTATGTCATGTGATGACGTGGGGCATATCTATAAGCGCTAATTCGGGAGGACTCAACAATGTGGGTCAATGTGGTCTTTTTAGCTTATACCTTGTGGTATAAGTGTGTTACGAATCAACCTGCATGGCGCTAAAATATACTATGACCAAGGAGGAAAGGTCACTTTGGATTTGAAGGCGTATGAACCATACGATTACAGACAAGATGGAAGGATGTCACGAAGTGGACACCCTGGTATGGAACACGCACCAAGTCACGTGAAGATATGAATAAGATACCGCTGATAAGGAAGATAAATGGTATACACAATGAGCTACGCTCATTGGGCAATGGATGATCTACTATCTACCATCTACCACAAGTGGTAGACGATATACGGTATACGGCTGGATATATAAGGACGGTCTTTACCATCATGTATTTACTTCTTCATAGCTCTTTGACATAAGTCACTCAAATACAACAGTGAGAGTCAGCAAGGCATTCTAACTCGTACGGGCACCAGGCTGTACGGGGGATCTCTTCTATCTTAGTTACGTTTAAGACTTCCAAGACCATTGACCGATCTATTGTTACTTCGTTTACTCAAGTTACCTTATCGACGTTTACCAAGGAACCTGTGCGAGGTTCAACCAAGCCTAACGTATCTCGACGCACCGCTGTCATAACTAAGGTGGATCCAGGTCCGTGACAATAACGCGGGCCGGTTCGCATCGAGACGGCTTGGCCCTTTTTTTATATCCTGAACCTGAAAACTTGAGTATGAGACGTAAACTTGTGTAATTGTATAACCTAACCTATCTAAATGAGGAAAGCCAGGCTCGGAGTGCCATTCAAAAAAAAACAAAAAATTTATAATGTAAAATGCGCGTACTCTAAATTAAAAAGGGTTTCTTGGGCAATCCATTTGGCGTGAGCTTGTACGCTGCTTCGGGAATAATCGTATAGCCATGGAAAACTCAAATATGTGGCTTACGAAGCCACAGGACTTTCAGTGATTCTACACGCTGATGGTCTTGACAGGAATTGGACGTGAAGGATGACCCCAAGCCATTCTAGGCCCCGTAAAAGTCACCTTTTCCTTTTCCGGAAAATAGACTGCCCTACTTGCCCTGACGGCCTTAGCACCACGCTCCAGAATTTCATCCTGACAATCTTGCAGGATTCGTTGTGTGTCAGGTGTGTTAACAATCGAGCCTCGGTTTTGCGAAATCGTGCGGCCAATAGACATCGCATCAACTAGAGCATGGATCGCGCCCTCACCTCGGACTTGACAGAAAGAAAAACGAAGGAAAATTAGCTTCATAAACATAAGTGAACAATAAGGATGTCTCTTTTCTTTCTCTTTGTAATTTTCCTTTTTTTACTTCATTTTGTTGTTCAGGTGAGGGGGGGCGGCTTATGACGCAGGATAACTTACAAGGATACATTGAATGAGCTGCGTCTCCAAGCAGCATTACTCGTCCAACCTGAATTCGACCTTTATTGAGCTCCACATCATAGTAAAGAATGGGTTTGAGCTTCATGCCATCCACTGGTGTCTGCTCAATGATCTTTCTCAATTTGTCCGGTAGCCTGCGGACCTTCTGAACTGCAAAAGAATGTAATTCTTCTTTTGTAGCTGTCTGTGTCCAGTAATCGCTCTTGTGAATTGGGACAGTATCATCTTGCCAAGCCACCGACCAATAATAATCGCCTGACTTTCCGCTCGTATGGACTTCATTGACTCCGCCGAAGACGCCGATCAAGTCATCGACATTTATATTACAGATCCATGCCGAGTGACCGAGCTGAAGCTGTTCGATCATGTCCTTGTCGGAAAGTACAAGCTCGCCGATGATATTTCCGACTGGGGCCACTTTAATTATATCTTCGCCATGAAGGAGGCATTGGCGAACTTGGGTATCCCTTTGATTTAAGCCAGGATTCGGACAAAAAAACAAAAGATTCAAGAGCAACAAACACTACATACCGACACTTCGTATCCCGTCAGCCCCTATAAGGATGTCGCCTGTAGCACTTATTCCATCCTCGAAGTGAGCTGTGACGCCAGCCTCCGTCTCGTCAACCCGAACCAGCTTCTTGTTATAGTAAATAGGGATATTTATTCTTAGCCAATCACGAAGACGGCGGCGATTTGCTCGGACAATCCTGGTCGATGGACTATTTTCGACACCGAAACGCTCTGCGAGATTTGGAGAGGTATAAAAAACCAACTGAGCAGGCAGCGTGAGTGGTTGCAGATGGTTCACAAAGGGCTCGAGAGGAGGAAGATCATTGGGAACAGCGGACTCTAGTTCGTCAATAATACTGAATATGAATGTCAACGACTGCTTTGGAGATCCAAAGAGTATGCTTGGAAAAATGGTTTAGATGGATTAGGATTCCCTAACCTATGCAATCCAATAGCCCATCCAGTTGGGCGAGCCTCCTTATTTAAATCCCGTTCGAAAACTTCAAACGAGATACCTTGTTTCCTCAATATCTGAGCAAGAGCCAAGCCACCCAAACCTCCGCCAATTATAAGGACATGAGGCGCCGACTGAGCTGCCGACATTGCTACTTAGGATTGTCAGAGGAAAGTTTATGGAATATGTGATAATTCGAGTTTCTCAACCTTTGGAGTCTGTTCGTACTTTTTTGTGACTTCTTGACGAAGAGAACGTCATTTAAAGTACACTTCGACGGTTTAGATTGGCATCAAACATACCCGTTTCACTTGGGCCACCAACGATGCTCTGAAATGAGTACGATTCATTTACAGCAGGGCGGACAAAGGGCGGCCGCCCATACCCTGCCGATCCTTATTGATATACCACATCAGTCCTCCACAATGACGAGAACTGGGCCAAATGGGCTATCCACTTGGCCGAGCGCGAGTACTAAACATGAGTGACAGCGATAAGCCTTAAGCTCATTGGTGCTCCGGACTCCGCCTGCCGCCTTTAGTAGGAATGGATTAGCGAAACAAGGTTAAGCTATTTCCCTGTGTAAACTAGTGCTCGGCAAGCCACCCGGCCAAACTCCCGAAAATGCGTTCTATATTGATTTCAAATCTTGATTTCCAGCCAAAAACAAATGATAGTTACATTTTCTTTACTGATAATTGTGTCAAGCGGTCTTTTCAACACTGCTCATAGTCGCTAGTGCTCATGCTCACCCCGCCACATTTATTTGTGACTTCCAAGTTCGGAGCTTTGCGGTCCTTTCTAAAACAGTACTATGTACCTCAGGTGATTCTCTGTCAATTAAGCGTATCCGGTCGAAAAAGTTTATCCTCTTTATACGGAGAAGTTCACTGCCACGGCTCTCTGACGAGATCACAGTGATAAGAGAAGGATATTAATGACTCGGGACCCTCTGCTAGATACGAAGTTCTCATTGGCTGGCGTTTCGGCGTGGTGGATTCTTTTGCAAGGATAAGAGGGAAAATGATGCATGGAGAACAGAGAGAAGTCGCATACACTATGTTGATTGAATTTACTGCAATCGGATATTCAACTTTGGGGAAATAAATCCCAACCACAAACCATGCTATAACTTGTCCACAGAACCGGAACAAGGAGAAGAGATGCTCTCTTAAATGAGTAAAGCAACAATGGAAAGAATGGGAAATGTAATATACAACTGGTGAATTTTAAAATAACCACTCAGACTAACTCCAATAGTACGAATAGATATCGAATTCGCCAAACTTGTCATGAAGAACCTCACCCTTCTCATCACCCGCAGCGCCCGCACAAACAAGAAGGGGTAGAAAGTGCTCTGCTCTTGCCGGGGGGTGCATTTCATCGCTGTGAGGAAATCCTCTCCACTTCTCGAGTTTCCTGCAACGCTCATCCGCGTTTTCCTCCAAAACTGCTCCTGTAAGGCTCTTGTTCCAAGCTTCATAATTGGCCTGGAACGACGACATGGGAAGAAAACCTCTACTGATCTTCAGCATCACAGGCAGATTATGAACTGAAGAAAACCCTGAACCGAGGATAGCAATATTAGAGTCACGAAGTTTTTCAAAGGCGCGTCCCATGTTCAAATGATCCTGTGCGTTTTCGCTAAGAAGCACAGATATTTGAACGAGGGGAACATTGGCTAGCGGATTGATGAGCATAAATGGAATAAAAACCCCATGATCCCAACCTGATGTTTGAAGCGTTCAATTCATTTAATATGTATTTTCACACCTTTTCGAGTGTATAATCGGAATCTTACCTCGTTTATCATCCAGCACGGGACGTAAGCCTTCGTTCTCAAGCGCCTTACCTACCTCTTCTGCCACACGACGCGAACCGGGCGCATCATATTTCAGCGAATAGCTTTGCGGAGGGAAACCCCGATAGTCATAGTACAGCTCATGCTTGTCAGCTGACGAAACGGTGGGATAATTTTCGGACCAGTGTGCGGTAATAACTAGAATAGCACGTGGGGCTTCAGGAGTCCCCAGTCGCAGGATTCTAGGAATAGTCTCCTGGAGCGATTTGGTGACATCCGTGTGGTACTCATCTCCAAGAACAGGCATTGGACCTAGCCATAGACAATATTTAACGCTGTGAATAGTATCTCCTGTATCTCCAGATGGAAAAATGCTCACTCACCACTTCCATGGTTCACGCAAATAACAGCTCCTCTCGTCATGATCTTTCGAAATATCGCGCCCCTGACCAGCCTAAGGAGAATGGAAATTAAAGGCGAATGTGGAATATTTTCTCTAACTAATAAATGTCCAACGGGATTGATTCGAAGACAAGATAATTACACCGACAGATATAGATATTCCAATGTTAAATTATAGGCACTCGTAGCTGTGATCGAACACCAAATCCATACATCGAGAGGTGGCAAACCTTGAATTAGTCACATATTGTCCTGAAGGTCGTTTGAACCATATAAAATGTTGTCCCAAACAAAGTCTGTTGCTTGGTAATCATATATTCAGCCGGCCGCCCCTCCCCGCTCTGACTAAATCAGCCGTACAAACAGTTACAGGCAGTGTTACTATTCACATATTTGAGTCGGTCATAACCAGAAATGATATGTCAACTTACCTAATGTTAGTAAATCTGCTTACCCGCTCCAACTAACTCATTGAAAATGTGAGAAACTATGAGTTCCTGCCTGGAGAAAACATGTAAGTTACGTTTAGTATGACAAATTATTAGTCAAGGACCCTTCCCCTCGACCCTACCCAAGTTTAATGGGGTTAATGTCTTTTTGAACGAACAGATGAGCTTTTGTCATGGGCGGTTACAGTCTCAGATGTGGAGTTAATCTCTCCAGAGACATCTTAAAAGAGACAGAAAATGTTAGTCAACCATTTGTGGTTACCAACAACCCCTAGAATAAAGATAATATATATTTATCTCTTATCTTTTCAGAACTTATTCCAGCTTGCTACAGCGGTTACACATTCACCAAGCCAAATTGCACCCACACTTTTCTCCTCTGATAAACTTTTCCTTCCCACCTAATTCACTTCGGGGATTCATTATAGATCCAGAGTCTCGGCCGGAGTACAGAGGAAATAGAAGTTATGGGGAACGATACCAATAAGAAGGAGCACTTACTCGTAATATTCTACCAGGACTTGTTGGAGGGAATTCGTGATGTAGTAGAACAGAAGTTTCCAAACGCCAACCTCACCATCTACCGACTTGGAAGGGCCGCCGTCCCGAAAGGTAAGGAAGACGTCGACGACTCTTTTCTGCTCATTCATTTTCGATCATTCAACCAAGTTGTAATAACAATGAAAAGACATTTTGGCAAAGGTAACCGTCGTTTGCACGTTTGGATATTTTCCCGATCCCAGCGACGTACCAAAGTAAGTCAGCTAACTTGAGGGGTCCAAAAATTGGCAACCCAGCCAATCCAAGAGTGAAATGCACTGACTTGGGTTGTTTCATACATAGTCTGAAATTGGTGCATTTTTTCAATGCCGGCATAGACCACGCCTTGGGCCAGCCACTCATCGCGCAGACTACAATTCCCATTACAAATAGTGCAGGCGTTGCTGGCCCTCCCATGGCAGAGTGGACAGTCATGAACTGGCTGACGGCAGCGAAAGGCTATGACCATATGAGGGAAGCACAGAGACAGCACCGCTGGGATAGATCGACGCAATACATCAATGTGCACGATCAGGTGGGCAAGCACGTGGGCATTCTAGGATATGGAAGCATAGGACGTCAAAGTAAGATAATGTTTCAGTCCCCCTCCTGTGTCTCAACTTTACACTGCTATGATCAACTATTTCCATTCTCAAAAGAATTCCAAAGGCTAATTTTGACCTTTTTTTTTTGTGTGTGTGTAGTTGGTCGTCTTGCCTCCGCGCTTGGGATGACTGTCCATGCCTACACAGCTACTTCCCGAGTGACTCCCCTATCCAGGAAAGACACCAGCTTTATCATTCCTGGCACTGGAGATCCCGAAGGCTCAGTCCCGTCATCGTGGCACCATGGTACTGATAAAGCCTCTCTGCACGATTTCCTGGCTCTAAGTCTGGATCATCTTGTCATCTTGCTCCCACGTACACCGCAGACGTGGCATCTCCTTGGAGTAGAGGAGTTCAAGATTCTCTCGGATAACTGCTCGGCGAAGAATTCGGGTAGGAGACCTTTTGTGACAAGTATATCTCGAGGCAGCGTCATTGATCAGGAAGCATTGGTTGCAGCTTTGAAATCTGGTCAGCTTAGTGGCGCAGCCCTGGACGTGACAGATCCTGAACCACTGCCTCCTGACAATGAACTGTGGGACATGCCAAACGTACATATCAGTCCACATATGAGTGCTGTTGGGGTCGAGTATATTCCGCGAAGCTTAGATGTACTGAAAATGAACATTGAGCGGTTGGAAAAGGGAGAGGCATTGATTAACGAATTCACGAGGGGAAAATGGCATTAGTCTAGCTCTACTACGGTTGGGGCCGGTAATTTTGTTAGTACGATTTTTAGGCGGTCAGGCTCCGGGGCTCACCGCCTTTTAAATAGAATATTGACCATCCGTCTGCTTTCAGCCTTTCAAGCCTAGATATATGACATTTGACGATCAATATGGCCACCCCCGAGCCTACCAGCCCCCCTAGGGCAACAAGCGCAGCAGCTCTCGAGCCATCTGATTCCAGGCAGAATTCAGCACGGCTGAATAGGGATGAACGGATCCGAGTATTAACCCTTCGAGATGCTGGATTTACATATCTTCAAATCTCTCAGCAGCTTCAAATTAGCTATCGCCAAGTCCAATATACGTGCCAAAGCCAGCAAGCAACCCCTAAAAAGGCCCGTGGCAACCCTCCGAAGCTCTCCGAGGCTGAAGTTCATCATATTATCGAATGGATTACTTCTTCGAAGCGTACGCGACGTATGCCTTATTATAAGGTTATACAAGAGCTTAACCTATCTATTGGAAAGCACGCCCTGGCTCGAGCTCTTAAAAAACGAGGTTATACACGATGCAAGGCTCTTAATAAACCTCCTCTATCAGATAAACATAAACAAGTACGTCTTGCCTGGGCCCTAGAGCATTTGAATTGGACGACTGAACAATGGAATCGTATCCTTTGGTCTGATGAAACATGGGTTACTTCAGGATTTCATACGAGAATCTGGGTAACTAGAAAGGCTGGTGAAGAGTTAGAAGGGACTTGCATACGATCCTCTCCTGCACGGAAACGTGGATGGATGTTCTGGGCTACTTTTCATGGGAATAACAAGGGTCCGTGTTTATTCTGGGAGAAGGAATGGGGAACTATTAACTCAGAGAGATATTGTCAACGGGTTATACCAATTATTGATGGCTATATTCGCTTATTACGAGACGATATCTGGCTTCAATTTATGCAGGATGGGGCACCTGGCCATGCGAGTAAGGAGACTCTCGAAGAGCTTCATTCTCGTGGGATATATCCAATTTATTGGCCAGCATTCTCACCTGATCTCAATCCAATTGAAGCAGTATGGAATTGGATGAAGGATTGGATTCAAGAACAATATCCAGATGATGAGCAACTTTCTTATGATCGACTCCGTGAGATTGTACGAGCTGCTTGGGATGCACTGCCTGAGCAGTTTTTGAAGGAGCTCATTGACTCTATGCACGCTAGATGCCAAGCTGTAATAGATGCTCGAGGTGGTCATACAAAATATTAGATTAGTAATCAGATATGACTGGCAGAATTCATTGGATTTCAACCCCTGTAAAAAAGTCGTGCTAACAAAATTACCGGCCCCAACCATAGTAAGGCAGACCTGTATTATCGTGTCTTTTTACGCCTGATTCCCATTTTCAGGCGTGTCGTCTTATATTGGTCTGTAAGATGTGAGCTTTGACTGGTTATCGCGACGTTACCATGTGGGTACTAGGGCTATTATTGATCTCTGGTCTCGTAATGTATCACCAATAGAGATTTTCAGGAATAACATCATGAAACATTCGTTGTCTTCGATATATTAATGTTTTGTAAGGATCCTTTTGCCAATTTTATTTCTTGTCGATTCTAATTCGCTGATTATTCTTGCCCAGCCTTATCAGTTATTATACATCTATGTAATACTACCGGTCACAAAGTATGTTAAATCTGGGTAAATTGAAGTTGATAATAGGCATCCATAGTAATTATACGTATCCAGAAAAGCATGCTAAATCTAGTCAAATTTGATACATTACCTAGGTGCTACGTCGTAATAATCAACACAATCTATTTCAGTAGTTTGCATTGAGCTGTTGAACAGCTCAGTGTTATCACTAACAAAAATGATGGGAGCTAGATAAGTCAATCTCGTATTTTAAGTAACTACGTACTTATTTTGATTTGGAGATGATTTTTTTTATCTCTATACCCGGGCCCATCCCCAGCCGAAAAAGGTGGAGATGGAGGCGACGAGTACAGGTTATCCACAGATCGTGGGTTTGTTTACCAACTCTATACTTGGTTCGCAAAGTGATATTTCATGGGAGTGACAACTGGACTTGTCAAAAGACGCGTCTAAACCGCATACTACTAGCTAGAAAACTACGTATAATTGCTATAGGTAAGGAATTGAGATTTGAAATCAAAATAGAAAAGGCGGGCGGGTGGCTTACCGATTACTAAAACCAATCAGAACGCTGCGAGCCCGAGAAACTTGGCTAGATGAAATCCGTAGCACGTAGATGGACAAGGACTCGTCTCTCATCATACCAGTTGCTATTTGTACCAAAATCTATCTCGTTAAGCAAGGATGATGGATACTGCGATCACTTTCGAGACCACAACTGATAGCGCTTCATATCCCCAACGGTACCTCAAATCCTGCGATGCGTGCCGCACGGGAAAGGTTCGATGCCTGCCGGATGCAAGCAGTATTACTGGTGCCTGCTATCGCTGCGAAAAATCCAATCGGTCATGCACCTTCTCGCCGGTTAAAAAACGCAAGTCGCGCAAGGGAACACAATATCGAATTGCTGAATTGGAGCGCGAAATTCTAGCGATGCGACAATCGTGGAACGTGAATGAGAAGTCTACTACTTCATCCCCCCAAAGTAGTATGGAACAAGCAAACGTTCCCACCCAAAATACTTTTGCGGTTTCTGTTGATAACAAAACGGCGTTTGAGCATACGCGGGTGTCAAATTCTGGGCATGAAGTGAAGGCTGAGCAATTCAGCTCATTGGGGCCGGATGTTGTCGATCGGGGAATTCTGTGTGAGGAAGAAGCGGATGCTCTTGTGATTGCATACCGTACGCACATGAGTCATACCTACTCTGGGGTGATGATATCACAGGATGTTTCAAGTTCAAGCATGAGACGATCCACGCCTGTCTTATGGCTAGCGGTTGTCGCGGCCGCAGCGCAAGAGCGAGCCCCTGAGCTCTGGGCAAAACTTAACCAGGAACTCAGGCAGATCCTGGCCTCATTCGTATTTGTGGACGGTAGTATGTCTCCGGAGCTGATCCAAGCAACATTTATTACTCTCATCTTCTATAATCCACCGACTCAATTCTCCAAGCATCTATTCTTTCAGTTGGCAGACCTTGCTGCAAGCATGGTAATAGGCCTCGGATTCGCATCCAAAGAGCCCCCTGCTGTTCATGGCCTTGAATATAGTGTGCTGTCCGATAACGGTGCAACCTGTTTATTCGAGAAGAGTAGGTGCTTGCTGGCAGCTTACATATACAGCACGGGGTAAGTCACTACAGCTTTTTTCCGTGGTATTTTGTGTTGACGGCTGTAGACTTTCAATAAGATCCAGACGCACAAGTGTTCTTCCTTATAGCAAGTGGATTGATGAAGTGATTCGTTTTCTGGAGAAATCCGAGAAATTGAGCGATAAGCGGTTGTCCAAATGGGCCCAACTAGCTCACATCGCCGAGGACACGGCTGATTGTCTTGGCTTCAAAGACGCGAGTGTCTCGATCGTCATACCTGCAACTCGTCTATCTCCTATACTGGGCAATTTCGAAAAGAAAATGAAGGAATGGTATGTAAATTTGGACGTTGGAGTTAGAAACGGTCAGTGACCCTAAATTATTCGACATGTCGGAAATATATTTTTAATCCTTGTTAGACGCTTTAAAGCTTGATTATCACTCAACTTTGATGACTTTGTAAGTAATTGCGCTGAATTTAAATAATCAAATAGTCTCTGATACCATGTTCTAGTCACGAGTTAGTGTTGGCTGGGGGGAAGCACGATGCGGCCGATTTCAAGAAGTCTCATTTCACCTTTCCCGAGATAACACTGGACGACGGCGTTCGGGACGATTTGTACACGGCGCCATCCTTCGCCATAATTTCAATTCTAGAGTGTATCTCGTCCGCTCACGACAGCCTCAAAATAGTTACTGATATGAGTATTGACCAGTTAAGGCGAGCGCCAAACGTGCAATTGTTCCGTGCCTTCTACGCTCTAATTATTCTGCTTAGGGTGTGGCTTTATGTCTTTAAGCACAATCTTGAGGACCAGATACAACCGCAGAATCTTCAGCTTGATTTTTTTATCGATACACTTTCCATGAGGCTGATGACTGCTTCGGATTTGGGAAAGTATAAAATCCCAGCCATGTGGAGTAGCATGCTGGAGAAGAGAGCGAAGCGGTGTTACTGTCAGTTGCGAGATTGTCTGACTGTTCATCTATCAGGGCGTATGTCAAATAATTCAGATATGAACTCGAGGGCAGCACAAATAGCTGGAAAAAAGGCAAACGAAGCATCCTATTCGAGTACAGGGCAGCCTTGGACACTAGATGCGCAATGGTCAGAGCTGAGCTCGACTAAAAACTACCCTTCGCCTTGCGAAGAAGGATATGAAACGCAAAGATCTCAGGCAAGCTCTGCTCCGTCTGATCCAACTTCGGCCTTTATGCTATCAAACGCAATGTCCGTTCCTGAACTCAACTATTCATTTCCTTTAGAACCACTGGGATTTGCCGATTTTGAGTTGGAAGACATCGATAATCTCATCCATCAGCTTATGCCATAATTCCCGAAGATTCCGTGTTTAAAACCACATGTTAAGATGCCAGTTAGTAATATCAGTTGTTGCAGAATCTGGGAACTGTAATCATCATGTGACGTTTTGCCTCTGATTTATTACTTTCATGTATTTTCTCACCATTCTCTTGTTAGTGAATCAAAATCTGACGATTTATAAAAGAAAAAATAGAGATTTATCAGGCGCTTTCTTTCTTCCTGAGATGTCTCTGCCACTATTTACATTCAGAACCACATGGAGAGTGACATTATATCTTCGTAGGACAAGCGGACAATAACAATCAACCACAATATGCATTCAACCGGAACACAACCTGCCAACATGGGGATATGTTGATCTAGAATCAGGATGTTATTCTTTCGCGTCTAGTGAAGGGCTATCCCAAGCCTAGTTATCATTATATCCACGATTATCATTTTAATTGACCTAGGCTCGCCTTCTGCGAATGAAAGCGTCGGTTTATCTACGTCTAGGTCGCTAGCACTAGTCACGTAGAACAGCTATTCCGACGAGCTGACGAGTCTGATCAATATGGTATGGAATTCCTGATATTGATGACTGCCCCCCAAGAGTAAGGGGGACGGGGAGTGGCTAACTACATATATACGCGGCACGCACGTGCCGCGTTAGACTAACTGATATCCAGTGCCGAAACGCGCTAGGTTTGATATTCACGTTCCGACACTGGCAACTCTCTAAGAAATAGGAATAGGACGACGAGCGGTACAGGATTGACAAAGCAAAGAAATTGGTGTAGCTTTCGTTGGAGGGGTTGTAGACCTTTCCACCCATCCATCCACATTGATATTAAGCTTATTTGTGTCGATGAGTGCCTGTAAAGCGCGACATGGTTTGCTCTTTGTCATGGCGTCGGCTAGATTGCTTTCACCGTCAATCCACTTGATCTCTGCAATTTCTTGGCGCTCGTATGACTGTCGGAGGCACATGAGGTCAATCTCGATATCGGGCTGGTAATTGCCGATTTCGTTGGGGGCGTTGTGCAGGCCTTGCCTGGGGTGTAGATGTGTCTGGCTCGTCGTCTTGAGGTGTGGGTGGTGTTGAGTTTATGCCTAAAGGTGCCTCAGGCTCTTTATTTGTATGCTCCGAATTGGTGTCTTGGTCGTTCTCATCTAGTGCCTTGTAATACAGCCTCACAACAGTTATACAGAATTGCTTTGGTCCATCTGAAAACTGGATTATACACGTCTCACCCTCAACACTTAGTAATTTGTATGGGCCTTTCCACTCTCCTGCGTAGCCGGTGTTTCCTTCCCTCCATACGCGTACATCTGAATTTATTGGCAGAAGATGTACAGCTGTTGACGCAGGACCATTACACGTATTAAGGGCATCTTGAACCTGTCATTCGGTATGTAGTTTTCAGACCTCTGTCATTGCCTTTTTGAGTGCAGCAGCACATTATATAATTATAGGTGCAGGAGGGTCATATTCTACCATTCGTGGGTAAGCTCCAAAAACAAGGAGCGTAGGGACTAAACCATCTGAGCCAGCTATATCGTTGATAGCCTTGACAGCCATCTGTAGAGCAGCGTCTTTAGGTAAATCTAGTAATTCCTTTTTAATAATTTCATATGAGCGGCGAATCATGGCATGGTATCATTCAACGGTTCTAATTAACCAATATGCTTCGACTGGTACTGTTTTGATGATTGTGCCTACAGCTGAAGTAGATTGTGAGAATTCCCTGCTTATAAAAGTCTTTCTAGCATCTATGATAACTAAGTCTAGGGGTCCCAGGTACGTGTTAATCCAGATCTTTCGGAGTGTGTCCTATACAACTTTTGTTGAGATATTTGACAGCCACGCAGTAGCATTAAAGCATGTTGCTTTGTTGACAATGTGAAGTACAGGGTCTCCATCAAGGTATATAATATTAATAATGATAGAGTGATTGAAGTCAATATCTTTATGCAGTGTGAACCAGAATCGTCTAGGTGACTTGTCGTACATTTAACAATAGTGACAGAATTTGCGAATGTGCTTAATTGCTTCCTTATTGGTTTTATAGCCCGCACGTGTAAGTACACAGCAAAGTCTATCAGTTGAAGAGTGGCCAAATTGGCAGTGTAGGCGTCGTAATTCAGTATCGGTGAGAAGGCAGGGGTTGTGGTCAAATAAAGCAAGTAAGTGAGTATGGTAGGAGTAATCCCATACAAGAAATGGATGGCCAAACTGATGAATAACTGGTGTTATTTTTCCTATTTTCTTATTGACAAGAAGATTGCAGGTATTATCAAAATAAAGTTTTAGTCTGTCAAGTTCGTACAGCGATATTAGGAATGGTGTTGTGGTTGTCAGGATATAGAACCATATAGTACCAATAGGTGTAGGCACATCGATTGATCCTATTGACTGATAGGGATTGCCAGGTCCAAATTGAACTGTTGCCATGCCAGCCGTTGTAGTATTAATATCGATATTTCTAATGATTCTCTTGTAAGCAAGGTATTGCCCATATCCGGCTGTAGAGAGTTGCGCAGCGCCAGTGTCGATAACAATACCCTTAAAGCTTTCTGACGAATAGCAGCCCTCATTTAGATAGACATGACTTGACTTGGGGGTTAGAATCTTAGGAGTTGCTTTATTAGTTTTGTACAAATCAGTTTCCAAGTCAGGCTTTAGGAATAGTAAGACAATCCAGTGCGAAATGGAACAGTTTACTAGTTCCATGGTTATTGATGGACCATGGTTCGTGTCGTTGTCTTTGTGCGTTGTAAAGAATGTGGCTGTGAACAGGGTTGACGAGGCATCATGTGTAGGTCTGGATTTGTAATTGTCTGTTAGAATAAGGTCATTAGCAGCTAATAAGAGTTCCTCTGGTAGTTCCTCATCGTCATCCTCTGTGCCCTCGTAGTCGGCAATATATTGATCAATATGCTTGTTAAAGTGGTCCAAATAACGGTGTTTCGAATCCGCTCTTTTCTTGGGCATGTGACGTGTTGACCAGCAGTCAGGTTTTTGACATACAAAGCACTTTTTCCTGCCTCTTTGATTGGAGTGCTGTTGTGGTGAATAGCCTTGAGAGAGTGAGCGTAACTGTTAGTTGTAATACTGTCGATCTGTAAAGTATATGTTAGTACTAGGGTTTATAGTATAGTGCCCATTCATGGCTTTTATCATGTCCTCGTACTAGCTAATACCTGATTGTAAATTGCAGGTTAGTCCAGGAACTGTATCTTGTTGCTTTGAAGTTGCAAATTAGCATATTGGATGTGTATGAGTTGCCTGTAAAAGTCTTGCAAGGTAGAATTCTTCGTTGCGCAGTTTTGGAGCTAGACGGTCATATAAACTTACAAGTTCTGTTAGCATTATGTTGAGACACGCTTTTAATGTCTTCTCTAGGTTCTCATCAACCATATTTTGAAGCGAAATTCCGCTCCACTTATCCAGTACGGTTCGATGATATTCCGGGCCTTCGAAATAGGCATGAATTCCTTCAACGGGGTCACGGTCACTTGCTTCCTATATTTTCTTATTATCATAGTAAAAATCCAAGGCTTGGCCTTTAAGCATTGTTAGGAAAGCAAGTTTATACGCATTCTTTAGTAGGGATAGACGTTCACAGGAGTCATTGAAGATTCAAAGCTTTGACCTATAGGAATCCTCATTTCTACCGTACTTTTGGTTGTCTGAATATATCTTTGTGAGTTGAATAAGTGCCTGAGAAACAGATTGTATTGATAGTGCGAAGATAGCCAAATTTGGGGCTTATTCGACTTCAGTTAATAGCTCTGGTTCGGTTCGCGCCCATTGACTTTAATCTTGTAGTGTGTCGTGTCTTGTTACTGGGGGTGCAAGATATTGAATTTGTCATTGACTTTGAGATCTTGTGAGGGGTCCCTCTCCAGTTTGGTTTTGTGCCTCATTAGTGCCATAGTTTGAGGGTTAATTATATGTATTGATTACTGTTTCGAATTGATCATTAAGCACCTTTGACTCAATTGTATTGCCTCGTCTGAGGTGGCGAATGACTTCCTCCTTAGTCCATGGGCAATATTTTTCTGTAGAGAGTAGAGTATAGAGTTTTTCAGCTTCATCGTTCTATTCATTGTTAGTAATATATACACCATTAGTTTGAAGCAAATCAACTAGTTTTCCGAGTTCGGTGACGGACACGGTATTGAAGTTATTCAAAGTCCACTTATCGAAGTCTTGTTTGAACGCTCTTAACAGACGTGAATTGTATGTGTTCGTATATTCTTTTATCTTCGCCTTGACGGTAGCGTTGAGTGTCTTCTTTTCTGTTATCGCCTGGTCGGTATCGTTGCCACTTTGTCCTGCCATTTTGATGATTTGTATCTGCGAGACCAGATCCAGAGATTTGGTGCGTTGTTCGGTGCGTGGGTCGACACACCGTAGATTGTACGTAGGCTTCGTACGTCAGGTTCTTGCAGGTCGATTCTGACGGAAAGTCCGAATCCGTAGGCTCACTACGTTGATTCCTACCTAGTGCTAATACCGAGAGTTTTCTCGCGTAGGCCTCTAGCGTAGGTTCGTGACGTAGGCTTATACGGGGGATCTAAGCGTAGAATTCGTACAGGAATAATCCTTCGTGCGTAGGTTCGTACAGGGAGTTCGTAGGTTCGCAAGACTCAGTAAAGAGTTCACAAAGGGTCGATATATGGGGTTGGATATATCGGTGAGTCGATATACGAGTGAACGTATACTGTAGGGTGTCGAAGAAAGTGTATTTTGTTAGGACGCTTGCACTAACGTTGGAATAGGGGCTCGTAGATAAATGTCTGATCTGCGGCCACTGATCAGTGTCGGTTTATCTACGTCTAGGTCGCTAGCACTAGTCACGTAGAACAGCTATTCCGACGAGCTGACGAGTCTGATCAATATGGTATGGAATTCCTGATATTGATGACTGCCCCCCAAGAGTAAGAGGGACGGGGAGTGGCTAACTACATATATACGCGGCACGCACGTGCCGCGTTAGACTAACTGATATCCAGTGCCGAAACGCGCTAGGTTTGATATTCACGTTCCGACAGAAAGAGAAGTGACTTCATTTTTGTGCGTGTCAGATGGTTTGCTATGTTCGTGCTGACCGTGTTTATCCATGATGAAAGTTGAAGTCTTAGAAGAGTTTTTTCAGTAGGAGATCCGAAAAACAGGCTGACAGTGGAAAGGTCCGCACTCCGTTTTCAATAAATCGTCGTTTCTAGAATGAATATACTTAGTGCATGAATTCATAACGAGATACATACTTCCAATTCCGTGCTATTTCTCACCAAAAAAAAAAAAATAAAAATGTTGGTTTGTGGGAGCAATCGAGATGCCTCACTCCGACGCACTGAGCCGCAGGGCGTCACGTGACCTCGTCTAGGATAGAGGGATGTAAGACCGCGTCGGGGCGTGAGTTAGATAGCTACAATCACACACATTTTGAACCCATACAGAATTGCAGTACCTGCTAACCATTCATGTACATATGTACATTAACGTGTACACGTGCTTTATGCACCCACACTGATCAGTCTTGGTTGCAATATCAAGACAGATTGGCAAGGTCCTAGGTTCTTTCTTGTAATTACTTGTGGTTATAAAGAACCTGGTTCCAGGCTTCGTTGACTGCATCACGAACCAAGTGGAAGAGGGAGATTCTGCAGCGTTACATCTCTGACAAACTGAATCTTTGCTACAAGACTTTCCCCCCTAAGAGATAATCTTAGGCAGTCTGTGTTAGAAATAGGTTAATCCTATGGCGTCAATATTCCATAATACTGCCCTATCGCGAGACCACGTCGTTGACACGTTTGAAAGTCAACACCAAATAATCAATCATCAAGATAACCGAGTCAACCTAATAAGGAAATCACCAAGATTAGTAAGAATAATGGCTTCCCAAACCCTTGATAATTCAAGACAACCACTGCTAAGCAATGACCCTGAAGTCTTTGGGTCTGCTACTAGCTATTAAAGCGAAGCTGAGTCAGAATCTACTAGAATTCCTGACGACAACTTTATGACAGAGACTGGATTTAACACTGTCACCGGGCATAAAAAGATTGATCCAACCTTGTGGGAAAAGGATGCTGGACCGGGGGACAGTGTAGAAGCGTTGGTCAACTACACAATAAGGGCCATGTACGAGGCTGCTATTAGTCATTACTTTGACCGTGAACTATTCAAATGGCTTCATGATTACTTCAAAGAATGGACTCTGGTCGAATTCAATAAGCTTGACAGGACCACGAGAAGCAAGCTGAAAGACTTCCTTCAGATACGTGGTGTTTATTTGGACCATAGAGGTAAGAAAAACATCTCAGAAGGATTAGTCAAATTGCTTCAGATGGATATTCCCCCAAGATGGCCAGATGACATGATCGCCGGCAAGAAATTTGACTCAAGATCAAGGATGGCCTTAGGTCAATAAGCTCAGTTAACACCAAGGAGTGACACCACCCCACCGGCTAAGAGAATTGAGAATCATAATAGGGATCACCTTATTGGATTGCCTTATTCTGACAAGGAAAAGGAAGAGACAACACTTGGGAGAGATCCAGAGAGAAGAATCAATAATAACCCCCTACAGCTGGAGACTCATGTCCGAGATCTTGATAGTCGTACACCCTTGACTGGTGCCAACGCAGTGCCAATAGGGACACCGGCCCCTAGTCTAATCAAGATATCTACCACACCACCTCCGCGTCCCTCTACGTCGTTGACATCTGCGAGGCAACTTGATGAGTACATGAGATTGCCGCCTACAGAGTATGAACAAGAGGATATTGACCCATCGTTGGCCGCAAAGTTTTCCAAGGCATGGGACAAGGCAGAGAGTTATTCAGGAGAACGATATGATATCCTAGACGACAAAGTCCTTGCTTTCCTGAGAGTTTGTCGATTGATTGGAGTACAATTAACGCAATGTTGGATACTCTTTCCCAAGATGCTTTCTGGGCGTGCAAAAACCTACTACATGCACCATATTGGTTAAGATGCTTCATTTACAGATGCGTACAAAGCTATAAAGGCGTACTTTGACACGGATTCTAACCATCAGGTGTACTACCAGGACTGGACGTCGACCACATTAAAAGGCATTCTCCGTAACAACCCCAGCAAAACGCTTATGGAAGCAGTAGAAATCCTTATTGAGAAACTTCACTTGTGCCAACGTGCTCTAGGAAATGCGTACAAGGGCCAGGAACATCTAGTTGCTGCTGTCACTAGAGTCTGTCAAGATTTGCCTGAGATGAGCGACGCTCTTAGTGATCCTGCAACAAATTTTGAGACGTTGGTATCAAGACTCCGTGCCAGGGCCGCTGTGGTCTAAGGAAAGGAGTCAGCCAGTCAATATCTAACCCGAGTTAAAGCCAACTCAGCTCCCAATGGGATAGGAGAAGACAATCCGATGACGCTATACACAGATAGAAAGTTCTTAGGCCACATAAACCAGAATAATTGATAAACCCCACGTCAAGGATATCAACGCCAGGGACGTGATGATTGTAATTCCCACCAACAAGGTGATAGGAAGTGTTGGATCTGCCACAGGTCCGATTGCCGCTTGTTTAAACACTCCGACGAGGAGCGCCGCAGAGCGAGAGAGCAGTTTAATGATTATCAACGTATAGATGGTAGACGCTCTGCTTCTGACCGCACATATTGCGCCTTTATCATGGACTTTGAAAAGGGCTGTATGATTGAGTTAGATAGTGAGGAGGATGACGTTAAAGAAGAAGACGACATTGAGGACGACGCCACTGCGTATTTTATGATTAACGAACTGCAAGATCATTCCTTTATCCATTGGATAAGTGGATACCACGACGATATCGATCAGGAAGGATTCCACCACAAATTGGAGGTAAGAGAGCTTGATCAATCAGAGCGCAAGGATGGCCTCCTAGAACCTGCTTCTCAATTTGTACTTGAACACCATGAAGGCGAGATTTTCCAAGGAATTCTTCCAGATACTGGAGCAGCAAAGGTATCAACTGTTGGCCGACGTCAACTTGCTGCCTTACAGAGAAGCTATCCAGAGATTACCGTTAATAGGACCCGTATAGGAGAGCACTCAATTTGATTTGGTCAAGGTGAGAGTATTCACTCTGAGGGTGCTGTTACCATAACAACCCTAATTGGTGATGTTAATTTTTATATTATGAACACGCTAACCTCATTCTTGCTTTGCTTAGACGATATGGATAAATATGGCGCTTACCTAGATAACATTGTGAACTGCATGATAAAGGGAGACGTACAGGTCCCAATTATCAGAAAGCGAGGCCACCCATGGTTCTTCCTTGATAAGAAGCAAGCGCCAGTAACATTTCTCATAGAGATTGAGATGAGACGACTTCACTGTTGGTTTGGCCATCCTGCGGTTGACCACTTACACAAGCTTTTAAAACGAGCAGGCCATGACGATATGGATTACAACAATCTTGTAGAAATTGAGAAGTTTTGCCATCACTATCAAATGAACCAGCAGGCACCACAACACTTTAAATTCACATTGAATGATGATCGTGAGTTTAACTATGAGATTGTCGTCAATGTTATGTATTTAGATGGTAAGCCAGTGCTTCATATTGTCAATTGGGTGACGTCCTTCCAGGCCGCACAATTTTTGAAGTCTTTATCTGCGAAAGATACATGGGAAGCGCTCCGGGCAGTGTGGATTAATACTTATCTTGGCCCTCCTGATATCATCTTACACAACGCAGGAACCAATTTTGCCGCATTAGAATTCAAAACTGAGGCTAAGATGATGGGAATCCAATGTCACCAAGTGCCAGTGGAAGCACACAATGCAATTAGGAAAGTTGAGCGTTACTATGCACTACTGTGTAGAGCATACAACATTATATTGGTAGAACTAGGCGCCAGCGTCGATAAGGACGTGATCCTCTAGATGGCTATCAAAGCCGTCAATGATACCGTAGGACCAGATGGGATAGTTCTAACCATACTCGTTTTTGGCGCTTACCCGCGCATAACGACTGACTCGCCCCCATCCGCGTTAACTGCTCGACGTGCTAAGGCAATGAGAAAGGCGATGGCTAAATTAAGACGTACTGTGGCAGAGCGATAAGTCAATGACACACTTAACACCAGGAACGGCCCAATTATCACGGAAACGCTTAATCTTGTACCAGAGAGCGAAGTCAAAGTATGGTGCGAAGGAGATGGTTGGTCAGGACCGTACAAAGTTATATCAGTCAATGGCCATGATGTGACTGTAGATCTTGGAAATGGTGCTGTTGCATTCAGGGCGACGTTGGTACAGCAGTATTTACGTGATAGCAAGAATGAGAGTGATCGCCTGATTAGATTGCCTCTCTCTCCCCCCCAAGAGGATCTCAATTGCCAGGACGGTCGGTCCCAAGTCAACTTCGACCAGACTCCGAGGACTAGAGCAAGGGTAAGACTGCAAGACCATCCTACAAATCCGAATCACTATGTTGAGACTAGGGGAGTCCACGCACTGCAGACCCCCGAGATGCCTGCGTTGCCACGCCGCCGAGGACAACCGCGTGGTTCCAAAAATAAGCTAAAAGCGTACGCCGAAGTGTTCATATCCAAAAAGGAGAGAGACGACCTTGAACTTGCCATCAAGCTGCGGCGTGAAGGCAAGATCGCCACCAACGGCGCGCCGTTTGAATTATCAGGAAAAACAGAGATCAACAGCTTGATAGTAAATAGGACCTTCAAGATCCTTCACTGTGCCGATATGGACCTGCGTGGCATCAGAATTTTCAATTCCCACCTTGTCAACGAGATAAAGGGCAAGAACAAGATTCCCTATGAGAAATCTTGACTTGTTATACAAGGATATAACAACGCTGGGAAGGATAAGATCTTGACCCAGACACCCACAATCCAGCGTGCAAGCCAACGCTTATTAGTATCGCTTATCCCTACACTCATTGAGATGGGAATGGTCGTTAAGATCCAGAATATCACGCAAGCATACACACAGGCGAAGACCAAGCTCGAGCGTCTGATTATCGCCAATCTTCCCATTGAAATGCAGGATAAGTATCCACCAGATTCACTCCTATTAGTTGAAGGCCCGCTATATGGGATCCCTAAGGTAGATGTTCATTAGTTTGGAACATACCAGGCGCACCATCTTAACAAATTGAACATGGAAACCTCGATGTACGACCCATGCCTTCTTATCTCAAAGCTAGGAGACGATGAATTTAGACTTGTAGGAATGCAAACGGACGACATACTTCTTATCTGTACAGAAAAGTTCTCTAGAGGTAAATAAGCCGCGTTGCAAGAGGCAAGCTTTAAAGCGAAGCCAAAAACACGACTCTCGGAGACCAAGCCTCTAGAATTCAATGGTGCAAGAATTACCCTACAGAATGGCATTGTCAATTTACAACAGAAAGGGCAAGCAGCAAAGATCCAACCAGTAGGTATGGAAGAACGCGTACAAAAGTATGTCAAACAACGCGCACGGGGAGCCTATCTGGCTTCGATCTGCTAACCTGAAGCTGCGTATAACTTAGCCGTGGCCGCTCAGCTGCAAGAGAAGGATCGCTCCGATTCTGATTATGAGGTGTTGAATAAACGTCTCATATGGCAGGCCCAGAATCCAGAGAGAGGGCTCCGTTATGTGCCTCTCAACCTCGCCAAAGCCAGGATTATGGTTTTTACTGATGGATCCTTTGCCAATAACCGGGATTTGACTTCCCAAATCGGATTCCTGATTACCATGGTCAACGAAGACTTCTCGCAGCAAGGCCGCTTCGTCGCCACTGGCAACATCTTGCATTGGCAATCAGCAAAGTGTAAACGCGTTACACAGAGTGTACTAGCCTCTGAGGTCTATGGCCTTACAGCTGGATTTGACCATGCATTCACTATTGCTAGTACCGCCAAAATGATCACCAGTTGTCTGGATCTACCGGCAATGCCTGTAATTATTTGTATGGATTCATTTTCGCTTTATGAATGCCTCGATAAGCTTGGGACCACCAAAGAGAAACACCTCATGATCGATATCATGGCACTTTGTCAATCTTATGAGAAGCACGAGATCCACGAGATCCATTGGATCCATGGAGATGATAACCCGGCCGACGCTTTTACGAAGTCAAGCCCTAACAAGGCCCTACGGGACCTTGTTGACAGCAATAAGCTGACAGTTCGTGTTGAAGGCTTCGTTGAGAGAACCGGGAGCGATTAGGAGGCGATTCGGGGCCAAGTGGGGGACGAGATCGAAGTGGAGACGTGTTTTCGGACACGCCAGCTACCTCAATAGATCTTTTGTTTGATCCCTTCGTTATGTTTTTGTATGGTTTTTCATGGGTTTTTGGATCTCGATCGCAATCCAATTTGTAAAAGAGATCCAGTGTTGGTTTGTGGGAGCAATCGAGATGCCTCACTCCGACGCACTGAGCCGCAGGGCGTCACGTGACCTCGTCTAGGATAGAGGGATGTAAGACCGCGTCGGGGCGTGAGTTAGATAGCTACAATCACACACATTTTGAACCCATACAGAATTGCAGTACCTGCTAACCATTCATGTACGTACGTACATTAACGTGTACACGTGCTTTATGCACCCACAAAAAATAAAAATAAAAAACAAAATTGTTTAAGATGAAAATGTTGTAGCTTACAAGCAATTCTCTAAAATGCTGCCTGACCATTTTCCGCTCTACTCCCAGATATATTTATATCACATCTAGGTGTGAGAATTCCCCGGTCCGGAAATTGAAACTGTCCGATTTTCTGAATATTTATCTACCGATCTACCGTATATATCTGGCTCTCACACGGTATCGTCGGCGGTGTTGATGCATATCGATAATCAGCCAACACGCAACGGTCTCGGTTGTTAGTTAATATCCGGTCACGGGATCGGTGGCATATCCCTTGATTTTTAATTTTAGGCTACCAAGAGACCACAAGTCGTCTAAAGCGACCAATTTATAATTATAAAGGTCAATTCCCCAGAGATGTAGGACACTTTCCATTCGTTACTTTTTCAACTTAATTGACTTCTTGGGATGGACTCTAACGGTAGTTCTGCCATGGCGGAGCCACAACAAACTCAGAAACTCGTACGAGATGAGGAGGAGCCTATTAATGCTGAAAAGGTAGAACTGGAAGAGACAACGCAGAACCTGTCCGTGGAATATCCGAGAGGCTTGAGATTGGCGCTTATTTTGTTATCCTTGTATCTCTCTGTGTTTCTTGTGGCCCTGGTAAGTACAATGGCGTTGTGTAAAGCCATGAGCCTTGACTAAAGTGTTGTGGGATCGAACAATTCTCGCCACAGCTATTCCAAAAATTACGGATGAATTTCATAGCCTCGACGACATTGGATGGTACGGGAGCGCATTTCTCCTACCGGCCTCATCTCTCGTGCTTCTATTGGGCAAGTTATATGCGATTTTGAATCCAAAATGGGTATTCATTGTCCTTGTAATGCTATTTGAAATTGGCTCGGCGCTCTGCGGCGCGGCTCCCAACTCACCTGCTTTGATAATCGGACGTGTCGTTGCGGGACTGGGAGCGGCCGGGATATTCTCTGGCGCTGTCATTATCCTAGTTGGAATCGTACCATTAGAAAAGCGGCCTTTGTATCAAGGCCTGTTTGGAGCTGTTTTCGCTGTTTCTTCAGTTGCTGGACCATTACTTGGGGGTGTTTTCACTGACCGGGTGTCATGGCGTTGGTGTAAGTTGACCCAAATGTTGTGTTCTGGAGTTCTCTATGATCCGAGCTAATGCTAAAGTAGGTTTCTACATTAACCTCCCATTCGGTGGCGTAACATTGTTAGTACTTATTTTATTCCTAGATATTTCCAGGCCCAAGGAGCAGCAGAACCTCGACTTTTATGGCTTCATTCAACGTATAGATCTTCTGGGCACCGCATTCTTCCTACCTAGTATAGTATGCTTGTTGCTTGCTTTCGAATGGGAAGGAACAACATATGCATGGGGAAATGACCGCATCATTGCTCTCTTCATTCTTGCCGGCTTTTTTTTTGTTGCGTTCATACTTTCGCACTTTCGACGAACGGAGTACCTCACAATCCCTGGAAGGATAGCGTTTCAACGAAGCGTTGCCGCTGCATTCATCATTACCATCTGCATTGGGTCGACCCTCATGGTTATGGCGTACTACATTCCCATCTGGTTTCAAGTAGTCCAAGGCGCTTCGGCAGTTGGCTCTGGTGTGCGGCTAATCGCAATGGTCTTGGCAATGGTCGTTGGGAGTGTCGCCGGTGGTGGTATCACGTTCCGATCAGGTTACTATACGCCATGTATGATCGCATCTACGATCATTAGCGCTGTTGGTTGTGGTATGATTTCCACCTGGAAAGTCAACTCCTCAACAGGCATCTGGGTTGGCTACCAGATTCTCTTCGGTTTCGGCCTTGGTCTAGGTATGCAACAGCCCAACATGGCTGTTCAGACTATACTGCCCAAGAAAGACATTTCGACCGGTGTGAGCTATCTCTTTTTTGGGCAGAGCCTTGGAGGGTCGGTATTCTTGTCTATTGCGCAGAATGTCTACTTAGAAAAGTTGGTTCATGAACTTCGTGATACTATTACCAATTCAAACTTCAATCCGGCCGCTTTGACCTCTGCTGGCGCAACGCAAATAAGAAATATCGTACCTCCGTCGATTCTGCCGCAAGTTCTTGAGATTGAGAACACCGCGTTAAGGAGCGCCTTCTACATTGCGGTTGCAACTAGTGCCTTTTCTTTTCTACCGTCTCTGTTCATGGAGTGGAAGAGTATTAAGAATGGTGAAGGCCAAGGGGAAAAGATGAAAGAAGTAGCAGGAGATGCAAATGAAAATAAAGACCCTTGAGCAGCAACATCCGGAATTGTCTGGTCGCTTGGCGTCGGATGACATTGATGCGGATCCTTGTTCGACTCTGCCGTCTTTTAAAATTTAGGATTTTGATTCAGCCATTACCCCTTTACGTTCGAGCCACACTCCCTTGACTGATCAGGCCACAACAATCTCAAAAGCGATTCAAAGAAAACCTAAATTGATCCTCGGTTGGTAGTTTTGATAACTTCTACTTACAAACGTTTTAATTTCATGTAAAATCAGACCTCTATACTAAAAAAGCTTTTTGTACTTGTAATTTACAAAACCTCGAAGTTTGTACGGGCCGCATTAGGTTTCCTATGTTTTTTGAGTTTTATCTAAAATCAATTAGAGATTAAAACCAAATTGGACTAATAAAATAGCAAACATGCGTAAAAGACACATAAAATTGATCCCAAATGGCACGTACCTGATACCAAAGAGGCGCCTGTCAGCGATCATGTAAACGTCGAGTAGTGACCACGAAGGCAACTAGAGCCAATCCGATGAGCGCTTGAGGCCTCTCTCCGATATTGAGTAAGTTGTAATTTGATGGCTGGTTTTATCAGGGGAGCAATCCTTAGATCTGGGGTTATTTAGAAGCGCAAGAAGCCCCTGGCTCTGTTACTCATGAATACTTGCTAACTCTCTATTCTCTTCTCCTATTAGTGCTTGTAGTTGGCCGTCCAGAGTCTTTGGTTTGATCATTTTGTCCTATAGTTGATGCTCGTTGACTTGTAGAAAAAGAAGTTTTTCAGACGACTGCGAACCCTTGTATATTGTAAAGTCGTCAATGGAAAAGCACGCTTGGTGGTTGCTGAGTCTGTAACTGTATTGTCAAGACGTTTGGTAAGGAAAACTAACTTCGGGGCTTATTCGACTCAGTAAAATTAGGCAGTGAGTAATTGTCAAAATGAATGATTTTATTCCCAATTGCTACCGCGAGCTAAAAAGTATTTATTTCCTTTGATTCTCTGCATGACGCCTGATAGAACGGGCCGTATTGTTGCCGGAAATATAGAAAATCATGTCATGCACCTTGAGGCTCTAAAATCTAGCAAATTTGCTCTTTGGTCGAGCTTTCACGAGGTTCCAGGATTCTTGTAGGGTCAAGCCAGTAAGTAATTCAGTGAATTGGCAATGAGTACAATTTCGTACCACTGTTGAAGCCTTCTCTTTGAAATTGATTTATATCAAGTTGCGTATATGTAAAGATGTAAAACCCTACACAAATTATTCAATAAGGCTAAAAATCAGTGCTCTGAATTGTGTCACCAATTTCAACTGTTTTGGCTCTATCCTCATCTTCCTCAGTTGAATTGTTTTTAGAATTCAATCTCGCATTCCTAAACAGGTGTTTCATTTTACTTGACTCTGATTAATGGGATGATTTAGCTTCTATGTAAACAGTGAAGCCTCGGCTAATCAAATAGCTTTATTGTTTCTTAAATGTTTCAGTTCTTTCTAGTCAGTTGTTTCTAGTTATTGTTAGCTGTTCACTTTTCTTCTTAAGTTTTAACGAATAAAGCTTTGTTATTTTCCTTGTCTCAGATGTGCAATATATTGACTGACGGATTGATGCTGCAGTTCTTAATGCCTGATAGGTTAGGCCATCAATATTGCTATATGCTTTGTGTGCTCGTGGGAATCCTCCTCCAAACCTGGTATATTTACCAGAATGCCCCCAGCATCTTTTATTTATGTAGTTACTATTGTATGGAGTTCTCCGGTGTGTTCCTGACTAGGTATTTGGTTCTATTGTCTATTTATATGGCCCCAGTTCCCTGCCTAGTTGGCTTACCCCTAGATCTCCATGCTCCAGTATCCTTCGTCGACAAGCTTCCCAATGAATGACTTTGGCGCGCACGGTCACATTGATGCTGATTTATAGAGGCTTAGCTTTCCTATCTCAGCTTCTGGAAATCAGCAGTACTCTTTTTTTTCTCTTAAATAATCCTTATTTCTAATTTCTATGTTCCTAACTGAGTTTCTTATATTTCTAGTGCTAGATATTGTGATTAAGAAGTAAATTCTATCACAGAGGGCTTACTTTGATGCCTGGGATCGGCTAGTAATGGAGACCATGACCGAATTTGAAAATCGGGTCCTTTGTATCAAAAGGTAGGTCCTCTTTAGAATTCGTTACAGCTTCCATAGACCGCGGCATGTCGAAAGGGAGCTTTCCCTCAGGGGTAGCACCTCTTTCGGCAAATACAATGTCCAGAAAGGCCCTATCGCTGGAACCATAATTCACCATGAACGCGGATGCTTGCTCAGCAACTTCTGGCACGACAGCAGGGCGATCCAAATAAAGATCCACAATGACGAGTGGAACAGTCTTGTAGATTGCTTGCTGGCGACTCTGCTCTTCCGCAGGAAAGTCCAAGCGACCGCAATGAAAGAGTGCTTGGAATTTACCAGGCCGTCGCTCAAATGGTGCCTTTAATCTCAGAAGAGCAACATCGGCTTCTTCTGGCTTCTCGACAACAGTCATATTTCGCTCTTCTGCTGCCAGCCTGTTGATTCCTTCTATGTAGAACTTCTTAGTGGTCTGGACTTCAGCCGAAAGAGGCAGTACACGGTGCGTGTTGGTGAGCAAAGTGAAGGACCGGCGCTGGGCATTCTCACCCTCTGCTCGGAAGGAAGCATTTCCCACGATCTTCTCGGCCATATCTACATCAACGAATGGATTGTCGAATAATCCTAGAAGAAACTTCTCCCGAAGTAGTCTGCGGACAGATTCATCAATTCGTTTCTCGCTTATTCTGCCAGACTGGACTAGCTCCACTATAAGTTCCGGTCTTGCCTCGCCACCTAATTGGTCGCATCCAGCTTCTAGAAGCCTTGCAACTCTCTCCAATTCTGTAAGATGCTCTACACCCCAGGCTCGCGCAGGCATTTCCTCTCCAAAGATTTTCTTGTCAGTTATGAGACCCCAGTCTGTACATACTATGCCGTTAAATCCAAGTTCCTCTCGGAGTAGTTCAGTGATGACACCCCGATTGAACGCGAAACCAACTTGTTCATACTTCGTTCCGACAGGGAGACCGTAATATGGCATAATTCGAGAAGTACCTGCTCGGATCGCGTTTCGAAATGGTTTCAGGTGATATTCCCAGCTATTTCCACTATAGACTTGCTCTCGACCAAATTCAAAGTGTGGATCTTCGCCGTCAAGCTGTGGCCCGCCCCCGGGAAAATGCTTGGTCGTACAACTCACACTCCCCTCTTGAAGGGTAGTGGAGCGTCCCTGAAGTCCGCCAATGCAGCCTTCTACCAACCGAGCAGTCAAATCCGCATCCTCGCCAAACGTTGCCCCTATTCGTGACCACCGCGGCTCTGTGGCGAGATCAATCTGTGGATGGAGAGCGAGACGGATTCCAGCTGCGACATATTCCTGTCTCACGACGGCGGTGAACCTCTCGATGAGTTCTGGTGATCGTAGAGCTGCCAATCCCAATGGCTCTGGCCACTGAGAGAAAGCGCCAGGTCTCCATCCTGTTGCGATGTTGTCTTCGGAAAAGTGGTTACGAGGATCGAAAGCCAGAATAATTGGGATACCCAGCCTGCTTTCCATTGCGTATTCCTGCAATCGATTGATCCAGAGCGCTATTTCTCTTGCATTTTCGATTGGCCCACCAATACTGAATGCAGACATTCGCTTTGAGCAGATTAGGGACAAGGGACTTTCGACGCCAATGTCTGGGAAAGAGTCTGTAATACTGCCATTGGGAGCCGGCTGAATGGTATCAAGGAAGAGCTGCCCTGCTTTTTCATCCAATTGCATTCGATTCAAAAGATCTTCAACTCGTTCCTCCACAGGGAGCTCTTTTTGACGGTATGGCGGCGTGACAGAGGAAGATTGGATTTTGTCCATTCTGCGATAATATTCTTTGTTCTTTGCTAAGAGATTTTGCAGGGGCAGGAGTCTGGAAAGGATAAACTCTGCAAAGGGAGATAGAAAGTACAATTAACACACACAAATTAACTTATATCCTATATGCATGAATGCGTTAAGATAATATGGAGTGGCTAAAGCAACGCTCAGTACCCACTTTCGAAATTTTTCCAATGGAATCATATCCGACAGGTCAAAGAGTGAGTCGGAACTATATCTATTCTCCGATAGATAACATGAATAAATATTTCTGAGGGAGGCAGACCGGATACTGACACACTGAATCATGACCATCTGTTGTGGGATCCGAGTAGCAATTTTGACCTTTGTGTTCCAATTCCCGTGACGGATCGAAACTTCAGGTTAGCTCTAGGCCGGAACCACTTTGCCGAGATGAAAACCGTGTATTGTTTCAAGGAAGACGGTGTCCAAGGTCAGTTTTAAACCCCTAGTTTCTGGACCCGGATTTGCTTCGCCACTTGATTTCACATGAACGCCGAAGATTCAGAGAGTTTCTTGATTATAGACATGCGTCGTACACGACTCGTTGACCCGCACTTCTGTTCTTACAACAAAATTTATACTTCTTAGAGATTGCTTTGGTGTTTACGAGATATGCTTTAGGACCAAGTGTGTTGATGGCGCTCGAGCAAGCATAATCAGTGGAAAAAATAAATGCATAGAGTCTCCACTGTCCAAGTTCGATTTACTTTTTCGACTGGACCCGATAATAACATGGTCCTGGCTTTTGCCACGGCGTTAGGACGTTGCCATAACAAAATCGAGGTCACAAAATACTGCACTCATATTATGTCTATCAACAATGGAATGGAATGAATGGATTAATTCTGCCCGGCAGTGTCTGTATTGGCCAGCAACGATCAGGGTCATCTGCAAGACGAAAAAGTTATAGCATGATGATATAATGCAATATTAATATTCTAAGCGCTGACCGCTTTATGAAACTGCGCTTTATACATACAAAGTCAAATATTTCTACCTCGACGTATCCTAATCTCTATCCAGCATGATGTTACGGGATTGACGAGAAAATAGAGCGGCCGACTGCCCATGCTTCACCTATATTGAAAAACCTAGTTAATACGCTGGATTACTAAGTTATCTGTCGCCTTGGTTAACTGATAATGCCCGAAAATATGGTAACCAAGGATTCATGAGAACCAAAGCGGCCGCCTCCCCGATTCAGCTACCTCGAGAAAACATAGTTAATCGCCCCGAATTACTCAGCGTCTCTGTCCTCCTCCTCTGCTGAACTTGATTTACTCACCGGGATAGTCTATCCTCCACTGCCAAAGTGCCCAAGCGCATATCCCGATTTTTAGTCAATTGAGAGCAAACAGTAGTAGGTTGCTGAGGGGCCCCGCATATTTAAGATGTGGGGGAGGTAGTAACTATACTCTGTTACGAATATCCCCGCACGACACTTAGCCCATTCGGTGGATAATCCTCCTCGAGTGTTAGCAAGGACAATCTGTAGGATTGGATATCGTGCTTGGAACTGAAGTGGTATCGGAGCCACAAGGGTGGAAATGTACTGGCTAGCCAAAAGAAATCGAATTGGTTGTACGGTATTGTGACTCAACCCTATCTGTTTCTGTATATAATAAGCACTGTAGGAAACTAATTGTTTGAATAGCGATCTTACGAATCACTATACGGCGCTGTAGCACGCCGTCAATTCGTACGCGAACTGGTCGGGATTACTATTCTCCGTGCGCTAGAGCGACCAACACCATATAATGTATCTAGGCACCCCGCCCCCCCCTAGTTTCGGGGGTCAGTCTTTTTTAATATTACATTTCGTGCTATATAGCAAGGCTCACCACGTAGGGCAGTTGGATCGCCCTAGCTTACGATATCCTACTCTTCGTGATACGGGACGTAGCTAAACCAACACTAATTCATTGCAATAATGTCAAGGGCGGCTGTGGTAAACTTCGGCAATGGTGTCGACTTGTTCATAAAGCCCACCTGACTATGCTCGTAATCAAGGATCAGCACCCCTAGTTGGGCCCACCAGGCACCAAAGATGTACTCATGACTCGAGTCTGTAGAATTGTCCCCTGTGATGATAGAAATGCAAGTAGTACCGGCTTGATCACGCTGGTAGGGCATATAGGTACCAGGAATTGTGAAGGTCCCATTTCCAATGCCAAACGTAAAATCAGGCAGGGTAGCATTGTATGGATAGCGATATGTATTATCAAAAGCGGACCATGTAGAATCAACACCTGTACAATATCAGTCTAGGAGCTTTTGCGGCCAAACTAGGGACGGTTCTGCTGTCGAAACTGTTGCGGACCAGGTGTTGATTGGAAGGTTCTTTCTACTGCCAGCTGATATCGCTGTAATATTGACCCTCCAAGCAGGCTGATCAACATTCCGATCCGCCCACTCTATATCAGCACGGTCATCCATGCTTTCCAGACTTCCAAAGATCCAGGTACCATTTTGCCATTTGCGAGATGAGTCAAGAGTACATTTCCATTCTAGGCGTGACGTCAACGAATGCTCACGGCAAGCTTTGAATTGAGACGTACCTGTCAACTGATATTTCATCGCGGACATGAAACTTGGGAACCCAGGCTGCTGCATCGAGTTATAGTTGAGGCCAATAATCCCGCTAGCCCCGCCGAAGGGAATAGCCTGTCCACTCATATTCTGATAGTATTGTTCAAGCTGGCCAAACGCGATATCCGAATAGAGTTTGCCGCCAATATTGAATGTTTCTATGCCAGCGAGCGCTATAGCATAGGCATCATCCTCAAACGTTTTGCGTGTATGTATTTTCCGGGATGGACTCGTAAATATAACTCCATGACTTGGAGTCGCTACTATTGTATACAGGGCTGCCATATGTGTCAGTGATATTCTCGCGGGTAGATCGAACCAGCACCCCATCGAAGGTGGTATCAAACTGGACGTCAATTGTTTGTCCAGGTGAGCCTATCTCAATTATGCATGGGGCTGCTTAGATCAGTATTTTACTCAAACAAAGTTGTGGGAGTAGCATACCCGTCGATCCCGATATCAATCGGAACACTGGAACCAGGGTTCGTGGGGATGGCAACCGCGACTGCACGGGTTACAGTTGAAGATACAGTTGACGACGACTCTGCAAGCGCTCTATGGCGGTGCTTATGGCGAGCAGCACATGCCAGTGAAATATGTAAAATGCTAGTTATGACCCACGAGAAAAACATTGTGTATCGTCTTTGAAGATCGCAGCCAGCATGTGCGACTTCGTAGACCAGGTTAGAGGGTATCGGCCCTTTTATATGTCATTACGAAATGGGTTGCCGGCAAATAGCACTAAGAGAAACACAGCTAATCTGCCTGGTAGAAGAGGGATAATTGAAAAGAGACTAATTCGTTTGCAAACAGATCTACTCCGAACTGCTTCGATCCTGATAGATACGGATCAGTGCCAAGATCACTCCAGAGCTGAGATAGCGCTCGCAGTGTTGGATTATTGGCTATTTTAATAGCGCCTATTGCATGGATTGCTTCTCAATCTAGGCATGATACGTCTCTACTAACCTATGATTGCACAGCCATCGCTCGCTATTTCTACTAGCCACTGCATGATGCCAAGATATAATCTCCAGTTGGAAGTGAAAAGTGGGGCTAGATTGCCAGCTTACAACAAAGAATGTTGGAGCCGATCTAACTCATGTCCGCTTACCCGCTTCTTCGAGTACATCGTAAAGTAATGACTGATGGACCAGACTCAAATCTGGTTCTTTGTTTCTATCTAGATGCCAGGCAATCGAAGTGGAAGGCTACCCTGGTAGCCATGTTTGATGCATCTGGAAACCACCTGTCGGAACGTGAATATCAAACCCTACACGTTTCGGCACCGGATATAGTTAGTCCAACGTGGCACGTGCGTGCCGCGTATATATATCTAGCTAGTTATCCCCGGTCCCCTTACTCTTGCAACAGCATCTCTTTTGACACGAGTTGATAGGCGACTTCCTTATAATTATTTATATCAAACAGTCGGAGGCTCAAAATCCTCAACCCTCTCTACCACCTAGCTCCCAGGAGTGCAGCCTTTGACGCGTCTCAACGCGCCCGGCAACACCATGGCGCGTAAAGGCCCTGGTACAGACGGCCCTCTACAGACAGCCCTTCTGGAATCCACGTCTGCAGCCACAACAAGAGCTTCTGAAGGACAGAAGATCTTCAGCCCCATAGCTGTATTCCTTGATAAACACCGCAGCCAAACCACCAGCCTTGCTCCTCACCTACTGAGAGCCCTTACCGCTCTAAGTAATGACCTCGCCTTGATAGCTCAACAACATTTTAACGCTTATATTAGCGGTATCTCGACAATCTCCATTCTACCTGTCCTGTCTCCTTCCCCTTCCTCTTTCCCCACCCTAAATCCCTTACTCCCTTCACCCCCTCCCTCACGTCTCCCCTCAGGTCTTAACCAGTCAACTTATGCGACTATTACCCAATATGCCCTGGTCAAATTAACTCCCATCACTCACCCTAAAGCCTTCATCAAAAATCCTATGCCTCTGGTGAAACAACCCCTTCCTGACATCTGGCTCTTCATACGCCTCCTAGCTGACCACGCAGCCAGAAAAATGGAAGCCTATGCTATCTACTCTAGCCTACGATCTCAACTAAACTTAAATAGTGCAGCACTAAAAGAAGTCCAAGCTACAAAGACTGGCTTTGCACTATGTCCCTCATCTCCAGAAGCCCTCCTAGCCCTTGAGGCCCAAAAAGAGACTATCTCTGCATTCTTTGTTAACTGCCAGATAGAACGCAGCTCCCAATGGGTCTCATACCGAGTCACTAACGTGCCAAGGAAAATTAGCCAAATCTTGGATGGTCAATACTCTCTAATCCCTGTCAATCCTACACTACTATCATTAGAAATTAGCGAAACAACAGGGCTTAAGCCTATATCTATTAGCGAGACCACTATAAGCGCTGCTAACCCTGATACTCTCTCCTTAAGCTGGTTTGTTAACTTCCTAGAAGGTATAAAATTACTACTACCTATCCAGCTACGTCTTTTTGGCACTATCACTAATGCTCGTCACCTCTCTAAGAAAACAATAGTTATTTAATGCACATAATGCTGGAAATGGCATAATGCACGATCCTGTGCACACCTCTCTTAATATCAACTATGCGGCTCCTCAGAGCATACTAAAGAGAGCTATGTCAACCGCTGCACAGCCTCAGAGTCTCATCAATGCCCTCCTAGATGCATACACTGCTATAGACTACATCCAGCTGATTTCACAGAATACCTTCTACGCCCTAAAGGCAATACTAAACATATTAAAGCTTAATAAATAGAGATCTGCAAATCCTGCACCATAAACCTCGCAAAAGCTCAAACTAAAGGAGGATGTAGCTCTCAGCTCTCCATAGGCATACAAGAAACACCTATGGCATTAGATAAGATGTTATCACAGTCTTTAATCTATAAGATTATCTCTCCTTTCCGTTCAGTAACCCCCCCACCTCGCGCTCTAACTAAAGATCCTCCCATTACAGCTCATGTAGTCCATTTTATAACCCCTTAACTATAAAACTGATTTGCCTCTCTTCTTGAACAGGAGCTATAATCTATCACTATCTAACTCAAAAGGCGCCTCTCAAAATCCTACAGTTAAATGTAGGGCACGCGCTAGACGCACATGAAATAGCCCTTACATTGACATATACTAGCGACATTGATATTATCCTAATCTAAGAACTATATACATTCAAAGACCTTAGCCGACAGATTACTAAAAAACATCCATTATATGAATGCTTCTCCTCAACTGATAGCTAGGCAATAAGTGGCTAACCACAAGTCCTCATCTATATCCAAAAGAAGAAAGGCATCTGGACCTCCTAGCTACGCCCCTTTACAACTGACACTAAAGAAGCCTCGGATCTCCTATTCCTTTAGATTTTTTTGCCCATAGGAAAGTCTACTCTAATAGTTAACATCTGTAATGCCCCAGCAGGCTGCAGTAGAGCAGGTGAAGCCATAAAAGCTCTCACAACCCTACCAGAGGTATATTTCTCTCAAACAATGATACTTGCAGGCAATCTCAACCTACTACACAACAGATAGCAACCCTTGCTACAACGCAGCCCTACAACTTTTGCAGAGCTGTTTATTAACTGGCTGGATCTTCAGGGTCTAGTACTCATTTCCGACATAGACTGTCCCACACATAAAAGGGGTAACATGTTAGACCTCAGTTTTGTCTTAAGCCCTCTGGCACTCGCAGGAGCCAAAGCTAGCATAGCGAGCCACTTAGATGCAACCTCAGATCATCAATTACTAATCACCACTGTTCCATAGGATCAGAGATACAAGGAAATAGCCTAGAAACTGAGATTTGACACACTAAACTACACCTCCTTCCTCTCGCTCCTCGCCTCTAATCTTGCTGACACCAAGAGCTCAGCCGCAACAGAAGAAGATCTTGATGCCCTTACTAAAAAACTAATATCTGCAATTCAAGGAGCATATAGAGGCTCTGCTAAGAGGATCATGACATAAGGTATAGAACAACCATGGTAGAATGAAGACTATAAGAAAGCTTTATATAATTACCACTTAGGCCTCTGCTGAAAGACAGACTTCCGCAGGATAACTAGATGGTCTTAACGACAATTTTACCAAGATAAGCTCTCTATGGCAACACAAATGAAGGATATCTTCGATATAAGTAAATGGCATAAGTCTATAGGCATCTTCTGAAGCCCTTTACTGAAGGATCCACTGAGACCCAACAGCTTCCCAGCAGTTACTATACATGAGAAACAAGATGTACTAGTCTGTAATCTTCTCCAAAACTCGGCTGAGGCAGGAGATATACCTCTGGACTCCCCAGCAGTCCCTACCACTAGTCTCTACTTCCTAGATATAATAATGGCACAGGTGGAGGAGTCAGTACTTCAGGCAGGAAACACAGCCCCTGGCTCAGACAAAATTCTAACCTGCATACTTAAAGTGGCATGGCCTCTGATTAAGGACAAGGTATTAATATTATATTAAGAGTGCCTAAAGATTGGTTATCACCTGAAATACTTTCGACATGTAATCTTAGCAATTATCCAGAAACCAAAAAAGACTGATTGGTCTTCACCTAGATTATACAGACTAATCACTCTCCTATCAGTTCTTGGCAAAGGACTTGAGCACTTAATAGCACAGAATATGGCATGGATCTCTATATACCACAAAGTATTAGCAAGGCAACAGTTTGGGGCTCTCCTACTAAGATCTGCAAATAATCTAACCACATGCCTAATACATGATATTGAACAAGCACTAAATTAAGGCATGACTGCCTCACTCCTTACCCTAGATGTCAAGGGCGCTTTTGATGCCATGCTTCCCGGCAGACTCATCCGCAGATTACGTGAGCAGGGCTGGCCCATTAATCTTGTTCTCTGGATTGCCTCCTTTGCTACTGGGCGATCAGTCCAGATCCAACTCGATGGAGAGATTGGCCCCTCAACAGATATTACCTGCGGTCTTCCACAAGGATCCCCAGTATCTAGCATTCTTTTCATGCTCTACATAGCGCCTCTATTCTATCTAGGAAACCCAAGGAACAGATTTGGTTACGTAGACGATGCAGCTAACCTAGCAATCTCAACATCTCTTGCTACTAACTGCAAAGCATTATCAGACTCACTATAAGAAGCTCTAAACTAGGGCACTGCAGAGGGCATTACATTTACACTAGATAAATATGAGCTTCTTCACTTCTCCCAATATAAAGCAGACCAGGACCCAACCTACATATCTTCAGTAAAAGCTGGATCTATTATAATCTTAGAAAATACTAAACGGCTATATCTATGTTGGCTAGGAATCCTCTTTGGTAAAAAGCTAATGTTTAAATGGTATGTTGGTGAAACAGCATCTAAAGCCCTCACTGTGGCTAATGCTCTTCGCTCTCTAGGGAATACTATCTATGGAGTCAAACCTCATTTACTATAGCAGGCTGTATCAGCCTGTGTACTCTATAAAGCATACTATAGTGTAGAAACCTGGTGGCCAGGACGTACTCGCCCTGGGCCTTCCTAAATTTCAAATTGAGTTAGAGAATATCTTGAGAAACTAACTAAAGTAATACTAGCAGGCGTAAGAGCAGTTCTTCCAGTTTTCCGTATAACCCCAATATCTGTTCTATACCGAGAGTCTGGATTCTCTCCGCTAGAAATTGAACTAGATTAAATAGCCCTCCAAATATCGGTCCGCCTACAGCATCTTGATCCATACCACTCACTCTGAAGACGCGCAGAATAGATAGCCAGAGATAGCTGACAAACCAGTCGATTTGCCTGTCGAGTGCTGGCGCTCCCCAACTCTAAACAAATAAACCCTCTACAACATACTCCCTGGTACCCTTGTGAGTTACGCAAGAGTGCCCTAGCCCAAATAGGAGCTCCTATAGGACGCACTAAGGAATAGACAGCGGCTGATTTCACAGCTTTTCAACGCACCATCCCTAGCTTGGATATTGTAATCTTTTCAGATGGATCTAGACTGATAGACAGACGTGTAGGGGGTGGCTATATTGGAATTTAAGCACACCATCAGTTCCTCCGCTCCTCACTCTCATACAGACATAGGAAAGAGATCTTTAACATAGAAGCAGAAGCTGCCCTAGCTGGTGCTTAAGCAGCAATAGCATACCCAACAGCTCAATTTGCTACTAACCTATGGATCTGTCTTGACAACCTAGAAGTTGCCATGCGTCTCCTATTCCCCTCTACAGGATCCTCTCAAGAGGTCTTTGAATCCTTTTGCACCCTTGCAGCCGCCTGGCCACTACGTGAAAGGCTTCCACACACTAAAAGTAGATTAATCCAAATCCGATGGGTCCCTGGACACACTAAAATCCCTAAGAATGAAGCAGCTAATCTCGCTGCCAAGGAAGGAGCTGTCTCTATCCCCCCCTCTCTATATAAGTCCTCATATGCCTTGCTAAAGAGATACACCAAGACTCAATCTCTTTCTGCTGCTCAGATACGGTGGCAGACTGTAGCACCACAGACATACTAAGATCTAGAAATAACTACATCTCCTAAACACCCTGGAGAGCTTCAACTTAATCGACTTGACCTTGGCCATATTATAGCAGCCTGTACTAGTCATGGAGACTTTGTAGATTACCACGAGCGCTTTAATTATGATGATGCTTATCTTCTCTGTTGATGTGGAGCATAAAAAGCACCTCTACATTTCTTCTTCTGCTATATAGCTAAGAGATGAGCCCCTCGTCCACCTGGACCCCCTTCTGAAGTTATCTCTTTTCTTTTAGGCACTGCAAAAGGAACACGAAAACTAGCCTCATGGCTAGCAGAGACCTGTTTCTTTAAGGATATCTATCCTCGCCAACCTCTCCTTAGCACCTAGCTAAGTCAGCCCTACTTTCCCCTTATATCTCTCTTTTCCTTTGTTTTTTTTCTTTCTTTCTTTTCTTCTTTCCTTCTTCCCTTTTTCTTTTCAAACTCACTGCTTAAGTATGATAGTGGTAGAATGATGGGTTATGGAGCGTAGGTGGACCATTGCAGCTGGCAAATACCCAAAACCCACTAGGAAGTGGATCTCCCTTTAAGACCACAGCAGCTATGGAAATGCGCCAAAGAGTCTCTTATTTGTATATAAATCTGATAGGACCTGAAGCCCGAGGCTTACCCCTCGGCGGCCTATGTCCCAGTAGGGATTGGTGGGAAGCGTGCAAGTCACGAACCACGGCCGTTAAATATACACACACACACACACACACTCCCCTTACTCTTGGGGATCAGTCACAATATTAGGAATCAAGATATCTTCATATTGTCAGGCTCATTAGGCCGCTTCGTGTTCGCGCCTTACTACCGTCTATGCTTCGTGATACGGACCGTAGTTAAACCAACACCACCCGATCGGACTGCGATGTGCGATGCACCATCTTTCTCAATCCTCAATCAAAGCTACTATTAGTCAATCGTCCACGGGCTAAAACTAGAAATAACCAATCAACATTTCCACACCGAATCGGTCCCATCATACTAGATTGAGGACCTGCTGACCAATGGATGATAATCTCCGGTAACTAAACCAACAAAATGCCGATACTTCCCACAGTCTATTATTTTCACGTGGTTACATGCAAGGTCCAAGTATCTCGCACTCTGTTATGCACCATTCGTATAATAAGCCAGCTGTTTCATTGGTCTTATTTCGGATAAATTATCCTAGACGATCTTGAACATCGCTCTTTCTCGCCTTGTTGTGCATGAATTTCTCCACAGGGAGCTCGTCTGTAATGGAGGATAAAATATTGAGTCGCTTTTGCAACTATATGTGCATAAACCCCCTATCGAAACTGTTATTCAAAGTTTGGTTGCCGATTGCTAATATGACACGAAAAAAGCCTTCCTGAACAACACCCGCCACATACAGAGAATGGACGAACGTACCACGGATATCGCAGAGGAATCTATATGTGGCCGTGCGATGAGCAAGAACAGGATCGCCTAGATTTGCTACACAAAGTCATCACTGAAGCCAGGATAGGCGATGGGTTGCTATACGCTCCTCACCCTTCCAATGCACGAGTGCTCGATCTTGGCTGCGGCACTGGAATATGGGCTGTCGATGTCGCTAACAAATATCCCGAGGCTTTCGTGATCGGAGTGGATCTTGCAGAGATTCAACCATTCAATCGCCCCCAAAATTGTGACTTCTATGCGCCCCGTGACTTTGAGGATCGATGGGCTCTAGGTGAAGACCATTGGGATGTGATCCATATGCAAATGGGTTGTGGCAGTGTCAGCAGTTGGCCCTCGTTATATCGCAGAGTATTCATGCATCTACGACCGGGGGGCTGGTTTGAACAAGTCGAGATTGACTTCACACCCCGATGTGAGGATGGCTCTTTGGTGCATACGTCCATGCATAAGTGGTACCAATGGTTTCAAGAGGCTATGGAGATGTCGTGGCGACCTATTGGCCATAGTGTTAAGGCAACAGTATCTATCTTGGAAAATCAGGGATATTCAGGCGATCTTGTGCGTTTTGGTGCTTCCGGTAGAAGCGACATCTGTTCCAATGGCTACAACTACAATCAAACCACGTGAGTTACAAGTAACGCATAGTGTCTAGAACTATGTTAACAGAATATTGTAGTGAATGCGCTCACTACGATTCTGAAGGAGGATATCAATCCTCGAGATGCGATGACTATATCCCTGATAAGCGAATATAAGCCACTTTTTCAATCAAGTGATAAAGAGTGGGCACTTAAGGCGGAAATAATTATTCACCAACATCTATGTTATCACGAAGGGAAGGCACACGGAGGGATCTTAGCATTTCTGCTTGACCATATGTTTGCGGACTGCTGTGCCTTGATGGATAGAAATCGCCGCGCCGTTACCGCTGATCTGAAATTATCATATATCCGGCCTGTGTCACCTAACCTACCCACATCCTTCCATGTATGGGTAGCTAAGGTTGAAGGAAGAAAAATTCAAATGGCTGGAACCGTCAGTTTGATTGATCGAGAGTTAGGAGAAGTGGTTGCCGTGAAAGCAGAAGCTCTTTTTATATTCCTAGCTACGAGCTGAGCCTTGCATATTTTATCTAGTCACCTTTAATATACGAAAGAAGATCAGATGTGATATTTGAGAGGCACAATCCAGGACAACAGTAGAACCATTTGTCCAACATTAAAGAATCGAAGTGACGAAGGAGCGTGCATTCTTTCTGTAACAACAATGTTACGAAATCCACCTGCTGTCATAGAAGCAGGACAACTACACATGGATTGACTTGCTACCGCGAAGTCATCTAGTTCGGATCTTCACCGGGATATGTTTAGGTTCAAGAACCACTTCCGCGATTTTGTATGGATGGAATAAACATATCTACGATGTTTGCCAAATAGCATTAAAAGTGCTCATTCAAAGGAAAATTTGAAATCAATTGCGTTATGGACGGGTTTTGGATTACCAAGAGAGTTCTGTGGCCTAGCGATCTGGAACCTGATGAAGCTGATTGAGAGCAATAACTGGGTCATCCGTCCCTTCCAGCTTCCAGGTGGTAAGGGTTCTCAAAAGGATCCTGAAGATAACTGCGATTTAATGTGAAACAATTCCTAGTTCGTCTATTATATCCCTTGCCTTCACTTAGTATTGTTACGTGGTTCCATGACCGGATAAAGAATTCTCGTGCCAGCGCCGATCCTGCAGGGCTAAACAATGAAAGATATTTGTGGGAATACAGTATCATAGTTAGCTGGAGATTTTGATTCTTTTTATAGACAAAATCCTACAAAATCCTAACTAAGTAAAACCGACATTTTTCCAATCTGCGTATTCAAAATTAATGCAAACAAACCGCGAATCAGGGTTTACTAATGCTCTCTTTGTGGTCAATCTTTGGCAGCGAATAGTACGATTCGTAATAATTACACTCGGATTGGCTTCCTGGCGAATAGTCTTCTACCTGACGTCCTCAAGAGCTCGGCTCGCTTCGTGTTTACGGTAGCCCATCCAAGGCATGGAGTGCCAGACTTCAAGATGCTCTGCGCCTGTTGAGCATAGGTGCAATGATTATTAATGTTGGTGGAGGAGTGACCGGCGTCCCACAGCATTACACCACCCCAAGCAGAATTGTTCTGATACATCCTGATGACAGGAGCCAGGGCCGTTGGCTCCCAGTAATATTGTGAACCAGTGTGAAGGCCATTCGCAGCCAATGGCGAGGCAGGCAAACCGAGAAATACTTTTGCACCAGTGGGAGGAGTATCTTTGAGAAACTCAACCCAAAAGTTATAGTTAAGCGTATGGCGAGAGCATTCCGGATTATTGTAGAATTGTACCCAGAGATAGTCAAAGATGGATCCTTGGATGATCTCCTGCATATTCGGCTCAGGTAGAACACACTGTGGCGCGCCCGTAATATAATAAGTATTATTTAGGTCTGCCTCGAAGTAAGAACGTAGCATGGAAATTAAATGTGGATAAAATTGCCTTCCAATTGCGTTTTCGATATCGAAATCCCATCCATTAACCAACGTTTGTCCCAAAGGGCCTTGGAACAGCTCCTGTCCCGTTGGTATTTCCGAAAGCTTCCCACAGGTTCTGGCCGATCAGCTCGGCCTCTGGTTCCGATTGCAATGAATATGACCCACTTCCACCTCCAAGCGAGATAAGAATTGGAATTCCATTATTTTGACAAGTCTGAATGTCCAGTGTGAGTTGCTCACAACCGTGGGGCTCTCCCGTCGAGGAGATATAGCACGATGGGCCAAGATTTCCTGATGCGATGGTTTGGCCATTGCCGAAAGTAGATAAGAAGGAAAGAATGACCATGTCAACACCCGCAATGGGGTTGCAATATGTTGATAGCCGTGTCACATTTGTACTCTGGCCCCAATAAACAACATTCTGACCTCTACCTGCTAGCGTGGTGCTGGCAAATATCAGCTGGAATACGAGGACGAAGGCAAAGAACAAATTAATCATGGTGTCACCTGCATTATACTGTACGTTGTGACTGACGGAGCCGTAGAGTATCTCAATATAAATAATATTCTCTGGATGATATTCTTTTCAGGCAGAGAGCAAAATGCACTAGTGTTTCAAGACGCACGATTGGCAACGAGACTAACTCGATCATAAACGGATCCAGTCTGAACTCTTTCGACCCTGACAGATCCGGATCGGTACTAAGATCGCCTGCATACACTAGAGTCATACATTATATTTCTCTTCTGAGTGAAATACATTAGCGAGCCGACTTAAGAAAATTTTGGATCCACATCTCGGAGCCCTTGTCTTGGGTGTTGAACATACTCATGACTCGATCACCTGCAATAACAATCTCCGGCAACGAACAATGTCGAATCCAAAAGACTTGCTGGACCTGATTTGATGGTCCTAGACTCCTTGCATCTCGCGATAAGATGAAAATCAACTCTCTTGTGGAGAAAATCCGCAAGGATCATTCACATCAAGGTATTGACATATCGCTGTGAACTCATTCAAAGGACGTGTGAAGCTATGACGATATGTAAAAAGTCACTCCTAGACTTATAACATATTTGGAAAAGAATACGGACAGAAATTCAGGGAGCTTTCCTCATACGTAAAGATAAGGCTGTGGCTTAGCAGCTGTACTTATCGCCCTTGTCTGCTTTACTCCAAGTGTCTGTACGCGAATAATTCCGAGTTACATGGAGCAATGTCATTCCGCACTGACCAACCACGCATATTTTGCAACGATCCAAGGAATTCCCTGGCTTTGACATGTATTTTTCATGATCCGGGAATAGCTTCATATTCCATTCTCAACAACTGAATTATGTCTCAGCCTTTATGTACACGTCTGAATAGACTATCAGACGTGCCGTTACAAAGGCACTGCATAGACTTATATACGGCTTATGTAGGCCGTTAGTTAGGGTTAAAGTCAGTTATCAACTAGAAGTTAGTATAACATGATGATCAGCTCACCATGTAGGCCTATTCAAATAACCCTGCATCAATCATTGTTTCGTGATCTAGGACTATGCTCAAGCTTTGGATTGGATTTTTGAAAAAAAAAAAAAAAAGCCTTAAAATAGGCGTCGCTTACAGTCATCGTGATTATTTTCTTTGACGGAACACTGTCAAGGTTATGCCTCGCCAGTCCGCTAACCCTTCCTAGCATGACCGACTATCTGACCAGGACAAGCCTGCTCAAGGTCTATAGTGGCAATTTCTCGTGTTCATTGGTTGTCACATCGAACCTATCGCACATAGCTACCAACGAGTAGATCACCTGTTCCTTCCTTCTTATCAAGGCATTTCTTTTCCCTTTTAAGCAAGCATCACGGAGTGGAGCGACTTGACGGTATGGAACAGACGGAGCCTGCCGACGGAACTCATATGCTTGCTGTGGCGCGAGGAACCAATATTTCTATCACGGCAGGTTGAAGGCGATCGCAATCATTGGACTGGCCATTATGTCTCTGACCGAGCTATGCCCGGTATCGAGCTAGCCCTCTACATCATCGCCGCATTCCCAAAGCGTACTGGTATAGCTGCGAGTCTCGATTGGTTCTCCTTCACCGATCTATATCACAGTGCCATTAGTAAATTTGCCGGTGGGTCGTGGCTGAGCAGGCAGGACTTGGATTTCAGCATCCTAGGATGTTGAAATCCTGAGCTGTATGGGTATAAAAAGGCCTCCATCCGCACTTCTACCTTCTCTTCCTTCATTTTTCTCTTGCCATCGACCTCTCTCAGGGCGCTCACCATGGATGCCACTATCTCCAGCCCACGATCGACGATTCCCCCGAGCCAAACGAGACGTTCGCTCCTTGAGCTTTCCGAAAAGCTCCGGGAGCTCGCCGACATGCAGATCAAGACAGAAACGAAGGACGTAGAGAGTGTGCCCGAGGTATGATTTGACCATCATCACAAGAGAAGGTAGCTGATAAAATAGTTTCGCGACCTTATTCACCGGCTCTGCCACGAGGAGCCAGCTGTTGCGGAAGCCATTGCTGCAGCAATACGAGAAAAGATTCCAGAACCATCGCCTCGCTTGTCTTCAAAACGAAAACGGAGGCCAGATCCATCTTATCGGCCGAGTCACCCGGTGCAATCAGTTCCAAGAAAGAAGAGATGTACAGACGAAGAAAATGTAGTCGATGAGCGTGTAACTCCAGAGATTCGAATCAATAGCGAAAGTCCGGAAACCAAGAATACACCGGATTCCATGATCCGTGTTGACACCGCTGTACTCAGACCCGTGCCTAATCATGAGAGCAAGCCAGACCCTCACTCGACAATTGCTATGGATGGAGAGATTGCCGCCAAAAGCGAGACCATTCACTGTAGCACAAGGCCGACATCTCCCAATCGAGAGCGGACAGAGTCGCCATCCGTGTCTGAACAGGATCCCGCCGAGAGTGTGTCCTTCCTGGATACGGTCCACCAGATGGTCGACATCGTCCACCTGCTCAACAGGTATCAAACCGATCTGCCACGCACTGTCCATCAAAGGATTTTGCAAAGTCTTCACACCACTCAGGAGCCGATCATGGACTCAACTGCCCATCAATGGTCGGACGGGAGGATGTGGATGGAGGTGCTGGAGAGGAGTTCTGCCACAAATCGGCGGTGTTCCGTACTCAACATGCTGGAATATATCGGTGCCACGAAGTGGTACGACAGTCAGATTGAACATGCCAAGCGCACAGTCTATACCACAAAGAACAAACCTGTGGGTGAGAAGGGAGCAGCAACACATGTGCTGGACCGCATCACCCGGGAGTATAGTTTGCTGAGTAGAAAGACCATTACAAACCAGTGCTCCAGGGGGAAGAGATTACGCGAGCTTGTCGAAAAGGTCGGACTAGGGATTCTGATTAGCCCCAAGATTTGGTGAGTTACAACGAATCAGGTGATTTCATATGCTGACCATGCACCCAGGGAGTATACAAAGAGAAAGGGACCTCAGTTCAATCAGCTAGTCCAAGACTTCAAAGCAGATACTCAACGATTGGCACTGTTTCAAATCCTTACTCCACAGGTGGAACAACTTGTCCATAGAGGCTGCACGAATCCAGAAGCGTTGTACAGAGCTCTCTCAGAGAATAATATCATCTCTGAGGACGAACTGCAAGAGATGAAAGCAAAACATCAATCAGAACCTGTAAGGACTTCTGCATCAGCTTAGGGCTCCACTTCCGCAGTCACTTTGAGCAAGGCGGTCGAGCTACTAACCAGTCAGGTCAGCACGCAGTTGTTCAACAAGCGGAAACTGGATAGAGACGACACGATCTCAATCAATAGAAGTCTGGAACTCTCCATCGATTTATTCGCGCGACTCCGGGCAGGAGAATGGCTCGATTCTTGGGCCCTCATGGCAGCCATGCGTATTTCAGACCGACCAGATTGTGTCAGATTTAGCGAGAGCATTCCATTAGACATCATCGGAAGACATGGCCAAATGCGATCGATCAAGCGACCTTTTCAAGGCTGGGCAGGAAAGATCGCAATGTTTCGGAGAGAAGCAGAAAACAGCACGCCGCTCATATTCTACTGTCCCGTCAATCACAACAATTCACATTTCACGTTGCTCGAGATCAACGACAGTGACAAAGTCATTCGACATTACGACTCACGAGCACCAGTAACCGCTATAAATGGCACGAAGAAGACACGAATCGCGGCTCTGGTTGAGGTCAGTCTCTCCGTAAGTGGGCGAATGCATTTGCTGATGATGACATAGGATGAATTCGGCGATCTGGGATTTAGATATACCAAAGCGGTAAGCGTCTCACTTTCACTTATCTCGTAGATTCACTACTAACCTGTGTAGCCTACACCGCAACAGCGCGATGGCTGGAGTTGTGGCACTCGAGTGGTCTGGAACTTCAGACGACTATCCAACGGATTTGATATTGGATCATGGGATACCGTGCTGAGCTCGGAACGCATAAATATGGATATTGTAAGCGGGCTCAAGGCATCTGTTGAGTCAAATGCTATGCAGAGGTATACCCGTAGTCGCAAACGTGACCTTGGAAACGCACGAACTTCAGCTTTCTTGAGTGATAAGTAGAGCAAAGCTGTGTTGAATGAGATATATATTAGAACAAACGCGTTCAGACTCATATAGCAATTATCTTCCGGGTTAGAATTAGAAAGGCGGCGTGAAGCCAATAACTTCCAGTTCGACGAAATCGGGGCTAAGTTTACACCGCATCATGGAGGGGATGAGGAATCTAGAATTACAGATGCTTTAAAAACTGCTCTTAGCATGGAGAACAGCTCTTCGGGTCGTTTTGAAGCCACAATACCTCAGGTGATTGCAATGCTACACCAAAAAACGTCATTAATAGGGGACATTGAATCATCGCCGATACATCCCGAGGCGTATAGTGGCTTGTGTAGTGTACAAATGGTTCAGGGTCCTAAGATGAATGGGCATTGGGACAAGAAGCCCCAGATCCTCGTGTTGGCTCCGGCCAGGGGCAACTGGGTGGAAGAGAACCTGTCTTGGAGGTGGCAATGTCGGGAATCAAATTTGAAGTCAACAGCGCAACTTCCGCTATTTAATTCATAGTTGATTGAGTCAACTCTTTTAGTGATTTACTGCATGATAGCAGCAATGAACGTAAAAGATATTTGGACTACCGTCCTGTCCGTTGACTGAATGTTCCGTCTATAGGGCTCATAATTATAAAGATCTAGCCCTAGGATCCCTAAGCTTGGCAAGACCTGTCAACGGAAGTTGACTTTAAGGGTTCCATTTTAATGAATTGGTCAAAACCCTGTAAGAATTGTCATGTCATGTGCATTTACCAGCACTTCGGCATCTCTCGGCCTTCTCTTAGAAGAACAGTTCTAGTGACGGAATTCCAATAATACTCGACGATGAGATAAGTCAGCAAATTAACGGTCATTACGCGATGAGCAACATGCGTTTATATTCGCGAGGCAAGACAGTGTCGCAATGATGGAGTGACTGATCGCCTCGAAGGATTGCGCAATGCGTTGATTCAACGATGCACACCGACCAATGGCTCTTAAAGAGGATTTTAGAACTCGACTGTTGTCACACTTGCGCCTCCAAGCACCAGTAGTCTTATGGTCGGCTTAGATTTTTTCAAACAGCTAAATGTAGTGGTGTATCTCCATAGCGACATTTTTGGCGACATTTTTGGTTAACATTCGCTTGCAAGCGGATTGATCTGTATGTATTAGGTTCTTAGTATTGGCCATGGCAACTTTTATTGTATAAAATCTATCTTAATGACGAAGGCGAAATTAAAATTGGTCATTGATTTCACCGGGGAAGGATCATAACTATTCCGCTGATGCCTTCATAGGAGATAGGTTAGTGGGAAGAGTATGATCGAAACAGGCAAGACGAAAGATTGTTTCTCGCCAAATGGGATTCTACAGCACGAGACGGTGCATATGACACCAAACGGGGTTTTTTACAGCTCAAGACGGTGCATACGGCACCAAACGGGATTCTTTACCGACACCAAATGGGAAACGCTACAGACATGAAATGGGCATGCCTACACACCGAACGGGACTCTTCGCAGCACCAAACGGATCCGTTCCCAAATTAGAATCTCGAAAAATGCGCCAATTTCTGAATAGGTCATATTTCATACGTTGTATCCTTATGATAGAGTCCCAGTAATGTCATCTAATATCAGCTTGCCTCTTGGAATTGTCTCCTTCATTTGTAAAGGAAAATGATCGACTCTTCCACCCCAAATTGCCAACAGGATCCTCCACTCTACGTGAGACATGGTTTGTCAGTTTCCTTTTACCCAAAATCATGTTCTAATGAGGCATCAGACTGGAAGCAGATTAAAAATTTCTATGACTGGCCACCCTTGGAAAAGCTGGCAGAAAGAGGACGCATGAACCGAGCAGCCTTGAAGTCCTTCTGGTGGACCTTATCTTTGAAGCCCTGGATAAGTCATCAAAAGCTTCAAAAGGCTCATATTCAGATTGTACTTCTCCGCCGTCAAATCCGACAAGGCTTTGTGATTACAGAAGTGCAGGAAAAAATCGCCTACGGGCGTTATGCTGAAGCTTTAAGTAGACTGGAGGATTTGACAGGTAGACGCTTCCAAGCTTTTCTTAGATACCTGACTGAGCTGGGTCTATACAGATTATCGATTTCCGCCCTTCAGAAACACAATGCTCAACGATACACGCCAGAACAGTGTCTCTTGCAGCCTACATTTTCAACGGACGTCCTATTGCCAGAAAATAAAATTAGATTAAAAAATTAACAACATCAGATACAATCCTGGAAAGTTGGATAAATGCTTTATGTTCTCCCTCAAGTTATTGTGTTTTCTGCCTTCTCCGATTGACGTCAGTGTGTGATCCATTGGTGTCGGGCCTGTTTAGAAATGATGAGTGGTCCAACATGAAAGTACTGTAACTAATTATGGAATTAGTATATCATAACCTTACACAGTGTACTTACCTTCTTCTATTTCCTGCATCTAATATTTATTGTTTGATGTTCACGGCATCAGTATTAAGATAGTATTTCATGATACGCTAATTTACCATTACCTGTAATCTCCAATGCGTAACAGCCCAACTAGAGTCGGCGTCAAAAACGAGTTGGTGTTAAAAATCGAGTCAGTGTTTGTTTAAGTTGATGTCGGTTCGAGTTGGTGTCAATTCAAGTTCGTGTCAACGCTAGTAAGGCCTTTTTTAATCCAGAAGCTACGGTAATTACAACTGTACAGATCCATCTGATACTTTCTCGCCAGACCACCATTTCCATCTTAGACGATCTATACAATGTAGAATTTAAATGGCTCAACAAATTTCATGGTGAAACACATGTTGCTGAAGTGGGCCTGAATTGTATCCGAGAATGTAAAATGGAAAATCAGGACTAACTTATGCTTAGGGTTACAATGTCAAGGTAGACTTCGGTTTTTCCTAAATACTCAAAATGAAAAAGCACGGCGAAATAAGCGTTCTTTCTGCGTTTTCCCTTTTCTAGTACCTAGCGGAAACCGTTTACAGCTAGCCCGCCATATAGGAGGGTATGTATCAGCGTGCTTCGCCAGCAGCAGCTTATTTATTCAAGAGGGTAAATTTCTGTACATTAGTTAATCTAAATAGCTTTTATCTATCTTTATTGGAGTTGAGAGAATGGCATCCTTTCCTCTCGGTTTCTTTTCGTGGTTGCTCATATCCAGTAGGCGTGTGTACAGGAAAGTTGAGTGACGATCTTCTTGTCAGCACGTTTGAACACAATAGTTTTGTCCACCGACCCGGGCCAATAAGGGCTTCATCTAGGTTGTCGATGTGATTTGTTGACATGATGAGTATACGATTTATTCGGATGTAGTGGGCGAAAGGCATCATACTATAGAAGAATAGTAGCATCGTAATTTCAACAGATCTCTTAGGGCCGGACTAAACATGGCATCTGCCGCCACCGCTGATCCAATTTTTATAGAGGATTATACCATCTATCTCGCACTCCGCCTGGACTTTATAGATTATATACAGCCACGTAGGCTATCTTGGCATAAGCTTTGCTGCCTGCCTCCAGGAAAGCTCTGACGATGTCCCCAAGATGTATGGAGTTCATGTGTCGAGTGGAGCAGAATCACGCGAGCAAGCTGCCTCCATGATTTTGCCCCATCCATCGACCTGCGCCTAAATTTTGACCACCATTTACCCCGTTCTGTGGGCGAGAAGCTTTCAATCGTTTGGATATTAGTTTGTCCTAGGGACGCTGTCGACTTAGTCAGCATATATTATGCTTCAAACCAGTAACTTGATATGCTGGTGCTGAATGACTGTAACCCTGAATGTGCAGCGACTGTATGGCTTGCCAATACCCTCGTTTTCCCGGGAACCACGCTCTGGTCAGATGGTTCTAGGCAAGACGATGGGCGAGCAGGCGCTGGAGTAGCGCTACAGGCGGTGCCGGAGGCGCCATGGGAGCGCCTAGAGGTGTGAAGGCTCAATCAAATGTTATTTGGAAGCTAATACGAGAAATCTAAGCATAGGGAGGAAAAGGAAAGAGTGTAAACATGAAGCTATCCCTGGTCCCAGATATCAGTGGCGCGTTCACGTGCCCCTTCTCGCCCAACCCTGATCACGTGACCTCTGTCCAGACCTCTCAAGTCAGCAAATCTCACCATCTTCTGTATAGCCTCAGCACCAGCCGTCACATTATCCCCTCCTTCGATAGGTGCTTGCCCCCAAGCACCAGACGAAGCATTATCCTCAGCGATAACCGCAACTTGCGCATCCAACGGGTCGTCATCTAAATACACATCGTTCTCCTCCGCTTCGAGCCACTTCGGTAGATTCACCGGAGGTCCCGGCTTCTCTGGATATCGTTCGTGGAAGGCCTTCAGTCGTCGAGGTGCGTTCTTGAAATTCGATGCCAAATACCATTTTGGATCCGGGTCATGGCCAGTCCACTTAACGCGGTAATGCAACTTCCTCCATCGTAACTTGGAATCCAAGATTTCATCCACTTCCCATTCCTGCTGATCATTAACTTCGATTGGAGGTGGTTTATCCAAAATCTGCCCTGGAAGCGGTTCGGATGACAACGCTCTTCTCAGCTTCTCCAGTGCGAACACTGGATGCACGTTGATACCGTCATCCAACCTCAACTGATACGCGTGGCCAACCTTACCCACGATAGGAAATAGGCCGGCAGCCTGGTGGTCAAGCTTCTTACTCGGCCGTCCCGTATCCCATCTCTTCGTTGAGACCATAACATTATCACTGATATCAAAATTGACCTCTCTGCGATACTTATCTGCTTGCGCCTTCTGCTATTGCTGCGCTTTCTCAATACTGCTGCGAACAAAATCCCATACCTCCTGGAATTGCTTCATCCACGCTTGAGCATCCTTCTCGTTGGCTGTTAGCTTCTTAGGTGGCACCGGCTTACTCCAATCAAAAGACATTCGGGGTTGGAAACCCTTCTCGACTATGAATAGTTATAATCCTGTCGAATTTTGCGGCAGAGCGGCTGTGGCGAAGTCGACTATTAGCACCTATTCTGACCAGTCATCTTGAAAATGATTCATAAATAGCTGTAACCTCTGTGATAAGTATTGGTTTGCTATTTTGGTCTGGCCATCCGTTTGTGCATGATCCGCCATTGATAGTACTACCTTAATTCCCAAGATTCGACAGACTTCCCCCCAAAATTCCGATACAAATTGAGGTCCTCGGTCCGAAACGATGGAGTCAGGCGGTCCGGTTCGGGGATAAGTATGCTTCACCCATAACCTTGCTAGACCTTGTGCATCGATATTCTTGTGGCATGGTACTGATATGGGTATTTTACTAAAACGATCAACAATCACAAAGACAGTGTCGTATCCCCCCTTGTCGACAGGATAAGTCATGAAGTCCATAGAGATGTATTGCCAAGGCCGTGCAGGAATTGGTAATGGTTGCAACAATCCCGGGGGTAAATCCCTCCTCGTGTTCGTCCTTTTGCAAACCATACAATTGTCCACATACCTCTCCACATTCTTGCTCCAGGTCTTCCAGTAATAACGCTCGCGCACTAAGATCTTCATCTTATTCTTTCCAGGGTGCGCTGTCGAGGGCTGTCGGTGAATCTCATCTAGCAATCTAGCCCGTAGGTCGTCATCCTCTGGCACGTACACTCGTCCTCTGAATCGGAGCACGTCGTTTACCAACGTCCAGTCGTCATCTCCCTTTCTTGCTAACTCACGAAGATCCTCACACTCTACGTCCTTGAGGTTCGCGCTTATGACACGAGCGACCACGTCCTCTTGGTGTTCCGCTGGACTAAGCTCGACTTCACTAATCTCAGGGTTCGAGGACTCCTCTACTGGATTTGAAATTCCACCGGGAGTCTCACAGATCTCTGACGGACCTAAGCACTCTTTCGGTAGCATTAATTGGGCCCTTTGTCCTTTACAATTCACCTTTGAGCCTTCTCTTCGAGTAAGTACATCTGCAAGGGTATTCTCCTTTCCAGGGCGGTGCTTAATGATAAAGTAATACTGATGTAACAACTCACACCAGCGCGCTTGTCTTCCTGTCAGCTGCTTCGTCGTCATGAAGTATTGTAGAGCTAGATGATCCAACAAGATCTCAAAACGTTCTTCCCTCTGGAGCCCAACTAGCTCTGCGCGCCATTCTTTGAGCGCAGCTACTATTGCAAGCATCTCCTTGTCGTGGATATTATACTTGAACTCTGCGCTGGTCATCGTTCTGGAGAAATATGCCACAGGGTGCCATTGCCCATCTTCTTGCAGTTGGGAGAAAACTGCAGCAATCACACCATCTGAGGCATCTGTTTCTATTCGCGACGGCAACTCTAATCGATAATGGCAGAGAACTGGGACACTAGCCATGCGTCACTTCAATTCTTCAAAAGCATGCTGGCATTCCTTCGTCCACTTGAATGGAACATCCTGCCAGGTTAGATAATGTAGGTGCTTCGCCATTCAGCCATACCCTTAGATAAACTTCCAATAAAAGCCACAGAAACCTAGGAATGATTGGACTCCAAAAACGGTGGTAGGGACTTCCTACTGAGTGATAGCACAGACCTTCTCTTGATCTACCTCAATCCCTTCTGAGGTCAAGATGAAACCTAGGAACTTGGTATGAGTCACATGGAATTCGCACTTATGTAAGGCCGCTTGAAGTCCCGCGTTCCGCAACCTTTCTAGCACCCTTTTAACATGAATCTCGTGCTCTAACTCATTCTCACTGTATATGAGTAGGTCGTCGATGAAGGCGATAAGGAACTGATCCAAGCAATCCATAAAAAGGTCATTAACGAGTCGTTGGAACGTGGCAGGCCCATTTATCAATCCGAAGGGCATCACTTTATACTTATATGTGCCGTACCTGCAACGAAACGTGGTCAAGTTTTCCAACTCAGAGTCCATTCAGATGCGGTGAAAACCCTACCTGATATCCAGCTTGGTAAAAATACAGGCTCGGTTCAGTCTTTCGAATACTTCGTCGATGAGCGGTAGCGGGTATCGATCCTTCTTGGTCAACTGATTCAGCTTATGGTAATTGACGCAGAAACGGAGACTGCCACCCGGCTTCTCAGCCATGATAATAGGTGAAGCGAACGGCGCGTTGCTAGGCTTAATGAATCCCTTGCTAAGATTGTCGAGGATGTACTCTCTCACAGCCTCTAGCTCCTCCAAGGACATCTTATACAATGGGTGATAACTAAGTTCGTTCAGTTTCTCCAGCTCAATCTTGTGGTCGTACGGTCAATGTGGTGGTAGCTTGTCTGACTCTCTCTTCGAGAAGACATTGGCGAAGTCTTTGAGGTAAAGAAATGGCAATTTCTCACGAATCTCTTCCAATTCTAACTCTTTCTCTGTTTTTGACTTGCCATCAATAATTTTATCGATCTCGTGCAGACTGGTGAAGAAGATGTTGCTCTTTTTCTGTTGTACGAGTCGGTGGAAACCATTGCCTCCAAGCATTGCAATGTCCAATTCAACCAGCTTCCGTGCTTCGGGGTTCCTTCGAATTTAAGGTGGAGGTGCCTTCTCTTCCTTTAAGTCCTTTGCTGATTCTTGCAATGCTTTCTCCATTTGGAGTAATAACGCGTCGTGACTCTTCTGGTAGGAGCGACTATATTCGACTGGAATCCTCTTTTCTTGCACTTCAAAGGCCTTGTCCCGACGGTTCGCGTCCTGTTGATGATCCTGATTAACCTCCCGGGAGCGTTGTAAGATCTGCCGAGGGACCTTAACATAGTTCTTGGTTACTATTTCGTCCTGCAGAGATATAGCCTCTGGCTAGCGCAGTTATTGTTTCGCGCAGTCCAGTAACACTCCATGTTTGGCGAACCACATCCTTCTGAGAATCACATCATGCTTACCCAAATCAATGATCAGGAAAGGGACGTTCAGTTGCCGTCAGCCATCAACAATAAGTGTGAAAATGATGACATGTGTAATTGGTGCTGCCTGCTTGCCGTCATATCCTTTGACTATACAGGTCGACTCTAGTAGGTACGTCTTCGCCTTCAGAAACTTGCTCAATAGTATGGCTAAATCGGTATCCATAAACGCTAGGCCATTTGCTCCAGTGTCAGCTAACGCTTTTGCAGAAATCGAATGTGTATTCTTGGCTATTTAAATAGGTACAGTAAAACTATCCTTTTCTCGTCCAATCAGTTCTCTGAGATCAATTCCACATAAGCTGACTTCAATCGAGCCCAAGATGGAGACTTTTCTTAGGCTTAGTTATTTTCTGACTCCGATTCACTCTCGGCGCTACCCTCTTTCTCAAGCTTCTTAAGCTCAGTAGCACGGTTGGGTCGACCAGCATTTCTCGCGGTATTGTTATCGTTGGTGGGACAGTCTCTTGATCAGTGGCCAGTTTAGAAACACTTAAAGCATTTGCCATCCTTCATTAGCGCCGCTCGAGCTACTGCGTCAAGCCGTCCCGCGTTGTTGCTAGTGTTGGCTCCACTGCCTCCAGGTGTTATTTCTCTGCTTAGCGCAGGGGTCGTCTGTCGACCTGAGGATCGATTCACACCTCCCCCATGAGGATTGTTGCTTCGTTGACGGATACGTTCTTTAGCGAGATTGATCTACTCTAGTCGGTTGGCACGCTTATGACAAGCTTCCACAAATCCGGACCATCCTAGGCGCTCATTATCAGCCTCATCCATCAAGGCAGTTTGCATTTCAAAATTCAGACGCTGATAGAGTTCGTTCTTCTATTTAGCCACGTTGATTTCAGAGTCTTGTGCAAGCTCCGTGAATTCAGCAAGGAAGTCTTGGAAATGGGTATCCTTCTTCATCTGGAGAGTAAAGAGTTGGTTCTTAGCCTTGACCACCCGGTTAACATCATGGAAAATAGTCTTCAGGTGTTCAAACATATCCTCCACATTAACAAAGGGATTCAGGGAGTCTTCTCGCATTTGGGGTAGTAGATATCTGGCTGCCTTGCCTTCGCATATACGCTTCACGAAAGCCATACGCGTTTCTGGGGTGTCATAATGGTCTTCGTTACTATTAAGAGAGTGCCTCATATCAATCAACCATGAATCGAAGATCGGGTCAACTCCGTCAGAGAGCTTTGCTCCTTTGGGTAACTTAGTTGACTTGCTGGGCCTGTTAACTAGTGCGGCTCCCAAAATCTCAACACTGCCCTCGCGTTCACCTTAGGCTTAAGCTTGAGTTCAAGCAAACGCAGTCATATACAGATCATGATCTGCAATCAAGTCGTCGCGTGCCTTCTTGAGTTCTTCAAGTTCCTTCTGAAGGTCTGAGAACTCTATTTGGAGCACAGCGTAGTCATCTTTCAACGCGTTGTCCTCCTCAGCTAGCTTGTTGTAATTAACAAGGAGCGTGTCGTATTCTTTCTCGTTGTCATTGAGGGTCTCGTACAATTTCATTTGTTAGTGATACATAATGTCAAATAGTCGCTTGGGATGAGTCTTCGCTTCTTTCAAGAATTCTTCTTCAGTCATTATACCCTCGGACTTCTCATGTCCCCCTTCTGCTGGGGCTAGGTAGGATAAGCGACGATCGTTCTTCAACTGTTCAATCTGTTCTGCCACCTTCTCAAGGCAGATGATCTGGCTAAGACGTGCCATTCTGTGGATTTGATTCGGTTCGGTTCTGAAAGGGTTTTATTAGGTAAAAGAGAGGAGTGTTCAGTTGCTGTTGACAGTCTCGCTGATAATGATCAACGAAGTCGTCTCGCAGCTTGCTGAACAAAGAGAGAAAAAGAGACGATGCTTAGATTAATGTGAAGGCTCAATCAAATGTTATTTGGAAGCTAATACGAGAAATCTAAGCATAGGGAGGAAAAGGAAAGAGTGTAAACATGAAGCTATCCCTGGTCCCAGATATCAGTGGCGCGTTCACGTGCCCCTTCTCGCCCAATGTCGAGGATTAGGTAAGCTAAACCTAATCAAGGAAAGCCTACAACATTGATACAAGGAAAATTCGAGAATTGAAGTCACAAGATTGAATCTACGAATCAACTTTACAGCTCTGTGTCGAGAATCTTCTATTGAGATTGTCTGAATATCGTCTATATGGGATTCTCAAGCATAAATAGTGTCCAAAAATCCCATCAAGATGTAGATAGAGGAGCGCGCAGAATAAGGTCAATATCAATATTTCCACTATAAAGATATCTTTGAGTATTAAGCTTAACTGAGTTTGTGCTAGTGCACTGCAAGTTCCGATACCCAACCCTGATCACGTGACCTCTGTCCAGACCTCTCAAGTCAGCAAATCTCACCATCTTCTGTATAGCCTCAGCACCAGCCGTCACAAGAGGTGCCTATGGGAAAGGGGTATGAGGTTTTTGATGCAGAGCTTATGGGTGTGGCTTCGGCATTAGAATGGGCGTTAGAGAGGCACCTTGAAGGGCCGATTTACGTCCTTCTAGATGCTCAGGCTGCCATTAACCGCCTCCAATCGACGGCCCCCGGCGCCGGACAGTCCCTAGCGCTCAGAGCCTATGGGGCTGCTTCTCGGCTTGCTCGTAGCGGTCGTCCAGTAACGATACAGTGGGTGCCTAGGCACAGCGGAGTGGAAGGAAATGAGCAAGCTGACCAGGCTGCTAAACGTGCCTCTATTAGGCCAGTTGGACTAGGCTCTGAGGGCCTGTCATTAGCCTTCGTTAGGCGTGCCTGCACCGAGGCGAGGAGGAAAGCGGTGGAGGATTGGGCCCGCGAGAACGCCGTACAAGGAGCTCATCGGCGTGGAAGGGCCTATAAGTGTCGGAAACTTCGGTCAAACTACCGTCGAGTATATCTCGGATAGCTTATAACACGCTGAAGTTATAAGGCTTCTAAGTACGAAAGGCTTCTTGAAAGCAAAGTCTTAATAAAGGGATGAATATCCGGTTCGATAGAAGAACGTATACTCAAGTTGTCAAAGCTAAGGGGTACTTAGCATGGTTAATTCAAGACGATAGAGTAAAGCTAGCTACAGGGTGAATGAGCGTCCTTATATACCTTATCCCTATCATATCCTTCATATCCTGTCTCCTACAATGGGCTCTGATGGATCGGTTCTGCCTTGTCATAGTCATCATAGCCATGTCCTAACATCCGGATATGTTGGCTCTGATACCCTAACCCTAATGGTTTCGGATAATCCTTGCTTCCGTAGTGCAGTAGTGTAACACTATCTAGTCAATCCATTGGCTGCGGATTCTTGATTCTTCTGACAATAAGATGCCACGGGGTTGGGGACAGGATAAGGCGGCTGCAAGAGCGCCAAAGCGCCTAGCAAGCCGCTATTACCAGTTGAAGACCGGACATGCGCCTATAGGCGCGTACTTGCACCGGATCCAGGCCCGGGACTCCCCGGAGTGCAAGGCCTGTGGAGCACTGCGTGAGACGGTCTCCCACATTCTATTTGAATGCCGGGGGCGTCACAAAGCCCGGAGGGAGCTGTATAGGGGCCTGGCTAAAGCGGGAGTCCCCTTGCCTACAGCGGCGGAGGATAACCCGGAGGCACGTCTTCTTAGTGAGCCCAAGGCCACTATAGCGCTACTTCAATTCGTGGGCAGCGCTGACCTGTTTGGGGATAAGGAGCTACGGCGGACTAAATGCGGATTTCACCACTTAATTCAAATTTCCATTTTGCCGAAAATAGAGTTTGTATTATCCGTAACACTTTGTAATATTCACATATCGCCACATGTCAATTTTGATTAGATCATATACTCACCGCCCTGATAACTGCCATCGTATTCATCGTATCGCTTCATTGAATCGCTTCGTTATATGCTTCATCATACAAGTATCTATCTGTTAGCGTGAACGCTGTCTGTTGCGAATGCGTTCAGTACGTACTCGAATGCTATAAAAATTTCTGATCATTTGAAATATAAAAAAATATAGAGCAGGAAAAAGAGCAGGGATTTGATTATTAGTAAGCAGAAGTAATAACGACAGCAATTCCAACCTCTCAAGCAACCCCCTTTAACCTTCCTTCTTGTTCCCCGTCCCCCCCGAAATAACTTAGAAACTGAACCTATAGTAATATTAGTATATGATGTTGCGATGGTGTTATAAGAGCTGTGCTTACTCGAAGCATGCAGAATGAATACCGAAATAAAGGAGCTCTCGGTGGAGGGCAGAGCTTTGAAGAATCCAAGAAAGAGTTGATAAGTTGGTTGTGAAAGGTGTGGAATAGCAGAAAGAGTACTTATTTGATGGCCCCATCGAGGTTGGCCCTTCAGTTCTTTCACGATGGCAACAATGTCTTTGACGACATCGAGATATCCTTGATGAGAGTCAAGAACTCCAGGATCTTAGTAAGGACAGAGATGGAGCCGCCGAAGAGGCTGGGCATGGCTCTAAAAGCAAATTTGAGCATTCTGAGCATGCTGGTGATGGTGGTGGTGGTACTTGTGTTGCAGGAGCAGCGGCAGCAGCAAGTGAGGAGAATCTTGATGGTTGGAAGTGATTTATAAGAAGAAAGGAAGCGGGGGAGTTGGAGGAGGATGGGAGATATTTATTCCCTAACTTGGGGATGTAAACTATGCAACCTATATGAACGACGCAAAAACAATGTAATATATGGAATCCCACGGAATCGAGGACGCTCGCTATAGGAATCGATGATGTATTGGGAAATTGACGACGCCATGGGAGATACTGATGCAACGAGAAATGTGATATGATACTAATGCATATAGATATTAGGAAGTTAGGTCAACGCTGAAGACCCGGATCTTGATTGAAGTTGTATAAATCTATAGACTTCATCATAGTAGAAAGTAGGCAGTCTAATGAAGCGATCTAATGAGGCAATACGTATCTATATCTAAATATAAAGTGGATACTTCAATGAAGCGATCCAATGAAGCGATATACGTACCTATATCTGAATATAAAGTGGATAACTTAATGAAGCGATCCAATAGATTGTTATTTTATTGATAAACTCCTTTAGCGTCCACGTAAGCGGACTAAATGAAAAATTAATCATAAAATTATTTTCCATGCACACATGAAATCCATTTCTCTCGTATATCTTCCTCTTATTTCTCTAATTGACGGGTATCACCAATGAGTCAACCGAAAGCGTGGACCACACCTTTGTGCGGTCAAAATTGTGGCTTCGTGCATGCAACTGAGTGTGTGTCTATGGTAGCATGTCCCTGGTGCGGTCAAGCAAACCCTAATAAAGGGAATGAAGAGAACCAGTCTCAAACTACTACCACATTTAAGGACTCTGCTTCTAAAAGCCGAGAACTCCAATAGAAAGCCATCGTAACTGCGAAGAAGTTCTTGCCCGGACAAAACAATATTAGATCATCGCTTCCATCAGCAGAAAAGGAAAACTTGACAAAGCCATCATCATCATATAGTCTATTTGTTACTCTTTGGAAGCCCCAGGATGACGAAGCCCCTTGGTTCAATGGTAAATGGCTAAATGTTGGTATGTTAATAGTAGGGTAATAGATAACTATCTTATTTACTAACACTGCTGTTCAGATAACTTCACTATCTTATTATCTAAATCCGATGTCTTTACAATTAATACTATTAACCAATTGGTCCACGAGCTCGAACCTGGATGTAGGGAGCTACGCCAACTAGTCCAATCCAAATTTCAGTATACTGCTTAACTTACATTGATAGCATCCAAAAAAAAGGTAGAATTCTTATCAGATACAGTACTTTGAGAAGGATTCAACAATATGCTTCTAAATCTAGAGATAGACACAAGGAAGAAACGAGAAGCCAGCGGTCCCCAGTATAAATTGCATATTTGTTTTGGAAAATATCCCGAATCATAAAGCGATGGAGAGTGTACAGTCAATATCAGTAATAACATCCTAGATGATGATATCAACTATTATACTGATAACACTGACCATATTTTTACTTCACTCGATTTCGATTCTTAATCTGATGCATTAAAACGAAGACGTGCTTTATCGGCTTCCTCATTTCTAGTGTCTAAGCCAAAGAAGATCTAAACACAATATGAAACTAGCGCCGATCCCATCATTAAGAAAGAGAAGGAACCACTTGGAACTACACATACTCAAGTTGATTATGAGATAATTAGTATCTCTAGTAGTGATGAAGAAGCAACACCTAATGATGATGATGAGGCAAAACTCAGTAAGGCATTCCGTCTTTTTAAGAAGGTACTGAGACAGACGAAGAAGAAATCAAGTTTAGCAGAAGGTCAGGACAAAAAATTGAAAGTTAAGTATGAGCTAGGGGGGGAAGCCAATCTATCAGATATCCCAGTGGAGGAAGCCAATCTATTAGAAGAGCCAGCGGAGGAAGCTAATCTATTAGAAGAGCCAGTGGAGGAAGTTAATCTATTTGAAGAGCTAGCAGAGGAAGCTAATGTACTAAAGCTATCAAATTTAGCACAGGATGGACCAGCATCTAACACTCGGAGGTGGCATGGCAAGTCATTCCCTAAGAAACATCTCCTATAGTTCTATATTACAAAGTGTTTAGACTCTTTTGTTTTTAAATCTTACCTAGATTTTATATTCCGCAGTTTAATATCTATTCTTCAAAGATCGCTTCATTTAGTTGCCTCATTTTCAATATATACATCTCCACTACCTCGAGAACCATGGTTGATTTGTTAAATCCGTAGCAACCTCTTTTAGATCCTGTTGCAATTGTAGTTCCTCTTGGATCGGCTTCTCACATTCCTTGAGCTGGGGTTCTGATTGCGTTGCTATATGTAGATTAATTTGATCCCGGAGATACAAATATGCATTAAAATGCGTAGGTTCTCCATTTTCACTAAAGTCACCTAGTTTTATTCTTTCAAAACCCCCTGATTGCAACTTTTGTTGACACCAATTCAAAGTATCTAGTGGCAGATATTCATCGAGTTCTATAGATTATTCGATTAGTTTCGGTGAATTGGAGATAACTTTGGAGAGAACGAAAATAGTTTACCAAAATTATGCTCATCAATCAATTTTTGCAATACCGCTTGATCAGGCTTTGATCCATAATCTCGTATACTGTCTGCTGGTTGATAGTATAAAACATTGGGTTGACCGTTAATACTATTCACGCGATAAGACTGCTTTCTGATTCTGTGCGTATTCCATACGTTAATATAAGAAGCAATCTCTTCACAAGCTATAGGCATATATATTGCTAACATCGTAATTCGATCTGCAAGGCTATGTTTTTTGAAATATCTATCATTGCTGAGTTTCAGGAAATAATCCTATTACCCAGTATCAATAATAAAGCGATCTTATATAGCAACTGGATAGCATAGATCTTACCCGGAATATAAAAAGGAGGCTTTTTATAAGCTGTGACCACCAAGCTTCTATTCGCTGGTTTGCTGTGCTTGTACTATATAGATAACAGTCTTGAAGAAGAAGATTCTCATACTGCTCTTTTAGTAGTAGATAATGTACAGCTGTAACTAGAACTGTTTCGCCCCCTTTATCAGAGCGTATATAGCGAGGCTGAATATTTGTTTCTTGAAGTACTTCAAGAAACTGTTGCAATACACTGATTTGAGTGCGGTTGCTGATCCCAACATAGCACCAAGTAACATATCGAGAGAAAGCATCAATCGCAGCATAAATTTGAATTTCCCAAAAGGCCAACTTATCATGGCCGTCCATAGACCAGATATAATTTGGGCCAGGAACTACATATTCACCTCGTCGCCGGTGGAAATTATTTTTCCGATGCTGAACCCCATCCGGATCGAGTTCCTGAACAATACTAAATAGTCGGTCGCTATCAGACTGTTAGAAAATACTTTAAATATTGTAATAAAGACTTACCGAGCTATATTATAACCCTGGATTCAAAAGAATTGGTAGAGATGGCCTCGCCCATAGCCTTCAATACGCCCACTGTTGAGTTGTTCCCGAACTGCTTCCCTGACAATATCATCTGTATGTTGAATATCTTCTGGCTTGACAACCCGTCGCTGAAGCCCAATCCGGAGCCAAATTGTTGTAAGAGTGGATTGGGATATTTTTATACCATCCCTTTCTAGCGCACGTATGATTTCCTTGTCACGTAAACCCTGTTTGAAATACAGTTCCTTGATCTTATCCTCTAACTCTCTAGGGCCAGGATTCGTACGTGAAACACCCCATTGTTTAAGACGCCGTCGAATTGTCTCGGGATGAATAGTGATCTGATATTCATCAGATAGCATCTTTGTAATATTTGATATGCTCTGGCCATTCTGAAAGCTAGTAGATATCTCCTGTTTATATTGATTAATTTGACTGGGTGGGCGTCCTGCAGGCATGATGGCAACTGATTCAAATCATCAAATGTAGAGGTTTTAATATATATTTTGGGTAGAAAAGTTAGTAAGTACGGCAGCCTATAGCTATTAAGATATAAAAAGTCACATGATCAATTAACTAACTCGTTCTGTTAAAAAAACTCAAATAACTAACCTGATTGAGTTAGCTAGTTACTAAATCAAAAAGAGTATTTAGGAATGAAGCAATCTATGAAGCGATCATCTCTAGACTGATAGATAGAATTCACCAGGGTTCCACCTCATAATTTGGAAATTCTTTGGAATATTGACTGGTGAGTATTCGATGAAATACTTGCACGCCATTTTGTACCCAGGAATTTTGCCAACATTAATGTCCCACCCATGTCTCCTAAAGTCATATGAATCTAACCACCACTCCACTGGGCCAGGAAGATCGTACCATTTGCTAGAATCAGCCGAGACGAATGCTTTGAACATAGATATCTCCTGAGCTGAATAGTACTCATGAGGAGGAAGGTGAGGGGCTTTTTTCCTAGTCAAAGCTTCTTTTTTTAAGGCTTCTCTAGCAACAATGTACCAGAAGCTTTTCCAAAAACAAAATATCATAGCACCAGTTTGATTCCCAAACTTAATGAAGGTCTGAATCATATTCTGACTAATCGCCTCTTTGAAGTGATCTTGGTAGCCATAACGAATAAACAAGACCGGTTTGACTCCTCTTTTCTTGATAACATGTCGCCTATTATCCTAGTCGCGAAACACATTTTGGTGGATATAGCTGGGTAAGTATTTCTTTAGAAGTGATAGAAAGATTGGCTGTAATTTGGAGCTCGTGGCGACTAGACAATCAGGATACATTGAATTTGATTTAGCCATCTCTATAAGAGATTGGCTTTCGAAGATCGCACTGGGAGAATTTTTAATGTTATCATTCTCGCCTATTAAGTTGTCCTTCTCCAAGATGTCTTCCCAGTCATTGGAAACATCTAATTCGTGTGCATGGCGTTCCATAAACCATTTAACACCTCGACTCTTCAAATATCTAAATAAAAATTAGTGATATTGCCTCAATATATCACTCTATTAATGAGGGAAAAGATCATACCGATCATGTAGAACTTTCTTATAGAGTTGCTTTTCCATGTTTTGTTAATCAACATTACTAGCTTGTTGATAATTTGGAGTATTGACAAGCTTCTGCTTTGCTCAGTTAAACGCTTGATTATCATTGCGCTTTTCACGCTCAAGCTGTACATGTAGGGATCCTTTCTGCTCGAGGGCTTGTTTGCGTTGACGTCCTTGAATGGTGTGTATGTTATCTAAGAGTTCAGTCTCTACCTTTCTCTTTCGACCAGCTGTAGCTCCTGGAGTAGGGCCTTGTAGGCGTGGTATTGCTTCAAATTATTGCCTCATTAGTATCAGTAATTCAAAAGATAGAGGGCTTCTAGCTCCTTACCATTAGAAGAGTCCATTGTTAATCTTGAGCTATTAAGAAGGAAAAGATTAATCGTAAGAGATATTTTCTAGGAAGAGAAATCAAGTCAGTGGGTCAAAGATTAATATAGAAACTAAATTAGGAAATATAAACAAACCTAGATAGGTGTTACCTTCATATAAATCTTATACTAAATTGATCTTACTATCTTTTTGTTTGTACCAGCCTCTTTTTAGAATCTCAACTCGCGTAAGCTCACTTCCTCACTCTTTCCAATCAACAATCTCTCATTTCAATCCTACCTTACTTCAACCTTCAGCTTCGCCATAACCTCAACTTAATACGCTCATCTTAATCTCACTTTAGCCTCAAATCTCTTATCCTATATTACCCTCACCTCTTTGTTCTTGCCTCTCACTTAAGGTAAGTGACTAACTGAAGCTAAGAACTCTTATATCAATATTTAAGACATAACTAATCGCTATAATAGATTGCTTTATAACTCATCTCTCACCAACACTCAATTTGAACCCTTGATTATAGCAAGTCAAAGTAAGTAAGTTGTTTACTAAACCTCTATTTCACTATTGAAGACCTTACTGATCACTACAATAGATCGCTTTAATAAAAATGGCTAGAACGAAAGTGTCAGCTAGAAAAATCGCCAAGAAAGGAGCAACAAAGACTCTACCTGGAGGAAGCAAATATCCTACGAGACGTGTTCCTATTCAGGGTACTACCAGACGAAGGTGTCCTCGCTATAAATAGGGCAGTAAGTTTATGATTGCTTCATTTGACTGCTTTATTTGACTGATATCATTTTTAGCAACAGCTCTACGCGAAATCTGACGATACCAAAAATCTACCGATCTCATAATACCGAAACTGCCATTTCAAAGACTTATGCGAGAAATCGCACAAGATATTTCTTTGACTGCAGATCTGAGATGGCAGTCATCGGCGATCTTAGCTCTTCAAGAAGCTGCTGAGGCATTTCTTGTCAAAGAGTTTGAAAGTAAGTCATTTTATCTTAACGTTGAGTATCGGAACTAATTATATATTAGTGACAAACCTCTGCGCAGTACATGCCCATCGAGTTACTATTCAAGCTAAAGACATGGAGCTAGTGGACAGACTCCGAAGAATCATGACTGGTTCGGGATATAGATTTGAGAACAGGAAAGCTTGATTGCTTCATTTGATTACTTCATTCCAAGATGCTTTTGTTTTTAGTTTAGATACCCAGATACGGAAATACCCAAATCAAATTTAAGGTTGCGTGGAAATTAAATATCGCTATTTGGTCATATATAATTATTCTTCTGTATCTCGTATTAGGCACGTATGCGTTTTGATGATTTGGTATTTTTTAATTAAGTGGAATATTCGGGATTTAGTCCGCCGTAAGAGCAAGCCGCCAGGGAGGCTAAGTTAGGGGACCACTGGGTGTGATGGACGCTCAAGCCCAGAAACAACTTCATTTCTAAGCGTAGCAGTATCGACGAAGAAAACTAAGTGTGAAGAAGAAGAAAGGGGAAAACTGGCGCTGAGCCTTGAGGCTCTCCAAATACACTCTGTCATGGGATGGAGGCCTTATGGGGAAAGCGGTCTAAAATGGCAGAATTGCAAGATCATATCAACCAACTTGTTTGTAACTTAGGCCTTCCCTTCCTCTTCTCCCAAGCTTAGGATTATCATTAGAATAGGCTTATTGAGACGTCACACTGGGGTTGGGAGGCCCTAAGGGATGGAAAGGATTCAGGGGATGGATAGGGGGATGGGCGCCCCGACGGTCAAACCTAGTACGTACGACTAGGACCCGTGGAGAGCGCCCTCATGCTTGAAACCATGAGGGATCCTTATAGGCATGGTAGCTTATGAGCAGGCCCGAAGGTCCCCGGCGGATACGCCGTATGGGGGCGAGATGAGGGCCCGGATTTGTGCTACGCCCGAGACTGCTAGGGGCTGAGGCCCCGTGGCCCTAGGGGCAACGGGGCCTAGCCAAAACTACATCTGAGTCCGTCATAACCTGTAGTGTTGCATATGGACTTAAAACTTGATTAAAAATAATAATAAAACCCTCGTTTTGTTCTTGGTGTGCTCTGTCTACAGGTGATGTGGAAAAGAAAAAGCAAGTACCAGGCCGCGCTGCGAACAAGGATCTTTATCCCTGGATCCGGTGGGGGCGAACTACAGTGAAAGTGAAATACTATGTAGATTTTGAATCTTTAGCTCCGGAAGGATTGGATTGGTAGATTCATTACCTCCTAAAACTAAGCAGTCTTCTACTTCACACTTCGCAAAAACCTATTGTGGGCTACTAATGATCAGTATGGATTGCGTTGCGCACGATGTCTCATTTGGGTGTTAACGGTTTAAAGAACAGAATAGAATACTTCTCTAGCTACAGGGGTATGTTGTTCGTAATGAGGAAAGAATAGCCGGGCTGACAGTCAGCGGTGGATCCTCTGCAGGGGCCTTCCTCTAGGCTTCAGCTCTCAAACTCGCATTGACTCGCGTTGGCTCGCGTTGGCTCGCGTTGGCTCGCGTTGACTCGCGTTTGACTCGCGTTGACTCGCGTTGACTCGTGTTGACTCGCGTTGGGCTCGCGCAGCTCGCTCCCGCAATTCGATCACGTGAGGGAGTAAAGCGGCGATGCTCTTGTTCCACTCCCGTCAAAGGCCAGAAATGAATTCTAAGGAGATGCATTTTCGCGAACAAGTATATAGGTAGTATTTCCTGCCAACATCGCCAGCTACCTAGCGCCCTTATAAGTCGTGAAATGTATTCAATATTGATACTTAGGTATACTATATCAACCAATATAACAAAGGGCAACCAAAACTTGCCTCATATCCATGGATAAACACCTAACACCGATAATGCAAATCGATATCATGACCGTTATAAACATTAAACAACCAGGGTATAAATGCACTACTCCTGAATCGTAATCACCGATTATATACCTTTCTTTTTCCGATCATATCATTTCATCAAAACACTGAACTCCTCTTTTTACTCAAGCGATTCGAATCACCACCATCCGATGGCTTGAATAGATTGAAAATGCTCCTTCGTTCCTTCAACCGCGGAATCTCTGGAGTAGAAGCTGTTGGATGCGCGTTTGGAACACCAAGATAAGACATTGAAGACTGCGGCCGGGGATGAGGTTGGGGTGGACGTAAATTGACTGTAGAATGATATCCGGCCGATGGCTGCATATATGGACCTGGTCGCGGTGGTTGCTGTGGCGGGGTGGGCATATAATGCGAGTACCGGGCCTGATGACTCGGATTCGTATGTGATGACGATGAAACTATAATAGCTGGACTAGCAGAATGACGCTGAGAATGGTTCGGCCTTTGTTGACGACTCTTCTCATCTTCCTTTCCGTACATTTTCTTTAATCGTTCGGTTTCTTTGTCGATTTCTGCTTGCTTCTTGCGTTGAGCTCTCTGCTCGGCTTCTAGAAGTTTCCTGGTTCTGCGTTCCTCTTCTTCTGCTTTCCGACGTCTTTCCTTCCTTGCTGCTTCCTCTTGCTGTTTGATTCGTGCGTTCTCGGCATCTATCTCCCACTTTGCCCGTGGGTCGAGACTCTGGTGGTTTGGTGGTGGTCTAGTGTCACGTAGTGGTAGTGCGGTAGTGGGCCGAGGTGGATTGCTGTTCACATTTGCAGCTGCAGCGGGCTTCTTAGTATTGGTATTGTTTGGAACGGTAGGGACCGCCGCTGCAGCCGAATTGGTCCTGGATGAGGTAGGCGAGCTGACAACATTGAACGCATCCTTGAGCGGAGCAAAGAACACATCTCGAATGACGACGGCACCCAACATCAACACCACCTCTAGACCCTTGAAATCTTCCATTTCGACCCGATACAAATTCGGCTCATAGAGAGTGATTTCCTTCAACCCTTTGAATATTGAAACAGTAATGTCCGGCTCCTTGTTCTTTTTTCGTCCATCGGGAGTTGTGGTTTTCCCCGAAAGATAGCATGCAAAATCCTTTGATAACGATCCATCTTTCCTCCATACGAACTTGAGTTTGGGTGTCACCTCCGACGCAGCCGGACCTGACTGTATTTGATCCAAAGTAGAATTTGAGGGCTGCTTGAATGATTGTTGAGGCATTTCAAACTCCCATGATGGCTGCGAATTCCATGTCTTGGGCTTGTGACGTACTATGACTTCCTGGTCCGGGTTGTATAAATGAACGGTGAATTGAGATGGCATTATGGGTTCCGGTGGAGGCGGTGCACCTCCATTTTGACGGATCGCTTCTGCAGACAGAGTCGGCTGCGTCCACTCTGGTATAATGAGGACTTCTCCATATAGCACATCGGGAATGTAGGGGTCGTAGAGAGCAACGGCGTAGCGGTTTCGTGAGGCGGGATCGGTGGGATCGAGGCGGCGCAATGTATAGGCAGGTTCGGGCTCATCACCGTGTTGTGTGAATAGAACGTTGTTGGACTTTTTTTTCTTATCGTTACTTAGGTAGAAGGCTGTTGCTGTTAGACACGTTCTTCAAGGAAATGGCGGAGAGGGGTCATGACGTAGACGTACTGGGGAGATTCTCGTCCAACATAATGAATTCTCATGGATACTCAGCTTTGATTTACCCAGCTATATGAATTAATCAATCATCTGATGCTTGTATCATTGAGCATTGATTAAAGGAGATTGACTCGTTGATATAAGGAGTGTAATGCGGAGTGAGCCTTGGCCAGACTCGGACTCTTCAGTGGAGCCTTCTGCAGACTCCGCCACGGCCCTATTTTTAGTTCCTATGACGATTATTATTGGATGGGTTATTGTCCTGAAGATCAGGACGCATTGTCCCGTCATATTATTGTTGAGACACATGGAAGCACGAAGGAGTGAATTCTACTGGCCGAGTGTGAAGCCCCCTTATCTAAGCGGACTAGCCCTAATTTCACGTGATCAATATACACATACACCAAGACATTCAATATCTTCTTTCTGATAGAAGACACTTTCCTGAGTATAAGCTGTAGACCGATTGATCCGAAACGCATCCTGTCCTGACAGATTATGGAGCACGTCGGATGGGGCTATGATGGATCAACATTCTAAATCAGGCATACAAACGCTGCTGCCTTGCGAACGCGTAACGCAGCGACATAATCAGGATGCATTGAATGCGTCGTGCAGTCCTTGGTCCTTTTCAATGGTCAATTCCACCTTCTATTTGTCTAGTCTGTATGATCTATGTATATTCCAGAACAAACAATGCAATCTAAATGCGACTACCATTAACCTCTTCTCCTTCACCCACTTTTCCCTCCTCGCGCTCTTGCGCACTAGCCTGCAACCCCTGCTTCTCCCAGCCATCAATACCCTTGCGGTAAAGCACTTTTTGTTCCTCTCGCGAAGGCGCCTGGGCGGGCTTTCCACGACGCTGACGAGATTCAGGTGTCTCGACGATTGTGAGATCATCGCCTCCTTCTACTTTGTTGCCTTCGATGTCTTCAGTGTCGATGGTTTCGGAGAATTTGTATGTGCGGTATTCTGTGTTTACCCAACCGGTGCCTGTAGAGACATGTCAGCAAGCTCGGTACCTCGAGACGGAATTGAATTGTAGGTCTTACCTTGGTACATGCTACCATCTTCCCAATCTTCGGTTAGATAGTGAAGTAAACCACCGTGTGTGACGAGGATGATTTGCTTTTCAGGACGGGCTTTGAGCCATTTTCGAACTTCCCGGGCCCTGTTCCTCAGAGCGCTAATAGTAGGCGCATATTTGCCTTTCTATATAGGCAATCAATACTCTGGAATGTTACCCAAAGACAAAGAAAAATACCTTGCTGTTCCAACCCTCATGCACCAAGGAAATATCTACCGGCAATCCACGATCGACAAACTCCTTTTGTAACACAGCGGGATCACTTCCAGTATCACAAGGTACGTCGCTCGTCTCTTGCGCTTCGGGGATACAAAGAACTTTGAAATCCGGGTGCGCCTTGAAGACGGGCTGAAAACTAAGCAATGCGGTATGGATAGTCCGGCGCAATGGAGAGGCAGCGATCAACTCGATTTCAGAGTGATAGGGAAAGCTTTCCTTGAGTTTGGCGCATTGTTGTTCGCCTAATGGTGTGAGTTCTGGGTCGGGGAGGATATGGTTGGCGGTTGAGAGGTTGTGGTAGCCCTGTTAACAGTTGGTCAGCTGGCTTCCATAGACTGAATTCATACGAATTGAGATGTACTTGAGCATGCCGCACAAAGTGAACAATCGGAGCCATGGTATCGTAACGCGATTGTCAATAAGCCTCTTCAATGGACGTCAGCGGGGTTATCGCGGGGTTGATCAAGTATAGCGAACGTGATGAACGAAACGAAGAAATTGAAATGAAATAGAGAAAATGACTTCTTTATGTACAATGATTGAAACGCTCCAAGTCACACCACATCAAAAGAAATTTTCTAGTTTCTTGGTGGAACAAGATGAGATCATCCAACGAATGCGCCAGATTTGCCTCCGTGCTAACCCTAAGATTTTAGTAAGGAATGAGTCACTCTGCTCACCGAAAGTTCGGCGTCATCTCCGATTTATAGCCCTAACCCTGTATTTACTACCAAGGTTGTTTACAAAACTCATGTATAAGCCGGAGTTTAGGAATATGAGGTAGTGTACAGCAGTAGATGGACAAGGTATAATCCTTAGTATATAACTTTGATAATAATATTACATGTGCAATATTGCAATAGTGGCGTCTGATCCCTAAAATATTGGATAAGGCTATATTATATAAATGCCTGAACATCCAGAGTCACTAGAAATTGCCAAAGCCGCGCGAATTCTTCAAAGCCATATCGAGATTCAATTGCAGAGCTTTTGCATCCGTATACTCCGGTAACAATAGTCGGCCGTAACACGTGTAGCTCGTCGGAAGGCGCTATCAGAATCACTCATTAGTACCTTTCTCGACCTCACAAGGAGGAAAATAACTTACATCATTCCCAGAACCATTCCTCTGAATCACGAAATTAATACTGGAAATACCGCTAACCGGAACTCGATCACTGGCAGTGACGAATTCGAGTAGCCGAGCCTTTTGTTCACGTGAATATTTCTTGACGATATCCCAGAACGCGACGATCAGAGGATGATCACAGTCCCAGCCTCCGTCGTAAGTGGCATTGCGTTGCAGTTCGTCCACATCAATCTCCTGGGTGCCTTCGATCACTGTCTGGAGGATTTCAGGGGTGAACAGTGCAAGCGATGAACGGTCTATGCAGGTGAAGAATCCTCGAGCAAATGCTTCGTATTGTGGGCGAATGGATTTGTCCGTCAACCAGAATATATAATCCTTGACGTACTGCTCGCGATTCTCGTTGGTCACCAGACTTGCTTCTTCTATATCCTCCTGAATTGGAAATGTGTTCAAAGCAGTGTTGTAGTCGGCGCCTTTGAGAATGCCAGTTTTGAATGAGCCAATGTCGCTATCAACATGCCCTTCCGATACTTCGCCAGAATCCTTATGTCCTTGAACTTCAACCGAGTAATTGGAAACACTGCTGCGCCTTCTCTCCCGACTCGGGACTCGCTCAAGTATCGGCCATTCGGCATCCCGTTCGATCTGCTCCATATTCACCGTCCGCACACTGCCGAAGGCTTCAAAGCTGAACTCATAGCTTCGCACAAAAACATCTCCAACATCGCCTTCACTCCAAGTCAATAGACTCTCTAATCCCTTGGCAAGATCGGGCCAGCCGTCACGGATATCTTCGGTAAGCTTGATTTTCAGATCGAGGAGTTTGCGATAGAAAGCAAGAGGAAACGTCACAGGAAGCGTTAAACCATTATATACAGCTAACGACATTAGTATGCCCACGAGTTCAAAATGGTCTAAACTTTCAGGCGAGCATGGTTGAAACCATGTCATGCGAGTGGTAGGATCAACGGTAAACATCCCATGCTCTGGATTCACCGCCTCAGCGAATGCCATCGTCATAAACTCCTGCTGGACACCACCAAGATCGACTCCTTCTTCACCAAGATCTGTCCCTAGCTTGACTTTCAGAGGTTTAAGAAGTTCTCGTCGTTCACGACGCCAGATCTGATTGAATGCGTCTTCAAGCACATATTCGCGCCGTACAGAAATGACAAAGTACTGATTCATCGATGTATGCAGACGAGCCAGAAGGTTAATCTCATCCGCAACCTGGATGGTGCGGCTGAAGGCCGTTTTGCTTGCCTGTCGTTGTGCAATCATTCCCGCTTCATACGCCTTTGACATGGCCGCAAAATTGATGGCTCGGAAGTACTTGGCTAGGGCAGCTGGGCGAAATAGGAATGTAAACGACAGGAGATGCATTGTCCGGTTGTTTGAAGCTCGGTTGAGCCATTCAACGGGCATTTCCATTGTATCTAGCCTTTCCGAAAGAAAGCTCGTATAGAAAGCCTCAGCTTCGAGACCGAGACGCTTTCGATTTTTATACATCGAGGAGAGTATCTGAATCGCGCCACCCGCTGCGTCTGACCTGGCAATTTCTGGCCTACCATCCCATTCTTTGAGGAACAACGTTCGGATCCACTCAACAATCATAGCTGCAGCGACCGGTGTATCAATGGCAACGGCCATATCATGACCATCGGTTTCTTTCTTCAGGGACTCATGATGCTCGCGGAGATTATCAAAAAGGAGATCCAAGACACTCCGCTCATGTCGCTTTTTGATGTCGGTGATGGAGAAATTCTTGGCTTTGGATATCTCATGAAATGCTAGTCGAGCTGTAAGAGCGCGCACCAAGCGGTGAACAAGCCGCAATGCAAGGTCATGCTCCAATTTATCCGTAACATTCAGGATCAGATCGATATCCTCCGCAGGCAACTTTCGCATTTGGGCGTCCGGCAAGACTGTTCCGGCCTCACGTATTTGTTGGATGCCTCGCCAAGTTTGCGAGTCGACTTTCGGCAAAAATGTTACCAGTGTGAAGAAGACAACCGTTAGCATGTGAGCAGCATCTGCATCAGAAAGCGGTTCATCCGGCGCGGAGGATTGGGAGACGCCGGACTTGTCTGATTGATGGTACGACGCGCGCCGATTGGCTCTAAATGCTATAGGCATATTTCTAGGAGGGACAAATAATTGTTCCAGAGAGTTCCACAGGCTATTCAAAACCAGGTCACTGGGGCACATATCCTGGATTTTTCGTAGTGTAGACTCTAAGGTCTGCAGATCAACAGTCGCGCCGTCACTGTGTCGCGAGTGCTGTGACGATGCACGTTTTCGCCGAAAAGACTTTATCAGTTGTCGACTACTACTTAAGCCGAAAAACACGGATTGGGCAACAAAAGGGAACACCTCACGTTGACGAGGCGTCGCATAACGCCATATATAGTTGTCAGACCTTCCTTGAGTATTCATATGATCAAGTTCCTCTTCCCATTTCTCGGCGTCTTCTTTGGTTTGGGCTAAAAGCTCGAAAAGGCCGTCCACTATTTCAACATTCAGATGGCTGACTGTATCAACTGACATTGCTGGGCATGGAAAACTCTGTATGCTCGGAGGTTTTAAATCAGGAACTTCAGAGGATGAAAAATTCGGTGCCTCTTTCTCTATTACCTCGTCGTTAACATCCGAAAGTACGCATGTCTCTCTCAGAAGCTTTGATCCGTCCCAAGAGACACGCCTAGTTTGCTTCGGTGCTTTAGATGTAGTGTCGTTTGAGGGTTTGTTTCCCTTGGATGCACGATGCTTAAGAACAGGAGGTGGAGTGGGAATATTGTGTTGAGAATAAGTCCGAGACGGTGTGGTTCTGGAAGTGCTCGTCCGACCGTCTCGCGATTTGATCTCCATACTACTTCGAGATGTTGGCCGCCATGTTTCGGCCTCTTCCAGTGTTACGCGCTTCAAAGTTTGTGCGGTGGATTTCCGGTCAAGGTTCGAATTCGAGCGTCGCTTTGGCCGACCGGAAGGTGTCGTTACTTCGACCGCGCCAGCATTGTTGTTGGTAGATTGAATGTGCACTCGTCGTGACTTACTATTGCTTTCGTACTCTTTGAAGTCTCCCGAATGCGTTTGGCTTTTGTGTGATCGAGAAGTGGGAGTAGACCAGCCCGGGGCATCGGTAGTCGTCTGGCGCAACGGAAGCCATTCAACCATTCTCAACGACAAGGTATCAAAAAGATTTTGTGTGAAAGACTTTGGGTCTTTTGTTCTTGACATACCAGATGGGTGTGGGTCTCGAGAGGAGTGCCCGACATTATCGGCCGGTGGCGGAGGCGCCGGGTTGGTACTTGACGAATGTCGGTGGGATTCCATATGGGCTTCATTTTCTGGATATTCTGCTTGTTGTGACTTCCTTCCTGAACTATATGCATGGTATTCCACATGAGGGGTGTGACGGGTTGGCGAGAAGTCGGCAGCTGGCCGTGGCGGGTTGCGACAGAGTGCTTTCTCCGGGTTATCCTGACTGGCCAGATAGCATGCCAATGTACGCGCACTGAGCTCGGTATAGGGCCGAAAGGGCCCTTCTGTAACTCTTCTTTGATAGTTTAGGCAGGTTGGTGTTCGACAATTGGGGTTTTCGCAACCGTAGATGATCTGGTGTTTATACCTAACAAAGCAGAACCGTTTAGCATAACTAGTCTCAAAACATACACTCGGCCTGCACTTACCTGCGGACTAGAGAATTGAAGTTTCTGCGCCGTTCATCCTTGTATTGCATAAGAATATGGGCAGTGTCATCGATGCTGATAGTATGCTTGACGATAATATCTGGAGAGTGCGATGGCAGCTTGGAGCGGCGAGGGATCTGACTGCCCGCAGGGGATTCCCTAGAATCCAAAGATGCCCCCCTCATTTTTGCCATTTATGCGATGACTATCATGGTGTGTATAGGCGCTATAGGTGTATATATTGCGATAGGTCAGATCGAGCTTCGAAAAATAGATTTTGTGATGCAGGTGTTGTTTATGATCGGATGGGAGTTCACAGCCTCATCGGGCGCGCGAGATGATGCACTCCCTCCGAATGCGGTAAGGCTCCGAATCTCCCAAGTTTTATGAGTTTGACCAATCATATTTTACGATTGTGCATTGTACGAAATTTCGAGATAACATATGTACCACGTGACAAAGAGACGATGCTACCACATATTTTGGCCTGATCTCGTCTAATAAAAAAATCGAAACGAGGATGAGGGAAAAAAGAAGACAAACTCCGAAACGGGGAATCGAACCCCGAGCTGCCGTGATATCTTGGTAGATGAGAGACGGCGATGTTACCTTTACACCATTTCGGATGTGTTTCATGTAAGGGTAACGATTTTATCGGTACGTATGTCCTATAGGAGGAAATGCTGACCCCAGTTCGTGTATATATTGTCAAAAGATATAGGTGCTACGGTACTCCTTGTCAGCATGTATTAACATATCTTTGTCACTGACTGTTGCCTCATCGCCTGCAACCTTCTGATGTTCCGATAGATACCGGATAGCCTCTTGGAGAATATAAAAGCTGCAAATGGGCACGGGAGAATCAGGCTCTTGCTGAGCGTGCGTGATGGCGTCAATTGTCATGTTGCAGGCCGAATTAATAGCAGTCCAGGATAGGTTCCTTGCTTGATAGTTGCTCTCATTTCCAGACGTTGGAAGAGCATCGAATATAGACCAATGGAGAAGAAATAGTGCCCTAATAAACGGTTGTTGGTGAAAGGTTACTCTGAAACCATTGCAAGTTATCCTTACCTGATGGAGAAAGCCACTGAACTGCATAGACTTGTCTTTTTCTGGCGACTTTCTTCTAGGAGCATGGCTAGAAAGTTACGGATCATACCATCTAGCTCCACTGCCCCTTGAAGTATGCCTTGTGTAATACCTGTCTTTGATGCAGTGCGGACAACCTCTAGCACGTTATCTAGTAAGAAGATCGCCTGTGCTTGGCGTCCAAACCAACTGACATTGCCAGTCTCTAAACAAGACAGCGTGGCTGATATCGAGCTCTGGTAGTCAATTGACTGGCTCAAAGAGGAATCCGAAGGTAATAAATCCAAGGGTAGCTGGCAGTCTATATTGGGATACCCTGTAAGGGGTCGTATAGCTTTAGGGTTCAGCTCAACCAATATGATCCTGAGATAGTTCAGTAATCTGGCATGATTCCAATCACTCGAAAATGCCCATACCTTTCCAGCATTATAACAGCCCATGCCACATTCCTCTTCACTATCTCCACCAAGTTGGTAATAATGTTGCTTTGATAAGGCGCAGACTTCTCCAACAGCTCGTCCCCGACTCCCAAAATTCGCGCTAAGCTGGAACATGCATTAATGGAAGAGTACGCCGCCTCTGGGCGAGCCCGAGTATACTCCCAGATAGTTACGATGAACATGACCTGGACCAGGGCAAAAGATGGAGATATGGCAGTCTGGATTTGAGCGATGAGAGACTTGACTTTGACGTAAAGCTGTTCTTGGTCTGATAAGGAAAGATTTGTGGGCCGATGATGACCCGGCAGGGTGATTGCAAGAAACATAGCTAGAACCAGGATGGAATAATCGGTGGAAGGAGAGATACTGCCTCCATGTGCGTACTTTGACTGGGCTTGATAGAATAGTTCTGGAGATATAATAGGGTATAGTCGGTGAAATGAGTCGAAGTAGCGTTTACTAATGTCCTCCGCGGTAAGATTCGCGAGATTGAGCACATCACGAACTTGCTGATACAGTGATTCGTGGATTGACTGAGATATTGAAGCGGTCACAGATGGAGTGTCAGGGCTCGAGGCGCTATTCACGATCGAGATTGGACTAATCGGGGCGTTCAAAGTTCCGGAAGCCACAAAGTATTTGCCAGGGTTGTATGGCCGGAAGCTTCTCTCCTTCCTTGCAGGACCATCATATTTGCATGATAGGCCACGTTTGGCGCAGAAGCCACAAGCTGGCAACGCCTTATCGCAGCCTTTTTTGCGTGCGCTGCAAGTGGTGCAGACGAATTGTGCGCGTTCCATCTCGACAATTTTGGCAGTAGACTCACGATGGTACATAAATAGAAATGCCTCAAGGAGATTAGACAGCTGCCCAATCGCGAAGTGCTCGTCAGTCCCTTATCCCGATTCAGACTGATCCTGATGAAGTGGAGATGAGTTCCCACACATGGAAGCGGGGAGATCGTTGGAGGTGGAGGATGATAGCGCCGAGTACGGCGGCCGACGCTTGCCATTTCAGGCATGCCCCACCCGCTGAGTTCCCACAATCAGCCGCAGCGTGGTCAGAACGTCCAATCACAGCTGCAGATCTCATGTCGACCGCCACCAACCTGATCGAGATAGATCAGATTAAGCATCAAGATCAGAATAACCTTGACAGCAGCAGTATCTAATTCATAATGATAAACCGGATTAGAAATCAGCGACGACATGGGGCATTCTCAGTACCTAGAGTCCCAATCGCCTGTATAAATAGAGGGTGTTCGACCCAGGAGAGTTGAATCATTTCTATCATTCAGACACAAGCATTCTAAGACTATTCACAATATCCTTTCAAACATCTTCTACTATCAAACATCACTTACTGTCAAAATGGCATCTACATCCACCGTGTCAGAAGAATCAAGAATCCGCAGCCAATGGATTGAATAGATAGTGTTACACTACTGCACTACGGAAGCAAGGATTATCCGAAACCATTAGGGTTAGGGTAACAGAGCGAGCAGAGCGAGGCTCTGTTGTGTCGACAGATTTCCCTGATGGAAAATCTGATGGCTATGTTGATGATGGAATATATAAGGACACTCATTACAGCATGTATTTAGTTTTATTCTATCGTCTTGAATTAACCGTGCTAAGTACCCCTTAGCTTTGACAACTTGAGTATACGTTCTTCTATCGAACCGGATATTCATCCTTTTGTTAAGACTTTGCTTTCAAGAAGCCTTTCGTACTTAGAAGCCTTATAACTTCAGCGTGTTATAAGCTATCCGAGATATACTCGACGGTAGTTTGACCGAAGTTTCCGACACACCGAAACTACTAAGCTTCTGCTTGTGCAGAAAGGCGGTCCTTTCGAGGTCAAAAAGACCCCTCAGCACGATGTGAAACCCGATCAGGTCCTCATTCGCCAGCGTGCAATCGCTCTCAACGGTCTCGACCCCTTGCAGCGCGATCTCGGAGTGAACATCCAGACATGGCCATACGTGCTTGGCGTTGAAGGCGCTGGCGTCATTGAGGCCATCGGATCGGAGGTCGAGGGTTTCCAGGTCGGCGACGAAGTGCTAGCCTGGGAGTTGTCTGTTGAGGGCTGGGGTGGTGCATACCAAGAGCACGTTGTCGTCCCAGCACGATTTGTCGCCAAGAAGCCGAAGAATATTAGCATCGAGGAAGCCGCATCTCTACCGTAAGTTTTCGATATCAAGATTAGAACTTCTGAAGATTCGTGAACTGATTTTGTAATAGCATCTGCTACAACGCAGCCATCTGTACCATGTTTGCCTTGAAGCTCAGGATTCCCATCCCCAACTTCCGTGGCGCATCGAACTCGGAAGGAGAGCCTGAGCCAAAGTCGATTCTTGTTCTGGGCGGCAGCTCGGTGGTCGGTGCCAGTGCCATCCAGCTCCTCCGGCTCGCATACCCGTCGGTACCCATTTTCGCAACGAGTTCCCCCGCGCATCATGCTCACCTGCTTTCGTTGGGAGCAACAAAAGTTTTTGATTACCACAGCCCTACCATGGTATCAGACATCAAAGCAGCATCACCAGAATCTCGTGGCGTCGACATGATTTTCGATGTCGTAGGAGCCGGCGCCTCACAGACGGACATCTGCGATACATTTGACCCTAATGGGATTAAGAAATATGGAGCTCTCGTCACAGCCAAGACAGTAACGGTACCTGAAGGAGTCACCAAGTTCGAATCTGGCGGATGGACACTACTTGGAATGCCTGGGCAGGAGCAAGTGATCCCTGCTCTTGCGCAGTTGGTCGAAGAAGGAAAATATAAAGTGCCTTTATCAGTCAAGGTGGTCGGACATGGATTGGAGCAGATACCTGATGTGATGGATCAGGTCAGGAGTGTAAGTGGGGAGAAGTTGATCGTGACATTGTGAAACAGATTGATCAGATTTCATATACGTAGTACTTAATAGAATGTATGTCGTTGAATTAATGATTAATTCGTTTTTTTTTTGGAAAGAACAAAAATCCTTATCGACAGTACTTATCTTATCTATTGTAACCGATCACATGATGTTATCGCCTATCCGCCACCTTATCAGCTAGGCAACCCCGCAGGAGAGCCACAATTCGACGAAGAAAATTATCACCAAATTCTTAGTCATCGGCGAAAGGCAGTGCCTGATTTCAAAGCACAACAACATCTCTGCGCCTAAATAATTCATATTTGCCTCTGAACTACAACTTCCTCGAGTTTCAGCAGCAGGTTGTTTTATCACTTTTAACCTCCTTTTGTACGAGATTCTAAATCATCGAAACTATCAAACCCTCCTTCCCTCCTTCCGATTTGAATATTGAATACACACAAAAATGGGAGATTCTCTTCCATACACCTGCAACGCATGCCTGGTGGCGTTCCGTACTAGCGATGCTCAAAGGGAACACATGCGCCGAGATTGGCAGTAAGTGGGCTATTATAGATGGGAGTCAATTCATCACTAATGCTCTTTCCATAGTTTGTACAATGTCAAGCGACGAGTTGCATCTCTACCTCCTGTATCGCAAGAAGTCTTCACCGAGAAAGTTTTGACTGCCAGGGTCACCACCTCAGCCGCCGCGGCGAAAGCCTCATTCGAGAAGACATGTGAAGCATGCCAGAAGTCGTTTTATAGTGAAAACTCGTATCAGAACCATCTACAGAGCTCCAAACATAAGCTTCGTGAAAAGGCACTGAAGAAGAAGGGAGGCCTTGCTGACGATACTTCTTCTGTTATGAGCTCTACATTCTCGCTCGGTGACCCTATTAACAAGTCCGTGGCAGGAGATAACGAATCTACCGTTTCCAATGTCACAGAGAAATTGAAAAATACCGCTATCAAAGAGGCAGAGAATGAGGATGAAGATATGGAAGAAAAGGATGAAGAGGAGAAAACAGAAGAATATTCCTCGACAAAATGTTTGTTTTGCACCGAAGAAGCCGGAGATCTCCAGGCGAATGTCGAGCACATGTTCAAGGTTCATGGAATGTTCATTCCGGAGAAGGATTACCTGGCGGATCTTGATGGGCTTATACGTTATTTGCATGCGAAGATTAGTGAGAATCACGAGTGTCTCCTTTGCCACGCTATCAGGACCACTGCCGCCGGTATCCGCACCCACATGCGCGACAAGAGTCATTGTATGATTGCCTTTGAGACCGAGGAAGAACAAGTAGAAATCGGCCAGTTCTACGATTTCCGAAGCACATACTCTGATGACGAGGAGGAGGATGAGGATATAACAGATGATGCAGGTGGTGTACCCATCACAAGCTCAGATGCAGACGAAGCCGGCTGGGAAACAGACGACAGCTCCGTCGACTCTGATCCACAGCAAAAACCCTTCCGCGGCTCTCAACCTATTTATCAAACAGATTATGAACTACATCTACCGTCTGGCCGAAGTGTCGGCCATCGATCATTGGCCAAATACTACCGTCAAAATCTACACAGCTATCCTAGCCTGGAAGAACGGGCCGCTGCTCGCCAACTAGCTATTGAGAACGGAACTGCAGACAAAGATGGGGAAGGAGAGACTACAACAATCAAACGCAATGAGCATAAAGCTATCATCTCTCGCGCAAATGGAGGGTTGGGTCTGGTTGGGGCCTCTGCACAGCAAAGAACAGAGGCCCTTGAAATTGAAAGGAGGGAACGGACTCGTGCTCAACGCGAGGAGCGGAAGATCACTGCAAAGGTTAATAGACAAGCTAATAGCCAGAAACATTTCAGGGTATGTCATCTCCTGTTCTCTGCTTTTTGGGTGTGCATGACTAACTTTATTAGGATCCACTCCTTCAATGATTATTATTGCCTTTTTTTTCGTTGCATGGGATGGTTATTTTTGTATATAGCAAATGATGAATGTTTTGTCTTTCATGAATACTTCCGAGACTTTGGCATATTGCAGCTTACTGTTTTGCATAGAATCAAGAGGAAAAAGGTGATGTAGATACATGACAGGTTTGAATGATAAAATGATATATGGCTATTCCAAGGTTCCTGTACCCTTCTGCTTACACCCTGTGAATGGACCTTTCCTATGAACAAGATACACCCACTATGACGTTAGAACAGCTTTGTCGAATTCTCAGTTAAACAGCTATCTTCACACTCGTTAGGTAACAGCCTTTCCCTTTCTAAAGACCAAAGTATACATGAGCACAACGTAATGTCATGTTTGCCAGATAACATCATTACACCGAAAATACAGCCTTCGCAAATATGTCTGGAAACCGAAAATACATGAACAGAAAGAGCAGAAATATTATGCATACAGATCACGGCGGTAAAAGAGGTGCATTCTCAGGGTCATCGCCTTGCCTCTTCTTCTTACGGCGTCGACGTTTCTTCTTGGTTGTACTCGCGGCTCCACCGTCCTGGTCAGAGTCGATCGCTTGTTCGTAGGATAGCTCTGTCGTCTCTTGATGTCGGTAATGATGGTGGTGATGTTGTTGTGAAGTAGGAGAAGTTTTGCCATTGCTTGTGGATTGTTCATCACCCGATGAACTGCTACTGGTCGTTTGGAGGACAACTTTGCGTACTCCATTGAGATCAACCACTTGTTCGGTAATACTTCCACTTCGAGCGGGGCCGGGTTTGAAGGCACCGCTTCGTCGTGCTTCATCGGAATGAAGACTACTGGGTTTGCTTCGGTTTGGTGTACGCGGAGGAGAATATTTTGGAGTTCTGTTGTCCCTCTCATATTGGGATTCTGGAATGGCGTCTTTGATGTGGGTTTTCTGATCATCATCTAGAGGAGATATCACCGTGGCCACGCCACCATCAATCGTGCCATAACCTTGCTGTACAGCGTGGACGCCGTCTTTTGCTTTGAAAGACGGTGATCCGAGTAGTTTTGAGCCTATACCGCTACCATTACTTGCCACTTCAGAAGGACGTCTAAGTTGCTCGCCCATAAGTCTTCCTGATTCCGAGTCTGTGAGGCCTGACCGAGTAGGCGACGTTCCGGGAGCTTTAATCTTGACAGTTTGATAGCGTGTCTGTCGAGGCCGACTTGCCAAGTTGGAAGGCCCCAGATGTTTTAAATGTTCACGAATTTCATCCGTTCCCCTCTTTACGACCAGTTGTTCTGGGGCGCCGAAATTGTTTCGAAGAGTGAATTTAGGCCCAAGAGGCTGCACCACGGTTGAACTAAGTCTTCGAGGTTCACTACCAGCGCTCTGAACCTTTGACAAATCGAGGTTGGCATTATGATCATCGACTGTAGTATTTGGCAAGGAAGGAGGTTCTTCAACAATGCGGCCCTTTGGAACTCGTGCTTTTGGCGCGGGGGCCAGTCGTCTGATCGCCTTGTGCACGTCAATGAATACATCGGACTCATCAATGATTTCCCTGTAAACGAGTTCAGTATCGAAAGAGATTGAGTTTACTAGGGCATTAGAACGTACTCGCCAATGAGCTCTTCAATGACATCTTCCAATGTGACAACACCGAGAGCACCGTGGTCCTCACCTGGGTAATCAGATACAAGAACCATGTGAGACTTGCCTTCCTGGAAGAAATTGACAATATCCAAACAGCTTGTTTCTGGGCGTGTTTCCGGCAGAGTGGCAAGTGCGAAGTCGCGGACCTGCTTGCAGTCTTCTGGGTCGTAGGTAATGAGCATTTTGACAAGCAGCATGCCAACGAAGTTGTGCTCATTGTCAGTCGCATGTATGGGAATACGAGAGTAACCCTGTGATAGAATAAGGTCCATCATTTCTTCATCCAGCACTGTATCCACAGACATGGTAAAGACATCGTCCATTGGTGTCATTATACTCCCGACAGACTTCTCTTTCAAATCTAAGCATGCACTGATGATAGTGACTTCGTCGGAGTTAAGTTGTTCACCAGCGGCACCCAAAGATTTGTGTAAAGTCACCAAAGTCTTCAAGCCGGCTTTTTTGTACACAGTTCCATGGTCTTCGCCTAGGAGTCTGTCGAGAAGTTTGGCAACAGGCCATGCTACTGGAGACATGAGGTACATAAGTATCAGGACGAAGGGTGCCATCCATGCCCCAATTGGTAAACCATAGCGAACGCAGATCGATTGTGGAACGACTTCGCCGAAGATGACTATACCTAGTCAGCGGACTGAATAAGTTAATGGGCTAGTGTGGTGACCATACCAATTAACACGGTACTCCCCACCACTGCTGGCCAACCACCTCCTAGAGAGCGATCCAGCACGATAGGGAGTGTTTCGTTTGTTATGACATTGCTGAGCAATAACGTTACGAGAACCCAGTGTTTCCCCCTCTTTAGAAGCCGAAGCACAGCTTCAGCGTTCTTTCTCTCTGATTCTTCGCCTGAGGATGCGATGACTTGGAGGTAGATCTCATCCTAGATTGAGCAATTGATAAGCGACTGTCCCACGTAGAAAAAAAAATCGTGTATGGGTGAACCAAGGAATACTAACCTGGCCCATTAACGCGATAGTCAATCCTGCAAAGGCCCCGCCCGCCAGAACTAGGAAAATCGAGATTCCTAGATACAGCCATAACTCCGGATCTTCAGGATCCTTCCCATCAGCATCATGTTTGGCCCATATCCCATGGAGAGCCGTAGGAGCAGCCGTCGTCAATGCCGGAATTTGAGCGAGGAGCAAGAAGAAAATCTTGGCAAGACCGAGAGTGGCTGGCCGACTGGCCAAGTACGGATTCATCGAAGTAGCACTTCGCATTATTGGAGCTCCATAGCTTTCGATTCAAAGTCTTCTTTCCAAATATTTGCAAGGTGTCATCAATGTCGGGGGAAAAGCGCGCAATGGAAGCGACCTTAAAGAGTGAAGTTATCTCTTCTCTTTCTTTGCCAATGACACTCGCCGCTTCCGCAGTGTGCATCATTTTGCCGTGTCACACCGCCTCCATATTATATCTTTCTTTCAGATTGCGATGTCTACGCTTTTCTGAAGCAGGAACAGCTCTACAAAGCTCGGCTAAACCCGAGAGATGATGCTGGAAACAATGCATTCAGAGTGAAGGTTGAGTGTCAAATCTCTCGGCTTTTTCCACAGGATGCTGACACGATCCTCTCTACTCGATGGCTCTGACCAGCTCTGTGCCGCTGTGCGTATGTCCAGGCTCTAGACCATTATTCTTTTCAACACACAAATTGATCTTATCAATGTTTCTCTATCTAATCATTGCTGATCTGGATTATTGATGAGATTTCTCGGAGATAAACACCGCTAATTATTTAGTAGCTGATTTCTGCCGGAATTCTCAGGTGTCAACAAAGATTCCCACTGGGTTGTTCTCGGTTATCCGCGGCGTTCGTCGTCCTTTCTTTGCGAACGTCAATTGACGACTTCTTCTTTCCTTTTCTCTCTTGCAAATGTAAATGTAAACTCGCCTCTCACCAGGTTCATGACACTTTCTGAGTCGCATGTACAATCATGAGCATCCGTGGTGCTGGTCGGCGTCTTGCACGCCAGTGCAACCCTGGTTATAGATCCTACTCCTCTGCCGCAACACCCTCCGCTCGTTTGAATCTACCTATCGACTACAAATCTACTCCTCTTTTACACCATGGCCCGTCGTCGATATCTAGCTCACGGGAGCTACCTCAGTCCACTAATACAAAACGTATGAATCTATACCAAGCAATCAACTCGGCCCTTAGAACAGCCATGTCTGCTTCAGATAAAGTCATCCTGTTCGGTGAAGATGTGGCATTCGGTGGTGTTTTCCGCTGTTCAATGGACTTACAGATGGAGTTTGGGTCGCACAGGGTTTTCAATACTCCATTAACAGAACAGGGAATTGCTGGATTCGCGATTGGTGCTGCTGCTCAAGGATTGAAACCTGTTGCCGAGATACAGTTTGCGGATTACGTCTATCCCGCCTTTGATCAGATTGTGAATGAAGCAGCAAAGTTTAGATACCGTGAGGGAACAACCGGGGCAGATGCTGGAGGCTTGGTTTTTAGAATGCCCTGTGGAGCTGTTGGACATGGCGCACTGTATGTGGACATAAAATCAACGACTTCATTACTTTGTGCTGACAATCATAGTTACCATACTCAATCTCCTGAATCACTGTTTTCTCATATCCCGGGTGTTCGCGTGGTGATGCCACGATCTCCAACACAAGCAAAGGGGCTCTTGCTATCGTCGATCTTGGAATGTAACGACCCGGTAATCTTCATGGAGCCTAAGATCCTATATCGCGCGGCTGTTGAGCACGTTCCTACCGAGTCATATACTCTCCCGCTCAGCAAAGCAGACATTGTAAAGCCAGGCTCCGACTTGACGATTATATCATACGGACAGCCATTATATCTCTGCTCCCAAGCAATATCCGCAGTGGAGAAGGCAAGGAAAGGCGTGAATATAGAACTGATTGATTTACGGACGATATATCCATGGGATCGACAGACCGTTCTAGACAGCGTTCGACGAACAGGGCGGGCCATAGTAGTCCACGAGAGTATGGTCAACTATGGAGTTGGAGCTGAAGTTGCAGCTACCATCCAAGAAGGTGCCTTTCTCCGATTAGAGGCACCGGTCAAGCGGGTTGCTGGCTTGACTACCCATACCGGACTAGCATTTGAGAGTTTCATCATGCCTGATGTTGCAAGTAGGTCAATCCTTTTCTGCTTTTGACCAAGTTCATTGCTAATGGGTCATAGAAATCCACGATGCTATTCTACAAACTCTCGACTATTGATTCTTGATGTTACGAATATGATACGAGCGAGTCATATTAATCCTTCTTCGGTTTGCTTGGCAGTTGTACTTTTGTCATCTTATGCATGAATAGTTATAGCATTTAGTTACATATGAGTCATGACATGTTTACTGAGGTAGATAGATGTTGATACAAAGCAATCGAGCGCATCGTTTTCTTTGTCAAGACTTATGACCGAAGGTTGTATCCACATATTCAGGGCAAATCGATGCCGGTGTCCACAATCTGGAAATATTGCTCGTTCATGGCAACAAAGCATAATCCTGAAGACAAATAACGCCCCAATCGACTGGCAGGCCTGACGATTCTAGACAGTCACCGGAGACCAATGAAACGAATGAAGATGCGCAAAACTGACAATGTCTTTTTATTCGGGCAACGGGCGTATGTCGAGAATTGTGGCAACCGGGCAGACCCGTCGATATAGCAGCGTTTACAGACTGGTAACCACCGCTCACCTCAGCTATTTATACTCCCTTCTTTCCCTTCCTCTCCCTCTCCCTCTTTTTTATTTTTCACTTCATCACTGACATCTCTACGATATCAAACTCTTTCTCTTCATCATACTAATCCATTATACTTCTTGATCATACTACTTCATCATACATTCCAATATCATCTCTCCTGACGAACTCCTCATCATAACATCTTCATATCCGTCATATTTCTGATATCGTTACAACCTTGGGGAGAGTGTGTATTCGTCGTGACAACAGACACAATGGAGACTTTCCTAGATCATCTCGTTCCATTTCTCAGCGAAGTCGCTATCTTCGCTATGATCGAGGTTTCCTGTTCGTCTTCCACGAACTATCCACCTCCATGTTTGACATCCTCTTCTCTCCCGTTTTTACAAAGCCCATGACCTGCTCCTTACAAGTCATGGCTTATATCATCTATGCAACCGCTTTCTGGTGCATGCTCCAGTCCGTCAAGGCATTCTCGACCCTGCCCATGGAAGAGGCCAGTGACTACTAGATGGTGACTCCCTACTGGCGACCATAACTGCATACGGACGCCTCAAGAATTGGCTGGACGAGCAGTGGGACGATGCCGCTCCCGTCCTTGTCACATTCCACCACATTTATATGGTGTTCGTATGATGTTCTATCGGTCTGTCGGTCACATGCGGCTTGATGATTCACAATCATCTCCCTTCCTGGAACATGTCCATCGGACGGTTGATCCGATCTGCCTACGTCATTACTGCCTTTCCGATTGCTCATTTATGCCACGATATTTTCAGCTTTGGCCGGTATATCTACGCCGCCGGAGTGTCGCTTCTAGATCGATGCCTTGATTTCCTTCTCTTTGAAAAGACAGTATGGTTGATAGTCACTTCCTCGGTTTTGATCATTTTTTGTATACTGTTGGCAATGTGGACTGCAAATCTTATTTTTTCTAGCCACACGAGTGAGCCATTCAACAGCACGTTTGAATTTTGGTTCGAGCTATCGGGAGTGCCTCGCTATGGCCCTATTATCACATTCTACTTTGGAATTCCAGTAGTGCTAGGGTATGACCTGAAGGGAGACCTGATCGGACTGGTAGGAAGATGTGGTGTTTATTTGCAGTCCTATGCCGCAATCCTTGCGCAATGGTACAACAATCAGCACGAGCTTGACGAGATGCATCACTATCCTGTGCTGACCGTGCCCATCACATTGCCTATATTATACATTGCCGACCAGCAGCTATTCTGGAAGGACAAGCCAGAACATCTCGCACAGTTTGAGCACGTCATTGAAGAGACGCTTCTCAAAAACGCGATGACGGACGACTTCGAGTGCCAGCCTACGTATGTGGAATGGTAAGCTCGAGGGCGCTATCAAAGTCTTCACCTCAAATCTTCAAGCAAGCTCGTGCTGTCCTCATGCAAAACAAGACACTTCTGGATCAGAAAGATCTGTCGAAGCTCAAATCAACCGTGTGCAGCTCAGTTTGACGGAGCAATCATTTAAAGCCGGCAAGTACTTCAGACAGTACTTCGAGCTCCGCGACGTCAACTCCGGACTGTACACTGAGCTCGACCAATTGCGTCTCTCTGTCGATGATAACGTCCATCAGGCAAGGCCACAGACATAGGATCGCGGCATAGCTTCATATTCCTGCCCTTCCCTCTTCTCTTTCCTCATGCTCAGTTTTCTCGTCTTTTAGCTTCCAATGCATTATTGAACGAGCCTTCACAGAGGCTACCAACAGAGGGTCTCAACGAGGACCTTAAGAATTTGACAAGGGAGAATAAGGAGTTGAAGGGCAGGATAGCCATGCCGCCTCCTCCGTCGCCAGCTCCGCGACAATGAATTGTCTGTGTCCGCCGTTTTGTTTCCTTCGAAGATGGATGAGGAAGTACATATCAACCCGTGGCGATGTTGTTTAGGATGAAGACAATGGCATGAGCTAGCAGAAGCAGAAGGTGTTCAGGGATACGCCTCGCTCTATAGCTCTACACACTACCTGTACATACATAGTTGATGATATTCATGTTGTATATAGATATTTTTGCTTTTTGGGTTTCACCTTGAATTATGTATAATACAGTAGAACCTGGCTGTAACGAGAGAAAGGCCGCTGCATATTTCCACTAATATCAACTTGGATGACTTTAAAATGGATCTGAAGAACATCCATGTCCCATTAATACCTTGTTACTACTAAAATAGTTGTATTGGAGGTATCCTTTATCTGTAAATCGAACTCACTTCTGGGTATACTCACCTGGGCCCTGAGAGACCTTCTGCTCATTATAGCCAGGTTCTACTGTAGATACTTTTCCAAAAAATGTATCGATTCAGACCCATCGTATTCATCCCCTAACAGAAAATCTATCTAAGAGAGGAAAAAACAACGACCTGCAAACGCTTTATACAAGTAACGACTGCAAATCCAAAAAGGCGGGTATATCAAAAGGAATAAAAAGATCGAGAGAGAGAGAGAAAAGGTATCGTCCAGAGCTTCATCAATGCCAGTCATCGCAGCGCAAAAGATTCCAGCTCTTGCCATGAAAAGATCGTCATGAAATGAAACAGAGAAAGACATAAATGTCTAGTCCGCATATGTAAAATGTTTAATGGGGCAAAAAAAAGTATTACTACATGATCCAAGATTATGTGCACTCATCAAGTAGCATTGTCCGACCCGCGAGACTATTCTCTGAACCTAAATCAAAGGTTCCATGGAGAAGTACTTAATGGGTACTGCCGTAATATGACAATGGGTCATATTCCTCGTCTTCTTCATCGTGCACGGGCGGATACCGTTGTTGCGGTTGAGCTGGTCCATTCCGATTACGACCAAACCCATTGGAAGGTGTCGTAGTTGCAGCTCGCATCATGGCCGGATGAGAATCGAAGTTGTTATTGTGAGACGGTGTCGTCGTGGAAGGTCGCTGAATCGGCTGCGAATTTGTATTGATAGGCGACTGACTGCGAGTGTTGATGGAAGATGCAAAAGGATTGAATGCTACATAGCCGCCTTCATTTGGCGGATGAGGCGAGGCAGAGCGGTCGTCTTGTGTATAACTGCGACTAATTGGCTCCATTACTGAAGAATTGGAAACAGGCGCTGTGAGCGAACGACCTGGAGGTGGTAGATTGAAAGCTGGAGACTCTGAACGCATGCTTGCTTGAGGGGTCTGCTCCCGATCAAATGGGTTGTAAGCTGGCGACTCGGGCCGCATGCCGCGCATGTTGTTTTGAGGAGTCTGTTGGCGATCAAATGGCGGATTCATTCTTGGAGGATATGGTCGGTTATTAGGCAGATTGGTCGCAGGTGAATATGAACGCTCAGGCGGACCGCCTCGAATGGAACCAGGGGCCTGGTGACCCATCACCTGAAGTGGTGGCGTTTGAGAATAACCGGGACCTGGTGTGTGTCTGCCCATGCCGTCCATTGGCGTCGGTCCCTGTGGGCCAGATCTACCCTGTGCAGTCGGTGGTCGATTAATTGATGGGGTATAGGATCTTGCTTGATTAGGATTGAAAGACCCTGGGGGCACAGGAGGCACGTCTTGTGGAGCATAATGGTTATTGTCGAGAGGACTATATCCCATGGGAGCTGCGCCCCCAGTGAGAGATGTCGACTCCCCATAGGCTGAATTCTGCGTATTCGTCTTTGTAAGCCAACCACCATCAGAGAGGTCTGGTAGCTTCGGCTGGCGGAACGATTCATCGTCATGAGGCGCGTCGAACTGTCCGGGTTCCGAAGTGTAGGGAGGTAAAGTGCTTTGAGTTGGCTGACGAGACAGAGGCGCAACAGTAACGATCGGTTTCTTGTCCTCCGGATATTCGGCAACAGAGGGTAGCGTTGGTGCTACTGCAATGGGCTTTAGTTCTTCTCCCGCAGCCAAAGGCATCGTTGGTGTCCGGTCCTTCAATTGCACTCCACCTTTAGCCAAAGCCGTAGCAGTCTTCTTTCTCACGATTCGTTCCAGACGAGTGTTAATCTTTCGCCGACAGTACCGCTTAAGCGACCCGTCCGCTGTAGGAATATGATGCCACAGAAAAAGGAGGTAGAGAATGACGGAAAGAGCCAAGCTCAAAGCAGCAACTACCCAGACTATAAGAGTAAACAGCATGCCAAACAGAATCACAGCTTGCTGGTAGTTCTTCTCAGCTAATGCTTTGATGTTGATGAAGAACTGCACCACTGGAGAGGTTCCGTCTGGTGCTGCGTTATGACCGGTAGGAATAAGGTCCAATTGCATGACAGAATACAAGGTGATGGCGTTGATGACTTGTCGAGGACCGTCGGCGAGTAAGATACGTAGCCAAGCTAGAATATCGGTCAGCACGGACACGAACAGAACGCAATGTAAGCCTCACCTTCAAAAGAAAAGTAGGAGAAGAGAGCTACATAATCAGCTCCCTTCTTACTCTTCGTCAATTCGGCGAATACCAAAAAGCGCCTATAACCTTTGTGTTTGCCAATTCGAACACTCTGTACACGGACAGCAAGTGGATCAAGATAACTTTCGGCAATACCACCACTGCGCATGACGCGAATTGCTCGAAACCATCGGTAGAAAAGTAGCACGAAGGAGGCTATGATAGCACCGGCGAAGATCCATCGCGAAATGTTGATAGGAATCTTGGGTTTGATCTGACTGGACCATTTGTTGAAAGCGAGTAGATTGATAGCCGTGAAGGTATCGACGGCGTAGACTGCGATAGAGATGGCGCCAAAAACCCAGACCATGGCATAAGAGAAACCGGTAAAACATGAACTGCTTTTGAAGTCATTCAGATTCTGACAAATAACAAATGTCAGTTCATTGCTTTTCCGAATTGTACGAGTTCAAAAACCGTCAAGTTACTCACGATGTAGTCCCATGTCTGCTCCAACTTCATCTGACCGATCTTCTCTCTATCTCCACAGCAAGGCATTTTGTCTGGACCGGCCAGGTAAGGCTATACAGCCAGAAAACGAAGGTGACGAAAAATAAATGATGGTATTCTTGCTTCCCCAAGAAGAAGAAAAGACGTACAGCGGTTCGGTTCGTTCTTCGGGCCTGCCGCGAACAAACCACGTTGTCAATGAGCGAAAGAGCGAATATGTCGCGCTTCTTTGAGCGATTGTGTTGTAAAGAGTGAATGCTATCACGGTAACATTTCTTTGTATGGTTATTTACTGCTTATCAACCACGGTTCGCCTTTGGACTCGATCCAGAAAGTGAGTTGGCTCCTATCCGAGACCCCTTGTTCCGTCTCAACGAACGTCCCAGCTGCGGGTTGATAAGAAGCAGTCTATAGGTTGTTGTTAATTAATGCGCTGGCGCTGAGACGATGAACAGATCTTGGATGAATAGAGACGATCAATTCAAGTACTGGGGCGTATCGTTCCCTCGGGTGGTATTTCGCGCTGGCATATGTAGCAGGAGGGGGTTGGCGGGTTTCAGAATGTTGTCCGACGGCCGGAACGTAGGTCAATACTGGAGACAGTCATGTACGTATGCCGATCGACAACGAATTAATGAGCGACGTTTGATGTATTGCGTAGAGAGCGACAGAGCGAGTGGATATGTGATGTATCATGAAGAGATGAGAATGAAGAGAAACAGAAGAAAGGGCGGCAAGAGACAGGGAGAACGGGCATGATTGGTTGGAGCTGTTGTGTTCCTGGATGAAAGCCTATTTTAGTTAGTGAGCCTACTAGCCCAGTAGACTTGTGCTACTATTTTACTAGTGGAGAGTGCTAGATAAGAAGAACTAGGCGCCAGGAGAAACAATTGTCCATTTTCTCATTTGTTGACTTTGTTTTAGACATTCGTTGTATCACTTGGATTTCAGCATAAGCACTTTTCCCAAGCTTGGAGACAGATCACAATGACCCCGTGCCAAGAGAAGGATATGACTTGGGGCGTTTCTCATCCAAAAGACGCAATCAGTCGAACCGCGGATGATAGGATATCTACCCGGATGAATTGCTGAGCCAATTTCCACCAGGTGTCAGCTATATTGCCCTAATCTATAGCGACGTTGCATGGAAAACAATCGATACGAATAGCACTACAATAAGTAAATTATTCAATTGATTGTATGATATGAAAGAGACAAGACTGCCAAACTGCCAATTTGTATGCTCAATCAAGCATTAATGCCCAGTAACGCACAGGCGGAAGTCAGCCTTGGAACTGAAGCTATCCCCGAATCAGACTAAGTAGCCCTAATTTCTGATGCATGCAACGTTTGGCCCACGCTAAATCCACGAGGCATTTAAAATCAGTCATTATGTTCAGTTTGAAAGTATTCCATATGCTCCGTAGGTACATATCTTTGTAGACATGAACATCAGAAGAGAATGCTAACAAGCAAAAAGATTAGACCAAATTTCCTCTCAACGCCTGTTCACGCTCAATAGCTTCGAACAGCGACTTGAAATTACCAGCACCAAACCCCGAAAAGTTATTGCGCTGAATAATCTCAATAAAGACAGTTGGTCGATCCATGAGATGCTACAATCATCATTAGCATTAGTCCTTCGATGCCCGGTAGAGTAAACATACCTTTGTAAAGAGCTGCAATAAGTAACCACCCTCATCAAAGTCAATCAAAATATCCAGTTTCTTGATATCCTCCCAAGCCTCCTTGGGCATCATTCCCGCCTTCTTAAGCCGCACCCACATATTATCATAATACGTCGATGGCACTTTGATAAATTCCACCCCTCGCGCTTTCAGGTTTGTGATTGCACTGATAATGTCGTCCGTTAGTAGTGCAATGTGTTGCACACCGGCTCCATCGTAGAAATCGACATATTCCTCGATTTGGGATTGTTTTTTGCCGTGTGCGGGTTCGTTGATGGGCATTTTGACGATGTCGTTGGGGGAGGACATTACGATTGATTTGAGGGCGGAGTAGTCTCTATTCTTCAGTTAGGTTTGATATAGGCATTTTGGAGACGAAAATTAACATACGTGCAGATATCTTTGTCGTCTACTGACCAGAAACGATGGAATCCAAGTACTTTTTCGTAGCTGCACCGGAATCAGTATACCTTTTCGTCCTGGTTATAGAGGGTCAAGAAGAACATACTATGCGCAAACTTTTTCCATCTCATCCCAGTCTTGATTTCCAACACAATGATCAATCCTCTTCAAATCAACCTTTGGCAGCAAAGCTGCAATGGGATCACTGCTGCCGGAACCAGTCTCATCCCTATATCCAGGCAAGAAGACACCGGTATATGGCGATGCGACGCCCCTCCGTTGAATCAAAGTGTGCGTTGTGTCCCCATATGTCCTGATAGTGGCAACCTTCACTTGGCCATTCTCATCTTCTAAAGTTCGGGGTTGCGAAACTGCAACCGCGCCGTTCTGCACAGCGGCATTGTAAACATCATCGACCGAATCTACCTCAAACGCGACGTCCTTGACTGCATCACCATGTTTCGCCAAATGCTCATGAATCTCCTTCACATGCTCTCGCTCTTTTTCGCCGGGAAACAATCTATTAAGTTTCTCAGTATTATAAGGTGACCGCAAAGGCGACGTGAGCACAAAAGTTATACTGCCGTTTCGCACGACATGAGAACAAACACTGCGAGAACCCGTTTCGAGACCGCGGTAAGCAACACGCTCAAACCCCATACGGGTTATGTAAAAGGTCGCTGCTTGTTTGGCATTTCCGACGTACCAGTGTACATGGTCGTACCCTCGATAGGAAGAGAGAGCGTTTTGGGTTGTGGGTAGGTTTCCGGACTGGAGATCTGAGAGGGCTGATGGAGCCATTTTGTGTCTTTTTTTCTCTCTGCTGTATCTGCTTTCTCCGTCAACTCAGAGCTTGGGTTATTTCTGCCTCCTATGATGATTCAATTCTGTGGCTTGATGTGTTTATACTCGCTGCTATGGAAAACACAACCACGACTATTAAATAACAGACTCAATATCAGACAGCTACGGACGGATATTTCATGGTCATATCCACTCCATTCTATCCGCCGACATCCATCCATATCCAAAATCTCTGCTCGTGCAACATCATCGACACATTCTGAGTAATATTGCAGACGGTTAAACCAGGCCAGTCGGATATTTTAGGCAGTTCGCTTTTCCCCGGGAATGTATAGATTGACCAATCACGACGTTGATATTCGGATATCAGCGGCTATCATCGATCAGCGGGGATCGTTCCGTGTTCCGTTCTTTCCGCGCTCAAATCCGGGGAAAATTGACGTATCCAATGTCTATGAGGGGTAGATAGCTATCTACTGACTTGATAAAAGCTGTTTATTTGAATCTGTCCTTTTTGCCAACAGAAACCAGAGCCTTTGCCAGCTACCGTCAGGGATCAATATGCCCATCACTCAGTTCTCCATTCCGGATCCATACAGCTACCTGAATGGTTTCAATTCATACCACGAGTAAGCTATCTATCCAGACGGTAGTGCAATATGGCAGCATACTGACCATAACAGATCTGAAGCCGTAAAAGGCGCTCTACCAACTGCACAAAACTCGCCACAAAAACCACCATATGGTCTCTACGCCGAAAAACTCTCAGGCACAGCTTTCACTGCACCCCGACACGAGAATAAACAGACATGGCTGTACCGTATCTTACCGTCAGCGGCTCATGCAAACTATCAGGCCCTTTCCGAGGATACATATCATACTTCCCTGAATTTCAAGAGCGATGGTCAGAATAAATTACATTATATCCCGAATCAATTACGCTGGAACCCCTTTGACCTAGACGAAAAAGTTGATTGGGTCCATGGTCTACATCTTGTCGCTGCCGCTGGTAATCCCACCACAAAGTCCGGATTAGGGATATTATTGTACGCTGCCGGAAAAGATATGGGTAACGAAGCGATTTATTCGGCGGATGGTGACTTTTTAATCGTGCCTCAGCATGGTGTTTTGGATATACAGACTGAGTTTGGGAAGATCATTGTGAGGCCGAATGAGATTTGTGTTATTCCGAGGGGTGTCAAGTACGTTCTCTATATTCGTTCTAATATGGAATGATTGACTGACTGGTGTTAGATATCGAGTAAAGCTCCCATCTGGTCCGGTCAGGGGATATATCTGTGAACTTTATCAAGGACATTTCGAGCTCCCCGAACTAGGACCCATTGGGTCCAACGGTTTAGCCAATTCTCGAGACTTCCAAGCTCCCGTAGCAGCCTTTGACGACGACGAAGGAAATCCAACAGACTACACAGTCATCAGCAAATTCAACAACAACCTCTTCTCCGCCAAACTCAACCACACCCCGTTCGACGTCGTGGCCTGGCACGGGAACTACTACCCTTTCAAATACGATCTCGGCCGCTTCAACACGATCGGCTCAATCTCCTACGACCACCCCGACCCATCCATCTTCACTGTTCTAACTGGTCAATCTGATCACCCGGGAACAGCTATTGCAGATTTTGTCATTTTCCCTCCTCGCTGGCTTGTCGCCGAGAACACTTTTAGACCACCTTGGTATCATCGGAATGTCATGTCTGAGTTCATGGGGTTGATTGCTGGTGATTATGATGCGAAGATTGGTGGTGGGTTCAGACCTGCTGGTGCCAGTTTGCATAATATTATGAGTGCGCATGGTCCTGATGCGAATGCGCATGAGAAGGCTAGTAGTGTGGACTTGAGACCGCAGAAGATGGGAGAGGGGAGTATGGCGTTTATGTTTGAGAGGTAGGCCTTGTCATTACGGACTAAAATGGTACTACTACATACTAATTATGTTTATAGTACTTTCATGGTAGGAGTGTCGGAATGGGGCCTCAAGTCGTGTGAGAAGGTGCAGGAGGATTACAACGCGGAGAGCTGGGAACCTTTAAAGAGGCATTTTGTCAATCCAGAGAAGAAAGGCATTCCTTCTGGTTGAGGGGGCTCCAATAGCACTTGCTACTAGTTCTACCCATCAGTGATTAGATTTGCTGTGTCTGATGCTACACAGTTCTGTATGCTATATGATATGTGAGCAGGCAATGAATCTTCACTTGGTTGTCTAGACACGTGGAACTAGGTCAAGTCATTACCATCAACTTCATGCAGATCTGAAAACTTCTCACTCGACATATTCGTAATTATCGAGCTCAGCACCAATGGAGACCGGTCTTGCTTGATGATAAATTCTCTATAGATCCTTCATCATCTTGATTGCCGCTAGATTCGATACCAATAGAAGAGAAGTCAGAACTTCCAAATTCTCACCGACTTCTTCGAAAGTGAGATCTTTACAGGTTAACTCGCATTGAAATCAGTTCAGTCAGGGCTCAGTTTACATTCAATCAGCTCCCCTCGCTCAATCAAATTCAATATGAGAACGAAAATCTTCAGCATTTCAAATATTTAGAGTGACACAAAAGGTAAAAATCTGGTAGGTCCATTGCTCTGGTGATATCAAAGTTCACTTGCACCATGAACGATTTTCCTTCTATCTATCAACCCTTTAAACAACTTTGTGACACAACCACATCAGGAACCTACCAAAGATTACCTAGGTAGCATTACAGTGAAGACTAAGGATTTGACAGGTTAATCAATATCGAAACTCGCTCATTGCCAAGTCAAGCTTGATCAGTGTCACTACACAACCCAAACTAACGTGACAGACAGAGAAGGAAGGGTTGAGCACCCGTCACAACAATTACAACGTACAATAACATTATCCAGGGACATATAACTAACAGCTGTCATGTCTGGAAGTCGCAAGTTTGTGGGACATCTCTTACGGATCCAGAGGAGGGCCTTTCCCCTAAAGGATGTTCACTCACAACCCCAATCGCCTTTGTTCGATATCCCGAATTTAACCCTTTTACTGAGGATTATAAGTGCCCAGATGTCAATTTTGTGGATCATGTATTCTAGCAATATTTGAGGATTATCCATTTGGCATACAGGTTCTCTCCAGTGCATGAAGAGCACTGGACTGCGTATTGGGACTTTTGGACGGGGTTGCAGCGCATCAGGTATGAGAACGTTTTTCGGCCCTAACTGTCTTTACCGATTTATTAATTTATTAGTTATGACTTCATTTTATCAAGGATCTTATGGAAATTTAGGGGAGTACCAAGAATAAGAACAACTACACGAACTATTCTGTCCAGGAATGAATTTAATGAGTTTACCTTCTACTTTCCGAAATCGTAATGGGTTTCAAGCCCTGTCCGTAGCTACAAAAGTAAACCTGGATTGGTTCTCAAGCATATTTCCGTAAAAATAAAGTTGAAACATTGACGGGAAGTGCTGAAGTCCGAATAAATTTCGCGTCTGCTTCAAAAAGCATACTTCGAGCTTTAGCCTCTACCGCGGCGGCTTTTCCCTCCAAATGTGTGCTACTCAGATCATTGATCTCCTCAATTGAAAGGCAGATGTTAGCATAAATATATCTTAGTGTCATCTATAAACAACTTTTGGGGCACTCCTCCTGTAATGAATTCAATGGGATATCGAACCATAGCTGGGACGCAGTGTTCCATTCTCCTGGCCATCTTCCAGACTACTTTTAACTTGATTTCATCCAAATCGGGTTTTCTCAAAAGCTGGTTGGCTCATCCATTCTGAATGGTCAAATTGAAAAGCAATTTTAGTCATTTCGGACTTTTATACCTGGGGATTTGCGTCTTGTATTGCCTCGTACCTGAGTGGTATTGAACGAAAGATGACCTTTTGCTGCAATTCGACGGGCTTTCAGTCACATTTTGCAGAAGTAGAGAAGATTTCCATCTATTTCAGTGGTTTCTATAGCTTATATCGGGACTCACGCCTTTGTAATATCAGGAATTGACTGTAAAGTCCTTTGTGGTGCCTAATTAGGCAATAACGGTTTAGCCCTAAGTTTCCGAATGCGGTTAGCCTAATATGTCTTAATATCGCTCAGTTCCATCATCAATCGAGGTCGCTGTCGAACACAGAGATTAGGAATCGACAGTCATGGAACCGTTTTCGATTCGAATCTTCCAGCAACAACTGCATTATCAGCAACTATTGCTGCGCCAGAATAATATGCGACCACTGGAGAGTACACCTTTGTGCGGACAATCAAGCCGCAAACCCAATCTGCTCTGTATTCAGTGCTGCCGGCGGAAGTGCGCCTCATGATCTTTGAGTATGCACTTACTGACTATGAGTATACGAACTATTGGTCTAGTAACTGTCGTAGCAACGCTCCACGCACTACCGTATCGAACCCCTTGCTCCCCGAGGGGACACCCCTTTCGTTCGTTAATAAACGTACCGAGAATACCGAGATTGAACGCGACTATAGACCACGGAGACGGACCACCACAGAGCTATTGAGCATTTGCCAAACCATCTATCACGAAACATGGATTATGCCATTCATTCTGGCCGAGCATGTCTTCAACGTTTGTGGGTTTGAATGGACAACTAACTGCGATGAATACCCGGGGCGCCATCTTAGTCGTGAACGGATGGCATTATATCCCAGGCAATTGAAAAACTATGCAATTACTCATAACACGACGTTACACATACATCCTGTCAAGGGAATCCAGATTTATTACCGGCAGTTTGACCTGAAACGAGGAGAATACCGACGTCTGAACCGCGCAATCCACATACCAGAACAGTTAGGACCGGAGTATGTGACAGTCTCTCTCAATTTTAGGGTGTGCAGTTCGTCCCATTCGCTTGGTATACTCAGCGCTGACTGGGTGAATGAGATCGACTTCCCGAATTCTGTGAAATGTGTACGTATGGACTTTGGAAAATTCCATGATGTTGATCGAGTGGAAGAAATTACCTCGAAGGTGATTGAGAATTGGTTCTTTCGTCGGGAAGAGGTATGGTTCTCAAAGCCAAAAAGGAGGATGTCTCCCTTAGATATTAGTCAACAGAACGCCCGCGAAGTGAAGATCTGTTCTGTGATGTTATGGCAAGTTATAGCTTCTTTCGCATGAAGCATTATGTCATTCCAACTGTGACTTGGAAGCTCACCGAAAGCTTTAATCCGTTTGTTGATAATTATAAATGCCCGGACTTAGATTTTACGAACCGTTTACCACAGTGAAAGCGAATGGAGCTTGATTATCAGGGAAAAATGACTCAAGTCCAGTAGTTTGATTCATCACAAATACAATTACCCTTTCAATATTTGGTCTACTTAGGCACCGAGATACTTGCGTGTTTTGATCTGGTGGAATTGGTATTGTTCCGGATATAGTTGACTACCTAGGTATCTGCATGGCTCTCTAGTTCGGCTTTCTCCATAGATACCAGCATTAAACAGGAACACTAGATTTAATATAATGGATCTAATTAAGAGGTAGATGCACAGCAAGAGAATTTACAGGAAACTTGAGAACTTCTCAAATATAACCAGGAATTATGACTGAAACTTTTCAATCTCCTTCTTCAAAGCCTCCTTCACAATCGCGCCACACATCTTTGCATACGGATTTGTCTGTACACTCAACTGTTTGGCAATCTCGTTTCCGTACTGCCCAGCTTCAAAGAAATCCTGACTTGCCATTTCCTCTAGTTGATCCCTGCTAGTTATACTGAGCAGTTGTTCGGGACCTCCTATTTCTTTCTGTCCTTGGGTTGTCCCCTCTTCCTCTTCCTTCTTCCGGATCTTACCCGCTTTGAGTAGAAGATAACCCCTATGCATATGCGTATTTGAGAGTAGACGAAACTGAGCAGATGACACAACATTGGTATTGCGATTGCTGCCGGTTGGCCTAGGCCTAGCTAATGATATGGCTTTGCTCAAATCTGAAAGGAGCTTGGTTGCTAGATCTCTGTTTTGAGGAAGGAATATGGCAGCGTCCTTGTCCGTGTTATTTGAGGTGGATTCTTTTGATTGAACGAGTACTCGTAATGCTTGTGCTCTGTTTGCGTATAGGGGTGGATAGTCGGGATGTTCGGTTATGAGTGATGTGAGATCGTCAATAGCTTGCTCTAGAATGTGAATTGGTGTTGATAATGATGAGGACGCTTCTTGTGCGGAATTTTTGGCGTCTGATGTTGGGGTGATTCCTTGAATCCGACGTATAACATCCAGTTCGCGATGCTCTAACGATTTCAATGCTGCTTCTTCGATATCACATTGTGGGAATGGTGGGAGTGAGTCGTCGATTCTGATAGCCTGTGGATCCGGGGTATAGATATTCTCTCTAGATGCATCTGTCGAAGATGGAATAGGGAATGCACCTTCGCCATTGTCGAAGAGGGCTTTGAGGACGGCAGAATCATTCGAGGTAAGGCTGATTTTAGGTGCGGTGATGGTAGCGGCTGAAGCCATTTTGACAGGCTTGAATTGACCACTTCCCTTAATTTCCCTTTACTTTTTCTGGGCGATTTGATCTCAAACAAGACGACTCAGTGTATGTGCAACGATAAGTTTGACACTCGTATGGCAGAAGGTGCGTTTACTTGAGTTGTGATATGTCAAGTCTATCAAAAACTTGCGATAAGCCAGATGCTCAGCTCGGATATCAGCGGGCTTACGATATACACTACTGTATGTACTCAGCAACTACAATAGGATTTACGTCAAATCGTATGCACGTAAATCCTCTCTAAGCATTTACAGGCTATGTTTCAAAAACCGGCTTTCGACGGATAAATATCGCGAGCAACATGAGAGATGCACGTACATCCAAATCGTAGATGAGATAAAATATCCGGTAATATCCGCACGCGGAGAGCGTTCCGTTGACAAGCATCTGAACACCCCACATTGTGTAAACAATTGTATGCATGGTTCGGAATGACTATCGGAGTTCCTTCAATTATTTCTGTATGATAAAGAGAAAAGTCATATTACCGTGAGATAGATTCTGATCGGAAAGAAGACAGAATCAGCTGTTGGCTCCCATCAATATCAGCCTGCATATTCCTCCATTTCAGTATAGACTACGTGCAAAGATGGTATCCTGGCTCTCAATCCCCGCAAAATCACATTTCTCCCTCATCAATATCCCCTTTGGTATCATTACAACCCCAAAATCGGGTGTGCCAGTACCAGCAATCGCCATAGGGGATTATGCGCTAGACTTATCTGCATTTACGAAGAATGGAGGCTTCTCCCATCTCCCCAGCTTTCAAGCGCAAGCAGATGTGTTCTATCAACCGACATTGAACGCATTTGCGGCACTTGGTCGGCCAGTGCACAGACAAGTGAGGGAATATCTACAAGCAATTTTCAAAGCAGACACGCCCTTCCCAGACGTTCTCAAGGATAACGAAGCTCTTCAAAAAGAGGCTCTTCTACCACTCAACTCAGTAACGAATCACGTCCCACTACAGATTGGTGATTATACCGATTTCTACGCTGGACGAAATCATGCATACAATGTTGGTGTTCTTTTCCGAGGGCCTGATAATGCCCTACAGCCAAATTATAATCACCTTCCCGTGGGATATCATGGCCGTGCGTCGAGTATCGTCGTCTCTGGAACGCCTATCGTTCGACCTTCGGGTCAGATATTGACAAATCCCACTGCTGCACCCAAAGTTCCCGTTTTCTCGCCTTGTAAGAGACTGGATATTGAACTCGAAATGGCTGCTTTTGTTAGTACGGGCAACAAGCTCGGTCATCCGGTACCCGTTGAGGAAGCTGAAGACCACATATTTGGTTTGGTGTTGATGAATGATTGGTCTGCTCGAGATATTCAAGCATGGGAATATGTGCCCTTGGGTCCATTCAATTCCAAGAATTTTGCAACAACCATCAGTCCTTGGGTCGTCCTTATCGATGCGCTGGAGCCATTCCGAGCACAAGGCCTCGAACCTGGCAACCGCGATTCCATCCTTCCATACCTCCGGGAAAAGAGAGCAGATAATGTTTTCAATATCAAATTGGAGTTTGACATCAGACCTAGTGGCACGAGCAAGGAAGATGCACCAATTCACGTCTCGGAAACAAATGCTACCAATTTGCTCTTTTCCTTCCCACAGATGCTCGCTCACCATACTATTACGGGCTGCAATTTACGTACCGGAGATCTGTTGGCTAGTGGTACAATCTCGGGAAAAGAGCCAGGATCGCAGGGTAGCTTGCTAGAGCAAACGAATGGCGGCAAGGAGCCAATTACATTGGCAGATGGAAAGACGAAGAGGGCCTTTTTGGAGGACGGTGATGAAGTGATTTTAAGGGCTGTTGCCGGGGATGTTGACGGGGCGTATGTCGGATTTGGTGAATGTGTTGGCAGGATCGAGTCTGCTGTTGCTTTCAATTTCCAATAGTTCGTACTAGAGCCACTAGAGTACTTTGTATCAAATGGACTAGTCGGAAGTAGTCCTTCTGCTGAGGATTCTCGGCGACCGATTCTATCAAATGCGGTCTTAAGCAAGGTAAAAAGACTCCCTCAGCTTCTCAGTAAACTCCAGCATCTTCAAGCCGTGCATAGTGAATAATTGCCAAGTAAAAAGGTAGTTACGTCAACACGCAGCCAAAAAGGCGTTGTTTGCTATTCCGCAGATGCGGAAGGTTTTCCGTGGATAGCCGGTGGCCTGTGAGAGATCAGCTCGATGTTGCTTGCCGACGTCCGCTGTATTTGCAGTAATCTGTCTGAATATAAACAATTTTCTGAAATAATAGCATCAAGAGTGAATGGCCAGATAGCAGAAATGAGTTCTGAACTGCCGTCCTTCGATCTTTACACTTACTTTAGATCGTCTTGCTCCGCACGGCTGCGGATTGCGCTCAATTTGTGGGGTATACCCTATAACCCCATATTTGTGCACTTGCTCAAGAATGAGCAGTGCTCTGACCAATATCGAGCATTAAATCCCTCTTTGAGCGTGCCTGTTTTGGTCGCTCACCGCGCATCGGAAGATGATTTAGTTATCCCTCAGTCAATTGCTGCACTGGAATATCTCGAGGAGACAGTCCGATCAACAAGTCCGCAATATCGAACATTACTTCCAAACGATCCAGCTCTGCGCGCAATCACCCGAAGTCTAGTGTCAATTATCGCATCGGACGTGCAACCTATCACTAACCTGCGAAGCCAACGATGGATCAAGGAACTTGAAGCCGACCCGGTTCCGTACTGTCGCAAGGCTACGGAGGCAGGGCTTGCTGCATACGAAGCATTGGCTTCCAAGGTAGCAGGTACTTTTAGTGTCGGAGATGATATCACATTGGCGGACGTCTGCCTTGTTCCTGCAACATGGAGCGCAGCGCGATTTGGGGTTGATGTTCAGAACTATCCCACCGTCGCACGAATCGTTGCCAGGATTGAAGAAGAGGAAGCAGTCAAAAAAGCTCACTGGAGGAGTCAGCCAGATACGCCTGAGGAGTTCAGGCAGACTTGAAGAGTATCGACCTGAAAGAGACATAACATGTATACGTCGAGGAGGTCTCCCTGCACTTGCGCCAAAAGTTCCAAGCAATCCTATACTGATGCTAGATTCTTTGAGAAAACGGCGCTAAGAATGACGGCTGGATCGATGGACTGTATTGAACCTTGGCGACTTTAGCAAGTGGATGAAGAATCGTCTGATCGGGATATGCTGTCGTAAATGTATACATCGATGTCGAAGAGAATAATAATGCGCTGAGTCAGGAGTTAATATTGAAGTTAAAGTTGGTAGTTGAAGAAGTTTAAGTAGGATGTTGAGTCGGAAGGATCGACAGGGGCTCTCTTTCCTTCTTGGCCGTTCGCTCCTTTCTCTTGAACTTGAACAAATCACCTGACATCTTTACAACCAACGCATTGAAATTCTGTACAACTACATTTTCTCAACATACAAGCTTTGTTTCTTGATTATCCCTCATGCCACGCTGTATTGGTACCACGATAAGATAGTACGCGATGCAACGTTCTCGTCACTTTTCTCCCTATCATCCTGGCTAGTCCTAGTCCTTAACATGCAAGGATCGACAGGCAACATGCTCCTGTCCGGAGGGTTCGGATTATCTCCGCATTTCTACAGGTCTAGACGCACGAATCCAAGCTCAAATAATGCGTCGAGATGCACGCTAGCATGGACAGTAGTACATGCTAGGACCTGCAGAATTGACCGAATCAAGAAAAATGTCTATCTAGTTCTAGGCTGGTAGTTGTGCCCCTCATTGGCATTATCTCTTGGCCATATATAACTCCTTTCCCGGCGTTCCCGTCTGGAATGCAACGGTTTTCTTGTCCGTTCAACGCGTCGCTCTCTTGAAATCTTGCATCTGTATGGTCAATATGGCTCGCGCACTCACTCTTTTGTCGCTGAGCCTGCTACTGGGCTGTGCAGTCTCTTCCACCAACAACTCTTTGAATTACGATGTCCTCCAATATATCGATCCTTTGATTGGAACAGCGAATGGAGGTATGTATAGAATCCCGCTTGAACGTATATGACATGCAGTATAGCAGTAAACTCATGGTCTTGTAATATGTAGGAGATGTTTTCCCCGGTGCAACGTTGCCTCACGGCATGGCAAAAGCCGTTGCTGATACCAACTCTGAGTCCAGTCAGGGTGGCTTCACTTTGGATGGTTCAAACATTACCGGCTTTTCATCTCTGCATGATTCTGGGACCGGTGGATTGCCTTCTTTAGGAAACTTCCCTCTTTTCCCATATGCAAAGTGTGTGAATGATTCAATCGACGGGTGTAAATACCCGAAAAAAGAGAGACCCGTGTCATTCGACAATGCGTCCGTTATTGCCACCCCTGGATACTTCGCTGTCACTCTGGCTACTGGCATCAAAGTTGACATGACAACTACTCAACACACCTCTCTCTTCCGATTCCAATTCCCGAACGGGGATCCTTCTGATAGTCCGCTTATCTTGCTGGACTTGACTGATTTGTCCGACTCACGACAAGACAACGCAACCGTGGATGTCGATGTATCTACTGGTCGTATGACGGGTTCTGGTCGATTCGTACCCAGTTTCGGCTCTGGAAACTATGTAGCCTACTTCTGTGCGGACTTCAAAAGTTCTGCTGGGATCCGTGATAATGGTATCTTTGTTAACTCACGTGCTACTGCCGATGCCAAATCACTCAAGATCTCTAGAAGTATCAATGGCTATCCATTGCCTGTATGTATTAACTAAATGTCTCCATCTCTGAACGAATGCTAACTAGTATCTGTCTTCAAGGGCGGTGCATGGGTGCGATTCAAACCTGAAACGGACTCGACAGTTCTTGCACGTGTTGGCTTGAGCTTCATCAGTGAAGATCAAGCCTGCTCTAATGCGGAGAAAGAGATACCAGATTTCGACTTCGATGGCATTCACTCAGCAGCAGTGAGCGCCTGGAAAGAGAAACTGAGCCCTATTCGAGTATCTCGTGAAGGCATCAATAAAACGCTTCTCACCAACTTCTACAGTGGAATATACCGGACCATGACACAGCCCCAAGACTACACAGGAGAGAACCCGCTTTGGGAAAGCTCCGAGCCATACTTTGATTCTTTCTATTGGTAGGTGACAGGAGTATGGTTTGATCTGGTTTATAATTGCATCTGTCAAATTTATGCTAACTTTAAAACAGTATCTGGGATCTTTTTCGCTCACAGATGCCATTTTTGACTTTAATAGACCCTGAGACGGTGACCAAGATTATTCGATCATTGGTGGATACACAACAGCATCTGGGATGGCTCCCCGATTGCCGCATGTCACTCTGCAAAGGCTATACCCAAGGTGGATCTAATGCAGACAATGTCATTGCCGATGCCTACATCAAGGGTCTTACGGGCGGCATTGACTGGGAGGCTGCATATGCTGCCGTCCAGAAGGATGCTGAGGAAGAGCCTTATGACTGGTCGAACGAAGGCCGCGGTGGACTGCAAAGCTGGAAGTCTCTGAACTACATTCCAGTGCAGGACCTTGACTATATTGGTTTCGGCACAATGACGCGTAGTATCTCACGCACTTTGGAATACGCTTATAACGACTTTGCTATTTCGCAGATCGCACGGGGTATGAACAAGACATCAGACGCTGAGAAGTACGAAAAGACTTCAACCTATTGGCAGAATCTTTTCAAAGCCGACCAAACATCATTCATGAACGGAACCGACACTGGCTTTAGAGGTTTCTTCCAACCCAAGTACTTGAACAAAACTTGGGGCTTCCAGGTAGGTCCTGACTCTCATATTACAGGACGAATGCCCCGCTTACGAAGTGGACGATAGGACCCTCTTATGTGCTCAAACCTCGATAATAGTGGATCTATCTGCTCTCTGCAAAACTCCGCCGGAGAGACCTTTGAATCGAGTATCTGGGAGTATCAATTGTAAGTTACGGTTCCGTCGAAGGCCTACTTACTGATTACTAACAACCTAGTAGTTTCGTCCCTCATGACATGGCGACTTTGATCACAATGCTCGGTGGATCATCTACTTTCGTTAAACGTCTTGACTACATGCACGATAAACAAATCACTTATATTGGCAACGAACCCGCATTCCTTACTGTCTACCAGTACCATTACGCCGGCCGGCCAAGTAAGTCGGCTAGTCGCGCTCATTACTATATTCCCGAATACTTTGGAACAACACCTGGTGGACTCCCCGGCAACGATGATTCAGGAACCATGGGTGCATTTGTAGCCATGTCGATGATGGGACTATTTCCTAACCCAGCCCAAAACGTTTACTTCATCATTCCGCCTTTCTTTGAGTCTGTGCAATACACTTCACCATTGACCAACAAGACTTCAACTATCAAGACAGTCAACTTCGATGCAGAGTACAAGAATATTTACATCCAGTCTGCCACCTTGAATGGCAAGCCTTACACCAAGAGCTGGATTGATCACAGCTTCTTCACTGACGGAATGGAGCTTGTTCTCACGTTGGGACGCAATGAAAGTTCTTGGGGTACTCACGCTGCTAATTTGCCTCCTTCACTATCAACTCAGGGGTCTTCAAGCATTGAGTAGAGAAGTAGTGGATTGATGCACCCTTCTATGCAGTGAAGTAGCTCGATCAATTCTAACATACTACTTAGGTAGCAAACATTTATATGTATATATTCCAGATCACTTTACCTACAATGGATGAATGTAGCTCTTGGATGTTCGTATTGATTCTCATAAGCACATAAGTCATAAGGTATGTTGAATAATATCATGAAACGCCATCTACTCTGGTAAATTCCATAAAAAATCCAGCGTCCCACCATCAAATCCAGATAACTGTCCACCACTCGGTCCAAAAGGGGCCATGGAAGGATCAAACGGTAGCGAGAATAACCACTCATTATCATCCGCCGAAGGAGCTGCGGCCGTATTCTCATTACCTGTCGAAAATGAGGATGAGGGTATTGCCTGGATCATTACTACATCATCGGATTCATTTCTTTCGCTAATGTTGTTGTGGCTGCTGGTGTAGATACGATTGTTATTCGGATCTGTGATAGCGGCCTCTCCGCCGCGGAGGAAAGGTTGTGTCGATGATGGGCGAGTAATATTTCGCGTCGTTGTAAAGGAGGGTTGCATGATCATACTGCCCCTTGATCCAGGATTAATAATCTTGTTCATCGTAGTAGACGAAGACGAAGCGACCAGATTCCGCCTCAGTCGCGAAAGATGCACCTCTAACAAAATAGCATATCGTGAAGCAAGATGGACGTCATCCAGGATATTAGACCTAAGAGCCTGTATACTCTTCTCAAGTACATCGAGAGATTCCTGCAGTTTTGTATGGCGTACGCCCAAACTCAACGCCTTCAAAAGAAAAATCGACGAACTCGTGACGCGAAGAAAGATGCGCACGGGCGAAAAGCGTAGTTTATCTGCTTGTGCGAGTTCAATGACCTTTTTCAGGATTTGGCAGGAGCCGTCAATTACTTCTTGGATGAATTCGTGGTCTATGGGGTCGAGGTTTATTTCGGTATTGGTGTGTTGGGTAGGTGCTGGGTCGAGATTGGGGTTATTGTTATTGTTGTAGGTGGTGGTATTGTTGGATGCGGAGGTGGAATTGGTTGCTGTGTCGGCTAGAACTCGTTCGACAACCGCTTGCATGCCGAATGAATGTGTGTATACTCGCACGTAGTGGTATTCGATATGGAGGATGTTGACGAAATTCGCACTCAGTCCAGTCGGCGCATCAAGATGACGAGCGTGCCATTGTGTTAAGAGCGGACGGAAATGGTCTAGTAGTCCTATATAGCGCCCACTGTGAATCTGTTGTTTCGCAAACGATGCGGAAGGGAAAAGCATATCGTTGACAGATCTCGTGAGCTTAGTAAGGTCCATCCAGGAGTCCATGAACGTTGTCCATTCGGTTCTATTTTCTGTTGGATTCTGACCGTGTACTTTGCTAATGGCACGATTTAGGCTTTGCGGCATCAAGGACATACATCCTATTCGTGAAGCGAGCTGGTTGATGTAAACATAAAGGAGTTGTTGAACGCGCTGCTTGCGGACTTTGTTATGAGTAGCAAGGGCAGGATTTGGAAAGTCAGAGGGATCCGGGCCTCGTTGTTCGGGCTCAAAGATGCCAAGTTCATGTGCGAGAGAAAACGCAGACCCAAGAAGCATCCAAGACATTTGATCTGATCGCCGCGCGGGCTCAATTACGTCTTGAAGCCATTGATTGGAAGAGGATTCAGATTGATTGGTTGACATTCCATCAGGAACCCCAAATGCTATGTCTGAATCCCATGCATCGTTCTCCGGAGGGAAATGTAGAGATCGAGGGTGCCATTCAGATATTAGTAGCAACGCCTCTATGGTGCCCAATGTTCGTATGCTACCTCTTGAAGATCGCTCCTGGCCTAGCATTAGGCGCATGATTAAGTTTTGACAGTGAGTCCATAGCTTGTTGTGAATGAAGAAACTTCTTGATGCCCCTCCTATTCCAGGAAGCACATGGTAGCGAGAAGATATCATGAGTATGGTGCAGCACAGGAAGTACTCATGAGTTACAAGTATGTGGTGATTCTCATGTCTTCGGTAGAACTCTGTCAGAATGGGAGACAGGGGAGATAAGTTTTCAAAAAACCTGTGATCGTCAGGACTACGCGTTGATCAAAAAGGTTCCATGAAACTGTTGACTTACTTGTCAACAAAGGTTACTGCTTCCTTTGCCGTGAACCATCCTAGTTTCACGACTCGGAACGATTCCCAAACACTAAGCAAACTGGGATCGGTTTTTGATATTTCTATAGGTGGTGGAGCTGCTGGACTGGTCCCAGTAACAGTGGCCTGTGGAAGTGACTGTGAGAGGACACTTGATATGCCATGACCAGATCCCACCCCAGGTTGTCTTTCTGGGGTCATCTCAGCACTTCTAGAGTTGGTATGAGCTGCTGCCTCAAACAGCAGGTTGAGTGCATCATTGCCGCTTGAAACCACATGCCTCATCAACGAATTTGTCAACTGATTCGGCTCAGAGGAGGCCTGAAAGCCATGAGATTCTCTAGGTGTGGGATGGAATGATGTATTGGATGAAACTGCAGACTCTCTATGTTGAGGAGAAGTGTGCATGGCCTGATTGGGAGATAATGAGTCTATAAAGATGTTAGCTCCTGGTCTCCACTAGTTCGGTGTCCAAACAATCATACCACTCCTGGGCTTTCTAGCCCATGACCGCTTCTCACTAAACACGCATCGTCTCTGCTCGCGACGACATCTTGCGCATGGTGGAGCAGGCCCAATGTCGCATTTGGCTTTTTTCTGTCTACAAGACAGGCAGGCTTTGTAAGCCCGCTGAAAATCCCGGCCACCGGATGCCCGTCTCTCCGGAGGCCTGATAATGTCGTCCATCAGAAGTTGCCTGATACCGTATCCTGATAGAGGTGCTGTTATTGAATGATTGCTCGGTACAAGGCTATTTAGCCGTAGAATTGCCGCTTGACAGTTAATTTCCCCCGACGAGCTGGATCGCAATGGAAGAATGAATCCAAAGCAGACGGAGGCATTACGGATAAATAATACCCGCAGTTTCCCGCTGACCAGTCAATAGCCAATAAGAGAACTTGTAGAGATCGCACAGACCATATCAAATCGCTTATCGTCGCTCAGGGTTAGGGTTACATTGAAGTTGTCTGCGATAAGGCTAGTGAGTTGACTAACCACTTCCGGAAAAGGTCGCAGGCACCTCAAAGGCCGCGAGGCAACAAGTGGCTCCTCGGACCAGACAACCGACGATGTGTTGACTTAACTTCATTTATCAGATACGCATCACCACATACATCCCTTCGGCCAATTTGTTCTATTCGCGGTTCAGGTTGCCGGATTGTCGCTTGCCGATAAAAGCTCTCTGTCTTCCGATCGAACGTTGCAAAGTGGCATCTGGACCTGCCTCGACTCCGATATAATGCGCCATGCGATTCACCTCGTAATCCTCCCCGGTTAGGATAAAATGGCACCTATTGCAGAAGCAAACACTCAATATAGTGCCAAAGAAGAGCCGATTTTCTCCCAAGAGGCCACCGCTACATCTAGAGCCGCTCTAGGTGACCTCGGTTCCGGTCCTAACGACACCCTTCTAGCAACAAACGGAAATGGCTCGGCCAAGGAAGTCCAGGACACAGAAATGCAGCGCGAGTGGGACCAAGTGGCTTCAAATGTGAGGAGCAATGGTTCGAAACATGTGGTGGAATCACAATCAATTAGTAATGGAGATGCACCGGGAAGTAATGGATCAACACAGGAAAAGCAGGAACGGATACGACAGTCTTCTTCACATGGTCTCGGCATACAACTGGAGGGATTAAATGGGAACGGCGAAGATTCGAATGGTCCCACCAGTGTCGGTAATGCTCATAGAGCGTCCTCTCCTCAAAATGCCAAGCAAGATAAGGAAAAGGTTTTGAAATTGTCACCAATTCAGATCCAGGAGCTCATTTCATCTCCGGACTCAATACCCGTAGAGAAAGTACCGGATAACCATGATAGGGAGAATGAATCTGCTGCTACAGCGAAGCCGTTGTCCTCGTTTGATGATAATTTGGCCAAGGCGAGGAATAGAGCCGAGTTCTTGAGGTCCATCAGTGGTAGCTTCTATCAGAAAAAGAGCACAAAGGGATCGCATCATCTGGAAGACCCTCCCAGCTTTCTCATTTCGAGTGATGATGCACCTATGAGCGCTCCTATCAGTCAGCAACCACACGCTTCGCGAATAATGACTAGCCCTACGGCTTTTCCGAGACAGAACTCAGTGAGCGATCAACAGCGGTTAAACTCCAATTCGGCTTTACGTTCAAGACATAAGGGCGCCCCTGATCACCTTGATCTCCCAGAACACAAGACGCTTACACAGGATCCTAACCCTTCTCCCATGCCACGGTCTATACCATTACCCCCGTTGTCTATCCCGGCATATCTGGAACTAGAGTTATCCTCGTCAAGGCCGTCACCGCTTTACATCCACCGCTCGGTGGCAAGTCAATCCCCATATGAATCGTCAGCAGTAAAGATGGAGCGGCTTTTGAATTTTATTCTCCTTCCACCTGCTTTGGAACAAGTCTTATGGTTCGGCGCGCTAGCCTGCCTTGATTCGTGGCTGTACTCGTTTACAATATTACCACTTCGATTCGCCAAGGCGCTCTACATACTTGTATCCTTCTGGGTGGTTAACATTTCTCGTGAGGCTCAGTTCGTGTTTACATTCATCATCAATGGTGTCGGCCGAGTATGGCGCAGACGGTTGAAGGCGTCGAAGAAGATGCCTCCTGACTTCGCACACAATACCCAGAGCGGTGCAGCCGGGACCAACGGCTCTATCGCAAATGGGAATAGAGATGCAAGGCTAAAGTCTCAGCAGAGTAACACTAGAAGACGAAAGACGTCAGCGCAGCCGAATCATCGAAGACAAAAGTCAATGCCGTCAACATTAGAGTCAGATGACAAAGCGGATATACTGAAAGGGTCACTGATTATCTGCACTTGTATTGTCCTGAGTTATTTTGATGCCAGTCGAATGTATCACTGGATACGAGGGCAAAACGCTATCAAACTTTACGTTATTTATAATGTACTGGAGGTCGGTGACCGTTTGCTTTCTGCTATCGGACAAGACGTGTTGGAGTGTCTGTTCTCTCAGGAAGCTTTAGATAGAGGGAAAGATGGGCGTAGCAAAGTTGTGCGCCCATTCTGGCTCTTCTGGCTTGCTCTTGCATATACGACTGTACACGCAACAGCCCTGTTTTACCAAGTGGTAACACTCAACGTTGCCGTTAATTCGTACTCAAATGCACTCATCACGCTTCTGTTATCCAATCAATTCGTGGAGATCAAGTCGACGGTGTTCAAGAAATTTGAAAAGGAGAACCTTTTCCAGTTGACATGTGCGGATGTTGTTGAGAGGTTTCAGCTTTGGCTGATGCTTACTATTATTGCATCCCGAAATATCGTGGAGACTGGGGCATTTACTTCTTGGTTTACTGTTGGACAGGGCGTGAGTGATCAAATTCGCTCATCTGTTACAAATAGCACTCCTCTTACTACCTCTCCGCGTTCGTCCACTTCAATACTTCCGCAATCATTCACCTTTTTACCGTCGACATTCTTTACGTCCCTGACAGGAGGCGCAAATACACTTTTACCCCAACTCGCTCAGGTTTTAGGCCCGTTCTTGATCGTTCTAGGATCTGAAATGTTCGTGGACTGGCTCAAACACGCATATATTGCGAAATTCAACAATACGCGACCAGCAATTTATGGGCGATTCCTTGACGTTCTAGCGAAAGATTACTACACCAACGCATTCATAGACCAGAATCTAACTAAGCGACTCGGTCTGGCCGTTATTCCAATGGCTTGTCTATTCTTCCGAGTCTCTGTTCAAACATATCAAATGTTCTTGCAGGCGCTGCTCCCGATGCAAGCGTCTTCTACCGAGCACAGTGCTTCATTGACAGCAATGCATGAGCATTACTCTAATTTACCGCAACCTTCATCACCCACTCTACCTCTTACTGTTCAGTCAGTCATGTCGAACTCATTTGATCGTTTGTCATGGTTGTTCAATACCATAGTGGAAAACGCTATTCCATCGCCCATACAGTCCGTCACATTTTTCACTATCGTCCTTGTGCTCACTGGTTACCTGATCCTTCTCATATTCAAGCTTACATTGGGTATACTCCTTCTGACGTTTTCGCGCTCACGTTACAAAGCAATGAAGGAACGCGAACAGGAACTCTACTTTGATGCTCAGAATGATTCGAAGGGCACGTCTCCATCTGTCTTTCACGACCAACAACAGCACCGTAAGCCTTCCAATACTTCTGCTGCCAACATGAACCGAGACTACGTCGTTGATGGAGGTCGTCGGGTCGGTGGCTGGGGTGTTGTCGAGGTAGACGACGACAAGAGACGCTGGATCTATGCCGATGACCCAAATGCTTTGCGGAAAATCAGAGAAAAGGAGCGCGCTGAAAAGGATAAGCATTCTGCTAAGGACAGTGGAGCGTTGCTGAATCTTGATAAAGTGCAACGATACGAGATGGTGGCCAAGCGAATTTGGTAGGACCCTCTGTTTATGTATAGCATAAGTTCGTACTGCATCTTGAGGCGTTCGAATAATCCTCCCTGCTTGATAGATTATAATCTGTAATTATGGGAACACAATCACCATATGTTTCATTATCGCTGGCCATCTATATTGCGTAGATAACCCAGCTTGTATTGGATTTAGGGTTTTTGCGCAACCGCCATTCCGACGTTGGGATGCATAACGAACCCCTTCTCCTGCGCATCTTAAGATCCTGCACCCTCCTCTTTACCTCCTTCTCTATCTCCTCATCACTCCTCCACTAGTCCGAATCTTTCCCAGCAGCGTCTCTTTTCCTCTTCAGAAAAATCCTCGTCAAAGACTCCAACACCCTATCAATCCATTCCTCAGTCTTAAACCACAACTCGGGTTTATCTCGAATTCTGAAATCGTATTTCGAAATATTTGTAAAACCTGCGGATTTAGCAGCTTCTACCACGGTTGCTGGGACGTCCCTGCTTGGACCGGCGTTGATTTGGCCCTCGATACAGAGGCGTAATGTGTTCATACTGGGGAGCTCTTGGTAATGTTTTTCGGGGTTTGTGAGGAAATATGAGCGACCTAGATCTTCCCATTGGAGATGACCTTCTTGTTCTGTAATCAAAACGTTAATAAAATACAAAGCAGACAAGAATCAAGGAAAACATACTCAATACCCGCAATGTTGGCCACGACGTGCTTATAGTCTGACTCTTTCAGAGCAGCTACCATCAATCTCACATGCACAAGGTCGTATTTGCCATGGCGTTCTGCTGGGAAGGGCTCCAGACAATTATGAAGAGACAATTGAATTGTATCGTGACTAGAGTCTTTAGGGAACTGTTTATCTGAGATATCGAAGTCATGATATCGGCGCTTGTTGTCGGTAGGGTATGTGGTATCAAGGTATTTCTGTACGTCACGTAGCCAAACCCTAATTCCATGCACTTTTGTCAATAGCCGGCCATGATATTCTTAAGCATAGAAATTGGCCGTACCCAGTAACTTACGAAATATTTCATGATTAAGTGTGGTTTAATTTTTGTATTTATTATACAAGTCCTATATGTAGCCCTCCCCTCTAGGTCCTCCCGGAAAAGCATGTAAATAGATTGTCCCTCTTTAGTTATTGTTACTTGGATGGCTCCAAATCTAGTATCATCAACTGAGGAGTTTACCCATGGTACGACTATGGCCACCACCTCCCTAATAGTGGGAGTTACCGAGTGCCATCCAAGTACGATCAGAAGACATCGCTCTAACTTACGCCTATTTGGTAGAGTGACGGCTCCACCAATAGAAATAGATATCCACGGAGTCTTATACTATAATGTTCACGGTTCTTTGTGACTGTTTTCTTGTCTAATGTCATAACTTGAGCTTATCCAAGATATATCGATCAATGGTAAATCATTAACTGTATCCTAAATCACTAAAGCTAACTTACTGGCTCAGGATACACTCAACCCTCAATCAAAAATACCCAACATAGAAGTCTACCACACTGAAAATGTCATAAACTCCTTCATGATGGAAGATATTTTTTCAACTTGTTCTTTGCCAAGTCACTGGCTCTTTGCTTCCAAATCCATTTTGCGGTGTATCCACCAAACGTCTCGATGGAAACGAAAGATGCTGGCTCACATCCAGATCACTTCCAGCAGGCATGAAATGCTCCAACCTTAAAGGACCATCGTTGATGGTCGTTAGGTCAACAAGTTGCCTGCTAAGAAGACAGTCTTGTTCAAGATACATTGTTTATCTTGACCTCTGTACCATAAATGTACAGATAGCTTGAAGCTTCCATGAATGCAAATTCCCTTAGATCGATACCACTGAAATATATAACCAGTGAACCTGTCATGATTGGTTTGCTGGAAATCGATTTCAGATAGCTCCCAATTATCGTTTGAATTCTTCCATCTCGGTGTCTCTTGGATATCAACAAGTATTAGAAGTTTGGTTTGACGATTGCTACCTTCCAACCATCACTCTGTGTCTTTATAGAGATTGCTTGTGGTCTCACTAATGCCAATCTCAAGAACCACAGCTGGCCATTTAGCTTCATATTCCATGGGAGACGCATCTGCTTGTTTTGTAGATCCGTCAAAGTCGCCGGGCAATGAACAACCTAAGAATATAGTTAGATGTATTAAATAACACACACATGAGGGGGTTATTAACATATCTATGCTGCCGGTCAAGAAGTAGCGTGAGCCAGTAGTGGCATTCAACCTGTCTCGTATTTGATACAAGACTTTACGGACCACATCAGCGGCAGCCTCATGCATCCATCCTAGGCCTCCTTTCAAGACAATACGTGCATTCTGTGCATCATACTCAACACCGCGGGTATCATCACCGATTTTGTCGAGCCAGTTCCAATACTCAGCACGGGAGACCTTGAACTTGTCAAGAACACGAGAACTCTCAGAGATACGTCTCAGCTCAATGATATCATCGACGGCAAGATCCTCCTCCAATGAGTGAATTCGGTCAAGAATACGGTCGATTCGATCTTTTGCATGATGCTCCATGTGGGTAGGAATCGATACATCTGGAAAAACTATTCGATGACCATGGGTCCTCGGCACATTTTTATATGCTAGAGGGTGGGCTGGTAAAAGACCTTGAGTTCTGAAGGTCGACAAAGCGACAGTCGGTAGCAGTCGGAACCCTACTTACCGTCTTTGTAGTAATGCAAATAGTAGAGCCAATTTTTATAGTTGTCCATGCCAGGACTTAGCCATTCAAGTTATAGGTTAAAGCTGGGCAATATATAACAAAAGGCAGCTATAGCTCTTGATCATTTTTGTGACCAAAACCCTTTTACATTCTACCAGCTCCATACAATGATACACATGTGTGTTTTGCTGGAATTCTGCGAATAAATTCAAAGAGCTATTCTTGCTAAAACTTCCTTTGTGAATCCATAAAGACTAGCCCTGTTTCATTGCTGCTTCAAGTAGATGTTTGAAAGTAATATGAAAGTTCTCGCAAGGGAAATTGAACTTGCAAGATACCAGGTTACAAGACTTGATATTCGCAGATTACAATATGTCAGTAAGAGACAAGACATTGGACCAAATGCACCGTTGAGTACTTAACGAAGCTGTACGTAGCACTCCATCCATACCCATATTAATCCATATCAGGTATGGATTGTCAAGCTTAATAATACCTGTATGGAAAACCAGCCTGAGTACCCAGAGCTACAGTAAAGATCTTTCCTCCGATATTGATTCATGGATGAGTTTCCCGTCACATACTTTGACGAAGAAATGGTGCTGGGAGTCGAGACTTGATATCAAAATTTGTTAGTTGCAGTAATTCAGAATGAACGCTTATGATTATCGCTCTTGACGCAGCCCATCTTTACATGTACTTCTGGGATATGAAAATACAGGTAGAATGGAAGTATAACCTGCCGCTGAGTCTCATCTTGATCACGAATAAGTCCACTCATTTTGCAATTGAAAACTCTCAGAGATGACTTGTAGCAGAAACTAGGTAGCTATTTGCCTATGTATCCTCACCTCGAATGGAATCGAAGTGAAGAGATGAGAAACCCTTGAAATACTTAGTACCTAAGTAGGTCATTTTTATACTACCTAGGTACTTCCTAGCTATCTATGTACGGGGTCCACACTTCAGCTCCTTTCTGGGCAGTAGTCATCCTAGTGGCATAAATGGGCTGCGTTGAATTTGGCATCGTGACTAATTATAAATACATCCCCATGTCTAGGCTATACAGCCAATAACCACCTCAGTACTGTCTGGTTGCACTTCCTAATGTCGTAATTAACTCCATCTTGACAGTTTTAGTGGAATCCTTCCAAGCAAATATTTCCGAGCTGGACAGATATAAGGACATTGCCGAACTCAGTGATTGTCACTTCTTCGGTGTGTACTAGGGCACGGGACATATCAATACATTGACCTTCGGTATATTGACCATGAAAGTTTCTCCAAATACAGACTGCATATAATATATGCCTTGTCAGGTGCTACCGACTGGCTAAGTTGGCTCTGGTTCTGTTCTTTCAGGGCAAGTAGCAGTCACAATGGACCGAGCCCTGCTTTTCAATGCATAGATAGTATCCCCCGTCCATGTCGATTTAGACGGATTTTATTAGAACTTGATAATTTACTGATTGATTAAGTCATATGTCTTACCTGGCCGGAAAATAAATCCGGGCTGTCTTCTGCGCTATTAGACTTGATTATAGTGATGCATATAACTATAGACTAGTTCAAACACCGGCCGAATAAATGAATCACAGTGTCATTTCTTAAGTAAATGGATTACACAGAAGACAATCTAAAACAACCGTCCCAAACTGAAGTCGAGGTTTTGCTAAAATATTCACAGCCGTGTTCTGTCATTTCCTAACCGCGCTACCAGTTGATTGTTTGACCTGTTCATACCTACACTCGTGGACGATATTGAACAGGGCCATCCAACTGTCTTGCCATCAGTATTTCGACAAAAATGCATGTAGCCACAGAAAAGTAATCCTATCATACTATGAAGGTAGATACGACGGGCAAGATTTGTATGGATTTTGAACACTAAAGCATTTAGCAGGCCCACTACGCAGGGATGTCTCGTTTTTCGATATGTTCCTGTTCTCGTGCTGAGAGCACTCGTTTTCCGGACAGGATTTCTCGTTCCTGGTGTACAGCGACGTGATTATTCAAAAGCGGGCTTGGGTCCTTGACGAACCACGCAAAACCTAGGGCAATAACACCAAATGGGATGGTAGCATAGAACACTCGGCGGAACGAGTATGCATATGCCTCCTTGAATGCACGTGAAGTGGCCGAAATCACGCTGGAGGTGGCCTCCGGAATCGAAGCGAATGCATGCGGAACACCAACTGCATTCTCTACCACAGCTGGGATTAATTCACCGATACGAGCGGCCGGAAAGCCGTTCTGGATGGCTGCTTCGGCAACTCGCTTTGGCATCTGCTTGTTCACCTGCGATGTCAAAATAGTAGAGAAAATAGCGTTGCCGACACTGTTGCCTGCGCTTCGGAAGGTACCTATCAGACCGGCAGAGACACCAAAGTCTTCTTGAGGAACAAAAAGACCTGATGACACATACGCAAGTAATGTCACCCAAGTGAAGCAAGATTGGCCGAATAGCTGCATGACGGACCACGCAATCTCGTGATTCGGTACGACAGCGGCGTAGCATGCCGTGAATACGGTTTCCATGAGAAGAGCGAAGAGAATTTGTTCCCGGACGTGCTTGATCTTGTGCACGAGGGATGGCATGATCCATCCACCAAGTAAACCGGAGATATTATTAGGGATTTGGAGCACACCAATGCGGATAGGGTCATTAGTGAACATGTATAGGGTACCCTGAGGCCCGAGTGTGGTGATCGCCTGCCAAATCATGCCCGCTACAAACAGAATAATGAGATGTACCGTGAATTCGCGGAACATGACAAAGAGCCTGAGTGGGAAAATCGGGTCTCGCGCAATGGTGAAATCATATGCTAGACAGGCGGCCAAGAGCAGACCTCCAATGACCGTGGTCGATGCTACGACAGCTACTGAATAGGAGCTCTTTCCGAGGTAGGTGATTCCAACCAAGAACAAGGTCAATCCTCCACAGAAAAGGAACAGACCCACGAAATCAAGCTCTTTGAACTCCTGCCATCGCGATTTATCATAGTCGCCTCGAGGCCGGGACGGTGGGAAATAGGAGACGGCTGTACCGGTCATAGAGATAGCTGCATAGATTATACCGACGTAGTAGATCCAACGCCAGGAGGCGTGGATCACAAATTCTTGAGCGATCAGGACTCCCAGGCCTGCCCACGGTACATTCAGGCAGAACTCTGTCCAGGCAATGCCCATTCCACTGTGCCATGTCAGCATAGCTTACAAGAGAGGGTAAGGGCCAGATATCATAGGATAAGTACTGCACGCACCGGTATTTGTTTGGCAATAGCTCCGAGATACCGGGATAGGAGACAAAAATGACGCCGGCACCGAATCCGATAATGGTCGAGCCCGCAGCGACGATAGTTGTCTTATGCGCAGTCGCCCCGACGATCTGAATTAAAATAGCATGTATTAGGCGTATGATTGTAGAAAAATGGGCTCAGGATACCAACCGAGCCGATCAATGTCAATGCCTGCCCTGAGATGAGGACGTATCGACGACCAAAAATATCACTCAAACGACCAGCAATAGAAAAGGAGACCGCAGAAGCAACGCCCCAACCTCCAGGAATCCATACAATATTCTCCATGTCTCCTAGCGCGGTGCCGATTTGCGATACAATTCCTGCTGGCATAACAAGACCGCAAGAAATGGCGGCTACATATGACAGACCCATAAACTGTATTTTATGATTAGCTACATGAAATTGTGCTACAGCGCCAAACTAGATAGCCAATAGAACTTACAAAAACTGCCATCAATGTAGACGCCGATACCTTCTCCGGCGGATCACTATCCTCATTATTGACGGCAACTGCCGCATTCCGGTCACCATCTTGTGTGGCAGCCTCCTCGGCCTTCGTACGCGCCGTTACAGCATCTTGAGGAGATGGAGGAATTTCCTGATGCTCTACAGCCTCTTCCGGCTTGCTATCAGAGGTCTCCATGGCTGAAAGCAATGAGAGAATCTTTTGACCTGCTTGCCTTTTCTGGGTGTGACGATGGCAGATAAAAGAGAACGGGCCAAAACCCCCGAGGGAGCTTGGATGTCCATAATCATTTATATAGTTAGAGTAGTAATGCGGGTTAGTCTGCATTAGTAAGTTGCAGCTATATTAGACCGGAATAATCCATGGATAATCTGCAATTCGGCTAATGTGCTGGTTGTGACTGCCGTTCTTTTATCACGGGTCTTGGGCTGTGCTGAAAACTTGAAATCTGTATATTAGTAGACACATCTCAGTCCGTGGACACAACCACACTGACTCATTCAGTTACTCAAGAACGCGGGGATAGAATGTGGAGAGGTGGAGAGAAGTCCCTCCATGGAGAGGTTAGCCCCCCGAAGTTCTGCTCCGCAATGGGCTTTTATAATGAAGCCACATTGTGGAGAACACAGTTTCGACTTTCAACTCACGATTCCATGGCTACCATGATAACATGGACGGCTCGGTCGGCTTTTCTACACTGCATGAGACCATCTTGCCAGGTGTCTATCATGAATGAAGATCCGTAAATACTACTTCATAAGTGAGGCAGATATAGCCACAAGAGAAGAGATCAGCTAGGTTAGTACTAACTGTATGCGAGCCGCATAGCTCTAATCTTTAAAAACGAGTCGGTCAGAAACTTGGAACATAATGGACTGATAATAAGCAGTCCCTCGGAGCTCATCCATATGGGCCTGCCGTACAAGCCTCGGCTTTTATGTTGTCTTCACACAGTTAGTTTAGGGAGTTCGGCAAGTAGCAAGCTCATTCTCATCCGGGCGTCGTTCTTCTGGCTTCTATGGTCCATATTTTTGGGCTGCTAGGATTGGTAAATCCAGTAGGGTATACGTATATCCGCTTTGGCATTCCACTCCGTAATTCTCAAATTTTAACCTTGCGTTTTGTCTACTTACCAGGATAAGGATTTTCTGGGGGAAAGTGAGGGGGAAAAGATTATTCGAACCAACAAAATTGCACACATAAAGACCCTGACTCTATCTCAAGGAATTTGCTTTTTTCTTGGCTTTTTCTTCCACTATGCTTCATCGCGTGGGAGAAGCAAAACGAATCCGTGAACATCCGAGATGATGTTGACAAGTGCAATCCTCCTCCTGACTCTCGGGGTCCAGCTGAGTCACGCAGATGATTCGTCCCGCGAGAACTTCTCAAATCGATGCGACCAGCTGGCTAAGGAGATCCATATTCCCAACGTAACTGTAAACTTTGTGGAATATGTTGCCAATGGCACCAACGTCACACTTGCTGACAATCCGCCTTCATGCGGGCAGTCCAATCAAGTGGTCCTGGCGGATTTGTGTCGAGTGGCTATGGAGGTTACAACCTCCAACCAGAGTCAGATCACCTTGGAGGCATGGTTTCCGGAAAACTACACTGGAAGGTTTCTGAGTACCGGTAATGGTGGTCTCGCAGGGTGTCAGTTCCTTCCCTCCCCTATCTTGGTGGTGTGCATTGCGGTGAAACAAATTAACACCATCACCCGGAGATTAGGTATCCAGTATGTAGACATGGCATATGCGTCGTCAATGGGATTTGCGACAGTAGGCGCAAATGGGGGCCACAATGGCACCTCCGGAGAATCCTTCTACCACAACCCGGACATCGTAGAGGATCTCTCTTGGCGATCAGTGCATACCGGTGTCGTCGTGGGCAAAGAATTGACCAAAAAATTCTACCACGAAGGATTCCACAAATCATACTATCTCGGCTGCTCTACAGGCGGACGACAAGGGTTCAAGGCAGTCCAAGAATTTGTGCATGACTTTGACGGCGTGGTCGCAGGGTGTCCGGCGTTCAACTTTGTAAATCTCAACAGCTGGAGTGGACATTTCTACCCTATCACAGGCAACTCATCCGCAGACACGTTCCTGACAACCGCACAGTGGACACTAGTACAACAATCGGTTATGGAGCAATGTGATTCTCTCGATGGCGCGGTTGACGGCGTAATTGAAGCTATCGATCAATGCCACCCGGTCTTTGAGCAACTCATCTGCAGACCGGGACAAAATGCTTCGGAATGTCTGACAGGAAAGCAAGTCAATACCGCCCAACTCGTCCTTTCCCCAATCTACGGAACAAAAGGAGAATTCCTCTATCCGCGCATGCAGCCCGGAGTAGAAAATGTCGACATGTACATAACCTACAACGGTGACCCATTCGCCTACAGCACCGACTGGTACAAATACGTCGTTTTCAGCGATCCAAATTGGGATCCCGCAACCTTGAACGCGCAGGATTACGAGATTGCGCTTGCTCAAAACCCGTCCAATATCCAGACATTTGAGGGTGATTTATCCGCTTTCCGCGATGCAGGAGCTAAAGTCTTGACCTATCACGGCACTGCAGACCCGATTATCACGGGGGAGACGTCAAAGGTATACTACCGCCACGTCGCTGAGACCATGAACGCAGCTCCAGAGGAATTAGATGAGTTTTATCGCTATTTCCGGATTGGAGGTATGAGCCACTGCGGTGGAGGCACGGGAGCCACGGCGATTGGTAATGTGCTCAGTGCGCAATGGAGCAATGATCCTGACGCTAATGTGTTGATGGCGATGGTACGCTGGGTTGAGGAAGGGGTTGCTCCGGAGTATATTCGTGGTGCTTCGCTTGGTAGTGGGCCGGGAGCAAAGGTTGAGTATACTCGGCGGCATTGCAAGTATCCGACGAGGAATGTTTATGTTGGGCCTGGAAATTGGACGGACGAGAATGCGTGGAAATGTATTTTGTAGTAGCTTCATCAAGCTTGCAGCGGATTCTTCGAGAGCAGGGGGCTGGAGCATGAAAAGGTGTATACTAGCTTGAGCCAGGCACTAATTGATTCTACCGTCAAGGGGGGGAGATGCGGGAAAGTTATACGGACGTTTAAGAGCTGCGAGACATTCCTGAAGCTTGATAACTAGCATGACTACATTATCAAATCAGCAATAGTAACAATTTCTCCATGTATAAATCTTAACATACAATTACTTCCTCTAAAACGATAACAATCTAACCCTTTTACCAGAACATTTCAAACATGCTTATTTAGCAACCCGCTGAGGCAACTTCTCAAAGACCCACCCAAAAATTTCCCGACTCTTATACAAATTCATCACCCGAAGTCTCTCATTATCCAAATGCGCATGATCACTAGCCTGTCCACAGGGCAGATTTGCCGCCGGCGCAGAAAATTCTCTTTCCAAGAACCGGATCGTAGGGATTGATCCTCCTTCGCGAATGTAGAGTGGCTGTACAGGTGAGGGTGCCGTTTCGGTTTGGGTAGGCCATGCTGAAGCGGATGGAGGGGAGGATGCAGCAGCGCCGTGATAGGGTATGCCGTTTCCATTGCTGTGGTGGGTGGGTAAGGATAGGAGTGAGGGGGATGATGAGAGAGAATCTTCACCGTGTTCTGCATCGTTCAGTTTAGAACTGTTAGTTCTTGCCTGGTTTCCTGTTAAAGTTGAAGAGGTCGGCACTGCGGTGGCATTGGATGCGCTTTGTTTTCTTTGTGACCTCTTCTTCGACGAGATTGTAGATGAAGAAATGATTCGATCGATATGTGATGCGACACTATCGTTCGAGTCGGTACGGTTGAGCTCTGCTCCAAACGGTCGCATGGTCGTCTTGGATGAGGGTTGGGGGTAACTGTATCGTTTTTCATCTAGATCCGGCGTCCATGCTGCAGAGATGGCTTCGGCCAATGTCCCGAATATCTCATTATCAGGATCACCTAGCCATGGATCGGATTTTCCGGTGATTTCAATAGTGAGTTCATTCTGGGAGTCTAGTAGGTCAAACTGCTCCTGCGCAAATGCAGTAAGCGCCGATGCAACTTCGTCCGCAGTCTGATTAGGTACAATGCGCACGGATAAAGTTGCCTTTGCTCGTCGGGATATGGTTGAACCCGTGTTTTTGTTGCTTGGTACTTCGATTGAGTGGACGGTAAATGATGGTTCGCGCCATCGATACATCAATGATTTGGTGAAGGCTTCGCGGTCTTCGATTTGGGGATGTAATGGAAGCATCGCTTCTGTAATTGCTTGAAATCGTTGTTCCTCTGCTTTGTTCAATTTGGCCACTGGATCGTAGAAGTTGGGAAAGTTGATGTGACCTTTACGTCCGATGAAGTTCGATAGTAACAACGAAAGATCCTTCAAGGGCTCATCAAGCAATGAACTTCCGTCAATGCCACTGTGGAGATCAGGATGATCGCTAGTCACAATCAGATTCGCATGTACCACACCTCGCAGACCATAGGTGAGGCAAGGAATATGGTCATCAAGCCAGTAACTATTGGCGAGGAGTATCCAGTCCACTTTTCCAATTAGATCTTTGTTTTTGCGAACCGCTTTTTCGAACCCTTGGGAGCCGGATTCTTCTTCACCCTCAATTATGAAGACCACATCACAGCCTAGAGCCTTTCGTCTGACAAGATCCGCTGCTGCATATACCGCTGCGAGAATTGGCCCTTTATTGTCAGAAACGCCGCGGCCGTATAAATATCCATCGACAGAAACAAGTTGAAAAGGGTCTGTCCGCCATTTGGGTTGATTGTTGTCGGCACCAACGACATCATAATGTCCGTAGAATAGAATGGTCTTGACATTTGGTCCAGGGTTAGACGCCGAAAATCTTGCATAGACAACAGGATTGGTATCTGCACCAGTCTGCAGAAGTTTCGTTGTCGCTCCAAGAAACGCACAGTGTCGGCGCAGGAATGTAGCTCCTTGGTTACAGTCAACTGAGAATTTGGGACTTGACGAGATCGTCTGGTAAGACACAAACTTAAACAGAGTGTTGACCATGTCGTCTGAATTGTTAGCTACTTGTCTAAACCTGGCATAGATTGGTAGAACGAACCATTTCCAATGGATTGCAATTCGCTGTCTTCCTGGCACGTAGCTAGATCCCAGATGGCGACAGTATTATCATTTCCGCCGGTTGCATAGATATGTCTATTGTTTGAGATTCCGGTGGTAGAGGCAAGGATTGTGCCTTCGTGGGCTGTCCAGCAGCCGATTTCCTCAAAACTCGAATTGAATTTCTAGACGTATCAGTCAGTATTGGTCGTGATCAAGACACACAGATGTAAGCACGTGATTTTTCTTACCTTAATGATTCCCTGAGCGTCACCGGCAATCGCTATGCCGTTCATAATATCAAGAGCCCATAAGTCTCCTTGATGTTCGGTAATCTGTTTGACCAGCTGCTGTGAATCCAGATTCCAGATATTAAGAGCACCGCCAGCCAGGCCACAGTACAGTAAAGAGCCCTCGATAGCAAGTGACAGCACCGCATCATCTCCGTTCTCAAGTTCAAACCAAGGGATTGGGGCGCCGTTGTTCTCCTGTGTCAGTCGCCATAATTTCACAGTGCCGTCACCAGATCCCGTCAGTAGCACTTCCTCGGACGGTGCGGATTCTATCAACCCTCGAACAATAATCATGCAGTATATGTAGCCATGATGAGAGAATAGTCTATGTTGATCGCGCTTGAAGGTCAGCGTTTTCCCTCTGTGATCGGCTAAGCTATGTGCGTCTGAATCCTCTGATCGAGGATTGATGCTCCCACCGGGCCCTCGGGAATCAAAGAATCGATGTCTCCGCTCGGACGGGTGTCGAGAAATTGTGACATTTCCATCGCTAGCCAAATTGCACCACTGCAAGGATTAACCAGATGCCGAACATTAGGACAGGAGCCAATACCTGCAAACTTGTGTTTTGTCCGCCGCAGAAGACAGTGTTGAGATTTTGCGAGTAGACGACAGCAAAAATATCGCCAACGTCATGATGAGAGTATATTGAGTATAGTCTCTCGAAAGTGGTAGTTGACCAGACCTAGTTCCTGGTTATTCTATGCGCTATGCAGACAGGATAAGTGAACATACATTCACCACCGAGTCACCGCCACTTGAAAAAAGTAATTGTCCATCCGGAGAGATGAATAAACTCAAAACACTTTCTCCATGAGCTGGAACGGATAAGACCAGCTCATAAGTGTCTAAAGACCATGCCTATAGTATTATCAGCGTGTGTTTCAATCATGTCTGAGTGTCATAATACCAATATATCACCCCCCTGCAACCCCGCAAAGACACATTGTTCGTCCAAGGCCACAGCTAGCACGGACCTAGAGGCATGAACACGATGACCAATTGCACAGTCATTCTGCATAGAGAGCTTAACTGACGGAACTTGAGTGTTGTGGTCGTTGCTAGAGAACGACGATGGTGAGTCATTATCCGACTGGTCATCAGAATCCAGAGAAAAGCGTGGCATGATGGCGGCCCGCCAGCTACAGCTCCGTATATCAAGGAATGGTAGATTCTGCGTCTTTCTCTTTTGCCTTATCTCATTGGTTTGTCGAGGAGAGAACTAACCCAGCCGGTTGGATGCACTAGGAGAAAGGAGTTCAAGGATGAAAATAGTTTGTCGTTGTGTGTGGACGACACTTGGCCGAATGAAAGTAGAAGAATAGCAGAAACTGATCGATGTTTATTGATTGCTTGTTGTACAAAGTGGTCAGCATAATTCTGAATGGTGTGATCGCGAACATCAAGTGCGGGATCTCCACTTGGATGCCTGAGCATTCAGGAATCATTCATATCAGATAAGCCAAATTGAAGCCAATCTATTGATTCCTCTGACAACGGTATGGAGAGTTCGTAGCTACCGAAGTATAGTCTCTCGTACTACCTGAATCATGCCTGAATGATCATTGGCAAGTGTGACTCAACAATACTTCACCGCTAGAGAGTTCTGTTCCACCAACAACCCTAACTCTATAGCCCTAACCCCCAGAATATGATGTGTCAGACTCAAAGAAAGAAAGACCTCTGCATAAGGGCAAAAGAACTATCGATGGTGACACTGAGATGACAGATCGATGGATAGAATGCAGCCTTAAAATTTAGGTACATATACTCTCGTTCGGCATGGTTCATACTAGGTGTATAGCTACGTGGATGCCCAACAGCACCACCAAGATTGTCACCACAACAGGTTACAGGTATGCGTAATGACATTGACATGTATGTATACCTAACGTACTATCATTGTGCATATCTGTTGCAGTGTACAGAGTGCTTGTGCTGATTCAAATCAGATGTATCAGTTTGCCGGCTAATGATCCATATTTTGAGCGAGAAAAGCAGAGAACGAGAATTTCACTGCGCCACATGTCGCCGACTTACCAGCCACCACTAATCAACCAATGAACACATCCAGACACCGCCAATTCGTCCAGACCGACTCTCTGCTCCTTTTTGTTCGTCAATGATCGGTCGTCTGACAAGAAGAACTAAACATTATCGCCCAACAGGTTATCGAACAGTGCTAGCTAGCGTGTCTATGGTGCAATCATAATGTGACAACGCAGGTCCTCTCCACCAACCACCCATCGTCAAGCAGACTAACCGCCTCAACGTGGGCGCCTCGTCTCATGCACTCTGCTCATCTACCGTGCCTAACCAACTATGCGCCATTTGTCTACTTATTTTATGCGCTGCGAGCTTTCGCCCTTACATTCTCCCCTTTTTCTCATCAGAAATCAAGTCTTACGGATGACACATTTGAACTGTTTCAGCACGAATAGATTTATTGTCGCAAGGATGTCCCCTTGAAGGTATCTGTCGCGGACGGCTACTTCGGAACCACTTTGAATATTTTATTTCACCTCCTCCTTACTATGAAATAGCAGGCGCATACTGAACAACGGAATCATATATTGAACTTCTTCCTGGGGCTTACGGGCCAGCGGAAGACACGAAGATGGCAGTAATCAAAGAAACGATTGCGGTGATAGACAAGTCGGGGAAGATGGTGTCGAATGTGAGTATACCCTGATGTCCTTTTATAACATGAGCGACTATTGATAATTGACTATTTCAGAGTAAACATTTATTCGGCGTCTTCAAAGAAGCTCGTAATGCTTATCGCGAACGCAAAGCCGAGATTCGTGCGGCCAAAGACGCAGAGAAACAAGCGCAAATCGCAGAACAAGAAGCTCGTCGGATAATGGCGAATCTTGCTCTGGATGACCGGCGGTCCGTAGCATCGTCGAGAAAATCGGGTCGAACACGAGCTTCTCAGAATAGACATTCGTCAAGTCATTCGCAACGAATCGATGTTCCGACTCAATTTCACTACGAACAAGATTTACATCATGGGCAGATGATGTATCAAGAGCCGAGGTCGCTGCAACAAACAGGACGCCGTCATACTACTCAGGAGATAACTGCGAAGGAATCAGCTACGGCAGTTGCAAGGTCCCAGTCTAATAAATATATTGATATGGATCTAGCGTATGGAGAGGCTCATCCGTCGGCTTTACAGCACTACGAAATGAGACCTGCAGATGAGGAGGAATTAAACGGACTTGTCGCCAAAGCCAAGGGTTTACTCGAAGAAGCCGACTGTATGCAACACACAGCCACCGCCACAATGGCTCATCTACAGAAAAACCCCGATGCCATGGCAGCAGTCGCATTGACTCTCGCCGAGATTAGCAACCTAACGTCTAAAATGGCTCCCAGCATCTTGGCGAGTCTGAAACTTACCGCTCCGTCCATCTTTGCGCTCTTGTCCAGTCCACAATTCCTCATTGCAGCCGGCGTCGGTGTAGGAGTGACTATCGTCATGTTTGGTGGATACAAAATCATCAAGAAGCTCACAGCAGCACCGACGACTACACCGCCGATGGAAGCTCCTCAACACGGATTCCCTCCTCCATACGAATTCGCGCCTCAACCGAAAGAACCGTTAGCCAGTGCGGATGAATTACTTGAACTGCAAAGCGAACATCTCAGCCGAGTGGAGGTCTGGCGGCGCGGTGTAGCCGATTACGAAGCGAGCAGTGTTGGGTCCACGGTTGATGGCGAGTTCATCACTCCCACAGCAGCAATGATGTCTGGTCTCGACTTGTCGGATCCTTCTGTCTTTCGCCGTCGGGGTGTAGACGATGCGGATGAAGGATCAACAGCATCTAGCAGAAGATCGAAACACTCGCGGCATTCGCGGCATTCACGACACTCGTCCAGTAAAGGTAGTAACTCGAAATCAACGACAGGAGAATCCAAGAAGAAAAAGTCTGAGCCAAAAAGGTCCAGTAAGTTACGAATGATGTTTACAGCATAGCGTTGGTTTTTTGATAGATGAGTATACTCTCCTCTTTGTTTTGCATCTGTGGAGTTTTCTGTTTAGCGATCTTTCTTTTATCCACGATTCGATTCTTGTATGCTTTTGACATATTATATATCAGCCCAGTATATAATCGACAACCAAGACCTAGTTCTATGTCCCTGACAATATCAGATCGCTCACTTGTGTTGATTCAAATGGTTCGGAACAAAGCGCCAACAATACTGGAGAATGTATGTATCAACAGCCGGGTAATTTAGAATATTCATACTATACAACTTCAAATAAACAGAACAGACTAATTAGCCATTCTAACCCTAATAACCACCCCGTCCGCTGGCGCCTGCGTAATCATCCTTCTAACCTCCAACTTCCTCCCCGGATCCTCCAACTCAAATCTAAACCGATACACAAACACCGCCACAAAAATGGCCAATTCAGCCCTCGCAAAACCCTGTCCAATACAACTTCGTGGTCCATGAATAAACGTCAACATCGCATAATTACTACTAGCGCCGCCGCTGTTGTTGTAACTAACGGGCTTGTTGCTGCTGGCAGGATCAAAATTGAGCCATCGTTCGGGTTTGAAGGTTTCTGCGTCGGGACCCCAGAGTTCGGTGTCCTTGTTTGTTATATCTGGTGCGACCAGAATGTGTGTTCCCTTGGGGATGAATTGGCCGCCTAGAGTTGTATTGCGAATTGCTTCGCGGGAAGTGAATGGGGCAGAAGGGTAGAAGCGGAGGACTTCATTGGTGAATGCCCATAGATAAGGGATATTGGTGTTGTTATTGCCGTCTATGGAGGTGAATAGCTCTGAGAATGTGTCTTTGATATTCCCCTGGTTGTCCTTGAGGCCTTTGATATCATTTAGCTCATCGAATGGGATGCGTGGGAGAGACGCTTGAAGTTCCTCGCGAAGCCGGGTTTGGATCTCGGGATGTTTGGATAGGACGTATACAGCCCATTGAAACGCAGAGGATGTTGTTTCGTGACCCGCACCCAGAAAAGTCATCATCTGGTTGACGAGATTCTCATCCGTGAAATCGCCATTGCGCATTGCCACTGATAAAATATCCACATGCGCGTCCTTCCTGTCTGTTTGAAGCTGTTTCTTCTTTTTCGTCAAATGCTCATGAGCCGTGCCGCGGATAAAGCTCATCGCATCATCCATAATACTGTTCTGCCTACTGGGAATCCGAAAATACCACTTAAACCCAATAATAAACAAACACACAAACGCAATAACGCGCTGCCACCCCGTCGGAGTAAAAAACATACTCTCATACCTCCGCGCAAGCTCATTATCTGGGTTTGCGACAGTGTTGAAATCGTAATCGAATCCAGCAAGCCCGATGATATCGAGCATGGCTCTGCTTGCCCATCCGCTGGTCTTGATGATATCTTCGCCTGATTTGTTGGTCTTGATCCCCTTTTCGATTTCGTTGGTCATCTGGATGGCCTTGGTCCAGAAGACGGGGTATAATTCTTTGATGTGGCGATAGGAGAATGATGGCATTAGGCTTTTGCGTTGTGCCTGATTTATTAACCTCACTGTTTTCTCAAGATAGATGCGAAGCATACCTTATGAGCATCTCCCTCTGCAACTAACAACCCCTCTCCAGTAACTTTACTAAGCTGCACCCGCGCAATCTCCGGGCGTACAAAATCATAACTCTTATTCACCAACAGATCAGCAATGGCCTTGGGCGATAGAACCACCACCCTCTCCCAATTACCAATCACGTAGTATCTAAGCAACCCCGGATTTGGTATAGATTTTGTCCATTCCCGGACCAAATCCACCGGGAATCGAAGGTCAAACGACTCTGTGTTGCCGTACATCCATGATCGTTTCTATTCTCCTCAGTAATCGTACTGCGGAAAAGAGGACAGGACACTTACGGAAGGAGTAGGGATTTGTCTAAGCGGCGTTAAATATGCTGGATACAAGATCGCTGCATAGACAAACTTTGCTATCCATGATATGAGGATGAATGTGGTTGATGTGAGAAGGTAGGAAGAATAGAGCGAGTATTCCGGCGCGAATTTGACAGTGAATATTGCCGCGACAACAGCAACAAGTGACCACGAAACCATGTTCCAAACTTGATACTCGACTCTGCAGATGAAATTGTGGTGTTGACTACCTAGTTATAGGTTCTGTTGTTGCCAGTCTGTCTACTTTATAGGTCATTTTTTAGATCATCCATCTCGGCACTCGGGAGTCGAAAAAGTAAGCCCTTTTCCTATTCGGGACTGCACTGCGAGAATCTTGCGATTTTGGTCAAACTCAGCAAGAATTACGTTGCCTATTTTCTAGATCTACGAAATACACGAAATACGCATTATACGGGAAGATTTCGCTAAAATCATGCTGGTCATTAACTAACTGTCTAAACATAACGATCTATATGCACCACAACTCCACGTCTATCCAACGCTAATGATGAGACCTAGTACTGGGCTTCTGCAAGAACTTCGAGCCAGCACCACGGTGCGAAAATGCCCAGCGAATCTGGTTTGCCGCGCTAACCTCCAAATCCAACTCCTCAGCCCATGTCCACGCAAGACTGGTGTTCTTTTGGAATCCACGACCGACAAACGTGAAGTCCAAACCATCTTCTTCCAATAACTTGTTAGCCAGTTTACCGGAGGTGATGCTACCGACACTGGAGACGAGTAGTTTATCACCAACAGCCTTCTTGATTTCCACGGCGAATGGGGCCTGGAAAGCAGGACCGCCCTTGATCTTTTGCGCGGCATTGTTACCTCCCGAACTGACGTCGAGCAAGTCAATAGCACCCTGATCAGCAAGGATCTTGGCCAATTTTACAGAGTCTTCTAACGTCCAGCTAGGTTCACCGGCTTTGCTTTCTTCCAACCATTCCGTGGCAGAAATACGGAGGAAGACAGGGAAATTCGGCCCGACAGTCTCACGAGTCAACTGCGCGATTTCGAGGACTAATCGAATACGATTCTCGAAGCTGCCGCCGTATTCATCGGTTCGGTTGTTGGATTGAGGTGACATGAAAGAGCATAGGAGATAGCCGTGCGCACCGTGAATCTCGACAAAGTCGGCGCCGGCCTTGACAGCGCGCTTGACAGCGTCAACCCAGGCCTTTTTCAAGTCTTCAATATCCTGCTTCGTCATAGCCTTGGGGAGAGGGAAGCTGTCGGAAAAGGGGATATCACTAGGTCCCTTGACATTATTGGGCCATCCTCCGTTCTTCTCAAGCGCGACATCGCCGAATGACAACCACGGAGCAACGGTGCTGGCCTTGCGGCCTGCATGCGCTATTTGGACGCCAATGATTTGGTTCTGGCTGTGGACGAATTCAACGGTTCTGCGGAGAGGCTCGATCTGGGAGTCTTGCCACAGACCCAGATCTTCGGGTGTGATACGACCCTCGGGAAGGACGGAGGTTGCCTCGACCATGATGAATCCGGGACCACGCTGGGCGATGCCGCCCAAGTGCGCGATGTGCCAGTCATTCATGTGGCCATCTTTGGCGGAGTATTGGCAGAGGGGGGATAGCTGTAAGGTCAGTAAGCATTGGAACTAAGAGAGCGAGCGAGGGTGAGACATACGCCAATGCGATTGTGGAATGTAACACCGCGAATAGTCAAAGGCTGGAAGAGCTTGGGAGGAACAGTGCCGTCGGTCTGAGGGTTTGCAGCTGTTCCTGCAGGGGGACTTTGCTCGGGGGAGAAGTAGGAGATGCCCTTTGCGGGAGTGTTTTGGAGGTCAGGAGGGTTGTCGCGGCGAGCCATTGTGCTGTAATATATTGAAATGACGTTTCTATAAGGAGTCTATTGATTAATTGATGATACTGATGCTATGGAAAGAGGGACAAGGACTCTTTTATACTCGAGCGAACAGATGAGAAAAGAATGATAGAATCCAAGGACCCCCGCCTATACCCACCTTACGATCATCATAGAATCAGAGCTTACAAATCATGCTCTATACCATAGTAGTCTAATTTTCTCTGAAAATTTCTCACCCCTACGTATGAGATGAGTCAATTGTTTTCTGGCTATTGCTAGAGAACGGCCATTCCGTATCAGTATTTACTACTCTATCAAAGGATTCGACATTTTTAAGCCTCCCAACTTAAAATAATAATTAACTGGAGATATGATGTCAGCGATAAGCGAGCCCTTATCGATATCCCTGTATATCCGTAAAACCCGTTCAGAATCATCCAAGACTGGAAGTTTCTTCGGGTCTTTCGGGTGAAATTCTCATCCATTGAAATGAATCAGATGATTCGCTCAAATACTGTACATATGTAACAGATGAATTGCAGAAAGAATATCGCTATACTCCACCAAGTGGCGGAGACTTGCACCGTTTAAGTTTTCATATGGAACCACAACCGATCACCTAAGCCCATTACTAACCATGTGTCTCAAGAGTTCTCAACAAATGAGCTCATTTTTAATCTTCGGCGACTTTTGTCAGCAAGGAATGGCTGGCGTGGCGTCGGATCAGAGTACCGGGACTTGTCTAAAGATTCGCTACACGGGAATGCTTATTTTGATACTCTGCTTCCGACATCAGCCATGTTTCAATTTTTTTTTTTAAACTACTAGGACAATGACGTGGACATACCTTGGAATGTCTTGAGAGCGGCCTCCTCAGCGTCATGTTCCCATAGGATCTTGCGCGTTTTTTCGTCTATCCATCGATCGGGACTCTCCGAGTTCCCCTGCATTGCGAGACGGAACATTTCGTCTCGTTGGAGTTGTTCGGGCCCGTCCGGAAGATGGAGAGCAATACGGTTCAGTTTGCCTGATTGTTGAACCTGTTCGGCACGCTCTTTTCTGGAAGACTGGTATGCTTGGAGGGCAGCAGGGATGTCGAGCTTAGAGGAGATGGAGGAGAGAATTGCTCCTAAGGCACCGGCATCTTCGACTGCTTGAGCGGCTCCTTGAGCGACGTATGGACTGGCGGATTAGTTTGTGATATCATTGGGATGCGATAGTCACTTACAGCATTGGATGACACGCATCTCCAAGTAAAGCTATTGACCCCTTGGTCCAAGTCCTTAGCGGTGGATACAGATTCAACTTCCATTCCATGACAGCATCATCCTGTACATTCGCAATAATCTGCGTGACTCTCTCGTCCCATCCAGCATATTCATCAATCATGTCCTTCTTCGACCCTTTAATAGTCCACATATCATCCACCGTTCCACGATCAGGGTGAACCAACACAACATTAAACAGTTCATGATTCCGGAGCGGATACGCCACAATATGACAACCAGGACCAATCCAGCGTGTTGCACGGGATTGATCAATCATATCGCGCAGTACGGGATGAGCAAGCATTTCTTCTCGGGATAGTGTAATTCGATACGCGGCATCTCCCGTGGGTTGCACTTTTATTGTGTTGTCGTTGAGAATCTTGGGTCGGATATTGGATTTTATACCGTCTGCGGCTAGAACCACGTCCCCGCTGATGACTCTGCCGTCTGCCAGGATTACTTCTGTCTTGTCAAAGTTTACATCAACCACGTGCGAGTTGACGAGGAGTTGGACATTGGGCAGGGAGAGAGCTTTCTCAATGAGGGCGTTGTGCAAGTCTGCTCGGTGGATGGTCAATTGGTCGCCGTGTGCTGGATTGCAGGGGATGCATGCGAGCAGACTGCCATCTTGCCATCTTCGAATATCGATCTGCTGTAGCAGCGTTGCTTTTTCTCTATATGCCACTCCCCAGCCTGTGCACGATTAGAGGATGCTCACAATGCTCTAAGGGCATACTTACGGTCCAGTAGTCTGCCCATATTAGGCGAGACTTGAATACCTGCTCCTACTTCCATCAACTATGACAGTCAGCAGAGGTTACTCCTAAGCAGACCCGCAGATTGGACAGTCACCTTTGGCGCTGATTCAAGAATCACAACATTATGCCCTCGACGTCCCAGACTGAGTGCCGTGGCAATTCCACCGATACCTACTAGCGTCAGTTTTTCTACCTATACACTGGGCAGAAAGGTAAGGAGTACCTCCTCTGTAGAACTATCAGCCACGGAATACTTCAGTTTCGTATACAATGAATGATATCTTACCCGACTACTATAGCATTAAGAGGCACTTTGGCCTGCTCCCCTTTCTGTGCATGCATTTCGTATACGTGCCGTGTATAGAGACCTGGATGATGGTCGACGACGGAAAGAAACAAATAAATACTCAGACTACACCTAGACACCTAGACAAGATATCGGGGAGGAATCCGCGTGGGGAAGCAAATAGCTTGTACAGTCTTGATATCCGAGAGCGTAAGCCTTCGGAACATCCTAGGAGACACAAGGCAATTGTCTCCAACACAACTGCCGTGTCTTCTTCCCCAAAAGTACGAGAATTTGGCCTTACAAACGCAATATCTTGAGATTCATCATTGGATGAAATTCTTATTAGTGATCATACGACATTTGGGGCCAATTGTACTTTTTTCCTTCTTACTCCGTAAACATAGTGGAGATAACGTCCTGTGCTAAGTAGGCTAAAGAATCAGTGACTGGGGTAGAATCCCCGGCAAATGTGTTGATCTCAACAGCCGATAGTTGACTGTTTATATGGTTATGCGGTGCCGATTTTCCTTAATTGCTGATTGGCTGGGAATTTGATTCAATATAAAATTCTCTCCGAAATCCGTGCGACGAATCATGTTTCATATAATGTCCAGCGTACGCTGAGTAGTTGGGAGCGATTCAACGATACTTGATTCCGCCAGGTACCGAGTTGATATTGCGTATCTCTTCGTTCCATCATGCCGACTCGTTACATTCAACAACCACTAGATATAAAGGGCAGTCTCGTTTTCGTTCTACTCAAGATGTGGAATAAGAAGTGCATCCGCAAAGATGGAAGTATTGTTCCGGAAAGCCCTAATTCAACAATAGACATTGTCAATCTCGCTGGTGAACGAATCTAACCACATAAAAGACCATGTGTACATTTCTAAGCCATCGAATAGGAAATAGCCCCATATTCTCCATATTTTTGTACTTTTCATCGGCTTGGATATGTAGCAACCCTATTACCTAGTTAACTTCTCCACAAAACGTTCCCTAGGTAGGTGTGAATAAGTCTATGGGGCTTGACCTCAAGACTTCCCCTTCTCTCTTCACGAGCAACAGTGCTTACAACATATATCCATGGATTAAAGTCAATGCAGATACTAAGTCTATTCTCCTCCCTTCCCGCTACATGCAAATGCAAATGCACCCATCACTCCATACCCAATGCTTCCATGCCCCTGCATAATCATACACATACATCAACCGCATTTTCAAGAATTCCCATCTATGAAATCCGTTTATACTTCCTCGGATCCTTCCTACTCATCTTCACTTTATCTCTCGTCCCCTTGCCACCTTCCCAAAACCCGCTTCCGGATTTGCCGACCAGGACGTTTTTACATGCGCCACAGGTCTCGGGGCGGTAGATTTGTTCACGGGAGCAGAAGCCACTTTGACACTGTTAGTTTCAAAGATTATAGGGAGGTGGAGAGGGGAGTACCATATCATTCTGTTGCCGTGTTCGTTTGGATGGTCTGATTCTGCGTCGTGACATCTGTATACTCTTTAGTAAGAAAAAATAAGATGTGAGAATGTGGATATGTACTTGTCGCAAGGGAATACTTTGGCGCAGCAACTGAATCTATTCCACCACAAGTCAGTTCGTCAGTTCTGATTGAACAATGAAGATAGGTGAGAGGTATACCTGAACCACCGATAACTCTTCCCGTAATGCTTACATCGTCCTCGACGGGGTAATTCTTGACCGGCAACAATACCCAGATTCTCTCGGTTCTGGCCCGATTATCATCAGCATGAAATGTAAACAAGACAATACATGGTTAAAACTTACCTTCTTCCTTGGCGCAACAACTCGCAGATGTGATACTAACACGACAAGTCAGTAATTGCTTCTTCATGTGGCACATGACAAGACTATCATATGATACCCGTCAATACTTACATGCAGATACCCCGACAATCATAAACTTGACCTCGGAGATTTTAAAACCTACACCCAATTGGTCAGTATATCCTTTTCGGTATTCAAACATATCATCATGCGTACTCATTTTTCGGTGACATTCACGACAACTTGCCATTGCGGAATCGCCGCGAACAGCAAGGATACCCGGTGCTGGAAAGGGGGTTGAACATTCGGAGCATGTTGGTTGAAAATAACTATACTCTGATTAGCATTTCACGCAAGAGTATTCAGATACGAGGTGAGTCGCAGGGCGTGGTCGTGCAACATCGATTGACGTGTCAATTGGCACGACACTATTCAAAATCCAAATTCATATGCGGGCTGTGCAACGTCAGTCTTACCTTGGTAATAGATCAAATGCAGTGCAGCCTTCAAGATCCAGGTATCCAGCTCGCTGGGAATTGGGATGCATGAGTTGTCGCCGGAATGCTAATGTCACGTTAGCATCCGAGTAACCATTGGGGAAAGAATAGATAAGGGCTTACCGATATTGAACGAATTAGCACACTTCCTGCATGATTCCACCCTTATCGGAGATGGTTGACTAGGGTCATCTGTTGATTTGATGTTTTTGATATCGGTGTGTTCTTTGCATCGATCACATTTGGCTGTGATGGACAGCATTTTCGCTTCGAGTAATTCGATGCCGTACATCTCTAGACTGGGTAGATTGACGGCTGTGCCGCGCGCAGGCGCATTTGCAGTTGATGATGAGCTGGTTGCGCCGGTGATTGGTGCTCCACCATCTTGTGATTCTTCTGCAGAGTCGGGGTCGTAATCACTGCTATCATCGAATGGCGAGTCGCTATCATCGCTATCTTGTCCTCCTGGCATTGACCATTCGGGCGGTCGTGGAATGAATACGATGTGCGCTCGATCTGAATCTGCGCTGCTATCGTGATCGTGATCTTCATCAATTGGCGCAGGAACGGTATCAAGGTCAGCTGCAGGAGCTTGAATCTCCGGCTGTTTTGTCTCATTCGTCGGGGCGTTCAGAAGAAGATGCATGTTATTCGCGAGATAATTCACCTGCGCCATCAACGTCGTATGAGGCCCTTTCAATATCCACTGCTTGAATCCAAGCTCTACTGCACGCGCTTCATCCGTATCTATCGCTTGGAACTCGACAGAGCTCTTTTCAAGTGGATACAGTGCTGGAACAGACAACTTGACCGACTTCACCGCGTGTAGACTAACCGGAAGTCGCTCTAGTTTCGTAGGGGTGATGGGAATGATATACCGTAGATCATCAAGCTTTTTGTAAAGAGGGATCCGATTCAAACGCGCTTCGAGTTGCTTCGTCTCTGACTTTCTCGTCTTTTCGGCTTCTGCACGCTGCTCGGGTGTATACTCCACCCGTTTCGGCACAGGGACAATCCGTTCTATAGGTGTAGCAGGCTTCTCCTCAACCTGACTCTTCGGCTCTTCCTTTGATGGTGCCGGAGTCGACGCTTTGCGACCCGTAGTATTAGCCACAATTTTAATCGTCGGGGCCTTTTCGGCACTCAGAAACCGCTCCAGACTTCTATCAAGACTATTCATCAACCCTAGTAATGTGATGGGTCGTCGATCCTTGATAGCAGAATCAATCAACCCATCGAATCCCCTTTCAACATTAATCTGAAAGCCTCTAGGCATGTCCGGATTGGTTACCCTAAGTCTAGGTCTGCTGGTTTCTGCGGGCCAATCATGAGGGACATGCAAGGAGCAATAGAGCTTGGGCATGTCAAATGGAAAGTCCGGGTCTGTAGGGGCCATGCCAAACGTAAAAGTGTTTCCAGAGTCATCCTGTCGCTCTTTGGGATGGAACCTGCGTCTCAGTTGCGCGATCTGGAAGTCTCGGGGAGAATCTTGCTGTGCTTTGGGGACAGGCTTGGGGACTGCCTGGCGTTGCGAGTTGTTTGTCTTCCTCACCTTTTGGGATTGAGTCGGGGCTGATACTGTTTCTGGCACTCCTTGATCGGGGGCTATATGAAGGTACGGACAAGCATCGCCGCTGCGACAACCTATTGTACGGTCAGACCAGCAAATGACAATACGACGTATCGACAAAAACAATGTAATTGTAAAACAATCCCTTTCAAAACATCAAGTAAACATACTTACCCTTTTTCGTTCCGAAAAAGCGACAGGGCTTCTGCTTGCCATTTCCATGTGGATGGGTGGAGCTGTTCTGATGCATTGAGGCTGCATTATTCTGATGCTGAGCGCTTGCCAACTCAGCAAGCGCGGTACCTATATTGATAAGTCTCGGAGTCAGCGATGAGCGTGTGATCAGGATGATTACTCAAATCGATCAGTGGGCGGCATGCATGTCTCTGAGTATGCTTATTGTTCAGACTGCCTATGTAGCTGCAGATGTGGCGTTGTCACATCTCTCGATTCATGATGATCAGCATTGCAGAGGTTAAGCGAACCGGCAGCAAGCATTGAGCAGGGCTGGTATCACAAATGATACGAGCATTTGCTCGACTGGCGGTGACGAATGTACAGCGCATCGGTCAGAAGAGCAATTACGCAGTACCTGCAGGGAAACAACGGGCATAACAAATAGAAATGGGGAAAAAAAGAAAATCTAGGCGCCGACTGAGCTTACCGTTGGCTTGGGCAGAGCTGAGGCTGTCACTTGACTGGGGCTGGTTTGCTGCCTCCATGGGGACGGTTGACAGCCAGTCAGTGGACGGTATCTGTGACGCGGGGAATAATCAGTATCAAAGATCTACACTGTATGTGCAATATAACAGAGGATAACTACCTTGCGATAGCACTCGCCTATACGAGGTGGTGGCGGAAGAGAACAAGGATAACCTTGACAGGTGAAGTTGCGGAAGTTCTAATCTTAGGCAGTTGAGATGCCAACGCAGCAATGAGTCTGATCTGGTGACCGCGATCGCGTCCACGTGAAATCAGCAATATCGAGCAACAATAATTGTATCTCGCGGTAAATTCGTCTGACGGAGAATACCACGATTGGGCGAGATTTGTCAGGTTTAAAGGTTTTGTAGGCGGGACGATATCGAAAAGGTGACTCACAATTATCACTTCTTACATGGCCATCACCACGCGTCTGCACTCTTACTAAAAAATCATATTTTCTCGAGGTGAAGACTTGAGATGTTGATTTTGGAGCTAATGATTGGCTCAAACTCATCACTCACGATGAGTCGACAACACGCAGTCTGATTGGCTGGGTAGAGGTTCAGCCTGAGGCCTGACACTTGATGCCTCAGGCATAAAGAAATATTAGGTAAGCACTCTTAACGCCTACACTCCGCGCTTCTCCACCAATCCTTTTTGAGCATAGGACGTGGTTATGATTCATGCTGGAGTCAAAACCTGGATTCTGATGAACAGCTCTCCGATGATCAATTGCCAGTCAACAAGTGAAATGGCTCGGATGAGGTTTCCAGAAGAAAGGAATATCTAATTGAATGCTTTCAAGCCGATAGCAAAGTGAGGTCGAAATGAGTAATATGGCGTACTACGTAAAGAATACATCGATCTGCCACGCGTGAGGACAGATGGTAAGGTATTGTACCGTTACGGGATATATCATTTCATTACGGAGTACTATGTACTTACATTCGACTCACCGACGGACACCAGATCTGTGCATAGCCAACTGAATGAAGTATGGAGATGAGATGCATTCCCCCACAAGATCGGGGTACAGTGCACCGACAGCCTTATTACCGAACGAGTAAGTCTTCCAGAAGGACGAAAAGAATTAGGAACCGTTTGATTCTAAAGAGGCTTAGTTTCCATTTTATTTTCAGCTGGCAGCGAATCAACGCAGCATAATTAAGGTTTGCAATGGATCTTTCTTTTGAATTTTCAAACTTCCGATTGGTGGATGGGCAGTTGCTGTATTGTATCATTGTACCACAGTCGCCAAATACATACGATGTATTGTTTTAAACAGCGTTGTATGCTTACACACGAGTACATCGATACTACAGTAAATATGTACTCAAAATCATACGTTGACGATGTACATGTTCACATTATAGGATGGTATCGATAGTGTCAAGCATAGGTACACGTCAATGTCCACCCCTGAGTCGGTCACAAGACAGCAGTTGCTCCTTGATATCCTCTATTGTCTTACAAGGTCAATTGACAGAATTGGATCTACCTAAAATACCTACACAGTCTCTGAATCTCTGAATAGAGAGACCTTGAAACCAGAACAGCTGAACGGCTAAGACAAGTATCTTGATTCAGTGCGGATACACCGTATGCTTGATTTGATGGGTAAGCAAGTTACATCAGGAGACTGTATGACCTGATTCCATGGCAATGTTTCCTGGCCGTAAATTGTATTACACCAACACGTGGTTTGTACTACAACACAGAATAGTTACAATATCAAACCAAGGACAAGGACAACCTCGTACAATTTTCCAATCGATCAATAAATGTGTTCACAGTAACCCTAGAAACCTGCCTTGAAAAGAAGTGGACATTCATACTCTGTACACGTGAGTTGTAACCTTCCCGTCCAATCCAATCCAATTCATCTCCACCCCTTCATTGAATTCTCCAAGAAACTCTTCCCAGCCGCTCCAGTCATCTGCAATTAACATCGGCAGACCTAGAATCCATATTCGCCCCTGTCCATATTGCCAAGTGGAGCTTCTGCCTAACAGTGGTGGCCAGTGGCCAAACCCGATAGTTTTTTAATTACTTCTCGGGCAGCCGAGTCTTAGCGGTGAAAATTTTTCGGTATGCCGTGTTTGATAATTTTTCTTTTTGTTTGACCGACAGCCCTTTCCGAGTAGGCAGTAGTATGTGGAGTATTGTACTCCGTGCGTATTATTATCGGGCCTAGAAGATGGAGGTAGGATTTTTCTGATGTTGCATTTTGAAGTAGGGACTGTAATTTACGGTTTGTACGAGTAACGGTATGCCTGGGAGGAAAGTCACCTGTTCACCCGAACCCTCGTCGCGAGACGGTAAATTTCCTTTTTGGGGAATTTTGTTCGTTGTTCGTTGTCTTGATGTTTTCCTATCAATGTCGGACACTCTCACTTCATTGTGGCAGTATTGTGTATATCGCATCTTCAATCTACCTGGTAATACCTACTGAGCTCACTATGGTTCAATTAATCTGACACATCAACACAATCAGAGTCATAGCCCTAGCCACTCTCAGATTCGAGTGCATGTACGTATACAGTACTTCTCTCGAGTTACTACTTAAAGGGTCAAAGTCATGTACCTATGTAGCCACCTGCAGCCACATGTATGCACAGCATACATGCCAACCCAGCACGTACATAAATGATCTAGACCAACAAACTGTTCGACTCTTCCTCGACTTACAAAGTACGCACAACTTGATTTATTTGTTGTTTCCAGGCTATCAGGTAGAGAAGACCTGCATTTACTTATCTGCTAACTGCACCCTTCAATAATAGAGCATATGTAATACTTACGGGATTCCAAGATCCTAGAAATATTTACACCGCTTTTTCCAAGTACTATCTCTCTTGTTGATCATCTAGCGACAACAAAGCAATCACAAGAATAAGACGAACAATGCTTAATCCAACATCTTGCTCGAAGTTGCTTCCCGTCAAAAGTTCTAGACCCGGCAAATCCATGTATTAATTGCCCCCAATTCCCCGTTGCGCGTGATACCAAGAAAACAATCAAATAAGTAAGATAGACGTCAGAAGCCACGACAAAAGAAAAGAAAAGAAACGAAGTACATACTGCGCGTATAGAAAAAGCAATGACAAGTCACGGGAGTATCCGACAGGTCTCAGCGGAATGTTTAGGGTTTAGTTTGTTGCGAGGGGAAAATGTTCATATGATCATTCCCCGAGGGTTAGTTACAGTTAGCATTCTGGGGGTTTGGTTTAGGGACCTGCCTGTATGGGTTTAATGTGTTTACTTATCGGACTGACTCCGACGACTGAGTCAGTGACAAGTACTAACTTATCTACCTAGGGATGATAAGTAGTATATCACATTTATATAATATTGGTGTATGTAACTATAGACAAGGTACTTGTACTCGAGGGCTGTGCGCTGGCACACCATTCTAGGTACGAGGACACCTCCAGCCCTATTTTCATGCTGTAAACAGAAGACTAAATCCGCGATAAGCGCTTGCCGGTTCATCCAGTATACACATATCCATGGATATGTACAGAGTCAATAGCTACCTTCCAAGATCAACGACAATCTAGACCGAGACTGTTTACTTCATTATTTACTCTACATCTACAAACTCAATGAGATAATCAATCAATAGACAATAGATATTTAATAATCACTTTTATTCTCTCCAACAAATCAACTCCATAAAAGTGTATGAAACAAACAAATACTCAAGTGGTATCAAAACAATTCGCGTAATCAAAAGTCCCCCAGAAAAAAAAGCCCGAATCCATAGACAAAAAATGGTGTAAAAACAATCAGGTTTCCTCATCATGATCAATGGAATGTCATGCCATCATAACAATTAATTCGGTCGGTCGGTCCCAAAACATGGTGTCATACCCATGAGAAACAGTGTCTAATCATAACGAATAAACGAGGCTTGGTTTTTCTTTTTGATCTGAAATGAAACAGGCAGGAGGGAATAAAAAAAATACAGGGCCATGAGGTCTTTTAATCGTGATAAAATAATGCAAACAGCCAACCCTCGCAATGCATGGGAAAGTGGATGTTGAGATAGAAGAAAGCAAAGGGAAAAAAAAAAAGAAAAAAAAAAAGCAACGCCGTTTAATGCTGTAATAAATCTCGTACATTCCTGGACGTTATTGACTGGTGAATGGTGAAGGGTCTACCATCCCTTGACATGGTATTCCCATGGTCCGTAATCGTTGTAGTTGTTCCATGAGCTGTTCTTAGAAGTATCTTTTGCACTGCCGTCGGCTGTACGGTCGCCAGCCGGTTGTCCCTTCGGACCGGGGTATTCTTTGAGGTTGGCCATGTCGTGGGTTGTATGGCGACGCTTGAAGACTGCTGTGGCCGTCGTATTCTTTTGTTGCCGTTCCCACAATAAATGTCGACGAAGAGACTCGGTTAATTCGGTTGCCAACATATTGCGTCGCGTCGTGCGCGGTGAGTGCGCTCCAGACCCCTGTGCAGTAGATTTCACAATAATCGGCTTCGATCGTGGTACATCGCGACCCTTCATAGTCAAATTGTCGCCGTCATCTGGCGACGCGCCCGTCGAAGGTCCATTAGGTGGCGTGACTCGTACTGATCGTTGCAATGCCGGGGAAGATCTAGTAGGCATGCCCATTTTCGTTGGTTGGTGCATCATCATAGTCAACAGAGACGGTCTCGAGACCAAGTTCGGCCGCGAATCAACCCGCTGGAACAATTCCTTGTCGTCCACACTCGACTGTCCGCTTTCCGTCACCGAGTCTTCCCAATCTTCGTCATCTTCGTCTTCGATGGCACTTTCGGATGGCTCCTCCTCGGTATCGTCTGTCTCGATCGCATCCTCGTCTTCGTAGATACGCTCCTCAATAGGCTTGATTGTACGAGACTCGGCCTCGTCGCGGAATGAAGTAACCTTCTTGTCGGGAGAGACGCCATTAGTAGTCTCAGTAGGTTGGCGACTAAGTTCCTCGGATAGTGAACTGCGATGGGGATTGATGGTATGGTTAGGGGTCATTCGTTCCTCAAACGAGCTCTCGTCATCGCCAGAAGATCCTCCCAAGGTGAACATTCCGCCTTTACGCTTGCTGGGCGCGAGTTTCTGCTGTAACGGCACTTTAGCTGCGGAATTCTTCTCTGCGCCAGCAAGACGCGTACTTGAACGGTAAGACGATGAAATCTGGGAAGGTGAAAACCCGCGGACAATACTGGGCGTCTTGGTCAAAATAGGCCTGGCAGGAATAACGCCCGATGAAGAGACACTAGTGTCGGACCCTGCGGTGGTTACACCATCACTATCATTGTTCTCAGGCGCAGTCGTTGTGGAACAGGACTCGGCGGAATGAAGAGTGTGTGGGCGGCGCATGGGCTCTTCAATTACCGCTTCGACGGGTTCCTGAGGAGTGGATGCAGGAGGAGAGGCAGCGCGAGGAGTGACATCGACCACGGTCGGACTGGTTGGAAGAGGTTCTAAAGCCTTTCTCTCTTTGATGTTCAAAACCATTCGCTCTAGATCAAGAGAAGTAATATGCTTTTCCTTTCCGAGCATTAAAGCCTCGTCGTTAAGCACAGCAGGCTTCACCTCAACTGGGCCAGGCTTAATGTGCGATTCAATGCGGTCTTCGTCTACAGACGCGGCAGACTCGACACTTGCTGACAAGGGTGGCATCTCCGAGGATTCGGCACGCAGGAGCGGGATTGCAGAGGTGTCGGATTCACTGGCGGGAGCGACACAAAATGTCTCACGCGTCCACAAACGCCAGGTAAGATTTTCTAAACGTCGTCCCTCTTCCATGTAATCTGCACATTTCGAGAAGACTATCCAAATATTAGTATGTGTTCATTGATAGGCTCAAGAGGTCACCTACCGAGCCACATGCCGTGAAGACTTTGAGTATTGGCCGTGTCGACCTTGTGGATTTTGGCCGCATCCACCGTCAGGACGGGCGTAGACAATTTCGGCATGTTGGTGTCGACACGGTTGAATCTATCGGGAAAACTAGACATGAAGTTTGGGGTCGCCGTGGTCCCCAAGCGTGTTCGAACGGCGTGTTGAAAAGCGTGCGACTGAACACTTCGGTTGAATGGAAGTTGGTTATCTTGTTGGTCGAGTTGGAATGGCCCAAACTCGCCCTAATGCTGCTGCTTTCGTCCTTCTCTTCGTCCTTGGTGAATTGGCTGTGATTTAGCGGTGGGCCGAGTGTGAGGCGATCGACGAGGTATGTGATGCTCCCAGCGGAAGGAAAAGCCGTTAAGCAGGCCGTTTCTTTTTCCTTTTCCTTTCTCTTTCCGTGGCCGAGGCTGACGCAGAAGAAGAGAATAGTGAAAGGGATCGACGAGAGGAGTAGATCTGGTATGTGAGATTGTGGACGGGGAATGGGTGGTGGAGGTGGAAATACGGGGGGGGAGGAGGAGGATAGGAAGAAAGAAGAAAGAGCGAGACGGATGATAATAATATGGTAGCCGACTAGCAGTGGTACTTTCCCAGGCTTACTCCGTAAAATGATTGAAATGGAGACATCGTGGCACACACTAAGAGTGACTAACTGTACCGAGGGAATGGAGAGCGCGAAAAAAAAGCGTGTGAACAAGAAAAGGAGACGGTGGATCCACATGGACGCTTCTGGCCGGTTGGTAACTTACTGTCCTGTATCATACGTACGTATGCTTTCGCCCAGCGGGCCCGTTCCGTACGTGACGGATCAATACGTGTACTGTATTGTATTCATCCTCTACTGCTTGCCTCTGGCATTCATATTCCTATTTTCTATTTCACATTGCTGACACCTCTCATAGCTGAGCTATGAGAGTGCTGACTCTATATGGATGTCTACCGAACAGCAGAAAAAGAAACGTCATCAGTTGTATGACAGTTCGTGGGGGATCAAAATGTGTTCGATCCCGTGACCGATCCGAATTCCCGCTAGTCCCGTTCGGTTCCGTACCTTGTCTTGCCACCGGTGAGCCTTCCTTTCAAAAGTCACGAGATTGATTGACCCTTCAAACATTTGTTGGTTATCATTATCATCGCCTGAGACTTTGCGCTGCCTGTCTGGCAGCGTGTCGCCACTCTGGAGTTCGCTGATGATTATGCGGAGAATGACCGTACTGGGCAACAGCCGGGTCTATCTCCCCAGATATTCTCCCAAGGGAACCCTGGAGAGGCACCCTTCGGACTCTTCGGAGAGAAGTGAGTAAGATGCTTTCAATTAGAATTTTCAATTTCAGACAAATACTCGAGACGACAGTGGCTTGCCGGGGAAGTGCGGGATGTCTCCGTATCGAGCCGGCTGAATCCAGGTTGTCGGGACGATCTGTCTGCATTCGCTGCTTTGCATATTCTTCTACAAAGGGCAAGATACAACATGAAGATTCAATGTACATGCATCAGAATCATACTCCTCCCGCAGACATTTATTGTCCAGTTCATCCCATAAAGACCAGCTGATCGGTAGAGGATATTAGCCGTCAGCCTTGGCAAGGCTTACTCTATCATCTTTGGCGGCTGCGCTAATCGATTCCCCGATAATTAGCAGACTCGATGAATAAATAGGTTTATGCTTTACACGTTTCCACGGGATCCCTGTCGAGATGGATATACGGAAGATATCTCGGCAATTGAGTGCTTTACTTTACTGTAATCCTCCTCAGGCTATCCGCGGTCGACTTGACCTCAATTTCCTGTCTTCCATTAAGTCTTATGAATATATCAGCCTTACAATGCAAGTCATGACATCTAATACATCTTTTTGGCATCGCGGAGTATTCTTCCTGATTCTACAAGTTTGTTTGCTCGTAAGAAGTCAAATGCGGAGAAGAGCTCTCCGCACCGAAAGAGGAAATAAAACGTCCACATTTCCTTTTTCGGCAATGAGGATGCAATGCGGGGAACCCAGCTGACCTGAAAAGTCTGCTTGCACAATGCATCGAATACGAGTTGGGGTAACGATGAATATGACGGAAAGAAATTGTCTGTAGACAATCGCATGATGAACAATGTTCGAGGTATGAGAAATAATATTAAAGTGGTCCAATCTATGTGTCGTTAAAGAATCAAGTGGTCGTGTCAAGAGATACAAGCAATATGTACGAACTCTTCTGATCGCAGCACGGGTTTGACTATGCATTTACGATTTGTATAGGGTTATTCAAGGTCATATCATATCAGCAGTTCAGATTTAAGCTGCAGCTAATCACAACCTTTACTGCAGCGATCGTCGTTGGCGTTGATGGCTTGTTAGCTATGCTTACAGCGAATAAGGCTGAGTATATAGCTCGCATGTATGTAAGTAGTAACTACACCATATAAGTGGATATGTTATGTCTAGGTATTTGGGTATTGACAATTCAAAATAACCTTGGTATGTACGTATAGCAAAATACTCAGCAATCGAGCACATGGCATATCGAACAACGCATCAATTTGATCCCATGGTCACATCGGTACACGATAGATACCTCGGGTGTTGCCGCAATACCGGCAATGCAACTCATAATTGTTGTCGCATCGTCCACACCGAGGCTATGAACGGCTAAATGGATATAACCAAAATCAGATCAGATACTCCGTATCGTATTATTAGCATTAGCCTCGTGATGGCTGTCAAAGTGATACACTTGCAGCAAGACCAGATACGTGGCAAGCTGTGGTACAATTGAATTTTTTACAGTAGTTTAACTTGGGGCGTAGCGTGCGTTTGTGGCGAGGTCACGGGGCTGTATATAGCTTTCGGTGTGGTGTATTCCGTTGCAGGAGTCACTAAGCCAGCCTCATGTCGACTGTTTGGAGATGTATCCCGTAGCTTGTATAGAAAATGCCGATGCTACTCAGAAATATTATATTAATCACCTGAAACATGTGTCTGGCCTATGGATATTGTATGTGGCGATTCATACTGGTGTTGTTGTTTATCGCATGATAGTGACAGATCCACAGCGGAAGAGGTTCAGTATTGATAGACAGAAGAATTTCTCGTCTGATTGGATATTACAGATCGAATCTATCAACAGCAGATACAGCTTCACGTCCAATACATCAATCGCATTTGCCATTTTGTCAAATTACTCTCCGAGCTATACAGATATACACCGTACAGAGTACTAACCCAGCAAGTGTCAGATCATATGATCCTGTTTGCCCTAGGACTGTGATCGGGCATTAACTCAGCCATGATCACCAGAATACTGCTCCATAGCAGCTTCGAGAATACAGATGATATTACCAAATCAAGTTACACAATCATCGGAGAGAAAGATATGATTATCGACAGAGTAAATACATAGTAGTGCTGGAATGCTGCCTGAGGCACAAAATCTCAGCCCTAATTGTCGCCGAATACTTTATTTTCTGGGATTGAGGGTTAATAACCAAGAATGAATCATGCCCGACAGCTTACGTTCAACATCTTAATCATGGCTGCATCCTATGGGATAAACGCACGGACTCAAAAGAAGGAATGAAATGGACCGTTGAAATTTCTCGATCAGTCTCACGTTCCGAGTAAATTAGTGTCCCTTGCAAGGCTCACATAACATATACTACGTACTAGCCCTAGAGCATCCAAAATATCAGAAACTTCTAATAGATGACGACATGGCTCTTCGTGTAGTTTGTAAGAATCTAGACTGTGGGCAAGCGTTGCTTTTCTGCGCTCTGGCAATGATTCAGCTAGTCCATTGTCTTCTACAATGAAAGTCAAGCTAGGGCTTGGAATAATCCCATTCTTTGTTTATCGCGAACTCGGAACCCCAGCTTAGACTGCCAGAAAAGCAAAAACAAAGGAGGAACTCTTTGTCAGTTATAGCATTTCCCACGATAGCTGCTACTGTAATAGGAATCCCTTTCTCACATGAAAATTTTGAGGAGTCAACTGACACAATAGACAAAGACGATCTGTTTCAAAATCCATATCGTGATGAGTATGTCAGTATATCAATAATGAGATCCTAGGAGAGAAACTTACAGGTCTTTGTCGCAACGTCTCTGTATGGTGAAATACAGTACTTACTTGATACGTACAACCTCGATGGAAATTACCCTTCTCTCACATGATACCTAGGTAAACAGGAGAGGATTAAGATATGTTGTGTGTATCATATCAATTCAAAGGGGATCAATGGATAGCTCCGGGATTCCGGAATGGAGAACAAGCAAGGGGGCATGGCGGAAGACGGGGGAGATGCTCCGCGGATAACTTATATTTTAGGGATCTTGAACTTGGGATCGGATACCTTAATTTGCTGGAATAAGTAGTTGTAAGAGTATAGGGTTTGACCAGGTAAGTGTGTGGGAAAGACAGATGATGAGATCCATTCAAGTTATGTTCAAGGTAACCCTGTGAAGGCAGTACCGACATTTCTTTAGATTGTTCAGTATAGACGCCTAAAGAGCCCTCAGTCTTAGCAAGGAGTATATCCAGGCATGTATATGCAAATCATACCTGGGTGCTGAACTTCAGGACTGATACCAGCCACCATCAACAAGGGCTACACATATTGCACTCCAGTTCGGAGGAGACCTACCTATCTAGGCAATCAGATATCTGGCTATATGTACCCAGTATTTTCTTAGGAGAGAACTACCTGAAGATCGAAAGGTTGACATGTACACTACCGTACCTCTAGATTCGATGGATCTGACCGTTTCTCCGGGTACGTACCTGAGTTACTTGCATGGCGACAGTGAGATCCACTGTATGTATGTACCTGCGTAAAGACGATTGTCTTATAGATAGTTAATAATATAGTTGACCTGATCTGATTCTCAGTCAAAAAGCTGATACCCCTGACATCAATCGTACTGCGACATTGATAGGTGACTCTGCCTACCACTGATTTGCACTCATCGCATCGTATCCAATCAATACGTCCATTGAAGACGATACTCTGATCCGAAGTAGTCATTCAAGGTTGGTATCGGCAGTACATTCCCAATTGAGTACCCTACCTATCTATACCCATTAGATCAATTTATACAATCCGCGATTCATCTCTTCTGTCCGATTTGCAATCCGACCGTACAACATGATGTGCCTGAGTATATTAGTATCCAACCGGCCAGGAACGGAATTAATTGATCCTCTCCGACATGGAAGAGGTGGGAATATTGAAATGAAACGTGATTTGATTTACAGATTTGCCTCGGCTGACACGTGAGCATAAGAATATAAACCTCTAAAAGACTTGTGAAAAGTGATGGTTGTGATACCGACTGGTTTGCTGATCATGTGATAGTATGAGCCCTGTCGCATTGATTTGTATCTGGACCGTACTGATTTCCGATATTGCCGATTCCTACTTGCATCGTTACTGTATATTTCTAGGTAGCTATCACTGACTAACCACATAAATAAATACATCAGATGACTACATTGTACTCTGTGTAGTCGTAGACCTAGAACCCCATCCTATCATTTGATAGGTGACTAAAGACATCTGCTAATCGATTTGCTACATGATATGCCCAAACCCCTATCAACCATAATCAAATGCGATATACGTACAAACCTACTCCTAGACTTCTACTAGACATAACTGCAATTTTTCTCTATCAAGTGACTTCGAAACTGGGTTTGTCATGATATCATCGTGCATTGTGGCTGTTTTTGAATCCCGCGATTAACCCGAAATCCTGTAGATAATCTGACAACCTGAGGTCAATGACTTTGATCAACCTCTAAAGCATCAATCAGTCGGGAGACAAAATTGCCATCATGGGGACGATGTAAGTAGTTTATTAGAATTGTCGCTTTTTCAATCAGAATCTAAGGTCCCCCTATGTAGGTAGTTGATGAGTCAAGACCTAGCCCAAACAGCAGGCAGTAAACCTTCGATCTTTAACACGATGAGGAACTATTTTGAGAAATGGTAATTACAGTGCTCTCTCACATCATCATTCGTAATCTGGAGCGTTCTGTTTCATCTACTCCCTGCTCGCCGAAGCATCAGAAAAGCTTCCTGAGGCTCAGGGCGCTCCTCCTCTGTAACTGTACTGTAGTGTCCACCACATGGCTCGATAATATCTGAGCTCTTCTATGGGCTACTATGAGATAGAGCCAGCATATAATTTGTTCTTAGAACTGTTGTTCCACGAAACACAATCTTTCTTGATACCTAGGAAAGTGTAGAACAATTCCATGATACCCTGTACCACGCCTAATCCTTCATAACGGAGACGAGCATCAACAACGAAAAGAAGCAAAATCTACCTACCTAGAATGTAACCCTATGTCGCTGTCCGTCTATGCGCTTAACATCAACTCAAATATATTATACCCTTACCTTCCAACATTGGAATAAATCATGTGTTTCAAACGATGCAACTCCCCAACGATAAGACGACCGAAACCACCGAATCAATTGAATACAATTGAAGATCCTGGTAAATTCAACTTAATTAAAATATTGCCATGTGAACGTCTAGTGCCTTTAGCGCTGAGAATTTAACAGCTTGCAGTCAATGGTTGTCTTTTTTAACTGATTTCTCCATCATGTGGCTGCCACGATGTTACATTTATCGCCACGGATCGCTCCGATGGAGGGGATGGTGTAGTTATGTAACTACATATGTCAAGGATTAAATAGTGATGGTAGTATGTAACAAGTAGTTAGACGTACAGCATGCCATTTCTACGAGGAAAATCTGCCGCAGAGAGTTCATTCAATAATAATCAATGAAGATAAACGGTGTCAATGATTCCAAGGTTAACCGATTGATGGTTAAATCGACATAGTATGATTCATGTGCAATGAATAACCCTATCTTGGCTTATTCCGCCTTCAACAAGACAAATTCCAATTGAATAGAGCATTTTATTGTTAAGTTGTGATAACGTAATACATGGACTGATCCAAGTGCGTCGCGCTAAAGTCGACTTATTCTGTCTGCCTATGGAGTACAATAACTTATCAAGAACGACCTCGCAACCTCATACATACATACAAAATTCTAATTTGCCATTTAGTAATAATGCCATCTACAATTAAAACTCCACGCACCATCGCAGCAGAATACATATCTCAACGACACTTTCACAGACGCTTCGTTCTGCCTCGAACAGAGACCCATGGCGAACTGGCAGTTACATATGCAGACGTCGGAGTTCAGCCCGACACGACGACGAGTAATCATGTTCCAACCTTTTTGTTTATACCAGGCATGTTTGGATCGCGGTATCTAGGTGTATATATACATGCGATTGCAGAGAAGTTTGGGGTGCGAGTTTTGTGTGTTGATCGGTAAGAGTATCTCTAGCCTTATGAAATATGACAAAGACCTAGCTGATATGGCTGAAGCCCTGGAATGGGTGGCTCTGCATCTGTTCCAAGTAAGTCCCGGGTTGAGATATGGGTTGAACTGGTACCTCTACTTTTGAATCATTTGGGAATAGACCATGTCTCTCTCATATCGCACAGCGCGGGCACAATTTACTTGTTGAATACACTAGTGTCCTGCAGAGATATTCTCGATCCGGACCATCCTTACATTGCATGTCTAGGTGCGTATCTTCCCTGGGATATTCTGAGAACCTCCAGACTGATAGACAGCAGCACCGTGGGTTGACCCTGCGCACTCACACAAGGCAGCCTTACAACTTGCGCGCTTCATACCCACAAAGGCCTTCTCCTACTGGAATCAAATCCCTCGCTTCTTTCAAACCAGTCCCGTCATCTCATTCAGCGGGACGGTTATAAGCAGTATAAAGGACAAGCTGCCCAGTAACAGTGGTGGCGATAGCGTCTCATACCACAAAAGACAACGATTAATTGAACAGGAATACGGCATGGCGAAAGATGTGCAGATCGAATTAGAGAAGAATATCACTCGTTTCCTGTTCAAGGAGAATACTGTTGGTGCGAATGAAGAGACGCTGCAATGTCTCCGGAAGGGGGCTCCATGGGGCGTGTGCGATGATTACGAAGAGTTTGTGAAGAGTTTTGTTGAGAGAGAGAGGGAAAGGAGAAGTGAACTTGGAGAATCTTCTACGCCAGAGAAATTAAAAATACGGGCATATTTTGCAGAGAGCGATGTCATGATCGGAAAGACGGGACAGAAATATTTCGAGAATTGCTTTGAGGGATACGAAGACGTGCTGAGTTTTGAGAGTTCTACAATGCCGGATGAAGATCATGATAGTTTGTGTTCTTGTCCAGAGGTTTTAGCGAGGATTTTTCAGGAGAGAAGCAGTATCTGATATAGTTCGAAGAGGTCATATGCGACGACTGTGGTCCATTCTACCCATTATAGTATCATTCCGTTTAACCAGACTAATCGGTAATCTTCCAATGTAATAGTATCTTCTCCACATAACTAAACTTTTAATCTACTTGTGTACATTAGGAACATATTTAAAACTCGTTCTGGTCGTCGCCGGAGATGATGACATTATTGATCTGTTGTCGTTAGTCTTGTCTCATGTAGGACGACGATCTGTCAAGGACTCACCTTCAAGACCATTCGGCATAATTGTGTGGCGAGGAGGAGTTGTTGGCGTTTTCCGATAAGAGGGTCAATAACAAAGTGTTCTCTCATATCTATACCATGTTAGAATGCGGTTACTCCAGAACAGGAACGGAAAGTCGAACCATTGTTGCCAGTGAACATGCAGTCAACACCCAGTCGGCTGTTCTTCTCCTTGACTTGTCGTGATTTGATAGAAGCAAGAGTCTCGATAGGGTTCAAACCAGAGTTTTCGGCTAAGGTCAATGGGACGGCGTCAAGAGCATCCGCAAATGCTCGCATGGCGTATTGCTCGATACCAGGGCTCTGTATATCGTCAGTTGATAATATTGTCAAATATAAAATAGATTAAACAAACCTTGACGGCAGCGTCTTCAACTGCAATTGAGCATGCAATCTCGGCAGCACCACCACCATACACGACACGGTTGTCTCTAACCAAGTTGCGCACAACGCAGAGGGCATCATGTAGTGATCGTTTGGCCTCATCAATAATCTGTCGTTCGTTAGATTGCTATAGTAATCCCCCATACAATGGAACGTACCATCTTGTTACTGCCCCGTACAAACACCGTCACAGCCCGGCTGTTTGCACATTCTTCAATGACAAGCATCTTCTCTCGCGTCGTACCGAACGTCAATTCCCTAACCAAACCAGCGGTTCCGAGTTTCTCTTCACTAAGATCTTCGAATCGAGGAACAATACGTCCATTGGTCGCAATAGCAATCAACTCAATCTCGGGACCTCCAACCCATCGAACAGCAGGTAGTTTGTTCTGTAAAAGCAAATGATTGGCTTCATCGTCGAAACCCCATGGCAAATCACAATATTGGCGCTGAGTCTTTCAGTTGCTGAATCATCTCTGTGAATTTGTCTTCTCGTATGCTTGCAATCGCTTGAATTCTTCCACCGATGTGATATCAAGATGGTGTTTCGTCTTGGGTTTGGGAGGTTCGAACGGACAGGTGAGAATGGCCAACTTGGCGTCGCGAACCTCTGACGGCATCTGGGGGTGTGAAAAGTCCTTGTCGACGATGACACCCTTGACGAGTAAGGAGTCTTCAAGTGAACCACCGACTTTACCATCAACCTTGATGAGCTCGAAATCCACATCTTTGCGCTCGAGATCGGCGACTGAAAGGACGGCATCGACGGCGATTTTGGCGAATTGCTCGTGAGACTTTGAAACACTGTATTCGAGTTAGTGGATTGACGCAGGATAATAGGCCAATTGCAAACATACATCTTGCTTCCAAGACTTGTCTTGGCAACCTTCATGAGATTATCTGTGTTATCTGTAGAGAAAGCAATCTCATCACTGATCTTGTCGAGTTCTGCGATAGCAATTTCGCAAGCTTCATCGTAGCCATCGGCAATCCGAATTGGATGAATTCCCTTGTCAATCAATTCAGATGCTTGTTCCAAAAGCGCAGCAGCCAAAACCACAACACCAGTTGTTCCATCTCCGATCTCATCGTCTTGTGATTTCGATAGTTCGACAAGAAGTTTGGCAACGTTGTTTGAGATTTCCATCTATGAGCGAGTCAGCACGATTCAGAATATTATGCCAGTTTCCGGGCGGTTCTGACCTGTCCTAAAATTGTAGCTCCATCGTTCGTGACTGTGATATCACCGTCTGGTGAAATGAGAATTTTATCTAGACCTCGTGGACCCTAGCACTTCGTCAGATTCTATTTCATCTTCCCCTTTTTGTAAGCCACGCACCAACGATGTTTTGACGATGTTGGCAACAGTCTTTGCCGCAACGATATGTGATTTGACCGCCTCAACACCGTGTTGTCTCTTCTTCTTTCCCTGGCTATAGATTCGTCAATAATACGCCCGAGGTGATTGATAATTCGATTGTCCGGAGAACGTACTCTCGCACGACGATAAAAGGGCGTCCCTGCTCATCCTTTATGACCGAAGCTATTGGCGTGGTCAGTATGGTCTGAATTCATTATACTGTCAAATTAAGCTGGTGAAAGCGTACCCTGCGACAAGTCAAGCTCTGAGGAATGTCAGTCAATATTTTGTATAATGAGGGGTACTGCGGACATACGCATAGCCATGTTGACGGTGATCTGCAGAGGGCAGTCCTGTCAGAAAAATAGAAGCGATAGAAAAGAAAGCTCAGAATGAGATATCAGCCACCAAAAACGAAGAATCAAACAGAGACTCAAGAGCACTTTGATGCTTGTTCGTCCAAACAGTGAGTGCGGCGTCCTCTTTCGTTTTTTGCACGATGGATGATTTAGTGCCAATCGGGTTTAGCTGGGGAGCTGCTTGCCCGAAAAAGCTTGGCGCCGCCTGGAAACTTCTCCACGCGACTCAGCGCGCGACAAGATCCAGAATAGCAATACGTAAAACTCGGCTGCTCATCGCATCACATTTTCTCGTTCACGGTCGTGCCAAAAGTTTCGTCAGTTCGTGAGATTCGGCTTGCTAGAGGCCACCTCCAATTTTCAAATTGGATCTCCTACGCCGTGTGACCGACTTGTTTCAGCAAACAGAGTCCAATATGCCCCCTCGTAAGTCAAATCACTTTTCTTTCGCGCTTTGCTCTGTTGCCATCTACAAGCTTATGGCTGACTTCAATACGATTAGTAAGCGACGAGTCATCCGAGGACGAGTCGGCTGGCGAGTCCATTCCGTTCAAAAACGCCAACAAGGTCGCCGACGAAAGCGAAAATGAAGATGGAAGTGATGAGGAAGGCGGCGACGTGTATGTTGAAGTTCTTCGCTTTGTCTACAATTGATAGGAGCGTCAGCTGATTGCAGTCTAGATACGTCGTTGAATCGATTGTCGGCCACGAGTTTCAGAAAAATGTTCGTCGAGCGCCAGTACAATATCCAGTTCGAGGTTACTGACCACGAATAAGTAGGTCCTCATGCTGAACGTGAAATGGAAAGGATATGACGACCCCGCCGATCAGACCCTGGAGCCAGAAGAGGGGTTACTGTACGAAGTTTTTGGACCATGCTACTCAACAGTATGCTGATATGATTGATTGTGTAGGGAAGGTGCAGAGGATGCGGTCAAAGAATATTATGCGAAAATTGGTGGTCGTCCGGAACCACCACCAAAGCCTGGGCGAGGAAAGCGAAAGTCCATGACAACAAGTGCGAAAGCGACCCCGGAAAGCACCACTGCAAAGAGACAGAAAGTATCAAAGGAAGAAACAAACGGCACAGACGCTTCGGGCGCGGATATTCCTCGCGGTATCCCAGACTGGGTGCGCGATAAAGATCATTGGGAGCGGGACGTTAAGAAGGTGCAGACGATCGAGAACGATGGAACACACGGCCTGGTGGCTTACCTGAACTGGACAAATGGCAAGACGACGAAGGTGTCAATTGGTCTATGTTATGAGAAAATACCCCTTATGGTAGATTGAACTCGTAGCCCGCTTTATGTCTAGGTACTAACTTTGTCCTCTTAGATGCTCAAGTTCTACGAAGCACATCTGTAAGTTGAAAATATGCAATCTTTTGATGAACAACTTGAAGCTAACGTTCCCTTAGTGTGTTCAAGGGTGCTTCGGCTGATGAATGAGACTGAGATATCCTGGCTCCTATTGATTCAATAGGAACGTTCCAGGACAGAACGGGGGAAAACCAATCTTTAACAAGATATACAAGTACAACGACCATTTTCTCGAAATATGATGGTGGTTGAAAGAAGCTACCTACATCTATTTAGCGACACGAATGGGGGTTGCTTCTCTTTGTGACGTTCACTGCTCTGCCCTGCGTTTAATATCCTATATTCTATTACGATGCAGATTTGCAGATTTGCAGATTATGAGGAAGGTAGGGAGTTGGACTTTAGGTCCACACGGCCTTTTTTTGGTACAAGGAGAATTTTCTGATGCTGGCTACTGTAATTTTAAGGAGTTATTGAATCTTCAAGTGCTTTTTTACATGTCTATTGACACTGGAGTGGTATTCATCTTGGAATTGATTTCAACTTCGTAACCGAAATGGCTTGATTTCTGAAGTGCTAATTGGTATATCGATACTAAATTGTGACTAATCATATCCGTCCATTGCATTGAGATGCCGGCAGTGCAAATAGTTTCATTTATTGACCTCCCTGAGAAACCAGCTCTGTTGCCCTGGCACTTTGCTCAAGGAACTGCCACCGCTCATCAAAAGCCTCTGAGCCGTGTTTCTGCATTACACGTTCCATAGCCCTCCCATCCTGACCTGTAAGGGCTTTGTCATCTTCTTCCGTCCAGACTCCAGGCATATCCGTTGGAATCCCCTTTCCCGCGTTCAGCAGATCCAAGACTTTATCTGCGAGCTCGGCGTTCATAGATGTACAACTGAGAGCGAGAAGAATATGGTCACTGTTTCGGCCGTCGTCTATCCGTTTTTGGATCCAGGCTTCGAGGGCTTCGGCGTTGCCGTTGGTGTTGATTTCTTCTCCTTCTGTCATTAGTGGTACGAGTGTATCTCCATCAAGTTGAGATATACCCGATGTTTGACTGTCTGATGCGAGCGGAAATTGAGATGCTGTTTCATATTTTGCTGATTGTGATTCATCTGTTGTTTCCAGTTGCGGATCGATATCAGCTTCGTTGGACGAAGGGGGATCATTTCGGGGTATGTAATCCGTGGCTCTTCGTCTCTTTTTAGCCGCATGATCAACTTCAAGGTTTGAAATTGTTGAAGTGCCTTCATAAGATAGCCGGTCGCGTTTGAAACCTGCTGCTTTTCCTTGAAAAGTTTGAGCAGCATGGCCGTTTCGTTTTGTGTCGGAATGGGCAGCACCTGAACCTGGTTTTGACACTTGGGTTGTTGTAGCTTTTGGATCAGGCGCAGGTGATCCAGCACCCTGTGCTGGACCGCCTGGACGGGGTTTCCCCCGAAGTTTCTTCACGTAGCGATCCCGCCATGACTGAAATGTGTGTCTGGGATTCTGAGTGGTCATTAGCTCAAGTATTTATACTAATCTACACTTGCCCTCCCATGCCACTTACCTGTTCAGCAAGTCGCTGGTAAATAATATTGCCAGCAGTCTGATCCCCACGTGCCTCATAGGGCTGTACCCAATCCCAGAGAATTTGATCATCCTGTAGTGAAAAGGGTGTCCTGGAACTTCGGGCAGGTACTCCGACTGCTCCAACTGGACGATTCCTTTGGCCGGCTCGGTGGTCCTCTGGATCTTCCAGTCGGCCATTCCTGATTGATTTCTCAATAAAGGTGTATGAATGCCTCGAAACAAATCTCAGATAAATGTTGACCTAATGGTATTGGATAATGTTGAAACCTACGAGTTGAGTGGGATGTCTCGTTTTGCATGATCAACAAGCTTGATGTCTGCGTCCTTTTCCAGAAGGACAACTGTACCACCGTTTATCTAATTAATCGATTAGCCACAAACCTGGCCACTACAGGATGCTGGTGGATATAGGACATTACCTGAATGAGTTCCTTGAATCTGTTTCGTTGAGGAACATTTGCCGATACCCAGAAGGAATATCCTTCGAACAGCGTCCCAACACTGCCATCTTGAGGAGGCTTCGTATAGACTACGGTAGCCATTTCCCCTCAGACCGTCTGGCTAATGGGTATCACCTACCAGGAAAGCGAGCAAGTACTGAGTTGACCGAAGCGCCGCTCAATGAAGGTCAGATCAGAGAGCATCTGCTATGCAATGTGCGCTTGCATATGTTCAAAGTCAAAGGCCTGGTATCATCCTGTATGTGACGGAGATACCAAGTATAACAATCAAGACGATGAATGAGTTTCAAAGATGTGACATCTCAGTTGACATTATTTTTGGTGAATTGGTCTAGTCACGAACCAATCAGCTTTAGCGCTCGCAGAAAAAGGAGTATCAAGTCACGTGACATGTTAGCTGAATGAGCAAATCGGGTTTAGTGCCCTTGTCAAGTCAACAATAAATGAATCCGCGAAACATCGCTTTATTTCTTATCTGGACTCTTTTCTGGCTCATATTCTCTTTGAAGACTGAGGCGACGGGGTTTTCGGTTTATATACAGAATGCGCTTCAACTGACTGACAGAGACGATTGGAGTCCCCAAATATGGGGTTGATCACCTTAAGGACCGCTGCACTGAGTGTGCTAGGTCTATCTTCTTTTGTGTTTATTGCGCTGTTTGGACGTTTGCCTATATTCAGGTAAGTTGGGTGGTATCTTCTTCAAACCCTGAGTCAGCTAGTGCGAAGTGCTGATTATGACCAGGAAGACACCTATTGGCTTTCTACATCGACTCCTATGGATCCACATTCCACATGGTCTCGCCCGTATAGATTCACTTCTGTTAGGAGGTCGACTCGTACCATGCTGTAAAAGCTTTGGCAGATACATAGCTTATGAGAATCATCCGTTGGTATTGGTTAGTGATGTTACACCAGATAGCCTTGGCTTATTCCTAATCGTGTCTATAGATATTCTTCGTAGGATTACTGTCAATATCAGAGTTGATGTTTGTGCCAAAAGCATGGCCCAGACTAGGAACGTTTCACCGAGCATTTGTTCTGATATCAATTACTTTGCCATACATCTTCCTATATGCATGCGTCACCATCAAATGTTTCATTACACCTGACAACGTGAAGACGGAGTTGGCTCAATATCCGTACGACAGAGTCCTTTTCCATCCCGGAAATGAGTGCTCAACGTGTCGACTCTTGAAGCCGGCACGTAGCAAGCACTGCAGCACTTGCAAGGCCTGTGTTTCTCGGCACGACCATCACTGTATCTGGTTGACCAATTGCGTGGGTCGTCAGAACTACCGCTACTTTCTTGCATTGCTTCTATCCCTCTCGGTAATGCTCACTTATGGCATGTGTCTAGGATACAAATTGCTCAACGAAAGCCTGCAGAAAGCTTTTGGAACCGGGGGTGCACACTGGAGCAATTCACTGTCTTGGACGTCATGGATCAACTACTGGGCTTTGGCGGTAGCTGATGATATACGAATTGGCGCTGTCTTCCTTTTGGCCGGTATGACGGCACCCTTGGCATTCGGTTTTTTGGTCTATCACATCTATCTCGTATGGGCAGGGACTACAACCAATGAGACAGCTAAATGGGACGATTGGAAAGAGGATATTGCGTATGGTCTCATTTATAAGGCCAAAAGAAGCGAGGTATACAAGACACCAAAGCCGCGGGATGAGTCGATTGAACCGAAAACACAGTGGTCTGCAACCACTGATCAGGTCCTCATTATAACGAACGGAGAACCTCCGAGGGTAGGCTTTTCAGTTTCACTACAGTCGAACTCGATTCTTCAAGCGGAGGGCGAACAAACTCCTGTTGACCCAAGGTTTAAACTTGTTAGGAACCTTCAGTCTTTGGAGAATTTGTATGATTTGGGCTTTTGGGATAATCTGCGTGATGCATTGAATTTAAACATTTAGCAACTATGTCAGAGATGAATGTGATTCAAGATAGAAGCTGTTCGTTCATACAATTTCCGAGCGATAAGATAAGCCGGAGCGGAAAAACCGCCAACCCACCATGCCCACCAAGATCTTGCCGCAAATTGTTAATCCTTTATTTCTCCGCATTTTGTCAATTCATTCTTATTACACTTTCTTTGCGCAGACCTCCCTGGACTTATCTATTTCGAGGATATGGCACCAGAGAAGCTGCCCACAGAAAATGAGCAAAGATGCTCTCCCGCAGAGCTCTTGCTCAAGGTTATCCTTGCCGGCACATTGAGCCATTATGAGACTCGAGGCATGATTGACGACAAACAGCTAGAACAAATGTTAGCTGCAGAGAAGAAAATTGTGTCAAAAACCCGAAACGAGATGGACGTTAGGTACTTTCCCCTATGCTTCTACTGGTAAGATATGTTCGCTAACTGCATCTGAAGACAGAGTTTAGCACTTTCGCCCGACGTCTGGCAAGGCCTTACTGATGTCCTTACTAAAGCTATTCCACATCTCGAATCACAATCGTTCGCCTGGAAAAGTCCCCCGACTTCGACATACGAGCAGTCGTCTTCAAACCTCATCGCATATAATTACTTTAGCCTAGTCAAAGACATTGAACGTTTACGCGACCTATGCACCATAGCTCGAAATCTGCTCGCGACAACCAACAGAGCGCAAAATCTAGCAGCGGAAAAGGGGTTTGACCAGCGGATACTGGCATTGATTGACACATGTGTTAGGGTCACTGCACGAGGCTTCGACGGAGAATCCAATGCGAGAAACGAAGAACGCTGGCAAAAAGTTGTCAATCTTTATAAAAGCCTATTGATAATTTGCTTGCAATTTTTGAACAATTTCATCATGCAGAATGAGCAGCGCAAGCTTGTTCTTTGGTTGGATTTGTTTGGATATCACTCCAATGGCGACCATAAGGTCATAATGCCTGGCGAACCGTTGGACCCAGCTAGTCCAGCACCACAGGGAGTTGCACCAATCGTGCGAACTGGAGAGCGGCTTATTGGATCTTTAAGATGCGAACAGACCGCGGAGGATATGCTGCTTGAGTCTTTATCAACTTCTCCCAAAGAACCCCTTACTGTCAAGGAAGAGGCTGCCATGCTACTACTTGCCCAAATCAAAGATCATATGGAAAAGATACTGGGTCGAGACATGAAGGAGATACAAGAGATGGGCAAAGACCCCGAACAAGTCAATCAAGTACGGAGCGCTCTTACTGAAATTCTCTCTAACAAGGCGGATGAAATGAAGAGTTTGAAAGGGAGAACGCTGGATTCTGGAGAATCAGATGACGAGACAAGACGGCAGCCTATATTATGTATCGACAGGAGTGCTACAACAGGTTATCCTCGAGTATGTTGGGCGGATTTTCCTGATTTCGAAAGATTCAAAGCAATTACAGCGGATGGTCCTTTAAGTGAGGAAGAGACCAGTGTACCGCGAATCTGGCAATCTGGTGCTGCCGCCTTGACAGTAGCCAAGGAGGAACTGATGGCACGCGCACAGGAGGCTTCTCAGGCTTTAGAAGAAGGCGACGAACATTACGATCATGATGACGGATATGCTGAAGATGACGGCCATAGCCTTGATGATGGTGCTGAGGGCAGCCTTGACGAAGAAGAGGAAGAGGATGACGATGATGATGACTATCGTGGTAGACCTGGCGATCAACAGCGAGGATTACTGACAGACATTCCACTTGTTCTGGGACCTGCAGAGATAGAAGCTCTCCCAATGATTATCAAAGCTGGAATCATTGATGCGGCGGGGACAAAAAGCGCAGAGCGTGAGGTGATAAGCAACATGCAAGCTATTCGCTGTCATATACTGCTAACGCAGGATACCGGACGTAATTTGCTTCGCGAATTGCTTATTTTCATTGCCGCCTGGGACTTGCCGGATGACGAGGTGTACTTCCAATTCATGGTGCAAATCATGGAGGCCATTCTGAAGAACGGGTTAATGTCTCATGCATACGCGGACTTTGGCCAGCAAAAGGACATCATCTCGCCAGCACAAGCTGTTGTCATCAAGATCCTTACACACATCTTTCGCAATAAGTACTCACCAGCCTCTTCCAGCGACGGTCAATCTACCGAAACGAAACAGCCGCCGCCGCTATCACGAGTAGATGTGCTGACAGTGCGATATATCTTCTCCATCTTCCGGGGCACCATTATACCCGAGACATGCGGTCTCATTTACCTGCAAGGTCAAATCCGTGCCAACAAGGCACTCCCAGAAGATTTTCCTCTGAACCTATGGGATATGGAACGGGTGTACGAAGGAGTATATCAGTTCCTGGAGTTCTTCGCCGTGCTCACAGAGAATAATGACTGGAAGAATCTGATTGTCAAGTGGGAGATTGTCTACGATCTCGTCACATTGATCAGTGAATTAGACGCCAATATCCCCAAGGGCCCACTCAGTGCTATGGTTACAAACCCAGCAGGGTCATCAAACGGGCGAACTGCCGCGGCCAACAACCAGCCCGATACTCCTGGCAGCCAGCAACAAAACCCTCCACCAGTTGCCGTGGAGCGTCCCTACGACCCAACAGATGTCGACCCTGTGGACGAGAACATCGACGAAACCGGCTCTCGAGCAGAATCACCGCCCATCACAGAAGACCCCTGCGAATTTGAATGGCGCAACTTGAAAAAACTCATCGTCCTAGTCCTGTCATCACTCGTATGGCGATGTCCCGAAGTCCAGAACCAGATCCGCAAATTCGGTGGTGTCGAAGCGATCTTGTCCTGCACCAGCTTTGATGCACATAACCCATACATGAAGGAACATGCAGTTATGTGTTTGAAGTTTTTGCTTGAGAATAATAAGGAGAATCAGAAGATTGTTGAGGAACTCGAGGCGAGAGAAGTCGTGAGGGATGATAGTGGCGTGTTGGCGAAGACGGGACATGAGGCGGTTGTTGATGGTGTGGGGAAGTTGACTATTCAGAAAGTGGTGCCTTCTTCCTCGACTTCGAATGTGGTTGAAGAGGTTTTGGATGAGTAGTTTGCTTTATGAGTTGCATGACTGATACGATTGTACGAAAGATTCATGGATGATATATGATGTACATACCTACAAAGCCTATTGCATATTCGGGGTTAATAATAACAGAACGAATAGATCTTAAATAGATTTATATTCACTTATTTGTAATTTCGTTAAGCATACATCCCATCCCACTCCTCATCCTCATCATCATTCGGCTCCGGCGCAGCCAAAGCCGCTCTCCGTTTTTCAGCCTGTTTCCTTCGTTCAGCATCTTTCTCGCGCTGCTTCTTCCCAAAATCCGTACGATCGAGTGGACATGTTCCCCTGAGTCGGAGCCAGGGACGCACACATTCAAGATCAAAGAGATGGGTAGGATGACACGGCAGACGGACGACGAGTGGGTATGGGTCGTCTAGGAATGGATTGCTGCATATGGGACATGATTGGGATGGCTTGAGGGATGAGCGGGGGATGCGATCGAGAGCTTGACAGATGCATTAGTACATCTTTGTTAAGAGTTGTTTCAAAGGGGCAACATACTATCGCAAAACTCCTCACTGACACCCTCAACTTCCCTCGGCGGCATATCAGCACCTTGTAACAACGTCTCAATCATCTGATCAATCAACGCTTGATCATGCTGGTCACCTCCAGCCTCAGCGCCGCCGGCACTGCCTATATCATGTTCCCGTCTTATATAATCAAATGCTTCAGCAAGTGAACGAAAGGCCGCGCTGACATCCCCCGGTACAGGGACGGCGTGTTCTCGTGCCCGGGTTTCGGAGGGGTTGGGTGTGATTTCGGATAGAGTTGCGAAGAAGGTGGATAGATCTGGACGGCGGGGACGGGATTGGATTGGTGGTGTGTAAAGGTCGTCTATGTTGTGTTCGACTGTATTCAGTGTTAGCTTTGTAGAGGCTATAGGGAGTGTTAGATAAATACCCTCGTATGAAGCCATTGCTTTAATCGATCTGTAGGTTTGCACTGATGCGGTGCGGGGTGATTCGGAGATGGGATGATGAGCGTTGAAAGCAAGCGGTTTGGGTTTGGGTTTGTGTTTTGAGCCGTGCAAAATTCGAAGTGGTTTCGACTGTCTTGAGGTGATGTACAACGATCGAGATTCTAGTACTGAGAATGGTGTTCAAAGATGAAGCTGTAGGCAGACATCGCATCGAGCTTAGCGGAGGAATTTATTAGGTAGCTCCGAGACCCACTTCCCCATATGTACTGACATATCAGCCAATCCAATTTTGCTTCATTAAAGATATCTCGAGCTTACAGCTGTCATTTTTCTAACAAGAGCACAGCACGCGATGCATCGCTTTCTCAGTCGTCTTTTCTGGTGACCATCCCACTCGGTCACTGCTGGAAGGTGCCCATGCAAACGCTTTCGATATCCTTTCAACACTCAAGTAGTTACATACATGGCCCCTGACTATCGACTTTCGCAGACAGACTGTCCAGATCACTTCGGCTCTCTACAATTGGGAAATCAGATGAGTATAATTCTTTCTATCCTGATATTACTTGTACTACTCATATTCTAAAGTCTCCCGGATTTCTTTCTCTGTCTCAACCTGTTGATACAAATCGACATAAGAGGTCCTTCCAATAGGGGGCCACCACCATCGCAGCATATCCTTGCCATTTCTTGTTCTCATGAGAATCAGAGTAGTCACAAATTCCGCGAATGATGAGACAAAGGAAATGATTCATTAGACCCGCTGCTTCCGTCTCAAAACACAAGATCCCCTTCTCTGCCGCCAATTTATCGCGAACGAGAGCATCCCTGCTGAGCTGATCGGCCAATGCAACCAAACCATAGCGTATCACTAGTTTGTCTTCTTCTTTAGAGCATGGATCCCGGACGACCAAGGTAGCCAGATCCTGGCCGCAAGTAATAGCACAATTTGATCCGCTTCCTAACGGATGGAAGATGTGACTCTTATACAACCAGTCACTCTCTGGGCTTGGCTGCTTGTACTTTTTACGTAACCTTGGATATTTGTCAAGGGCTGTCGTGATCGCCTCTTCCAGTCGATAGCCCTCGTTGTCATACTGGGCTCGGAGTTCATTCACGGCTTCAATAAGAACGGCAGTTAGCGGCTTAAGGGAGCCCGTTCATTTAAACCTTTGGTCTTGCATCGTCCCGCCAAAGCTGTACTGGATGACACTAACTCGGATGTCAGATGGGATGCTCACGACAACATCCCCAAGGTGAATATCATTTCGTGGGCTTGGTGCGCCGCCACCAATGCCGACCATGAGACCGATTCGCACATTCGGGAAGCCGTATAGCATATCATCGGCGATTTGCGTCGCTGACGATTTGCCGTATGAGCTTAAAGGTAGCACAGGTATTACCACGTTGTGCCTCCCATTTTGCCCACTGTATAGTTGCTTCTGTTATGGGGTGGTAGATACGCTAGGCCCTCATGCTTTTCGTCCAAGAAGGCATGGGCTGCGGTGTACTCCGTGGTGATCGCACAGATCCAGCTGGTCGTGTATATCTTTGGGTTAGGGGTTTTAACCCATCATCAAATGCTGGAAACGTGGCCCGGCAGAGAGGTTGCTGTGAGCGTTGTCCCAATACAGGCTCACGCTCTTTCACTGGAGCACTGATGATGCTTGCAATGCCACTGCAAGCTGAATATTCTAGTATTGATTTGGTTCTACAGTGAACCTGAGGCAGAGTGAGTAGATATTCTCAGTCTTATCGGATCCATGTGATTATAATTTGTTGCTATCGAGGCTGGGAAAAGGACTGATAAATATGAGGAAGTGTCTGTTGTGGAAGATTCTCATTGACACACAAGAGATAACATTATATATCCCAATATGACGCTAATAGGAAATTGAGGACGGACATTCCTGTCAACAGACTCTGGTCTGGCAGCGTCATTCCCTCCAGACTGAAGATGATCATGGTGAGAATCTTACAACTTTCTTACTTTCTATTCTAATAAGTGGGCTTCAAATAAGTTATATTCATCTCCTTCTCCATTTTCGTATTCTACAATAATTAGCTAGAGCACTCCGTACCCCTTTACCTATGTATACTTAATCTAACCTTTTCAGTCTCTGCGCAGCGCGAGCAGACAACTTATTCACACCTAAATCTAATTCAATACTTAGTATGTAAAATCTTCAAAAATGACATTCTTGCCCTTCAACCAGTCCAACACTAATGTTTTCAAAGCATGACCTGAGCACAGGTAAAACGTACCCGCTGGAATATCCTTCAGATCTGTCGCACTCATCCGACGACATTCAATCGTTGCTCCAGCAGCTTCAATATCTTCCAAGCTCCTGAGGAAATCCTCATCTTTCACCTTGTCTACCTGAGTAATGAACAACGTCGATGATTCTGGCAATTCAGGGAACTGTCGGAATACATCCTTGACAACGCCGATATCATTCGCTGATATGGACCACAACAGCCGCAGACGCGATATATCGACACCAGGTAACTGCCCCACTAAAGGGGTTATACCTATCCCTCCAGCTATAAAAGGAACAAACTCGTCCTTCCCTATACTTGATGTGTCAATCTTGAAACTTCCCCCAAATCCTAACATTGGAACCTTGAGTTGTGTGCGAGGATTCCACCGAAAAAGATGAGAAGTCACGCTACGATTCTTTCGCACTGTGATCTCAAACTCATCTTCTGGCAGGGTTTTTGCTCCTGGAAAAGAGGATACCGTAAATGTTCTGATGTAGTCATCGTTGAGACTCAGGGGGTCATCATCACGCATATGACTGTAACCGATATCGAGTTCGTCTTTGAAAGAGAAGACTGCGTATTGGCCTGGTTTATATGCAGGTATAGTCCCACCGGTGTTGGAAAGCTTGAACCTGAATCTAGCGATAGAAGGGCTCAGTATCTTCCTCGATATTAGATGAACTGAAGTCTGTCCCTCATTTGCCGTCGTGGTCGAGAGCGTCTGCTCCTTTTCTGACCTCAAATATCGAACGGGAGGTGTATATGGCGACTTATCAACTGGTATCCCTCGAAATCCTAATGCATTCTCGACATACCGCGCTTCTACAACAGTCATCTTCACTGCAAGGCTAGATCTTTCTAAAACTTCATCAGCTTCGTCATCGATAAGAATCTCCGTCGTAACAGTCATATAAACCGCATCACCAGTCTCAAAATCCGGGATCACAAGACCCGCTTGATGGTTCATCATCAAATTTCCTAGTGACTGGTAGAGACGGTTGCCAGAGTACTCTGGATATACGAGCACGGCTCCTTCGGGTTGGTTTGAGATTATTCGAACAAAGCCTGAGGGTCCACCGCGGTAGTTTGTGTCCATGTCTGTGTTCTGGTGGTAGGTGGATATGAAGAAGCAATCTGCCTTGTTGATGAGTTCTATTGCTTGAGGGGGGAGCTTAGGGGAGGTCGAGATGAGTTTTGGTTGAGGTAAAGCAGGGATTATGTGCTTCTTGTGGAGATATTTGGGACAGTTTCCTATAATTATCGTTAATATATCATTCAAGTTTGTGCGGCAAAGAATTTAACATACCTAGACTTTCCTCAATTTTGACAACTAATTGAGCATGGCCACGTTTTCCTACAAGCCCTCGCCCTCCTTCATCTTCTCCTTCTGGATCCTCCAACGTGCCCATAATGACTTTTCCATATAACTTGACCCTTTTCCTATTTTCCAGATCAATAGTAACTCCAGATATCATCTTACCTTGACCATCTACTCTAATAGAGCCAGTTTCCTCTGAATGCCCGAATAGACTCTGGACGACTGGATCATGAACTCTATCAACCAGAGCTCTCATACCCACAATATCGCTATCAATCACAGACGAAAACCCAGTCTCTCCACCCCATACTGTTGACCATGGTCTACTGTTAGCATCTAATGCTCCAAGACCTATCAACGGGGCGCGGGATACCATGGATTGTCCGTATTGAGAGAGGAATGTACTAGTGGGGTTCTCTGTGGGTGGCACATGAAGTATGCGCTGGAGGGCTATCTCCCCTTGGTTCCAGGGGAGGGCGCAAGATCCCATCATAGCTGGCATTATAGCACGACCAGACAAGAAGTCCAAGGTTGGAATCCGTTGATAATCTGAGACTAGTATAGACTGTGAAAGCAGAGGTTGAGCGAGACAGACTGAGTAGATATACGTAGTAGTTCAGTCTTGCCAGCACGTCATGACTTGCTGACAAACCCGTATATTAGTAAATGATCTGACTAAGCCGGCCTTCAGGGTGGGAGGATTTGACATGCTAGTTGTCCAGAGTACGCCGTCGTAATAGAAGCTACCAGATATAGCAAGATTTGATTGTGTTTAGGTAACACTGGTTCATGTTCTAGGAGATAGGTATCTACATTGCTGTTGATGTTGATAGTAGAGACTGATGGCTCGGAAACCGGAACAGTGGGGCCTTAGAGTCCAGGGTCTCGCGGGTACCTTAATCTTTATTAATTTAGATACCTCGACACTCAACACCAATATTTACCATGATCAAGAGGAATCCTCTGACCCTTGCCATACATTTCAGTCTGTTCTATTTCAGGATGTTTATGTCTGCGTTTACGCGGCTGTGCCAGAGCCCAGACTGGGGTGGCAGGGGGACACAGCCGCAGCTGACGTGGGCCAGTGCTTCGACTGTGGGGATAGGCCGCGTTGTGTATCGCCTCCGTTTCAGATCTGACATTCTTATTCTTCCTAGAAGGGATGATATATTGTCTTTATTATCTTTATACTCACTGAAGGTCGTTGAATATCAATTGTCAAGAATTGAATTCTGAGAGGCAAGGTGGTTGTTGCTAGGGCATCATTCCACATGACGACGCCGGTTAAACATACAACATCAACAACCATCAATCGATAATTCAACACTTTCTCTTCATCTGCATCTATCAGCATTATCAATCGCATAATATGGTCAATATGGGAAGCCGAAATATACCTTCGCCCTATTCACCGGGCTCGTTCCATATTACCAGAGCATTCATCTGGCTCTCAACCCTGATCGTGACTGGCATCATGATCTATTTTATCGTGCATCTGCATTCGGATGGATTCAAGGTTCCATACGCATTTTTAATTGTAAGCTGACCGTAACCTGAAGAGATACATATGATTTCATTGGAGTTGTTACTGACCATACAGATCATAATAACATGCTTCCTCACCCTCATCAACCTCCTCCTCACTACCCTCCTCTACGCCCGCAACAGTCTCCGACCCATGTTCTCCCTAACCATAAATGTGATCCTCTTCATCCTCTGGACGCTCTCCCTCGGATTTCTGGGGTATAGCATGCGGGGCACATTACGCACAACCTGCGACGTCAATTCATGGGGCACATCAACTGGGGTGATGGTCTGTCGATTATACAAGACCCTTTTCTCGTTTACGGTAGTTGCAATGGCATTTACATTCATCCATGCCGTTATCGATGGCGTCGCAAGGAAAGATCAGAGAAACCTACTACTTCTGGAAGAATACGATTCGATGAATGGGAATAGTACTTACGGGCAGGATTACAAGTTGCATACGAGGAATGAGAGTGCTATCCCTCTTGCGACTGCGGTTGTCGCTCACGAAGAGACTCATCCAGATACGAATACTACACGAGCGGATGTTTATAATGCGCTTGGAACGGTTCGACATGATGATACTATGGCCATACAACAACAACAATATCAACATCCACAACAGCAGCAGAGACAGCAATTTCAGCCTCAAGACCATGATGTGGAATATTACGATGGTATTCCAGATGTTCCCCCTGCGACCGGCATGAGGTGGGCGTCAGCAGCTGCGACGAGACAGACCCCTTACTCGCCGTTACACACCCGGTTCGATGGGCAGCAGACGGGATATGAAGCGTTCAGGCCTCAACGGACGACCTACGACGAGGGTGGGTATGGTTATAGGGGATAGTTGTTGTTTTCAAGGAGTTATTTAGACTGGGTTTCGTTATATCATGATTGGCGTTTTTGGTATTTGAAGGTGTTTTCGGTCTATGGTTAGAATGGGAAATTGATAAAAAGTTGATATTAAGCATCCATACAGATTCGTTATGAATGCTGAAGTAATTAGATTGAACTAGGTATTACTTTTAACCAGACATTTTCTTGGACAATAATTCCATGAGAGTCGACAAGACGATCTACATGATAACCTCGTTCGTGACATCCTGTAAACTATGTTAGTATTCAGATCCAAACATTGGGAAATGGGAAACGTACCCGTTTCAATTCTTTATACGGCAAACAGACACAGTTTTGTACTCGTACTTCATCACCCACACCACACTCCTTACCCAATATCGTAATACTCTGCACCTTGACTCCATTCTTGATAATGCTCGTCGAATGGCTGCCTGCCGGTGTCGGTGTACCCTCCACACGTGCCCAGGCACCAACACGACTACCCCAACCGATGATAGAGTACAAAACACATGCGTCATGCTTGATTTCCGCATCTTCCAGAATGATCGCTTCCTTCACACGAGCACCAGCACCAATAACGGCTCTGGGTCCAACAGACACGTTCGGACCCAGCTTCGCGGTGGGATCAACTTGAGCTGTAGGGTGGATATAGACCGGCGGCACAATAAAAGCTGAAGGGGGAGTGAGTTCTTCTGATTGAGCCTGGAAGGCTTTTTGTAGATACAACGCGTTGGCGGGCACTGCAGATCCGGCAGTCTTGATTTGACGCCAGAAGTCCTTCGTTTCGTGGACGAAGAATCGATTGCTGTCGGCCAAATCAGAAAGAATATCCTGCTCTAAGCGAAGGACTTCTGGTTTCTCGGCATCGTCATCCTCGGCAATGAATGAAGAGTCGAGATTATCTGACGAAGGGTACGACAAGAGTCGCGGCCGGGTAGCACGGCGTTTGATAACGCTGCGAATCGAAGGGAAAATGCATTCGGTAGCGAACAAGTATACGCCGCAATTGATCAAATTGGAAATGTGAGATTCTGGTTTCTCGACATAATGCAAGACACGTTTCGTATGCGCGTCCGAGACAATACAACCGAAATTCGTAGCAGCTTCGTTGCTAACTCGTGTTCCCAGAATCACAGCCTCGGCATCCTTTTCTTCAAAGAGCTTCAACATCTCCCCCAATGGGAAGGAGCAGCAGACGTCAGAGTTCAAGACGAAAAACCGCTCCGGTTTATTCTTCAAAATGGCATCGCGGAAATGGTAGAGGCCGCCGGCGGTACCTAACGCGGTATATTCTCGCAGATACTGAATGCGCAGGTGTGGAAATTCTTTACTGGCATCCTTGATGAAGTCTCGGAAGACCGATTCGTCGTAATATCCAACAAGGATGACCTCGCGAAGACCAGGAACTTTGGCGACGGCTTTGAGGGAGTGTGAAATGATTGGATGACCGGCGACTTCGAATAGGGGCTTTTCTGATGATTAGGAGGGGTGTAAAGAAGGTATTGGTGAGGGGCGTACCTTGGGCACATCCAAAGACAGTGGCCTAAAACGAGTGCCTCGAGAGGGACCACCGACCTTAATGTCCGGTATATTAGTATATTGTCAGAATGACCGAATCTAATTTCTCACTTACCAGGATCACGGCCTTTGTGGAAGCCATATTGTTGTTGTTGGGCTGTTCCCGAAGCGGGACTTGAAGCATAGATGGCTAGATCTCGAAGGAGAGCCTCGAACCTCTTTGAAATAGAAAGACAGAGACAATGGGTAACAGTATACCAATAAGGCTAATAAATCCCTGCAGCTAGCACAAGTTATAAGTAAAAGTCTGTCACAAGTCAAATTGAGTGAAGAATAGCTCCTCTAGTTTGCCAAGCGGTCAGTTGAAGCTGCGTCACTTTGTTTGTGTGGCCTCAGGCATTGGTGGTCCCCGCCATCGAATTCTCAGCATACTGGCCAATCGCATCAAGCGTTACTTCAACATCCTCCTGGATTTGATAATGATTGAACATTACAAGATGTCTACACTTGGATATGAGCAGAGTATGTTTTTTTTTTCTTTGCTTGTATGAGCTCTGGCATATTGAAATTAGTCTTCTGTTCACTCAGGTTTGGTTAGATATGTGAGCAATATACATGCTCCTCTGTGCTCTTGTCAGACCCTCAACTCTTAAAAAGCGTATAAGAGAAATAAGAACCTATCTATTATCATTTTGACAAAGCCTGACTGGGTAGAAGATATTAATCAATGGTTCAACTTCTTGAATGGTCATGAATTCCAACTTAGTCATGGTTATTAGTAATTACGGTGTCCGCAACAACCCGAATCCTGCTGTTGAGCACCGCCAGGCTCGTATGGAAGAAGAACAGTTTTTCTCCCCTGTCCCATGGATTAAAGTACTGGCTCCCTTCGGACCCTTCCAACTTAGGCTCGGCACTCGCAATCTTCAGAATGCCCTTTCTCAGTTACTGGTGAGCATGTTAAGGGTTGCTTTCCTGATGTTGAGTTGAATATCCGTGAAAAAGTTTCAAAAAAACCCAAGAGGAGCTTCGGGAATTGCCAGAACCAGTCAACCAGAATAGCTTCTACACCTTGTGTACGAAGTTGCAGGAATTGAAGACGACTATTGCGGCTTGTTTGGAAGGTGGAACAACAGGCATGCAGATGCTGAATATAGGATTGCCCATGACTTCTTATCAGCTATCGAACGTACCAAGCCTGAGCTACGGTTGCTTACTGACCGAGAAGACGTAGAAATTGATGATGAATGTGATTGTGAAGTAATGGGGACAAAAAACATAAAACTGACGTCCAAGAGAAAGAAAACACCACAAGACAAGGCCTCCACGTCGACAAAAAGCGAGTTGGTGATTATACAAAGCACTTCCAACATCTTGATGGTATGCTATACCCCTCCAATAAATAAATAAATGTCTGACATGATAAATGCAGCACCAGCCAGAATCTTCGAGCTCGAGGAAATCCGTAACATCAATGAAGAACGTTCTAATGGGCCTACCAATCAAATACATCCAAAAACAGTCGAGCTGATGCACAAGTAAAGCATCGAACACTGGGTGACTCTAATGGAGATCTTTGTCGAGGCCATATACAAGCAGGTCAAGGAAGCAATCATGGCCCAGGCCAAAAGCGTATTGGCTGCCTATCAGGAAACTGAACTCTACCGTCAGATCCACAATATCACACAGCAGCTCCTCTCTGTACTAAAGAAGACTGTTGACGGCGATACTAAACTGTTCTACCTTCTCGAGTCAACTCAATGCATTGTGACCAATCGTGAAGCACTTCAGAAGTAGGGTGAGGACTATTATCTTGTTCTCAACAGACGTCGTAAAGAGAAAAGGGTGATAGCTCTTTATCGGAGCCGGGGAATACGATTTCCTCTAGACCGTGTAAAAGCTGAGAAAATCATCGAAAGGGTCCGATGCACTCCTGAACGAGCTGCGGATCATGGAAGTACGTCTAAGGCTCCCACCAAGAAATATAATGTTTATGTCACTGATATCATCCATAGGCTGCCCATGCCCACTACAAAGCGGTAGCTTGTAGATTTGCCGATTATATCCAAATGATCATGAACTTCAAACTGTTCTCGGAGTGCAAGCAGAACCTGTTCAAAATAATCGAAGCCCAGCTTGGATTACTCAAAGACGACGGTAAGTCTTGATATTTCTGCTGAATTAGGCAGCACTCTTTTTCTGACAGCTGCTAAGGTGCATCACTTGTTCTAGCGACAACCCGTTGTGTACAGTTAATGGCCGATGATCCAGAGAAACTGGAACGCTGCAAATTCCTCCTCAAGGAATCTTACTTCTTGATCTCTCATGTTGTAAATTTTTGTGTCAACTACTATTGGAGAACATTGGAGGTGCAGATCTGATCTTGGAGACTTGGTCGCCATCATATCGCTTGTGCAGGGTCAATTGGAAAATTCGGCATGGTTTGAAAAGCTTGTGCAGAGAAAGATTGAATAGTTGAGTTACTAGAAACTGGAAATACAAGGATGAAGGATGTTCAGTTTGACTTTGACCATTGTCTCTTCTGATGCCCCTCATTGATGCCCTAAACCCTAAACCCTAATATACTTATTCGGATGTGATGAATGGAGGGGTAAATTTCCTTCATGACCTAGAAGATGAGTAGCATGCGATGGAAAACAGCGATATATTACTGCTACATGTTGTACTTCGTAATAGAATCATATATCAGAAACCCTATAAGAAAATCCATTGCTCTGGAGTCACTGGGAGTCCCTGCTGGCATCAATCGAAGGAATATCATTCGTCGTTCCATTCTTCGGCGGATTGAGTCACTCCCGCCCGCTCCCCGCACATCTTTCACTTTTTTTCTCCTTGCCTTATCTAACAACGAAGTCATTCTTTCACAAACCTCATTGAAAGAATTGGCAGGATTTTCGTGGGAATCTCGCCGTCAGCAAGAAAAGTCAAATATCTAATTCCCCTCGCACACATTTTCACCATGGCCGACTCTGGTGTTCAGGAAGCCGAGGCCGGCGTCGCCAATCTGATCTTGGACGAGGTCACTGGCGAGAAGGTGTCCAAGTCTGAGCTCAAGAGACGCCAGAAGAACAGAGAAAAGGAGGCAAAGAAGAAGGAGAAGGAGGCTGCTGCTCCAGCCAAGCCTAAGCAAGAGAAGCAGAAATCTGCTGAAGATGAGGAGTTAAATCTAACTCCTAACGTATGTTCTTTCTTTATCTTCAATTTCGCCATTTCGTACTTTTTACTTGTGTGAACGAGCTAATTTGAATGTTTATAGCAATACTTTGAAATCCGCAGTTCCAAGATTAACAAGCTACGCGAGACCAAGAACCCCGATCCTTACCCACACAAATTCCAAGTCACCATCGATGCGCGCAACTTCTTGACAGAGTATGCATCGCTAGGAAAGGGTGAATTGAAACAAGATACCACCGTGCAGGTCGCGGGACGTATCGAAAACAAGCGTTCAGCAGGCACCAAGCTGTTCTTTTACGATCTTCGCGCTGAAGGTATCAAACTCCAGATTCTGTGCCAGGCCCAGTACGCCACTGGTGAGGTTCCGTTCGCTGAACAACACGAACAATTGCGACGAGGAGATATCATTGGTATCACTGGTTTCCCCGGACGCAGTAACCCCAAGACCCGTGATGAGGGTGAACTGTCCATCTTCGCGACAGAGGTCAAACTTCTTGCCCCTTGTCTGCATGCTCTGCCCCGTGGTCTTCAGGATTCGGAGACACGTTTCCGTCAGCGATATCTTGATTTGATCATGAACGAGTCTTCACGTAAGGTCTTCACTACGCGTGCTAAGATTGTCAGATATGTTCGTAACTTCTTTGATTCTCGCGACTTCACTGAGGTGGAGACACCCATGATGAACGCAATTGCCGGTGGTGCCACAGCCAAGCCCTTCATTACCCATCACAACGATCTCAACTTGAATCTTTTCATGCGTGTTGCTCCCGAGTTGTACTTGAAGATGTTGATTGTCGGTGGTTTGGAGCGTGTCTACGAGCTTGGCCGTCAATTCCGTAACGAAGGTATCGATCTTACTCACAACCCTGAATTCACCACCTGTGAGTTCTATTGGGCATACGCCGATGTTTATGATGTCATGGACCTTACTGAGGAGCTTGTTTCGGGTCTGGTCAAACATGTTACCGGTGGATACGAGACCACTTTCCACACACAATCCGGCGAAGTTTACAACGTCAACTGGAAGGCTCCCTGGAGGCGTGTGGAGATGATCCCCGCCCTTGAAGAGGCGACTGGCGAGAAGTTCCCTCCTGGTGACCAACTACACACCGACGAGACCAACGCATTCTTGAAGAGAGTTCTGGAAAAGACCGGCGTTGAATGCACTCCCCCCATGACCAACGCCCGTATGCTCGACAAGCTCGTCGGCGAATTCATTGAAGAAACCTGCATCAACCCTACCTTCATCACCGGACACCCACAAATGATGTCCCCTCTCGCCAAATACCACCGCAGCAACATCGGTCTCTGCGAGCGCTTCGAAGCCTTCGTCTGCAAGAAGGAGATTGTCAACGCCTACACCGAATTGAACGACCCCTTCGACCAACGTCTGCGTTTCGAAGAGCAAGCCCGCCAGAAATCCCAGGGTGATGACGAAGCTCAACTCATCGATGAGAACTTCTGCACGAGTCTTGAATACGGTTTGCCTCCTACCGGTGGTTGGGGAATGGGTATCGATCGTCTCGTTATGTTCTTGACGGATAATTACAGTATCAAGGAGGTTCTTACTTTCCCCTTTATGAAGGATGATACGTCAGTGGAGAAGAAGCCTACAGCTGCTGAGGTTGTTGGTGTGACTCCTCAGCCGGAAGAGGGTATTCCTCACAAATAATTCAAAAGAAAGTAGAATGTTCATAAAGAAAAGAGATAACGGAATTAGGGAAATTATATGGGGTTTCTTAAATAGCATAGGGTGTTTGTATTTGATGTTTGCAGGTTAGCTATGAGAGCTTATGGACGAAATGTTGCCATGAGATTATGTATCTCGGTTTCGACGAATAAATACTGTTTATCATTTAGTGCTGACCAACTAAGAAAATTTCATTCGAAGTATTCAGGTAGGGATAGAATTACTGTATGTGGTTATCTAACTGATATGCCCTGATTAGGTCTAACAAGAGCTAATATACATGAGAGGAGTATAGTACATCTGCATATGAAAGCATGCACAATAATAACGCGATCTAGCGGAGCATCTATTTCTTCAACGCATTTACAGCATTAGCGGTAGATGCGGCCACCGGTTGGGCTCTAGCCTTTGCAGCCATCTGCAACAATTTCGCCGTTCTCGAAGGATGCCATATCCTACTACCTAGAACAAGAACCCAAGTCAACAGGAACAGACTTCCAGCCTGGTGAGTCGACGCAAGATGTGTGGGGACAAGATAAAGTAGCGTCGAAATACCAAGAGTCACCTGCACAAAGGTAAAAGCGACGACGCCGTGGACACCCTTTGCAGCGCTGCGGGGGAGTAATTTCTTCATGGCTGGGGATTTTGAGTACGCCCATAACGCCATGACGGCGGAGAAGGTGGTTGTGGCTAAGATACGGTGATCGAGTTGAACCAATGATGGATTCTCCAGCATGTTCCTCCACCAGAGATCAGATCGATCTTCGTGACGTGAGTACCTTTCATCGAACAACTCGGACTTGGGAGGTGTCAACCCGTTACCCATGAAAGGGAACTCGTTGTAAATCAAACCGGCATCGAGACCTGCAACGAGAGCTCCAGACATTGCTGTAATAAAAGTCAAAAGGGCCAACCCGGCAACAGAGCGACGGAACATTGCAAGCTTCGGGTTGCGCAAAGCATTGAGTGATTCCGTTCCAGACTTTGGATCAGCGAGAAGTCTGTGAGATCGTAGAATTGCAAGACCGTTCCAGAGCATAGCCACATAACAGGTGAAAGCAGCAGCCAAGTGGGCAGTTAGTCGATACTGGCTGACTCTGGGATGACTTCCAGGAGCAAAGAGATCATCCTTCAACCCAGACTTGACCATCCACCATCCGATAAAACCTTGAAATCCGATCAGACCTGAAATACCAGCCAAACGCCAAGCCATTGGTACTGATACTTTTTTTCTGGCGACAAAGTAGATGGCGGGGATAACGAATGATAATCCTACAAATCTGCCCCAAAGTCGGTGGATCCATTCCATGTAGTATATCGATTTGAACTCGGACAGATTCATGTTCGGATTGAGGATTTTGTATTCGGGAGAGTTTTTGTATTTCGCAAACTCAGCTTCCCAGTCTTCATTGTTCATTGGGGGCATTGAGCCGGTCACGGGTCTCCATTCTGTAATACTCAGGCTAGAAGAAGTCAGCAATCACAGAATTTCAGACAGTGATAGTTGGGAGCATACCCAGATTCAGTCAACCTCGTCAGTCCTCCAAATATGACAATTCCAAAGACACTTGCGGCACTGCCCAGGAGCCAGTATGCGACACTTTTACTACTGACGGCCGGAAAGCGGGACTTTGCGGCCGCAGCCCCTTGTTCTAGGGTTTTTTGCGCTGCGGTGGCTGTAGAAAACAAAGCCGAGCGAGTCGAAAACGGGTTGAAGTTTTTTCTCAAAGAGCCGAGATAGGAGCTGACTCGAAGTGATTTCTGTGGTGTAGTTCGACTACTGAAAAGCCTCGTCGCATGATTCTGTTGTCGTAGACATTGCCGGCAGGTGAACAACTCTGCAGAGGCGACATGGCAACCAAACCTCCTGAGAGGAAACGCCGCGCCTAGGGCTGCCATGACTATACTGTCTAGCAGTCTCTTATTGCAGCTGTGTGCAGTGGTCGTGAAGCTGTTGAGAATTTGAGGAACAGAGATCGTATGATAATTTACGTGCTGCCGGCAATGCGGTTCATTGGCCAATCACAGCAGATGTATTGCTACATCCGAGTGGGTCCCGCTTTCTAAGCGGATATCGCCAACGAAGCTAAGCTAAGCTAAGAGCAGTCTGTCATCTCAGCTTGAACGTCGTCTCAGCAACAAGAGAATGTCTTACGCGTTAGAAGCAAAGAAGCGCAAATTCACCAGAGTACTGGAATCACTATCAAAACCCTTGGCGACTAGTGATGGCGGAGCAAAGCCCATCAAAGATCCTTTAATGGCTGCCCGAGAGCGTTTAGCGGATGCGACAACTTCACCTTCGATCAAGAGAGTTCGTGTTGGGGAAGGCATCGTCGACAATCTCACAACCAAGACAACCGTTTCTCGTATTCTGCGAACTACTTCCAGCTCTACAAATCTTCGTCCAAACTTTGTACCTTGGGACCGTGAACGGTTTCTTGAGAGGCTAGAAACGTTTCGACCCGTGACTCGATGGACTTCGCAACCGGCTCCGATAAATGAGGTCGAATGGGCGAAACGTGGTTGGACATGTACTGACTATATGCGCGTGGCATGTGTTGGCGGCTGTGGTGCTTCAATAGTCGTGAAGCTACCTGAGGAGGTTGACGACTTTGAAGATTTGGACAGTGAGAAAGTGCAGGAAAGGAAAGAAGTTCGTAAGTGGAAGACTCGTTAGGCTGTCCATATTCCGTCAGTGCTGAACAAATGTCTAGGGCAGAAAGTAGTCGAGGAGTATCGAAAGTTATTATCCGACGGGCACAAGGAGACTTGTTTATGGAGGAACAAGTCATGCGATGGTATGAGCTTCATGACATTTCGAATCACATCCATACTGACAACGGATTTCAGCGACCATTCATCGTTTGCCTATAACAAACACAGATACCGCAATCAATGCTTTACGAGAGCGCTACTTGAAGATATCAAAAATGCGAGACCAGCTGCCGTCGAACGAGACGATCGAGTTACCTGAACAACTGTCTTTGGAGGAGATCATAAGCCAACTGCCGCCAAATTTCCCCGAATCAGAGAAAGGAGAATCCTCTCAAGAAACTAATACATCAGGCAAGGAAATCGACTATAGATCGTTTACGTTCGCATTCTTCGGCTGGGACGTCGTCAAAGATGGCTCTAGCGGGTTGCTTGAATGCCGTGCTTGCTTCAGACGTTTAGGTCTATGGTTGTACAAACCAAAGGAAGAAGGGAAAGAGCCTGTCTATGACAAGTTGCCAGTGCATACCGAGCATATGGATTACTGTCCGTGGATTAACGGAACGGCGCAAAGTGGTACTGGTACTACTACGGACAAGCCAGAAAATTTGCTAGGTGGTTGGCAAATTCTAGCTCAAGGCATTCGCACAAAGCATCGCCGACGAACAAAGGCAGCAACAACTTCAAGTGAGAGCCTGGCAGTGGATTCTGATAATTTGTCTTTGGACTCGACGGCTACAGACGAAGCGACTCAGAGGGCTAAGGATAGGGAGTGGTGGTCAAAGTTACGGCGGGTTCGAGAAGCTTTGCATGTAAAAGGCCCGAGGAAGAGCGTCTCTGGGGAGAAATAATCTGCATTGTACTCACGATTTTCTGACGTTTGAGCATGGCGTTGGGGCTATCTGTGACGGCATTTAGGACTAGCACTATCATACATACCATCTATTCAAGCGAGTAATCTATTCTGATATTGGACTTAATATAGATGTCTTAAGATCGATGAGACTGCTTAGGGCTGGCGGGAGAGAAAGCATCCGGAGCTATACCTAATTAGGCCAGACTCATGAGAGCATCTTTCCAGAGATCGTCAGCCGCAAGGATGCTCATTGACTTCTTTTTCTAAAGACTAGATCCTAAATTGAGCTCGCAAGCGCGCAGCATGGGGGATGAGACGACAGAAGACGGCCGGCGTCCGTCAATGTACGATCCAGCTCGGGACATTTTTGCAAAGGGACAGGAACAAGACAAGTCGGCAGGACGCGATACAACTACAAGCGACACTTCTGATAGTCATGAACGAGGAACAGCTCCTATAATATCCCAGGCCATTCCAAGCTCACATCATGACCATCTCCCTGTAAGCAGACCCTGATGCGAAAACTTGACAGGTGATCAATGCTTTGCGGCGTTTTTCTGAGTGGATCTCGGCAGGATGCCTTTCTGCTCCATAACTGAGACCTTAACTGACCTGGATGGAACTAAACTATAAGCACATGCAGACCACCACCGACGCTCCACCTTCAACCGTAACAGAACCAGTCCAAGCCAAGCCTGAAGTGAAAGTTGCCTCTAAGCCAAGTGAAGCTGTGCATCAGGATAAGAATCGTTCTTCCGCCATTGAAAAGAAATCATCGCCGCGACCCGCACATCGTCAAAGCTCTTCCTCAACTCCTTCATCAAAACTACCAACATCGCGAACACTAATGTCTGACTCGACACAAGATAATCAGCCGGAGAGACAAGACCAGGATGGCACTGCAGCGGCCCATCCAACTCCATCGACATCGGCGGAGAAGCGAAAGCCCACAGAAAATGAACCTGCTGCAGATACTTCCAACCAAGGAGGCAGGCAGCATCATTCGAAGCGAAGACGCCGTGAAGAGCGACCTCAAAGAACTCCCCGACGTGAAGGTCCCTCTGCCTATTCCCGTCGAGACCGCTCACCACAAGGTCGATCGCGTGAGTCACGAAATTCTCGCTCGGTATCACCCGTCCGCCGGGCGGCTGATTTTCGAAGATCTCGTTCGCCACTTCCCCGTGAACGATCCGTAACGCCTGAAGCCGAAGCTCGACAGAGGAAAAGACCCGGTGGTGGAGCGCGTTTGGGAACAGCCGGGAAGGATTTGCTTAGACGCCGTCAGGAAGAGAGAGAGCTCGCGCAACAACGAGATGTTGAGAAAGATTTACGGGACCGCGGCGTTCATGATGTGGTTCGCCAACACTACAATGCTGTACCTGAGCGAGGACGAGAATGGCGAAAGACAGATAGTAAGATCAAGGGACTACGAAGCTTCAACAATTGGATCAAGAGTACCATTATACAAAAGTTCTCGCCAGACGAGGAATTTCTGTCAAGCAAGACGGGTACCAAGGAATGGGCTGCCGATGCTGGAGGTCCTCCAGTTGATCGGAAAAAGTTGTTGGTGGTTGATCTGGGTTGTGGCAAAGGAGGTGATCTTGGTAAATGGCAGCAGGCTCCCCAAGCAGTCGATCTCTACGTTGGACTAGACCCTGCCGAGATTTCTATCGATCAAGCTCGAGAACGATATAACAACATGCGGAATCAACGAAACCAACGAAACAGACGTGGAAATCCTTTGTTTCACGCCGAGTTCTATCCCAAAGACTGCTTTGGTGAATGGTTAGGAGATCTTCATATCATACAAGAAGTGGGAATTGATGCTAATGTCGGTCCTAACGCTAATCTCATGAATGCGCGATGGGGTGGTGGTGGATTCGATGTTGTCGTCAGCATGTTCACTATGCATTATGCCTTTGAGTCCGAACAAAAGGCACGACAGATGCTTCAAAACGTGGCCGGCGCCCTCAAAAAGGGCGGACGTTTCATCGGCGTTGGACCAAACTCGGATGTGATTAGTGCCAAAGTTGCCGAATACCATAAAGAGCGTAAAGCAGAGAAGGAGGCCCAACCCAAAACCGAAGGCGCTGCAGAGGACGGCGAGGTGGAGGAAGAAGAGAAGCTTGAATGGGGTAATAGTATCTATCGGGTGCGATTCCCTGGTAGTACTCCTGAAGATGGGGTATTCCGTCCGCCGTTTGGTTGGAAGTACAGCTATTTCATGGAGGAAGCGGTTGAAGAGATCCCAGAATACGTTGTTCCCTGGGAAGCTTTCCGATAGTGAGTCTCTCTTTTGTCTTGTTGCGTAGTCCTAGCTAACTTCTTCGCTTTACAGCCTCACTACAGAGTACAATCTAGAACTTGTCTACCGAAAGCCATTCCTTGAGATCTGGCATGAAGAGAAAGACGACCCCGAACTTGGGCCCTTGAGTGAGCGGATGGGTGTTCGTGCTCGTGGAAGCGGAGAACTTCTCGTCAGCGAAGAGGAGCTCGACGCAGCTAGTGAGTATTGCATAGCCATTGTTGAGGTTTTAGACTGACAATTCTAGGCTTTTATCATGCTTTCGTCTTCCAAAAGGGTTAGTTCTTCTTCTGGGCCGCCGGATGCTGGTCAACTGTGGATCAACATTTTTTGTTTCTCGGAATTTGTAAATAGCTATGCTTCTCGAAATGTGTAATTTACAACGAATATCAATGATTCGGTCGGGCAGCGTTCGCAGAGATATTGCATTTTAGTGTAAATTTGTATTTACCCCTTTACGGACTAGCGTGGATGACAGGCTTTGACGCGTAGCATATCTTATCAGCGAGTTGACTTTTGTTACAATTTGCATTCGCCAACGACATATTACTGTTACATGATACCAGACCAAGATAATGAACTGCTGTTATTAGTTCAACGTGCGTGACGAACTCATTTTGTGCTGTGTAACTCTAATAAACATCGAGCACTCACTCATCCTGAACTAAAAAGAGAATTAATCCTCATACGACAAGAGGCATGGCACCTCTCCTATCTTCAGCTCGTCGCTCACGAAGGGCAGAAGACACCGAAGCCACACCCACCCCATCAGTAGCAGCAGCAACAACAACATCTCGAAACCGGCCTCGAACACCCGAATACGAACCCCTCTGCACCCCACTAAACGCCAAAGCACAACGCTCACTCGCGTCCCTACATGCGGCGACACATTTCCGATTGCTGAAGGAACATATTCGTCAAGCGGGGGACAAAATAACCGAGACAGCGGGCGAGGCCAATGAGCATGCGACTGATGCACGGTACCGGTTTGAGAAGAGCTCGAGTCGGAGGAAGAGTGCGGCGAAGAAGAAGAGGAAACGGGAGAAGAAGACTAAGAATGAGGATGAGATAGAAGATGACGAAGGTGATGAGAAGGAGGAGGAGGAGAATGATGAAGAAGACGACGATGAGGAGGAAGAAGAGGAAGAAGAGGAAGAAGAAAACGAAGAAAGAAGAGAAGAACAACGAAAACTGGAAATTTTAGAAGCAAAAGTGAACCTGATCACGGCAAAACTCGAGGAGAAAATGCGTCGTGTCGTTGATGCAGAGTATAAAGTGAGTGGATTACAGGTTGCGATTCAGGAAATCGCCACGGACGCGGAGACGGCTGGCGCAGCGCTCAATACATCTCGTAGGAGAGCGAGGCTGAGGCAGAGAGGTGCTGTTGACGACGATGAAGATGAGGATATGGACGGAAATGAGGACGAGGAAGAAGAGGATGTGCCGCCGGCGGTTGTGCCTAGTCAGATGATAAAGGAGAGACTTGTTGGACATGAGAGTCAATGGGAGCAACAATCCCTAACTCAAAGGCGCGCTATGATCTATTACTGTTGAAGTTATGGACCCATACTAACGCGACACAGATACACGAACAACAACGCCTACGTGGGATTCTATCGCATCGTCCACGATGCTAAACAACCCGGCAACGAAACACCCCCCGTCCCCCATCCATCAACATGGTTCAACCATCTCGAACCGAACAGGCGACCTGATACCTCCCGTCAACAATCTACAGCAGCGATCCCTACCAACGATGAAGACGACAACATGGAAGAAGACGAAGAAATCGAAATCGAGAAAGAACGCATCTCCCTGAAATGTCCCTTAACGCTCGTCACATTCGAAGATCCAGTGAAAAGCACCAAGTGCATACACAGCTTTGAGCGCAAGGCGATCGAGGATATGATCCGGGCTAGTTCTATGACGATACCTGCAGGTGAGACCGATTTTCAGGGTGGAGGGGGCCGGAATGCGCGTGCTCGTCGGGTTCGTGCAGTGCCTTGTCCGGTATGCTCGGTGCCTATGTCGTTGAATGATCTCGAGCCGAATTTTGTGCTTGTTAGACGTGTGCGGCGCATGCGCGCTGCTGAACTTCGAGAGCAGGAAGATGCTGAACTTGGTAGTGGGCGTCGGAATCGGAATGGCGTTATGATTGATTCTGACGCTGAAGGAGAAGAAGAAGACGATGATGATGATACCCGCTCGGAGATGCAGCAGAAGGAAGAAGAGGTCGGGATCAAGTGGGAGAGGCCAAGATCGTCGTCTAGGGCGCTCACCGCTGTCGCGGGAAATGATGAGGAGGATGATGAAATGGAGGATGTCAATAACGATGATGACGACGATGAAGATGCTGAGGAGGAGGAGGAGGAGGAGGAGGAGGAGGAAGATGAAGATGACGACGAGTAGTTCCCTTCAACTACTATAGTTGATTTTTATCAAATGACACCAAGTCAATCTTCGAATTCGACTAGCTTCATGGTTTCTAACCTAGCTAATATACTTGGTATCGAATATGTCGGTAACACACCTGGAACCGTGCTAAAGTACAAAACGACATAATTATAAACGAAACAATCAAACGCTAAAAAGAACGAACGTCGTAAGACCGGAACACTGGGCTCTCTTGCCTTCCTTCGGCCAAGTAGCCACCATTTTTGCTATCTATCGATCGCAGCACGCAAGGAGATATACAAGTCGTTAAAAGATATAATCCGGTGTATATAGTGCACGTATCAATGCTACACTTCCCGCAGTCAAAGCGTGGATGCAATTCTTCTCATATTCGTCCATCCAGATCGGTCGATCGGCCGAGGTATCGCATATGGAGTGCTCCTACCTAGGATATCTCGTCGGTATGTCGCTGAAGATAGCCAGTCCTGCCGCACGCAGACTAACCACTTAACGACCAGATATCGCTAAGGTTCCAGCAATTGTCAAGCAGTTGTCATAATCGTCGTAATCACCCGCGGAGACAAAAGAAACTCCGCCCAAACAATGTTTGAGGGAGTAGTTACCCCGATTTCAGGGCTTACTTGGTGATCAGATTAAGGTAATCCGCAACGATAAGAGTCACCATCGCATGAGGCGCAATGCGGATATAGTAGGTTCCGAAACCTCTGTAGAATCTGAGCCAGCCCTCATCTTTGATGACCTTGCGGGTACAGTCCAGAACTCCCTTGTACGGAAGTTCACCAGTCACGGGGTTCTTTTGCTGTTTCTGCAGACGAGTCTTGACAAAGTCAAATGGCAAGGACAAGAAACTGGCAAAGAAACCAGCAATAGCAGAAGCTGCAAAAGTCTGGACCTGAGGCGACAAGTTGGTGTGGGCCTTTAACTGGGATTTGGACTCGGAGAAAAAAGCAAGCTGACCCAAGTTCAGGGCCATAGCTCGGACAACGGTTGGGGTTGCACCGGCCCATAATGCGCCGATTCCTTCAGTCTTCGAAATCCGAGAAAGCGCATCAATCACAGAACGGTAATTGGCTCGCGATTCTACCGGCTTTAGACCGTCAGATTGCATACGGATGAGAGCGAGATCTGCGGGATTGCCTATCATGGCAGCCAATCCTCCAGCGGTTAGGCCTGCCAGGGCTCGTTCACCGAAGCTGACACTCCGCCCCTGTTCTGCAGCACGGGTCTTGGCAATGGTGATGAAAGTATCAAAAAATCCGAGCCGAGCAGTAGTGTAAACTGCTTGCCTGAGAAGTCCGGCACTGAGACCGGTGTACAGATCGAGGACTTTGCCAGAAGCAATTATGTTTTTGGTGATGCCTAGTGCGGTGGGTTTGGGACCGGTCTTTTGGCCCTCTCCAGCCAATTGCAAGCGCACCTTAATCATGTCGACGGGCTGGATCACGACGGTGGCAGTCATACCGGCCAGACCACCGTTGATGAAGGGGAGGGCGGCTTGCATGTACGGGTGGCGTAGAAAGCTGGTTGCTGTGGCCGATGGGTTCTCAATAGCGGCTTTGGTTGATTCCCTGGCGGACTTGGTTGCCGAGGATGCAGACTCGGTGATGGACCTGGACGCCATTTTGCGTGTATATCAAACGGGCTTGACTGTAGGAGGGGAATCAATATATATATCAATATATATATATATATGTCCTGCCTGAGCGGAGGGGGGTAGTAGGCAGGACACTATATGAGTCATAAAGAGGGCTGGCTATACTGACCAAGCAGTGTCTAGGGCAACGATCAAGAGTGAAGCAGATGATCAAATCGGACGGTCAATAATGGAACGCTATACTAATAGCAGATAGATGGTATCAGATCAACAGATGTCGTGGTTACACGGGTCGATTGACTGCAGTGTATAGAAACAAAAGAGGTCGATCTATCTGGACGAGCAGTAGATGAACAGGAGAAGATGAAAAGAACGAAGATGGAACTATATAGTATACTGCCCAACTGGGTCTAGTCCGGTCGCGGAAAGTATGGGAGGAAGGACCGTTCGGGGGTGGGGAGTAGAGGAAGGCACGACCGTGGGTCAGACGGCAGGAGCGATGGAGAGGAGGAGGAGGAGGAGTGAGGAGCTTATTGAACGGTCTGATTGTTCGGCGTCACAATATGGCTCGGTTTGCACTCGACTACCGACTACCAGCAGGTATGTGTATAGACAGAGGAGGCAAAGGGACTAGTCAAACAGGAAACGAGACAGTTCTTATATCATAGTCAGCGCTCTCGTCCACTGGCCATCGGGAGGGAGCGACGGAAATAGGTGGGCAGCTATCCGAGGCAATCTGTCCATCTATCGAGTAATACAATTGCTAATTGTCAGGCTTGGCATCTAGCTCAGGGACTAAACGACTACAGCTTTCTACGACCATGACTCTCAGACAATGGCAGCCGGGGACCGGGATTTGTGACCAATGCGATTACTTCAACTCTTCCATCCCATGTTATAGGAGAGGCAATGCCACGAATGGGAAGAACTGAGAACAAGGACATCAGCTATTCCGTGACATCCTGCCTCTCTCCCTCCCTCCATGCTGAATGCTCGAGCTCACACCACACGATGAATGCGGGGTATGCTTTGCGTCATTGGTCCAATCCTTGACGTGGTTCAGATGGATTCACCCGCCATTTCTTAGCCATGACTTGTCTGCTCAGAGACACGACAGCAAGGAGAAGAGTACTCCGTACTTACTTCCGTACTGATATCGATCACGTATTATTATTAGCTATTCTGCTCTGTCCGGAGTACAGATGAAGCTCCCCACTTGGACGCTGCCTGCCCCACGACCTTAACTCTTAGCACTGCGCCTTGCCTTTTCTGGTCTAGTGCGCGGTCCCGGCTTGCCGGCACCGGAAACTTACGGCATCGGAGGAATTCCTCTGTGAAGGAGCAACTCTCCCCGATTCCACCCGGATTGACATTCATGATCAACTGGCGCAGCATGGCTCGGTCTGTCTACTATGATGGGTATCAGCATATCATGGTAACAAAGAGCATGGCAGAAAGACTCTCTATATACGGTCGGCGAACGGCTCGGGATCTGGTTTTCAAGGAAACATTCTGAGTCGTCCGGTATCGCTGTACTACACACACATACTTCGTCGCGGCTTCGCTACCTACTACGTGTAGGGGTCGGCTACGCAGAATGGGTCTCTCTCTGCCATCGTCTATGACAGCTGGCTCGGGGCTACATCGGATGGCAGATGCAGTGTCACCCACTCCCGCGGCAGTCCCTAGCGACATCAAGTCTAATCAGTACGTTGTTGGTGCCGATAATCGAACCAGAAGTAGCGACATCGCCAATTCCACCGCCCCATTCTGGCCGCGGAGAATCTTCTCGGCCGGAATATTCACATCACTGACCGCAAGAAACGAGTCTGGAGGATTTCCGAGCGAATGGGAGTCCTTTCTACACAAGCTGATGGCCGCCGATAGCCGCCTGTACTCTCAGATGTCGACACCATCGTTTTCATGGTTTCTAGTACGTATACGGAAAACCTGGGAAATTGTCACGGATATGCCACGAGGTGGTTCTTTTTCCGAGTATTGTCTACCGGGGCAGGAAGAGACTCCGTGCAATCATTGCAAGAAACGAGGTATACTGAGTACGTTCTCCAGAAGACCATGGAGTGGACTCATTGATTGCTCCGCTCCGCGAGACCCGGTTGTCAAGCCTCTCGTCTCGGGATTCCGAGGTGCACCTGAATCTTGACAAGATCATCTGTGGCGGTAGACATAGGCGTGGGGCCCTCAGTCTACTCCGACTCTCCGACAGAGGGACAAAATCGTAAATTCGACGACAAATGATTGAGTTCAGCTTCATTGAGTCTGAAGCTGAGTTCAAAATCATGCCCGTCCTCATGGTCGAGGTTTACTGGCTGAACATGCTACTCCTGATATTTTGGTCAATCATCGGTGTGACTGGAGAAATGTTTAGCCTCATACTTTTGCTCTTTACGTACATTTCTGCATACTGACAATAACCAGAAAGCCATACCCGAGCCGTCAAATTATCTGATACTACTGCTGTATTTGCCTATCGAGTAGTTGAGACTCTGCGTGATAGTACTACTGGTCTACACCTAATGCCTACACTCTTGGCTGCTTACCGTAGTAGAACATCTGGCTGTGCAGCTTGTAGTCCAGTTGCTCTGACATAGCTTGCTGTTTAAACTATACCATTTACGGAACTGGTAGCTCACTCAACGATTGGTGCATCAGATAGATCCGCTTGCTGTAAGTGGGTCAAGGCACTCCACACTTTACGTAAGGCAGCTATGTCTCTAGATACAAAGAAAACATAAATCTCTATCAAGTCTCCATGTCATGCCATGAGAAGATATTCCAGGTTTATCCCGTGTTATATACTCGCATTGTATCCAAGTCCCTCCACATCCCCCTATAATGATGTTCAATCGCAACATCCATCCACGCAAACGACCTCAGCAACCTCAACAACGTCTCCAGATCAGTAATCCTCAAATCACGACAAAGCTTCCAGAAGAATATCATCATTCGATTTGGAGAGTCGGCCTTCAAGTCCATCGCAATCACTACGACACTTGTGCACCACAGTAGCAATGGTCCTGTGATACCTTGGTCCGCTAATAACTGCAACCTCGGACACAACGATTGCAATAGCGGTCCTCTGACGATCGCTGATCGTGGGATCGGATATGTCACATGGATGGCGTACAGGATAGCAGCATGTCGACATGACAAGTATATCTCTCGCGATAGTGATATTCTATCGGCAGATTCATCTCTGAGCTGCAGGATCTGCTCTATGGGATCGTTTTCATCGGGTAAAGAGAAGAGACGATTATGCACAAAATCTCTACTATCGCCTAGCAGGTCCAGAGCCTTGGGGCTGCACGACTCTTCTGAGAAATATTGCAAAATATGGGATAACTCTCCAACGTGCGCGAATGCTGTGACGATCTCCTGCCTCACTGGCGGTTTGAGGGAGAGCAGCAGTTCATCGAATCCGCTCCCAGGTCTTTTGCCGGCTGACTTGTCAAAATTTGTCGCAAAGCTATCTCTATACCGCGGGAACAAGGCGAGTGGGGGATCCAAATTCATAATCTCGCCGTTAACTCCCATCGGTGGATATGCTGGTTTCTGAATGGTGTGCGCTGACCTCATTATATCCGCTACCGAAAGTAACCACGACAGTGCAAAGGTGCGCAGAGACAAGATCCCGCCGAATCTTTCTATCAGGTCATGCACCACTGTCCAGTGCAAGGCATGATAATCGCGACTTCCATATATATCTAAGGCATGAAGGCCCGTAAATACGGGCGTGAAGGGGCTCGGGTCTCGATATAATCGGGGACTGACGCTATCATTAACAGCCAAGAATAGCACGCACATGATGATACTATCTATCGGGGTGGTCCCCGTATAGGTGCTGATCGCCTCTCGAAGAGTCTGAAGAGCTAATCCTTTCAACCGAAACTGTGACTTGGAGCCAGTCTGAAAATCAGGTGCTCCGTACGTTATGCGAAGGACATCTTGATGGTACGTTGTCGACCAGAGTATGGCGTATAGCATCACTTTATCATCATAAGGTGCTGTCCAGGCACGATAACAGGCGGCCGAATAGTCCAGCGGACGGAAATGTGCCCATATCTCTGTGGCGGCGAAGTGTAGAACTTCCTGCACGTTGAATTCGGATGTTGATTCATCGATGCGAATCACGGGGTCGGCATTGCCTGTCCCAAGGCCGGGAATAACGGAAGCTGTATCTAAGCTTGCACGTTGATCTTGAGTCATCTTGTATCTGCCGCACGTGGAACAAAAATGACCGCCTCCTACTGTCCCAGGATCAGCAGGTTCCTTCGGCATCAATTGTCGATATCCCAGCCCACTACCCGGTTCTGCAGACTCCAACAAATCCGACACTCGACAAGTACATACTGCAGAAGGAGGAGGCGGAGGAGGAGGAGGATTTGTCGTCGCCTCCCTCAGCAAACTCTCTATTTCCGCCGCAGCAGCAGATCGTTGCTGATCAACCCTTTCACGTCTAGCACGTCGGAGAATTCTGGATCGTATCGGCCCGCCTCTATTCCTTAGCAATGGGCCCCCAACGAATATGAACTGATTTTCTCGATCGCGAGACGTCATCTATCGACATTATCCTTTTTACTTCGAGGAAAATATTATTATTTCCGATCATTCCTTTGCAATATATTAGCCTTGTTGTCAAAGTGAGAACGCTCGGATGAGGTCTCGTACCAAGAATCCTTTTTGAGTTTAGTCGGGAATTGCCTTGGGAATTTTTCCTGGGAAAACCTTCAATAATCAATATGTTGGACGGGGGCTCCACTATCAATCTATATTATTCATTTTCAACCACTCAGCGTACGGCATCTCGGCATTCGCCCACAATATCAGTCTTATGCGCTTTAGTGCTTACAGATAAGGAATCTATCTCTTGAGAGCTCTGACATCTTTCGCGATAACGACAATATCATACCGATTTTTAGAATCAGCTCGCGGCGGCACGCCTTCAGTGGCGGAAGAAAGGTAGAAACTATTATCTGGTTCAATGAGAGATGCCTGTCGCAGCCAGACACTACCTACACATACCGGATTTTCTTTGATGCTGCTTGGCTTTCCCTTTCCAATCAAGTGTTCACCTCCTCGCCGCTTTTACTCACTGAGTAGAGCTGAGCACGCATCTACCAGAGTCTACTAGGCAAAAACCGATAAAATCCTATACAAACTAGAAAAGGTAGAACACATACTAACTAAACATAAAATGTAGCAAAGCAATGTAATAGTTATCTCGCTGAATTTCAATTTGAGAAGACATTATAAAGAAAACCTGAAATGTTGAAGAGAATCAAGTATTGAGCTGGAGCAGGTAAAAATTCTGAAAGATGATGAGAGAAGGGTCATGATCAGGGCTATAAATAAGTAGACTCACCATCTCAACAGCATTACAGGACTGCATGCTCTCCCTTTTTGGCATGTACTGGATAGACTGAGTGCTTCATAGATGGCCCGGGTAATCAGTGAGATACCAGACTCGCTGAGCAGCTCACTAAGCCTGAGTCCTGGACTGAATTTACTCAGTGAGCTTTGACTGTGAGCCCCCTCACAAAAGCGACGGCTGCTAAGGGAGGAAGTCCCACCAAGCAAAGGAAATATGGTACGTAGAGCTACCTAGGTACTGTTGTGTCGGTGCCAGCGGTTATCGCAATAGATAAGATGAACTTGATAACTACAGAAACGAAGAAAAGTGTTCAATGAGTAGACATTGAAAGTCAGATTAGCCCTAAGAGTCCAGAATTTAAAAAAAAGTTACGGTGTCCATTCTAAGGTGTTAAATAGTAGGAACTTTGGAAAATATTCAAACTGACTGATTTCATTGATCACTCTTCGATATAATCATATATCTTATACTATATATTGAAAGACAACAATTAAAACATCCAAGACAAACGAAACAAGTCTTGATCATTACACATGACGAAATGCCGGGCAGGGAATCAATAATGCATACAAGACAAAAGGAAAAGTGTTTGAAAGCAAATGCAAATTAACACCGAGACTTCATGCCATTGGAACAAAACAAAAAAAAAAGGTCAAAGCAATCTTCTTATTTTATTTTATACGCCGGCGGCTTATGCGACGACAGGACCGGCAGCGATAACTTCCTTAGTAGCTTGGTCGGCATACTTTTGGAAGTTCTCGTTGAAGAGCTTGCCGAGCTTGGTGACCTCCTCGGTGAAATCAGTCGAGGCAGTCCAGCTCTTCTTGGGATTGAGAAGCTCGTCAGGCACACCAGGGCAGGACTTGGGAACATTGAGGTTGAAGATAGGGTAGACTTCGTACTCGGCGTTGGCAAGTTGACCGTTGTGAATGGCGTCCAAGATGGCACGAGTATACTTCAATGGGCAACGCTTACCGCCGGTGGTAGCGCCAGCGCCAACCCAGCCAGTGTTGAGCAACCAGGCATTAGCCTTGTGCTCGGAGATCTTGTCTGCGAGCATCTGGGCGTAGCGCATGGGGTGGAGAGCAAGGAAAGGCTGGGCGAAGCAAGAGGAGAAGGTGGCTTGGGGCTCAGTGACACCGTCCTCGGTTCCGGCCATCTTGGAGGTGTAACCGGAAATGAAGTGGAACATGGTTTGTGCGGTGGTGAGCTTAGAGATGGGTGGGAGAACACCACGAGCATCGCAAGTCAACAAGATGATGTTGGTGGGGTGGTTGTCAGAGATGCAAGGAATCTTAGCGTTGTCAATATACTCAATTGGGTAGGCGCATCGAGTGTTCTCGGTCAATGTAGCGTTATCGTAGTCGACGACACGGGTAGCGGGGTCGAAGACAACATTCTCAAGAATGGAGCCGAACTTGATAGCGTTGAAAATATCGGGTTCCTTCTCGGCTGAGAGACCAATGCACTTGGCGTAGCAGCCACCCTCAATGTTGAAAACACCAGTGTCGGTCCAGCAGTGTTCGTCATCACCGATGAGCGCACGCTTGGGGTCAGCGGAAAGAGTGGTCTTGCCAGTGCCCGAAAGACCGAAGAAAACAGTGACATCGCCGTTCTGACCCTGGTTGGCAGAAGAGTGGAGAGTCAAGACATTGTGCTTAACAGGCATCTCATAAAAGAGAACAGTGAAGACACCCTTCTTCATTTCACCGGCATATTCGGTACCCAAAATGACCATCTCCTTTTCGGCAAAGTTAATGGCAACCGATGTAGCCGAGGTCATACCCTCTGTGAAGCGGTTAGCCGGGAAAGAACCGGCATTATAGATAACATAGTCGGGATGGAAGTGCTCGAGCTCCTTGGGAGTAGGGCGGATCAACATGTTACGCATGAACAAGGCATGGTAGGCACGGGCGCAGACCACACGGACATTGATGCGGTAGCGCTCATCCCAGCCGGCAAAGCCATCAACGACGTAAATGCGATTTCTTGTGTTGAGGTAGTCGACAGCTCGCTCACGGTTGATTCGCCAGACCTAGCATCGCCCGATTAGTACTAGACCATACACAAGGATGATGATGTCATGTCATGTGAAGACGATTTGGTTTTTTTGCGGGGAAATGCTTGGCAGGTTGTCTAGCCGAGAACGCTGCATTTTTACATGAGTGGTTTTTTGTACAGGAAAAAAATGAGACATTTTTGTGCGACTGAACTGTAAGAAAGAAAAGAAAACAACAAAAAAGAAATTCGCGCATTCCATCTGCCAGCACAGGAGGAGTAGTGACACAAGCATCAAAACAAGCATTGACCCACGGCATATTGTATGCAAGGCGGCATGGGTGGAACCCTGCAAGGGTAATTGCCCACGCGACACTGCTTGAACTTGCAGAATGCTGTGTATAGACGACATGCAAAGAAGGGGGGGAAGGTGGAAAAAAAAAAGAACAAAAAAATGACTCATGGAATTCCTACATACCTCAGGGCTCATAGGCTTATTGACTGGTCCCCACCACACATCCTTTTCTGAAGTCGGCTCCTTCACAACACGCTTGTCGGAGGGGGAGCGTCCAGTTTTGGCACCAGAGTAGGCGGTTAAAGCACCGGAGGATGTGATAGCAGTACCGGTTTCGTAGACGAGAGCATCTTCATAGAGAGCGGCAACAGAGGGGTTGGCAACCTAGAATTGGTGAGTTAACGTCATGGCGTGGCCATAAGAGTAAGATGGCTTACAATAGCGACACGCTCGTAGTCAATGTGGGCGGTCTCGTGAAGCTCTTCCTCAAGTTCTGTGGCGCCTTTACCTGGTCTAAAGCAATAGTTAGCACGGTCAACGACGTCGCCGGTATGGGAAGACATACTGAACACCACCAGGGTGGAGGGCAGTTCTGTTAACGGATTGAGTAATCATTTTGAGAGACGAAGAGTGGTAGTTGTTTTTCTGTTGCTTCGCGACTTGTTGTCGGATGAAATCTGAATGCAAAGGACCAGGAGAAACCGGGCGGCCAAGGGGTATATTAGTAGCTGTTGAAGCGACCTGCGATGCGGGATTCATCGTGACTGCAACTGGCAGGGATAGCAGTTAGTTGCCATATTCGGAACGAATCCCCACAGGCTGGACGGAGAATATCGGGGAGCACGATGACAAACCTGAGTGGTTTAGGCACGAATTTCGCTGATAATGCCGCTGTGAACACTGGATAATAGGTTCGACGAGGAGTTTTGCCTGGGCAGCGAAGAGTCCGAAATGACCCGAGAATTGCGGATATAGTCACTGGAAATTTACCCAAATCAGCCGAGTTTCTGCAATTGCGCTAAGATCCGGCTTGGATTCCAGACTGCTCGTACGTGGTTCCAAATAGACAGCGGGTCGTACAAAGAGTACAGGAGGTGGGAAGGGTGAAGATGAAGCAAAAGCGGGAAGCGGAAGGTAATTGTCCACGGGGAAGTCAAGTCACTTGACATGCCTTACCAAACTCTTTCTTTCTCCTTATTGCTTTTTGGTACGATTCACTTTTCTTCTACGTATCTTCGCTTCTATTTTAAACTGATTTTTACTTTGCCGATGATCACAACGACTGCGTCGACAACTTGGCCACAAAGATGTAGAATGACCTCATTACTCTCCTTCAAGCCGACGGCCATACAAAGTGGCAATACTCATACTCATACCCGAAGCATCATCGGATGCACGCTGAGCTGAATGCTCGGTAAACGGGGCATTACGTACCGTTTATCTATACATCTGGACCGATGTCAGCGTAATAATATAATATGCGGAGTTCTATGCTAGTTTTCGTGGGGGAGAACCCATCTGGCTGTACGGAGTAAAGGTCAATCTTGCCTTGGATAATCACGGCTAGCCGAGGATATTCCCCCGCCTTTTTTTTTCGCTGGCATCGCCACTGCCGGAGAGCATGGCCTGGCCTGGCCTGGCCTATTTCCCGCGATTATTGCTAGACTTACTAAGAGAGACTTATGCGGAGTCACGAGTCATACATTGTTCGCCAAAGTTGCCTTTCTACGGACTTCAGTATCCAAAATCCAGGGGCTAAATGTCTGAGCTTTCAGGTCACGATGTGCTGTCGAAATTTCAAAGCCCGCAATCCATTGGCCGTCAAGACGCCATACATCCCGACTCGTTCACTCCAATAACATCAGATCAAATGCAAATCGAATCCGTACCCATCAAGAGCCGTTTCACAGTACATTCGTAGCAAACACCGTCCAATTGATTGTTCTTGTGGACGATCCTCCGACTTTTCCCGGGAAGTCCTAGTACAAATAGCCCAATATAGAAATTAGGGCAAACCCCACACAGAATCTAGAAAACCACTGCCCAATAAGGCTCATTGATTACATCTGACTACATATTTCGTTCTCGTTCGATAGATAGATAGATAACTTGCAGATTCAAGCAGCCAACGAAGATAAGCAATTCGAGTTCTCGTGTCAATTCGGAACATAATTGCGCTCTTTTTCCTTCCTTTTTGCTCTCTAAGGAACTGCCTGGACAGCCCAAATCCCAATCGAACTGCACGACACGAAAGTCTTAAAATCGCTCAAGCCATGTTTCACAGTCGAATTCAAAACCATATTCGAGACTCTGTGTTATAAATAGATTAAATTAAGCCTAGCGTTAGGTATCCCAGCTGAGTCGTGTGTGTGTGTGTGTACATGTGCCGAACACACATTCCGATTTGAATCTGGCCTGGGACTTACCCGATGGCTTTTTGCGATCTATCATAACGACTTAAAAAGGGCTCCTACATCTTCCGAGGTCTTTGAACAAGTTGCTTACATCAGAATAATGGGCGAAAACCATCTGGAATATGAACTAGGTATTCACGTGAAAACTCTGAGTTACGGTCCGTATGTTTTGTTGCTGTGTTGTGATTCGTTGATCTATAAGACTATAACCATGTGTCGTGTGCTTCTATCCGTTGTCTCCGAAGAACAACATAGTCTAACTTACTAAATAGAGTGTTCGTATCTACTGCTCGATTCAAGAAAGGATATCACTGAATTTTTACGACCAAGTTACATAACGTCCGGTCACCATCTGATCCAGCACTTGTAATGTCACATTCTCGTTGCATCAGACGCAAAGAGCGTGCCTAGCTTCATCTAGGATCTGTTTCTAGCCTCAATCATCGGCGGAGCTTCGGCTTTTCGACCTACTCTGCATCAGTGGTGCTTGTACGCTTCGAGACAAGAGTCTCAGACCTACCCTCGGTATCTTGAAAACCGTCCTCCTTGCGCGGTGGTGCCATGTCGGGAACGGCGAGACATGACACAATGAGGAGCCTTGTCTTCTGATGTCATTGAAGCAAGAGCCTGGAAGGATCGTTAGAAAATAGCATCAGACGAAGGCCGCCATGACTTACGAAGGAATCCGTGTTATGACAGAAGAACAAATACACCCCGTGTATCGTCTTTTTTACTGCCATAACACCAATTGCAGCTTCACAAAGACTGTTCTTCACGCTTGGATGTTCTAAAGAGGGTTTAGCATACACTCAAACGTCAAAGGGCAAAGCACTCACCCATAAAGTCTACATCCACCATGGACTTGATTGCTTCCTCCTCGGTAACGATTTCTGTCATTCCAGCTTCGTTCCTGCGATCGCTGTAATATATTCGGCTAGCACAGGTGTTCGCAGCTAAAGTCGTCGCGATATGCTCGCCTGTCCCGGATGTGACTGCAGCTACACTTGTCTGCTCTGGATCTTGGGGATCCTCAGGAATCACTGCTGTACCGATACCCACCAGTGCTGCTGGGCCCACCCTTCCAGAGTGTTTCATGCCTATGCCACCGGATGAGGAACCTGCTGCAATCCTACCGTAGCAGTCAACAGCGATAGCCCCGATTGTATCAGTAATTGTGTCGACGTTGTCTACCGGGGGCTCGTGTTCGTCAGTGGATGTAGCATCGCCTGAATGCTCTTCAATGGATTCTCTTATATGGTGTGTACCGTCCGTTGGGACTATAGTAGGTTCGGGTGATACTATATCAAGGACGACAGTAGTGTCTAACTCCTTGGAAGACACAGTCTCAGGGAGACTGGACGGTGGCGACATAAGCACTGCAGGATTCACTGTTGTTGAGAAGGTGGCAGAACTACTCGAGGCTTCCATATGTAAGACTTCTCCCCCAGCCTGTGTTGCAGTCTGGGCTTCTTGCGCCAGTCTGGCTGATTCCACCTCTTGCTGCCATCTTAACCATCTCGCTTTAGCCGTTGGAGATACCAGAGTATCATTTTCCACTATGGACAGACCCTGCATGTAGGCGAACTCAGTAGCTCCCTTACCGACGAGGAAGTTTGGAGGAACTCGTTGCAGAGAGAGCGGTTTCTTCTGAGAATCAAGAATCACGCGGGCCGCAGAAATAGGATTTTTGACATCTTTGACGTGGTCAGCCTGTAGTTGCACTGGCATCTTGCTGGGGGAAACGAGGTCACTCACGAGAACAAGCTCCAACTGCTCCACTGCGTCCTAGATGATCCATTATAGTTGCATCGCATTCGACGTTGCCTTCAATTGTAAGGTTGCTTCCATATCCAGCATTGGTGATTTCTCGATCCTCCATCAATCTAAGGGCTATCTCAACAGCGTCTAGAGCAGAGCCTCCATTCTTGAGCATAGTCATTGCAACTTTGGCCGCACTATTCTGTGTCAGTTGCTAACCTCATGAAATCCGAGGCTCAGCAGAAGTACTCACTCGTTGCAGGTCCTAAGATGCACGCGCTCGTTTTGATAGCTATGGAATCCAGCACCTGCGTGCACATAGATAGCACAGATGTCCCCTGCATCTCTTGAACGGGGTGACATTTCGCTCGTAGGTTTGGTTAGTTAAAAGTCGGATTGCATGAGCACGAACGTCTTGCTGTCGATATAATAGCAGTGCGGATATGACAACGGGCACGGCAAACACTCAGGAAGACGATGACCTATAGGCGCAGGACGAGTAATTGGTACCTGAATGCATTATTTTTAGGAAGTTAATCGAGGTTGGATGGAGCTGTCAGAAGTTGTTCAAGATACAGAAGCATACCAATTCGAGCCACTAGGAGCAATGGACAATGCCGGTCAGGGAAAGAGACCAAGCGCCGACTGGTCGATAAATCAATGAAAGACTGATTGAAAGATAGTGTAGGGAAGTAAGAATAGCTGGATAAGACTAGGTAGCCTTTTCTCTTTAGAGCTAAAGGTGCTGGACTTGACAGTCGACAATGGATGGATATATGTGATGATAGGCAATAAGAAGAGAAACTAAAGAGAGAGCAAAGATGCTGACTGTGAGGAAGATCTTGTCAGCCACTCAGAGAGGGAAGTCACGATGGACGACGTCCTGTGTGAGTTGCTCCTTCCTTATTTGTTTGTCCCAGCACAGCAAGAGGCAGAGGGGGAATATATTTCTCAGAGAACCTCATCCTCTACCACTGCATTCAACAGCACAGAGCTGAAGAAACCCTACAAGCACAATACTCTATAGACATCTCATCTTTTTCAATATCTCCAGCTCAGATCAGATCCTCAGTTCGAAATCAAAGATGATATCAAACATTGGCTTGGCGTAGACTGACCGCCTTCGCTATCGCTGCCGCCTAAGCGCGATCCACTCGTTGTCTGTCTGGATGCTTGTTGACCCCGCGCCTTACTTGGTCAACACACCAGGTAGTTGAGTTTCATTATAAAAACATTGCTTCTCGAACGCATCTTTTGATCATTCTTTCTGCATCTGCATTGAGCTGCTCCCGCGGACTCGGGGTCACGTCTCAATATGACTTCCCAAACACCAGCCGTTGTCATGGACAAGTACGTCAGCTCCACATTGTTCAGTCTCCTATGATGATGCATTCTAACATTGTGAACTCTCTAGCGGAACTGGATATTCCAAAATAGGTGCGAATAGTCGTATATGATTCAATAGCTTGTTCTCAATTTCTCACGCTCTTCCTAGGTTTTGCCGGTAACGATTCTCCCTCGTTTGTTTTCCCTACCGCAATTGCGACAAAAGCTGCAGGTGGAGGAGCTACCGCAGCTTCTGGGCGACCAGCTGTTGCGAACAAGCCTTCATTTCTAGGTGGAGGAGGTGGCGGAGGCGGCCATTTGTCAGGAAAGCGAGGTACAGAAGATTTGGACTTCTTCATCGGAGACGAGGCACTCGCTGCTGCCAACGGACCGGGATATGGAATCCATTATCCCATCAGACACGGCCAAATTGAAAACTGGGATCATATGGAGCGATTTTGGTCAAACTCGATATTCAAGTATCTCCGAGTGGAGCCTGAGGATCATTACTTCTTGCTTACTGAGCCGGTATTTGCCCCGACCATTATTGGTAACGATCATTCACTGACACCAGTACCATGATATAGCCTCTAAATCCGCCCGAGAATCGAGAGAATACTGCCGAAATCATGTTCGAATCGTTCAACTGTGCAGGTCTTTATATCGCCGTGCAGGCCGTTCTGGCTTTGGCGGCCTCATGGACGTCATCGAAAGTGACTGATAGATCCCTTACTGGTACCGTTATCGACTCTGGTGATGGTGTCACTCACGTTATTCCCGTTGCCGAAGGTTACGTTATCGGCTCTTCTATCAAGAGTATTCCAATTGCTGGTAGAGATATTACCTACTTCGTTCAAAGCTTACTTCGAGACCGCGGCGAGCCGGACAGCAGCTTGAAGACGGCTGAGAAGGTGAAGGAAGAATATTGCTACGTATGCCCGGATATTGTGAAGGAATTTGCTCGTTATGACCGCGAACCGGACCGTTTCCTCAAACACACCGTGACTTCTCCCAATGGACGCTCAATCCAGATCGATGTCGGCTACGAACGATTCCTCGCTCCTGAAATCTTCTTCAACCCGGAGATCTACTCTTCAGACTTCCTCACCCCTCTACCAACCGTCGTTGACGGCGTGATTCAATCCTCCCCTATTGACGTCAGGAGAGGTCTGTACAAGAACATTGTTCTTTCCGGTGGTTCCACTCTGTACAAAGATTTCGGCCGTCGTCTGCAGCGTGATATTCGACACCTGGTAGACGCCCGTATCCGCGCATCTGAAGCTCGTAGCGGTGGCGCTAAGAGTGGAGGGTTGGAAGTGCAAGTCGTTACGCACAAACGACAAAGACACGGTCCCTGGTTCGGTGGAAGTTTGCTCGGTCAAACACCTGAATTCCGCAGTTACTGCCACACCAAGGCTGAGTACGATGAAATTGGTCCCAGTATTGTGCGAAGATTCGCTCTACTTGGTGGACCAGGAGGCGCTTAATATGCTGAAAATTGATCGGCGCAATTGCCTATGGCGCAGCCCGTATGTGCTTAAAAACTTGGTATATGAGGTGCAAGAGGGGAGTGTGATGTTTTCTTAACTTTGTTAACACTGAATCTTTATAGGTAGAGCGCTGTATATAGCAGTTTTCAATGAATGAAGCTTCATTTCAAGCTTGATCAATTCTATTAGTAGAATGAGGGGTAAAATTAAAGGCATACCTATGGAATCCTATGTTTATTCCACAATATGCAGTCATGAATGAGCAGGCTGGGATGCAAACTAGCACTAGAGAGTAGCTATATGTGATGCAAAGAATCATAACATCCAAGATATACAATAATACAAAAAGAGAAAAAGAGAAAAAGAATCAAATATGACACAATGCCTGACGCTAGCCCGAAAATTTGGCTACGAATTAAACCTCCTTCTCAACTGAAACAGCCGTAGCTGCACCTTCAGTCTTTGATTCAGTAGTCGCTGGTGGTGTTGTTGCTTTTGCTCCAGGCTTTTTGACCACTTTATTCAAAATCGCCAAACCTTCCACATGGCCCGTTTGCGGGAAGAAATCGAACCCTCTAATACTCTCAATTTCGTATCGGATACCATTCGGCGAATCATTCTGAACTAAAAAACCGACATCGCGAGCTTGGGTGTGCACATTACAACTGACATAGGCGACACGTCGAGGACCGTAGTCGAGTAGCTGTTGCAGGAAATCCTTACTGCAACCTTTGCGTGGAGGATCAATGACGATCAAGGTCTCATCAGGTGGATAGGGAACTTTTGAGAAGAGTAAGCTTGCATCAGCAGCTGCAAATCCGGTGTTTGGGAGATTGTTGTGTTTGGCATTTTCCCGTGCATTCTCAATTGAGTGTACGTCGATATCAATGCCGAGGGATGATTTGAACATTTGGGACAGTGTTACTGTGAATAATCCACAGCCGGAATAGGCATCGATCAAGTATTTGATGGGCTTTTCGCCCTCTTTTAGTTCCTTCGGATGAACGTTTTGGCGCATGAATTCCGTGAAACCGGAGAGGATGGAGTTGTTATTTTGGAAGAATGCGCCGGCCTTGGTTCGTAACTCGTAGTCGTCCACCCACTCAACCACGTAACCATTGTGATCCCTCACGTATCGCTTCTCTTCGACGTAATCGGGATGGTCTGTCTTGTATATAATCTCGTCCGACATAGCGGCATGGCTTTCAGAGAATTCGGATATGGGTATGCGTCGTGTCGATTCCCGCAATAGAATAGTTGCACCTTGTGTATATCCAGCGATGGACTCCGCAACTCGTTGCCTCTCCTTCTTCAGTCCTAGGCGAACAATATCGGTACCCAGCGGACAGTCTTCAATGTCCATATTCTTATGCTGGTTCTTCATATTGAAGCCGATAGGAGGGACCTCAGGGTCCACTTTTACGGTGTCATCACGATTATGCTTGAAACGTCCCGGCCTTCCGAAATGCGGTGTCAATTTTGTGCGGTAGCCATATTGAAGTGGCGAGGGGAATGTGTCGCCGATTGGTGGTATGACTTCAGGAATCAAGCCTGAGAAATTGGCGTATGCTTTTTCCACCACCCTCTTCTTGTGCTCTAGTTGATCCTTGTAAGAGAGCATCTGAAGCTGACAACCAGAGCACTTGCCAAAGTATTGACACTTGATTTGGGTATCGTCTCTCTTAGGGCCAGGGTCGATGACCTCGAGGAAGTCTGTGATAGTATAGCCCTCCTTGGGATGGTGTCTTATGATTTTAGCGAGTACTTTATCGCCCGGCACTGTAAACGGTACAACATAGACGTGATTCCCATCTTCGGATACAGCCAACCCGTCGCCTCCAGACGATATCTCGGAGACAGTAAGTTCAATCTCTGTAAACGGCTCTGGCAAACTTTTCTTCGTTGTCTCTTCCGTCAGAGTTTGCGCATCCACACCCTTACTTCGACGTTCTCGCTCGAGTAACTGCTGACAATCCAATTGTAGATTCTGCTCTGCACGTTCGCCGGCATCCCATGCATCCATTGCATCCTTAACCGTCCTCCTCTTCTTTTTTGAATGCTGCTTACTGTTTGGCGAGATCTGTTTCATTTTGTTCTGTCGCACTATGTTCCGTAGGTAGCTCGCTATCTTGGATTCAATCGGGTCTGAATTGGCATTGTTTGGTGACCAGTAAATACCGTAGGCGCGAACAGAGACAGGTACGTGGGAGGATTGAAATCGTAGTGGACGCTGCAGTACGCTGAGACGAGGCCTGAACATTTGGCTTATAACATTGAATGCCACAGTAAAAGGAAAGATTGTAAACTTTTCTAATTGATCAAACCAGAGAAAAAAAATTGTGGTTCGAAAACAGAAATGCGGCAGATAGAAGGCTAAGCACGAAAGGGAGACACATGATTGGTCGATGCTGCCCCGGCGGTCAGGAGAATTTGTTCTCTTCCCGAGCAGGTACAACAGATTGTCTCCAGTTCACCTGCTCTACAATATCCATTGGCAGAACCCCTTCAACCAATCGCTCGGAACTGGGTGGAAGGGACTGCTGCTCAGGATGAACGTCCTACAACCGGCGAGATGCCTATTCTGCAGCTTCTCGCAAACAGCCAGGGTTGGCGCTCGCGTGCCAGTTCAACGAGAATTCCATGCAGCAGCGGCTCTTTACGCTCGAAAGCCACCTGGTCCTAGACCGACGGCTAAGAAACCCGGTCAGAAAAAGACTTGGGATGACATTGAGAAGAAACTGAGGCCTTCAGATTTTGCGGATTACTCAAGCAAAGAGCTCCGACAACTCTCCCAGGAATACACGGAAGATCAAGTCGCTGCTATCCTTGCAGCCGAAAAAGCCATTGATCCCAAAGACCTCGTCGAACAATTCGCCATTCGCAATGACCCCATGAAACTCGGCTATCTCGATGATTTTTCCACGATTGAACCTGTTGTCGACAAGCATATTCGCGCACCAGAGTCGAACTCTGATTGGCATGCCACGCTCAAATCCGAGGATGATTTCGCAGAGGACTTTGCCAAGTTTTTCGCCGAAATGCCCGATAATGCCACAGCTGCTGACTGGGTACGATTTACTGAGAATTTGCGTCTGACAAAGGGGAAAGAGGAGAATGAGCGGAATCCCAGCAGTGCGCTTGTGCCGGATATTTTCGAGGAAGGAGAAACTCTCTCCAACCCATTCTCAAAGGATGTAGAAGCCACTTCTGATCAGAAAAAGAAGAAGACCGAGGGCAACAGAAGCAATGAGGAGATTACGGATGCTTTGAAGAGATTGATGCAGTCTACCGGATATTCTCTAGACAAGATCAAAAGTCTCAAAGTCAAGACCCTGGTTTCACACGCGGTCGTTAACCAGACTCGTCTTGGAAAAGTGCGTCGGCAATACTGTCTCTCCGTCGCGGGTAACGGTGACGGACTACTGGGTATTGGGGAGGCCAAATCCGAAGAAGCGTCTGACGCCGTCACGCAGTCGAAATACCGGGCTATCAGAAATATGCAACCCATTCTTCGCTACGAGAATAGAACTATCTATGGAGATGTCAAGGGCAAGGTTGGAGCTGTTGAATTGAAACTCATGAATCGTCCTCCAGGTATGTAGTCTGTTTGGTTTACCCAAAACTTTTACTAACGGTGTTTGTACAGGTTTCGGTCTCCGCTGCCAACATCTCATCTACGAAATGGCTCGTGCAGCTGGTATCCACGATCTAGCTGCTAGAGTTGAACGATCTCGCAATCCGATGAACACCGTGAAAGCGGCCTACGAGGCACTGACAGCTCAGAAAGACCCTGAAGAGATTGCCCGTGCTCGCGGAAGGAAACTCGTCGATGTACGAAAGGTGTATTATGCTGGAAGAGTTTAAATGTACTATATTTGTTGGATCATCCCGTTCCTTTCATTGCTGTATTATTTTGCGCATAAAACTTATCATTTCTTCAACCACGCCCCAAAAATTTTGATTGACGTGGCTCCACGAGCACACTGGAAGTTGCGTTATAAGATAGATCATAAGAATCTCCTAGTCTCAGGTATCCTGGTGCCTGTCTAATGGCGAAACTCATTAAGCCTAGATTGTATCAAGCGACAGATAATATAATATCAGTCCTACCAAGACCCTTCTTAAGTTCGCACGCGGTGCTCATCAGCGGCCATGATTCGCGTGTTGGTCGGTATACCCGTGTATCCTAATAATCTCGCGCGTGCAGAATGGTGGACATGCCACGATCTATGCCGAAGTCAAGACTTGCTTTCTCGTCCGAAACGTGCCCTCGTTACCTTGCCCTATCGACTAAAAAGGCTTCCGTCAAATCTCATCGCATAATCGTATTCTCCTCCCCCTGCATCGCCGAATCGTCATGTTGATATTCATACCCATCATCCCCTCCTCCAGCAGCAGCAGCAGCTTCACCATCATTAATAATCTGCTGCTGCAACACAATACTATAAACACTCGCTTTCAAAAGCGTGTACACAGTCGCCGTTTTGCGTTCGAGAAGTCGTAGGCCATCTAGTGTCAATGAAGCAGGCGAATCAGCGAGATTGGCGAGGGTATCTGATAACTATACGCAGAAAAGTCAGGATCATCTCTCTTTTATTCCGTAAGTATCAGAGGAGAGCATACTCTGTTCACATTCTCGAGTAACCGTGAATACTCATCGAGGACTTCCTGCTCGAGTTCACTAACTAATCCGCTCGAAGATCCGAGGAGGGGGTTGCTCTCATTGCTGGTGGGATTGCTTGTATCCCTAGAGGGAGTTGTGCTTCGAAGGAAGTTGTCGTGACTCATTGTGTTGGTAGAATACTTCTGTTTGAAGCAGATAAATTTGATATGACTATATGCTCAATTCGCTTGCTGGGGTTCGTGCTTGGTGTCCCTAGTTGCTTTGTAATTCGAGCGCTGGTTCGTGGTTTAGATGACTTGGATTTTGTTGCTTTTCCTCTTATAAATTGTAGAGTATGTTGTCCCAGAGATGTTTGTTGTTGCTGGTCGTGTTAACAATTGAACGCGGATCCCCGCCATTGAGGTGGAGAACATCCATACCCTAACTTTAGTCTTGTCAAATATTCAGTGGAAAGAGACGAATCAACAAATCACACATAATTTTGGATTAATGTTCCTAAATCATGCCTTCATCACAAGTTTTATCTTCGGGATACATTGATATTACTTAATACTCAAGATATTGTATAATTTCTCATCCCCTTAATGCTCTCGTATGCGCTTGTAAAGACATCAGCAATATATGAACATCATACAAAAGAATGCATATCCTAGAGACATGCAGAAAATAGACCAAATACGATAGGCATTTAAACACAAATTCCTAGCGGAAACATGACAAGCAGATGCAATGCAAGATGGAAAGAAAAGCAAAAGCCCATGTGATCAATCAATCAAGCCAATAAACCAAACTCCGTCAACACCTAAGAACCCCAATCAGCTTCAAAGACAAATAGTCGTTATAGTTGCAGTCGTCAAGAAACTTTTCTGTAAACACAATCGACATCGTGATCATAGAAACAGAATCCGCGCAACGGTCGTTACTCGTCGCCCTCATGGTGTAGAGTGACGCTGTTAAATTCTTCGAAAGGATCAGATATTTCACCACCTGGGGTAGCCAGACCCGAGTCTAATGGAACACCAGGCATTTTACTAGTCGAACCTCCAATATCCACACTAGCGCTCTCTTTAACATTGCGGAAGTTGATAGTGTCGATGCCACGTCCTTGATGAGGGATCATAGGTGGTTTCATATGTCGGATTAGAGCCCATGATGTATTTCGGAAAAATGGATGTGTTTTGACATCAGAGGCACCTGCTCTCGCGCCAAGTCGTTTCGTTTCGTCTTTGATAAGCAGCTTTCGAATAAGAGACTTGCATAGACTAAAGAACTGTTAGTTACTTTTGAATAGAATTCAGTTTGATCAAGGAACATACCTAGAAATTTGCTGTGCTCCACCGTGTTCAGGGAACGGTACTTCATTTCGAAGAATGTTGGAAAATGTCGCAGTACGGTTCTTCCCCTTGAACGGCGTGGTACCATATAACATCTCGTATATCAATATCCCTAAAGTCCACCAGTCGACAGCACTGGTATGACCGCAGCCTTGAATCACTTCAGGCGCAATGTATTCTTCTGTTCCAACAAACGAGTTCGTTCGGAAGTCGGCAATACACGATTTCGTGTCAATTGTCGGCAAAGATGAAGGTCCATTACCATTGCGTCCTAGAATCATCGTGGGCGCTCCCCCTGGTCCCGATTGTTTTGACAAGTCGAAATCAGACAACATGATATGACCGGATTGATGTAGTAAAATATCTGTTCCCGTCAGCCACTAAAATTTTCAATCTGAATTCCATTCGCAAGTAACTCACTTTCAGGCTTGAGGTCGCGGTATATGAATCCCATCAAATGGAGATATTCTAAAGCTGCCGTCACCTCCGCCGCATAGAACCGGGCATCGTCTTCTGGGATGCATTTCCCAGGTCGAGTCTGCAAAGCTCTGAAAAACTCTCCTCCGCTGCAGTACTCCATACACAAGTACAAATAGTCCTCTGATTGAAAAGAGTGATATAGCGTTACAATAAAGGGATGGTTGCTGGTAGCCAGGATCTCTTGTTCAGCAAGTGCCCGCTTAATCTTGTTACGTTTGATCATTTCCTTCTTGCTCAACACTGTCATAAAGTCAGGATTCTGCTTTGTTTTTTTTTTTTTGTAAAAAGTTATGATTGACGAACCTTTCATAGCGTAGAGACGGTTGGACTTCTTCTCTCGGACCAGGTAGACCTTGCCCACATCTCCCTTGCCGATCAATTTGATCTTGTCAAAGCTCCCTGGACCAACCTCCACATTGCGCACCTTGATCGAGTTTGAACTGTATGTTCTTCGAAACGCGCCAGAGGACGCCGCTCTAATCTGACCCGGAAGAGGCACCTTCCCATCTGGTCCAACACCCGGAACGGCAAGCGCTTCGTCCGACGAATCCGCAAGACCGACTTTGGTCTGGCTACCTCCTTCTGCTACCAACGGCTCTTTACCTAATTCTGCTGTCTTTGGCCGCTCTCCGGACTTGTCATCGGCGAAGAGACCCTGAGCATTCGGTGCAGAGGCTACTCGGCGAAGTTTGCGTGCCAACTCCTCCTTGCCGGCAGTTGTCGCTTGATCAGACGCAGGAATTCCTTGCACTTGTAGTTCGGGTACATCAGGGGGTGTGGATGGAAGGGAGCCCTCGTTGCGATGGCGAAGCGCGGGATGACCCTGATGAGCAAAGTAAGGGTTGGCGTGAGCTGTCGGGGAGAGACTGTCGTCTAAGGGATTGCCTTCACTTGCGACGGTAGTCGAGCGATTGCGACCAATAGTAGGCAAAAACCGAGATTGTTTGGAATTTGATTTCGAGTCACCCTTTTGAAGACTGGTGTTGGAACCGGTGTTGTCCTTGCCTTCCCGGTCCGAATTGTTGCCATTGTTCGTCCCTACATTACTTGAAGAGTTGATGCGGAAGAAGTTCTTGATTTTGGATGGAAAGTGATTCGTTGAGGATTCATTGTTATTGTTACTGCCGTTGTTGACATTGTTGTTGCCGTGTTTCTTGGAAGAAAGGGAGAGGCCATGGAAGTTGCGCTTTTCGGACGGCACGGGTGACGGATGCGAAGAGGTAAATAACTGCGTCATTGTGGAAGACGAGTATACGGCGGGTTATTCGGAAAGACGACTCGCCAGCTTATTGAATGTTTCTGAAACTGGAAGTCGAATTAGGAGCGGAAAATATCGAGTTGGTGGAAAAGTTGCTTGATAAGCCACTTTCGCTGATATGAGTCCAGTAAATAGTAACGGGCCTGGGCCGAGTCCCAGTGTCACCCAAAGCGCGGCAAATTACAAGTGAGCGCGAGCAAGCATGGAAGCAAAAAGCGATAATTGACAAAGCGTAGAAAGGACGTCTCTGGGTATATCAACAAGAAAGATCGATGAGAAATAATCAGATGGGAAGGGTAGGTTGGAGTGAAGTGAGGGGAGAAGTGAGAGAGTCGAACGGCGAGAAAGGAACAGACGGGTCTAAGAGCGGCAGACGTAAGGTGTGGGGCCCTAGGGGTGTCTCAGTCCACGCTAGTAGTAAGCACCACGACACTTGATTTGATATAAAAGTGTTATTATTTAGGTGAAGAGATCAGATTATAAATATTTTTGGGTCAATAGAGAAAACAATTATACTCGTCTGGAAAGAACAAAAAGTGGCATGTATTTGACATCGCACGGCGGGTATTCTGCTTATCGCCTCCGAGCGATAACTGACTAGCGGTAACGTACTGTAACAGATACCACTTTAGCAGGCAGACGCAACGGTAGCACTCTGTAATCCACTGCATTGTTGGCAATGGTTAGCGGTGGCCAGCGCCAGGCTGTGCTTGTGTCTAGGCCTTTTTATTACCTGCAGCCACTGGCTGCAATGTGCCGGCAAGGAAAAGAAAAAAAGGGCGACAAAAACTTCACAACGATACACGTAGATTTCGAGAACAGCAAACCGCAGCTAGAATGCCTCTAAATTCGACTTTGTAATGGGGAATATGTGGTAATGCACTCCGCTCTCCCAGGGCTCGAGGGAGGAGAAATTATGGAACGCATCGCGGTCGGACTCGTCGCCGAATCAATCACATTATTTCTTTTTCTTTTATTGCAAGGTCGAACCAAAGCCACGGTTCTGGTGCTCGAATTCCATAGGACGCGATCGCATCGCTATTCCCCGTTATGCAGGTCTGCTGGGCTGCAACCCTTGCCACTGGTACTACATACTAACTAAGCCCTTGCAATTACAAATACCAGCCAGCATATCTACATGGATGACTGCGACTCCATTACATCGATGATTGACTCATATTGATGTTTGGTGTTTCCATTGTTTGCTATACAAAGTATCAACTATCTACCTAAGCGCTCTCTAGAGCTCCTTCTCTATGCCTGCTTGAATATCGTACGATGATACTGCTATAAGGTGACTCCAAACTATCTGAAAATCCGGTTGGAAAACAAACGAGCGGGAGCAATCATGCCTTCTGCTAAAATGCGGGCGCCGGGGTTGTTGACTCAATGACGGTGGAGGGAATCTTGAAGTTAGACTCAAGATGTTCCTTGTATCGCCTTGCCATGTCCAGGTCCTTCACAAGATTTCGTCTCTGCTCAACTAAACTCTGCTTTGTCTCTGCATCCATCTCGAAAACATGAATAGCCATGTACCGATCAAGGTTCGCTAGCTGTGTCGACAGATTCTGATATTCTTTGACCGAGTCCTGGAGAGATCTGTGCGCGTTTTGATCAGCCACGTACGTCGGAAGTGGCCCTGAGTATGGTGTTGCCGCCGGAGCCAATTGGCTTGTCAAGGTGTTAGGGCCTAGCAAGGTATATGTAGCCGGCGCAGTCATTTGGGGGTCAGGCAGGCTGATCGTAGGGACTATCGTACCCTGGTTCCCTACCGTTGGCAAAAGGGTTGCCAGTAGAGGAGCGGTCTGTTGCTGCGACAAACCCTGAAGGAAAGTGCCCTGATTGATGAATGACTGAGGAACAGCTTGATACCATGCTCCTGGATCAGGCAACAGGAACGGCTGATAATTGAGGTATCCTCCTGCCATTGGAAGAGCGTCTTGGCCAGTCTGCATGACCTGGAATATGGGCCCAAATCCCTGGCTCCACGATACTGGTTGTTGTTGTTGGTAGATGTTAGATGCCATTAATGGAACTTGCAGTTGTTGCAACGATTGGAATGTTGGATAGAAGCCACCAACTTGGGGATTGAATTCCTCACTGCCCGTAGCTGTGCGAATAGCTGCAGATCCCCTGACTGGTTTTTCATGTTCGGCTGACGTGTCGAACCTTACACTGTTGGAGTTCGATGACTCGCCGCTGTTTTGACCGGTTTTCTTCTCCATGCTGGCTTTCAGGGATGTGACAGGCTTCGTTGTGTTCCTTCCGGTCTTTGGTGGACAGTCCTCGCTCTTCTTCATGGCGGGGGGCTTAAACTCTGGAGCAGGGACCTTGCCATCAATCTGGACAACCTTGCCTCCTGGTGTGACTCGCTGGTGTTTTGGCGAAGTGTGTCGTTTCAGAAAGTTGACAAAGCCAGAACTGTCGTCCGAATCTTTGTCGTGCGTCTCACTATGCGGACGTGAAGATAACTTTTGGAACGATCCGTCCGAGCCTGTCGTCGTCGTCGAGCGATCAGCACGTCGAGATCCAGACGAATTTGGTTCATGCTCGGTAGTCGATCCGGTCTTTTGGCTCTTTTGGCGGCGTAGTAAGTTATCTACGGCTGTCAATTTGAAAGTCTGCAATTTTTTGGCTGTCGGACACTCACTCTCAAGCGCATATATAGTAAATTGGCCTATATCAATAGAGGCAGTGTCTTGTAGGGCCATCAGTTCGGTAATGCTATACCTCGACATGGTGGTGACGATGCTCAAACGCTTCACGGCAAAATGATAATAAGAACAAGGAAGTGGTTTGTTTCCGGCGACTTGAACGACAAAGGTTTATGGATGATGTGGGAGAAGTGTTGACAAGAGAGGATGTCCAAGTGAGAGAGAAACAACAAATGCCTACATGTGCCCGATTGCCCGAATAGGCAGGGGCGAAATTTTGGAAGTGACGATGCTTCCGCCCTGCTCTTGCCAGACATGCTCACGTGCTCTTTCCTTGCTACGGGCTTACTTAAAACGCAGTAAAATCTCTGAATATTTCTTATTCATACCATGATTACTCTCTAATTATCGGAGAACAACTTTTCAGCCACGCTTCACACAATTTGATGGCACTTGACCGGTTCGGCAATGCCGCTGATATCCTCGTCTCTCTCATCATCTAACTGCGAGACATTATCACCCGCTCCATCTTTGTTCCTCATTTCCCAACTTCCGGTTCGCTCATGACTCTTGACATTTGCACCTCCACCGGGAACGATCTTTTGGAACGCCCCGTTTGATGGAGTCGCCGAACTGAGATCCTGGTCGCTAGCCATCTTTCTATTGCCCTTGAAACCGCCTAGACCTGAGGATCTGCGTCGTCGATATAACCCAACACCGCAAAACCGTGCAATACCCATAGCTACTGCTACCACTGCAAGAGTAACAACTGCTCCTATAGCTCCCGCGCCAGCCAGACTCAAATGGTTCTTGCTTTGCTTTTTACCCATATTCGCGGCGCCAAAGCAGAACATCGGTGAGCTATTGCATGCCTCACACCATGCTTTTGTTGACGGAAGCATGAATTGGCGGAGTACTGCAGCGAATTCATTGAAGGGCAAGTTGATTTGACTTGGACTATAGCCAAAAAGGGGGTATTCAGTGAACCCTTCGTGGATTGAAGAACTGTTGCGGAAAAGAAAACGGACGAATAAATCTGATAGTTTTGGGTACACATCTGAAGAGGTTGGGTTCATGCTGAATAACTCCAGCACCATCGAAGCTCCAAGGACCGGCATACCATAAAACTGGCTATTCATTGTCGATGCAAGCTGGCTCAAGCCGGCGAAAGCGACGACCGGTTCAGCGCCTCCAAAAACCAAGGTCATTTTCGAGGAGGATCCCTGAGTCTCTATGTTTGTAAGGAGAGACTGGAGAATGAGACGAGATAGAGTGCGGCCTGCGATACCACGAACCTGGTTTCCGTCATCTTTCTTGGAAACTGTCAAATTTCCGTTGGTGGCGTACGTGTATTGGTTCGCCAGTACTCTGGCCCTCTGTAAGTCATGAGATAACAATGCGTCCGCAAGACTCTTGTTGTGCAAATAGTTATACTCCAGGTACTCGTGTATATCTGTGGCTCGCGCGTAGCCTACGGAGGCCCTGGTCATCACACCCTCGAGGGCAACATCATACATGTCCGAGTAGAATTGGGCATTATCTGATTCAATTTTTTGGAACTCGGCGCTGATTTGATACTCTGCTTCCAGCTCTTGGTACTTGTCACAGTCCGCATGCCCAGCAACAAAGATTGAGCCGGGATCCGCCAAACTGCTCGCATAGATTCGTGGGTATTGATAATCGTTCAGGGGAGAACTGATTATACTGCCGTTCGACAGGATGTAAGTGTCGTCAAGGTAGGTGTAACTCTGATTCGTATTGCCCGTTGGCGGGTACAATCCTTGCATGAATGCAAGACCTGAAGCCTCGGTGAACTGTTCCGACGTGGAGTATACTTTCACTTGTTCAGGATCCAGGCTATGCTGATTGAGGTCCTGTATCCAGGTATTCTGTGCCCTGACGGAGCCTCCCATGATATATCGAGCACGGAAATTAGCTCCCACATTGTACAAACTCCGTGCTCCCAACGGAGTCAATGTTCTTGGCTGTGCTAGGACAGCAGGGGTGCTGTCACCGTGCACGTTGAAGCCAAACACTGCCCATACTGTTATTCCAGCATCCTGAGCATAGGCCTGAATAGCGAAAAGGGTGAGAATAGAGAAATACTGGAAAGCCTGCATCATGAACTGAGACAACTTTCACACGTTTCTTTTCACGCATACCAGAGTCTGAAGAGGAATATTTTGCCAAATAAACTCCAGAAAGCCAATATATATGATCCCTCTCACGGATCGTTTGTGTCAGACAGAGGTCACCCATCTGGAAGATACAACGCAAAACCTGGTTCAACTTTATTTCATCCGTCAAGATCCGACGCTGTACTTGAGAACTGTCTATGAGCTACAATAGAATCAAAAGTTGGCTCGCACCTGAATTAAACCTCTGCGACCGGAAACGGGTGAGTATTGCAGTCATTGATGCTGTTTATTTCAGGGCATCCGTGTCCTGGCCCGTTCTCTTCTAATTCCGAAAGCCACTGGAGGTCGAATGAGCCGTACCTATCGAATTGAGTTCATGTTGAATCTCCATGGATCTCCCAATAACAGCTGATCAAATTCATTGCCTCTAAGTAGTCTACATTGATGAAATATGACAGATGCTGGATCTACTTTAGACAACAAGCTGCATCTTGCAATTTCCATTATCCTTTTTTCGAGTATAAATAAAGTACGAGTAATGACCTACATACAGTTACATCGGAATAAAGTCATGACAGCATGATGATTTCCCTCCCGGATGCGGAAGGTTCCCATGGAAATCAAAAGCCCGAGGTGAATACAGCATGAAGCTATGGGTAAAATCGTCCTCTTTCCAAGACTAAACTAAAGCTAGCAATACTAAATCTTAATAAGAGTACAGAACTACTTTTCAAAATCGATGTGATAGATGGAATGGAAAGGAAAATTAAGGTGGAAAGATATTTTCCTTTTCGAGAAGGTATGCTCGATTACTGTTTTGGGAAATCGATTAGGGCTAAATCGTTAAACTGAGGAACGGGCTTGAGAAGGAGACCAGCAACCAGGACTTTGACGATTTCTCTAGAATAGAATATGAGTCTATAGAGTAATAGAAAAGATAATCCGAGTTCAAAATAAAGCAGGAAGGCGAGGAAATCATTTTGTAAAGACTGTATTCGTCCATCGTACCACGCCACTCTCGATACCTTCAAATGATCTTTGAAGTCTCGCACCGAGATCTTCCAAATAGCGTTGTACTAGATTGATTTATAGAAAATAAAGATTTGGTTCATCGACGATCTGCTTCAATTTTCAGGAATGACTCGGTCCAGCAGTGTTCCCATTTGTGAGGTTCAGAATAAGTAGAAATTACTCATGGCACTGTTCGTATGAATTGTGATGCAAACTTATCATGAAAAAAGAGAAGGGAAAAACTATTACAGTATTGACTTTGTTTGATGCTTTTGAACTACATGTAATCACTTCTCATAGGATTTGCTGTACCTAACTAACTATTGGACTACTCAGAAGTGCACGGAGTTAGGGCTAGTGTCAGCCAGCAAGACATCTTGCGCTACCCCGAAGAGGAGCAAGTATTAGTTTTCGTAGTACATTTTATAATGGTCTGCCTCATGCAACTTGAATGACCCATCTGTTTCTTCGCTTGATTGATATCCCATCCGTCTCTGCCGTTATTACATGGGGATGAGAAATCGATGTATGAATGTATTGATAGATGAAGATCACAATCCATTCGGCAATTGAATTAGTTGCCGACGGATGCCTGATAAGGGTAATTGTATGGCTTTATTTGAGGAAGTGGACTTGGTATTATTAACTCTACCCCGCGGGGTACAAATGTTAAGTCCCAGATCAAGCATCATGGTCTCGCCGATCATTAGTCTGCAGGATTGCTTCTGTTCCTACCACACCGGAAAAATTTACAGGCATATCATGAGGACTGCAGCTTATTCTATGTGGTCAGATATGTATCTACGTAGCATTAAAGGAGAAACTAATGAAGTTCTACGTAATGATGTGGGAAATTGGATATCTCCTGACTACCTAGGTATCCTGGAGGACCTGCCGATTTCCATATGAAGGATATAAAGACTTCGCATATTGTGTTATGATGCGTGTATGTATTTCCTTTAAAAGACATGATAGATACTCCAAGCATCATTCGTAACAACCTTGAAAGGAACCAGCATGCGTATCCTAACTCTTCGGAGCCTGCTATTGGCCCCTGTCGCATTAGGCTACGTGGTCAACGAGGGCACAACCTACCAAATCTACCCAGAAGCTCTAACACATAATGGCCAAGCAGTAGACGATGCACCGTCCATCCATCAAGCTTTTGACCTGTGCGGAATCAACGGCACGGTGATATTCACCAACAATACTTTTCACATCAACTCGATTCTCAATACCACCAACCTGCTTAACTGTAACGTCTCCCTACGAGGCGAGTTGCGCTTTTCTACAAATACCCCATACTGGAAGTCTCACGTCTACTCGGTCATATATCAAAACCAATCTACAGCCTGGCTATTTGGCGGAATAAACGTTACCCTCCTTGGTTAAGGAGGCTGGATAAATGGCAATGGTCAGACATGGTATACCGAAAACAAAAACCAGGCCAACCAACCCGGTCGACCCATTAGTATAACCTTCTACAACTCCACGAACCTTCTTGCAGACGGGCTCACTATCTTCCAACCCCAATTCTGGGCAACGCTTGTTTGGCAAAGTACCAACGTCTCACTAAGGAACTTCTACGTCAACGCAACAAGCAACGACGAATGGGGTACGGTGAATACAGATGGCTACGATTCGTGGCGGAGTAGCAATCTCTTAGTGGAGAGTGCTACCATCATCAATGGCGATGATTGTGTCGCTGCAAAGGGTAATACGACGAACTTGTTGGTTCGACATGTCACTTGCCATGGCTCGGCAGGCATGACTATTGGGTCGATTGGACAGTATCCAGAATGGCCTGATTATGTCGAGAATGTGACTTTTGACGGTGTACGGTGTATTAATTCTTCGACGGGGGCTTATATCAAGACATGGCAGGGTATCCCTGTGGACCAGGATTCGAACGGCGACGTTGGCGGTGGCGGTCTTGGTCTTGTCAAGAATGTCACTTTCAAGAACTTTGAGATGATAAATACCTCCTTGCCTATCCAGATATCTCAGTGCATGTACAGTGAGTCTAGCGGAGCGTGCAACACATCCAAATTGCAGATTGAAGATGTCTCCTGGGTGAACATCACGGGCACATCGAGGTACAATGTTGTGGCTTCGTTATATTGTTCGGATCCGGTACCTTGCCCAGGAATCATTTTTGATAATGTCACATTCGAATCAGTTAACCATACCCTCGGATTGCCGATGTGGAATACGACAATGCAGGATGAAGTTTATCAATGTGCTAATATTGATGGTCAGAATAGCTCTGGAATTCCATGCAACCGTGTTGCTCCTGATAGTTTTGGGGGAGTCTCACATAATGTACAATAATTTCGAGAGCCCGATCGTTTTGTAGTCGAGTTTTATTCATGTCTTCTGTCATGGATATGAAAGAGAAATCCGTATGTTCAGAAAGTCCCAATCTGTTATACATATGTTGGAATGGGGGAATGCTTCAAGAACCTGACTAGCTGTGAGGCGTTAATACTTCCTAGGTTAACGAATAATTCATAGTTGAGACATTGTTTTATTGTAGATTATTACCAGCATCTTTCAAGTGTACACTCAGAGACAGGCTAGATGAGAAATCGAAGATACTTGTCCTCGTGTAAGTTTCGTATAATGATCTCGGACAAACCAAGGTTACCAATCAATGTCTCAATTCTAAAGAGCTAGAACATTCTGAACAGTCTAGATAATACCTCGTGACACAATCTGAATAAAAACAAATGAAAGAAAGACCCAGGATATTCAAAGCCAACATTATCCTCCAATGCCAAATCGACAGCCGGGAGCAATTTCAACTCCGGCCCAGTCACGAATTGGCGAACAAAATCGGCTCACCGTCTGGCTACACGACGTAATGGCCAAGAAGCTGTGAATATTATCATGGCAATCAGCTATATCGTTCTTCCACACCTTTGTTATCCCATCACGTCTGGCTAACGGATAGATAACTAGACAAGGGTTCCAGTACACTAGTAAGAAGGATTTTGATCTTACCGTAATGTAGCGAGCAATACTTACTTTTTCTGCCCATCTTCCCATGAGGGGATTTTCACCAGAATAGCAGCATGTGAGTACTTGCAGCCAACCGACGGCTCATTACCATAGGTAGCCTGAGTAAGAGCAGTTTCCTGATGTTTGATCGAAGTCATGCAATAGATATTCTCAAAATCATCGCATTCCCAGTAACGCTTGATCTAGAAGCGGAAGATTTAGTTGTAGATAAATTTAGCATGAATGGTGAGACTCACCTTATCATATTCATTGTCACTGTCTATGCAGGAAGAAATCACTGTCTGTGGGTACAACTTGGTTCCTACGAAGGCGATAAGCTTTTGCGTTCTCTTCTCCTCTCCTTTTCTTTTGCCATCACCATCTTTAGAACGCCCATCAAGAGATTCAAGAGTTTTCTTCTGCTCCTGATGGTCGGTTTCAGGGATGCCTTGATAGGGATAAACCTCGTAAACCTCTTCAAGTACAGGGCAAATGGATACTTCACATCCGAAACTATGAAATCTGCTGTAAAGAATAAAGTCAGAGCCTTTCAAGTTTCTGGGAAGAGTGTGTGCTGCAATCTTAGAGGTGTGTGCATATGCATGGGAGCAACTGATGCCGAAATATACCACCTTGGACCCCGTTAGCATTGACTCGTCTTCTGGTACGTAGCAATTAGGACAAATGATGTTCCCGGCCTTTAGCCATAAAACCTGGTTGTGCCAGCATGGACTTGATAAGATCATACGGCCGAAGTGAGTCTGGATCGACAATTCCTTCTAGCGACGTCAATGCACCGCCAACCACATCCACGAGATGGAGACTGTTGATGAGAGTAATTCTGTGGCCTTTGTCACAGTCTTGATCTCGTGCTTGCAGTCCACTGTATGGTTGATTGACTACTAGAAACCCAATCGAAATCAACTTCTTGGCCGCTATGGCGAATTAGCAGATTTCCTCCTTCGAAGGCAGAGAGCAAACAGACGACAGGTAGCCCAATATGAGTCGTGTCTCCTGGAGTATCGACATGATTGCGAAAATGTCCGGACGGTTCGGAGTAGACTTATGACAGAGTCAATACATCGAAAACCTTCCTGCAATTGAAGATTGCAAATGGAAGCACAAATTGGTTTGTACAGATCCGCAATAAGCTTTCTGGAATAATTTTCATCCTTCGCTTTATCTCCCACATCTGGAACGGAGATTTGCTCAATATTCTCCAGCAGACCAAAGTCGGCAGGGTGGAATGTGCTTGAAGGCAAATGGTTCGACCAAATATAACATTGTACCAAGTCTTGCGATCTGATGACTATGCATGAATGGGATGTATCGGTTCAATAGTTTCCTTTAAGAAACAGTAATATCATCCCAAAAATTTAACCATATGGAGATTCTTTCGATTTTGTATTGGAGTATCTTCTGACTGTAAATCTCAACTGCACCATTTTAGGGAGCATATGTTCAGATATACCTAGACAACTTGCTATGAAGAATCAGACTAGGCATAGCAATGAGCGTGTCTATACCATCTTCCTACCGTCTTATTGGCATATCTCATTATGTATCCAAATTGGTGAACGCTCACCTAAGTTCTAAGATTTAGTGCCATGGTGTGTCTTGGAGATTCCATGGCTTAAATCCAGGTCTGTTACGACTGCGGTAGATTAGGCTCGCATAAATATTTCTGTTTTCTCTTTGTTCAGTGTGCCTACATCAGTCATATTCGGATAAAAAAGTCCACCAGCTGGGCGTAGATGAGGGGAAAGAGGGGATATTGCAGCATTACATACACGGAAAAGAAAATCTGGAAGGAGGGAATAATATACTATATGTTAGGGAACGGGGGAAACGAAATGAAATGTAAATCAACCACTGGAAAGCACCGAATGATGGGGATGAGGAGTCAGAATGGGGAGACGTAGGTATAAAATGTCGAGATATACCTATAACCCCAAACGTTAATCCTAACTGACAACATGCTCCAATTCGTTAGAGACCTCTGAACTGGAAGTAAACTGTCTGACATGCTTCCTGCAAGTTATACTAAAGTATCTTAAGTGAGACATTCCTTGACCGTTCAATCACTCAAATTCAAGAACCACGTAGGCCATTCATTCCGCTGGCTATGCCAATCCCTCAAATGACAGCTATCTGATACAAGAACAAGACACCAAAAATCCATCATCACGATGAAACTATAAAAGGCTACAAGATTGGATTTTGGTCGTCTATAGCGCCGGGAGCGCGCGGATAGCTACCTTTCTACCATCCAATATCCACACCATCTAAAAGGAAAATTGCATGCTATCAGTGGGGTGGACTCTTTTACAAATTCACTTCTCCGCATAAAAACGCCTATCATCCGGGGGTGGCGTCCCCGCATATCCTTAAATTCAGCTATAACAGCTGGTGATATTGAATCGGCTATATTTTTTTAGCTTTAGTTCTGCAAAATTGATAGACATTATATCCATTGATCACTTCTGACTCTAGGGTTTGCTGCCTTCCACACATAGTTGCTGTCCCGAATATATCAAAAAGACAAATAAACAAGAAAAAAGAAGAAAAAGAACTGCTATATCAGATTTCAAGTCCTTGTATTCTTGGCATGTCTTTACTAGTTTTCGATATGTGCAGGGATCTATAAAGTCTCGTCCACTTGATGCTGGGCATTTAGAACTCATTACTTCTGTCCCCCGCATTCTGCATAATCAATGTATATTAATGATGTCTCCGAAGACTATATTCCGATTCAATGAGGGGAATTCCTGTTGTGCGGAGTATGAGCTATTTGTCTCTCAACCGTCCCAAGGTATTGAGGTCGAGTCCCGAGGTCATCACCGCTGTCCAACGGGTGGACAGGGTGGTATATATAGCAACGTCGAAACCCCCGGTAAACAGATATTCATTTGGCACCAGACTTCCAATTCTTTTTAACCAGGTACATTATTGATTTATCCAGTCTTCATCTTCATAATGACCGTTCCAGAAGAAGTAGACGTCATTATATGTGGTGGAGGAAGCACTGGCTGTGTGCCAGCTGGTCGACTCGCCAACCTGGATCACAATCTCCAGGTCTTGCTCATTGAGGCAGGCGAGGACAATCTGAATAACCCATGGTAGATCACACCAATCCAGCGTGCTTGCAAGTACTTACAAGAGATTAGGGTTTATCGACCGGGAATCTACCCTCGTAACATGAAGCTTGACTCCAAGACTGCTTCTTTCTACTATTCCCGGCCATCGGAGTGGTTGGATGGACGTCGTGCGATTGTCCCTTGTGCACACGTCCTTGGAGGTGGAAGTTCTATTAACTTTATGGTTGAACCCTTAATCAACTGAAGGCTTTCCTCCTATACGAGTTGAGCTAATGACTATATATATATAGATGTATACTCGAGCATCGGCATCCGACTACGATGATTTCCAGGCCAAAGGCTGGACCACCAAAGACCTTCTACCACTCATGAAAAAACATGAAACCTATCAGCGAGCGTGCAACAATCCTGATATCCATGGATTTGAAGGTCCCATTAAAGTTTCTTTTGGGAACTATACGTATCCGATTATGCAGGATTTCCTTCGCGCGGCTGAGTCGCAAGGTATTCCTGTGACGGATGATTTGCAGGATCTTACCACTGGGTGAGTTATACACAATTATGAGATATTCGCAATGTTAATGGATGCCAAGACATGGTGCTGAGCATTGGCTCAAATGGATCAATCGAGACACTGGTAAGTATTTTTAAACCCTTCTGCTCCTTGGAAGCTAATATAAACCCCGTTAAACAGGTCGTCGAAGTGATGCTGCCCATGCATATGTCCACAGTACTCGAGCAAAACACAGTAACCTACACCTAAAGTGTAACACAAAAGTTGACAAGATTATCATTGAAAATGGCAGGGCAGTGGGCGTAGTGACTGTGCCCACCAAGTGGGTTGGAGACGGCGAGCCTCCACGCAAAATCTATCGTGCTCGCAAACAAATAATCATCTCCGGGGGTACTATGAGCTCTCCACTAATCCTGCAGCGGTCTGGAATTGGTGATCCCGAAAAGTTGCGTCGCGCAGGTATCAAGCCGTTGGTTGATCTGCCAGGTGTTGGTCTCAATTTTCAAGACCATTATCTAACATTTTCTGTCTATCGGGCCAAGCCCGACACCGAGTCATTTGATGACTTTATTCGTGGTGATCCGCAGACCCAGAAGAAAGTTTTTGAAGAGTGGAATACCAAAGGGACCGGTCCCCTGGCTACAAATGGTATTGATGCTGGAGTGAAGATTCGCCCGACTGAAGAGGAGCTAGCACAGATTCGCAGCTGGCCTACCCCTGACTTTCAACGGGGATGGGACAGTTACTTCAAGCATAAGCCTGACAAGCCAGTCATGCATTACTCTGTGATTTCTGGGTAAGATCGCATTTTTGTCTAATTGTCAATCTCCTAACTAAATAGTACAGATGGTTTGGTGATCATATGCTGATGCCGCCGGGCAAATTCTTTACCATGTTCCATTTCTTGGTCAGTAACAACACATCGCCAAACAATAGGGATCTGGACTGACCCCCTTTCAGGAATACCCGTTTTCTCGGGGTTGGATACACGTCAAGTCCGCAGACCCATACGAAGCACCGGACTTTGACGCCGGATTCATGAACGATAAACGGGACATGGCGCCCATGGTCTGGGGCTATATCAAGTCTCGCGAGACTGCACGTCGAATGGCCGCATATGCTGGTGAAGTGACGGGCATGCATCCTCATTTTGCGCACGATTCGCCGGCTCGAGCCTACGATATGGACCTGGAGACGACCAAGGCGTATGCAGGTCCTGATCACCTTAGTGCCGGAATTCAACATGGTGCGTATCTATTCCCCTGCTGGTCGAGTTGAGACTAGAAAATACTGATGTGTATAGGGTCATGGTCAAGTCCTCTCGAACCAAGCAAGTCGCCTGTAGAAAACTATCTTAACTCTAACAAACAAGGTACCCATCCGGAAATTCAGTATAGTGAAGAAGACATCAAGCACATTGAAAAATGGGGTGAGTAATAGCTCTCCTCTTGTCAAATTGATTAGTTATTAACGAGTTGAATACCCAGTTCAACGACACGTAGAGACAACCTGGCATTCCCTTGGTACCTGCAGTATGGCACCCAGGGAAGGAAACTCCATTGTCAAGCATGGAGTCGTCGATGAACGTCTCAATGTTCATGGTGTCAAGGGACTGAAGGTAGCCGATCTCTCTATTTGTCCGGATAACGTCGGTTGCAACACTTTCAGTGTAAGTCAATCAATCTGTCGTCCTATTGTACTTTATAAACGAAAGATGTTTGCGCTAATCCATAAATGCGAAAATAGACTGCTCTTCTTATCGGGGAAAAAGTCGCTGTGCTGACGGCTGAAGACCTGGGTTATTCTGGATCAGCACTGAACATGAAGGTGCCTACTTACCATGCACCAGGGGAGACTGTAAACCTTGCGCGGCTGTGAAAGGGATGGATTATTTGAATCTCTTAGTTTTTCTTTTCTTTTCGAATATTAGTCACTTCAGATGATATTCAGATTGACAAAACTTAGTACCAGTTGGAATGTTTCCCTGCCTGCTATCTGTTTTATATTCTATTCATGTCGAATTTCAGTAGTAGTCTTCCGATCAAAAGTTCACATCATACTTTGGACAATAACAGTACAAATAGTTCATAATAGCAATTGCATGGAGACACAAGAGACCTCCAAGTATAGGGTTAGGGTCCGAAACCCTATTCGCACCTAGTTGCCTTCTTAGGCAATAGTTAGCACAATCTTATCTGAGCTTCTAGAGGCAAGAACCTGGGGCAGTTTAGACCAACTATCAGTGCTGAAACTGAATCTCTGTTGTGGGTGGCTTTAATTCTTCATGGAGAACTAGCGTCAGTACGCAGCTAGGAACCCGTCTGGGGAACGGAAGGAGTTTGCGATCGTGCCATATTTTGTGGGGCGTCCATGACCGATAATATCAGCCAACTCAGAGTATATCACCCAATAAATCTTATCAATTCGACAGTCACATGTGTTATGAATCTTGAGCGAATATGGAAGGTTCAAGCGGCATATTGCAGGTCATTTGAGCCTGTCTGCATATAAATATGGACTGTCAAGAGGCTGGACCGATTCAAAGCATCGCATATTCAGTCATAAATCAAATCAGTCTGCCGAAATCCGCCCGCAGTAATCATGTCTAAAATTGTCCGAGTTGGTGCTGTCCAATCTGAGCCTGTGTGGTTGGATCTAGAGGGCAGTGTCGACAAGACGATTTCTCTCATTGAGAAAGCAGCCGCAGATGGCGTCAATGTCCTGGGATTTCCAGAGGTCTGGATTCCCGGGTATCCATGGTAAGTGGTATAGCCCAGTCTGTTGCGTATTGTGGACGTATCGACTAACTATGGATGCGATCGCCGGCTAGGAGCATGTGGACATCGGCGGTAATTAACAATTCGCATATCATTCACGACTACATGAACAATTCCATGAGGAAAGACTCGCCTCAGATGAAGCGTATTCAAGCCGCGGTCAAAAAAGCCGGCATGGTGGTTGTGTTAGGGTATAGTGAACGCGACGGAGCGAGCCTGTACATGGCACAGTCTTTTATTGATCCTTCGGGTGAGATTGTACACCACCGTCGAAAGATCAAGCCGACGCACATCGAGCGGACTATCTGGGGGGATGGACAGGCAGAATCTCTCACTTGCGTTATTGATTCTCCCTTTGGAAAGGTCGGTGGATTGAACTGCTGGGAGCATCTGCAACCGCTACTGCGATACTATGAATACTCCCAGGGAGTGCAGATTCACGTAGCGAGCTGGCCCGCTGAATTCGAAATGCCGGATCCCAAAAAGATCGCTTGGCTGTATCATGAAACAGGAGAGGCGTCATATCGTGCGAGCCAATTCTTCGCCATTGAGGGTCAGGCTTTTGTGTTAGTTGCGTCGCAGATCTTGACGGAGGAAAATGTTGAAAAGAACAACCTGACGGGCAACCCGGTGACCAAAACCCCTGGTGGAGGTTTCTCCATGATCTTTGGACCGGATGGGAAACCACTCTGTGAGCCTGTGGATGCTGGAGCAGAGGCAATTTTGACTGCTGATATTGATCTGCGAGACATCGATAAGCCCAAGGCGTTCATTGATGTCGTAGGACACTATGCTCGACCAGATCTCTTGAGTTTATTGGTCAATCCTACTGTAGATAAACACGTGACCACAATGAATAAAAAGTGACGAGAATGGCTCGTTTCTTTCACTTGGGGTCTTGCTGTGTATAGAATAGACACGGAAGGATGGCATCGAATTTTCAAATACCCAGTCAGATAAACCAAGGCGTGTTGCTGTTGAGTGCCCCTGTTTCCCACCACTTGAACTTCGAGTTATCCACATCAGCTTGAAGATCTTGCTGTTTCCATAATGTCTCGATGATATTTCTGATGACAAAAACGTTGCCGATTTTTCGATTCTGATCCATCTGGTCTAAAGTGTGTAGAATCTCAATCCTTTGTTCATCTGACTGTGTCTCACAAGCCAGAACGAATAGGGGCCAGGGACTGGTACAAATAGGCAATGATCTCAACACTTCAAAGCCTTGAATCACGTAAGAAGATCTGCGCTTTGCATTCTCAGGCCCAGGAATCACTCGAAGAAGGTAAATCAAGGCGGCTATGCGATAAAACTCAGCTGTGCTTAGGATCCGGGCTATCTGATCCTGGTCTTTGCTGAACTTTTCTATGTTTGCATGCTGAGTCAAGCGTAGCAGCTGGGCCTCCAGATCATCAAACTCTGTAGTGTATGTTCGGCGGGGTAAATTATCGCGGAGGAAATTTATTCTATGAATCACGTCAAGCAGCTCCAGGGAGAAGCCCAGTGAGCCAATAATCTTTGTTATCATGTTAGAAATATAATCTTGGGTGTAGTAAATCCAAGGCGCAAGGAGGTGCTCACCTCTGCTTTATCAGATGTTGGAGAAAGAGAATACAACATCGAGGGTGATCTGTCTGTCAACTGGCTGCGATATTGACTGCAACCTCCAAGCACTTCATGATAGAGAAACCAAGTATAAATGAAACTAGAAGTTGGGGCGCCCGATCTAGTACTACAAATGCGCTGAAGGATATTCTTCGCGCCATTCAAGTGAAGGTGCCAGTTTCCTTCCGTCTCGTCAAATACCTGAAATCAATTAGCCGCTGTTGCTTGGTAAAGGAGCACCGAAGACCAAGGGGTAACCAACACTATAAACACATAACATCAGGGATGCGGCGAGCTGGGTTTCGGCGACTTCCCGGTGTGTTGATGTTTCTTTGACTGCGAGAGAGTAAGAGAGAGAGCGAAGCGCTCTTGTCTTGAATGGCAATGCTTTTTGTGCTCCAAATCGATGGAAGCATGAGACGGCTAAGATGGCATTTTGTAATGCCATGGAGGCTTCGCATGTTTGTGAAAGGGCGCGAGGTAGTAAGTCTAACCGGAAGCCATTGTTGGTGTCAATCGTGCATATCATGCTGGAAATCCTCTTTTCGTCTGGATATATTCGTATCAAATGAGTATCACTGGCCCTATTTACTTTTTGCAGACAGGGAAGGATAATTTCTTACAGTATTCCAGTAAATTCGAGCCTTCGTGAGCAATATCAGGCCATGGTGACAGACTCCGGGGATTCGGACATGTTGCGGTTATGTAGTCTCTCTTAGAAACCAACTGAGGCCAAGCCATTGACCGGAATGATTGTTTCAAGTCCTTGGCAGTAACATTTAGAAATTGTTGCCCGTAGAGCTGTCTGAATTCAGGTGAAAGATAGACTGCATCTGTGGGCACTTTAAGACGGCTATCCTTCCGTCTTCCATCGTACTGGTCCTCCCACCTGAGCTGAATTCCGTATCCCATGCATTGTCTACCTGTGCGAAGACAATTCCAGCACTCCGGGAACTGCTTGTCACAGCCGATCTTGCGGCCTAGACAATTATCAGCAAATGGCCACTGAGTCTGGGGAGAGCTTACGTTTGCAAGTCCGACAACCTTGGCTAGCCCTCATATTGTGTAGTATACGGGCCGCCCAAGCTGTCTACAGCACTGAGCAAGAATCATGAATAATTTCGTACAACCGATGGCAATAATTGAGAGAGTTGAAGACAGAGAAATTATCTGCTTATGACACTCCACCCACTAGCGTGGCCGGGAATTGGCTTCACTTGTCATATGCCCAACAATACGCCAGCATGATACCGGCTAGTTATCTACGGAGTATTAATCGTGCCAAGCCGCCCTTTCAAGACCGCTCCCAAGTGTTAGATAGTGCTTACTGGCCAAAACGGATTTTCGGCCAAAACGTACTTTTTACTATACACGTCAAAATGAAGCCCAAAGGACACCCCAAAAAGAACCGGAAATCTACAAAAATGAGGAAATTGCAATTAAAATGCTTATGAAGCATATATTCAACATCCAAATCAAAAAAAAAATCAAGAAATTGGCGCGAGAATTTGACGCTCCTTATCGCCGCTTGTTGGCACGCGTCAATGGTCAAAGTGCACTTTCGGATCGTCCAGCTACGAATCACATATTAACGAATGATCAAGAACGTGCAGTAAAAGAGTGGATTGACCATCTAGATCCCTTAGACGCACCTCCTACAAATCGAATGATTGTAGGCTGCGCAAATGCCATTCTCCAGTCTGCAAATCCGTACAAAAATGCTGTCTACGGTTGGCCCAAAATTGGGTATATCGATTTCTCAAGCGACTACTCTCCACGTACAAACGAGTTGAAGAAAAACCGATTGACCCCAAGCGGCTTGATGCAGAGGACCTTGGGGTCATACAAACTTGGTTGGATCGTCTTGAAATTCAAGTTCCTATTATCGAGATTACACCTTCAAATATTTGGAACTTTGACGAGACCAGATCTCGCATTGAACAAGGCAAAAAAGAAGTCAGTCGTCACTCAATTTCCTTGTACCTCTATAAAAGTTGCAAGTGCCTCTTCTTGAGAACACTTGACGATAATGGAGAGTATAAGTCCAGCCGGAAATGTGGTTCCTCCACTTGTTATTATTGCCGGTAAGAATCACTTGGAGGAATGGTATCACCATCTTCCAGAAGAGGATTATATCGTCGCTTTTTCCGAGAAAGGCTTCCTAAATGCCGATCTTATATACGAATGGCTTCATAATTTTGATATTTCAACTCGGCAATACGCGAGAAATGGTTATTGATTGCTTTTAATGGATAATTGTACGGCGCACCTATCATACGACTTCATCCAGTATTGCAAGGAACAAAAGATCATTGTATACTGTTTTCCGCCTCATGCGACACATATCCTTCAGCCATTAGATGATATTGCTTTTCAGGCCTACAAGCATTACCACGGGTTGGCCGTTAACAATCAGGCGCGTGCTGGAGGCTATGATTTTGACAAGTATGACTTCCTTTTTCATCTGCCAGCCGTTCGCAAGCAAACCTTTACAACAAGGGACATACGCGCCGGTTTCCGCGATGTAGGGATACATCCATATAACCCGGAAATTGTGATGAATAAGCTTAATGCCTCCGAGGTTATTGACGCCGTTCCTATATTGAAAATTTTTGATGGCAATGAGCAAGACATCCCGAGTTCACCCACCACAAAGCCGACCTCACCACCACTTGACACGCGTAAAATCGGCCGCTGTGTTAAAAAGATTGAGAAGGATTTGAATGGGATGAGAGAGCAAATCAAGGATATAAGCCCGAATCTAGAGCGCCGTGTTCGCCGGGCTATGAAAGGAAGCCTTATTAACGCTCGATTACACGCGCAAATGAAGCAACAGGTCAACCAGCTCTTAGACGTCAACCGGCGCAGGTATAAAGCCAAATTTTGAGGTCAGATCTTGAATATAAGTGGTACTCTTAGCGTACGAGATGCCAATACAGAAATTGAGGACAGGAAAGCGCGAGAAATTGAGGAAAGAGGGCGGATTCTAGAGCGGGCTGAGAAGAGGCGAATTGAAGCCGCAAAAAAGATGGCACAACCACTCGCCGACCCACCCGATTTATTTACTTTTTTGGAGGAGTGTAATGAGCCGGATGCTCCAGCAGCTGAAACTCGCTTTTACTATCTAGATTCGATACCTTAGTTTGTTGTATTAATGTCATTTTTTGGATAACCCTAATAAAAAGTACGTTTTGGCTGAAAATCCGTTGTGGCTGGTGAGCACTATCTAGTTAGCGGTCTTGAAAGGGCGGCTTGGCAAGATTATAGACTATATAAGCCCTAATTTCAATTAATCGAGTACATACGACCATAGGGTGTGGAAAACAGGGCTTCCCGTCCGCTCAGCCGTACTTAAGCCACACGCCGGCTGGTTAGTAGTTGGGTGGGTGACCACCAGCGAATCCCAGCTGTTGTATGTTTTGGCCTTTTTTTATCATTTTATCTTTCTATCCATTCCAGCCTTTCCAGGAACTTCTCGCCAGAGCCTGGAATTGCTGATATAGTATTCGACTAAACCTTCCCATGTCGATTTACCCCCTCTTTTTCCAAAGTCAGCCATATTCTTCCCAGCCCCTTCATTTTACCAGCCTCTTGATTTCTCAGGACCAATGAGACTAAGTCCGCTAATCAAACATGTATATACCATACAGTATGTCGACATGTGATATCGTAACATCTTGAGAGTTGGGAGCAAGGAATTTTCTGTGTATTGCTCATTAAGTAATGCTTGTGTCCTTGAGAGAAAGAAGCCCTCGCTAGGAAGTGTTGATATGCCCTTTCTTCTGGAGGCACTAAACTACCTGTGGCAGGCAGCGCTGGCAACAAATGGAGCTGCAACAGTTTCAACTGTTATTCAATGTTGGCAACAAATAGATCGGCATACTGTGCGCATACCAAATGATCTAGTATAACATGGAATACTGTAGCTAGAAAAGGGAATTTCACAGAGTCCTAGAGACGGTATGCTTAGTTATATATTTCCTATCCTTCGTTCTCTGCTAAGGTTGGCTTTGCTGTTCTATTGTCTCAGCCAGCACATGAACTTTGGTCTTTCGATCGGTAGGGCCTGTACTCCGTAGTAGAATTTACTCCTTCGTGCTTCCATGTCTCATCAGATTATGCCCCCATTCAAAATGTAAACAGTACCCCATCATGCCAACCCATCTCCCTTTTCCTCATGTTTCGCATATTTTGTTAGATGGCTAGTAGAATGCATGATAGCTTCCTCATTTCCCTCAAGACTCTTGCTTGATTGGATGAACGGACCACCTTTTCGCTTATGCCGTATCGTGCTGCCTTGCTGCCTCTATTCGAAGAATTCCCTAGAACAAGGGGCCAATTCGCGCGGACGATACGCCGACACCGTGGAGCATCTGGGTCTCGTGGCGGAACAGAAATGCAGTGATCTCATGGAATATCGCAAATAATGGATCATAATAGGAACCCATTAGATATGAACGCACACAGAGATACAAGTAGATGCGGTGACTATAGTGAACTAGCGAAATCAAGATGTGACATCGCGACCGACAGCCTATTCCATCACTACACAATTTCTGTCTTTCTTCGCTTCTTCGCTGCCGTTGCTAACGCTTCCTGGTTCGCTGTTGCCGCTTCTTGCTCTGTTACGCGCTTGAGCCCTGATATCAAACCCTTTCCACAGCCTTGGATTGACTTCGGAAAGGTGAATTTTCTTTGATGTGTACTTAGGATTCATAGAGATTTCTCGACCGCGTAGACGTTTGAGATTCTCTGGGATGCCTGTGGTGGTAGCTGAGTCAAGAGTAATCCATATGAATTCGACATTGACTTCATATTCCTCAAGGCCCCTTTTCCATTTTGGGAGAGCATTGAAGAACCCCTCCTCGGAAGCCTTGTGATATCTCGCCGTAGCGATTTGAATTGGATACAGTGTAATTTTTCCTCGCATAGACAAAGAATTAACATTACTTTCGTCAATACGGGGCCGTCGTTGGATTATTAGCATCAGCCAGTCGAGTATAGGGTAATTAAAGATGTTCGGGACGAAGAGAAGATTGGAAAAGGCAGCGTTCTCGGGAGAATTCAAAGCGTAGGATGGAAACTTCGTAAATATCCTTTGCACAAATCGCTTGCCTTTGCATCCCTCCAACGGCAACCCAGTATTCAATACCGTTGCTATAACACCTTGTTCAATAAGAAATCCGAACATACACGGATTGCTGGCATGGTTCCGCATGGATGATATAACGTAGTCAACGTTGAATCCTAAGTCATCGAGGTTGCGAAGCGCCTGAGCCCAAGCATCGCGTGCAACACCACAAACACAGCCTCCAATCGGCACTATTTGTGGTTTTGATAAATGAATACACGCAATAATTTTTATAGCACGCTCCGCTACTGTAAACGGTTGTTGTTTTATCCTACTCAGCGTTCCCGCAAAGATCTGGTCAAGACCCGACAGCAATTTCTTCAAAGCATCTTCACGGTCACGTAAAGTTGTGGCCTGGAGGACTACACGAATCTGAAATATCGGCAATAGGAACCTGGTTAATCATTAGTGCTGCTTAGAATGTGGAGCGTGGCTAAACGCACGTTCCTTTAGCCGAGTCGACAATTATTTCAAAAATGTCCTTTCTGAGCAATTCATCCATAGCTTTGGGGTCAATATCATTGGGTCCACCAATTTCACTTTCGATGAAACGTCGAATATCGCTCTCGCGAGCTTCAATGGTGATATCCTGCTCCCTTTTGAAGAATTCCTTAACGGCTCCCTGGACATGAGGACGACCGGTAAGGAATATTTGTATGCATAAAGGCCCGTCGTGTAAGTGTCTCAAAAGATCTCGCAGAGTCCCTTGTTACAATTCGTCAAGCGCATCCGGACAAATATATACTCTCCTAAATTTTGTGCAAATGATTCGGAGGAGATGGTCGGCATCCTCCGAGCCCAGTGGTTTCTTTGAATCGGTGTGTCTCTCGTGGTAGAAGTCTAGAATATCTTTCGGAATTTCATGTAGAGAGTCTAGTAGCTGTGTCAATATTGCTCCAAGGATGTTTTCCACCGTTTGCTCTTTCTGGTCTCCATAATCACAGTAGATGTATCCAAGACCTAGATCTGAACTTGGTAACTGTTTTTTTCTAAGATAATCTACCACGAGAGAGCTATAAGAACTGTTAGTCAAGCCAGGAAAGGAAAATTTCTTGTAACTTACAAGATTATGGTTTTCCAACTCCCAGATTTCCATAGCAGCTAAGTATTTGGGAGTTTGCTGATTCTGAGGTCCAATCTAGGAATCTGGGCTCCTCAAGCAACCATATCCCCGTGCCTTCAACCCACTTCTTTCGGTTTTCTAAGTGTCGGGCAAATGGATTCAATGGGGATAACCATTCAGCAAGAGCGCGCCGCTCTTGGATTAGAGTTTGTTCCTCCTGACGAGAAGTGATTTCACTCAAAGTCGACTTGATTTCTTGGACTAGGTGTCTAAATCAGTAAGCGTTCTTGTCTTATGAGTATTGAGTAGTGGCAATAGATTAACTAATCAGTAATATAGTATTTCGATAAAGTCAGTGTGGTTGGCTCAACGTTGGAAGGGGCCCTATGCAAGGGTTAGATGCACAAGGCTCTGGACAGACGATTGCAGGCTCGAGAACGGTTGGGTGGGAAAGAGTGAGTCTGATCAGTAGCAAGGACGCAATCGCTTCTCTTATCACTGCAAGACAGGAATCATCTTTAGTATGTAAATCGGAAGCTGGGGTGATCGTCGCCCAGATTTTCAACCTCGTCCTGCGGCAGATTGAGGCGATGGTCTCGCTTTCCTTGGTCACGCATTTTGTTTTCCCACCACAAACCGAACTCGGTGAGAATCATGACCAGTCCCGCCGCGACAATCAAGGCTAGTGAAACTGAATAGGCTCTTGTATAAGCTGGGGCCTCTTGGACGACAAATGTCATAGTGGGTACGATGGCGCCTGCGTTGCCTAATCCGATCTGGGCGGCACTCGACCATGATCGCTTATAGTGGCCGGCCATATTGTTACTTAGCCACGTCCACAGCGTGGGGAGGACCATAAAGCAACCTCCATTGAAGAGAAAAAGCGCGCCATACTGCGCATGGAGTGAGACTTTGTCCTGATTAAGGAGAACTGAGTAGCCGCAAACACAGAGTAATACTGCAAAAAGGCAAGGCGCAAATCGATTTCGCAAGCGATCTGATATCACGGCTGCAACGAATGCCAGGACACTTGCCACAAGGTAGATCGGAATGGTATACGCCTGTGCAGCAGCGTTGGTGTAGCCGAGGCGCGCAATTATACTTGGCACAAACGCAGTCGCGTTTACTGATGCGGAGACCGCAAAGTAGATGATGATTGCGCTGTATATTTTCCAGTCGCTCAAGATGCGGACGAGCGCTTTCCGGTCAAGCCGATCCATACGAGCGAAGCCGCCATCCTCGACAATCTGCCTTGCTGCAAGAAGCCTCTTCTCCTCGGGGGACAACCATTTGGCTTGGCTGGGCCAGTCAGCGATGAGAAAGAGGAGAATTATGGACAGCGCAATAGTAATAATTCCTTCAATGATATATATCCAGCGCCAGGAGTTATAGCTTCCAAGTCCTTGAAGGTTTTCCATGCCATAGGCGATGAGCTAACACTATTGATGAGCTATTATCCCAACTTCCCAAGTGTGTAGTACGCGGGGTTCAAGGACTTACTCCGCTGGTTGCGATGGCGATACAATTCGCGATGTACAATCCAACCATGCGTTTCTGCAGCTCAAAACGGGTGTAATACATTGAAGTCAAATACACGGCTCCTGCAGATTGTCAGAACGAACTATCAACCAAGTCACCAAGGAGAGAATACCCGGTACTAGACCTGACTCAAAAAGCCCGAGGAATATTCGAAGTACAACAAGTCCATTAAAAGTCTTGACCAACCCTTGGCCTAGGGTTATGAGACCCCAGCAAAGGCTCAACCCACCCAGCCAAAGCGACGGACGAACATGTTTAAGGATGAGATTGCTTGGAATTTCGAAGAAGATGTATGGCGCGATTTGCACGAGCAAAGCCACATTGAAATCGTTGCCAACCATATGCAGGTCTTTCTCAATCCCCTGAAGCCTTGCATAGCCCAGATTGACTCTGTCCACGAACGCCCAGAAAAACACCACTCCGACTGGTAGAATGACGTGAATATCCAGCTTCCTGACCAGCCTCTTCTCAGCAGCTGAATTCAGCAGGCTTTCTGCCTCCTCTCTCGTCAGGATTCCTTCATCAGTTTTGATAGGCAGGCGATGAGACGGGAAGTCACTTCTAGTGACAATAGCGACCTCGGTGTCCGTCCCCATACTGATGCATTTGTTTCTCACGTGGAACGAATTGCAATCTTGCAAGAGAGAATGAGATACAGTGAGAGGTCAAGTAAAGTGTAACCTATCTCATCACGAAAGGAAAATCTTTTAGAATATAAACTCTGCTAGGGCGAGGCAAAACGCTTAAACGGTGTTATCACTAGCAAGGTACATGGCAATTCTAGGGACTCAATTTGCGAACAAGTCAAGCCGACTTTATACTAACGGTAAATGTCTCGCGCTTACAGTACAAGCTGCAGCTAGATTATGTTGCAGGAGCTAGTTAATACAAAGGCACCACCGAGGAAGCGAACCCTTGTCCGGTTTCCCACACCTTCACGTGGAAACAACCATTCAAGAGTTGTGGTGGCCAGCAAAAGAAGACGATACGTATTATACTAGCTTACTTTCTAAGAGACCGGATATTCTCCTCCGCGTGGGTGTCACGTTCGAGTTGGTTTAATAAATTAATCATGGACTAGCATAGCACACGCTGCCCTGTCGGCGGCTGCTGCGATCCCTGAGACACTGGCACAGGAAGCACTGCTACATCTACCATAGGGACTAGGAAGTGCGATAGTAACTTGAAAAAGAAAATGGAAACAGACCGCGACTACTTTCATTCTAAAACTGCTGCTATTCGACTGGTCGATCCGCGGCCTCGAGTGCATTTCCATACCCTAGGTAATGCGGCAGCCACGCGAATCCTTCCCATGGATGCCTCTGCTGTAGATTGTTGTGCTCGCACGCCATCATCATACTGTTTATTTTTGCGTTTCCTCTGTTTCTACTTACGAGTACTCGTCATATTCAAATCACACTGTTAAACGACTCCATTTACCTCGTCAGCAGAAAGTGGTCTGTTCCTCATTTTTGCAGTTCGTCTCTTGTAAGTTGACTTGTCTCCTGACATAAATACTCGATCTGACGACCAATGACAGCGTTATCTTCTGCTCGGTGATGAGACTTATTGCAATTGGAATTGAAAAAAGGTCGACGACACAAACTGTGAGTAACGCAACTCGCAATGCTGCGCCAGCTGGACATTCAATCAGGTGGCGCGAGCAGCTAAAGGGGAACCTCAGTCCAGCAACATTACGGCTTCAGTACCAAGAAGGCCACAAGATTAAGTTTTAACCACGCCTTGGCTTCGATACGATACACCAGCCAATACCATGATGATGGCAGCGAGGAACACATCGTTGCGGGGAACGACCGGCCGCTATCAGTAATAAGACGACTGCCATCGGCGTCACCTACGATGCAGCTGTCAGATAATCTGGACTACAAACGAGGCAGAGAGATTCGATGTTCGATCTTACAGGTCTAAAAAAACACCTTAGGTCATATATCTGGGCACCGAGATTTCAGCCCAATGTTTACCCCTCATGATAGCTCACAAATCACCCCGCCAAAGATGTTTATAAAACCCCAGCTTTGAAACTTGATGAACAGACAGAAGAGAACGGAATACATACAATCTTGCTAGTCACTTCTTTTCTTTTCATTCTAGTAAAAACACTCTTCAGGATTGGCCTGGAATAAACCGACTAATCCGACAGCAGCGAGCACGCATGATAAATAGACGAAGAGGATCTAGCGCGATATAGAGCATTTGGCATCTCGTCTTGTATGTATACTACAAAATTTCCCTTTGCACCGGGCGTTCCTGGTGTCGTGTTTCAATTCATCTGAATTATGCAAGAATGATAGAACAACAATTTTCAATTCAATTCCGTTCCCTGAATGCAAATGTCACCACAATCGTTGTGTCTGCTGGGCATGCTATTCTTTTAGAATTGCCATCAGAGTCGTTCAATTTGCTACGAACGCAGCTAGGCTTTCGCGAAGCGTCTGATCACATAAGCCTAAGCCGAAATGAAGTTTTGAGTCTATGGGCAACATTATCTTCTCTGGCGCTTGCCAAAGTCACCTATGTTATTACTGGGCAAACCAAATCTTCTCGAAATACGTATCTGTGTCTCTGAGAACTGGCATGGGAAGAATAGTACATGGGAAGAATAGTACGTAGTCCAACTATACAGAGTTGGGACTCTGCGAAGGAATAAGATATTCTCCCGCCCCTGTTAAGGTGGTCTCTGGAATGAGTCAACTCGTCTGCGGAAAGTCGCACGAAACGGCGAGGCTGTACTTAATTATTTATTAGTGGATGGAATATTAACCATTTCCAGTTTAGCTTTTAAAGAGAAAGTCTGGATTCATAGAATAAGTTCCATGTAAAGGCTAGTTAGTGTACGCAGTAGTAAGAAAGGGGCTATAATGACGGGTATATAAGCCCGAACCTACCAGACTAGAGTTACTACGGTAGAACGTGCTCATAGAATAGGGGTCCAATTAATTAATTAATTAGTACTCCGTACGGAGTATTTGATTGCTACCCCAGATAAGCCTGCAACTTGGTGGTTTATCCCAGTAGCAGGGCCGCTAAGTTGCTCCTATTACAAAATTCCTGCGACACAGCTACTATCAATTTCGTGATACGTTATAATATCAATAAAGCTAGCTTACTTTGATGATCGGATGGAGAAACCCAAAAACTGAAAACCACATCCTCAGTTTGATCGGAGCGTTCGAAACCGCAACGACCATGGAGCGTCTGCTCATCACCCTACCGTTCCAGGAACGAACGGACATCATTGACCAGATACGGACTGCCTTTCCCAACATGAGAATTACCTATATGCGCCACGACGTTCCTGCTAGGGAAGCCTTTGTGAAGCAAGAGATGGATGTACCTACTGGTAATAGACTCTAGTAATGACAGATAGCAAAGGAAAGGCCTGACGGAGCAACAAAACAAAAAGAAAAAAAAAAGAAAACAGGAAAAAAAGAGATCCTCCGAGAAATCCAGTGACTATGACTATGGGCTTCGTGCCTAACCCGAAGGACGTACCGAAGCTTCGCCACATCCATTTCAACGTAGCTGGGATCGACCACGTTGCAAGCAAACTCGACTTGCGAGATTCAAACATCAGCACCACCAATTCAGTAAACGGCCCGTCGCCTGCTGTCGCGGAGTGGTAATCGGAGCTTTGTTAGGACAGTTCCGCCAGCTCTTCGCATTCAAGGAATTGCAACGCAGCAGAACTTGGCGCAGCGTCGATATAGGCAACGCACTTTTGAATCTCTATGGCAAGACCATGGCGATTCTCGGCTATGGGTCGATTGGGCGTCAAGGTTAGTCTTTCGAGACTTTTCCATACCTTGTCGCATGTCCTTTCAGATTCGCTGACGTGATTTACAAACAAGTTGCCCGTGTAGCCCAAGCCCTAGGAATGAAACTCATTGTCCATACCTCCCGGAAAGAAGAAACTTACCACCAAGCAGGAATGGGAGAACCTGATGGAACAATACCGGGTGTGTGGTTTAGTGGACGGACAAAAGAAGAGCTCCACCATTTTTTGTCATGCGGCGCGGATGTCCTGGTCTTGTCTCTTCCTCTTACCGCAGGAACACGGCATATCATCGGCCACGAAGAGCTGAAGATCATGAACGCCCAAAATTTGGCTTTCCTGGTAAATATTGCCCGTGACTCCGTCCTTGATCATACAGCCCTCCTACAGTCACTGAAGAACCGTCCGAGGAATGACGGTTTGTTAGGTGCAGCTTTGGATGTAACAGAACCAGAACCTCTCCCAGCTGATAGCGAAGTCTAGACACGTCATAACGTTTTCATCTTCCCCCGCATGTCAGTGCTATGACTCCGGGGACAATTGATCCATCATACAGGATCCTAGAGGAGAATCTAGCCCGGAGAGCGGAGGGCAAGGAGCTTATCAATGTTGTCATAGCCAGGAGCGATATTAGGGACGTCGTTTCGCCTTAGCCTGGGTACAATGAACGAATGTTAAGTACTCGGAGAAGAGATTGATACGGTCGGGTTTAATGGGCAGTAGGGAAAATAGTAGACGTACGCTTCGCTACAGGGACGGTTGGATGGTCCCAACACAATGAGCAATGCACTTCGTGGACTGTTTTTGGTTGGCTTGCTTATTGTTAACGTATTCAAAGCAGAAGGAGCGGTGACAGATAGGACAACAGTCGGAATGACAGACCATTACACGTAGCATGGTGCATTTTACTGTGTGTCTATTGGGGCTTTTAACGTACTACTAGCTACCAACTTGGCTACAGACATGGCAAAAAACTATAACTGTAAACCTAAACTATGCTTAAACACTCACTACAATAATAATCCCACATTTCTGAACTCACTTTACTCTAGGTAGAAGGGACGTCCCAGGTCTACCAACATAGCTCCTTATCAACTCTGTGCTGGCTCTGGCCCAAGTTAGAGCTCTATGCTTCTTCAAGCCTCATAGAATTCCAACTACGACCGAGTAGCCACTGTCTCCTCCGAGCTTGTGCGCTATATTAATTTTAAACTTCAATTTCTAACCCTAAATAGTGTTACATTTATAAGACTTTCCGAGCCTTCAAGAAAGAGACTCCGACTGTCCCCTATACACATTCACGTTCTCCACCCCATGGCGGATCATTCGAGATAAGATCACCACATCTCGTGAAGGTGCCCTTGTAACGGCTATAAATGTTTATATCACCATTTGAAAAGACCCAAGAAGAAATATAGCAACCAATACATGTAGTAACGGAACATCTGAACTAACAGCAATATTATGCGCCGGCCGTGAAGGTGTGACCGTTACACTGGCCGCTGCTGTGGATGCTGACGCTGTAATAAGGCTCTGCAAGGCGCTTGAGATACTCCCAACTGTAGTCTTGTTCAAGGGGACAGCACAAGAGTCTCCATTACTGCTATTGCTCACAACCGCGGAGCAGGAGCTGTTCTTAGCTGTTGTGTTGATCTCGTACGCACCGCCTAGCTGGGGACATTCCCCTACCAAACTCTTTAAGTCGGGTTCCGGACTGTTGATGTTGATATTGAAGAAGAGCGTTCCAAATAGACCTAACGGACTGGAGTCACACGTCTTGATGGAGCCATCCCAACTTATAGGCCACTGCAGCGCGTACACGGGGCCGTTGGGATACCATGGGCCAAACTGCCACTTCTGCACGTCTGTTTGGTTGACGAGAATGTAGGGTTCGGTAGTGGTGTTAGCAGCGGTGAAAGTTGTCGCCCAATAGTCGTTGACAACGCCACCGGGCTCCTGGTTCTCGCCAACTTTTCTGTATGGCATGATGTCCCAACCAAAAGTGAAGGGTCCGAGGGCAGCAGCAGTGGTTAAATTCTGCAGGGCAAATACAATGGGAAGTGATTCAGTGATATTATACGTGGCGTTGTGGATGGGAAAGATAACGTCTACTCTACCCCTGAGGGTGCTGAGGCTGGAGGAGATGTCGTCGAGCTGACGGGAGTAATAGATATCATGCTAGTGAGGGCCATGGTGATGATAGATCGCAGTAGACGCGTCATGGTTGTGATTAGTACCTTGGTCGATCTTCACTCATCCAAGGGAATCTCGTTTTGAAGGCTGAAGCTCTATGTACGTATGTAAGGACACGACTAGCGCCTAGCAAATAGTTGCAAGTTCGTAGCTATGTGGTAACGGAGGAGCATTCGTAGTGTTGTACAGCACGTAGAGCCCCCCGTACCGGACTAACCATATAGGGCACTAGTCCGCTAATTACATGCTCCTCTCACAGATCTGGCTTGCACTCGCGATAGCCCATATTTTGTTCTCATAGCGTGGGTGCTTGATGTTTGGATGTTTCAGTCAATATATTAGGGGTTCCCTTGTTAGATGTTTTGGTTGGTAGATATGCTTAAAGGTTATCTTCTTCAAGTGTGCAGTGTCCTATCTTCGGCGGCTACAGGCTACAGCAGGGTCTACCTGGAAAGCGAAAGGAAGTGGTTTTGAGGGGTCGGATTGCTTCCTGTTTCACTGGGTTGGTTGAAGTTCGGTTTTTGGTTCCGGTTTCAGACTTCCTGTCGACATCGCGAAGCTGATTGCTTGGACAGCCTTCATGTCTGGTTGCCATCGGTCTGAGTCTGGACGTGATTCTCCACCAAGGTCCAAGAAAAGGATAGATTTCCTCGTCTTGATTCTATGTATTGATCTATGCCTTGTCTCATTGTTGTCCATCTCGTCCAGCGGAATAGAAAGCGTTCTATTGTCTTGCTTGCTTGGGCGCAGGCACAGAGATCTGAGTCTACTGCACCTATCTTATTCAAATAGCCGTTGAGCCTTGTCGTTCCTGTCCGAAGCTGGACTAGAGTTTTTACATGCTTTCCCGGGAGCGCAGTGTCGATAACTTTTGAGTATTTTCCAATGCCTTCTGGAAGAGTCGAGTCCTGGCGTGTTGCATTAATAACGATTCTAAAGGCCCGTTGCTCTGGCTTGGAACGGCTGTTTTTCTGGTTGGAATTCTGTTTTCATTGATCTGTGTGCTTCAGCTTTTGCTCTATCTATGTGCGCTGGGACCCAGATTGCGTTGACCGCGTTTCCCGGGTGCTGCAAAGTCTGAACCAGTTTATATATCCATCGGATGATCTTTTGGCTGGACTGTTGGCGAGATTGGGTTATTTTTGTCCTGTCACATGCAAGCATTGAGAGTTGATGGGAGCTATACTGCATCCGGCTAGCGGACCGGCGGCTGGGTTTCTCCTCGAAAAATTCTCAACTTCGGCAAGCCCTACTCCTGCGCCCTATCCCTAAGCCCTCATTTCTTCTCCTGGACATCCCATTGCTACCAAGCCCAGCATCACGTCCAGCATACACCCTATTATGCTCCAGTATTCATTTAAGGAATACCAATGGAATCAGAACTTTCAACGGCACTCCCTGAACAGGGAAATGGTGCGTATACTTTCGTTTTGCTGAACAAGCCAGATTACTGTTTCTTGTTGTCGCGGTCATCCGCATGGCCGCTCATGCTTGGACTACCCGACAACCCTCGTTCATTGTTTCAACTTTATGACATACGAAGTATACTTATACTTTATAGTTCCTACTGAGAAAGCAACCCATGATTTAGAGGATGAGCCAGGCTCGCCGCATCCGCATAAGAAACGTCGTACGGACCCCGGCTTTGGCGACTCTCCCGACATCAAAGAAGAGACAGACATAGCTCATGAAGACCCAATCGAAGAGGCACTCATAGCTGCCCTCAACCCTCCCGCTATTGAGACAGCAACAGAACCAGAAACTCAACCTGTGGAGAGCAATACTGAGAACAGTATCGAGACCAATACTGAAAATAATGCGGAAGACAATGCAAATAATGCGGAGCAGAACGCAGAGCAGGACACAGAGAACAGTGCAGATGACGACGCTGAGACCAAGGCGGAGAACAATGCTGAAAACAATACCTCAGAATCAACTGATGCGCCCGATCCTGAGGTTGCGGCTGTCTTCGGGAGTATCATTGATCGCGCCGAACGGCTGGAGGAGCAATATGCACTGGACCAACAGCCTACAGAGAACTCTGAACAGTCGCCAAACAAAAATGTGACCTTTGTCAAAGCTAGTTTATCATTAAAGATACAGAGCCTGCCTATTCTCGACAACCTCGTATGTGTTCATCCGGTTTGTTTACGACTTGTTGCTAACCGAGCATCTAGTCAACACAAATACTTTCCCTTCTGGCCAAGTCCTCATACCAAGATATTACCTCGTTCGTTTCTGAACCTGAGTCAGAGAACGGCCAGGCATATGCAACGATGCGGTCGCTATTTGATCACACAAAGAGAGTGTATTCGACCAAACAAGCGTTCTTGTCGCCAACCGACTTGGACTTGACAGACCCTACTCAGATTGATATTATACGCAAAGCCAACCTTGCCTCGTTTGTGTCTAGCATTTTTGGATCACAGGAAATAAGTTTCGCCGAGCTCAACGACCACTTCATCGATGTGTTTGTACCCGAAGGAAGTCGTCTGCTCAAGGTTCAGGGCGCTCTTTTCCTTGAGCTCAAGACGCAAGCGTTTATTGCATCGCTTAACAATGAAGAGCGCACGAGGACGGAAATTTTATTCGAGTTATTCCCTGATGACTTGGAGCAGCGTCTTCTCTCAAAGCGAACGGGTACGCGTCAACTTGCTCCGAGCGAAGCGGACTTTGTTAAACGAGCGCGATCCAGACGCGATATCATTTTTGCGGACATCAATAATGAAGAAGCCATGAAGGCATTACCCGACAAGTACCACTGGGAGGACTTTTTGAGGGATCTTAGCGCCTACATAAGCAAAAACTTTGAAACCATAAACAGCTTACAGGTGAGTCATCAGCCGTTAAAATACAACTGTCTGATGTGCTAACGAACCACAACCAGTCTCGCAAGCTCGTCAAAGGCCGTCAATCAATTTCCGGCGAGAGTCAAGATGGTCCTAGCGGTGCACCTCTCGAGAGCCAGTTCGCCGTTGCTACTCAACCTGCAGAAGCTACGACAGATCGCAACCTTCACGGGGACCTCGTCGCGCGTGCGGCACGAGCAGCACAGATTGCTTTACAGGGTCATGGGCTGAGAAAATCCCAGCAACAATCGCAACATAATCAGCAACAACAGTTGCAACAAACTCAGCAGCCTCAACAGCCCCAACAAGCACAGACACCACAACATGCTCCGCAATCGGCTCAAAGCACGCCGGCCCCTCAGTCCATCTCACAGACAAGCCAACAAAACGTCAGTCAAGGTTATCAGCATAGCCCTACGCCGCCGGGATATCCTCAGCAATTGACATTTCAACATAATACGATTCCGGTTCAGAGCTTTCAACAATACACCCCTCCACAGAACGGATCTAGCAGTATGCGATCTACTGACGCGGTAACTAATTATGGATATATGCCAGGCGTCCCTCATTATTCGCAATCCCAGCCAACTCAAGTGTTGTATGAGCGAGCACGCATGGCAGCAACAGCCAAGTCATCATCCAACAGTCGCCGAGCTGGACTACCCAGTCAACGTCGTCCTTGGACCACCGAAGAGGAAAACGCTCTGATGGCCGGACTGGATCGTGTCAAGGGGCCTCATTGGAGCCAGATCCTAGCAATGTTTGGACCCGGTGGCACAATCAACGAGGCACTCAAGGATCGGAACCAGGTACAACTTAAAGACAAAGCTCGGAATCTAAAACTTTTCTTCCTCAAGAGCGGGATTGAGGTGCCATATTATTTGAAATTTGTGACCGGTGAGCTCAAGACTCGCGCACCTGCACAAGCCGCGAAGAACGAGGCACGAGAACGCGAAAAGAAGCGTGGCGAGGAGGATAAAGCTCACGTCGAAGGTATCGAGGGCATGATGGCTCTTGCTGGTGCTCATATGTCACCTGGTCAAGGTCCAGATAGCATGTCAGCATCTCCGGCGGTCTTCCAAGAACCGGAGCGTCCGGAGTCCCACGATCAATCCATGGCTGATCAGACGGAAGAACAGAAACTGATTCAGAGTCTTGGTCAGGAAGTTCCAGAGGGATTGCTTCAGGTTGCTCAACACAATGAAGCTATGGATACCGCGACTGCAGATATGCATCATGTGCCTCAATAACATGCGGCACAAATTTGAATTCCTGTACTACCAAATCTTATATGTTCGTTATGGCTACTTACTGGTTTTTATGTGTGATATTATGGTGATATTGTAATCGGCGTTACGGACTGAAGTTGGGTACCTGGGGAGCAAATTGGACGATAATCAAGCTGTATTCTTATGCAATATTATATATTTAGAATCAACAATGAATCATGCGATAAATCCTGAGGACTGTACAATAGAGTAATTTTTGATTGAGCAAGTACAAATAATGATGAATTAGGGTTAATACAGCCAGGAATGCCAAGACCGGTGCTTAGCACGGTCTCGCCCATCCACTGACCTGCAGTCGCATCACCTTTTTGCTAGGGTAACACGACATTTTCAAAGTACCATCGAACCCCCGTCCAAAAAGTACCTTACTTAATAATTGATGTGATCGGGTGACAAAAAACCACCAAGTGCAAGGTCGCCCCTCGTTCATTTGTTCATTGTTTTCCGACCTAGTCTCTTTATTCGTTCGCTCGCCCACGGCCGTCCAATATGGCCGACTCATCAACCAACACCTCGCAGTCAGCGGCTGGCTCACAACTTCCTCCATCCAGTACACAACCAACCACACAGTCAACAGAAGCACTTCCTTCATCATCAGAGACAGTGACAGCCTCAACTCAACAGGGGGCAGGTGACGCAACAACGGGCAACCGTGACATTGACCTTGGAGGTGGCGATCCGCTCGATAATGATATTGACAACGATATTGATATGAACAATACTGACGATATGCCTACTACCACCGTCAACGGTACAAACGATGCAGCTGCGTCTGCTGCGAATGCACTTGCCAGTGCTGCTGCTGCGCCGCCTATTAAGAAGGAGAGTAGTTTAAGAGAATTTTTGGGGAAGATGGATGAATATGCGCCTATTGTACGTTCATTGGCGAATACCTTCTGCTTTCTATCAGACACTAGAACGGGTTTGATTTGACATGGATAACAACTGACATTCTACAGATCCCAGACGCCGTTACAGCTCACTACCTAACAGTCGCCGGCCTCCCACCACCAGGCAACGGCCCAAATCAAACACCACCACATCTCGCACGCCTTCTAGCCCTCGCAACGCAGAAATTTGTCGCCGATATCGCTGCCGATGCATATCAATACTCGCGCATTCGTGCCTCGAACAGTTCAACCGCCAACAATCCCATGGGTGGTCTGAATGCAGCTGCGGGTCTGAATGCGCCTAATGCAGCTGGCGGCGCTGGCGGTGCCGGTGCAGCGGGCGCAGGTGGTGACGCAGGGAAGAAGAGTGCTGCGGCGAACACGCATCTTGGTATTCAGAGACCTGGTTTTGGTGGGGGTGGGCAAGGTGGCTCGGGACAGGGACGGACTGTGCTTACTATGGAGGATTTGGGGATGGCTGTTTCTGAATATGGGGTTAGTATTAAGAGGGGGGAGTTTTATCGGTAGTTCTTGACACTGCTCAGTCTTGAAGGAGGACTTGGTGTTCGATCGATGGGATAGGCGTTTGTGCAGGGGGTTGGAACCTCTGAGATCAAAAAGATGTCATCAATTGGTTGTGTTAAATATGGTGCTTATGAATAGGCAGAAAGGGTTTGGCGTTCGGGTCTCAGGTTCATGGCGCTCTGGTTCGTTTGGCATAACATCACGATTGGGTGGCACATTTGTTAAGTCTCCGGATAAGCCCTCATGGAGCTTGTCCTTACATAACATTGAGATAACATACAGATCTAGCCATGCGGAATAGATAATGTTCATGAACAGTAGTAGTCTCCAAATCCGAATAGTATATTGTACAACCTGGCACCCTCGGCTAGCATGCCTCCAACAAAATAGCGCTAATAATTCAACAGATATCCATCAGCCAAGCAAATTGTTGTCCCCGGTGATGTGACATGATAGAAGGGCAAAACAAATATTAAAGCCCGAAGCCAAATACACGGATATAAAAAGTCGAACCATTGAAAGAAAAAGGCAGAAATCAAGCAAATCTATCTATTTGTTCTTCGACTGCTTATACGTAAATCGTTTCCGGGTCCTTTGCCAGCAATCAATCGTCAATTTCCCATCCAATATCAAAAAGTTTCCAGTGTTTTGGAAGAGGAAGAGGAAGAACTCACGGCACAAACTCCCCCAATTTCCGTCCAACCATATCCTCCGTAATCAGGACATCTTGATAAATCTTCCCATTATGTACTGAAAAGCGTAATCCGACGAAATTGGGTAATATCGTAGCGCTGCGGGCTTGAGTTTTGATGGGTGGTGTGCCGGGTGGAGGAGGGATTTGGCGGGGGAGAGGGAGACTATATTCATTCCAAAAGGCTTATTAGATTTGTCATCCATGAGTATGTGAGATCTTTCTATATGCGCCGGAAGGAAGAGGTGGTAGCTTGGATTCAAGGACTCAAAGGGAAAGCATACGGGACGAGATTTGGACCTGTTGCAACGGAAGCAATTGTCAGCATAATAGCTCTAACAGCACATTGAATAAAAGTATAAGTGTTAAACGCACCCTTCCACACTGACCGTGCCAGTAGACTTCTTGTCGGATACATTGCGGCGACGATTTGTATGTGGCTTGTGTGTGAAAAATGAGGGATTGCTTACTCAATAAACTCGGACTGTCGGACGCTGTAGGCTGGCATTCTGCCGGGCGGTCAGCTCTGTGCGACGACAACGAGCTTCATCGCCTTTAGCCACTCGAGAATACAGCATTAACAAAGGTCTTATAAGCCAGGAACAACATTTACAGCGGGTGCTCTCTCATAATTCGCGTTTGCTGATTGGTCCGTACTTGCACCGTTGAATTATAAGTAGTCCGAAAAAGCATTTGAAGGCAGCCTGCAAGGTAGTTACGCTTTGCTATGGTTCGCTGCCTCTTGTCAAATGGCATGTTTTTCTAGATCTCAAGTTGGGAAGGATTTGGCTATTCTGCTGTCGAAGGGATACATTGGTGCCTGAAGAAAAGTGATGTGAAAAGGTTCTATATTTCGCGATGCAGTAGTTTTTGTGTTTGTTTCTGTCAAAAATCCGCCAACAATGCGAGCGATAAATCAAAAGCTACAATACAAAGCAGATACAAAGCAGAGATTGCCAGCAATCCCCTTGAAATGCAAACAATGTCTTCATACAGCGACAGTATTATCCCTTTTTCAAATGACATGTATGACAATCCACTTTTTATGATTCGCTTTCGCCAGCGAGTTCCTCCATGACTTTGATTAGATTTCTGATCCCTTTCAATGTATTCTCGTCAGGACCTTGTCCTGGTGTCCAACTGGCGTGAGCAAAGTCGATTAACCGAAAATCGTGTACTTTGATGGGCACTTCCTCCTCGTCGGAACTTCCGTCGTCCTCCATATTCGCGAGCGATTGGGGATCTATTTGGATGTTTAACGCCCCAGGAATATTCCGTGCTTCAGTATTATTGGTAGCATTGTTGAGGCCACCGTTCGCGCCGCCATTTACAACACCATTCGCAATGCCGTTCGAAATACCATTGGGGATACCCATTGTTTGCAAGGAACCGAGCTCAGTAATGTCAAACTCGCCTGCAATATCATCCAAAGGTTCAGTGCCGGCATCAGATTCAGAAGACGATCTGGTCTCTTCTAACTTTCGAGTTTCTTCGTATTTTAAAGCTTCTTCAAGCGCGTCTGGGTCTCCTTCATAGATCACCAAAACACTCGACGAATACATCCTGCTTTCTTCTGATTCCAATGCGAACTTCAGCGCTCGAAGCTCTTGCACCAGTCGAGAAGCAATCAGTTTCGAGCGATCGACTTTTCCAGCTTTAGCCCCCGCTAGAAAAGTTTCAAATCCTTCCTTCACATTATCGGCAGTGAATGCCCTTCCGTACCATTTATCGTAACGCTTATATCCGTTCTTTTCGACAACTTCTCCTTTTGGTGCTTCTGAGCCTTCGTATTTCGTCATATATGGATCAGTGAATTCTGTCTCCATGCTCTCTATCGCAGACCCGTTCTCGTTTCTATTACCGACCCAAACTTTCATACCCGCGATTCGATAGCCCAAGCTAGAGCTTGTTGTCTCTCTTGAAACAGCATCCAACTTTGCACGTTTCGCGGGAGGGGCATCATCAGCCCATAGCCGAGAACCAAGTTTGACATCTAGAACATTCGGCCGTTTGAATCCTTCGGCGATGTTTTCGAGCACAATTGAAATGCCAGTATCCAACTTGCGCCCTCCCGATGGAGTCCATGGCTTTTCTCGCTGGGTCACATGATGATGGTGATGATGCGCAGATACTTGGTTGGTAACCGTGAAACCGTTGGTGGAGGAATGCGTTGCTAGTGATGGTAGTACAGTTCTCCCATTTTGTACACCTGGGACGACAGAGAGCGGCTGCTGCTGGTCCGAAGCTGTCAATGTTCCGTACCATTGAGGCATAAAAGCATGAAAATTGGGATGGCGGATGCTCGATTCATAAAATGCGACCTCTCCATGTGTGCAAGGCTTGGCGATCAAGGAACCGGATAGGTGACACCGAAGACCATCACTAGATACAACGTCAGTGTTTTCGCGCTATATAAAATTTCGTTGAGACCTACTGTCCAGCAGCAGCATGATCGAAGTTGGTGGTGAAGCTGTCGTTATCAAGGCTTTGGCCCTTGAAGCTATCTGATTTGTAAGATGATGAAAGCATGTCTCGAAATCGGTATAGTCGTCTCACGAAGTCGCAGGATTCAATTGAGCATGCCGTAGGTTAGCCGCGCAGCGGATATGGGTAATATTAGATGGATGACGAAGCAGTAGAGATATAGTCATGCGTAAATCGTAGAGACAAAGAAAAGAACAATTAGGAGACAGGTAAGATTCCATATCAGCTCGAATTGCAATTACCACTTAAGCCATTTATGAAGACGGATCCGTGCGTCGGCAATTGATGATCCCGGTGTATATGCGCTCGGTGGAGAAGTAACAGCAGATGCGAGAGATGTGCCTGAGAGACGGGTTCAACTTGTTCACGGATACAGAATCAGCAGGCGTAGGAGAGCTGACTCGATAGAAAAGTCTCCGCCCTCCTGATAGCTGAATCGGAAAATTTTCGGAGAGAGCGCAGAGGGAAATGGTGTCAGAAAGGAGCGGTATGAGCCAGCGGTCTCGTAGCAATAGAGTAGCAGAGGGAGGTACAGTAGTAGTACACGTCCACGAGGTTGAGGGAAGTAGCTTCGTTTCGGTAGTTCAGGATCCAGGACAAGGATTAATAAGGCCAGGCTGCCCTAAGCCAATCAGGAGGTAGTATTCCACCGGAAATCAGACCGCCTGCCAATGACGTAGGTCTCTACCGCTATGCCTGTTTCGGCTTAGTAGGATGTACACATCGTGTTGAAACTTGAGCAAAACACCAAAAAACAAAGGCTGAAACAAGACCGCAATGGCTTCTTTGGGCTCATTGCAGGTGGATTTTCTCTTCATAGAAGGGGTCATGGCTATAGGTTATCACATGAACCACTACAATCACTGAGCTGAATATGTCCAGCCAGCCTAGCCAAGCATGCTGAGTCAAGCATGCTGAGTCAAGCTTGCATTGCCTCGTTGCTGTAGTTCTACAGAGCAGGCACAACACGTGGAGTTCATGGATCTCTCAGCCCTTGCATGTATCAATTTGGATTCATTATACTGTTCAAGGTATCACGATGTCTACCCTCAAAGAGCTTCCTTTGTTAGGGACTTTCCAAAGGAGAGATTCCACCGGGCAACAATGAGACTGACAAACAAAATGATATAAATAAATCAGGTGACTTGTCATCATCCTCACCTCCTTCCCTCCGTGCTCGTCTCTACTCACCTCGTATCTCCCTCACTCTCACACATCTCATATCTTTTTTTCCATCTCGATTACATCCAAGCAACTCCATCACCATGGAGGCAGTCGAAGGAATAGATTATCCGAATACTCTCACTGGGGATGGGATCCTTCCTCAGGAGCTTGGTCAGGCCCTACAAGCTGCAACTCTTCAAGATGAATGGGAGACGCCTCCTACTGTTGTCCAGGAGAAGGTCGAAGATAAAGTGGAAGAAAAAGCTGACCCAGCAGAAACGAAGGAGAAGCCTAAACCGTTGACTGAGAAGCAGAAGAAAAGGCTTCGCATGAAGGAGAAGTACAGAAACATGCCTAAAAGCAAGAGTCATGGACAGGTAGGTTTGACATCTTGTTCAACAAGGTCTTATCCAGTGACACAGAACTGATCTGACATTCTACTAGCCAAAACCTACAGGTTTCGAAGAATCCTTCACTGAAGTGCCCATCACACCCGACGAGCATGAGTACGAGAGGGACATCTACAATAGGTATGTCGATCATGCACTACTGTTATGGCCATAGAACTTAACATAAATACAGTGACCGTCCCGTCATCTTGTGAGTCTTCTCCTAGATAAGGTTTGAATCTCCCGCACTAATACCAGATAGTCGCATACAAGAGGCACTCAACAGGTACCAGAAAAAGCGCCGACTCCTTACGGAGCGCATGCAGGCATTTTCTCTATACCTCAGGTATGGCGGTGTTGAGGTTGGCGCAAAAATGTTCGGAGGTGTATCGGAAATGGAGATGAAGGCAATGGAAAAAGAGGAAATTATTGTTGCTCGCTCCCAAACTGACATCAGCATTGACAAAATGAGATTGGATGTCGATTTTGAGCTTGTCACCAAGGCCTTTCTGTAAGCAATTGTACAAGGCACCAATGGCCATTTCCCTCAAACTTACATGTTTTTATTAGATCATTCTATCTCCCGGAAATTTACAGGCCAGAAGGTATCCAGGGTATCAAGTTGGCAACTGATACCATCAGAAATTGGCTCAACTACCTCCTCTATCATGATGTCGTCCCTGAATACAGCGACAACATCAAGTCGGCTCGAAAGTATTGCAACATCGCAGAGAAGCAGCTTTGGGATAATCAGCTCCTCCTTAAGGGTGCTCCTGGAGACTTCAACAAAGCTTGTTCGTTTCTCTTTGGCGGCTACCATTACAATGATACTGGCTCCGAGCAATCTAATGAATGGGTGGAAGATGGTATCCCACGAACCCGATCCATGACACCGACAGTGGCCCAGAAAATTGTAATGTTTGCTCTTGCGGCCAGTGGCACAGATGAGCAATCTTCCTCGTTCAGCGACCTTGCGATGAGAGGAGAGCTTTCCGCGGATGGCATTCAAGACATTGATGGATTTGAAGTAGTTGATATCCTTCTCCCTCACGAAGGAATACGTGACTTCTACAACACCCACGCACCAGATCTAAATTTTGTAGGCAAAGTGCGTGCAAAGGCGTGGCGTGATCCCAACATGGCACCGATCGATCTGGCACCTGGTGAGACTTTGGAGGACATTCGCGGAATGGAGTTTGAATTCTTCCTCGAGGAGCACCTTCTCCAGCACTGCCATCGGGGCATGAAGGTGGCAACGTGTGTTTACAAGCTGAATTGCGGAGTGTTCTTCTTCGACGAGATTTTCAGTGCCTATTGTTCGTTTTTCACTCCGTGTTTGAATGACCTGATGATGGGCTGGAGGACTCCTCGTGATCGTACTAAGAAGATCGACAAAGATGAAGAGGTTGACGGCGTGGAAGATGTACTAAGCGACAATGATGAACTGAGCGAACTGAGCTACGATGAGTAACACCTTGCTCGCAGTCAAACGCACAGATCTACTCAGAAAATAATATCATTGATTGTCACTATGATATGTACCTGAACTTTCTTTAAAAGAGGCCCCTAGTCAATTAACTCGAATACTTGGTGTCGTGTTCCAGGGTGCCTCAGAACTCTTTCATGGTTTGAGAAGTGTTTTCCCGGTGGTCTTTCTTCCCTCGAGATCCTATTCTCTTCCGTTAGGCAGTCCAAAAGAACCAAATTGAGGAATGCTTACCTTGTGTGCTTGTTGTACTTCCGCCAGGGGGAATATCTTATTAATCTTGACTTTCAGCTTGCCAGATTGTAACAGTTCAAGCAGCTGGCCGGCCCAATATTCATATTCCTCCCTCTCCACCAGGTAACCATTCAACATGGGCCGAGCAATCTTGATACACTTTGGTGAAAGACGTCTGCAAATAGTATCAGTAATTGTGAAGCCAGTGCCCTTCATGGTGAGATGACTTACTGAATAGGAAGCGGCGGCACAGGGCCACTGGCATTACCAAACCAAGCCACAAATCCTTTCCTCTTGACGGCCTCCAAACTTCCTTCCCAGGTATCCTTACCAACCGAATCGTAAACGACATCCACTCCCCTGCCATTTGTAATCTCCTTGACAATCTTGACCCAATCCTTACCTTCCTCACTACGATAATCAATAACATGATCAGCACCCAGACTCTTGACGAGAGCAACCTTTTCAGCTCCACCCGCAGTCCCAATGACAACCGCACCAAGCGATTTGAGAATTTGGACCATCAGAATCCCCGCACCACCAGCAGCGGCATGCACGAGAACAACATCCCCCTTTTGCACGGCATAAGTCTCCTTAACCAACGTCAAAACCGTCAATCCACTCAAGAACGAAGCAACAAGATCTTCATCCTTAACTCCGTCGGGAATCTTAATCGCAGTCTTGGCCGGAACAGCCGTGTATTGCGCATATCCAGAGTTGTGCATCCACATCACACGATCACCAACTTTGAATCCATACGGATTTGTTACACCAGATCCCAACGCGACAATAGTACCCGCAGCTTCCCGACCCAGAATCTCAGGTTTTGGGGACGGATATAATCCCGTCCGGAAATAGGTGTCGATGAAATTCAGACCGGCAATATGGTTTTTAACGAGGATTTCGCCTTCTTTGGGCGAGGGGACGGGTTGGTCGGTTCGGAATTGGAGGACTTCGGGACCGCCGGTTGTCTCGATTATGACGGCGTTTTGGGTCGTGGGGATGCTGGAAGAAGTCATTTTGCGGGTTATGTTGAGGTGTGGGCTAATGAAAGACGATGTTGGTGGTGATGGTGGTAGAATTGGAGAGGAGAGCTGCGAGCGGAGTGCTGAAAGTCTTGCTCTTGTGTTGATGATGGTTCTTGCTTGTGAGGCAATTGCGCGATTCAGATACATTAAGTCGCTGGATCTCCAGGATGCGAGGTGTACTTTATACCGACGAGACTATAACCCTTCGGACTCCGTAGAGTAGGAGATAACCAAAGAGTTTGGAAAAGGATGGAAGCTGGACATTTGGAGTGTGGGGTACCTGTGCGATGTAGTACGGAAATAGATCCGCCCACTTTCGTCATTGTCGATCTACATCTAGGATTGGTAAGCATTCAGACAGACGGAGTATATATTCTGTACTTCTTCTGTCTCTTCAAAACAAGCCTATTATCTTGTCGTGGATGATTGAAGGAAGAGTACATGCGATCTATAGATGCGGGGACATCGGACATCGTTCCGAGATCTACTCAACCCAAACGGTGCCCTGAACGGACGGTCAGTTCACAATAGACACAGCATATTCGTCAATTAGCCCTTTGCAAGAATTAAAAATGAAATAACTATCTACATCTAGAGATGTCACATTTCAGCCTAGACGGCCAGATTCCATCTTTTTCTCTAGCATAATCAGTACCAGAATCCTCTCGTGCCCCTTTCGAGACCAGAGCTCTGGCCAGAGCAAATAATTTCTGTTCTCCTTGAGATAACGGCTGGGAGCTCAAATCTTCTCCGGCCAAACCTCCACGAGAATCGACTAATGCGACTAGTTCCACCTTATCAAGTGCGGTCATGATCATTGCATCTGTTGCAGTCCCTTGTGGGTCAAGAGTAAATCGAATTGAGCACCCGGGTAGAGCTGGCAGTGGATCCTGTGGAATAGCAATCAGACGTGAACGAAGGATCAATTCGAATTGTGCCGGCTTTTAAATCCAAAAGACGGAGTAATAGCAAGAGGAAAGTATTTTTCCCACTAATTTATATTAGCAAACGCATCAAGTGTGACGGCTGGGCATAGCTCTGTGTTTCCGTCTCAGTTCACAGATAGGGCTCGGAGCCGTATAACCCTATCCGCGCCGTATTGGGAAGTCATATCAACATCATATGTTGGAGCTGGATAGGGAATGGCGGCTCGCACAGAGATTTACATGCGAAACGAGGGCCAGAACTTTTGCTTCATTTCTTCCTTTTCCCCCCTTATGCTCAATATTACCCGTCGACAAGCACCGCTTGTACGAGATAGCTAGCTAGGATAGGGTACTCAAATCAAGCAGATTGGCATCGTCACATTTGTGCTGTTACAACTTTGCCCTCTCCAAGGGATGCTCGTCCGCGAGTATCATACTTATGCTTATCAATATCCATGCAACCAGTGACTATCCTCATTAAAAAACCTAGTGGGAGAAAGAGTGATAGTCCTAGTTCAATTCTCTTCATTTTTCTTCCTGTGGCGCCTCTTCTTTAGTTAGTTATTTAGGGTTAGGGTTAAGCCTTCTTTCGGTATACCCTAGGGGATAGCTTGCAGGGGTGATGATTGTGACGGCTCAGGCTGACGGTGGCCCCTCTCCTGCCAAGCTGCAGAAAACGGACATTATTCGGTCGTTGAGCTTCTGCTCAGGAATGGTGCCAATATTGATTCGAAGAATAACGATGGCAGGACACCTTTGCGTCAAGCTGGGAAGAATAGACACGAATCGATGGTGGAGCTGCTGCTTCAGAGTGGCGCAATGGACAACCGTGTGCTTAAGATCGCGATTCTAGGTACATAGAGTCTCCTACATATGCCCTATGCTGCCTCTAACATCTTTAAAGGCGGCATAGAGAGCGGAAAATCGATTATTATGAAGTAGACGCACATCCTATTCCGCGACGGATATCGGGACTATCAGCTAACCAGACTTCCCCGTCAATTGTTGCGAATCCCGCCTCGCTCTGCCTGGTCTCTGTTCCATACTATATCTTACCATACTAGATCATCTAGTATGCGCGCAGCTTTTTGGTCTAGGTGGTCCCAACATCAATTTTTTACGCGAATTTACTTTACGTGGCAAAGACGACAATAATATACATGCGGAAGCATAACTTGGAACCGACGGAACGCAGGAATCAAGAATACTTGGACTTCTTAATGGAATATACCCTTGGTGATCCGGACACTCCTCCTGACCCCAAAGTTGGAGATACTATAACCTCGTTGTGGAGGGATGGAAGTATCAAAAAGCTTACGGAGCATCGAAAAAAGGTCTACCTCCCTGACTCAACGCCTTAGTATTCACTATGCAATACCAGTACCACATATTCGAAGGGCTGCTAACAGCATACTAGTTTGTTTAATGAAGCCAAACGGATTGCTTGTGCTGACTTCGAGCCAACCGAGGCTGACTGGATCAGAGTAGGAATTGACATCCCGATGGCGGGCTTCTATATTGATAAATTAGAATATCGGTAATGCTAACAGTTAAAACCCGCGATTCCCTTTCATATCGCTGACCTACCTGAAGCATGGCTAATGTTTGTGGAGGACGATGTGAAAGAAAGAAGTGGGCCGGCTCTATCGAAGATGCAGATTTAGTTATATTTTGTGCTGCATTGAGCGAATACGATCAAGTCTTGCTGGAAGATCGCAACCAAGTACATTACTCAATCGAGTAGGCTTGATGTGAACCTAATGGCTTGTCAGAACCGGCTCAAGGAGAGCTTGTCATTGTTTGAGGCAGTCGTTAATTCAGACCATTTTGCGAAGACTAGTATTCTTCCGTTTCTGACCAAATTCGACTTGTTGGGACAGAAGCTAGTTAAAATCTCCTCTTGAAAAGTATTTCCCCGGTTATACTGGCAGAGATGACCCAGGCCGTGCGGCCAAGTATATTTTGAACAATTCAAGAAAGTCGATAAAGCACATTTAAATGTAAATCCTTGGTAACTACTCCGTCGTGTTACTGATGGATTAACACTGATAATCTTATTCCTCAAGCATAATTGACGGGACTGAAACCACCAAATTACAGAGTATCTTCACAGCTATTAAAAGGAGCATTATTGCCAAAATTGCAAGTCAGCGGTAAATCATATCGCAAACAATGGTATTCACCTGTATAACAATCAGGTTGATTGACTTCAAGTAGCTTGCGACAGAATGAGAGTGGTGCCTGCCGGTATAGGTATCCGATATTAGGGTTATTCAGCCAGCCTCCGATCTATCCTACCTGAATAGGTATCTATTCAAATTAAAAATTCGAAACTAATTCTTTATACATCGTAATATTCTTAAACCCTAGGTTATCAAATCATATTGAATGATGCCCGAGGCAAGAAAAGAAAATCAGACTACTCATAATAAATTTGGGACTACGATGAATTCAAAGATTGGCAGATTTTGATTTGAATACATTGGTTCAGATTTTGATGTTCGCTGACTTCATATTCAAGAGTGAATCAAGGCCTCCCTCAGTATGATATTCACCTCTACTCGGATCGAGACATCGATACTCGCAGCGCGGCAGACTGAACACTCTGTACAATGCCATCTTTGTCGAAACCGATAATGAAATCATCCGTAGCCAAGTTTTTGTAGATAAGAGCGTCAAGGAACAACCAGTAGTCATTGTTGTATGACCAAAAGTCTCCTTTTGCTGGCTCGCCATCTGACGCTAAAAAGTTCAAATGGTAGGTATAATAAGTTATGCTGTCAGCCTCCACGCTCAGTTCTGTTGGGTAGAGACGGAAGTCATCATAGCTGGCCAGGTATGCATTCTGTAGAAAGTTGGTCCCGTTGCTAATCCACTCCTGGATTACAACTCCGGGGCCACCGTCCACGCCCAGCGTGATAGAAGAGTTGATATTGGTGGCTTGGAAAGTGCCGGTAAACGCTCTCCTCGCTTGTTCCTTAGCAGAAGCTTCTGCTGCTTGGTACTAATATCTTGTTAGGATCAAGCTTTGCCATAAAAAAAGTGATTTGGTAAAGTCGTTTGACTTACGAAGATCTCAACAACGGTGTCTCTCACAGGCGAAATCTGAGTATGGGGGTTGACACCAGCTGCTAGAACGCTGAGGCCAACCCCAAAATCTGGAACCACTCCAAAGAATGTCGAGTAGGCACCGATGTCACCCGATTTAGAGTACATGTCAACGATATGGCTGGCATTGATGATGGTGTTTGCTGGAAGAAGGTATCTTTGAATCTCCCAAGGTGCCTAAGAAGAACGAAGTTAACAATCATCCGGCGCAGTCAGTGGAATGCGCAGGAAAATCAACTTACCCCGACGGATTTCAACAGCTGCGACGTGAAGGTCACTGGTTTTAGCCAGCGACGGGTAACATAAGATGGCATTAAAGTACTCTTGAGGATTGCCCGACCGAAAGTTGCTAAGTCCTTGGTTGAGGTGTACTGGCCCCCAGAGCTAATAAATAAGACAAAAGAGATAAGATCAGGAATAATAGTGTTTCTGGATGGCGTACTTACGGTCCTGCAAGGCCAAGCTCATAGTCAAATGCTGAGAAGGTGGTATTGTAGGGGATTATAGTATTTGCGTTACTTCCAGGGGCTGTTGGACTTGTTGATGTCATGCCCAGTTTTTTATAGATTTTGACTTGACCTTCGTTAATGGAGTGTCCTGTAACTTCTTCGTATGCAAGGGCGAGGATCTGGTATGCAACATTGGAATAGACGGGAGAGCTATAAGATGGGTACAATGGTGGATGGTGGATGATGCCATTGAGAAGTTCTAAGACAATACGTCAGTATGGAGTGATACTTGACATAGCTTTTGAGAATAAACTCACGCTTTCGTGTACAAGTGGGAAGATAGTAGCTGTAGAAGCTGCATTGGGTAATGGTGTCATTATCAACAGGAGGGTACCCAAGGCTGATAGCCCCAGGAATCACTTCTGGCGGGGGTATCCCGGTGATATATGGAGTGGCAAGATCGCCAACGTGAACTGTGAAACTTTTGTCAACATCGTCAAAAATGGAACCCAAAACAGGAGGCTTACAGTTGACACCAATTCCGGACATTTGGGAGGCAAGGCTGCCAATAGTGACCTCACTCCAATTAGTGTAGAAGAGCGAATTGCTGGATTTAGTGGCAGCTTGAGCAAGTTCAGGCTAAGATGGGAGAGTCAGGAAAAGTCAGGTGAAAGCTTTACAGAGTGACTGACAATGTATTTAGTGATAGGATCTGTGAAAACTGAGTCCCCGATATCGACCATCCATGTGTACATAGTGAGAAGTTTCCCGACACTGCCTGTTCGATAAATCGTCTCATCACTTAAATTACCCTTGGTGAGCGACCCATCCAGCCCTGGTGCCTCGAAGTGGAAATCGAATAAAGGCTCGTCACTAGTTAAGTCGAACACCAATACAGAGAAGGATGTCGTCTGGTTGTCTAAGGAACCATACATATTAGCACCATTTGCCAGTGCCTCATTGAGTGCTGCAAGAGCTTGAGCTTTGGCATTAGTAAACGCTTTGTATGATGCATTTGATGCAGGTTGGTATAGGGGCCCCAGCACAGCAAGGTCTATCTTTGGCAGTTGTGTGCTGGCGAGCACCGACATGGAAGCGCTTGCCCAGACGAAGAAGCGACAAAACTGCATTTTATAAATAGCGGTAGTTGAGTTGACACCAGACAATGGATACTTGGATTTGCTCTCATAGAAATGGGCATGATGCCTTCTTATGCTAAACGGGTCTGTAGTAGTACCTATCCCGACTCAGCGCTAGCAAAACACGAAGATGATGATTATCTACTGGTCATTTGTATCTACTATTCACTCCAGGGGCCCCACTGGGTATCTGGTCCCCATATTGAATTAACTGGGCTACATAGTTTGGAATTAGAACGTGAATGATAGAGCTCTACTGTTTTAGGAATGCACCATCATCCACCTAGTTAGGGCTAATTATAGACCAAAACGGGCAAGCTTGCTCGCTCTCTCACTCCAGATCTGGTTAGCGCATCTCGGTCTCGGTAAGATGTCCCTAGATAGGATGCTACAACCACAACATCGGCCAACTAACTCTGCTTGAAACTTTTGTTGCGTTGTGCAAGTTAGAATATGAGAGGCATGATGTCTGTAAAAACTCACGATTTGAACGGTAGCTGAGTCTCGCTGTTTGATCGAGAGAGTGACGGTAACTGTTAGCTTCATAAAGACAGGGGACCTTGGACAGCATCTCCAGTTTGCATTTGTTCCATGCCGCAGCCCGCAGCACATTCTATTCTGAACCAAATACTAAACGTTGATCCCACGATGGCACCTACAGGAAATGCTACTGCAGCAATCCCGGCATCAGAAGAAACCCCATCCGCCAATAACGGCACCCCTTCAACCAAGACCTCTCCTCTGAACGAGGAATTTGAGAAGCTTGTGTACGAAACATTGAGTAAATGGCACATACAAGGTGTCTCTATTGCAGTAGTTGACGGAGATGAGACCTGGGCCGAGGTAATTCGTCGCTCGTTCTTCTTTCACCAGTTGTTTACTAATTGCCATAAACAGGGATATGGAATCGCCGCGTTGCCGGATGTCCCAGTTCGACCTTCGACCTTGTTTTATACGGGGAGCACGACCAAGTCCTTCACTGCTGCGGCGGCCTCTCTGCTAGTCGATGATGACGAAAAGTATCCCAACATCAAATGGACCACTCCTCTCAATCAGATAATTCGGGACGACTTTGTCCTCTCAGACGAGTATGCCACCTCACATGTGACGTTGGAGGACGCTCTCTCCAATCGATCTGGGTTGCCAGGGCATGAACTGACCTTGGGCCGGCCCGGCAGCGTCCGAGATGTCGTTCGAAGCCTGCGCCACTTCAAAATGAACAAGGATGTCAGGACCACCTGGCAGTATTGCAATGCATTATTTATTACTGTGGCACATGTGATCGAGGTCGTGACTGGAGAGTGGCTAGGGGACTTTCTACGCAAACACATATGGGATCCCCTGGATATGAAGTCAACTTTCTTTTCCCTCGAAGACGCTCAGAAGTACGTTGCTTCAAGTGAGAATGACGCCAATCTCGCGATACCCTATGGCTGGGACGAAGAGAGCTCTCAGGCAAAGGAGATCCCTTATTGTGACGCAGTATTGAGCGGCGCCGGCGCTGTAATATCAAACGTCCTTGATTACGCCAAGTATATCCGATCTATGATGCGGCAGTCTGGCCCGTTGTCAAAAGCAGGGTATGCTGCGATGCTTACTCCACGTTCTTTCTGCCCGCAGATGCTACCACAGCTCAAAAAGCAGATGTTATATACATTGGGTTGGATGTCATCGACGTACCATGGCGAATTTGTCATGTTGCATCCTGGAGGCTTGGAGGGCATGACTGCAACCATGGTTTATTTTCCTGAACGTGATTGGGGTGCCCTCGTCTTCTGCAACGCCGATGGTCCAGGGCGAGAAACTCTCGCATGGTATCTTATAGATGAAATGCTGACCGTTCCACAAAGCCAACGTATTAACCTCTACAATGTGTAAGCTCCAAGTTTCTAAGGAAAATCGCAATACGTTTATCATGTCCGTACTTATACGCTAATGCGCCTTTTTAGCACTCAGAAGAGGCTTGCCCAACGAAGAGAGTACAACTCAACGGCCCAACAACGCCTATATCCGTCTATACCTTCTCCAGCTCGGCCCTTGTCCCTCCCATTGACAAACTATACTGGCACATATACACACCCAGCCCATCCGGATCTGATCATTAGCGTGACATCTGACGATGATCCTCAACTCAACGTTCTTCTCACAGGATCTTTCCCTACTCGAATGAAACTGAAACACGTCACTGCTGAGTTCTTTTTAGCAGAGATATTTTTGTTTCGGTTTCATCAGGAATCTGACGCCGTTGTCAAGGCTGAATTTCAGATAAATGCTGAGGGCAGAGTGACTAGATTTGGTGCCGCTATTGATTTTGCAGACATGCCGGACACACTCATTTGGTTTGAACGTACCAACTGAACAATAACAATTTTTTAGGCCCTAATGTCACTATTAGACACATGGTAGAGAATGAGGCTTATATATAGCATTTGAAAACAGACTACTGTAACCTTGGAATGGGTATTTTTTTACAACTTCTAGGTGAAATAATGACATTGTACACCAAAGATCTAGTGCTCGGCTAATATTTAAATGGACCTTAAATGCAAGATATTTAAATTTCTAAAGAAGCTTGTCCATCCAAAACTTAGTCTGTATCTCGGTTGAAGCTTTAATCGTCTTGGCCATATGGAACCCATGCCCTTCTCCCTGGAACATCACAACCTGGATATCTTTCCCGAGTTCGCGCATTTTTTCCTCCATGCGCGTAGCCTGCCACGCCGGAACAACTGTATCGACGTTTCCTTGCAAGAGCAATAGTGGCGCCTTAATGTTCTGCGCATGATAAACCGCACTGCGGCTCTTGTAGATGGCCTCTATTTCCTCCTTGCTTTTATCTCCTTTGCCTAGCACAAGAGAGTCAATATAATGACTTTCAAATTTATGAGTCGTTTCTGCAAATTCCGGCAAGCTGCAAATTCCATAAATGCTCATTCCAGCAGCCCAGATTTCCGGGTATATGTAAAGAGCTTGCATGACTGCGTAGCCGCCAGCGCTCTCACCAACAATTCCAACCTTAGTAGGATCAATTATGCCTTCGGAACTGAGATATGCAACGCAGCTAGCTGCATCTTCAATGTCGGCAGCGCCCCATTGGCCGTCAAGGAGCTCACGGTAAGCACGCCCGTAACCGGTGGACCCAACATGATTGACAAGCACATAGGCATAGCCGCGTGATGTCCAGTATTGGGTAGTCAGAGAAAGCCCCGGTGAAACATGGTATGTTGGGCCACCATGCATCCACACTAACAAGGGAGGCTTTGTTCCTTCCAGCCCTTTGAATGCACTGTTCTTAGATTCGACAAGCCAAGCGTTCGCAGATCCGGCGTTTCCTTTACTGTAAACTCGCGGAAATTTGATGTGTCGCGCCTGTGAGATGACTGATTCAGGTATGTCAAGCTGTATAGTTGATCTAAGTAGCTTCGTAGAAGCACTGTTGCCCAAGTCGACCCGATAGAGCGCCTGCGGGGTAGTCCGAGTACTTCCTATGACGGCAAAGGATGAAGACGAGATACGCGCGAGAGCATTCTTTTGAATCTCGACGATAGGCAAGGATAAGTCTTTCCATGAATTAGTGTTTAGGTCAATCAATATTAGATTAGATGTTGCGCTTTTGATAGCAGACGCGACAAGAGTGTCCTCATCTAGCTGGATATAGGTGCAACTGAGAGTCAGCGTTAGTCAGACTTCTTTGGTAATTTCGACACGAAATAGTGGCTTACTTCGCAAGACAAGGCTCTCTGCTTCCGAACTCGGCAGACTCTAGTCCATCAAGATGAATGTGATTCGACACGGCTCCGTCAAACCGATACAATTGCCAATAACCGGACTTGTCACTAACATAGAATAAAGTGCCATCTATACTCCATCTTGGTTGACAAATGCTCTCGACACCAGCTTGACCTGAAACCAGATTACCCTCCAATAGTTTGTTGGGCTCCCAAGAAGCTATGCATAGTAGTGTCCCGGTCCAAGGCATGTCGGGATGATCCCATTGTGTCCAACAGATTTGGCTGCCATCTGGACTGAATTGTGGATGCTGATAAAAATCCGCACCCTGTACGATATTAGACACATTTGCCGTTGGGACGTGAATAGCGACAATCGTATTTGTTACAGTCGTGCTACCGTGAGAATCTTTAGTGTGAGTCTCTTGGACGGCAACAATCCATTCCTGAGCCGTAGGATGAACATTAAAATTGCCATAGCGCACGTCCGCATCAGGAGCCACCACGGTCTCTACCTGCCCAGATGCAGGGTCTAACAGAAAAATGCCATTATTTGGATGATTGGTGAAGAGTAAGCGGCCATTGGGGTGCATTGCAATGGAACCACCGCCGTATTCGTGAATTGTGCCCATAGCACTATACTTCGGGGCCAAAACATCTTTTGCAGAGGCATCAGTCAACTCCACAACAGCATATCTTCCACCTTCTGCAGGGCGTGACTCGAGAACGAAAAGTTTTCCGGTTAATGGCTTACTTTGATGAGTTATGGCATATACACTTCACATGTTCCGGGTTAGATGACTTACATTCGCCTGCACTCCTTCAAGATGAATACTGTCGCCGGAGAGATGCTCGGCAGTGATGGGACTGTCCCATTTTCCGTACGGCGCAACTGTCGATGCGTCTGCCATTACTTTACCACGTACCTAAGATGAATATATTTCTCAGGGACGAAACTCGACTAGGGTTGACGAAACCAAATGTACCATTCATCATGGCTGCCCTCCTTTCATATGCAAAGAAGCTGCATTGCGAGTTTATCTTGGAAATATACTCTCGCTCCCAGACACCCAATGCGGAAAGCTACCATCTCGGACTATCGCCAACTATCACCAGGGCTAGATCCAAACTAGGCTAGCCATGTGCAAAGTATGTAGTTCCCTAGAAGGATAAGAAAAGCAATGAGAGTAAGCTGGGAACGTTCAATTATTTCTTTCCCAAAGATAATGGTGATATGGCATTTGGTCAGATCCGGTCGTGTCTTCCCAAAAATTCATCTGGACCACCAAATTCGAATTGAGGATTTTGCAAAGGATCGAAGGACACATTCAACCTACGAATTCACGACCGTATGCATAAATACTGCGATCTACCTCCCATGGCTTTTGTCCAAGTGTCTGGGTAATGGCGTCGCCTTCAAAAGAGCAGTAGTTGAGCACGTTACCGATGCTGCATGCCTTCACGAGAACCCAGGACACGTGTAGTTAATTGTTAACTGTACTGGATTAATGGTGCGAAGCCTCGGAGGCGTTGAGGACAAAAAGCGTTGTCCCTGCCAGAGGACAGGTGGTAGTTGTTCGTAATGACCCAGGGGTCATGACCACCGTCTCGAACACAACGTCTGGACAAAACGCGATGGTGTACATGATGTGCCGTCCTGGAGGCAAGTCCTTTGAATATACTCCGACCTCAGTGGAGAGAAAAATTGACACACGACATACAGGAGGGGGATCAATCCTCGGAGGTTGTTACCAGGTCAACAATTGGGAAGAGTCCCCAGACACAGACCTTGCCGAAAATATCAAGAGAGGCTGTGTGACTCTGTATCCAGCATTGACGCAGGGGCAAGGTGTGGATGAGCTGAGCATCATTCGCCATGGTGTGGGCTTCCGTCCCTTGCGTCCTCAAGGCGTGCGTATCGAAACTGAATATATCAGGGGGATACCAGTCGTTCATAATTATGGCCATGGAGGCTGGGGATATCAATCGTCGTACGGATGTACATCTGCAGTGGGTTTGCTTGTAGAACGAGAAACAAAGATTGAAGCTAATCTTTAGATGTAGACAAGACTTGAAAAGTTGTTGATAAAATGGAATCTTAAAAGCATAGCATAGAAGTAATAGCCACAGTCTCAAAATGCGAAGTTTTTGAATCTGTGTAAGGGCCTTTTGCTCTTCTCACTCTTCCTTACAAAGAAAAGGAAATCGTTTATCAAAGGTAACTAGTTTGACATAGACAGCAGGACTCTGCATTGTAATATACAACAAAGCTACCCATAGCATAGAGACCTTGTCAAAAAGATCTCAATTCACACAAGGTAGACAATTCCGCAAGCCTCTGAAACTCAGAAAAGGTACACCATCTGTATCTAACCTCTTCACTTGTGCTAATGGTAGTAATGGAATAATGTGCTATGAACAGAGTTATTGATCAAGTCCCAGAATCATGTTTGACTATCCATCTCGAATAAACATCAAATACATACGTGGTTGTGTGAATATAAGACTATCCCAAATCAAGAATCCTCCTTCGATGGAGCGGAGTCTCCACCTTCACCTATATGGACTTTCTCCTTCAATGCATCCACCGCACCAGTCTTTCCAATAACCACTCCCTTATAATCTCTGCTTTCGTCCACCTGCATGATATTAAGATCTATCACCAAGAGAGAACAGAGAAGTGCAACGGCAACAAGAACCAAACCTGCTAGTATCATGGTTCGGAACACAGTAGTATACGATTTATTGATAGCGTCACGGATTGGTGTTCCCCATTCATATGACATTGCAGCAACAACAGAGCCTTCGATCTCCGACAGGGCGCTTGCCGCATCCGAAGGCAGGTTGGCGCGAAGTTTGCGAGGAAGTAAACCTGATAATGGTGTTAGAATTCCATCATGGACCTCCAGGAATAATCGGTTTCCTACTTGTCCAGATTCCTCCTGCGGCAGCAGAACCAATAGCATTTCCAATTCCGATAGCTGTAGTGTACAACGCCGTTCCCGCTGCCATGTCTATAGGACGAGAGTGAGAAATTAATCGAGGGTGATGGCTTGCAGATTGGTTTGGTCTTACCGGCTTGACTGACGGAGGCCTGCACTCCAAATTGAGTCGTCATGACGATGCCTTCTCCAATACCCAGGATCAATTGGGAAACAACAAGTTGAGGCATTTGGCCATGACCATTGATATACTTGTACGTTAAACCCATTCCGAGGACTATAACTCCGTATCCAGATACTACGATCCATTTGTATCTTCTGGAATACTTAACCAAAAGCGCCGCACCGACCTGGCCTAACGATCCTGCAAATGGTATAAGGATATAGATGTTCGTTGCTGCGTTTACTGAAAGATTGGCTGCCACCATTTCGTAATAGATGAGGTAGCTTTGAAGTAGGTAAAGACCGGCATAGTTGATTAGCATAGCTGTGCTCTCGTCGTTAGCTTATGTCGACCTTCTCAATTGAGACGAGATATCTACCTGACAACCCGAAGATGACTGTACGGCTCGTGAGAAGGGATATTGGCAAGATTGGCCATTGAGCCCATTTAGTCTCCCATACGGCCAGTGCAACTAAACAGACAGCACCAACTATGAGATCTGCGATTGTATGTGCGCTCTTCCAGGTATTAGTATTCGAGGAAGCTAGCGATATTGGGATCAGTATAAGGGAGAGCCCCGCGGCCAAGAGACCGAGGCCGACTGGATCAAGTTGGAGGAAGTTTTGTAAGTGATTTAGACGCTGGTAGGTCCCTTCTGCTTTTCTCAACTTCTTGCCTTTTCTCTTGTTAATGTAAAGGGAAGCTAAAAGAGGTATTGCGATTGTGGGAATCTAGAACGTTAGCTGGTATCGGAGCAGCATAAATGGCACGGAGACAAACAATAATTGCGAAAATTCCGAACCCCCATCTCCACGTAATCTTGATTATTCCCGATGCGACTGGTCCGGCAATCTAATCAAACATTAGGTTAACGACAATCGAAAATAAGATTCTGGAGCCAGGTGCTCACCCAACAAGTTATAAGTGAAGGGGTAAGGGGTATCGCGCTGAGAAGGGCACGGTTGTGGAGATCACTGGTGTCTGGAGATAGAGGCCGTCAGTCCTCAGTTCGAAACAAACATTGGAAGATTGAGCTACACACCGCCCGCTAAGATCTGAAGCATCAACGAAATTCCTACAAACATCAGTTATGTTGTTAGTGGAGTTGCGGAATACATGGCGTACCTATATACCCGAATGCCCAGAACACTTGAGCACCGGCATAGACGCTCACATTACTGGAGGATGCTATCATAATCTCTCCGATGGTTAACAAAAACACTGAAAGCGCGAACATTTCAAATCGTCTGCATTACATTAGAGTGAGACCGTCAAATGGGAAAAGATAGATATGGTATACTAGCCCGTATACATCTGCCAGCCTCGCGAGAGGTTGTAGCGCCACTGTAATCCTCTTAGCATGGAACAGTACGAAGTTGACAATCACAAACCGGATGACACAACAGACTGCACCACGGTGATGGTTCCTAAGAGTGGAGCGGAAGCAAACTCGCTTGTAGCATAGGATGCAAACGAGTTTGCGGTATGGTTGTTCAAGTTGAGGGCGAAACTCATCAGCAACGCCGATATCCATATGACAACCAATCCTTGCAAATTCCAGCTCCGCTTGATGCCATCCAGGTCTGCGAGACCAGCGAGTTGCTTGGTCTCCATGGTTGCACGGGCATTCTCGCCACCAGCTATGGCAACGCTTTCAGCATCAATGTCCACAGACGGACTCTTCTGATCGAAGGTCTTTTGACCCTCCGGAGCTTCTGAGGAGTCCATTGTTTTCGGCAAAGTTCTTTCGTCAATGGTCGATTGTGAACAATGAACAAGAGCACAAAGCCATTAGTTCCATGCCCCCCTCTATATTCGTTACTCGAGGTTTCACGTTATCAGGAGCTGTGCATAGTGGGTGATTCTAGATTTGCACCCCCTCTGCAAGCTCTGCAAGCTCTGGAGGCTGTTGTGTTGGTTGATGGCTTAAAGCTGGCCCATCTTCATGGCAGTCGCTCTGCTATACCAAATTCGGCCAGCAGATCCGACGACATAGTCCGAGCTTACCAAACACGCATTGGCATTGGCTAATTAACCTTAGGTTGTTGGTTCTAATGAGCGCTCAATAGTAGACAAACTCAGGTGGTAGTACTATAATATGATAAGTAGATTAAACTTTACCTTCTCTGTTAGTATTAGATAGCTACATGGTTCTAAATTCCAATGGGTCAATAATTCTGTTATCCGGGGTCAAAGGGCGGATTTTGTCGGCTAATTCGGTATATTTGCTCTACTAACTGTCGCTAGCATCGCCACTGACCAGACTACCGGGCAGATAATTGAGATATGTCGAGGATAGCCGAACCGCGCCCTGTATTTGTACGACCTCATCTAATGGATCAATATTCTTTGATTCCTAAGGACCGTGCAGAGCTGCGCATGGACTCTGGGTGGCAGATGCTATATCTCTCATTAGCATAAACGCCCTTGCTCTCCTTACATAAGCTATTCTTTGCTTAAGTCCAGTTAAGAGCAGATGGGCACAGGGAACACTCAGCAGTCCATATTAACTATGTTATAATCTTAAGCTAATCTCCACGTGTATGATTGCAGAACGTGCTCGTATGCCATGATCCAGAGGTGCGGAATACCATACTGCATCCGGGTCGATGAACAGGATACCAACGTATTATGCAAATGTTCTGGTAGTACATAGACGCGACCGGTGATGATAGTGCAGTCCTACTGTGGACCTCGAATTGGAAAGACATTTACAATAGGTGGGTAAGGGTGAAAATAAAAAGGTGGAAGGTTCTCCTGCAACTGCAATGACACCTCCATCTCTACCAGATCCACCAAGTGCGTGATGATATTTCACGCAGGTAAGGCATCGTATGAGTACATGTTAGTCATATAAGTCATATAAAACGCCCAACTTGTCCCAGCCATAGTTGTGCAATCTTGACTCTTGGCCGCCTTACCTCCTCCACTGGCCACGTTCGGCATTCACCCTTGATGGATTTGGTGTGAGAAGAGGCTAAGCGGCCACGACTGGAATATATGGCATAATAGCTTTTGTGCAAAAGTGATGAGGTGCAGTAGATCAGCTCTAGCCCTTGCGCTTGCTGAGGAGAGGAGAGGAAAGGAAAGGAAAGTAAAAGGAAGCAAATCCTTATCAGAGGCCACGTGATGGCGCCTCCACTTTCCTTAGTTATCTGATAACGGGGCGGAAACCCTCGGCGTTAAGGCTCCCCCATCTCCATATCGGCCTCCCAGATGACAATAACAGGATAGAATCAACACTCCTCTCCCCCCCCTGCCCGTCATATTAACTGTAGTCCTGCGACAAAGCATTCATTCTCACCATATAGTCTAATTCCGCAATTCTGGGCTGACTCATCAGCAATTGCGCTGGCCTACATATTTTGTTTCCGCTCTCCACATCCGATAAGCCTGTCTCAATGGACATCCAGCCACGGAAGCGGATGAAGTCGGGCATCACCCGTGTTCGCACCGGCTGCTATACTTGCCGCCGGCGGAAGGTGAAGGTAGGTACGAACGATCATTGTCTGTAAAGGCCGTATTTATACTACATATCACCACACTGACATGCCGTGGCTCGCTGCAGTGTGATGAAGCAAAGCCAGTATGCCGGGCCTGCAGTCAGCTTGGTCTACACTGTGAAGGCTATGCGGTACGATACAAGTTCTGTGACCCCCAAATTATCAACACTACTGTGGGACTGGCGAGTCGCGAGTCGCAGAGAGACTCCTTCCCAGCAATCGTTGTCGCCGACGGCATTAGAAACATGGGGCCAGTCTACCAGTTCTGTTTCGGATACAGACAATCAGACAACCGTTCTTCAAAGCGAAGCCAGCGCGTTAGAGAAGAACGAGTCGTCCGTAGTCGATTCTCACGAATCCAGCTCGCAAAGCCAATCCAACATCACTATTGATAGCCATTTATCTCCCCTCGACGACGCTTTCCTCGACACCGCCCCCGCTTGGACTTGGGCTGCCACAGAAAGCTTCGATACATGCCATTCAATGGAGCGAATGGTTCGATTGCGTCATACAAGTGACTTATCTTCTTCAGACGACAGCACTAACCCCAGCGATTATGGGGACTCTACGCAAATACCAGCCATCTCAGACACTATGTTCCCCAACGTTAGCGATTATGCGTATCGAGCTTCTCCGTTGGCGAGCATGAGCGATCCTTCAAGCCTCAGTGACTATTATTTTTCGCAGTGGCACAACAGTGTGGCCACTCTACTACCCCCAGTATTTCGCGATATCACCGCTGAAATGCCCGATTTCCAGCCTCTGCGAAACGCGGTGCTAGCCATCTCAGCAGCATATGTAGCTCACCTTGAATCTTTGATTGTTCGTACGGCACATCGAACCAGGAAATCCTTTTATATGCCCCAGAAAGATCACCAATATCAAAGTTTACAGTACTACAATCAAGTCATTCAAGGCATCGGAAAGTGTGTAGAGATGTATCCCCAGATGAATTCGCTTCACGTCTTGGCAGCGCTGCTTCTATCTTACTACTTCGAATTGGACTCGGGATCTTTTGCTGGTGGCATCGGACACATGACTGTTATTGATAAATTCCTCTCCTCTCACCGCGATGAGATCGAATCCCATACCACAGGACAAAAATTACTATCTACCTGGATGAACCTACGCTCCCAGTTTGTGAATCGTTACTTGGGAAGCTACATACCCTCGATGTCTACTCACAGCATCGACATGTTCCCGCTCAATGGCATGATAACTCCCAAAGGATCACACCACGATTCCATCACTATTATGGTGTGCAATTGCAAGCTCTTGAGCCGAAAAATTATCCTCGACTGGTGTGTGACGCGCGGCGAGTCTCGAAGTGTCGGCAACAGTTCACCACTGGACAAGATACTTTCCCGGATGTCACTTCCGAAGGCCCGAAAAGAATCCGTATCACAACTAGCCGCCATTGACGACGACTACTGGAAGTCCTTGGAGAAGTGCCATGCGAAGCTCGATGAGTGGCACTCGACCCTTGAGCTATCCGAGCTCCCTATAGAGAGCTATGCATCTCAGCGTCGGAATCTAACCGGGCAGTCAACAAACGAATCTAATTCTCTTGACATACTTCCTTTGAAATTTCATACCTTTGAAGCCGCGATGAATTATGCCTATTATGCGCAAGCTCGGATGATGTGTTCCCTAGATGTGATCAACCGACTGAGAAACCCAAAGTTCGTTGTACCTCCTCTCACGAGGAAAGACTGCCCATGGGCAGAACTTATATTGCGGATCACGGCCGGCCTCCAGATTTCAGACTGTATTTACAAAAATACTTTCAACGCCGGCATTCTGCCCATTCTGATATTATGTATGGTTAGTTGTCCGCGCCCAGATGTGGCTTCATGGATAGAGGGATGGATACGCAAAGTAGAAGATTTCGGAGTCCCCCTGGAGAGTGGGTTACCATTTGGGTTGATAAAAAGAATCATTCGATTCATCATAAACCAAAGGCAAAGTCGGCGCGATGTGCTTCTGGTCTTGCCCCTCGACACCGAAGACGCAGAGAAATCAGATCTTTATCAAAGCGATTTCAGAATGCACGTAGGAATCTGCGGGAAGGATATTTATACAGGAAAACTATACAACGAAATTGTGGAGATACCAGAGGTATGACGAGACTGTATGAATACTTGGTTTTCTAGTGTGCTGCATGATACAGAAACACATCGTACGTGAAACAAATGCATACTACTAAAACGTCATTAGTAGATGTATCCAGACATGATCCATTGATGATATTCAAGATTAGGGCTACCTACCCTCACGTGCGCCAGCCTCCGAGATTTATTCTACCTGAATAGGTATCTATTCAAATGTCTAACAAGAGAGCGTCATATTACTTGGCTTCAATGAAAATTTAAAAACCGACCACTTGCAATATTTTTATATGCATGGGTACATCTTAGTCCCGCTTCAGGCATGAGTTGATGAGGCAGTGCTGTCAAATCATAACGAATGATGCCCAAGGCTAAGAAAAAGTACACGGCGATCATATGCCAAATTATCGGGCTATGCAGGAAGAAAATCTCAGCCAAATTTCAATCCACAAAATCGACTGCGTCCATGTTTTCCATAGTCCATTTGACGACGAAGTTTGCCGCCGTCATGAGAACCCACGCTAAAGCTAGCCCTAATCGCAATCCTGGAGTCATACATTGCTTGCGACGTGGCTGTGACAATCATTCACCCCCCTTTTTATTACAGCCTATTGGACTTGTCAAAACGACGGTGAAGGAACTGCGAAAAAAAATCAAACTTCGTTTACTGTCATGGTCTCTAGGCATCTCAATTCCAGAGATGTCTATTGGTAAATGTCTCCAAAGACAACAATATCCTCATTTCCAATTCCTACCTTGCAAGCACTTGTCACCTGAGCAGACCCATTGATGAAGTGGGCATTCCGTCCAGGGTTCATTGAGGCTTTGAGTGTGATGTTGTACAAGTAAGCCACGATAGACAACAGGGGTTGGGATATGGGCGATTATACTCGGCAATATGCTCGCGGTGAAAAGAGTACGATTCTGTTATACATCAATCCAACTCGCACCAGACACCGGCTTTCTTGTCATATGTCCAGCTTGGGGCCATGAAATCCTCTACGTTGCTCTTCGGATCATCGGATTGTTAGCCTCATGCATACGCCAGTACATCGACCACCGTCAGTGGAGATACATACGATCTTGCAGTTATAGCTAAATAGATAGCGTTTTATGTATATTCCATGTGGCAAATATCTTCATACATGATCTGCCAGGACATCACTTACAAGTCAAAACAAAAATGAGGCGAGTGGAGCGTATCCATTTCCTAGTGTACAAGTTCAAACTCGATCTATCACTGAATGCCCTAAAAAAGCGGATTTGTCTAGTAGACACAATCCATTGGTTGTATAGAGTCTTCAGAAATAAAACTGTACTATTTACAATTCCTTTTCGAGCATAATCCTCGACTGACAGTTCTTTTATTCGGCGAACAATTTCCGAACAGCTACACTACTACTGTACGATGATGCACAAATACTGCACTACGTAAATTATCGAAGCCACAATTTGACTACCTTTTCTTTGAAGTTATAATTTGCTCGGACTTGTATATCCATGTCAAGCCCTACTCAAAGATGAAGACGCTTTTGACCTGATCGATATTTGAAGATACTAACGTCACTGTACACATCAAAATTATGTAGAATATTTAGTTCCACCTTGTGGGGAGCTTGGGTTTGTTTCATATTCCAATTTTTTCATCCCAGCAACAGTATTTGTTGTCTGGCTGGTTTGTTTTCTGCTTGTGGTAGCACCCTTTTTAGGGTTGAAGCCCAACCGAACAGCTCCTGCCCGCCGCAAACAACAACAGCTCAGCTGCCCGACACACCACAGACCATGCCATATTTTTCTTCCTCCTTGTACTGTTCTCTTTAAATACCTCTGCACTCCATTTAAGAACTGATACTTGACTTTCTACCATCGAATACCCGATACAACAAAGCTTACTCCTGAAACAACTTCACCGCATCTCGACATCCTCGAACCCATTGGCATCGAATCAAGTCTCCCTGGTTGCTATGTTTACTTCGCCAAACAAACGTTTATTTCACCTCTGTTCATCACTTGCAACAGGTTAAGCATTAAAAAAAAAGGCAAGAAAGCCTTTGATCGAACCATTTCCCTTCTGTCGACCATACTATTGCTTCACTTTCCAGTTTGAATAAAAATGCCAGTCATCTGGCGACCCCAGCCTAGGAGGCTTCCACGGCCTTTTGTGGAAGATGAAGCCGAGTCTCTCTCTCATGAACTTGGGGGCTTATCTTTGTTGGGAGAGAAGCCCGGAGTAGAAGGTGCTTGCGAGCGTGGAACAATCGATCAACTACCCATTTTGCTAGACATTGAGCACATTCCTCGGTCAGCTACTGCCGATACGGATACTTCAACTTCTCAGCCTCCTTCTCTTGTCAGTGAGACCTCTAGGGAAAGCTCTGGGCCACGTACGCCACCACCGGCTGAGTTTGTCCCGCAAACCAAGCAGGCTCATCGCCCCCAATTTGATGCCGTTCCTTCGTACAACTACTCATATGAACATTCAACGCCTTCTGATCGCCCTTTCTACTACGCAACTGGTGAGCTGAATACACTACAGCGAGGTTCACTCACCGACATGCCTCGAATGCAACATCCAAGTCCTCCACCACGCCAATACAGCCCCTTGCCGTCACCAGCTCTGAATTCAACTCCTGTCAGCATTCGGGGTCCTCCGGCAATCCAACACGTGCAGTCTGGGACACCTCGCAGTCGACCTACAATAGCGGAGCGCTTGGAAGAGAAACTTCGGTCTCGGAGGGAGCAGAATGTTTCGTATAAACACGACGTCAGACGAAGCGAGGAAGACATACTCCCATCGACCACAGTGATTGCTTCTGCTCCACCTTCACCCGTGGAAAGACTAACTGCAAACTCCGCACCTGTGCAGTACATCTCTGAGCCCAGCTCCCCACTTAGTATTGTTATGGAGCTGCAGGCAGATGATTCTCAAGATTGGAGAGAATATTACTCCTCAGTCGGTTCAGCAACACCTACTCGCCAGGATATGTCTTATTTTCCAACAACTCCTCAACAGAAAAGGATGATATCCCCACAAAATTCTTCTAATGAGAGCACTACGCAGAGTGTTGTGAGGCCACGGCGAGCTGTATCCTTCAAGGAAACGCCGCAGTATCGCATATTAGAACGTTCTATAACACCAACCTTCAATCGCCGCAGTTCTGATATGTCTCCCACCCGATCGACAACCTCGACAAACTCCTTAAAAAGTGTCGCTCCTCGTCCATCTGAGCCGTCGCCAAACCTTGCTTTGCGTCCTTGCCCAAGATCTTATCCAGTTTCGGGCTATCATGATTGGTACACAATCACTGGGATGGAGCATCTGAACATATGTCCTTCTTGCATGGGCCAGATTGGCAACTCCAAGTTTCGGGACTATTTCGTACCCAGCCTAAATACTACAGGGGCGCGTATACGCTGCTCGTTTAGCGAGGCATGGACAAGACTAGCCTGGATCCAGACTTTCAAAAAAAACTACGACAACCTGGATCTACTCTATGAAGTGACCCGTCCAACTGGTCTAACATGTCCCGGTCGGAGACTATCAACTCAAGTGTGGTACCGTGTGGTTGACTCCCAAACGGGTCTGAATGTTCCCAAGTTCGCAGCTTGTGCAGCATGCGTTCGCAACGTCGAAATCTTGATGCCTCCACTTCGGTCGACCTTCCGACGTCAGCCCGTCCTCCAGGAGAAGTTTTGTGATCTCTCTGTCGACAGTCCACGATTTGTGAAATACATTGATCTTCTCGACGCTGCATCCACTAAATGCGAATACGAGCGGTACGAATATCCTGACAACGGCAGGTTTATTGACTACTTTGAGCGGAAGTGTAACCTACGCGATTGCCGACGTCAACGACTCATCATTGGAACATGGCATTATATTCCGGAACTGCCTGAATTCACAGTCTGCGAGGATTGTTACGATGATGTTGTGCGGCCTCTCGCAGCAGCACAAAAGTCAATAGCACGACGACTAGCGAATCCTCCTCGACTGCTACCAGGATCAGGCCCGAACCGATGCCGCGAGGCAAGCTGCCAATTATATTCACACCGCATGCGAGCAAAATTCAAAGATGCAGTTTTGAACAATGATTACCGTATGTTGGAGTCCATTGCACTGAAGAGGTTCGATGCCGAATCACGATTCCATGATAGAGAGGAGGAATTGCTTCGTGTACCAGAAGCGGATAGGGGGTATCATTGGGAGGACGAATGGAGGCGCAATCTTGAACTTTGGAGACTATACGAATGACGATTTGATTTTATGAGCGCATATACCAGGACGGAGTATGGAATTTAGGCGATGGAATTGGGATATATCTTGCATGGGGATTTATTCGAGGAGTTATATGTTTGCACTGGCCGACGCTGTTTATTTTGTCTGCATTCGCAAAAGTTCTTGTTTTATCTGTTACGCTTGCTTTTTATTTCCTTCCTTTTCATTCTTGTTTCCAAGGTTTTGTTTCGGATTGTCTCCATAACGTTCTGTTTGATTGATTCATATGATATAAAATACAACATTGAACTTATTATACCTTAGAAGCTCACGTGGGCAAAGAAACCGATAAGTGATATGATTGCCATCTCGTTATATTTGTAGATTGCGTAGCATCTATGCCCCTATAGACATTACAGCCTCCTAAGTATTGATAAAAGCCATGGCCGAGTACATCAACCAACTAACCCAACAACCTCTCCAGGCCAATTCTTCCCCCAAACAAGCGCTCTAGCCGGCATCCTCCCACCAACAGGCGCCAAGACCCTGAGTTTCTTCTTTTCGGCATCTACATCAGCAACGTACACGAAACCCATGATACTTGAGTCTCTGATATCGCTCAGAGGAGCGTTGGGAGGGACATGTGTGATTGCAATCAAGGAATTTGCTAGGGCTAGAGTTGGTGGTTGCGTAAATTTCTTTAGCGGTATTTCGGTGTTGGAAGACGATGGGTCGTACATGCTGCGCGTCTCTTGTGGAGGGTTGCTTAAGGATGAGAATGATTCAGTGCCCGTACCGAAATTCGAAGGGTCGTATTCATCCTCGTCGTCTTCTGCGAGGCTAGACGTGATGGTATAATTATACAAAGCCAAGGAACCAAAATCAAGTTGTTGAGTATGAGGAGATAGCGTGATTTTGTTACTGTTACTTCCGCCAGCGCCGGATATAGATCCTATCACGCCGCCGATGGAAGTCGATGTGGCGGCAGAAGTTGCCGCAGTACCGAAGAAATACGATCGTATTTGAGATTCGTTTACGGCTTTCATGAATGATTCGTCTCTGTCGACGCAGCCGCCTGATTTGGATAGTTTGAGGACTGTGATGCGTTCATCGGAGTGGGTTGCGGAGGCGCTTGTGGTTGGTTTTTGGTCGTAGTTTTTGACCATGGTGCTGTATAAACGTTCGGAGCCGATGACGAGGATGGTGGATACTATTTAATATTAGCTGTATGCAACCCATGGATTTCCGAGCTGGACGAAGAGGGAGGCGTACTGGAGAATTCGGTGACAATATGATTGATCAACTCCAAAGATTTCGGCGACCCCTGACCAAGACTTCCATCTGTATCAACAATTATACCCGCTTCTCGCGCATCATCATCCTCAGCCATACGCGCTGTGACCGAAAGTGCCAATCTCGAAACAATCGGCTTAAACACATTCCCGTCCGCTTCAAACGGACTCTTCATGGGATAAAAATAAACCAACGGTAATTTCACCGGAGTCGGACTCGGCCCAGACATGGGGCTACTCCCCCATCCTTCTTCAACATCAAGCATAGACCGAAAAGCAGTCGCCGTCAATGTACCCGGAACACTCAACATGCCCTCCGTCGGATCCAGATTAACCACAATCGGCTGTCGGTCCATCTTGGTCGCGTATCCCGTAAGTATTTTTGTCAAAGTTGTTTTGCCTGCATTCTCAGGTCCCAATATCAATACTCGAGGACCATCTTTGCCGCCTTCGTTCTGGGCTTCTTGGCGCAGTGTTTCGAGGCCGAAATGGACGTTACTATATTCTATCATTGGTGTCTCCTCGGCGACGTATTCGCTTTGACATCCGCCGGCACCGTAACCTTGTGTTTGTCCGCTTCCTCCTGCGGCGGTAGAACCGCCCGGCGCAAAGCCATTGGATAAGTTGACCGTTTCGCCGGCTGCGACCTCTAACATACATCCATGCCAGGTATATATTGCCGCTTTCGTACCGCTAAATGTGTATGTTTGTAAAGGCGCGAGTTCAGTTCCGAATAATTCTGCCGTGCCGGTGAGTAACTATAAGTCTTGGATTAGCACTGTCTCATACGATCATTATTCTCTGAAATGAACAACGTACGGACCTTGACTCGAACCGTCGCACCAAATGCAATCTCAAATCTCCATTCAGAGCCTGCACGCAGATTAACCTGTGTTGGCGGAGGAGGGGCGTATTGCGCCTCGGTTGAAGCTTCAGCTAGCTCTAATCCAGGTAGAGACATGGCATTGCCAGAGAACAGGAAACCTTCGGAGACAACGAATGAAAAATTCTTATTGAGTTAGGATTCCTTAATGTACAAAATAGAGCTTCGGTACACTTGTATTTTTTTTGACTGGAGAGAAGTTGAAATACAAAATGTGAAGGGTCGTATGGAGTCTTGAGCTTTGTCGAGAAGCTTGGATACGATATGCGGAGCACTTCCATGTTTGTCCTGTTTGCATCCACATTTATCACTTATACTAAAGTCTATACAAAATAGATCCAATTAACTATTCATTCAAACAGTAATCTTGCATTGATTCGCCTATCATGAAAACTATCATTCTAAGCCAAATCAATTATGGGAGACTCATCCTCTGTTTCCCTAAATATAGCCGCAATCGCTATCTCAAACTCTGCCAGAAAATGTATAGGAAGTGTAGGATGATGATGAAGGGGGAAAAGGCCAAACAACAACTCCAATCAAGTCATAACGCCCTAATGAAAAAAACGGTCGAGGAAAAAATGAATAGTAGAAAGAGGAAAGAAAGTGGTTGTGTAAACAAAAAAAGGTAGGGGTATTTTTACATCGTATGTCAGTCTGCTGACATAGGTGCACAAGGGGTCAGGAAATGATTATTAAAAGAGAATAGACTGTACTTGTCACTTTCAGTCTGAACTATAAGTGAGAAATGAGAGCTGGGATTAAAAGAAGTAGGGAATTGCGGCACTGTAGTTTGTCATGTCAATACTGTTCAAACATCGACAACGAGATCCGGAGTGAATAACTTACGCAAGTGCTAAGGTAGCAGTCACACCAACAAGAGCCCTATTGCGAACCCGCTCCTTTCGAAGCTTGGTTTCTAAAACTTTGGCCTTCTTGGTGGGTTGAGCGGGTGTGTTGGAATTCTCGTCATCTTCCTCCTCGACTTCGTCTGATTTGCGCTTCTTGGAAGCCTTGGGCGACGAAGACTCGGCTGTAGTGTCTTGCTCTTGCAATTTCGTGGCCTCCTCAACCATCTTCTTTGCCTGAGCAATCATTTGCTCGGTATCCTCAGCGGGAGGAAGATCAGGTAGGGTGACTGGCATCTCAACAGTGACATTGGTCTGCGTGGTTTCAATCTCATCCTTGGTCTCAGTCGTAGATTCGACATTGACTGTAACCTTGTCATCGACAGCGGCATGTTTCTTTGACCTGGTCTTCTTAGGCTTCGTTTCGATAGTTTCAGCAACGGCAATTGTATCCTCAGCTGTTCTGTTGATCTCCTCCTTCTCTTGATCCGCAGCACCGTCTAACGCAGCTTGTAAAGAAGCACTGGCAGCGGTTGTTGCAGCCACAGAGCTTTCCTTGGTAGATCGATGGGCTCGTGACTTTCGTGGAGATGCGTTCTTTTTAGGAGATGATTTGGCTGGGGAGGCAGAGCGCCTGCTCCTGGTGCGAGAAGTAGGATTAAGTTCTGTCGAAGTCTCCAATTGGGGCATCTCGAATTTAGGTGGTGGTGTGATGGGTTTCTTTGAGCTTGCAGGGGTTTGAATAATCTCGGTCGAATCCAACAAAGCGCGAACCCAGTCCAGCATTTGATATTCCTTGGCAAGTTCCAACGCTGCGATAAAATTAGAAACGAGTCGAAGAACATGAGACGGTATTTAGCTGTGTAACATACCTAACATGGGTGAAATCCATAGGTTGCCGGCCGTCTCATCCACGCTGGTCTCTGTTTTCGACTTGACGTATTCTCTCTCGGCCTTCTCTTCCTCCGCCTTGGCCCAAGGAAACGCGATCTTGAACATGCCTGTGGCACTGATATAGCCGTCCTTACTCCGTCGCTATGTAATGAATCACGTAAGAAACTGAATACGTAGTAGACATCGGCTACTTACCATCAAGAAATATGTGTCTTGCTTCGTAGTTTGTGCCGGAAAAATCTCAGAGCCGGTCAAATCTTTGGGTAGTGGAGCGCGTAGATGCGCATATTCGAATGGTCCAAGATTCTCGGGTTTTGTGGCATTCGATGTTCCGATCTGGGCGGGTTTAACGGTCAAATGCGTCTTTCCCAACCGGCGCAATCCAAGTAATTCCTGATCTATCATTCAATCACAAAAAGGCGTTAGTGGGTTGTAGAGATAAACGAACGATTGTCTTCACGGCGCAAGACTGGACATCGCGATAATCGGTAGACGTTTCGCACGCGATAAGGAAAGACGGCGCAGGACTTGCGCCAGTCAGACCGGACGGATGGTAGGACGGCTCAACTTACAAGAAGGGGATGCGTCGGGGAGGATGAGAGGATTTGTTTGTTTGGGAAGGGATCGCATGGTGTCTGTAATCCCGTGCGACGACGGCGCGATTCGATAATCGTGTATAAAGTCGAGGAGGGGTGATGGACTAGGAGAGAAAGGAAGAAGAGGAAAGTATTTTTGAGGAACGATTAGATCACGAAAGCGCAAGAGGAGAAGGATAACAGCGGCTGCCACGTTGCAAGCGCGTCTCTGTAGGCCGCCGTAGAATCTTCCCCAAACGGGTTAGCCAGTCACGGTTACGTACTAATGAAGCCAACACTTGAATGAACACCCCTTTGAAAAGTTAGGAACAGTTCGGTTAAATATGATATGAAAAGACTCGGTCAGCGCTAGAATTGATCAAAAAAGATGAACTGCTGGCATACACTCTCAAAGTTCTCAAATGCAATGTGCTAATTGCAGGGATGTGACAGAGATTGAAGGAAAAGGGGGGAGAGCCCAAAACCCAATTGGGTCAGCATGAGCCTAAGGCCACAATATGCAAGTGATGTAACTTCTTCTGGCCTAGTGCATTGCAGCGGGAACGCCCGCGTCAGTATCGGAATTACTGTATCAATACAGTTTTACTAGCCTTCTGCTCCTGCTATCTTGAATTGGCACCAATAGTAGCTACTCTATATATACGTAGTGGTAACATACCGTACAATACATTTTACATATGTTCCTCGTATCGCCAAAAATTACGTGCCGCTGCCGGAAAACTACTGCGTCTTGTCCAGTGTCAAGTCTGCATAAAGCGCCATGTTTACAACATTCACAACACGGTTATCTCCAGCGGCATCTATAGCAAGATGTGCAAACAATGTTCAATTATTTTTTGCAACTTTCGATAGCGAGTGGAAAACATAAATACGGAGGCGGACATTGATTTATGATGCAGAAAGCGGCAAAACACTTGTGCTAGGTAACAGGCTCAAACGTGCTGATAAGAATAACATATTTGCATAGCAATGCGGCTTAATAGGTATATATTTGTCGGACTCAAAAGCTGCGCTTCAGTTGGAACGAGAAAGATGAAATGAATGAAATGTACTCTCGTTTAGTGCGCCCACTCCTTAGCAATGTCGAATGACCATGTGAATTCGAGATGAATGTGACCATCGTCATCCACAAATCGGGATCGTACAGTATAATGTCCTCGGGCAAGCATGCCAGAGGGAGCCTCTTCTTCATGGACTAAGAAATCGGGATGATTAGCTGTGCAGCCCTCCGGTAGAAAACCGAGGTATAATGGGCTTACATCGTTTCTCATATGTTGGTTTGTCAGTGGTATTTGGCGCATAGCTTCCCTGCAAGAAATTGTCAATAACTGCGCCATGAAACTGCATACAAACAGACACGACATACAAGCATCTCTTCATCTTTGGTGACTGTGATACCCTTGCGCTTAACCACATGGACATATTTCAGTCCACTCAACACATCGCGATGCACCTGGAAGACGACCTTGGTGAAGAACTTGGAGCCTTCCTTGATTGTGAATGGCTTATCCTTGAGTGATTCAAGAGCATTAGGCCCAGTCAGGTCGAGAGTGATATCGGGCTTGCCAGGTGTCTCAATAGCGAGTGATTGGATGATGCATGTCCTTGGATCGTTGGGATCGCCGATCGGTTCACCGGTATTTAAGCCTAGTGACGCTTTCCATCTATTGAGGGATTCGTCGTTTTGATCTATGCAAGATATGCGAAATTAGACTCATAGCCAGAAGGTGACAAGATTAGTGTCCTACCGAGGTTCTTGTATTCTTCAATGGTCTTCTTCTCTCCCACCTTGAATCCCTCAGTCTTGCTGGTGGAGAGCTCGTCCTCGTGTTCGGGCATTTTGATATATCGGTATGTGTATGTCTGGTGTCCTAACCGTTGGAATATCCGTATGAACTAGAGCTTCAACACATGTCAGGGTTAGTACAGTTATTGAAGGAAGCAATTGACCCAACACAGAGGAACATATGACTCACCAGTATAAATGAAAACAGCTAGACTGATGAAAGTAGAAAACGAGTGTTACTTGATTAGTGTCTCCTGAAATGTTGTTGATGCAGTGGGGTAAGAAAGGCGGTGGAAGGAGGGGAATCCGAAACAGTGCGGATCAGTCTAGATGTTGGGCTAAGTTAGTCTTGCTACTTGTTAATCTCATTGCAGAGTTGGATAATCAGTCTTAAAAACTGTCTTGCAGCAGGAATATGTTATCACGCTTCTGAATCATGAAGCATAATGATCATAGGGTCGTGTTTAGTGTTTGCCGGTGCTTGGTACCTGGATGTCTCAGGAAGAAGAGCCTATATCCTGCTGTAACTTTAACTTGCATAACCAGGAGGTGCAACTAGGATACTAAACAGTTTAACAGTAGCATCTGAAAAACTATTTTCAATCCCAGAATCTATGAAGTGCTCAAATAAAATGGGAAATCAATATACCCAAACAAGACATTTCCATATCTATTAGGCTCTAATCATACTCATCAATATGAGATCCCATTATACACGTGTCGTGTCACGTCGACAAACAACCAATATCAAAGATGAAGAACCGGGGAAAAAAAACTCCAAATATCTGCATAATCAAGGGTATCATATCATATCAATTATCAACATCACAAGAAGTATTCAATGACCGGATTCTGGCTGTCTTTGTTCGGTTGTGTTTGCTGCTCATTCCGATGCTCGTCGTTCTCAGGTGCTGCTCCGAATATATTGAAAAACCTCTCGCCGGAGTCGCTCACTTCCAAGACACTCGCTAGATTTCCACATCGATAGCAGTAGTTTGGCGCGCTCCACACCGTACTCAGTCGATCATCATATAAAACCTGATATCCTTCTTGACACAATTGGTGGGCTCGCAGAATGTGTGACATGCTATTGACTTCGAGAAATTTGCGCACAACTTGCGCGCCAAATGTATATCCAGCACCGCGGGGCGACAAAGAGAATTCGTCGTGTTCGATATCCGGATCTGACCAGACCAGATCTGCCATGGGTCCTTCGTGGGGTATCTCCCGGAACCGGTCGATGATTTTGATCTGATCTATGGAATGAATGGAGGGCGATAATCCACCGTGAACACAGAAGATTTGATCATTGATGACGACACTCAAAGTAAGAAAGTCGAACATGTCGGTAAAATAATGCCATACATTGGCATTGCCATATTTTCTCGCACACTCTGTATAAAACCCGTAAGATTGTGTAACTCCCCGGGATTCGTGGTTTCCTCGGATCAGATGAACTCGGGATGGATATCGTAACTTGAGACAGACCAATAGGGAAATCGTTTCGACACTGAACAGACCGCGGTCAACATAATCGCCTGTGACATGCAAAGTTAGCCGTATCCTCAAAAGCCCGTAACCGAAGCCATCATACCTAAAAAGAGATAATTCGTATTCGGACAAAACCCTCCTATTTTGAAGATCTCAATCATATCGAAGAATTGACCATGTATATCTCCCACAACGGTAACCGGAGCTGCAATATGCACGACGTTGCTCTCCTTCATCAGGAGCTCCTTTGCCTTGGCGCATATTGCCTCAATAACGGAGTCTGCGAGGAGTTGTTTTTTATACAAGCGCTCTATACATTCGTCCAAGTCGATGCTGGCTGTAGTGGAGCCGAGTCAGTTTGCGACATTCGACTGCTGGATCTGATCAAATGAGATGTGGTGAGGAACTCACATGGGAGACCAGGCATGATGAGGGATATAGAACAAATATACCGTCAGGAATATCCCAGGTTCCTTGATCGTTCTGGCGTGGAAGGTTCTGACAAGCTGTTGAGCTGTCGTGTGAGCACTTCAACTGAGAAGAGACAGAAGAGACGAAAGTTGAAAAGTTGATTGGATCTTTTCAGCAATAACTAGCATTCTGGTTTGATGGTATGCAGTAATAAGCAGGTGGGCTGATGAACGCAGATACTCTAATAGACAAAGAGAAAGAGATGTTCGGATACTTATCGAGTCATTAATGCAGTGCTTTTAGCCGCCAGCTTACACCTTTTTGGACCCTTAGTAATTGTCGGATTTATGGAGCTAACTGTTTTCGGATTAATGGGTCTAGATGCCGCATGGAATGCCTGAGGCGTTTACTACCACCAGACTATGCCTAGCTGACACTAGTGCATGCCTGTTCCTGGCGAAGTGCATCTGCAGTCATGTGACCTGCATGCAATGAAGGCGCCTTCTGTTTGGCAACAACATTGGGCTGCAACACCTCTCCATATAGGCCATTATTAATATCGATGATAACTGGCCTCCTCTAACATCATGGATGCCCCAGTACTGCCCGAGTATTCAGCTCCGAGCTACGAAGAGCGTTTCTCGAGCTCATCTTCTTTGGATCCTGATCAGTCGTTTCGTTTCCTGGATGATTCTTGTTAGTCTGCTTGTACTTCTGCTTGTACTTCTTTTGAATCCGGACAGTTGATTCCTGGTACATTTTATACTGTGGATGGCAGGTTCCATACCCATTTTGACGGTCAGCAAGCAATCCTGGATACACGTCGACATATCACACGCTGAAACACCATATCACATTACATCGGTGGACTCCCCATGGCCGCTAGAAACTGGACTTTGAATTTGGTTGACTTATATGTTCCCTATAACATAGTTATTTGGTTTTATTTGCGTCCCAAGATCGAGAGACCACCCTTCGTGCTGGAATAAAGAGGATCCCCTTACGAATTGATGACTGTTAACGGATCCTTTCCTCCAAAGGTCCACGTACGAAAAACATTTACTGTGATATTAATCAGAAGAAACTAGGCGACCTACCAAATGAAAATAATTTCAAATGGAAGCATCTTATTATCCAAACCATCAACCTTCATACCAGAAATCCCTTTGTCCGTCGGAACGCAGGAATGATATCTCCACGGATATCGAGCATACTAATGACATAGGCTATATCGATGTGCCTCGGGGCAATCGTACCCTTCACCATTCAGTATCATATCCATCAGCCTCTGGAAGGTCATTGCAGAGTCATGACTTTCAAGGAGCGCAGGCTCCGAGCCGTCTACAAAGTAGATCGAGTCCCCTGTGAGTAAATATCATCGCAGTTCACACGTGGATAGCGCTTCTCATTATTAACTTGCATCTATATAGTTCTGGCGGAATTATATCTAGCTCACCTGAGCTACCCAGCACTACATTATCAGACTCGGCATCGTCGCCATCGACAACGACAACTTTGAGTTCTTTCCCGTTGCCATATAGATCCCAATCAGCGACAGACTATCGCTCCCCCCATGCTGAGTATCCTCCGGCTACATATCCACTGACATCCCAGGAATCCCGACCTTATTATTCATCTCCAAGCCATGCTTTACCGGGAAGATTCTCAATTCCTGCAAACTTTCATCTCCAGACAAGTTCTGAGTCACAACAGAAATTAGAACCCAATCCGACGACTAACTATTTCTCTTCTCCCCGAAACTGGCAATCCAGGGACTTTAAATGGCCACAGTCGCGATCACAAAGTAGCACGAAATACGTCCCCAAGAGTCGGAGATATGATCAGCGCCGGGTGACTCCTAGGAATGGATTTCTTCATCCTGGGAAAAAGTATCACTTACCAGGTCCTAACAATCAAGCCGTTGACCGGAAAGTCCAGGATGGCAGGAAGAAGAGGATTCCGGCTCTAAACGATGGCTCGACAACGCGATCATCCAGTAATGACAATCAGCCTTCTGAGCGGCCCCGTCTGGTCAACTATGCTCTTCCTGCCAGTCTTGAAGACGACGAAAAGGAAGAAGAGCCCCCATCCCACCAGAAATCTGCTATGAGTGTATCGCGCTACGTCTCTCCAAAGGATAACGAAGATGATTCTGTACAATCTATCCGACAATCCCAATACTGGACACAATTAAAACACGACCCCATATTCTCCGATTTATCTACGGGTAGTGAGACGATATCCATCTCAGACTTGAAACAACGGCGAGACCAAATATTGCAAAACCATGCACCACCACCTCGTCAGACAGTCGTCATGAAGGAGCAGGGTACTCAGACCGATCCCGAGGAAATCCCATTTTCTCAACCGAGGTCTCCTACGGAATATGCGATCCGGGCAAGAGAATCATCAAAACAAGAGCAGCAACAGTTTATTACCCCAAGGCCAAAGAGTGTGCCGCATTCCAGGAAGAGATCTTACACCCCGAAACAAGGAAACCAAACTCATCATCGGACTTCTTCCCTCACGGATACTGATAGTCCGCGTACGCATTACATGCAGCAAATAGATGGGAGAAGAGGTTCCAAACGGTCCAGGAGTGTCACGGAGGATGATCACGAGGAGACCGACTCCTTCGCGCATAGAAGGAAACTAGGAGACGGTGGAGGAAGCAATCAAGGTCCATTTTATAGGTATCATTCTCCCGTCATGAGATCCTGATCGAGTGTGACCTGACCATTTCAATATGTTTAGTCGAAAGAGATAGATTATGACTTGATCGACTCGATTTTGGAAGTTTACGCGATTGTATGGTTGATATGCATGGATGGAAGTTAATATTGCATTTTTGATTGCCACCTTTTCTTGGAGATGTGGAGCGTTGGCGTAGGAAGATGGTGTACATGGAGATAGGCGAAGGGTTAAAAGATTACAGTATAACCTGGCTATAATGAAAGGAAGATTGCCTTGTATTTCTACTGATCTTATCTGAGATTACTTCAATATAGAACTAAAGAGCATCCTATTTGTGAATACTAAAACAGATTAATGTATTAGAGGCGCCCATCATGCTTAAATTAAGGGCCGTATGGAATGCTGTTATTCTCTTTAAACTCAAAATAGCGGGACGACCTCTCGGGAAGGGTATATCGACATCTATTGTTCATAACAAGAAACCTTTTGGCCAAATGGATATACAGTAATTAGCCATAATATTTTAATGGATTAACCAACTAACAAACATAGCTCTATCTTCCTCCACCAGATCCTTTAACCCAGATAATCAAGATTCTATGGACATGGATCTTGCGCGATGGTCAAACAATCCCTAATCAAGAGCCACCATCTCTTCGAGTCGAAGATCTCCGCGAGATTATGGAGCTCTCTGAGACTAGATCCAAACCAGCAGCTGATCCCGGCGTAGGAAGACGTTAGGTTGAGGTATACATGGGGATAGGCGAAGAGTTGAAGAATTGCATGGTGATTTTGAGTAATACTTTTATTTTGCATTTGCTTCAAATATGGATACAGTAGAACCTGGCCACAATGAACAGAAGGCATGTCAGGCCCAAGTCTATTGAATATATCCAGAAATGCGCTGCTCGTGCAACTTATCATGAACTTCGTCAATCAACTTCGTGTAAATAAGCATCCATAAATCTTTCAGTATATCGGCGGAACCCTTGTCTTGCCAAATGTCAAAACACATAGCTTCTTTGGCAAAAACATCCACTTCACCACCGTCATCATAGAATGTAATACCATTAGGTGAAACACGTTTCCTTATAGTGTCTTCGCAAAATAGCGAGCAATCCGGGGTTTTATCAGTCTTTCCTTCGGCCATGGACATCCTGAGATGAGTTGGAAAGCGGGGACAAGATGGGCTGTCAGCCGGAATATACCATCATAAACCAGTCAAATGGCCAACTCCATAACGGAGCTTCGATTCTGCGCAGTGGCCTCATTTCCGGTTTTCGTGAGCGAAACTGAAATAATATTGAGAGGAGAGGTTGACAAGACAGAAAGAAGAGGAAGAGTGAGGAGAGAAGGAGGACAAACGGTAGGTGGTTAGTCGCATCATTGCCCAGTCTGCAAAGAAGCTCTGCAAAATCACCATATACATACAGTAGAGCCTGGCTATAACGAACAGAAGGCCTCTCGGGGCCCAGATAGATATATGAGAAGCACCTCTAACATAGTAATCTATTTTAGTATTAAGAAATCGGATACTCTTTAGTTCCATATTAAAGTCATCCCAGCTGATATTAGTAGAAACATGGAGTGGTCTTCCTTTTGTTATAGCCAGGCTCTATTGTAATATATGGGTATGCGTCAATATATGGTAGTCATTGATTTCGACTGCAGACCTCAAACGGTCCGTCGATCCATGGTGCCGACATGCCAACACAATGCAAAAACATCTCCGCTATTCTAATGCTATTATGCTGGTGAAATGATTATCTATTTAGCAATCCTCGCTTTTGAGCGGCTTCCGAGTCGGATTCATCTTCCTCTTCATCGTCGTCTTCTTCAGATTCCGTCTCTTCCTCTGAATCGGTCTCGTATTCTGTAGAACCCGATTCATCTTCCGATGTCTCTTCTTCCCCTTCTTCCTCTTCTTCATCTAACCAGTCGTTCAAACTCTTGGTTCCCATGCTACTACTACCAACAGCACCGATCCGTGCCTTTCTTGCCGCTCCACTCGCTGCGCTCGTCTCATGTTCTTGCAGCGCTTTATCGAGACGTTGTCCAGCCGTCAACGCCGACAAATCTCGACTTGTCGAAGATTCGACAGCAGATCCATCCTCGCGTAGGGATCTGTCGGGCTCCTGTCCCGCCGTTACCCAATCAGGTAGAGGCTCGTAGCCAGTCAGACCTAAGGGTCCCGCATCAGGTCCGACGACAAGCGTGGAGGTTCCAATAAGAATATCTCGTCGTGTCTCTGATGGACTTGGGGCGTGCGGGGCAGGTTTCGGGGCCAAGAGCAACAAACTGGCCATTTGCGTGTTTTTGGGATCGGATAAGAGTCCTCTGTACATGCGTGCTCGGTCTCGTAGGTCATATGATGTGTCGTATCTCGTGAGAAGGAGAATATATCTCCATAGTAGGGTTATGCGGTCCTCTGCTGATGGTTCGCCGTTGTGCATTTGCGAATCACATCCACTTGTGGGGTTTTCATAACCGTTCTGAGTCTGGTCGGCGGCCCATGCATTATCATCATTGTCTTGGCTCTGGTTTTGATTATTTTCTTCAAGCTGAGGCGATTTTTCAGGAGGAGGGTTCTGGAGTAGATGATGAAGATAAACTTTTGCAGCCAATAAAACAATCTGCTGCTTGACTTCTTCGGTCTCATCAGCGAACCCTTTGGCAAGGATACGCAGCACATCCGGAGCAATGCTGTTTTCCAGATCTGCCGCAGCGTACTCGCCCACGAGCCAGATGATGGAAGCTCTTGCACCCGAATTTGCCGTCGTTTCAAGGTAACTTGCCAGCCGAACTATTGTTTGTTTGTGTGCATTTGGGTTTTGCTGAATGAGATGTCGAATAATTGTCAGGGACTCCGAGACAACATTATCATCAATGCTGGAGATTCGGGATAAAAGTAGGCGTAAGCAGTAGCTCGAAGTCTTTGAATCAGTTTGTGCACAACGACCGATGGCACGCACACTTTCCCGAACGAGATCAGGATCTGTTCCCTGAGAGAAATGCTCAAGTTCGCTTAGTATTATACCTCTATAATGCATTCCCAGGTGAGGGAATAGTATTGTGAGCACCTCAAGTTTGAGTCGCCAAATATGCGGTGGATCAACGGCGCGAACTAGAAAGTGAGACGTATATTTGACAAATAGCTTCGGTGCCTGAAAAGCCACAGCGACAATATTATATAGAGCAACGTATTGGATATCCTGCGGGCAGCGGACAAGTGCGACAAGGGGCCCAATAGCACTTTCAAGGTATTCCTGCGTGCCGACATAGAGGTAACAGCGAACAATGCTCACTATGATGGCGGACGTGCGGCTTTGCAGCAAGAGTTTGCAGGCACGCAAGAAGAGTTCCAAGTCGGGATCAAGCACCGGAACCTCTTCCTCTGGGGCATCACCATTGGTCGCTTCATGAGTTTCATCACTGCTCTCATCGTCGTAAAAACCCTTCGCTTCGTTCTTCTTCACCATTTGCATCTTGCGGGGGAAGCATTTTCTAGCGTATACTGTCAAAAGACGCAAGGTGGCCAATTGACTCCATTCATCCATGTCAACTAGTTTCTTCACAAGACTCTTGTAATGTTTGTGTATCAAATCCAGTCGATCAGGACACACATCCAAAAATGCCGAGACAGCAGGTCCAACCACAAAGTATTGATTATCCCCAAGCAAGGTGAAGAGATATTCGCTAAGCTGCGGTATGGTATTCGGGTCCAGTCTATAGCACTTCGGGATGGCAAGGGCGGCTGCTCTCCGGACGTGAGGGCTCATGTCTCCTACTCCGCGTTTGATCGCAAGGGAGACAATCTGGCTTATAACGGGGACTCTGATTCCGGACATTGTCCGCAACGCCATAACCCGGACCTGCGGGTTTGTATCTGTGAGAGACTTTTGGATCGCATTGATCGAGAGCAGGGCGAGGTCTGGCTCGGCTTCGGCATGGTGGAGGAGATAGATGTAGACAAGCTTTTTGACTTCGATATTGGAACTGGCTGCGTTTTTGACGACGGCGGAGAAATATTGTAAGCAAGTATCGGACTGGTACATCAACTGAAATAGAAACGAGTCAGCGCTTCATGCGATGGAAAATAGTACGATTGAGAATCACTACAGAAATCACTTTACGCAATCCATCCAAAATCTCTCGGTCATTGCGACTGTCTAGTAGTTTCTTAATCTGCGCAGAAGAAGGAGTCCGCGAGGTTTCATGCGATCGAAGACTCCTGCTACTACCAGCAGATTGTGCTGCTTCGAGGGTAAGGTCACGAGCTATACACAGAATGAGAGGTTAGAATGCGGGTTGCGGAATTGACACAGGACTAAAGACATACCAGCCTCTAACAGGGAGGATATCCTAGATATCGTCTCCATGATTGCCAGAGGAAGCTAAAGGTCTCTACGACCTGACCTCTAAAGTGGTGTGTTTCTGGGAAGAATGAAGCTTGAAGGTGAATGGAAGCAGTTGATTTGGCGGGGAGATTCTAGCGTCATCGGCCGGGTGACTTTAGGTAAGCCTTAGGCACGCCATAGAGCTTACATCCACCACATTTTCTCAACTACATAAGAATAACTAGCCATGTCAACTCAATATGCGTTAAAATAACAAAGATCATATCCTTCTCTAAAGGACATCCAGGACAGTCTTGTCGACACCTGTCTCATGATCGACGCACGAGTGCTATCTATTACTTCAGTCGCGGACTTTATCAATTTTATACTCGACGAGACCAATAGCTTGACCACTGTCGTTGTATGCTCAACTCGCGAAAGACTGCTCAAACAATTGACCGCCGATATATCCGCACAGTTACAAGAACACGATGATCACCAACTCTCTGGAAATGGCCCATCGCCGCTTCTAGAAGCAGCTCCACACCCGTCTCCAAGCAAGCTATCGTTGTTGTCAAATACCATCGGCGCAATTACTATTTCTCAAAGAATCAAGCTAGTATTCTGCCCTTCCCTGGCACATTTGCGCGCATATCTATCTACGTTCCAATTACACCCATCGCATAAGAGTATCGACAATCAAAAGCAAGCTGCAGAACGTGGGAGACCAGTGATAGCGATCCTGGACTTCCTTGCCATCCACTATGTGAGCACTCAGTTCTCAGCACAAGGGTTATCGCAGACACTGTCTTTGGCTGTTGAAACAGCAGCTCGGACTGATTCGAGCATCTTGTTGTGCGAATGCGACGATGCAGTAAATCCAGGAGATCGCGATCATGGTCAGAGATTATGGGATCTGCATGTTCCTCTGTTGAATGGTGGATCATTGCGGTCAGATCATGAGAGAGCTGGTAGACACATCCCTGTCCGACAAGTAGCTCAAAGGTGGTTCAGGTTTGAATGATTTCATGAATGTATAATATGTATAATATGTATATCAAGGATACCAAAACAAACAATGACCCCAGAATAGTTGACAAAAAGACCAAATATACAACGCCTCTGGGTATATCGTAATAACCGTAATAAGCCAACAGAACTCCAATCTCATAACTTCTCATGTCCCTAAGAATTATAGGCACTTTTCCATCTCAGTGATATAAAGTTTAATATGCGACTCCATCTTCAAGTACTCGTCATGTGCTCTGTGGATTTCATCTTCGATGTTCTCTCTCAGATCCGCCATCTATTCTCGGTCAGCCATCTATCACTATCAAGAGTTTCAAATCTGACGATCCTACCTTCTTCTCTGTCTGCTCGATCCGTATCCTCTTGATTTCCATCGCCTTTTGCTTCTCGGCTCTCTCTTCTCTCAACTGTCTTTGAGTATTACGAAGCTCTTCCATCCGCGCTTGGGCAATCTCTTGTTTTTCTTGGCTATTCTTGCGGAGAGCATCGATTCTTTCGTTCCATCGTGCTAGTTGTCGTTGCAACAATTTTTCGGTTTGTGCTACTTCGCGTACATTATTGCCACGCTCAGAAATAGCATCCTTATTTCTTGCAGCTCTGGCGTCTTCCTCTTCTTCTTTTTGTAGTTCGACAGAGATGTCTTCGAGGACCTTGACACAAGCTTGAACCTCATTTGCGACGACGTTGAATGTATCGGTAGACGTTTGTAATGCCCTCAGCCGCCGTTCCATCGTATCCACTTGTGCCTTTTCGCGTGCTAAGCTCTCTGATAACTCGGTAAGCGAAGCCTGCAAAGTTGTGTAACTCTGTTGGACATATGGTCGAAGTTTTTCAATTTCCCGCCGCGTCCGTATAGCCTTTTCCACCTTCTCTTCGAGCAGAGCTTGTTTCTTGGCCTTGTCGGTTTTTACCCTTTCCAGTTCTTCCGCAATCTTTTCCTGATTCCGGTTCAAGGCTAATAAAACGCCTATTAGTGCATCATTGCGCGCTGTCTTCTCCTTGACCTGATTTTCGAGTGCCTTTTGGTTAGCGCGCATCTCATTCACCCGCTCTGCAATCTCTTGATTCTCTGCATAAAGTGCCTCGATACGCGCCTTGGTGCGCTCGGCCTTGTTGAAGTGCTCGTCAATTACTGCAGTTTGAGATTCTCGAAATCGGACGAAGTTGATTAAATAGGAGAATATCTTCACGAGTCGATCATGGGTAGGTCGCGTAAGATCGGAGAAGGTAAAATCATTCACGCCACACTACTAAAACGTCAATTACATATTTCTTTCTCCCAGATTCATGTCAGATCTACCTCGATCATAAGCCGTCGAAGGTTAATGAAAAAGCCCATTAGGTTGCGTGTCTCATTTGGAACAATATCTGGATAGTCGCCACAAATATCCTGAGCGGCCGCGTGCATCGCAGGATCAATAGTTTCTCTCGTAGTATTCATCAATAGTTCGGCAAACCATTCTAACACCATTTGAATCTGTTGCGGATTCGGTTTAAGGAGATCAGCGGCGGTAAACGGTACGCCTATATCATTAATACAGCCGGCAATTTCCTTGTCTGGCTGGACTTATTGTCAGCTTTGCAGTTATTACGGAAATTGTAATTGTTGGCAATCGTACCAAGCGCATCAAGGCATCGCTATCGTCCTCTTTCTTCCGATTCCGGCTCTGTTGCTGCTGACTGCCATAGAATTGCTGACTGGCTCTGTGATTATATGCCATTTCCAAGTATTCCGATCTTCAATGTAGTCGAGTATTGCTATTCAGTTGAACCAGTTGTGTGAAGTGTTGATGGATAAGGCCCATTCGTTGTTTTGTTTACACCGGCAAGTTTGCCGCCAAAAACGGCTAGTGCGGGATTCTTGCATGCTGAGGGGCGGTCTGACAAACAGTGCAAACATGTATGACTCGCTTCATTTTTTGAGATTGTCTGAGTTCATTTACACAACGTTCTGTGATATCGCAGACAATAATAAAGAAGCTGAAGACATGGCTCCAGAATCTGCGCCGTTCGAGTATGTTGTTTCCACCGGAATCTTCTATCGCGATACTGACATTGTCTCCTAGCATCGTGTCGACGTACAATGACCTTCTCAAGTCCGATCCTGACATTACCATGCCCATAGCGGCTATTGAAGCCTTGGTACTTCTCCTCACACATTCACCATCCTCCACGATATCAGAGACACTCGACCTTCTAGCGAAACACACCACTATCTTGAAAAATGCCATCCCAAATCCTATTGCCCTCTCCGCCGGGACAGATCTGTTCCAACGATACCTCATTACGACGTTACAACGACCAGGCCAGTTAGGACCTGCCGGGGACTTTAACGCTATCCGGGCACATTTACTATCAAATGGACGACTATTCATCAAGCGAGCTAAGGAAAGCCGAAATAATGTTGCTGCGTTTGGAAAGGGTTTCGTTCGGGATGGAAGTACTATTTTGACCAACGGTGGTTCGAGGGTAGTGTCTGCTTTACTGCAAAAGGCGGCAGACGAGAAAAATGGACCGTCTGCTGTTCGGTTCAGAGTCATTTATGTGTTATGCGGTAGCAACGACGCCGATAACTCTTCGGGCGAACCAGAAGGGCTCGAAACCGTGCGTTCATTGAGGGCGCGAGGTGTCCCCGTTGCTACAATACCCGAGTCTGCTGTCGCTTACTCACTCGGCAAAGTTGACACGGTGATTGTAGGTGCGGAAGGTGTGGTGGAGAATGGCGGTATTGTTTCCCGGATGGGAACTTATCAGATCGGGTTACTAGCAAAGGCCATGGGAAAACCGTTTTATGTTGTCGCCGAAAGCCACAAGTTTGTCCGTTTATACCCCTTGGGACAATACGATCTTCCGATTGAGCAACATGTAATCAACTTTAAGACGGAGGAAGATGTGGCGGCAGAAGAGGCAAGTCGTTTGACAAATGAGACTAAACGCACCATTGCAGAGACGCATGCGTCATCTGAAGAAAAAGCTGTGCATATGGCTGCTCTTTTAAATGGGGCGCCGGCAGATAAACCTGATATCAATGCCATGCGACGCGATGCGGTAGACTACACACCGCCGCACTTGATTACGGCGTTGATTACAGAAGGTGGTGTGCTCACACCAAGTGCAGTTAGTGAGGAACTGATCAAGATTTGGTTTTGAGGATTTCTGTTACGAATTCATCTCGATACGAATGAGCGATAGCTCGAAGACAGTCCGGGAAGACTGCCTGTCGATCATTGCATGGATCAAGCGTTGCTCAGATGCGTTCCAGTGCTTTATGTTTATTTGATGGCTCATTGGCAGAATATTGGATCTGTCTGCAATAACCCACTTGAAAGTCATTACCATGACCATTGGGAAACATACAGGCGGGAAAACAGGTCTCTCGGCATACTCATTCAAGGCGATCAACTCATACCGCACTTCAGTTCCGCGAGGTCGCCGCCATCTTAGGCGCACTGGATATTTCTACAGAAAACATCCAGCATATGTACATAATAAAGAATGCCAACAATCCGGTTCGGGACTTTCCCGTACTATTGAACAAGCTATCCAACCAGCCACTATAGCTCTAAGCCTTCGTTCCATCATATCAGGAACAAAAGCAATCGGAAACTATTCCCAGATGAATAAATACAAATCCAATATGAATTCGCGACAGTCCGTATATTTATCCTTGTAACAGTTGACTCGTAGCTAATCTCGAAGATTATCTTCTCCACGTGCAGATCTAGGTCTGCGACAGTGACAAGCCAGCTTCCCAGGCAGCCAGATATCGAAGGCCCCAACATCAGTCCTAGTCGGGTCGCATCGCTCAGTACATATACTGAGTTAGCTGGGTGACTACTTAACCCCTATCTCCGCCGGACCGCTGCTGCACATGTGTGGATTTCATGGTTTCAAGATTTCAGAGGATTCGAGGTCTTGATATAAACGAGTTGGACAGGGTGAAGACCCTACTTTAATCACTTTCAAATACATCCGCAAGTGAATAACACTCTTACTAACTCATCCATCTACCAACTCTAAACATGTTCACCGAAAACATCGCCGCAGTCCTCGAATCGCCCGGAAGAGCCCTAAAACCCCTTCCCCCCAGACCCATCCCAACCCCCAGCGAAGGCGAAATCCTAATCCGCAACCATGCCATCGCCGCAAACCCCGCGGACTGGAAAATCCGCGACTTTGGCGGCATAATTGACGTCTACCCAACGGTCTTGGGCAGTGATGTATGCGGCACAATCACCGCCGTAGGTCCCAAGGGGACAAAGTTCAAAGTGGGAGATCGTATCGCCGGATTCGCGCTTGTAATCTACAATAAAGACCCGAATCATGGTGCATGGCAGAGGTATACTATTCTAAAAGAAGTTGCGACTATGGGAATACCGGATTTTGTCTCGTTTTGAGGATGGGGCTACGTTTCTGATGGCTTTTGCGACTGCGGCTGTTGCTTATTTTGAGAGGATGGGGATTCTGCGTCCTGTTGTTGTAGGTCGGGAGGAGGTGTCTCAACAAGGGCCAGGGATGTTGGTCTGGGGCGCATCGTCGTCTACAGGCACGGCGACTGTGCAGTTGGCTACGAATCTAGGGTTCAAGGTCTTTGCGACTGCCAGTCCTCAGAATCATGACTATGTAAAGTCTCTGGGTGCGTATGCGGTGGTTGACTATCGCGATCCGGATGTGGTCTCGAAACTGATCAGACTCGCAAAGGAGGCAAATACGCCTCTTCAACACGGATTTGATTTTATTTCCGAGGGGAAAAGTTCGATCCTTTCTGCGAAGACTTTATTGCAGTCTGGCGGACAAGGAAATAACAAATTAGTCCTATCGGGACCCTGGCCGACGAGTCATGAGAAACCAGATGGGGTTGATATTTCCATGACGATAGCGGCGTTCGCCTTCGTAGATCATGTTGACATGGGTAGCTGGATGTTTAATGAATATCTGCCCCAGGCTGTTGAAGAAAAAAGGATAGTCCCAGCGCCAAAAGTGGTGATTGTGGATGGTGGTGTAGCAGCAGCGCAGAAGGCGTTGGGGACTGTCAAGGCTGGTGTTAGTGCAACGAAGATTGTTGTCAAAGTTGATTGATTTTAAGATCTTATAGAAGACTTTGAAATCATAGGAGACTTTGTTCTTTGTCCACACATTTGTCCCCTCTGTTTAGCGGTAAAATATAAAAATCCTCTGCTTTTCAGTCGACTATCGGAGTCGGCATTCCTTTCTCATCTGAGTATTGCTTCTTTGTCAGAGCGATTCTTTCCAGGATAGAAGTGATCTCGCTGTCTGGAAAACTACATCCATGTATATCCGGCGCCATCCGTGGCTGGTTCGGTCGAACAATTGGTGTGTGTGGATGCCTGAGGTTGAGATCCAGTGACCAATCTATTTCTAGCTTCATTTAGATCATCTTACACTTTCTTGCTGTATATTCAAGAATACGTACAGCGAATCGACGCGCTTCAAGATTTCAAGCAATAAAATCGAATAATATCTGCAAACAACAATACAAGAACTCTTAAGACAGCTTCGCTGGCACCACTCATCCACACGCCAGCGCTACAACATCCTTGCAAGTCGAAACACGTATCGCACGCATCTAGTCAGTAAACAACAACACCACCATCTTATCGAACCATGATCTAACAATCTACGTAGTTCATAATGGACGCCGAAACAGCAACCATATTCACAACAACCCGAACATCAAGTCTAGCCCATCGATCTTCAAGCCTACTAATCAATGAATCGGGCTATTCATGCGCAGGAAACGAGACTCGATTCTCGGGCCATGAGTCGTGGTCTTCTTTTAAAAAGCTTCTGAGTCGCAGGCCTAGCCAGACTCAAAAGTATCGGACGCTTGAACGGAGGGAGCCGAGGAGGTTGCGGAAGAAGTCTCTTTCTTCTTAGTTCTTAGTGTCTGGCTGGTTGTTATCACGCTAGGTGAACGATTTACGAAACTTGGTTTTGGTGGGGTTGCATATTTCTGTGGATGGGTTGGTGATGTGTCGCTGGCGACATATCGCCATGCCTAACCATTCGATGACACGGTGTTGAGGTTCTTATCAAATATATACCTGCATGAGCTTATTGAATACTACCGGCGAATTAAGAATATTATATTCTGTCTGCCCACCCTTTAAACTAAACACGTGGAAGCCAACGTAGCCCAGCCAGACTTCCTTCCCTAGAATCTTGTGGGGCTATTGCTTAATCAAAAGTAGCAGAATCATCAAAGCCGAGGACAGGCTTGCTCTCTTCGGCCGATATAATTGTCGACGTAGGCCGTTTCCGTCGACCAATCTGATCTGTTGCTGTGGTGGTATTGGTTGCCGAAGCGACTGTCCCAGGTGGCGGGGGTGGTGGAATAGAGAATAGAGCCTGCTCTTCCTCTCTTGCTGAGTTGGATATTGTTGGTGGTGTAGTAGCAGTAGTAGTAGTAGACGTGGCCGGGGCGGGTCGTCTTCGTCCACTGTTGATGCTTATTGTCTGACCGGGTTTTAGGCTATAATCTTTCGGCGTCGTTGTGGATGCCATTTCTGATGATGAAGAGGATGATAGTGAGGATTGTGTTGGCTTCTGCTGATCCGACGATATTGTATCGCGTATACCCAATATCTTCTTCGCTTCTTGCAAGGCGACCCCGAAATCAAACGCGTCACTGCGTTCCTCAAACCCTATCCCCAGCAAAGCTTTCCTCCCTTCTCCGACGACACGCAGCACAAAGAACCGCGACGAGTCAGTCACGTAATCCACCGAATTCGCATCCGTTAACGGTGCAGCAGCAAATAGACTCCCAGTCTGGGGATCCTCCAGCAGTATGTCGGCGCTGACCGTATCGTGGATCGCGGTCTCGAGAATACGTAGACGGGCAGAGAAGATTTGCCGGGTTTGCCCGGTTTGAGGATTCGGGACGGTCCATTCGGCCGCTGAGTAGCCTCTGATTGAAGTCAGTGGAGGCACCGAGTAGACGTGGACGAGGCGAGTGACAAAGAGGACTCGTTGCAGGGCATCTGCGGGGAGCGATTCCCCTGTTGCGGGGTTGATGGCGGTGGACATTGCTGTCTGGATGGTTGGGCCTTTTATATGCTAATGCGTAGCTGTCGAACTCATTGTAATAGAATTAAGATAATTGCGTTTCCACTGTTGCGAGGTGGCAGAGTCATGGTCGAGTCGTGTGAAGAGATGATGAGTGGAGTGAGTGTTGTGTCGGTCAATCCCCGTCAACCGCTGGAGAAGCTATCCGCGCGGGCTATCCACAGCGAGTCTTATCGGACAGCCCACTGAGTTTCACTTTAATGATCAGACTTCTAAATAGTAAACGCAGGAACCGGTTACAGGTAGACTACTGCAGGAAATGTCTCAGGTGGTCGGCATCGGTGAAACATCATGGCGATACAGCGACTTTTGGCTTTGGTACAACGTTGATTTCTTATCGCATGAACTGAAGTGTCGGCTTCCAGTCTACAATGTCTCAGACACATGTCTCTCTGACTGTAGTACTACTCCGTATACTCTAGTAGTACTGCTACATGACCATGCCCGACAACTTGTCATCGTGTCAAAAGAGGCCGTAGATCACGACGAAAGACGAATATTGTGGTTGACTCGCTTATCTAGTTGCAATATCTCTCGCGATGTGTGTCCGTCTCATATAAAGCATACCGTATACCGTATACCGCATACCGCCTGGAATAAAGTCGTTTTGATCGTATTGATACATGACGTATGTCTCATCCACACAGCACTCCTAGAATATATTAAACCCGTATTGCTCGATCGACTTCGAATAACATATAGTCGGCACGCTGCAACGGAGAATAAAGGATAAAAGAGTGAAAGAATAAGCGCAAAAAAAGAAAAAGAAAAAGAAAAAGAAAAACACGAGCAAATAGGAAGCTTTCCTCTGGTCTCACGGATAACGTGAAAAAGGGGGCAGCGATTTCGAGAATCCGAACAGTCCAGAACGCGCTGTCCCATGGGACAGAAAATAAATTACGCCTAGTCTTTTTTACGCCCAAAGCCTCAGGCAGGAATTCTCTCGCTGTCTTTTTGCTCTTTCTCTTGTTCGTTCATCCACTCGTTCTCCTCATACATCCATCCATCTCTGCATTCAGATAAATAAAACAGAAAAAGAGAAGAAAGACTCTTTTCAATACTCTGCAGACACACTCGTTCGAGACTACACTCATGAATTCATTTCGCCAACCTCGCCGTGCTGTCATTGACCCGTACCTAGGCGCCCGTTACACAGTCTGACCGCCACCGAAGAGCACCGCTACTTGAGCCACGACTCACGGGACCACCCACTGCCTTATTTATTCCAACAACATCTTCCTGCATTTGCAAACTGGCAACAAACACGTCTTTGTGATCCTCGTTGAGGCTTGCCGCCATCATGGCAATATGGCCCTTCGGTCGCAAGGGCAAGCGGCCCAGGAGTCAAATGAAGGCCTCCGACGCCGCCGACCGAAGATTATCTCTCGAAGACTCCGCTGAACGTGCGAAAGTGGGCAGAAAACCGTCTCGGAAGCGATCAAAACGTGAGAAACATCGAAGTAGTCCTGCTCCTCCTCGTGCGGGTGAGACGGCCTTTGCGTATGATCTCGACAACCGCACCTCAGTTTCCAGTATTGGTCAGGATAATTTTGCCGTCGCTCGTCCCACACCAATGCTGCAGAAGCGGAATTCGGGTAATGCAAAGGGAAATACTTTGAAGAAACGACTGAGCAAACGTTCTGCTCGCGAATTGCAACGAGAGCGCGAGATTAAAGCCCTGAGTTCTTCGCCTCCGTCTGGTCATCCCCGTCTCGCGAACGCTTGGGGTTATCAATCGTCGGATGTCCGTCGCGGACCCAGCGTTAACAGCCGCTATGGAGATCACCATACATCTAATCAGAGTCTCCCAATGGGCTCTCAGTCATCCCTATCGGATAGCTCTGATTTATATACATACAAAGTCAATGCCTTTGCAGTCTTTACTCCGCGACCCGTGATCCGCTACTCGGAAAATCACATCAAACACCTCCCTCCTCGCAGTACAAACCCGTCGTCGAACTCGATGCGCAAGGATGCCAATCTCGGCGATGAAGACGACTTGAATTCGCACAAAAGAGTCGCGGAACTTGCCGACGATATGGATGCTTCTGCTTTGAGGGAGATGTTGGAACGGGATCGCCGACGCAGAGAAAAGAAGCGATTGGAAGAACAAGAGCGCAGACAACGGCGTTTACAACGAAGACTCGAGCGTGAACAACAGCAGCGTCATGAATCCGAGCATGCTGAAGTGGGAAACAAAGTTGAAGAAATCGATATTGATGAGCTACGCGGCCGAGACAAGACTCCTTCTCCCGCTACGTCATCTAGACAAATTCGTCCAGAGAGTACCGTTGACGAAGAACATGAACTACGAGAGAAAGACTTCTTGCCGGAGCAGGAAGGAGGTTCATGGTTACGGGGACCTTCCAACAATAGCCAGCAACGGGATAAACGCTTCTCTGATATTTCGGCGCACGTTATTGGCAATATCGACGACCGGTCTCTCCGTGCCGGTAAACAGGGTCACGATGTGAATGCAACGTCGGAAGAAGACGTTTCAAGGCATCGATCACCGCTGTTCCAGGCTGTTGCTAATAGCAGCTCCATCCATATGAGCAGTATAGCTCAAGAGTCCATTTCGGATATCTCGCGTACTGAGAACTCTGAGAAACGCCTTTCAGACACTAGCAGTAGACGCATGTCGTCTTGGATAGCGTTCTTTAGACGAAACAGTCTGCGAAAGAGAAGGTCAAGAGACGCGCCTCCGTCGGAATTTTCCAACACATCTCGAGACTCCTTCATGAAGGCGCAATCACATGGCGCTGGTCCGTCATCCATGCCGATCCCCATACCCGACCGAAATGTCCGACGTGCTGGTACTGTGTACCGCGCTCAGTCGAAATTTGTGGAACATCTCGATAACTATCCCCCGTCTGCATCCGACTCGCGCGTGCAATCCCCTCTCCCAGTGCCTCTGGAAACGGTGCCGGACACGCCAGTTGTGGCTAATCTGAATTCTACTGAACCAAGTCCTCGTCAGTCCTACACCGAAGGCGACGACGACGACAACTACGAGAACGACGTCGAGCGCAGCCGTCCGATGTCCTGGGATGAAAAGAGTGGCATGCAGGCACAGTCACTAGCATCGATCGACTCGGAAGGATCATGGATGTCTGGCAGTTATCTACGCCGAATCTCGCAAAAGAATCCCAATTTTACGTCATGGCGCAATAGCAACGGAATGAACAAGCTTGATAAATACGACGAGGCGGAAGAAAACGAGGACGACGTCGCTAACGACGAGTATCTCAACCGACTGGCCGAGGACGCTCCAGAAACAACCTCCAACTCAGTCAGTGGTCTACGTCGAGCTAGCAGCACAGCCATCGGATTGGATATTGCCGAAGCCGAGAGTGATGACGGTAGTAGACGATCATCAAACATGGGCGACATGGAAACCTGGCACCAGGGAATCGAGCGCAAACCAACCGTAGTCCGTCGCGAATCTGGACGAGCCCGCGCAATGTCGAAAGAAGTGATTTTTGGTGATGCCGATATGTTGGACACTGATTCCATGATGGATGAGGACAATGCAAGCCCTGTCAGTCCCGTCAGTCAGGAGGCAGAAATCAATCGGGCGACAAGCGTTGACTATGGTCGTGGCCACAAACATGCTCGTCAGATCAGTGCTGGAAGTGCTAAATTGCTTGATATCCGGTCTCACGCGTCTATTGATTCGTCGAGACAGTGATGCTATTGGTTAGGTTGGTCGAACGACATTGAACAGACGATTCGCATATTCGCATCACGCTCATTACATTGCTACACGATTATCTCCAAAAAAAACCCCCCCCGGGAAAAATTTGAAAACGAAAAATTGATTTGATGCGCCGATATAAAAAAAAAAGAAAATGATTGAAAAGGACTTGAAAAAAAAACCGAAAAAAAAAAACACGAAAAAAACGAGCAAAACGCAGAAAAACAACACAAAAAAGAAGGAAAATCAAAAAAGCATCAAATCACGATAATGCTTATCCTCACGACTTTCTCATTTGACTTTATCCAACGCGAACTAACGAACTCGATCTGTTTTCTGCTACTGACAAACCGACCAATGGCGACCTGACGATGGATGTATTTTGAATGATGTTTTTATCTAGTGTTTCGTTGAAGTTGTATCAGATACCCCATGCCCAATGTTTATGTATTTATTCGTTTAGAGTGTATTCTATCAGCATGCTGCCGTTGTATATATCCCGGTATCCTCAGCTTATCCAAGTAAGAAAGTCTAGACGCGCCAGATTGATAAGCAAGCCTGCTGACTAACCCAGCACGCCATTGCTCACCGCCTTCTACTCTGTATTTTCTTCATACGTACGGAGTACTGTAGGAGGTTCACTGAAATCTCTGCAGACATCTGCATTATTGTATTACTCTTACGGATTCAAAGCTGTAAGATATAACTGACTCCTCAATATTCAGATTGGTAATACGTCCGTACTGACCTTCCGAGCTGTCCAGTTGTGTCTACATACCTGTTCTACTTAGGTGTACAGTATACTATGTACTTAGTGGCCAACAGCAGACAGAAAATGAGGTAGGTCATTCTCTTGCATTAATCATCATATCCATGCCGTTCTATCCTTATTCCTGAAATATCCCGATCCTTCGAGGCTTGACCATTGCATAGTAATCAGTATTGGCAAAGGCGCAGATTTTATCCGCCCAGGCCTCTCTGACTAATCCAGCAGACTGACGGGTCACGTCACAGTTGCCCCTCCCCTATATAACTCAGCCCCTCTTCTTTCTTTCCATTACACACTTCCTATAATACAAACAATCAATCCACTGACACAAACAGTCTGGCTTCATTCATCGCGACTTCTACTCGTACTGCTCGAATCGCTTCTTCAGTCTCTGCCCGTCGAACATTTACCTCTACTTCTCTGAACAGATTCCGCTCTTCACTAGTCACAATGGGTGTTAAGCAGCTCAAGAAGTATGCCCTCCTCTTCCCCCATCGAAGGGGAAAAAAAAAAAGAAAGCAAGAGAGAAAGAAAGATACTAACGAGAAAAGCAAATCCGAATTCGACCAAGCCATCAGCGGCACCGATAAGCTCGTCGTCGTCGACGCCTTCGCCGAATGGTGCGGCCCTTGCAAAGCCATTGCTCCCAAAGTCCACTCCTGGAGCGAAGAGTACACTGATGTCGAATTCGTGAAATTCGATGTTGACGAGTCCCCCGATGTTGCGCAGGAATTGGGCGTTCGCGCCATGCCTACGTTCTTGTTTTTCAAGAACGGACAGAAGATTACTGAGGTCGTTGGTGTGAATCCGCCTGCTTTGGAGGCTGCTATTAAGAATAACAAATAAATCCACCTGTCCGGTCGATAGGGAGGGTTGTTCTGTATGCTTGTATGCTATTAAATGAGTGATCTGAGACTTTTAGTCTAAATGATAATTGACACTCGTATGCTTTTTTATCTCTTCTAGAAGACTAATCATCTTGATTATGTCGTGTAGCCTTCTCTCCGATCCCCGTCTTGGTCTCAACATGCTGCTCATTCTTACTCAAATGCTTATTCTTGACGAAACAACTCGCCACGACCCCAATCGCAGCGACGCAGGTATACAAAATCCACAGATTCCGTAAACTCCACGACCAAGCATCTCTCACCACACGTCTCTGCACCGGATCCGAAATCATACCATCCAGCAAAAAGACACTAGCTGCGGCACTTTCACCGGCAAATAATTCCGTCTGGTTTGATGAAAGACCTGCTGCGCGTAACGTCGGTTTTTGTAGATTCATGCTATTCTGGAATATGACTCCGCCCAAGACGATGCTGACGGCAGTGGCCATGTTGCGTATAAATCCCAGCGTGGCTGTTGCAGCGGCCGTATCGGCCTGCGAGACATTTACCTGTAACGCGATGATGGGCGGGGAGAATAAACATCCCGTCCCGAGACCGGCGACGATCTGATACAGCACGATCTTGACGAGGGATGTATCCGTTTTCAGGTCGATGTAGAGTCCCGTTCCGACTGCCGCAAGTACAGCGCCGAAGATGATGACTTCGAGGTACCGGCCGGTATGATGGATTAGAATCCCCGTGAACGCGCTTGTGAGGGATTCGACGAGTACGATGGGGAGAACGAGGATTCCGGAGCGGAGCGGGGAGGAGTCTTTGGCGGATTGGAAGTAGAGGGGAAGATAATACTCGCCGCCAAGGAAGGTCTATTCACTGTCAGTTTTCATGAGAATCAGAGAAAGAAAATGGGGTAGGTGAGACGCACCATTCCCTGACAAAAAGTCACCACGAAACAAGCAATATTCGACCTCTCTCGAAACACACTCATCGGCATAAGCGGGTATTTCGCCAGTCGTTTTTCACAATAGATGAAAACAAGTGACATCAAACACCCAAAGACAATCAGACAAATAACCTGTGGCGAACTCCAGGAGAAGGTGTCACCGCCAAAGTTGAGTCCCAGAAGTAACATCAAGGTTAGCGCAAGAATAGATAAACTGCCGAACCAATCTACGGCTTTGATTCCTTCAAGGAATGGGGTGCGAGGGTTGTGCACGTCGAGGAAAAAGAAAAGGAGAAGGAATGCAGTGCCGCTGACGGGGAGGTTGATCCAGTATACCCAGCGCCAGGAGATGGTTTCCGTGAATGCGCCGCCCATTAAAGGGCCGACGGCGCCTGCGATGGCCCAGATGGATTCCAGGATACCAAAGTAGAGACTTCGGTGTCTGCCTTCTCATCAGGATTTTTAATTCTCATTCCATCCAGGAGTAACAGGAGGACGTACCTAACACTAAACAAATCCGAAATGGTAATAGTAACCATCTGCAAAATCCCCGCCCCAGCAATCCCCTGCAACGACCTCCCCACAATCATCATGGTCATATCCACCGACTCAGCACAGATAATTGACGAGCCCAAAAACAACGCCGTGGCAGTTAACAGCATCAATTTCCGCCCCCAGATATCAGAGAGATTAGCCCAGATGTTTGCCGCCGCGGCGTTTGCGAGGAGATAGGCTCCTCCGATCCAGACGTAGCCGGCTGCTGAATGCAGGTCGGAGACGATTGTGGGGATGGTGGTGGCTACGATGGTTTGGTCTAGGGCTGCTACGAAGAGGGCTAGCTGTTGCTAATTAGCTCTGTATAACCCGAGGAACACTGGAATTTGTGGACATACAGCCAAAGCTAGCATAGTAGCTGCAATTCTGAATCGCTGTTTTGGCGTCTGATCATTTTCGGGGTCTGAGTCGTCTGAAGATGGAGCTGGCTTGTAGGCTGATTCTTGAGTTGTTACTGCTGCCGCAGCTGCAGCGGCTCCGGAGACAGTAGACGTCAAATGAGCGAGTTGAATGTCATCCATGCTGATATTTGTTGCATTCAGGGTATCATTTCTAATGGCTGGTGGGTATTGTGGTGGTGTTTCGTTCATGGTTATTGTCGTCTCCCGCTTTGCGAATGACTCATTTTGAGATGATTCGGCTGTAGCCATGTTTGGGTCCTTCTTTCCTGGGATCCTTCTTTGACCTGTGGATATATATCGAGTTGCAATGAGTATAATGTTTTTCAAGAAGTTTTACAGTTTTTCCGAATTGATTTTGAGCAAGATCTTGCACGATCTTCTTGCAAGATTGAGTTTTTGGCTGCTCACTGAGTCAGCCCTGACGACAGTCTTCGCTGTCCAGAGATTTCGTACTTGCTCCTCTGAACTCGTCGAACTGATCAAAATCAATTCTAATATGAAATCTCACCCAATAAAACCAGAAAGTGACAAAAGAAAGATGAATCCTTCTATCATAAAAAAGAGATGAGCCTAGATCCACTCGCTTACGGAAATTATGGAGAAAGACAGGAAATCTCCACTTCTCAGCACGCCGATATCCGACGTGCGGAGTTCGTCTGGACGCGGAATTTACACGCTTGACGATCTAGTGAGATCGGAGTCCTGATTAGGCAGTGTGATTTATAATACGGATTGCATCACTAGAGTCTAGACGTGTCGCATTTGTATGTGACGAGTATATAGGATGCATGTTGTACGGTCAAGGGTCATTTTAGGGTTTGTAGTTGCACGTGCCTTCCCATGCCTGAATCGAAGGGCGTTTCTACTCTGATTATCACAATGAAATCGCAAAAGCTGAGCTTACCGTTGTATATTTACATACATAGCAGCGATTCCAAGTATGTACCAATTTATCGTGCATCTAGGAACGACGCAGGTGGTTAGGAAATGTTTTCTGAAGCAAAGCGGGGTCAATAATAACTCTTTCCTTTAAGGCTGACCTGATTCATACTTTCTTGCGCTTGAGACAGTCACTAACAGCTTGACACTTACAACATGTAAGCTTTCCGGTACCATTTCATGCTATTCAACTTGGTTTGCGTCGACGTCCACCGTTCTCGGCTCCCAGACCTCGAGAACAATCTTATGCACCGTGAAATTAGTGAAGGGTTCTTTGCTGATAAATAAGCCGGTCTCGAAGGAGTATCTGCAAGATATTTTACTCCACTGTCGATTATAGATTACTTCAACGTTCCCTAGGTACTCTACGCAGTACAGCACCCTTCACGGTACCGAATGAATGCTACCAACGAAAGACACTTGGAAGGGGAAAGGATATCACTGATTAACTTTCTCCCCACTGTGTAAATTTCCTGAGTTTGAAAGGGACGCAACGGATGGAGTTGACGGCTCTGACTTATAGTAGCATTCTAAGAGATCCATGGATATATGTAAAAGCTCCCAAGGTCATGGAGCTCACTGCTAAGTCTAGCTGTCACGGTGACGTGTAAGAGGAAAGATAAGAATATAATTACTAGCACAAGAACTGTAACCCCTTCAATGTTCTCAGATGTTACCTACAGCCTGCGTTCTGTAAGTATGTTTTGAGTATGTTTTCTATCTCAATCTCTAACATTGCATATATCAGTTACGATATGCATTTAATCTCTCTGGAACTTCCTTTCGTGGCCATGGCCTCTACTGGCCTTGCTGCCGAGTGCTATGCTCAAAGTGGCGCGACGGGTATGAGCTATACGTTCACGCCGATGAGTGGTGTTACTGGAATTGGAATCATGAATTCGGCTGGTGGGACACGTTTAAAGACTCAAACGGCAATACTGCACTAATAGGGAAGATTGGAAATTTTCAAAATGAGGAACAATGCGTGGTTGCATATCAGGAAATTGTGAGCGACTGCTATAACATTAAGAATGGTGGCAGTTGGACCTACCGTGCGAGTCTTATCATTGATTGACTTCTGTCCTTGGCCTTGATTACGTCTGAGCAATGAGGTTGTAGTGATATAGGCTTTTCTCCTAGAGTTGAGTTTTCTGTGTCTCTGACGAATGCAGAGCACCCTGAAGGTCTTTTCTTTCCCAAGCTGTTGTCTCCTGTAACCACATATAATATGTCCAGGTGTTATGATAAGGGGACTGACTACTGTGTGTGTGTGTGTGTGTGTGTGTGTAGTCAGAGGATCTCTTGAATGGGGTGAGATTTATTCGTCGCCAGGTCCAAGAAATCAAGGTTAAAGTGACAGCATGCTAAGCGATTTAGTGCTGCACCTAGGTATCGCTTAAGTAGCACTTGAGGTACCCCGCTATCGCGGAGTTTCCAGGCAATCCGAAGCTAACTCCAGGCATCCATCTCATGCGTACAACTATAAAACCCGAGTTATAACGACGAAGAGCAGGAAAGACAATTTCCAAAGCAATATACCAAAATTGAACAAGAAAATGGCACGTCAACTTCCGCCAGGTTACAGTCTGCATATAGGCTACCCACCCGCCGAGATTTACTGCAATCTACGCAAAACCTCCGGTCTCGCAGCCGTTTCTCTCGTACAAGCCCAAGCCGTACCGAAGGGGAGCTGGTACGGCTGCATGATCAAATACACTCCTTCTGAGTCCTCGACCGAGAATGCAATAGAAACAAAGCCCGAGATTGTCGCCATGGGCCGCATAATCAGTGACGGAGGCTGGTACTTCGTAATCGCCGATATGGCTGTTTTACCATCCCATCAGAGGAAAGGACTGGGTGACTATGTGCTCAAACAGCTCATTCAGAGAATCAGGGCGGAACCTGTGGTGGCTGATGTTCTTGAGAATGGGGGTCCAAAGCCGTATGTTAATCTACTTGCTGATGAGCCGGGGAGGAAGTTGTATGAGAGGAATGGGTTTGTGTATACGGCGCCGCATTCGCTGGGGATGATGCTGAAATTGGATTGATACTGCGATAGAGTCGATATACATTGTGTTGATAGTGTCTATGTACGTAATTACATTCATATCCGCCACCCCCGGATTGATATCGAAATTACAACTTGGCTCGCACTTTGCCCAGTTTTTCAACTTCAGCGAATTGATAGTAAAACTCCAAACTCTCAGGATTAGCCAGTGTTCCAGATGGCTTGATTCGTTTTCCAGATACAATTTGCTTAACTGGAAGTTCGACCTTTTTGCCAGTGACCGTTGTCTATGTCATGTTAGTTGACCGTATTGAAGAGACTCGAAATAATGAACATACCGGAATCGCAGGTGTCTCAAAGATGTACTTTGGTACATGTCGTGGACTAAGTGATTTGCGAATCGCATCTCTCATGCGCTGTACAAGGGTTTCAGTGAATTTTCGACCTGGTTGCATCTGGACAAAGAGCAAGACTGATTCGTCTAGATCTTGTGGACGTCTTTGGCCCACGCAGACTGATTCAAGTACTTCGGATGCGAATTGTGTCTCGAGGACATTGTATATCTCTGCTGATCCGAAACGGATGCCGGATGGGTTGAGGACACCGTCGGAGCGGCCGGAGAAGATTACCTGCTTGGTGAGGGGATGGATAGTGATGAAGTCTCCATGTGTCCATACGTCTGTCGTAACCCTGATCAGATACGCCCAGTAAACGAAAAGGGGGTTGACTCACTGTTGAACCTAGCAAAATATGCTTTGAAATACTTCCCTGGCCCATCTTCACCCCAGAATGTAACTGGTGTACAAGGAAACGCAGCCGTAGCAACCAGTTCACCAGATTCACCGTCTGGGAGAGCTGAACCATTGACACCCTCTAGACCTTCATCTACTTGACCATATACTGCAATCGGCACACCCAGTCCAGCAGCTTGACATCCTCCAACATACAGTGGGCTGAGCGGGTTGTCTATTGCAAAACAGGCTGCAATATCAGTTCCGCCAGAGATATTTCCGAGGTGTGCGTGAGCCGGGAAGCCTTCATCGTAGAACCATTCGAACAAGGAATCTGCTAGGACCATGCCGGTACTTGAAACAATGTAGAGACTGCTCAGATCAGCTATTTTTCGTGGTTGGATTTTTTGTTTGCGTAGTTCTTGCAGGTAGCGAGGCGATATGCCAAAGTGCGTTACTCTTCTCCACCGTTAGTGATCATAAGAACTCATAGCGTTTCGGGGTACTTGGCTCACCTTTGCTCTCCAGCCAGACGGATGAGAAAGCCTGCATCTGGCGCAAACGGACTTCCATCGTATAGGATGATCTTGGACCCTGAAAGCAGAGAAGCCACTGAAGTCAAATACATGATCCACCCAGTGGTCGTATACTGCAATATGGTACTGTTTGGTCCCATGTCTCGATGTAATATCGACTCCTTGGCTAAGTTGATCAACACTCCTCCTGTCGAGTGGACAATGCATTTGGGCTGACCCGTCGTGCCGGACGAGTACACGATCAAGAACGGATCACGAAATCCTACGCGAACAAATTCCAATTTGTCGGAAGGTGCTTTTGAAAGGAAATCTTTCAAGAGTTGGGTACGTGGAATACCTGTGATATCTCTGGGCTGGTCACGCAATCTGGGCAATGCAATAACTCCTTTGAACTCGGATATACCCTGAAGTCCGTTGATGACTTCAGAGATCTTACCGCGCAGATCGACTATCTGGCCCTTGTAGACGGCTGCATCGTCCACAAAGAGTAGGGTTGGTTTGATCTGCGTCAGACGGTCTAGGATTCCTTTCGTGCCAGTATCCGACGACGTTGTCGAAATCAAAGCTCCGAGAGATGTCGTTGCAAGAAATAGTACAAGGCAATTAATGTTATTGCCAGTCACAACAGCAACTCGATCTCCCCGCTTGACACCCGCAGCCTTAAGCGCCTGTGTATAAAGCCCAACTTGCTGTCTTAGCTCACCCCATGTGTAGTCCCTCGGTGACTGGAGGTCGCTCTCTACAACCTCGTGTACAGCAATCTTCGAATCCTCCTTTCCAACTATGGATCGCACACCAGCTTTTGCATCTGCATAGCTTTGTGCACTGAACAAAACGTTCTCTGCGAAATTGATCCGTACACCTGGGAACCAGTCTGGGTTGCTTTGAATTGGGGCGGATTCATCAACAACTCTTGTATGTTGCCCTTCGTGAATTAGAGGCAATTCTTCCCAGACGTTGCTCCAGAATTCAGAGCGGTTCTGGATTGACCATTGATAGAGGGCATCGTAGTTCTAAGAAAAGATGTCAGACTCTCTCACTAACCGACCGCATTTTTGGAGGCTCATACAGCAAACTGAATTCCCTTGGACTTTTCTATCTTGGACTTGAATTGTCCCATTCGTGTCGACTGGGGATTTGGGTGCTCCCAGAGCTTGCGGGGAGTGTCTACTATAGCCGCCATTGTGCTGTATTGCTGTATCACTGTATGAAGTCAATCTGAACAGCAAAGAAAACCCCAGAAAGTTTTGAGTTGAATCTATTATAACTACCCCGTGTTGCTTACGTACATTCCCAAATAGGGACCTCTCGGCCCTCGGAGTTTGTGTAAGTGCAAATTTGGGGTATCTCTGTGGAGTCTGGATGAAGATAACATAGCCCGCGGGGAAATTGTCCCGCAGTCCCCCCCAGATTCATGATAGCCGACAGGCACGGAAATATTCCGCGGAGCATCTTCTCATTTCATCCTTTATTCACAACCCTGTCGATTACAGAAAACAGCCTATTAGGATAACGATAACTCTACAGCTGCTTGCGCCACAATGCTCTAAATTGCTTATCACGTGAAAATCGCCTATGTCCTACCTCCGTGCCTGTCACCAAGTGGAGAGTCACCGTTAAGAGTTGGATTTCTGCCAAGATATTCATGAATATTCAAAATGGAAACTTCGCAGACGGATTCGAGTTCCCGGAACGAGGACACAAGATTCCACTTATTCCCTCGGCTTCCCACAGAAATTCGACTGGAAATCTGGCGAGCCAGCCTACCCCGCCGAATCATATCCTTGGATTCGAGAAACCCATGTCCAGGGCCCAGCAAGGACTTTATACAAATCTGGCAGCGGCCACCTTCGATTGCCTGCGTCTGTAAAGAGGCTCGCAGCGTCGCGTTTCAGCATGGACGTCTACGTTGGGCAGAGAATGTCGATGGACCTGACAAACGGTGGGCAAAGACATGGATCGACCCATCAAAGGATTTAGTCTATATTGATACTGTGACGAGGTTACTCGAAACTATCCCAGAACATATTCTCGCCGACCACTTATTGGCTGATGCAAAACAGGCCAAGGCCGTGGTGATCAGTTCGTCTTACATGAATTTCCACCACATAGAGGAGACTGCACGGTTGTTGACTTTTCTGAACAATCCGTTTCTGTACATTGCTCGGAACTACGTCGTGCATATGAGTAAGGGAGAAGCAATCGATTCAGGGCTCTTCGGTTTCAACGCCGAAGAACCTATTGTCCTGGTCGATGACAAAGACAAAGATCAGCTTCGGAAATATGCTGCCGTATGCTCGCTAACAGAAGATAATCTCTTCCCGTTGGAAGACCACCTGGATTCTCTTGAAAAGTCGCCAGAGTCAGAGCCCATACACAACGAGTTTGCTCATGGAGATATCTCTCGGATGTGGCTTCATCTTCAGAGACACGGAATTCCGGCCTACGGAAAAGCTAAAGGCAACCCTCGGTATGAGGGTTTATACAATCAATTCGGATTTCTCAACCGAGACCATCATATGGTGAAAAGTGCAAGAGAAACCATCCCGAAGTATAGACTAATGTTTGTCTTTGAACTTTGTCGGAATTCTCGCCATCTTTTGATAATGGAGCATCAACAAAATAAGAAAGCTTTCAACAGTGTTTGTCAGGATATTTTCCGCCGGAAGATCTATACTACGGAACAACTGCGAGAATACCTCATTGATAACATGCTAGAATGAAATAACAATTCTTGATAGTTCTTCGCAGTTTCATTTTTCATGTTCAATATCCTCCTGATGCTTTGATAACCTCACTGCCGAAAGACCCCTTGCCAGCTTGCTCATTTGAACAGGATCTTTATCTAATTCGGCGTATATCGCAACGATATCCGTCCCAATACCAACTTCTTTAGCAGTATCAAGACTGCGATGGTCAATTGTCGGAGCAAGAACTGGCCAGACTGCCTGCGCATCATCGCAAAAGAGATCAGTAGCCACATCTCCAAATCCCTTGACTTCTCGAATCAGATGCCGTATTTGGGTTGGATTGTCTCCTGCTTTTTTCAACAGGTTGTTGAGATCTCCATCTGGATCACACATATTGTTAATTCGATTCATCTCCTATTTTCTATCAGATGACACGCAACATACCGTATTTCTCATTCACCAACTGAGCCAAGTCCCCCAGTTTAGTGGCAGTCGTCTCACGATAACGGTTATAGCCCCCTTCAGCCAATACTTGAACCCTATCGTCCCATGACGTCTTGCTCAGTACCTTGATATCGTGATATCCAGCTTTAAATACACTCGTCGAAGCCTTTTGTGCGAGATTGTGTGAAATGCGAGTTGATTTCAACATCGAGTCGATGACCATCGCTAGTAGTACCTCTGGCGTGGGCTCTAGTGGTTTATCCACTCCAAGTCCTTCCAGAGGCAAAGTGCCGTATTCGTCGATCGTCTTGTGAATTTTGTGTGCCATGGTAGATGTGACACTTTCACTCTTTCCCTGATCTACCTCGTTCTTGACGTTACGCGTCTCTTCTCCATCCTCTTTCATAGTCTTGTTCGGTAGAGGTTGTTCAGCTTCCTCGTCTCTCTTACGCTTTTCAGGCAGTGTCACCGTGGATGGTTCCTTCTTATCTTCATTGACTGCTTCTTTGATGACTTCTTCTGTTTTCTTATAAGTATCTGCTTTCTTCGTCTTGGTTGCTTTCAACGTAGGTTTTGTCTTTGATTCACCAGCCGTCGAGGCTTGACCGGATCGTGTCTGGACCATTCTTTTGACGATTTGACTTTTGTTCGAGATACTATTTGACGATCCTCTTAGTATATTGCACTTGATTTCGCCATCAGTTCATCTATATATATGAAGGAAGGAGGTCACATGACTGTTCAGGGTCAAATGGTATGACGTTATGATGATATAAACCTCCAGGGTTCCACTACAGATCCGACATCGATCTAGTCTTGGATTGAACCAATCATACTGCTGAAAGACAGAAACTAAATCGAGATTATGCATTAGTTTGTGACACTTTGTGCGAATTCTAGAACTTCTAGACCCTTCTAGAAGAAGTTGAGAATTGTCTTATTGAGAGCATTATCCAAACTTCGATCTCTAAAACTCAAATACCTCAAACTATTCAATTATCGGCAAATACACCGTGCTTATGAGTATATACATCAAATATGTAACAAATCAATGTGTCTCGGTCTTTTATAGCTTCGCCTTTTTCGCTTGTTGCAAAGCTTGTTTCACCAATCCAACTGCGTCTTCAGCACTTCCATACGAAGTCTGATACCCATACCCGGCATGTCCATAATTATGAACAATCCAAAAATCATCAGATCTTTCCCTTTCAATTCGTGGGCCACTTTCACGTAGTGGTCGAAGACCAACGCCGTGTCGAATAATACTCAATCCTTCGATGCCTTGACCTTCACCAACCAGACTAGGACATAGTTCGATGCATCTCTTCATGATTCGAACTGCTAGGTTTGGATCTGGATTGGGATCCCAGTTGTTCTTTTGGTAGGATCCGCCTAGGATTGTGCCGCCTCCTTTTGGTGGGTTGCATTGTCAGTATGGAGTATGTAGAGTTGATAAGTGCAAGAGTTCGAGGAATGAGAACGTACCAACGGCCCGTGTCATAATATACGTAGCTTCATCATCGCCATCGTCGGTTCCGGAGATACTAGCCATCACACCTGGGTCATTCCTCACAAGGATAATTTGACCCCTGGCCGGTAAGAGAGTGGTGTCCATGACACCACCCAAACTACGAGAAGATAGACCAGTACAATTCACGACCACATCTGCCTTGCTTCCGGAATGATGAAGATTAGCTGCCTCGGAAATATGCTTGACGATTGCTCTTTTGAATATGACTCCGTTCTGTCGGCATTGCCCGACGAGCCAGGGTAGATAGAGAGCAGTGTTGATGCAGACTGAAGTGAAGCTGTTGGCATTATCGACACCGGGGCTCAGTTCGCTTTGAGGGAGTTCACGATACTTTAATTCTATGAGCTATTGTAATAACCGGATTCTTATAGTGGCACTTACATTAGGAACGACTTTTCCATACCATGGATTCGGCTTGATCAACTCAGCGAACCATTTTCCGGTAGTTGATTCTTGATCTTTCTTTCGGTTATAGACCAAAGTGTCTTCATACTATGTATCAGCCATTGTTCAAATTGAATAGTGCATGATATGAGATAAATACCCTGGAAATGGATTCCTGCTTCCGGACAGTTTTTGGCCAGTTCTTGTAGATGCGGCCATGTCAATTTTTCCCACTGTCCGATCTTATTGTCTTCCTGTCCAACTCTGGACGTATAAAATGTACCCAGGTCAGCGAAAATTCTCATACTCCCAGGAAGAAGCAGGCACATACGGAAGGTAATTAGCGCCCGCCCATGGTGAGGTGTATTCAATATCGTAGTCTCCTGGCATATGCTTTGCAGCAACTGTAACTTTGTTCTCGGGATCTCGAGAGAGTAGCATCGCCGTGGTGAGGCCAATAACTCCTGCACTGCAGTGAGAGTATCATTAGTGATTGATTGACCGCTTGAGTGACTCATTGACAATTGCCGATTGTTGAGATAACATACCCGAGCACCACGATATTGTTTGATGCCATTGCGACTCTGATCAATTTGTTGAACAATCTTTATGAGTTGAGTGATTACAATTCTCAAGACCCGATATTGACAAAGGACAACACGGTATGAAATTGGAGAAAATCTTAGGAGGGGTATTGCATCTTTTAAATACTAGAAGGTTTGAAGTGGAAGACCCAGTTTATGGCGATAAGATAGCCACGATTTGAGTGGGGCAACTCTTTCTGGCAGTCGGAAAATAACCCTAAAAAGTTCTGAATGGAACGTCTGTGGTCGAGAGGTATTTTACTCAACGTCGCATGTGCAAGTCACAGAGGTTCCTCTTCTCTATTTCTACTTAGAAACAGTTATGCCAAAAATGGAGATAATTCTACCATTAAAGCTAGTCTCATTTGTAGTTCTCGAGGTTTTTTCATGCTAGGATATGTCTACAAAAGAGAAAGAAGAAAAAGAATACTACCTCATACATAAAAGCCGCAAGACGAGCTCAGGGTGTACTTTCAACAACCTCGGAAAGAAACTGTGTACGTTCATTCAGACATCGATTAGTCTCTTGTCTGGAATGATCTGGCGAGTTATGTTGATCACTCCCTTTTCAGTCACTTTTCGAAGCAGCTCTCCTTCATCTTTGGTATCCTCATATTGCGATGAATCTTTGATCACAAGTCGCAACTGAGGATTATTCTCAGCATAGCCTCTCCAACACATCGTTCCACGGCCTGGAATTTTGTCTGGGGCCCTGATTGTTTTTTTTTTCTTTCTTTTTCCAAACGATGTGTTCCATATGGCCATTTCGTTCTATTTGAATAAATTTCTTGCCATCGCAGTCATTATTGTAGGATCAAACCCCAGTTGTATTTCGTCCATCAAAAAGAAATAAAGAATTGCAGACACAAATGGAATTCCGTCACGATTGATAGAAAAGGAGTCGGACCGAGTACTCCCGAGACGGCCAAACAGCCAAACTCTCATCCAGTTTCCGGACAAGGTAAAAGCGCAAACAAAGCGACGAGTCAGTTGCTCAGACTGCACTTTTGTCGCATACGCCCCAAGTTCAAGCCACGACTTCGGATGATCATCAAGGCATAGTCGCTCCTCAGCTGCCCAGGTACCGAGATCCGTGAATAAGGATACTTGAAATGTCCCTCTGCTCCTTGTTCATTGACCAAACAAATGCCTAGCTTCTGCCCTTTCATCAAGTTTTCTAGCTGCTTGTTTGGACGGGCAAATGAACGCAGCGGCATCTAGTGTGGTCAGGACTCCTTTCCCCGATTGCGCATCCGTTTGGTTGCGGTCGAGAACCAACTAGAATCGATGATATCGTCCTCGGCACATAGCCATTTACCCTTCTCTTTGTCGTAAAGCGGGCAATCGTCTTCGCAGCACTTTTGAAATACCAGTTGGGAAACTTCTTCGATGTCGGGCATTCCTCCAAAAAATCTTTTACGGAAGTTCCAAGAATTGGAATGTACAGGACCAACCTTTTCCTCAAGCACATTACCGAAGTACCCGTGACATTCAGACAAGCTCATGGAGTGGTCTGTATTTCTCCACCGTGTCTGTTCGAGCTGAGATGTCGCCGAAGAGGGAGTGGTTTCGTCCACGACATTCAAAACTTCGGTCCAAACTTCAATGTCAGACATTCTACCCAAAACAGCCTTCATGAGAAACACGGCCTTTTTAGGTTCAAATGCTCCTAAGAGAAGCTTATCAGGCATTCTCCTAAGTGCCACTGAAAGCACATCTTCTCTATAGGCGTGAAGATGCTCAGCTACCGGTAGATGGGATATATGGACAAAGATCACTTTTACGAATAATTCAAGCCCTGCAATTTAGTTAGCCTTAGATGCTAGTTATTCAAAGAAATATAAAACTCCCTTACCTTGATAGCCAAACTTGTCTAGCGAGTCCACTGTGACAGGGAGTTTTAGATGCTTGCATTCAATTTTGTACATACGGTGAAATGAATCTAGGGCCTCCCCACTTGGATAACGATCTATGATATATCGACGATTCTGGTCCATAACTGCATATCTAGGTGGGTTAGGTGATGCCGTAGCATTGGGAATTCTGCAATCCCGGGGTCAACTGGTTCTCGGATAATGATGATATGGAGGTCTTCTGGAGACGGCTGGATAACCCAGTGGCGATCGCTCACCTGGGGCTTCGGGACAAACAATGGCTGGCAGACCTGAAGAAAGACGAATATTGCAACTCAGATCTGTTGACACGAGACTCTTCCGGGCAATTAGCCAGTGTTACAGGTCTTCTGCGCGAGTGTTTGGACATAATTCGGGACAAGGCTGCTTCGGAAGACCGAGAGGGGTTTGATTTCGTCAAACAATGTGCCCTTGTGCCTCTTAGCATGTGTCACCTCGAGAAAGCCATGCAAGCGGATGGACAGAAGTCAGAGGCAGACGTGGAGAGGTTACGGCAGATTTACGAGGATGATTCTGCTGCCAAAGGCCCCAAGTCGGTGCTCGCATCACTGTATTTCTTTAGGGGACAGCGGGAGAAGGCTCGTGACTTTTCCGAGTTGATATGGTAGAAGCATTCAACATTCTGGTTGATGATACCGACATCAATGATATAGATGAATTCACTGCGCTTCGTAACCTTCTGAACCACGCTGGAGATTATAATAATGCACTGCGAGCTGCCTTTCTGATTCCGAAATTCTAGTTCGACGACACAGTACTCGAAAAGCTTCTTGCCGGAGAAGAACCCTCTCTGGAAGCTGCCAGGACAGAATTCCTCAACTTCCATCAAACGAAGTCTCGGGAGAAGAGCGTCGAATTCTGGAGCATTCACTGGAACAGACTTCTGGAATTCTGGCGTGAAGCGAGCAGACTAGAATCAGAAGCAGAGGTTGATAGCGAGAGGGCTGCTTGCTACCAGAAGGTCCAAAGGGATTTACTGGGGTTCACGTGCAACAACTGCAATCGGCATTGGGACTATGGCAATGGTCTTCACGCCTGCAAGTATTGCTATAATGTGGGACCTTTGCGATACCTGCTGGGACGAGCTGCGATCAGGCGAAACACGCAAAGCTCTTGTATGCAGCAGTACACACGACTGGTACGAGTTACCGCCGTTGGACGACGGAGCAGTATTTTCGCGCATGTAGAGAGCTGGATCTCATACAGACTAACGACAGAAACGAGGAGCTGATCTCTGTTTCACAACGGCTGGGGATGCTGTGCGAGGAATGGGGGCTGTCCAAGGCTGACTGGAATCTTGAGTAGCACACACGGACTTCGTACTTGTAGTGGGCTGGTAGAACTCTGAACCTGGAGAGTACAATATGCTTGTCTCCTATTATTTCTTTCATCAACGCGGAGTCCCGTCCCAGATCATCTGACTGCTATCTTCAGATCTGATTCTGCCAGGAATCCCTCTCCTTCTGCTCCTCAATATCCAGACCCTCGGGGCAAAACGCCGTCGCGCACGTCAATATCAACTAGATGTGTTCGGGATCCATAACCCTAAGCTAGCCAAGCCCCGTGCGTATTACGTATTTGTAAGGCAGAATGTAGGCTGTTTGCAGTGTTCCATTCAGGCCTACGCGGGTTAGCGCCAGCGCGCGCATACCAGCTTGAAGTACGAGATTTGGTTATCATTGATCGAACCGGCGAGCGCTTTCCCTAGCATAGAGCTGCCATAGTCCCGAGTCTCTTGTAGCATGAAATTCGTCGAATGTCTTCTTAAGTTAAAATCACTTAGATTCTAGCAAGATCTGAGAAATGTGTCTGAAAGCATGCCCTAATAGGAAGGTAGAGATAAAAAGCGGCGCTATTCCTGAAATGGATCCCGATGTCTTATCTATAAGACTGGATTAGTGAGCAGTCTATCTGTGAGAGAAAGGCTAGAGCTCTACGGAGTATAGAAGTGACACAAGCTCCAAGACGAGATTGCTATGACTCACACATACATAAAATGCAGCCAGTGAATGGTAGTCTACTTTGACATGATTAGATGGTTGCGCTTGCAGGATTTTGTGACTAATTGTTGGTCATAGAGATTTTTTATCTGTAGGCTGCCATGCGGGTCTGGCTAGTAGCTCACGGGACTGGCGCATCATTTAAAAATGTCTCCGCATTGCGCCTTTTCTCTGGGATCATTGTAGACTGTAAAAGTATTTTGTCAAGTCCCCAGTCGAGACTTGATCTCGCGGCAATGTCGACCTCTGGCTACAATCATCTCGCAGGACAGGATGTGCGTCCTCTCGCGGCGAGTATCGCTGTCCTGGCTTTAGATTTGTTGCTCATCGCGCCGTCAGTGGTCGCCATTGGTTCTCATTTTCGACACATAAAGCCCCGGCAAAAGCTATACGAAGACGAAGATGGAATCGCATCCGAGGAGTCAATGGCTGCGTATTCAGCCAAGATTCCAAAAATTATACTAGCAATCTCTACAATTGCCGGTTTCGTGATTGCTACGGCTGGTGCTGTGCTGACTACGTTGAATCGGAATGAGGGCCTCACTATTGTCCAAAACTGGCTGATTGTCGCTCAATGGGTAATCTATATCGTTGATAAAATACATGTCACATTTCATGCTAATTCCGACTAAATATAGGCTGTCGTTCTTATTCAGACTGTTTCCATCAGCATTGTTAAGGAACCGCCCAGACCTTATTTCCTGGGACTATATAGTGGATTTTCAAGTCTGTTCTTGTTCATGGTGCTTCTTTTCCAGGTTACGCTGCTTGTACAAAGCGGCTCATCTGGTGATGGCTCATGGAAAAATCCCACTCATATTTTCATATACTCCTCACAATTAGTGGCATCGATTATATCGGCGTTAGCCAGCGTATCAATACCCCGACGTCCAGAAGTCTTCTATGATAATCACCCCGTCGATAGTATGTACACTGACTCAGCTCTGGGCAGACTCAGTTTTGCTTGGATCGAGCCCATGCTCATGCTTGCGAAGAGAAGGAAACACCTGGATCTCAAAAATTTACCAAAAATGGACCATCGAACCCGCGCACAAGATCTCTCTCAATCCTGGACAAATAAACAACACCCGCGAAGACTTTGGATTGAACTGGTCCTCGCGCACAAGAGGGCATTAGCCACTCAATGGGGTCTCACCTTGCTTCAAGCAGTTGGGACCTTCGCTCCCCAGTTTGTCACGTACTTTCTCCTTCGGATTCTGGAAAACCGCGTATACGGTGAAAAAGCTCCTGCCGAAGCGTGGATATGGGTTATTATTCTTACACTCACAAGCGTCGGAGTCTCCTGGATCGAGTCATGGATGTTCTGGATATCTTGGTCCGAGCTCGCCATTCCAGTTCGCGCTCAGCTCTCGGCACTCATTTTTCAAAAAGCCATGAGGCGCAAAGATGTAAAAGGAGCTTCGAAGGATGCTATAAAGGGGAATGTGGCCAATGCGGATGAAATAGAAAATGCAGCATCTGAAGATGAGGATGAAGAAGAAAGCGACCCAAAAAGCAAGCAATCGACGGTTAATCTCATTGGTGTCGATACAAAGCGGGTCTCTGAATTTTGCTCCTTTAACAACCTTTTCCCAGGCAGTATCTTTGAGTTATTCGTCTCGTTTGTTTTTCTGTGGTCTATAATCGGATGGGAGTCCTTGTTGGCTGGTTTCCTTGCAATGGCTTGTACCATACCCATCAATATTTGGTCTAGCAAACGGTATTCAGATGCTCAAGACAGACTTATGAAAGCTCGAGATGCGAAGATGGCAGTGGTTACTGAAGCTTTGCAGGGTAAGATGTCTGCTGGTTATATAATGGGCTGAAAACTAACTCTATGCCAGGTATTCGCCAAATCAAATTCTCGGCTTTAGAAACAAATTGGCATCAGAAGATTGGCAAATTCCGAGCAAAAGAACTAGACGAGCAATGGAGCGTCTTCCTGTAAGTGCATCTGGGTAGACATATTATCGCAGCAGACTGCTAACATGGCACAGTGCCGATACATTCTTACTTTTGTAAGTCGTGCTCTGATGATCGGATTAACCCTAGTTGCTCATATTTGGCAGTTGTTGGATTTCGAGCCCAATCCTGCTTTCTGCAGCATCGCTTGCTTGTTATGCAGTAATCCACGGCAGCCTTACCCCATCTATAGCGTTTACGGCAATCGCTATCTTTGCCAACCTCGAAGTGACCCTGTCTGTCATTCCGGAATTAACTACAGATCTTATAGACGCATATATATCCATAAGTCGAATTGAAAGATACCTGAACTCCCCGGAAATATCGAAGAATAATATCGACACTTCAACCAGCATCTCATTCGAAAACGCATCCATAGCCTGGCCATCAGATGAGAAAAAAGAAGCCGATGACCAGCGATACGTCTTGAGGAATCTCAATTTATCCTTTCCTGAGAAAGAGCTAAGCGTTATCAGCGGTAAGACTGGGACTGGTAAAAGTCTCCTTTTGGCGGCAATCCTGGGAGAAGTCGACGTATTGTCCGGCAAAATCAGCGTTCCGCGGTCTCCCAACACCCAAGAACGACGTGACCACCTCGCTACCAGGGACAATTGGATTTTACCTAATTCAATCGCATTTGTAGCTCAAATCCCCTGGATCGAGAATGCTAGCATCAAAGACAATATCCTTTTCGGTCTCCCCTTTGATGAGCAGCGATACAAGAAGGTCATTGAAGTATGCGCTCTACGAAAAGATTTGGATATGCTTACTGATGGAGAAAACACCGAGATTGGTGCCAACGGTATCAACCTAAGTGGTGGTCAGCGGTGGAGGGTCACTTTTGCCAGAGCGCTATATTCCCGTGCTGGTATACTGATCTTGGACGACATTTTCAGTGCCGTTGATGCTCACGTTGGTCGGTTCCTTTTTGAGAAGGCTCTCACTGGGGAACTTGGTGCTGGTAGAACTCGAATCCTGGTCACCCACCACGTTGCTCTCGTCAAGTCAAAGACCAAATACGTCGTGGAGCTGGGTGATGGCACAGTTGAGAACGCTGGGTTGGTCGATGACCTGCAAGCGGGCACGCTGGACACCATTGTCAGCCATCAAGAAACCGAGGATGAAATTCAAGAGGATGAAGACCCTACAGCTGTTAACTCTGAGGAGTCATCTGACAGCGAGACGATGGAGCAATTAAAGAAGGTGAATTCCAAACAAGCACCGAAGAAGTTTGTGGAGGAAGAAGCTAGAGAACATGGAAGAGTCAAGGGTGCTGTTTACAAGGCTTATCTGAAGGCCGGTGGCGGAGTTCCTTACTGGATTGTGGTTTTGCTTGCATTTGCAGGTATGCAAGCAATTGTAACGGGTCAGTTCACCATCTTTTGACTTCACCCTGTCAAATACTGATAATCCACTAGGTCGATCCTGGTGGCTCAAAATCTGGACCGGTAATGACGGTCATGAAGCCAAGGGGCAAACGTTTACCCATTTTCTCCAGTCACAGACTCCTTCACCTGGATTCTACAATGCATCCTTATCAAATCCTATCTTGCATTCAGAATCGAACTCGGGCTATTCTCTCAAATTCTACCTGGGAATCTATATTATGCTCTCCGTTGTGTCAGCTCTTCTGGGAACGTTCCAGTATTTCTACCTGTATACCGGTTCTCTCCGCGCATCCCGAGTTTTGTTCAATAATCTATGCTACACCGTGCTACGGACACCATTGAGGTGGATAGATACAGTGCCCCTGGGTAGAATCTTGAATCGCTTCACATCAGACTTTGAGACTGTCGATGGTCGCCTATCCCGTGACTTTTCGGGTGAATTGCATGATATCTTTCAACTCACTGGTGTCATTGTCGCTGGGTAGGTATTTTCTTCCGCTAAGTTCCAAGATCCTACAATTCTAATATCTTTCTTAGTATATTCGTCTCACCATACGTTATCTTGCTCGCTGCTTGCTTGCTTTCTGCCTGTGTTTGGATTGCATCGATCTATCTCCATGGCGCTCGCGAGGTAAAACGTCTCGAATCCAACGCCAAATCACCCATTTTCGAACAATTCGGGTCTGCTCTGACAGGTGTTGGTACTATAAGAGCTTTCTCAAAAACCGACACATATATCGAGCGTATGTTCCGCAAACTTGATGACTACAGCACCACCTACTGGCATCTCTGGGCATTTAACCGATGGATGGGATTACGCATGGCATTAGTGGGCAGTCTCTTCGCTACAATCGTTGCATCCATCATCTTAATCATTCCCACTGTGGATGCATCACTCGCGGGTTTCGCCTTATCATTTGCCTTGAACTACGGGCAAACAGTCATTTGGATAATCAGACATTACGCGAATCTGGAATTACAAATGAATGCTGTAGAGCGCATCGCGGAATACTCTGATCTCCCGACCGAATCTCAGGATGGTGCTGATCCGCCAGCCGCTTGGCCGAGTGAAGGTCGTCTTGAAGTTAACGACCTGGTCGTCTCCTACGCACCCGATCTACCCCCGGTTCTCAAGGGGGTCACATTCCGCGTTGAGCGTAGCGAACGAATCGGCGTCGTTGGTCGCACTGGAGCAGGGAAATCTTCCCTTACGTTAGCCGTATTCCGTTTCCTGGAAGCAAGGCAGGGAAGCATTCACATTGATGGACTTGACATCTCGAAAATCAAGCTGCATTCCCTTCGTTCCCGCCTGGCTATTATCCCTCAAGATCCTGTTCTATTTTCTGGAACGATCAAATCTAATCTCGATGCGTTTGACGAACATTCCGATTCCGAACTACGTGATGCACTTGTACGCGTACATCTCGTGACAGCAACTGAGTTGAGCTCTTCAACCAACGAGGCATCCGGATCCAGCGCACCCAGTGAGACAGAAAACCAAAACATCAATCCCTTTACATCCCTCAACTCCCCCGTCAGTGAAGGAGGACTTAATCTCTCTCAAGGTCAACGACAACTCCTCTGTCTCGCCCGCGCTATCGTCTCTCGCCCCAAGATCGTGGTTTTAGACGAGGCAACAAGTGCAGTAGATATGGCTACCGACGCGCTGATTCAGAGGAGTATTCGCGAGGAGTTCGGAGATAGCACTCTTCTCGTTATTGCGCATCGTTTAAGCACGATTAGTGACTTTGATAAGATTCTCGTCATGGATGACGGCAAGGTGGCCGAATTTGGCACTCCGAGGGAATTGATGCAGATAACAAACGGTATTTTCAGGGGTATGGTGGGGGAGAGTGGCGAAAAGGAGAAATTAGAGAAATTGATTATGGGATAATACAGTCATTGCGCAATCTTCTTTCCTTTCTTCGATTGTTTCTATTGAAGCATTGTCTACAGCTGTTCGGATATGATCTTGAGCTTTTAAAAGACAGCGATGGCTGTTTCCTATTTGTGCTCGTCCCTGACAAAACCAGTCATTTAGGACGACGAAATAGAGATAATAACCATGGCACAAGGTATGAATATTATGAAAGGATTCAACTATCAACTATTGTCACACATGGTCCTGAACATCGACATAATTATTCCGACATAAACCCTAATACTTCATGCAAAGCCAAACCATTGCATATCCCGAGCTCCATTCACAGGCACCGTATGCCCAACTCCAGTAGCATAGATACCATGTAGATTCGGTCCCCAGATGGTAGTCGTATACTGCGACTGAGGGTTATTCTGTTCCACTTGCTGTGGAGCACCATAGTTATATCCAAAGACGCCAGCCCACTGCTTACAAGTCTCATTATAATTCTCGGGATAGAGAGTGGTGTCAATACTGCCATGATAGATTTGCATCTTGGGTCGTGCCCCGGAATAGCCGGGATACATGTTCTCGGCGATACTGGCCCAGGCTTGAGGGGAGGCTTCGACTTGTCCTTGTGCACAGCTACTGTTCCAAGCGTCAACTTGGCCGGCTGCGGAATAGAAGCAGCCGGCGGATACGCCAGAGTAGACTATCGCAGCTTTGAAAAGTTCAGGGTATGTTGCAGCCATGACATTCTACAGGATTCAGTTAGAAAGGAAAGCAAATCAGAATTTCTGGTGTGGATTGTGGATGCTTACGGTCATCATAGCTCCTGAACTGGAACCAGTTACAAAGATCTTGGATGTATCGGCGTTATATTGAGAGGTCGTCCAAGTAACCATATTTGCAATCGAGTTACTGTCTCCGCCACCGTTGTGGGTAAGAGCTGCATGAGAGCTGACGTCCCAGCAGGTACCGCTATAGGGACTACTTGGATAAATAACTATGAAACCATACTGCTCAGCGAGCTGGGCGTATGGGGTGCCCTGATAATATGCTTGTGCCGTTCCGGTGCCTGATAATGAACGTCAGTCCACCGTTTGCCATTTGTCAACTTTGACTTTCAACATACAGTAATGTATAGCTACAATAATGCCTGGCTTTGAAGCCAGGTTTCTCGGGACATAAATGTAAAATCCAGTGTTAGTTGGATTCGAGCCCCAACTATCCGTGACCTGGGAGAATTGTCCACGCGTGATAGCTGCGCTGGTGAGCGTGGAGCTCAGCAGGGCGAAAAGGAAGAAGAATAGACGCATTATTCAGTCAATATCCTTTAAAGAAGAAGAAGTTCAAAATTTTCGGTTTTGATAGAAATCCATTCCCATGCTCAAGGAGTTCACCGTAGTATTTAAATCATCCGAAGCACCATAATGAATCATCGTCCAATGTATGAAACAATTTAACCGCAGGAGTATCTCCCCGCCGAAGATCGACACGAAATTCGTCACTTGATTTGCACGGAGAAATGGAATGCAAACATCGTGATGTTTCGCGGAGTGTCGCATTGCTTCAGACTTTCAATATTCAGACGTGCAAATGGAAGATTTTCTTCATCAGAGATCCCCCACAAAACCAAGACTGGTGGGTATCATGGATGCGTTAGGGCTAAATTGTTGTTGCAGGGAAATTAATATTGTCCACCAATACGTGTGTTCCCCAATATTATTTATATTTAGCCTGTAAGCAAGTGTGCAAGAGACTTTTGTGACATAGATTGTCCTGGATTTTAATAAGAGTTGAGCTGTGTAGGTAATTGTCTACAAGGTCAGTGATGATTTCTCGACCTCGGGAGGATACTGCTAGAATAAAGGATCTTCACGGAGAAATAGTTACCTCACACTCGACTTCCACTATGGATTGACTAGCTTGACTGACCATGGAGAAAACATCCTTCATGGGAAGATAATTGATCATGAGATTCCATCTCAGCTCCTAACATGACGTAGCACCTGCAAATACTCCAAGTAACATTGACGGCAGACAATAGCAACCATAATTGCCGGCATAATCTGTAAAACATCTCATAGGATGATTTGAAACATCTGCAAGTTTCAACTTTGAACAGAAGAATCGATCATATTGCACGAATCTCTAGAGATGCATGATTGGATGAATGTCCCGGATTGTTGCTGGTCTGATCCACTTGAGCCCTAATTTCGGAAATTTGCCTAATTTGTCCATCCATTCGATAACTTCATGGCAGACCTGAAGTCGAGGTTGAATGTCTTTGCAACGAGATTCTATGAGTGTAACAGGGTATATCATATGTTAGTGATCTCACTGTTTTGTACCTATCAACAATAATGTGGAATGGGAACAGGTTCAAGTCACGTATTATGATATTCTTCGCCATCTAGGGTAAGTGTTCATCAATTAAATTTTGATATCTCTATTTCTAATAATTCTCATATCTTTCGAAACAAATAATGCAGCATACAATCTAGTACCTCCTTTATGACAGGCATTAGCTGATATTGCTATGATCAATCCCATAAACTATGCCATAACTTGTCCCCGCAGCCAACGTCCCGACAATCAACGTCTGCAACGCTCCCCATAATCCGGACCGAGTAGTCTTGATCATAATATAGTTCTTGATAAAACCGAAAGCAATGAGTATCACAAACGTGATTCCGATGGAGACGAAGAGGGCATGCGTCACGTTGGTCATGGCAAAGTATGGGATCATGGGGAGGAGGCCGCCTGCACAACACAGTTGGGTTAGTTGGCTATTTTGTTGCTGATTCGGACTCATTTACTTACCAATGAAATAGGATAGTCCCATTGTTGCAGCTGAGATCCATGCCCGAGAGACGTTTGGTTCTTCCAGTTTGAGTTCAAAAGCCATCATGAACTATGACAGAAGTAATCAGCAACAGAACCACTTTCGAATTAGAATACTTGAACATCGGGACCTACTCTAATCCAATTATCCTCGTTCGCAATCAAGCAATCCACCACCCCCTGACTCGCGTCTCTGGTTATTCCATACTCCGCAAAGATATCAAAGATCTCCTCTTTCTCAGCACCGGGTTTCTCGGCAACCTCTCTCCTCTCCCGGGCAATCTCATTCTTATAATGTTCTCGATCAGTAACAGCAGCCAAATATGCACCCAGACCCATGGAAATCGATCCACTGAATAGTTCTGCAAGGCCGCCGACAATGACGAGTTTCGAGGAGCCGAGACTTGATAGTCCGGCTGTTAGAGCGAAGGGGACAGTGAGGCCATCGGCGAATCCGATGATGATGTCGCGGATTATGTCGCCGTGATCTGAGTGGCTTTCAGTGGCGGTGTGGGCGTCTTGGGGAGAGATGGTCTCTATGGTGGGCTCGGGACTGGACATGATGGTCTGTCTATTGGTATGCTAGATGATGAATAATCTAGTGGCCTTCTGAGGATTTGATGAAAAATTTTTACCTTTCAATACCTACAAGAAATGTTCATATTTATCTCAGCTTAGCCCTAACATCAGGGTCCACGTATGTCGCGCTTGGATACAACAGAGCCCAATCGTGACGTGAGAAGATACCATTGTCAGCCAATCAAAGGAATCTGATTTCCAATCATTGCGTGTTGAGATATCATGTATGATGGTTTTACGTGGTCGAGACAGCGAATCGAGTCCAATGATCGAGAAAAGTTAGGGCTAGGGATCTCCTGATCGCCGAAGACAAGACTTCCCACCAATCATCGTCGAGGTATTACCAATCCATAAATTTTTTCGAACTACTAGGAAACTATTGAGCAAAATATAACATTTATTTGGAATCGTATAGTTAAACTATTATATAGAAACAGTAAAGCGACGTACCTGAGGTTCAGCAACCAGAAAGCAATTACGCGCAACTGTCCGTCAATTTCGGGACCACTGGAAGAAACTCGACCTCGATATCAGAACCTAGAGCGTCCAATATCTCGTTTCTTAGTGAAGCCCAATTGTAGATAGTTCCAGGAGGCACAGAGACGACAATGCACGGCACCGCTTGATCCAAGCATCTCCCCACCTGATACAAACAGATAGCCTGCCAGGATAGATTGTCCTTGTCTCGAAGCAGCCTCACAATATCCTCTTGGGCCCTATTGTATTCTATCGCAGCTGGATGGTCAGAAGGAATATAGAACTTGAATGGCATAAATCGCCTGTCACAATCAAAGATGTCCACGTGCATAGTCTTCAGTCTCTTGTCCAATAAGAGCAAATAGACTGCGTCTCTGACGATGCTAAGGTCGCGAGTGGGTATAGGGTCATTCTCGATTCCAATACTGAGAACTGTACTCGGTCGCTGGTCAGCGGGGAAGACTCTTTTCACGGTAAAGTTCAGTTTGACTCCTGAACCGTCTGAGGGAAATCCATGTCGGATGAATGTATCTCTAATGTCATTCTTGTACGCTAGGATGAGTTCACGCATGGCCAGTTCTTGGGTTACTTTGACGCCGTACGGCCATGGGTGTTGGACTGTCGATGAGCGATAGGGATCACAGCGGTAGAGGTATGTTTCGATTGGAAGGGCCTCATTAACATCCCTCGACAGTCGACGCTCCCATCGTCTCTGGTGGGGAGAATAAGAATGAGGATCCATATTGTTCAAAAGAACTCGGTTTTGTTTGATAGTTGATCAATGGTGAAGATGAATACTATGTTGACATGATATATCCATGTATAGAAGTTCCGAATAGCAGAATAGAAGTGCGTTTCCAATGTTCTTAAATAAGGGTTCACGATTGCAGGCAACAATGGGTACCTAGATATGGATGAATGCCTACCTCTTTATTAGCTAATATATGATAAATGCCTCTGTAAGCTGCCTATCTGAGACATCGTCAAATGAGATATCATTCTCGACGCCCGGCTCAATGAGCAACTGCTTGTCGAATAGAATAACCACTACATGTCGCATTGTTTGCAAATCCTGAGGACACCTGATAATAAATTCGAAGATGCGCCCATTGTAGAAGTAGGAGGCTGGCGCCAGTCAATGGGATATCATTGACAGCAGGCATCCACGGACAATACCGTCGAGAGTGCTTCAATCCTATTCATTCAGGCGACATGAATAGGATATGCGCTTTTGAAGATAGCTCCTCCAGCTCAAATCCTAGCCCAGGTCTCAAGTGTAAATCTAACGATGTTGCCCTCTCTCATCTTGGTCATCTTGTGTTCGACGGCCAAAATTCTTTCTGCCTGAAAAGTTCGGCGGTTACCGCCCAGTGACATCAACAAGAACCTTTTCCGCCATATTTTTTAGGCCGAAACTTGAGGTAAGCATCGCTTAGCGCCTTTCTCTCTTGTTTCTCGATTTGCTTGCCAACTTCGAGCACTCGGAAAACATTTCACCATTCGTCCATGTCAAATTAATTCATCTCTGTCTATTTGTTTTATTTACTTTTACCCCGTGTTTTCTGGTCCTCCTTGCTCCCAATTCTTAGCCACTACCGCTCCGTATCTCCGTGCAAAATCCACTCCGGGTGTCCACCCCTGGTCTACTTCTACTTCTCTCGTTCCCCTTTTACTTCTTGATCGAGTCTTCCTTCTTTCAATGGCTTAGTTTTATATTTTTATACTCTTATTTTCTACTCTTTCCCTTTGCATGGTCTCGCCAAATGAGGGCAATTCGTCCGCCAAAGAGCTCCTGCAATCATGGCTGAGTCGCCGGCTAACCGAAGCAGGATTGTGCCCATCATGGCCGACGAAGCTCTCTCCAAGCCAAAATCAACCACAAGAAAATCCGCTCCTATTCCCAGGCCTGCCGCGCCGTCCCGCATATCCACGCGTTCTCGAACCAAATCTTACGGACTGGACGGCGTCGATGGCAATTTGAAGATCTTGGAAGAACGCGGCTTGTACGTCGCGAAAACCCCCGGGGACGGTATGTGCAGGCAATTCACTCCGATATTGATTATATCTGACGATATGACTAATAATTGAGCAGGCAATTGCCTCTTCTATGCTCTGTCCGACCAAATGTACGGTACTATGGAACGCGCCTTCGAGATACGCGAGGCTTTGGCCGTCCATATGTCTACCCATGAAGAGTATTTTGGAGCTTTTGCCGTCCCCGAGGAAAGCGAGAGACGTTCGGCACGAGTTGCGGCACGGAGAACCGAGTCCCCATTCCCGGCGACTCCCTCACCAACAGTCAACGACAAGCAAGACGCGTTTACAGACATGGTCTCGCGTTGTGCCACCCCGGCAGTCTGGGGTGGAGGGGTGGAGATTCAAGCTTTCTGTCAATACTACCAGCGAGACGTTCGGGTTTACAGCCCGGACAATGTGCAGAACTTTCGAGCTTGGGATGCTCCTAATGATGAAGTCCGGGAGGTAGTTCATCTTGCATACATTGTAAGTAAGCCTTCACTTTGTTGATGTTTCTCATTACTAACATGTTTTTAGAACGGCGTCCATTATTCATCTGTACGCAACATTGACGGTCCACACGAAGGACTTCCCAATGTGAAACCAAAGGCGGTGGTTATTGACATCGAATCCCCTCAGGCTTGGAAGATCTCACACATCCAAAACGGATTGAGTGGTCAATACGATCAAGATACAATCGTGTCAATGCTTCGTCGCTGCCGTGGAGATATTAATCGCGCTTTTGCCAGACTTTTAGACGAAGAATCATCATCAACTTCCTCATTTGTATCCTCTGCAACCTCGGCTGCATCGTCTCAAGCAACAACAGCCAGCACACCTGAACAACAACAAAACGCAAACGAACTACGCAACGAGACCACTGCTACACCTATGGTGAACTTCAAACCCCATCTGATGTCGTCTCGTTCATCCTCTCGACACAGCACTGCTAGCAAGCGCTCTGCAGACGACAGCGATGATGAGGGTTCCGTTTTGTCTGCACAGCGTGGACGTGAGCAAAAGCGCCGTATCCTACCAAAAGTTACAGTTGGTATCAATTTTGGAGACCACGATCAGCCAGATATGGTTTCTTTGCGTTGGCGAGTCGACTCTGATGTTGTCGCTGAGCAAGTTACTGCTACTCCTTCATCTTTAAAACAATCAGAGCAACCAAAATCTGAACTAGAACAGCCCAAGCCAACTTCAGAGCAAGACAAGCCAAACGCAAAACCGAAGAAAACGCAGACCAAGGCCAAAGTCAAGCCAAAATCAAGGGCAGAGCAAGGCCAGTGCCGCAAACTTCGACCTCGCAAACCTCGAAGCAGTGTCACCAGCGAACTTGACACCGCATTAACCCTTTCCGACGAATCATCTGTTAAACTAGCGGAATAATGAGATTCGCCATCCTCTTGAGTGTTTTCTTACACTAATCATCTTTTCAATTGATTTACATTCTATTGCATTCGCGCAACTGCGGGCATTGCATTACGTTGCATCCAATTGTAACTACGACGACATGAGCATCTTTGGGAGTTTACTTTTTTTCTTTTCTTTTGAGCATTTTCAGGCATGCGAAAGACATGAGATGACATGAGCTGAAATGAAATGACCAGCATAATCCATTGCAAGGTGTTCGGTGTTGAACCGTTGTTACCCATTAACGAGTCGGAATTCTTGGTGGCCTATTGTCCGGTGGATGCAAGTGAGCGAGAGAGAATCATGTACATAGGACACCTGATCGAGCATGAAGTGGCAGGTCCATTTCAATGACAATGACCTAGTCGATGAGAAAAGAGAATACTAAACCAAGTCAATAATGAGCTGTCCTCTATCCCCTAAACTAGGTCTGAAAATGTTCTTCTTCGTATCATGCGCATATCCACAGTCACATTCCGACCTCATTAGCTCGTTAGTCAATCTGGTGATAGTATCCACAACCCAATCATGATCCTTGTCCCCCTTATGCCTCAACAAATACGCCTGAAAATGCGTAATCTTCGTCGGAAAGATCTCCAACCTAACCGGCTTCACTTTCTTCGCCCCCATCTCTTCCTTAACAATAACCCTATACAAAGCCCCCAAATCATTCCTAAACTCCTTATTAAGCGCATAATCATCCACAAAATCCCCACAACCATAAATGATCAGTTTTCCAGGCGCAGGACATTCTATTCCCTGGACATGATGCGACGAGTGACCATGGATAATATCAATACCGCATTCAAAAATGAGGAAATGAGCCATTGATCTGATTTCGCGCGCTGGATGCCAGCGATAATTCGGACCCCAGTGGACAGAGAGTATCTTCAATGACGCTTCCTCAGACCCTGAAACAGGAGTGGAATATCTCGAGGTAATCCGTCTAAGATGCTCCCTCGACTTTTCCGAATAATCCACAAAATGAAAGGTCGGTACATCACTCCATGCACGCGGATGATCTGTCGCAGCATAGACATGAATCAGATGTTTCCCTTTCCTCTCCTCCAAATCCTTGCTGGATAATGCTCCTGGTCGACCACCGTGTTTGACGCCGTGCTGACTCTTGCTACGTGGTAATTCGAGTATGGCTGGTGAAACGGCTTCTTGTGTTGATTCGCCGGCACCCGCTATCGCGATTCTGTGTTGTTGTTCGGGGGAGGAGGAATGCTTTAATGTCCAGACTGTATCTACTAATCCCTCCGTACCAAAATCAAGGGTATGATTATTCGCCAAACAGGCAAAATCTATCTTTGCCGCTGCAAGAATCGGAACTGCATTGGCAGGATGCATGCGATAATTGAATGTCTTGTCAGGCCAGGGTGTTGGATGGGTTGTTATTGATGTTTCGAGGTTTATCAGATTTAAATCTCCCTCATCTGCTAGGAGAGGCAGGACGGTGCCCCAGGGACTTGATACAGTGTACTTTCCGAATCCTAGTCGAGAGGCGTGCCGGGCTTGGAAGACGCGGATGTGTTTTTGGTCTTCGGGGTTGGAGACGTGGGTTAGGTAGAGTTGGTCGATGAGCCGGCCTAGCATGACGTCGCCGGTGAAGTTGAGGGCGTATTCTTTAGCCATTGTGCTTGACTTAGTTGTATGTTGCGTTGATGTTGAGGTAGGAAGTGAGGTCTGTTCTGCATTGCATGTTTGGTGTTGGCTAACTTCATAATGACATACACGTAAACCCTAACTTAATCAGTGGCAATGGCCACAAAGTGGCACTCTACATTTCGAGATATTGAAAATGTACAGTTGTAATCAACTAGGATGGCATTCGGCTGGTTAAACGGTAAAACGTATATAGTTATGAAAATGAAACTCACCGTTGATCTTACTGCACAACGTCTGATCGTCACCTTTTTGAATCGTTAACTTTTTGGTATTGCCTACCAGTGTCGGCACCGTGACTATTGCTTTGAGCATTGCGTCTAGAAATTTGAGGATAGAAGACTTGTGCATGGCCACATGGTGTGTGACACTCATTTGCAGTTTCGACTACTCAAGCTTCATGAACTGCCAATCAATGCCGTCCGGAGCAATACCGTAAACTATGCGTGATTTAAAATCCATTTTCTTGATTCTTCTGCTGGATGCCAACCATATAGACAAGAGCCTGTCCTAATCCATTAATAGCCCTAGAGGTCTTTTTTGCTTCCGTAATCACTGAACATGTCCGATGTGATTCAAAAGGATCCTCAAGCAAGGAATAACCCAAGACATAGTCAGCAGTACCGTCGACCTGGTCGGTTCTGTTACAACACTATACTCGCCCCGAATCGATACACAACTCCTAGGTTTGAGGTTATAAGAGAAAGTAGGTAGTAGTATAACATCCATGATAGTCCTAGTCATGGCTTCACAGCTATGGTACTGCCATTCACGTGTAGTAAGGAATTTGCGGTGACCATAATCTAAATAAGAAATATTAATAATCATGTAATAGAATATTTAAACAATACATGCAATAGAACTTGGCCATGAATAACAGAAGACTCTTGGGGATCCAGAAGTGAGATTGGCACCTCCAGTATATCGATCCATTTTAGTGTTAACAGCTCGGAAGCTCTGCATTTCCGTATTGGAACCATCCAAGCTGATATTAGTCGAATTATGAGGCGGCTTTCCTTTCATTATAGCCAGATTCTGCTATATTCTATTATAGACTTACCAGACTTGTCATCAAACGGAACAGTCGGCCCTTGTGGCTCTTTCTAGACATCTAAATCATCGTAGTCGATGTGCAATTTTTGTGTGGCTGTATGGGAGACACCCAAAGATGGGGTTTGGATGGTGGAGGGCTTCAGTAATTCTCAAGCGCGTCTGATAACTGCTGGACATCCACACTGCCGTCGACAGCAAGGCTGTGGACGAGTTCCACGACTCTATCGTAAAATTGCCACTCCACATGGCACTCGTTAGTAGGGATACTGGGCATCGATACCGCAGGAGATGGGTCATCGCTCGACATTTTGCAATTCAGTCGTGAGCGGAAATTCGAGAGCTGAGGAGGAAAATTCTTTCTGTGCTGCCTGTGGTGGTTGAGACTGATTACCTATGTATACGTAATGCAAACACGCGTTGTGCCTATGCAAATTCGGATAGAAATACAGTAGAACCTAAGTATAATGGGCAAAAGGGCTCCCAGGACCCAGTCAAATTATCTCGTAGTAAGTTTGATCTAGGGATGAATGGCACTCCGGTATATTAAGTCACGTCAGTCCTATATTTTATAAAGTAATCAAAGGTGAGATTGCCTAGGTAGACTAAATATGGAGAGAATAGTCGAAACCATCATTTTGAAAATTGATGAATATTACTCCTGTAACAGCAAGAGATCATCCTCTGGCTCAGGTTCCAGATGCGGCCACTGGGCTCAAACACGTAGTTTTAAGGAGAAGAGAGGTCCATTTCCTTGACAATATAGGTACAAAAATTCTTCTATAGATACAGCTAATGTCCAGAGCCCTTCGCTCCATGCGCTCCTCCTTGATGATGTGCGGCATGTGCATCAAGCGCAAGTCCCTCATTGATCTTCTTTGTAAGAACACTGACACTCTCAAAATGACTATCAGGATCATTCAGGGACATCCACGGAATAACACCATTATGACGACGCAACTCTGAATCCAAAAGATATAGACCGAGTCCATGCTGCTTTGAGACTCGAGCCACTTGCTGTACAAGATCTCCAAGGTTCTTCAAATGCTTCGCATGTTTGCGTAGGTATCGTGACTCTATGGCTGTCACTAAGGCAGTGTCTTGTTGTTTTTCGGCCAAAGTAACCAACCGCTGCAGATCTTCGAAGAGCTTCTTCTGGACTGTGAAAGCTTCCCGACAGGGTCCAACAGGCTCAACAGGTGAATCTGGGAAATCGATTTTTGGCGCCTCGATGTTGGTGGGTTTCGAGCGTCCTCCGCGAGTGACGAGGTACTTTTCCAACCAGTTCATGTCAAGCAGACATTCCCAGGCACTCCTTTCCCATAGCCTTGTTTACAATCAGTTAGCTTTTCAGCTCATACAATGAAGCGGACAAATATTGCAACTTTTGGATAAACATACATGGCAAACCCGTGTAGAGCGAGATTGCTTCGTGAACAATCCGCCGCGAGCTTTCGGTAGAATAGCCAGCTGGTCAATTCTTGGTGGATATGGCCTCTAACAGACTGCACATATATGTAAGACAAGTTTACTTAAGAAGGATCAACGGTATAGCAAGATCTTACCTCTTCCAGTTCATTTGTAAAGGTAGACGGCCGGAGCCATGTGTCAATGTTCTGGTGTGAAACATCAGAAATGATTGACCCTGCTGATTCGCCCATTGTTACAGTAGTTTTTTAGCACTTTTTAGATTTTGATATTAGAAATTCAAGATTCGTGCAAATTTGAGTTTCTTAAGAGTAGATGGTAGTTGGGTTGCCCACTTTATGTAACTTCAGGACGGAAATGAAGCTCCGAGTGGTTCCAAGGATACCATGACATACTTAGCCACGAACCATAAACCCTGAATGGAGAATGATGTGAGCTATTTGCCAGTGGTGGAAGAGATATGCTTAGAAGACGGGACTAGGAGTCCGAAATGACGCCGTCTCTAGAGAATGCTTAGGTAGGTATCTCAACAAATTCCTATTGCTTGCAAAATGTCGGCGAGTAAAAAGTCTAACTCGCCACAGTAAATATAATCAGGCAAGCGCAATTCAAGTGTCTTGTCTATTCTATTATTGACATCACCATATAACTCCAGATTGATCTTTGATAGTTGAAAATCAAAAGAGTGGCTATACTCAGGTGGAACATCTCCGACCATTGGATTTTATTCAATCAAGTGTAAGATGTCCGAAATCACAGTAGGGATAGACATACCAGATGATTTCAATTTCTAGTTCTTTCTAAAGGTTTTTTCTGCTATATTGGTCCAACTAAGCTTTACCGGTGTTTCGCTGCTGCGATGAGCTTGAAGATAGCTTATGCAACCCTTCCTAAATAGGAAATTTTTAAACCTGTAGTATTCGCTGAAATTTCGCCAATCAGGGGCTTAGAAAAACATGTCACTACCTTCTTTAGTAGGCAGTTTATTCTTGCTTGATCATTTTCAAGCGTACCGCCTCATTGACAATATCCTCCAATCTCTCCATCTTCAATTCCAACAAGCCATTGGCAAACTTCTCCTCCTTTGTGTAATCAGATCCTAACCCCTCTTTGACCGCGTACATGCTAGCTGTTCCCATGGTATAAAAACCACCAAAGTCGCCTTTGTTGATCCTGTCGGTGGCTTCACGCAATTTCTCTTCTGTACTTGTATATATGACCGTCCACTTGCTAGCCGTCGCTCTTTCCAAAGAGGAGAGAATCTCGTTCTGTGTTGTAACTACCGAAGCGACGAGAAGATACTGGTTAGCAGCCCTATCTGGATGTCGAAGGACGGAAATCACTGCTTGTCCCATTTGTTTGGCTGTGATCATGGCGAAGGGTTTGTTGCCGTCGTCCCATATCGTAGCTGTACGGGAGTCGATGTCGTATCCGCAGATTCCGTTCGCAAGTGACTAAGATGATAGTCAGAAATAACATTCTGATTAAGCTATAGACTTGACAGCAACGGAATATGCATACCCAATCGAGTAGAATCGATGTCCCAAGTGCCGTCCACCTGAAATTCTTCGACTCTTTCGTTTTCAGATACTCCTGCACTTCTCTCTTTCCTTGAAAAATAGAAAGTAATTCAAGAACAACATCATTCGACGCATTTGCACCAAATTCAGACGGAAGAAAATGCTTCACTCCAACTCGTACGGCTATATCAATGTATCTCTTCTGGTCCAGCAACGCCGACATGCCCACCACAGAAATAACGACATCTTGACCCCTAAAAGCGGATTCGAGCTCACTGTCTGAAAGATCACTCTTGCGAACATTAACGGTTGGAGGGAATGTGGCATTTTTCAAGCCTAGTGTGAGGACGGTGATGCTGAATAGTCCGGATTCAACAAGGGAGTCGAGGATTATTCGGCCAATGTCACCGGATGCCTATGCCAGTTGTTAGTCTGACTCTATCCATTTAGTGAGGATAGTCTCGACGTACTCCGATGAGGACAACATTTCGAAGTGGAGGAGCCATTTGACTTGTGTTAAACTACGTTCAACGATCAGAGTTTGACTTTGACAAGCACGGATTCCTTTTTGTCTTCAGTCGCAAAACAATAGAAGAACGAGCAGATAGAGTGACCATTTATAAACAATTCCAAAGCACGGTAGTATTTCCACTTCTTGGGCTCATTTGCGAAGCTGGCATCATGTTTATGGTTATGAACGTATCACTAGTGATTGGCCACAGCGGGCGATGCGCCCCTACCCACTTGACAGGATTCAATATATCAATATGATCTATTTATCAGGTGTATGGACTAAGAAATGGGGTTAGTGAGATGAGAGATACAGGCCATTAATAATCAATTTTTGTCAGCTCTGGCTTATGTAAGTTGCCCTAATGAATCTGCGGACATTCCGCTCTATCCAACCGCATCCATTTATCCATTTGGTAACATCCGGGCTATTCCAAAAAGTCGTTACTATCAAGCACATTAGGTCTTTGCACTATTAAAGATGCCACCTAAGGTACTAGGAGTCGGTCCATCATGCAACGAATGTCGCCGTCGGAAAATAAAATGTGACCGCTCTATTCCGTGTTCATATTGTGTCAAGACTGGAATTCATTGCATCTATCCAGAATCCGCTCTTGAGACTGGCGGCCATGAGGATCTGCAAGACCGTATACAGGGCATTGAACTCAGGCTACAATCATTGGAGGGGGGCATATCGGAAATCAAGCAATTGTTGCAAATGAGTCTCGCAAGGCAGCATGAACAACGAGATCTCGTGAAGGCATCGCCTACAAACCACGGAGCTACCGTTTCGAATGACACAACAGATATTGAGATGGTACCATGGTCCACGGAGGAGTCAATGAAACCCCGTCACAGCCAGCCAGCATTTCTCTCAACCGATCCATTGCCGATGCTGAGCTCTCTCCATCCATCCCCGACCATTGTCATTCTCATATGGCAGAGATTCATTGACAGCATTGACTCGCTCTTGAAATTATTCCACATCCCATCCCTCCAGAGACAGATAGTCAACGCAATCAGAGCATTGGATCGGGTGGAACCATATATAGAATGTCAGATGTTTGCAATCTACTATTGCACTGTCGTCGACATGCCATCTGATGACTGTCAGTATATTTTGGGCGAGAAAAAGGGAACCTTAGTTAGCAGGTTCGTGTTTCGACTTATATGGAAAAGGACCTTGCGCTAATTCAGCGGCAGGTATCGGGCCGCTGTTGAAACTGCTCTAGCAAGGGTAGATCTTTTGAACTCACCGAACATTGCGAGTCTGCAGGCATTCGTTCTATATCTTTCCTGTGCGGCGCGTGATGAACAAGGGCCGGATGCACATACACTGATAGGGGTGGCGATCAGAAACGCAATCCGACTCAAACTCCATCACCATGGAACGACTCTTGGCTACCTACCCTTCGAGGCAGAAATGCGGCGACGTCTATGGTGGCAGATATGTGTAATAGATGTCTGCATGGCAGTGGAACATGACACGGAACCAGTTATCCTGGAGAAGTCATTCAATACTCCATTTCCTTCTAATGTGAATGACTCGATGCTGGATCCTGATATGAAAGAACTTCCTGCTAGCCTGACCGGGAAAAGTGAGATGCTCTTCACTTTGCTGCGGTTTGAGATTTGCTATTTTGCCCGCCAGATAATATTTTCGGAAAAGTTCTGTCGCGATAATTTTTACGCGATACTTTCAGCGACCGAAAAGTGCGAGGCTGTCGACGCGTTTCGGTCTCGGATTGAGGCTCAATATTTGGTACATTTCAATACTATCACTGCATTCGCTGACAGGGTTGTTATTGCGGTTAGATCTGTACTAGACACGTTGAAACGGGTGCCTGACGGTTCTAGTACTCATGGCATCCAACTCGACTTGAGAGAAGTGTTTAGAGATATTCGCCATCGGGAGTCAAAATAAGGAAAGGCGTCTGCTCCGATACTGCCGGTATGAGTGTTACTAGCGGTATGTAAATTAAATCCAATAGGATCAAACCCAATTCCGCTGACTGGAATCTCATTTGTCGAACAGACAAAATACCGCTAGACAAAACAGATAGTGTAACTGCGTAAGATATATGCCGCTATTCCCGATATAGAAGCTCGAGATCCCGAAAGTGGATACTTCCCGACATAAGCTCAACCAATAAGCAGCAGCCTATTATCAACCCGCTCTGTGTGGATGGCGACAGTGACATTGACGCGGCTGCCCATTGGTAAATTAGTTCATCGCTGCCTACGATGCTTGTTCTACAACCTCATCCACCATCCTGAGCCAATCCAGTGCTTGTCTCGCGGAAATTTCTCTCCTATTCCGCGTCTTTATCATATCCAAGCCATTTATTCCGTCATCTCTCCACTAGACGGACCTTTTCCCTTTGTTTTCTCCTGTTGTATCGGCTTTTTCGAGACCGCCTTTTCTCGTCAATCTTTCTGCTCTTCAAACAGGGTATGCCCCTTGATTCGCTTGGCATAACTTTCCTCTTCTCCTCTGTGGAGTCCTGCCAGAATCTAATCAGATACAAACAATCTGTCCTATGGCTCGGCTCTTTTGACTTATCACCAAACCTTCTTGCGCTACTCAGTCCATGAGCAAACGGTCTTCGATTTACTTCTTAGGCATACTGTCAACGTCTCCTGCAGACTTTCCATGGCCGACTGACCTGTCATTTCAAAACGATTAATCGGCGGATATCCGGACTCCACGAGGTCGACGTACAACGTATCACACCTCGACCACGCCACCCACCGACAGCTCCGACTCTTACTCATCCAACTTTATCTGTGACTTGTCACCATTCTTCTTTGCTATCACCTACGTATTACTGTTCATTTATTCACCTCTGTCTTTTTTTAACGACTTCCATACGACTTACGCCACAGTCGTTGGCCTCGTGTCTGCTTGGCTTTGTTGTACCGTGGTGGCGTTGGCTTTTTGGTTGCCTCTTTCTAATCTATCAAAACTGCAGTCCAGTCGCAAGTCCACTCAACATATGGCTTGATAACTGTGGTTAATACTGCTGCCTTGAAATTTAAAGCGGATTGGCCGGCCTCGGATTTCGCCATCAACGTATTCGATACTATCCACATAGCCGACTATCTCACCAAGTCCTATTTATAGAATTCGCCCATCTGGCTCAACAACGCATGGAAACTGTGCCGTCCCTCACTCTGGAGCGAAAACTGGACACCACACCTGTACGGTCTGGTGAAGATCTGGACGCCGCACGGCAACTGATCTCATCCGCTAGAGGAATGCGTCCGATTCTAGCTTTTCCACAACAAGACAGAGTGTTGCCAAATGGCAATGAAGATTGGCAAAGCACAAATAAGCCAGCTATGTCGGATACAATGGATATGATGCCGGATCAAACAACCTTGGAGGTTGATCGTATCATGTCGAGAGGGCCACAGCGATCACCGAAACCGTTGGGGCGCGACACGGCTTTTCTAGGACATTCATGCAGGTGAGAAGACATTTGATCTGAGTATAAGTTCAAAAGACTAATAAAGATGTAGCAACTGCGGTACTAAGAGTACACCGTTGTGGCGGAGGTCTCCAACGGGTGCGACAATTTGCAATGCTTGCGGACTCTATCTAAAAGCTAGAAACGTTCATAGACCCACGAAAAGGAATCGAAATCGCCCGCAAATAACAACGCCGGGCCCAAATTCAGATTCGCATAGCGCATCACCGGATCCAACCACGGCTCCAGTTCAAAGCGGCTGCGGTTCTGGCTCAACAGGGTCATGTCCTGGTGGAGGAAACTGCAATGGAACTGGTGGTGCAGAAGGTTGTGATGGCTGCCCAGCTTACAATAATCGACTTTTCAAATCTACTGCCCGCGTATCAAGCCAGCCTTTGCAGGCGCAACCTACCGGTGAAACCGAGCAACCGCCAAACTCGTCAGGGGCTGATTCGAATGTCCCCAGTGCCGAAAATGGTGGAGATTTGCTGGTCGCATGTCAGAATTGCGGTACTACAGTAACGCCATTGTGGCGACGAGACGAGAATGGCCATCCTATCTGCAATGCTTGTGGTGAGTTTCGTGAAATCTACTTGGACTGAGTAAAGCATGCTAATATAATCAGGTCTGTATTATAAACTCCACGGGTGTTATCGGCCAACCACGATGAAGAAGTCCATCATCAAACGACGTAAACGAGTGGTCCCTGCCATGCGTGATCATTCACCAGGTTTCGGGACTCAATCTGAAGGCGAATCTTCCGCGTCTCCAGAAGCACATCCTGCTAGACTCACACATGGGCTCGATCGGCCGATGTTGGCACCACCACCTGTCGATTTCACAGGGTACAACATGAGCGCAGCCGCTACGCTTCCTCATCATCCTGGTCCCCGTCTTCCAGAACTACAATCTACATTCCAGCGCCAATCACACTCCCCAGGCGCGGCTTCTGTTACTAGAGACGGCGACACTCTTCCACCTATTGAATCATCCAATCAGCTCCCTCCCATCATGTCTCAGATGCACCCTACGCAGCCAGCGCGACTCAGTCCTATTTCCTCGATATTAAACCCCGGAGCCAATCCAGCAAATACCAACAAGATGCCTCCAGGTGATGGATATCGGCATTCGCAATCTCCTCCTATTCCGTCCCCCGGACAGTCGGATGCTTATAAGTACGAGCGACGAGTCCAGCTTCAGCGAGAGGCAGAGTTAATGCGAGAAGCACTAAAAGCAAAAGAACGCGAATTGGCTGAATTGGAGTAGCGACTGATAATGACGAGTTTCATGTATATGAATATGTTAGATTATACCCATATTACTGCTTTGATTAGCCGAAAACCCACTTAGTTGAATTGATCACTATATACAGTAGAACTTTGCATAACGAAAGGAAGCCCAGATATCCGGTCCATAGACGAGTCCCCAAGTTAGAATTACGAGAATGCCCTTTGAAGCTAGTCTTTCCGGATCTAAGATCAATGACACTGGTCTATGCCATGTCCTGTCCTCTCCTTCCATGCCATTGTCTACCGAGCTTCTTTATGGCTTTACTCCTTATGAATCATAGATTCCTCTCACCTAGCACATACGACCATAGGGTGTGGAAAACAGGGCTTCCCGTCCGCTCAGCCATACTTAAGCCACACGCCGACTGGTTAGTAGTTGGGTGGGTGACCACCAGCGAATCCCAGTTGTCGTATGTATTTTTGGTGTTTTTACTTCTTTTTTTAAGGGCCCTCGATGGGGTCCTCAAAGGGGATGCCAGGAAACCGAGCCAGGGGCCCAGGTTCGGGTAACTTGGCCACCTTTCCAGCCCGAGTCCAGATCAGAACAGCTTAGATGCCTCTTGTAGATATATCTGAATTCTGCAGAAATCTTTCTTCATCTGCCATAGTTATTCAAGCTGATTATTTATACTTGTAATACGCCCATCACCTTTTGTGCTAGATGCGGTTAGCGCGGTTGTAGAGCTATATAGATAGTATGTCTACTATTACACCAGATAACCTGAAGGGCCTCTCATTTGCGACAGTCTGCCCACCGGATGTCGGCCCTATAACTCGCCTTCTCGCAGTATGCGGCATCGCTGATGAGCAAGGTAGAGCTAACCCAACGGATGATGGTTGGTTCTTCTCAGACTCCTACCTCTTCCATTACCTTTTTTCCCAACTCCACGGGCCATCATCCTCACAGATATAGCTGGCTTGCGAGAAGCCTGAAGACATCGTGCATAAGTACGGGGAGTATGCGCATGAAGATCCTAAGGGAGAAGGCAAAATTGTGCTGGATGAATCAATGCTGCCACAAATCGACCAGAGTGGGAGTCTACGCGTTGTCCCACGACCAGAACCCACGACCAGAACTCTTAGAACATTTTCTGTGTACTTTGCGCGAACAATCATACCCGGCCGTAAATGAAGACCAGCACCTGGTAGTCTTGATTTTCGGCCACGGAGATCAAATGACCTTTGGCGTGGCTCTTGGTGAAAACAAGCCGAATCTACATACTCAGGACGTCAAACGAGCTATAAAACCCGGGACATCTGTGACACTTTTCACGACTTTGTATTTCTCTGGCGGCTGGGTTGTGCAACCGGCGGACAAGCGGACAAGCGGACAAGCATCTTAATGTGGGTGGGATTACGGCAGCTGGCGAAGAGGAGAAGAGCGAATCTCAACCCATGAGTTCCAGTTTCGGTCGAGCCTGCGGGAGTATGATCGCGAGTGCTCTTTTACATACCAGTATTATGACTGAGGAGGAGGATTCATGGAATACTGCTGATGTTCACAATGACTCTACCTACGTCTCGTTTAAGCACTCCATACTCTGTATACAACGCATATAAGCGGTTTGATCAGCTTGCGGATGAAAAGGAAATATGTTTCTCTGCTCGAGACGATTAATGTGAGCTCCACCTCAAGCGTCGAAGCGGGATACCTCTGTCATAAATGAAACTGCGCTGGGATGCGCTGCGGACCGTGCCCACCGGACACTATTAGGAGCCAGGTGCAGATAGCGCAGATTTGATGGCCGAGTTCATAGGAAGTTTACCGACAAGGAGCTTGATGGCTTGCATAAAGCCCTCAGATACCGACTTGATTATCTTGACCTGGCCAACGAGTTTCCTAAAGTCATGGGTGTGACCAATGAGTCCTTCGACGCATATTCATTTGATAGGAACCATTGGAAAAGATCCGAAGAGGTAACAAAGCGTTTCTCAGAAGCCTTCCGGGTGCTGGTCGAGAAGTGTTTAGTAGATCATCCAGTTCAAGGTCATCCTTGGATCAATCCGTCTCTCGGCCTGCCTAGCTACATCGGGACTAAACCACGATGAAAGGCAACGAAGGGTGGAAATAGCGCAGGAAAAATAAACGCAGAAGCGCGGACACTATTTCCAAGTTGTATGGGAGCCAAGTTAGATGGGTGAGGAGATAAATTGTCACGGAGATATGTTGCTTCTCAAATTGAAAAATCTTGGGCTCAAGACACAGGCAGTCTTTCGCGGGTAATGCTTGCCAAAATATTGTCGCTTTTAATACACTATCCCTACGCCGGATTGTATCTCAGCATACTGCTGCAATTGAAGAATGTTTAAAATACAGTAGAACCTGGCTATAACGAACAGAAGGCCACTCAGGGCCTAAGCCCATATACCCAGAAGCAATTCGATTTGGGGATGGAGGGCATCTCCAATATATTAATTCATTTTAGTATTAACAACTCGGTGACTCTTCAGTTCCCATATTAGAGTCATCCAAGCTGATATTAGTGGAAATGCGGAGAGGCATTCCCGTTTGTTATAGCCAGATTCTACTGTACATCCACACCCTACGTTTTGGGAAATCGATACATCCACGCTCCAAGGATAGGGACATACCCTCTTACATGATTCAGGTAGAATATCACTTGGAATCAGAAAAAGTGTAAGTGGATTTTAACGTGTTTATTATCTTCTTTCACCAAACTAACCTGGCAATCACTTGGTTACCACTCACCAAATTCTAGTAAAGTGTTTTATCTTTGCCAATTGAACTGTTTCACTTCTAACTAGTGCTTAGCCAGGTACTAAGTTAGTGGTAAATCCCTGACTGAACAGCCTCGACTTCGACAAGGGTGACCTGCGAATGCTCCAGATGGTCCAGAACAGTTATATCGTCCAATTAAATGACTACCCCGCGCTAATGTGGTTGTTATGGGACTACGATCGGATCTGGGAACGTTTCAACCCAGTGTGCTTTCCTGATCGATCCAGGCGTGAACCCGTCGTTGTGTGATGAAGACGGGTATCAAGAGCTACCGTTTATACGGCGTGGGGTCCGAAAAGCTGATCCCACCATGGGTTATTGCAATGAAAACTACACCAATGCCATGATCCGCATTAATCAATGATTTTCCGAGCTTGGAGGGGGTCTTTTGAACATATGAGCGGGACCGGTGATGCAGGTGTCGATACCAAATGTTCCTTTCATGCTAAACCGCACAGGGGTCCGCATATCGTGCCTTATGCTTTGGAGAAGACAATACATCTTTAATTTCTCAAGAAAAGTCAGACGGCGAAATGTATGTGGGCCATGTGATTGACAAGCGTGGGAAGATTATCACGGCTCGCTTTCGAGTGGACTTGAAGAACTCTATGATTCTGGGACAATATGATGGTGATTTCAGAGAGGTTCTCAAGGAATAGGGTATTCATCATCGGAAGAGTTCAATTGATTATAACTACCTATATTATATATATCAAATAACAAATATATACGATACTAACCTGGCAGAGGGACGGACAATGTTTGACACCAGAGGAGGCCAGGCAGGAGCCACCATGCTTCACAAAATACAGTATCTAAAGAATGAAGCTAAAGTCCGTACCTTTCCCAAGAAATTCAAAAGTTGCTAATCTGGTATACTAAGCCTGGGACGCTCGTATTGACTTGCAACCCATGAAATCTGAGTGGTCAGTGGTCACCATTTACGTTTTCCAAGCGCCTCGTGCACGACGTCGTCCTCAACTCCATCTAACGATGGGAGGATTGGCAAAAAGGCCACGGCTAACGCTGTTTTATAAGTCTCTCCCTTGTCAGCAAATCGTATATCCCATACTGCTGTTCATCCTTCTCTGACGTCGTGCTGGGCGAAAATAATCTGATTAGTGCGAAAAGGGACATATCAGAAAGCAAACCCTTATTACTACCCTCTCGAGATGGCGGGAGCACGGTCAACAGTTCCACCTTTTCACCTAGTGCTTCATAATTCGTTCGACATTCCTGCTGAATACCACGAGAGGCTCCAAGATAACAGGCTCAAAGAGGTGACCCTAAAGGGCGACGTTCACCCGAACGAGCACTATCTCAGTCTGCTCAATCTTTCATCTGGGATGACAGTTTCTATCCCACGGCTCTCACAATCAATCTTCAAGTTGAACCTCGGTTACTTTACCTGGGGGTTCCCGATAGGCTTCCTATCGACGCTGGGTGAACGCCTGCCAGATCTCAAGTGCCTCAGACTCTACCGGCAGAATGTAACTGGCCCCAACGCGGAAACCAGACGTGACGCCCAGCAGTTTCTGTATCTGATCCCTGATCTGGTCGATCTATACCTGTCTGACGTACACGGGGACCCAGACTTCTTTGTCGGCCTGGGTAAAGCTTTCAGGCGTCCTGGACAACGAGGGTTAGTCATCCTGCATGTTGAGTACACCTTTGAAGTCGATATCCATGATTTTATCCTTAAATTGCCAATACCTGAGCTCCGAGAGCTCATCCATCCGGCCATCGTGGACCTGAACTTCAATATGAACCCTAAAGCTTCAAAACCGAGGGGGATTGTGCCCTGGCCTCCGAGTGGAACACCAGGTATACTAGAAGCGCTCGTAGGCGGCACAACAGCACCTCGAGGGTTGAAATATCTTACTCTGACTTTAGTCCAGTTAACATTGGAGCAGCTGAGAATGGTGCTAATGACCCACAGGGAGCTATTCTTACTCCGAGTGGCGATCAGAATGGAACGCCCAGATTCTCATCTGGCTACCCTCTTGGATATCTTAACTCTTTGCCCGATGTTACAGTCGGTGAAGATTGTGGTAATACCGTCAACGCTGGATGAGAGCCATAGTCAGGTATGAGCCGTACATTAGGACATATCCAGGATTATTTCCCTGTCCATATTATCGCTAAACCTTCCCACGTCTAGGTCATGAACGGTCCAAATCGAAATCCACGGATACTGCTGCCGACCCTCGACGACGTGCGGACTCTAGCAAAATCCTGCCCTAGACTCAAGCGCGTGTATGCAAACTTCAGTCGTCTTCCAAGTTTCGGCACGGCTCACTGGTTCCAAGAGGATGGAGTGTGGAAGGGGAGCATTGATATTCCCGAGAACCCCTTTGACTTCACCGTGAATCAACACATGTAGAGACTGTCCGACGGTGTCTTGTAAGGTAAATGCCGCAACCTGCGGCCAATACTATGAGGTGCTCTTCAGATAGTTACTTCTAAATCTGTCGCCAAGTTGTGGCAAAAGGGTTGTCCAAGGCTGTACTGTCATTGGGACCATTTACAGTACAATAAATATTACTGATTGAATGAGATCAGAGCTTAGATTAAGTTTTCTGCTGGATGCACGACCGGCTAATGACCAAGATGGAAAAGATTCCTACTTTTTGTAAATGAGACGTCTCTAAATGTAGTTTGTATTGCAGGACTATTGGCTCTCTATTCGTCGCTGAGAGAATACGTCCATCATTTAATGATTCTACTATGGAGTCAGACACGGCTATGTGGATTGTTACCTCTCGATATACCGTCTCTGCACACCCATGCTTTCATCCATGGATATATCATACACTGACTCGTCTAGGACTGGTAACTCCCATCTCAAGAGCTTGAGGTTCCCCAGAAAACTCATGAATCAGCCAACTATCAGCCTCTGGGTGTCGACCATATGTTGCCTCCATTTCTTGGGGAGGCCCTGGAGACACCGTCTTCTCACTTTTCTGATACAACGGAACCTCTTTGGCCAGGCTATGATGCATACGCCGTATGCAGAACCATATTATGCTCAAAATAAGTGCAGGAGCGGCGATTCCACCAACGACTCCTCCTACAATTGCACCAGAATATACGGAAATATACTACTTGCTTGGTGGCGATGCAATGGACGGTGTTGTCGGAGAGCCGCTAGTCGTGCCATGCACACGCTTCTGTATCAAGGAGTACATCCTTGAATCTGTGAATCTTGCGGCAGGAATAGTGGATATGGCGCTACCGTTTGCACTTAACAGAGAGAAGTGTAAGTTATGAATCAATCTGAACAAGAATATCATACTCACTTCCCCCCTATTCTGTTGTAGATGACTGACGGTACTTCATAACTAGCGCTAGTATTCAATTCATTCTTCCATTCATACGTCGACTAATCCAAAGCCCGAGCAGGCTCAAACGTATTACTGCATGCGCCATTAGCGAGCGAATATGCGCCTTCACGGACCTCGCCACCAAGAACAATCATCTCCGTGCCGCGGTATACTTGGCAAGCACCAGTAAGGCTGTCCCGTCCAATAGTCGGATTCACATTCACCTGCTGCCCCTTGTTTGTATGATTCGAAAGATCGGTGGCATCGATCTAGGTAAATGACGGAATACTGAGGATGTGCACGTCCTCATATGACCGTTGATCCAGCAGACTCCACCCGCCATAGGTCGTTATATGAAACGCACTACCATCAGCCGCCTCAGTGACTACGGCACAAAATGAAGTTCGATGAAAAGGCGTGTCGCCGGATGCTTCCTGTGCTCGCCAGGTGTGCGAGGCAATGTCGTAGACATAGACAGTCAGCCAGTTGGAATCGTACGGCCAGCCTGAGTCGGGGCTTATTCCTGCAGAGACCTGTCAAAAGCAAAATCTTCAGCAAGGCGTGCAACGGGCGTTACTTGCCGGATGCGTTGATGGGACAAAACATACATTCCCTCCTCCGAAGGTGACCAGCATACCCTTGTCTCCCGCCGGTATAAATACCATCGCAGCCGACTCCAAATTCGGCACATTAGATCTATGCGATCCATTACCCAACGTCTCATTTGTCCACAACAGATTCTCCAAATCAGAAGCATCAAACCTGATCATTCCGCCCATATAGTCCGTTCCACCGTAAATAAATCCGAGACCCGACTCAGGTACACTGACATATTGAGAAGAAGTTCGGTTACCAAAGTTGAATTCTCCTCCGGTCACATTGACTTCTTTCCATTGATTTGTTGTGACGTTATATGCTGATAGAGTGTTAGTAGGTGTTTCGAAACCACCTCCGAAAAAATGTAGATGGTATCGTTGGTGTTCCAGATTACTCCTGTTGCGTCGCCGTTGCTTATACGGATTGTGCTCTCGTAGGCAGCACGGAAATTGGAGTCGATGCTGTCGTTATTTAGTAGTGCTTGAGGAATAGATCTCTCAACCGGAAACTGGCTCGTTAGGTTGAGAGAGAACAATGATGAACCTGAGTCCAGAGTTAGCTATTGAAGACACTAAGAAGGCCGGATTATTCTCACTAGGTGCAATCTCTTGACTATTAAACGATACACTGCTGTAGCTACCACTTATAAAGAAGTGTCGGTCATCCACCAGGGAAGCTTCAAGATTGTCAGAATGTATTCATGCCCACTTCGTTAACAGGGAGAAATTGACATACTTTTTGCGCCCAACACATAAAAATATCGCCTTAAGTGCAGAGTGCTTGACGCACCAGACCGGATAATCCGAGAAGCACAAAAGTCCCCGACCTTATTGCATAATGTTCGTGCTATACGACCGCCAGAAGATGTATCAGGATTATTCACATAGTTTCCGGTATAAAAGGGCTTTAGCATAGTTTATAGGTATCTTCGCCTCTGACATGGACGTATATTCCCCAATAAGCGACTATATCCACGCTGACATGAAAGACCCTTTTAGGGCTTCTCAAGTAAAAATAGTCACTGAGCACCTGCATGTCTGATGTCTTCGTTGGCGCGCATTTAACTGTAAGAAAGCAGGCCATTGACTGTTCCCAGCCATGAATGCCGCACAACATGTAACAGAAGGTGATTCAAGACATTTTCTGCTTTTTTAACCTGATCATGGACATGGTTGCAGGCTGTATGAGTTTCTTGATTGGTGTCCTGTAAGCACCCATCATCCGGGATACATGGAGTATGTCGGCGCTAGGTACCTAGGCACATGAAACGACACGCTAATTGAGAACCTCGAGGCCCTGCTTTGCATGTGAGAAGTCTGTGATCTTCCATTGTAGAAATTCATCATGCACGCTTGTACCAGTACTGAGGGATGATTCCAGCACTATATGTGCCACAAGTGTTGCAGCTAATCTGCAACCTCCGAACTTGAGTTCTAGATCTTTCTCGATCACCGAACAATGGAAAAAATATGGCACAGTACAAAGAATATGGCATTCCAAACTAGGCGTCATGGAAGGAAAAGAATTTAAGCAAAAGAAGAAAACCATAAACCCACCAGTGACAAAATATCAACCGCTTCATCACGAAAACATATACCAGGTATCATTCGTATCGAGACATGAGCTGTTATACAACACACTCCAATACACTTTCTATGTGATAATAATGATCATAGTCATTCGTCAAATAACCCCCTCCGCCTCACTCCAAGTTAATCATCGCCCAAGGAAAGAGAAACGTACCCGGGAATGAGTACCCTTATCGACACATTCTCTAGTCATTCCCTAGACCTGTTCAGCACCCCAGCTGGGGTCAGCTTCCCGCATGTTTGTTGGGGGTTCGATTGAGGGAACGAATTCCAGAGCGATGTATCCTAGACCGATGACGCCGACGATCGAACCGGCAATATAACGGAGGACATGGTCGTGCAACATGATAGATCCGACGAAGACGTAGACTAGCGGTCAGTCTGTTAGCATTTATATCCATGAAACAGCGCATTCGCGGCCGAGTACTAAACTTACATCCACCACGACCAAGGAACGAGAAGAGAAACGAAGCGTAACGGTAAACATAATCCGGAATTTGAGGAAGGAACTCGAGACCACCCACAACTACAGAAAGCAGTTAATATGTGCATAGACTCAATGATAGGGAGCGGACGGTTCATACTGAGACCGAAGATGATGACATAGATTCCGACGACTAACGAGCCCACTCCAAAGGGAAAGAATTGACTGATACCGCCCAAGACCATGATCACGCCAACGGCGATGTTGACAAGACGGCTAAAACACACGTACAAAGTCAGTCGAGTTGTTTCGCAATTGATTGGTTATCAACGAAGGCGCGTTGATTGAACTTACAAGATGTTAGAGAGGTCCATTTTGACGGGCGCAATGGATTGATCTGACCGGAGAGATGAGATATTCGAGCGAGTACCGGCACTATCGTTCTTGGTATGTATTGCTGGAAGTGTGATCGAGGCAAGAATCGTTGGCGCAAGGTTGGCGAGGGAAAAAGAACGTCGCAGCCTAAGGAAATGCAGGTCAGATGCGATGCGCAGTCGGATAATTTGGATTGATATTGAGAAGGGTATATTGAGAAGGGTGCACGTACTATACTTGACTAGGCAACTGCTTCAAGAATATATTCAATGATGATCTATATATCGAGGAGACAATGGAAAGAAAAGGTTGCGATAGATGAGCGCATTTCGAGGCTTGACCTGGAGCTTCAGGAGTTTCGTTTCTTGGCGTTACGCAGTCGGCCAGCTGGGGTGGATGTGATTGGTTGGATGGGCACATCAAGGCCCACTTTGGATAACCTATCTGCCAATCAGAGCCCGTAAATAACTGTTTACTTCAGTCTCTTCATCATTGGATGCCTCAGGCACTCACTTCTACAAGAACTATGGAATTGATATAGATTTGAACAATATATGTACTTGTATGGTATGTTCAATAAACAGTCATGTATAGTGTTTAAGACTTGCGGTGAATGGCACCGGCACCACCCTGCGATGGCCACAGTCAGCACGATATGATACAAGTTAGCTGCAAAGTCCTTACCTGGTGGCTGGGATAAATGAGAGTGTCTGCAATAACGACATTCTCTCTGCGTCCTGCTGCAAAGACAATCACCTCTGCAATATCATCAGGAGTAAGAGGCTCGACACCACTGGCCAACATTTATCAGTAAGGAGTCAAGGAGGCACCGGGACAAGAATTACATACGCATAGACAGCATCTGCCTTGGACTTGTCGCCGTAAAAGCGGACGACCGAGAATTCCTACCGGGAAATCAGCATATGAGTTGCACGTAGTATGAAAGGTGACAGACCGTCTCAACCTGACCAGGATCGATCTCAATCACTCGAATACGAGTAGAAATGAGCTCTTTCCTGAGAGCAGTGGTGAAACTTCTCACGGCAGCCTTTGTGGCACAGTAAATGCTTCCACCAGAATATGGCTCACGACCAGCAATACTGCCAATGTTGATTATATCTCCCCGGCCACCTTGATCTCTCTTCTTGTAGACGGACAAGACAGCCTGAGTCATATTGATCAAACCGGTGACGTTGGTCGAAATCATGACGTTGATGTCTTCGGGGTCAATATTGGGTGCTTGTGCAACACCCTTGACTAGACCACTGCGTCTGTTAGAATCTCCAAGACAGCGAAGTAGTTCTTGCAGACTTACGCATTGTTGACCAGAACATCGATGTCCTGAAACTCGGCCGGCAACGAAGGAATGAAATCTTTAACCTGCTGAGGATTCGACACATCCAAAGCCACAGGCAACACCTTCACACCATCTCCAACTTCCTCCTTGATCTCCTTGGCCAATTGCTCTAGCCTGTCAACTCGTCGAGCTGTGACGACAATCTTAAGGTTCCCGGGGGAAGTGCGCGCAAACTCCTTGGCGGTCGAATATCCAATTCCCGACGAAGCACCGGTGATCACTACGGTCTTGCCTTCTAGGCGCTTGGCTACTGCAGAGGCCATTGTGCGTTTGAAACTGTGATTATTCAAGATTTGAGAGTGCACGATACGGAGTGGAAGTAATCCACCGGGTTGAGGAACAGCTGCGGGGAAGAGCCCCAAGGCGATGCGACAGTGACGGCCAAATAATCTACCGGTCGAACGGAAACTGTTCATCCGGGGGTACTCAGTCGATCAGAATAGAGGTAAGAAAGAGCGAGTATCTGTTATTGTCTCTCTTTAAAGATGGAAAAAGGAGGAGGTTATCTTCGGTTATGTAGGTTAGTTATGGCATTTGCGGGGCGGCTTTCTCTGCGAGTTTATTCTATTGCGCCATCGGAGCAGGGGCTCAGGCACCCAGGCACCAAGGCACCTGCAATGCTCATGCATCTCTTACCTGCAGTCTCTTTACCGTATTCCCACAAGTGAACATGATCCAGTGCTGCGTATCATTCCATACTCTGGACAAGCGGAAGAAGCATCCAGGAGTCGTAAGGAATTTCTGGAGCGAAGTCCGAGATAACATTATTGAAGATCAACCCCCTGAATCCCGATTGGCGACAAGTCCAATGGCATTTATGAGGTTGCAATATCGTGGTAAAATAGTCCTGCAGCGGAGATCGCCGGTGCATTGAGTGTTGAATTATGCTGCTACGTATTCGCAGTCAAAAATAGAGCATCTGCAATAGTTTATCTGTAGTTGGAGCTTGACTGCGTACAAAGAAGGTTGTATGGTGTATGCATCTTACGCGTAATTAATTCCATCTTGGCAGTCCTTGCTGACAATTGCTGCATTTGGTGTATCGTACTGTAACCCCGCCGTGCCTTCCCTTGGTTTAGTCAGTCAATAGTTTTTCCTTCCTGACCAAAAAGAAACACCAGTTGGTCATCACTTCTATCTCTAACCTATCGTCTAAGCTTCAACTAAGCTCCCTCGTTCCTGGTGGCTGGACTCTGAGATTCGACTACGTACTCCATTCCATCGCGCAAACCGGTCAGTCCGTTGGTCTCGGATTACTGCAGAGCGACTGTTGGTGTTTTGCTCGATGAAGCTGCCACGATTGTTCTGATTCCGATCTCGTCCGCAGCCAACAATGTACGTATGACAGTGTCTTGAATTCCTGAATATCCATTGTTTGGTGGTCCGATACTGCTTGTGACTGCTCAGCATCTCATTCGCTACAAAGCTCCTCGGTTGTCTCCAGGGTTGCTAACGACCCTAAATCGCTGAACGGACTTCCCAGTGGCTGGAGACCCGTTTTTCGACTCGCTCTGGCTTCCCAGAATCCACACTATCACATCGCGCCCCTCTCCCCTCTTCTTTAGTCTGTCGAGCGTCTGAAACAACATGCGAGTGATTCGCTAACGTCTGCTTCGATTTTCACAGTCTTGCATCCTGCTGGGTCTTCTGCAGAACAATACGAGCCCATTGCCGCGGCCATCACCACGTCCTACATCCAGCATTTCATGAACTGCCGCCTCGTCGCACACTACTGCGTCGCGGCCAGCCACAATCAATTAGCCAGTGGAACGAACTAACACCGCGGAGCTTTTTCTGTTTCGTTATCTAGCAAGTGCACAGACCAAATCGGTAAAGCGTGCTTTTCTCTGGCTCACTGTCCATCCCTTACCCGATTTTGTTTGGTACGTCGTACTGGTCATTCCCCTGCCTCATACTCTAGGTTAGTTAGAATCCTACTTACCTAAACCCGAGCCGACCCTGAACCTCACTCTGTCAACTTACGGTTTGCACTAAGTTTGTTACGTACAAACTTGCTGAATCCTCTGCAGCTTCCTTCGAGTCCTCCGAATCCGAATCTGTCTCGTTTCACCCACCGCATCCTGGCGACTGCTGGATTATCCTGTGCTCCTTTATTTGTATAAATTGCCCAAGGCTATTTTTGTTTTCACAGGCCTCAATGGCTTCGACCAACAAGGTAAATTATTGACCTTTTCCGTCTGAAACGTCTACCGTCCCCCCCCCTTTACTGCCATCCCTGGATCAATGAGGATCCCAATTACCCCCAAGTCATCTCAGAACAACCAGGAATCTGTCGATTAAAGAGCGAAAAGAGGCCGGACCGATCGAATTCAGGAGACAGAAAAATGCTGACAATTTCTGCTGTCATAGTTTCTCCGAGAGTATAAGCTGGTGGTAGTCGGTGGAGGTGGCGTGGGAAAGTCATGCTTGACCATTCAATTAATTCAGAGCCATTTCGTCGACGAATACGACCCAACAATTGAAGGTAGGTCCAGAGCTTGACCAATTACTGATAGAAGCTCATTGTCCGCTTGCATAGACTCATATCGTAAGCAATGCGTTATCGACGATGAGGTCGCTTTGTTGGATGTGCTGGACACAGCGGGTCAGGAGGAATACTCAGCCATGAGAGAACAGTACATGCGTACCGGAGAAGGATTCTTGCTTGTTTACTCCATCACCTCTCGCCAATCATTCGAGGAAATCATGACATACCAGCAACAAATTCTTCGCGTGAAGGACAAGGACTATTTCCCCATCATAGTGGTTGGCAACAAGTGCGACTTGGAGAAAGATCGGGCTGTCACTCAACAAGGTAGGTGAAATGTGTTTTGGGTTTCTCACTTTCAGTCCACGTCAGGCGACTAATGAAACTCGATTACTTGCAGAGGGTGAGGCTTTGGCACGCCAATTCGGATGCAAATTTATCGAAACATCTGCGAAATCCCGCATCAATGTCGAAAACGCCTTCTACGACCTCGTCCGAGAGATTCGCCGTTACAATAAAGAGATGTCGTCGTACCCATCAGCAAGCGGTGCCTTCGCTGGCGGTGCCCCCCATGGCAAGATGGACGTCTCCGAGCCAGGCGAGGATGCCGGATGCTGTGCGAAGTGTGTCATTATGTAAAGGAAAACGGCAGGACAACCTTGGGCAGTTTATGAACGAAGATTACAGTAGCCCTAGAAGCTCCCCGGAGATGACCGATTCTTTCTCAAACAACCTTGACCCGCTACGAAACCAAACCTTGAATGGGCCAGACACAATACCCATCTGGCCATAGCACTATTAATCTAATCATTTTTCATATCATCCACGACTTCTACCGATTTTCCTTTCTCCTCGATCGGATTGCATCAAAATCATGTAGGAGACCTACATCATACATCACGTCGGGCTTTTCTACCATTATGATTTCTGCTCTTTCTTTTTGGCTATCTGGAAAAACAGGGGCGAACGGCTCTGTTTATCATTGATTGCGTTTCTCTCTGGGAGACTTGTCCGGTTGCGATTTTTCCTTGGTCTTATTTGCAACACCCTACATTCTTCTCACAGGGTGAGCGCTCTTATCGGTATATTGCTTTGCACAAATGTTTTCATTATTGTTTTTCTCGACTGTCACTTACTTTTGTTTCCCTTTTCGATATCCCTTCTCCCCCATTCTTCTCTTCTTCGACTCGACTCGTTTATTTCCGTTATGACTACATCACATTTGTCTTGTTTCTGTGACATGTCGACATACCATGGTTTTTCTTTGGCCCTATACAGCGGAGCGACAGCAGAGAAGAGGTTATACGAGCATGTGATACCTCTTTCCTGTTTTCCTCCTTAGCCATGTTTTTATTCGTTGGCTAGTTTTGGACAAGCCTCTTCACGGCTTTTCTATTCACTTTTCTTTACCTCCTTTTCCTTTCTTTTCTTTTCTTTTGTGTGTATGCGTGCGTGTACTGGTTTGTGTATGGTGCGCTTGGTTGGATACATATATTGGGTATACTTTAGAATCTTCGAGCAATTTTCTATCTCTTCTATGGATGGTTTCATACTTATCAGTTAGTTGAATTAAAAGCAAAATTTCTGGGTTTGAATTGTACCATAAGACAGGCATGCTGGTATATGCAGTACATCTCTTTATACATACAGACATAGGTCTAATCTAAGCATCATCCGGGTCGTCTTCACCCTCTCTCTGGACACGTCTACCCTCGACATTCTTCTCAACCTCTGCCACCAGTGAATCAATATATTCCTTATTATTCCCAACCAGCGTGACGGTATTCCTCTTCTTTCCCCATCGCGGATAACTTCCCACTTTCACGCCATGCGGCATGACCCTCAATGCCAAATCGGTCAAGTACGCTGCCACCGAACTCTCGGGTAATGGAGTACTAATCAACACTCTGTAGGAGCCTTTCCCTTCTGGATCCGCCAATCGAGGCCTTACAACAGCCGTGAGACCGTCGAGTAATTTCTCAAATAGCCTAGGTACTCCCGGAAGAACATGGACATTCCCATTCGCAGTCGCAATCGGCACCCAAGAATCATCAACCGCAAAGACGTTCTGCTGATCCTCATCAATGTTTTCATCGTAGGGTACCTCGACCATACGTAACCGCGCCGTTAGCGCCGGGGACGGCTCATCCCATTTGAATCCCGGTTGTAATTGACTGGGTTTTGTGAGCGCCTTCATTCGCTCAAAGGCCGGTTTGTACAATTTTAGTTTGAGGTTGAATGCCTTCGCAATCGAGGAGTAGGTGATGTCGTCGTGTGTGGGACCGATGCCGCCGCTTGTTACTACAAAGTCGTATTTGGCGCTCATGCGTCGCACGCCTTCGATGATCTCTTCTTCGTCGTCGGCGATTACTTCGATGCGTTTGAGTTGGATGCCGAGGGAGAAGCACCAGCGGGCGAAGTAGGCGGAGTTTGTATCGATTGTCTTTTTTACTTGTAAGCTGTGTCCTTCGACAATGACAATTGAGAAGGGAGTTTACCTTCCCGCCCAGAACTTCATCGCCAATAATCAGACACGCTGCTGTGTTTATCGTCTTGGATTTGTTCTCAAAGAACGTCGCGGATGATGTCATGCTGGGAGCCGGATGAGCCGAAGACGCGAATGAAGCAGTCGATGAGTGAGCGTAGTTGGGCAGTGGACGAGACAGATGTCGAGCCAACTGATTGAATCGAGAGAACATGGGATATGTCTTGATTGAACTGTAGAATTGAAGCGTGAGGGGAGAGGGTGAAAGTGAGGAGAGAAAGAAGTCAATCTTTTCGAGTGGGGTGGATTCCTCAGGAACCGACTCAACTTTCAGCGATTGCGGGGTTGCCTAGTTAACATCACCTTATACTTTCAGACTGTATGATATCAGTTTGTCTTGATACAAGATACGCACTTTAAGGATTCACAATGGTATGTCGATATTCTTCTTCCGTAACGCCAGGAGCACACTAACTGTACAAGACGGAGTCACGCTTATATACATTCTCGCCCGAGACCAGAGAGGAGCTGAGGAAGTTCCGTCTCGGGACATCTCGAGCAAAAGATCCTCAAGCTAGAATCTGTGTGTGTCCCTTTACTTCATGCTCTCCCAGCTTCAAGCAATGTGATTAATGTTATGCTAACGGCACAGACATCATCGACGCCAAAACAAAAGAAATCCGCGCAGAAAGCAATGAAACGTATTCAAAACTAGAAGACATCGCTGATGAGCTCCCCGATTCGTCTCCCCGATTCGTTTTGTTGAGCTATCCTCATACATTGGTACGTTCATTCCCAAGCCTGCTTTTATGTATATGAATCCCTACTGAACCACTTTGGAGGCCTCTGGACGTTTATCCGTACCATATGTTCTTCTATACTATCTCCCCGAGAACTGTAACCCTTCATCTCGAATGATGTATGCTGGTGCTGTGGAACTCTTCCGTAACACGGCTGAGGTGCAGCGTGTCGTGGAAGTGGAGAGTGAAGGGGATATACTTGATATTGAGAAGAAGTTGAACAATTCTAATTAGGTCTCTTTCTCTCTTCTTTGGTCTCGTGTTTAGCTTTTGGCTTATGTTTAATTTGGTGGTATATCGCTGGATAAAGGTTAGGGTTGTGATTCAGTGCAGATAATCGTTATTTCACATGCTTTTCCGGAGCTATTATAGGCTCAATTCCGTTTCCAAATGCTTACAATGCTGAGTGTCTCCGCTATATCTCGGATACCGGCCTTGAACTACGGATGTTCTCCTGACCTTCTGCCAGTGTTCCTCCAATTGGAATACTTTTACGGTAAGATATACGGTTTTGCTCCGAAAACATTATGGCAACTAGTAGAATTCCAGTGAAATGTTTCATTTGCTAGATAAACACAGACTGTGTGGCTATCTAACTCAGGTATGACGCTCTTCCAGTCCCTCTAATTGAGCAATGGAGTCAAAAGCTCGACTAGATATTCATCCCCTTTCTCCTTGATACCCAATAACTCATTATCATTCTCAACATATTTCGCCCCATACTCATTATCTATGATGCTCTTGAGTAGGATAGGAATCACTGTAGACATATCATGTTGTCCCTGAGCAAAACGGTCAAGAGCTCCAGTCACCACTACATCCAAGTCCGCATCCACAGGAGCCCAGGGCTTGTTGGGAGAAATTCTTTTAGCCAACGAGAAAAGCTGATTCTGTGAAATCATGCTTTCAGATACATAAACGGCTCGATTCTGAGTATCTGCCGGATGGGTCAGGACACCGACAACGGCATCTCCGACAGTTGGTAGACTAGTGCAGCTAAAGTGCGAGTCACCTCCGTTGAAGATCGTAGGCTGATAATTAGAAAAATTCATAATTACCTTGTGCTGAATGGCAAAGTCTGTAAAACCCCCATTATAGACAAAGGTGTACGTCAGGTCGGTGGTTTTGGATTTTTCGATGAGGTAATCTTCAATAAGCACTTTGGTCTTGAATACCGAGAGCTTGCGAGTGTTGGGATTGCTCATGTTTGAGCCGAAGTTGGATGGAAGGAAACGTCTGACGCCAGCAGCAATGGCAGCATCAATGAGTAGCCTTTGGCTCATGCTGGCTTTATCGCTGATAGTTGATACCACGGCGTCTTGACCCTGGAGGGCGGCTGTTAAGGACTCGAGATCATCGAAGTTGGCCTCGACAGCCTTCACGTTTGCAGTAACGGTTGATCTTGAGTCGGGGCGTTTGATGACTTGCACGTTGAACTTGTTTGAGGCGAGAAGCTTTTCTAGGACGAAAGTGCCCAAGTGGCCGGATGCACCGACGAGCGTGACGTTCTTGATAGCTGACATGGTTAAATCTCTTAGAGAGTTGCTGTAGTGATTGAAATTGGCTATCTAAAACCTGAATCGAAATAATGAGGACTGAGGGATAAGGAAGAGGGAAGATCCCTATATACGTGAGCATCTATCTACCCATCCTGGTGATCAAACATAATGGTAGGCAATCATCCCACTTTCTTACAGCATCCGAAAAGCAATTAGAAGTTCCGATGGGTTTCAGAATCATGGTGAGATTTGGGATAATTAGAAAGCATTGATTTGGAATACATACTTCCAAGTTGTCTATACCGATATCCCACCGGACCGGTGTTAGATTTATTATTAATATTCTCCATTAAGTAAGCTGGAACCTTCATCCCACTCAAATGCCGACACTAACCTGCATTCGTAATCACCTCATAACTTAGCTTCATTTTCTCTTCATCCTCCTTCAAATCTAGAACACTGATATCCGCTTGAAATTATGAAATATGGATTTGTAATGATGACCTTGCACTTGTAACATATTACGGGCTCATGGGACATATGGCTTTGTTAAGCTGACCGTCGCTATGTCGGGTAGGTGATGGCAATATTGTCAAAAATAGGGACCTACTTCCTATATCATGCATTTGACACTCAATTCTAGGGCTAGGCTCAACGCGACATGCCTGTCACTGCGGTAAAAGCTTCATCCGCAAGGAACATCTAACCAGACATCAAGCCACCCATAACAAACCGGCATATGTGTGCAATGTGTGTCAACGACAGTTTAGCCGCAAGTAAGCTAAACTTCTTGCCTCTTGCAAAGTATAAGCTGCTAATGATGCGATAAAGAGATCTGCTTCGTCGCCATGCTTCTTTACATGAAGCGAGTCATACACGCATGGTCGTCTCCTGTGAGGCATGCCGTGCTAATAAAAGCAAGTGTTCTGGCGGTACTCGATGCTCACGGTGTGCCCGACGGGGTATCGAGTGTATCTATAGAGGTGGTCCTCCTCAAGCAAAAAGGATGTTGAGAAGTGATGAATCTGAAGCAGAGGCGAATGCTTCTGTCAGGGAGGATACTGAGCATGAAGATGGCAACGATGAATTAACGCTGCTTACAAGCTCGACGCCAGAGACATCCTTAAGTTGGGAGGTTCTTCAAAGAAATGTACAATTTCTCAAAACCATTACCATTGTCTCGCCGCAACTAAACCCGTCAAGCGGATGTCTGCCTCTGGGCCAGGGTATGGAAGGTATATACGAACTCTTAATCGCCGAAGAATCGTCACTGGAAGTGGCCATGGAGAAGTCGGATGGAATGAAAGGTCACGTTAGCAGGTATACTCAGATATATCTCAAAAATTTTCATCTCCGGTGGCCTATTCTTCACGGTCCAACGCTCAGCAACGAAATAGACTCCATATCACTACCGCTAGCTGCATCGATGTGTCTCATAGGAGCATGGTTTCAAGATAGTAAAGGTTCGAATGAAATATTATACGCTCTAAAGGTACATGATATCTTACTTGAGCGCTTGCTTCATAGCCTGGTCAGTACTCACCTTTCCCTATGGTAGTCCGTACTGACGTTTCTGTAGACTGAGCCTGACCTAGTGTCTGCAAAACAAGCATGGCCCATCGAGGTTTTTCAGGCAGTCCTCTTAACCCTAATTTTCTCACTTTACCGCACCGATAAGGTCGCCTTGTCCCGAGCCATGCTTCTTCGAAGCGGATTCATAACCATTCTCCGCGAACTAGAAGCTTTCAATGCAGAGAAATTGGCCACCCATTTGCAAACTTATTACAGCGGATCATATGCTCCGTATACCATAGCTAGGCGTGAACAGTTCAGACGGTTACTTGTTTCAACGTATCAGTTCGACAGTTATTTTGGTCTTGCTCATGGAAAGCCGCCATTACTTCATTGTCAAGAAGTTGGTGTATTTCTTCCGAGTAGTTTTGCGTTGTGGAATGCATATGGTGTGGATATATTCGCCATGCGGCAGGTGGAGGAGATGACTGAACGATCCGGGGTGAAAGTATCTGAACTGGCGAACCATACAGACACGGTTGCATCGACAGAGCTCCTTGTGGAAGACGTGCAACTGGGGTTATGCAATATTTTACATACGATATGGGTCCTCGGACCGGCTGATCTCAACAAGGTTGAGCGTCCTACTCACAATCTCCAGACATCACTGTTCATCCAGAAACTTGATGATTGGAAACATGAGCTGGATAAGATCGAGAAGTTGATTGACCTTGAGAATGTCACTAAAAGAGATGCTGCGAAACATCTGTTGCTGGCGTACCGTGGAGAAGATGATTCTGCAGTGGCATCATTGGAACGCATAACCACCCTCATGCAAGACGGGATAATCCTCTATTATTACCTGAAAATGTTCCACTATGTTTCCCAGATTATCGGCCCAGGAACTCGAATCGAAAGCTCAGAGATATGGCAGACTTCCAAGTACGGCAGAGAAGCTCTCGTATGCGCCTTGCAGATTCTCAAGATCGTTGAGTCAAGGGTATCTTCAAATCCGCTCATTCGGTACGCACTTGCTACCGGCGTTGATGTGATGAGGGTATCGCTTTCAGGCCAAAGATGCGAGTGTCTGGCGAGAAAAGGTCAGCACGCTGCCAACAGGACTCATCCGCAGTGGTCAGACACTGGCGGCCCATTTCGGATTGACGGCACACCGGTGTGTGTATGCAAGTTGACTTTCTGGAGCGATAGGTTTGAGAAAGGGATTCAAGGTCAGAAGATCATGGTGGAGTAAAGCGAGTCTGGGTGCACCGATGTATCCATGGGATGCGTTCACATATTGACCCTAGACAATGGCGAGCAAGTAATTCCACATCAGCATCAATATTGAATTAACATTGATGTAATATTCATATCATTTTCTTAAGGTTGCTTGAACTGGTATACTAGGTAACATCATTCTCCAGGTTAGTGCATCCTGATTGTCCGAATATGTCACCATTCAAATTGTCTCTAGGCTGAATGATGAGTTCAGAAGGTAGCTCAGACCGGAGTTAACAAACGGTGACATGCTTAATGATGTAGGTGGCCGAGCAATCATACCCTACTCGGCTAGTAAGACGATTATGGCGCGTCGCTTCTTTGTTCAAGTAGTGTCTCAAACCCATCACAAATTATTCACAGATGAATTCGGAGGCGAATGAATTGAAAGACCCATGATTGACAGACATGACGCAGAATCGGAGTAACCTATGATCAGATAGTATCTAGAAATAGACCGACAATGGTATAAACCATACACAAGCATACAGGTAGTCAATTTGAGAAGGTGGCACAAAACGGTCGACATGGGAAGTGGCCCGGAGGAGGGATGGTTGCATATTCCGTCGGAAATCTTACCTAGGTACATTTTTTTAGGAAGGTGTCCTTCCAACCTTGGTATGTAGGTACGTAACTTGCCATCTGACAGGCGGAGGTGTTCAAGAAAGATATCAGAGTGGGTAGTCTGACACATCCCTCTGTGGACCCTGTATTTTCCTATAGGGTAGTTTATGCCGGGGATTATGATTGTTTTCATGCAAGACTGGAAGCACCGGTTAAGACGGTCGTCGGTCAGCAAATAGTTGCAGTTCATCGAGCAGGGACCATCGGTTCTGTATCACACATTCTACCTGAGGATTCTGAGTTGCTTGTGGGATTCTCTTGAGCACAACGTACTACGTCCGTAGTAATATGTACGGACATATTGGTGTTACAGTGTTACCAGGATATGGGAATGCATGCATGTAGAGATGTCCAAAGCACTCCGAACCTATCGCCAACTCTTCCCATGCATGTTAGTTTTGCCGGAAAGAAATATACGTAGCAGTATATACGTAGTCAAGGGTCCAGTAACTACTTATGGGAAGTACAATTTGCACACCTGGATGTATCAACTAGTATGTAGTACTAGTAGCCAGTTAATAAGTTATGTGGCACAGAATGCTACATAGAGTGAGACGACAACCCAATTCCCACCGACCAACACAAACCAAAGATTGGCTGGGTATCGATTACCAATCACCAGAGTATTGTCTGTCTCTTAAGCTAGTGGAGAGAGTATCCCATAGCGAAAGAGGGCGCCGCAGCGGCCCGTTCCCCGTTCCAACTGGGCCCACCGAGCCGGATATTCAGGTGGTCCTTGTCATGAACCATGGTGTACACTCCCCAGAATCATATGATCCAGGATAACCGTTATTCGATCAAGAGAGTTCCAGTTTTCAACGGCGGAGGCGTATAGCCTTTTTCCTCAGCATATGGTCGATACATACATAGTACGGAGAAGGTAACGCCCAAAAGAATGAATTGAACGGAGACTAATCCTCAAGAAGACAAGCGACTCGTCTAGCACCAATGCAGCAAGCCTTAACCGAACCAATCACAGGGCGTGACAGGAATTAAACAAGGTTTGCCACTTGGTCTCAATCGGGGAAGAGGATCTCCACTTGGTGTAACGCACAGGTCGTGAAGAGCTAACCGAGGGTGGAAGTGACCCTCTTCTCAACCATGGAACTGTAGAGCGATTGGTGGGGCATGCACACTCTAATTTTTTGTCTGTATTGTATGTACGTACGTCGTATTGTACAATACAGTTTGTACTGGTAAGTAGTGTTATATTATCTTCATAGAATATCTTCAATTGATCCAGATCGCGAGACATGGCCATAGCACATCAGTGCGAAACTTTGCAGTCGCACAGATTGGTTTCGTACCCCGTGATTTAGGTTTGTGATCGAAGTCTATTAAAGGGATACGTCGGTCTGTCCTTGTTGTCTGTCTGTACTCTGTAGCAATAAAGATGTAGGACTAAGGACTCGACATGATAATTGCCGATGAATTGCTCCGTAGATACACAACTTCGGTACGGAGGCCTAACTGGGACTCCTCCCGCCGTCGAGTGGGACTGCTCTATTTGAGTTCACTAATTGTACATTAACTTCATCCTATGTACAGTACTCCGTAGACAGTCTGGATTGCTACACGACGTCGCATTGAACAATATTGCCGCTGTTAATGCAGGCAAATGGAGTATACGCGAACGAATTAATGGACTTGATCCTCTGTGTCGGTACAAGTAAAATAAAATACCCACGAGTCCCTGCTGCATGGACTCTCCCCACCGGCCTGGTCGCTGGGATGAACACTTAATGCAGTCGTATTATAAGTCACTGCGTCGTATGTTGGTCCCCGTTAGCCCCATATTATTTTTACTTCTCCCAGCTGGTGCCGACTAGTCTGACGTTTCAATATTACTCTTTCCGTCTGCTCTTTCCTCCCATCTTCCTTTCTTACACCACGGCACTCTCTGCTTGTCAACAACACCGTTTCTTCCCAATTATCTTTCGACTATTGAACGCAACTACACAGGAGGAAATTATTCTGACAACAAAAATTCAAGGACTGAACTGGAGTGACATTTATTGAGGGAAGGACGCGGCTGGTGTCGGTATAATAAAGAAATCCATGGATGTGTGACCTCTAGCCACCCGACCTGAACGCTTCAATTTCGGCGCATTTAACATCTCGCCGCAATAATTATCGGTTGACTTGAGTTCATTGTTGTCGATATCTCAGCTCTACGCAGACCATCCGGATTAGGAAGTGAGACATCTCGCACGATTCAGTCCAACGGTCCCCAATTAATGTCGCTCGACAAGTCAGGATTCTAGAAGAAAAAAAAAAGGAAGAAAAGTCACGCTACATGGCTGAATCCGGCAATTGAGGAAGAAAGATCAAGAAAATATTGCCAATCGTGTATCATGGATCGGGATCAACGACACAAAAAGGATGACCTCCCCTCACGTCTACTGAGTCGTGTTGGGTCCGTTTTCCGCCGGGCTTCGCGAAGAACAAAGTCGACTGTCTCAGCTCATCAAGTCGCAGAATCCAGGGGACCGGAGTCGACGTAAGTTTCAGGTCATAATGTGGCGCAACTCTTTTTCTTTGTTCGTTTGACGGAAATCGCTAAAACGTGTTCGACAGATCTACACCTGCTTCTGCAGCTGCAGGTAATACGACCAGCGCTACTGCTACTCCTGCTGCTCCACAACCACCCCAGACAAGTACCGCTACACCTGACCGTGGCGTTACCGCTCCAAAAAGGGATCCTGCATCTGTCGTAGTATGGAGCGACATTCAGCAGGAAAGAGCCCGGGCTTTGTTCGCCAAGTACGGTCTGTCTTTGGAACCGCACGAATGGATGTCGCGTAATTTCGAAGTGCAGCGGGTCGAGAAACCGATCAGAATGAGGGTTCGCCGCACTTGTCATCGCTGTCAGACGACTTTTGGTGCTGACAGGGTGTGTGCCAATTGCCAACATGTTCGTTGCAAAACGTGCCCTCGTTATCCACCAGCCCGCACAAAGGAAGAAAAAGAAGCGCGTGCTTTGGCAAAGGCTAAGGGCAAGCAACCAGAAAAGCCTTCGGATACTGCAGTCATTCCCACCACTACAACTGTAAAATCAGATGACGCCAAGAAGCTAAAGTCTAAACAACTTACCATGGAGTCTCAAGCCAGTGGCCACGACTTGGTTTACAGACCTGTCAGACAACGAGTTCGTCGGAGATGCCATCAATGTCAGACGGCGTTCGTGGGGTTTTCTACCGAATGTGAGACTTGCGGTCATGTCCGATGCAAGATCTGTCCTCGCGAGCCGTACGTAACATCATCTCTACTTCTCAAGTGAAATTATGATTAACTAATGACAACTACAGGCCCAATCCAGAAAAATACCCGGAAGGCTATCCTGGCGATGAAGAACCACCGATAGAGCGCCCATTGCGAGTTTGGAAGAAACCACGAATGAGAGTCCGCTGGTTTTGTCACAAGTGCGATACATTCTACCCACCTGGCGACAAGATATGTCGTACATGCGGAGAAGAAAAGGGGCCAAATTCACGACGAGAACCGTACGTATTTTCATCTATTACTTATCGAGATGGCCACAACTAACTTGAAACAGACCTAAGAAAGAAAAGCCTCCCATAGACGAAGAACTCATGAAACGAGTTCGTGAACGACTTGAAGATTTCCGAATTGCCGCCGACAACACTTAAATGCCCGCCTGTTTTATTGATCAAGCATCCTGTTTTTATCGACCATTCTTTGCATTTGAGATATACCAGCATAGCATTGTTTTTTCTGTAGTATCCTTATGAGTCCGGTGATGGATGCAGTCCAGTGACTAGAGCGTGATTTGACATGTACTCAAAAGAACTGTGATATTCTCCTACCAATGCCACTTCTATCTACTCGTTACATTTTGTACTACATACTATCCATTCAAGGATTCAGTACTCCCTATTCCAACTAAGTTATTACAGTTAGGAAAATCACCGGATTTAAAGTCTGTCTGAGAAACTTCCACTTATCCTTTCTTTTGCGTTTTGAGTATGTCTGTCGTCTGTTCTCCCCCTTAATTTTTTAATACGGTTTGATATCAGAGCTACACAACCAGCATGTAAATGTGCTTCTTATTCTATATCCTACATTAAGCAGTAGGAAACCCTACTGAGCAACCCGTCTAGCATAGCTCTCCGACTTGATGGGCTTAGGGTTACGTACGTAATGTCTGAGATGATCTTCTTGACAAACGAGTACTGCCTATTATGGAAGGTCGTAAATCCTACGTACAACACTCCAGACTATAGGTTCGACTAAATCAAAACAGGGGTAATATTAACGGTCTGTATACCCAACCCTATTTCGTCTGTAACCATTTCTTCACAGGGTGGGGTGGAATTGGGGAGCGACTACGTAACAACTATCGATTTCATTTTTCGGGATGGTTATCGATTTTGTCAAATATCAATGACTCGGTTAAAGTTTGGGCTGATATAGGGAGTAAGATATTGATTATGGGCTAGATCCTCCTGCAGATTAAGAGAACTATTTGTATCGATATAATATGTTGATATATTCCCGTCCCGGCGGCTGTGTTGTTAGTGTGTCGCAGTTTAGGGTATAATCCGAGAGTAGTATTATAGTAATATTGAAAGATTTCCAGTTATTAACCAATACGTATCATGATGTCGTTCGACTATTTTCAACGGTGAGATTCTAAGGGACTTTGGAATTGAGAAGGTGATAATGCCATTTGATTCACCACATATACCCCTCAGGAGTCCAGAATATCAATGCAATCCCGATTTATATGAGTACCTACAACGTGATACTACGTAACTAACTATACCCCGAGATTGAATAATAACAATATGTCCACTGCAACATTACCGCTGATCTGTGTCACTGCCTAGTCGGTTCGGCGCCGGACTCGACCATCCTACTGGAATTGCAGTATACGTCATGTCAGGCAATGCGAAATGTAGCGCAATGCAGTGCGGTCCAATACATATTCTAGAATTTGGCATGCTCAGTTTTGAGAGAGTAAACATCTACCTAGGTATAGCGTATGGAATAGGAAGGTCTTCGTATAGAGTTGACACAGCATATCGAAACTCAATTCGCATTTCTCAGATCGTACCTGGATAATTCACTTGCCCAATATCAATTGCTCATCCCATCGGACTCGAAAGTTGAGAGCTTTGTATATGCCATGTAAAAGTGAGGCTTGACTTGGACTCGAAATTCGGGTATCAATGGGGCAGCTCGTCGTTTCGGTAGACGGACGGCCGGGCCGGACCGCTTTGTTTCCACTTCCGATTTTTGGGGTTAACGACTAGATTCTCTTGTTTTCTGTAAACTTATGCGAAACTCACTTATTGTCTGATTGTGTTGGTTTATGTATCGGGTTTCTTGCTTTGACCTTTGGCTGTGGGTTACGTTTTAAGTTGTTGCCGAGGGGTTGGAAGATTATCGATTCGTTGCTATTCTAGGGGTAAAGCGTTCGTATTGCATGTCTTACATCTCGTATGATCTTGCGACATGTTGAGCATCCCTCAAGCTGGCTGGAACAGCAACAATGTTATCTCGGAAGAAATACGAGGAGTTGAAACATCACCGACGAAGCAGATAAACATACGTTCGATTCGTTTCAAGTCAATCTCCACGCCAGCAGAAGTATGAACTGTAGGGATCGATGTAAAACTCAATTCAGATCCCGAAACAAAGGATCAAGTTTGTAGGGAACCCCTTGTTTGGATCTATGACACGGTAAAAGTCTAGATGGACTTTGAACTGAAGATAATCCTACCAGTCAATCTAGGTTTGTCAATCATGCGACACATAATGAAGAATCCTTAAGTTACTTTGAAACATGAACTTTAACCACGTACGTTGTAGCTTAAATCTTCTAGAAACAAGACATGGTAATCTTGATTGAATTTATAGCTTACCTTATCCTTGCAAAGCTTCGTTCTGATCCTTCTTACCGAAACCCTAATCCGCCCCGATTTTGGAAATGTTTCAAGGATTACCCCGGTCAGACGATACGAATTCTCACTAAAATTTATGCTAGATTTCTGCACTATTATTTATGCACAATCAAAGTCTTGACTCTTGACAACATGACTCGTGAACAAGCGGATCTCGAAGGATCAGTCCAGAGTCTCAAGATCATCGGAAGGATTCAACTTAATTACACGCTTAATAGTACTTCGTATTTCTCCCTTGTATTCTGTACTACGTAAGAATGCTTCAAAAAAATTCTTACCCGGGCTTGAAGATCACTGGATTTTGGAAAAAAAAAATTCTTGACTTTGAACCGCCCCCAATACGTGTCACTGTCAATCCTTCCGGAACTTTGTACCTCGCTTGCTGGCATTTTAAGGTCATTGTACTGGATACCGACGTCTCGGTACCGAATAGGATGCCGTTTGTTCTTGTTCCGGTTTATGGCCCCTGGATGTTCTTTTCCTGTGCTGACTCGTAAGTTACGGAGTCCGTATTGAATAACGGAGTGCTAGCTACTTCCCGTTTTTCTTTTCTTTTTCTTCCAAGTCTTTACTGACAGCCAAGTTTTAATGTGAATTAAGTAATTAACTAATAACTGAAATACGCATATCACATACGTAGAATTTCCAGGGAATAAGAGACAGGGATATGAATCAGCTAATTCATCGATCGACCGGGTACCGTACGTGCCGCAGCCCTAATTGACTGGATACACCCACCGCAGATAGACACGAAGCAGCCATCATTTGGTAACTCAGAGTCGGAAACAAGTTCGCTGCAAATATTGGAAGAAGATATTCATAGAAAGAAAATCCTAGACTAAGTATATCGAGATTAATGGGTACGGAATGCTACAGCCGATGAGATGAATATATTTGAGCTATATTGTAACTAACTTACAGACACCGCTACTCAGTCAGATGTTTCCAAAGAACCTGAAGCCTTTACATTAGAGGGGAATAGACTGTGTTATTGATTAGAGGACCAACTTGAATGCTTTCCGGCTATTAGTGTTGAGTGTGTACAAACTGATTAGAGGGACGATGAGAATAGGAGTTACGACTCGGATATATGGTTAATGTCTCTTGACACAATCTTGAGTTTACTGATTTGAGCGTGGAGAAGGTATCAACATCGGTAATTTCTTTTATCTGACAGGACTTGAGACTGGCTTTATCCTTCGAAATATCATTTACCATTCGACACGTCTGAGATTGATATCCTGAGATCATAACATGACTTTTTGAACATACATTACCTCCAACTTTCAACGTCGTACTCGTTAATCATGACAAAATTGATGCAAAACATCTATCCTGAAGAATATCCTGAAGCGTGAGTGAACATGACAAACGCACAGAATGAGAAACTTGCTAGCTGGGATCCAAAGATATCAGAAGAGTTTCCTCCCCAACCTTGACTAGTCGGTATGTCTACGGACGCGTTTGCGGAGAACTCGACCCCCGGTGGAAGTCACCTCCCGCTTGCGTGGCTCTTTTCGTGCCTTTTTCATACAATCTCCGCAGGTAATGTATTCGATGTGGCGAGGTGACTCGTAGCCCAAGTCTAAGAATTCGGGTAGTTCGCCTTCAATAGACTCCATTTCGTCCAGGTCAATACAATCAATGCAAAAGGACCGTGGACAGCTATTGCACGAAAGCAGAAGACCGCCAGCATTGCTGGCTGTCATGCCGCATTTAGTGCACCAGTGGTATGGGCATATGTCGTTATTGAAGGGATTGTATTTCTTCTGCGTGGAATCCTTTTGGCGATTTACACACTTCTCGTGATAGGAACGCGGACAATAGAGACATTCGTCTAATTTTCGTGTTCGGCCACATACTACGCAAAACTTTTTGAATGATCAGCCATAATACAAAGTAACTAGATGTAGATACAAGTCTACTTTCTCACTCAAACTATATCAAAGTGAACATAGCTTACCTTAAGGTGCTTAAACTCGACCTTCGATGACTCTTTGCCCTTCAAAGAGTTACTGTCTGTAATAGTGGGTACGGCTTCTCCATACTTGCAAAGAGTCGATTCTTTGCTGACGTAATAGTGAATTGTTTTGTCGTAGACTCTTCGGTTCTTGTTAATGCGTCTCTCATAAAGAGCAAGATCCGTTAGTACTTCCGTTTTGGGTTGTGCCCTATGACGGGAGAACACTTTCCCATCGAACAGAGTTGTTTGAACTCTTTCTATTTGGGATAACCATATTTTTTCGTCTTGATCAAACGTTGGAGATCGCGGTGTAGGTGGCAATGATGATGAATGTACGTCTTCCTCATCGTCTGAAGTCTTCTTGCATAGGTCCAAAACATCTTTCCACGGCATAGCCAACAAGTCATTGGGATCAAAGCTCGTCATTGCGACAGCTTTTTGACTATCTCGGATCAGTTTCTGGATGAACACTGAATCAGACTCCATGGGTTCTGTCTGTATCGTGGACAAGTTTGTATTGAAAATGTTTTTGGTAATCTTCGAGGCCAGATAAAGCTTTTTATTGACACGGCGCAGCATTTACTCTTCAACTGTACCGCTTGTACAAAGCTTGTAGATAGTAACTGGCTTGGTTTGACCTAACCTGTACGCACGAGCTTCAGCTTGTGCAGTAACCTGCGGATTCCAGTCCATGTCCAAAAATACAACAACCTCAGCAGCTGTCAAAGTAATCCCTTCCCCGCCGGCGCGGGTGGCCATAATGAAGACTTTACATTCAGATTCATTCCGAAACCGATGAATGTTGTATCTTCTCAGCGAGTAACATGTATTGCCATCTAGCCGCAGACATGAAATACCCATAGCGGCCAGTAATGCTTCACAGCAATTCAGAGCGTAGTCGAAGCCACTGAATATCAAAATTTTCTTCCGGTCCTTGGTCACTTCTTGTTCAAGAAGACGTTTTAGCAAGATAAACTTCGATGAACCTAGCATAAGATTGGCCACGTCGATGTCAGTGTCATCATCGATCTCCTCGAAGCCTTCCACAAACAAGGAATGGATGCAAATCTAGTTCAAAATTAACTGATGAAGCTCAAACAATTGCCAATATCTTCTGCAATACTCACTTTCCGCAAATCCATAAGAATATTTGTCACTGATCGCCCTTTGGTGGGGTTTGACACAGGTAGAGTCGTAGAATGTGAATTGTAATTTCCAGTGCCCGGACTGGACGGTGGCGTTGCCAGAACCAGCATTTCTCTTTTGTGATCGTCTTCAGAGTCTCCATGATCAACGCCACCAGTCAAAACATCAAGATAAAGATGTTTTTGTATCTCGGTTAAAGGCAGGTACATGATGACCTCCTTTTTCTCGGGTAGTTGGAGGTCTGCCTGGGCCGACTCCTTTACCCTTCGGATCATAATGACCTCAAGAAACCGTCTTACATGATGGAGAAATGCTGGATCAACTCTCCCATCTGTAAGTGAAAAGGCCTGTCTAAAGCATTCACTCGTCTCGTTGACGAAGAGTTCTGGATACAGCCAGTTCAGCATTGACCAGGTTTCCGTGAGATCGTTTTGAATGGGAGTCCTCGACAATGATGAATGTTATTTTGGTTGTCCATATACCTGTATGATCGTTGCAGTACTTACCCTGTCAAAATGAGACGCTGCTCTGTTTTGAGCTTTTTGATCGCGATGGATAATTGCTTGGTGCTGTTTTTTAGTCTATGACCTTCGTCACAGACCACAGACTTCCAATGCGCCATCCGAGAGACTCGAAATATGTCAAAAACGACGGTTTCGTAGGTGATTAGGACAATGTCAAACTCTATATAGATCTAATTAGTAGGATTTCTAGTGCCGTTAACAAGTCGAACAGAAAAGCCAGATCACACCTTTGTTTCTGACCATTCTGCCAATCTGCTGTCTCTTCTCGGTATTGCCGTGGTACTGAGCGACTTTCATATCAGTCCACTTTTTGATTTCGGACATCCAACTGCCCAAGACACTAAGTGGACTGACAACAAGAAATGGTCTATCATCATCCTTCTCAGTGTCGATGATATGCTGGAAGAACGAAAGAACCTGCAATGTTTTTCCAAGTCCCATCTCATCGGCAACGATGCCGTGAGCATTGTTTTTTCTCAACCAGGAGAGAAAGGAAACCCCATCTAGCTGGTAAGGTTTCAACTTGGCTTTTATCCTATCCAGATGTCAGCAGATACGCTGGCGTATCAATAGGAATTTTGACACAGACCCTGTTGGTTGATCATTCAATTGTTGGTACTGATAAAATTTATCTGGATATTCCTCTTCTTCGAGGAGATCTGCGATATCTGCATCACCAAGTAGAGGTAGGATCTTTTCTTTGTAATGGCGAATGAATGCCGTAAACTTTGTGGTTGTTGGGCCTTCATCCTGTTAGTTATCTCAACGAGATGTGTTCCTCATAAAGTTCAAACATACTGTCTGCAGCCATATCTACCAAATTCGTAGAAACAGCTTCGATTGTGTTGCACTTTCACAGAAACCAGGCGGATTTGCAAGTTTGCGTTGGTATTGCTCCCAAAAGAGAATGAAAGGGAAAAACTCTCTAAAAGCCCAAGAAGAACAAAAGTCGTAGACGAATTTGTGATCTGTAGACAGCAAAGGACACCCTGACATGAGAGTTGAAGAAGAAGCAAGACCAACGGCGGGGGCACCTTTCTTATAGATCTCGGATTGACGCCTGATTCTTCATCTCCAAGATAACACGCCATATCTCATATCAAGCAAACACCAACTTTTACCCCTGACAAACGCTGAAGAGCTCCATCTGGCTTGGAGTTAGGTATCAGAGTGAGACAAATACGTTCTGTAGATAGACGAATCCAGGCCATCTGATTGGTGCCCGACCTGGCGTTTGAGATGAGTCTGTAGAGAGACTGCATGGAGAATGATAGATCCATAAGAAGCATAGACCATGCTATTCCGAGGCTGACTTGACCAGGGCTGGTATCTGAAGCCAGTAGTTGATAGCTACCTTGGAATGTGCCATTTTGGTTAGGGGATAGTGATGGTAAAGCTATGTACGATTGAACATCGTCCAAGGACATGATACACTGTAGTGTCGCGGAGCTGCAGGTCCGTAAGTCCATAGAAAGGACAATCCCGAAACTAACAGGAGTCTCATCTTCGTAATCAGATCGGATATCCAGATCAACGATCTGAGACAGCAAACGCTCGTCCAATCACATGGTCAGCTATCCATCAGATAAGACTGTAAATAGTCAAGATCGTGGAGATTCCACGTGGAGTAAAGGGTGATAGTTGCTTGTCTGTCTCCGATCACATGATCCTTACTTGATAGCCAACCTCCTTCTCTCTCACATCTCTGCTCATCTCTTCATCCCAACTCCGAACTACACCCGGGAGTATCTCAGATACCTCAAGTCAGATTCGCACTATTAAATGCTCGTTTGTCTGGGGAATTGACTATCGGTTTCAAGATCATTGCAAAAAGGAAGGTGTGCAAGTCACATGGCCTGGTCCAATGAGAGGTGCCGTTTGCACCGAGGATCGAGAATGCCTCGTTTTCCGGGTAGTCATATCGGTTTCTTCGAGACCATATTTTTGTATGTACTAAGGAACTCTACTACAGTACAATGATCCCAATTACACCTTGATCCGCCGACTAATCTTCTCCGTCCCCAAAGCACTCTCCATATTCACTTTATCATGAAGATTAGTACGATTCGCCAAAGCACGTCGTATAACCCAGTCCTTGCTGCTGACGTCTTCCTCTACCACGCCTTCAGGTAACGGAGGAATAACAGCTGACCCTTCCAATCTCTTCAAAAGAACATTGTCTTCCGGCCGGGAGAAATATACCAGGCTATACCTTGTCGATCTCGCTTGCTCACCTGGAGATGATATCACCCTATGTATGTTTGATCGCAGCAACCCATTCGTAAACTTGACCAAAGAATCGCCGAGATTAATTATGCAATGACCAGGAAGAGGTTTGACCCATTTCCACTCCGCATCTGGACCTGGTGGCAGGACTTGGAGACCGCCGAGACGATTGAATAAGACAGTGATGCTACCGAAATCAGTATGTCCGGCGAGACGTGGAACGCCGTCGTTCATGGGCTGTGGCGGGGATCGAGTCATTCGGATCTGATCGCCGCTGTGTTGGTCGATGCAATGCATGTTTGCAAGAGTCGATGGTGGCAGCTGTAGATGTTCGTTCAGGAGGTCCAGGACAAGTCTCACAATTGCGTGGGCATTTGTAACGAAGGTCTTGAGCTTATATCTGTTGTTTTGAATGATATCCGGCTGTGGAAGCGGCTCCATTATTCCGAATAGATCATCTTTAGCAATCTAGCTAATATCAGACAATCTGCAATCAGACGAAAGAAGGACGGTATCACATTGTAGAACTCAACGCTATCCAGATTCCCCTTCTCATCAACCTGACCCGCTCCAAGAGGTTTGTATCCGTAGTATGACCTCTTCTTGCTGTGATCGTACTTTGACTTTTCCTCAAAGTCTAATGCAAATAGTTGCTCGCTAATCTTGAATAATTCGTCGGCATCCGAAAGGATTGAGTCACCCTGCCCTTCGTTGCGGAGATCCAGGTAAAAGAATCCAATATTTTCGCATGCACGGCAGAATTTCCTATACTCATCGCTGTCATACCGAAGAAGTTTTGTCAACGACAAGCGATCCAACAGTATGGTTGGAACGTCATCTGGGAAGGGGGGCAGGGAGTCCAAATTCTCATGATCCATTTTGCTGTATCCTCGTCACCGTTGAATCAATAGTATTGCAAGTGTTAACAAGCGTTCTCTTTTGTTAGGTCCATCGTGTATATAAGGTGTGATCGTGCGTAGGTTCATGCGGGGTTCCCTGGGAGCTTTTGTCCGAGGCAATAGATCATTTTCAGCTGGTACTTGTGGCACACATGATACCTTCGATATATGTACTGTTAGTCCATTTGATATCTCCACTAAGCGATTAATGGCCCTAGTTTTCAAACTCATGGGGATTTGCAGCATCGTTGTTGTACTATTCAGGTTATGACAGTGGTCTCGGGGGTCTTGATCCTTCTCCGATGTAATTGACAGGTTGGAACCTTGAGTAGCATATCAACAGTGCTAAATGATTAGCATGTTGGAGTATTTCACCTTCGATTGCTGCTCCGCGTCGTGTGATGTCGCATAACACAGTCTGTTAAGGGGCGATAGTCACTAACCAAAAATGTAGCGTTTTGGGTTAGCAGCTGTGCTAGATAGCGGATAAGCTTATCGCCCAGAGCTACAAAATTTACCTCATCTAACAGCTCCAACTCTACACACCCCATCGCTCTCATTCTTAACGCACCTCCCATGGATTAACCTACTAAACCCACCAATACGCAATTCGAAACATAAAATGTCCAAAACCCACATAGCCCATGACCTCCTCTCTCGCGCCTATTCCCCTGACACAGCAGACCAACTCTTCACAGAACGCATCAAACAAAAACCTCTCTACCTCCGCCCAACATCACCCACACCAGCCGACAACCGTTCCCGCCGTCGTCTCCAACGAATCCGGAAAAAGGAATACTTTTACCGTAAACAACGACCTCGACCGCTCTCTGCGCGCGAAAAACGTATATCGGGATTTTACGGTATCCCCAAGGAGGAATGCAAATATGAAGTCTTTAAGGGATTGCATGATTTATGGGTGGCGTATATGCAGGAGGTGTTGGGTATAGAGAAACAGAACGGCAACAGAGCTCCGCCAGTGATCACTGCACAGGGTCATGGGAATAAATTGGTTAGTGCGGATTATCATGGCGCTGAGGTTGAGGTCGTGCGAAGTCGGTGCGCGGGTAGAGTTGGGGCGAAGGGGATTGTGGTTCGGGATACGAAATTTACATTTGTTATTGTAACGGAGAAGAACGTTGTTAAGAGTGAGTTTTGTACCTTCCCAAGTTTTGCTTTGGTGTAGGGTATCTGTGTCTGATCTGTCCAGCCATACCCAAGGAACATACAGTTTTCCGATTCGCTATTCCAGCTGCCTCGGTCGAATCAAAGACTGACGACGAGGACAAACCTCAAGAAGAGAAACCGAAAGATTTGGTGTTTGAGTTGCATGGAAGTCAATTCGAGAATCGGCCTGTGGATCGTGCGAATAAGAAGTTTAAATGGAGGAATATTGACTACGTGTGATGGGAGAGACAACAGAGTCAAAGTTTGATATTTCGATATCTTAGAGGAAGAACAAAAGAGGTACTACCGGAAGCCTTCGGCCATGGTTCGTCAGAAGGAATGCTGTCAAAGAGCGGTCGATTACAAACACGGGTGACTACTCGATTTCGATGCACTCTTCGAGCGATATGAAGCACGAGTCATGTCGAGGGCAAGTACCACCAGGATCGACGTTCGAACATCTTTGTCGGTCTAAGACTAGGCATGATCCACGACAGCATTTCACGCCTTGACCTAGATCTCACATACACTCCGATTTACGAGAAAAGGACGACATATCTATGGATAAATACAGTGCGTAGTGGACCTAAATCCTCAGAGACATTATAGAAACTACGGTTACCCAAGATATAACACGAAATGGGAATCATTTGTCCTTAAAGATGTCTTTGGTTGTTTCAATCTGTAGCTACTTATGGCTGAGCATAGACTGCTTCACTTAGTGTGTAGAGACAATGCTTGGGCGAGGCGATTGCAAAGCTAGAAGTCGAGCATTGAAGTCCTGTTGTCCACGCGCACAGAGCGTTGTCCGGGAGCAATGAGCATGCCTCGAGTTCACGTCTGCGAATTAGCATAACCGTCGCGCGGTGAATGATTGAGGCATCTCAGTTATTATGCAAACATGGGAATTCAGGCTACCATGTGCAAGTGATGGCTCATGGCTTCCAGTCATCTGGATGCTGTCACCAGCATCGGCGATCATACATGATCAAGCTCTCATCGAGCAGCAAATAATTAATATCTTCGAACTTCTGGCCCTCACATCCCTGCCCACTCAATACTGAACGTACGAACCTCAGAAGAAGGATCACCTGGGTCGACGGCATGCCCTAGGAGAAACCCTTTCTTGACACCAGTACCAAGTCGACCACCGGATACAATCTCCATAAGATTCAGCTCCTGGTCTCTGTGGAATCCGTACACGAGAAAGTGTGAATGGAACCGCAGCGGATCGCCGGGGTAAGCCATGTATTGACATCCGAATCTCAGGCCAGGTGAAAGGAAGTATCCATGTGAATGAAGGTGAGCAAACACCGGATAAGAGGCAGGTACTTCCGGCAAAGGCATATCATATTCTTCAGCAGGCTGGTAGGGTAGAAGAGGGCATGTGGTTGCAGGTGTAATGCTTATTGTCGATGACTGAACAGAAGAGCTAGAACTTGACAACGAACTAGCCGGTCGCGGTGGAGGCTCAAACAGCATATCGTCCGTGTTCTTTGCTGCTTCTTCTTCTTCCTTTTGCGTCGAAGATGCTTTCGCTTTTCTCTTCTGTGCTGCCTTTCGCAAGGATTCTTCACGCTGCTGCTCCTTCCTATTCGACATTGCCAGAGACACACTCCGTCCTTCTCTTTGAAGGGTCTGCAAGTACTTGATTTTATCTGCTTCGGCGAGTGATCGCATACTTTCATTGTGATATCTTCGAGTATCAATAATTCGGGCTACTTTTTTCTCTACCAAGAGTCTTGCTTCCTCAGGCATGAGCTCCAAGGGAATACCAAGGAAAACATTTTGTTGCGGGACATGGGGTAAAGTGCCCATCAAAACACCACATATATTATATTCTCTTCTTAAATACGTGGCAGCATCAGCCGAGAAAATTAGATAGCGGCCAGACACGAAGGAGATTGGGATCGGAAGCGGAACTTCTGCAGCCATTGTGGGATAATAACACGATCTACCTTTGTCAATTGATTAGTATATTGATTTATCAGGATTGCAATGTAGAGAAACCAGAGAAAAATGTCGATATCATTTAGGAATACATTTCTCAGTCACGTAATGCTCTTTGATGAGATAAAATGAGCTTCAGGGGATTGACAGATTATGTATGGAAATAATCATGCTGACAATAGAGTATAGAGACAGAAAGGTAGAACTTACTCTGTAGCGAAAGTAATCCCTGCTTTGACCAGCAAAGTCAGGGAGAGAGTGATTGTTCGTGTTGTGTAAATTGAGGAAGAGAAAAAAATTCGCGGAAGCGGAGAACTAAGAATTTGGATGTTGTGCGCTTAACCTATTCGGGACCCGGAGCTCTATTCGGCGCTTTCTAAGTTTCCTCATCCACCAGAATCCAGAACTTTCATTTCTGTTTGCAAGAGTCGCGGATAATCTCAAAACATGGATATTATCTGGATCGTTATACTGTTATTTATATTGCCCCTGTTGGCTATGCTAGGTCAGTCTCCTCGATTTTACGATAAGTGATTTCACCTTCTTACCTGCAATAGGTTGGTTTGCGCTCTCATCTTGCCTGGGTGATGGACTCAGAAACCGCATTCGAGGCGTCCGACGTAACGGCGCAGGCTCATACGGCCCAGAGTACTTGTGTACAATGACATTCACCGGTCCTGCAATGTCCGAGCAGATCGAGCTAAGCGACATGTACCGAGAAGAACAATACGAAGACGAGCGAGGCTGATAGAACTTGACCGAACCCGACTTATTCGAATCAAAACTCAAGATCGGCCTTTTTAGGCATTTTACTATCACTAGGTGCCTGCTGGGCCTCGTTGTCGTTTTCAGCTGGAGGAAGACTGAATGGCTTGATTTCGAATCTGCGTCGACTTAACGTAAAAGCCCAATCTTGGCCAATGTTTTGGTCGCTACCACCTCCGCGCTCATGTAGGACAGGGAGTTTGTGTGTCCTGAGCATTCCTTGAGGTGGCTCTTCGTGCGCTGTGGCTGCACCTGAAGTGGCTATCGCGTCGGATGAATGAGGGAATGGGCACAACTCAATCACGCCGTCGCACAGAATCTCGACCCAACGGATGAGGCCAGATGATCTCGGATAGAGTGATAGTGGTATTGTGATCATGGCGGTGATGTTATAAGCATTATGCGACAGGAGTGCTCGAAGGGAGTGGATGAATCGGAGGAGATATTCAGGCTGGCTGGTCTCGGGAGGATAGACGGCAGGATTGAGGAGGGAAGGAATGACGATTCGATGTACGGTGTTGGGAGGACTGTTTGAAATACTGAGCTGAAGGTTTTGCATTATCGACGACAGGGGTGATCCTCTTTGCGGCGTAAGAGGTATATAGTTGACAGTAGCCAGAGATGGGTGGGTAAGTCTCTTGGTTAAATCAAAGGCATGACAGAAAGCATCTTGTTTCGTGCCAGGTGTTGTAGAAGTGAAAGTAGTATTTGCGGCATTGACGGGCGCTAGTCAAAGAGATAATCAGTATAATTGCCTTCAAGTACTTCAGAGTAGTGCTTACCTCTTGAGCCTGCAACTCCTGTCCCGAATTCTCCAAATCGCTCATACCGCCAAGCAATCTTCATCTTCTCCTCTTTTCTTCTGTCGACTTTATCGTTCAAAACATCAGCGGATCCTATAAGCCCCGGAAGCGTCCTGCCCCATTGTTCCCCCATGCCAATGACGTGCACTTTATGTTCTTGAATGACTCCTTCAGCTGCATAGTAACGCAACAAGGCACCTGCAAAGTCTGTAGTCCCATTTTCTTCAATAAGCAGTATTTTCCCGAGTGGTATTCCTGCATGCCCAGCTAATAAATTGTCCAAAGAACGAGAGCCCGTTGATGTTGTTGGTCGTCCGTCATCTGGAGATGGTCGCACTCCGGGAAGACTTTCGTTGACAGGTACAGCAGCAGGTGGTGTCGTGGGTGATATAGCTTGATTTGCGCCTGTGGAGATACCAACATTCCGCTTCCGAAATGACATTTTGTTTCTGTATTTGTGCGTTTTTGGTGAGCTCTTGTATGAAGTTGAACTTTTCGAAAGTTTTATATTGCGGCAGCCAATGATGATGCGGGGCAGCTCCGATATCACGCTAAGACTTTTTCGGGCAGGAAGAAAAAAAGCATCAAAGGCGCGACTTCATAGACAACTTCTACGACACTCCGTTGCGCCACTGAAATCTTTCCAGCATTTCTACTTTTGAACGACATTATCCCCTACATACCATCCAGAGCTATACATATCGCGCACATAAACGGTTCCTTGCGCTCGCGTTTCATTCAAGACAAAATGTCGGATTCCCAACTCTTCGAAGACACATTCACAATCACATCGATAAACTCGCAAAAATATGATCGCGTCTCTCGCATCAGCTGTACGTCAACAGATAACTTGACGACCTTCACACTCGATATCAACACAGAACTCTACCCCTGCGCAGTCGGCGAATCGCTCTCTATGGCCTTGGCGTCCACGTTGTCTCTAGATGGGAAGGATGAGGATAACGCCGCTAGTCGAGGTTGGAGAGATGTCGGTATGGGCGAGCATACTCTCGCTAATGAGTATGATTATGTCTGCCATGGCAAGGTGTATCGTTTTGAGGAGGGTTCTACTTCGGGCAATATGTACGCTTTTCCTCGCGTTCCAGCGATTTCTTCGTGATTAACCATCTTTACAGGTCCGTGTTTGTTTCCTTTGGCGGGCTTTTGCTGTATATGGATGGCCCTTACAACAAGCTTGTGCCATTGAGGATCGACTATGTTTATCTATTGCTCAAGAAATAAATCTGGAAAAGTTTTCCAGACGACCGGAGTATTTGCATCAGCGTTGGCGTTCTGGTTTCGGTTCAATCTACAGAGAGAAAATAATATAAAGCACAAGACAAAAAAAATTCGTGGGCAAAGTTGGGATTTTTGGCGGAGACTATACAAATGTCTACCTATAGACTCTATCTGATCAAATACCATATCTACTTCAAAAATTTTACAGTGGGAAACGGCAGACGCCGATGTATCCTAGCCATAATCTCCAAGTAATCCGGCTCATTCTCCGGCGTCAGAATACCGTGCCGGATCAAAAAGTCAAGAATGACCACGGCACAGTTAGGTTTCCATTCACCTTCCTTGAGTGACTGTCGCACCTCATCAACGGTCCAAAGACGGAAATCTTCAACTTCGCTATCACAGGGTTTCACTGTATGACTGGCGTCTAGTTTGATATCGTAGACATACTCAATCTCGGGTTGTAGTAGACCCGTTTCGCCACCTGCGCGCGCATCTCGAACGTAGAAATACGTTAATACGCCTACTGGACGTGCGCGTTCTTCAAAGACTGCAGCTGGTATTGAAGCTTCTTCAGCGGCTTCACGAATAGCGCAGGCATAGGGATGTTCGCCGGTACTCATCCCGCCGGCAGCGGTGTTATCCAACATATTTGGGTAAGTCTGTTTGGTTTTTGATCGGCGAGCAACCCATAGCTTCATTCCTTCCTTTTCATCCTCCACGTAACCCGTCATGTGAACACCGTAGGTGATGATACCAAACAGTGGACTGGCGCATCGCTCTATTTCCATCAGGAATTTGCCTCCCGGCGCATAGATGGGATACATTTCGTTGCGCCAGCCTTTCAGGACCTCAAAAGTTTCTCGGCGCACGGCTTCAGCTATGAGACGGGTCATGATCTCATTACGAACTGCAGGTTCTGCATCTGGTGCGGCCATTAGAGTAACGGTGCGAGCCGTTGAGTCAACTTTCCAGTCGTTCTCTATCCAATGAAACTTCTCAACGATGCTGTTCGGAATGTATCCCAGAACGGCGTTGCAGCCGTTGACTTTAAAGGTATGATAGTTACTCATATGGCGCTCATAGAACTCCGAATCATCCTCATAGTAGGGAAAACTAATCATTTGTTAGTGGAAGACATGTGTAGGGTACAATGCACTATCTTACTTGTCACATTCCTGAATTAACTGAAGATTTGTTTTTGGAGCCATGATCGTTTCTGTTGGTGTATATGTACGATTTCGAGGTATGTTCGAACAATGATATATTGAGTACAAAATCAAAGGGTATAAGCTCCTTTATAAGAAAAAAGAGTGATGTGTCAACAACAAATATGCTGCGCAAAGTAGCGGAGGCTGTTAAGAGTATGCCTCGTCAGGTTGCAAATCCTTGCCGCATTTACCCTAGTAGAAATACAAGACGGGACGAGTTATCGTATCGCTCGATAAGATAAGCAGCGTTATCGTTATCGCGGCCTCGGAATGTTCTATGTCGTTCTTATTACTCGACTTTGTTGACTTCGTCTACTTCTTTACTCGCATATGCAGGAACATTCTTTGTTTATCATATCTACTCTCCTTTCAATAAAGGGTCTATATTTATAGATCCAGCTCAATTGCAGAGGATAAGAGCTATATTGAGACAATCCAGCCTCTCGGTCACAAATTCGCAGCCCCGCCTGACATCATTTACTTAAGAAGGGCATTGCAGCTCGAGATCCAATTGCAAGCCTCGTCAATCTCGACAAGGAGGGAATAAAAACTGCAGAAATGTTCTCAGTCGTCATACCAGGTAGACCATGCCTGACAGACATCACCGCCGTAGACGCACAACCAGGCGTCCAACCCACAAAGTTTGCATTCATATTCCCCGCCGCACCGAAATTCAACCATATCGTCATCTTCTTCCTCCCTGGCACCGTACTACCACCGGACACTGCAGCGGCGATTTACCTTCAGACACCGACATCAAAACAGACGCCCAATGGGTCCGAGTTCCGATTTTTGGGCGCAATTGGGAATGAGAAGCCATCCGCTATATTTAAAGTTGGATCTGGGACACAACAGACACAGACAGGAATAGATGATGAGATGGTAGATGATGGCAACGATATAATAAACGGTCAGGTCACACTAGGAATATCGATAGAACCCGCACAGAATGTGGCGGCACAAATGGCAGCATTAAATGCGTCGCGAGGGACACAGCAACCGTCCACAGATCTCGTCCGGCTGCCTCCACAACAAAAGCAAATAACGACAAAGATATTAGCGCAAAGGGTTATTGGCAATGCATTTAACTTTTTGGCCAGCTTTGCAGAATCGGACCCCAATAGAAAAGGAGAAGATGTTGTTCCTTTGAAGAGCTTTCGGGACTGGTGGACGAAATTTGAGCGTCGGATTGATATGGACCCCTCTTTCTTAGAGCGTGAAGATCCGAATCAATAACATCAATGATTTTTGGTTTATGATGAAAGGTTGCTTCCTGGCGCATTCGGCGTCTACCCAGCTATGCATAGCATGTGTATCGTTCAAAAAAAAGAAGAAAAAAAAACAACAAAAACAAAAAGCATCCGCATTGTATAATACTTGGTCTAGTCTATCTATTTGTTCTGGGTATCTGGTGTATTTATCAATCTTCGAGCAAGAATCTCAAGAATGCCGCTCCGACAGCGATTCCGTCATGTACAATGTCTGCTCTTTTTATTGCTTCGTTGAATTGTTCGTCCGAGAAGATGCCTTGTTTATTTCGCAACGTGAGAAGCTCCGACATAATTTCGCCGTTGAACTCCGGGTGTCCTTGGACTGTTATCAACTTCCCTGGAATATACATTCCCTGTACGGCGCAACGAGGCGAGGAACCGAGTGCAATGACTTCTTTGGGGTACACTGCCACGATATCTCGGTGCATTTGTTGTAAGCTCTGCACGCAGAGTTTATTAGTACGTATCCCAATCAGTCCATGGGGAACGGAAATCCTACAAGTTTCTCCTTTCCAAACAGTTGCTTGCCTTTTTCCGTCAAATTGATATCACACACTGCAATCTCCCAGCCTATATCACTTCGTCCGACAGGGACACCAAGAGCCCTGCCAATGATTTGATGACCGAAACATATCCCAATCATTCGCACCCGATCTTGTGCATAAACCTCTTGAGTAAACTCGACAAGCTTGTGAATCCAGGGGACGTCCGCGAAAGAGTCATGTTCTAAACCGCTATCAATTAGCCTCTTCTCACTTGTGATCCAACTAAAAGGAAATAGACATACTCGAGCCAGTTAATAGAATGGCATCAATATCTTTCAATTTTGGATACTCTGTCCCGTTCACAATATCCCATTTTGAGATCACCAAGTCGCTTCTGGCATCGAGGCCTTTCACGGTTGACGCGCTGGTTTCCAGGAGTAGCTTGAAGACATCGCCGTATGTCCCGAATTTGGCTTTTACTTTATCCACGGGCGTGTCGCATTCCAGCACAGCGATGCGCAGCGGGGGACGCATTGTTCTTTATATATTTCAGAACTGACAACACAATTGTCGATATAACTTACTTGAAAGCTGAGAATCAAGGGTGAGGAATAGCAGTCACTGATAAGGACAGGGCCGTTATCGGCAGAATCGGCATGTTTGCCGGAGCTACCCCGCCTTCTTCTTCTAAACATTCCTCAAATCAGTATCCTCATCAACCTTGGAATGATGGACAGACGCTGAATATCTTGTCTAACTCGCTCGTTATGGTGACTATGTCACTGTTTAGAACGTTCAGAATGTCCAAGCACCAGTCCGATTTTCAACTGTTGTACACCGATATAAGCAGCAGCGGTCTAGATGTCTACTCAGTGCTTGACTATCCATGCAAGAAACGGGTCGCATGACCCTCTCTATCATTGCAGAATGCTTTAATATTGCCTTTTCCAGCTATCGTCACGGAATTAAAGCATGCAGCGAGATGCAGATGCCTGGGCTAGGCTGGAGCTACTGTGCGGCACGACAATTTGCGATCCCATCACACCATCGTCGACTGAGACAAACACGATGACTCTACTCAACACGCAACAGCGCTCGAATGACCACCAAAGAGAGGTGCTGATCTATTTGACTATGCTGAATGGGAACATCTAAACACTCAATTCGAACATAACGATTGCTTGTTTGTTGATCAAGGGTTAGCAAGATGAGGGGGAATTGACTGGTGGACCCGCAGTATTAACCGCGGACTGGGTCTACTTGTCTAGTGCCAAAAAAGCGCGAAATGACTCAAGGCTGTGAGACTGACTTTCGTCCATATCCTGAAGGATCTGACCTTAATATCAGACTGCGCCGCCCTGCGCAATGTTCATAATCTTTTATCCGCACTGTCTTGTTGCGTGTGGGTGTGAAAGTTGCCTGAATCAGTGCATACGCAAACTTGCTTACCCAGAGGTTAAATCTTCGTCAGCTTATACAGGTCATCATCAATCATGGGAACCTCATCGGTCACTGATGAGAATACACCTCTGATTGCGAGCGGGAGCCGCAATTTTTCAACCACGATCTCTCATGATATTGAAGCTACCACACATAGGCACTTGGTGGAAGCCGACACTGACGATGATGAATGGGCCTCTACGTTGATTAGAGATGATCCAACTTGCCTACTCGATCTAGTCAAGGTCCCGTCGATTTCCACCGGGTTTGCGGTCGACCCTGGACTCGAAAGAGTATCATCAGCCGCGACGGTACATGTGTCGGACGACGACGTCGAGTCGCAAGATGATCGAGGTTCAAGTGCCATATTCGCAAACCACTTCATTAATGTGTCTGCCAGCCAGTTCGCATGGATATTTGGTGGTATCCAGATTGGTTATTTCATAGGGTTCTTTGACGCTACATTCATGGCCTCGAGCCACCCAGTCATTACTTCGGAATTTCACGCATCCAATTCGGCATCATGGCTTTCAACGGCGTTTCTGCTCACCTCGACGGCTCTTCTGCCGTTATTTGGTCGTATATCCGATACTATCGGCAGGAAACCGGTGTATATTTTCTCTATTGTCGTCTTCTTCATCACGACAGCCTGGTGTGGGCTAGCTCAAAGCATAGGCAGCTTCATCCTAGCACGGGCTTTTTGTGGACTTGGTGCCGGAGGGGTCTTTTCAATGGGCATGATCATTTGCAGTGATATTGTACGTCTAGAGTACCGTGGTATTTACCAATCTGGGATCAATATGACGCTGGGTGTTGGCGGTGCTCTCGGCTACGCGGGGGGAGGTTTCCTTTGTGATCGTCTCGGCTGGCGTGGAGCTTTCAGTATTCAATTACCGTTCATCTTCATCTATCTACTCATTGCTATCTGGACAACACCAAAGGATCTAGGTCGAATCAATCCTAAAGATGAGAGTCTTAGTTTGAAGCAGTTACTCAGCCACATTGACCTGACTGGCTCTTTCTTACTCACTGTCGGTCTCACAGCTCTCATTGTCGGTATCAATCTGGGCGGTAATGTCTTCTCATGGAGTCATCCCCTTGTGATATCATCTCTTGTGCTTGCAGCTATCATGACAGTCATTATCCCATGCTACGAAAAAGGAGTCAAGCGTCCTGTGGTGCCAATCAGACTACTTACCAAAGCACCACATGCCTATATTATTTTCAGCAATTTCTTCGGCGGCTTGGCAATCAACACAATCATGTTCAATGTCCCTCTATTTTTCCAGGCTGTGAAATCCGAGTCAGCTACTGAATCTGGACTTCACCTTCTTTTTGCATCTTTTGGCATTACTATCACCAGCGTTGCCAATGGGTTTCTGATCACTTATTTCAATAGGCTGAAACCCTTTGCATTGCTCGGCGCTCTATTGATGTTCCTTGGTGGCTTTACTACTACTGCCCTCACGCTTATCGACTTTCCATATGCCATTACAATAGCGTTCCTGGCACTGGCAAGCGTGGGCCAGGGTTTTGTTTTCCCAACTTATACCGTCTCCATCCTTGCAGTCAATAAGCAAGAAGACCAAGCAAGCTCCGTCACAACCTTGTCTCTTTGGAGAAATCTGGGATACGTCATGGGCACGGCCGTCAGTAGTTTGGTACTACAGAATGCCCTTCGTATCCGCCTTGATCAGGTTGTGACTGAACCTGATAAACAGAGGATCATTGAGATTGCTCGCAAGTCTGTGGAGGATATCGTCACACTCGATCCCATGCATCGCGGACAAGGTAAGCATTCACTCCGTTTTGTACGTTATCGTCAAATTGTATGACTGACTTGTTTCTGCATCTAAGTTATCCAAGCGTACAATACCTCTCTTCGGATTACGTTCCTGTCGGCAACGATTTGGGCATCCATCATGTTGTTACTCACCTCTATGGTAAAACTTCCGAGACTGAGACGTTCAGAGAAAGAACTGGAGGATGAGGGCACAAGTTGAGTCATATTTAGATCTAAGATAAAAGTCTGCATTTCGGGTGCCTTGAACATGTATAGAAAAAAGCGTGAATTGATTGTGAATTGAATGCATTTATCGTAGTTGGTAGAAGATTATAATTATGCCTCAGGCCACAACAATAACTATATGTTAACAGATGTAGTCAACTAACTAACTAGTTAGTTAAGTTAGTTAACCTAGTTAACGTACTCCACGGGTCATCCGGACACCTACAAGTCCCATACAAAATGACCGTCTTCAACGCCTTGATTTCTCAACAGATTTGTATATAAACCATGTCTAAAAGTTGAATATTTCTTATAATATAGGTATAAGAATATATATCTAGCTTTAGGAACTCTAAAATTATTAAGAACCTCTCTGTCATCAAATTTACATTAATTGCTAGCCTAGTTTCTAATATCTCAAGACTTATAGAAGAGGCGAACTTCCAAATTGATATTTCTGATAAGGATTCATATAGGAATCATGCGTCAAATCTAAAATTTGGTTATATATAAATCTGTTGAGATATCAAGGTGTTGAAGAAGGCCATTTTGTATGGGACTTGCAGGTGTCCGGATGACCTGTGGAGTACGTTACGTTAACTTAACTAGATATTCTTAGGTAAGCAGCCTCGCTTCGACCTGCCTCGTCTTGCTTATCAGATAGCGAAGGCTTTCTTCATTTATTCTTTCTACACTCGACATTTGCTACTTTTGATATTTTATACCCAATACTTGCAACACGGAATTTTTGGCACCCATTACACTGGAACTCTATCGATTATAGCCTTCGATTTGTAGGCAGCTGCCAACATCCATACAATTGCTGTCTTATGACCGAGGTTCTATAGCAAGGATACAGCCACCCATCTGTGTTAGAGGGCATGCTTAGGTGAGACGCAACCCATTGACAAGCCACTTTTATGCCACTGCTGACATGATACTCAACTCAGTCGTTGTCCTTTTCTGCTTTGTATGATCCAGCGCCGAACTTAGATATACCTGAACGAAGCCTCCTGAGCTCATTCGCAACCTTTAACATCGTCCGGCATTGGCCCATTTGACCACGTGACGCTTTTCGAATAACGTCGAATAAACTGTTGTCTTTTGCAAGTTTTCATGGAGAGATAGGGTGGATTTCGCAGAGTGTTCAATCTCTGCCGTCCACCCTTCCGTTTCAGGATTCCGAGCTTGCCTACGCCGTTGAAAGGTTGTGGTAATGGATTACATACCTGAGAGGGACTTCGTTTGTAATAGGAATAATTAGGTTTCTTGTCTAGTTCGACAAGTGACATATTGCTGGGATGCGGGATCCGACACAAGATCAGTCACCGGCTCCTCTGCCGGTTGATCCACGTGAGACAGTTCAAACTATGGACACGAGGATACAGAAACCCGCGAATACCTCACAGGGGCCTAAATCGAGAAGAGTGCGAACGGGGTGTCTTACCTGTAGAGAACGCCATTTGAAATGCGACGAAACGCTTCCGAAATGTCAAAACTGTTCCAAGTCCGGCCGAATATGCAAACGAGGCATCCGTCTCAATTTTATCGACACACAAGTAACAGCTCCTCCATATACTTTGGCACCTCCGCTTGGTATTCGGTTGAACTTCCAAGATGAATCTAGAGAAATTGCGTCTGAATATGTGGGAGGGTTTGAGAGGTATCCGCCATTGGATCAGCTAGACACGCAAATGGACAGTGAGCCATCGACACATTTTGAGTTCGCAAACCCAGTTGTCAACCGACCTGCTTTGCATGTGTCAGCCTCACTTTTGTCGTCGTTTCCTGATGCGCCACACCCTGAGATACAGGACTCTATGCTCACGGAGCCGCAGTATACAACGAATGATGCACTTCATGAGCAGAATGCCTTTTTACCAAAGATGTCCACGAATACGCCAACTGATCGTTCCTATATTACGACACCCGAGGGAGTTCTCCTGATGCAAGTTTTTGTGGAGGAGGTTGCTCTTTGGATGGATTCTATGGATGCTAATAAACACGTAAGCTCAATTCACTTTGCTACTAGGTATTGGTCTAATTGTGCGGTTATAGTTCTCGGAAATTGTACCACTTCATGCACTTAATGAGCCCTTGTTACTCAATGGGATATGGGCATGCGGCGCTCGACATCTATATCTCGTGAACTCGTCGTATAGTGAAGATAGAGCAGTTCACTATTACAACACTGCATCTCAAATCTTACTATCTCATCTGCAAAATCCTCATCGTGATCCCGTTCTTTGCGCCACTGCTGCTGTCATTCTCAATGTGTATGAAGTCATGTGCGAAAGTGCAATGCAGCGGATGAACCACATAGCAGGAGCAAGAGCTCTTATCAAAGAGTGCCGCTGGAATGGCAAATCACCCGGAATAGGAGGCGCATGTTTCTGGGTCAATGTATGCATGGAGCTCCTAAGCTGTCTTCATTTCAATTGGCAGATGGCCTGGGACCCGGATACGTGGCACATGGATATGGAGACGGAACTTATCCCTTCTGAAAGTCTGTTTGGCAGCGAGGATATCTGGGCACATCGAATGGTGTATATTTGTGCCAAGGTGGCTAATTTTCGAGCGACTATTCCTCAGTTCCAGGGACTTGATCCACAAGCCCATCAGTTGCGGTTGCAGCAACGATGTCATGAATGGGATACTTATAAGAGATGGTGCGACGAATGGGCGAGATGTATTCCGCGCTCGATGATGCCTGTATGTTACGTTCAGCCGTGGCAGACGTCGAAATCTGCATTTCCTGAAGTCTGGTAAGTATTTCCATCCATCAATATGAAACATTGGCTTATGGCTGATACTTCTAGGCTTGTGAAACGACCTGCCATTGTTGGTCGTCTATTTTACCACCTCACCTGTGTCTTATTGTCCAAAACGCATCCTTTAGAATCAGAATTCAGTCCCAATCTTCGAGAAATGCAGCAAAGACATGCTTACGACGCCTGCGGTATCATAGCCCATGTCAAGGACCGGTATGCCTTCTCTCTCTACTAGTCAATGTCTACTAACAGGTACGATAGTGGCGTCGCAACAACCTCAATCCGCACCCTCGCAATCGCTGCAGAATGTTTCGTCACCCGTGAAGCGCAGCAAGAAGTCCTACAAATAATCGACAAAATCATCAAAGAGACAGGCTGGCGAATATCATTTCTGAAAACTGAGCTTCAAGCGAAATGGGGCTGGAATACTTCTGCTCCTGGATCTAATGCTAATATCATGACCACGGCCACGACTACTACTAACACGCCTATATCATCCATAGATAACGGTTCTTTACCGAACCCCACCACGGGATCAAATTCAAATGGCTCTACACCTCCTGGCCGCTCCCGATTGCTGTCGGGAATAATCAATCCGCTCATGGCTACGGCTGATTTTTCGATGGCCAATCACCCGTATCAGGATCATTATGTTGCGCCCCAAGACCATGGGTTGGAAGGGTATCAGTATACACATTATTGAATGTACTATATAACCAGCATAGGGAGAGATCCTTGCGTAGGCCTGCAATATGTAATATAGATATTTGCATGATAGATACAATGAATATGTACATGTATGATTCCAGGCTCCAATTGCTAATATGGCATCTATCTAACTAGCAACTATCTTACTGACCGAAAATCAGTTTCGAACCGATACCAAAATAACATCCCTCTTACACCTAATACTATCATGCTTTCTCTTCTTCCGCGCCGGAAGATCGGATGCCGATCCCCTCATAACCGCCCCCGGATGAACTACACTCAGGATGATGAAAGCGAGCAACATCGGCAACGAATCGAAACAGTATTGATACGCTTCATGATTTGGGATTGTGGATTGCAGGCCCTTTGAGTATTCAGCCAGACGGAAGAAGATGCGTAGCTGCTTATGTATGAGAAGAGAAAGTTCCACAGAAAGGGTTGACTGAGACATACTGAGATCAGAATTAACACAAGAATCAAGGCGTATAAGAGTGTAAAACCGGATTGAAGACTGAGATCCGTGGATGCAGTATTGTCCCCTTCGGTGGTCTTTTTCTGTTCTAAAATTGTACGCCAGAATTCATATGCGAAAGCACAGAAACCAAAGATGAAGAACTGCTGGATTGCGACGCCGCCCATGTATATATGGATACCTGTAAGCGATAAAGTAATTAGATTGATGGATATTTGTCAGGTTGAGGGAGGAAGAAATGGTACCTCGCAGTATTTTTGTGGTGTTGGTATTATTTACCTCGGCTGAAGCAGCTCCGTATACTTGGACGATAAAAGCACTGAAATAGTTGAGCCGTCAATATTCACGACGCTATAAGAGAGAAAAGGGGATGATTATACACTATATCAAGAAACACAAAGTAATAGCCAAACCTCCAAGCGGGAACACGCCACAGAGTACCATCTGGAACATAGTTCCATACCATCCGGCCAAAGACCATGTAGACATATGCATTTGTCCAAAGCGGTGATATCTGTTTGATATTAGAGAACCCTATCGTTATGCTGGAACATAGACATACCAATATAAGAACAAACCATCCAGCATAGTCGCCCAAGCTAGTCGGGTTCTTGATACTGATTATTCGGAGAATATAGGTGATAGCCTGCCAAAGGACTGACTATTCTCATCTGATATTAGAGAGGCTTGAAGTTAAAGGTGAATTCGGATCATACCATTGAAATCACCCAGGTGTACGCCTTTCGATAATAAACTCCTTGAGCAATATGGACGAAGAAAGTCAGTGAGAAGAAGACTAGGAACGCGATTGCTGCGCCTAAAGAGGGACAGAAGGTCCAGTAAGTCCCTGGAGTGGTGATGGCTGTTTGAATGAAGTTAGTGGATGTGTACTAGTAATGGATTCAGAAAAAGATGAAAAACACACCCGGGCAGAGTTCGACCATGATCAATTTCCTGGACTGCTAATCTGCCGAACTGGCGAGTTTCTGACACTTTGAGGTCATTTGTATCTTTCTGCAGATACTCGGAAACACTGTTGTAGTCGCATCTTGCGAACCATCATTTTCATCTTGTCATGATTGATAAGCAGACTAAATGACAAGAAGAATCTCATTTCTTTCAGTCCTTGAATAGACATTTGATAATAAAAGTGTATATACGATGCGGCGGACATACGAGAAATAGCCAATGCTCTCGTAAGGACAAGGCTTGAAATGCTTCGTATCAGATATCAAGCATTACAAAGCTTTCTCACCAATCGGGAGCAGGCCGGGCCGTATTGTTACAGACTAATCAACCGCTTGTCGAACCTTGTCGCCTAGATCTTCCGACTTTTATCTTCTCGTATGGACGCATCATCTTGTACAATACAATCAGCAAACCAGCCCTAAATGCCGCGTGTCAAACCGGGTGAGCGCCAACGAGCGTACAGACCAAAGACCCGTACGGGGTGCGGGACATGCAAGTTTGTATCCCTTTTCCTATAAAAAGCAAGGAAAAAGATAAGAAGTGTACTAATTCCATGTTGCAGAAGTAGGTTGGGGCCAAATACAATAAATCACTTTAGGTAAATCGCTCATCGTGATCTGCAGTCCGCCGCATAAAATGTGACGAGGGGAAACCATTCTGCAATAACTGCACTTCGGTCAACCGACAGTGTCTGGGATACAGTCATAGCGATTCACTATCTGGATCATCTCGTAAGAATCAAGTCCACAGCACTACTAGTGTCGCTCGCCTTGATAGAGATATCTCGCCAGCTCTGAACAGCACAGATGCCGAGCAGCGGGCTTTTGAGTATTATCGTTCTCGAACGAGTTCGCATCTCGCCGGCATTCAAGATCAGGAGATTTGGGAAAGACTGATTCTGCAACGTGCCCGTGTTGATCCCGGTGTCCGTCATGCCATTATTGCGCTTGCATCTTTCCACGAGGATTTTGAGCGTGGTGGGTTCGAAAGGGTCAAATCCAACGAGGTCTTCGGTCTGAAACAATATAATCTAGCTATAAAAGAGCAGATAAATCTCGTTACAAATAGGAACGGCCGTGCTGAACCAGAAGCTTATTTACCTTGCATTGTCTTTGTGTGTATAGAGGTAATATGCTTTCGGCTTTACTTATCAGGTGTATGCTATGAGTCGACGCAATCTAATATCGTATCTAGATGTTGCGCTCCAACTTCACCTCGGCTGCATTATTGACAAAGAAAGTAATAGGTCTTCTACATTCTTTACGGGAGAGCAATCAAACTTCGAAGATGCTTTTGGAATTCTTAGAACGTCGATTTCGCCAGATTGAACTCCAATCGAGAGAGGTAAGAGATCATGATGATCCATTGAGGCGCATGAACTAATTAGTGAATCTTGTTTAGATGTTCGGCTATAAGGATTACAGTCCTGCATCTCCAGTACCACATACAGAAACTCCTGCTTCAATTCCCGAGGTTTTCTCCTCAGTGGCCGAAGCACAGGCTTTCATGGATTACTACGGGCAACTCTATCGCATGGCTTTGCACGCCTACGAAGCCGCAACTGGGGTTACTCAGTCGAAGAATACTACAGTAGATGAAGGCCTCTCAGAACACGATCCTCGACGCGGCTTTGCTCAGACATATATCAGCGTACTAAACCGATGGACCAAAGCTTTCGATGCATTAGTTGACAGTCGAGCCGGTTCATTTACCGAAGCGGAAATGCGTACGATAAGTATTCTGCGCATGCATCAACGTCACAATCAAATCTCACTAGAAGTGAGTACTCGCCATACGTCCCCCGACGACCAGATGTTCTGGGATGATTATTGCCCTGTATACGACCAGATCATCAATCTCACAGAGGAATTCATGGCGTCGCAGAGCCGCGAGAATAATACTTCATTCTCTCTGGATCAATTCACTATAGGACCTATTTTTGAACTTGCGCGGCGCTGTCGTGATCCTCGAATTCGTCGAAAGGCACTCAAGATCTTGCGTGCTTGTCATATAAGAGAAGGGATGTGGGATAGTGAGCTTGCTGTGTTGGTAATAGAGCGAATAATTGCCATTGAGGAAGATGGTGCCATTGTACAGTCGTGTCAAGATGTCCCCAGTTGGCGACGCATCTTTAACATTCAGCATGTTCTGGATATGGAGGCGCGGACGATTGTGTTGAAATATGACCGGAAGGCGAGCGCTACACGATCGGTCACGGTGCAGATGCAGGAAGTTATTTCATGGTAGCTTGAGCGATTCAGAGTTAATGATACCAAATCAATAAGCGGATACATGCGTAACCCTAACTTATATCCCTGAATTGGTGCGTTAGTTACATCCTGACAATATGTTAAGGCAACAAGGCATCAATATCCGACCAATAAAATTCCACCAACTTGAACATCATCCGAAACATCCAAGAAACCAAAGCGAACAAGTTGGGGAAAGACCTTCATAAATAAACATATTTGATCACAATGCCACTGGTATATCCAGCATGACTTCAATCACAATCCAACAACAAAATCTCCCTCCCGCTACCCCGCGCTACATCCTTCGCGGGCATGTTTCTGCAATCCAAGCACTCGATTTCTTTGCCAGCAATACGCGCTTGATTTCAGCTGATGCAGATGGGTGGGTTATAATATGGGATGTAGTCACGAAGCGTGCTCGAGCAGTATGGAAGGCTCATGAAGGTGCTGTTCTGGAAGTGAAGGGCTACGAAACAGCAGGGCAGGGTATGAGGATTTATACGTATGACCCCCCTCATATTCACGCTAGAACAAAGATAGACTCGCTAACTTCGTGATAGACACAGTCGAGATCATAAACTAAGAGTGTGGAAAATCCAATTTGCAGGCGAAGAAGAGCAGTTGAGCCGTGTTTTACCTGTTGAAAAGAGCAGCAAAGACGGAGAGCAAGCTCCAGCTCCAGAGCCATGGTTGTTGCATTCATTGCCTGTGAATGCGCTTAATTTCTGCGCTTTTACGCTCTGCTTTATACCATACTCAAACAATGAGAAGCTCGATGGTGGGAATGATGACGATCCTTGGAGAAATGCCACGGAATCATTGGATATTGCAGAGGATGAGGGATATTTTGCAGTTCCCAATGCATTAAACTCCGGCGCCATCGACATCTTCCATCTACCGTCTGAACGACGTGTGTCGACTATTCCTGCAGATACTTCGGTTCAGACAGGTATGGTCATGGCCGTCAAGATACTCATAGATAACAGCAACACTCAAAACGCTCTCGTATACATGCTATCAGGCTATGAAGACGGTCATGTCATGGTTCATATCTCATATCCCCCTTCAGGGTCATCCACAGCATGGAAATGGGACAAGATATACGCTTCACAACCTCATAGTCAGCCAATATTATCACTTGACAGTGTGCAGGCGGAAACAGAACATATTCCCAGCTTTTTCTACACTTCATCTGCCGACGCACTCATTGTGAAACATCCAATCCCATCGATGTCTTCACCACCTATATCATCAGCAAATACAAGTGTCAAAAATACTCCCCTGAAAGTACTCAATACGAAACATTCGGGGCAACAGGGGCTCCACGTACGAGGAGACCAGAAACTATTTGCGACAGCTGGTTGGGATGCACGGATACGGGTCTATTCTTGCAAGACGATGAAGGAACTTGCTGTTCTCAAGTGGCATAGCGAAGGGTGTTATGCCGTCGCATTCGCTGACATTCTTCCGTCTACATCTGCAGATAGCCCATCTACACATAAAGATGACGATAGCTCTATTGTCCGGAGTCAAACCTCACCTCTCGAAATAGTACGGCAACAAAGGAACGAAAAAGCGCAGCAAACGCATTGGCTGGCAGCGGGATCCAAAGATGGTAAAATATCATTATGGGATATCTATTGAACAGAACGTCATATATACAAACACTTTTTATGGACAGTAGGAAATGGATGCGTAAAGGACGAAGTCTTAGGCCAAGTTGAACTCGCTTGCACCGCTTCCAGTTAGTTCTCGCATCTTGGCACGCATTCTACGAACTGCGTCATCGTTGTTCGTCTCACGTGGAACATCATCGTCACCTCCAGTGGCCTTTCGCTTCTTGTTCTCAGTTGCATTGTTACCTGCAGATTTACCCGAGGCGCGTCTATCAGCCTTGAAACCCTTCTTTGTCTCATCCTTCGATTGTCTCAATCCAGGGACATTGATCTTTGACGGCCGGTCGCGGAGTGCAAATGCCTTCGCCAAATGACCCAGATGAAGCCCTTTTATATTGAACATATTTCGTTCAGCAGCAACATGAGTGGCATACGCGCGAATATGAGACTGAAACGCTCGTCGCGCAAGTTCCAAAGATTGCGGATTCTCAAGTGCCCATCGTTCGACATCCAACTGCCAATCTGTAGCTTTCTCCTCCCAGTCCTTGCTGGTGGCATCGGTATTCCCACCAAACCCACGTTTCAAGACGTCATTTGCGTTCATTCGAGAAAGTGCTTTGCCTCCATCGCGATAGCTGCGTTTTAGTACATCGACATAACCTTCTTCGCTTCCTGGAAGGAGAAATACTATTGCTCGACCATCGCGACCGAGACGTGCTGTACGACCGATTCGGTGGAGATGTTCGTCAGAGCTAAAAGCCGGGTCGTATTCGACGACAAGATCGATGTTAGGCAAATCGAGACCTCGAGATGCGACATCAGTGCAAATGAGGACTGCGGCTTCTTTGCTTTTGGCGAATGCACCAAGTGTCGAGGTACGGACGTGTTGTGGTAATGAACCATGGAGCTTGTGTATAGTAACTGGATTAGACGGGTTTGAGAATGCAGTTACACTACCGATGGTGCCATGTTGAGACGTTTTATCATTAGCATTGCTTTTTTCTTTTTCCTCAGCGTCACTCTCCTCCGTGTCACTCTCATCAGATGACTCTGCTGGCTGTGTCTCCGTAGTAGCAGACGAGTCGTCCTTACGCGTGAAGACCTCAAAATGAAATTCGACAGAATCAGCACACGAAACAAATATGATCGCTTTCATGACAGATCCTTTGCGCATAAATGTACGCTTCATTAGAGCCGTAAGTGTAACCAGACGTAACTTCGCAGCTGCAACGATGTACGATTGTTGAAGCTGCGCCGGCACTGTAAATGTATCCTTCTCTTCCTCCTCATTTCCGTCTTTTCCATCCGTATCGGTAGGATCTGCCTTGATGTGTACTGCATCCTTCAGACTGATCTCTCCCAATCGTTGTACGTTCATCTTCAAAGTGGCAGAACAAAGCACCGTCGTTCTTTTCGTCGGGAGACCAATAATTGAACTCGGCCGCTGTCTTGCGTCGAGTTTCTTCACAATCCCGTGTATCTCCTCCTCGAATCCCAGGTCCATCAAGCGATCTCCCTCGTCCAGAATGAGCCATCGTACATTGCTCACATCTAATACCTTGGTGTTGTCCAAATGATCCGCCAGTCGACCTGGTGTTGCAACGAGAATATTCAAACCCTTCCTCAATCTGGCCTTTTCAGACTTCTTTTTTTCTCCACCAATGACTGTACCCGCAACAATCCAATGAGCGCACCGCAGTAGATTCTCCAGGACCACTGAAATTTGTTTACAAAGTTCTCGAGTCGGCGCCAACACGATAGCAAATAGACCAGCATCACGATGAATCGAATCTCCACTGCCCTTACCGTTGTTATTCGATATAGCACCACTATTCTTAAGGTTTATTATTCTTTGCACGAGTGGTAAAAGATATGCCAGCGTCTTTCCGGAACCCGTTTGCGCCTGAATAAACGCATCGCTATCTTCCTTCACTAACTGTGGTATGGATGCCTTTTGAATCGCCGTAGGTGCCTTTAACTCCATCTTTGCCAATAAATGCGCTGCCAGTGTCGGGGCTAGACCGAGCGCTGTGAAATCTTCGATTCCGTCGATCAATGGCGCATTGGACGGCTTCACTTCGACATCATCCGCTTGATCTTCGGCTCTATTATCACCCTCCTCAGCCTCCTTGGAAATTGGATTGTACGAGAATAAGGACGAAATAATCTGTTTCGGTTTCGGTCCTCGACCTCCTCCAGGTGGTCCTCCGCGGGGTTGTCCATTCGCGGACGTTGAGGGACGAAAATCAGCGCCATCTGTTCTTGGCCTCTTATTTGGGTGTGAAGATGGTTCTCTCCGTTCGCCTATATGCACATTATTGGGATTATCGCCAGATTGGCCTGCGCCATGGGTTCTCAGTACTCTGGATCGAGGAGCCCGTTTGCCTTGGGCGAGTTTTTTCGCTGAAAGTCGATCCCGCCATGAACCACCTTTGATTTTGACTTCTGGTTTGATGACTGTTTCGGGTATCGAAAAATTGAGAAGCATGCCATCATCAGCCATTTTGAATCCTATCCTGAGTCCAGGATGGTCAATATATGTAGAGATGTCTTGCAGGTTAATGCAATTTTCACGAAGAGTGGGCGGTGAGAAAACTATTTTATTTTTTTGTCGGATTTTCGAAGTGTCTCTTCACCGCCTTCGCTGGTATATCAGTCTTGGCATCTTCCAACGTTCGACCTACTAAAGCTCACTCAGCAGCAGTACAAATACGTGCTAAGACCTCTCGGTTGTCTCATCATACTGAATTGCTGGTAAATCTAAGTATTTTTGTCCCAGTAGTCCCAACATCGACCGTGGAGAAACTCCCGTCGAGGGCCCTTCAGATTCAGTGACCATATCTACATGAACTTGTACTCATAGGCTTCTATTGAAATGGGATCTGATTCCATCTGCTGATCTTGCTAGCAACTAGTTAACTGTAAGTACAAAACTAACATGCGCTGAAAGAAGATCTTTATTTTTGGGTTTTTCATTTTCCAATGCAAGACAAAATAAATAAGGGCTGTGTTCATCATAGAGACATTGGAATACCTTCACGTGTTGCAACATGATCAATGGATTGCCAATTGAGCCCAACAAAAACTGTATGCAACATAAAAACAGAACATGCGCTGTCATAACTCATCAATAGATCATCAATGAATAGAGATGGTTTACAGTTCAAAGACCAGCCCAGAACGTTCATCTCTTTCCTTCTTCAGACGACGACAGTAAAGCTAATGTTTATTCCATGTAAGCATCGTCGTACGTGAACTTTGCAGTCCATTTATTCATGAACTGCTTTGTGGACTCCATTGATCTCACAACATCCTCCCATTGTTCCTGGGCTGTCTCAATTGTTTGCTGCAAAAGCTCCCATTTCTGTCCAGTTTGTTTAATATGCTTGTCGAGCTCGCTGACCATATGTCGGTCCCATGCTATATCAATCGACATATCAAGATTTCCCCGAGGATGTGCTTGCTGAGTTACACGTGGAGGAGCGTCGACGTCTGCAGGAGGCGTGTCGCGAACCATAATCGGAGATTTTTGGAGTGGTTTACGACCGGGCTTCTTCCTTTCTTGGGGTTTTGCAGAAGCCTCTTGAGCTCCTCGTTTTGGGCACTTTTGTGCAGGTTCAGCTGTATCCTCTTGTGTGGAATTATCGAATTTTCTTTTTCCGGCGCCTTTCCGATGAGGGCGTTCCATCTTTGTCCCTTGCAGCTGCTCAATTTCCCTTCCAGCAGTTCCGGAACGGCTTGTTGCACCTGATTCAGGGTTTTGCTCAATATCGCCATCATTTGTCAGCTTGGGAGCAGGAGCCGGTGTACTGGCATGTGGTTTTGGTTCTTCTTCCGGCCCTTCGATGATATTACCGTGTTCATCGATTACAGATCGATGGGGGCAGCGGACTTTATTTTTTTTGCACTCTCCACAAGCAGGTGTCTTGCGAACTTTTGGTTCTTTCGGACCTGCCTTTTCTCGGAAACTAATGTTAGTAAAAGGGCATGCGGCACACAGAATATGACGGAGTGGTGTACCTTTGATTTCTTGGAAGCTGTCTTTTTTGCGACAGCAAGAGTACTTTCCTGCAACGATGCTAATGTTTGATTTCCCATGTTCGACATTTTGTTTTCAAAGTTGATCTGAGATGAGATGTTTGGCGAGGTGTGAAGTCTGTTTCGTAGGGGCAGTTTCAGGATGTCAAACGCGTCGATGCGAAGATGCGAGATGTGAAGAGTGATGACGACGTTAGGAATTAAAAATAACGAATGTTGTGTTATCGTCGAGATTCTGGAAATGCCGAGTTTTGCGTTGTTTATCCCCGCGAGACAGATAAAATTGACGGAAGAAATGGTAAGAGATGTTGTCTTGCACTAAGGATTGGACAGATCTGATTGGAAGGGGAAAGATGAAAGAGATTCGATGATCAGGAAAGAGACGAATGTAAAGTCAAAGAATGATCTTGTCGAAGAAAGAAGACGAGTAGATAAAAGATGAGTAGGAAGAGGGGGTTGAAAATGGTATTTATGTCATGAGTGGGAGAATGGGAGAGAAACACAATAGCACGAGGTAAGCGAGAATTATCTTAATGAGTATTTGATTGTGTGATTTAGTGAATGACAAAGAGTTGGATTGTCAAAGTGAATGTCATTATCATTGGTTGGGCGTGAACAGAAAAGCGTATGGAGATTGCCGGCAAAAGTGGTTGATGTGAATTGAAATTGCAGCTCAATGCAACATTGTCATTTGCGACTTCTTTTCGAAGATATAGTCCCGTCAAAGTCAATAGCTAAATCAAGGCCATAATTCTAGTTCCTCCCATCGCTGATGACCGGTATGGTCTAATGTCGTCTTCCAACGCAATGCTTTCTCCGGGTCGTTCAGATCTAGTCTATCAACTTCTTCAACACGGATGACCACTACTCGGAAATGCCTCCTTGCAACCGGATCATGAAGGTCCTTGACTTTTTGACCTAAGCTGAGATTCGGGTCGTCAGGCTTTTGGCTATGAGGTGTCCCAGGGTGTGGACCTTTGAATGAACCTGAAACACTCAATATCCATTGTAGTCAATGATACAATAAAATAAGGAGAAGTCTTACCTCTCATCAGTGGGCTATGATTTGCAAAATATGCAGTGACTTCCTTCTCCCACGACCACTCACCAGACCCACCGGTATTGTCTGACTTCTTCCTCAATCCCTTTTCAACTTCTGACCGAGCAGCCTTCTCGCTCGCTTCGCTCTCACTGTCTCCAATAACAAACGCCTGTCCTCTCAACCTCCATTGACCCATAACTTCCTTGACCCAAAAGAGAACCTCAATGGCACCTCCAGTCTCCTTGATTTGCTCAACTTTCTCCATACGTACATCAGTAGTGAATGCAATCATATCAGACTCGTATATCGATGGATTCAATCCCCCTTCGTCTTTGAGCTGTTTCTCAGCTGAGTGATGAAGTTTGAGCTCACCGAAAAACCCTCGAAAGCCACAAGTACGGACACGCGGGAGGGGAATTCCGGTCTTTGGATCAAATGCTACTGTTGATACAGACATGTATGGGTCGTCCAGTTTGGAGATGTGTTCTAGGAACAAGCTCCTCCACGGAGCCGGGGGGATGCTGGAGGTTGCTGCCATTGTACCTGTGTGAGTCGAAAGATGGCTGATATGATGCTGCAGTCGGCGACTACGGTATTTTGTAGCTGCAAGGGCCAGTTTGGACTTTCTCTCTGCTTGATTGATGATCCGATTCATGAATCAAATAAGACGGTCTTCAGAGATCGATTGGCTTCCCACAACTGGTGTTCACTTCCCAAAAATTCCGTCCAATACTGACAGACAGACTCTTCAGATGAGAGATTATTCTATCCGTTATTTTTTAAGAATCAGAAATGCTAGAAGTTGAACATGTTCAATTCTTCTCAACGATATTTTTTGAAATGACGTCTGATGGAGTCAATCCGGTCAGTCCACACATGCATTGCTGAGTCAGCCATCGATGGCACGGCTGTCAACATAGCCCTAACTCCTCGTCATTTAGGGTGATCAATGAGGCATTAACTCAGTTCTTTTTGACAAACAGTAGATTTTGATTTATTTCATCTCATTTTTAACTAAATAATCGTTCACCGAGGTGTTTTTAGGGCTCCAACCCTAACATGGTAGGGACACCTTGTTATTGGCTACTTCTGAGCAACGCAGCTGTGGTGGTGGTGGTGGTCTCTGGTGGCTCTTGAGCATGGTGAATTGCCATGAGATGGAAGGAATAAGAATATCCTGAGGTCATGATACATCCCTTTTACTGATCGTAGAAACTGGTATAAATTGAACGAAACTCAACTGAGGCTATTGAGCAAGCTGCCCCCTCAAAACCATCGACTTTCCGACCATCAGATTCTATATTACGAACCAGTTTGAGAATTAACTCTAACCCCTTAATTGTTACCTTTCGAAAAAGAAGGTTAAACTTTGATTTAACAAAAATGGTCAAATTCAGCAAAGGACAATTAATCCAATACGTTCCATACCATGGTGCAGCCCATACAAGCAAACCAAAAAATCAAGGACGAATACTGGATCCTATAGTTGATACTACGAATACTTTCACAGGCGCTTATGTGGTATGTATTTCAACTTCGCTTCTACTATTGTAGTCTCTCAGCTGAGTTGCTGATACCCTTGCTCCAGGTTCAGAATGGGAATCCTGTTAGACGAAGGGAGCATGTCGTACGCGAGGAGGATATTATCATGTCGCTAGAACCATTTCTGCTATAACGTCGTGAATCATGTATATAAATTCATAATATTGGACGGAGACCACCTTCAAGCTTGTTTAATTGCCTGTATTTGTTTTCATTGTATGGAGTATAGGTATGGCAAACCGTAAACAATGGTTACGTATATCGACGGAGATTCTCTGGCCGGTACTGAATTCCGAAGGTCTGACATCCTGTGTAGGTAGATAGCTAGAGCTCGAAAACACGAACCATGGTCGAAATCCGGCAAAGATAGTCTTAGGATCTGGACATCCATCTTTTCCTTACTTTCATACCTAAAGCACATCTATAAGCTCGTCAGAATGTATGAATTAGGAGACGTCATACAATTCAGTTTCAATAACGGTAAGACTTCAACCGATCCCCGTCTTATCCCTCACCACAACTTCTGATGATCAACCTTCATCTACATTTATACTCAATCAGATCCCGTACCAACTCACCACGGCATCGTTATAAGCGTTGTTCCGAACGGGAATGGAAGTATTGATAATGGAAGCTATTTGGTACTATATCACCCTTCAATTCCCTTGCTTTTGTTTTTGTAAGTGTTGGCTGAGTGTCTTTGTAAGGTCGAGGAAAGTGACGGTGCTCGCGTCAAGGTTCACGAAAAGGATATTTTCAAGGGTCTTCGGATTACTTGATTATCCCTGATCTCTTCTCAAGCTGTACAGATGATAAAGTTGGGTCGATCATTGGAGTTGTGTCTCGGACTTGAACTCCGCTCATGAAGATATTAGTACTGTCACTTAGATAGGAAGAATGAGAACTTTTGATTATCTTCAGCTCAACTCCAGAACGCCGTCCCATCATCAACCACATTAGACAGGCCATTCAATAAAGTACACAAAGACCCTAGTCCTAGCCCTTCATAGAAGCGGTCATTACATCTGCATCCGGTCCGGATCCTCATCTCCAAGGCCATCCAACGCTCCACCCGGAATCCGTCCCTCATTTAATTCCTTCTCTAGACGAGCAATTTCCTGAAGACTCTTTGCTTCCCGAATCATCTTTTCAACCCGCTTGCGTTCAGCGTCTGTCAGTTTGACGCGAATAGCCCTCTCGCCCGACGGTGCCTGAGCATCACCAGCAGCTCCGGCTGAGGATACATCGAACGTTCGAGATTTGATGCCCATAATCTTCGATGCGAGGGCCGAGGGTTCTTCGAATGTACCAAACAACTCTGTAGCTTTCGCGCGTTCGGCATCTTTCACCTTCTGATAATCCAAGAATCGGATATGAGGGTTCCTCCAAATGACCCAGTAACGATAATGCTATACTCCGTCAGCACCATTGTTTATTTGACCAAACACACGAAAGGTGGGGAGAAAATACACACCTCCTTCCTCATAACCGGATTCTCCATCAAAACCACATGCGTAAGTCTAGCAAAATTGCGCAAGGGATCCAAATCCGCCAGTTCAGCCAAATTATTCGCTGTAAGCACCAGATTCTCCAAATTCGGTATCGACGACGCCAACGACGGTTGGATGTGATTTACTCGATTGCGCGCGAGTAGCAAGGTTCGTAAACGGGGGAAGTGTGGAAAATTCGCGAGGGAGGAAATATCGTTATCGGTGAAATCGATTGCATCTTGATCCTATATCAACCATCAAATGGAGTCAGTTGCAATTTCATCGAACCGAGAAGTGAGAAAGGTAGGCTGGACTAACTTTGGCAATACCCAAATTCTCGATAGAAGGAATTTTGTGTCCTATATAACGTCTCAAAAAAAGAGGGAAAGAGACCGATATATCAATGGTGTTCTCATGTATATTTTGAAATATTTGTTCGCGACGAAAGCTCAAAAAGGAATGGAAAAGAAGAAGTGCAGTATCTGTTCTTTTCAGGAGTGGTGTAGCAATGGTATGAACCTACCTCTAAGATCTAGCTCTCGCTCTTTTAGCGGATTGATATATGACAGGGAATTATTTATGAGTTCGACTGTTAATCGCATCGTGACAAGAGGATCAGATTCGTTTGTTCGAGGTGGAGGGACGCAATGCGATTTCTTTTGCTGATGACGATTTTTGGATGGTGATGAGCGATCGAAATATTGTTGTCAAAATGGAGAGTTGTATATGTGTCCAGCGTCTTTGCAAACAAGTTGGAAGTTATGGAGGAAAACCGACGATGGAACTTGGGAAGCTCTCCAGAAAAGGAGATCACGTGCCTGTCCAAGCTCTAGCCTTTTTATGTATTGTAACACGTGATGAGAATAACCCCAATACCAATACGTATACTTACATCAGTTTATTCAATGATAAGTTACGTAGTTAACTTAGTAATCTATTTTATCAATAACTCTTCTTCAGAATTATATGATTGTAAAGTATCTATTTCTACAAGAACTTCAAAAAGCAGTACCTCTCAGAGAGATGTGCTCGAGAATCGAAAGTATCAGAATCCTAGTCAAAGAACCCGGTAGGGACCGTATAACGCCAGAAAGATATATGAAAACCACTTTATCGTATTATCATAGACAACCACTATGTGCAAGCACGCAGATGTCTTCATTACTCGTCAGTCACAGGCTTCAGCATCGGCGACTTTCGCCCTCTTGTTGGACTCACGGTACGAGACCGACTTCCTTGAGTTGCTGTGGGGACGAGATGTTCTCGACTCTCAGTTCTCACAACTAGGCCTTGTCGATCCAAGACATTAGCTGGGGCAATTCCCAATCCTATACTACTTGATGACATGTTGTCAAACTCAAATTTGAGGCCTGGTGTTTGTGAACCGGTTGCTGACCCTTTGTATGAATTGCGCTTAGAGTGGGCCGGACTGATACCATCCGAGTCGGCTGCATAACCATCGTCATCGCTGTCAGTGTCTGCTTCAGCAAGTTCAAACTGAGCTGCACCATCTTCCAAGACTCGCTCATAAGATGGGCCATTGCGTCCGATGAATGACAGCTTTCCAGGATATTTGCGGCGCATCCTCGCTCCGCCACGTTTGAACATGTTCTGCATTTTGATATATAACCTTGAGCGACGGGTACGGCCGCAGAGGAAGAATAATGCAATAACGATGATGAGCACAAACAGGAGCAGTCCTGGGATTCGTCGAGGGGATTCTCCACCGAATAATGCATCGTGCCAGCTTTCACTCTCTTCTGCCACGGGCCCAGGTCCAGGAACAAGCTCAACGCTAGGATATTGGAAATCGACAGGAATTCCTGGTTCGTTGCTGCCAAACCCAACAGGAAGAGCATCCGGCTCAACAGCCGGAACCTGAGATGAAGCATATAGCACGACTTTACCAAGTGTCCAGCTGACTTCTGTGGAGTCAATCTTGTGGATAGCTTGGAATGGATCAAGGTACCCCTTTTCCTTGCCGTGTTGCAAAACTTCCTTAGTGCCGTTGTGGGCAGAAGCACCAATATTCTCAATCCCAACTCGCGGGATGCCAATGCCACTGTGGAGCATATTGATGATCCACGAGGCTTTGAAGCAGACCTCTTGTGCTTTGGAAGCATCAACTTTCGAACCCCATCGGGACTCGGCTATGCCTAGGTTGATGGACCCCCAGTCTTGTGAACAGAATGCGCTTACTCGTTGCTGGTAGGTATTGAAATCATAAGCTTTATCCTTGTATCCCATCTCGAAGATCTCGTGCGTAGTATGCCAATATTCGCTGATACCAACGAAATGATTGACATCAAAGTCAATTGCCGGAACATGAATGCCATGTAACAAACAAGGTTCGTCTGCGCAGGGGGCATCTTTATCGAGCAATGGATATGTCTGGCGTAAGCACTCATCAAACCGGCCTGTGCCCAACAAATGCGGCTCCTCGAGCGACTCATCCACTATCGCCCCATCGAGTGTCGTTCGCAATCCTCGTGGTAGACAAGGATCCGGATATTCATTGACATCAGTCGAGCCAACTGATTCTTGTATAGCTGCAACGAAGCGACGTCGTGCTTCACGGACACCATACTCCAACCATGAAGTGACGAAGATCCGGAACTCCTGAGTCGAGCCATCGACATTTCGTAGCCTCAAAAGCTTGAGGTCATTGGCATGTTTTTCGGTTTCCGTAGCGTTTGGAACGAAAGCAATTTGGGCAGACGCGCCTCCCATATCGAGGAAACCGTATGTATGATGATCTTTTCCGTGGGCGTGGTCCTCTGGGGAATCAAAACTTCCCAGCAAGTAGTTTGCGGCAATCCATCCATACAGACCTTCCGTTTCTCCAGGTATAACTTGTATATGAATATCACACTCGGGCAGTAGGAAACCCGAGTTAGATCGGAAATACGAGCACACTTCGTTTAGGATCTGGGCTCGCTGTGCATCGCTCAACAAGCGCATGCCAGCGGTGGCAAGGAGAAAGACGGGCGTATCTTTGACAGCGGTTTCCGGCACGACATCGAGTGCATGTTGCAATAATTCATCCAAGTGGTCAGAACCGACACGTTCTGGTTTATCGGCGAACGTCGAAATACCTGGCGGCAGTCAATAAGTGTACGCTGATAATGGTGTAGGCAAGGCGGTCGTACCAGGCTTGATTTTCTTCGTCCATTCCTCCTTGGTTTTGATTTCAGGGAGCGATCTCAACTTTTGCAGATCATCGCTCTGTCGCGCTTTAAAATTATTAAGCCATCGATAAATATGTACACGCGTCCCCTATAAGTGTTAGCGAATGGGGCAAATACACCGTCTCTGCGAAAGTGAGAACATACAGACGAGCCAGCGTCCAGGATCACGCCATATCGCCCTGAGAAAGTGTCAGCAGTGATATACCAGTTGAGGGATTGGTTGAAACGCACATTTTCCCATTTGGAGATATTAAAGTATTAATAGGGCCTGTTCATCTTATATGATAGCGGAGTCACTGAAGGTCGGCAGAGGCAGAGGCGATAACAGGCTGAGCGAGTGGTAACAATCTCTGTTGTTCTTTTCTTGACTTCGAAATGAGGCTGTATCCACAAGGACCAGCAAAAACAGATAGCGAGGAGCGATTGCGAAAGATAGATTCGAGGAGAAACGAGTGTTGCGGAGAGGGTGACCCTTTCGATCGATCGAAACAAAAGTACGGGGTAATAGATAGCAGCAAAGCGAGGGTGAGGACGGATACCTGGTATGAAGGTATGAAGTACTGTAGATCGTTTCAGCTTCGTCTAAGACCAAATTAATATTAAATGGGCGACGACAGGCGACACCAGGTGGTTTGAGAAAGAGTATCGTGACAGACAGAAAGAGAAGGAGTGAAGACTGAGACAGTGCGCGTCGTGGCTGATTGGTCAGGAACTGGACGTCCGCAAACGGCCCATCCGGGCGATTTTGATTGGCTGCTGAGGCGGGAGCATACGTCGTCTGTAATATTACAACTACTATAGTACAGTTCGGTACGTCTTCGTTACAGATTGTATTGATCCTCGCTTCACTTCTCTCCTCTTCTACTATGTACTACTACATAGTATGTACTGCAACAGAGGACGCACTGTCGGTGATCTACAGATTGTCCTCTCACTGCAACCCTTCGGCATTGCGAGATACTCATGACACCCACCGACTGAGACACAGACAATTAAGACAAGCGATATAAGCAATCCGCACTAAAAAAAAGCTAAGGAGGCGCCACCAATTGCTGCACACCAGATGGGGGTTTCATCGATGACGTCTACTCCGTACAGATAACAGAAAAAAATACTCCGGTGTCATCATTCTCGTTTCAGGGCCCTTCGGACTATCCGTAGACAAATATAGATCTTATTGATGAGAGAGCATTGGGAGTAAGAATAAGGGAGCTGCACCGGCGCACGCGGAACGAAAATAGATTTCAAATTGTCACTCCGCCAGACAATCTTTCTTATGTCAGGGGCGCCACGTGACTAGGCTGCAGCTGACCAATCATATCCCACCAACTCCAACTAACTATATCGTCGTACAAACCGCACGCCTCCCTCTACAGGCTTCTTCAAATGCGTACTAACATTGAAATACTTTTGACGCACAACACCTGAAGCGTCTAGGGTTAAATACATGTGCATCTGGACCCCAACGCGGGGACAAGTGTCCGCCGTAGAAATGGCCGCCGACAAGTGTACCCGGATTCACAGTAAAGATTCTCTCTTCGCCGCTGGGTGTGATGATGGGGAGTTCTTGAGGGGATGAAGGACCTCGAACGAGTAATGGGGCAGGACTTGCGAGACGAAGGGTTTCATACATCAGTGCCATACACCGGACAAGTTTGGGGAATGTAGCTGCGTACTCCTTCCGGCTGGTCTGCGGAGTGTAATATCGGTTGATTTCTTCCATAATCCAACTCTGAATATCTGGATTCGACGCCAGAAACGACAAGGCAAACGTCATAGACGATGCCGTTGTTTCATAGCCAGCCAGATTGAACACAAACAAATTACCATGAAGCTCCGATTCAGTCAGGTACGAAGGCCGACCAGTTGTCTTTTGTAACTGTTGTTTCTCAGCCTCGTTGGCATTGACCATGGCCTCCAGAAGAGTTGGGTGACGCTCTTTGCTTGCTGGACGAAGATTTCTTCATTTGTTGAAGCACCAATTCCTGCATATATAGCTTGAACTCGGCGACAGATAACTTCGACTGCTGAAGTACTTTCGGAAGCAGGAAATCCGGCGCTTTGAGGCTATTGAATATGGCCGTCAGAAGGATATGTTGGAGTATGGATCCCAGACATTGCATCAAAGACTGTTTATGACCAGCAGTCGCCGCATTCACCAGACGCTCTTGACCAAATCCAACGACCGCTAGCACATTCATTGCCAATACATCAAATGTAGATCGGATCCGGTCTAGCTTCCGATCTCTTTCTTCCTCCAAGTCTCGTTCCTCAACTTGTTTAGTCGACTCATCCCACACCTCCTGCGTAAAATACTCATTGAATGCTGCCGTGGTGGTCTTTCGATGTCGCTGCCAATCCAAACCAATCGTGGAAGAAACATTCTGACCGTAAAAGGCAAATATCTGAGACTGGGCCGGTGGGAAATGCCATTTACTATGATTCTTGTAGATGCACTCAGCTCCAGGAGGGTAACAGGTTATGATTTGATTGCTGGTTGGTGAACAGAGTACAAAATTCTCGCCTAGTCTTTTGGTTGTTCGGTCGCCGTCGACTGTTGGCCAGCCCATTTCTGTGTAAACATACCAGTTGCCGAGTCCCAGGGGGAGATGTTCGACCCAGGAGAAGAGTGGACGGAGGATCATCCACCATGTATCTTCGAATGAGACTGGTATGAGGATTATTGGCAGACCATACTGGCGGGCGTCATTGTAGTTTTTAATGAGATTATAGGTACGAAAAATTACAAATAGGACGAATGGAGTACAAAAAAAGTAGAGAATCATGTTGGCGAATGGCGATTGTATAGGAATTTCGCCGTACCCTAAATCTGCCGTACGCTGTCGCCTGAACGCGAAGGTTGCACAAATGTAATCAATTACTTCAACTCCCATATATCCTACTACCTCAAGACGTTTATATTCAAGTTACGCACTCCTGTCCGGACGAAATAAACTCGTAAGATCGACTCAAGCGCTTCAGAGCTGAAAAGGACGAGCCCCACTAAGTAAAATCCTTGGATATCTCATTGGCTTACAGTAACATCATGATCTATTTGAGTCTGCAATTTCAACCGCCATTGCTAGTGAGAATTTAGCATTGCTGTCAAGGTACATGTCCTTCTCGCCTAGTGTTGAAAAGGTCTACAAAGTTAAGGGGCTGAGTGTTGAAACTCTAGGGTTATACAAATTGAACCGCACCCAGGTTTAAGACGGCAGAGGAGCCTTGATCAGGACTAAATCCCGCCATGAGAGTCGACAATTATCGGCAAAGCCGGGAACTCCACCTTATACCTAATGATCGAGTAATATCGAAGAAATGGAGACTCCCAAGGTTGAAATACATACCTCGATACTCACTCCCGACCTCGGGAGGGCGTCAGTGGGACGAGGAATTACCAAGTAAATGATTAATAATACTTTTATTGTTTAGAGTTGCCTCATGCATTCGCAAGGAATTCCGATGATCATTTCATATGACTTATATAAGAAGATATTCGTAAATTGATCTTTCGATTTGACTCAAATATTTCTGCAAAATAGCCCAACTACCTATCATACCGTATACCCGACAGAGTCGTCATTAAACATCATGTCTTCGTCAGAGATTGTCCATTTGGTGGCTACCATCACCGTCCAAGATGGCAAAATCCAACAGGTAAGTCAAAAACTACCTGTCTGCAAAAGAACAATAGAATTAATCGACTGAGTCTTTCTCCGACAGGCCATCGAGACATTAAAAGGCTTAGCTGCCGAGGTCCAAAAAAGCGAACCCGATGTCTTGAGATACTTTTGCTTCCGGACAAAGAACGAAAAGGGTCAAGACCAACTTGTGATGATTGAAAAGTATGTTTAAACATTTGTTTCATAGCAATGGATTATGAGAGTATCGCTGACAGTGTTTGTGGCAATAGATACACCAGTGAAGAAGCACACAAGGCTCATACTACCTCGGCACATTTCCAGGCTTTCCAAAAGGAGGCTAAGGATCTTCTTGCTGGTCCTCTTGATATCAAGAGTGGCCATTTTGTGGCTGGATATGAGGGCAGATCGAATTTGTAAATATACTCGGCACATGACTCAATTCGGGCGTGGAGAAGATGCAGGGACATTCCTACATGTCGGATGAGAAGTGCAGTTCCAAACGTGACACAGTCTATTAAGAATCGAGCCTAGAGTTTATAACCGTCTATCCCATGTAAATGATCTCGACATACCGCCCAAAGCCAAATAAACCACTAGAGGGACCTCAAGCCGTCTCCGGAGACTCATGCTTCGGCATAGGCGTAACCATCGCACCGGACGACTCATTATTCTTCCCCATGACCCCGGGGACAGTATCAAACATACTCCAATCTCCGATCTGCTCATCTACGAACTGCGCCTTATCCAAACCAATCATCTCCGCCTCTTCCTCCACTCTTAAGTTCATGCCGGGGATAAACTTGAGAATATACAACAAGATACACGAGACGGTAAACGAGTACCCCGAAATAGCCGCGATTTCAGCAAGTTGCAAATAAACCTGTTTACCGTTCCCATCTATACCGCCGGGATAAACCGAAACACCGTCCAGAGCGGAGATGGAAGATGTCGCGAAAATACCAGTCATAAAGGCACCACATATTCCGCCAATACCGTGCAGTTTGAAGACTTCCATGCCGTCATCGATGTGCATCCAATCATTTATGTTTTGAAGAGATGCGCAAATTACTGCGGTTATAAAGCCAATAACCGCTGCAAGCCAGACGGAGACGTAACCGGCTGCAGGGGTGATGCCTACGAGACCTGCGATGGCACCTTCGCATGCACCCACGACGGAGAATTTACCTCTGTTGCGGATGTAGTCTACCAGCACCCAGCCGATGACACCAGTGCAGGCGGCGGTGTTGGTGTTGAAGGCTGCAAGCATGGCTCTGATTGATGCATTGAGTGCGGAGCCTCCCTATACCAACATATTAGTCTAACTATTCTAACCTACGAGATTCGCAGATAGGTAGGTAACTCACGTTGAATCCAAACCACCCGAACCAAATCAACACAGTGCCTAGAAAGACCAATGTCGTGTTGTGAGGCTTTCCATGCGTATGTTCTCCATGATGCTTGCGTTTTCCAAGAACAAACGCATAAGCGAGTGCTGCCCACCCAGAAGAGATATGCACTGGACCACCACCGGCAAAGTCCAGAGATGGGAGCTTATATAGCCAGCCATTACTGTTCCACGTCCAGCAGGCGATAGGGCAGTAGACGATGGTGGCCCAGAAGAAACTGAATATGAGGGAGGGGATGATGTTTCCTCGTTCGAAAGCGCCGCCAACAACGATCATGACCTGCGACAGTTAACGTCAGCATCATTTGAAATTAGGAGCAATCTCCCAGGAAAGACTAAACGTACCGTGCAAGCGCAAAAGAGCAGTTGATAAAGACAATAAACAATTTCCGGAAGCACATTCGAACCTGGCGATGGCGCAGCCAGAACATGCTTCATTCCAAAATTAGTAAGACTACCAATGAACGGGCCAGCATCTCGACTAAAAGCCAATGAATATCCCCAAAACATCCATTGAAATGTAGTCCTAACAATCAATTAGATCATCTTCTTCGGTAGAGTGTAAAATGGCCAGGTGTGTGAGAGGAAGACATACACAGCGACAACCATCAACGACTGAAAAAGAAGCGCTAATGCAGACTTTCTACGCGCAAGACCACCGTAGAGTAACCCAATGCCCGGAATGATTAGCCAGACGATGAACCCGCAAAAGACGATGTAGGAGTAATTGAATTCGTAGCCGGCATATTGAGCGTTGACGTCTACTTCTAATGAGTTGCCGCCGTTTGGGATGGAGGCATTGAATGCCGGCTTTTCTGATGTTAGTATTCAGCGAATTGGAAGATTTGGAAGGATTGGAAGGAACGTACAGGTTCAGCCATGTTTGAATATTCTCAATTTTCTGGACAATGTCACTACGTCGCTGGCTGCCCAGATGTTGACAAGATATGCAAGACTGGGTACGACCAGGGCAGCAACACGACTATATAGCTATATACCAACAATTACGACCAAGCAATTCCCCGGGTTTCAAGGTTATAGACCGGAGCTTTATCTATAACATACTCTCAGACTGCTGGTATCATATACCTAGCTGTCTTGGCAACGAAGCCATAACCTGAAGCTAGAACGGTTCCTCCCACCAGCGTCCATTGATTGATGGGCCAAGATTCCAAATCCTGATAAGAGCTCGCCTATCCTTACAGTCCATTGAGTAATTGATCGAATAACAATGAAAAGTCAAGCCAAAATGTATGGGAGCTTTCAATTCAAGGCTTATCGCTTATCGTATTAGGAAATTATTTCCTGTTTGGGTGTAGTGATTCGGGCTTATCGTGCTGCGTGCACGACCTTAGGGCTAGTTTGGTTAGAGTAAATAAGAACCTTATCGGGACTGTATAGCGAGGGACCAAGAACGTATTCAAAGAAACGCAGAAAATACTTACACGTTCAAAGTCTACTCCAGTGTTGCTGTATAACAGGAGCCACTAAGATCGTAATTCGCATACACTGCAGACTACACATGTGGTACCTAATCAGGAACAGGAGTTTCTGGGTGGCCGAGTATATGCACGATATGCATTCGAATTAACAACTACCCTGAGGTATATTGGACTTGTTTTTGCTCCAGAATATTCCAATACATAGGAACTTATTCCGTCAAAAACTTGCCGTACTGATATCCGACAACAGCAATATAGGGCTCAGATAAGCGGGGGCGCCGCACTCCATGAGGAGGTTAATTGCAAGTCTTAGTAACCTCTAAATGGCGAGTCGTAGAGCCTGTAGGGCCTGACAGCGGCCAGGATGCTCCGCGCTGTCCACTCTTGGCCCCAGATCCGAGTGCCCAACCCATTTCAATTAGCCATGGTATAGCGTCTGTTCATTTTAAGGGGATCGACGATAAGAATGATATTTCAGCTTGTCTGGAGTCTGACTGAATGTCAAGAGTCAAGACTGTTGGCGAAACACCCAATGCTCCATTGCACCCTAATCAAGTAGATAGACTGAGTAATTAAATACGAGCTGGGCTTCAGCACAAGTGCCAACATCGATAATAATACGTACAAAAATAAGTAAACTAAGGGTATTCGCAACAATAATAGCCAATCGTAAGCTGGCGGCGTTTCACAAATAGCGACGGGAACAGACAATGGGAAAATCTTGCATATATAACACGACTTCCGCCCACTTTGTCATCTCGACTGTTTTACAAATTTGCCCTCTCCGCAATTGCGGTTCTTCGGGCTTTGCGTGTTGAGACATTGACTTCTGTCTCGGCAGCTCGGGCTGCACTTTGGAATAGTTGTCGGCCCACGGTGTCGGTCATGATGAGTACACGGGAGGAGACCGTTGCTCCATCTCGACGGTTTTTACTGCACCAGGAAACATTAATGCCAAGCAAAAGAAAGAGGATAAAAGAAGGTACTCACCCTTCGCGCCTTGATTGAGCAATCTTCTCTGTGAAATCCCACAGTCTACCACGATCAGACAGCCTCCCTGTCTCCGGATCGCGTTGTGGCGTCCACTCTGGAGCAAGCCTCATTGTGGCAGGGGTTTTGGGTTGATCCTTGCTTCGCGCAATTAGAATCATTCCTTCCTCTGCAAATCTTTGATAGGCATTTTTCAACGACTCCTTGTTCACAGCTTCGAAATAGGAGAGGTCGCCTTGATGGTAGAGTGTTTTCCCAAGCTGTGGAACGACGATTAATCATCGATGATTCTTACCGATAATGCAAAAATGAACTTACTAGTTGTGCACTATCCTGAGCTTTGTTCAAACCCACCCAAATGTCAGACGGCCCATTCAGTGGCGGCGTGAGACCCATTAATGAAACAGCACCGAGCCATGTAGCTTCGATGAATGGCCAGATTAAAAAGCAGTAGAAATCAAAGTTCTCTCTTCCACATTGTCGCTCAGCATCACTGAGACCGACTGCTGTAGGAGTACCAGCCGCATTCCTGGTTATCTTGATGACATCGTCTTTTTCAAGTCCAGAGAGAGATTTTTCTAGATTTGCTATCAGACCTTCTGGCGGGAAAATGAACTCGCCTCGGAAGAGCTGTCCAAGTCAATATAGTGCTTCAAGATTGCAAAATACTAGCAAGGAAACGTACTTGAGAAAGGAAAGTGACCTGGTCGAGTAGAGCCTCATATGTAATATCCTGATTCGCCGGACCACCCCCTTGCTTCACCTTTGTATACATTGCAGCGGAAACCAGAGCTTCGGGTATAAACAAGTGGATCGTCATATTGCGATAGAACGAGAGTTGGAATCGGTCCACAGCATAATAGGTCGGTTCTGCAAGACCAGTGACTTCACCAACCAGCTTGGGGCCTAGAACTTCCAATGCACGATCAACGACTTGAGAGGTGGGAGCACGGTAAAAGTGTGCCACACGACCCCCCTTTGCGCGAACTCGTTCACTGAGCCATTCTACACGGCGGACCAATTCCGCTTTACCAACACCTCGTCCTCGGAGGGTTAATAAGACCGTGCCAACCAATGCCGTAGGCATCATCACGGAAACATCATTGATGTCTGACAGAACTCTATAGCCCAAGGCGCGTAGAACGCGTCCTCGTTCAGAGTAGCTTAATGTAATGTTAGAACCCAAAGCTTGGGTAACTTGAATGCGTTGTAATTGTTGTACAAGAAACTCTTTAAGGCTCCATGGTTCGTGAAAGCGGACGTCAACTCGCCCAAGCTTCAATGATAGAACAGAAGACTGTGAGAGAAAGTTGGCCAAATTCTCTTTTTGCTTGGGCTGGCCTAGGAGCTCGCTGATATAGGATCTGCATGTTGATTAGTGTAATGGTCTCTCAAATTCAAACGGAGAACGTACTCTGTTTCAATCACTTTGTCATATTGTGTGCTTACAGGACATATAATGGTATCCTTGACACGGCCGGACAACAGACTGTCCAGGATGAAATTCAGGATGCCGAACTTGGGGGAAAGCAATTTCCCTGTACGTGACCGGCCCCCTTCAATGAAGCACTCAAAATTGTGACCTTGCTGTAGCAAGACATCGATGTACGTCTGCACTAATGTGGAATACAATTGATCATCGCCAAAACTGCGGCGAATCCACATGGCACCTATAGTCCAATGACTCTCAGTACACTGTTGTTCGATAGAGAGCACCGAAGAGTGTATTCTCACCTGCATGCTGCAGAAACGGCCCGACAACGGGAATGTTGAGATTATCTCCAGCTACCACAATTGGCAGTGCTATCCCAAGTCGGTAGCAGATCACTTGCAAAGAAACGTAGTCGACGTGCGATTTATGATTGGGTAAAAATACAATTGATTGTTTCTTTTCCGCTGCAGCTTGTGCAACGGACCGTAACCGGAGAACTTCCTCACTAGACACGTGTATACCTTCAGCCAGATTAGCAATGCGATTGCTACATGAAAAAAAAGGGGGAAACTGCTTACCCTGGTGGTACGCTCGGGTCAGGAGCTGGGTGGCAATATAGTATGCGCTACGGATAAATGCATTGCTATCCATTTTGCAAATCATATTATCCATCATACTCTCCACGACATCTCGCAAGCTTTGTACAATCTCGGTTTTCCGGCGCGCTCTCGCTTTCCCCACCGCGTCTGGTGTGTCGCCATACAGCCCTTCCGATTGTTCAACCTGAAGCCTAGCCTCCGCCAATTCTGTCACTTTGTTTCGAAGCAAAGGACTCTCCACGATCAAACGCTTGATATTGTCCGAATAGCCTGGGTAGTATATCGGCTGACCTATCACCGAGTCGTATGCACGCCATCCTGTCCCTGAAACGAACAAACTGACTTCGCGCAAGAAATCAAACGGATTTTCGCGGAATCGTGCCATGTGTCGCACCAGATTTCGCTCGGTGATGCCATTGTTTTCTTGGCTGTCGGAGCCGCCTGTGAATCCGGAAGGGTGAAGTGTCACCTGGTCTCCGACAATCTCCAGATCAGGCGCTGTCTGGCCGGCTTCAATGGCATCTTTTTTAGATGACATGTTCGCTGCGGTCGATGAATTGCAGGGCGGTGCACTCAGAGTAGTCGGTGAGGGAAGACTAAGGGTATATCCATGTAGACGGCAGCAGGGAAACAAACAAACAGTCAAAGAACAGGTTACAGGTCACACACATCAATAGCACGGGCACCCGTCATAACAAAGTTCTGGTCGCCAAAGTTTGATTGAAACACCCGTTGGCCTGTCGACATACTGGTTTTAGTAGCTCTCTGTTGACCCCGGCCAGCGATCCCCCAACGCTATGCGGAGAAATTGGGACCTCGGCGCGGCGAAGTACATCACGTGACTAGATAGCGGGCAGGCGATTGGCTGGAGCTTTCAAGCTTTCGCTTTCTTTTTTGCGATGGTTGCCTTATGGTTTCTTGTGACTCTACCTGTCAATTCCTGATTAATTGACTATATATTGAGCCGTGTCATAAGAATTGGGAGATCGTTATTCTTATGACTCTTTTGACACTCCATCCTCGCAAAGTGTACGCTATCAGAGCTGCTCCCAGCTGTCTTGCTACCCCGCGCAAATCGACCAATACAACGTCTTATCTCTATATCTTTCCAGGCCATATGTATCAGAGTCTAGAAATAGTGTGAAGCATGTTTATTTACCCCCGGGTGGCATTGCAAAGTAAATTAAATACCAAGTGCATTTCCTACAAATATTGATGCCGTCGCTGACATTGACGATTAGAAGCTGCCACCGCCAATATCTTCCGGAATGGCGGTACAAAACCCCTTCACACATCCTCCTTCGAGGTATTCCGCGATATCGCCTCTCTTCGTGACCGACGGCGTCAGTTGCAACAGTCACTGCGCACAGTCGGTTTAGTTCCTACGATGGGCGCCCTCCATGAAGGTCATTTGTCCCTTATACGACAAGCTGCTGCGGAAAATTCGGATATCTTTGTGAGCATATACGTGAACCCAACTCAGTTTGGTGTGAATGAGGACTTGTCCAGTTATCCGCGGACATGGGAAGCCGACTTGGAAAAACTCGAAAAGCTCAATGCCGAATTGAAGCGGGGAGGAAGTTTGGGCAATGGCTCCGAGGCAGGTAGCATCACAGCGATTTTTGCGCCCACGGGAAAAGTGATGTACCCAACGCTGCCTCCTTCGTCGGAAATCAATGGACATGGATCTTTTGTTACGATAACGCCCTTGGCTACCAAATTAGAGGGAGCTTCCCGCCCTGTGTTTTTTAGAGGTGTTGCGACAGTCTGCACCAAACTGTTCAATATTGTCAAGCCACACAGGGTGTACTTCGGTCAGAAGGATGTGCAACAATGCGTTATAATCAAACGTATGGTTAAAGACTTCCATATTGACACGGATGTGCGCATTGGGCCCACCGTTCGCCAACCGGATGGACTGGCCATGAGTTCGCGGAACGTATATTTAGGCAGTCGCCGAAGAGCCGTCGGTCTCGTGCTTTCCCAGGCGCTGCGGGCCGCTGAGAAAGCTTACAATGATGGCAAGCATTCCCGACAGGACATACTAGCAGCTGCGAAGAAAATTGCGGATAGCAAATTATTGGAACAGAAGGGGCTGAAGCCATCAGAGCGGGCACTCTTTGAAGTGGATTACATCTCCCTTGCCGACCCCGAGACGCTTGATGAGGTTGATACCATTGATGCTAGCCGAGGAGCTATTTTGAGTGGCGCGGTGAAGATGTTGCCTATTGAAGAAGCCCAAGCAGGCGAAAAGCTAGGGGTTGGTGACGATAGGATCGCGGTGCGTTTGATTGATAACATCATACTTTCGCCGAGGGAGTAACGTCTGCATGCATTCCTGAAAAACCAGGAATTGGGACTCACCATGTATTATTATATTCACAAACAATGAACAATAGACCAGAACTTCATTTCTCATGCGTAGTATATACTGCCCATCTATTGGCCCAAAATGGAGATATCCCCACTCCGGGAGAGCGGGAGCATCCGAACCTTTTTTCTTGTTTTCTTTTCTCTCTCCTGTCTCGTCCAGTCCATGCAGCCATGCTTCTAGACAAGGACAACAGACAACCTGATGACGACTGGGTTCCGCGGACATACGTTGACTATCTGTCCCGCGATGCACATATGAGTCAAGGTCGTTGGATGCATAATGGCCATTGGACTTCTCACCGCTTCAGTTTCATCGCCTGTTTCTCGTATCTCACTCGACGCAATATCAAAACCCTGGCTATATTTGATTAGTATTAATCTGGGCCATACTATTCGCTGAGTGCGTGTTCAAACGACGCCGGAAATAACTCACCATGAGACCAACGACTCTATCTAGTGCAATTGGCCGACTAGAAGAGGGGTGGGATCTCCGTATTCAATGAGATGCATGATTAGATGCAGCAATGTACGTCCGTAGCATACTGCGGCCCCAAATCAAATGGTCAAGTCAAAGGTCAAGGTGCAAGGGAACCAAGCGAAGCCAAGCCAGCCACTTTCAAACCCGCCGGCCATTGTAACTGTGCATTAATATAGGGTCTCCCTTTCTTACTCGTCGAATTGCTGCAACGCTAACTTAAATCGTGTCTGGCGATTTGTTTGAGTGTGATTGTCCGACTTGGAGCGATCGATGCAATGACCGGACAGCTTGATGAGTGGTCACAGTAAAATACTCTATGAGATCCGTGTACTACGTACATCCTAGTTTTCTCAACGAATTCTCGAGTCTCGAGTCTCGAGTCTTGCTCGATCGCAGCTGTCCTTGCTTGCTCCACTATTGCAAGTTAACAACGACATACTAATCCAGATCAGAAACATAATTGCGAGCAATGCGAGGTACGGAGTAGTATAAAGAATTACATCCACGCACTGACAGTCTGACATACATCACTTCGGCCCCATCGTCTCTAATCTAACTAACAGGCCGAGAAGCCAAGGACCACTCACTCTCCGATTGATCCTTCATTCTTCTTTCTTCGTCCAGCCTCAGTCCACCTCTTTCAATCCCACCAAACGTACCAATTTCTATCACTTCGTGCATTGATACACCGAGAATTCTTCGATATATTTTTTCTTCCATATATACTCAACCCAGCACTTTGTTGTGTCTTGGGCCTCTTCCCCCTGTCACGCCCCTCCCGCACCGATCCAAACAACCGGATACCGATATACGAAAGAAGAGGCCCGTAAATCTGCGCAAAAGAATGCTTTCAGGAAGTGTTGCTACCAACTCAATGGACGCCTTGCAATGTTTCACTTCCATCAGCGACAGCATTCCCTCCTGGATCACTCGAGTCACTGAGCTGGCAGAACACACGTCGCGGAAACACGCCGAATTCTCCGAGGAGTTTAAACGACTCGCAACAACAAACAGTCAGCCATCATCACAGCAAAGACGACGAAAAAATAGCTCAGTACACTCGATTCGACCCGCATCCGATGTACTATTTCAACCTGGTGTAGCTCCAGATGCTAATACGTCGCACGTGTCCGGACATGCAAGCCCGTCAATCCGTTTGCGGCGTGAATTGATTATATTCTATGACAGCCATACCCAAACTGAGCTCGAGGGAATGGTACGCGATATTGGAAATGCCCGGAATAGTCTTCGCAAGGGCAAACTGTCACAACTCATGGGTAAATCCAACGGCGGAATAGACATGTTCGCCAGCGCCCGATCGTGCGGAATTCAGCTTCCTCGGGATGGATTTCGGAGAACTCGTCTCTCTACAACAGCAGGAACTACCCAAAAGGAGTCGGCATTTGAATATACCGATAAACAATTGGAAACTGCACAGAGTCTATGTGAAACCGCCGCTCACCAATTCCTTCGCACCGGTGATTGTGCAAAGGTACTCAAGGATATACTTAGCAAGTTTGAAACTGTACTCCAAACAACTACGCAAGAAGCCGCTCGACTACGTGAGGAAAAGGAGCGAGAAGCCGAGCAGCAACAGGCGGAGGCGAAGGAGCAACAGCAGGCGAATGGTGTCACCTCGGTCTATCCATCTCCGCTCAAATCAATCATCGCAGAGGACGATAAGCCTCCTGAACCCGGTACGGCGACTATTGAGGTTGACGATACGGTATCCGATTCCTCGATATCGATTGATATAACAGCGTTTCGCTCGAATCGGTTCCGGATGTAATAATCATCGCCTCTTGATTTTACCCATCAACAATCGTTCACATTCCACACATCATATCTTCTCATCTCAGGCATAGCATCTTTGCATCATCGTTCATTTTTCGGCATACATAGCAAGCGACAAACCCATATCATCTTTTGGCGAGTCATCATTCATTTCTTTGCAAGCACGTTCATCATCAAAGACATCCATACCACATCCATACATTACATAATGTTCCGACGGGATATGGCGTTGGGGATCTGTTTCATCTGGGAATATTATGAAACAAATTGCATTCAATAAAATTATTCTCATTGACTTGGTTCTACATACTTGAGTATAGCTACGCAACCGTATGCTTTGATAAATACATGCACCGCGATCATATCTTGAAAGTGTCTTAAACACTTTAGTGCCGAGTTAAGATTTTGAAGGTTGGGGCCGAATGGATCGGGACTTTGTGCTGTCTACACACCTAAAATTGAGATTGTTGTTAACGTGCTCCAGTGAGATGCCGTTAGATCCACTCGAGCACCTAGCGTTATGTCCGTGATGTCTCTCGAGTTACCCTAAACAGTAGGTACATAGCCACTCGGGTAGGTACAAGATATGGCCGGATAATGAAGCTGTAATTCTCGCCTGCATACATGCTTATTCAATAGTATATTGTGCAACCACACTCAAGAGAATTTGTTTTCTTCGAAATACCAAACTTGCCAATGCCTACCAATGCAGCGATGATTACCACTTTTGAAAATGAACTGTCAAAGGTGACAGATCAACAACCAGTGGGTACAAAGTTGAAAGGTGCGAAACCACGCCTATTGCATCTGGCGCACTGCGTCTTCCAATGGAGTACTCCGTCAGAATTCGGAGTATGCATTGCAAATCAAATTGAACAGCGAAAATCTCTGAGAAGCACTCCATTTTTGATTGAATGATTGGCATATGTCTGGGCTTTTCGTAGATCCGGAGATACATATCGAGAATCACTGACGTGGCAGCTTTAGTCACTTGACCGTTGACAGTAGTTTATTCGTAAAACCTGATTCGATGAGGCTGCATTATCTGCATTGACTAGAATTTTTCGTTTTTCTATTCGCTTTCCATTATTCTGAGGCCGTATGCAGCGGATACGGCTATTGTCATATGCGCACGCACTACTCCTACTGTCAATGCTGACATCTGAAAGGTTCGTCAAACCACACAAGATCCCATTGACAGATTCCAAACAGGAATTAAATTGATTCATTTGCCCTCTCTCGGCTCAAACTAACCGTGAAAAGTACCAGAACCGGCTGAGTAAGTCCGAGGATACATATTGAACAACAAAGTAAGCCATAGTCAAAGCTCGTATAGATTCTATTCTATTCTTGTTTGCACGTGCTTGACATGTAAATATTGCTTGATATGTTAATATACAATCGGATATCTCCGAATAGCTTGTAGAGGTTTCTTTGTCGTTCTATACGATAGAGCTTGGATCATCGAATGATTAACGTCTAGTCTTCTACCAAGGTAAGGATGATAATCCTACATGGCTGTGGAATTGCGGCGGCACAACTGCACTTAATGCAGATGCAATGCAACTCAGGCCCATGCTCGTTCTATACCTAGGTAGCTACCTGGTCAGTTACTAGACCGATTATAGAACATGCTTTGATAACCTACTCGGCCGATTGACAGTCCTATCCTGCCTGTACGATCTGCTCCAAGAGTTATACCGATCGCCTATTCCTCCCGAGGTCTGTTTGATGGCTTTGTGTCCTAGTCTTCCAGGACTCTTTTTGTGCTTTGTAGCAGTATGGGCGACCTGAGCTTTGATGAAGCTCGATCTGATTCCTGAATAGGTCCAGCCATAGTCTTTGATGCTTATGTAGTTAGTGGTGACTTTTAGTCTTGGGAGCATATCGATCCAGAGAGTTTTGACCGTGAACGTATTGCAGTGTATCTTGGCACATACCAATTCAAGTTTGATACCTAGAACACCTAAGAATTCAATGTCACTTTCTCAACAAGTATAACAGATGCCTCACGAATGTGTTGTGATTCCCAAGAAGATGGTTGTGTGGCCAAAGTAACCTGAAAGTTGAAGCCTTTTTTGCTGGAAGCTGGGTTTGACTGATGGACGACATCTGCATTTGGATGTAGATACTTTCTGATAGTCCTTCCTCGAATACTGAGATTGATCAATTAATATTCCCATTCTTTGGATATGCAAAGAACTGTGAGATGGAATTATGGCAGTGACCAAAGAACGGATAACCAGGCACATTGAAATTACCTATTCTAGTAATTATTTCATTCTTAGCCCTAACTCTGTTGTTTAGGTCAACTTCACCTGAACTGGGACTCTACTAAAGGGACTCTTGTAAATTCACACTTATGAAACTCCTGACCATAGTCTATTTATACTTATAGAGATACCTTTTTATTCTTTTAACTGATTAAATAGTGTCATTTGTGGTGACTAAATGTAAATTAGCTTTAACGACTATCACTTATGCCGACCACATCTTCCTTCGTCTATATCTAGGTAGAATAGAGTCTATAGCAGCTTTGATTAGTAGTTCTTGTCAATATAGGAGCAAGCCAATAAAACTGATAAGTACTCATCACCAGCTTGATCATAGTCCTTGACGAGTAGGTCTCAGTCTTGCTATTGTAAATTATTCCACTTCTCTTCATAGTCAAACCTTGGCCTTGCACAATACTGGCATTTGATCATATCCATCATTGTCGAAGGATATCGATATTGTGCTTGATATAGAAGATCGAATTGGGCCTGAGGCAGGAACAGTGTCCAAAATGGAAGGAGCAGGCTAACTGATTCCCTCAATCAACTCCATAATAACCTTCTTTATCTGTGGGAAATTGTCTCTGACTATCACGATAACTCTCCTTTCTTTTAATCAGAAGTCCAGAACTTGATCGTGCAATCCCATTGTCATCCGTGAAACCTTGCAATCTCTCTGAGCAGCGTGATTAGCCCTCCTTTGATGAGAACAAACTCTTCAGCTAGGTAAGTTTGTCCTGTGACTGTCGCCGAGAAGCGTTCACTTTGCCCAGCAAATGACTATTTATGCCACTCGAGTTCAAGTCCAGTTTTTCTCTTTCTTTCCTCTCCTTACCCCTCCATCCCTCTACCACCTTCTGTCCTCTTTCCATCCTCTTCGATGAAATCCAGGAGATTTCGAGGAGATGACTCCGTTTCCACCATATGAGCCGGACCTCCAGGCGACCATGAGCAATCCAAACGTGGACACGGTATTCTCTTGACTTGTCAAGTAACCCACTGAGCACGATACTGACTGACTGGTGATAGCTGTTCGGATACCCCATGGTCGGATCGGGTCTAAAGGGGCCTCAATACCAGCCTGAGAATGTTGAATATCAAGAGGAACAAGAGAAATGGGTAAGCTTGTGTGTTCCGCAGATGCGTCGAGTATGCTAATGACTGTTTTGGTCCAAAAGGCCAAAGAAATGAGCCAAACCCCTCCCAACAACAGTCCTACCGAAGGCCGCAAAGCTCTAAAGCGTGGTCGTCAGCCAAGCCCTGAAACGGAGGAAGACCCGATCTTTGGTTCTCCTACAAAACGACGCAAGACAGATGTCGAGATGACCGATGCTATGGAGATCCAGGAGGAAGATACCTACTCGGTGCGGGACGCTATGCTTTGGGGATCTTCCTGCGTACCGGAATCATTACTCTCTTCTCCTCAGAAATTTTCACAAACAATTTCCGAGAGTCCTAAAAGTAATTTTGAAGAACAGCACGGAGCGCAACCTGTTTCCATCCCAGACTCATGGAACTTCACCATCTGGGAGGATCTCGATGCCGGAACAGACGATTATAGCATGGTCGGTCAAATGGAATCTTGGATTCATGAGTACGATGACGAGGACAAGGAGAATGCGCCTCCTCCTCCCCTTCAGCTTGACGTGCTTATGGAGGATGCAAACGTTTTTCTCGATGGTGAATGGTACTATGTAGAGGAACCAATGTACCCGCGCAACATACTCAGCGAGCTCTCGATCCAGCAGAACTGAAAGTATCCAGCCAATTGAGAGGATATGAAGGAGGACTTGGCGGTGATTGAATTTTTCTTTACCCTGCCTTTTGCCTTTGAATAGTCTACCAGTACCAGAGGAGAACCGCAATCGTCGTTGCTACTGCATTGACGCAACTCATGTCGATGTTTGTACAACCTTGTAAGCTTTTTACCATTTTCCTTCGTGCCAGTCGTCCTGCAGGAACAGGTCTCCAAATTGTCATGTTCCAGTACTTTTCTGCGAGTTCCATCAATCTCATGGGTTTTGGGTGTACGATATGTCAGCAACATGGATGCAAATTGAATCTCCAAACCGAAATAACACGCTAATCCCAAACTCGTATTGAAAATACATCTTTCAAATTCTGCGAATGCAAATTACCACCCCCGCCCCCGTAAGCCGTACTGTACGCAATACACTGTAATACAAATACCTTCGCCGTAAGAACCCATCCGTAAATTGGTTACCATCCACGATGCCGAATCTCACATCCGGCCTTTTGCTTTTTTCCATTTTAACTTACTTTTCTCTCTTTTACCCCACGGAGAAACTAAAATATTGAACTAAACTTACTAAAGTCGAAACGGCGGAGACTAGATCGTTTTAGGCCATTTACCGAATATGGAGAATGATGATTCAATGTTCGATCGATCACTTACTCAGCGTTTTCTTGGTGTTTACCTCTGTTTATTTTTGCTTTCGTTTTGGTGTTGGTGATAAGTAATCCAGCAGTATTTGTAAACAAAGTTGCGTATGAAGGAGGAGATACGCAGCAAGATGGTAGAACCAAAAATGAGGCGAATAAGCCTCGACCAGAGTTGAGTCTAGGGCATCGGAAGCCGTTACCCGATCTTTCAAGCAATACGGAGTATTATGGGCTTCCCTTCTCTTGGCTCTCGGACTTCCTATCTGAGTAAAGGGTGAGATATGTAATCGATATGCACCGTATCGCATAGGATAACGCGTCGTACGTAACTGCCTACAAGCAAGACGAAACAGCCATCCCGGGGAGAAAATTATTCCAACTTTGCTCGACTGTAAGCTCTTTAGGGCAATTTGACGAATATTTCCTAAATAAGAGATATGCGTCGAGCTCATTCTTACCGGGACGGGTAGAATGTCCCGACGACGTCATTGACAGAGTAGGAAATATGCCACGGACTTAGGGCTTTACGTTAAAACTTGGCGTGGCTTTTATAGTTAACCGGGTTCCTTAGGCTTTTTTAATCTTTATGCCGTGCAAAACTTCGTGGATTCGAGGGCAAACAGTCAGGCTGAGTCAGGTAAAGTGGGCATATTGCCGGTGGACATCAAGCCCAAAAAGGAATAAAGTCACTCGAGCAATTCCCAATCTTTTCTTCATACGTACTACGTATATCGTAGTCATCAACGACAACATTCGACATGCTGACTGTACTTTCAAGAATTGACTCTTTAGAATGCAGGATTTGCTACAGTCCTGATTACTGATCATCTCCATCAATGCACCCATACCTAAATAGGCAATGAGGTCAAACAGACCGTATGTATGTCTGTAAACTAGGTTGAGAGCCGTCGGAATGCTTGCATATGCACGATTCAAGCCTTTTTCCAAACTGAGTATTAAGTCTTCCATACTCAGACACTGCATACGTACTACATATGTACCGTCAAACATTCTCATAGTATATTAATAATTATCATCATATAGCCGTTCGTTTTCTGCGGCGCGTAGAAGTCTACGGAGGCGGGGTATTACTCCGTACTTCAAAGGAGTAGTTACGTAGTATGTAGGCTCGACATGTTTGACCATGGACAAAACGTAATACTAGTTGCTTGTGCATAGTACAGAGTATTAAGGAATTTCTCTCGACCGAGATATGTACATCGACACTAACTTGGTTAATAATCTTCATGTAACAGATGTTCCGCGGACGATTGGGAGTGCTCAGATGCATTAGCCTATGATTCTAGGGTTCATTCTAACCTAGTTTCTTGTCTATATAAAGACAACGTACTTGTGTGATGGAGGCCGTCATTGACTATTTCAAGTATAACATTACAGTATAAGGGTATCAAGTAGATCACATGAGCTCCAACATTTTTTTGCAACGACATATCACGAGACAGATGAATAAAAGAAAGTAAAGAAAGAAAGACGGTATTAGAATTAGTAATAAATCTTCTCCTCGTAGATAGGAGGTCTGGTCTCATTGTTCCACTGCACATTACCCTTTTCATCGATAAAGGCATCCTCGTCCGAAATAGGGATGACACGAGAAGTATGCTCGACTTCCTGCTTGCTGACACCCAGTTCGTCATGCGGAATCCACAACAACGGTATACTTGCTGTGATCGCAGGATGAAAATATGCATCGCGCTCGACTTCAGGCGGGTATTCGGGGACTTCAATGTGGGAAGGGACAAGGCGGCGCATTGTACGGTAGTCTGAGTAAATGTCCGGGCGGAAGAACTTGGTGAAGAGATTGGGTTTTTTATGAGGAGCAGGTAATTCTGATGGATGGGGAGTGGTGTCTCCCTTCTCGGCAGTGTCAACACTGTCATGATAGCCGTTGTGTTCCTTTCCAGATCCACTTTCAACAGGGCCGTCGATGCCCTCTGAAGCGGTAGGGGAGATTTTGCTCCGCGCCTCAGTCAAAAGGGACTCCTCTTCAGCTTCCAGGTTCTTGGGCAGGTAGTTGAGAAGAGGACCCAAGGCCGAGTTCAGAGAAACATGGTACAAAACAGCAAAGACCAAAAAGATAATCATCAGGACAAGGGGTCCGGTACCAATAGGCTGGTCGGCAGCTGCAATGGCGAACAAACCAATTAGACAAACAACTCCGATGTAGACACCGACAAGTAGATGTTGAAGAGCACGAGCATATATACGTCCTTGAGTGTCGATTTGTGCGTTTGACACGTAGAGCAATTGGTAGCGGAAAGCAAAATAAAAGAGGTAAAGACCGACGGTGGCAAAGCCCATGACCAAAGGAGCGATGATCGAATAAGCAATAGCAATAACACCCAAAAGAGACATTGGAGGTAGGACCGTTCCCCAACTCAAATCAGACAAACTCATCCAGCGCTTGTACATTTTACGGGGTGTCTTATCGAGGAATTTGCCGAGCACCTTTCCAATAACAAGCCCGGCTATACCAAGCAGCGCACCTGAAGTGAAAGTCAAGCCCTGAAGAACAATATACGCAACGTAGAAGTTCGCAGATAGAGGCAGATGCGCAGCCAACAAGCTTGCTGCATCCGTGGGTCTGTCGATAATCCGCTCCACGACGGCAGACGCCGCAGAAGATAGTGTTGTAACTAAGAAAACCTGCACGACCTGGAATCCGAAATAGGCATTTTGAGTCCACAGCTCAACCGCAGCTGCTGTGGGGCAACCACCGAATTTTGCACACACTATAACTGTCAGCTTGATTGAAAGAAAAAGACAAAGAAGAGCACATACAGCGAATGACGATAGGCAACAATGCCATTAGAATCGACAACAGAACCGAAGGCAATAGGCCAGTGATGACACCACGGATAAAGGTTGGAACATCGTTGATGAAGCTGAGCCATGGTAGTTTCTGGATCAAACTGTCAATGTTGGAGATGGAACCAACAAAGGCAACGGGGATAGCCCAGAAAACAATCAGCGTGCAAATAAAGCCAATAGTAACAAAATTACGAACGACGCGTTCCCACCACATGATACGGAGATTGGACCAGATAACCTGAGTGGGGTCAACGCCGATGTACCGGGGGGCCATGTGCAGGGGCTGGTTGTGCGCGACGGATTGATATGCGTCTTGAGCGTCGTTTTGATTGTAGAATTCAACAAAGACCGCAGAGACCTTTTTGGCATCAACGGCACGATGCTTGGCTTGCTCTTCCTCAATTTCGGGGTTCAGGCGCTCAATTTCAGCGCGAGCCCAGTCGATAGTGTCGACCTTCTTTCCAATCAAGAATTTCAAGCGATGAGTAGGACGATCCTTGCGCTTCACCCAACGCGCTGCGACAGAGCCAGACTCGGTCTGATCGGCAGTGCTATCTAATTGCTCATCGGAAGCGGCAGCATTCTTCTTCAAAGCTTTAAGACGCGCGGCGTTGGCTTGCTTGACCAAGGCGGTTTCAGCAGCTTCCAATTTCATAGCAGCGTCATCTCGTTCTTTGACTTTGTCCTCGAGCTTGCTGGTGTCAGTAGTGATCCAGACGTTCTTCACACGTTCCGTGCCAAACATGCGACGCAGCTTCTTCTCATCTAGATAATCCCGCGGAACGGATGAAAACATGACAGTCCGGGACGAAAGCCGATTGGCATAAGCTGGGGAAAAAGCATAGGCCTGTCGCAGGTTGATGTAGAAGATGCTCTCGCGCGTCACCAAAAAGAAAATAAAGCCAAAAAAGATCCAACCGACGAAAGCGTGTGCAAAGTATCTCGCTTTATTTTTCACATTGGACATGGAGAGAATATCGAATTGTTGTTTATTTCCACCCCCCGTGGCGTTGATGGGGAAGAGAATTGGCCAAGTAATACAGCAGCCGACAAAACACAGAACCACGAGCAATTTCATGTAGCGGAGCAATAGATAGGCGTCCAAAGAGTGGTGTTGCAGCACATAGGTATCTGGTAATTTGTACATGGCGGTAATCCAATTCCACAACCCTAAGGGCGAGCTCGGAGTTCGTTCGTAGTCGCGCAGAGTCGGCAAAAAGGTACGAGGCATGTAGTAACGACGGTACCATCTGCGGAGGACGACAAAAGCGAGGATCATAACACCGGCGACGATCAGGGATGGGACGAGGGTGGAGATGAATCCCGACAGACTGGTAGGCGCGCCTTCGGTATTGTCCTGCACAATTGTCAGCTGCGTTCACGAGTTGTTGCAGGAAGCTGTGATGAACACTTACATCTCTTTTGGTGAGAGAGCGCAGGCCTGGCAGGCCATCACTGAGCCACGCCATCGCGCGACAATCGCAGGGGCACGCGTATACGCCCGCTGATTAGAAAGGATGACTTTAGGCGTCAATGAACGGATGGAATAGATCAGTGTACAAGTATAAGCATCAAAGAGACGACGTCAGGTTGAAGAAGAGACGAAAATAATCGCACACACGAGATTAGATGACAAAAATTGGGAGAAGGCGAGCCCGATCTTGGGAGAGAGCTAGCTTCGCACTACGTAAGCCTAGTGCCACATTAGCTCCAAAGCTTAACTGTGTCAGGGCGATTTAGACGAGGAAGCAATTAAACAGGTCAATTGGCCTGTCTCACAGTCGAACAGATGATGCTGTAGTCAATGCAAACAGCGACAGTTATAGAGAGAGTATCAATTTCAACTCGTCGACATCATCGTGCGATTATCTCTCACCCCATACTCTTTCTGGCAATGTCCAAAAGGGGCCGCGCTTTGTTGACAACCTGGGTCCCCCCTCGTTCTCAGGCTAATCCAGAAACGGCTCTAGCTGTGAGCCAGCGCGATCGATCTGCATTCTTTGTCCAATCACTGCTCGCCAACTGTTCAGGAAGCTTGCCGCCAAGACTCCCTAGTTTCTCTTGTAGCAGCTTCTGATTGGCTTAAGCGGGGCAACCTCATCGGACTCTTTGGTTGTCATCGTCATCGTTGCAGGGTGTGCGCAGCGTGATTGGACAACAGCGCTGATCGACCAGATCTTGATATTATCGCATCTCACTGGTTATCGAGGAATACAGCGAATTGCATCACTCGGACAACACAATTTCATTCTTTCTTTCGCTTAGCTGAACGAATCACGATCACAAAATATGTACGGAGTCTGTACTCTGTACGCGCCGCACGGCCACGCCGAACGCAAGCCACAGTACAGCCACAGTACAGCCACAATTTGCCAGCCACATCTCAATGACTTTATCCGATCCTGGTCAATAGTAAGACATGTACCCTTCACCAGGCCCAATGGTGTACTTCTTCGAATGGTATCGCAACGATCACAGAGACATTTCATGCATCAAGGCCGATCATCAATACGCATTGACGCAAACGTCACTGGCCAAGCACGTACTTATAGAGAATCTCGACTAGATTAATCGACAGTCCGAATCAATAGTTGTGACTCGTCGTTAATTCTTCGGACTATCGACGCTCTTTTGAGTCTTGGACTCTTAGTTCTGCCCATAGAGTCACACCCAGATTCAGATTAGTTGATGTCTCGGTAGTTGCGGTTGAGATTACGAGCCGATGGCATACTTTGGCTATTAAGATAGAGTTTCTGACAATTAGGATCACGTACTTGTATGCAGTATAGTGTTTGCTTGTTTGATATGAGCCTAGCTAACGGGGAAAATGTATGATAATAGACTAGATCGCTATCGGGATTTGACATCTGTAGCTTACGTGCGTACCATATTTGACGATGCTAACTACATCCGGCAATTTGTTCACGACCTGCTATTGGATAGCCATAGCTTTATGTACATCCATCCACTGTACTGTGAGCAGTGTCCACTGACCGCATGGCTGGATTCCGGATTGCGGGAATCGCGGCAATGTTTTAGCTTTCTAGCAACACGGTGTGACGGTGACTAGAAGCGAGATGCCGACTGGATAAGTAGATGGAAATTATCTCTGGTCGGATGTAGACGCGAACTCGGTGTTATGCTTTCGAGCCTTCAGGTGCGCGAGCTCAATCGTTCAATAGCGTCATTTCGGTTGAAGATATTCTAACCCTTTGAAAGATGCGTAGTCGAGGTCCTGGGTAAGTCGTCTTCGGCAGATTATCGGCCGAGAGGCATAACTCTTCTAGCGGATTTTGGTATCTAGTAAGTCCTTCTCAAAAGCCTCCACCGTCGTAACCGGAGGCATCAACATTAGGTACCCCAGAAGCATCTCATTAAACCGGAACTGCGACTCGAATGGAAGTCTCTTCTGAATCTGCAGCAAATCGTTCGCTCGCCAGACTCGGTCCGGTTGCCTCAAATCCGAGTCAAACGTCTCCTCCATCAGGAAATACATGAACGATTCGCACGCCGGGTTGCGATCCAAGCCGTAATCTGCCACAAGTTGAAGCAAATGGTCGAGGAACCGTACCACTTTGCTCTTTTCTTGTCCAAATTCAGATAGCGCCATCACGATGTAGATAAGCGCTGCAGTGCGAGCCCACTCGGTGGTTGGTTTGTTCTTGTTTACCACAAAGGATCGATTCTCGATAGGAACTTGACTGGGTCGCGGCCCCGCCGACAAAAGTTGGAATAGAGGACTATCGAATTGAAATGCTGCCGACCGTTGAGGCACTTCTATCAAGTAGTTTTCATCATTGTCTGCCGCCAGTGATCGATGTGCCATATGTAGAAAATCTACCAGGTGGGCTATCTCATCCATCTCGACCGTCAACGAGCAGGGATCCATCGTGCCAAGAACATATAGAAGAAATGGCCGGACAGAGTTGGCTGCATTTACAGACTGAGAATGCCGGTAGAGTTGTAATGCTTTGGCTTGTTCAGCATATTCGCGCGCCTTATCCTTGTCACCAAACCTTTCCTCTTGAAGTGCTAGTCCAGTCAACGTCAGGGAAAGAGCCTGCTCGTCGAAAACAGGACTACTGCGGTATGCCTGCTTAGAGGCAATCGCCTGTCGAACCCGAGATTCGTAGAACTGAACCCTTGAACTATCCTTGGAACCGTCCGGATCCGGCGGAGTTAGAGTGGATTCCCATCGAGCACAGTAGCCCAAGACCACTGCCTCAAAGGTCGTCCGATTGCGCATCGCTTCTTGAAATATTCTGTTTTTCATGTGAATATTCTGACCAGACCAATATGTCAGTCGAGAGGTCCACATGTCGACCAAATGTTCTTCGGCCCACGGCACGCTTGTATCAAATGCCAGCGTTGCAAAGGGATCCTTTCGGAGCGCAGCTAATGAATTTAAATGATGAACGACAGCGTTGCTACTCTCGTCGGGTTTGTAGACTGTGGATTTCTGCACGAGCAAGAACAACATTAACTCCTTGGACAAATCGTACAACATTAAAAAAAGCTTCGCCCTTACCATTGGGACTACACCACGTAAGGGCTTTGAGCCAGCATTTGCACCGCCATTGTCACTCGACTTCTTCATCCATGGATAGACTCGAGGCTCGCGTCGAGAGTGCCGGTCCGCATGATTTGCCAGCATATTTTGTTTCCTCTTTGTCTGAATGTGGTGGCGCATCACATGTGCACGCTTCTCCCGAGTAGAAGAAGCTGGGTCAACAAAGAAGAATGCTTGGCTCTGCTGTCCATTTTGACTCGATGAAGCAGCAGTGGACCGTTTCTTTACTCTGGGTACATTGACTTCGACTGCGACATCGCCGAGTCGATCTTTTGAGACCAATAAGTGTCAGCGAGGCATTCAATGTACTTGCGTCCTTGTGCAGGTAAATTCTTCTCTTACCTTGAGACGACATTATGTGTAGAGTGGTCAATCTCTTTTCTTGCTTAGTGACGACCAACCTCCGACATAAGGTGGACTTGCGGAACGGGACGTAAGTATGTAGTTGTTGAAGAGGGGGCTTGAGCAGGTCTTGACTTTTTAACCTTTTAGACTTTGCCTCCGGCCAACTATATCAGATTCTGCAAGTTTAGAAGATGTGTTAATCCGGTCCAAGCACAGAAGACCAATGTGAGTTACAAATGGGGTATTTCCGTGTTAGGCAGGTGTTACAGGGAACCTGCACCGGAAGAGCTGGCAAGATACCAGACTATTATATCTGTCTAGCCCATTCATCCGAAGGCTTCCTGCTAGGGACCCATCCTTATATATACATATATGTATGTACGTATTAAGGCAAATAGATATCTGGTGGGGTGGAGATCCCGAGTTAAGGTAAGTGGTCGGCGATGAAACAGACATAATAGATACCCTGGTTGGGAATAGGGACACCGCGTAGAAGAAGAGGACTGTGTTGCTTGGAAGAGCCAGTCATCGTTGGCTTGATGGGTTCAGTCGGCATTGCGGCGGCCTGTGTGGAGGCACCATAGAGTTTTGACTTATCACCAACTAGGCAGTAGGTGGGAGTCACATCTTCAGTACATAAGCATTGGGAGACTGAGGAGGCTTGCCCTGGCTCGCTACATATTCTCAATGATACACCCTGTCGGCTTCGTACAGACTTCGTACACAGTTGCAGGTTGGGCTAAAATATACAAAATGCGCGGTATCCGACCAGTTTCCTCATTGAGTCAAATACTATTCAGAATCATTGGCCAACACAATATTCTTCTCGGGTTCGGCTGAGATACCTCAAAATGGCAGCTGGTAATTACGTATTGTATTGGTTTTTGTATTATACAGGTGTGAAATGGTTTGATCGGTTACTTGTAATTTAACAAATACCTACTTCCTTCTCAAGACTAGTGTGTGCTGAAATATTTTAATTACCTGTATCCCAGTTATTGTGTATTTTGCATACCTCTGGACTGTACGACACGATGCAAATAGTGCAAACAGGATCTGCCCAAAAAAAAATCACTTTACGCGTCCGTGTTCGGAACAACCAAAACCCGGCACGCGACGCGTCTTGGTCGCGTCCCTGACTCCCCTCGTTTAATTATTCTCGTTCTTTCACCAAGGATGGCATCAAACACTCTGTTCATCGCGAAAGCATCGAGGCAACCGAATCACTTTACATCGGCTATCGTCTATACAGTTTCTGAAACATATATTTGTCTCTGAAACGAAACAAGTTACTCACCACCACTCTGGTGGCCCCTCACAATGTCCTCCCTTTTCGAAGCCGTCCTTCAATCCGAGGCGGGATCAGTTAACAGTGGTAGACAGCCATCCAGCAGTCGCCCACATCTACCATCAGAAAGCAATGCGCCGATGAGCGACATGCAGCCACTTCCAGACGATGAGGTTGTTGGGGCTGCGAATGGCGCCGTCAACCGTCTACGAAATCCATACGCAACTGCACCGACTCCAGTCCGCGATCAAACTGGTGACAAGGTGCGACAGGCATTTGAAAAATTTCTAGAGACTTTTCAAGAAGATCCCATGAACCAAGTTGCTCCTCCACCGTCTTCGGCGCAACAATACAGTGACAAGTATTATATTCAACAAATTCACGGCATGAAGGAACTCCAGCTTTCCACGCTTTACGTCGACTATAATCACCTCGCAGCGAGTGAGGACGATGCCTTGTCCGGAGCTATTGCAAATCAATATTATCGCTTCCAGCCTTTCCTCATTCGAGCTCTACACAACCTCCTTGCCAAATATGTGCCGGGGTATTTCGTCTCCCACCGCCAACCAACCAGCATCTCGTCCCAGCAAAGCGCGTCGGTTGTAGCAAATGGCAGCACAAGCGATGTATCTCAAGAGGAAAAAGATATGAGATTAAAAACACGTCACCAGCAGACGGATCGAGTGTTCGCTTTGGCTTTCTACAATTTGCCTCTAGTGTCTCGACTACGCCAGTTACGAACATCACATATCGGGAAGCTACTCTCGATTTCGGGGACGGTAACACGGACGTCAGAAATTCGACCCGAACTTTCGCTCGGAACATTCATCTGCGAAGCATGCCGAACACCCTGTACCAATATAGAGCAGACGTTCAAATATACTGAACCCTCTCAGTGTCCCAATCCTACCTGTGGTAATCGGACGGGTTGGCGCCTTGACATTGCAAAGAGTACATTTGTCGATTGGCAAAAGATCAAACTTCAGGAGTCCTCACACGAAATCCCCACGGGAAGTATGCCACGTACCATGGATATCATTGTCAGAGGAGAACTGGTCGATAGAGCCAAGGCTGGTGAGAAATGTATTTTCACGGGAACATTGATCGTCGTTCCTGACGTTAGTCAACTGGGCTTGCCTGGCGTACGCCCAGAGGCAAATCGCGACAATGGAGCTTTCCGTGGCAGCGATGTCGGTGGTGGAGGTGTTTCTGGTCTCAAGTCTCTAGGTGTCAGAGATCTCACTTACCGTCTTGCTTTCTTGGCCTGCATGGTTGCTCCGGATATGACAACTCCCGGTCAACCTACAACTCAAAATCTCACTGGCCAATCCCAAAACATCCTGGCATCATTGAATCAGAATGAACCAATTGCAGAAGATGCAGAATTTGCACAGGAGACCCTCCTACAGACCTTTACTCCGGCAGAGGTGCAGGAATTGAAGTCTCTTGTCGAGAGTGAACACGTTTACCAGCGCCTTGTCAACTCAATAGCCCCTATGATATACGGCCATCAGTCGATTAAAAAGGGTCTTTTGCTGCAGTTGATCGGCGGTGTGAGCAAAAGTACCGAACGAGAGGGTATGCAACTTCGAGGTGATATCAATATTTGTATTGTTGGCGATCCCTCAACCAGTAAAAGTCAATTTTTGAAGTGAGTATACGCTTTCTTTTCTACCTATTGAGTTTGTGTGCTTACATTTTCTAAGATACATCTGCTCGCTGCATCCACGAGCCGTTTATACCAGTGGTAAAGCTTCGTCTGCGGCAGGTTTGACAGCTTCGGTTGTCAAAGATCCAGAGACCGGCGAGTTTACCATTGAGGCGGGTGCTCTCATGTTGGCTGTAAGTTCTCAACAAATAATATGCAAGAATCTGGACTAACAGGCAATGAAGAACGGAGGAGGCATTTGTGCAATTGACGAATTTGATAAAATGGATGTTGCAGACCAGGTTGCTATCCATGAAGCCATGGAACAGCAGACGATTTCGATTGCCAAGGCTGGAATTCACACAACTCTTAATGCGCGAGCATCAATTCTCGCTGCTGCCAATCCAATCGGAGGTCGATACAATCCTAAGGCCACTCTACGCTCTAATCTCAATCTTAGTGCACCTATCATGAGTCGATTCGACTTGTTCTTTGTTGTTAGAGATGAGCCCAATGAACAAGTTGACCGCAACCTAGCGACACACATTGTCAACGTTCATATGAACAGAGATGAAGCCGTGGAACCTGAGATCAGCACCGAGCTACTTCAACGTTATATCCGGCTGGCACGAACTTTCAAGCCTGTATTCACAGAGGAGGCGAAGGTGGTACTAGTAGAGAAATACAAAGAGCTTCGAGCAAACGATGCACAGGGAGGCATTGGCAGATCCTCTTACCGTATTACCGTCCGTCAGCTAGAGTCTCTGATCCGTTTGTCGGAGGCAGTAGCCAGAGCCAACTGTGTCGAAGAGATACTGCCGAGATTCGTCCGTGAAGCATACAACCTTCTCCGACAGAGTATCGTCACCGTTGAGAAAGACGATGTCGAAGTTGAAGAGGACGAAGACAACGAGACATCTGCACAGCGCCAAGATCACGACGCAGACGAGATGATGGATGATTCCCGTGACCGCGACGGTGACAGCCCAATGGCTGATGACGCGGAAGCAGCGGCACCTGAATTAGCTCGGCCTCGGACGACCAAGATTACCTATGAGAAGTACACAAAGACCCTCAACCTCCTCGTTCGACGCGTCATGGAAGACGAAGCCGCATCCGGTAACGGCGTCGAGCAAGAGGAGCTCTTGACCTGGTACCTAGAACAAATCGAGTCCGAGCTAGAGAGTAATGAAGATTTACAACGAGAGCGTAGTCTGGCAAGGAAAGTGCTCAAACGCATGATCAAGGTATGCCATCAACCCATCACTCTTTCTTGAATACTCGAAACCTAATTCTCACTGCCTAGGATAACATCCTCATGCCCATCAGCGGCCAAGGCCTCATGGACGAAACGCAAGGTGAGCAACAAGACGAAGATGCTACGCAGCCACAACTCGTATATGTATTACATCCCAACTGCGCAATTGAAGATATAGATTTGGATTAATCATAGTCTACTGGATTGAATATTGTTTGATTGATGATGGGCGATACGGGTTTTGTTATGGCTTTGTTCTCAGGAGGGGCCTTCGGTTGCATTTCCATTTAGGGTTTGTTTGCATGGTTGTGATGTATGAAAATAAGCATCTAGGATTCCCAATTTCATGATTTTAACGAGTATAAAAAATCCACTTTGTGGGGCCCGCGAGTGCTTCAGATTATAATTTGAAAGATTTATGGCTTCATGCAAATCATCGAGCTCCTTGTAGTTAAACTTCCTGCTAACTTTGGCATCAGATTTCTCCCAGCCATCGATCTTCAAGCAACCCATTAATTGGCTATGAAGCGCAATATTTAACGCAAGATTATTAGACCGGGGTTTGCTTTAAAAAAAATGGAATCGTATAGCATATTTTCTGCTTACTATATTTCCTGATGGTTCCAAACCGACCAGTAGCTCTATCAGCACTATCTGCAACTGGTTAATAGTCTCCGGTTTAAGTCCTATCAATAGATCGCAACTAAGGTCCTCCATCACGTGCACCTCCTCTGGAATAGTGATCATGTGTTTCGCGGTTGTATGTAGTTCTAGTGTCAAGTTGGCGTATGAGGATGTTTCGATGCTGCTAGCGATACCTCCTATCGGGTTGTTTGGAAGTGGAATCTCTTCTACCTTGGGTCAATAATAATATAGTGTTTGTTTTGATATCATTGATATAGATGATGCAGTGTCGCCGCAGAACTCCAAGTCATAACCGGAGGGTGTGGAGGTAAAGGCCGTGATGTGGATTAATTCTGATCTTGTCATCCCGAGTTTTTTTTCCGATACTTTGGGTTGAGATAATGATCGTTCGGCAGCGAATTCCAGCGTAGTTTCATTTATGACAGAGGTATGCCACTTCGACGCTTGAAGTGGAGCTCCAATTGATCGTCTTGAGCAGAGAAACATATTTCCTTCTCATCCGCAAACTCTCGGTCGAGCCTGCGGAAGTATGATTGCGAGCGCTCTTTTACACACCAGTATCATGATCGAGGAAGAGAGTTCATGAACACTGCTGATGTTCGCACTGACCATAACCTACGTCTCATTTGTGCACTCCATATACAACGCGTATAAGCGGTTTGATCACGTTAGTTGCTTATATTTACATAATCAGATTGAAAATCTCCCGAACCAACAAAGCTGGTGGCCAGGCGACCGACTTACCGGGACCAGATGTTGAACATGTAGTTACCCTGAACCGGACATCGCTCGCTTCGTTCCTCAAACAGATAATTAGGTTGCCTTTATCTTCATCGACTTTTGAACCAGAGATCAAGGACAGCGGGCAACATGGTGACCCACTTCGACTTGACTCAAGTTATCTAGTTACAGGCCAAACAGGGCATTCACATCATCAAACGTATAGATAAGTATATTTGCAGTCAAAAGGGACATATGTATCTACATACAGCTGGTTACATACAATTGCGGAGGTGGGAAACAGATAAAGGCGGTAGGTAAATAGATACATAATGAACCAGGTGTGACAAAATCAAGTCTCTATGAATCTCGGTTTTCCAATCACCCACTGACTTCTTTGCTCATAAACCGACCATTCATCCAGAAACGAATGGAGAAAAGGAGGCCGTGAGATGACACACAAAAGTCCGACCTAGGGCTGAGCTCGATGTATCCGAAAGGAAAATTATGTAGATTAGAGAATTAGAAACGAAGACCCAGCCCGTTCTCTGATGGAAGGGAAAAGAGAAAAAGAAGGGAAACAGAATGAAAATTGGAGCGCGTTGGCTTGTTGAAAGAAGAATGTTGTAAGAAATGATTTGCAGAGACCGCATACACGATCATCGCTAAATGGGTATAAGAAATGGCCGAGAAAACGACACGAAAGAAAGCGAGATATCAAATGACGCACAGAAGGCTAAGGACAGAGAGAACTTTCGAGCGTAGGTGCGCGTAAGCCGTGTTTGATGGGAGTACTCGGACTGCAACTTCGAGCTAACTGAATATGTGGATCTTCTTGAACCAGTTTAAATTGACACCGTTGAACGCCGGGAGAGAATAAAGAGGTGGAAAAGATAAACGTATTCGTCAAGGCATAATGTCGCATAGAACGTATCAAGGATTCGGAAGCGCAAAAGGCAGGCTAAGGAGATCCCTCCTGGACCATGTCGCCGTCGATGATTTTCCTCCAATGTTGTGGTAAGCACACACAGACAAGAGGAAATGCTTTTATTTCTCCCCGCGGCCGTGGAGATGAACTGCGTCTTGCTTGAGACCCACTTGATACTCCACTGTCGCGTTGAACGTTGTGTTCATCCTCATAGTCCTCTGCTCGCTCGTTAAGGCGGACACCGGTTGCCCAACCATCATCCCAAATACCAACAATCTTCAACATATCTCCACGGTCCAGGTCGAATTCATCAGCAGCACGAGGCTGGTACGCCCATAGCACGGCAACCTTGTCGTTAGGATGGATATCATCTTGTGAGTAGTAATCACGGAAATACGGGAGTTGCTCTGACTGCCCACTCGCAATGCCTTCAGGGGACGACAGCTGGCCAGCCGTGCCAGATTGCGGTGAACTGCCGGCATCCGTGCCCAGCACAGAAGTACTGGAAAGTGAACCCTGGCGTCTACCGGCCACGGGTGCTCTGCGTCGGGAACGGGATTCGGGGCTGGAAATCAATCCTTCCGAGTCGGACGTGTCGCTGTATTTTCCGGCTGCGGCAAACATACCTCTGCTAGCGCTGCGATGATCGGAATCGTCTCCTTCGCCTTGTAGTGCTGACATCCTTGCAACGCGACCGCCAGGTACGGGCTCAAAGCTGCGCTGTGCGGCAACCACGGGAGCCATCTGCATAGGTTGGTGACTTCTTTTGGGTGTCGGTTGATTGAAAATGTCATTGTTTGCCGCGTTGCGGCGCCTGCGCAGACAAAAGAGTAGAAGCGCTATGAGTCCCGCCAGAATAGCAACTCCGGCAACGGATCCTACTACAATACCTGCAATTGAACCACCTGAGAGATGGGAACCACTCGAAGAATTACCTGTTGAGCTAGGGCTTGCAGTAGCTGTAGCAGTGACAGTAAAGAGAGGGGGAATAGAAGACGTTGAGGGAATATGGACATTAGAGCATCGGGACGATGCGTTAGAGTTGATACAGCAAGAGTCGGTGGCGTTTGGCGAGCTTGATGCACAGTAGCTACACAGACCAGGAAGGTTAGCGCTGTAACCGCAATTTTCCGGTTCGTTCATCTCGCCGGTAATACATGAGCCTGTCAGAGAGTTGGCGGGCATTGAACAGTCGATAAAGTCAGCACGGATTTGATCCATGTAGTTTGAGAGCGTCGTGCCACACATCTGGGTGTTGATTGCAATTTCTTCTTCACTTGTCGCATACGAAGCCTGGATTCCCTGTCAGCTACTGGACGCATTCAACAGAACGGACGAATGCAATTCTACTCACACATGCAGTCGCACATAGTGGCCTGGACTGAGCGTCGCTGAGCCCACAGGGGGTCTTTGAGTTTTGGACAATACCGTTGCAAATCACGCTGATGGTGTAGCGGGCATAATAGTCCCTGGTATCGGTCAGGTTGAGTGCATTGCAGCCTATGCGATACTGATATCTAGAAGTTCGGAATCAGCATTAGAAAAGACAATAGCGCGACAAGGAAACGCACTGCTGCTGGACAAAAGCCTGATTTGCATAAGTAGTCAATTGCTGGTCGAATTCCTCCACATTGGAAACATATTTTAGGAACGGGCTGCAATCTAGTCAGTCGCGACGGCATATAACGCTTGCCAAGGCAAGTCGCAAGTTCACATACTAGTAGCCGACCACAGTACTATCGGTTGTCGATATCGATGAGACATTGAACGCGGAACAAGTTGTTGAATTCTGGAGGGAAATGCATTTCGCCATGGTGGGCGATGGCTCGACGCTGAGCCGGGACTCGCTGGATTCGCAATCACCACCTAATCTTTGACTCTGTACAACCCGACGCCCGCAAAGAATCTTCGGCAGTTGTCTGTATTTGACTGTATTTGTATGTTTCTTTTATTTATTATTATTTTTCAAGATCTCGGCATATCGTACCGGCGAAAGAGTGGTGGACAAGGGGATGTCGAAAATATCAATTCGGACGAAGAGCTGAAGCCGGAACGGCAAGTTGCAGGGTATCCTGTCTAGCGAAACGAGCGTGAGAAGCGAAAAGAGAATTGAATAAAGAAGCAATTGGTGAGTGAAGAGAAAGAACGACCGATGTGTGGCCGAGAGACCACGATTGACAGGGTTGGTGTGGCCTCTGATGTTGAGAAAGTCTGACTCCGGCACTCACAAAAGGAAGAGATTCGAGAGAAGGAGAAAGCGAGAAGAGAGGCCCAGTGCGCGCACCTTCTGAAGTTACACGGGAAACAGTGGGACTTGCCTTGCCAGGAACAGGAAAGACAGCGCAGGATACTAACGCTGTCTGGTCAAGCGGGCTGGCGGTTGAGGCTAAAACCGCTAACCACACGACAGCGCGTAGAGTCAGGGGGCTGGACAGACACCGAGTTGCAGAGAACACTTTGAAAGAGAATTTCTGCCGGGCTGGGAGGGCGATGAGTCTACATTTCAGGGTTCAGAAATACAGACGTTGAGCTGTTATATCGCATTCAGGCAGAGACGGTGGAGGAAGATTGGACAACTTACAACTCATCGCGATGTGATACGTAGCAATGGTAAGTTACATATCATAGCTTACTAACTTGATACAATAGTTATGACTCAGTTTTGCAATCGATCACCACCAAGCTGGCGATGCTTATTTAACTACGTGTACTCAGTCAAAAAACAATTCACAATTCATACGTACAGAGTCAGTGTTTCTGTTCCTCCAAAACGTCTAATCTGAAGCTACTGCCCCACACAAGGCTAGATTAGTCAAAGGAACTTCTAATTTCTCAAGGCCCACCGTTTTGACACGATCTGCGAAGTGTTTTCTTCTGAAGAGTCTCCTCGAAACGCAATGCAAGGCTATGATGCCGTATTTGTACACTTTTCCACGCAGCTGTTGCAAGCCAAAGTCCGGAGCGCATCGACATCTAATCGTGCCGCTGCATATCGATGTGAACCACCTTCGGGCATCGTCCCGGCCTGGGCGAGTCATGGACCACTGTTCGCACATAATGGGACTCTCGACATGCATCCAAACGCGATCGGAATCCATAGAGCTCGGCATTGGACAAGTCAATGAACAGGGCGCGGACGTAAAGATATGCTGAAAGGTTGAAACTTCAAAAAAGATGAAGTTTGTTGATGTTAAACAAACGGTGCAAACTTATATATCACGTGATGTGTCCCTGCCTGAGGATCTTGGGCAGTTCTGATTGGCCAGATTTCATGACTAATAGCTACTACGTCATGTGCTTCTTCTACCACTGTCCAGGCTCCCGTATTTCTTCTTCCTTTGGTTAAATTAAAGCCATCACAAGTGCTGCTCCGATATCCTTCTAGGTGACACATAGTTGACTCTGCGAATATCCATCCATCATGTGCGGTGCAGATATCTTCTTGGCTGTTTTGGCAGTCTTTTTCCCGCCCATTGCTGGTACGTATTGCCTACTCAAAACGAGCCCATTTGTTTGCGCGATACATTTCTTTTCCCGGTAGCCCTACGAGTAACTTACTAATTGCTCTTAGTATGGATCAAGGTCGGCCTTTGCACCGCTGACTCAATCATTAACATCGCCTTGTGCTGTCTCGGATACATACCCGGACTCCTACACGCCTGGTATATCATCATGAAATACCCAGATGCTGAAGACTACCCAGAAGGCTATGAACCAGTCGACGGTTCTGGAAGAGACGTCGAGAACGGCCGCCGCGTGACGTATTATTATGTTAGCCACCAGGCTCCTGTTCCGCCGCGATCTGATAGAAGATACGGTGCGACAGACAACAGCAACAGCAACACTCCGGCGCCACAGGTGCCGTCGCAAACAAGGTCAGGAAATAGCAGTGTTGCGCCGGATGCATCGTCTAGTAGTGCGCATCCTCCTACATATGCCGAGGCTGTTAAAGGCGACCACAAAGTGCAAACCCAAGATTAAGCGGATTTTGAACGAGATTAGTCTCTAGGATACATGTGCTCTTGGGTATAGGTCTGAAATACAGCACCTGAGAAGCCTCATCGGCTTGGTTTATGGTTTCAGATGCTGGCGCTATCATCAAAGAGAGTGGCAATGCCGTCATTGCGTGTATAATGACTATGAATGGATGGAACTAGCTCCTTGGCGTAAATACGGTTGGTGAGAGGGGATTTATGGTTTATTTCTACGTTTCTCGACGATATAACGATCAATTCACTTCTTGACTCTCATGTAGCTGTAGCGAGATTAATGAATTTCATGAAGTTACCCAATCACATGACGATATCAACGCTCGGACCATTCGCAGCTTCCGGTTAAGTTCTCCGCAGTCCGGCATCAACTTTTGTCTGGTTTATGAACCCAAATATCTTCAACCTCGAAGTAGCTGTCGCCGTGGACCGTTGTCAGAGCAATGCATACAATGCAATTGCTGCTCCGACAGCCCTTACGCAATGGCCTCTCTCTCATAAGGCCTTCTTGTCAGCGTTTATTTGTCACATCCTTGCCTCCGAAACAGCTCTCCCTCTCCGCTCAGAGCCCCGCGGCACAAACGGGCTCACTTTGCCTTCGATGTCAATTCAGAACACAATCACGAAGATTCTCTTCAAAGCAGGAGAATGAAAAACCTAGACCGGAGCTTCAGAATCTGCAGAGTACCCCTGACGCCGGTAAAGATTTTGCCTCGGTAACGGTGAATAATGAAGGACAACAGGATATAGAGTCTGTACGTTTGGAGCAGAAACAGGCTCCGAGTACTCCAGGGGAAGACAATCTTCCTTCGGATGCGGAGCGGAGACGGTCTCAGCTATCTAAAAAATTTACGGATCTCATGGACAATATACAAGGGAATGTGTTCATTGCGGGTCAGAAGTTGAACGACCTTACGGGATATTCGGGCATTGAGAAGCTGAAGAGGGATATCGAAAATCAAGGTATTGCAGAATACGCCTCTGTACTATAAGTGTCGGTGTCTAATTCCAAACAGAGAACCAGGTACTACAAGGCCGCTCACTCGTCCGACATGCCAAAGAAGCATACTCAGCAGCTATTAACCGACGCTCCGCCTCACAACGTGAAGTCAACGAACTTCTCCAGAGAAAACATGCCTGGTCTGCCACCGACCTTGAACGATTCACCTCTCTCTACCGATCCGATCACGCCAACGAAGTTGCCGAACACGAAGCTCAGGAGGCTCTCACAAAAGCGGAACATGAACTAGAAGAGGCCACAGCCGGACTCAACCGTAGCATTCTTTCTCGCTATCACGAAGAACAGATATGGTCCGATAAGATCCGAAGGATGAGTACGTGGGGTACATGGGGGTTGATGGGTGTGAATGTTTTGCTATTTCTCATCTTTCAGATTCTTGTCGAACCCTGGCGACGACGTCGGCTAGTTAAGGGGTTTGAAGAGAAGGTCAAAGAAGCTATTGAGACCGAGGCTGAGGCAAGCCGAACCATTGTGGCAGGCCTGACTCGTGCCGTGGAAGCAGGAGCGGCTACTGCCGCGGAGACTCCGACGGCCCCAGAACCGGTTGCTGAAATGGCGGCCTCGGAGATTATCTTGCAAGACGGCATACCGGAGGTTGAACCACAAGGCGCGGTCGTAGTTGCTCCAGGGGAGGTGGCTCCTGTAGACGTTGTGCTCGAGGAAGATGTCAAGGATGGAGTTTCTGCCAAACAGCTATCCACTTACCTCTCGACCGAATATTGGAGACAGACTTTCCAAGACGTCCTCAGCGACCGCCATGTTGGTCTTACGCAGCGTGAGCTAACAAAGATTGCATTGCAAAGTGCTACTATCGGTGCCGCTGTCGGAGCCACGATTATCGGTCTTACGGTGACATTTCTTCGACCGAATTGATGGATTCTCAGGGTTGTATCATTAGTATAGTATGCGGTTGAATATAGATGCCTACCTGGAAGGATATGCATCAGTTGTAAATAGACTCTCTCTCGGAATACTGTACATTATTTCTTTAGACCCGATTACGTGATGGTCGATGCCATTGATATTAAGAATTTCTCAACGCGAATATATGGGGTATAAAGATCAACAGTCTCAGGAGTTCATTCGGCTCTGTCTTCGCGGAACTGACGCAGGTTATTAAGTCGTGTATGCACCCATTGAATGAACCATTGAAAAAGCTTCAGGGCATCTTATAATCAATTGACTGCAGTTATATTGTCCCTATAAATACTCTATCCAGATTGTGATAATCAACAGATCTCAATCTATTTGCGGCGCATATCACTAGATTCCCAAGTAGCACAACACCTAGTATTGCTGCAAAATGTCAAATAACGAAGTTCTACCAACTGGCTCTTTATCAACTGCATGACGCTATTACATTGACCAAGAAATCGGGAGATCTTAGATACATAGATGATAGATCAGCATTTCTGTTCTGGTCTGAGGTCCTTAGGAACCTGGTCATGGATATGCATGCTAAATCAAATCTGACGATGGCTGTGCGAAGCTATGTAAATATTAAATCGATAGTCTCGACGAATTAGGGTGAACCAAGACAAGGATCGCATGCAAGTAAACGAGAAAACAAAAAAATCGAGACATACTGATAAGATCCACCATAAACGGTGCCAAATTATATACTTCATTGTGCTTGTTCTGACACAGAGTCCAGATTGATCGTTATCTATCATAGTGGACAAGCTAAATACAAAGGACGGACATTAAAGACTCGCTAAAAAGAATATTATTGGAATAAGGCAACTCAAACACTCACTAGATACTGGATTCCATATTATTGAATGTTCTAGGTTGTAGAGATTCGCAGCCGTTCATATAAATAGAGGGTTCACTTCCTCGATCATAATTAGGACTAGTGACTTGATGTGTATTGAGCATAACAATCAGTACAGTCAAATCTTCAATCGTCGGACAGATCATATTTCAATCATTCTGCAGCAAAGCAACCCTGCAGTTAGGGCTTCGACAGGCACAGCTCGGCGGCACGTGTTGCACTGTAGGAAGGACAAACTCTGTTCCTTCCGTCAACCTTACTTCCTCCTTTCTTTTGATTCTCCTCTTTACATATCAAGACTCACGACATGAGTTTTCCTCATTTTGAACTGACCCATTCCGAATGGGCAGACCTCCAGAATATCCTTAAGTCAGACGATCCGGTTGTCATAGATGGACATAATTTGACGATCGCTGGAGTTGTAGCGGTAGCTTTGTATGTTTACATGTTTTTTATGTCATTCCAACGTCTAATCAAGTTGCAAACAACAGGCACGGCAAAAAGGCAGTGCTCACCGAAGATGCCGCTGTTCTTGACCGCGTAAACGAAAGTGTCAAATTTCTGGAAAGGGAACTGGCAAAAGGTCATGTAGTCTACGGAGTCACCACAGGCTTCGGAGGCAGCGCAGATACACGTACCGACAGCGTGAAGAGTTTGCAGCTTGCTTTGCAGCAACACCAAAATATTGGTGTTTTGCTTCCATCTGACAAAGGCTTACTCGGTGATACAGCAACACAGGCCAACGGACTTCGAGGACATGCGCTACCTGTCCCCATTGTGAAAGCTATGATGCTTATTCGTTGCAATTCGCTTATTCGAGGTCACTCTGGCGTTCGGTTAGCTCTGGTAAAGAATGTCTTGATTCTCCTGAACCACGACATGTCACCAGTTGTGCCTCTTCGGGGAAGTATCTCGGCATCTGGTGACCTCATGCCTCTTTCTTACATTGTGGGGATGCTTGAAGGTAGTCCCGACATCTTCATACACGTCGGTGATAAGCAGAATCCGACTTTGCTGCCGGCATACAGGGCTCTTGAAGCAGTAGGCCTCAAACCGATCTCTTTACAGGCTAAAGAAGGCCTTGGTATGGCCAATGGAACAGCTACTAGTTGTGCAGCGGGCTGCCTCGCCATCTATGAAGCACAGCAACTGGCTGTCTTGACCCAACTGCTTACTGCTACAGGCACAGAAGCTCTTCTGGGTACTGCCCACAATTATCATCCATTCATTTCGGAGACTCGCCCACATACAGGCCAGATCGAGGCTGCAGCGAATATAAGTGCCTATATCGCAGGCTCCAGCCTTGCGCCAGGTAGAAACCCCGAGATGATTGGTCTGGCTCAAGATCGTTATTCCCTTCGCACAGCTCCTCAATGGATTGGACCTCAACTTGAAGATCTGATCCTGGCACATCGTCAAGTCCAAGCGGAAGTTAATTCAACAACTGACAACCCCCTGATTGATACAAAGAACGGATTGGTACACCACGGCGGAAACTTTCAAGCTGTTTGCATCACATCTGCTATGGAAAAGACTAAATCTTCCATGCAAATGATGGGCAAATTGTTATTTGCTCAATGCACCGAACTGGTCAATAGCCAGATGAATAGGGGACTGCCCCCGAATCTATGCGCTGATGACCCTAGCTTGTCTTACACATGCAAAGGACTTGATATCAATATGGCTGCATACATGTCCGAGCTCGCCTACCTTGCTCACTCGGTCAGCTCTCACGTGCAGTCCGCGGAGATGCATAATCAGGCCGTTAACTCACTGGCTTTGATATCAGCACGGTACACCTTAGAGGCTGTGGAGCTTGTATCTATGATGACGGCAACATATATCTACATTTTATGCCAGGCACTTGACTTGCGATGTCTTCATCTCGAGTTCATCAAGACTGCACAGCCCGTGATTAATGAACTATTACGTGAACATTTCGGCTCAGGCACAACCGAAGAGAATTTCAACCACTTTGCGAAGCGGACTTGGAAATTCCTCTTGGAAAAGTGGTTAAGCCTTTCTCATCTTGATCTCAAACATCGCAGTAAAGCTACATTGAAGGAGTCTTTGGCAGACTTAACATCTGCCTGTATTTCAGATCGGTCAGGACTGCGCAACGTTACAGATATCCTCGATCAAATTGAGAAATACCAGGAAGCAGCAGCGATGGCTTTAGGAACGATTTACAACTCCACTCGTGACGATTTTTTCAAGAACCAGACGACTGCATCATATATAAGTCCAGCATCAGCGAAGCTATACAACTTTGTCCGAAAGGATCTTAATGTTCCTTTCCATCGTGGTCTTGCTGATCACCCTACTCTACGCGATCCTAGCTCGACTAATGGCGATGAATACCGTGGACCTAAAAAGCATCTAGGCTCGCTGGTTAGTGAGATTTACCTAGCAATCAGGAATGGCAGAATGCATGATCTTGTCATGACACTGAAGAGTCAGGATTGAATATCCTCGAATACATTGACAAACTTCTGATATTGTTCACCTAATTTACTTTAGTTTTTGGCGGCAATTCTTTTTCCCTTTCTGTATTTTTGACCCGGTGGGGAGCTTTTAGAGGCATGGATTAATAGAATGATAGAAATATACCACTTGTTTGGTAGAGTTTCCAGGTATTAGCTCTCCAGGATTTCCGATTCTCATACCTAGGTAGACAATCACATACCTGCATATGCTCGTTTGAGGATATCTATATACAATATCTATTTTTACTGTATTCCAAGGTTTCTATGTACTCATCCCACAGGTGAACCCTTGCAAGCCCTATCTAGATGTAACTACACAACTTCCAAGGTTTACTAAGTCAAGAGGCGCCCCCGATGTCCCCTTTGATAGCATAGCTAGCCTCATAGGGAGCCACCTCGGGTTTTCGTTCATGATAAGTTCGTTCACCAGACTTCATAAACCGCTGCAAGTCCACCTAAACATCTTCATTACAGCTTTAAAAGTACTTCAGGAGGAAATCAAGATTTCATATTGCTTGTCTCCGAAGGAATCTTTGGTTGCTCTGTGATCATCAGAGTTCTCTGAAAGGGTCCAAGCTCATTTCTCCTAGTTCCTCTGGTCCTCTTCTACCTCATCTCTTGTTCCCTACGACCACATCCCATCTTGCACTTCCCTTCTCATTATTACTCTCTCAAAGAATCCCAGCTCGTTTCTTCTAGCTTCTCCGGTCCTCTTCTTCCTTCCCCCTTGTCCTCTACAACCATATCCTATCTTACACGTCCCCTCTTATTATCCCATGGCGAGCACTTCAGCCTCGTCTCTTTATCTTCCAAATCATATTATTATACAACTCCCTCCAGTCCTCTTCCTCCCTATTTATCCTCTACGACCACATCCTATTCTTGGACTTCCTTTCTTATTATTGCTTGGTTGGCACTTCAAACTCGTGGTATTACTTTTCAATCATACTATTGTACGACTCTCTCTGTTCCCTCTTCCTTCTCCCTTCTTCATCTTACTTTACTCACATCTTCTCTTCTATTTTCTTCCCCCAACCACTCTTTCTCAAGGTAAGTCTTCTCGTTCATATCTTACATTCTCCTCAGGTTGCCCTTCTTCTCAACCCGCCCCATCTTTACTCCTTATTTATCCGGTTTTCATTGGTTGGTTTTACTATTTATTCTTATATCTCACTCCTCTCAGCACCTCGCTACCTCATTTTCTCTTCACTTACTCCTTCTTCTGAACCCATCTGACTCTGTATTCCCCATTATCCTGGTTTTTATTGAATGGGTCTACTATTTCCCCCTTATTTCTCACCTCTTCTAGCCCTCACATTAATCTCACTCTTTCATAGCTCATTAACCTCACCCTGACTCCTTACACCTTCTATATCTTCTTTCTCTTCTTCTCGTCTCATCAGACATCTACCTAGTTCCGAAATTCATACTCCATACCACGCTACAGATAAATTTCAACATGGAGCCAACCAACGATGCCACCATGGAGGAAAGGCCAGCCCTGGATCCCACCCCTGGTCTGGGACATCCACACGATGATATTCCACCTACATCTAACGAGACTGGAAGTCGACCTCGAGAGCACTCCGAACCAGTTCCTCAGCCACAAGAGGATACGGTTATCGAGGAAACCCCAGACGCAGATGATGAAGAGCTGTTTGTCCCCTAAGAGCCATTGCCAAAGCGTGTTCGGCGGACTTCTCACATCACCAATGCCGAAATCCTTGAAAGCGTCAAGGTCGGGTTGGATGATAGCGGCATGGGAAGAATGCCCAAGACGGGACTTCCGGGGACCACACTACGACTTAAAGAAAATAATAAAGATAGAAAGGGCAAGGTTAAAGGTCATGAGCGCTCATGTGCCAATGATGTTGAGTTTTCAACTCTTGGGAGGTTATGATATTGTGGCGGACGCCCAGCTGTAAGAGAGCCTTCAATCCCGGTATCAACTCAAGGAAACAAGCAGAATGCTCTAATAGAGTTGATTGCGAGTCTGCCCAAAGAGGTTCGGAGTGAAGTATTTCCCGATAAACAGTCTATCATTGATGCCACGAAGAAATTTACGTAGAAACCTAGGCCTAATAAGCAGGGAGGATGGAAATATGCCAGTCTTTATCATCATCACGTAGGTCTTAATTGCGGCACTTGTTGTGAGTTTCAGAATACTAATTTTGAAACAGGTTCTAGGAGCAGCGTTCATGGTATATTCCTTCCTATATAAAGTGGAACTTGGCTATAACGAAAGGGTAGCCACGCCATATTCCCACTAATATAATATCATCTTGAATGACTTTGATACGGGTCCGACCAACCCCGGATTCATTAATACTAAAATAAATCAATATATTGGGGGTACCCTCCATCCCGAAATCAAACTCACTTCTGGATATATTTACATGGGCCCTGACAGGCCATCTGTTCGTTATAGCCGAGATTTTACTGCAGTTCCGGGTTACTTGCTGACTTGTGGAGAAATCAAATGAGCCACCAACTGGATGTATGCTCTGCGATGTCATGGGTCTAGGCAAAACGATTCGGATGTTGGGTAAGTTCTAAACCCTCAAATTGCAATCAATACCGGGAGTCACTAACACTCTTTAGCCAATATCGTCGACGGCATACATGAGAAATTGGAAGATGATGCAAATATGACATTGATTATGGCTCCTAGAAGCTTGATTGATCACTGGCAGGTCCGCAATCAGTGCTGATCGACTCCAACGATTCGACTAACAAGCAGCAGGAAATCACAAATACAAGCCATGTCCAGAACAACTTTCTAAGGCCGATCCTTTGTCACTACGCTGGATCGAGCAAGATTATGTATGGCTTCCCATATTGCCTTCTCCGGCCCGTTGTTCCCTCTTGTATTTACTGACTGGAGCAGTTTCACGATTACAATTCCAACACTTTCAATAGCGAGGATTGGGTGACTGCTGCTGGGGAGAATATGTCCAGCTCAAAGGTCTTGAAGACACGAGACGTGATCCAAGAATGGTTTGAGGAGGGCCCTGATACCAAATTTATGATCTTCGCTCAATTCCGGACGATGACAGCCATATTTGCAAACATGTGCAAGAGAGAGGACTTGGCATATGCAATGGGATACATCCAGAACTTTTCTTATTTCACTCTACAAATCCACAAAAGTGACATATCTGCTATCTACAGTTAACAGGGGACTTGGACTTCTCCAGCCGTACCCAAATCCTAGCCGATTTCCAAAAAAAATCCCGATATCAAAAATAATGATTGCCGCTCTCAAAGCCGGCGGCACGGGTCTTGATATCACAGCCGCCAACAAATGTATCCTTGTGGAACCCTGGTGGAACTACGCGGTCCAACAACTGGCCTTTTGCCTCTTGTTCCGTATCGGACAAACCCGTGCTGTGGAGATCGTCAAACTGGTAGCTAGCAATGCGGTTGACGATCACATGATGGAATTGCAGAAGCTTAAACTCAGAAATTTCGAAGGTGCGATTGGGGATACGACGTTGAACCTGAACGGGGTTGAGGGGCAATTGATGGGACATTTTGGAACTGTTGAGCAATTACCCACCGGGAAAATCCAGATTACTAGATGAGATTGAGGATTGGATGGGTGAGATGTAGATGGTTATGGTTGACAAATAACGATTAATGACTTACGACTTTATGACTGATGATTGAGGGGATGTTGGTTTTGTGGCTTTCGGGTGGACGACAGACGCTTATTTCTATGGTTTGTGCATAGGTGCAGAACGATTTACAAGAAAAGATCAAAAAGATAGCAATTTACTTGCATGACTTACGAGATTAGCTTCTATGAGATCAGTTCCAATCATATGCTATCCTCGAGGACTCGAAAATCAGATTGGTAAGCCGTAAATCTTTCAAATTATAATCTGAAGCACTCGCGAGCCCCAGAAAGTGGGTTTTTTATACTCATTAAAATCATAAAATTGGGAATTTTATATGCTCATTTTAATATATCAAAATCATGCAAACAAACCCTAAATGATAATGCAACCGAAGGTCCATCTGCAGCGACGTGAACGCTACTCCATCCCAATATCATGCGTAGGCAGCCCATCCTATAGAGCACGAATTAGCTACAGAGAATCTCTTTAGTGCAATGAGAAAGTTCAATGAGTACGTACCACAATATAAAACAGCGAGATTTCTCTCATCTGTAGCCTGTTGAATGAGCTCATTCACCGTCGCAGTAACGCTAAGCGTTTTACTCAATTTCTTTGCGACGACTGTCAACGCTCTATCTGCTTCACTGGGTTCCTTTGGATCTTTATTTTTTGACTTGGTTCTTTCAACGCCCTTGGTAAGGACTGATGAGGGAGGCTCTTCACCCCCAGCATCCTGTGCGTCTTGCATTCGTCTCATTCGTAGAGGGGAGACAGTCCACATGTACAATGGATCATAACGTAAGACGTCGAGAATTGTCATTATGCTATAAGATTCGCGCCGGAGGGCTTCCAGTGTGAATTCACAGCATCGACGGAATACGCCCTCGGTTTTGGTGATGCCCATTCCATCGACAAGATCGCGTGTCAATCGGAAAGGAACGACTTCAGGCACTGGTAGCACTCGGCCTTGTTCAAACGCGACTCCTAGGTCGATGTGGACGACTTCGCCTGTCTTTTCGTCTAGGAGAATGTTGTGTCCGTGCCGATCACCTAGGCCAAGAACGTGGCCTAGTATGGAGATTGCGGCTGTACTACGAGTGTAAGCTAATCGTTTGCTGAACCAGTCGTCCGGATTGTTGAATTTCTCCATGAAGAAGAATCTCATCACGGGATGAAAATGTTCTATCACCTGGCGATATGTTCTGACTCGCTGCTCAAGAGTTCGTGTCTGGACATCACTAATATGTTTGCGGCATGCACTGGGTTTCATGTCTTTAGGAAAGTACTTTTGATGTGCTGGCATCAAGTAATCATGAAGTGGTATAGTGTTTTGAACGAACTCAATGATACCGGCATTTGCAGTAAGTGGCAGCACCTTGTATGTCCGAATATGTAGATTGCGTTGTCTGGTTGATCGGTGGTCTCGTAGCACGTTGCTGACTTGTTCAAAAACTTGTTCCATGATAGCGTCTTGACGCAGGTCGTCATTGCCTCCTTTCACCTAAAACACCGAATTAGAAACTTATCATACTTTCGAGAAATATTCTTAACTCACCAACTGCTTGTAGCGCAATCCGTCACTGGCAACAACAGTCACTATCTTCGGCGCACTTATACCCGAAGCCACGGCAAATTCAGGATGGAACTTGACAACTTTCGGTACATTACTATAGTTGCAATCGACCCGGAGCTCAATCCACATACTAGGCGGTGGGAGCTTCTGATTGTTCACATCCTGCTCCAACTTCAAACCCATGGGAGACTTTTTGAGAGGCACCTTTGCCCCGCTCTTGATCTTGTCATCTAATTTCTCCGTGGCGAATCTCACGTAGCAAATATTGTTGTTGTGTAATGACATCCACGTTGGACAGGCATGCTTGTCGTTCAACAACTTATCGACAACATTGGTTGCGGCTCGAAAACGAGAAAGTGCTGCCTGGTCTCGGTTACCCCGTGTCTTGCTGTGGGCGAATATTTGATACATGCCGTGAAATGGGTGGTCAACACATATACGGAATACCAGTGCAGACAAAAGTGTTTGAAATGAGTCCGATTCATCCAAGAGACGGGAAGACAATTGATTGATCAATGGAGCAAACTTCCGACTTGGCACTTCGCTGAGATATTTGGCGACTGACTCATTTGCGTTCGGATCGCCCGATTTGTCAAGCCAAAGAGCACAAAATCTTAATGCGTCATTCTTGTAGCTGTCGCATGCCTTGAGGGAGAGCAGGTAATTCTCCAGACATTGTTGTAAAAAGGCTTCACGGCTGTTACTGAGTCTCTGATACTCGCGGTCGTCCAGATCGAACCATCCTTTTGCTTTTGTATAATGCACCTTGAGCTGATTTTTCTCCTTACCATCAGCGGCCGACATCATTTGTTTGAGCGCAAGGACTTCTTGCTCTTTACGATCACGGAGCTGCTCGATTCTCTGAAAATCTTCGAGACTGTCCTGGTTTAACAGTTGCTGGTCACAAAACGATGCAAATCGATGAAATACGCTGCCAGCTTCTTCACCCTCAGCATTGCCTCGAAGTTCCTTTACTGCAGGAACTAGATATTCTTCAATGATCGCATCGGGTTTTTCCAAGCGCGCTTCTGCGACGTGGTGTCCCTAGAACAGGTATCAATATAGGGAGAATATGAAAGTAAGTGTAGAAAAAGGAAAGAAAACATACCAAACTAGCGAGAACTTCTGCTCGGCTAACTACAAGTGCTTGTTTCTGAAGGTCACACTGTTCGTTCAGCTGCTGTAGCATACGAATGGAGGTAGTCATTTCCCCTTGATCCCAAAGGACATTTGCCATGTCATACTTGGCTGCGTTTTCTATACTTAGTCCAAGTGCTGTGCATGGTTGCACCAACTTCGATAGCGAGATAGCTGATGTCAACGCTTCTTGGGAGCCCTCTAGCTCTTTGCTGATCTTGAAAGATTCTCGAAGAGCTTTGACTTCTAGAAGCTGTGACGTTCGTGAAGTCAATTTCAGTGCCGATTTCAGATAGGGCTTCCTGTTGATAGAAGAAAAGAGAGTTCCTCGGCAAAATAATATGTGAGCAATATCTTGAAAACTATACTGAAGTTAGGATTTGTCGCACCTCAACAGATTCAGGAGTTTCAACATACTTCTCAACTTGGAACCAGGATGTCCTTGACGTTATTCTATTCCACAAATTTTCCACCTGTTCCGGGGTCGTCGAGCGCAGAACATCATCTACTTCTGTCAGAAGGCCGAGCACTCGCATTGAATCTCGCAGCGTTGTCACGGATCGATTTTTGTCTTGAGTTTGATCAAGAATGTTTAAAAAGCAAGTATCATTGAATCTTAGAACATCTTTTATCGTATCGACAGTGTTCATATTTTGAAAGGCCTTGAATAAGACCGGCATTGCTGACCCTTGTGAAGGTAGAGCAGGAATGTCCCACTGCCGTAGGCTAATAGCCGTGGACAACAAATGATCTGAATCTATAGTTGTCCCTTCCGTATTGTTAGGGGTAGCAAGCATGGCGTTAGCAACACCATGAAGATTCGTCGCATTCAGAGCTTTGAATAAGCCATGAGTATTTCCTTTGCCATCAAGACGTAAGTCGCTGTCATATCGAGCACTCTGGAAGATCAAGTTCTTGAACCCCGCAGACTCGTAGTCGAGCTTCTCTAAGACTGAATTCAATGTAGCGTCTTGCTGTATTCCGTAAAAGAGATCAGGATCTCCGATTCTTCTATAGATATCGTGAAGGAGATCTGTGGGCGGCACATATTTGACAGAGGACCGCCGAGTAGTGCTGATAGATTTAGATGTTTGAATCTCGATGAACAAAAGAGCGGTCCTGTACATTCTACATGTGACTGCTGCGGAAGCTGCTGAGCCGTAATCGATATCCAACCACTCATCGCGCTCGACGATCGTCGACTCCTGTGGTCTCTGCTGCTGACGAAGATACAAGACTGCGTTCAAAACAATTTGAGAATGGGAAATAGTTGCTTCAGTGGTTGAGTGAAGAACGTCATTGAATATTTTCGAGACCGTTTCCCGACAGACTTGATTTTTTTCGAGTTCCAAGATCAACACATCATGGAGAACAAACTGCAACAACCGCACTGACAAGTCCGGAATAACATAGATGACGTCTCTTAGAGGCCCAATAACAGCATCATCTTCAGCTGAAGTCACCAATGCTAAAGTCAGATCTCTAGCCCATTGGGTTGAAGAAATTGGTGACTCGGGGTCCAATGCTGGCCAAAGGTTGTCATTCTTGCTTTCGGGGATACGAGCCTGAATCTCTGGACAAATATATGGCTCCCAAATAAGCGCCTTCATCAGAGGTGGTGGAACTATGCTTTCACATTGTTCAAGACCGGGGATCCTGGAGACTTTGCTCATGACGAGTTGAAGAGTTCGTTCCACGATTCCTACATTGGCCCGGTCGCTATTCAAGAGAGCTTCACAAAGCACCTGCAGTACTGCAGCTTTCGACACAAGTAAAGGCTCTGTATGTCTTAGGGCCTGTGACTGCGACGGAATCATCTCCATATTTTGCTCTCGAAGCAATTCTTCATTGACTTGTCCAGTTGCTGCGAATGCGCGCCCTAGTACTCGAGCTGCCCAGAGCCGGTAACCTTTATCAGTAACACCACTCTGTATACTCTGCCAGACAGCAACATTATGTTTGGACGAATCATCATCTTCTCCAAGAATGTCGTTGAATATGTCAGAGGATATTCTGAAGTCAACGCAAAGCAGCGAAAGAACAAGATCAGATACTGATCTACTCAGGAGACTTTTGCGAGAAGTTCTGTCCTGAAGTAGCTCGAGCAAGAGCTCGCTCTCATATGTTCCTTTTGCAGAGTTTCCTGTGTTGCTTATCTGTTTCGACGATGTAACCATCCGCCGGAATGAGTCTTCCGCGCATTGATCAAGATTTGATGCGCGGTACTCCTCCAAGAATTTACCGAACCACTGCCGAAACTCTTGGGATTTTGAGATAACCGCATTGAACTGACTTTCCTGGGTAGTGCTTTCAGGAGTCGATTGAAGAAAGTTTCTTATTGATACGAGGGTTGACACTGCGATCCCTGCGAGAAAGCCCGGCTGATGAGTGAGATATGGCTTGCCCTCTTCAAGAAGATACCAAAATAGACCCAGGGCGTCCTCAGAGCAGTAAAAGTCCGTCAGATATGGCCGTAGAGCATACAAAAGCTGCTCTAAGGGATAGTCTTGGGTTATAATTGACCCCGAAATGCAGACCAGAATTCGAATCTTTCTCAGTACCGAACAGGCATGGAGAGACCCAAGCGCAGGATGCATAGAGTCAAGGAGTGTTCGACACACGAACGACACCAATGCTGGTGTCCACATAGTCTCCAAATCATAACCAGCTCGTTTGCAAAGATATTCAAGCTCGTCAAGCAGATAGCGAGCTCTGAATGATGGCTGTTGATTACCTGGGAGAACGGTTGTAGATGCGCTCTTCTCTGTAATGCGCTTGAGAATCTCTGAAGCATAATCAAAGCTAGGCCATTTTGCAAATGCACGCTCGATCTGGTCTTCCTGGGAAAGGGATCTGAAAAGAGCGCTGACAACTTCAGGAAACTTGGTCTCAATTGATTGTGCAAACTGATCTGTCCCCAGGGTTTTCTTCACTCGACTTTCCACACCCTTGGGCTGACTATCCTGAGATGGCGGTAGACTTATATCGCGAGCCACGGTATACGCTTCTGCCTTGTAGAAAGATCCCTGCAGCAACACGCTGAATGGCTTTTCAAGATGGGTGGCGAGCTCCTTGGCATCCTGGTCATTAGCTCTCATCATGATTTGCCCAACCAGTTCGTCTTGTGCATCCTGTAGCATCTCCTTTAAACTTGAATAACGAAAGATGCTAAATGGCATCGATACAATGGACTGTGTCTCAGTCCAAGTGTAAAGAATCTGAGGCATGAAGAGCCGAAAAATGTCCTTTGGTTCTTGTAGTCGCAACGAGCGAGATACTTCTGTTAGGCATTTTTCAGCATATCGAGTCGACTCAGGCACCTGAGCGGGAGTCTCAAAAATGTGGTAAATACTCCGACGGAGAAGTGTTGGCCATCGAGAAGCTAATTGCCCGAGAATGTATAGTCGCAAGGCGATGCCTTCATTCCAGTCTGGATCCGTGGGCAGACTCTCAACAACATCATCAAAGATCCTTTCGTGGTCTTTGAGTAGAAAGCGACCGAAAATATTCGATATACAGCTTGCAATTGCGAATTTCACCACCGTATCACCATCACGAAGAATGGTGAATAAGCTCGTCCGCGGTGATGCTCCAGTACCGTCCACGCTAAAAGAAGGGTTCAAGCTAATAATTTTCTCCAGAAGTCGAGACAGAGAGATCAAAACACCAGATGACCCTTTTTTCTTATTTAAAAGTACTTGTATGAACCAACCGTACAAGTCCGCAGCAGAATCGCAGAGATCATCATTTTCATTTCTAGTCCATGAGTCAACGAAACACTCCATCATGGAAATAGAGAAGCACTGCGCACTTTCGCATCTTTCTAGTTGATACCGCTGCAAACAGATTTCTCCGAAATGTTCCACTAGCTCCAGAATATCGGTGCGAGAAAACCGGTCGCAATCTCTGAAAAGACGTGGAAGAAAATTTCGAGTCGACAAAACATCCACATCATCTAAGGCTTTCAAGGAACCTACAAGTGATGCTCCACTCGACGGGCCAGTGCCAGATTGTTCATTACTGGAGAGAAAGATAGATAGTCGTGTTGATATACATCGTTGAAAGGTGTTCGGTTCTGGAAATGCTTTGACGTTGTGTCGATTGTTGTATAAAATTACATCCCGTGCGAGTTCGTCCGACAGAGGCGAGGCGATACCATCAAAGTCCATTGTGTCAGGGTCATCCATGTCATTTTGGGTCGACTGACTGGTTTTCAGATTGGCAACAAGGGGGAATGTCAGATCAAACAATGCCCTAGAAATAGGAATTGCGCGATTTGGTATATACGGAGCGGATGCAACAATGGGCGATAGAAGGCTTAAGCATGCTTGCAAGAGATCTTCCCTCAAAGTTATATAGTCACAAATGTCCGTCCACAAGCTGAGACTAGATCTTCGTAGGTCTGCGACGCGATTGGTATCTGGTTGAGGAAGGCACTCGATAAACAAGGCGACAACAATACATGCAGAAACCATAATCTTGAATAAATCTGCTGTGATGTGTTGTGATTTCTCTTCAGACATTATTTTCCACGCTTGTGAGAAAGTATCCACCTTTGTCTGGAGCAACTCTATAACAACATGGTCATTTGGGTCACTTCTCACCGAATTCACCAGTAACAAGAATGTTTCATCAACACACCAGAGGTCATGCGAGATGGCCTGGTCATCAAATAAGAAGAGGTATTCCTTAAGGGCACTTTGCTCACGGTGACGAAACCAAGCGCTCGAGATAGTGGCTATTGTGCCCTGATAATCTGCATGGCTAAGAGATGCTGGTCTGTTAGTAATGGATAGTAAAAGGCCCAGAAAGTTAGCTGGAAGAGCAAATAAGGCGACCTGTGCCATTTGGAGTTTATCCACTCCAGCCCCTAGTCCTAAGTTAGTGTGTGAGCTTCGCTGAAAAGTACTGAGAGGCAGAAAATAATTACCGAATGTCCACGCACTGCGTAGCCAGTTGCAGACGCCTTTTACAGAGTCCATGCTAAGGCCAGCTGCTGTATGCACCCTTTTTTCAAACATTGTGGTTAAAAACCTCAAAGAAGTGTCACACAAAGCAGATGGTCCGTTGAGGTCCATGCCCGACAGCATTGACCGTACATTGTCTATCAAGTCTGCGGAATCGACAAGCTCTAAGCGTAGAATAGTCTCCATTAGAGCACAGGCCGCTCGGGTGTTCACCTGAAACGCGCATGCTCGAAATGTCAGGTCCCATATTTGTCTCCAATATGTTTTGAGTAGCGGAGACTTTGCCGAGTCAGAGATGGCGATACTGCAAGAATTGTCAGTTAAGTCATACTCTTGTATCATGCAATTCCAATGCCACTTACTTGGATATAACTAATAATGTCCAGTTCGATGTGAACGGGTTGTCATCCACAATGCTGACAGCCAAGCGGCTTAAGAGGGAAACTTTATCTTCAACAGACATTCGTCTTCCAAGAAATGATAGTAATTGTAAACAGTAGCCTTTCCTAGGTCCGGTCGAAGCGAGGCAATCGCGTAAGACATCATCCGTACGTGATGACAAACGAGGTCTCTTGTTTGGTGCAAGTTCATCCTCTGCGGAATTAGACATGTGATTCAATGTCTTATCCAGGATACCGATCAGTGATGAAATCGTCCATATCAAGGTCCAATTTTGTTCAGACCTAGGGTTACCGAGACGGGGTCCAAACAGATACACTTGTTTGAGGTTAGCATCATTCTGATAAAATACCAGATCGTCAATTTGAAGATAATCTTTCTCCGGACGTTTGGTATATTCAAGTTCTAGAGTCTCGACAAGGTCTTCTAGTGGCTGAAGTGAGTCCTGAGCGAACAATGCTCGTGAGTTACTGCGCAAAAGGTCCATACACAACATCATAGTGACTAGAACCTCATCCTTCACAGCTGGTAATTTTGTCATCCAGAGACGGCGTATGACTGGTATGATGTCTGGAAGTAATTCTTTTACTAGAGCGCATTGATCACATATCACTCTGTCGAGGAGATTATTGATCGCTTTCAGAGCTTGACTTCCATTTGCAGATGTCGAAGAAGAGAGATAGATCAAGAGTTCACTCATGAGCTGTCTGACAACATCTTGAAGAGGAGCAGTAGGGGTAGCCGTAAGCAATTGAATGCATACTACAGCTTCATCGGATATACTCCTGTTTACTTGCGAGCTGGACGATACAACATTTCGAGTAGATATCGCTCGACTAGGCGTCCGTCGGCCACCTTCAGTATCGGTGGCAGCATCGGTTAAAGACACATGGCTGGATCGGACGCTTAGCTGTGTTCCCTCATTCTCATTGGATTTTAGGCATGAAAGGCAAAATGTGATTGCATCAACCCAGTCACTTTCGGTGAGGTGCTCCACATGTGCAGGGTATTCCAACAGGAGCCTGAGGCCTTTGATGTAGTCGATCGCAAGAAGATCCCAGAGTCCGTCTCCTGGTTGGGTCAAAGTTTGGACAATATGATCGATTATCGCATGTACAGTCTTTGTTCGTAAGACAGCGACAGATACTTCCAAAGTCGCTCGAAATGCGGAAGCACACAATGGAAGACGTGGTGTTGTTGCGCTTCTGTTGCTCGATTTGCTTGAGCGGCTATAGACCGACTTCTCAATAGCCACGCACCGAAAGACAGCTTCAAAGATCCTATGATACGCCTTGTCGTTCAAGGTCTCACTAAGATCTTGTCTCTTCCTGTTCAAAATTCGTCGCAGATCAGTCAAAGCCTCGGTGCGCTCCCTCTGCTTGTCAGAAAAGAGACGCGCAACGGTTTCGCTCAGACTCGAATCTGCCATGTCCGTACATATCCATCATAAGCACATGGAGAGGGCATCATATAGTTAGCTATTCAAGCTAATGGGCTGTTGATTTTTTTCAGCATGCAGACCCTCTCACCGCTTGAGATGAATATACAATGTGTGATTAGACGAAAAGGTAGCAGTAGAAAAAGTTGAGTTGTGAATTTTGTGATATCAGATGGAAGCTTTTGTTTATGCAGGTGGTTCCTGAGGCACCAAGCCTTAAATAAGGGAAGCTCCACCCTGGGAAGGTGCTCTCTCCGCCTAACACTTTTTGCCCGCGTCAACCGTCAACCAAAGCAAAAACATCAACCAAAACAGCTTGGGACAAGCTGAACAAGCCAGCCAGGCTATCGCTTCTCAATTTTTAGTCATCCTGTTTTCTGGTTTGAAAATTCGCAGGAATATGGATGGCATCGATTCTGCGGGAGGTCTGCGCGGCCTGTTTCAAGACCTCTCCGCCATCACAGAGCCTTCAATGGTCAACATTGAACGTCTCTGCTTTGAGCTAGAATCTCACCTTCAGGACTTTCGCACACTTCTTGATAAGCCATCAAAGAATGATAATAGTCGCAAATCCGTTCTCTCAGGTGAGGCGAGCTTTTCAGACTTGAATTGAGTCAATACTGACCAGTAGGGAATCCTGCTTAGGCAAAGTAAAGATCGACAATGTAGAATATGCGATCAACGAGGACTTCCAGCAAAATACATTGCAGCTTGCCGATGCATTGAATCTGGACGAAGTCGAAGCAGCCGGGCTATTCATGGCGGCGCAAGAGGCAGCTCAGCAGCTCGATCGAACGCCACTGGTTGCTGCGATTATAAAATTTCACGAACGTCGACATTTCCTACTCGAATGCTTGCGTCTGATTTTCCAAGAGTCTTTTGATGTGGAGCGAGAGGAAATACAAGAGTTAATGCAGAATATGGTTGGTCATATTTTGCAGACAAAGGAAGGAACGTTTCGCAACGCGTCTCTTTTTGCAAGGAAATGCCTGGCAACTATGGAAGATATAGAAAAGTGGTTGACTCTCATTGCTGACCAGATACAAAAGATCTCGATCGTTGGCCAGGCCGAGGATGCAGATATTACGGAAGCTTTTGAACACCAACGCACAAGCCTGATGCAACAACACGAGTCTCTAGGTGCCACCCTCTGCTACCTCTTTAAAGGAACATACACATCGTCCGAAGATCTTCGCTTTCTTTTGGATCGCATGCGCAAAATCGAGCGAGTCGATCTGCTTCTGGTGCACTACCTTCCTGCGATTATTGCTGCGCTCATCCAATATGGTTCTCCAAGCGGATCGGGTACGCAACGAGAGGCTCGAAGCCTTCATTTGGCCATCATATCTAAAAAGGATAATAGTACATGGGCTTTGGTCCCGCTTCATGCTGCTGTGATCTCATTGTGGTTATCGGTTTACAGCGGTTGGTATTTCGATTCGGGACCAGCATCGCCATTGCAAGGCGTCGATTTCGATAAGGAAGCAGAAGAGCGTACCACACTTTTCAAGGTGTGCTTGGATGAGGGTGCTCTCGAATTTATGCTCGCCGTTTGTGCGAGTGTTCAAAATGACGAATGGAGTCACCCAGCCCGAAATGAACTCGTGAACCTCTTGTTGAAGGACAGCCCAGCCTCTGTATTCGAGGCAGACTCCGTATCAGACTTTATGAAACCTCTTTTGATGGAGCATTTTGATACGTTCACCGAATCATGCATTGCCAATATGCCAAATGCGGTTCGGATGTTGAAAGCAGACGAAGATGCTCAGCGTCTCGACCAAATAACTGCGCTTCGGGATGGACTCAGTTCCAGTTTACACCGGGGCGTCTTGGAAGCGCGCACGCACTTGGAAACGTTCCTGGTGATCATGGCATTCGCTTTTGAAGGTCGTCATGACCCCGCACAAGAATTCTGGGCCGATCCAGATGGTAATTTGTACGGTTTCGTTCAATGGGCATCAAAGCGCCAGACTGTCCCACGTGTTAGTGCCTTCTGTGAGATGCTATGCTCCATTTCAGAAGGCGAGGATAACGCAGCTTCGGCGCATAAATTTCTCTCTGAAGAAGACAAGCAAACGTCTGTTAAATTCAGACGCTCACCATCAATGAACTGGGCCCAAATGTTTGCTGAGCTTCAGCTTTACGCGACAAAAGTGACCGAGAAACCCTCAACATCAAGTCACGTACTTCATACACGAAAAGCAGAAAATATCGAGATGAACGAACCGGAGAGTCCTGTAATGCTTACTTGCTATCTTCAGCTCATCGGTCATTTGTCCAAACAAAACAAAGAAATCCGGAACGACTTGCTAGGAAACCCTAGCTATAATGTGGTTAGCACATTGTTAACGCTATGCAGTGGCTCTATTCCCACGCATCTTCGAGCAAGCGCGTTCAGCACACTCAAGGCATTGATGACAGACCGCACTTCAAGTCATGGAAACGACATGTGGCTAGCGTTAGATCAATGGATTTCTGGAGCCGCAGCAAATGCTTCTGGACTTACAAAGGCGCCAATTTTGTCGAATCAACCGGCGTGGCATGAGAGACATGCATTTCAGAAAATTGGTGAGAGCTTTGATCAAACGAATTGCTTCGTTGACTTGGTCCACACCTTAGTTACACCGGTGTTCGATCGTCCAGACAAACAACTAGCCCTACCCTTTCCAGAGGCATTGGGAGCATCGTACCGGATGCCCGGCATTGAACCGTACATCGATTTCGTCCTAGGTCATGCTTTTGCGCGCAAAGTCCCAGATGTTCCCGACTCGCAGGGGAGACTACTTGCCTTAAATTGCCTTAATTTCATAGCGACTTGTCTGACAACATTCAATGAGGACCTAGTAGGCATTGCGCACCAACCTTCAGCTAACTTAGAAACAGGCATAAACTCATCGGATCTGAACAACTATATCCGCCTTCATCCGTTTGCACGAGTTTTCGAGTGGCTTTTCAACGAGGACGTGCTCAAGACTCTTTTTCTATCAGCTAAACAGGACCCGTCGGAGGTCTTAAGAGCGCATTCTGAGTCAGTCCTTGTACAATCATTAGAGAAGACCCTCGAGGTGATGAACCTGATTTTAAATCATCAGTCCACCTACCTGAACATTGTGCGACCGGTGCTCAGAAATCAAGGAGTTACAAACAAGGTGACAGTCGCTAATTCAGCTCTCGCCTCTTTTGAGGACAGCATCTTGAACAACCTATATATTATACCGGCTTTATGCCTCTACTGTGGAACAGGCCATCAAGTACTCACTCATCATTCTATGTCTCTTCTACAGAAACTGTCAAGCTCCAGGAAACTCAACAAATCTGCAGCGACGGGTCTGATGACATGGAAGTCACCAAATCGGATTGTGGAGGTTCTAAGTACGGAAGTTGATGCCGATGTGGTTTCTCGACCTTTAGTTTATCAAATGCAACCAGATCCAAGGGAGCTAGATCATGGTCCTACTTCCCCCGGCTACTTGATTCGAGATGGACTGTTAGCTTTACTCGATAGCTGTCTTGCCACGATCACGGATAGACCCAATATCGCTCATTTACTTCTTGGATTCTCTTGTGTTAGTAATACACTGGATGTGAATTCAGAGGGTCTTTTCGCCCAGGGCATGTCGTTGCTTCACTCCGTCATCGAATTTATACAAACGTATCCTACTGATATTGATGGAAACATCTTGTCATGGGCGGTTCATTCTAAACGAATGGCTTTCCAAGTTCTCAAACACCTTTGGTCGTCCAAATTATCATCTGCCTTTGTTTTGACTGAGCTCCGCATGAATCGCTTCTTGATGCTCTCGTTCGCTAATCAACCCATCATCAATTTCAACACAATCTGGGACGGATTTCCCTCCGTAGCTCCGGAGTTCTGGCTTTCACCTTCCTCAAGTGGGCTCATGGAATTCTTGGCATATAGAAGTCTTTTGTATGAATATGCAACTACCGAGGTCAGGGCAGCTTCGAAGCTTGGTTCACAGTCACTGCAGCTTGATGTGCTTTCTACTTTACTCGGCATGTCTCTTGTCGAAAACGGAGAGACATTGTCTCATGCTACGGTGTTTGATCTCTTCGACTTTGCAGACTTGAAGTTATCGCATGGTTTTCCAATTCCTCAACTACATTATCTTGAGGGGGTCGATTTTGACATTTGCGCCAAAGAGCAGCCGGACAGCTCTGTCGTTCTCTATGACCTTGATGCAGCACAGCAACTCATCGAACTGAGAAAGAAGCAACTCACAGGGGGGAGCCAAGTACGGTCACAAGAAGAGGAGCAATTTAAGTTGGAAGCAGAACAATTGACGGACTTCCTTCGTGTCACAAATATGGAAAGGCAAATACATTACAATCGGTACCTTGCAATCCGGTCGTGGGCCGAATTGGTGACAACGATGGCCATCTCCTGCGATATGGAAGAGGGCCGCAGGAGAACATTTATCCTTCAAGCAATCAGTTTAATCACGCCAAAACTTGAGGGTGCCATGGTTGATAATGTAGCTGAAGCAATCCAGCTAGCGCAGCTAGCCGAGACTTTGATAAGTAAACTCGACAGTTCATTATCACCAAGCCACCAAGGTCGTGGAGGCGATTTGATTGACGAGAAACTTTATCAACTAGTACAAATAAGCATTCGTGGCATATGCTCATCGATAGGAGATGTTTCACTGCGTGAATCTTTCTATAATATCTGTGCCCATTACATTTCTCGCATCACGACGACACCTGGCTCTATCCATCAGAACCTGCGACGTCAATGCCAGCTAGCCGTCAAAGCTTCTGGTGTCTCGCTGGTAGAAGCTGTCAGCGATGATGCTTATGCTGGGCAAGATACCTGCAAAGTCTCTGCAATCCTTCTTTTGAATCTACTTGCCGAATTGGATGCACAGGAGCATTCGCATTTTTTGGCAGAGACTATCTCGCAGTCCAATTATCTTAATATGTTCTTGGACTCTATTAAAACTTTATCCTCGGAATTCCGAGATGCCCAAGCCCATGGTATGTCAAACAAGCACATTTTTCATTCGATCCCACGAGCTCACAGTTGGCTGAAAATCACTTTAGACATACCTCTTTTGATATCTTACTATCATGCACTGCTGTCCTTACTTCAGAAGCTTTGTCAAACCAAGCTTGGAGCGACTCTGGTACTGAACACTGGGCTCTTTGCGGCGATTCGTGAGTCCCGACTTTTCGCCGCGGACCCTGATATTGGTATAGGTGAGTTACGCTTTCTTAGCCGGGGGAGATTATGGAATTAACGAACTTAGATATGGATAATCCGGATGCTCTACGAAACTACTACGAACTTCTTGCTTCAATGTTGCGGGTCATTGTTTCAGCTGTTTTCTCACGGAGTGTCCATAACGAACAGATTATGGACCAGACACGGAACTTCCTTACGGAAAACAGGTCGAGTATGGTTGGTATATTCAAACGCTCTGCCAAGATAGGCGGCGAAGTATCTTCGAATCATTGCAAGGTGATTCAAAACTTGGTCAAGGCATATGTGGCATTAATCACTGCAGCCGGCTTTGTCGAGGTATGTAATGAAACTCTTTGGCTATCGACTGGCAATGTGCTAATTCGCTCCATATAGTTCGAAGACCAAGAATTGAAAATCACAGGAACAAAAGTCTTCTCCTAGGATTAACTCTCAATGAATTTTTGCGGTCATCCGCCGGTGTTGGGGCAGGGATATCAGCGATATACAAAAGTCATTGGATGGAGTTTGTTTGCTTAGTAGCCAGCTAGTTGATTCTGTTGCGAATGTAAAGTAGATTTGAGAGCGAATATGTTAATAACCGGAGACACTTGAATTGATACACTTAGCTATGATATTTCCACTTGTTGAAATTGTGCTTTGTGCCAAACGCTTGGGTGGGGAGCGGCCAAATAAGCCTATCTTATCTCCGTCACTACATAGCTCGTCTTTCTCCATCTCCAACACCTCACTCCTTCTACAATTTCATCCGCCATCGCTCAACCACGAATCGTTCGAGTATCCCATAATCGATTTTCCACTCGGTAACGACGATCCTCGATGCTCTCATGTCATAAACCTGTGTCGCAGGTTTTTCGCCCTCTGCTTCACGTTTGACTCCATCTCCATCTCCCGTAGGAGATATTGAGCTAGGGTAGATGCAGCAAAATCCAACGCCGAGCGGACACCAGAGCAGCAAGCGCGGGGCCGCCGGGAAAAGGAAGTCTGTTCACGAAGACTTACAACAGAGGAATATCTCCGAGCTTTTTTCGAGTAGCGGCAATCAGCAGCAGCAATCGTCCTCGTCAGCGAAACGCCTTCGAACTTCGATCTCACCGAGCAGAAGTAGTAGGGACAAGTTGAGTTCAGCAGATAAGATGTATAACTTCTCGACGAGTTCCCAGTCTCCCAAAGCGGCTGAGAAGTTTTCAAAGAAGATTGGTGGGCCTACTGTTGTGTCGCGACCGAGCAATTTCACACCACATACAGGAGCGAAAAGACTGGTTGTCAAGAATCTTCGCTCAGGACCGCGGCTGAACCAGGACGAATATTTTGATGATATTTGGACACGGTTGTCGGCTACATTGGATACAATCTTTGACGGAGGAAAGCCGGCTGCTTCGCTTGAGGAATTATACAAAGGTGCCGAGAATGTTTGTCGTCAAGGTCGAGCAGAGTCGCTTGCAAAGAAGCTGCAGGAGCGATGCAAGACTTATATAGTCGACAATCTACGACAGAACCTGGTGGATAAGACAAAGAATGCGTCTAATATTGATACCTTACGGGCTGTGGTCGATGCGTGGGCAGTATGGAACACAAAGCTGGTAGGGAATGAGTTAAGATGTGACATATAAATTGAAAGTTGACTTGTGCGCTAGGTCACGATTCGATGGATGTTCTATTATCTTGATCAGTCGTTTCTACTTCATTCAAAAGACTACCCTGTTATCAACGAGATGGGACTGAATCAATTTCAGACTCATATTTTCCTTAACGAAGAGTTGAAGCCAAAGATTCTTCAAGGCGCTTGCGATTTAATTGCAGCCAATAGAGCTAGCACAGAAGATAAGTCACAAGCTGATTCGGATCTTTTGAGGAAAGCAATATCATTGTTCCACGATCTTGGTGTCTATACGCGTCACTTTGAACGTCTCTTCCTTTCCGAATCTGAGGAGTTTCTCAAGACGTGGTCAAAGAAAGAATCACAAATCCGGTATCTCGGGAATTACGCAGAGAATTGTCACCGTCTCATAGAGCAGGAGTTGACTCAATGTGAACTATATGCGTTGAATCGGAACACCCAGCAGAGCTTGTCGGCACTTTTCGATGAGTATCTGGTGAGGGATAAAGAGTATATACTTTTGTCAGAGTCTGATTTGAAGGGTCTGATGACAACTGAGAACAAGCATGCTTTGGAACGGATCTATTCGCTGTTGGAACGCGTCAAGCTCGGAGACAGATTGAAGCCAGCGTTTAGTAAATACATCGAGGAGCAAGGCGCGACTATAGTCTTTGATACAGAGCGAGAAGCTGAAATGGTTGTCCGATTGCTCAATTTCAAGCAAAAACTGGACGATACATGGACAGAATCCTTTCATAAAGACGAGACACTCGGCCATACGCTTCGCGAAGCATTTGAGCATTTCATGAACATGACCAAGAAAACGGAGGCCAGCTGGGGTACAGACAACTCTAAGACAGGAGAAATGATCGCCAAATATGTGGATATGCTGCTTAAGGGTGGTCTCAAGGTGATCGGCAAGCAAGCAGAAGACACCGAATTGGCCGACGAAGATACGGAGATCAACAAGCAATTGGATAAGGTTCTGGATTTGTTCAGATTTGTGCACGGCAAAGCGGTGTTTGAAGCGTTCTACAAGAATGATCTTGCTAGACGGTTACTTATGGGTCGAAGTGCGAGTGACGATGCAGAAAAGAGCATGTTGGCTCGACTAAAGACAGGTATGCATGGTATTTTTTACTCCTTTTCTTAACTAACATAATGGTTGTAGAATGCGGTTCTAGCTTCACTCACAACCTCGAGGCCATGTTTCGGGATATGGACTTGGCCAGGGACGAGATGAGCTCTTACAATGCTTATAAATCACAGAGGCGCGACAAACTCAATCTGGATCTCTCAGTCAATGTGTTATCAGCTGCTGCATGGCCCACGTATCCTGATGTCCTCGTTCGAATTCCACCGGACATAGCCAAAGCAATTTCCGACTTTGAGCAGTACTACCATACCAAACACAATGGACGAAAACTTAGTTGGAAACATCAATTAGCACATTGTCAGCTGCGGTCACGATTCGACAATGGTAACAAGGAGATTGTTGTCAGCTCATTCCAAGCGATTGTACTGTTGTTGTTCAATGATGTGTCCGAAGGGGAGACATTGAGCTATGGCCAGATCAAAGAAGCCACGGGATTGTGTATGCGCCACCCTAAATCGATTTGTTGATAAGTAAATGCTAACATCTTCCAGCTGATCGCGAGCTCAAGCGAACCCTGCAATCACTCGCATGCGCCAAGTACCGCGTACTCACCAAGAAACCCAAGGGCAAGGACGTCAACGAAACTGACCAATTTGCCTACAACAACGCCTTCCAAGACCCCAAGATGCGCATCAAAATCAACCAGATCCAACTCAAGGAGACCAAAGAAGAAAACAAGACGACGCACGAACGAGTTGCGGCTGACCGGCACTACGAGACACAAGCGGCGATTGTACGTATCATGAAGAGCCGCAAGACCATTACGCATGCCGAATTGGTCGCAGAAGTGATCAAGGCGACTCGTAGTCGCGGTGTTTTAGAGCCGGCGGAAATCAAGAAGAACATTGAAAAGTATGTCTTTTTGCACCCCTCTCTCGGTTGCAAAAAGTGGAATGCTAACTGTTGCCAGACTCATCGAGAAGGATTACATGGAGCGCGAAGAAGGAAATCGGTACAGTTACTTAGCATAGACATAGATGCACAAACCTGGAGTCACGGCTAGCGGACGAAAGAATGAACGGTCTCTTTGAAACGAATTAGACAGATGTATGAAATAATTCTTTGACAGCAAATGAATGTATAAGATTGTCTCGGCCGGTTAAAGCTGGTAAACACGGAGCAACGCCGATATCCATCTATCATCTAGGCGACGTGCTCCGAGCACTACCTGTTAGCATAATCGGGAACTCCGAATAAGTTATCCGGGAATACGGTATCCGAGAATCATTGTACGTATTGATTCATGGGTCCGAGAAGGCGTAACTAGAAGTTTTCGGAACCGGTGTTTCCAAGGTTGTTCTTCAGCATGCATGGAAGGAGTTAATCTCTGTAATTTTGATCTATGTATTAATACACATTCAATACCGCTTACCCCGGTTGTTGGGGTAGAAACTGTCCAATGATGATAGTCTAGTGTAGCGGATCGGTAAATAAACTAGACATGTGTATTCTGATTACATCTACCCTATAACTATGTATCATAAAGCCCAGATAATAATTCGTTTTACTTGAAAAACAACAATCTGCCTTGTGTTGAGGTCACTCAGAAATACAATTACGTACATCTAAATTGATTAGAAGTAGCTGTGTTCATACAAATCTAGAACCTCCTTGTGACTCCGGACAACTACCCCGGAATGTCCAGAAATAGAAAGCCGTGATGACGGTCCACCTACAGCGGAATCACTTGATTCATCTTTTTCCTGTCCTTCATACCTAATAACTAGTTGCCGAACCGATAGTATCTTTATGTAAGTCTGGCCCAGGCTCAACGACTTGATTCCTACGTACTCCGTACCAAATCGATCAATTTAAATAACCTACTATGTAGTCAGCCCCACGAGCGGAGAATAATGTGGAGAGATTCAACATCAAAAGATGTCCATGTGAGCAGCAGAAAAAAGCTGATTGAAAAAGAAATGATACTCTAGGCTGAAATTATGGAGAATCCGAGGATATGGTTCGACGGGATGCTTGCTTAATCATACTTCTAGAATGTGGTTGGTTAGGTGCCTTGCTTGATAGAGCTCCTGATATCAGTATATCAGTATGAGATACTATGATCAACAGATTGGGGTGTTTCGAGTATAAGTAGCTTGTGATTCCTTGTTTGTTCTAGGGTTTTGGTCTTCGAATCAATTGCTCTTTCTTCTCTTTGTTTTCAAAGACAGCATGCTGTAGGAAGATATACTCTTCTCCCGGCTTCTTCTACTACAGGTATGTCTGTTTTCGTTGTATATCAAACCCACAGTTTCTTCCTTCGTTGCTATGTCCTACCATTTGTGATCTCTGTCCTCAACTATTCGGTATCGATTGCCTGTTCTGCGTTGATTCTACCCCCCACGTCGTCCCCCACGCTTCTCGACTGTGATACTGGCGCAAGATGCGCTGTATTGCACTTCGGTCACGCATCTAGTATTCCTTCAATGTCCTCAATTGAACCCCCACGCCTGTTTCGCTGTAAGTGGTACAAGAACTCGTGTCTGCCGCTCTAAAAGTCGAGTGTTTTGTCTCCCATGTGAGCATGGATATGGCTCTTCCCGGCAAATGTCTTAGCTGCGGGGAATACCTTGTGGTCTTCCCATGTTGTACTCAGACAGCAGACACTGTTAGACAGACCAGGCAGTCACTTGTCATTTCCCTTTCTTGTTTATGGTCGATACCGGCCTAGCCTTTTTGCATAGATTGCACAGACAGAAAAGTGAAGAAACAAACACTAATCCATCATTCAGGACTCATAGAACCCATCCATCTCTTGTATAACAGCTTCTCCACTTCACAAGATCCAGAACAGCCTTAGAAAGCTCGGGGACTCCCCGCCTTTTCCAATTTATCCCAATACGGAGCTGTTCGGCGATTACCCCGACCCCAAACTTATTTTGCCGTGGTTAATACCATTCTACTGGGGTACATATACTTACTAGCTAGGTAACTATCCGACCAGGATAAATATATTCCCTCTGCCACGTTATTTTGCCCCCTCTTTTGTTGTGGATTGTTGCTTTGGAGGCTCTATATCCGATTGCGCATAAATATACATATATAAGTTGGTGAAGGTCGGCTGTGGTAATCGCTTGTTTTGGGCTACATATCCCCTAATTCACCTTTAGACATCCATCATGTCTTGTAAGTATTACTTTCAAGAGGACAAACGAAAGAGAAGCTAATACTTAAAAGCAAAACACTTCTTCTCCGACGCCTTCTCCCTGGTCATCGAAGCCCTCCGGTCTCTGACCATCACCAACCCCTCGCTCGCCTTCGACGAAGAAAACAAAATCATTTTCCGCCGTCCTGAGACATACAACAAATCCAATGTCGCTGTCATCAGCGGCGGTGGTTCCGGTCACGAACCTGCTTTTGCAGGTTACGTCGGGAAAGGGTTTTTAACTGCTGCCGTTGCAGGAACAATCTTTGCTTCTCCCTCAGCCGAGCAAATCAGTAGAGCGACTCTGGAACGTCTGGAGACTGAAAAGGGTGTTTTAATTATCCCCATGAATTATACAGGAGATGTGCTGCATTTTGGTATGGCGGCTGAAAAGACAAAGGCTGCTGGCAGGCCGGCTGAGTTTTATGCTATTGGTGACGATGTCGGTGTTGGGCGTGCGAGGGGTGGGAAGGTCGGTCGACGTGGCCTTGCTGGAGGTATTTTGGTTATGAAGATTGCCAGTGCATTGGCCGAAACTGGGTATGGCTCTCCTTTCTTTTCTCCGGTAAGAGGGAATGTGCTGATGATTGTAGCGCTTCGTTGGAAGAAGTATACCGTATTGCACGACTATCAGCCGAAAATACAGTAACCCTAGGCTCTTCTCTCGAACACGTCCATGTACCAGGCCGCGATCCAATGACCGAATTCGTACCCGAAAACGAAGTCGAAGTAGGCATGGGTATCCATAACGAACCCGGTTCGCATCGCATGAAGTCCGCCGATTTACCCACCTTAGTCAAAACCATGCTCCTGCAACTGCTAGACCATAACGACCCAGACCGGGCCTGGATGACTCGTCAACTGGGCGACAAATTTGTCTTGCTGATCAACAATTTGGGTGGTGTCAGCACCCTTGAATTGGCCGGAATCACTGCCGAAGTTTCAAAACAACTTGCCACGGAATATGACATTAAGCCTGTCCGTACATTGCAAGGAACATACTTGACCAGTCTGAACGGCCTCGGTTTCAGTATCTCGCTTTTGAAGCTTGTTGATTCCGGTCTGGGTGCTGGTAAATCCTTGCTTGAACTTCTTGATGCTCCCACCGAGGCCGTTGGCTGGGCTGCTCCCATCCAACCATCAACCTGGGAAAAGCATGCTTCTGACGGACCTGTTGAATTCAAAAAGGTTGATCTGAGTCAAGACCAGCCAAGTAACCTTAGAGGTGCTCTCTCTCCAACCTGTCGTGAAACCCATCTACTAACGTGGCACAGTCGACCCCGTCGTTCTTAAGAAAGCCCTTACATCAGGTCTGAGCCGCATAATTGCCGCCGAACCTGAAATAACTCGCTTCGACACCATCGTCGGTGACGGCGACTGCGGTGCAGGCCTCAAACGCGGCGCAGAAGCCATCCTCAAAGTCATCCAAGGCGACAACATAACCGACGATGTCGTCCTCACTGTCGATAAATTTGTCAACGCCGTTGAAGCCAATATGGACGGAACCTCTGGCGCAATTTACGCCATTTTCTTGAATTCTCTTGTCAACGGTCTCAGAGCCCAGGACAACACTGGGTCAGCGCAACAAGTCAACGCCAAGATCTGGGGTCATGCTTTGAAACACGCTGTTACCGCGTTGTCTCAATATACGCCTGCACAGGTCGGTGATCGTACGCTGATTGATGCCCTGGTGCCGTTCTGCGATACTTTGGCCGAGACGGCGGACATCAAGACTGCAGCTAAAGCGGCTGAGGACGGTACTGAAGCTACCAAGCACCTCAAAGCTAGTCTTGGTCGGGCCGTGTATGTGGGCAGTGAAGAAGAGTGGTTGGGTAAGGTTCGTGATCCTGGTGCTTATGGGTTGGCCAAGTTCTTGACCGGTCTTGCTGAGGAGTTATAATAATGCATATTGTTGATGTTGACGACAAAATCTTTGACTTTATGCGGTCATGTTTTTACTAGTTGTTTTTGGTTATTCGGGCCATTTCCAGTTGAGCGATATTGTTCTAGTTTTATTGAGCATTTCATGATTGAGTTGTCGATGTTGATGTTATTTATCTTAGTGGGTCATGTGATATCAATTTTGATAACATCACTCCTACAAACCTTTGATTCTCTATTTTGTCGACTCACGCAGGCCCGTCTCATTGGTATATATCTAATCACACACTGCATGAATAATGAGACTCAATTCGTCCCTAAATGAGTATAAAGGAACACAATCCCAAACGCCAGCATTTCGCTTCTAGAGTATCCGCCTAATCCCTAGGTCCGTAAACACACATGCCAGATTTAGTCTTTATTCTATTCTTCATTCGATTTCGATTGTCGGCGTTCGATGTCTTAGGAATGAAGACTGATTGATCGTATCCAGCAAGATGAGCTGAAAGCATACCAGTCCATGTTAGGATACATATGTAAACGCTGATGGTTGCATTTGATGTGTCTTGGTATGCCACAATGACGACGACGTTCCTCCGGAGATCTCCTTCTGAAAACATCCATGTCGACATCGAAGCTTTCCAGAACTGAAGAACGACCGGGACCGAGACCGAAGCGGAAGAAGAACCGAAAGGATAATTTAACTGAGCAAGACAAGAATTACCGAATCGCCTCGTAAGAACCTATATCTCCGTCAGCAAAACACATACACAAACTTGCCCAATAACCGGGAAAAGGAACGCACATCTTGCTAATAAAACGATCCTTATTAACACCACGGCCTTTACCGCCCTTGGGCTTTTCCGTCCACATCTCTTTCACATTCTCCAAAACCATATTGCAGTGACGATCAAAAGCTTTTACTCGAGCTAGAAGTTTGCGGTTGTTGCGGCATGAGATGAGGACTTGTGTGTGGGTTCGGGTGGCAGTCTGAAGGAGTGACAGGGGTCCGGCTGTGAGCTCGTGTTCTTCGACGAGGCCGACCTCATATTCACTGTTGTATTCCAATGATCAGTATACTGCTTGTCTAGGTTACACGTTGCTGGATTGTAATGGAATCGCCAGCAGTAGTTGGGCCGTCATAAGATTGAAGCTCAATGATGGAACAGGAAAGATGACATACGTAAGCTCGCTGCGAGGCTTGTTCAAAAGATCCCTATGCGACAGTAACAGAAGGTTAGCGCAAGTAGTTCATAGGTATAAGTTCATACGATAGAAGTGCATAGTAGCCAACAGCTATCGGACCGAATAGTTGATCGCGCCGACCATAGCCAGCTAGCCTGTATGCAAGAAAGAAACAGATCACTTACTGGATCTTGGCGTCGGACATGCTGGGCGGACAAGAAGAAGACGTGATAAGTCGGGATATTGGATATCACAATCGTCCTTTGAGGCTTCTTCACTTTTGGGATTCGAGAGTAGGTCCCCGGCGCCAGCTACTCCGCCCGGCAGAATGATTCTAGATCACGTGGTAATCGCACATTGCACTGCGATTTTAGCTCCAGAGGGAGGTTTGGATAGCTACAACGCCAATCAAAGACAACGAGATGCTCAGCTACAACATCTTAATGATCACTATTTCCTCAAATCCATGAGACAAGCAAGACGGCCCATGTTCATTGTTCACATGCACTACAATTTTAGTTCATGAGGGAAGGTAACTTCAGCTCGGGCGTTTTGGCTCATATTATTTATTCACCCTGTCTTTGAATGATACATTCAGGGATACTATGTGGTAGTTTACAAATCAATCAACTCTGAAGTCTGAACTTGCATTAATCAAACGTAGATAGATAGATGGTGGAGACAGAGGAATCAGATGCCTCCATCTTCCACTGCAGTTGAAGGAGACTGCACTGCAACTTTAGCTTCCTAGAGGGTTATAACAAACGAATACTGGAGGGCTAATGAGGCTAGTATTTTCAACCAGACCATGAGTGTGGAAGAAAGATACCCTTAATAGGATCCTTGGCCCTTTGAGTACGGAGTACAGTTGGTTGCAAAAACAGTGCGCGCTTTTACTCATTTCAATTGCTTTTTATGTGTCACTCTAACCTTGATCAGGCAAAGTGCCGGATTAATAATATTCCAGTTTTCTTAACTGTAATTTATTGTAAAATAATGTCCTTAAAATATTGTGATAGGTCATTTGAAACTCCCAATACACCGTAAAAATACACGGTCCATGCAAACCTGCCAAACTCACTACTATGATTATTATTATTATTATTATTCAAGTTTATTGTCCGTACCCAGCCCTATTGGCTATGACAGACCTAATCACTACTATGATAGTAAGGTACAAACTATCAACAACATCCTGGTGTTTCTGTCTTGCCATCCTGCATTTACAATAGAGCCCCTAACTTAGAGTTGTGCGGGATGCAACTAGGTGGAGCACCACTAACAATGACTGTGCTCATTATTTCTGTCAGCAGACAGAGTAATCAAAGACCAAGTTATGCCAATTTTCTCCTGATTAGAAACACAAGATGGACACCCATGACGTCTCACACGTATCTGAACACCTACAGATCCCGCAGATACAAAAGCAAACTCTTCAAAATGCCTACTCTCGTAAGGGCCAGACTCCCGAGCCGACCAAGTCTCGCGTCGAAATCATATCGCAGTTCATGTTTCTCCAAATGACGGGCAATAGCAGAGCGGTGGATCCGCATGGTCTTCGCTCCTATTTTGTGCCTATCACTCCTCCATTGCAGCGTTAAGTGACCTGAAGAAGGTCATGATCAGGTATATTACCTTTGAGACTCATCATCGTGGTTCGTACATTCTGGTGAGAGCAGTCATCCCAACGGATAGAATGACTGCGATCATGGCCGTGGCGGAGGATAAGAAAGGAGATGTCCTCATGCTGCAGCTATATAACCAGGGAAAAGATCTTGCTAGTGATATCCGACTTGTTGAAGGAACAGTGATGCTTACAAAGGAGCCTTACTTGAAGATGATGGCTGACGGAGACTATAGTCTACGAGTTGGCCACCTCTCCGATATCAAGTTCATCCCAGACCATGACTCTCTCGTGCCGTCGGTATGGAGAGGTTGGCTAAAGGATCACGCTTCTGCTGACTCCTGGAAGACAAACAGGAATGGATTCTTCAACAAGGCTGTGTATCATCTCGCTATTGACTGGTACACTTTGAATAGATAGTTGTGAGAAGACAAGTATACCACGGTACAGTTACTCCAAGGCCCTAGATTCCTCCCCGACTCTCAAAGTAGACATTAATATTAGGCTCAATCGCGCTCTGGCTTGCCTCCACACTCACCAATTCGACGCAGCTCTTCGTGATGTCGAGCCGGCCTTGTCAAACAACGGCTCCTCCGAGAAAGCTTTATTTCGTAAATCTCAGGCCCTTTACCACCTCCGAAAATTTCAAGAGTCCTGTGACGCTTATCCTGCGACACCAACACTCACCGTTCCTTTATCGGGGATATGATGGTGGTCCGCGCCGCACAAGATCTCCCTGCAAATACGGAGCTCACATTCTGGTACAAAGCACCCTGGAACCATGACACGGAGAAAAAAATCCTAGACGTGGAGAACTGGGCGCTTCAATGCAGCTGCGTTATCTGTCAGGATCTCAACGAAACAAGTAATAGTGATCTCGAAGCGGAGACGACTCACGGGTGATTTGGCAAAGGCCTTTGAATCCCTATCCCACACCCGGACACGAAGCGCCACGATCGCTAAAATCGAAAGTATCATTCTTGTGTTTGAGAAAACATATCGGCCGGCCAACTTCTAAAGTACCACGTCTCGGGACCTGGAAAGCATATTTGTCCTTGGCGGTGGTGCACGCCACGGGCAGTCAGCCGCGGGAAGCTATTGGAATTGCGTTGAAGACTTTGAATTCGCCCAGCTACGTGATTGAGGTGGACAACTTCCGCATACACCTGGCAAAATGTTACCTGTCAAGAGATGGGGCTTGATGACGGAGAGTCTTGTTAGTTGTTGGATGATCCTTTGCCGCATGTATTGCGTTGAAGCAGCCGTTCTCGCCAATCACGCGGAAGAATTTGCGAGGACAACGTATAGGATATATGTTGGTGAGGATGAGACGTTTGGGAATACCTATAGCCGGTCCTCGGACCGTGTTGACGGGCTCATTGTGGGGTGAAAGTGGCCTAAGACTCCGCATTGTTTTTGCATCTTTGCGATGCGCTTGCTGGACGGTATTGAAATACCCAAGGGCCGAGAAACCTTTTGTTTCCTTTATCACGTCTTATGTTCTCCCTAGTTCGGTTTCGTTGGCCTTAGGTGCCGTTGCAGAAATCCAGATAACCCAAATTGATGACGTTTAGATTTGGAGCCATCTCAGCTGTGCGTCCTAGCGGATAGTAGGCCCCAACATGACCAAATAACGGGGTCTGTATTACGAATGCAGAACAGCTAGTTATCAAATATACCGTACAGCCTCGTTACAGAAACCTGAGACGGAATAATTTATAAAGCGTGCACTGCATTTGCAAACAACTGTATCCTTGTACGACCACTTGTCTGGCCGCGTTATCTCCTGCGATTGGAGCAGCATGTCTAGCCTTGCCTCTGGATTCAGCCTTGTCACCCAACCATTGCAATTATAGTCTAATGCACTGCAATTTTAGTATCCTGGGGAATTTGGTTTTGAGTTGCTCATTGAGTCAATGACAAATTAAGAAAGTTGTATCTGGGAAAGTGGACAACTGATCGACTCCATCAGTCAGTTATGAGACAACTGACTGCCCAATTCAGGCCGAATATCGAAGATTAGTATAATACGAAATCGACGCATTCTGCTCATAAGTCTGAAATAAAATTTTTGAGTCTGTTCTCGGACACTTACAACCTATGTCGTCGCTCAAGCGACTGCTTAACCCCGACGATGGAGATGATGTTGGAGATAGACGGGCACGCCCCTTTTCGCAAGAGACAACGCTAGATTATGAATTCGAGCACTTTGTGTAGGTGTTTCCAACCAGTGTAGCATTTCGTTAGACTCATTTGAAGAAAGTCAATCGAGTCCTTTTGGAAATCACTTCCTGGCTCCCGACCCGTCATTCCAGCCTGAGCTTTACATCCGGACGGATCATCATTCCTTTCCGAACCTGTCAAACGACATGTCGATTTCGCGCTTAGATGGCCTGTCTCTTGACATTGATCCGAGCTGGAATTTACAGGCAGAGTCTGGTCATGCGATGACAATTGACTCGACACCTACCATCAGCTTCCTTGGTGAGCCAGGAGATCATGGTCAGCTCCCGATATTAGATGCTGAAACTTCTGCGTCAGCAGAGCTCATCTGCTATGGGATGGTTGGTCTTGCCCTCTCTCTGATGTGTATACATTTCCTTAAGCAGTAGCTTGTGTTCACAGATTCATAGTTCTACAACGAGAAGGTCAAACTTGTGGGACAGGGCACAGAAATAGCGAAGAAAGTCAAAGACCTTAGAGCTGGTGGCTCCTCTGTTCAGGTTTACACTACCGGGATACAACTGACTGAACAACAACTATTCCTCAAGTTCACAGATGGCAAACAACTAGGATACCTCAGCGAAAAGATGGAACGCGGACTGAATGATATGGTCCGGGCCCTCGTTATTGAGCTCGATGCTGTAGTCAATCTACAAAGCCTAAGTGAGGCTCTCCGACGTGCTCAAAAGGACACAGCTATCCGTGTAGACGTCAATGTCTACGGGTCAGAAGCGTCTCGTGACCGAGTGGGGCAGGAGCTGTCGAAAAAGGGCCTTTTCCTACAGGTTCCCAATGAGCGCCGCAAGGGAACGAGATACGATAATCCCCATATTTTACAGTTAGATGGATTGGGTGAATCGGAAACAGAGGAGGACGAGTCAAAAAACGATGCCGGATCTTCAATTGTTCCTTCAGAACAAAACGAAGACTTTCAGCGGACTATCGCTAGAGTCTGGAATTCCTTGACAAGGTCGGATGAGCTACGTGGAGTTAGAGGGAGTGAAGGCTTGAATAGAGCATTATATCAGTGAGTTGCAAACTAAAGGCACTCCACATTGTTCCAAGGTTAACATTTAATCCTCAATACAAAAGACATCAAGAAGAAGCTTTGGTCTTTATGCTACAGCGAGAGACTGGAGATATACCCGACAAATACCGCCTATGGCAGCCAGATATCGTCGAAGGTGGGCAAAGGTACAATAGTCACTACGATCTGACAATTCGAGGCTTATTTCTCTTAGGTATCGGCACACCATCACCAAAGCTACACAAAATGAATTGCCTGATGAAAGCGGAGGAGGTATCCTTGCAGATGAGATGGGAATGGGAAAGTCTTTGACCACCTTGGTGTTGATTGAAAAGACACTTGATGACGCACGCCAATGGGCAGAAGTACAAAAGACACACCCAGAAGATACAATGGCAAAAAGACGTTGCCGAGCAACTCTGGTCATTGTGCCTTCTGATGGTAAGTTTATTTCTCGGGAAACAGCATAGAGGATAGTGGCTGATAAGGTCTCAGTTCTGATTACTATGTGGACCAGAGAAATACAGGAGTAAGATTTCCTGTTCTGATACCGAGCAGTTGCTAACAGTTATACCTCAGACACTTGGCCGGTAGCTTACGGATCTTTAAATATCATGGTAAAGGTCGAAAGAAACGCCTGAGCAATATGGGTCATTTTGACATTGTTATTACTACTTATAATACACTTGCCAAAGAGCATGGCATGAGAAACAGTGGTGACAACGAGAGTCCTCTTCATGATATTGAGTGGTATCGTGTGATCCTAGATGAAGGTAAGCTTAACCATGAGGAGATATCCTGTGATAGATACTTATTGATACCTAGCCCACATGATCCGGCGACAAGCCACGACTTTCCATCGTGCAGTAATTGATCTTTCAGCGAGACTTCGGTGGTGTCTATCAGGCACGCCAATTCAAAACAGCTTAAATGACCTTGGAGCACTACTGAAGTTCATGCAAGCAAGACCATTCCACCACCTAGGAAACTTTCGCTATTACATTTCCAATCCATTTGAGGTGAGATCAACAAAGCACAGAGCTACTGAAAGACTTGCCCTCCTTCTGGAAGGAACATGCCTACGCCGCACTATCGAAAGAGTAGGTCTTCCAGGTCGGCGAGAGGAGACGCATGTCGTCGAGTTTACCGCAGATGAAGCCAAGCAGTATAAAGATACTCAAAAGGCAATCCAACGTCATATCCTCCAAAAAGTCGGTGAATACAATGAGCATGAAGTTTCCGGAATGTTTCAGTTGTATACACAGCTTCGTCGTCTTTGCAACCATGGAACCCATCAACATCCTTTCTCCTGGAAAAAGATGCTCCTTGATGAGGAGGAGGACCCTATCTGCTCATTCACTCGTGATAGCCTCGTTCGTTGCCTGATATGTACAGCTGTGTTACCATTTCTTTCCCCAGAAAGTCTGCCCGCATACGCAGAGAGTTGCAAACATGTTCTGTGTCTCGAGTGCTTCCCAGTCACAGAAAGTCCGTCAAACCCGAGTATACGACCCAACTGTCCGGTATGTAGATTTCAGAAAGCTACACCATTCTCCTCAAGAAAAGATACCTGCCACCGATCCCGGCAGTCAATAGATGCGGAGAATGAATATGATGGCTATTTTAGACCAAGCGGCTTCTCATCGAAGATGACGATGCTTGTATCCGACCTTCGAAAAGATATGAATTCTACCAAGAGGTATTGATGACTTTCTCATCGGTTGTTTTAGGTTTAGATGTCTAACCATAACCCAGTATCATATTTTCCTGTTGGACAAGGACATTGGATCTCGTGGGGGAACATTTGAAAAGTGCTAAAATAAAATATGCACGTATTGATGGCAAGACACCCTTATCCGAACGCCAGAAGACTCTTGATAATTTCGATTCCACCAGGGAAAAGCCTGTTCTGGTGATGACTTTTGGCACGGGAGCATTTGGGTATGTCTTTGTTCCTCTTTTTCATCTATCTTGTCAAGAATTACAAGCTGATGAGGTGCAGATTAAACCTCAAATCGGTAAATAGGGTTTTCATTGTAGAGCCGCAATGGAATCCCGCTGTTGAAAACCAGGCCATTGCACGCGCAATTCGTCTAGGGCAAAAGGAGCAAGTGTTAGTGATAAAATACCTTGTCAAGGGTAGCATCGAGGAAGTAGGTCCTTTTACCATTCCATTACCTGAGATGTTGACCCTAATCTTGTGTAAGAACATGTGCGACCAACAGACACAAAAACTGAAGATCAGCAAGATGGAGTTTAGAAAGGACGTCCTGACTCCTTCATCCGATGTTGCTACGGCTAGTATTGGCTCTGTACCAGGTCAGACCACCCCAGAGTTATCGTCTAAAATTACTATTGAGTATGAGAGAAACGGTTCTTAAGAATGATCCATATACTCATCCACTTCCCAAAATTGCTTCGAAAGTAAGCTATAGAGTATGTAGGAGTCTCCAAATGAACCAACAAACCCTAAGGAAACAAGTAAAGACACTCAATCAGTGCCAGACGATTTAAGACGAATATCCTCACCGCAGAATGAGACTTTCCAAATGAAAATGCAGCCTGATTTCAAAACATTGGCCACAATTCAATATTACTTAGGTGGTATACCCAAACCACATATGAGGCTGAACCATCGGACTCCCCTGCCTTCCAAGGCTAACCATCATTAATAAAATCAATACACTATACGCGTTGACAATATTCTAGCAAACATAAAGAAATATTTTTTTTCTCTCTTGACATCCTGAGAAGACACCTCATCCAAACTCTTATAGCTTGCAGCCTTGCCTGTTTTGTTGTTGTCCTTGAAGCCGACTAAGGCTGACCTCGGGACTGTGGACTCCAGGGCTCTTTATTAGGTGCATATGGATAAAAACGCTGATTTGTTGTTTTTACAAGACGGAACCTTGGAATTGTCATAGCCTCGCTGGAAAGTAATAAGGCAGTTTTTGTGTGATATGGGGAGTAGTTACTTATTCTTTTCTTTTGTTTTCCTCGTTTTCTCTTTCCGCCTCATAAAAATCAGTCTTTCAACATGACCAGCTGTTACAGTCATGGTAAACCGTCCGTTGACCCGTGATAATTTCCACGTTGCGATAGTATGCGCTTTACCACTCGAGACGAACGCCGTTCTATGTTCTCTAGACGAAATATGGCACGATGCCCCCCAATACTACAAAAAGAGCGAAGGAGACCATAATGCCTACCATTTTGGCAGGAGTGGAAGCCACAACGTGGTTGTGGTCACCTTACCTGGCGAAGGGAAAGTAAATGCAGCCGGTGCTGCTCAATCACTGAAAATGAGTTTCAATTCTATCAAGCTTGCTCTGCTTGTGGGTATCTGCGGTGCAGTCCCCTTCAAGAAAGATAGAACAGAAATAATTCTCGGTGACGTGGTCATCAGCGAGGTCATCGTGGACCTTGATCATGGCAGACAATATGCGGGAGGTTTCTGGAGGAAAGATACACTGTTGGACGTTTATGCTCGGCCCAACGAGGAGATTCTGGGGTTGTTACGTACCTGGAAAACTGCGGTAATTCTGGAAAGATTGAGACAGGGGACCAAGGACCACCTCACAACTCTATTGAACAATCCGCACTTGGATGCATGGTATCCAGGTGTCTCAGAAGACAAACTATTTCGATCAGAATACGAGCATAAGCACCATACGAATTGCCTGACTTGTTATAATGGAGCTGCCTGCGACAATGCTCGGACAGCTTCATGCACCAGTCTTTCATGCGATAAAAAAGCACTCGTACCTCGCCAACGATTAGGTGAGTCATTCATCTCAGAGTTTGAGAGTCCAACTCCTTTCATACATTTCGGATCCATTGGTACCGGAGACTCCGTCATGAAGTCAGCTCGACATCGAGACAATTTTGCAGATACTGAGAACGTCATAGCCTTTGAAATGGAAGGTGCTGGAATCTGGGACAAATTCAGCTGTCTCATTATCAAAGGTGTTTGTGACTATGCCGATAGCCACAAGAACAAAAGGTGGCAAGCTTATGCAGCTGCTGTTGCAGCTTCGGTTATGAAGGTAGTCCTGGAATATTACGTGACTCCCCGGAGAGAATCGGGAGCTGAAATTTCAAATGGTGAGTTATCATATTCTGTCCTGTCTCATTCTCTCCGCCAGAGCACTAAAAACTGAATAGATAGCTCCGGAGCACCTTCTGATGCGGTGTTCAATTCTCAGAATGAATCCGATCTCCAAGGCACGCATAGCCCTCAAGCTTTATTTGACAACAAGGTGAAAAGTTTTGAAAGACGCTTCAATAAAGAACAGTGGGATGCTTTCAAAGTTTCCAGTGCTGGCTCCCTGAAAAGACTACTGAAGAAAGTTCAGGATGAGCAAAAGGCTTCAAGATCAATACAGAACATGAGACGAATGGAGTATTTTCTCAAAGCTGCTGAAAGCCTAGATAAACTTATGGAAGAAGTCCTCATAATGCCAGGCTTCATATGCTATATCTGGGGCCCTGCCAAGCTCCTACTTCAGGTAACAATCTTCAAAATTTCTTATGCTCTTGCCATGAAACTCAGATGTTGATGTCTCTACAATAGAGAGCAAAGGATCATCCAGATCGACTCGAGGCCTACCTAACTGCATACGAGAGAATTGGTGCGAATCTCCCAACGTTTGAAACCAGTCGCAACACCTTCAAAGAAAATATGGGACTGCAGAGTCTACTTGCAGAGGTCTTTGACAATGTCCTTGACTTCCATCATAGAATGACTAAACTATACTGCGGCAGAGGTATGACTTCGACCATATTGCCTTTATGAACAGCGCTAATGGCTTGAATATATACAGCACTCAAGGAAAGCTTCAAATCACTCTGGAAAGATTTTAATCATCGTTTTGAACATATTCTTTATCAGCTCGGCTCACATAAAGTGCTGATAGAAGACGAGACTAGAATACCGGTCTGCTCCTTCAGAGACATGGCCGGGAGCTCGAAACTTATCCTCGATCATATTCGACGAATGAGAACAGATGCTTTTGAGTTTGATAGGAAGGAAAGAGAAAGACAAAATAAGATCCACGATGAAGTCCTTGGCTGGTTTTCATATTCTCGGAATCACTCAGAGAGCGACAAAGACGAAAGTGAACATGGCAGATACTGCGACGATCGAAAACAATATTCCAATACTGGTGACTGGATCCTGAGCCATGAGAAAGTCCAAAAATGGCTATCTCCAGACGTACATCATTCAAGCCACTCTATGCTATGGATAAATGGTCGTCCGGGCACAGGTAACGTTATACGGCATTGTCGAGATACTGTTTTTCATACTAATCAGACCTAATATAACCAGGCAAAACCTATCTAGCTTCAATCATGATTCAAGCTTGCATCGAAGATAACACCAGAGCGACAGCCTACTTCTACTGTAGTGAAAATATGGAACGCAGAGCCACTGCTATTGCAGTGCTTCGCGGTATTCTTTTCCAGTTGGAACTCCATGACCCTGAGTTAGCTCCATACTGCCACGAGAAAATGAAGACCTCTGATAGCACAATCTTGTCGTCTTTACAAAGAGCAAGAGAGATTTTGGGGGTCTTTTGCGAAAGGAGCCCAAAGTTATATATCATAATTGACGCCGTTGATGAGTGTGAATCTGGTGAGCAGGCAAAGAACCTGCTGAATATTTTCAAAGATTTGACTCAGAAGTGCGATAACCATTCGCCTGGAAAGCTTCGCGTTCTTTTTTTCAGTCAACCAACTTCCGAGATTAGGAATGCTCTCTCGTCTGCTGATACTCTTACTTTAACCCCGGAACTTACTGTCAACGACATTCGAAAATACTGTCAACACAGAACCCGAGAATTGGAAAAATTTGAATTCGGCAATGAAGATATCAAAAATGTGGTAGAAATAATCTGCACGAGAGCGGATGGTGAATAAGTTCTCAAACATTTCATCATATTATAAGTCCTCTAATTCCTTTCTAGGGATGTTCTTATTTGCAAAACTGGTCATGAACAACCTGGCCAAACAACCCAACCTGGCAAGTTTTCGCAATGAGATTATTAGCACAAGGCTGCCAAATGAAATTGACCAAGCGTAAGTTCTTGGGCCGGTCATACAATGGTTCGTTTCATAGAATGCTAACGAGGTCTCAGGTATGGTCGGATAATGGAGCGTCTCCGGCGAGAACTTGGTGAGGGGCAATTCGAGTACACGAAGCTGTTGCTCGGGTGGTTGGTCTGCTCCAAAAGACCGCTTAAATGGACAGAGGTTCAATCTGCATCCTCAGTAGATCTCGATGTATGGGATGGTTTCAATGAATTGAACATGGATTTCGAGCTACGAGACAATGTACACAAGCTCTGTGGGTCTCTTGTTCAGGTATTTAAAGGAGATCGAGTCGAGCTTGTTCACAGCACTGCAAGGAGGTATACTTGCACATTCAGAAATTTATAATGCGATATGCTGACGGAAACCAGATTCATAATTGAGAAAAGTGGCATAGATATACCTGCAGCAGAATGTGATCTGACCCTCCGATGCCTGCGATATCTCACGCTGAACGTTTTCAAGCCTGATTTAAGAGACGAGGATCTCAAATTATATGCACTTAGTGGGGATTTTGCATTCCAAGATTATGCAGTGTCTACGTGGTTTATGCATATTAAGACAATGGTGGATACAAACCTGGGTCTCATGATTAGGGACCGATCCTCGGACTTCGAAGCTCAGCTCAAGAGAATCTACCATGGGCTTGGTCATTTCGTACAATTTTATGAGGAGAGCTTTCAAGATAAGAGTATACAACAGCAGGCTTATCAAGACTGCGAGGTCTTTCAACAATTCAACTTCCATGCCGATCTCGTCAGGATCTGGGAACACATTCGTTCAGAGCAAAGCAAGGATCTGGTAGCTCGAAACAATGTGAGCATTGATCTACTTAAAAGGGCACTTACACGAAACCGCGAATTGCTCGAAAGGCTGAGTACAAGTGAAGAAGTCGACGTGTCCAAAAAATACGGTGATTGTATCTTCCGATGTCCAAAAGTTCTCTGCTTCTTCTTTCACGAAGGCTTCAAGACAGCTCAAGCCCGCGACAACCATGTGAATCGCCACGAACGACCTTTTCATTGTACAGTTGAGAATTGTACTACAGAAGGATTGGGTTTGGCATCAGAGTCTGCGCTGCGGAAGCATCTAAGAACGTTCCATCCGGAGCAATGTGACTTGAGTGAATCCTTCACCCGGTTGACTAGAAGATCAACGAGTCAGGCACGCTGGAAATGCCATTTCTGCTCTAAGTCCTTCGTAAGAAACCTCATTCTGCAGGATCACTTGTTAACTCACGAGGGCAAGAAGCCATGGGCGTGTTCAGAATGCGGCAGGCCATTTACCAGAAAGTACGACATGACAAGACATGAAAAAGTGCATGAGAGAAGACGCTAGAAAATTTAGAAAAATTGCTGTTTGCGTATTGTCTATTGTCAACCAGAAAATCCAAAATCACTGATGTTCGCCCTCACTTTAGGGTTTTGTACTCAACAAACCGTAAATACCGGTCAAGGCCGCTTGTAGACTGGTATAGTCTTCTCAGTACCACACAACGAATATGAATAATCCATTACGGTAAAGAATAGTAGACATCAGAGTTCAACTTGTGTTACTTGTCGCAAGGCTGAGCACTTAATCTGAGGTAAGCTGACGTCTACGGTCTGCCAGACCAAAATTGGTTACTTCAGGGCTCTCGTGCTCTAGGAAGCTAAAATTGCAGTGCATTTTGCCTCATATTCGAGGTTGCGAATTTAATCGTGGTAAATATATCTATCATGTATTGAAAGACAAACCTTGACATTCAACTAAATAATAGCACCGAGAATCCAACCTTGAAGATTTTATCTTGGGAACCTCCCCTCATACCACATGAACCTCTCTCCTAGCTAGCTATATATCCCGATACTACTCCGTAGATCATCTAGGATACGCGCAGCTTTTTGGTCTAGTTGGTTGAAGCCGCACATTTTGCGAGCCGATATACTAACATGTGTTACTGTTATATCAGTCCTATTCATAAGACAAGTATGCAGCTCGTGACATACCTTTATATTTCCAGCGTAATGTGCTCCAACCTCGATTTCTCGATGTAGAGCAATGAAACCTGACGAAATTAGGTCAAGAAATATCACGTGAAGATATTCGCGCTAGTCCCAAAATAGTAAGCGCAAAACACGACACACGTGACACAGTACTGAGCTTGACGCTCCCGCGACTGTGATTGGCTACAGTCACGTCGCGTGGGAGAAACACGCTTTCTTTCCTTCTTTGAGCTAAAGCTGTTGCTTCACGACATCATGGCTTCCTATCTCAAACCTCGCCGTGCCTGCTTTTTTCCCTCTCCAGCCTCCTTCAACTACTTAATCCCCCTCCATCCCTCTTCTTCCTTTTCTCTCTTCTCTCTTTCTTATTCCTACTTTTCCAGTCCTTCCCCTACGAAGCCGCCGAGTCATCCAATCAATACCTTGCATCGATTCTGCATGAACCCAGTGTCCACTTTACATTCCAGTGTACCTTTTGCCTGCTCAGATCACGGTCTTCACCCGCATCGTGCATACTCACCATTCTCCCAGTCGACGGGATTGATTCCTTGCATAACACGGAGCGCTAGGAAACCTTAGATCCCCTCATCGACTCTCACCGCAACTACTCGTGTGCGACTTTGAAAGGCGTCAGGTACGAAAGGGCTACGTGTGAAATCTTACAGTCTAGCGAGCATTCAGGGATATCTTCCCTGGTCCTTTGCAATTTTCAGAATCACCAACATCCTTACCTTTACAACTATCGTATCATCGTCTCGCCAGAAAACTGCGTATGGTGGAAGACTACTCTTGTGTCCGGGATGGAAGTTCAGGATGGCATCACCGTCCGGCCCATGAGGTGTACGTCAAACCGGATGTTTCGGATATGATTTTAGGCAGCAGCTAACAGGGTTTTGTTACAATTGACAGTGAAAGTTTTATACACATTCGATGATCAAAATAAAACGAACTGCTTGGCTCGATGGCCTCACCTGCTCGATATTCAAACCGCATACCTTGACGAAAAGACACAGATAGGTGTCATTGAACTTAAGACATGTATACAGGCTATTGTGTCAGCGAGGTCAGTGGCCAATTTCATCCAAGTCAGCTAATCTCTTTAGTTGCTAAATCTTCTTGCAGCCCGGAGTTGGTGGCGAAACTCGGCCAGGACTACACAGTTTACGCCTACGACTATTCGGAATATGAGACGCCTCTGGTTGGCCAAGGCATGCTATCCTGGGTTCTCGCCTCAGCATCACCAACGCCCAATGCACCCGCACACCAGTCCAAAACTATTGTCACGGGACGGGTGAGTAAGAACGTCCTTGGACTGTTCTCGAAGGGGGCGCAAGAGACTCTCGAAGTGAAACTACGCCTTGTACCGGTACCAACCTTGATGCAGAGCGAATACCTCGAAAGCATGCAACGCTATCGGGAATTGAGCAATATAATACCGCAAGACTTTGATGCTCAAGCCTGGTCTTCTTTTGTGCAACAAAACCCTCACATCTTTGCAACCAGTCAGCGCTCGCAGTCTAGCCCAGGTGTAAGCGGCCCAATAGATCACTCTGGCATAGAGAAATTTCATCAACTTTTGAGTGAAGGCTCCACGCCCAGAGAGTTCCCTCACCCTCATCCGGATTCTACAGCTTCATCTCCAGTGGATCCTCCAAGCCGGAGCGAGACACCAGTTGGTATGCAGATGATCACCCAAATGTCTAGGCAGCCATCTGCAACGGGTCACGGTCGAAGAGGGAGCGAAGTCTCTATTCGTCCACTGTCCCGGGCATCTGTGCGCGAGTCAGACTTTCAGCGCCCGGGCACAGTAACCCGCCGGGGATCAGTGTATTCAGGTTATGGAAGTGGCGACGAAGCGATGGAACACCCTCCAAGGAAGCGAGCTAAGCTTTTCAGAGCGGATGTAACCGGCAAAGATGACTTGAATATCGAGCGCCAACCTGGTTCACTTCGCGTCGCTGCAAGCACAGCTGCATCTGTTCGGATTCACCGTCCAACCCCAGTCAGTTCCACCCAACACCCGGCTGCAAGTTCTCTTGAAGAACCCGTTCGCCCCCCTACACCAATTTCTCGCACCTCCAATGAAGGACCACGACGAGGCCGCCCCGCTCCGAGCCTACTTCGTGAATCGTCAATCAATAGCACAACGAGCTATAGGTCACCCTATCCTGCATACGATGATGTGCCGTCAACTGATTTGCCAGATGCTTCTCCTGACGATCACCGCTACCAAGGTATTTTCGAATCACAATTCACTATGCCTTCATCTCCGCCTATTATGGATGCAGGACTGCCTAGTCGCTCGAGCCCTGTCCTCCCCCCCTTGCGTAACCCACCTGACTCAGGCTTCATGAGTGCTACACTCGAGGATTTGATGGACGAAGATGGCTGTATCCGCACGCATAACTTATATGACCATAATGATGCAACAGGAATGACGAACTGCGAGCCTACCAAGCAGGCCCACCAAGATCAGGTGACAGGCAATCAAAATTCACAGGCCAATCATGAATCTGTCTCTAGGCAACAGAAAGACGACTATCTTGCTAGTGACAGCCTGTATGAGTCTTTGTCTTCTAAGGAAGCGCCAACGCTCCCGCCTCAACATAGTTCCACGTCTTCGCGACCATCGTCTCGAACAAGTATAAGGCCCGCGCAAAAGCTAGCACCTGCCCCACTCTCTCAGAGTGAGATTGAGCAATTGATGAGCTCAATTCCTGCAAGCGATCCCGTCTTACCACCCTCAAGCTACATGCACCATGCCAATACATGGTCTGGCCCGATGAGTGACATGCCATCCGCTGAGACCCCGTTACCTCAACCGGTTGAAGAGAAGGGAAAAGGACGAAGTGGGGCAGGTGCTCGACGCTCACGTCAGGTTGCGGCTCGACTTGAAAACTGCGTTCGAGACGGCCAAGCTCCTCCGTTTTGCTATAACTGTGGCGCTATCGAGACCCCCACCTGGAGAAGGGCATGGTCGAAACACTTTGAGGGTAGCGAACAGGATGCAAATGACTGCTTAAAGGACCCCATGTGTCTTTTCTGGACTGCGACAGACCGAATTGACGGCGAGAAGGTCACCAAGTTCCGCCTATATAAGAAGACCCTTGGGGATGCGGATAAAGACTTTGACCAGATCCTTCTTTGCAATCGTAAGTCTGTACATGATAAGTTGGTGAGATGTTCTACTAATAGCAGATAGCTTGTGGTCTTTGGCTTCAGAAGTTCAGGTCCATGCGTCCTCAAAATAGGTGGACCAAACAACCAATAAAAGACAAACGGAAACGATCATCTCGGCCACGAAAAGGTCCTTTGACGAATGGTGCAGTTGCTTCCACAAGAATCCGAAGCAAATCCCAGGCGAATTCCGTACCTGGCTCATCTCCAGCCCACACAGATACATCCTCTCCAGCAGGTGACAATGGCTCCCAAGCAGGAGACGACGGGGTCACTCCTGCAGTTGAAAACGAGAACGAAAACGAAGATACCAATGGCTATGCTGATGAGCAATCTAACAAACGCGTTCGTGCCAATAGCGCAGAACCGACATCCAACACACTTCAGAGTCGATGGGACGAGAATGCCGCCATGGAAGCGCTCAAGAGGGCCATCCAATCGAGTCCTGCACGCAACCTGGATGTTCATGTATCGAAATCACATGATGAAAACCTCACGCCAAAGCCTGTGAGGAGAGCTTTGTTCCCGCAAAGCAATCATGATGGTCCCTTGAAGACTTTGGGTGAGTCCCTCTTGAATAGTCCGCGTCGCAGTCCTCGCGTTGCATCACGGGGTTCTGAGAAGACAGTAGCAGACAAAGAAAATACTCCATCTGCTACTAATCGCAATCTCGATGGCCTCTTTGAGAGTCCGTCCTTCGACCTTGCTTTACGAAATACCCCTACTCCTAAGCGACGGATGCCTCGCTCCCACGAACGACGACTATCACTTCCGTTCTGCTCACCTAGCGCCAATAGAACAAAGCAGACTACAAGCGGCCAATCACCAAGCACATCCAGATCAAGGCAGACACGCCCAAACTCTGATAAAGGCGCTTCGACAGATGACACTGTCGAAAACAGAAGTTCGTTTCCCAGTGTGGACGATATCGTTTTGGATAGCTTACTCGACCCGTGGCATTCACTTCCCCAATCAGATATATACGACCCGTTTTCTGATTGGTCACCAACCGGCGAAAACGGAAACTCGATTCTGCAATTTCCAAGCAATTTCGGTGATGATGATGCTCTGATCAATGCTGTGCTCGCGGAGTCGGAACTTCAGAACACGACAGATACGAGAGTCTCCTTTGCGGGAAATACCACTCTCAATGACACGGCTCTACCCCAGTCTAGAAATAACGAACAAGGTCAGGCTGAAGCAGAGGTTACTGTTACATCTAATTGAAGAAACATCGCTCTATCCTCAAAAGCACATGAATTTTACGATTGCAATGTACTCTATTTCTATTTTACTTAAAAGCGACGGTGTAATGGTCTGTTACGATTCTGCATTGTGTTTCATTTACACCCGTTGTGTGTTTTTGCATATTCCTCATTCAGCGTCAAAAGGTCATATGGAGGCTTGATTTTGTTTTATCGTTTTGTGCATGTGTCTCATCCAGTCCTATGATTATAGATGTACTGGTTAGCATGTTGGCTGATTACCTAGTTAAGCTGAATGTCCGAGTTTCAATCAAAGGACAATACGTTCAATTAATGTCTTTATGAAATAAACAGAACTTTGAAAGCTGTACACGACAGTTGTCGAGCAGGTAGGCCCACTGGTACAGAAGATATAAGCTAGTCTTAAACATGATACACTCAAAAGGAAATTTTGTCATTAATTCATTCGCTTATCCTCTTAAGAGTCGTAGAAAATCTCTTTGTATCTATGGGTCACATCCACAACGTGCTCGTAAATCTTATAATCTACCGTCACCAAGTCAGTTGAAATTGAAGAACACCTTTCGTTAAAGATCACTCACCAAAATTCAAAGGACTATCCCAATCTATAGTCGCCAAAACATTGATACCCAGTCCCTACATCAACCAAAAGTCAGAAACCCGGCTCAGAAGCTATACATATTCTCCTTTCTCCCCAGTTATTGATTGTATCAAACGTACCTGCCCACCACTTAACTCAGCAACCTTCCCGACAATCTCCACCAATTTCCCCATTTGCAGATGCGAATCCGGCTTCAATAGTAACGTCACATCTCCATGGTTGCCGCATGTGATAACGGCCGTTTCGCCGCGCAGCGCGGTTACAGTGCCTAGGATGCGGACTGTGTTGATGCGCTGGTTGCCGCCAGATGAAGGGTGGAAGGCTTGAAGGTGAGAGGGGAGGATTCGTGGGGTTTGGAGGGACATTGTTCTTGTTTCTTGTTCAGATGATGGAGATCGCACGATGAGCCCTGGCTGGTCGTTGATTATCTTTCGAATTGTGATTGATGGGGATTTTGCTGAATGATTGATTGCCAGTTAATTAGTGCGGTAGATATGTAGACCACAAGTTTCCAGCTTATTGGAAATAGTCATGTAATGAAGTTGTATTCTTCGGCAATGTGAGGTCAGAAAAGCTCAAGGTTAATGCGGAATAATCGCGGGGTTGGGCGCGTTCCGGCGACGCGAAAGCACGTGATCCAATGAGCTATGAATCTCGGTGCCTGAGGCAATAATTAATTATAGCGCGAAAAAGGTCGAGCTTCGAAGCTCCATCGCATTTTACTAGGTCAATCATTACCATGCGCGCAACAAATTGATTATGCAACTAGAAACCTCAAGCATTCTCTATTGACAGATATTTCAATATTTGCGCCTTGAGATTCAAATTACGACATCTACATAATTAGCCCGCGCTGGTCGCGGCCATTTGAACCGTCACCATGCCACCACAATTTCCATCCTATCACCGGGGCATGACCAAAAACCCGCTGAAACCAGTCAAACGATATCGCCCCGGAAAAGCGCTTGCAGAAGAACATTCATTGAAAGAGGATGATGAGGAGGAAGAGATTGCACAAGAAGAAGAGAGACGAAGACAGGAAGAAGCGAAATGTCGTCAGCAAACACGACCAGCCCCAAAGGCTACTTCTTTTCCGAGCTCTACGGCTGGGAAGGTTACAAAGGAGGTTAAAGATGTGACGCTGGAAGATGAAGATGAGGAAGGATTTATTACAGAGGAGGAAGAGGAAGTAGCCAAGCCGAGCACTATTCAGAAACCGGCCGTTGCTCGTCAGGCGCCATCAGCGGCCGTAGAATTAGAGGAAGAAGAGGAAGAAGAGATAGAGTCAGAGGAGGAAGAATCAGAGGAAGAAGAAAGCTCAGAAGAGGAGGCACCGAAGAGAGTCCTCCTTCGGCCGACATTCATCAAGAAGGACAAGAGGAAAGGAAATGAAGAAAACGGTGATCAAGCTTCTTCTGCACCAGGCGTTGCCGACACAGCAGCAGAAGCAGAGGCTCGCCGAGCACAACGACAGGAAAAAGCAGACTTTCTGGTACGTGATCAACTCGAAAAGGAAGCCATGGCACGACTCGCAGGAAAGAAAGCATGGGACGAAGACGAGAACATTGCCGCTGAGGAAGAAGCTCTCGACGATCGTGACGGTCTAGATCCGGAAGCCGAATACGCAGCCTGGAAACTCCGAGAACTCAAACGCATCAAACGACAGCGCGAAGCAATCGAAGCGGCTGAAAAGGAACGCGAAGAGATAGAACGACGACGAGCCCTAAACCCAGAAGAGCGAGAACGTGAAGATCGGGAATTTATTCAGAAACAAAAGGAAGAGAAAGAAGCTGGTCGTGGTCAGACTGGGTTTATGCAACGATATTTCCACAAGGGAGCTTTCTTCCGAGATGACCTTGAGCGTGAAGGGTTGGATAAGAGGAATATCATGGGAGCTCGATTTATAGACGAAACGAATCGTGAAGTATTACCTGAATACATGCAAATCCGGGATATGACGAAATTAGGAAGAAAAGGACGAACACGATATAAGGATCTTCGATCTGAAGATACGGGTCGATGGGGTGAAGGGTTTGATAATCGACCTCGACGTCCTCGCGACGATGATAAATTCTTGCAGAATGTAACCGATGAGCGATTCTTGCCGGACAGGGATCGTCGTAACGACGACCGTGGAAGAGATGCGACACCCACGGGAGCTAACTTCAGCTCCGTCAGAGAAGACCGTCGCCGTCGTCGATCGTATTCAAGAAGGAGATCTAGCAAGTCTCGCTCCCGCTCACATTCTCCCAGGACAAGAGATTATAAACGATATGATGATGAACGTCCTCGGGACAGGAGTAGGAATAGAGGTCGGTATAGGGATGATTATCAACATGATCGAGATAGGAGAGAACAGCGAAAAAGAAGTCATTCACCTTATGATGATCGAGACAAACGTCGTCGGACCGAGAGTAGAGTGTCGCCTTGATACTCATCCATATGTACATTATCTTTGGCCATTAGCCCTGAAATCTACATACTTAATGCATGACCATTAAATGAAACGTGAAACTTTAATTTGGTAAAACAATGGTATTGGAATATATGCATGTGCTATACTATAACAACAACTGAGATGACCTCTTAGCCATAAAATCTTGACGCCAGAGTCTTTATTTCAAATAAGAAAAGAAACCCATTACTTAACACCAGCACGCTCAAGAACATTTTCCCTCTCCATAACTGTCTCACCAAACCTCACCAAAAACACCGTTCTACCAGGCCACATCTCCGTCCCCTGATTATGAGCCGTCACTTTAGCCTCAAACCCACACCCATCACATACCCCTTCGATAATCCCCGCTACAAAAGCAGCACAATTGAGCATACTCATTTCCTTGGGGACGCTGATATATGTATTGACGAGCGGATCGTTATCGGTGATCATGTATTCATTGGGCGTTTCGGGGGATACGGAGTGTTCAAGGGCGTCGGCGGGGCGTTGGAAGAGGAGACGCCAGAGGGGACCGTGAATGAGATGGAGGAGAGGGAGGATTCGGAGAGGACGGTTTGGTGGGGAGGAGGATGTAGATGATGATGTGAGAGTGGAGGAGGATGTGCTTGATATAGAACGGTAGAAGAGGAGGTCGAGCAGGCGTAGACCTAAAGGGTAGCCTTGTTCATTCAGACTAGTATACTTATGTCAGACATGAAACCCCTTCATTTCGCTTGAAAAGGAAAGGAAAAGTTACCGTTTCTCAAGATCTTGAATACCAGTAACTCTCCGTTGCGCATAAGTCACCATTTCCGCGAACAGGAAGGCAAATGACGCCCGACTCAGATCTGCCTTTTGGCTTCTATTGAGATGTCGATCATATATCGTTTTGCGATTGGAGGGTACTCGAAGACCACCACTTGTACTTGTTTGAATGAGTTGGCTTTGGCGTATTGAATGTTGCTGTTGGCCGTCTGCGTATTGGGTTGATGCTTTCTCTGTCACTGTACTGCTCATCGACAATGTCGATTGGCGTCTTGGAGGCGCCGCCATTGTGATTTTCCTTGTCTCTTATAAACTCGATATGTGTACTGTAAGCGTCGAGCTAATGAGCTTGGTGTATCTCGAGACCTTATGAATCAGCTCGAGGCTGTTCAACTTGGTGACGGGTCCGTTGACAGTTAGAGAAAACAAGACGTGGTGATCTATTATTATGTATTAGCGGAGTCTCGTAATTTAGCCCTCGAGTGAAAACGGTTGAAGCCTCCGAGCCGTGTGATGCAGTTATCAATGTCGGGACACTATCGCAACTTACTTTCCTCTGAACTACATGTACGGTGGAGCAAGCGACTCGCTCCCGCAAGATGCTCCTCCAATGTGAAAAAATGCGATTGGCCTCCAATTGATTCTTCACTCTTCCTAAGTTACGATAAATCAGTTTAAAAGGTACAGTTTACTACAACCATGCGAAAAATGCAAATATGGTCCCCAGAAATCATTTTATTATATATAGAGCCAAGTATCCTAACATATGACCTTTCCACCTCAAAGCCAGCACCAAAACGCAAGCCTATCCCAAGAGCAAATATATCAACGTATTGAAGAATTGCCGACCATAAACTGCGGGATGAATTATCTAATGAAGTCCTATATCTTCAAGAGCAATGAATGTTAGCTCAATTCTTCAGCACGCAGCATGAAAGAAGATTAACGAATCAACTGGAAAAAAAGATCAGACATCCAAGGAAGTAATGCGCACAGAGCACGTCTATGGAATTGGGTTCACGGCGACGGCTAGCGTGGAAACTGCGAATGTGGAAAATGTTTTCATCATAAAAGGATTGCCATGTCGTGTTGTAGACATGGCGAGGGTGATCTGGGAAGACGGAATGAAAGTGGTGTTTAACATACCTAGTTAGTTGCAGCAATAGACTAAGTAATGCTCAACCACTATACAATTGTATACAATAGTATAAAGTGGTGTTGAAAAGATTGCTAAGTAAAGTGATGGAGGGAAGAAAAAAATTTTTGAGTGTGGCAGAAAAGCGGATTTTATAGCTCTGGTTGCGGACTCACCGCCTTATTGGCAGTATCTTTTTCTCTTTTTCTCCACAAGAACCCTAACCCTATGATAACAAGCAAAATGACAAGTGGAAAATACTAGTACTTCATTAAGTCCCTTTAAAAGAGTCAATCGATATTTAATTGAATTATAGAGAAGATATATATTCAAGACAGATAGACTTCTAGTCCCAAGTTCAGCCAGTCATGGTCAAAAGATTGTCTCTCCGTTGAAAGGACCTCAACTCTTACCTGATGATACATGGTCTATTTGGTGAACGCTTTCTGGCGCTGTCTTGAATTCCAATTCAATGTTTTGGATATACTTTGCACCCAATCCTCGCTTCGTCTTCCAGCAGGCATCACATTCGCAAATGGGTAGCGGGAAGCCGACACTGTTACGTAGTCGCCCGGATGTAACTCGACCCTGGGAAAGTATCAGTAAAGATATGAAAAAAAAAAATATGTATATATATGGGTAAACCTGCCTCTCTCGCCCGTCAAAACTAGCCCACGAGGTTGTGCGAGCGTCGTAGGGTACGCCCATTCTCAAGACAATGGTGTCTGGAAGAATTATAGGCCGGAATGATAGTGTATGAGCACAGATGGCTGTAACTAAGATCACAGGATTCTCTGGATGGGATAGAGCACCACCAGCTGCGAGATTGTAGGCAGTCGATCCTGTAGGCGTGGATATACATACGCCGTCTGCCAAAACAGTTGTAAAGTGTTCGTCGTCTCCGAATAATTCAATCGTCGACATTGCTTTATGAAGTTAGAGCCATAATACAGTTATAATTCAAGACAAGGAAGACACATACTCGGATTCGGCCCCCTGTCGACCACAATATCATTCAAAATTTGAAATACCTTATCCGGTACGTGTGTCAACGTATCACCAATCTCTTCACCAACCAATTCCTCCACAAGATCTTTCTTGAGGACATGTCCCTCATGATCAACGGCCGGTTTTCTTCGAGGATTACTCCGCATCACTGTACACTCAAATCTCAATCTTAGACTAATAGCAACTCCATCACGAAATGCCTTTGTAATCGTATCTTGATACTTTGAATAGTCGAATTTGGTTAAAAATCCAAGTGATCCGAGTGAAAACGATAATACAGGTGGCACTATACGCTGAAATAACCAGCTGGTATATAAGACTGTGCCGTCTCCTCCGAGCGTTATCACGAAATCGAACGTCTGCGGATGATCAGTTGCAATGCTGCTGTTCCAATATCTCAATCGATCATGCGCCGTAGGCTCGTCAATTTCATGAATAATACGAGCACCATCAAAATCCGGATGGTCTTTAAGCGACTCCTGAACATAGACAGTATATAGCCTCTCTCTATCCTTTGATAGAAGCCATGTAGTGAACTCTCTCGTTATCTTAATCAACGATTCATCATGTGCCTTTGTCACCACAAACACCGTCTTGACTTTAAGCTTGAGTTTAACACTACCCAATCGCTTAGATAATTTGCGCACATTCCAGGCCATATCAGACAGCTGCGCCTTTGTCAAGTGTCGCGAATGCACCACCGTAGGCGTACTTTGATCCGGGAGACGACTCGCATAATCAACTACGGCGACTCGATCGTATTCCCTCAACTCATTGTCCTGACTTGCAGGTTCTATCTCAATCGGTCTTCTGCCAATATGTTCGCCGGTTACGGTTCTGTCGTCCTCTTGGTATTCGTAGGGTATATCCCATTTTCCATTCAGCAATGAGTGTACGAAGCACGCTGTGTTCTTATCGTGGGAGTCGGAACCACGGCGACGGATCCGGGGGTCATCGGTAGCGACAAGTGATGATTTGCGACGATGTTCAGTTTCGGGACTGAAGACGATCTATTGAGGGTTAGTCTATGGGTCACGACATCAAATGGTCGGTTCACCTCTATGTGGTTATGAGAATCTGACTCACTGCCTATTTCTCCTCGTGTCTGCCTTAACCGTCAGTATCTAGCTTTCCAAGTTCTAACAAGGTCGCGACGCGAGATGGAGTCACACACAAAATCTTCAATGGCTATTTGCGTATTGGCATCCGGCTTAACCATTTTGAGCTCTGAGCTCCTAGTTAATTAGGTTCGCATAGATTTTGACAGTTCAAGTCTCGATTGCCAACCATATCGCTGTATGTCCTTGAATGGAGGTTGTCGTTGACTATCACGATGGGATGATGTCAGCCCTCTATCGGCCATGTCACGTGTCGATAACTGGATATTTGAACCACTTCTGCAGTGCCATTATTATATAGCATCAATTGATGTCAGTAAGGTTTCCTCTCTTGTTCACTGATTTACTGTTATTTTCATGGTCGAGGTGGTTAGGTAGATGGTGTGGCCAGCAACCTTGGAAGTTGTCTACCTCGAGCAGAGTGCGTCTCTAAGGTTGAGAATATATATATATCCGGATGGACCTTGCGAGTTAACGTTAACCACCGAATAGCTACCTATATAATCCACAAAATCATGTTTAGTTTCAATTGGCAAATCAATGGTAAACAACAGTATCGAAGGCATCAAAAGTGCTCTTCTATAAAGTATCTACCTAGGTAGGTATGGAGATACTGAAGAAGCGTGTAACCCTATCTGTCCTTCCAGGTTTCGGTGCGCAAGGTCTACATATACGTACTTCGAAATGTGGCCATATACTACCTAAGTATGGAAAGAATTGACAACAACCACTCACAGAAGTGGAGGGACATTAGGACTAAGTATGGAGTGCTGACGAGTGATCCTGTCAACGACACCGTTGGCCAGAGAATTACCAAACAGGGAAACTCGTTTCCTAGTTAAGATACTTGCTGTCTCCCAAGCGAAACGAGGGCAAACAGCTTATTAGTCATCAAACTATTAATCAGAATCAAACATTGACACGGCTCGGTCAACACTACCAGACACTTTCTCCATCGTGCATATGATTCCGAATGAATCGTTATCCTATCCTATGGATGAAACTGGAAAAGACCGATTACGAGCCCGCCAGCAAAGACTGAGAATCGTACATGATTCGCATAACACCATGGATATGTGTGATAAATCTCGCCAAAACCCGGTATGCAAGAGAGCCCGTCTCATTTGATGCTGCAGGTATGCTCGCTGACGATACGCATTGTTGCACTCACTTGGCGGGTTGAGCGGGCTGAGCGGGTCGGATGGATGGCTGCAGGCCTCAGCCTGCTATGTATACTTACTTATCGATCACTTGATTCAACAGGCATTTAAAAAGGTAACAAAGGCATTCCTTTGAAGGATGCCAGTGACAGCGGTGGTGTCGGGGCTTATGCAAGTTGGACACGAAAATAGTTGTGGCTGGCCTAGTTGCACTGTTGCAGTCTTTGTTAATCTTCTTAAGGATGGTATGTGTGACTGAACTATTTATGCGACTTGACACCCCCCCATTATTACAATGCATTGCATCGGTTCGTAATCGTCGTGTCGACGTTGGTTTCGATATGTTGTTGAAAAAAAAAATGTGATAGATAGCTAAAGTTAGAGTCTCGGACAGAACATCTAGACTTATGTATGTTTACTTAACCAATCAGCGTGACAAAATAGATTGCCCACTGACCCCTCATATATTTTTTCTTTCTTCTTTCTCCTTTCTCTGCAGGTGACTGAATAATAATGAAAGAATATCTTGCACGATCCTGGAACCGAGGTCGTCAGCAAATATTTCCTTGTCCTCACTTCCGATACGACAAGTTCTTCTTCCTTGTTCCATGTCCCCTGCCTCGGAGGCGATACCCATCGGTTGAACCACCTTACGTAGTAGGGAGGAGAGGATCGGCTGACCATTAATACGATTAATAAAGTGAGTTACCGGGATATGTTCGACTCAGAAGTGCATCACTGCCATCCAGAACTTAGTATACAACTGCGCCCATTATTTGAATCCAGACTATGGATCATTCATCTGATCGCAGCTGGAACCAGCATCGCATGTGTAGGATGGACTAATACAGACTTCGTGTCATGTACGCAATGAATTCGTTTAGTTACTACGTAGTCAAACTTGATTGTATGACCGACAGACTTTCCCTTCTAGTTTAGTACATAGTATTTTCTGGATCATGATATCCACCCTTTGACTGAAGCAGATCGGTGACTAGGACCTCCGTTTGTAACCACTCGCTCGTAGATGATAAAGTCATAGACGGAGTCTATAACAAACCGAGTATACTCCGGGTTAAGTTAGTTTTTCTTAACATGCGGTGCCTCAATAAGAATTGCCCGTTAAGTCATAAAACTTGGGGCGCTGTGCCGTCCGGTCAGGGGGCCTGCTAGGGCCTGGGCTAAGTTTTCCAAGGGTTGGGTTTCCCCTAACGGTGGTTCCACGAATATTTCTTAGCTTCTCGTATGGCTCTGTCAGTCTGTCTCAAGATAAGCGGGACTAGGCAGAATGATTCTGTCTTCCACTACTAGTAGTATATGATCTTATTGGTTGACTGACAAAGACAAAAAAGCAAAGCCACGAAGTACGCGTTCAGATCAGATCCAGGTCAGGCACAGTACCATGACTCTTTTTATTGGTGATGTCATTCAAAATATAAAATCAATCTAATTCATGGTCAGACCGTGATAGGTGTACTCTAACAGATACGCCAGCAAAGTTTCAGATCCATATCAGAGGGGCCAGCTGAATCGGTGAGTCAACCAAGCGGTCAAATACACATCCAATGCAACGTATTTCTTGTTTCTTATTGGGCAGTTTCTTACTATCGAAACATCCCAACATGGCTATTTAACCAGGCCTAAGTCCTAACTCTTAAGCGCCGAGGTGCGATATATGCTGGCAACCCCACGGAGTAATGTTAATGGCAAGTCGATTCTGACTGGCTCGACGATCTGGACACTTTACAAGGTGCAACTGCAGTGACTCCAAGGGATGAAAGCGCCCGTTTGCTACCCAACAGGCGTAATCAAGCTGTAACTCAATCTTTCCACTGCACCGGAGGATTCCCCGGACGCAAGGCGAGCATACATATATCATAACGTTGTGCTTTGTCGTGGCACAGACAGTCCGAATTACAATTTGTTACCATCGGATAATCCAGGACCAGATGGGATACTACAGCGAGACCCAGTTGGTACATCCTGTAAGACAGCCTTGTACAAAGATAGCCGCTCACCCTCCTCACCATCAATCAACAGGGATGTTACGTACCTCCTCAATGCAGAATGGCCATACGGTCGGGGTCAAAGTCTGCCCCAAGCGTTGCCCTCTAAGAAATTCAACGCTATTAATAAGACGCCCGTTTCGTCACACCCGAACCGCGTGGTTTCGAATGTCGAGATCTAGAGTCCTTTCAGTGGCCTTGCCCCAAATCAGTTAGTGGCCGGTGGGCCTATCGTCGAGTTCTACCTTACCAGAAACCGATAGTCATGCTAAATGCAGAACGATAGTCCTTGGTCATATTGGATTGTTTGATCGGCATGATTTTTCTGAGGATTTGTGTTCGACAAAAAAAAAAAAAGGAAATCCTTTTGCACGGATACCACGGCAGTACGTAACTTCTACTGCGGGCGGACGGACATAACAAATCTGACTCTATACGGGAAGATGTAAACTGGCCCCGCTGTGGTTACTCTTGAAAAATTATTTTTTGAGTCTAGTCTTGCGATTGTAAATTCCCGGAATAACGACTGAGGTGGAGTGCTTCTGGAACACATCTAGCATATTCTATGATAAATACGATTCAATCATAGACTTACCGACGTAGCGACAACAAAGAGTCATTGACCTCCTGGTAGAGAGGTAAGCGGGTTCTACAGACTGAAAGAAGGTGTGACGAATGGGATCGGATATTGTACAAGGTCTTTGATCTATTGACAGACTCTGTCACAGTCTGGTTATCTCAGAAAGTCAGAACTGAGAATAGAGGAGTATGTAGACTGCATGCATCCATCACCTCGTTTACAACGTCTAGTCGGATGTCGGCGTATTTCATATTGATTCACCCAAAACGTAATTGCTTTTGTTAACCACCGGTCCCTCCTTGCTAAGTAGTATGGAATATAAAATATATATATCACAGACTGAGTGGGTTTTTTTCTGCATTGCTGACCCAAACCGGGAATCCCACTGGAAGGTAGTGTTGGTGGCACACCTCGGAAGTAAGATGGATTAGGGTTTCCGCCTGAGTCCGTTCCGTATCTGTCAGTGTGTCAAAAAGCAAGAAAAAGAAAAGAAGAGGAAAAAAAAAGGGCAAAAGTAACGAGGCTGGTTTAGAAAATGTTCATTGGTCATCTGACTCGGCCGATCATACAAAGACGTTAAGAGGACCAGAAGAGACGTTCAAGAGTTTCGTATTCGTCAGGCTCCGCTCTCCCGACTTTCTTTCTGTTCTGCTATGCAAGCAGTCTGATTAGTCACTGCAACCCTGGTTGTATTTATTCAGGTCAAGAACCATCACAATGCCGACTCGTTCCGTGTAACAGCACTCATCAGATAGTATCATCAAGTATTTTACCGCCTGAAACTGTTCGACTCGCTCGTCCTTAGCCCCAGCAGTACCACTATACATATAGTCCATATTACTAGTAGTAGTAGACCGGATGAGGAAAGCTAACCCGCTGTACTATGAGTGGGTGGCAAGACTTACTGTAAGACTGTATGGAGTAATTTTCACTTTATCGTTACCTTGGATACCTGCATACGGTGGCTGAGTATTTTAATTACAGTCCATGATAAAATACAATACGCGCTGTGACCTTTTGCCATGGTTGTAGAGCAGAATAGCGATGGACCCGAAACAAGGGTCATGGCTTTCTCCATACTTCAACTACTACTAACTTAATAGAACTCGTGTTGCTTTGCCCACTCATTCGTCATCCAGCATGGTTCGGTTCTCCACCGATCTGGAAGTTGTTGTAAAAGAGCAACACAAACTGAAAAAAAAAACTTCCCAACCAACCTTTTCATCCATCCATACTCCGTACCTTCAAACAAAACTGAATTTTTCCATATTAATATACTAATACTAGATCCTCCTTCACAAGCCCACCATGAAACCGGCTCGTCATCCATTCCCTTTTTGCCCTATCCTATCCCACTCCTCCAGACACAAGGAGTCTCCTTTGTCATTAGACTTTGCTTTCTAATATTAATATCTCCGCCCTTCCTGGAGCTTGCTTTACCAACTACTCTTGACTCTATAATCATCACAATGGGTGAGGTCTACACGCAACAGCCGTATCATCTCCCACTCGACTGGAATATGCAACTCCACTCTCTCACCAACGACACTTCACTCAGAAACTACCGCAAGACCTTGTCACGAGTGTCCAAACCCAGTAGTGCTGGAAATAGTCCACATTCTCATCCACAACGACGACGCACCATGACCACCTACAACAACAATGGGTTCACTCAAGTCCTTCCCGTACGGAATCTATTCCATAACAACGCTGCAGCAACTCAACGACCACCAAGACCTACCAGCTGGCATCCATCTGTGAAACAGCAACCACAACCATACTACGTACCCAACTGCCACCCGTCATGGTTGCGTGGTGATGTCCCTGTTCCTTCTGTAACCGCCCAGCAACAACAATCGGGCATGACTTCCATGTATGCCGGTCTCTCGACGCCAATCACGTGTCCCATGAGCGGCGACTTGCTCTCGACCAATGATTACTTTGCCGCCAATCCTCCTAGCGAACCATACAACTTTCTCCCGCCAGGCCCGCAGGTCTACACCCCCGTCGAGCCTTCAGATATGTTGTATTCCGAGCCATCGGAGTGGTCTGCCTACAGCGTGGAAGGCACACCGGCGACAACAATGTATCCATGGATGCAACACAGCAATGGATTTGTGTCTACGGATCCTGCAATGATTGATTACGGTCATGAGAGTGTGGCCTCAGCGGATGATCTAACTGCACCACCAACACCAGATATGGCCTACAATCATCAACAGCCAACCCTGATCTCTACCACACAAAACAACCTCGACGATGGAAGCGACGATCTGGTCGCTGTTGGTCTTTACGATGAACCTTCCTCACTCTCCTTTTCATCTCTACTAGGCGGTGATAACACCTGCCACCCCACCGGTAAGGGGCTCAAGCTCGAAGAGACCTTTACTCCTGTCGAAGATGATGAGGAGGACGGAGATGCCGAAAATGACGACTAATTCTTTCTTTTTTTATTTAATTTTTTTTTTAATTATTCACATGACTGTCACGACAGTGATTGCATAGCATGGAGTTTGTTTGCATGTTTCCCCCGTACCAATGACGGATGGACGGAATTTGATACCCCTGATTTAGAATCTTGCTTTCTGCTTCCACGACGATACTATTACTTAATAGAGGAATGAATACTGTTGTTATTAACTTAGCTCTTGAAGTTAGTTGTTATGTAAGAGATGCGTACGTTAGTTAACTAACTGTGTTAGTTACTTGTTAGATCAGCATACGGGAAGTAATGCCGCCCATGTAATATGAAGGAGTAATAATGATGAACAAATGTGCTGCTCTTTCAATACCTCTGATTAAATCATTAGTACTCCGTAGTCCTACCACCTCTCTCCCTGTTTCTGTCAAATAGTTACCGCGTTCAAGATATTTTCTCCTGGTAATAGTCTAAAGACTCTGATTGGCGGGCAATTCGAGGTCGAGGCCAAAGCCCTCTGCGCTATTCTTTTTACGGCAAGAAATGGGTCTATGCTGGTCTAGACCTGGGTCCGCTAGATGCCTGCAAAATATGGCATTAGAATATTTTGCTCTCGGATAAATAGTTTCTCCGGCTGGCGAGAGGAAGGAATTTTTGATTGGTGAGGATGAGATGAGATGATGACTGTTGGATAAAGATCAACATGCCAAAGATAATAATCACCCCCTGGAGGGATGAGTCAGAATTGGCGGACGTGAGATCCAAGTTCTATCCCTCATCCTCACCATCTGGATTCAGTCCGACCGATCAGCGATCTGACGCATGTCGAATCGTACGTTCCCAGACCTACGAAACTAACACAACAGACAACTAATAGTCACAGGTCGAAGCATGGAAACTCCGCGGCCATCTCCCGCACGCCGTAGAAGCAACTGCTCTACTAACAGATGCCATCCTACATGATGACACAACCCACGCCAACAACAACAACTCCATCTTCTCAATCAGAGCTACCTATGCCGCCGCCTTTTCGCGGTTTGTCACGGGGTTAGTAGATAATAAACTGGGTGGACAATATCACCGAGGCACGACGATGTTTAATCGTGCTTCGATGATTGGCTTGCCGCTATCGTTTGTCGAGTTGAGACATGAGGCGGCGCATAGAGAGTTGCCGTCTTTGGTTTTGTTGAGGAGTTATGCGAATCGGGCTTTGGAGTGGTTGTGGGATTATTATTGGGTTAGGATTGAGCGACCTTATCCCGTAGATGAGAGAGAGGGGACCCGGGTTGTGTTGAAGCATTTTGTGAAACAGGTTCAGGCCGAGGGGTCGAAGAAAAAGGTCAAGGCTTTGGTTACGTCTGTCTCTGAGGCTTTGGTCTCGATTTGTAAGAGTGATTCAGTCGAGGAGTCTAAAGCCATTTGCAGGATTCTGCTTGAGGATGGATTCATTGTTCCGAAAGACAGGCAGTGAGTATTCCCACTGGATAATACGTTCCCGGCTGACGAGCTGACGAGCAGACTTGCATCCTCTATGGAATCGTTGTTTACGACGTGGGGCCCTGTCCTCCAGTCAATAACAGATTCAGTCAAGGCATTCTTGACCATTCTTACCGAAGAATTAGCCAAAGAGTTAAACAAGCCAAACACACCAGCAGATTCTTATCTTGAAGGTGTTTATCTCTGGCTAGAGCATATCCTGACCTCGGAGACTTACAAGCAATATAAGTCATTGCTATGTTCGATTAATTATATACGATTTGTGTGCAGTGAATGGCCAAATTATTGGACCAATCGTCTTGCAAAGATTATTGAACAGGAAGTTGAGACAGTCCAAGTTGACGATTCACTACCTACTCGTTCTCTTCCTGTTGACATGGAAGCACCAGATCTTCAAGCTGCTGGATGGTGGTTCTGAACTAGACCATCACCTGGTATGTTGATCAAAAATGCCCAGCAATAGGTTTGGGAACATACGGCTCCTCCAGAAACCTTATCTCCTTCTCCGTCAACGATTTTCCCCGAATCTCAACGACATCATCCAACTTCTCAACCGAAGTAGCGCCCACAATCGGTGCAGCACCTTTACTCCTCAACCAGATCAAAGCAACATGCACCATTTTCCATCCTTTCTCCTTCGCCACCTGCTCAACCCGTTTGATAATCGCCTCATCTGCAGCCGTAAACGCAGAACCCATTGGTGATGGCGTCTGGGAACGGATGGACTCCTTTACACCCACTGGCCGAGCCAACTGGCCCCCAAACAGCGGAGACCAGGGAATAATCCCGACACCAGTCTCCTTGCAAAACCGAGTCATCTCACGCTCTTCCTCGCGATAACAGAGGTTGTAATAGTTTTGCATGGAGATGAACTTGGTCCAACCATTCCTTTCGGCTATATGTTGCAGATTCGCGAATTGGGTAGCCCACATGGAACTTGCGCCGAGATATCGCACTTTTCCTGCTTGGACGAGATCGTGGAGAGCTTTCATTGTTTCTTCGGGGGGAGTGGAGGGATCATAGCGATGGATTTGCAGGACGTCGATGTAATCGGTATTCAAGCGAGAGAGGGAGGCTTCGACTTGGTTGAAGATTGATGCGCGAGAGAGACCTATCCATGAGTCTTTAATCGAACAGAGACAGAAGAAGAAGAAGAAGAAGAAGAAGAAGAAGAAGAAGAAGAAGAAGAAGAAACTCACCTCCTTGGTTGACATACTGCTTACTCTTCTTCATAAATTGTCCATGCGCCGGTCCAACGACGGACACATCCTCCCCGACGGGAATAGCACATTTGGTCATAATCACAACTTTGTGTCTTGGGATTTCGAGGGTTTTGATAGCCTTGCTAATAATCTCCTCCGAAAGACCGTTTCCGTACATATTCGCCGTATCCCAGGTATTGATGCCGCGGTCATAGGCAGCTGCAAGAAGTTTGATGGCTTCTTCTTCTTCGAGGAGCCAGGGACTCCATTCTTTGGACCCAAAGGACATGGTGCCGAGGATGGGAACTGAGATTTGTAGGCCGGACGAGCCGAGGTTGGTGTACTCGACTTTGGTTTCGTCGAGGGATTTTTGCAGAGAAGTGGGAAGGGTTGTGGATGCCATTTTGATTGTCAATGGAGCGGTTATGGAATGATGTTGTGGTAAGAATCTTTAAACAGCTCGATGGAATTTTGGCCGTATTTATAGACAGACTGGCTCTACAGAAGTTCCCTTTCGAAGAGAGTATCATGATGATTGATTTCTAATATCGTAAAGTCATTCATATAGATCTGTATACAAGCGACATCATGATTGGATGTCTTCCCAGGATAAAGACCCACTAGTAGGACTACTTAGCGAGCGTGCCAATCAGGAACGCCCATTTGATTACAAAGGTTTTTAGTCTCAAACATCTTCATCTTGCTCGACTTCTTCTCACTCAGATATCCATCTTGTAGCAAACGATGATTGTTTGCTTATGTCTGCTCATCAACCAGACTGTTCAGACTATGCCTAATGGCTTCACGGGGATCGGAAAAGAAGCGTCCGGTACATAGACGGAGTACTACTGGCTGTATCACTTGTCGGTTTGTATTTCTTCACTGTCTGTATATCATGTACTAGGCTAAAGATTCCAGTATCCGCCGCGTCAAATGCGACGAGGCAAAACCAGCCTGTAAACGCTGCACCTCAACCGGTCGTCGATGTGATGGGTATCGTCAAAGACAACAGCAGCCAGCACAACAACCAACATCCTACATGTCCATCGGCATCTCAATAATGGCAAATGACAGCTTTATCACTGACTCAGGCCGAGCAGCATGTCAAGTGCGCTCAAGAATGTCGTATCATTTATTCGTCGAGTTGTATACGCCTCTACTATCTGATTATGGTACGGCGTGGTTTTGGAATTCGTTGGTGCTGCAGGCTAGTGTTTGTGATGAGAGTATTAAGCATTTGGTGATTGCTGCGTCGAGTTTGCGAACGTCTTCTTCTCCTTCGAGATTATTGTCGAGTTTAACAGCAGTCGAATCAAGACAGCCAGAGACGAGTCATGACAAAATTACCAACGTCTCATTCCTACTTCACCATGGAAGAGCACTACAGCTTCTCAGTTGTGCGTCTCAGCCGTCTATTATTATTATCCTGGTTGCTTGTGTATTGCTCGCCCTATGCGCTGAACTCCAGCATCGATCGACAGAAGCACAGGGACATATACAAGCAGGTCTGAGAATTCTAGCTGCCCATTATCCTGATATAACGTCCGCGACGCCCCTGGGTGAAATTGCGTCGACTTTTGCGAGGTTGTGTATTCCGAAACCTGTTATGCACGGGTTTGAGGAGTTGAGGCGGTCAATTGGTTATAGATAATGCCAATTCATTTATACCAATTTGTAATTGTAGTATCGTGAGTTGGTGTATACATTTCTGCCTTCAATTTCAGGCATCAGCTGACATCACGCCCCTCATCGACGGATGCTCGTGATACGTCAACAAATGCAACTCCTCTATACTCTCTGGAACAACTCTAACATCGGATTCAATACCATCCATGAATTTTCTACGACCATTCCGACGTCTATCTACTCAAAACCAATCCATTCAGCAAAGACAAATACGCAAAATGCATATCAAGACCATTCCCATGTGTAAGCATCCCTCTGGAATTCAACTCCGGTGATGATACATCACATCGACTGACAACGTTGTAGGGACCGGTAAGAGTAATAATTATGCTTACCTGGTCACTGATGAGCCCACCAAGCAATCCGTCATTATTGATCCGGCACACCCAGAAGAGTGCGTTGTAGCATGTTGTCTCTACCTGGTCGAGGACATTACTAATCACGCTTCTTACAAGAGTGATTCCAGTTCTTAAGTCTGAAGAGGCCGCTGGAAATGCCAAGGTGACTGCAATCGTGAATACGCATCAGTATGTACGGACACACTGTTATTGAACTATGCTAACTTCGAATAGCCATTGGGACCATGCCGGTGGTAATGATGGAATCGTAAGATAATTCCTTCAACAATAAGAAAGACGGGAAAATTGATACGGTCATCCAGCTTAAGGAATTCCCTCACCTGAAAGTCATTGGCGGTAGCCAGTGTCAATCAGTCACAAAAACGCCGACGCACGGCGAAACATGGAAGATTGGAGAGCGGATTAGTGTGAAGGCTCTTCATACTCCGTGCCATACTCAGGATAGTATTTGCTATTTCCTGGAAGATGGGGATCAGCGTGCTGTTTTTACGGGTGATACTATGTTCACTGGAGGTATTCCCTCAACTTGACTCGAACGCATGAGGGAGCAGAGTTGACTTATGTGTATAGGATGTGGCCGTTTCTTCGAAGGGGATGCTGCTCAGATGCACAAGGCTCTTAATGAGACGCTTGCGGCTTTACCTGATGATACCAAGGTTTATGTAAGTTTTTGAAGTCCAGATTATTCTAAAGAATGTCTTTGACGATTTGGACTTAGAGCGGTCACGAGTATACCAAGTCCAATGTAAAGTTTCTCCTTGCTGTGTCCCAGTCTGATGCGATCAAGAAACTGCAAGCCTTTGCAGAGAGTAATCAGCAGACTCAAGGCGTTCTCACTATTGGTGACGAAAAGGTGGGTTTATCTCATCCTGGCTTATGGTTTTCATGACGGATACTAATATTCGTTCCTAGGCTCACAATGTCTTTATGAGGCTCAATGTAAGACGAACCTTTCAGATGAAGATGTTGACTGCTAATAGTTATAGGATCCCGATGTTCTGAAAGCAACCGGCATGAAAGATCCCGTGGATGTCATGGCAGCTCTGAGAGAGATGAAGAATGCTATGTGATAGATTAGATGTTTACTTGGAATAGCCATCCATCACTGTGACGTCAATTAGCTACCCCAAATAAACCAAACTTAATAACGTAGAACAATCTTCAATCTACAACCATCTTATTTTCACTCCTTTAGTTCAGCAGAGCAGAGACAAGAAAATGGTGAACAATGACAATGCAGCAGGTGACGACCTCACCACCAAAAGCCGCGTCCTCGAGACCGCAGCCGGAGTGATCCAAGACTTTCGACCTGTGAAAAGCATCTGCGCTCATCTAAATGCCTTTCACGTATATGCCTCTGATCCGACACGAGCTGTAGAAGCAAATCACTACTGCGCGCATATCACCGAAGGTTTGTCCCCTGGCCCCTCTCCCATAGATCCGGAGTTCTAGTCTAAAGGGCAACAGATATCAGACAATGTCTCCTCTACGACTCCCCCGAACCCAACGCCCGCCTCATCGGAATCGAATACATGATCACCCCGAAAATATACTCAACCCTCGACCCCTCCGAACGCGAACTGTGGCATTCCCACATCTACGAAGTGAAAAGCGGCATGTTAATCATGCCTACACCCGCCGGGGTCCCCAACTCAGTATGGCAAATGGCCGAAACCTCCGAAATGAAAGATATTATCCCCTTGTACGGGAAAGCGTATCATCTATGGCAAGTGGATAGAGGCGATAAAGTACCCCTGGGAAAACCGGAGTTGATGGGTAGCTTTGGGGATGATGCTATGTTGGAGAAGGTGCATCCGGAGGGTAAGAAAGGGTTGTTAAGGGATAGGGATAGGAGGTTTCGAGCGGATTATGAGGAAAATGCGAGGTTGAGGGAGGGTTTGGAGGAGCCTGAGTTACATCCCGGTGAGTTTTTTTTTTTTTGTCAACTTCTCAAGAGATAAGAAATCATAAGATCGATGGCTAATATGTAGCAGACGCCGATGCCATGATGCGCAAGAAAGTTGAATAATGTTTGATTGCATGAAATAAGCTAAAGTACGAGAACGAAATGCATTGAATGATAAAACAACTTAGATGTCCCCCATCTACTACACCTCGACTTTCCAGACTTCATACTTAAATGAATGTAAAAGCCAAGTATCGTTCGTGGGTGGTAATATCTTTCTTCAGAAAAAAAAATAAAAGTCAATCTTGCTTCTCTGTCCACACTTGCTCGTCCTGGTGAAATGATATTTCGGAAACGGCAAGCTCTAGCAATTTTAGAAGCGGTGTTTAAGTATTCGTAAAGAATAAGAAATTCCGTATGATGTAAATTGTTTTGTGACGTTAGTAGGATCGGAACCGTAAGCCAGCTCAGCATTATGAGTGGTTTGACAAGCCTTGGATCTTGTTGTGGTAGTGTTGAAGAAGAAGGAAGATGAGAAGAAAATATTCGGAAAAGAACCTGTGCGCTAAGCACCACGCACGTGACCTGTATTGTGACCAATCAGATACCCCAATTCCCAATACCTCATTTTCAACATGTGGACGATTTCAAGTACAGACTCCCTGCTCAAGAATCCATATATGAGCTCGAAGCGAATAAAATGAGCTCAACGTTCCGCCAATTCCTCCGTACCGCCACCCCGCGCTTCGTCCTCAGCTGGACAGTCGACTGTCTAGGCATTTTCTGCGCCGCGATCCTGATCCGCGAACACTTCTACACAGTCCAACGCAGCGAAGGTCCTTCTATGATACCCACCTTCAGCGTACGGGGAGACTGGCTACTCATATCACGGCGACACGATCAAGGCAAAGATATCCAAGTCGGCGATGTGGTGCGCTTCTCGCATCCGTCGTTTTTGGGCGTTAATGGTGCCAAGAGGGTGATTGGTATGCCGGGGGATTTTGTGTGTAAGGATCCGGTGTATAGTACGGATGTTGGGGGGAATAATGAGATGATTCAAGTATGTTACCCTCTAATTGAGTGATCGGCAAGGGTCATGGCTGATTGGTGTAAAGGTCCCCGAAGGACATGTCTTTGTCGCGGGTGATAACCTGCCCTGGTCCAGAGATTCGCGAAACTACGGTCCTGTGCCTATGGGATTAATAAACGGCAAGATTATCGCGCGAGTATGGCCGTGGTCGAAAATGCAATGGGTTGAGAACAATCTTCAACCACACAATTCGGATGAGCAATAGGCACGTGTATTTGTGAGAATTAGCATAGGGACGGCGTTGGAAGAGGAATGTACATATATAATTTTACACTTCTAAAGTACATATTGAAACGAAAAGGTGAAAACAAATACGCCGCTTGAAATATTGACTGATCATCGGAACGAAGCTGGGTTTCTCCGCTTATAAGGTAGAGGTTCAACTCTCTTCCTGCGTAGCTCAATACCAGCAATATCCGTGCCCAGCTCCTTCATAACTGCATCAGTATTCTCATCCCACTGGGTACGGAAGAGCGCAGCACCGACGGGTTTCAAGTGGTGCTTGGATTGTAAGGTTCGAAGACGGAAGTCATGTCTTTCGAGGCCATTCTTAATGGCAGCAGCGTCTAATGGCTGGTTGCCCTTTTGCTCCATCACAAAGAAGGATAGACGGTGGTAGGGACTACCTTTTTGAGCTGCTGGTGGAAGCCATGAGAGCAATGTCTCCGCGGTTTCTGGCAACTTGGCCAGATCAACATGTGTGTCGGTGGGAGAGATGGGAACGTTGACGGCGAGATAGTGGCATTGATAATCGAAGCCGTTTGTCTCGACATTGGGAATATCCGGGTTGACGACGGCGATCGTGACGAGCTTTTGCCCGGCCTCGAATGATTGAACATTCAACTTTGGCGCGGTCATGCTAAGTCTGGAATCGACAAATGATCCAGGAGCAATAGCTGTGCCATCAAAATATAGCTTGACATCAACGGTCGGGTCGCAAGAAGGAAGAACATCAGGAATGACTTTCATCTGCGTGATTCTTTGAATAATGATCAAGCGTCGGTATTCCCTCCACTTTTTGTCCGCCAAGTGTCGGTAAATTGGCAGGTTCATGTCACCTTTACGACTATTAGCCTGATTCTAGCTGAATGAAGCAAGAGTAAATACCTTGTCCATCTTCGAATTTCCTCTTGACCACTGGGTCATTGATATCGGCCCAAATCTTTAAGTTTTCCAAATGTTTCTCCATGGCTCCGAGTTTGGACCTCTTGACATTCGCACCTCCAGCTTCATCATCAGACAGAGCCCGTAACCGATCAATACGATCCTGTTCTCTAGCAATATCTTTCAATTTATCCTCACGGTCCGCCTGAAGGACCTTGCGTGCTTCCTGGAAACATTGATACGGAAGAAGTTCGAAAGGGATGTTCTCCGAAGCTTGAAGGGCAGCACGACGCCTTCGAGAACCAATTGGCGTTACACCTGATTTCAAAAGTCTTCTTTCCAACCGAGGGCTCGATACCAATGCAGGATCCGGATTCTTGTAAAAAGGTTGTGGTTTGTTCTCGACGGCGGCTTCATCGTGCGACACGGCTGTCGTCTGGAATAGGCGTTTCGACTGTAGCGAGGAGATTGAGAACTTGTTTGCAGACGATTGTCGTAGATACCTCAACAGTGGCTTCGAAGCCACTTCGCAATGAGACATGGCGTGCCTCTGTATAATGGCGTGGTCAGTTTGGTGTTTACGGAGCTTGAGACTTTGACGGAAGTTGCGAAGTGGACATATTTTTCGTACTAGCGCCGTTTTTTTGCCAACTCCGCGTTCCGACTTCCCACCCGAAAATTACTGCTCAACTCTCGACCATCTTTGACGACACATTCATCGGTTATAGTCAATTGATATCCATCACAATGCCTAGCAGTGAAGTGCTGCGGACGCTGAGATGGCTCACTCGCAGCGCCAACGGTGTGCTTAAGCAGCCAGAAACCTTGATGGTAAGTCTTAACTCTTCGCATCTGTCATGGCTATTGTACTGACGTCTATAAAGCAAGGATGCGCGAATTCTTCGTCCCGGCTTATGGCAACTATCTCGGAAGCGTCTCATGAACGATTTACTCAAACCGACAGCACCGATGCCTCAAGGACGCCTTGGCAACCTCCTGCTCCTGCCCTTGTGACCATTCACTCCTTTCCATCCATGACACCCCTACGCTTCGAGGAATATTCCCCAGACCATCTCTTAGTACCGCTAAGAAGGGATTTACTACATCGTGCCGTTGTCTACGAAGGTGACAAGACTCGCCAAGGTACTGCCAGCACAAAATGGCGTGACGATGTACATGGAAGTGGACGAAAGCTCGCTCCTCAAAAGGGTACCGGTAATGCGCGTGTCGGAGACAAGAAATCCCCTATTCGAAGAGGTGGTGGTGTCGCGCATGGTCCTCACCCACGAGACTTCTCTACCGATCTACCTAGGAAAGTGTACGACAAGGCTTGGAGGATTGCACTGAGCTATCGCTACACTCGCGGACAGCTATTGGTTGTCGATAATATTCAAACGCCCGACAACTCCTCGCCGTGGTTTTGGAAACGGTTCTTCGAGGTTAATCTGTGGGGCAAGAACCATGGAGGCTGCACTTTTGTGAAGGATCGTATGGATGAGGATCTGTTCGGCGCCATCTCCGAGTTTAAACAACATGCTAGAATACTCGACAGACCGGATCTGGATGTGAAGGATATCTTGAAGAATGGGAAGATGATTATTGAACAGAAGGCCTTGAACAAAATTCTGCGAGACCACTCCAGAGATCTTCCCAGACCACCACCTAAGGCTACCTACCCTGAGGGAATGTATTTCTCTTGATTGGTGATGCGGATTTGTATTATATTTCAGAAGGAATGGAGTATTTTCTTGTTATGTAATTCGACTATTGAATAAATATACAGTTTTCTTCGTCTTTAGCTGTAACCTCAACATAATAAAATCTTGTGGTATTATTTGAATCATGATTGCTGTAACTTGGCTTAAGGATCAAAAAATCGGCCGAGTTCCGCCCTCCGAGGCAAAGCGAACAAACATGAAAAAGTAACCGCCTGCTTAACCGAACTACCCCAACTTCATCCCAAGCTTCAAATCTATATCAAAAGCAGCTCTTTCCCCCACTGATTCCCCGGCACGACGATCGTGCCTAGCTGCCATTGATGTTATTACGACCTACTTTCCATCGAGCCTCAACACCGCTGAGCCGGCTCTCGCGGTCTTCTTTTGCGGCAATGCCTTTACGCGCGAAGGTGACCAACCCAGCTTTTGCATCAAAGGTATGATTCAATTGAACATAGAAGAAGATGATATGGGTCTAATTGGAATTGTATGATAGATGTCCCTCAGCACGAAATCTTCCGAGAACCCTGCTGTCGATTCTGACGATGTTCTTTTTTACTCTACCTACGGATTGCGATTGATCGAACTCAACCGACCCAAGAAATTGAATTCTCTGAATGGATCGATGTGTCAACAGATAATTCCTCGACTGCTGGTATATTCACAATCCCCATTGAGTCAGGTAATGCGTTGGTGGTGACATGCTAAGAAAATTTGCGCATAGGAATGGGAAAAATCACAGCTAGCCAACATAATCATGGTCTCCGGTCGTGGAGAAAAGGCTCTCTGCGCAGGTGGAGACGTCGCAGCTCTCGCAATAAACAACAAGGAAGGACCCGAAGGCGTGAAACGATCACAGGACTACTTCGCTCTCGAATACCAACTCGATCACTTAATCGCAACCTATAGCAAGCCCTTCGTGGCCGTCATGGATGGTATTACAATGGGAGGCGGAGTTGGATTGAGTGTTCATGCACCATTCCGTATCGCGACTGAACGTACTCTTTTCGCCATGCCGGAGACGACTATTGGATTTTTCCCTGATGTTGGCGGCTCGTTCTTCCTCTCCCGTCTTGACGGTGAAGTCGGCACTTATTTGGCTCTTACTTCGGAGCGTTTGAATGGTGTTCAGGCCTTTTACACTGGTATTGCGACACACTACGTCGACTCGAGTGTTTTGAGCAACTTGACGAACCGATTGGCAGAGTTGGTGTTTAAGGATTATGCCAACCTCAACGAACGCAATGACCTTGTCAACAAGACCATTGCCGAGTTCTCGACTGGTCTACCATCAGTGGAAAAGGAGCCTATTCTTCTCCGATATAAACTCCGTCAGGCTATTGACCGGTGCTTCAAGTACAACACAGTCGAGGAGATTATCCAAGCCCTCGAAAAGGAAGAAGACCAGAAGGAATGGGCCCGAAAGACTCTCGAGACACTTACAAGCCGCTCACCAACCTCACTCAAAGTCACACTTCGTCAACTCCGTCTCGGCAAGAACTGGAGTATCAAGGAGACATTCCAGCGCGAACATGCCATCGCCAGTGTATTCATGAATCACCCGGATTTCGTCGAGGGAGTCTCAGCCCGTCTAATCTCCAAACCTCCCCGAACCCCCGAGTGGAATCCAAGTCGTCTTGAGGATGTTACGCCTGCGGATGTCGATGCTTTCTTCAAGATTGACGGTGAACCTCTGCCCACATTCCACGATAACGATTATAAGACGTACCCTCATGCCAAGTATGCGCTGCCCACGGAAGCAGATATCGAGGCATTTGTACGTGGCAACAAGACCACAGGCTCAGATACCGTGAAGGAATTTGTCCAGAATTGGGGTCAGAAAGAAGGTGTCAGAGCCAAGGTAACTGAGGTACTTGGTCGACGGACCAAGAAGACGGACAAGGGGTTAGAGTGGATTGAGACGGATAAGGAGTAAAATCATCATCTTGTATTTCTTATATTGTGTTAATATTACATTGGACATTAATTAATCGGTATTTTTTGCCGCCATTGTACGGCGGAAGGGCCGAACCTCATCCATTTTGCATTTCGATGCTGAGTGTAACTTTCCTGGTTCTAGTTTGTTTGGTCAAGGATCCCAGGGCCCCTGTGCTCGCTGTCCAGTCAACAGAGTAGGTTCCTCGTCCTCTCCGTTCACAAGCACGACGTCCTCAACACGCACTCCAAACTCATTTACCAGGTAGATACCTGGCTCTGACGTAAAAGCCATACCCGGTTGAAGAATAGATTTGTAGTTTGCCTTGTTCATATACGGACTTTCATGTGCTATACTCAAGTAAGTCTTTCCTATTCTCAAGTTATATTGAAGTATGACGGACCTTTGATACCAATACCGTGACCGATGCGATGGGTGAACGCATGTCCGTATCCGGCAGCTTCAATTACAGTTCGTGCAGCAATGTCGACACTAGCTGCAGTTGCGTTGGCATGGAGTTGTTCGAATGATTGAGACTGTGCGGCGAAGACAATGTTCCAGACCTAGTTGCCATGGATTAGCGTTCTGAAATGTGTTTCCCAGATGCGCGATGGAGTACTTCAATCTTTTTCTTCAGACACGCCGGAGTATCCTCTTTCGATTGCGGTTTGTCTAGAAATGGAGGGAAGAATGCCCGAGTAATATCAGACGAATATCCGTATAGATGAGCGCTATAGCCTTGCTTCAGCCCTGGGATTCTAGGGAACTTGGTAAATGTTGGTGGACTCACCCAACATCGATGAGGACAAAGGTCTCAGCATCCAGGACTTTGGAACTGTTCGTACCGCCATGAGGATTTGACGCATTCTCATCTGTGAGGAATGTATTAGGGCTTGTAATGCAGTAAGCTAGACCTTACTTACCAAACAAGACTATATCAAAGAATGGTTCTAGTCCCACTGCACGAAGTGTGTTGTCGAGCACTCTCTGGATGTCTAACTCCGTGAGTCCTGGATATAGACCTGCCAGATAGGTTAATAATGGTTGAGAGTAGCAATGCAAATTAAGACAAATTCACATTTCCTTATCTGCCGAATAGCTTCCACGGTTCCTGTATTAACGGCACGTAGGATGTCAATCTCTTCCTTCGATTTCATTTGCCTTACCATTTCAACCTGTTTCTGTAAGCCAACAACCTCGAACCCAATTCCGGCGAGACCACGCTGTATATAATCCCGCATCTCTTCATCTACCATGAGACGTGGTGGCCTTTCATTCCGTGCGAATATCTCCGATTTGAATAATGTTTTGTAAGGGTTCCAATGTTCTTCCCATGGGATTATATTAATAGGCTCCGAGAAGGGCATCAACAGTAGACGTGCTCTCTCTGCCTCGAAAGAAGGGCAAAGGAAGCTCGTGTTTGCTGTGATGATCCCAGTTTGTGGGTCATGATAAGACTGAACGACCATCAGAAAAGGACGTTCTTCAGGCTAATAGCAATCACATTTGAGGCATCAGCTCTCATTACTTCGAATTCGACACCTAAATGGTTTTTGACGCATACTTCCCAAGGCTCCCAGTCCTCCTGGCTTATGTTTGCATAATACTTAAAAGTATAGCCTGGCTCAAGTACGAACGCATCGACACCATCTGCCACGAGCGCATGGGCCAATCTGTTCCTGCGAGACTCGAAATTCTCTACTGTTGGTGGTGAAACGTCTTCAAGAAAGTATAACCCGGTGCTTAGCATATTTCGAATTGAGCATTCTTGGAAACTCTGTAAGCTCGGAGGCTCATTATGAAATAGATATATGAAGCCAAATATCTAATGAAAATGGTTAACATTGCGCTGAGTGGTTATTATAATGCTGCTACCTACCTGTTCCGCGTAAATATTGAGACATAAAGCTGTGCCAGAGAGCAGGATAAGTATCTTAACCCAAGTATATCGGTATGGTGGTGACCTCTGGGAAAGAGCTAAGCTGAGCTTATATGAATGGTTTTTCTTTTTCAAGATAGCCATGACCGGAACAGTGGACCAATTGATGGGAGTATATAGCAAAATGAGAGAGGAAGAAATAGAGGAAGAAATAGAGGAGTTGGACTGATAGATAGCTTGGTGGGCGATGATCATGTCTTCCCCACTACATCATTTGTAGGTATATTTTACACATCTTGTAAGCAACCTCCTCATGTTCTTATAAATGATTTATAATCTTGCAATATAGTCGATCTCTTGTCTTTTCATGCACAATCACAAACTCATCCATCAGGTAGATACCAGAATCTAACATAATCATACTCAGTTGAAGATGGAATGTCATGGATGTAAACGAAAGGAAGGCCCTCCATATCGATACGATTTTAGCATGGGATACTTAATGAAGTGAATAGTATCTTCAATATTAACAAATTAGTAGATCAATAGATTGGAGAGCTCTTCGTCTCTAATCCAAATTTGCTTCTGAATATGTTGAGTCAGGTCCTTGGAGGTCTTTAACCCTATATCCAATTTATTTCTAAATGTGTTGAGACATGCGCTGGGAGCGCTTCTGTTCATTATAGACAGGTTCTACCTCACACGGTTCCCTCATCATCTGTGTGTCTTTGTGACCTTCTCTTCGGATGGTTTATATGCAGTATCCATGAGCAGATTGTGATGGTGCAAAACGACTTTATGTGAACTGTGATTCCCTGTCTGGCTTCGCCACGAGAATCATTGATCCAGCAAGTTGTGTCCTTTTCCAACTTCGATTCCAGAGTAGCACTCTCGTCAAACAAAGAGATTGGAAACGGGCTATTGATCGAACGGTTCTGTTGAGAAGTAGGCCGGTCATGGTCCTGCTTCAGCTGATTGATATCCTTGTTCATTACCGTAAGCTGATTGTTTGTATTCGCCACATATCCTCCAACGACCAGCCAATTTGATAAATTTCCTCTTTGATGGACTGTAACGTACCACTACGCCTTTCCTAACAAACCAGGACCACATAAAGGCTTTACCACACCTGCCGACTGGACACCTGAGCCCATGGTTGCTGCAATTCGAGTTATGATGCTCATCGAGGACGACGAGCTCCTAGAGGAGGGGGTAATGTCATAGGATGAAGGGCCGTATGGGGTAAAGCGGTCTGGAACGGCAGAACAGCGAGTCTGACAAGTTATCATATCAACTTGTCCATGTAGTTTAGAGTCTTTCCTTCTTTTTCTCTTCTTTCTTAAGCTTAGAATTTTCATGAGTTAGGACCTAATAACATTCAGTTTGAAGCTCTTTAGTGTTCTAACACGTATATATAGTGTAGGAGTTTGTGACACAGGCTTGCTAACAAAATTGCATGTGTGTGAATGCTCTATTGATTGAACCTGTGTTGTTTCTAACATTGGGAATTGTCCTCTATATTGAAGAATCCAAACCTTTCGCTTGAATACATGTTTCTTGCTGATTGGTAAGCCAGTTGGCGAATTGGAGGCCTTGGGCTTCTCAGCGGATTTCACTTATGATATCTAACACCAGGCTTCCAACAGTTGTTCAAAAAGTTCCACTAAACTGTCCTAGTAAGAAAAATCATGCTACTTCAAACCTCCATAAGGTAACATTCATGATTCACTTTCTCTCACAGCCCGCCAGCCCCCCACACCCCGCAACAGAATCCGCTCGTCTCCCATCACCGGTGAACCTAGATCGTAAATTGGTGGTGTTGTATCTACGGAGTATTCATCAGTTTCCAGCTCAAAAACTCCTAAATCTAGACATGCAAATCTTCACGGAAATCTATGATCTTGTAAGTCCCTTGAGAGTTTGCAGTGCCTGATCCTAAGCTTTACACGCAGATTACATTCTATGTTGAGGACATTGAAAATACTGGGTTTCACTTTGGGCGAGACGATGCTCGGCATTACAACATTCGCGGCTACGAATCTCGGAAAAGGCTAGCCAGCTTACGATTGGTCAGCAAAGCTTTCTGCTATAGCGTATTATCTCGGTTTCTCAGACTGTTAATGTGCTAGTTGTTGTTATTGGTTATCTAAGCTAACTACAGCTGCGCTGACCCCTTTACGGAGGTCACATGACTCTCGGATCATAGTTGGAATCGCTCAGTACCGTCGACGGAGTGTATGAGCAATGGAAGCAGATTGTTTGATTCGAATCCGGAGCCAACACGAAAATTTGTCCTTCCAAACACCTTTTTGAAGGATGATGGTACGGTAGAGAGTATAAGGGGAATAGTTTGGGAATAATTCAGTCTCTTTATGAAAGGAATATGTGGTCTTGAGGACATTCAATCTGCAGAAGAGAGCATTGTGTCCACGGAGAAGACTCATCCATGCTGTTGCAACAAAGATGGCAGCAGCGTCAAAAAGTCATCAATAACAATAGTCTACCAGAGGTCTTGGAGTGGTGAAGTCGCGAATTTGAGGTTGATAGCATCTTATCTAATCGCGATCTTATCTTATCATCAATCTTCAAGAGATTGTTGCCTTACTGCCTGGGGCATCATATTTAATAAACTCTGATTGGCTGGTACCCTCAACATAGTTACGCCATCGCCAGCCAATCAGATACTTGTTCGTCCTGCACAGCCAATGAGGAGGCGCGATGCATACAAATAGGGACGTCATGCTTTATTCGAGATGTTTCTTTCTCGACACTGAGAGATGATTATTTATTGATATGATTAAGCAGAAAGAACAAGACATTATCCGTCAGTCTGATGTTGCTTGACCCTGGCGATGTGTCTGTGATGATGTGAACGGGATATAATCACCAAAACCGAGCATGTCTCCTACAGAGAGTAACCGCCTAGATGGCATGGCAGATGCCAGCACAGTTCCCCTATTGAGAAACAGCTCAGACCTAGACACGAGATCAAAACAACCCCCAAAATCATCATTTCAAGCCCGAGCTCGTCTCTACTGGCTTGCAGGTGTACTATGTTGCGGCGCATTACTTTTCGGGTACGACTCTGGACTAATCGGTGCGTCTGAAACACCAAACATAAGAGATTGAAAGATACTGAACTTCAACAGGAGGCGTGTTAACCTTCCAATCATTCCACTTCGACTTCCGCTTCGGCGCCTACGGACCTCGAAGCGCAACGACAGTCAGCGCAATCGCAGTCGGCACACAACAAATCGGCGCATTGATAGGTTGTTTCGCAATTTGGCCTATCAATAACCTCTACGGCAGAAGGAAGGCAATTGGCGTCTGCTCGATTGTGTTCTGCATTGGTGTGGTATTAGAACTGCTAAACTTCCATCTTCTCCCCATCTTCTATATAGGTCGAGTGATTGCCGGTTTCGGTGTGGGCGGTTCTTCAAGCGTTATCCCGATATATCTCTCTGAAATGGCCCCCAAGGAAATCCGCGGTGAAATGGGGAGTTGTTTCCAATTCATGTTCACAATCGGGATATTTATATCCTACTGGATCGATTACGCGGTTGGATTTATGCCTCCGCAAACAGCCCAATGGCAAATCCCTGTTGCCCTCCAACTCGTCCCTGGAGGATTAATGGGTTTCGGGGTGTTGACATTACACGAAAGTGTGCGCTGGTTAGTGTCAAACGGAGACATAGACGGCGCCAGACAAAGTCTCGAATGGATCCGGGCCGTACCGGATGATCAAGACCACGAAACACTTCTAGCAGATGAAATGGCCGATATAAGACACGGCATCGAAGAAGAACAAGCCGCCAAAGAAGGATTCTCATTCACCGAACTGCTCGAATGGTCCAATGCGCATCGCATTTTACTTGCAGTGGGAATATTCCTCGCTCAACAATCCACCGGCGCAACGGCAATGGCCTATTTCGGTCCTCAGTTTTTTGCCCTAATCGTTGGTCCGGGGGACAAGACTTTTTTGCTGACTGGTATATTCGGATTCATCAAAGTCGTTTCATGCGGGCTCTTTATCGTGGTGTTATCAGATCGATTTGGTCGAAGAAGGCTTCTCTTTACTGGTGCAGCGCTCATGGCGATTTCAATGTTTACCACGGCTGCGTTGGTGCGGGCTAGTCATCTGGGTCATCCTTCGGTGCATCCTTCTGCAACGAAGATACTGACTATAGCGCTTATTTATTTTACGATTATAGTCTTCAATCTCAGTTGGGGACCTTTACCGTGGCCATACGTCTCGGAAATCTTTCCAACGCGCATTCGCGAATCGGGGGTTGCGTGCGGTGTTGGTTCTCAATGGTTGTTCAATCTTATATGGAGCTCGGCGACTCCCTATTTACTCGCTGAGATTGGTGGATGGGGGACTTTTTGCTTGTTTGGGGGGATGTGCTTGGGCGTTTGCTTGTTTGTGATTTTTGCATTGAAGGAGACGGTCAACAAAACCTTGGAGGAGATTAATTCTATGTTTTAGTTGAATCAGTTGATATTAAGAATGATGATTGTCTACTTCTAATAGAACTAGGATAAAGTGTATAAAGCTTTAGTTCATCCCCTATCATACATACTGGAACTCAAAACCAGCTCGAAGAAAACACAAAACTCCACCTAGCTTCCTAATGAAATCCATTCTTTTCCTCCACGAAGCGCCCAGGCATGAAACAATCGCCACAACGCCGTTATCATCAATATCATCATCATGCATTCAAACAGTTGAGAGCCAGTCGCCATCTCAAACATCAAAAGAAAGAGTAAAGCCTCGAAACAGTCCTGCCGCCTAGCCAGCATTACCTAGGAATGATAATAATAAAAAGAAAAAAAGAAAAGAAAAGAAAAAACGAAATTATAAGAATAAGAAAAGGCCATTTTGTATGTTGTTAAATCAGTGATCAAGATTGCCGATCAAACATTGACAAAGTCTCCAAAATCGTCTTCGCCAGACAATGCAATCGATGCTTCCGAGTCCCGTCGAATCTGCTGCTCTAGTGAAGCACCGTCCTCCAGTGGTAGAGGCTCGTCGAATCCAAAGGACACGGATCCGCGCATGGGAGGTGTCGTATCAGAAAGCTGTGGACTGCTTGCAGCTGGATCATCCCGGTCTTTGTTTGCAATCTGCTTGACCATCTGAGCAAGGTGGAGTTTGATCGGCTCGTCACCGCACTGAGCATGTCGTAAAACCTCGTTTTTTAATCCTAGAATCTCGCTGCGAAGCCGTGAAATTTCCGAGTTGAGTCGCTCCCTCTTGTCCGACTGTTCTTTGAATCGCGACTCGAGCATCATGGTGTGTTCCTTCTTCTTCTGTCGGCATTTACTCGCTGCTAACCGGTTCCTCTCGAGGAATTTCTCCCGTTTGGCGTGATCCTGATCGTCTGAGTCGGCGCCGCTGCTCACCGTAGTTGCTATCGAGGGCTTGTGCTCCCGCAGTCTCCGCCTCTTGGACACACTAGAATAGGGAAATCTACCGATGGCGCTATGATCTGCCGAGCTATTGCGACTGCTACTCGGCGGAGTCGGAGTATCGTCCCAGGCATTTCGATTCTCAAAGACCGCCATCATATCCCTTGACAGAGTCACAGGCTGCTGCTGCTGTAGTTGTTGCTGTTGTTGCTGTTGCTGTTGCTGTTGTGGATCATCCAATGGTGGAGTAGGTTGGCCGTTGCGAACCTGGGCGTGTTTGAAGTCTCGCTCCAAAGCCGCACCAGATACAAAGGTCGCATCTGACTTGGGGTTCCAATTGGCAAAGGATGGTGAAATCGGACTCATATTCCATACGGGTTCTTCTTCAGCAGTCAGACCAAAGTTCATGAAGTCTCCAGACAAGACGTGGTTGCTGTCCAGTGAGGGGTCGAGAGTCACAGCATCTGCAGTGGTGAATGCCGGAGCACCAAGCTGTGACTGATCAGCCAACACAGTGTAGGCAGACATTGCTGTTTTTTTTTTTTTTTTGGTTACTTGAAATTTCTGAGAATTGATGATGTTTTGACTTGTCGTTTTCTTCCTTGGATCTGAGGATTGATTTTGAGGGTCGAACAGAGTCGTTGACGAGTTGATTCTGAGTTGCTGTGCTGCCTAGTCGTGACTTTTTCAGGGCAGAGTTTTGGGACAGAGAATGGAAAGCCAGAAAAGAAATAGAGCAATCCGGAATGTCGTGATCTGTAACAACCGTGGTTAAGAGTTGCAGGACTCGAATCAGAGAGGTTGGAGCTTGTCAATGGAGTGGGTGAGTTTTGAGAAGGTTTATGTTCCGGGAGTGGTGACGGTAGCACAAGTGACGGCGAGACTTAGATGAGATGCTGCTGCATGCCTAGAGTAAGAGATGGAATCGTAGTGTCGATAGAGATAGACAGAAGAAAGACAAGAATGGCCAAGTTGAAGTTGTAGTTGTAGGTGTAGTGTAGCGTAGTGTAGAGTAGAGTAGTGTAGTGTAGTGCAAGTAGTGGGCAAAGGCAATGGCAAACAACAAGGCAAATAAAGGCAGGCGCTACCCTGGAAATGGCACAAAAGCCTTCCGGAAGGGAAGCTCCCAGCAAAACAGGGCAGGCGCTGGGCCAGGCCGTTCTTTCCTTGTGTGTTGGATCTGTTTCAACCGCGCCAAGGATGCCTGCAAAACAAGGAATCAACAGTATCACTGCTGAGCTTTGATACAGATAATATAATGATAATATAATAATAAATATAGACAGAAGATGGATAGATTTGAAGAATATATTCATGAATATTAAGAAACTGGGAGCCAGGATTACTCTTTTATACAACTACTGATCTGTATAGATCTATATATATGGAGACTTGTATCAAAATGCAAAATGAACAATGGGAACCTGATTTCGTGCACATCAACAGACTAAGGTTTCTGCCTATGGCACCACCATGGGGTCCTATTTCCACCTTCCCTTTTCTTGCTGCTGTATCAATACCGAAAGAGTCGAGAATCTCTGATATCTGGCCCAAATGATATCATGCGCCGTCTGTCTCTGTCGGATCAGGAAGGGATAGACTTGCACGGGAGGACAGAAAAGACGTTCGAAACAGGCGGATATAACAGCATCTTATTGGTCTCGTCAAAATCCCGATAGAAGAGAACTGACTGTACTATGTAGAGAAGAGAAAAGGGAAAAAAAAAAAAAAAAAAAAGGTGGAGGAGGGAGGATCGAACAGGTATGGAGAACTAGAATCAGGTAAGGCTCCACTTTTAAGCTCCCGTTTGGGCGCTTGACATCATCCATTTGATCGCTGCCTCAGGCTGCATTGATGAGAACGGCTAGTGTATTTCCACCTAAGTATTTGTGACTGTCAGGTAGTTACATTGAGACCTAGGTATTTTAAGTACAGAGTATTTTCGACCTGATATTCCAGAATCACAATGTGGACATCTAGTGGCTATAGACTTGAAGACCGTAGCGGGAGGCAGGCAAAAACGAGCGGGGCAATAACGTTGTGTTTTAAGGATCTCCTTGACACTGATGCTCAGCTGCCAACAGTACGCATGCTCATCGCACTCACTCAATCGATCAATTGAATTGTACAAACACACGGCAGCTATGACTGCAAGCACGGAGTACCATCCAAGTGTCAGAATTGATAGTGTCAAATCAATATTGATACAGCCCTAATCGTCCCCTCGAACTCTAATATATCAAGTGGAGCCTGGCGTCCATGACAGATCCTCGTTCCCTGGATCATGTCAGTGGCAACTGTTCCCACCCAGCGCAAAGGGGTTCGTTGCATCTACAAGATACGTAACTGGCCCCGTCGATTATACATTCTCGTAGTCTTATACGGAGACATGTTCCGTTAATCAAAACAGGAAGTCGGATATTTCTCCCTGCCGTGCCTCTGTGTTGGGGTGGGATTATTATGCTTTGCATTATGCCAATCACAAATACTCGGCTTGCTCTCAGACAGAAGCAGGGAACATGTATTGGTATATCTAATTTCGACATCTCTTGAAAAGGGATCAATGATCGACAGCCACGGCCCCAGTACCATCCGAACAAATATCACGATGCTTAAATCACTTCCGCACGGAAACCATCTCCTTTGCGCTCTCGATTCTTCAAAAGTGGCCGGCAGCATAACATCCAGAAAACAGGCTGACAATCGACATATCAAAATGCTAGATCAATAGCCAACGTGATAATATAGATTGAAATACAAGAACCTATCTAATTGGCCGAGCTTAAAACGGAAAATATATCAATTGAGCACTCTGACTGGCGGAGACTGGCTCCGAGGTCCAAGCTCGAGCTGTTCCTTTCAGTCGGGCTGGCTACCCGGCCAATCACCTGGCACACAAGTGCATCAATAAGATCCCGGGATATAATTTCCCAGTCGTTGAACAGAAAATATATTCGTCAACGATTTCTTATCAAAAGGGTTCCTCAACTGAGTCATTCACTAATGACATCACATAAAACGTCATCTGCTGGTAGAATCGCTTCGAATCTTCCCCAGAAAATCACCCAACTGCGTACGCGCGCCACATCTTAGTTTTGTTCTGGACCGTTTGATGTCCTTTTTACTTTTTATACCTCGGAATATTTGATCCTGCTTATGTGTCCGAGATGTGCTCGCCTCGCTGCTCAGAGTGGTCAAGAGGTCAAGAGTTCAAGACATTCCTATCTAACATAGAACTCTGAAATTCGTGCTACTACAGTACGTACTGTGCGGGGTTGGCAGAGCCCAAAACAAGCAAAGCATCCTCCTGACCAAATCTTAATCTGATTGGACCATGCATTCATTCAAATCCCCTTCACCCAATCACAACCCCAATCACAACCCCAATCGCAACCCTAATAACAACCCTAATAACAACCCTAATAACAACCCTAATAACAACCCCAACCCTCTCCCAGACAAATGTGAACGAATATACAGACCAGTACTCCGTACAACCTACGGATACAGAAACATAAAACATGACAGCGGAGACGTTCTCCGAATACATCTCATCCAGGCATTCCTAACTTGCTGATGTCGGGAACTCGACTCGGAACATTCTTCCACCCCCTTTTTTCTATTCTAGGGATATACTCTTTTCAAGGGTGCCTACTACCATGATAGGGTTGGCTAATCGTGTGGATATGTAACGTACATGTTGCCTATACCCTCCATCTACTCTGTACGGAGTATACGTACCGGCGCGCCGCTTTTGCGATGGGGCTCCCGCTCAGTTCACTGAAGCCATGTCTGAAAGTGGTTAGCCCGGAGCTAAACCCAACCAGGATTACGTACGGTACAGAGGTGTGTCGAGATACGTTGAAAAGGGTTGAACCACACACAGGTTCCACTTGACACAAGTAAACAATGGTAATGGGTGTATGAAGTATCACAAGAGAGGATATCCTCGACAAGAGTAGACGCAACAAAGGTAGAAGAGATCCCCCGTACAGCCTGGTGCCCGCCCGTACGAGTTTAGAATGCCTTGCTGATTCGCAATGTAGTATTCAAGTGACTTATGGCAAAGAGCAATGAAGAAGCTAAGAACTAAATCCATGATGGTAAATGAGCGTTTTTATATATCCAGTCCTCCACGTTCTGTATCATATAGAGTGTGCAACTGCAACAATACATGAAAATTCCTAGCTCCTAGTTCTTGTTATTTGCCTATATTCCGCATTCATCCTAGCGTAACCGAGCTCTAACACCCAATAAAACAATCTCATTTAAGGCAATATCAGGCGACATCCGCATTTTTAGAGCCCATTATTGAACTGACTTCAGGAATGAGCTCGGTAATGAGATACCTCTGGCATTTGCTCTCGCCATTACACTTGTCTCGCGAGCTTTTTTTCCATAGTCGAGCAGCTGACTTGCAAACGCCTAATTCAACAAGAATCACTCCTAAGCCACAGATATCGTGGTTTTTTGAGAAGGCCTTATCATTATCACCGAGAGCTGCATCTAGCCAAGTGGTGGGTTCACGCAGTACATTTGGATGTCGATAGAGCTGCCATTCTTTAAATCCAGTCTGAACTTTGGCGTTCATAATCTCATCGTCAGACGGTAGATAAGTATAATCGAAGCCAGCTAAATATGGGGGGGAGAGTCGCTGATGAGTATCAGGGAAGTCCACATCCGAACAGAATAACACATTGCTGCTTCTGGTTCCTCTGTGAAGCCACTCAGCTGTATGTAGGTAGAGAATGGATCGAGCGAGGGATTGAGCAATCTCGAATCGCATAGTACGCGAAAGTGATGACTGAAATTGATGAATATTTGTTAAACTTAACATATCTCGCAATGATATAACGTGCTTCCCAGGGATAGCGTATATCACATGATGGATGTACTCCTGGGTCAGCGAAGGCCTCTCTGGTAAAGGCAAGTCAATCGTATATCCCAGACAAAGAAGAATTCTTAGTTCTTTGATGTTTTCTGATAATCTCAACTGCCAAGTCAGTCTTGTGAGAGTATCCTTCAAAGGAGAAAAATTCTTTTTCTCGTGCACAAAGACCATGTTTTCATTGTATTTGCCAAAGTAAGAGACTCCTGCTTCATTGTCTCGATGCTTTGGTATTTCAATCGCTTTCCCCAATTCATCTGCTGAACATGATCTGATGCATGTGATGTGATGTCCATAATGTGATTTAGGCTGATGGCCTTGATCTGTGCAAGCCATGGGGTGAAGGAATTGGCGTCCTTTGGGAAACTGTTATAACGTTCTAAGCTTCAAAGGATCAGTGGATAGAGCTACACTGAAAACTACTGTACCGATCGGCGCAGGGTCAGGAGGAAGACGGCCCTCTAAATAAAGAATTTGATCAGAAATGCTTTGCAGACACTCCTCAGCGTTGAGTTGTAAATTCGACTCGTGTCTTCTCTGGGAGTGCCGATTTTGTCGTCCTTGCTCTGAAATTCCACATCTTGATCAAGTGAATATGTGTTGCGCTTTCCAGAACCACTCGGGATATTGGGGACTTCCATTCTCCTGATTATCTCCCTATCTCCATGAGAAATAGCTAGATCATACACCAAGTCAAAAATTAGATTTAGGCAGCTTTGAATCAGATGCTGATATATTTCGAGCTTAACATCGGGACCTGCGAAAGCGGACATTTCCACTTCACGCGTGCGCTATCTCACTACCCACCAACATAGTCTCGAGCCGAGTAGTTGAAGATGATTAATGTATCGTGCAGTCGATTCACTCGCATTATCAACACCATTCCAAATCGTGAGCTTGTCAAGATAATGCTGAACAGATCTCTTCCATGAACTAGCGGCGCCAGAGAGCGAATTCATGGAAGACTCTGCCATTTAAAAAAAGCTGACGGAGTGAAGTCGCACCAGAATGGTAGAGCATAAAGGCGACTCGAGGAAAATGTGGAGGGTATAATGTCCTGGGGGTGACCGAAATTTTTATATAAACAACTAACCTACATAAGTTAACATAAGCACGCAAGGCGAATCGCGAGGCAGAAAGCCCTTCCCGACGAACTAGAGAAGTTGGCCCTGTCACCCATGCGGTAAAGTCATCCACGAAAGCAATCGCTCCTCCCTGGCTGTCGATCTGTCGTTGTACTAGGTCTGCGTTGAAGAAGAGGAATAAGATCGGGGATAGGGGAGAGCCTTGAGGTAGTCCTGCCTGTGGGAGGCTTTGGACCTCCGACACTTGCCCATTAATTTGGATGGTAGAACGGACGGCGACCATCCAAATTAAGAGACTTAGGGCTAATTCATGTGTTTCTCTACAGGCCGAAGAACTCGATACCCATTTACAAACATTAACCGGCAAAGTACCCGTAACATTGGAAAACGGCCAATCAACCTATGCTTATCCATTAGGCAGCTGGGTCTACCACGAAAAGCTAAAACAGATGCAACTCATCTTTCAAATGGGTTTCGAGCTATCCATCTACGCTCCAGAAGAACTTGGCGGAATGTATTGGTACTTGTCGCATCTATGTTCCAGTCATCAACTTCACATTGAACGAATACAAGCGTTTGTCCACTCAGAGGGCAGAAGAAGCAAACGTTTCAGAGGCAACGAGGCCACCTTTGAAAGAACACTCACAACCCTCGGCCGTCATAGTCTATGGCTCATAGCGACAGAGACATTATCCCTCGGCCTCCAGGTGCTGTACGTATTCCTCGAGCGACACCGAGTACTCCCTCACGCAGCTTCACAGAATGCATACTCCTGCGCCAGACTTCGCTACGAACTCCGTATGACGCCGCTCTTGCCCATCAGTCTATCGGAATTAGTCTCATACGATCAATACGAGGACAATGCCACACTCAAGGGCCAAAATGATAGCGACTTACTCAAAGCGGAGCAATTGCCGATGCACGCAAAGCATGGGAAGCGGTCTTTGCGCAGGGCGCTTTTGTCACGACCACACAGCATCAGAAAAACGGTGAAGCAGTGCGCAGATCGGCTATTGAAGCTGACTGGCAACGAAATACAAAGAACTCACTGAGAGCATGTATAGGCGCCAGTATTGCGATTCAGACGGTCACCAAGATCTTCAATAAGACGAACTTGTCGAAGTCGACTGCTGAGGAGAAACCTGGAACAGCCTTGCTGTCGATTAAGGTTGAAATTCCAGAAGTTGGCTCAGCAGGGCGGCACCATGTAGATGCGCCTCGGTGTGAAGACATGTGTGACCGGCACTGTCACCCATTTGCCCTGCGCTGCACTTGATTTCATTATTGATCTTTAATAGATAGAAGTGCATATTGTTGACGTCGTGTTGGGCTGGTAGCTTGGAGGAGAGTTGCATGATTAGGTATGGGGATGAAGCGATTAGAGCGAGATCATGCGATAGATGCACAGTAGATCGACATGAATAGTCAGATCATACATAGCATATATTACATAGCGTCCACCACAGAACGAGGAAGGACTTGAAATCTAATCTCCTCGGTCAGGATATAATCAATATACTTTTATTCCTGCCCACTCTATCCGCACACTCTGACCATATCTTCTCATCATTAACCACCTCCACCACCTTCTTTGCCCCTCTACTCACTGAACAATTTGCCAATCCTTCTGTAGAAGCTCTTCATCCATACAGCTCTGAACCTTAATAAGCTTCACCGAAGCGCGCAGTGTGCAACTTCAACCATAGAGCTTCGAGTTGACCTTAAATCTAAAAATCAAAAGCAACACCAACGAGCCCCCAACAATACACAAAATATACGCATTACTCATCGAACTCACCACAATATCAACCACCTGACTCTGCTCACCTTGCGGCAAATCCCTCAGCAGCGGACTACTCGGGTCCGAGATGATGGTACCAATATCCCGCCGTCGACATATCCGGCAACAGGGCGATTATATGCGTACACGGAATATCTTCAAATTGTGATTTCAGATTGAGATTACCGACTAAAAATGACCAGGAAGCACCCATGATAGTTAGGAACGCCCTTTCGGCTAGGTTTAGATTTTGTCGCTAACCCTGCCGTATATCTCCAGAATCGATCAATCATTCGACTCATTTGCTCAACCATCCCGTCCTCATATTGCGATTAACTCAAGCACGGAGTATAGATCCGTAGAACCAGCACCAGCGGAAACGTGTACCAGGCGTATTCACGACGCTCATTCGTTTATTCGCAACACAAACCACCACACCACCGTAGTAAAATAAATAGTAACCAACTCAAATATAGGTTATACCCCGAGGTCGGCGACCATTTTCTCTTCCCAAGTTCCTGAAAATAATCCGCTCTTCCTCGTGGTTAGGAATTTTAGCATTGACTCCATCTTGATACTCTTTGCCTAGTCCATGCATATTGTCCTTGATTAATGAGGTTAATCATCGGAAGATCCGACTCGTTGACAAAAGATGAATGGCCCATAGAACCCCGCGACCTTCGCTCCTAATAGGACTTCCTCACACGGTTTGAAGATGTCTGATTCGAGTAAGAGTCTGTTCATATCTGTGAGAGCGCTTGCGTATGGTCGCTTGGTTTATTCTGAGCTTCAGCCATCGTGCAGGTCCAGTGGCGTTCGGATTCAGGGGTAACGTGTAGTGGAACAATAGTGGAACAGTTAGCTCTGCGATGCGTTGAAAAGAACAATAAAACAAGACACTGCGAAGATAATTGATCCAGACAGTAAACAATTCATTACATCAGTTTATATATGAAGGTACAGCGGAAGCCTGTGAGTCGCACTCCAGGCTGCGGCCACCACGACCAGAATAAGTAGCGAAGATCTACCCGACTCATGAAAAGTATAAGGTTAGTTCATTGACTAACATATCGACTGTCACGATATAGCTAACTCTAAAAATACATCACATGTAGAGCGACTGTCCCAACGACAGATAATCCAAAACCAGACAAAATCAACAACCAGACAACCTTGAAAATCAAAACAGCAGACAAACATAACTCCTAAGTATGCTCCGTGGTATCACATATATCATAAATCATAGTGTCAAGAGTAAGATCCTTCGATCAGCCCAACGCAGTTCAAATATCAGCATCAGCCAAATGGCGGCTCACGACGCGCCAATAGTCCAACATCATGCCCATCACCCAAAAAGCTTCACAGCCGTAATCATCATCGTTAATAGCTTTGGTGTCTTCGCAAAGCAGAGGAGTAAAGGTCAAGAGAATTCGTTTGCGATCCAATAAACAAGCCCGATTGATGGGTGGGATGTTCTTGGATTTGTAAAAGTCGAGCATAGTTCTAGTTTCGTGGTCGAGGAAAGAACACAGTCCGAATATAGCACAGAGAAAATCGAGTTGCATGTCGTTTGTAAGAGCGAGGATTGCCAGTGAGATAGCACGAGCTTTGGTCGGAGATACTTCCGGCAGAGCTCCATTCAAGCCACGTTGAGGAAAAGTAGGCTCGTCGGGGAAAGTTAGGTTCATGATGTCGACAAGTGTGGGATAAAGACGGGGTGAACCCAGAATGCCTCCAGGAATACACGCCAGGATATATTTGAATGCCCATGCAACAGAGAGGACGTGGAAACGTCCGCGCAAGAAGTCTTCATTGTCAGAATGGACACCGAAAACTTCAGAAGAAAAGTCATAGCTCCTTCGAACAGTCATGTTACCAGATTCCTCTCCCTCTGGGGTGAGAATCTGGCTTGCAAAGTGATCATAGATACGAGAAGCGACAACGACATCGCCAGGTTCGTGAAAGATGTTTCGTGCTTTGGGGCCTATTTGCTATCATTAGCGATGGAATATATATATATATATATATATATATATTTTGCTGCTTGCTAAAGGGCGGAGATACAGACCGTGAGTAACCAAGTAGGAGACAAGTGAGACAATCGGAGCAGGAAGCCGCATAACAGCAGGAGCAAAGTCGCCAGGGAGAGTGAGAGATCCATAACCGCACATGCGGCCCATAGTAGCAAGGTCTTTTCCTTTGAGGGAATCCATTTTATAGTACTTCAGAGACAAGTTGGCAAAAGTTCTCATCCGTCGCAAGTTCCGGGCGCGACGAGTTGGAGAGCGGGGACGAAGGTGTGAACCGATACTGCGCACTTTGCGAAGAATCAGTTCCCTCTTTGAGGGTTTGAGGCGGATAAACATTTGGAAGTCTTCCATAATAGTCAGTGAAAGCTGCAAGGGAGCGGAGAAAGCCCCCCTAAACTTACTGATGGGGTCATATTCAGGGGGCACCAAAGCATAGGAGCCGTATTCGCGAGCGAGTTCATTGTAAGCCAGGAAAGCAGTCCTTTGACGGCCATGTAGACTGATATCGGAAAAGAGACGATGATGAGGCCAACCATATTCGGGAAGACAAGAAACAGCAGGAGGCGCGTAGTCAGAAGTTCCATAGACGAAAGTGTTGTTTTCAGAGGTTCCGGATCCACTGAAGCTCTCACCGGATGAAGAGGTCCGGATGCAGGGGAATTTAGAATGTCTATCAGACCAATGATAGACGGTAGTCGTGCTGTCATGTGTGACAAAGCTGTTCTGAGACCGGCTTTTCGAGTCGGCGGAATCGCCGACGGGGCCGTCACGATGGTGACCGATCGCAGTCTTGACGGCATTGATAACACGTGCGCTCGTCTCATGAAAGTAATGAAAGAGGCCACGAGAGGTAGGAACGCTAGAGGATTGTTGGCTTAGGCCCGCAATTGAGCAATTGCTATCAGAACAAGAGCGCACCTTGGTCCGTCGACAGTAGAGCCTTCTTTGACAGAAATAGAGCTCGATGCTTGATCCATTGGGAGACCAGGAAGATTCTCAACTAGATGAGAGTAGTCTGAAGAACGTAAGCGCAAGTATTTCTTCGGTGACTGAAAGAGTCACGCTCACCTTTGAAAGTCACATTTTTGGCGTAGCGCTCGCTTTCAACGGCGATAGCGGAAGATGCTGCATAGCTACCTAAGATGAGTTGTCAGTAAATAAAAGAAGGACGAAATGCGCTAAACTGATCGAGCTGCGTATGTTATGTAGCAAAAGAACAAAAAAGCAATAATGCGCTTCTGAGTTAGAACGTTGGGGGAATTTACTTGTGGCAGCGGCCGAAGAGGAGAGTTCGCCGGGCGGAATGTTGTCGTGCTGAGCGAATGCAGTGTACAGGCTCTCATAGAGCTCGGCCTCAAGCTCTCGCTGTTCCCACTGCACGCCCTCGGTGGGGAGGGAAGAAGGAGTCTTGTCGACGACAGAATTTTCGCTCCAAGAAGGAGACAGAGGTGAAAGAGTAACCTGGTCGGCTCCAGCACGAGGAGTGCGAGTGATACAGGGAAGGTCCTTGAGGACACGGAGGAACCCGGCCATCTTGGAGAAGGCCGGGTCGAGTAGAAGGAGAAAGGGGGTCAAATTGATTGATTTTTTTTTTGATGAATTGAAGCAGAAATGAGTGTGATTTGGTGATTTTGATGGAAGGAGGAGGAAAGAGGGAAGAGAGAAGAGAGAAGAGGGAAGAGGGAAGAGGGAACGACACCTGAGGCCGTTGATACTGGTTGCCTAGACGGGAAGGTATGGTTGAGAACTTCACTGGCCAGAGAGCCGCTTCGCTGTATAACAGAAAACTCAATTGATTGCTTTCTCTCTATCAGTAGACACATTCATCATCATCATCATCATCATATTTTCAGATCCTCTTCAACGCCGTATTCTCATCACGATGTAGTCCGCGCAGTCTGTATAGTCTGGTGTTGTATAGCCTCTTGGTGTATAGACTCGGGCCGGTCGACCATATTAGCGCCGCTGGGTAGGGGGGTTGGTTTCTCCTGTCGTATTGGCTTTCTTTGACACCGGCGCTGCTGCACTACACCGAGGCAGGTGAACCCTAATCCTGTCCGAAAAGACGTGGTCGATCGGAACTGCGCGATATGATAAAGCAACGGTGTATAGCAGTAATGCATGTGATGACGCCGGACAGCTAGAGCCCTCTTTTCGATTGCAGGAATCAGATGAGTACTCGCTCCAGATCCCCAATAATCACTACTATGTGTTGCACGCAAAGTGGTAGACGGGGCAGCGAGGAAAGAACTACCACTCCTCCGGCTCGCCTTCAAGTAGAATGTATTGTAGGATATCGCTCAGCGTCAGCACTCCAATCAGCCGGAAATGGTCGTCCACCACGATCAGTCGGTGCACACGTGACTTGCGGATCGTGTCAAAGATGGTGTCCAGCCCGTCGTTGATCGAGCACGTGTAGATGCCCGGAAAGTCCTGCGTGCTTTGTTAGCGAGGGCTACCATGCGTAGTGTAATATCACAGCGGAAGGAGCTTACCGGCGACCGCTTCTTCAGAGCCTCCCCAACGCTGAGACTCAGGTCATCGTACGTCCCTCCTTTGATCAGGGTAATCACATCCACGGCCTCAAACACGTTGTATACAATGCCTACACTCATGGGTCAGCATTGTGCGGGTCGCGGACATGGTCTGATATTACCTTCTGAATTGATAATTGGAACGCTTGATATGCTACGTTCGACTAACTTGTGAATGACTTCCATGACAGGCGTGTCCATTGAAGCCGTGACGATGTCGTGATACGTCCCCAGCCGAATCTCCTTCAGAGGCTTACGCAGATTCTGCGTCTCTGCGACATTGACTGCGACGAATTTTAGAATGCGATACTGAGTGACGACGCTGACGACGAGGGACCGGTCCGTCTGACTGTCGTTTGAAACCAGCGGTATACGTCGAGCGCGAGAAGAGAGCATGCGCCGACAAGCCTCATATAGCGGCCGCTCGGGATCAATTGCTATCGTCTCTGGAGGCGCTACACCCAGTGCCTTTTCGACCTCTGCAGTCGCAGTCAGCCCCGTCTCACGGCCGTCGCGCGAACGTCTGTTACATACCTCTTAAACTGTTCAGACGGAACTGATCGATCTTATCGAGCGTCGCAGGGTTCTGAAAATAATATTGGATGACGTTGATATAGTCGGACGTGGTGAGTAACCCAGCGAACGTCGAAGTGGACGAATCCCATAACGGAGCCGAAACAATGCCTACAGACGTCAGCCAGACTCCAGTCACAACGGACAACAACAGTGCTTGCCATTCTGGACTAGAATATTCAGACTCTCCTTGACCAGCAGAGATGTGTCGAAAACGATCAAGCGAAAGCTCAGTGGAAGAATGTCGTAACTCGTTCGGACCTTGAGGAAATTTCGAATCGCGCGCTACAATTCCGAGTCAGTTATTTAATCAATAGCTCCGAACTTGAATCAAAAAGCTGAAATTTACGGGGATATAGACAACCTCCCCCCCCCCCCATCTCCCTCCCCCCACGAACCCCGCGAAATAATCACGGGCACGCAGGAAAAAGCAAAGCGCCGCAACACACAAAAGCTATCACCGTCGCAATTTTGAGCAACAACTACTTACCAATCCCATCTGCTCCTCCACATCAACCGCCCTCTCGGGCTGTGAGGGTGCCATTGGATGTGAAAGACCGCGTCGTCGCAGGTACGAAGCCGGCTGCACAAAACCCCTCTCGTGACCACTGCTGATACGGGAACGGCTGGAATGGCCACCACTACCGCTGCTATTTCTTCTGAGATTCTCTCCGCGGTCGGTGTCAATATGAGAAGTCTCGCGGTTAATGTTGATGTTGTCCGACGCGGCGACACCACTGATCTCGTGTTCGTGCTCGTGCTTGTGATCCGTGGGGGAGCGAGGGATGGAGGTTAAATGGTCGTGGTCGTCGGCCATGATCCGTACCGTAAAACTGCTGGAGAAAACGAGCGCCGCTTTAGGAACAGTAGCCGCCGCATATATGAGGGCGGGCCCCCCTTAAAAGCCTCAACGAGAGGACCCAAAGAAACAAGCCTCGTCTCTAGGTTTAAAGCAGTCTCGACGTTTTTGACTGTCGGATGAATTGTTGTTTGCTAGTGGTGAGACGAGCTGGAGAAATCTAGCGCGGCTGGCTCAGGTTTACGATTAGCAGTACTGTTTGATGATGTTTGTCTTCGCACTTGTCGATCTGGTTCGCGAATACAATTTTTCTTTTCTTCTTCTTTCTTCTGTTTTCTTTTTTTTCTCCCACACGGATTTATCCTTCGATTCGACTCGACGACTTCAGCGTGACTCGGGATTCCGTTCGGGCAATCAGGATACCTATTTGCGCGGTTAAAGTCAGACTCGTCTGGAGATTGTACAACGCAACTTTATCAATTGTCGTTGTGATTAGAAAATAAGTCGATCGGTCCTGACCTAGAACACAAACTGTGTCATGACGCACCACGTCGCAAGAACAACCTGGCATATCACTCGTCCTGATAAATTGAGAGACGTTTATATCGTGTAGGTTGCAGGGAGCTTGCGTGATGGTGTCTTGAGCCAGGCAGAAGGAAGTTGTTTCCAAGCCCAGAATGAGAGTGTCACGTCGAGTCTCATATATGCAGGATCGAATGGGTCCGACTAATCGCCCATTAATGCGATATTTGTTTATCTATTGCATCTATCGCTGTATGATTACAATTGACTACCCCGCCATGTCATCCAAACCCCACGGCTGATCAAGACGTTGTCCCAGTATCTATCAAAGGGGAACATATATATTCATGAAGTCGTAGATCATAGAGATCAATTGATCCGGGGTATTGTACACAATATCAAAAACGTCAAAACATCAAAAACCGAAAAGAGGGCTCTTATGCCCCCACCCCCCACGTAAGCCAACTCTATGATTATATAGAATCTACTCTGTATTAGTATTGCATTAAGATGCAGAAATGCACACCGAAGACACCACTACTCATGCCGCAAATAGACTCTTTTCCGTACCGCCACGAAGATAAAACTCCGACTCCCCAATATGTCGGCCGGCTCGAACCCAGCGTTCTCGCATTTGTTGTCGGCGGTTGTCCGCAAGTTTGTTTAGAGTAGGCCAGTAGACGGAATGATCGTATTCGAATTGGACATCGCCGCCGCAAGAGGAGAGTAACTGTGACGGGGGAACGTGTTCGCGTAAATCTTCGTTGAATTTGAGTTTCTGCACGGTGACGGGGTCGATGAAGGGGGTGATTATTTTGAAGAAGCCCCAGATTATCCAGGGTACTATAGCCTGTTAAGATCTGCCAAAAAGCAACAGAAAGACGGGAAGGGCATGATACCATTAATGACAAGAGCACGACCCAGTCTCTCCGGATAATGATTCTGCAAAATATCCAACGTCTGTTTCGCCTGTCCTATCGTAGCGTTCTGACCGGACTTTGTCTCATTGAAATTCACCACAAGCGCCAAATTCTCTTGTCCAGCAGGCATCAAATCAATCACCCGCTCCAACATAAACACCAGATGCTCAATTTGTCTGGGACTCTTTTGCGTGTTTTGTCGCGAAGGTAGCAGATACAAACATGGACGACCATCAACATCATACCCTTCAAGGATCTGTTTGCCCGTCTCGTTCTCAATGGAGATGTAATCTGCCGTCAATTTATCGCTGATGTAATCCCTTCGCCAGGCCAATGTTGACCGGATCCGTTTAATGGCGTCCGCAACATTCCATTTCGTCGCTCGCAGGAATCGAAGCAGACATTCGCGTGTGAGGAACATGCGCTCGTCATCGGTTAGCGGCGATTCACTCGCATTCTTTGCAGGACTCGTCGGGACAGATGTAAATCCCGAAACGGTTTTGAGTACTTCGTCGTATTTCTTCGTCTGATCTGCTGTTAGTTCTGCCGCCGAGGGGATTTTTACGCCTGCTGCTGGGTGTCCGAATGGTTTTTTGATGAGTCCGTCTGCTGCTGATTTGGGGAGATTGAGTTCTTGTTCTATGTTTGCCAATGCGACAGCGTCTGCAACAGCCTCCTGTTTTGTGCGCTCGGCCATTTCGTCTGTATCCTGATAGACAAGTGATTTGTGCGTTACCAAGAGTGCAGTGTTGATAATACTTGTCGAGTTTTCTAGCTCTGTCTCACTCTCACTCACAGGCTTAGGAACAGCTAGCCCACTCTGGTAAAGCCTTATCGGTTATCAGTCAGCCGTCCAACGCGTCCAGCAACCGCGTCTGTCGCGACTCACTCAAATTCAATTTAACACTCTCCCCGCAATCATTGACTATCATTTTATAAAATTGTGAAGGTCAATCTCGTCATGGGCGACATTACGCAGGAGCTCGAAGAGCTTTTTGCAGGATCAGCACCCGATGGCCTCGCTCAAGATGTCCTTACTGAACTACAATCTATGCTACGACTGCATGGCATCACGCCGCAAGAGCTGTTCTACAAATGGGAGTCGTATAGCATGAAGATGGGAGCAGATGACACAAAATTGGATCTGGATACAGTTCGCGCATTCAAGCGAGATGTGCAAGATTCCTTGGAACGAGAAACTCGAGGAAAAAATCATCATGTTCGAGGCGCCGAGAAAAAGTCTGGTGTGACCGCGACCCCTCGCGCTGGGAAGGCTGATGTGTTCGGAATGTATGTACCCTCTCTTTATGATAAGGTGCTACTAATAATTCTTCAATAGGTTGGATGATCTGACGCCTGGAACTCCTCAATCTCGTATCAATGGATCGGCCAAACGAAAATCAAACTTTGAGACTCCGTCAGGACCCAAGGTAGGCCGAACGGATGCAGGAACACCTACCGGTATAAAGACACCTTCGACAAATATACAGTATGTGACAAATCGATGAGCACTATGTCGAATGCTAAACTTCTGCTAGGAGCGTCGCTTTCGCCGAACGACAAAACCCCGGCCAACTCCTAGAAACACTCAATGCGCATTTGGATATGCCCAAAACGCCCATGGTACCATTCCCTGAGCCTCGAATTCGACCAACAGCAAACACCGATCTCAAAAAGTTCGCATACAAGCCTATGTCAATGCGCTTGAATGAAGCGTCGGAGATTCTGGACGATAGACTGGACGAATTCACAGATTTATTCGAAAAGCAATATCCCGACGTTAATTTTGGAAGCGCAGCAACACAGAGCACAAGTGAAATAGTGGCTGTTGGACGGATCGCATCAGACAGTCTCGAAGGCAAGCTTAATGTGGCATCCCTTGTGTTGGAGACATCTAGGCGGACGGGAGCCGGTCTTCGAGTACCACTAAAGGTCGATGCTTTACCATCGGTACAATTCTTCCCTGGCCAGGTTGTCGCTCTTCGTGGGATTAACGCTTCTGGAGAGTACTTCTCTGTCAAAGAGGTCCTATCATTGCCGTTACTTCCCACGGCAGCATCTTCCCCTGATACATTAGACGCCATCAACGAAAAACTAGGGGGTGTCGATGTTGACCAGCCGTTAAACATTTTCTATGCTGCCGGCCCATACACTGCTGACGACAATCTTGACTTTGAACCTCTTCAAGAACTCTGCAAAAAAGCTGCAGAAGAATATGCAGACGCTTTACTACTATTAGGTCCCTTTATAGACTTGGAGCATCCTCTCATCGCAACAGGCGACTTTGATCTCCCAGATATCCCGGGACTGGACCCGGAAACCGCTACATTAACAACGCTATTCCGACACTGTATTTCAAAACCGCTTCATCAGCTATGTGCGGCTGTTCCCAGTATCACAATCATGCTGATGCCATCCGTACGTGATTCTGTTAGCAAGCATGTCTCCTGGCCACAGGAACAATTACCGAAAAAGGAGCTGGGTCTTCCCAAACAGGCCCGTGTTGTGTCGAACCCAGTGACATTGTCCCTCAACGAAAGCGTCATTGGTATGTGCTCGCATGACGTGCTGTACGATTTGCGAAAGGAGGAAGTCCTCGGCGGACGACCAGCGGAAGCGAATCTGTTGACACGATTACCGAAATACATCATTGAACAACGACACTTTGCGCCCATGTTCCCTCCTTCTTCGCGGGATTCGTTACCCAAGTCTGGGGGCCTGGACAGTATGCTTCCTATAGGCGGGATGATGGACGTCAGCTATCTGAAATTGGGAGATTGGTGGAACGTCCGTCCAGATATCTTGATCACGCCCAGTCTGCTGCCGCCTTTTGTCAAGGTGAACACACATAACTCCTGAAACTTTTTACTCTGCACTTCCCTTCTAACGCCATTCGTCCAGGTCGTTGAAAGTGTCCTCGTCATCAATCCAGGAACCCTATCCAAGCGTCGAGCTGCCGGTACTTATGCCAATATGGCATTGTACCCGCGAACCATATCCGATGAAGAACGACAAGAGAAACAGCTTAGTCATAAGGTATTTGAGAGGGCTCGAGTTGATATTGTGCGCATATAGTATTTTGTTTCGTTGTGCTGGTGTGTGGCATGGCGTTTGGATAGGAGTAAGCAGGCTGCATGGAATAGCTGTTAAAATAAATGATGATTATGCGTTGTGCTGATTTAATGATATAACCAATAATCAATACGTATCTATCTATTCATAGAACCGTCTGTCAACACCAAACGCCGCGCTTAGCCATGTAGTCACAACAATTCGAACATCAAAAGTCATATCAACGCAAACACCTAACCCTCCTCCCACCCATCAAACTCCCTGACTCCCTGACTCTCAACCCCGCCGCAGCACTCGAAAATCCGAAAGACACGCCTCCCGCCGTCGTACTACCACCACCACCACCACCAGCCGTTGCAGCAGTCCCCCTCAAGACCATCCTCTGCGCCCCTCCAATCGCAAGCGTCTCCCCTCTCACCAATTCCTGCAATCCCAAATCCCTCCAAACAGGCTCCACCCTCCTCCTCCCCGCCGCATCCATGGCCCTCGCAATCCCAAACGCTGCGTGTTGATCGGGCACGACATCGTCCTCATCTTCAGGGTTGATGGGTTGATAATGAGGTGGTAGGTAGACTTCTTCGATGGGCAGGAAGGAGGGGATGGTGCTGGAAGGCGTGCTTGTTGCTCCGTAGGTGACTGTTGCGCCGGTGGCGGTGGTGACGGTTCCGTTGATGGTTGTGCTGAGGTTCTGGGTGGTGTTGGTCGCGTTGGAGGAGAGGGAGGTGTGTGGGCGGGTGAAGTCTTCGAAGTGGTCTACTAGACGGGGGTGGTGCATGTGTAGGTACGTTGAGGAGGAGTCTTTGGACTGGTGGATTCATTTAGCCATATGCAAATCTGAAGAATGAGGAACCAGTGTTACCATCTTGCTTAAACAGGAATAATGTAATGTAAATGATTGAGGCGTGTCTAACTCATCAGTCTGTCCTGGTGCCGTCCGTAATGTAGTTGTCCGGCGCATTCAAGGATTTGTAGATACATTCCTCCCTCTTTAGGATAATGTAGGAATTGACTAAGTAGCGTCCTGATAGCTCGTGACTACTATGGATACATTGGCTTCAGTCCGATATCAAAACATTCATTCTGCCGTGATATTCCGCCTGTTCGTCAATATCAAATGCGGGGTTTATCAACTTCATTTCTGCATATACATATACACATAGATATAGCCTTTGTAACTAGATTTGCTATCAAACATACAGCCGAATTTGACATAGGAATAGTCGTCTATCAACGAACCCTTTATCCCAACGCCTCCACATTCATAGCCAAGTTACATGTTTGGAAGATAGTACATCTGATACAATAAATCCTGCGATAGGAATACAATCAAGAGTTGGTACTCATGCGATGAACAATCGGCACAGCACTCGGCGGCAAACTACCCATTTCCGTCACCACCATATCGACATACTCTGCTGGAGTCACATCATGCATGATGTTGAGAAGTTGCAAGTTCGGCGTATCCTTCCACCCGGTCAAGGGGGACGGCGCATTCTGGTCTAGAGTCAGACTTGCGATTCCATCAGTGACGTTTTGATTGTTTCCCTTCTTTCCGGGTTTCTCGTCAACAGTCTTGTGTGGGTCTGGACGACCCGTGACCTGTGATAAGGGTTGTTTTGTGATGAGTTCGTCAGCGTCCGCGATCTCGTTGACGACAATGCTGTCGAGGGCGACTCGGTCGGTGAATTTGACCGTTTCGCAGCAGACGATGACTGGAATCTCGGCGCCGCCGGATCGTTCTTTGGCTGACATCGCCACTAAAGCAGTGCCAACGCGCGAGTATAGTCGTCCGTTACCGGTCATGGCATGAGCCCCGAGGAAGACTTTGGTCGCGTCTTTCATGGCGTGACTTATACCGTGTATAAGAGAATACTGAACGTCCAGACCAGCACTAGACAACGCACGAGCAAGGTTTTTACCTTCGAACAAAGGTCGCGAGTCGATAACCGACACCCTAAACTTCTTCCCTTGCTTGTGTGCCGTGATCAGGGTCTGTTTCACAATCGAGCTTCCAGCAAAAGTAACAATGACATCGCCGTCTTGAATCTTTTGCGTTGCACTGGTCGCAATGACCTGATCGGCGACGGTGATTTTCTCTCGGATAAAGTTGTTGATGAATTCGCACAGTTCTGTTTTGGCGGTCGCTTCGGGAACAGACGGGTCAATGGAAGAGATGGACAATTTCAATGCGCGAATTGCGTTTCCCTGGCTGATGGAGAGAGGGCGGCAGGTGGAAAGATAAGTGATTTGGTGAGAAAGGTGGGTTGTTAGGTGACGCGCAAGAGAGGTGCCAATCGGTGTAGTATAGGATTCAATGACCTAAAACCATGGATTAGTACTGTCGCCGTACTAGATGAGGGACTTCACATACCCGTTTGAATGCAATCAAAGTTGCAACACATCGTGCGCTACTACCACAAATAACATAATCTCGAATCTGCAAGCCCAATGCCAAAACAGCCGGGTGAACCTCTTTCGCTGCTCCAGCAATAGTTGAGCGCCTAGGGATGCCGTACAGATGCCCGAATACCGCGACATTCTTGTCTTCCTTCTTTTTTGTTTCTGTTGGAGTGGGCAATGGCGTACCACGAGCGCCACCAGCAAATCTTGGGCCCCTAGGCGTTGATGCTAGTCCATCTCTGCCACCTTGTTGAGGCCTTCTGGGTGTCTGTACTGGACCTCCCTGTACAGCACCCTGCTGAGCACCCTGCTGAGCACCTCCGGCCGCGCCCGCTCCAGCAGCAGCACCACCTTCTCTCTCCAATTTTTCGCGCGCTCGACGAGCAGCCTTTTCAGCCTTTTGTTTTTTCTTCATCTCGGCGGGGCTAAGTTTTTCGCCCGATCCATCAGCAGCGGTTGCGTCGGTCGCTTTGGGTTTCTGCGGCTGTTTCTGTTTCTGATTCTGGTTTTGGTTGGGTGCTTTTGATTTCGCGTTTGCGCCATTTTGTGCGTCTGTGGGAGGAGTTTGCGATGCGGAGCTGTTCGTCGCAGGGGGGTTTTGTGTTGCAGTGGCAGGCGGAGCCTGCGACTGTTCAGGACTGCTCATGCCTGATGAATATACTCGATAAGCGATGGTCTATGTTCCTTATTCTCGATTAAAGGATTCGATTTGTAAGTCGAATTATCTTGTGTGTTGTTGTCGGTGGTGGAAGACAATGTTGCAATGAGGATGAAAGTGACTCATGATTCAATTATTTTTAAAGGAGTGTCCCCGCCATGGCCCGCACAACTAGTGCGGCAATTACATATGCTTAAGGTTCCCCAAGTATAAAATCATCATTAATTCCCTCGCTCAATCATATACGCTATACAGACAAATTGATAAACGAGAAAGACAAAAGAAAAGAACGACAATCAGGTCACGTTCAAAAAACAAACTGATCACCGCCTGAAAAGGGTATTCTACTGTTCCAGAATGCATATTCAATAAAATCAAAACTCCGCTGCTGCTGCATAAAAACTTTGGATGCAGTAACCGCTCTTAAACGACGTCAATTGTTGATCGAGAGCTTGCCAAATGGATATCTCTTTCGAGTATCCTTGGATTTGGTGATCTCAAAACGTTCATAGTCATCATTCAGCTTCCGTCTAAACAGGCTAAGCTCGTTCAGCAAATTCTCCATGTCGGCCTGGACCTCCTGAGCTTCTTCGTCGTGTTCGTCAGAACTGTCTTGCTCGTCTTCCCAGATACCGCTGGTCTCCTCCTCCTCCTCCTCCTCCTCCTCCTCCTCCTCTTCTGGTGGTTCTGGTGTGACAACGTCTCGCTCTGGAGGAGCATCTTCCACTGGATGCTCTTCGCTTTTCAGTGAACCAAGACTGGTATCGCGTTTACGTAACGGAATAGCTGGAATTGGATTTTTCAGACTATCCAGTGCTAGTCTTAGGTGATTCCGAAGCGCTTCGTTCTCCGTCTGGAGTTGTCGGATCTTGCATTCACTGACCATCTTGTTCTCTTCCATCAACCGCTGCATCTTTTCGACTTGTTGCTGGTATTCTTCTAGTTTCTCGTTCTGAGCTTCGCTCTCGCGCTTGCTTGCTGCATTCTGGCTGACCGTCAGCTGGAGAACGCGAATTTGCTCGGCCATTTCTGCAATCTGCGCATCTCGCTCAGCTGCAGAGACATGATCCTGATTGACGACGGCTCTAGTGCGGATACGTTTGGCTTGGTCGGCATATCGAAGGGTGGAAAGAGTCTCGTCGTAATCCGACGGCGCAACACAAGCAATCATTGCAGTCTTTGAGTTTCCACCAAGACTGTCCTTTAGCAACCAGGTAAGGATTGAATCACGGTAAGGAACAACCTCTTTGACTCTTCGTCCTCCCGGTCGGTGCTGCTTTGGATCAGCCAGTGCGGCAATCACGCGCCCCAGTGTGGTCAACGACTTGTTGATATTCGAGCCCTCTCGGAGTCGCTGACCTGTCGCTTCGGTTGCTTTAGCACGTTCCGATCCAGCTAAATCAACAAGCCGTATTCGCGCTGTTCTTTCAGTTGTCTCATCTGTGGCGAGATCGTGATGAATCTGCTTGAGCACAATAGTGAACACCGCATGAGATCGGGACGAAGTATCATTCATCTTAGTACTGGCAACCGTTCTAGACATATCTCCTTTCCTCATTAATTTCATTATATCCGCAAAACTTCTTACAGGGACGTCCGTAAGATCCTTGACATACGGCCCGTCCGTCGGTGACTCGCGGATCTTGAGATAGTGTGGAGGGTCGGTTCGTGGTACCAGAAGGTCGCGGACATGTTCATTATAGACCTCAAAATACGACACCCGAACATGATAGGTAGTGTCAACAGATTGAGCCTCCTCGATTCTCTGAAAGAGGTCTTCGCATGTTCTCGGAATTAAACCTGGTCGGTCCGGTGTGCCCATCATAGTATAACTTTTTCCTGATCCAGTCTGGCCATATGCAAATATGCATGTGTGATAGCCCTCAAAGTTGTGGTCTAGGAACTCTTCACCCAGACAGTTGTATACTTCTTCCTGATCTGCGTAATGCTCATCAGATTCGTTGTGGGACCAAAAAGATCGATCGAAAGTAAATGTCTTGTCTTCGTAGACCTTTCCTCGTGCTTGTGATCGGGGCTTCGATGTATCAACTTCTGGAGCGTGGAGTGTCGTCTCTTGTGTATATGGATTCATCGATATCAGGCAGTCTGCATCTCTTTCTATCTCTAAATCCCGAATTAGATTGTCGCATGTATACGTGCCAACGTCGTATCACTCACCTCGTGGCAAAAACCCGCGAACTCTCACCACAACCTTGACATTCCCCCCCGGCGAAGGACTCGGAGGCGCAGTCATCCCATGGCTAGGCACAATAACACTTTCGCGGGACCTCAACGATGGACTCGATGCCGTAGATTGCATTGTCATGTTAGACGACATCATCGACATACTCGTGGCCGCAGTACTCCCACTAATCCCCGAAGCACCTGAAATAGAACTCGTCGATGAATGCGCAAACTGATAGTCTGAGTGCCGGTTGCTGTTGTGGCTGTATAGAAGCGCCTCGGGCGTCATCATTTCCCTGCTGTTTTCCCTCAATAACTGCACGCAAAGAGCGAGTGTATCGCGTTGGCGGGTGATGTAATAGTGGTACATGAAAAAACGTGTTTTGTATGAGTTTATGATGGGTCTGTCATGGATTCGATAGAGAAAAAGAAACGGCGACTTTTGATCGTCCTTGTTGGTACGGTACCTTTTTCTGTGTTTTGCAGCGGAATCCGTTGTAGAGGAGTATCCTGGGTTCTCTAGGTCCTTGGTATCTACCGAATTGGCCAAGGCAAGAGCGTCGCTCAAGGTATGGGTATCTTGCGATTCAGATTGTCAGTGAGTAAAGTGCGATGGTGACGAAGAATGTTTACTTACAAGGAAACCCCGCACGTGGTGATTGATCTCAGGCTGGGAGAGCTGCCACTGACTCTCTTTAGGGCACTAATTCAAGAATATAAAATCGACCGAGGATTGATTATAAGTATACACATAACCGTCAACAATTAATAACTATCATCAACGTGATGTTGAGGTCCTGTACCTTGATCTTGTTCAGTTTTGTTTTTACCTAATCAGGCTAGTGACAGCCAGCTGTTCGTTCCGGTTGCTACGGCAATCGATAAGGATGCTTATGTAATTAATTATCTCTCTTATTGTTAACAAGTTAACTAAGTAACGTAACTTAACATAACTTATTTCAACCCTTTGCCAAACAACTCTTGCCCAATTTCCTTCAGAAGAGGCTCGCCCTTCATCTTCTCAATCTGCTTCTTAGCAGTAATCAACTCTGCTATGCCCATCGCTCGACAAAGATCCATCAGACCGCCGTCAACAGGCGCCTCATACAGCAATAACCCAAGTGCAAACAGGAACCCATGCAATGCCTCAACGCTCTCCTCTTCGGTATTAATAGCTTCAACCAGCGATGCTGCGATTTCGACTTGATCTTCTTCGGTCAACTTATCTGGTCGACTGGCGAATCGTTCGTTGTGGTTATATGCTGCTAGGTTATGCGCAAATGATGCTGCGACCACGCGCAGATTAGTGTGGCTGTCTAGAAGACAGCCTGTGAGCAATCGAATGCATGATTCGCGTAATTCGTGGTTCGTGGTGATTTGCTGCGGGAATAACGATGATGAAAAGAAGTTGCATGCCAGTTGAAGCATGACAATTCGTAGGTTGTAGGGACAAGAGGCGAGGTCAGATGAAGGAGAAAGTAAGGCTAAAAGAGTTCGTTGGCCTGCCTCCTCTGCGAAGAAACCGCTTACACGAGGGTCGACAAAGGCTACCCGGATCAAATCGACCAATGCAAAAAGGCTATCTTTCGGAATCGAAGGAAGTGTCGATTGAATGAACTGAGCCAGGAAAGCAAGATTCGGTACTGCTGCATCAGCAGGTGCCGTCAATCTTGTTTTTATAAATTCAACCAGTCCTATAATTGTGGGATCCTGCTGATATGACCCAATCTTCTGTAGCAATTTTTCCATGGGAGGTATCCTCGTATAAAGCACATAATTCGTAATTTCCCGCTGTAGACTAGGAAGGCGAAGAGCAGTATGAGGATGCGGCGGGAAAGCAGATTGTATCAACAATCTAATGTTGCCCTTGAGTTCAGCAGGATTGGCTCCCGTCCACTCGTGCTCCTTTTTGCCCTTAAGAAAAGTCATAAAAGTTGGCGTGGCGCGAACGTTGTATCGTGTTGAAACGTCAAATGCCGTATTGAGGTCAACTTTGATGAGAATGGCTTTGTCTCCAGCTTCTTCTGCAAGTTCGTCATATGCCGGATAAGCTATTTTGCATGGGGCACATGCTGAAGATGTGAAGAATATGCAGGCGCAAGAGTCCTTGGCAAGGGATAGTTGTTCGTCTAATTCTCGCAGGTTGCTGACGTTTCTTACGTATCCCCTGAGATCTTGTGTCGCATGTACAGCAGATACTGTTGGTCCGGGTGGTCTATGAGGTGTTTGAGCAGATGGAGCAGGTATTTGTGGACCGGGGTCTGCTTGTGTGATGCCACGCATTGCTCTATCAATCTGTGGTCGTAACATCTGTCCGAGAGGAGTGCTCAAAAATGTTTTGGGCAAAGACTGAATATGCTCCGGAATGCCTTTTCCAAGGAGGAACATGGACAGATCTTGAGTGAAGTTGTTGCAGTTATGCATAAACAGGTCGTAGGACTACTATAACGTCAGTTCATTCGTCCCATGGAAACCATACTTATGGTTTCTGTACTTACCTCCGGAGTATATATCTGCGCTAGAGATTCAAGGTACTCCTGAATAACCTCGTTCGGCAACTCTGTTCGCCCCATATGAAGCTTCTCCATGGGCTGTCCATGATGTGTTGTTCCAGGGACCGTCCTATGAACACCCTGGCCAAAAAAGTATTCAACCCCTCCAAAGACAAGCGAAGTGTGATATATGGCATCAATCTGGATCCCTGTCAAGGACATGGAGTACTAAGCAAGTCAGACCTTGCCATCCTTCTCAGACACTTGATATCTTACCATCCGTGCCAGGCCCTGGAAACCATCGTTAGTAGCGGACCAAAATGATTGAATAAACTGGAACGAACAAACTTACGCCAGAGAGATCGTAAACGTACAGTTCCACATCCATTTTGAGAGGGAGAATACACAAAGGTAGCAGAATAACAAATTTATTGATGAATATTTTGAGCTTCTTAAATGCTCAGCCAGGCAGCTATCAAGTGTTACACCCGCTAAATCTCATCCGGTGCCCGTCCGTCGGCGTTCTCTTTCTTTTATCTCCGCCCCTCATCGATTGAATCACATGGGCAGTCAACTATGCGCCTCTCGTCTTAACCAGCAATCTCCTACGTCGCATCAGATCTAAGTAGCATGGTAAGCTCTTGTCTTCATTCGAGAACATTCTCTCTTCTCTAAGCAGAATTCTAACCAGTCGTTTTCCATCTAGCCCCCGAAACGAAGAGGCGGCGGAGCTCCCAAAGAGAAGAAAGGCCGACAATCCAAACTCGCGAAAGAGAACAATATCACCGCGGAGGAAGAAAATGAAATAAAAGAAGCATTCGGACTCTTTGCAGATAAAAATGAAGAGTTCAAAGATGAGAAGGAAGGCGTAATGCGCACGAAGGATGTGCGACGAGCTCTTGTGTACGTCCCCGTCGAAGAAAGAGCTTGAAGACGATGATTGCCGTGTCTAAAAACTGAACGAAAACAGAGCACTGGGTCTTCCACCGGATTCATCGTCAGAACTCTCCTCCATCGTCGCCGCAGTCGATCCCACCTCTACCGGTTTCCTGACCTACGACGCTTTCGTTTCTGTAGCAGCCGCAAAATTGCATATGCGTGGCGACGATGCGCTTGACGCTGAAGTTGATGCAGCGTATCGTTTATTTACACAGGGATCCGAGGGACCTATTACATTAAATCATCTGCGGCGAATAACGCGGGATCTCAAGGAAGATAATGTTGGCGATGATTTGTTGAAGGATATGATTCGGGAGGCGAATGGGGGTGATGTACTACAAAAGGGAGTGACCTTGGAGCAGTTTCGGGATGTTATGTCTAGAGCTGGTGTTTTCTAGGTTCGGTTTATTTGTGGGACATCTACTCGGTCTGTGATATCGGCGCCTCAAAAGGTCTGCTGTATTCACATACCCAAATGGTTTGGGATGGATGGAGTTTCGGGTATCTGTTTCTATTCTATTCACTGCTACCACATCGTAGCATTTCGTACGAAGCATCGCTATGTATACAAGATCTGACGTCTTTTGAAATATATCTCAATTCGAAGGACCAAACCCTGTCATATTCGTGATGTGCACTCCTATCAACTAGTGTACAATCCTAGAAGCCCAAACGCCAGTTCTGTCAGAAAATATCCATGCGTATACTAGCAAATCATTGCATAAGTGACTCAGTCGGCCTTTTAAAACCTTTGTCATGAGGAACATATTCACTCGATGAGGGAAAAAAAAAAGGGTATCAAATAAAAAAAAAAATAAAAAAAAAAATAAAAAAAATTGGCAATCAAGCCGCAATCATATGGACACAAGGTAATCTCTGCTTTACATCATCGAGCTCAAGGATGGGGTTAGATGTGTCTGACGAGCTTTGAGTCAGGCGAGCGGATGAGAATTCCGAGTCCATGCTGATATCCGAAGTATCAGAGCCAGGGGATGATGTCCGGATTTTGACAAAGGCCGAGGTGTCAGGTTGCTTCTCGGGCCCTGGGTATGGCTTTGATGTCTGCTCATTTCTCATAACCAAGTTATTCTCAGAGAGCTCACCGGAAACGTCATTCCAGCTTGACTGCGGCTCGTCGACACACTCATAAAATAACATGAAAACACCGCCTTGGTCAAATACTGTTTGTTCACTAACCAAACGAACGTCTTCATCACTGAGTCGGAACCAGTGATGCTTCGCTTGCTTCTCAGTCTCCATGTCCTCGGAGACGGTAGGGAAATCCTGAGTCGAGAATTTTCGGAAACAGATATAATGCCCATTCTCGTGTCTTCCGTAATGCGCCAAAACAGCTTGTAACTCATATTTCCGGGGAGAAACTTCTCCCGCATTTGGAAGCATAGAAGTTTGTGAATCTGTATTCCAAACCTCTGGAGAATCTGTCTCTTTCATCACATCCCGCGTACCAAGACACCACTCGCCGAGATCAAGAGAACGGGGAAATCTGACATCTGCATGGTTCTTCCGTAAAGCACCAGTTTCCTCGTCAAAAACACTCCGATTAACATGAATCACCAAATTCTTTGGAGCTCTCGCAATAACCGCCTGACGAGATTTCGTAACTGATACCCTATTCTTTGAGGGTATATGACATTTCTTTGACAGAGCTTTTTCGGTAAAGTCTTCTTCATCTAAAGCCTCTTGCACAGCTTGCAAACGAGATTGAGCAGAACTCTTCAGACTCGACGCCACAGTCGCCGCCTGGGCCCCTTGTACAATGTTGTCGTCTTCTTCAATCTGCTTGAGAAGATGATTTAGCTGATCTCGCATACGTAGTAGTGTGCACTTTGCGCATTCAACGCCCTCAATAGTCTCCAAAGCCATATAATCGTCAAGGCAGGCTCGGATATCGTACTCTCTGTTTTTGCCAAGAGAAACGGTCAAGCAGTTGAATGGAATCAGCGATAATCCTTCTGTCCAACCACAGCGGATGCAACCGACACGTTGGGCGAGGAGACCCTCTAATGGATTATGCATAACATTTGGCTGCTCAACACCCCCATCAACTAACTTCTCATGCTCAGGGTTCGAGATCCCCATGATGTGCTCCCCGTGATTTGATATCCTCAAACCAGCATTTGTTGTAATCATTTTAGAGGCTTCCCGAACCTCTCTATCGAGTTGATCCGCGATCTTCGAGAAGTATTCCTGAGCATCCTGTTGCTGCCAGCTGCTCATCGACTTGAGTTCGGATGGTATCCAAAGTTTCTGACCATGATTGCCTGGATCATTCAGCCGTTCTATAATATCTTTGAGGGCGTGGTGAGTCGACAGCCTGCCTCGCGTGTCCAGTTTAAGTATGTTGCGATCGAGGTAATTCGCAAACGATCGAAGAGAGGCTAATCCCTGTATAACACTGTTCTGATAGCAACTATTATCCCAGTTTCCAAGACCAGGTGGAACCAAATCTCTGCTCCCAAGCCAGGAATTTCCTAAGCTTGAGAGCCTCCGCCCTCGTGGCAATATAGAATCCAAAGAGCCTTTCTCAAACCCGACTATGCGGCGCATGGCCTGTTCCTTTTCGTAGAAAGTCGAATACGTCGATGAAGCTCGAAAGACCGAAGTTTCTTTGTTTTCTGCATCCAGCGCTGCCACTATACGAGATGGAATGGCGTAGACAAGCACGTTCCATAGATGATGGGCGATCGTAAACGGTAAAGATCCCATATAAGGGAATACACAATATAGGAAGAATATCGAAGTGCCAACGAGAGCCACTATGCTTTGTGGATCCTGTGATTTGAAGTCATATTGAGTAAAGCCGGCGAATATGGATGAATCCAAGGTGAAACCATGGTAACTCATGGCTAGAGAAGAGGACAGAGGAATAGCTTCTGAAAGGAGGTGACGGTGGAATCGATCATTTGAAAAGATACCTCATGGTAGATCAAGCCTTCTTCTCTTCAGCGCAAGTGTTAAGGTCGGTAAAAGAGCCCATGGGCAAGAAAGCATGATACCGGAGTGAGATGGTGGTAGATGAACTTCGGAGATGGCAATTATTATTGATGCGGCAACTTCGCTGTTGGTCTCTATGCCGCGTCGGAAAACTCTTTTATCGATAAACAATTTAATTTCCCCACACAGCTGATTTCCTTCATGGTATACATGATTGCACCAAATCAATCATACATTATAGCCATCATGGGACGAACAGGGAAACTTAAAAATAAATGTAAATATTTCAAGCAAATTCTCCTTCGGAACATCTCAGCTAAAATGTATCGATCTAGCGACCTCTGTCCACTCTCGCGCTGCCCGTCGAGGAACCTCACCTACCGAAGTCGACAAATCTCTAGAGTCAATGCCACGTGTTGAGGCGCCAACGAAATCTCACAGCGTTCTCGCAGCACATGGAAATGCCGGTGTATTGAAGAAGAAAGCCAAGAATAAGAAGTTGACTCGATCGCAACGTCTACGGCAACAGAAAGGCATCGAAAGAGGAGAGATGATTTTTGATCGATTGGAAACCAAGGTTGAGAAGGCGAAATCTTCGTACTCGAAAATTGTTAGCGCGCGCAAGGTATGTGGATTTGGTACCGATGTGTTACACTGGGGTAATTCGCTCATATCTATGGTTATAGGTACAATGGGAAGATTTGAATGGCAAGCACGCTAAGGCCGCGAAGATCCTCCAGCAAACTCAAGAAAGTGATGGTGAGCAGGTGGATGAAGATGAGAAGCTTGTATCAGCTGCTCCCATCACATTAGACAAAACTACCGTTACAGCATCCGTTGGAAGCTCTTTGCCGCCTATAGAGCATGCAGCAGCTGATGATGATGACAATATTACTTGAGAAATGACAGGCCTCATATAGTAAAAACAGAAATAAAGAGAGGGATATATTCGGAGTTTTGTTTGGGTTAGCTTATTTCCTGGGTCGGAGTTGATTAATCATGCGATCTATCTCACCCAATGCAGTGTCAGAAGCCTTCGTTCTCAAGACTTCCAACGTGTTGAAGTCCTTTGCTTTCAAGGCCTCTTCCCCTGCCTTCACGATCATCCCACACTTCAGCCACATTTCAATCCTTTCAGCGACGGTTAGATTGGTGCATTTAGGAACAAAAGTCGATGCGATTTTGGTGTTTCCTGCCCCCAATGCTTCGGCAAAAAAAGGCTATATCGGACGTCAGCAATTTTGTATATATTGAAATTCAAGGTCTTCGTGTCTAGCCATACCTCCCAGCCAATAGGCGATTTTCTCATCTTGGAAATCTCCTCTAACTCTCCCCAATCTCGTTTTGCAACTAGAGCCCTCAGCCGAATCCACCAGAACGTTGCCTCTGACATTTTGAAGTCGCTATAGAGCTTTTGTGCTCTCTTCCCATACCCTGACTTTATCAGGCGGTAGACAGTCTCATTGAGACTAAGTCCGACATATTCGGGACCGTCAGATAGTTCTTTGTCTAGGCCTTCTTGCACTCGAAGGAGTTGGGTGGCTTCAAGGATAGACTTTTGCTGAAACTGTGTTGCGGCATCCTTTGCGTCTGACAGCACACGAGAGGCCAAGCCCAATTTGTCTATCTTTGCGTGAACGTCCTCTCGAGAAAATGCTTCTGAAATAAGTATGTTAGATCCGTCAATAGGTCTGTCATCCTGGTAATATAAGTCCTTTAATATCTCCACATCACCATCTCGCGCTGATGATTCGACCAAAGCAGCTGCAACAGGCCTATCATTAATTGTTCTGAAGAACGTCGACAGCGGGAGCTTTTTCCTCAGATGTAGCAAGACATAGTAGATCAGATCTGGATCTCCACTTTCCATTGCCTTATCTAGTGCGATGCTATCTTCCTCCATGCTGAGAAGCAGCGGTACCTGCTTTCCAGCTCGGGGTTCGTAATTTAAAAGTTGTGTAGCCAGATGTGCTCGACCTTCGTCATATGCAGATTGAGCAATGACCTCAAAAGAGATGTCCGACTTCCCTTCCAACCTCTGCACGATCAATTTGCATACGGAATCATCATCGGCGGTGGAAGCTTTGACCTTTTGACTCGCCCAGTGAACGTAAATTTTGTCTGTGGGAAGGCGTACATACTCCGAGATTCGAATGGCTAGTAGATAATGATGCCGATTGATCAGACGATCCAACAATCTCTCCGGGGTCAAACGGAGATACTGTTCGGAGGAAATAGGTATGCCAATCTCGAAATCTCGCACGGCTTTCAGTACCCTTAGTCTTTCTGTTGTATCAACAAACTCATCGCTATTATAGAGCTCCAAAACAGACTTTCCAAAGGACGCAGCTTTCAAAAGTCGCTTTTGCCAGACAGTGTTGAACTCTTGACCGGCAGCCCTGACACATGTATCGACAGCTTCCGGCAGGCTAGGGCGGATTCGTTGCATATTCTCGTCGACCTTTGCTGATTTCTTTTCCAACAGATCTATTGAATCAAGGAGAACGGATGCTGGGGAGGTGGATCCGAGTCGGAAGACATCCTCAGTGACAGCTTTGATCTAGTCAGCATTTATACCACGGAACTGAACCTCATGAGACGTACCGGAAATTTTGTGGAGGAATTCACATGACTCATTTGTTAATAACCAGACGCCATCAAATTCCGGCAAGACATGTACACGTCCATCGTAGTAATGCCTTGGAAACAGTCAATATAAGACTATTTGGATTCCATCGAAACTTGTACTTACTTGGATGATGCTCCGTTGTTTCCGACTAGATGTATTTCATCCTCCCAGGCAAGAACGACGGCATCATCTCCGCACCATTCCATAGTGACGGGCGCAGTTTTCGATCTGGTGTCGTACTCACTATATTTGTTCTGAAAATCGCTACTCACAATCCACACTTTGCCGTCACACGTATAAAGAGCTACTGCAGTGCCCGAAGGGGAGGCAGCGACGTGCTTAAATGGACCGCTTTCCAGCATTCGGTCTTCTGCTTCTGTCGCATCAACCACATACAATGTTTTGTCGACAGCTAGAAGCACTTCCACTGTGCGAGACAGAGTATAAGCCGGAGGAATTAAGCTCCATGATGAGACCTCTCCTTCCGGTGAGGCGGCCAAGAGCCGTGGTCTAGGCTCTTTATAGTTGGAAACTGCAATCAGTTGGTTATTTGACAGTAGTGCAACAAAACCAGAAGACCAGAAACGGCAAGCTCGAACGCCGTATTCCTCAGCACCCTAGCAGAAAGAGTTAGCAAGCTAGACAACCATCAAATATTGACGGCAAACCATAACATACATTACCTAGTGAAAATGGTGCAAAGTCACCATGAAGACCAAAGTAGCGGCGAACAGTACCATCTTCAGCGACAACCAGCAGCTCTTCATTGTCTGACCAGCCCATTCCTCTGATTGCTCCATATTCCCACTAGAATCCTGTCAGAAATTGAAGATGAGATATGAAGCCATAGGAAAACATACATTAAACCGACTAATTGATTTTCCCGAAAAGGAGTAGATATCTATACTCGCTTTGGCAGTTTGTGCATCCCGATACCTATAGATCTTACTTTCACTTCGATGGAGTGCTTCATGAGAATATCAAAAGATTAGTTTTTTCTTTCTCATAGACAAGGAAATATCGTGGAAGCTATACCCAGTGCACCGGCGTACGGTGCTGCAGCAATCACATAATTCTCGAGTTCCAAGTCTTCGTCAAAGACGCCATCGTAGATTCTGACTTTCTGGAAGAATCGATCACCCAAGCGCTCCCAATCAGCGCGAGGATTCGGCGGGCCCATAGTCGACGGAGTATCTAGAGCGCCATCAATACGCTACACAGGCTGGACCGGATGCTCTGTGCTGCATCAGTCATCCGTGGAGAAGACGTCAATATACAGACTGCCGCTAAGCCCTAGGATCCCTACGCTAGTGGTGTGCTATGCCTGTATTGGTTTAGTGTCATTGACTGCCCCGTTCTTTCCGCTCTCCGTCTCGCCCATTGGGTACGCTTATACCAACTTCATCATCACCGACAATATCAGCATCAATCTCATGTTAGGGAAGAGGAATGGCTTAATGATGTGGCTGGAGACGTCATGCAAGTAATCATAATCTCCTGCTATTCCACCGCTTCACAAATACTCCGGGACAATACGTACCATGGACGCATTCGTCATCCAGGACCTGGTATCTGAACTGACCGATCTTGAACTTGCTATACTACTTGCTCTTATCTGTCAAGGACATTGTGTGATTGAGACTCCGGTAGTCAACGTTGATGATGTTGCCGGTGAACTAGCCCTGGTAATATTTTCTACTACATAAATCGTCCACCATACTGACGCAATACAGATATGTCAAAATAGATTTGGCTTATCCTACGCTGTTCTCGACTGCTCTTCAAGGACATCTATAGATAATTTTAGCAATAGCATTCTCGTCTCTGATGCGAAAAGAGGCCGCTCGTCTAATGTAAGCACTAGCCCGATTAGGTATCTTATCACCAACGATACTATCCTCGGTTGTTCTAACATGTCCAGGCTCTGCCATCATTTCAGACCGGAGGACAATTTGATGAAAGAAAAATTGTCAATGTAGTCATTGCAAAGAACTTTCATAAGGTCTCTTCAGATATCCAGATTCAAGCATTAGAGGTACGCAAGTCATGTTCTCCTGTGTTTAATATCTGTTAACCCTTGAACAGTTGATTCGTTCCAAACGGATATTCACCAGAACATCAATTCATATAACTCAGAAAACATTCTTATTCGTACCTTTAATCGGGTATGATGATATTGTCCAGCGGACCGTCCGCTTGAACAAGCATTTAGTCAGTACTATCTCGTCAACTCCGAGAGTAATGTTCTAACGATGATCAGAATGATTTCTTTCTCTTCTCTCATTTCCATGAGATTGATGCAGGCCTACCAAATCTTGAAGGTGATGAGGGATGGCCATCAGATGATCAAGCATCTGTCTCTTCTGTTGTGAGGAAGTCGCAACGGTATAATGACCATTTCCATACGAACAACCGTCAAGTCCCTGAACAGGTAAGTTCATGGTATTAGTAACATTATTCAATAGATAGTCCGTTGCTAATTAGTTCAGATGATATTGCATCTACGCTTGCTAAGTGATGCTGTATCGGTCTCGGCCGAGGTCAACCGTTACTTGCATAATATTGTAGTCTTCCTAAGACTCAATCGTGCTGTTGCGGGTGGCGTGTCTGCCAAAGCTACTAAATATTTTATGATCGTGGCAAAGTAAGTTTGTGAAGATCAGAATGACTCTCATATCAGCCTTCGTGCGAGCTACTTACAAATATAGGTCTCTCGCCTCAATGCACGGTATTAATTACCTCACTCCGTCTGTGGTGTGTCTTGCTGCCAAGAAGGTTTATCGTCATCGAATAATAGTTGCTAAACCCGAAGACGATAGGAGTTTACAATATGGAAGCCACCTGAGCTCGGTGACGATGATACTGAAAGATATTGATCCTGACCAGATCATTGATGCAGTCATCTCAGAAGTTGAGGTTCCTATCTGATGAATCTCTGCTTAATAGAATAACTTTTTAGCGGGGAATCGGTCTATCTTGTTGCCTCAAATTAACATTCTGAGCCTAGGTAATATTTATTTCTTGAGAAGTGCCCAGATCTTCCTTTAACAAGCCAAACTCTAAGACAAATGGGCTATCCTCTGTAATCTCGTATTCCACGATTCGATAGCACCAATGCGTCAGGGCAACGAGGTAGCTATAAGGACCGATGGTTAGTTAGTGTGTCTGTCTTGCTTTGAATAGAGAAGTGATCCTGTTTCTCGCTATTAAGGCTGCCGATAAGACAGAGTCCTTGTACGCAGGTAGTCGGGGAAATCGCTTCTTCATCTTCTGAGCTCTCATCAACGATGACAATTAACGCAGGCTTACCTGATTATCTATGGCCTTTTGCCGTTGACACTGCGTGCTATATTGTAGCACGTTTAGTACGCCAAGGAAATGAAAAAGCACTAACTGAACAATGGACAGAGGAACTGAGTATCCCGAATCCCAAACCATTTCTTGAACACGTTCGTGTATGGGGCTGTAAATCCTACGTATCTTCCTGAAGAAGATCGTGTCAAAGCCAGGAAAATGCAGCCAAAGTTGAATCTGAATCTAAGGATCCTCTTGCGCAACTGGCGAAGGGAGTTTCACCAGCAACAAGAGCCTACAAAAGTCCTTAGAATGCCATCAACAAGCACTTCAGTAAGATCGAACTCAGGATCAATACCTTATCTTCACGTTTATCACCTTGGTGCAATCTTCCAAACTGAGTGATGATCAGTCACGAACAAGCAAATACAGCCGAAATTTTTTTTTTTCTTCCGATACAGAAATAGGAATCTTGATTGCGAAAGCCATGCTGGATTCTGCATATGAACTCGTAATAAGATCATTTGATCATTTGATTCTGATCTCTCTCGAGTTGTGTGTGATGAACGTCCATTGTGACATGACCTTTCGGTTAAACAACAACAGTTACAGTTGGAAATTGAAAAAGGGAGTGGGAAGTCATTTCACTTCATGCCATTCAGGCAACCTGCGGATAGCATGCTCATTCTGCCAATAGCCGGGTCCTTGTTACTCAGGACCGACACGAGGTGTATCTCCTATTTGCAAAGCCGAGCGAAGTTTACCAAGAGTATCTGGATTCCCGGATCGATCCAAGAACGCATTAGAGGATTCCCTTCAATACAGACCTGCGGGCCTTGGTCGCTTAAAGCAAAGGACGGACTTGATGAATTGTGCGAGATTTTGCTCGCAATCATATTGCAAGGTCTCGAGCGGCAAACAGATGATGGCCTACAACGAAAGGAAGGCCTCCGCATCTATACTGATCCCAACTTGGATTACTTAATATGAAAGTGGAGGGCATCCTGGCTATTAATACTAAATCGATCAATATATTGAAGCGTCTTTTATGTGTATCAAACTCAGTTCTGGATGTATCGACTTACCGAGGCAGCTTCTGTCTTCTGTTCGTCATGCATGTAGTCTGTAGGTGTTAGTTGATCTAGACAAATTTCAGCCATTACAATTACAAAAACTCAGAGGAAAAGGGTCGACAAGAATAAACTATGACTTCGCTAGTTCGCATATCATCCTAAATCAAAGATTTGTCTGAATCAATAAAAGAAACAATGATGATAAGAATAAATGTCAGTACATCTCCCAACTCCTTTTCTCGCAGACGCCGAAGTGCAATGCATTTCGTCGATAATCCAAAAAGCCGGCAAGAACATAAGTAATGATGCAAAGGATGCCGGGTATATATAACAATTCGGGGTGGAAGCATTCAAAGCGCGTGGCAGAGGATAGTGATTAAGCAAGTAGAATCAGAACGAACGGGGTTATAAATGCCCGGCTCGGCCGTCGAGAGCGAGGGGACCAGAATCATTGCGAGGAGTCATCGGATCATCTTCGAATGTCTCATGGTGACCCGGTGTGTCGGAGCGAGAATTGGACTGATTGCCATGCGACGAAGAACCATTAGGTATCGGTATGTTGGCAGATTGGCTGTTACCACTGGCATGTACCTCGTTTTTGCTTGTAATATTTGCGCCGTCGGGGTTTTCACCGTCCTGCATGGGCGTGTTTCTCTCTTCTCCTAGATGCAAATTCTCCGCAATGGTGGCAAGATCCCTGTCTTCTGTTCCAATTTCTCCATTGCTTTCGATGGCTGCTTGTGATTGCTCTCCAGATGAATGAGCATTAGCATCGGTAGATGCATCAGGCTTAATATCCGAAGTATCTTCCTGTGCCGATTCCTCGTCAAACTCCATTGAGTCGTCTACCTCGGCACTGAGATCGGTCCATGCGCGGCAGTTGGGACATTGAAACATCGGGTAATCCGGTGTGTGTATTAAACGGCGAATGCACTTGTAGTGCCAGACATGTGCGCAGGCTGCCATGAATAGGCATTGGTAAGGGCGCTATTCATAAACACAATTGTTAGTGACCCTGTCATTAGCTTGAGGTTGCGCTTGACTTCTTACCAAAACGGAGCCCAAGCAGATCGAGCATTCTCGACAACCTTCAAAATTCGAAGCTGCTTTGCCTTTCCCCAGGTTATTGATCAAAGATTCCGTATTTTTACTACGTTGAAATGTCAGCTTAAGGTCCAGCGAACAGAATGAGGGCAACCCACTTAAACTCATTCGGCCTCTGTTGCCATGTGCGATTACACTCAATTCTTATCCGCACACATCGGAAAATCATTTCCTCACCACCCCTAAAATCAATCCCCAATTGTACAATATCCCCGTCTCGAACGGCATATAATCGGGAAGCCATGTTCGGCTGACTCAGCCGAGTGCGGTTAAGGAAAGTACCTGACGAACTACCGACGTCCTTGATGTGCCACTGCCCGTTGACCATGGAAAATTCGCAGTGTTTGCGACTGACGACTTTTGACTTGAATCCAATCGGTGCATCTGATGGTTCGGAGGGATTGGCGAGGGGAACACCATCGCGTTCGGAGTAACGTCCGACTCGAATTACGCAGTCTTCGGACGGTAGGGTGCGAGTCATCGGGGAGAATTGTAGAGACGGACGAGACGAGTGATGAGTATCTTGATAGGCGAAGAATCGGATTGTATTATTCATCTTTGGCTTTTTGTTCGCAGTGCTGGTATGATTGCTGTCGTTAGCGTTACTGGCGTCTACTGTCGCCGTCGTAGTAGTGTTATCCTGCTGTCCGTTTGATTCCACCGCCATGGCCTGTAGTCCAGAAGATACTTCATGCGACGAGGGTAGCGATCGTGAGGAAACAGAAGAAACCGATTGCTCTTGCGGATCCGAGTCGGAACTGGTACTGTTATCGGTTTGATGAGCCTCGCGCTCAGACGAAGAAGACGCAGACGCCGCCAGCGGCTCCGATGAGTCGGCAATAGTAGAAATATGGAAAGGCGACGATAAAGATACCACGCGACTAAGACTATTGCGATGGCGCCGCTGGTTGCCTGCGGATGTGGGCGAGGTTGCAGCAGAGGAGGAGGAAGAGGAGGAAGATGGGATAAAGTGACTTTGTGTATAGGCACGCAGTTGGCTGAGACGGCGGAGTCGTCCCGCACGGTTAGGCGCAGTCTGAGACTCCGATACCGTAGTCGTAGTGGTAGACATTGGGACCAGCACGAATTGTACCGGGTTGATGGCGAGACGTTTTGAACGCAGATATAGGAAAATTGCTGTAGTATATAGATATTTTATAAAGATATGTTTATGTAATTCCTGCGACAGTCCAGAAAATATCTGGGAAGACCGCAACTCGGGGGACTAACAATCTTTATTAGGGGCAGAGAAAGCCCGATCTCTAGACGAGGGAAATACCGCTAGTAATCTATCTCGACTGCCACCGCGCGATGATTGGCTGGTCGGCCTACCATACGTCAGAACAGCATGAACACACGATCAACCTGTGCGACGGTAAAATACATCAATACGAGTAGAGTACGGAGTATAAGACGGTGGATCACACGGGAGGGTGCCTGGATATTGGTATAGGTAGTACGAATACAGGATGACTATGAGTTAGTCAGTTGGAAGAGCTGACAAAGAGTGAAGAGTTTTCATCGAGTGTAAGCGGTAAAACTCAGCACTTAGTAAGGATAGGATGTTTAAAAACTTGAATGCGTTGAGCATCATGAGATGGCCCCACAAGGGACCGTACTGTATTTACAATTTGGTAATTGAAATACACATGTATTGTTACTAGCCAAACGCTGTACCATCATACGACTTCTTCCGAGCTTTATTCGACAGTATTATTATCGATCAGTTAAGTGCTGGGTGATCTCTATACTGACAGTAAGAGTCTGAATTTCGAGAGTCGACAGCTCATGCAGAATGAACATATTCACGTGTTCCAGTTGGATTCTGCGGGGTTCAAAGTCTGGGGTGGCGAATTTGCCAATAGGAGGCTCGCAGGAATCTGCACATGCATGCTCCGTAGCCACTGGCCAAGTACTCATTACTCAGACCTATACCGAGTAGCTTAAGCGGTGCCCAATTAGAGCTGGATAGCTCTGATATCGGGATATGTTTGATGCTCTGCCCTGGAGGTAACTTTCTTAGTTGCAACTTATCAAGCAAGCGAGCTCGGCGTGACTTCTCCACCGTATGAGTTGTACCCTTTGCGGAAGTACACGCAGAACATCTGATACAGTAATATACATAGAACTCTGTACCGTAGAAGAGTATACTGATACAGGCGTCATGCACGGATACATACAGGACACATGGGCCAATCAGAAGATAAGCCGACACCGCCAATTGGAGATGTCTGATCACGTGTGTTATGATGTAGCTTTCTCCAGCTTGAAAAATCAGACCTATCAGCTGAGATTTGAATGTTTTTCTACTTGGGATAGCACTCGGATTGCTGAGGGCGTTGCCAGGCAGACGACATGGTAAACAATGCGGCCGGTATCCTATACCTCAAAGAACTTCTGGTCGGCCAACTTGCGAATAAATCAATATATATATATATATATATATATATATTTTACTTACTCACTTACTCACTTATTATCAACCCGATAAGCTAGCGCATGCATATCCTCATATTTAAGTGCTATCATTCTCATACAAGCTGCTGACAGTCTAGATAATACGGCGATGCCGATAGGATTTGTCTAACAATTAAAGAACATTACTACACCTGAATCTGCCAGAAACATATCAGCTATCTACAAATGTAAATCATATGCTGCATTGAAACGATAAGATAACATGTAGTTACCTAGACGATAGGCGGGAGTGATGAAACTGGAGCTAACCTTAGTCATTTGACATCCTCTCAGTAGCTGCCCACCTTCACCAACCACCACCACCATCATCATCACCACCACCACCTCGTCCATATCGCTCCCATCTCTCATCCGGAGTACTCTATTAGGTATTCGTCGTCTTCCAGTCGGCCCCTTTCCGATAAGCGAATTTATCTGTCTTGCCACAACAAATCACGCGACGCCCTCAGTCAATCCTCAGGCATCCTTCGTCGATCACTCCGATCCTCGTTTAGTTCCTCCTCTAATCAACAACCACCACATTCGCTCAGTAATGATTCCGCTTTAGAAGACCGCGTTCGCTATTGTATTATTCTACGCACTTAACCCAGGGTCTTCCGATACCTCGTCCGTCGCTATTCAAGATTCCCGTTTGACGGCCACTTTTCCTGTACGGGCCCCTTCGTCAGGGTCCCCAGGGAACTGTCTAGTGACGACATGGAGGACGCTTGTTTTGCTTGTTTTTCAACCCTTGACCGATGGTGTCATATATCTGCCTGCTTAGGACCATTCGGCGGTCGTTCAAGAGATGGTATTTACGAAACGATTTTGCAGGATAGTGAGCGAGAGGCGGTCGCCGATCTGTTACAGTACCTCGAGAATGTAGGCTTCAAGACTCCGTCCACGCGGCAATGTCTCTTTCGAGAAAACGGATGATCTCATACTAACTATTGTTGTTTCAGCGAACGGAAACCGACCTGGACTTTTTCTCTGGCGAGCCACTCCGGGCTCTTACTACGTTGGTGGATTCGAATAACATTGACCTGCAGCGAAGTGCTAGTTTGACCTTTGCCGAAATTACAGAACAAGGTCTGTTATATCGTACTTTATTGCGATTCCATTGGAACTACTGCTTGTGGAATGGTATACTAACAACATGCGAACGGTCAGATGTGCGAGAAGTCAATCGCGACACCCTCGAGCCCATCCTCAAATTGCTTCAAAGTCCGGACATCGAAGTCCAACGGGCCGCAAGCGCAGCGCTAGGAAATCTCGCCGTGAACAGTACGAATCAATCGCCTTGAATAACCGTTGGATATTTGCTGACTGTTTACAGCGGAAAACAAGGCGCTTATCGTGAACCTTGGCGGTCTTCCGCCATTGATTAAACAAATGCAGTCGCCGAATGTCGAGGTCCAATGTAATGCCGTAGGCTGTATTACGAATCTAGCGACTCATGAGGAGAACAAGTCAAAGATCGCCAGATCTGGTGCTCTCGTGCCTTTGACCAGGCTAGCCAAGTCGAAAGACATGCGAGTTCAGCGAAATGCCACCGGGGCTTTGTTAAACATGACACATTCTGGTAGGTAACATCTCTCGAGAATTTACCATTTTTATACATGCGGTGCTGACCTTGCAGATGATAACCGTCAACAATTGGTCAATGCCGGTGCCATCCCTGTCTTAGTCCAACTACTTTCGTCAGAAGACGTTGACGTGCAGTATTACTGCACAACAGCTCTCAGCAATATCGCCGTCGACGCTGCTAACAGGAAACGACTCGCACAGACCGAATCTCGCTTAGTACAATCTCTGGTTCAATTAATGGATTCGTCGACACCAAAAGTACAGTGTCAAGCTGCTCTTGCTCTGCGAAACCTGGCATCCGATGAGAAATACCAACTGGAAATAGTTCGCGCAAAGGGCTTGCCTCCTCTCCTACGCCTTCTTCAGTCATCATACCTTCCACTCATTCTTTCTGCTGTCGCTTGCATCCGAAATATATCTATACACCCTCTTAATGAGTCGCCTATCATCGATGCCGGCTTCCTGAAACCTCTAGTGGATCTCTTAGGCTCGAAGGATAGCGAAGAGATCCAATGTCACGCTATATCGACCTTGCGAAATCTGGCAGCTAGTTCTGATCGCAATAAAGAGCTTGTTCTTCAAGCCGGCGCTGTCCAGAAATGCAAGGACCTTGTCCTTAACGTTCCGGTTATTGTTCAATCAGAAATGACTGCTGCCATTGCCGTCCTGGCTCTTAGCGACGAATTGAAACCCCAGCTTCTCAATCTCGGCGTGTTTGATGTCTTGATCCCTCTTACCGCATGTGATAGTATCGAAGTTCAGGGTAACAGTGCTGCGGCTCTGGGAAACTTGTCCTCCAAAGGTGAGAGCACCACAACGTATTCTACTCTCTCTTGGTGACCACTTGTTAATCATCGTAAACAGTCGGAAATTATTCCATCTTTATTCGTGACTGGACAGAGCCTGAAGGAGGATTCCACGGTTACCTCACTCGATTCCTGGATAGCGGAGACCCGACATTCCAGCACATTGCTATCTGGACACTGTTACAGTTATTGGAGTCCGAAGACTCGAAACTTATCGAGCTCATCTCGAATTCAGAGGATATTATGCAACTAGTAAAACGAATTTCTGATCGGAATATCGACTCTGACGACGAGGAGGTAGACGAGGGAGAAATGGAAGTCGTCGCACTCGCACGACGATGTCTTGAAATACTCGGCAAAGGGCCAAAACAAACGCTGGTCGAAGGCTGAAACTTACTTGCAAACTAATCTCCACCTCTCTTCATCTTAGACACCGGTCGCTTCTGGTGTATTCTTCTTGACACATTCCTTTTCTTTTTGTCTCATGAACATTCATATGGTGTTTTATACTGCATCTTGTTTATAGCGTTTCTTTGGCCGGGCTGAGCACTGAGAATCTTGTTTCTGTCGTCTCCTGCTTGCATATTCCTTTGTCCTTATGGACTACCCTTGACATTGTATTAGAATTCGCTATTAGTCGTTGTAATAATGATGATACCTACTATAGTCCAAGATATTAAATATTTGGCCAGTGAGTGTCTATGCGTAGTAGTTTGCAGTAGGCTATGGTTGGCTGGGAGAGCTGTAGACCCACATCAAATATCTCCACATTTTCAGCTTATTTTATTTTCTTCTAAACTCAACTTCATCTTCACATTAACGACTCCAATTCGGATACAACATGGAGAATCCATTACCAGTCCTCGCCGTACCAGGCCAACAACTCGCAATGACATCAACATATCTTCCTGGTACTGGCACCCACGTCCAGAATGGAATAATCTGTGCATCCATCCCAGGCCCAGTTTTTGTCGAACAACTTTCACAGACCAAGTCTAAAGTGACAAAATCCATACTGAGCGTCCTGCGCTCTGGGATTGGTAACATTGGGCCTGACGGTACTGTGCAGAAAGTGTCCGCGCATACTACAACCACAACTACAGCGACGGGGACAAAACGGCCTAAATACAACACACTACCTGCCGTTGACTCGATAGTTCTTGCGCGAGTCACGCGCGTGCAAAAGAGACAGGTTACATTGTCCATCCTCGTTGTCTTAGACGATATCACAGCTGCGACACAAGTCTCGGACAACGACAACATCGCCGCAATTCTAACTTCAGCCGCCAATCCAGAAAATCAAAGCACATCGGACGAACTCCGCTTCCAAGCCCTGATCCGCAAAGAAGATGTCCGTGCAGTTGAGAAGGATCGCGTGGTTCTAGAAGAGATGTTTCGCGTTGGTGATATTGTGCGTGGCAGTGTGATATCGCTGGGTGACCAGAGTTTTTATTATTTGACAACTGCACGAAACGATCTTGGTGTTGTTATGGCCAGGAGTGAGGCGGGAAATATGATGTTTCCGGTTAGTTGGAAGGAAATGAAGGATCCGGTGACGGGCCAGGCGGAGTCGAGGAAAGTTGCGAGGCCGTTTTGATGGTTTATCTGTGGCATTATCAAAATGTCGGAGATTTCATTTATTATCGACTACAGGTTTCGGCTGCACCTGTCTACTAGCTGGGCGCGATGAAACAAAGTTCGGTCCCATGAACTGCCCTAGACATAAGGTCTGGCGCAATTAGTGGCTCTCATACTCGTCTCAACTCTCATCCATGAGCACCGGCTGTGCCGCACTCCCGATACCATGTATTGAGCCATGGTACTGCAGATATGCCTGAGCTCATCATATACCTGATCGGACCCAGGCGTCGCAAGACGTACCGCACACACAACTCCACGCAACACAGCGCCCAACAGTATGATACCGCGAAGCAAATCATTGCTCGCCCACACATCTATCCATAGAGTATAGATCAATACAACCTTTTCTAAGGGAACCCTACTTATTCTTGTTAAATCAACCTCTTCAGTATACATGGCCTTGGCTTTTCAGTGTCAGTCTGTGTTTGTCATTAGAGGGATATTGAACCAACGGGGGACCTTTTTCAGGAATATCTACAAGAATAGATATTCCTTCCCTAGTCTCTATTTCACCGATGGAGATTAGGGATATTATGGAAGGGTACACTTGTAAATCATGCCAAAAGCTCAATAAAATTCCTCAAAATGCAACTACAAACTCCGCTTTTAATGATATACCCTCTAAATGCAAACCTTTTTACTAGTAATACTACGTACTACCTCTTCAACGTCTTCTGCTTCTCCGCATCCTTAACCAACTTCTTCCCGGCCACAAACAACCCCTTCCTCGTCCTCACAGCATCCATATACCTCTTCGCCACATTCTCTCTATCCGCCAGCTCACCCAAATCCTCCAATTCTTCTTCCGTAGCAGGAACCCAAAAGGGATCTTCATCCAGAGCTTCGAATCCCGCGAATATGAGTTGAGGTGATGCTGCACCCGAGGTTCGTTTACGGATGTCATCTGAAAAACCGAATGATTCGGCGACCGGTAAAAGGGAGAGGATGGTGAAGAAGGGTGTTCCTTCTTTCATAGTTTCGGAGAGGATACGGCCTCTTCGACGGGTTATGACACCGTATACTCGACCTAGGACTTCGGCTATTTCCATATTGTTAGTAATCAAATATGGACAAGGGTTGTGAGGGGACTGCTTACTTGATGCCTGAATCTCGCAACTGTACATTGCGAGTAGGATACGTGGACTCCAGTCCAAGAACCCTTGGGAAACGGAATCGCGCACTATGCGAATCGCTTCACCCGTCAAGCGGCCAAAATCAATTGCATCCTCGTCCTCGACATGCAGAGCGATATCCTCGAGAATAACCGCAATACCCTGGACGGGTTCGTGACACAGAGGTCCCTGTGCAGTGGCCAGTTGAAATGCGTAGACAATCTTATCAGAAAGATCCCGAATGGTGATTGCTTGTCGACTGAGTCCGTTATGAGCACTCCGCTGTTCTTCGGACAAACTTGATACAGTCGTTAATGGGTACGTCCTTGCTGTGATCAAAGGGTTGTACTTACAACTTATCGCTAACATTGGCAGCAGTAGCATCAATCAACACATTCGGACCTGTTCGCCGTGGTCCAAAGGCTATAATCTTCTCCACTGCATCTGCATTGATATTCTCATATTTCGACTTAGCAAGTAACTTTCGTAATTCTTGCTTGAAATCGGCCACTGAGAGGACATTTGCCTCCAGACCTTCGGTTTCTTCAACCTCTCGACTTTCGACTTCTTCACTGGCATCTTCGGCATGTTTTCCCTTTTGTGCAACTTCTGCTCTCTTCTCAGATCGTAGTCGCTTAATTGTTCCTGCATGCTTTGTCAAGAACTCGGTAACCTCCCCGGGAAGAGGGAGTACACGCAGTTTAATAGTTAATTGCTTCGAGGGCGATACAGTCAATACCGCACCCCGTCCTAGTTCCGGATTTTTGGGAGGAGCCATTTCACTCGTGCTGACAATACTCTCTCGAAACGGCACAATCATCTCACCGGCTTGGATTTCGCATTTTGCGAATCGTTCTCGAAGATCCTTGAGACATCGCTCCAAGTGTAGTTCACCGGCCGTCAATATCACATGTTCGCCGCTTGGTAGGACTTCGTATTGTGCGCATGGATCACTTTGCTCTAATAGTTTGAGGCCATTGATCATCTTGTTTAAATCGGCTGGGTTGACAGGCTCGAGTGCAACTCGGACAATTGGTGGGCTTGTCATGGACACACCGGCCAAGTTGATACTACCCTCCAGCTGGCTACATAAGGTGCCTGTCTTTAGGATGTGGCCAGCTAATCCTTCGATTCCAAACACTACACCTGCAGGTACCGATTTGAGGGGTTCCAGACTTCGGCCCATGAGCAGATATAGGTTTGTGATGGTGACTTTCACAGGCTCCGGACTAGCATGGGGGTTTGCTGGCGAGAACTTTGGACCCAAAACGTACACAGAATCGCCAACGTTCAACGTCCCTGAATACAACCTGGCAAACCCAATAAGATGCTCTTTGTCGACTTTTTCTTCCGTCTGAACCCCTTCCTGGTCATCCAAGCTTGCATTAGCAAGCGCCGACGTGACTCTACCAAAGTCATCATCCTGTTCATTGGCCTCTGCTTGCAGCTTTGCTATCTCTTCTCGCTTCTTGCGTGCTAATTCCCGAGCTTCGTCGGCCGTTAATGCTGCGCCAACTCGTTTGGTATTCTGTGGCATCTCACTCTCCGGTATTGCGACCATTTTACTGACGTATGCCACAACAGGAGCATCGGCGTCGGTTTTAAAATTGATCATGGCGTCTTTAACTTTCTGGTCGACAAAGTCAGAGGCGGGCGAATTATTGATCAGTTCAGGAAGTCTGGTGGCTTGTGCTGTTCGCGGGCTGGGGAGGTATTCCATCACAGATACTAGCACAGCGGTAGAGAGTGGTAGCCATGAGGAGAAAAGTGCTAACATGATGTTTCTAGACTCCCTAGACCGGAGAACGTGGGGAGGTATCGTAATGTTCAATGACTTCATAATCTTCTCGAGCAGGACAGGATCACTGTCTCAATTAGTATAGATCAAATGTAGGTCTTTAGGATACTTACCCCTTTCCTTTAGCACCACCAGTCGTAGCCTCATACGCAGCCCAGACACTATCCAGCACTAGCTGAACAAACATGGGCTTAAGAGCCCGTCCTTTGAGATGTTTCGAGCCCAACACTCTCTTCGTTTTTGGGTCTAGGTAAAAATCGCCCCAAAGCACCTTTTCAAGTGACGACCGTTTAATCCCAAGCTTCTTTTCATACAAACCCGCGAATTGTCGAACTGTGAAAGCCCAGTTGTCTGTGGCACTGCAGAATATAACATTGTTTTTCTCCGGTGCAAAATATAAATCCTCATCGTCTTTCTCTTCGAATTCGTCCAGGTCTGTACCAGCATGTGAATCCGTCCCGTCTGCATCATCAGAGGCAAAATTTTTAGCTTGATCTTTATCCTTCGCAGCTGCTGCATTGACGCGTTCTTCCATGCGCTCTCTCCATAGAAGATCTTCCTCCATGCGCTCGCCTTGGTAAAAGCTACCGATGACGGCATTAACTTGCTCGAGAAGTTTACTCAAATGTGAATATGCCTCCGCGGGACTCATTTGCAGTTCCGTTATAAGTCGATCCATCTTATTGATAACCAGCAACGGTTTCAACTTCTCAACCCATGTCTGGCGCAAAACAGTCACGGTCTGACTACACACTCCCTCGACAGCGTCCACCAAAACGAGTGCACCATCACATAACCTCGATGCGGTAGAAACCTCACTGCTGAAATCGATATGGCCCGGCGAGTCGATCAGGTTTATCAGGTATTCCTTCTTCTCTGGTGTAGCGTCTGGTGCTGATCTTCGTAGCATCGAGAAGTATAATGAAATGGCCGATGATTCCATTGTGATACCGCGCAGTTGTTCATCTGGCCGCGAGTCGAGATAGCGGATCTTGCCTGCCAATTTGGGGGAGATGATGCCGTTCGTTGCGATGAGGCTGTCTGTAAGAGATGTCTTGCCATGGTCCTGCGACAATCAGTTGGAATGAACGTTGAAGATCGGGTAGTGATATCAGGTAGAACTTACGACGTGTGCTAAAATACATATCTAGTTGTTTAAGTGAAAAGTCAGCAACGAGTATTGCAGGAAAAAGATGCGGAAGAGGTTCGTACATTCCGGATATCGTCTGCTTTGCGCTGCAGGCGCACTAGATCGCCGACGTTGACCACAGGCATCTTGACCTGTGTCTTATTCCCTAACAAGCAAAACCAAATGCCTGTTCTTGGAATTTTCACTCAAGAAGACGTCGCGCATTCGATCTCCCAGTGGCGGGGCGGCCAGAAGATATAAATAGCGGGGAATTTTTTTATATCGCGGAGAGGTAGGCCCCTCCATGCAAGAGGCAAGAAGAGCAATTATGACTCTTACGCAGTAACATTAATCACCTCATTAGCAGGAGAAACTTGAACATATTTCTTCTAGGAGGTGTTCTCTCTCCAATGAAGCTATTCCCTGCTTCAACGAGACAGGTACCTCGTGAAAAAGCATCAAATGATTTTTTTCTACATCATTACATCATCACATACGAAGAACTGCTACGACTCCTACTTTGAACATCCCAGCAGCTACTCATCCCTCTGGCAACAGGGGAATTATTTCACTTATTCTGGCTCGTCAAAGGACAGTTTAATCTTTTTCCTTTTTGCGCTCGGTTTCGTACTGGGTTTGGACGTCTCCGAGGTGTCCTTGCTCCGCGATCCGTCCTTAGCAACTTCTTCCTCTGATATGACTTTGGCTTTCCTTCGTTTCTTCTGTGCGCCAATCTCGGCTAGATTCTGTTGCGATCTCGTATCGCCACTAGCGGCTTGCTCTGAATGCTTCGACTTTGCTGGATCTGTCGGTTCTTCCAGTCCTTCCTTGTCCTTGTCGGTACCCCCGTCTTTCCCATCAGTACCGTTCACTAGTGTTTCGTAGTCCTCCTTCGATATCATTTCATTTGTCTCTTCGTCTATGTACACAGGCGCATCGTCATCATCGATGTCCTTGGGCTTGCGCGGGCGTTGTACAGACCGTTCCTGACGTGCATAATCATCTCCGCTGTACTGGCCTCGAAGTTTTCGTAGGAATGCCGGCTCGTTTCGATCTGTGAGAACTGTCAGGTGCAGTAGATGGAGATAGAGGGAAACGGTCCGGACCATAGCTTAGGTTTTTCGCATTGAAAGCCATCTTGCAATAGTCGCAAGCAAGTGCTATGTGTGACCCTTAGTCCCTCGCGTGATAACGAATCCGAAGAAGTGTACAAAGTTATTCACGAGAAACAATGCATTGAGCCACCGCTGGCGCTTAGTAAGGCGAGAATTGTTAGACAGAAGGCAGCAAAACTAAAAGAAGAAATGTAAGATAATGGAAGTTCTTTAGTATTTTGCAAAGTGAACAAGGACGAGTGAAGGCGGCGAGGCTGCCAAATCAGAAGGCGCGTCGGACGGGACCCATCTAAAAGTCTAGAGCTACAAACCTCCAGCTTCACTTCGAGCCGCAAAGAATACCATCCCCTCCACCAGCCTTCTACCATGCTTTGTGCCAGTAAGTGTTGAGTTCTGTTATTTCAAGATCAATTTACTGATACTTGTTCTCTCTAGTCTCCGGAGAAGCACCGCAGGTGCCCGTTGTTTCTACAAAAAGTGGTATGTCAATCCTGCGCACGATTCGATTACTCTCAATGCTGACGTGTCTAGGCAACGTCTTTGAAAAGAGACTCATTGAAGCATACATCGCCGAAAATGGAAAAGATCCCGTCACAGGCGAAGACCTTTCTACAGACGATTTAGTCGAGTTGAAGACGGCTCGTGTTGTTCGACCTCGCCCTCCTACACTCACCTCGATTCCCTCGCTTCTCGGCGTCTTTCAAGAAGAATGGGATGCTCTGGCTTTGGAAACATATACTTTGCGCCAGGCTTTGGTTCAGACCCGGCAAGAACTCAGCACAGCGCTATACCAGCACGATGCCGCAGTACGAGTGATTGCGCGATTAACAAAAGAGAGAGATGAGGCTCGCGAGACTCTTTCCAAGATATCAGTGGGATCTGCGCGTGCTCCTGCAGGCGGTGATGCTATGCAGGTCGATAGTGCAAAAATACCTGACTCTGTGGTTGCTAGGATCGAAGAAACACAAGCCAAGTCAGTACATCACGTTACTCTCGCGAATTTCTGTTACTGATTGATTATGTAGACTATCCAAATCCAGAATCAAGCGTCCAATCCCAGAAGGCTGGGCAACGAGCGAAGCAATTCAGTCATACAAGCCAGCAGTGAGTTCCGAGCCTCTATATCCTGGGGGCAAATCACTCTCGGTAGACTCGACTGGTGATTTGGCTCTGGTTGGCGGTGTTGATGGCATTGCTGGTGTCTATTCGATTTCGAAACAGCAGATTGTTCAGACTTTGAAAGTTGGTAGTCCGATAACTGATGCCGTTTTTGCGGGCTCCACAGCTGTCGTTGCTTCTGCATCCGGATCAGTCAAGTTCTTCAACAATGGAACTGAAACCGCTAGCTTTGATTCTCATGCTGGAGAGGCGACTGCAGTTGTTGTGCATCCAACCGGAGACATCGTTGCATCGGTTGGCGCCGACAAGAGCTATGTCTTGTACGATCTAGCAACGTCGTCCGTTATTACTCAGATTTATGGCAATGCTAGTAAGTACTGCCTGCTGAGTCTTTCGGTTTGCGCAAAACAACTTACTAATGTCTTTCTAGGCCTATTGTCTGCCAAATTCCATCCTGACGGACACTTACTCGCCGTCGGTGGTACGGACGGACAAATCCAAGTATATGATGTGAAGTCGGGGGTTGTTGCTGCTAATTTCCCCATGCAGGCACCAGTCATAAACCTCGAGTTTTCCGAGAACGGATACTTCATGGCTGCAGTGACAGAGAACTCTACAGACATCTCGATTTGGGACTTGCGAAAGTCTAAGCTACACAAAGTGCTTGAGACCGGAACCAAGATCACCACTCTTGCCTGGGACTACACTGGACAATTCCTATTAAGCGGCGGACCCAACGGTATTACCATTCAGCAATATACCAAATCTACAAAGGAATGGTCAGAGCCTCTACGGAGCGCTGTACCAGCCGTAGGCGTCGCATGGGGACCATTGGCTCAGAGTGTCCTAACGATCAATACGGAAGGCGTTCTTAATGTGTTGAACCAGTCATGATACCTTATTTTTGAATTGTCTGGGTGAATGTACTTTTAGTCTTTTTTCATGGATGCTCAATTCTTGAAGAATACAAGTAAGAAGGCTGGAATCAAGATATTTGTGTGATGGTATGCATTCTGCAAGGAATATATATCCCAATAGCCTCCGAAGAAATAGATATTTGTCGCAAACAACTCTCTCAGATTATCACATGAACCCCAAATAGACGATCAGACTGAATTCGACATGACTACAAATACTTCTTACTGTATTGCTTTGCTGAGCAATACATGTCATATGGGCGTTAATTAGCTGTCAAGAAGAATCAGAAGCACCGCGGAGTTACGCCACTTGCCGACTAATCCTGCTTCAATTACCTAACCACTGGATCCCGCTGCAACCACACCTCTCCTTTGCCTTTGCCTCACATCCTCCAGATTTTTTACTTCAAATCATTCTTTCTTTGCAGTCCTGGGATGGTCTCGACCATTTCCGGTCAAAGGATAGGGCGTTCCTTATGAACAACGACAACCATCAAGTGGAGTTGGCCACCAGGTCCCGCAAGGTATCTTGAATTCCATTCGTGGGGCAGCTCATGTCCTTGACAACCGTTTCTCGCGATCAATTTCTAACACACACTTCGACATGCTAGAGACCTCACACTGAGATGTCATACTCCGATTACCAAAGCCGCTCACATTGGGCTCACCGCGACCAATCTAGCTCCTCGCCATCTTCCTCACATCATCATGGTCACCCCCTCAGTCTCCCGATACCGCAGTCGAGATATCAAGGACATGGATTTGATTTTCGCCGCCCAATAATGTCTACAAGCACACCGTCTCGTATGGAGGAGGTTGTCGACCTGACGAACGAGCCAGATTCTCCTCCAGTGCAGCTCACCCGTCGTCTACCGTCTCGCAGCCATTCATCGAATGGGAGTAGACCTCACCGGCCGCCGAGATTTGGAAGAAATATAATGGCAGACGTCGTCGACTTAGAGGAAGATGAGGATGAAGACCAGGTTGAATCAACCGAAGTAATCAACCTTGACCCTCCAAGCAGTCCTGAAGTGCAATTTGTCAGAGCCACAGCACGTCCTCCGGCTTTTACTGCCCCGAGCCATTTGCTCGATGTCATCAATTTCCATGCACAGCAAGGGTTCCTTTCCACACAAGAGGCCTTCAGACAGGAGATTGCTCTTCAAACACGCCGGATGGGCCGATATCGATCAAGTAGGCCAAATATGGACGAGATCTTCCATACTGGCGATACGAATCCGAATATTGACCTTCCAATTGACTTGGATTATCAAGCTCCTGGTTTTACTATTCATGAACCGCCACGCACACCACCACCGTCCTACAAACCTCCCAGTCCGCCGCCAAAAGGATTCACAAGAACAGTTGGCGAAGATGACGTCGTCGTATGTCCAAATTGCGATCGAGAATTGGGCCTCGGCGACGGTCCCCGTCAACAGATATGGGTTGCAAAACCGTGTGGCCATGTACGCTACCTATCTAATACAGCCCATCTTCGGGTCTATCGGCTAATCATTTCTATAGGTATATTGTGGAGAATGCGCAATCAACCGTGCAATGTCCAAAAAGAGGGCCATAACTTCATCACCAGCTCTCAGGACAACAAAACCTTTTGCGAAGTGCAAAGTCGCCGGTTGTGAAAAGCAAGTTAGTCAGCCAAAGTCTATGTTTCAGATATATCTGTGATCTAGAAAGATATTTCATTTCGTTGGGCGTTTCGGTCTCTTTTTGTATTGGTCATTGGCTGGAGCTCACGCGGTTCAATTTCAGGATATTTTTTTGGTCACATTTTGGCATGGAAGGGTGATTGTACGCTATTTTTACGAGATTTATCATAGATACCCATGCTTTTCGAACTTGTTTCATACGAATGATATATCATCTTCAGTCCCTGCTGTGAAGCTCGATAATATTAATGTGGTGATTTTCTAGTTTCAACATAGCATGAGATGTCGAATGCACGATTTATTCATAATAGTTGAACTCCTTCATACTGAGTATAGTGACCGGTATAGTATGGCGGACATGCAAAATATGATACACGGAAAATAATAATCCAAATCCCAGTAAAGACGATAGTAACTCCGAATCTGCGCTGTTATATATCAAGATAAGAAACCTCAAACCATCTTGAGATCACCGTGATACGGTGACCAAATACCTCTAACACTCTCATTGAGACTTGTCACGGGTTTCTTCTGCCTCTTCAACTTTTCACCACTAGCCTGTTTGAGCAGATTGACCTTTTCCATGATTTCGTCCGGTTTGAAATTGCGAACGCATATTGCCTTTTCACGGCCGTTTATGTAGTGTCCTCTGACGACTGGATGTTTGGTTGGTCGCGGGGATACGCGGATTTCGATCTGGGGGTTTGCGCGGGCAAAGGCTGGGAGTTCTTCTTTCAGGAAGGAGCTGAGAGGTTGGGATTAGCGGTATATCTTTGCATGGTAGAGGGTTTTCAGAGCTTAGTTCACGTACAGCATGCCTTTGGAGCTGCCTGCCCAGTCGCAATAAGTAAAGTCCAATCGCTTGCATTGTAGGATGAATGCCCCGACGCCATTCTAGAAGTTGATTGTCATCAATTAGCTAACGTAGCGAAACAACTGAGCTGATGATAGAGTCTCACCCTGGCCTGAGCTACAGCCTTTATTCCTCGTACCACCATTGTGACTAGTTGTGCGAATCTGACAGTGTTCTTCTGGAACCAGATGCTCCGAAAAAGAAGAGAACTACGGCTAAGGAGCAAGGTCGCCGTGATTGGCCGATCTGCCGGGCGGCTACGGCGTCTAAATTTATGACTCTGGCTGCCTTCCCGAGCTGCGCCCCAAGTCATTGACTCTCAAGGTTCATGAAACGAACCCCCGACATCTGCTAGTGTTCGATAACACGAGCTACTAGCTATTTACCATAGACGTTCAAGTTGAATATTGTCTTTATAGGGTGTTTCGACTCTAGGCAAGATGACAGACAAGCTCCCCCCTAACCTCCTTGCCCTGTTCGCACCGCGTCCACCATTACGCTACATCCCGCCCACCGATCGCGCTCCCGATGATTGCAAGAAAAGTACTATTAGTGGTGTCGCTGGCCTGGTCGGCGAATTGAAGAAATACGGTGAAGAAGTTCCTTACAATGCCACCGAAAGCTGGCTACAACGCCGTGCGCGTCTGAAGCTCGAAAAGAAGGAACGCATGGAACGCTTGCTTACGGAGGGTGTCGAGAAATGTATGAGCTTTTTGGACTTCTGATGGTTCACAAACTTTTCGGGGAAGGATATTAATGCTTCTAACAGATGATCCTTCGAACGACGCGCAGATTCGCGGAGATCCATTCAGGACGCTTTTTGTCGCGCGTCTCAGTTATGATGTTAAAGAGTCAGACTTGGAGCGGGAGTTCGGACGATTTGGGCCTATTGAGAGGGTATGTATTGTGATATCTCGAATCAGAACATGTTCTAATCCCTCTCTAGATTCGCATTGTCAAAGATACCGAGAAACAGAATTCGAAAAAGCCACATCGAGGATATGCATTCATTGTTTATGAGCGCGAAAAAGACATGAAAGGTATTCCATTGTTTCTCATTAATCTTATACATTTGACTAACATCAATTTCGATAGCTGCTTACAAGGAAACCGACGGTATTCGCATAAAAGATCGGCGAGTATTAGTTGATGTTGAACGTGGTCGTACAGTCAAAGGTTGGAAACCGCGACGCTTCGGAGGTGGCCTTGGTGGTCGTGGTTACACGAAAACTACCCCTGCACGTCCGCTTGGGCCCGGGGGTTTCAACGCACCGTCTGGACCAGGTGGCTTTAGAGGTGGGTTTGGTGGAAGAGGTGGAGGTTTCCGTGGAGGCTTCCGAGGTGACCGCGGTTTCGGCAATCCCAGAGGAGGTGTTGGTTTTCAAGGTAGTCGAAACGGATTCGGAGGACAAGCTCCACCAAATGCTCCTTCAGGCCCTGGAGGCGGTCGCATCGGTGATAGGAGAGGTGATGGCAGGCTTGACCGTGATCCTAGGAGGGCAACTGGTAGTAATCAGGAACCGGTAAGGCCGCGTGATGGGTATGGTGGTGATCGGGATCGCCGTGACAGGGACAGAGACAGGGATAGGGATCGTGACCGCTATGGTGACAGAGACGGCGACCGACGCGATCGTGACCGTGATAGAGATTGGGACCGTGACAGAAACCGCCATGGAGGAGGAAGGGATGATCAGTCTCGCAAGCGATATCATGAAGGTGATGGATATGACGACCCCCGAACAAAGAGAAGGTATTAAACTTCAAGTTGCCATTGATCCCGTAACTACTGCGGGAGCCTTTGGTGGGTATCCTTGAAGTTCTAGCGTGCCCTTTCTTTTTTCATTATTCAATGAGGGTAAGGTCGACTCACATTCAAGGATCGATGAAATCAACCGCTTGAATTACTGTTAATCGCACCCCGGTCAACCTCATAATCTCTCATGGTCAGCATATATGGTGAGAGCGAGATTATATCCCCTCTACGACAGTCTGTTTGAATTCTCTAGGCGGTCCATCAAGAACAGCTTGCATTCCCTCTCTTTCTACGTTTTGTTTCCTTTTCTATTCTATCTTTTCATTTTCAAATCATGTGGGTAAGTATCTGTATTTTAACTGGAATATAAAAAAGAAAGGAAGGCACAGGTGCATGATAAGCTAGGTAAGCGAAATCGGCCGTGGCTTTATGGAATATCAGAGTGAGATTTAAGACAAGCATGGTCGTTTCATTCGTACTGCGGTAGGACTCCCGAGTCAGATGTTCGACTACCTAGGTAAAGTTGACATAATAATAAATTAATGTTCAAAGGTAATGGGCATTGACATTTTGATGCTAGGGCTTCACCCCTTGAACGTCTATACATAAGATCGACCAATATATCTTCACTCGGAATCATAGGATTTTGGTGTCACTTTTCCTCAAACTAGATGAAAATAAAAAAGCCCAACAAATAACCCGAAGCGCCGAACGCCGTTGAAATGCGCGAAAGAAGCTTAAGCCCTCAAACAAAAGATACAGATATAGAAAGCTATTCTTTTACTCCGTATCCATTGCACCCTCGGACTTCTCTAGTATCCTGACTTCGCCGGTTTTCCGGTCCCATTGAGCCTTGAGATCGATACGGAACTCAGAGGTAGCAACACCAAACATTTTAAGTAAAGTAGTCTGCCTCGAGTCCAAAGTCTCTCCTTCCCTGCAGACTGCGTACCCCTTCTCGCCATCCAACAATTCCAACACAACTTGTCCCTTGACAAGTCTCGTAGGAACACCGAGTTTGCGAAGCGCAGGCTCGATAGTGTGGCTGATCGGATCATCCTCTGAGGTCGGAATCTCACCTGCGCGCGAATACACAACTCCATTGGGGATGGTGAAGGATCGGGTACTAACAGTTCCGGCGCGAGCAAAATCAGAAGGATGGAATGATTCGAGATATGTAATGACGTCTTCGGGAGATCGGGAAGTGAAAAGTAATCCCACGGCGCCGGTGAGGAAGGGTGTCAATTTCTCGAGGTTTTGGGCGAAAGCGGTCTCTGGTGTGTTTCCGAGAGCGACGGCCATGACTTTTGTTTTGCCGAAGAAGAGTCTGTCATAAAAATCCTGTTAGGTTGCTGTAGATATGTCGCGGGGAAGAGGAGTACATACCGGCCATCGGAGAATTCCGTGCGCACATCCTTCAGATAGGTGTTGCGCATGTTATCGACAGAGAATACGAAAAGATGGTCATATTGCTCGACGCATTCACGGATATTGGCAAACAGGCGTCGGGTTTGCTCCTTATGATTCTTCTTGCTGGTCTTGGATTCGTGGACGATACGGGCACGCTTGGAGACAGGCATTTTGGCTGATGTTCGCGGGGCTTATTGATGATGGACTGGCTGGAATAGTTCTCTTGGGTGTTGAACGACTGTATATTGATAAGATATTCAAATCTGCTAGAGATTGATCTTATTTTGAAAGAAATCAGAACAAGTAATGCGAATAGCGCAGCACAAACTTGATGCTTCAGAGGACTTCTTTTTTTCTGAACTTTGAATTTTTTATTGTTTTCGACCACTCTCAATTTTCTATTGGTCGATAGTGCAATCTGATGCGGGCCTTATCCGAGCGGTACTAACCATGATAGGAGTAGTCTCTTGATATTATGCTAGCCTGATAAGGAGATATGGATACCTTATTGGTGCCTCAGGCGTAAACATCACTTCGAGTTTCTTGTATTGCTTCAACAGCAACAATCAACTTCAACTGCAATTGGGCTCGCTTCCAACGCTCGCAGCAGTTTTACAATGGCTCTTGGCACTTATAAAATGACTTGATGATGCTTTCACATACCCGAAGATTGTGACAATGCTGGAATTCATGGATTACGTCCAACTGGCGTTCGCCGAAGCGACACGCTGGAACCAAGACAACTCCTATTCTTCATTAACTGCCATAGCTGAATGTATGTTGAGAATTCAAGACAGAGCTTGAATAAATATAAACTGACGTTGATAATCAAGCGCTCCTTGATTTCCACGTACCCGAACGATTACAAGTCCATCTATCGTCGCTCTCTACACCCCATTTCGCAACTTCGTATACACTCGGCACAGTTGGGTTGATAGACGGCTCAGTTTCATATCTATTCAGCACTGTTCCGTTAAATAACACCCCATCACAAAGCGGAGTCATTCCATTACGACGATTAGTCCGTGGTTATAGACAAATCGAAGCTCCTGTCCCGCCAATTCGGAATTGGGGTTGGGATGCAATACCATCGCATGATTCCTCTCAGATTATAGACAGCGCAGATATTAATCAGGATGATATCGTTCGGAAAGCGACCCTACTACATGCGACGCTTCATCTACCACCTCCCTCCACACTAAATGCGCTGTTCCAGCGTCGCATTTCTCCCACGACACAAATCACGGCCGCCTTGGTTTCAACACAGGGTCCTCCGTTAATCAAATCGGCACCATCCGCAGCGCTGCTCGCACAGATATCTCATGATACTGGAACCTTTAGCAATGAATATCTATTCAGCACCGACAATGCGCTCTTCGGGTGGCGCGGTCTCTGGAACATAGGCCTTGATCCAAGTCCAGGCAAACAGTCTACAGACAAGGTATCGCTCCTTTCTGCGGGTGCCGAAGCATACTATTCTCCTATTTCGTCCCTGGTCGGGCTTTCCACTGGCCTAAAGTTTACCACATTGCCAGCAGCTGGGCGAGCACTGTCGTCCTCGTCGTCATCATCACCTGGTAGTAACCCCAGTCCTATATCGAGTTTCCCATACACCCTTACCCTCACACTCACACCTCTTACCGGCTCTTTATCTACCACATACTCAGCCCGTGCGTCGCCCAATCTTGCGTTCAGCTCCCGATTCGGGTTCAATGTATATAGTTGGGAAAGTGAAATGGTGGCCGGATGCGAAATTTGGCGCAAGAGTCCTCGCACTCAACCTGCCGAAGCGGATGATGGTCTTGACTGGGCACGACGCAAGATGGGTATTGTCAAAGAAAGGGCAGCAGAGAAAATATCAGCACTCTCTTCTTCATCTAGTACCCCACAAGCAGTCGAAGAAAGCGAAGGAGATTCCGTCGTTAAAATCCGAGTTGATCAGTCTTGGAACGTCCGACTACTCTGGGAAGGACGAGTCAAGTCCCTACTTGTAACGGCAGGAGTGTCACTTGGACCAGGAACCTTCACAGCACTATCATCCGGACCAGCCTCGCCGACATCGTCTTCTGCGCCAGTAGCAATGGCAGGTGCACCACCCACCTCGAGGCCTTCATATTGGCAAGGTGTAGGGGTCTCTATTTTATACTCATCATGATTCGGATATTATGGCCGCCGCTCAGGAAATGATAGACCTGTATATACGGTAACGACGCGATACTGTCAAGACTACCACACTGTCTTGGAATTTAGCATTTACTCTTCTGTTGTACTTATTTTCTTTCTATGATAATATTCAACTTTTAATCATCTAAGTACATGACTACCAAACTGTTCCAACATACGGATCAGATCTTCTCCGAGACGGCGAGGGAGTGAAGCCACAGCTATACTCTACAGACGAGAGTTGATGATATCAACGACTAATCGCATACACGGTCAGTATCAGTCCAAATACTTTCGAAGAGAAGAAAACTTACAAGCTGGCTTCAAGCTAGCACCACCGACGAGGAAACCGTCGACATCCTTCTCCTTGGACAACTCACGGCAGTTTCCATCGCTGACGCTACCTCCGTAGATAATACGGGTGTTCTCGGCGACGGCAGGGGAGATAGTCTCACCGAGCCATTTACGAATAGCAGCGTGAACTTCTTGGGCTTGAGCGGTGGTGGCGACCTTGCCGGTTCCGATGGCCCTGCAAGTTGAGATAAAGAGTTAGGTATGTTTCAAGCATGTCTAAAGTCCATGGTGGTGACATACCAGATGGGCTCATAGGCAATGACGACCTTGGACCATTCTTGCTCATTCAATAGTTTGGCGACGGCACCGAGTTGTCTGGTGACGACGTCGATGGTCTTGTTGGCTTCACGTTCCTGTATTCCTGCGTGAGCTTACTTCGTTGGATGTGCTGCCTGGTAGCCTACCTCCAAACTCTCACCGATGCAGAGGATAACGCTCAATCCACCATCAATAGCAGCCTTGGTCTTGCGCGCAACGAACTATCAAATACGACTCATTAGCCAAATCCCCCTTTTGCAGCACGGGGATACTTAGGAACATACATCATCATCTTCCCGCAACAAGACACGACGCTCACTGTGACCAACAATAGTCCAATCAATCTTTGCATCCTTGAGCTGCTCAACGCTCAATTCACCAGTGAAGGCACCGTTGGGCCTATCGAAGACGTTCTGAGCCGCAACACCGACTGAAGGGTCGGCAAGTTCGCGGGTGAGTGTGAGGTAGATGGCGGGAGGGGCAATGACCACTTGAGTGGAAGGGTCACGCTGTGCCTTGTTGATGTTGGAGACGATGGACTTGATGGAGTCGGCGACTCCATTCCTGGAACGTTCATATAAAGTCAGTACGTGGTCGATTGCGATTGAAACGAAACGCTACTATCGTGGTGCGCAGAAGATATGACGGCACTGCGGGGTTCACTGACATCTTGAAGTTTCCTCCGACGAAGAATTGGCGAGGCATTTTGGCTGGTATTAAGAATCGTATTGCGTATTAAAAAGTCAGATAGATGTAGAGAATAGATGTGAAGTGAAAACACGAGATAGCGCAAAGAGGAATGAAGTCGAGAGAAATCGTGCTTAAAGAGTCAGGAGTTGCGAAGACATAATGCTGCCCACCCCTCATGAGACCCGAGCCCACACCGAAACCCGATATCGTCCGTCGGAGAACTCATTGCCTAGGTCCTACTTCTACAGCGAATGAGATAGCCTTATGTCTATACCAAGCATTGTTAAATCTTTTGATTTGTTCAATTTGATTAGATACATCATGTTGAAACATGCCAGTTGAAGATCGTTGAATCATGAGCAAACCCTAAAACCAAAACGTCAAGGATTTCTATGTGGAAGGCGCATCGAGGTATATTATATGGTACCATGAGTAGGAATGATGAGTACAAACTGTGTAAGAAACAATGTATGAATGGAATGGTCACAACGGTCAGCAATACGGGTCATACATATACGCTGGGCCCATCTCTCGAGAGATGTAACGCGGTCTTCGTGGGTACATAGGGTCTGGATAATATACTAGCCGGCCCAGGGGCATATCATGCTCAATGCCACGGAGTGCCACTCCTCTCTCAACATGATCACGACTCTCTGGCTTATGCGAGCTTAAAGCGAGACGAGCTAGTGAATCGATCATAAGTTTTTGGTTTTCCTCGACCTTCATCAGTCTGTACGAGGCCTCGTTTGCACTCATACTCAACTCAGCCAAACCTGGCGCTCGAAAGTCAGATTTGCTTTCATGGACTGTAACTGGGCGCTCGCTTGGATGACTCGTATGCCTATGCCTCCTGCTCTCCGGCTGTCGATGGCTGCTTGCAGATGGAAATATATCGACCCTGCCGGATGGATAGCCGGCATGACTATGGCTCTTTTGACCTTGCTTCCGGTAATGGCATCGATAGCCGCGATCTCCCATGTCACGACGCATATATCTCTTCTCCCGGTGAAGACTTCCCTTTGCAATTGAGTCTGTGCTGCTGACTGAAGAACTGTAGCCGTCGTCGTCGAAGAGAGATTCATCCTCCGTCATGACACTGCTGTCCTCTTGCAGGTGAGTTCTCCTCCGGTCTTGTTGGATGACTCTGGGAGGAGGTGCTGTGGCATTGAGTTTCCGCTCACGTTGCGGACGATCTGCCGCTGCAAACCGTGCACCCTGTGCTTGTGTTTCATGACCGTTGCGTGTATATACAGGAGCCGACGCTTGTTGAGCGGGATGTCTTGTTTCATCGCCACTCCTAGCAAATGTGCCTGCCCGTGGATTGGTAGCACCCACCATAGGCGGAACATTGTTTGCCATTTGTGGAATATTCTGTCCGTGGTTGTTAGACGCTTGTCCTTTAATCCCTTGTTCTTGTGGCGCAGGAACTCGTGCCCCTTGTGGCATGGCATGATTCGTTGTTTGCGGCATTGAGTTTTGCATCTGCGGATGTACTTGCAAATGCCCATGCTGTTGCGGAGCGGATTGCGCAGGCCGGGGCCCCTGCAGATGAACCGGGGCATTCGTCTGTGGATGCATTGGTGGATGCACCGGTGCCTGTTGATATATATAATTTGGCGATTGTGCCTGGGGATGCGTTTGTGAATGCATCGTGGGCGCGCCAGCGTTGACTAAGGCTCTGTTTTCCGGTGCTCTCGGCAATCCTGGGCCGTTGCCAATGTTATGCTGATGGTTTGCTTGTCCGCCCAATCCATCAAAGGTAGGTTGACCACCCCTTAGACCATTAGGACTTCTAGAACTTTGGAGTCCAGCATGACCTACTGAACTGGCTCTGAGAGGTTGTCCAGCTGTGGTAGCCTGGTGTTGGAGTTCTCGCAAAATGATGACTTCCATTCTGGTAGTGATCTCCTGGGAGAGTCCCATATAAGAGTTCAATCTGCTCGTTTCCGTATTTATATAAACGTAGCTCCATCTGTAACGACGGTCACGTTCGTTGTGTTCCGCAACTAGCTCGTTTACAAGTTTCTGTTTGTTTGAAGTCAGAGACTTGTATTGCTCCTTTACCGAAATCTCTTCCTCCAGGGTTTTCGCTAGATCTTTGAGCGTCTCTTGATCGCTGGGAATGAATTTGCGTCGGGCCAAGTCCCATCGTTTGCCGCCATCCCTCCTAGTTGTTGGAGTGAATTGCCAAAGCTCGTGTAAGTTTGAATCCATGCCGGCATCATGTTCGACAGATCTCACTCTCATCTCATTCGCCTGTCTGATAGCGTGGGAGCTTGCATCCCCTCGCGAGGGAGATCCTCGCAGATTCTCACTGCCGTGACTGGGGGTCTGACCCACAGACAAAGACTGTGGAGCAGAGTTGAAGAAAGCCATTATCTTTGAGGGACGCGACTTCTAAGTCTAGCGCAAGGTGCCAAGAGATAAAGGACGTGTAAAGAAAGCCGTAGAAGCAATATAAGTTCAGGGCAATTAATGTTGATCTTGTAACAATGCTGTTGATAGCACATCAGATCAATAAGGAGACTTGACGAGTCAGGAGCAATGAACGTCACCGTAAATGAGAATATCTGTGTAAGTATTTAAACTGACCCATAGTGGATGAAGAATCTCCAAACTCAGTTGACGGTGAGTGGGCCCAGATTTATACGTCGATGTGGACCATAGTCCAGCCTGAGGCTGAGGCTCAAGAACATAGACGAATCCATGACGAGATTATGTGGATGATAATCGTATCATCGAAGGCGAGGCTGTGCCAAAGACGATCCTTGGAGAAATTACCGTTTACCCTGGTAAAACCAGGTCTGCATAACCGGTAGATCTGAAGGATGGCTCGTATCATGTAGGTATGAAGGAAATTTGCTGAGCCTCAAGGGCAGTGGACTGGCGCTGTACAACAGCAAATCGTTCAAGTATCATTGGGTTGATATGCTGGAACAATGTATGCAGCCAACGCTAGCCTTGGGACACCAATAGAGTCAAATCGATCTCACCTGCCAAGGCTTGAAGAAGCACCAGCGACGCCGTGTGTATCCGGGGAAGATTTCTAAAGATACAGGTGTATCCCGGAGATGTCTACGTTGTGAGAGGCGGAAGCCGAAGTCTTGCTGGGTTCAATAGAGAATGTGGTGTCTCAGAGCTGCAAGGCTTCATACTTCTCGGCAAATCAGAAAACAATCCATTGTCGGTGAGTAGCTGTGTGATGAAGGCTGCAACCATCACTCCTGCCAGGCTAGAAGACTTTCTCCTTGATCCCAGTACAATGTCATTGATTTGACTCGGCGGAATCTTGCAACACGGGTTTCCGCATGCACGGAAAAGAAAATAAATATAAAAGGTAATCCATGCAAAAGAGGCTTTCACCGGTTTCTAAGGTGCTTCTGCACGTTGAGTCGGCCGGCCAATTGACTCACTATCACGACTGCCATGGAAGAGTCATCGCAACCAATCCGAAGCTACCCGGGACTTAGTCATTGCAGTAGCCGAAGGTTGCGAGTCATATAAGACGAAGATGGAGTGAATCATCTGCGGCTCTTCGTATAAGTGGACGTATCATGGATCGAGTTGCAAACCGGTCATGGAAAGATTGCATCGTCCACTCGGAAGTAGTCAATGTCGTTTAAAGAGGCTGCAGAACTGCGACGCCATCTGTGTGTCACCAGGGGAGATGCGCAACCTTTACAAGAGAGTGACATATTCGTCTAATCCTTTGCGGACACGGCGTCTGTCGACAGCTGAGGAGGTTGTTGGAGGAAGTTGGAGGTTGAGGGGTTTCATGCAATTCTCCGGGCCTTCTACCTGTGGGGATCGCAGCCTGAGGCTCTAAGCCCCCGTATACAGAGAGATTAAGGTTCCATCATTTCACGGTATAACATTCCTTTTTTGGTCTTTGTTCGAGCCTCAGGATTAATTCATACTGCATTATCAAACATGCCAACACATCGATCGATGATGCATCCACTAATGCATGCCCGGTTCAACCTTCCAATACCTGGGTGAGGACGCCACAGAGGAGAGTGTATCTAATTGAACAAGATTCCATTGAACTACCTAAGTAGGTAAAGACTGAATGTAGACACGCCACCAGGAGCATTTCAAAATTGTCCGAATATCCTTGCGCAATCTCTTGCCGTGTGTGCCGCTGAAAACTGAAGCCTTGAAACAGTGCCGGCTCAAGTATATCAAGAAAATGACACTGAATAGTATGCACACAGGCTCTCTCCTTATATTGACTTGCCTTTCAGAGAGAGTCGCGAATACGCACGAAATCAAGATAGCGCGCCTTGGTCCACTGTCGGCATTTCTTCCCCCAATACATCATCGGAATAGTAGTCAACACAAAGAAGCAGTCAAGAGCCGCGATCACAATAAAGGTATTCTGAACACCTTGGTCATCAAGCCACATACTAGCAGTAAATGTCAGAATGCATGCTATGGAGTTGTTGATAACTGCGACCCCGACCATGCCTTCCAGAACCATCTCGGGATACGCGTCCATCAAATACGCCATGCTCAAATCACCTGTGCAGCCCCATCCGAATCCGATCAGACCTAACCCGATATAGGGACCCGGCCAGGACCACCCTTGTCCAGTGCCAATGCCGAACAGTAACATGCCTAATGGCGAGATAATCGCCAACGGAAACAAGAACCACAGTCTGTGTTCAGCCTCTCGAATTCCACCATTCCTCTTTGCCATCCAGATCACGAACACATCAGAAAAGTATCCGCCGTAAATACAGCCCAACACGGCACCCATGAGACATGGAAGATTCATCAGGCCAACCCCAACATCTCCATAGTACCAGGGCGCATCACTCCAATCGTCATCCTCAACAGTGAGATAGAACGTGAGCCAAGCATCCTGAGCTCCCCATTGTACACCGGAATAAATGACCGCGGGAAACGAAAATACACGCATAGTGTGCATTAGCCGAACGCAGTATTGCTTGAACCCGAATCCCTCCAGGTTTGCGGCTGGTGTGATCAGTGCAATTCTTTGCCAGTACGTCTTTGGCTTCTCATCTGTTGCTTCTGCAAGAGCAGTCACAGTGTCCGACAAGCCTGGTCTTTTTTCTTGCAATCCTTTCAACTCTAAATCTGGCTCCGCAGCTTCCCCCCCCGGCGAAACAGCCATCCCTCCAACTTGATACGCAGATCGGTCAAACATTGTCTCCTCCAGAGTAAAATAGAGGACAACGATAGTAGTACCTGAAATGATAACAGCTAACCAACCAATCCAGCGCCATCCCAGATTGCTATCGGCGACAAATCCAGCTATCAATGGACCCAGATAAGTACCGACACTGGTTGCAAGAACATATACACCCAGGAAAGTTCCACGTTGATGTTCAAAGAACAAATCTGACAACGACAACTGCACATTGGCTTCTGCGCAGGACTCTGAGATACCGACAAACAACTGATTCCAAATAGAATCCGAAGTCGTCTGGACCCTTGCCATCCAAATAGCGCCGAGAAGTCCCACGAGGATACAGAAGAGATAGCTGCACCGCCGACCCCACAACCATGCCGCTGGCGACAAGAAAAAAGTACCATATCCGATTCCAAGGAACAGGACACCAGCTCCTGTATTCATAGCACTATAGGAAATGGATAGTTCCTCATTTTCACCGAACTGGGCGCTACCAGCATCATTCGATGTGCCGGCTGTGAGTCCAGCGATGAAGCATACGAGTAATGCATGCCAGTATTTACGAGGAGTGGACCAGTTCAATGGGTCATTGACAGATTGGGTGGGTGGTGGTGAGAGGATGATCTCGCCTTGGTTGAGTAAACACGACGTACCTGGAAGATACTCAGGATCGTCGGTGTTCATTTCGTGGGTGTGTGGTATCGGAAACAAAGTCAAAAGTCTGGCCGGAAGGCCAGAGCATACACGGATTCAGAGAATAATAGAAGGCTCAGGAGTAAAACAATGTTAGGGGGGCCGTTCGTGAAAAATGAATATGTGTGCAAGTTCGAGGCTCATAGAAAAGACGAGACAGCAGACAACATGAGAATTGACATCAATTGAGCAAGTAGACAGCGAAAAAAGACTGATCGAGAAGCAATTTGAGAGAGGTACAAAATTGGAACACCAGACAGCAGGGAAAAGAGAAGAACTAAACAGGGTGTTTCGTCGCCTCGACAGAAAATTCGAGGTCGTATGGGTACTTACCGAATCAGGAATAGGGTTGGCCGATAAGGGCAGCAACCTGACTGATGATCCCTGAAGGATTGCCACTAGTGACTAATATATACTATTTTCTGTGTATGTCTGAAGTACTACATGCTAATGATTATCTGATTTGTCCTCTATCAGTTCAGAGGTTACAAGCAGTAATCATGTACTCTGAGGTAGCAGATATACAACTATCTGACATACAAAGAGAAATAAACTTGATTGGTGGGGCCACTAAGACTAGTGCCTAAGGCAACTGACTCTAGTCGTTTCTGCAACACTATTGGTCAGATGATTGACATTAGGGCTTTGATATTTGGTATCAAATGGTACATGATATCAAAAAATGCTGTGAACAAGCGTACAGGCAAGTGGTGATGCTAAACCCTTAATATTGTTCATGTTTTGTGTACAAGATATAAAGAGAACCTGAGATGGCCAAGCACACAGCCAGTCCATCTTTTTCACTTATTCTCTACACAGCAATATCCGGATAATGGGAAAAATTGAAGGTATCACGGATGACAACAACGACAACACAACGTAATATGGAGACAAAGGTGAAGCCCAGATGACTGTTTGTCATGTTTCCTTACTGTGCTGCAAATTCATCTTAAGCCCCTCCCTTATACTGACCTTGTTGACTCCTCGGCAATTTTCTCTCCTGGTTCCTCATAGAGTGGTCACCCTTCCTCTCATTTGAATCTCATCGACGTCGAGGATTGCCTCTCCGTATTCCTCATCATCCTTCCTCTTACTTAATCCTCGCAGGGACTTTCTCTCCTCGTCCTTCATTACCCCTCAACAGCCGCAACGCAAGTCCTCGAAAACGACGAACTCGAGGCGTTCCACCGGAAACCCACTGAGTGCACAGCGGAAACTCGCATCTATTGCGCAGATCCAGGATGCTCAACCTTTATCCCGCAAGCTTCCATCCACGATGACCTCGGTACTTGTCCAGAATGTGAAAAAAGAACATTTACCCTACCGTGTCCTCGCTCATCCTGGTGTTGATTGTCCACTCGATGAGAAGTTCCAGGAGGTCTGAACCATAGCCAACACTCAAGGTTGGCAGAGATGCTACCATTGCCGAGCTATGGTCGAGTTAAAACTATGGTTGCAATCATATAACATGCCGGTAAGTAGCGAGGGTCCCTCCCTAAAATTGTTGGTTATGTACTTCCCACAACTGACGTGCCAACAAACAATTAAGACGCGTAAGGGAATTCTGTTATGTATGCGGTACAATTTGGAAGACATGCAACTTCCCATTGTGGTATGAGCCTCGACTCTTCGTCATGGCAAACCAAGCTGTTGGTGACGCCCTTGCAGCTAATGCAGGGCCAGCAGCGCGCCGTAATTTCATGGACCAAGTCATTCAAGGTCTCCGCCAACACGAAGATCAAGGATGTAACCACCAAGACATCGCACAATTCAGGAGGCGCTTCGAGGGAAGCATGCGATGTGAACTTTGCTTGGATGTGATGCCAAACTTGATCATGCAATGTATCAATTGCATGATGAGGGTTTGTAAGAGATGCCGGAACAACCGGGTAAGGTGAAGGACGCAGAAGCATGCAGACAACAGGTTGTGGAATCAACGGCAGTCAACAACGGGTCCAGAGACATGTTCAAAGGTTGTCTATGGTGTTAGTAGTTAAAAGGTTACTCCAGATAGTTAACGGATTAAGGATGTTGGAACACGTCCTCGGGTCAGAAGTCCTCCCGGTAGAATTGAGGACAGGTAGCTCCATTTATCATTGTTTGTAATTAAACCTCTTCTGAGAATTACCATCCCTCAAAGTTTCCAAATCCTCCTGTTGTCTTGAACTTTTTGCGCGTATGTTCTGGTAACGGCTCTGGATCATCTACGTATTCGACGATCTCATCCTCATCGCCAGTCTTGCGAGTTTGTTGCTCAACCAGTGCAGCTCGAAGATATTTGCCTACACCACCACCGTCCTTCGTCTCTGAGATATTGGACCCGTCTATGCCGCGAACACGCTTGCCAGTCCATGTGACTAAATCATCATCAACATTTCCCGCTGTTTTCTCATCCATTTTCTTTTGACTCTGGGCATTTCCCCCGGCGTTCAGAGTAGCTTGCTTGCTCATAAATTCCTCGAAAGGGTCGACAAAGATAGTTACATCCTTGATGCGTATGTCGGTCAATGGTCGGTTCGTGTTGGGGTCCACAGGCGCCACTTCCATTGAGTTTAGAGTTGTCGATGAAGGTGACGGGTCATCAATTATACGACCAAAGACAGTATGCTTGTTGTTCAGATGAGGCAAGGCGCGATATGCAATGAAACTAAGAACAGTTAAGAGATGCTCATGTTGAAGAGCTGGACGGAGAAGAAACATACAATTGACTACTATTAGTGTTCTTACCCTTATTCGCCATGCTTAGGGTACCGCGGGCATCGTGTTTAAGTGGCCCTTCAAACTCATCATCGAAGTTCTTTCCCCATATACTTTCACCTCCACGCCCTGTTCCGGTAGGATCACCTCCCTGGATCATAAAACCCTTGATGTTGCGATGGAATATAACATCTTTGTAGTAGCCCTTCTTGGATAGGTGAATAAAGTTCCAAACAGCCTTGGGAGCATATTCGGTCTGTAATTCCAGATTCAGATCGCCCATTGTTGTCGATATGCGAGCGTAGCCCTTTTCCTTCACTCTTCCCCGCTTCAGCATATATTGTTCATCGGACAGAGTGGCCAACTCAGCCTCAGTGTGGGGAGTTAAACCCGTGCTAGTGAAGGACGCCGCAGCAAGACCCGTCGTATGACGCGCGGCGTTGAACGGAACGTGCTTGGTCGGTTGATGTGATACAGTAGTGGATTTCGGTTTTTCAGATAGTGATGCTCCGGGCTTGCCAGCGACACCTTTTCCTTGCTGCGCGCCGCGCTCAGCACGAGCTCGCGCAACTGCCTCTTTAGCTTTGAGAATTTTGGCAGAACTACCCATGGCATTCAAGTTCACATTGTTGATAGGGTCGTTGCGCTCCCGGAGTTGTTCTTCAGTCAACACACTCTCTCCATCCTTCAGATACTTGAAAGAGCTGAGATTCCGTGCTTCAACATTCTGCGGATCTTGCAATGTAATGATATCTTTGCGACCAAACTCTTCGTCCGTAACTAAATCACGCCACATCTTAGCCTTAATATTCAGCCTCTCTACCGTGTCCCAGGCGAAAACGTTCCCCGAGGGGAGAAGAGCGACGATATGAGTATTATCAGTGAAGACTTTGAACGTGACCGGATCGACATATTCTCCAGCCTCATTCTTTGCGAATTTCAACTTTATCAGATCTGAGCTCTTCAAATGACTTCCGTCAACGGGGTTGGTACCGTGTTTTTTCAGCCATGGAAGAATATTCGTTAGATCGAAAATGGTGCCTTGGGCTGTGCACACCGGGTGTTTAAAGGGCTGAAGCGAAAGCGAGCAAAAGTTGAATGGCAGACGTTTGAAAGACGCATGGACAGCGCTGTTTCGCCCACCAGCTACACCAGCACCAGCGCTGGCCGAGTATGCGTCCTCAGATGCCCATTCTGAGTGAGTAATCTTTAGGTATAAATCGTGTTAGTATGACGGCAATCCAAGTATCAATCGAAGGGGACCGTAGACGTACGTATAGTTTATCCGTTCCTATGATGAAATGTTAGATTATAACTCTGTAAAATCGAAGCATTACGCGGAGCATACCTTTACCCATCTTTCCTGGATATTATTACTCAAAACGAAGAAAGAAGTGAAGTAAATACAGGAAGTAAGATATAAGATAGATCTAGCTTCATGCTCCACCAAAAAATGGTCTGGCGGCAAGCGCGTGCCACGGCTTGGCATCTGACAGAGTTCGCCGCAATCATGCTAACCGCTTATGGAATCTACCATAAGATGATTCTTTGGGGAGGGTTCGATGAGAGGATGACTTATCGAGAATTACTGATGAACTTAAGAGGAAATGAGCTACTTTTAGCTACATACTGCTAATTCCGATGCCACTATCATCATGTGTATTCGTACCATCGAAAGCGTAGTTTTCCCCATTCCTTTATCTAAAAATACAGGTCATAAATGTAAAGCTTCAGGTCACACCAGCAACATGGTGGAATCATGCTGCCGCTGGCTGGTATTTCAAGTTGACAACCCAGCGATTGCCAAAGTCAACACCGTGTCGACGACGTGTACCGTACTTCCTCCAAACTACTTGACTGATACCGATGTCTGCCACGGTGATCTGCCAGGAGCTGCCTTCACCGGATTGAAGTGCTTGCATGACCCCTGTTTTAGGAGCCGCCAAGCAGACGACGAAGTTTGACACTACCGATAGTCGTGAGCCTTGGACAATGCCTACATCGCCTGTTGATATCTTGCAGTCAGTACCATGCCTGTAGTAGAGACACTCAGCAGAAGAAAGGGGCAATCGGTGCGTCTTACCAGTTGCTGCAGATATACCCGAGGGTATGTCGACTGATATAACTACTAGGTTGGTCCGATTCACCCAGGCAATCATTTCACAAGCTGTCGCTTGGTCGTCGCTCCGCAGATCTTCAAAGGCAATGTGCATACCAAATAAAGCATCAATGACTAAGTCGACACTGAAATCGGGCGTCAATAGACGGGTTGACAGCTCTTCCCATCGCAGGACTCTCCCGCCGATCTTTTTGAATATCTCCAATTGCTTACGGCAATTTTCTAATAGTTCAGTTTCATGTTCCAAACCCAGGAGGCACAGCGTGACCCTATGTCCTCGGTTTTTCAAATGTCGTGCAGCGGCTATTGCTCGTCCACCGGTTCGATGATTTCCGGTAAAGACAAGGACAGCAGGAGCAGCAGCATCGCTACCGAGGCGACCCACGGCAGCCTCAGCAATTCCACGACCAGCATTCTCCACAATCATATCTTCAGTCAAGCCAAGTTCAGTCACTGCTAACTGCTCAACTTCAAGCATTTGAAGTGGGCTGACGGTTGGACATAACCTATTGGTCGTTGTCAAACGCAAAGTGCCAGTCGAAGGTGCGCTGGTTCCGTTGAGCGGGGAGACTCTTCCCGATTGTCGATTAGGCATCGGACTAATATTTCGTGGTGAAGGAATAGACCCACGTCCTACAGATCCCAAAGAAGCTGACATCGAAGATTGTCCCAAGATAAGGCTACTCTTTTTCGTTATCTGGCCTCTTCCGGATGGCTTAGACCTATCGCGATTAGAGTAATTTTCGCTGCTGAACTTATCATCACTAGTTTCGGTTTCGGTTTCGCCTGCTTCGCTGTTCCACTGAGTTGGTGTGCTATCTAGGACATTTTCTGACCAGTGAAGGTTTTTGCCGCCGTTTGTGCCAGGTTTTGGTCTCTTGTTGAAGCTAACCAAGCGATCTTCGTCGGCAGTGGTATCATCATTTCGGATTTCATCAAAAACGCGCCTCTTGTCAAACTTCGATAAGTTCGCCTGAAAATCAAAGTCGCCAAGCTCCTGTATGTCTGTAGCATCTTCTGTTGCCCACCCATTAGCATTTTCTGCATAAACTTTGCGGTTTTTGGTTTTTCGGTGTTTTCCAAGCGCTTGAGCAGCATCATCATCGGCAGGATAACCTGTGTGAAGCGTCGGCCGAGCTGGTTCAACGAATGCTGTCTGCCGCCATCCATTTCCTGTGTGGTCTTGCCCTTTATTACGACTCCCTCGTTTGCCCCGTTTCGTAGATCTTTTTTCAGCAGGTACAAATGATACATCTTTTCCTGTTTCCTCTACTATGTCAATAGCTTTGTCGAGCGTAATGCTACTGAACGGCTCCGTCAAGATTGCAGTCACGGCGGAATCATGCCTCTCGATCGTATGCGAGGGATGCGTGGTCTCGACTGAAAGCGCACTCGAGGCCGATCCCAGAAGGGAGCCAGATCTTGATAGCAAAGCCGCCACAGGTGTCTGTTTTTCGGGGGTGTGGCTGGGGCCTGCTGAGAAGCTCACTATAGCTGGGTCGAAGAAGGGCTGCTGCTGAGGCACAGATAGTGGCTGTGTATAGTTCAATTGAGCACCATTGTTTCGTGGGATATCTGGAGTGGATGTAATAGTAGAGTATAAGGGATTTGCAGACTGAGGTGGAGCTTGAGGCTGAGAGCTAGACACTTCTAAATCTGCTATTCCGGAAGCATCAATGGTATAGGATGAAAATCGTTGGCCGTTCCATAAAAGCGTCACTATCGCACTTTATTAACAAAGTATTAATAGCCTATTCTCTCATCATCGCTCACCATCATGTAGAGTCAACCGCCGGCCTACAATGTTTGCGACTGTCCCACGTATTTGCGAGTTGGGAGGTGAACTGAGGGTCACGAGAACTGTGTAGCCAACAAAGTCGGATGCCATTATAGAAAGGAAGTTGGTGGCCAGTAATTTTTTTGGGTATATGCTGGTATCGGTCAGATATTCACCTTGATAAGGAAGATAAGCGAGGCTCAAAGCAAGTTGCGAACATATGAAAACCGAAGACTCGGAGTTGTCGAGTGTAGCTGTGGAGCTTCCCAAATTAAATTATGAACAAAAGGCAGCAACCGATAAGGCATGTACGTCACATGACTTTATCGATAAGAGCTCCCCACTGTCTTATCGTTCTTTATTTTATGCTTGACTTGCAGTGTGTGCTTCTATACGTATTGCGGTATACTCGAAACAAAGTGGTCTTTTCGCTTTCAAACTGCATAATCATATATATTTACAGTAATATACTTCTGCATATGAAGGTATCGCCGACAATAAACAACAGGCTATAACAAGCCTGCTATATACTCGTTATATAACTCGTCATTGTCGTCGTATTCGTTGACTGTTCTCCCACCGTTCACTTCTTTCTTGGTATTGCCGCTAGGGTTGACCACCGAGTTGATATCGGCAAGTTTAGAATAAAAGTCAATGACCTTTGGATGCACCATGACTTTCCGTGGATCGAATCCTGTCACCTGAAGTCCGTCTTGAGATGTTGCTCGGCTAAGTGCAACGTATGCTTGTCCTTTCTCGAATACTCGCCCCAAGTCCACTTTAACTCGAGGAAGAGTTTGGCCCTGGGCCTTGTGAATAGAGAGAGCCCATGCTAAAATCAACGGTACTTGCGAACGCTGCGCCTGGATTTCACCGTTGGGCAGTTCTATCTTCCAGGTCTCTGGCTGACAAAGAAGATGCCGTTCGGTGCCATCTTGTTGCGTAAAGCAGACTAATGGCCACTTGCGACTTGTACTGATACCCCCATCCTTGTGTGCTAAAGCCCGAATCTTCTTGCGGTTACGGGCAGCCGCATCGTCATCGTCGCTGCCTTCTTTACCATCTCCAGTAAATTCATCTTCATTGTTCCGGTAATAATCAAATGTGGTTTCGTCCATGAATGCGACAATCTTACCCAGTGAGCCATTGACCAAGTTATCCTCCATATTCTTGATCAGCATGACCTGGGCTCCCTTCTTCAGATGAATGACTGGTGGTGCCATACAGTTGGCAAGCAATCTGTCTCGCATCTGTACATCCTGGATAGTCCCAGAATCCTGAGCATGGAAAGTCATTACTTCGCCTGAAAGTCTGCTCATTCGCAAACCATTCGCATTCTCTACTTCCGCGCGTGTGGGAAATCTGTACATGTTAGTTAATAGTCATATATGATATGACTAAGGTGCGGAAACTCACAATTCGGTAGCATCCAAGTCATCGTGGAAATCTAAGGGTCGTGATAATTTCTTGAAGGCCTCTGTCGTCTGCGGTGTGATTCTTCCCAGTCTCATTTGGTTCAACATCTCCGCAAAAACCGGATCCTTCTGCCGAAAGACATGTGTCAACAGGATGGTATGTTGAATTGAAGTATTCCATGTCGCAGCGTCAAAAGCAAACTTGGCGTCTCGAGCCGAGGTGTCCGGTACCGGTGGCAGCTGGAAAAAGTCACCAGTGACAACCAGCTGAATTCCACCGAAGGGCCGCCCATTATTTCGAATACGCCTGGCAATTTCTTCCAGTTTGTCGAAAAGGTCACCATCGACCATTGACACTTCATCGATAATCAAGACCTTCGTCCGCAACCAGCGATTCCGAGCCTTCTGGTTTTTCCTCACCTAGTTCAAGTTAGGAAATTTTCTTCAAAGATGCAATGTCGAAAGATGAGGAATACCTTCTTGAACAGTTCCGCTGCTGGCTCTTTACCCAGTCCAATGCCAGCAAAACTGTGTAGGGTAACACCCTCAATATGGCAAGCTGCAAGACCAGTAGATGCGGTCACAGCGACACGGTCAGGCTCTCTCCTATACTTGTCCCGCAGTTTCTTGATGATCTCTCGCATGAGAACGGATTTTCCAGTTCCTGCGGATCCAGTGAAGAATATACTCTTCTGTCGATCGACAACGGCATCGAGAACTGCTTTTTGCTCTTCACTCAGAAATAGAGAGGCGACCCTTGACTGGGGCTTAGTTAAATGGTAGTCGGCTGCCGTTTGTCTTTTTTTGTTTATTTTCCTCAGCTCCTTTTGTTCGTCCTTCACAGTACTGGCAGTTTTGTTCCAGGGCATCTCGGCCTTTGAAGATGATGATCTTTTTATTGGCGCCGGGGTTATCGGATTGCTACGACTGCCATCCTGCCCTTGCTGACCCCAAGGCAATTTGCGCCGCTTTGGCTGGGGTGGTTGATAATGTGATGGAGGAGATGAAGACCACGGAATTGGCATACTGCTGGGTGGTAATTGTTCCTGGGGCATGTCGTCCATCTCCGGAAGCTCGGGATACTTGATATCGGATTGAGACACATTCTGTGTCCTCGAGTTTTGACTATACCCAGTACCACTCATCCTAGTATTGCTTGTAAAGTTGTTCGCATTATAGTTGGTTTGTGATGGTAAACTCGGGGTCTCGGTTGACGCTGGTAGGGAGTCTTGACTTAGAGGGCCTGGTTTGAGTATCTCAAAGTCTAGGTCATCGTCGTCATCAAAATCATTTTCATCGAAATACACGGCATCATGAAGGGATCCTAATGCCGACTGTCCGGCGCTGGCCATTTCGATTTTCCGTTTGGCTCCGGCAACGGTCGAATGTTGCTTAGTAGTCGAGAAATTACTCGCATTCAGTTTGTGGTTGTTAGGATAAAGCGGTTTTGCGGATACGGCGCCTTTCCCAGAGTGATCTTGAACCGCTTTGCGGAACATTGCCCTAGTCGGTACGTTTGACACGCTAAATGTCGAGAAACGCAGGCCAGTTGGCGCTTTAGATGGCACAACCAATTTAAAATGCTTGATCAAGACCGTAGTGCCTAGCCTGTATGTTGTGACGCTGTACATAAAAATTCTGTTCAATTGAGAAGAAGAAGGGGGAAATAAGCGAAAGATGTGAGTCAGGCAAATATCGCGGTATAACGTCCTAATCCCCCGGCGTGATGTTTCCGGAACGATTCTCAATCTTCAAAGATCAATCAATTTCGCGTTTCGCGATAACGCGCCAATTGATATCGTAACCCACACACTAACCTCTATTGGCTTATACTGAGTCACGTGATAATCTAATTTCAACAACCGATAATACCACGTGATCTCGTGTTTTTATCGCGTCGACAGAGCGAATCATTTGCGCGGGATCATCTCAGTGTCAATTGGGAAGGATCCTTCAAGATGCACAACGCTGCGTATGGTCTGCCATTTCCTTGACAACGAGAACAGCGCTATCATCATGAGCAATGGAAGGCGAGACTGTGAAGAGTAAGTCCGCCAATTTCAATTCTTCTTCTAGACTTTCTGACAGGATGTTATACAGACAAAGAACACCCGCTTGCCGGGGTGGTTCTTTGCTTCACTTCTATCCTTCCTGAACAGAGGGTAAGCATTGCTTTGTTGCTCCCTATTTGCGTCCTCATTACTCATCATTTTTTTTTTTTTGATATAGTCTAAGCTCGCCGAAATTGCTGGTCAAATGGGAGCTATCCACAAGTATGACTTGACCTCCGACGTGACCCATCTTTTAGTCGGCGAAACAAATACCGAGAAGTACAAGTTCGTGGCGCGCGAACGCAGTGACGTTTTGGTGTTGATGCCCGAGTGGATTGAGGCTGTGAGACAGTCATGGATGGACGGAGGTGATACCGATCTGCATGCCTTAGAGCAGAAATACAGATTGCCTACATTTTACGGGCTGTCCATCTGTGTGACTGGGTTCGAAGACGGTGAGCAGCATTGGATCCAACGTTAAAATACGCTTCTAATTTGAAATCAAGCTTCGTATCGGAACTATCTGCAGGAAACGACCATAGCAAATGGTGCCGAATTTCGAAAAGACCTAACCAAAACCGTTACGCATCTTATCGCTCACCAACCTAGTGGCCAGAAATATAAATTTGCAACACAATGGCAAATAAAAGTTGTCACTGCAAAATGGTTCAGTGATAGCTTGGAGCGGGGAATGATCCTGGACGAGACCCGTTACGATCCATTACTTCCGCCTCATGAACAGGGTGTCGGCGCGTGGAACCGTGGCCCACTTCAAGTGCCTATCAAGAGAAAAACAACTTCCGAATCCTCCAATATTCGATCTCGTAAATTACGGAGAGTAGCGAGCAGTAAGCTCGGTGAGCAAAATGAGGGGATCTGGGGTGATATAATTGGCAGTGGATTCAGTTCGTCTGATAAGGGCAATTCTGTTTCTATTGATAAACGGTCTTCGGTCGACACACAGACGAAAGAAAATTCAGTCGCTCAACAAAACAAGACATTGAACAACGAGTTACTTGCGGACCGTTCGAGCCCAGTTATTCCCGATGAACGTACATCTGTGGAGCAAAATGGCTTTCTACAAGGTTGCTACTTCTACATCCACGGATTCACTTCGAAGCAGGTACGTGGACATTGTTTCTATTACCAATACTTTCTCTTACAAGGTTGATATAACTAGGTGGATGTTCTTCGACATCATCTTGTTGTGAACGGGGCAAACCTTGTACAGCATCTCAGTGACTTTTCGAGCCACAATATTCCTAAGAATGGAAAATGTCTATACATCATCTCATCGTATAAAATCCCCCGATCCGAGGTTCCTTCTACAGATGACAAAGGTTTCAGCTGCGAACAAGTCACTGACATGTGGCTGGAACGCTGCTTGGACGCAAACTCCCTCGTTTCCCCTGAGATTCATGTTATGAGCACCCCATTTCCACACATGCCATTGAAAGGTGAGCTATATCCTTACCTTATTACTGATCTCTAATGTTGACAAACAAAGGTTTCGAGGGTTTAAAAATCTGCTCGACAGGGTTTGCAGGGATTGATCTACTTCATATATCCAAGATGGTGTCCGTGATGGGTTTGTTCTTCCTTCTATTCCACTCAACTGTTACATCGCTCTGACAAAACCGAAGGTGCCCAATATGAAGAGTATCTTACACCCAATGTGTCAGTTCTCATAAGCAATGATTCACGAGCTGCGAACACCGAAAAAATCAGACACGCTCTAGGATGGGGAATACCTGTCGTGTCTGCTGACTGGCTCTGGATTTCTGTACAGTCCGGAAAGATGAAAGTATTCGAACCTTATATGCTGCACAAGTCTACCACCCAGACCAAAGAGATAAGGCATGAACAGTCCAAAGCTGTACCAGAAAGGTCTGGTATTAAGCATGAATTATTTTCTTCGTGTTCAGAAGCAAACGCGAATTCTCATGTTCGCCAAACTTCCGCTTCTGCATTCGAACTGAATGATTCTGCATGCGGTGAAATACACGAAACACTAAAACCGTCTGTGAGCAACATAAAAATGGAGTCTATGTCATCTGTATCTCGACCTCCTACGGAAGGTGGTGATAATAAAGCCAGTCAAACCCCCGTGAAGACAGTATCAGATGACAATTCCGTCCCGCAGTCTAATAGATCGTCTGAGAACCTAGAATCTTCAATGAACAGGTTTCTCAAGAAGGCAAGGGAACTAACACGTGCAAGAAGTATCCTGGGAGGAGAAAACGGATCTCGACGGCGCAGACCAAATCTGGGGAGAAGAAACTCCTCATCATCCAGTAAGATGGAATTCAAAAGAACCGATTCTCATGTTAGCGTCAGCTCTATTGATACGCTGAACGAGGACGGATATGGTAGTGCTGTGAGTGCTGATACCGACGTCAACAATCAGCTTACGGCTAGACTATCTCGAAATCTCACAGGCCAAAGTCTTTCTTCTCTATTGAGCAGCAGTAAGTTTACGAGATATCTTGACTCTCCAATTCCCGAGAACGATGAATCGCTGGACGAGGAGAATGGAACCCCTGCAATGACACAACTCAACTACGAAGACCCAAACGCAATGGCGGCGCGAGAGGAGATAATGAGGCTTGCACGCAGAGGAAATGTTAACGAGGCTCACGTTACAGAGATCTTGAAGCAAAAAGAAGCTATCCAACCACAGGCGGTAGTAGATGAATTCCCTCAGGTCATTGACCACCAAGGGGGACGTATGACGGCTAGACGAACACGAAGATCCGCTGGTAAGCAGCAGGAAGAAGGATTTTTATAGTCTAATACAAGAAGAATTGTGGCATCCTCAAGTAGAATGAGTCCTGCCCTGGTAGCTATGATAGCCTAATGCTGCTCCTGTACGTAGATTTGAGACACCCTACCCTAGAAATGACTGGATCTTATGTGATCATTGTGATGCATTTGTGTCAAGCAGATACGAGATCATTCAGTACTCGTCTCAGGAGAAGCGATTAGATACAGGAAACAATTTTGAATTCAAATACACCTTTTAACACGCCAATGTACGCCGCTCAGAGTATGAATATAGATAATAACATTCTTTGTCAGCAGTGAGCTGGAAGACATTATAATGCACGAAGAGAAACCAGATTTTTCATAAACGAAAGGGAAAAGGAAGAAAAAGAAGGGGGGTATTGAACATGATAAAAATGATGATATAATACTACATATATGGATAAAGGGGAGACATGACGGGCGTCGGAGCGTTCGTGTACATTGTCAGTTTGTCGTGTCAAACAGTCAGGTGAGGAGAGAATTCTAGCAGCATTTGCTCTCTTATTGAGCTAAAGCTCCCGGTAGAGGGCCTTCAAGGTCAATTTGATCGACGGTTCTTCGACTTTCTTGAGACTCGCGGAACAAATTGGCGAAATACTTTCTCGCAACTTCACTCTCCTGTTTGATCTTGGTGACTTCCTCTTTGCGACGCGCTAGATCCTCAACCCCCTGAACAAGCTGCGAATGTAATGTGGAAGCCGGGATGCCCAGTACACGGCGGACTTGAGCCGAGATACGTGAAGCGTTGGAATGAACGTAGTCTACTTCGGCTAGGGAAGCAGCTAGTTTGCGTGAAAGGCGGGGAGGGAGAGTCTGGGGAATGATTGAGAGTACGTAGGCTGTTGTCAGAATAGCTGCGATGTTCATGGTTAGTGAGACCCTTTATTATACGCGGTAACAATTGGAACTCACCAGTAGCAACGATTCCAGGAATGATCATTCGCCGTATGTTATTCGATCCAAGTATCTTCGCAGCACCGAAAGCTCCGTCGACCCATCCAACTCCTGCAATAGCGCGTCCTCCGAGAACGGTAACAGCCGTCATGGCAACACCAGTTCCAGCAACCTTTTCTTGTCTTTCCCAAAGTCCGGGGATATCAAAGAAATCCCAAAGTTCAACCTGTGTATCAACTTGTCTTGCCAAAGCATGCCGTCGTTTTCGGAACATGTTGTCAGCTTGGAAACTAAGAGTTGGAAATTTATCCTCCCCAACGTGCAACAAGCCAAGTTGTTGGATGTAAGAAACCCCTTGCGCAGTCTTTGCACGAGCATAATTCTCGCAGTCAAATACCGCCGCTGACACCTGATCCAACATCGCAACCTTGAGATCTTCAGCAAACTGGAAAGCGGAGAGTAAACCCGGATATTCCACGCCAAGGTCAGCATAGGCAACCTTCTCTATTGTGTCGTTCAAATTCTGTCGTGTGTAATTATAAACGTCCTCGCAAGACTTCTCTATGGTATTCTCCACCTGCTCTGCGATTTCCGTCTTCTTCTTCTTTCCATCCTCAAAAGCAGGAACGATCTCTTCCAGTTCTGAACTGACACGTACAAGCTCTGATTGAGCAACATCACGATTTACTAATGCCAAGGTATTGAGGTCGGATAGAACATTGAGGATATATGTGCGTGCGGGTGCTAATTTTGATCTTGCACGTCTCTCGAGGACGAATCGGCGCAAGGCTCCTTCCAGCTTTTCGAAGTCCTGAATTTTCTCCTTCTCCTTGCCTTTACCTTTGCCCTTCTTTGAATCGTCATCGTCATCAGGATCATCATTGTCAGGTGGATCGCCGCTCCCGCCTGATCCAGAGCCTGCAACGACTCCGGGTAGTACGGGTATCGCATTACTTGAGACAAAGTGAACTAGCTCTTCAGCGTCCTTATATGTGTGAGGACTCAACTTCGCTATCTGGTCCAAAATCATTCGTTGACATCGTCCTTTGTCTCGTATATTATCGAAACCGTTCACAACCATAAACATATAAGCCTTTTCATGCGCCGCGCTCATTATGAAGTCTCTTGCAGACAGCGTGAAATGGTTGGCTGCAGATACGACGAAGACAACGACATCGATTTCCTCTTGACGTGCAAAAATCGCAGTTGTCTTGACAGAGTCTGAATTCAAACCAGGGGCGTCGATCAGGGCAATGTCAACCACACCATTATTCAGAAGAGACTCGTCAATCGCCCTAACATCTTTCACATAAACCTTGCACTGGGTGTACTTTGAATTGTCGGTGACTATATCCTCTAACTCTGATAGCGAAAAGACGTCGTATGTACTCTCATCGTTGCGGTTGTAGATTCGGTCCTTCGGAATCGCGTGCACTTCTTCAACGCCACCATTTTCCCTCGTATCCAGCACCTCGCAAAATATACTCGTACAGGGTTGCTGGTCTTCGGGCAAGATCTTGCGACGTAGCAGCGCGTTGCAGAAGGTCGATTTTCCAGCATTCAAGTCTCCGGTTATCAGTACTTTACTGGATGTATCTTCGATCCGATCTCTCAATGACAACAGATGTTTGACGCTCTGATTGATCTTCCCATCTAGCAACGAGGCGATCGTCGATTTCTCCAGTGAATGGACCAGTTCCGTTTGTGAGGCAGCTCCGAGCTTGAGTTCAATCTTCAAAACCAAGAATTGCTCCGCCATTTCGCGACTCATTAATCGGGGTTCCGGTAGTGAACGGCGTTCACCGGCTGCACTGGACTCGCTAGCATCCAAAGACGTGGCGGCACGTCTGATCGGCGTAGGGCGTGACGAGGAAGATTCTTGATCTTCAAGGGTTCCCAAGTCGGCGTGCGACTGCGTCTGTTGCAATGACGGTCGGTCCAAGGGTTGATAAGATGGATAATGAAGTGGCCATCGCCCGTTCATCTCTTGTAAATCTTTAAGTATTTCGATCGTTCGGGTAATCGCTCTCCCTAGTTTCATTCGATTCGCATTGCTGGACGGCCTTGTTAGAAATATTACCTTGTCAAGGAAGAAATTTGGAAAGACGTACTACTGAAGTTGGTGGACATGACTCGCAAGCATTTGTCTACCTGCATCGCCTACATAATAACGCAAAGCCGGTCAGTCATCCATTTTCACAGAATTCTCATCGCCGGTACATACCCTCAGTAGCCAATGCAGGTGTATGGGCAGGCGTCGGCCGATCTTCGAGCATTCCAGCGTGCCAGTCAGTCAAATCGCCCCTTTCCAGCGCGCTTTCTCCAGCAATGCTTCCACCGTAACCGGAATCGTGGTTTAAAGACGCTATGAGTGCTTCGGCAGCTGCGGATGTCGTTCCATTACCAACGGTCATGTACTGTGGTGCTGCCCATGAGGTTGGCTGTATACGTTCGTCGTCCTCTTCGAGACTCGAGGATGCATTTTTGGAAGACGAGCTGCCAGCGACAGGAAAATACTCTTGGCTCATGATGCCGGATGAGTTATTAGCGCTACCTCGGCGGAGAGTTGGGAATATCCATGAACTGTCGATGAAATTGTATGATGTTTAACAGTAATCTCAAACAATTTGCATGACTTAGTAATTAAATTATCCGGTTTGCAGGGTCACGCTATTCCGCGGCATTTCGCACGTGACACGGCCCGTTGCCACCGAAATTCCCGAGCATGAATTATTCTCAGAACCATTTTTGATATTATTCTACATCCATATGGTGATTATTATTGCTCTTATAGTTTTATCCCATGTACAGAATATTCCGCCCATTGCTAGGCTCACATGAAGTGAGAAACTAATACTTCTACCATTACTAATAGCTACGATAGCACGTATGATGACTACTATGTATATAGTTAACTACTACTGGACGTTTTGACCTTGACGTCATTCACAATGCAGTACTATATCTTCTTCTTAAGTTGTCTGATAAGGCCATAATCACGATTATCAGCTGTTCATTAGTTGAAGACGCCCTTACTGCTTTCGATGCACCAGAAAGTGTTTTCATACGGTAATAGTTGAGGAGAATACTCCAGAGTAGGTAGAAGTCAGCGTCCAGTGAACCCGCGGTTGGCGGCCGGATTAACTAATCTCCGCCAAAGCCACGCTTCAGGCAGTATCATAACTATCGCAGCCATCAATTCTAATTTCATTGCATTTCTTGAGGAACATTGAGTCCAATTTCTACCACCTGACTCCTGTGTTCGTATTTTGTCTTTAGTGTTAGTGGTTGTGCGATTTATACATTACCATGAATGTGAGTCTTGTCTTAATCTCCAACTTGTCACCCCGCTAATCGCACTGTCTTGCTAGATCGTGGAATGGGCATTTGGCAAGCGCATGACGCCTGCAGAGCGCCTGCGCAAACATCAGCGCGCCTTAGAACGGACACAACGCGAACTTGACCGGGAACGAATCAAGCTGGAAAATCAGGAGAAGAAATTGGTTCAAGATATCAAGAAGAGCGCCAAGAACGGACAGATCGGCGCATGCAAGATCCAGGCAAAAGACCTCGTTAGGACGAGAAAGTATGCAATTGCTATAGAAATCTTCTTGAGCCTCAAGTACTTATGTGTCTGACGTACGACCGTTTGCCAGATATATCCAGAAGTTCTACTCAATGCGGACGCAATTACAAGCCATTTCTCTTAGAATTCAGGTACTTGGAATACTCTTCAACACCATACAGCTCGAAAACTAACCGTTTGAATTTACATAGACCGTCCGAAGTAATGAACAAATGATGCAGTCAATGAAAGGCGCTACCGTGCTTTTGGGTAGCATGAACCGACAGATGAACCTTCCTGCCTTGCAACGAATAGTTATGGAGTTCGAGCGCGAAAACGAAATCATGGACGAGCGACAGGAGATGATGGACGATGCTATTGATGAGGCGACCGGCTTGGAAGACGAGGAAGAAAGTGAGGATATTGTGAAGGAGGTACTCGATGAGATTGGAGTGGATCTTGGCCAAGCGGTAATTCTCCGACTGCTACCCTTTTAAAAACATTCAGTTTCAGCGTACTGACTTAATCAACAGTTTGGTGAGACTCCAGAAGGGATTGCTAAAGAAGGGCCAGGTGAAACTAGAGTAGCCCAGGCCATTGGTGGTGGGCCTAGTGACGATGACGACCTGCAAGCGCGTCTGGACAGCCTTCGGAGATGACAGAGGGCCTTGCCTAGGTTACTACAGGAGATATTCTTTCATCTTTTAACTGGAGTCAAGGAGTTGGGTTGCTTCTTAAGGGTCAGTAGGGTCATTGTGAATAATATGCCATCGGACTTAAAGCGAGTCGTTTTAATGCAAGCATGGGATCTCTTGAGCGGTCTGACGAGTCAATCAGATTGCAGCCGCAATGTATAAATTTGACCAAAGGTTCTCCGGTTTAATTAAAAATATACTATTATCCTCGTATTAGTAGCTAAGATTCGATACAACATCACCGTATGGTTTGTGCTGGTTTGTCCGTTGGTGGGGTAAGAGGCTAAGAACATCGACTGGACGCTTCCGGGTCTTGCGGATTTACTCTCGCTGGCCTCGCAGTTTCTCTGCTTATTACCGATGCTGCGCCTCCTTTGAGCACCTAACCCTGAGAACCTGATTACACTATCGTGGGGTTCACCTATTGATCAGGAGTTGTGTTAGGTTTCGACACTGGAAGAGATACGCATCTGTCGTCCACTTACGATCTGATCGCGTCGATACTTTGTTGCTGGTTAGCCGCCCGATCCCACCAGCGAATTTGGCCTTTCGACTGATTCGCACCCCAACTCTTCTTGCAGCATCCTTTTGTCGGTATAGTTTCTTCCTCAAATTCTCTCCTCAGTCCAGTGCGATACGCCTTGGTCAATCGTGAATTTGCGAGGACGTTTACTGGTTAATCGGTGAATCGCTACGAACACCGATACACAATTGAGGTTTGGGATAGTCAATCCTCATTCCAGTCAAAGAGAGGTACGTCGTGCATTAGTAGCTCTTAGAGATAAGGCCATCATAAACACCCCAGAACAAGTCATTAATTCTCATAATTTCTGTGCTAATTCTCTGAGAACATGGACAGAATCTTACCTCATACGTTCCCGTTCCCTAACGAGATTGCATCACGAACGAATCTGGTCTTTAACCACTCTTTAACTCACTCAACCGAGTAAAACCTTGTGTGTCTTCGATACCTCCTTCGCGATATCTCGTTACGATTATCCTTTTCTGCGTACCCAAAACCTTCACAATCAAAGCTCCTCAAGCTGGCAGGAAGCAAGCGCAGAAGCTTCTCTACTCAGGGTGGGTTACTGAACAGAATGTTCGGTGGCTCCACGAGCCCACCCAAAGAGAAAACCGATCTAATATCCCCAATTGGGACAAGCCCGACGTCACCAAACATCAACCCTGACGAAGCCGGGTTTGGGCGTGACAAGCGTTCCTCGCCGTCTGGAACATCTGGCAAGAAACAGCACGAGGACCAAAACGACAAAAAGCGCCGCAGTAGCTCGGTGAACAAGGCGGCATCATTTTTCTCTAGCGCGAAGAATTCATTACATCTATCAAGTCGAGATTCGTCAATAATATCTACTCATATTGCGCAGACACCATTTCAGAAACTCGGGAAGATGGATCCCGCCCTGACTGTGCCTCAGGGCTCCTTGAACAATTCGGCTGGAGAATCGGTTCCAACATCGCGGTCATCGTTCCGTGTTGGTGTCACAGAAGATCGAAATCGTAAGTGCAGGAGAACAATGGAAGATACACATGCCTATCTATACAATTTCCTGGGGACGCCGGCGCCCGTTACTGGAAACACTACGGTCAATGGAAATGAGGGCCGTGATTCAACGGAACCTGCATCCGAGTCCGATGAAGATACTCATGTAGTGGAAACCGACAATGGTTACTTTGCTATTTTTGATGGCCACGCAGGGACTTTTGCTGCAGAATGGTGTGGGAAAAAATTACATCTCATACTCGAAGAAGTTATGCGACGGAATCCAAACGCCCCGGTCCCCGAGCTTCTAGACCAGGCTTTTACTAGTGTTGATCAACAATTGGAGAAGTTACCTCTGAAAAATAGTGGTTGCACCGCTGTAGCGGCTGTGTTGCGGTGGGAAGATCGTATTCCCAGCTCGCATTCTGCCACGGGCTCCGCGCCTCTCGCGCCAGCCGCTGCATCCGCCAATGCCACAGAATTAGAATCAGACACAGTTCCCGACCCAACTCACAAACCAGCGCAAGCGAAGCAGTCGTCATCCGCGGATTCCATTTTGGTCAAGTCTCAAGAAAGTGTGTCCCGCCAGCGGGTCTTATACACGGCAAATGTAGGCGACGCCCGAATTGTTCTATGTCGGAATGGGAAAGCCCTTCGCCTTTCGTATGATCACAAAGGTAGTGATGAGAATGAGGGAAAGCGTATTGCCAATGCTGGAGGACTCATTCTCAACAACAGGGTCAATGGCGTGCTCGCCGTTACGAGGGCTCTCGGTGATACATACTTAAAGGATCTTGTCACGGGCCACCCATACACTACAGAGACTGTAGTACAGCCTGATCAAGACGAGTTCCTTATTCTAGCGTGCGATGGAGTGAGTGCACGATTAACTAACTTTCAAGTTTTAAGGGACAGTCGCTGACATTTCGCATAGTTATGGGATGTGTGCACCGATCAAGAAGCGGTTGACTTAATACGCAACGTCAAGGATGCTCAAGAGTGCTCAAAAATGCTCGTTGACCATGCCTTATCACGATTTAGTACCGATAACCTGACGTGTATGGTGGTTCGATTTGACGCGAATATAATCCGAGATGTCGTTGAGCGACGTTCAGAACCGATTGGAGTCGAAGGAGATCCTTTGTCTCAGGTTAAGGGTGGGATAAGTGAAGCTGATAAGATAGTTGAAGGCGCCAAAAGAAGACTCGAAAATGCGGATTCTGCTTCAGTTGATGCTGGGTCTGACACGAAACATGGAGAAGACATACACAAATCAACGAGCCGGGACATTAGCACTCCACCGAAACTCGAAGAAGTGACCAATCCCTAGAGCGGGAAGCCATCAAAGTGATGATGGATTCGATAATGTCGAGATTCACGTATAGATACGACCGACAACGCAGTTGGAATATTTTCTCTGCAGGCAGCACGTCCGTCGTCTACTTCGTTTATGCGATCTTCTAACTTGGAGCAAGTTCTGCTGCTGCTTGATTTGCAACATCACCCAATTGATATCTGTATGGTTAGACTTTCGGTGTTATGAGTGTTGACTGCATTCCAGGCCTCTTCTGTTTCATTCTACTATTTTCAACTTTACGCGCTGGCATGTATGTACTTTAAAATGATTCTTTATGCTGTATAGAGGTCTTGAGCCAAGCAGCGCAATATTTAACAAATTGAATGACCAAGACTGAGAAAGTACAGGTGGGCAATTTCCAAGTAAATAGTAATGACATTTGAAAGAGAAGCGTAGTATACATTTGTAATAAGTACTAATAACTGTAACACGATCCCAGGACCTCATGGAAAGGAGGACGACCTCGTAAGAATACAAAGCAGCCATTCTAGAGCTTCAATGGTGCCGCTTCAGCGAAAGCGTCGTGGGCAAGGATATCGTCAGCATCTTCCTCACTCACGATCCGTTTCTGGCCAGGCATGACATGGTCCGGAGTTCGCTCCAAGTGACCGTGATGAACACGTTCGGGCCATGAAGTAGCATAATGAGCGTCGTGAATATCGTTCCAGAGAATCTTCACCTGCTCCGGTTCCACGGCATATTCACTATTGCTAGGGGGTTCATCGAACTCATCTTCAATTTCGAGCGGGGCCTGAGACTGAAGTTGACTCTCAAATCCTTCGACCCGTTGCGCTGCTTCGAATGCAGTCTTTCGCTCCGCTTTTCTGGTCAGTCGGATACGCTGCAGAGCCCTGCGTCCGAGTTCCTTGCGATGCTCCGAACCAAAGCCATTCTTCAACTCCTCCTCCTGAATAGCAAGAACAGCTGCAATGTCAGCGACACTAGTCGCTTTCTGATCCATCAGAATACGGGCCCTTTCCTTCTTTGGCAGAATTTTTCCCACGAGTTTCTCGTGCTCTTCGTCGAATTTTTTAGCTTCTAATTGATCTCGTGGTCTCTTCTGTTCAAGCCATTTTTCGCCCATGGTGATCATCTCTTTGGGAGGGGCGAGCTGTCTCTGCAATGAGAATTCGCGGAGGAGGTGATATGCTCGTAATCCGACTTTGGCGTTGTCGAAGTGCACGGAATAGTATGGCACCCACATGTCTTTTCGTAGGCTGGCTGGAACTGTTTTCTTGCCGTGGTATACCATTTGCGACAGAACACTCTTTTCCTGTTTATGTGAAATCATCGAGTTAGTATCGGTGATAATCCTATTGTGCAGACCTGGTAGCTTAACGCACCTCGAGATACCGCGTCAATGAATAAACCACTTGGTTCGTTCGTATATTGTTGTACACAAAAATATTCTTGCCATGTGTTATCCGATTCAATGCCTTTCTTAACCTGGCACCTTCTTGCCTCTGAAACTCTCTATACGCTTTCGACAGCGGATGACGGACTTTGCCCTGAATGACAGTGTCCGTGGGGACTGGCGGACGCCGAACCAATTCCCATGTTGCTATCTTGGTTGGATCAAGGGTCTTGTCTTCGAGTTTATATTTGCCTAGTCTCTCCCTTTTTGTGAGCTCGTCGAAAAATTTCGCTATCCGCTTTTGAGGCAGTCGGGAGCCCATGGTGTCGGTGCTCTTCGGTCAGCCCCTGCCAAAGGGTATCTGGTCAATTGGTTTTCTGAAACTGCTGAGACTGCTATGTTTGCATCATATGTTAATTGCGTTGCAGTTGCTAATCGAGGAGAGACTTGATATGCCGGCGTGCAGTGATTCGCAATTGAACGAGGAAAGGTTGCCGGACTCTGGTTGGCAGCGGTCCCCATTTTTTTATTCGGCGTTGCTGGGCTTATCCAGATTGGGACTGGCGGTGCGTCACTTTCCGGACTCTACCAACGCTTGTCTACACACTTCATGAAAACAATCTCTTGTTAAAGTCGGCAGTATTTACTCAGTGATGGATTTGCATAAATCTTCTCAAAGACGATGGTCAACTTCTTGAATCATACCGTCTCACCATTTATAGGCGGTCATGGCCGATTCCCATGACAACGGGCGTCGCGAGCGACCATTGCTATTCTCCGTGGTAAGCTATGAACAATGGATGAAAAGAAATACAGAACTTATAAACTCATGTCTTGCCTATTGAAGAACCGGAAATTGCGCCATGTGCAGAGCCTATCAATCCGAAATCTATCTATCACGCCACCAAACCGCGCTCGCGGTAAGACGATTGATGACGATGACATTCCTTACGCTCTGGAAACTCCGGTCAAGCTTGCCAGCCAGGCGCAAAATCGAAGTATCATTCAATCTCGCTCTTACACGGATCTCAAATCAGCATCTTCTCAGAAGCAACCCGTGAACGGGGAGCAAGAGCAGGATGACAAACGAGTAAAAGAATCGCGCCGTATGCGCCGAAGGAGCACTTTACCATGGAGCGGAGGAAATTTGGAGAGTCGTCAAACGAAACTGGAGGATATCGCTCGTAGTAGGATGGCCGATGTCTGGTTTTCCATTCACTGCGATGGCATTGATAGCCCCGTGTACATCAGTGAAGTGGTTGAGAGAACAACAAACCCGGACTTCCGCGTGCTTGATCTCAACGTGTGCGGTCCGCATGTCTCCAGGATGGACCAATTGACAGTCAAAGTATGGGTCAAATCAGAGAACATGAACGATTACACGCTTCTGCTCGAGCTTCATTTAAGTCTCAGGTCTCTGCAATTTGTTGGCAAATCACTAGAGACTTTCCATCATCCACTTCCCCCAAATTGCGTCTTGTTTCATTTTGCAGACGGAGTATTCACAAACCTCACTGACTTTCCACCCTCTCAGACTAATTTTAGCAGTTTTTCAAGCGAGAAATCTCAGGCTGAAACTCAGAGCACGTCTTCATACGATGCATTGATGCGATTGGCCAATCTAGATGACTGTATACAGGATGCATTGGCAACCAGGGAGAAGCTGGAATCTCAAATAAATGCCATACTGAAGAAGCATCAGAAAAACTTAGAGCTTCTTTGCCAAGTATCTCAGGCTGAAGAGAGGGCGGCCTTGATTAAAAGAAGCCTCGCCAATGAGAAAAAGCAAGTTCGCTGGACTGCGAAACGGAAGGACGAATTGATTGACAGTCTCAAGACACGGCGGGAGTCAATGGCTCTTGGCCGTGAGAATCAGAACAAGATACGCACTCACTTATCAGATGCGCAGCTGAAATTGTCTTCAAGTGCCTCTTTGCTGGAGCAGAATCAAGAAGATACGAAAGGCCAGATACGGCGTATCTGCGAGGACTTGCTCACAATATATCCGATCGAGCCTATTTCCGACAAAGTATTGGCCTTTACTATTGCTGGATTGTATCTCCCCAACTCCCGATTTGACGATATCGACCGGGAGTCGGTAGCAGCAGCTCTCGGTTACATTGGTCATCTTGTTTATTTATTGTCATTCTATCTTTCAGTCCCTCTACCTTACCCTCTCAAACCATATATGTCGAGCACTTATATCCAAGATCCGGTATCGTCAGGACTCTCGCGCCGAACATTCCCGCTGTACCCAGTCAACGTCCAATATCGGTTTGAGTACGGCGTCTTCTTATTGAACAAGAACATCGAAGTCGTTATGAACCGCTTTGGTCTCCGGGTCCTCGATATCCGACATACTCTACCGAACCTCAAATACCTTCTCTACGTCTTGACAGCTCGAACAAACGAGCTCCCTGCCCGAAAAGCGGGAGGCGTCCGAGGTCTTCTTCTTGGGCGAGGTACACCGACAATGTCGAGACAGAACAGTCAGGACAGCTTTGCAAGCAGTGAAATCATCATGCCGCATCGTATGCCGTCCGAAGTGCATACTCAGGCAACTATAGCCAACAACGACGCTAGTAAGGGCCAATCGTCGTATTTGGGAAAGCAGTCTTTCTTAACCCCAGTCATGCCTGGGACTGCAACGGAGGTTGGTAATGTTCGATAAATTGCTACAATTGGGGTTTGCTAGACAGGTAGAGATTATAATTTGTATATACGCTTCTGAAGATATTCCAATAATAATTCCATTGATCCATTGATAAGATTTAAGAGGAAGACCCACAAAAGCGGCAGCCCCGCAGCCAAGGCACTGATGCTTAGTCAGGGCTCGCTTTGCATCGGGATGTGCTGGTCACACCCACTTCCTGCCGAAAGAAGGCGACCCTCTCTTCCAGCTAACACCACGTACTACTGTTTCTATGATGGAATCCACTCACGATGGAAGTATGAGCCAGGATGCTTTGTCCCTGAATAACGGCTCTTATCACGACAGCAATCGAGAACAACGCTCCGAGACCCCCCCGACCCAACACCGCCGAGGATACCAGGCTTGCGATCCGTGTCGCAAACGCAAGGTCAAATGCGACCTGGGAAGTGCGTTTGTACTTTTATTTAATTGAATTGTGTTCCACCAATGCTGATGGCATTCCCCCAATTAACTAGGTGTCGATAATCCCCGACCGCCGCCGTGTGTAAGATGCCGCCGTGAAAGCAAGCGCTGCGAGTTCTCCGCAACCAGGAGAAAGCGGAAGACTTCTGATGCCGAACCAGAGCAAGAGACCCCTTTACGGCGAGATAAGCGGATGATGGTGGGAGAGGTCTTATATGGCGAGTCATCATCAAGTATAGGTAGCAACGGCAAGAGGGAGCCTTCCTACGGTCCTTCGGCACCAGCACCTTTTGACAATGGGAGCCTTCACAAGTACGCATGGCCAGAGAACTCGCCTCACACCGTTTCCCAGGCATCTCCCGTCAATCAGAAAGATCATCCCCAGCCTAGCCCCGTCTCAGCGAACCACTACCATGATGGAAGGAGCATACAATCAAGCGCCTATCCGGCGCAACACAATCGAGGGTTAGCAGGGCCCGAAGTACGACAACATGTCATGAATAAAACTGCAGCCGACTTGCTGTTCCCTACCATCAGCAACAGCCACGATGCTCTTCATCTACTATCAGAAGCTGCTGGGCGGACGGAAGATCTCAACCGCCAAAGACTTGAGAATAAAGCACGACAGTCGGCTGGCTCCTACGGCGCACATATGTCGGCAGCAACTTCCACAATGTCCAGAAACGCACACCATCAGTACCCAAAACGATCAAACCAAATGTCCGCTGATGGATATAGCGACACCAGCGCTGAATACCGGAAACAAAACTTTGAGCCATATAACGACCCCGGCTATTTGGACGCCGTCAAGGCTTGGTCGCGTCTTCGATTTGTTCGAGCTGGATGGCTAAGCGTGGAAGAGGCAATGGCTTATATTGCATAGTGCGTCAGACATCATATCCCTGCGTTCATGTGCTAACATCGTCCCAGCTACTATAAACATCTCGCACCTTTGAGTCCAATTGTCATTCCTGACTTCTCACCCCCTTCTACCCATCGGACACTGCTTACAGACGAGCCTGTGCTGGCAGTGACAATGCTCACGACTGCTTCACGTTATATGAAACCCAAAGGAGATGGAGCTCATACTCGGGGCTACTATATACATGACCGGCTGTGGGCGTACCTCCGTGGTATGATTGAGCGTCTCTTTTGGGGCCAGGAGAAGTTCACCGGAAACTCAGTAGGGATGGGGACACCTAGATCTCTTGACATACCACTCCCGGCTCAAGGCCAAGCGTCTCTTCGTGGACACCTTCGTTCTTTAGGTACGATCGAAGCACTGTTGATACTAACAGACTGGCATCCACGTAACCTGCATTTTCCTCCTGGTGATGATGAGAATACTCTGCTCGATGCAGACGCACTCTTGCCTTCGCAGTCTCGTAACGATGGGGAGAGCGACGGCCGAGGCACAAGCGGCGGTGGTGTTGAAGGACGTCTTGCTTTTCAGAAATGGCTAGAGCCCACATGGCGATCAGATCGTATGTCGTGGATGTTACTGAGCACTGCACAAGCCCTGGCATTTGAACTTGGCGTTTTTGATCGGAAGGCACCTAGCGCTTTGGAGTCTGTTTCTGAACAAGTGCGCAAGCGACGAGTGCGGCGGCTGATTATTGTGTACATCACTCAAGGGAGTGGGAGACTTGGTATACCGTCAATGCTACCGCTTGACAGGTGGAGCGATGATATCGAACCTACTACGCCTGCAGATGCTACAGAATCAGAGGTTACGATTGATCGAATGCAGGATCTCTGGGTCCAGATATCGAAGATTATGTCTCTGAGTAATACCGACCTTTTCCCGTCCAAAGAATATACCTCCGAACTTATCAAGACTGGACGGTACAAGCAACGCATTGCTGAATTCTTACCACATCTGCAAAAGTTCAGGGCATACTATGATAGTGTTTCTTGTGAGTATGAACGTTGGAAATGGGGGGGCAATGGCGGTTACAGTCAGACTGACGAATGGCAGTATCCCCTCAAATGCAGAATATTTTGACAATTGAATACGAATATACGCGTCAGTATATACCCTGTGATTTACTGAGACTTTCTTAGTCACTAACAACAATATCAGGCATATACGTTAATTGTCTCGCGTTGCAAGCAGTGGTGGAACGATGGACTACCATCAATAATGAACCTTCGAGTAAATCATCAGCGGCAAGCTCTCTCCGTGTACTCATGGAGATCTACCGAGTCAATGAAAAATACATCCAAGAGGTTGTCGATGCGTCGCGGAAAATACTCCACATCGTCCTGGATTGTCTTGTTCCAAACGAGCAATTGAAGCATTGCCCCGTCCGTACATTTTTCAGGATACTCTCTGCAATGATATTCATCCTAAAGGTACAATCTTCCATAAGTTTTACAAAATGGCTTTGGCTAACCATGTCTCCATATTTAGACTTTCACTCTTGGTGCCACGGAAGATGACGTTCGTGTATCGTTAGATCTGCAAGATCGAACTATAGAGGCTCTGCGAACCTGTGTCGTTGATGATGTCCATCTCAGTAACACCATCTCTCGTTTATTGGAACTTTTAACAGCAAACATCCGTACCCGATTTCTGAGATTTGCGCCTACGGATCGAGGCGCCGACGGCGAAGGTCACGAGCGGGCCTCTCAGCCAAGCTCACGAGTAGCTTCACCGAAGCCAACTAAGGATAGTGGACGTAGGGATTCGGGCACGCACTGGCACCATCAGATCCAAACACCTGCCCACAATAAGATGGGATATCAGTTCAACCAAGGTGGAGGGGATTCGCAACAGCAGCAACCTGTCGGGAGCCACCATGATCCCCTGGCTGGTATTCCGGCTCAACCCATAAACTCCTCCAATATTGGGGTGTCATTTATGCCGCCACCTCCCTCTGTGTACTACAATTATTACGGTGCGAATGGGCCGTCCCCTCCGAAACTCGACGACTCAAACTCAATTGCACAATCTGTCCACGAAGGTGGTCTCCCAGATTGGTTTGCTCTTCCTCTGGATCAATTCTTCAACAGTTCCGCTACCGGAGTCGACCAAGGTCTGGGAGGCACAGGTCCAATGCTTGGAGAGTTCGATATGTTGGAAGTCCTTCTTAACGAACAACTTGACAAGGACGGCAATGTCGCTGGTCCTTCTGGGGGTAACGGCGTGGATAATATGGACACTACACCTACGCCGAGAAATCAACAGCAACACCATCCATTTCTGTGATGCGGGCAAGGGTAAATTACCATGTTTGTATGAAAAATGACGACACGAAAGTACATATTTGACAGCTGTCTTGCTACGAGGTTATGAGTTTACGATGCGCTGGTTTGACCTTGAATTTTGTTTCATATGGTGTAACTATATGCGAGTGTTTATTGTAGGTGTCAGGAAGAATAATAATCAGTATTGGCTTATTCTTCCCAAGATTTATTTCAACCAAGGAGATTGTCTATAGGTACAAACGAAGAAGGTATAAAGTTCTCATAATTCCCCATAGATTCATCATCCTGATTTAACGCTTGTAGACTTTGATAACATTTGGACTAGATTCATGTCGAGACGCCCACAACCCAGATACCTGTGCATATACTAACTGTACTGCCTGCTGAATACATGACTGTTGGTGAGTTACTTAGAGTCATCAACTAGAAAAGAGAAACGAAGAAAGAAAAAAGAAGTGAAACGCCACAAGCCCAGAATTCCTTTTCCTCTCTCTTGCCCATCAGAATAGTTTCAATAAACTCCACTGAAATCAAATCTACCTAGGTATCATTCTATATCTTAACTGTACATATCAGCTCGAAGAAAATTAGTATTACTAATAAAATCACAAATCCGAAATGATTTCGTCACCCGTGGGCGGCTTTGTAGTATTCGATTTGTGTAAGATAAGAATTGTCTTGATAGTCCATCAGCGGACTCAACGACATCCGAGATATTAATGGATAGGCTCAAGTTACTCAACGTTCTCTGAGATGAGTGCAGAAGATATTTTCCTCGTAGTAGTAGTAGTAGTAGTAGAGGCATTTTTGAGGCAATTTGCTGTCCGTCTTAGCACTCATTTAACTGACATGAAGCTGAATGGTTCCAGTTGAAGTAGATATCCCCAGCGATTGATCCACTTAGAATTTCTCCTCTCATTGATATTTCAAATGTTGGCGTATATGACAGTTAACGAGGGATGTCCAAGATGCCTCTAACTTGGGAAGCTTATCCAGGCAGACAAGTCTCATAGCTCTTTCTTCTTTCAGCAGAAGATAGGTCACTTGTTGGTATATTTGTTGAAGCCACGAACAGCTAGAGGAATTTTTGGGGAATCCGTAGTATACTCGTCAGTTGAGCTATGTTCTCTGCTATGATCATTCCGAGTGAGCACTTGACCCATTGAAAGAGGAGCCTGTACCACAAGAACGGAATTACCATGTTCAAATGTCTTGTGAATCAAGAGTCCATATCTCCCAATTCTTGAGCACTTCCCAGCCTACTGGGCGAACGCGGCGTCTCCAGATTATTTTTTCTCCTGTAGGAAGTGTATCATAAATGTTATCACCATCCGATAGTAATGAACGCTTGATAGGGGAGCCCGAGGGTGATGACGTCTCATCACGAGCGCGTTTACCCAAAGATGACTTTGGCATTTTCGCTCCGTACGGAGTAGGAGTACGCGCAATGATGGAGTGTGCAGGGCGATTTTGATTGGTCCTGGCTGGTTCGTCCATTGGAAACTCAGAATCCGGCAATGCTTGACCATTCGCATTTGCACTGATCATGACTCGCGCATCTTCTGTTGTTTGATCGTAGTTGACCCCGGAAGCAATTGGCGTGTGGTCAGAGGCAGGAATATAGTAGAATTCACCAAGTTCGTATGCTTTCCAGCCCATTCCAACGACCTTTATGGACTGAGCCAGATCTCTATCTGCTGTCGCTGCGCTGAGCTTCTCGATATGGACATCATCGTCTAGATCAACCAGATCGTAGATACTCGAAAATTGTGGGATAGGAGAGTTCGGGTTACTCTGCGAAATACGCTGTCCCTGGGTTGGTTTCTCAGTGGGCGGGACCAGGATTCGCAAAGCTTGCAATTTCCGAAGAAAAGGAATAAGTAAACTGAATGCATCCATTGTTGAGACCTCCACGGCTAATGCCAATTGCTCTATGTTGGGACAAACATGGACCAAACGCGCAAGCGTGTTGCTCGATAGCGGCCAGCGTGAAGGAAGGATAAGATGGCGTAAAGTAGCACCATGATTTATCAATACCGAGTTGAAGTAAGTATCCCGAAGCTGTAAATACGGGTTTGGATTAGAGGCGGGAGATGGAGGTGAAGGCGGGGATGCGGTTGAACCATTTCCAGCAATGGAAGGAAAAGGGGGATTTGAAGCTATGCCATTACCAATGTGGGATGAGTGCGTAGCAGGATTGCTCACTGACGGCCGCATGTTTGGTCTCGCTCCTATGGAGCGATTGGCGTTGACGCAGTATAGTTTTTCCAGGCCTTCACAGCCAGATATAAACTCGCAGAATTCTTTAGTGACGAGATCGTGTCTAACAAGCTTCAATTTTAACTTTCTCGGGTTGTGTGCACGGGCTGCCGTCCAAGTTTGGTCAACAAATGTAAACTGAAATGGCGAATCCCCGCTACAACCGTTGAGGAAGGTCACTTCCTCCAGTGTTGATTCATCAACTGCTTGGTGCCAATCAATCGTATGTCTTGAAAACAGATTGTGGAATGCTAATTTCTTTAGCTTCAGCGGAGACTTGTTAATGATGCAATGGCGGAAGTAATCGTAAACAGCGACGCTAGGTTCTTGATTCTCGCGCATGCGAGGTGACCACTGCAATTTCAAGTCATCAAGGCGAGGACTCTTAGCCAACAGTGTTGAGATGTCGTCAGGGTAGCAGAGAGGATCTATGTCGGTCACTTTGAGACTGCGCAAATGAGGCATGGCGGGAATAATATATATCGGACGCGGAAATCTGCTAGAAGGGAATCGTATGGACAAAGATGTGAGCTTCGGAAGCTTGGAGAGACCGGTATATACCGTCTCCATTAATTTTGTGTTGAGCTCCCAGCTAAAGAACTGAAGTCAGCTAAGAAGACGACTTTGGTTTCAGTCCGTCAAAAACGACTGACCTAAAGCTCTCGATATTCTTCGTGCGGTCAAGCGCCGCCCTCACAGAGATGTTGAGCATCATAGAGGAGTCCGGTACACGTCCAACTTTGGAGTAATCCTCCAATTCTGGCTCGCTCCACTCACCACGCAAAGTCATGGATTGCACGAGCGATGCATGAGCTCTAGTAACCAATGTATTAAGGCCCATCGAAAATGGACTCGCGTTGCCCCATCCTTCCGGCAGCTCATCGCGGTATCGGATACGGTCGTATGAGGTAAGGGCGATGTTGCGATAGAGATGCGGGATGGCCATATAGTGCAGCAATCGGCAGGTACGACATATGCGAGCTAGGTCGCCTGGGTCTTCAATCTATTTGTGATAAGTAGCTGTCAGCACCTGGCCATCCAGTTAATTTCTAGGATGAAATTTACCCATGAAACTATATGCGCAATCAGGTTCAGCGGTAAAGATATGATATGAGCGCCGGCTACTTCTCCATTCTGGTGGTTTGGACGCACGCTGAAATCGAACATGTTGCTGTTAACAACAGCCATATTGGGCTGTATAGATGAGAGAATCCCGCGAACATTGACCTGTATAGCGAAATAGTGCTTAATCAGCGCGTCCTGGAACTGAGTGAATTGATTGTCGAAAAAAGTGTTTGATATTGAAATTGTTTGATAGTGATGCCTTGACTCCGGCCCTCCGGTGACTTGCCGTCCGTGCTAGCCCAGTTTTGCTCTAGCGCATGTACTGTATTTTAACTTCAAGCTTCAAACTTCACTGAACCTGATTGTCACAGGTTGATGGCAGACAATACTTGAGACTAACTAGGTATGAAGGGGATATGGTTCTGATTACATAATATTTACCGCTTTCTCCACGCATTGAAATAAGCCCATAGATCTTTCCGTGGATATTTTGTATACTTCGGCATTGGTATAGTCCAGTCAGGATGGAAACCTGGCTATACACATCACTTCCGAGTCTTTGAAGTGTCAACTGACCTATCAAATCTTGCAAGCGCCAATTCAATTATCTCCATGGTTCAAAGAGAAAAACTCAGACTGGTTTAGGCATGCTCAACACCTTCGTGCAATTTGCTAGTCAACCTCATCTGGGACTAGCCTGTCTGCTTGACATTTCCCTTATGTCATGGATAGATAATGCCCACTCGAATACGAAGGTTGTGGTTAAGGAACCTGGAAGGTGGAGAGGTACTCGGTAACTTAGCAGAGGCACAACTTGATTCATAGTAGGAACTGGCTATAACGAAAAAAAAAAGGCTCTCTTCATGTATATACTATTCCCACCTTCGATCACTTTACTACGTTAGAATACCCTTCACCCCTAATTCGAACTTACTTCCATGTTCTAGATATATTGACATCGGTCTTGGGAGCCCTTCTGTTCGTTATAGCCACGTTCTACTGTAGATACCGGAAGATCCATGATGAAGATGTAATCAAGAGATCGAGTTGTTAACAGATGTTCAGTGCAATTGGGGGACAAGCTATCAACCCTAGGCATTTAAACAGGTTCAAGTGAGGTCGTAACATCGTAAGTTGACTCCAGATGTCATTTCAGAAATTTGAAGTAGAATTACGAATGGACTAATCTGTCCAGTGAATGCTTGAAGTAGGTAATGTCCATTTCATTTAGAACGGTACGTAAGTACATTTTTTTTTGGCAGAATCTGCCCCAAAATATCCAAGAAACCCAAGGAGAGATATCACTAACACCGAGTTGACCGGTTGAACGCCTTGCTATAAATGACAGATATCTCGAAAGTCTGAAACAGAAAATGGAAATTAAAAAGAACGAAACGAGCTTAACATTAGTTATTGGTATCCGCGACCACGTCCAGCTTCTATATCGCCGTCGTCATAATCAAATTGCAATGTCTCCCGTGACGTTGGATGGTCTTCGCGTCTTGTTTCACCTTCGGCATATGTCCTGTGCATTTGTTGGTGTCCTGACGAATGATTATTTGCCCTTTCGTCAGGCGTATCAGAAGCGTCAAGTGTAGAAGAATCCACTGACACGGTCCTAGTTGGTTGGGTTACATAATCCGGTTCGACGCCCACCAGCGCAGCAGTCTCCGGGTCATACTGGAGCTGATCATTGTTCCCATGTTCATCGGAGGTATTCGAAGGTGAGGGCCACGCTGATGTGCGTCGTCCCTGCGCTGGAATTACGGTTGTCGGTAGACCATTGGAATTCGCTAGGTGACTGGATCGTTCAACTTCATTCGCTTGTGGTGACCATCGCTGGTGAGCAATATCACGGGAAGGAATCACAGTCACTGTCAAGGGTTTAGGGGATCGTGTGCCGAATCTCTGTTGTAATTCGCCCAGGCGGAACGATGACAAGGCTTGTTGAAATCTTGAGGGTTTGTTCGAAGGACTCACATCCTTTTCTGCAAAGTTATCGTCATCACTTTCGCTATACTTGTCACGCGCATTTTCCTCCTCCTCTTGAGCAGTGGCTATCTCTTGAGGCGGTGATGTCCGTCTAGCTCCGAATAAACTAGCACCTGGAAGCCAACGTCTCCAACCCGATGCCGCTGTTAAGAGTATTTCATTGCCTACAGGGGCATAATGTCCTGTTGGGTGTGCTTCACTGGCTGCGACAGCAGTACCATGAATATCCTCTTGCTTGTTTTGAGGATCAGGATCGCCGCTGGATTCAACTGGGGGTGCGGATAGAGGAGGGGTGGGACTGGCAACAGTGTGATAGCGGACAAAGTAAACTGTTGAAGCAGCACTGGTAGTATCGGCTCTACTGATGGGAGTCACCGCAGCCGGAGGAGGCACAGGAGGAGCAGACGCGTCCTGAGCGGGTGCCGCACGTCGATGGGGCTCCTCATTATCAGCATCGTTCCGATTGCGGGTTCCAAGTTGAAATCCAAGATGGCCTCTGCGCATGACTCTATTGTTCGGGGTACTACTACCTCTCCAAGCTGCCCCAGTCCCACGACCGCCCTTATTTCCGGGGGCGTTCGAGGACCTCGGCCACTCAACCTCTTGTGAAGGTGTGACCTCTAACATTTCGTCGCCATCGAAGATTTCTCGTCCTAGGATTCCACCTTTGCGTTCGTCACGTTCAAGGGCTTCTATTCTTTCCACCCATTCCCAAACAACCACGCTAGCAGCCGCGGACCCGACCCATCTGATATATTCACCCCAACCTGCAACATCGGGTGAAGAAATATCCATGATGAAGAACACGACGGGGATCAGAACCGCGCACAGGGAGAATATAGCCACTAGACAGATATTCCGCATTTTTGGATGAAAGAAAGCGAATCTATGCTTTGACAATGAGTAGAATATTACCCAAGCGGCGTAAAGTAAATTGAGAGCTAATTCAAAGAGATAGGAGAGCGCCGGTATTGCATCGTCAAAAAGCCGTGGTCGAGTCTCTGAACCATGTGAAAGAAAATTATCCAATATGGCAAAGATTGTATCAAGCACAATCAACGCAAAGCCTGCCCATTTTATCATGACTTTTTCCTTGTGTCGTGGAAACAGTCGTATAAGGGTTTGGACTTGAGCGAGCCATAAAAAGGTACTAGACACAACGTGCACGGCTCTAATTTCAGTGCCATCAATGACTTCTTCCGTCAGAGCTGCAGCGTCAGTATAACCCATATCGTATTGTCTCTCCGCCACTCTAAATGAATCAACTGTCGCGATCGTCAAGGAGATTGCGACTAACAGTGCTGCCACTTTCTGCAGCCAAGGGCGGCCACCTACGCCGGTGACAGAGGAATGTCCACTATATGAACCACTAATAATGCCATGTCGTCCCAGAATATTTCCGTCACCTCCAGGGCCTCCGATATAAAACTTCCGAGGGGTGATGAGTAGGATGATAACCAATAGATAACTGACCACCGTCATGCAGCCGATCGCATAAAGTTGTGGTCCGACAGAGGCATAGAACGGATCTGCATTGTTGAGCATAGCAGAAGGGAAAACTCCATCGTTACCCGCGCCCGTACAAGTAGGTTGGTAGTAAGCATCTTCGGTCATCGTCACCGAAAAAGAGCTGTTGATTATAAGGACGCCTAAATGGTTTAGAAGCCAGTCAGTTATCGCTATAAGCATATAAATCGAAACACATAACATCGGCATAGCGATCTAACCTACCATTGCTGGGCAGTAGAAAAGGCGTGCATGATGGATGCACCAAAGTGGTTGAAGTGGGCTGAGCCCATATTTGACGGCGTTCGATGTTATTCATCTTCTCAGCGCAGGACGTTACTTATTTGCGACAACGCGAGGGTAGCCTCGCAGTTGGCACTGGACTGCATCTGGAACATAAAACGCTTGGAGTCAATCTCCAACTATTGACCGCATAAGTGGTAGTTGATATCGGTTATAGAGAAATTGCTGAAGAACTCGGGCCAAAGCGATCAATGTGAATCGTTTGTGGGGAAGTGGTGGCGCGACAGGAGGTGCAACCTGTATGGGAGATGAAAAGGCGGGAATATAGTTAAAGCGATCGGTAAATGGGGGAATATTCGCGTGATTCAAGTAATTATTGCTTTATAAGGATAAGACGAAGATATATTGGGTAAGGAGTAATGAGAGGATGTCAAGATCAATTGAGTCCAGATGGAGAGAGACTTCGGAGTTTGGAATTTACCCGCCGAGCCCTGCTTCACCTGGCGAGCAGCCAATCATGTGACGGTAATCACGTGCTCGATACTAGAATTCTGTATTCTGCTTTGCTTCTGAAATCAAAAGGCCACAACTGAAGTATTATGTACAAAGTCAGACCCATGTGCATGTACAGGAGTATGGGTTCACTCGGAACGGGATCCATCAGAAGGACAGGGCCATAGGAACATGGAACTACAGTATATCCGAAGTCCTACGTAGGCCTCGGGAAAAAAGAATTCTTGAAATCAACCACTATTAGGTTGGTAATGCATTTGACCCGGCGGAAGATATGGTGTCACAAATGTTGAACCTGTAAGTTGGGCAGAATATGCCCTATTTTCCTCTCGTCTCTTGATTTCCCTCTCATTGCGGATGAATGTGCAGCACGTACAACAACTAGCTCTGACACAGTCAGAACAGAGATTCCCTTCAATATCATACGCCTTCCTTGTGCGTGTATGCTGAATTGTCGCTAGTAGCCATTGACAACCGCACAAAACTGCCATTGATGTACAAGATCCGTTACAAGTTTCGTATCCCAGTAGATTGGTCGGGTCTTCTCCTCGAGATTTGCGCAATAGTCTATACTGCGTTCGGCCGTAGAGAATGCACGGGCAAGTGAGGCCCAAACAACAAGTTCCGACATCAGCGCACTCGCAGAGTCCTGTGCTCCAATGGCCACCAGTCACTATCTGGTTTGCGTGAGCAATCTGACCAGGATGGTGGTCCGGAAAGGATTCATGAACTGCCTGAGATTGTTGGTTGATAGATGGAAATGTACCCATTCGATGGATTGGTGAACGGGGAGATTGTAAAGGATTGGTATCCGGGGTAATGGATATCTTTTGAGGAGAGCTATATTCGAAATCCGCATGTCTTTTCTCTGGAAGTGGACCGGGGGAGTACGGCGGTGACTGATACTGGGAAGATGCATGCGTCGGGAGGTTCGTTATAGAAGTATTTCCCTCGGTGTATGGCGCTGATAGTGCTGGATGCTCTGTGAGATTTGTAGTACTCAGAGCGAGCGCTTGTTTCTCCTGCACGCGCGTTTGTCGAGCCTGCTGCAATTCCTGAGTCGCAATATTTACAGCATCAGGGGATGTATAAATGTTCCCCTCTCGACTGGGATTAGTACTCGAAGTTTGGTCATTGGAGACAGTAGTCTGATCTGTAGTAGCGTCTGATGAGTATGGAGGGTGCGAACCAGGCGGACTCAATTCGATGGGCGTTTCGACATAAGAGTAGACTTGCTGGCGAAGTGAAGTATCCAATCTGGGTTGGCGACTCATGATGGAAACAACCTTGAACTCCTCTATACAGATTTGTGCCCTTTGCTAAAAAGTAGTATAGGTAAGACTACATAGGCATAGAAATCAAATAGCTCTTTGATTTGCAAGAAAACTGGAAGATTTCACGGGTGCTGCAGCTCATAGAGATAGGCCGCGAGAGAAGAGGGAAAAAGCATCACTAGACATGAGAAAGACACTTCGGGGACCATTAAGATAAAATGTGGCACAGTCAAAATGGCGTGAGGAGTCGAAAAGAACCAACAGCGAATCAAGCGTAATCGACCGCTTTTCACCTATTCCCAAGCCAATTTGACTGTGCCGCAAATTGGCATACATAACGGCGATTGCCTGTAAGGTGACAATGCAGCAAAATGGTCTGACTAGCTGCGGATCCTGAGATCAAGACGTGCAAGACTTCGAATGAGCGCGGAACTGACCCCTGCTCGCTGCCGAGAACCGAAAAGTTCCAAGGCGTTCAATGCAGTCCACTTGAGGGGCTGTCACGCACTATCGTCCTTAGAGGAAGCCTCTATGCATTAGCGCCATCACCTATCACATTTCTCAGCCAGTCACCTCGCGCCGATATTGGCAAGTTGTAACTCAATCAATACGATGTGTAGATTAGTAGACGCTAATCACCTCCAGTCCCAATCGAGTTGTGCTGCTTGTGCGTGAACCTACTGCATCAGCCCATCTGTTGTAACTTGTATACCTGTTACACGACTCTTATCACAACCAATACTTAGCTAGCTGTCAGCAAGAGTCTTTGATGTGAACATCGCACTGTATCTAGGTTGAACATCAAGAAGTGACTTCGTCTCAAAATCGTGATAGTTGTCCATTTAATAAGTGACGTCGAAATAAAGTGTTCCTCTAACCTAGTTATTTAAGCTCAAGCTTATGTCAATAAACACCTCAGGTGTCAACCGCCGTCTTAATTCATTATGACCATAAGCAAGTCCGATACTGTCTCGATAAACATTTCCTTGATTTCAATTGACTCGGAAATCGATTACATACGTACATGGGCATGGACATGTCGTAAACTACTGAACTACCATGGAGCAAGTACCCCTTAGCGCTCTTGATGCACATTGTCATCACTGTCACATGCAAGCATCACTAGGAGTGGAGTAACGGAGATAGCTGTTGCTACACTCGCTATCGATAACTATAATTTAGCTGTTATCATATTGTTGATTTCATGATTTCATTTGAAATATGTAGCAATAGCTAAATGTACCACCACCAATGTACTTTTTACGCTTCAGCGTCTAGGTTGCGGATCTGTGGTTGAAAATTCTTTCGAATCCACTCCATGTACGACTTCCATTTGAGATGCTCATTCCCAACTTCACTCACGGGGAAAGCCTTGTCAAGCTCGCGGCTTATCTTCAAAATACCCAGCGACGCTTCCTGCGCCTTCTCGATTTCCTGCTTCACGGCATTCTCCTTTGGTTTGAACGTCAGAACTGCCGTGTAGCGTTCTGACAATGAGTCTAGCTGTCGTTGAATTTCTGCGGGCGCTAGTGTAATCAATTTAGCCGTCATCAGATTGCACAAAGTTCGAATGTCCTGTTCATCGTCAAGACCTGCAAGGATACGGTCAAAAAGCTCTGACACATTGATCCGATTGAGGGCCGCATCGAGAGATGCATATAAGGTCTCATAAGCAGTCTAGAAAGTAACATGTTAGTTAACATACACGATCAAGCTCAAAAAGGAAGACTTACTTTGCGAAGGTCAAGACCATCGTCAACCTTGTGCTTGAACGGACCCATCTGCACTTCACGAATAAGTTCAGGCTTGATATGGGTGTCGCCGACAACTGCAGGCATTAATTCGGCTAGATGTGGGTAAATAATATCCATCTTGTTGTGTATGGCCGAGTTCAAGGTAGTCAGGGCGAGACGATGGTTTCCAAGATCTGGATCACTCAGCATGCTCACTAGAAGAGGTACAATCAGCGGTCGCAAGACTTCATTGTAAGCAACGCTAGAATCAGATAAAGTATAACGGAATGCCGAGATTATCGTGCCACGAATAGTGGCGTTTTGATTAGATAGATAGTCTTGTAGGTGAGGAACGTAGGATGCCGGGTCTAGCAGAGCAAGCCGACCAAGGCATTCCGAACCAACAACGCGAATATCCTCGTTTTCAGAAGCGGACAACAGGATCTGCCAAAGCTGAGTGCCAAACGGTGCGATTTCGTCACGGACGCGTTCAGGGTGGTGAAGAATTTCCTTGATGGAGTGCAGTAGCAAATAGGTGGATGATTTGGTTTTGTTCAAATCGTCAATAATGATCGGCATGTAAGTCTTAGTATTGCTTGCCGCAGCATTACCAAGCGCAACAGCTGCGGCCAAACGAACCTTATCCGATTTGGCATCGAAATTCGAAATGAAAAGATCAGGTTTGATAGGGCAAGATGCTCCCATACGGAGGGACACCTCGCCTAAGATAGCCAGCGCCAGGCATTTACGCTGATCATCTTGTGCGGTTTGTAATTCGGCCAGGAAATCCTCCATCTTCACGCCCAATTTCGACCCTCCATGTACGAGCAAGGTTCCGATTGCTCGCCCAACAACTGAAGGATCGCCGTTGATCCCGACATCACGCAGGAGACGTTTCATGAGGTCAGCGCCGGCATTCTGATCTCCAATAACTTTGACAAGCAGGAGTAGTGCTCTAAGTACAGTCCCTATCAAAGGGACAGCAACAATAGCACATATGGCGGATATCAAGTCACCTGTGACTAAAGTCTTTGCGTGACCTGGTATAAGCTTGGCTAAGATGATAAGAGCAGGAGCTAGGAGGTGGAAGTCGTCTGGAGCAATCAATGGTAAGAGAGATTTTTCTACTTCAAGCATTGTTTCTTCATCGTAATGAGCCCTTGTGCTTGGATTCATCGCTAAGCTCCTGAGAGCTTCAAGGCAGGCACTCCTGAGCGTTCGATCAGACTTTCGAAGTTGAGCCCCAAGCTCGCTAGTTATTTGTCTGATCCATGCATTGTTCACATCTTGCGCGCTGATCGCTAGAACTGCAATATCGTCGATAGCACGTGCAGTGGCCAATCGTGTGGTCTCGTTCCTGAGTCGTTCTCCTAGAACATCAAGTCCTTGGAAACGATGAGTCTCGGAAACGAATTTACGTCCGGCATCGCCAGATGTACGGGCTAACAAGACACCGAATACGTGAATAGCCCTTTGACGGACTTCAAGATCGGCACTGGTGTCAGTAATGCGTGACACCACGACATCATAAAGTTTCTGTAGCTGTGGTCGTAAATTGCCGGCATCGCTGGTAGATACGCGCGGAGGAGTAAGAGCCTTAATAATGCATTCAATAGCTCCGAGGGCTTCGCTAGCGACTTTGTAGTTTCTATCGCCGACAGCCGTGATGACGCCTGGTATCAATGCGATGAGGAATGGCAAAAGGGCATGCGAAGCATGAGTCTCAGCAATTGCGCCTATCAGGGACAGTGTCTCAATTTGCAAAGTTGCAACACTGACGGCTGTACCGGCTGTGATGGTGCCACCTGAAGTTGACGCCTTGAGTGCATCAGCAATTGGATCTTCAATCTTCTGGAGAAAGTCGGTTAAGACGCTGTGACGAGCCAATGCTAGGCTCTTGAAAAGTACGACAGAAGCCTGTTTCAAAGCCACGGTAGCCGATTTCCACATTTTAACCAGGTTCTGGATAAGTCCGGGGAGCAACAGCAACAGTTCAGCCTGAGGTCCAGATTCCGGAGGACTAGGGGTAGCGATGGGGGTATCAATTGCGGAAGAAGTCCCCATACTGGGTTCGAAATCAATAATTCCAGCAAAGCTATCCTGACGTCTTCGTTTCCTTGAGTTTTTTGATCCTCCTACAGATTCCCTATAGCCATTCAGAGCGACCACCGTAAGACTCTCACTGGACTTTCTAACTAGTGCCGTGAATGTCACAACAACCTCCAGCTTCACACTTTCTTCCCTTTCCCGGGAGATGCGCGATATAAGTGCGGGTGCAACCTGGTGATAGAGCGTGCCATCCTCTAACAGCCGCCCAGTGCCGTATGAGGAGACTATTGTATGCAAAGTCTTTGCTGCACAGCGCCGAACTTTCCAACTCACGTCGTCAACGTCACTGTAGCCACCTTCATCCTCAAAGTCTTCGAATTCATCATCGGCTTCGTCAGGTTCCTCAGTCGCGCCATCCTCACTTCCCTCATCCTGCGTACCGCCCATTTCCTCGTCCTCATCGAATGCTACATTTGGATCGTACTTTAGATATCTTAATGCGGCATTTAGAGAATCTATGAGGTATGGTTGCATCTCTTGCGAACATGAAGATAGCAGTCCTTCCAAAGTAATCAGTGCAATCTCACGAAGCTCGTCTGCTTGAGGGTCGTGCTCTCCATCATCGGAGTCGTCTTGTTGCATCTCGTCCATTTCTTGTTCGCTAACTGCTGCGAGGACAAACGGGGCAAGAGTCTTGAGATATGGTCCAAATTTCGATGGAGCAGCACGTGAGAGGCTGCCAATGGTTGCAATGAGGTGACGACGTCTCGTTATCGTCAGATGTGCGGAACGGAGACTCTCGATCAATTCTGACACAAAGGCACTCAAATGGGCGTCGGAGAAATGAATAACTAGAGCTGCAGTTGCAGTAAGAGCTCGTTTTGTTACTACGGTTCCAGCAGTATCGTTCTCAATGATAGCCATGACTGATTTTTGTAGAGATGCGATCTCAGCTTCTTTGAGTAACGACCCAAAGCAATTGACCAATTCAATAACGACATCAATAGCATCGCTGCTGTAACCTTTGGCTGCATCCTTTTCAAGCATTCCCTGAGCAACAGAACCTCTGCGGGTGCTCCTCACCTGCTTTTCGCCTGTGAGTCGGGGAAGGAGGACTTTCGAGACGGCTGCGTATGCGGTGGTTGCCTCTGGACTCGCAGCACCTGCTGACCTTGGGGAAGGGAGGGAAGATACTATGACTCGAAGTGCTGTATTTGGGACGGAGCTATCGATGGAGGATGAATTCGTTAGGTCGGCAATGCGCTCGAGGAGCGGCGTTAGACTATCCACAGGAAGCCGACCAGCTAGAGGACCTAGACTGTACGTCGGATTGTCAGAAAAAGGGTTGACCAAAACCGAGAGAATAAGGATACCATTTCAAAGCTTGATTCTGCACCTCTCCATGTTGATCCTCCAAGGCTCCCAGAAGGCCATCGGCTAACTTCGCAGACGTTACGTTGTCGTTGAGCAAGAAGAGCGAGTTTGGTGAACTCAGGATGCCGTAGACATCGTTTAGTGACATATAACGAATATCTGGGTCGGGATCATCGAGCTTTCCCAGCAAGTTGTGTAGATTGTGAAGTGTCGACTGTCGGTCGGCCATTTTGTTTATAGCTTACTTCCCCGCAATGGCGTGCGGGATCAGTAAACGGGTCAAGGCAAAACAAGTGATGGATAAGACGGTAAAAATGAAGATGAAATATGGGAAGTACGCCTGATTGAAAGAAACTGGGGTGTTGGACTGAAAAGTAGAGAGGTGTAAAATGTTAAATGATGGTTGCTGCCTTTTGTTGTGAGTGAAGTCAGAGAAACAGGTGGGGCAGCTGGTTCCTTCTATCGATAGCGACCAACCGATAACGGTCTCCAATTGCTATGTAACTTGCTAAGTTACTTGCTACGCACTCAAGTCAACTTAGCCAGCTTACGATTGAATAGAGCGAGAGATAAATGCTTGATTGCTTTGGTACAGCATTCAACTTCTTATAAAAAATCTTATAAGGAAGAAGATGACAAACATCTCAACGTAGAGTCGCCTTCGAACTGTTATTTGTTCTATCAAGACTCAATTAAAAATAGACAGCAGAAGCGTTGCTGATGAATCACATGACGTTTTACCTTATTTTGCAGGCATCGTCCATCGATGACATAGGAATGAAGTCGATGTACTACAAGTGGACCCGACAGCGTTACTAGTGCGTACGGCTTCTGTCGCTGGTTAAGCTGAGGGTGCCTTGGCGAGAATGGGCTAATCTGGTATTCGTACGGTAATTCAGGCTCATCTTACATAGAGCTAAGCTCTAAATTACGAAGTATATATATACTCCAGGAATCGTCATGCCATGAAGGGAATGTACTTCACTTTCTCTGTCTCATCTCGCACCTATAACACTTGCTCCTACTATTGAATTGAGCTCACGCAAACCGGAATAAACGCCAATTGATGCGTATAAAAGCAGCCATGATGTCCTCTCGACTTCCGCGTATACTCCGAGGCACTGCGCTCTCACCGCAGGCCAGATTTGTCGCTGCCAACATTCGGAATAGACAACAAGTCATTGCTCGTCGATCCTATGCAGAGGCTGCAGATAATAACGTTCACGAGCGAAGAAAGGGCAATTTTCCATGGTACGATAACTCCGTAGTTCGATTCAAGAGCGGAAAGATATGACGTGCTGATATGTCTTTTCAACAGGCTAGTTCTCTCAGTCGCTATAACTGTTCCAGCTGCATGGTATCTGTGGTCTTCAGGACCTAAAGAGACTTCACAAGGAGCAGGACCCAAGCGTCCTGCCGTCAAGGGACCCGAAGAGGGAAGACAAGTATCGGGCGAAAAACAGTCAGAGCGTGATCCGGTAAGTGCACGAAGACGACTCTGTTGTGTATATTAACACTGACGCATTTGTAATTTCAAACAGGCCCACGCAATCAAACCTGAGGGAAATATCGGTGAAAATTCAGGCGCCCAAACTTCCAAACAGCAAGGTGTTTCCAATGATGATACCATGAACCCCTATCTTAATGCTCCGGGCAAGGGCGAGAAACCCGAAGGTGTTACCGATTCATCCAAGTTGAAGGGAACCGTATCACCTGAACGATAAACGATGGATGGATTGATTGTTCTGGAGAAAGAAGACCCGTGCAAACCCATGTAAAGTTATGTCATAGACGTACTAGTATTGGATTAGCTGAATGTCACATTATTAGCAATTAAGTTAATATTTACAAGATTTGAAATACCTATTTTGGCTATCATGTCGTAAATCCTGATCCAGTAACCATCTCCTTGCAGGTAGACCGTAGTGCTGCGTCAAGATCACTACAATATCGACCATTCGAAGAAATACATAAGGCAATTCAAGAAGAAAGCGTCGTCATCATCTCAGATCCCCAACCAATAGTTGAATAATAACAGAGAAATTTGTAAATCATCCCGCCATGACACAACAGTGCAGTGAAAGAATGTTTGACAAGTAAAAGAAGTAAATGTGATTCGGGTCCCCTCCTGTCCCTTTTGTGTAATGAAATATTAATGCAAGTTTGAATGTATATGTATAAAAGTCGTCCATAAATCACACAACCACGAAGAAAGAAGACCAAGTATAGCAAGCCAGTATCTCATAAATACCGTGACTCTGGATCTTGCACACAGTCAAGAGCGAATTAAGCGGAACCCGGGACGGGCCTGGTGTATGTGTAAAAGTCATAAAATCATGCTCGTCCTTACTTGCGTTTACGGCCGTCTGCCGACTTGCCGTTGACAGAAACCTGGGAGGAGACACCTTCTGCTTCGCTGGTTCCGTTGGCAGTCTTGGAGACGCTCGATTCTTCTTCCTCTTCCTCGTCCTCATTGTCACTTCTTTCGTCCTTTGCAACATCGTCAAAGAGGTAGTTCTTAAGAATGCGCATAATCAAGTAGAGCCAGAAGAGATTGACGGCCTGAAGACTGGCAAGGAGAGCAAAAGTGATGTACTGGCTGATCCAGCACTTGTATTGTTGAGTCTCCCAGTTCAATTCGAATGGACCCACGGTCCTGAATTCGGTAAGAACTGCCCAGAGAATCTTCAAGTTTATATAATGGCGCAAGTAAATCCAGATTGAAACGAACAAGCCGAAATAAGGGCCAATAATAGGTGAGTCAAGGTAATTCAAAGTCTTCGATGTCTGAAAAGATCAAGAGGTCAGTAATTTTGCAAAAAATCAGAGTACTGGGAGATGAATCCACATACCGCTAGGAAAAAGTCCGAAATGTCGTGTGTAATGTACACAGCTATACCCATGTAGGTAAAATGGAAACGATAGCTGAGGAAGATCAATGCAAGAGTGATAATATGGTGGCCAACGAGCTCCTTGAAGTCTTTGCGGGGCTTCTCCAGCTGCAGCAACAACACAATAGCTTGTTGGAACCAGTAAGCTGCTTGCAGAAGATAGTATGCCTTAAATTCTGCTGTATGCTCCCGATGAGGGAAACCTTCAAACATCGCGGTGGTGTTGAAATACCAAATGTTGGTGCGACTCATAACCCAGAGACCGAAAGGACCAAAGACCGCAAAATACATGGCAGTGTACACCTGTTCCATGAAGCGCGCAATTTTTCCCTTGCCACGGATGTTACAGTAAAGTGCCCATGGCCGAATTACTCGCTGCATCAGGAATTCACGCGTGAATGAGAGAACCACGGTGTAAAAAGCAACAAATGCAAAGTCTTTCTTTCCCTTGCCGTACATGACGGGTTCGCCGGGATTCTTCGGTTCGCGAGGGTAAGACAAGAAGAGCGCGGAGTGCATCGGATTCATTTCACTGGGATTTATAGCGTAGGCGAAGAGTAACACCAACAGGATGATAAGAGGTATGAGCCATGTGTTCTTGAGGGCTGCATCTTTGAACCGACGAAGCAAAGATCGCGATTTGCGACGTTTATGATGGTGAGCTTTTCCGGATTTTGTAGAGCCCGGCCCCTATGAGAGAGTACAACTAATTAGTTCCGGGTTTGAATTCAGTAGTGTACGGTAGGATAGAACAAACCTGTGGTTGCTCCGCGATATCTGAGAGGGAAGCACTCTTATTCATATCCATTGTTGACATCGCTGGTGCACTAGTATCACCTCTGATATCTGCGCCCAGACTCGACTTCCTCCGAGTAGTTGGCATTGTGACAACGAAAAAAGTATGTTGGCAGGCCGCTAGCCAAACAAATCAGCTGTTATGCAGGCCCCTCCAATACGAGAAATAACAGACACCCGTCAAACCAAGATAACAATCGTCACTTCGTTGGACTTTTTATCGGGATAGTGAAGGGGCGACCTCAGGGTGATGCGGTCGCAACGATCCTCTTTCGCAAACGCTGTATAAGCTGCCGCAAGACAGATCGCGAATGATACTGAGATCCTCTTTGACGCCTCAAAGATAATTAATGAATGACAGAAAGGATTGGAGTCTTGCGAGTAGGATTAATCTCGATCGGAAGAATGAGAAAGAGGGAAAAAAAAAAAAAGATCGTTAGCAGCCCCGGCGTTGACTTCCACTGTGCAAGGCTTCCAGGGGGTTTATGCACAGGCTTAGCCTGAAAAGGGTTAGCTCCATCATTATGCAGATCTCCATTGGCCACATCTGAGAGCCTTAGCTTTAAGGCTTCAGCTTAGCTTGGCACTCTGTCTCCTGGCTTTTCTCTTCTGAAGACACTACAGTTCAATAAAATGCTCAGCAACTCGTCGTCTATTGTTTTCTACAATGCTCTATCATAGAACTACTGGATGATTAGGATGGTATGCCTAAGTATATTCAACCATAAAATATATATCAATAAAATACATGGATTGATCCAGGACTCATGACAGACTGATCGTCGGTATCTCGGCTATGTGCAATCTGGCGCTACCATACGGTACTAGGTTGACTTGGAAAGGGTCTCCCACGCATTTCCTGTTTGCTAGCAGGGGCGGATTCGGTGCATAACTATCTACCAGGTTCCATTTGATCTCGCATACAGTCGCACTGATGGACACTGGTGGTGCATTGAGGGTCCAAACGGGATTGGACAACGACGCACCAAACCCGGGTCCATTATACTTCAGACTCGAGGGATCAATGGCGAGTGCCCATTCTGTTGTCGGGTAAATGTTATATTCCAGTGCCTCTGATGGCGCGCCAGGGTAGTTCGCGCTGTATGATGTATAGTTCTCACCTGGTGCGATGGAATAAAGAATTGGCCCGTGATATACAGCCACGGTATTATTCGCACGATGAGCTACACGGATATCGCCTGTCAAGGAGTAAAATATAGTGGTCCGGCCTTTTCTGAGCGGAATATGATGCATGGCAGTGCTCGAATCCGCGATCACTGAATTATGGGGGCCAGTGTTAATGGAAAAGAAGCTGCTGCTTGTGGCCCAGGCGGGAACCCGCACATAAAAGTCAAAGTCATCACTGGCTTCGACGGTATATGTCAACTCATACACGAATGGGTAAAGAGTGTCGACCGAAACACTGACGGATACCCCGGATTTGGTGGTAGTTTTGACCGAAGTCGGGCCTAACAATGCATGCGCTATACCATTGTCGCCATAGCGGACATAGGAGTTTGAAACATACTTTGGATAACCTTGCGGATGATTGACCGTGCAGCAAGGATAGTTTGGGGCAAGTCCGAAATGCTGGCCTTCCTTATCCACATTATAGAACGGGGTCTCATCAAAAGTATGTGATATCGGCTGGTTGGTTTGAGCAACATACTGATGCGCCCACCAATCTGGTGTCAACATAACGGGGAGAGCATTGTAAGCCGCCATTTCGGCACTGTCTGCGAAAGAAGCATCACCCAATGCCTGATACAGATAGTTTAGCGAATAGATGGACTCCACCACGGCACAGAGTTCCACACCGCGAACAGGGCTCAATCCAGATAATCGCTCATCTGCAATCATGACTCCTGAAGGCTGGCCATGATATGTCAGTGTCCAATTGACTGCTCTGCGCGAAGAATCTGCAAGGCTATCGTCGCCATTGAAGCGCCGAACAACGGCACCGTATTTGTAGCCTTGACCGACATTAACTCCGTGCTCAAACGCATAGTTGGCATTTGTGATAGCAACGGGCACCGTATCGAGATCCTGTTTGATATAGACACCGTCGGTGTACCAATGAGCCCAGTTGTTTGACTTTTCGAAAAGGAGATTCATGGAATTGAACAGGATATCGGTATCATTTCTGGGATCATGTTCGTACAACCATTGCAAGCTCAAGATCATATCAGCTGCACGCGAGCGGCCCCATTGGTCGTCAATTGGTGAAGTATCAGATGCGACATAACCGAGGAAATTATCTTCGAGCATGGAATTCATCAACTCGACGAATTTGTGCATACTATCCAACACGCGTGTGGAAACATCCGTTCCGTTCGTAGCCTCAACCAACTGCGTCAACCCTAAGAAGAAGGGGAACCGACCCCAAAGGTTGCGTTGGTTGACATCGGTTTCTGGACCAAGCCAGCCATCGTTCTGTTGATGAGAAATCACGTAGTCCACGCTCTCCAAGACTTGGGTTTTCAGTCGTTCATCATTCAGGCTATACGCCAATGGCACAAGACCATTGAACCAGTATGGAAATCCTTCGTTCAAATTGCTATACTCCGACGACCCTCCCAGCCATGAACTATTGCTGACAAACAGGTAAAAATCGTGTTCGTGACCAGCAAGCCCATCACTCATCAATTGCAATTGATCTTGTAACCAGCCTTCAGCTGTGACTGAGCCCAAGGGCAGAGGCTCAAAAACCAGGGGCAGTACTGTACCGAGGTCGATAATGATCAGTATAAATAGCTTCACCAATCGAGACCTGCAACACGGAATACAAGAGGATCTTACATGTATTACTGCATTTGGCGACATCGACCAAGGAGCTAGCGAGGAGGATAGCCAAACCTCCTACACTGGACACGCTGTACCGCATATCTGTAAGACTATACCAAAACACAAGGAGGGACAGTTTGACTGAAGTCAATGTAGTAAAAAAGGGGAGCATATACTGTTCAAAAAGGAATTAAGTGAAGAAAAGAATTGAAGCGCCGTCCACGATTGACTAACCTCGCAGAGCTCCATAGCGGACACAGAAGAAAGAGCGGACCCAGGCTGCTTTATAGAAATTCTCATTCCTTCCGAATTTTATTTTATTTTATTATTTATTTCCTCATCTCTCCCTGCATCGTGACTTGAGGGAAAGGAAATTAAACAATGAGGACTGGATCCAGTCGGACGAACTGACGAACCCCAGCACGTCGCACATATTACCTAGAATCTAGTCTCTGCCCAAATATTTTTATTCCTGATTTCGACCAGACAAGAGGACGGGCCAGGGATCATTGTTGTCATGGTCTCTTTTGGCGCGTAAGAGGGGAGCAAGTTTTCTGGTTGGACGCTCGCGTGACGATCAACATAACGAATCTGGGGCAGAGATGCCGCCGAGACGCAAGAATGTGACCCTTACTACAAGTCACTAGTTACACTTCTCTATGCTACATTGAGTATGGAACTTACTGCTTTCAGTATTTCATACTTCATTCTGCATACATTTTGATTGTGTAACAGGTACATAGTCTAAGTCACCCTGCACCAACGCTTTATCCGGATAATCCCCCGGCTTTGATAGTCACCCCCTGATATACTCGCATCAGATGAATCTTGCTTCTATCGGGTCCCGGTCCATGTCCTTTGTTTCCTCCACATATACCCCGAGTCCTGGCCGAGGACGTTCACATACCTTCGTCCATTAAATGTGACTGTTATTCATTAAATCATTTATCCCTGATCACAACACGCGGACTCCGGGATGCCACATGAGTCTTGTCACACTTGGGCAATATCGATAGTTCTATATGAATTTTTGAGACGGACCCGGTGAGCGCCCTTTTAACATGTTTGCACGTAGGTCAGGAGACACTGAGACACCAAGAGACGAACACCACAAAAGAGTGTCACGGCCTACATCAGGATCAGCCGGGAAATAAATAATAGGGAATATCATATCTTGGAAATGGTGTATGACTCAGGCGGCCCAGGCCATGTGCAATTGCTCGCATGCAACCTGTACAACTGACAAAACATTCAACTGCCTAAGTTGTGCTAGTCCATGTAGTTTATTTTACCATGCAGGGTGAGTAATTGGCCGGTGTTGATATCGGACCCCTCGGGAAGAATAGGTACTGGATGTTACCTAAGGATCTACCTTTTTAGGGCTACCTTCTATTCGATAACCCCATACCCATAGACTTATTATTGAGGGCCTGTGTATTATTTGTGTCACAAGATCCGAGTTTACGTGAAATGCGCGCCCGTCGGATCTTTGACGGAATTTTTTTTTGGACAATCTTCCAATGAGTCACAGACGCAAGGATCGGATCGGAGCACTGGTCACGTCAATCCCTGGAGGTTTAAGCACCGAGTTCAGCCCTGATCTGTATGTAGCCTCCCTTCGAGTAGATTTCAGCTAGCAAGGTCAGCACGTACCTATCTAACTAACTAGTAGTAACGCGACCCTGAAGTGTTGATATCACAACGGCTTTTTCTCCGAAAACTGGGGAAAAGCGAAGGGAGGAATGTTACCCATGGAAAGTATTACGATGGTGCATGTGACTTTATATTAGCGAGAGCTCAATACTAGTCTCTTCAAGTGGGCCAACTATTTCTCAAATACATAGAATAACCTTTGATTGTTAGTCGTCGACATAACATATCCAAAAGCAGTAATAGGGTTGTAAGTTAGGGCTTTTTATTAGGGTTATCACGAAGCGTCGGATTTTGACCGGCTTTAGATCCTAATTCGGACACTGACAAAAGCCGTATGTTGGACGTAGCCATCTATGGTATTTAAACGAATTAGAAACATGTCGTCGCATTGATGCTTGAAATATTCTACTATAATATCTTTCTGTCATGCCAAGAACAACGGCTACTACAGAAACAATCCATGTCCCCGTCCTCATCGTCGGAGGCGGTATTGTCGGCCTCAGTGCTTCCTTATTCCTCTCCCACAATGACATTCATTCCTTACTCGTAGAGCGGCATTCGAGCACATCAATCCACCCTCGAGCTCGCAGTGTCAATGCTCGTACCATGGAGATATTTGGAAGCATTGGACTTTCCGAACTGGTCCGTGATGCAGGAGCTTCATTGGCACCTAGTAAGGGTATTCTTCATTCGAATGACTCCTTCAAATCTGTCATGGAAGCAAGACCCAGAATGCAGAAGAACCCGGCCACAGATACCCGGGGGTGGTTTGTTCGGTGGGCAAAGATAGGCCCTGAAGATGGCACCTTTGTGACGCAGGATATGCTTGAACCAGTGTTATTAAAGGTTGCAGCTGAAAGAGGAGGAGATATACGGTTCCATACTGAGTGCACAGGGATAAGACAAGATCAAGAAAAAGTGACCGCCACCATTCAAAATCGAGAGACAGGTGACACCATCACTGTCATAGCAGATTATCTGATAGCTGCCGATGGGGCCAACTCTCCCATCCGGTCTCAATTAAAGGTTCCAACTACAGGTCGTGGTACCATGGGACATCTACTCAATATCCTCTTTCAAGCTGATCTGAAGGATCTTGTTGAAAAGCGCGAAATCAGTCTCTGCGTCATTGACCGTCCTGAAGTTGCGGGGTTACTGACAGCTATCAACAACAGCGATCGATGGGTATTCCATTTGAGTTACGATCCTTCTCGAAACGAGAAGCCCGGAGACTTGTCACCTGAAATATGCAGAGAGTTATTACGGATTGCCTTAGGTATACCAGACCTCAAGATCAGAATTTTATCCATCTTACCTTGGCAGCCTTCCGTTAGAGTCGCAACAAAACTTCAACACGGTCGAACTTTCCTCGCTGGTGATGCGGCACATCAGATGCCACCGTACGGTGGCCAGGGGGCAAATACGGGAATCTCAGACGCATACAACCTAGCATGGAAACTCTCCCTCGTATTGAAAGACATGGCTCATCCCAGGTTATTAGAGACGTACGGTATAGAGCGACTACCGGTGGGAAAAGTGGCAGCGGAAGCATCAGCAGCTCCTGCCGATGATCGGGGGCTGATCTCTCCATTGAAGCTGAATTGGAAGACTCTGAATGGATGGTCCAAGATTGTGCCGCTGACAAGCGGGTTTGGGTACGTGTACTCAAGTGAAAGCTCTGCAGTGATCGAAGAGAATACCTGGCCACTCCGAGGTGTGACATGGAAGGCCTGGAGTGCCCCTTCCTTGCTCCATTCGCTGGACGGGCGACCTGGATCTCGTGCACCGCACGTGTGGGTCGAAAAGGATGGGAAGACAATTTCCACCCTTGATCTTTTGGGCAAAGGGTTTGTGTTGCTGATAGGAAATGAAGGGAAGGGTGCTTGGACTGAGGCTCTTGAGACAGTGAAACTCAAGTTCAAGGATCTGGAGCTCATTGGCTATTGCGTGGGACCGAATGGCAAAATTATTGTCAAAAGGAGCAAGGAGTGGGAAATCGCAGCGGGGATATCATCGAATGGAGCGTTGCTGGTTCGGCCCGATGGATTTGTTGCTTGGAGACAGAGAAAAATACCGACCGAGGTCCAGGCTGAGCTGGAGCGAGTAATCAGAAAGATCTTGTGTCTCTAAGGGGGCTGGAGTGTACCTCACGCTCCTTGAGCAGGTACAAATGACCACGCGTATGGTAAGATGTATATAAACAGTGAAACAATGCAACATAGTTATATTCTGCTCTGCATATTTGAATAAAACATCGTGTCAAACTCGTGCTAAAAGGGTATCATAGATTGCCATCGTTAGACCGTTTCAGATAGTCAGCTCCCACTGAGCTATATAAGACCAACCCATACCAACACGTCCCGCTTGCGCTTGATATTCTTGCAATGACAAGCCACGGGCGTCCTTGTGAGTAGCAAAGCTTGTAATATTGGCAATACCAAGCTTCTGACCTGGTGCACCTAATATCCTTGGGTCGGCAATATCTACATACCACAGGTCCCCTCCACCGTTCGGTCCGGTGCCTCGGATGTAGGTAAATGGTATTTTCTCATCTTTCCGGCCATCTATACCGTGCGTATGCAATAGGAACAGAAAAGGGGCAGATTTCTTGCCATGATGAGCGAGGGTCCAGTGTTCGCACTTCAAGCCGAATTGGAACCGTATAGGCCCGGGTTGATGGATTGAAATCTTCGCGCAAGCTGGACGGAAGGATCGGTCCCCAATTCCTTCATTGTAAGCGTCCGTAAATATGACAGGTTGCTCGAGACCAAAGGGCTTATTGTGGTCTTGAAGAACGTAGGCCTCCCAGCTCAGGCCAGGTCCACCATCATCTGTATAGAACTGATCTTTATTTTGTGGGTAGTGCGAAAGAAGAAACTCGTCGTTAGACTTGGTAAAATGCGACGGGTCAAAGCGCTGAATATATGGCTGTCCTTTGCCTTGTACAGCACCGGCTCCCCAACACGGATCAATGAGCTTCCACTTGCCACCGTCAATTTTCACCACATTCCACGCATGACTAGATGAGAATGGGGGTATACTCGAGCCAGGAGCGAGCTGTGTATGGCCGAAGCCCTTGCCGTGACCGCCTATCACGAGAGCTTCGAGACCAGCATGCGTTGCGAGTGTAGCATATAGACCAGCATATCCCTCACAAACTGCAAGCCCAGTTGCAAGGGTCTTGGAGGGGGTTGATGGCTGTACGTTGTTGTTGAAAAAGGCATCAACATCGTACTTGATATTGTAATGAAGCCAGGTAAACAAAGCCCTCGCCTTATCAGTCGGTGACGGAAATGGTGCAGTAAGTTGTGTAGCAAGCCACGCCAAATCACTGGTAGGAAGAGACTGCCGGGGAAACTGTGCTGCATGGTTGTCTGGTCCCGAGAAGTCTCTGCATATCATACAGACAGTACTAAAACTCGCTGGAGACGAAGATCCGTGTCCGTTGGCGGCGAACTTGGGTTTTGTTGCTTGAATTGCTGCCAGATCCGGACGCGAGGCCAAAGGTATAGCGGGTGGTACACTTTGATCAGGTTCATCCTCTTCGACATGTTTACTGAGAGTCGCGAAAGACTTCTGCTGTAGTTTCTGGAGAGCATCGGCCGTAGGAACCGGAGGAATTTTGCGTTGTGATGGCGTTACGGACTCGATTTTCACTCCGCTTATTGGTAGTTGTGGTATTTTCCTCGTCTCGGAAGAGAGGGTACGGACAGGTAATGGTACTCTTGTAGTTTGATCTCCACCATTAGAATCAGTGGATGAGGTCCGTGATGGCAGCGGTGGCGGTTTTAAGGGTGCTTTGACTACCCTCTTCGCTTTCTCTGCTTCGGAAAGGGTTGCCGATTTTCGCTGGGGAAGGCCAGGGCGGCTCTTGTCGCGCACTGGAAGCGGGGGCAGGTCAGCTTCCTGCCATGCTGGCGCAACAAGTACACGGCTCTTACTATCCACCGTATTCGTGGTCCCAGAAGTAGAAGTCGTACTGTAAGACGCATTTGACCTCGTAGAGTCAGATGATATCCTTCGTTCTGTCTGCGCAGACGGACGGCGTGGTGGTAGAGCCGGTGGATGTTGTCCCGAATTCTTGCGAGCCGGTAGTGGCGGAGGTACTTTACAACCATTCTTTGCGGATGCGATCTTTTGTTCAGTTAAAGCCGCCGTAGGAAGTGGGAGTACCCCATTCTGACGGATGGGCGCGGGCTTGTTGCCAATCTCTTTGCTTTCAAGTACGGATCCGTTCAGCTCATGTGGTGGGTTGTTAACTGTTTTATTCCTTGGAGCAAAAGGACGCACAGGAGACGTATCCGGTAGGCGGCCAACATGCGATTGATTTAGAGCAGCTATGCGCTCTTGGATGGTCTGCGCTCTTGGTTCGTCGGCCATTGTCGTGTTCGTCAACGAGGGATAGACAAACGAGGTACGGCCGTCTTGACAAGAGGTAGTCAATGTTTACCGTTACCAAATCGCTAAATCTCAATGGAACATCGAGATGACGGATGATGTATTTAAATGCAATGATCGTTGTTATAGCCTCATCTGAAACGAAAAGAGTGGCTGAATCGTCGCATCTGGTGTGAGGGCAGCGAGACGAGGCTGGAAAGCTATCTGAACGATCGTCGCGGGGTTGGATTAGCAACTAGATATATGTGAACGAGATTAAGAACACATAGCCAATAGACGTGACATGAGTAACAGCCTCCTTCTCCCCAGTAGGAAGATACAGGCATGAGTCGCAATCAGGCTCATCCTCGCAGGGGTATCGAGTGTTGGAAGTGGGACAATGAAGGGACTCTGAGAAGCGGGAACTTGGAAACGCCGCCCCCAAGTGGGCAGCCTTGGGTCCAGATTTTCCAGACAACGAGGCTGAGTCATTTATTTTTATCGTGTTATCGCTGAGCCTCATTCGGTCTAAGTTTGACCAAGATACAATTGAGTCTTTCGCTGCATGCTAGCGGTCTTCGAATTGTGGTTGAAGTTATTTGACAGTAGGAAATTTTGGTCTGTATACAATGTTACAAAGGTCGCACATCCCATATCGCCAGTGGTACAGTCATGAAAAATGTAAAGAAAGAGTTGTATGTAAGAGATGACCCCTGTTCACCCCTACCGAAAGGTGGAAAATAGACAATTGATGAAGGAAAATGTTCGAGAAAAGAATGAAAACAGCCCTCCAAATCTGACGCCGTCAAGTATTGCGACGTTGTGAGGAGATGTAGCAAGAAGAGCTTCACGGCGTTCTTCTATGGAGGTAATAGTGTGTTCGATATTGAATGCTGAGACCCGAGACTTGCTGAGACTTCCTCACGTCATTTGTGGAAATGGTTCGGCTCTAAGGGCATGAGAAATTACGAAGATTGTATTGGTGAAATGGCGATATAAGGATCGATCATCAAAACATATGACACTGTTCAGCGTACATCATTAGGCCGTTCTCTGCTAATGGCGGATGGCTATACGGATTTGTACAGCAAAAGCGGTTCTCCGATATTTTCAATCTCGGGAATGGTGCATTTGAGGTCAAAGGCTTTGCTAAGGACGATTTTGAAAATCTAGTCAAATCAGTAAGCTAGGTATTCAAGATGCAGATCTCGTCGGCTCAAACCTTTTGAACATTGATACTATGGCTTGTGCTGCTGAATATCAAACTCGCCCTCATGGCTTTGGCATATCGCTTGGCCTATTTGGATCGTCTGTCAGCGAGTAACACAGCGAGAGAAGTGCGAGAATGAATATACCTGTAGAGAGATCTCCTCTTGGTCCTCCCGAGGAAAATTTACAAAGTGATCATATTTCGTGCCGATAAGAAAAGGGATGGCAGTCTTATTGAAGCCGCGACCCTGACGATACCATTCCTTGATTGAATTGAGTGTGCTTTTGCGTGTGAGATCAAACATGAAGAGAATGGCAACTGCATCGTTGCAGACCAGAGGAAGCATATTAACAAACTCGCGTTGTCCGCCGAGATCCCAGATTGAGAATGTAATTTCTGTATTTCGGATTGAGATGGTCTTCTCCATGAAGTTGACGCCTGTAATACTCTACTTAGCAAGTGTTCTCCAAATGGCAAACAGACTCGAAATATTGCACTCACCTAGTGTCTGAATGTAGTCCTCGTCCCAGCTACCTTCAACGTATTTGACCATCAAACTTGTTTTACCTATTTGAGCATCTCCGACCATCCCGACCTTGATAACAACACTGTTTCTCGAAGGTTGGGCGACCTGCTTTTGGTTCTGTTCAGGCTGTGAATTTGGATATCCATAGCGTTCTCCCCCACTTGATAGTCCAGAACCAGGCCGTGAAGCCGATTGCTGGGGGATTTGCTGATGAGACATAGTTGGCGAGCTGAATCGAGATGAGTTTTGTTCATCTTCAGCAGGGATATAGTTTTGTGAAGACGAGATAAATTCTGCGGGGTATGTGTTTTGGTGAGATTGCTCCTCGATATAATCAGCATTGGGTGCGCTCTCGACAGCTGTTGGATCAGTGGTTTCCGGAATGTCCTGGTTATTCACATATGATTGAGCAACGGTATCATTTACTTCGTGCTCATGCTCGATTGACGTTGAAGGAACGACTTCGGGATTCGGATTGGCGTCCATGGCGTTGTTTTGATGAATTGTCTCGCCAGACATAAGAAACTGAGCAGCAAAAAATATAAAATCGTGTATCCACAGTTATGTTCGAATCTATTATTGTTCCATCAGATGTTCCAATCGTGTTTCTCAATGTATGCTCAGGGGTGACCGATGGAGACGATAGGAGGAAATGAAGGCAGAGCTGAAGGAGGGTTCCTGCAAAGGATGAGCGACTGTGAACCTCCAAACTGCACCAGATCCACAAGCCTTGATAATATACCGAGCAATAACAACACGAAACGTTGCAGAAGAGTCCGGTCGAAGCTTCGGAGCAGAAGCACAAAGAAAGGAGCTCTTGAAGGATTGTTGACTCTGTGCGGACATGGACATGTACCGTCTGTTGATGATGTGAGGCGCTTCGGCGGGCAGCAAATCAATCGAATCAATCGATGCGGGCGGATCATATGGAGCTAGTCCCGAAACAGGGTTAGTGCACCTCGCTCTTCCCAAAAGCAAAAAAGTTTCGAGCAGCCCTAAAGGATTTCTTTTCCCAGTAGATAACATTGGGACTTTTCCCACTCACCGATCCCACAACTGGTTGAGCCAGACTCATTTTTTGTGATATTCATGACGTTTATATTATTCCTTCGCCCACCATGTCTAAACGCACAGCAGATCTCGAAGAAGAGCAATCCACCGCTTTGAAAGCTGGACAGAGACCTCTCCCCGAAGCCCCACCTGACGAAGTCGGAGAATTTGAAGACGAATTCGAAGATGAGTTTGAGAGTGAAGATGAAATTCTAGAGGCCGGAGTGGATGGCCGACCAGATGAGGAGAGGGAGGCGGAAGAAAGGGGTACGTCAAATCCAACAAGTTTAAGCAAATGAGCGCAAAATGCTACAGAACAGAGGATGTCTAACTGGGGGTATTTCAGATGCAATGGATGTCGACAAGGAAACATTTATACCAGGAAGGACGAAGTTAGCACCGGGCGAAACGTTAGCACCTGATCCCTCCACATATGATATGCTACACACCCTCAGTACACCTTGGCCGTGCCTCTCGTTCGACATCGTCCACGATAATCTGGGAGATAACCGAAAAGCATTTCCAGCAACCGTTTACGCCGTCGCAGGCACCCAGGCCGAAACACCCCGCGCAAAGGATAACGAGCTCCTTGTACTCAAGTTGTCCGGGCTAGGCCGTATGGAACGAGAAAATGAAACCGACTCAGAAAGCGAATCGGATTCGGATGATGAGTCTTCATCAGACCCCATTCTCGAGTCGAAGACAATACCACTAGGTTCCACGACAAATCGCATCCGAGCACATCAAACTCCCAACACTTCTGGTGATTATACGAAACCCCCGCAGACAATCACCGCGACGATGTTGGAAAACTCCCACGTGGTTATACATGATGTCACACAGCATCTAGCAAGCTTTGACGTTCCAGGTACCATTCTTGCTCCTTCTGCATCGAAACCTATATCTACTTTGCGCATGCACAAATCAGAAGGATACGCATTGGACTGGTCGCCCTTACAACCGTTGGGTAAATTGCTCACCGGTGATAACGATGGGCTTATTTATGTCACAACCCGGACAGAAGGAGGCGGATGGGTAACAGATTCCAGGCCATTCGTTGGACATACCTCCTCTGTCGAGGAATTACAGTGGTCACCCAATGAGAAGAATGTGTTTGCATCTGCCAGCAGTGACGGCTCGGTAAAAGTCTGGGATGTGCGGTCAAAATCTCGCAAGCCAGCCGTGGACGTCAAGATTTCCAACACAGATGTCAATGTCATGAGCTGGTCTAACCAGACTTTCCACCTTTTAGCAACTGGTGACGATGCCGGCCAATGGGGTGTCTGGGATCTTCGACAATGGAAGCCGGGCTCATCTCAATCCAGACCGGCGCCAGTAGCCTCCTTTGACTTCCATAAGGAGCCTATTACGAGTATAGAATGGCACCCAACCGACGACAGCGTTGTTGCCGTGGCTTCGGCGGACAGTACAGTCACACTATGGGATTTGGCTGTTGAGCTTGACGTTGAGGAGAGTCGTGATGCCGGAATGAGTGATATTCCGCCTCAGTTACTTTTTGTGCACTACATGGACTCTGTGAAGGAGCTACATTGGCAAGCTCAGATGCCTGGAACTGTGATGGCTACAGGAGCTAGTGGTTTTGGGTAAGCCTTGTTCTTTCTTTTGGTTTGTGCTGTTGGATCATTGGCTAACCGTTTCCTATATTAGTGTTTTCAAGACTATCAGTGTCTAGTGCAAAGGGCACTCTGAATTAAAACAGTAGGGGAAACGTCAATAGAGGACGTCAATGCGGAACAGACACATACCATCGTGGTCAAAATTCATGTAGATATTAATGCACATATGAGGAATGAATCTGAATGTTTATGAATATGCTGCTACCAATTTGGCGACCTCAGAATCGACGTCGAGAGGTTCTGGGTGCTATGATTCCTTCAATGTTGGGGCAAGGTGCCATAGATCCTAGGGCATCATAGGAAATAGCCCTAACCTTGGAACCCCCGAACATCGACCTGCTGGAAGAGAAAAACAACAATCAACCTCCATAATTTCCTGACCTAGTGGTGGAGACAATGTTGTCATACATTTCTGGCGCTAGTTACATGTCTGTAGTCATCCTAATTTTGACGGAAAACCGAACTTAGTTCCTGTGGGTGCACTCCGCTGTACCCTCATAACATAGCACTCCGGACAGGATCTTTCTAAGCCACAGAAATTCTAGAGCTGACGCAGATCAACTTGATCGTGCTTCGCTGCCGATGGCTGGTGTGTACTTAGTCGCTGTCTTGGCCTACATTGTACGAATGTTTAACATATGTCATGAATCCACTTGTTCTTACATCACGTTGAGTGTTACAGACAAGCCAGCTTAATGCAATCCACTGTTACTGACTGGCCCTTTGAAACATTTATGACAGTAAATGGTTGATATTTTATCCTGGCAAGGCAGATTTCTTAGTTTTCTTCCAAAGTCCTCTCAAGCTAGCACATGCACATATAAGATTGTGGTCGTCTGTTATCTAGGTACATGTGCCGTAACCGGTTGTTAAGATTTGTGATATAGATTATATATAATAGAACTTGTGGATAATGTGGATTACCCAGTTCGAGGATATTTCCAGAATCCAAAATGACTTTGTCTGTCTGTTGGGTTACCTACATTAGATCGCAAAATCTAATGAGGACAGCTAATCCAACAAGCTGACCGAGCCAGTAATACTGGATTCCTAATATTGTGACTCTCTTCTAAGAACTAGGGGATGCAGGTGGTGAGGCGTAGTTATTCCCATGTGCGCTATCACAGTGCCACGGAAAAGCTATCCCGTTCCACAGCTGAGATGCTGCTTAGTTAGGCAATAAGATACCAACACTGTCTTTTTGATGAGGTCTAATTTTGACCATTGTCGTCGCTCTTGCTCCGTATCAGCTATCTTGAATGGCTGGAGCTCACTATTTCTTGATATTGATGAGAATTTGATGAAAAAATGAAGGCTGAGAATGGCCACAGACGGCTCATAACCTCTTGGGAGTGGTGAGCAAAGAATTCTCTGTGTAATGCTTACTAACTAATGTTTCTATGTCCTGGGACAAAGGAGCCCTCGCTAGGAAGCGTTAACATGCCCTTTCTCCCAAAGGCGCTAAACTACATGTGGCAGGCGGCGCTGGTAACAAAAAATGACAGGATTACCGTTGCCTATAGTTACAGGATATCACCTGACTCACGTAGGCTGTCGGAACTAAAACGTAATACCATTTCACCAAAAAGGATGCCCTTAAAGGGAATTTGGTATTTTTGAGGTATTTGCGAACCGTTCCGTAGTTCGACTTCTGTATTCTGCTAGTCACGTGATTTTATTTCCAACATAGGCGCCTGCCTCTGTGCCATATTGGGACTAGCCCGTTTTAGGCGAAGCGTTGATATCAACTCTCGACCTCACCACTTAGCTAGAACACACATGACAACATATCTTATTGTTGGTTCTACTGTGCTCTACAGTGAAGACTAATGAAGATAGTATTACCATCAAAATAAGTAATATTCGCCTATCCTCTAAGATAGGTGAAGGTGAGTGCCAATGCCCCTCCGATTTCCTAATCGGGCAGCGGTGCCCATTTGGGATATCAACACTTATGAGCCCACAAAAGTCTCGTCATCTTATGAAGGCTAGGGCTCTCCATGGATACGGATTCGCGTGCAATATCCATGAATATTCATGGATAGAGTCATGTGTAATATTAAAATCATTATTCCGCCCCGAGACATGATTATATGAATAAACTTCTAGGCTGCTTCTTCAGCTTCAAAATCTACCGGCATAATGGACAGATTTATTCGCCCCCATCGAGAGAATACGTGCCAGCCAGACTTTTGGAAGCTGGCAAATGGTGGTAGTGATGATGATGCGTCTTAAAGATCGGATTGAAAGCCAGGCTGCCGAAGCTTGAGATCCAGTATCCTATAACTCATAAGACTCAACTTTCTACAGCTTCAGAAGAACCAGGACCATTAGCCGCGTTTCAAAATCTGCATAGGACCATAGTATTAGAGATGATGAGTAAGATCAAGGCAAATTCGCATAAATCTGCAGAAAAATCCTCCGACATTGCACGATATCTCAATTCTGATGTTGTGGGATTTGACGAGAAGAAGAGAAATTGGATTTGCACATGGTGGAGAGTCATATAAATGAATATCCACGCATGGCAGCGGCCGCACGGGATTATTTAGCTGCTCCAGCAGCAGAGGCTGTGTTGAGAGAGTATCCGCGGATATATCCGTGCTCTTAAAAATCTAACGGATATGGATATGGATATGGATATGCAAAATTTTCATGGATCTTATCCCTGGAGAGCCCTATATGAAGGCCGCTCGAGATTGAGAAACCTCCGACACAGTCGCCGAAAATTCGAAGCTAAATCCGTAGCAACCAGAACGCGCCCTCATACTCCACGCCACGACAGCTCGGAACCAGTTACGATTCGCCAACTGATGGAGCTGTTAGAGGCTGCAGTGGAAGCTAACGGAAGGTCGAACTCGCGTCAAATGGGCCCTGCCGTCTGCGTACAGGAGAGCCATGTCAACTTAAGGGTTATGTCACCGCGCCTCACTTGATGATGTGACAACTCATGAGAAGGCAGGTACCCATTCGCCCTCCCCCGCCATAAGAGATCAGTCAGCGAGTTTCACGCGCCTGTTGCACCTCATCTCGCATCTTGTACACGGGGGAGCGCCCTGTACCGATGCAAAGTCCACACAAAGTCGTCCCGATCGCCTTGTATCAGAAACCACGCTGCAGGGTGGAACAGAGTCTGATGACGGAAGTTTGAACCATTCAAACACAGTGAAAGGTGACACTACGCTCGGAGAACAGGCGTTCACTGGAAGATGGTAAATAGTCAGGGGTAAGCCCTATATGGATACTTTGTTCTGTAGTTATTGGGGAAAGTTGAAGAGACTGTGACAAGCTAGTAATGGTCGGAACTTAATTTTGGACCAAGATCGTCACGGCGAATTGAGGCACTTAAGGACGTCCACGATGCCTCGAAACAGGCATTTGGGTCTTCATGTATAAAGCAAAGACTCACTGCAAATTTGCCGTGTGAAATCTGGAATCTTGGCGAAGCAGCTCCGCAAGTTGGATCTGTTATGTATATCAATCTCTTTAGGACACCAAAAGCTCCGTTAGCTATAATCGAGAAGATCTGTTGGCGAGTGATGGGCATACTTTTTCTCCCAAATTCAGTATTGATTCGATCCAACTCGATCATGAAAACTTTGAATTGAACACCACCATCGTCTTTATTTGCTTTAAATAAAGCTCTAGTAACATTCCTGCATAAATGCCGTACGTAAGCCATTATGGTCTCCAATGCTGAGTCCGTTGTGGATGTGCGATAAGCGTAAGGTTCAAAAACCGAGTTCGTCAACATTCCGCCTTGGGAGTTATTGTAAAAAGGGCCCGATTGGCGATGAGTCAACGTGGAATCTATAATGATGGAGCAGGTACTCCTCTATTTGTCAAAGGACCACCGCAATAAAAATATTACACAATTCATATGACCTGGGATGTACTCGGGTTCAGAGTCGCTGCTCCAGTTTTGCAAGCCTGACATAGGTTTCTTAACTAGGCTCTGTATTCGATGTGGAGGAAAAGTGAAGGACATCTATATTCTGGTATTCTAGCTCTTGCGCTTGATGAAAGATGTCTCTTCTTGCTTCCAGCGGAATTGTTATCGTCATTCCGAACATAGATGACAGCAAAGCCATCGGCCATGCGTCCATCAAAATCTTGTCCATACGATTGTCGGTGGGTCCTTGGTTCAAGTACTGGGCAGAATAATACCAAGACGCAGTGAGAATATCGCGGATCCATTCGAGCTCTTCTCCTGGGAAGCAAACCTTTATCCATTGGTGGATACTGCGGAAGTGAGTCAAGAACAATTCACTGCTGCAATATTGCGTGCTTTACCTTTGGAAATTGATGCTTTTAGCTCGCTTTTTGACGAGTTTTGGGATAAGAGTATAGATCTCATTCGAAAAGCACCAAATGATTTCAATGCTTATACTATTGGTCGTATGCATAAACATATGGTTGTTTTGGTACCTGCCAGGTCAGGTATGTGCAAAAACATCTCATCACAGTCTGCTACAAGCCTGCTGTCAACTTTTCCAAACATAAAGCTGGTTTTGGTGGTCGGAATATGTGGTGGTGTTCCCTACTACGGAGGAAGACACGAAATTATCATTGGAGATGTTGTCATAAACGAAGGGATCGTTCAGTATGACTTTGGCAGAAGAGTACCAGCGGCTTTTCATCCGAAGAAATCCATGCCGGAACCCTTGGCCGACCAAATGTGGCTATTCGCAGTCTACTTCAAAAAATCAAGACAAAGTTAATACAAGAGCGACTTGCAAAGAAGATGGCCAATAACCTCCAAAACATTCACAATAATCTCGGTTGTGATAGTGCTCAGTACCCAGAAATTGATCAAGACGAGCTTTTTATTCCGACTACACTCATAAGCACTATACTCCGGGCGTTTGCGCCACGTGTGATCAACTTCAGAGCTCCACTGATTCAGTGTATGAAGACGTCTCTAATTTACCTGGGAGCAACTAGGATGTCAGAAAGACAAGCTCGTGTCTCGAGATCGGCTAAGATGCGCCTCTGGAATGAAAAAGCCCTTCGAGTCAAATGATCTATATTGCTTTATTCGGATCTGGAGATAGGGTAATGAAGTCAGGGCTGGACCGAGATGAGATTGCTACTCGGGACAAAGTCATGGCATTCGAGATGGAGGGAGCAAGAGTATGGGATATTCTCCCTTGTATAGTTATCAAGGGCGTGTGCGATTATGCTGATAGCCACAAAAACGAAGTATGGCAGCACTGCGCTGATGCCACTGGCGCTGCATGCATGAGAGCTGTTTTAGATGAATGGCCAATCGGATTATGTGGAAACTGCTCACAGCTGTTAGCTAGTTTTTGATTAAGGATATTTTCTGTAATCTATTTTCACCAAGTATATGAAAAATTGCACACATATAGGCAGAATGGTAGGGCATAGAATTGAGTTTCATCGGTTTTGCAATGCCCCCGGTGGTTGAGAAGCCCTAACTCGAACCTTAATTACATAAAATTGCCTAATTAGGAAAGATATTTCCTATTTTGCCAGATGTCAGATCCAATTCTCAAATCGTGAATCACAGTGTCATGAAGGCTAGATAGACTCTAATTATATGTACGCTATGTTAAATCAGTTAGTCGTATAGACGAATACCTAGTGCTTGTCTTTAGCCACATGCTGGACGAATGGAGACTAAAGCTTGATTGGTCCAGATATGCATACGTATTACTAGGTAAATCAAGTCAAGACATTTTTGGCTGATAACTGTCCAAAAGCAATCAATGAATGAGATACATCTGGGAGACCTGAGCTGAGAGTGTAGAATTAATTGCCCCTGGGCCATATTTAATTTCCTATGCACGCTGAGATCGCGTTCGCTATTTCGAAAGTACCTGGTTCTAGCCCCCCTTTCTCGATCAGGCATTTTTTGGAGGAGAAGGTCTTTTTGCTTTTTCTCGTGTACTCCTAGTTTCAAGAAAAAACATATCAGACAATCCTCAATGGCTGGGATATGTGTTAGCCTGAGCGCCGGTTCCTGTAAATCTACAGGGGGCCCACATCATTAAATGCGGCGCAGCAGGTAGAAATGAGAAGTGAAAGCTCCTTAAAAACCTTAGGTTTACTCACCACCCCAGGGAGATCCTAAAACCCACAAGCACCGGCAATCGGGTGACAACACAATGGCTTCAACCCAAGAGAATGGCAATATAGTCGTTCCTAAGGAGTCTATTGCACTTGAATCGCGAAGTCAAAATGATCAGACGCCAGGTTCAGCAGCATACTCGTCATTTGCGACAAGAATTACTCCCACCGCGACAAACGCTCCATCAAACCCGATGGTATTTGGCTTCGGTATGCAAAATGGGGGGCCACTGCCAACACAACACTTATCAAATCGAAATATTAAACTTCCAGTTAGTGTGAGAGGGAGGATTGGGAAGAGAATGCAATTCAATGAGGAAAGTAAACGTCTTTCGTTGCCATCGACTAATGCTCGTCTTCCGTTGACCTCATATGGAAGAAGGATCATAGTAAAACTCCCAGGCGGCCCGCGTAAGGTCATTACTCCATCATTAACAAGATCCAGTCATGATTATCGAATTTTGTCTACGGCTTCAGTGAAGAATAGTCCGTTTGAAGTCTCACATACCGCAGCCTATAATGTGGACAATGAGGAAGCCCCTCTGGAGCAGTTTTATACGCCGGTATTTCAAAAGATATTACAGCAGGGTATTGATATCGCAAAATCTGCGGTCACTGCAATTATAATGTTTGGTGGTACCCCGTATCCAGGAAGTCACGTCCCGAAGCTACTTATAGATGCGCATTCGTTGGCAACGTTCCACTGTTCTGATACGCGAATGATAGCTATCTTAGGAGACTCGGGAGAAGGTAAATATGTGCTAAAACAAAGAGCAAATGATTTATGCTAACTTCGGCTTAGGGAAAAGCAGCTTGATAAATTCGCTGCTCCATTGTCCGGGCGTTGCAAAAATTGTAAGTATATTCGTCTTTTAAGTCGTACTCCTACAAACGCTGGATTAATTCACGGCGTCATTTTTTAGTCCGACTTGGGATCAGCTTGCACGACTGTGATTACAGAATACCGGCAGCAAAAGAAGGGCCAAACGACTCCGATCCTGATTGAGGCTGAGTATCTTACTCAAGATCGTTATTCGGTAGGTGATAAGTCCCCATCCATAAGTACAATAACAGCGGTTAAACACTTCAATTTTCACTTCTGGATAGTGTTTATCTTGATGCAGCTGTCGTAAAGAACGGTATCGTTCTGGTGGATCTCCCAGGTATGCAGTGTACAATTTAAACGACCCTGGGGTGGCAGAATCTGAAAATCTTTGCAGGACCCCAAGATACTAGCTTAGCACGATTGCAAGCAAGACAAGAGTATATCATGAAGAGCGACCACGTGTTTGTCCTCTCCAAGGATATCCCGGGCACGAACCGACAGATTTCTGAAAGATACCATAAACGCAATTTCCCCACTGCAGCAATCTTTGGAGGACAACTCCACGACGAGAAGATTTAATTTGGCTATTGTTTGCACAATTACAGAGGTATTTTTTTTTAATTCTGCCTGCACCTGGTTTCTGGACTGAATCTTAATAGGAGATCGATGAGGAGTCGGCGCGTAAGGAATTCTGCGGCCCTGGAAAGAGAATTAAAGAGACCGTGATGAAACGCTTAGATCAAGAGATAGAGTCTGCAAAGAAAGCAGAGAACTATCTCGAAAAAAGGAAGTTGGAGCAAAAGATAGATAAGAGGGACTGCTATATCCTGAGTAATGGGCACTGATGTCACTAATTAGCAATTACAGGCGGAAACAGCTTCTCATCCATGCTCGAAACGACCATGTTACTGAAACTCTTAAAATGAAGTATACATCGAAGACAACGGGGAAAGAGTTGAACGTATTTTGTATCTCAAACAAGACATACAAAAAGTTCTCAGACCAAGGCAATGCTGGTATGGTTTGTACCAGCGGAATTCCCGAACTGAGACGATTCTGTCTTTCGATGGCAGCTGAGCCCAGGCTTCTTGAAGCCAAGGACTTTTTGCAATCAAAACTACCGAGTCTACTCAATTCGATAACTTTCTGGACAAAGTCTGCTCCTACCCCTAAGAGTGACCACACTCCGTCTGTTTCTCAATTTTTCCAGGACGTGAAGGCTAAGGTATGACCCTTTCCATGTTGTGATGCTGCTTAGAGTTGTCTCTTCAGGTATCTGGAAACTAAATAACCCCTAGGCTACGAGTGATATTTTTTCAATAGACTAAGAGATGCGTGACTCATTCGATGTCTTAATTGGAAAAGTTCTCTGTAAGCTCTGAAGAAGTTATCGCATGTCCTATTTATTTCGTAGTTTCTGACGAGAACAGATAACAAGAAACTCAGAGCTGATTGGATAAACGCTGCAATCATTAAGGCTCAAGATTGGGTTAAGGTAGGTTGAAAGCATGTCCGACTCGGAATTACATCTTTTGCTAATATTTTTTCTGGCTACAATGGTTCAGAGTAAGTCTCAATCACTTGCATACAGGAGAAGAGCGAAAGATCCCAGATCTAACGTATCACTCTTGTTACACCATCAGGCACATATAGTATATGTTGCATGTATAATGGCAATCCCCCTGGACGGGGCCCTCACGCTGTCAACTGGAACAGGGATTTGATCTGGAAGATGAGAACAGATTTGAAGTACCAATGGAAACTGTTCGAAGAGGAGATACCAACTATTTTCGAAAAACTTATGCAGCGACTCAAAAACAATTTAGACAAGTTGGAATTGCATCTCGGAGGTAAGTTATTGCAAATCCTGGCGAATTCTGAACTGTGGAAATCTCATTGACTGTCATGTCAGGCCTTGACCCTAAATCAGTGGAAGGGACTCGTGTACACACGCAAGATTTTGAACATATGTACAGCCGTATTCAGCGAGAATTCGAAAATGGCGTCAGGTAAGGTGCATTCTAAGGGGAGCTCCCATTCTTTTCTAATGCGTTGAATTACATAGATCCATCCACGGCCGAGCATCAGAGTCAGATTCGCAGTCTTACGTCGTTCAAGAAATGATTCCAACATACGATGCTGCTTCTGAGATTAGTGGTTAGTTGTCGCATTGCTCGTGATATTTCCCTTGGCTACTTAGAAGGATGGCTAAAAGGTACAATATGTTCAAACAGGGCCTGAAAAAGCTACTCAACAACGTACTATAATTCAAGGCAAGATCAAAGACGGTACACTTTTCGACGGCATTTTACGCCACTTAATTTCTGACATGGAAGAACAATTTGAGACCTTTCATAAAGTGAAAGACTTTCTGTATGAAACTGTTGATAGTGTACGAGAAAATTTCGACATGATTATGTCCGATGCCGAGGAGAAACAAAAAGCAGAGGAACGGCTCAAAAAGCAACTGGCGGATGAGGTGCAGCAGCTTCTGGGGAAGTATCAGGAGATCCGATTCAGTATGTTGAAGTTTTGACACCTAGATACCGTGAAGTGTGCAAAGATCTTGCAGTTGGTTCATTGTTATCTCTATTTCAAAGCCACCAGAAGAACCAAAATGAAAAGGTGCCTCATTGAGTGCATGTTTTGTCTATGTTGACGATATAGTATCGTTCGAAGTTTTTACTCGGACTGTCCATGGTTTCGTGCTGCAGATTGTCGTTTGTTGGCGTCGGTAGAATTCAAGTCTCGACTTGCAACTGTATAAATTTAGGGTGATCTAGCGACACCCCTCACGTGACTTGGATGTACTTGTTCAAGTCTTGTTGGTTTGCTAGTTGTTGGGGAATTGTTAAGTTAAGTGAAAATCTGTGGTGTCCTTAATTCCCAGAACTAGTGCCCTAACTTATAGGGTTAGTCCCTCCGGGCGTAATTGATATCATTCATTCATACTACCTACTGCAGCGCCATACTTCGTAGCCACATCGAATTCAACGGCCAAAGCGATGGTCCAGTTATCTCGTGGACACAATCTAGCTATGTCATTGTCTTGTCGCGAGTTGCAAGCATACAAGGTAAAAGATCGAATGGAATTTGTTCAAAAGCTATGGCGGGTGCGTGCATACTGCAGAATGCATTAAGTCATAGCTCTCGAGGCCATGTACTATGTAATTACAGGACGTATCATACAGCTATGTATGAAACCGTATGGGTCCAGTCTATTCCTGGTCAGGTCCACGGGGTGTTCTTGTGACCTTCAGACAAATGGCTCCACTCGAGCCAATTATAAAAGACTTGATCCATTGATTGACTTGATGGACCTGTGGCTCCTGCACAAACAATCCAATCAGAAATAAAGACAGAGCGCCACAGCCAGCTCAACATGCAAGCAGGAAGCGCTAAGTAAGCTTCAGCCAATGACTCCAATTCGTATCCCCAGATGTGGCTGCCCTAATACCATGTAATTTTACCGTTACAAAATTACTCGTTTGTCGCTCTATTTCCCCGTTTCACTGGCCGTTTCACTCGCCAATTCAGCAGCGTACATTGTCGCCCTTTAATAGGGACATCACTATTAAGGATTAACTACCCGGACTTGACACACATGATATGACGACAATTCAAGTATATTGATTGGCTCAGGATATGGACCCTGCACATTTGATGCATGCAGTTCAACAAGGCACCGTTACATACATACATACTATGCAGTAGTACATGAATGGATAAAGGAAAGCTTGGGCCTTGTGCCGGGTCCGTGCGGTGATCCGGGAGATTTTCACCCGACTGACGGACCGGCCTCGTGTCTGTACATAATCGTACTGATATCCTCAATCATTAACTATGGGTTTATATGTTGTAGAGACTGGGATCAGGTTGACCTCTTGATCCGGATGTCCCGTAAATGTCAATTGTTTATTCCGAATGGCATAGGTCTACCGCCACACTGTGTGAGTCAAGGGGGAGAGGCCGTACTTCCGTGCCGACGAATCAGATCCATGTTGGTCGGTCCTATGCCAGAGACGTTAGCCCTAGAGTCCTAGCTCATACTAGGCTTTAGCTACATACATATACCTCATAACTTACACTGTAGACCTAAGAATATGATTCCTGATGTAGCTTGACGCAGGTGGTTATCCACATCGGCCAAAATACCGTCGTGCTCGAGATTCAGAGACATGATCCGGAAGGCAATGCTCCTTGCAACTGTCCGGTGCTTATGACGACAGGGTTATATTTCAAGTCCTAGGACAAGTAGCATGACTTCCGTAGTATCAGTAACAGACTAACAGTTCCCAACTTGCTATTTATGAAATATAGATCCACAGATTGCCGTCCTCTAGCCACTAAGTTACTGACTGATATTCGATATTAATAAGTAGGGGAATCTAGGCTGTCTCAAGGAAGCGTGATCATTCGTACGGAGCAGTATTAATCCGTACTCCGTACAGTGTACCGTAGTATGTAAAACCTAACCGCGGCTAAAACAGCCTCCGAGTCCCATGACCACGTTGCCGCCTTCTGAGGCTTTTAACCCATCTCGATCAACCAATCCTTCGCGTTGAATTTCCCGCAACCCCGGATTTCTTTTTTCTCTTTTCTTTTTTCTCTTTTCTTTTTTCTCTTTTCTTTTTTTCACTTACAGGTGGTCCATGCGTAGTACGTATGCTCCCTCGTCATCACCGATGGTTTAGATCCCACCAATTTCAAATCCTTAGCTGCGGCGAAATTAAGACTTGGACTTGGCTATAATGCGTTTTCTGGACTCTGCTATTCGGCCGCTTAGCATACAACCAGGCGCCGGGATCTGATCAGGCCTAGGGAGTACTTGGGAAGTTATGACGAGTCATTTTTCATTTTTTTATGCTTCGAGAGCTGGCTCGATCACGTGGCATATAGTTTGGTATTTATGCTTGCCGAGTAAGTTCTCTCAAAGTAAAAAATCAGCCTACGTCAGGGGAAGTGGAACACGCGCTGACCGGAAGAAGCAATTTCGCCGTGGTCACCTGGAAAGCAGCACCAATAGAAGCCTGCGGAAAGAGACGGGACTCGAGGATAGAAGCTTTTTCCCATCCCGAAGCAGCAGCTGACCGTAAGACAACTTTTGTTTCTAGAATTTGAGATTCTGGGGAATGCCCCCCACTAATGCCGAGACCTGGAGAAGGCGCCGCGCTCTGATTCGTGGGGCTGCGTCCAAGCGCGCCACTATTACTGTATGCAGCCTAGTCCCAATAAAATCCGTCCGCTCAGAAGCAACGTACTCTGTACAGTTCTTCAGCTTTTTGACTGCCTTTTTCAGATTGACCAGTAACGTACGACTATACGGTTATCCGGATGTGTCTTTTGTCCAGCCCTAAGTCCTGGTGTGCGCAGATAATTCAGTCCACGTTCCGTAAGACAACAAATGGGATCGGTATCTGTCGGCTTTCTGTCATTGATCTATTGAATCTATCAAAAAGTAAGGGAAGGGGAAAAAAAAAGAAAAGAAAAAAGAAAAGGAAAAAACTACAAGATTGGCCTCAGGCGATAACTTTATCGAAATAACTCCATCCACTACGGAGTATGTACTGTGTACAACCGCGTACGTTGTACTGTGCTAGCTTGCGATTAACTAGTCCTTCTTTGGTATACTACTACCTTATTATTGGCTAGCGTGTATAGTTCGTATTCGATAATTTCAGAACAAAAGCAAAGTCGCCTGCTTTGAAATGATGAATAAGAATGTCATCAGCCGCTTGATATCTCCCCCCATAACACTCATCGATGCTACTTATTCCTAGCGAAAGCCATATAATCCTTGCCTATAGCATACCGTTTCTGTAAGCGTGCGTACGGCTTGATTCGGCGTTGTGGTCGGTACTGATCGCCATTCGTGCCGAGTCTGCGCGAGCTCCACGGCGATTGGGCCGTGGGACTGTCGGCCTGGTATCATGGGGGAGGACGAGACTTCAATCAAGAACCCAATACAATAGTGTCCAGCAGTCCGAAACTCTCAGTAGTTACGCAACAGCTGTCGGATCCCATCTCTTTAGTGCAATGATGCATTGTGTGGACTTGTGCCTGTACTTGAACAATGTTCCTGATAGAGGCGCCGTTCTCTAGCACGTTCACCGGGGTGGAGTCAGTGAGTGGATGGCCATGCATGTTTGGTCTCGGTGTTTTCGCCAGCCAATACAAAAGTACAGCATAATTACCACTAACGCATACACTAGTAATACCGTAATACCGTAATACAGACATTGCAGGACCGAATGAAGCGCATCTGCGCTTTTTCGGCATAGCGTCCACTGGCTTTCCCCAGCATTGTGGGTCTTGCGAGCAAGATAAGCGTGGCTTTTGGCCATTCAGAATGCACTTTGTCGTGCGTCTAACTCTGTAGCCGCAGTCGTGGCTGTCTCGGATGGATGGGGCGTCTACACGGTGGATTTGATTGAACCCTGTGCACTGGATTTCCGTACAAGCATACATTTCCATTCGCAGGCCAACTGCTGTTTCGAGTTAGTCCAGTTTACCAGTACCGTAATTTACGACCAGCACTGACTAATTGGCATCGGGAAAGTCCTTTGGTGCAACTTACCGTGCACGACCACAGACCTCTATCTCTCCAGCCATCGCCATCATTATCGCCATCGCAAGCGCTGTGTCGATACTTTTTTTTTTTTCCCCCCTCGGGATTTTATAGCTTATACAGCTAGCACAAGGCCTATCTGAAAAGAATACTTACCTTGTCGCATGGTGATTGTGAGCTTGTAGAGCTAGCTCCTTCTACCAAACAGACGCCTCTCATTTGTCAAACTACATACTCGCTACTTCCCCCGTGTTACTGCGGCGAGAGAAGGACGAATGAGTACGACAAGCCAGCAGATTATTGTCGAACAATACGTGCGCTTTTCTAACCATCCCAAATTCCTGCTTACAGGAATTAAGTACCATTCCGAGCGATATTTTGAAATCAACTGATTTCCATTCCTTTGGCCAGACCGTCGTTGTAGCTGGTCCCGATCAAGGCAACAACGGGACCGTATACATCACCACCATCGTGCTTGCCAATTTTCAGACCAGGACCGTGTTCTGCTTGAGTCACTTTTGTCACTTTGACTATCTTCCGATTGCTATCGCTATCCCTACCAATATTATATTATAACAGCCCATCTCCAAAATACGACCCACCAATCGAGTGTATGCGTGGAGAAAGTGGTTAGTTAGACCACCCTGATACCTGTCTCACTGTTCCTCATCTTGCCACCTCTTGTTGAATGGAACAACGAAATAGTGGAGGAGCGCACCAGATCTCTATTCCCGTTTCCATGTCGCTCACTGCTTGCACTCAACTCCCCAGCGTTTTCTCGGTATTAACGCTTCTTCTCATAGATTGATTGGAAAGACCGCCATATAAAACTCCTGCAACATATTTTCTCAGGTCAACGACGACATAGCCTTCATTGGGAAGCCCCGCTGACTTTGACAACGGTTTACTCTTTATCACTGCAATATGTTGGGAGAAGTTATGGTCGCACAAGACCCAACATCAATCGCGCATGGCGACGATCTACTTTCCATTCGCGAAATGCCCGGAGAAACAACTGGTAAGTTAACTCGGTCAACGTGTGCAGGATCTTTCGTTGACCCTGCCATGTGTTGGGACCCCCCGCCAAGCATTTCCTACTTGTCTTTTCCTAACCAGATATGCCATCAGCAGAAGAAACGAAGAAACCCGATACCAAGCCGAACGGCACATCTTCTAATGGACCACAACCGAAGACAGACAAACCACGGCCACACGGGTGCACTACTTGTGGTCGCTCGTTTGCTCGCCTCGAACATCTCAAGCGCCATGAACGGTCTCATACAAAGGAAAAGCCATTCGAATGCCCGGAATGCTCCCGTTGTTTTGCACGCCGCGACTTGTTGCTGCGACATCAACAGAAACTGCACATGACTGCTGCGCCTTCTCGCCCACGAAATGCGCGTCGCGAGAGCACCGGCACTGCAGGGTCTGGGACGAATCGAGTCCGGAAGAATTCTGTCGCTGGCGGCACATCAACTAGCATGCGGCCGAGGGCGAACACTATTAGCCATATCGATAACGGGGCTTTAGGTGTGATCAACGCCGCTAATGCAAATGTCACAAGGCCAGCACTTCAATCGGGTCACTCGTTTCATTCAAGTCTAAGCTCAGCACCTGGCGTTCCAAACTTCGAGACTCGTGGGTACTCCTCTGTGCATCTGCCAGCGAACGGCCTGCCGAAGTTAGAGACTAGTGGGATACCTGTGGATCTCACTGGTGGACTCAGAACGGCACCTGTTTACGGTAGTTTTGACCTTAGTCTTGGTGATAACTTCTTCGGGGGAGGAGGGGGAAGCACGATCAACCCGGCTCAACTTCATTTCGGGAACTCGCCACAATTTGGTCATGATATCCCCCCATCCCCTTTCCATCAGAACTTCCATCCGCTAGCTTCCGTTCCGGATACAATGCTAGATGAAGAGAACAATTTCGACTGGGTCAATGGGTTTGATGCCACCCTTCCATTAGGCCCCGTGAGTGATTCAGCCATTGAGGAGTCATCTCCGTCTGCAATGAGCACCGAGTCCCAAAGTCGCACCAGTGACCCCATGCTTGAAGCTTCAGCTCAAATTGCTTCACCTAACGGCTGGCAAACGCAATTTGCCACGTCGCAATCAGCACCATTTGCAATGGACTTTTCTTCTCCGTTCCAAGAACTGGGTTTTCCTGCGACCGTGGACACGATCTCTCCCAAGTCCTTGATGACTCCAATTCAGTTCACAGACCCGTTTGCGCCTAACCAGCCCGTGACTCCAGTGAGCCAATCGATGGTGGGAAACCATTCGCAGAGTATGTTTTCATCTTCCATGGTAGCGGACCGTGAATCTCCTAATCCTTTCAACGTGCCTTTCGCCAGTAGTCCCTTACCAACTTCCATTCCCACAACAGCGCCAGACGCATTTTCAGACAGAGCCAATAGGCCGACATCATTAACCGGCATACCGCAATCCAGTGGAACGTTACGTCGAGAGTCTTCTCAACTCAGCAACGGAACATCTTACAATCGTGATACTGCGTCTCGCCCCAGTGCTGGCCTCAATGGCTCCTACTTTCTACCAAACTCTTTCGACTTGCAGCGGTATATCCAGGCGTACATCAATTACTTCCATCCACATCTCCCGTTCCTTCACATTCCTACTCTTGATCTTCAGAATTCCGATCTCACCAATAATCTACGTACCGCGAGTGGCCACCTCAACCTTAGTTCAACGGGTGTTGCCGGGGGTGGCGGTTGTCTCCTTCTGTCCATGGCTGCAATGGGAGCTCTGTACGAATACGACATGGCCGTGTCCAAGGATCTTTTTGAATCGGCAAAGAAGATGATTCAACTATACTTGGAAGAGAGACGCAAGGCCGACATGTCAGCCGCTCTCAGTCGGAATCATTCAAGCCGTGACAATCCCGTTCATAACACGCCATTATGGCTGGTTCAGGCTATGCTATTGAACGTTATCTATGGCCACACCTGTGGTGACAAGACCTCCGCAGATATTGCTAGTACGCACTGTGCTGCTTTGGTGAGCCTTGCACGCGCAGCTGAGTTGACGCGCCATGTCAATGCAGAGCAACTTCCTCAGGACTATCTCAACAGCGGTAACAAGCAAAGCAATGGGAGCCCTGATAGTGGTGTGTCGGAGCAGAATTCGCAAGCGCCAAACCCGCCTAAGGAACGAAAAGACTGGTTGGACTGGAAGATTGTAGAGGAGCGAAAACGAACGCTTTTTGCCATCTTTACATTGTCTAGTCTACTCGTCTCTGCTTACAACCATGCACCCACATTGACGAATTCTGAGATCCGCCTTGATCTCCCGTGCGAAGAGGACCTTTGGGCTGCAGAATCCCCCCAAGCGTGGAGGAAAATGGGTGGCGCAACAGCGTCAAAGAAGGGGATTTCATTTTCTTCGGCTTTGGCTTTACTCCTTACCGCAAGCCAGCGAGCCAAATTTGTAAATCAGCCTAGTCAGGCCTTTGGGTCCACCCTCCGAGTGGAAGACCTACCTCAGAGTGATTTGAAGCCTAGCACCTTTGGGTGTTTAGTCCTCATTCACGCATTGCACAATTACATTTGGGAAACACGTCAAAGGCACATGGGACGCCAGTGGACATCACAAGAGACTGATGCTATGCAAGCACATATCGAGCCGGCTTTACGTTCTTGGCAAGCAGCTTGGGCCAGCAATCCATTGCACAGTCTAGAACGTCCAAATCCGTACGGAGCTGGGCCGCTATCTGCTGACAGTATTCCATTGCTGGATCTAGCCTACGTTAGGTTGTTTGTTAATTTAGGTCGCTCGAAGGAAGCATTTTGGGAACGCGACTGGAATGCAATGTCAGATGAACTCGCTCGTGGTGCGGAGATCATCCAACATGCCGACGATGGTGGAATCGACACATACAGTTCAGGAAACATTGATCTGCTACGAAGAGACTCTATCGCCGATCTTGGTGTTGGGGAACTTCGTCTGTCTGCTCAATTGAACCAGGAACAATCTTCCTCTCATCTGTCACGACGGTATAGGCCAAATCAATCGAAGCGGGAACGTCATTTGCGGAAAGCCGCATTTTATGCAGCCGACTCGCTATGTATGTCAGATCGCTTAGGAAACACGTTTGCCGAATGGACTTCACGCGAATTACCCTTGCAGTGCGCAATGTGTTCATTCGATTGCGCCCAAGTTCTAGCTGAGTGGATTGCGACCGTTCAAGAACGTGTTGGACCGTACATGGGGGTTCTTGGACGTGACGAGGTCGATTTCAGTCAAGTTCCTGGAATTATGCTATTAGAAGAAGAGGACTGCAAACTGATTGATAAAATCAAGGAGATCCTGGGAAGCAGTGAGGCAAAGTTACAGCGAGAGGCTCAGAATGCCGGCAGTTCTCCAGCATTCAACATACTTCAACGTCTACCCAGTGCAATTGAAGGTGGTTACGGTAGTAAGGTTTTGATGACTACAGCCTATCTTCTTGATCGCGCTGCAGTTTGGCCAAGTAAGTATTACGCAGATGATGATGTGTTATGATTCACTAACATGTTACCAGTTACGAAACTAATGGCTCGGTCCTTGGAAACACAAGCCTCGCGGATGAAGGAACGCGCAGAGAATTCTGTGATGATTGAAAACTGAGTCTTTTTTTCTTTTACTACATCACGACCGTTCAATATCACTACGACTGCATTATACAAAACATACCTGCTTTTCTTGTTCTCACTTATGATCCGTTCTCCTTGGAACGCCCCTATATTGGATTATCTTCATCGATACGATACCCATAGACGGATGATGCTGACACGAGACCAAGATACACTATTGGCCGAGCAAAACACGGATTCGAATTCAGCATCATATATTTTGGACTTTTCTTCTGGTTTCATATCCTTCCTTGTGTGTGCACGTATATACTTGAAAAAATCTTACTTGCTATTCTAGTCATTCTGTCGGTGCCTTGCCTTTATTGAACTTTCTATTTCACGGGAGGATGTACAAATTGGAGCCGATCTTGCACGTTTTCATGTTCTCCTATATATGAGTTTGGAAGGGAACATCTTCATCTTGCCATTTGGTTTGCATTTGTGGTGTATTTCGTGGTTAATCTATATATGTCTGAGATCTTGCATTTTGCTTGTAGTTTTGGATGACTCTACCCAATTATCTCCACCTGGAACTCTAACTATGGCATAAATGCAGGTTTCAAATGAAGGCAGTCAGACGCCAAGTAAGTATACTTATTTGAAGGTAAGAACATATGATAGATAGGAAAGATACCTAACGACCTGGGAAATGTAGATGTCAACAGACTCGCAAAACATCATCGCTGAACCGTGTCCCTAATCACTTGACCTGACTCCCTCTGGACTTATATCCGCACAAAACAAAAACCCAAATTTTACAAGTGTATCCTAACAACAGAATAATCCGGCACGGCCTGTCTCTGCAAATACGCAATCTCTCTCTTGGTCCTCTGCTTAACCTCACCAGTTGATTTCTGAATCTTGGTCCGACTAACTTCCGAATCGGGCGTGTTGAGTGATAATGGAAGCATTTTCCCGTCTTCTTCGCCTGCTTTGGGGAATGTGTATGTTTCCCAGAGTTTGCCATAAGGGTCGTATTCGCGGTTGATGCGGGCGCGGGTACCGTCGTTGATGATTGTGGTGTATTCCCCGTTATTGATGTCTTTGGCGTCCATGGTGATGGTAGCCGTTGTAGTTTCAGGGGCGGTGGAAGAGGCTTTGGTGGTGGTAGATTTTGATACTCGAGTACCGTAACGGATAAACTCGCCTACGATACCCTTCATATATGCTGCTTCCTCGATACCGGCCAATGCGGCGGAGATTTCGGATTGCATATGTGAAATCATTTCAGCTTCATTGACGGCTGCACCCGCAAATTCCACGGCAGAGATCCAGCCTGATGGTCCAATCGCATCTACACTGGCATTCATCAAGTCAATGATTGCTTTGAGAGATAGCGGAGGCGCGGCTTTGATGGCCTCTAGGGGGATAGGTGGTTCTTCGGTAAAGCGTGCTGTGTATCCGCCAGTGGCGAGAGAGACACGGAGATGATGGACAATTGCGAGAGTGTCTGTATTGGATAGCGTTGAACGTAGGCATGAGACTATTTGGTTCGTTGGGTAGTCGTGTAATCGGGATAGTGTCAAATTGAGCCCTATGAATGCATCCTCCAAGGAAGCTTCCGTGGGAGACGAAGGAGCGAATTTCTGCTGTGTTTCGTCCGTGGTCATCTCACCACCCGGAATACCTGTTATGGTCATTGTCGCTGATTGATCCAGTGCCATTGAACGCGCCCGAGCTTCGTCGAGAAAGATCTTCAAAGCGCGTGCAAGCTCCTCTCGATCAAGTGAAACTGGCCCAGTCAAGACCATAGTAAGAGCTTTCAGCGACTTGTCGCACTCCGCGAGAGCGCGTACCAATGCGCCAGGCTCGAATGGGGGAAGGACTTGGGGTCTGTTGGCCCGACGGACTGCAATGTTGACTTGATTCACAGACATCTGTCCAATTTTCACCAACCACCTGCAAGTCTTTTCGGGCCACACAGCAACCTCCAGTGTCGGAGAAGCATTTTTCAAATTTCCAAAATCATGTTGTCGTACAGTAAAAATCTGGGAAAGAATGGGGGTGATTTGTTCCGGGTGAACAGCTGTTGGTGCTTGACTTTCTACCGAAGGACCAAAGTATCCAACAACGGCTTGATCAAAAGAAACAACATCTTTTGCCTTGGATGCCTTTTCAAGTTCGCTCTTGAAAGCATTCCATTTGTGAACTTCTTGGGTAGATTTGAGACCGAGTAAGACAGCTGGGTCATTGACGCTTGCAGAAGATGAGTTAACACCACGTCCAATGGCATCTATAAGTAAGCCGTCACGTTGACGTTTGATGGATGTTCCTCGTATGGAATGTGTCGATGACAAGTCGAAGGCTTGAAGTGTATTTTCCTTAATAGCCAATGCAATGCCTAGTTTGGCAAAATACCCTACAAACTTCGTGACTGTCTTGGAATCATACTTTCCAAGCGACTTGTTGGCTGAAAGCTCACGTAGGGTTATACTGCGCTGAATGGATGAGTAGTGCGTGTCGTATAAAGCGATGAGCGACTTCCCAGCACCAATGACGGAGTTGGGTGAGATACGCATAATAGAAGAGAAGTCTTCATCCGCAAGGATCAGGCTGGACGTGCATGATGGTGGATATTGAGAAAGATCGTAGTTCACGTATCCATGTCGGAATGACAGACCCAATCCTGCAGATCCGGGATGGAAAGTCCACTGTATCTCCTCGGCATCGGGTTGTGATCCATCAATTTTATGTAGTTCTACAGTTTCAAGCTGTTGCAGTTCGTTCGAGCTTGTAACCTCAGCACCAGACGTAACGGAGAACATATGGACTTTGGCAGCGTGCGAGCTACCTGCTTGAGTAACGAGCAAAAGTACTGGTGGAATGTTGTTTGCTGATATGGAGACGTCTCCAACAGCTAATGTAGCAAGATCGGGACGCCTTCTGAACAATGCTCTCTTGGCATCATCGTGGTCGACAAGAAAAGCAGCCACAATTCCATTATCGAGTCCTGCTGGTTTAACGCTCCATTTTTCAGTTTCCAGATCAGATGTAAGCCTTCTTATCGATCCGTCTTTGTGCACTACGAGTACATCAAATGAATCTTTTGAAGAACTGCTTTCGCTCGACGAGCCGGGAATGATGCCCACAAAGATGACAGGGCTTCGCGAACCCTTCAAAGCATATGAAGCAGACGTTATAACAGGCGCAGATGTTGATCCTGATACAATCTCTTCGAAAAAGCCTTTGATCTGATTTTGCGGTCGTCCGACAGCGCAATAAGTATATCTTTTTACCGCTGATGACTGCTTGTCTCTCAAACGTATAGAGATTGGGCAACAAGAAAATTCGGACTGCGGGGGTACAGCATACGACGTGACAAGTTTGGGATATTGCACCTGATTTTGAATTAGTGAATGAGACTTCTGGACAAAGACAATTTCCCTTACATTGTATACGTTGACACCTTCGCCGTCGACAGCGACAGCGATTTCATATCTTTTCCTCTTCTTTGATTCGGCGAGACTGAAAACTTCACCGACCTGCGTTTTCCCAGTGGCAGCTTGGAGCGGTCGGGGCAATTGAGTCAAGACTGAAGGCGCCGGAAGATCCATGGCTGTCTTTTGCAACAAGAAGTATAAAGAACCTTGCTGCTTGATCTCTTCCTGTTGCTTTCGAGATGCTCACTTTATCCAGAAAAAAAAATCAACGGATTTGAGTTACGCCGGCTTCTAGACCCACTATAAAATGAGCTAACCATATTTGGTATAATGCGAAGGGCACCTTCCAGCTCCACCACTCGTCGCGGTGACGCGCTTTCCGCTTTTCGCGTTTATCAATTTATCTCTTCTCAGACACTTCAACATTTACTCGACCAGGTGGCACTTCAAGAGTTATTATATGACGACTTTCATTTCTCTATAAACATTAACCTCCGTGAATTCTCATCCTCAGTCCGCTGACTTGGAACCGATTTCTCGGCATGTGCAAGCTCAATGTCGACTACCGTTGTGCATAGGGTCATGGACCACGGAGAACAGCAGAAAGTCCACCCTTTCTTCGGGAGTTGTGAGAACATATGACTATTCAATTGACACCATCTTCTTTCTAACATTGTCTTTCTGTAGTCAGAAAAACAAGCAAGACACCAGATCCAGCATCTTTACATTCAGTTAACGAGACAACGACAGATCATTCCGCAGCTCACAAGCAAACACCTAGTCCTAGGGCCCAACAACTATACAATGGACCAAAGCCAGAGGATAATACTCTTGAGGAAGATCCTAACACCGAAAGGCGAAAACGGGTGAAGACATCCACACCAGTGGCGGCGCTCGAAGTCGATGAACCAACACGAACCCGATCTGAAAACACTCCGGTGCCTAGAGATCAACCGTCACTGCCTCCCAGGAAATTGTTGAAACTCAATGCTAATGGAAAATTATTGAGCTCGCCGCCTGCTCAAAAAGTCGAGGCCGTTGCAAATAGGAAAGCTGAGGAAAGACGAAAATCGAGCCGCAAAAGAAATGACACTAAGAGAATTGTCATCAAATATGAAAAGGGATCGGAAATTGGAAAGAGAATTGGCGGCATAATCAATGGCAGAGAACGATATACTGCTTCCCAAAAGCCGGCTGCAGAAGACAATACGACGATCAAGACTAGTACGAAGCCCCCAAAGGCCACCCATCCTTTTTTCTTGTCCAAGAAACCTGCAACCAAAGCTTCAATAGAGGCCTCGCTACCCACAGTAGCCTCGGAGAGTCAGCAGAACTCCGCAAAAAGTATTGCCTCTATTCAGTCTTCTACCAAAAATACGTTCTCCCGATCACTTTTCACCAAACATCCTGAACCAGTCCCGCCTGTATGGCCTCCTAGAGACCTTGTTCATGTACGAGGGGTAGCACATGAAGTTCGCGACAAGTTTGAAGAAACGAACTTCAGCCAAAAGAAAAACAAGCAACGCACTGTGCAAATTGATGATGCCGAGAACATTTTACTTTACGAGTCTCAAAAAGCTCGGAGCGAGATGCAATTCCAAATGTCAGAGTCAAACGAGCCTGTTCTCCGTGTTCCGCTCCGTTGTACTATTAGCGGACAGACGCTACGAAAGAGTATGAAAAGCAAAGTATTGCATAGCGCTGAGTCCAGATCCAAACAAGGGTCCGGCTATCTAGGGGAAGAAGGGAGAGCTCATCCATGTATTGCCAAGCTTTACGCTTCTATTGCAACATCCACAACATCATTTGATAGTGGGGTTTGCGACACGGTGCAATGGGCACAAAAGTATACCCCAAAATGTGCTGAAGATGTGCTTCAAGCTGGCCCTGAAGCCCGGATGTTACGTGACTGGCTTAAAAATCTTACGGTGTCTTCAGTGGGCACCGGAGATATGTCCTCAGATACGAACAAAAAGAAATCCTCGGGAGGCCACAAGTCCAAGAAACGCAAAACCGCGGACAAGCTTGAGGGTTTCATTGTATCTAGTGAGGATGAAGCTTCCGAAATGGACGAACTTGAAGACTCGGAGGAAGACGAGCTGGCTGGTAGAGTGACTGTGTCATCAAAGCGCACTGTCATTCGAGTTGGTGATTCTATAGGGAAATTCAAAAAAGGAGAGAAGGGGCGTTTGACAAATGCGGTCCTGATTAGTGGTCCTCATGGCTGTGGCAAGTCAGCGTCGGTCTATGCTGTAGCCAAGGAACTAGATTTTGAGGTCTTCGAAATCAATAGCGGTACTCGACGCAGTGCCAAAGATATTTTGGAACGTGTCGGTGATATGACGCAAAACCATCTTGTTCGACTGGAAGGAAAGGAAGAAGAATCCGACACTAACATTCATACTACAGGCCTTGGGTCGCCCGATGCAAGACAAAATACCGTGAATATGTTCTTCAAACCGGCCGCTCAGTCTAAAGCAAAGGACAATCGAAGCAAATTGAAAGGAAATGCAAAAAGAGAGAATTCTCAGGAGACTTCGACCACGCCATCTCGTTCACAAAAACAATCTCTCGTACTCTTAGAAGAAGTTGATGTTTTGTTCGAAGAGGACAAACAATTCTGGATTGGAATACTGGCGCTTATTGAACAGTCTAAACGTCCTGTGATCATGACATGCAATAATGAGGGCCTCGTTCCTCTACATGAACTCTCTTTGCATGCGATATTCCGATATCGCGCACCGCCGCCAAGTCTTGCCATTGACTATATGCTACTTATTGCTGCAAATGAAGGTCATATGCTGAGCCGCGAAGCTGTAAGCAGCCTCTACTCAGCTTTGCGTCAAGACCTTCGAAGGTCTATTATGCAATTGGATTTTTGGTGTCAAATGGCCGTTGGTAGCCAAAAATGCGGAATTGATTGGATCCTCGACCGATGGCCAATTGGATCTGATATTGACTCTCACGGTAATAAACTCAAAGTGATAAGTCTGCATACATATCAATGTTGTATGGGCTGGTTCAGTCGTGACATTGCCTTAGTCGACAAGAGCTTGGTAAAAGACTCCGAGCTGTTACTCGAAGGGTTGGATTGGTGGCAGCTTGACATTGACGCAGCAGATGAAGATGTGTGGTGGACCAATTATCTTTCTCAACCTCGCCAGCATCAAAAGCGTATTGATCAATTGCAGGACGTGATGACACTGGCCGACAGTCACAGTGCCTTCGATGTCCTTTCCCGCAATTGGTCATTAGATCAGAACAAGGTAAGGACGTATTCAACTCCACTAGCAACAACGACTAATTGGTGTAGGATAATCTCGACACCACTATCCTTGACATCTCCACGAAAGAGAAAGCCAACTTTCAGGAAGACTACCCATTATTAGTTGCGGATTGCAAGTCTGACTATACAGGTCTTTCGTCTGATATTGGATCGACAGCATACGCGTTGATGCGGCGTATAACACTGGGCGAAAACTCACAAGACGACTCTTTGACTACTGATCGTGTCTTGGCAAGGCAGTCCGAGTCGAAATCTACACCCTTCTTGTCCACGACCTACTACGATGCCTTTGAACCCATGATGCGAGCACCCGATTTGGTTCCACAAGCCACTGGCCGTATAGCTCCTTCATTCGAAAACGGTGTCTCTGCGATAGCTGAAGACATAGCCCCGTACATCCGGTCTATAACGGCATATGACCTGCGCCTTGAGCGCTATAGAGCCGAATTGAGTGGGCTTACGTCGTCAGGGTCAACGAAAAGAAAAGCGAGAACCACTAGAGCTAGTCGAGCCGCGCTCGAGGGAGGGAGTAAATCTCATACTCGCAGAGAGAGATGGTTTCCAGTCGATGCGAACCCTAAACGGATCCTCGCCACTGGTTCCAAGAGTTGGGAGGACGCACTTGCTCAAACAGGTAATCTTATCGTCTTTCCAGCTCTGTCGCGAACCAGGGAGAACACTCTTACGGAATCGGATGACTCTCAGAGCACGGATGCTGAGGGTGAGAACACACCAGGGCAACTACTAACAGAATGAGAGACTAATGGCAGGGGAGCGACTGTCAATTCCTGGGGATCTCTTGTCATATATACATATATCTGTTGCCTACTTAACTTACAAATGTTTTCAAGACCCTTAACCTATCTATAACTATATTAGTGTAGTTATATAATCCTAGGAGTGATTTGGAGTACGGAGGGAACGACAAGAACGTTTTCACTCAGTTATTCTCCTCAAAATGACAAACCTCTATAATCTATTGTAGCGAAGTTGCTTGGGCATTGCATTGTCTTGAGGCAGCGTTTTCAAGCAAGAATGTAACGCGGAGTCCAGACCACGAATGATAGAGGTCGTCAAGGCGCCCGGAAACGCCAAGGCGCTAATAGACTGGCAGTCTCGGTCCGTAGTGGGTACTCGCTAGTCCCATAAGGGAAAGACGTGTAATATAAACCTTTCACTAGTACTGGGGCGCTGTCTCAGTCCGGTTACTTTAGTAATTTATGGCGTTTTGTCTTGTAACGGATAACGAGGCATACGGTCAGTCACATGATTTAATATTTCTGATTGGCTCGTACTCCGAGCATTGGGCACTCGTCACGTGGAGCCTTCTGTTGTTGCTGCGGACTCCCCCCGTCTCAATAATCAAGGCAGTCTGTCTGTCATGCATCAGACACGTTGACTGTTCTGCTTCACTTCCCAGAGACCTGTTCCGGCGCTTGACTCAGCGGTCATATATAATCGATTCTTCATATCTCGTGGCATTGTACTTAAAATCACGCTGCGGTACGCATTTCATTAAGCGAGAGCGTCTTGTCCCGGTCCGACACCCAACACTATCTGTTCAAGCATAGTATTCGCGCCCTTGAGTTTTTCGTATTCATATCTTGCCGTCAATACCTCTTGTTCTATGTTCTCGATTAGCCGTGCGCGTACGTGACCAAAAGAAGAGCGACCGGCATCAATTACCGTTTGTTTCACATTTCGCATCGCTTCATAGCTGGTGTCATTGGGACTTGGCTGGTTGGCGACATCAACAACTTGCTAGAAGTTAATTCTTTATCGAGACTTGTTAACGGCACAATACTTGTTGGTCTACTGCTTGGGTTCGCACCATATTGTTACTGCTTTGATTAGTGGAGGTACCAGGAGCGCCGCGCTTGCGGCTCAATCTATCATTCCAACTCATATCTGTTCTAAGAGACGCAATCCACAAAGCACCCAAGATGTCGTTATTGAAGACGCAATTTCATGATGATTCGGATGCGGACGACGAATACGAGCGCAGCCTTGCGTCTCCTCATTTGCCTACAGATTCCGAGATATCACCCACCGATTCCGATTCTATATCTACGGAGCATACGCCTACAACATACGGGAATATGGGAGATGATCATAGCTCTCTGCGGTCAACAATAACTGACTGGACGGCAGAGGAATGTGCAGACTTCGTGGTTGGTTTAGGTCTTCGGCAATATCGCGCAGCTTTCATAGGTTTGTGATTTGTTTCAGATTTGTTCCTTGATTCATATCTAACAAGGGTGGCGATATAGAGAATGAAATAGTTGGTGAAGCACTGATAGCCCTCAAGCATGAGGAGCTGAAAGAAATGGGCATTAGCAGTGCAGGGCACAGATTAACAATCTTGAAAAGTGTTTACGAGACAAAGGTGAAACAGGGAGTTGCTATTGATCCAGACCACTATATTGCACCATGTAAGTTCTGAAATATTTCGAGTCAATCTATAGAAGCCTCAACTAATCAACTATACAGCCGCCGACCACAATCTGCATGAATCGGCTACATATGGAGATATCACACGACTGGCGCAGACGATACGGGCACGAGATGAAAGGTTAAGCGTTGTCGAGGCAGAATTGAGAAGGGTATCAGAGGATTACCGAAGATTGCGGGAAGAGCTTCTTCCCATATTCAAGTTGGCTAAGGATCGCTCACAACCGTTGCCCTACCAGCCTCCCGTCCAGTCGGGGACGACATCGAGTCCGGAGATATATCACGATGCATCATCTATCATGTCGCCGAGTAACCTCCGCAACGAGTCTTCAGCATTGGGTAGGTCGCTTTCTAGAAGGGTCTACAATGGAGTCACAACCCCTCAAAGCAACAATTCTCCTACACACATACCACCATCGATCCATGAAGGGCGCCCTTACAACGATGGTGCTAACATCGATCCTTCTGCGGCAGCTATGGCGGCGTCTACACATCTGACGGCCTCGATGAACGGCGGCGCTCAAACGTCGCCCGGTATACCATCCCCAACGTCACCCGGACAATTTGGGCAGCAACAACAACAAACCCTTGGCCCTCGCTCGTATGTTAGAGATAATAGCAAAAGCTCAGCAGCCTCGATTCGACCGGGATACGAACATGAAGAAGCACCTCAACCAAACCCGACACCGGTCCCAACACCGACGCCCAGCGCAAGTTCACGATCCGAGTCAAGAAACACAGATTCCTCAGCTCCCAGCGTCGAAATCTTCAAATCATTTAGGGTGTCGATGGACGATCCATGCCATAAAGTACTACCTGCCGCTTTGAAAAAATACAACATCAACGCAGATTGGCGACAATATGCTCTATATATAGTCTACGGTGATCAAGAGAGATGTCTGGCACTGGACGAGAAACCATTAATTCTCTTCAAACAACTAGACCGAGAAGGACGAAAACCGATGTTTATGCTTCGCAAATCTGCGCCAAGCGACGGCACAGCAGCCTCGTATCCTGGATCAGGGGGCTCGGCACCTAATAGTGCTGTATTCGATGGGAAGAATAAGAGTACGGTACCTGGAGGTGTTTTGTGAATTTGACTTTTGTTCTCTGGATGGAATATGATATGAAGAATGTAGAATAGCTTGCATTGTCTGCCTATCTGTCGTCTATCATTCTAAAACTTCACTTCCTTGATTGATATTCTGATATTCTTCAGTCTTAGCCTGCCATTTCTGATTGAGGTGGTCGAGGATAGAAAATGGATCGAACCACTACGGAGCAAGTGTTACCTAGCCGCAAAATTATTGATATGTATGGATATGAATAACAATATCATATCATCTAAACAATTGTTAAAACCCCCGAATCGACAAGGACAAGATGATAACATCATCAATGTTTAAGGCTAGTCAATAACAACGACAAAAGCCAAACCCAAAAGTAAAATAGGCGCTCCTTACAATGAATATTAGACAAGAAAGTAACATGCAATACTATGTATAAGATGTAATGCGGTATGTATGTACCCTGAAAACCAATCATATGTATAGAATGCAGAACAAGGTATAAGAAAGAAAATCATCTCAACGTTTACCAAACATCACTTTCAATGTCTTCCACGTTCTCCGCCCCAGGATATTCTATGCCGATTGCCGTGACTGTATGGATTCCTCGAGGATCCGTTACCATTACCATTGCCGTTCTCCGATATCCCACTAGTGCCTCTAGACGGACGAGTACCATCCGCAAACTGAATCGAGCTTGGAGCAGGCCGTGTTTCTTCGACTTCCTCATCCTCTGCATCTTCCTCATTGACGATAGGCACCCGAACAACTGCAGGTCTTGGTCTACGAGGTACACCACTGAGTTCGGCTTCTTCGTCATCATTCTCATCGTCTGAATCGTCTATTTCACCCAATGCGGCGAGACGGCGTTTTCGTTCTGCGGGTGTTTCGCCTGTGTCGTACTGAGAAGGGGCACTGCGTCCGGTGATGCCAGAGGCGGCTTTCCGTACAGAGGGAGGGATACGTTCCGTGCCGTCGTCTTCGGAGTCATTTTCTTCTTCGTGCGAAGCGGATACAGGCTCGTCTTCTCCCGCGAGTCGTCGACGACGTTCTTGAGCGTTCCCGGAAAACTGTGCTAATGCACCTGCGACATCATGTGTTGGAATATCACGGACAGACTCAGATTCGCTATCGCTTTCACCAGACTCTTCTTCAGATACAGGGTCTCCGAGCATGGTTGTAGGGTATGTTTGAGAGTCTTCCTTGGCCTTTTCTTCAACTGTATCTTGTACAGCCGCCTCGTGCCTGGCGACTTGTTTCACGGCCGGTGGAGCATCAGACTTCTCAACCAGGTTGCGACGTGCTTTGGGATCTAATTTGCTAATCTCTTTGATGAAGTCTTGCTTGCTCATTCGTCTTCCCTTCACACCCACTCCTTTGCTTTCAAGAGCGGGATCATGAGCAACGGTGAATCGCAGACCGTCGTCCAGATCGAGGTCATCTCTGCGACCAGTTTTTTGTGAAGCTTTTGACGATTCTCCCTCTCTCTTTCCAACCCAAGTACCCATTCTGGTTAGACCTCGTCGTACCTGAGACTCAGTAGCTTGAGCTGCTGGAACATCTGCACTCTTTCCAGCTGAAGGGATAGTGTATTTCTTGATGACTTCTCCATCTTCATCTTCGACAATGATAGTGTCTCCAAACTGATAAGCGTGGGCAGATTGACGGGGCGGTTTTGCAGGCTTGGTCGTGGAAGGCCCTGCTTCTGTAGATGGCTCTTTTCCTCCCCAACCACCCCAGTTACCGAAAAGGTGACGGAAGGAGCGGCCTGGGTGGAAAGCGGTCTGTTCGACTTCTTTCTGTATTTCCTCTCCTTCTGTCTTTTCGTGAGGGTGACTCTTGGACTTGGCGAACTCTCCAGATTTGTCGGCTTGAAGCTTCTTGTGTTGTTCCAATATATGTTGTCGCTGCTCCTCCGGAGACTCGTGTGTGATATCCTCAGTTCTGAGAACATTTCCTTCCTCGTCTTCAACAATAAGGTGGTTGCCTTCTTGATAGACTTCGATCTCGGGTTCTCGGCCGTATCTATCGCGCTCCGCTCGCGGTGGTGAACCTTCTCGTTCAATGCGGTCCCTTTCTGCACGTTCCTCTTCACTCACAGGCGATGGTTCTTCGGGCGCCGTAGGTTTCTCGTCGGTGGGAGATGTGACATCTGGACGTCGTGCTGGCATGATGGCTGACTGGCTGATAGGTCCTCCAGCGTTGGTCATTCGCTTACGTCGTCTCTTTGGTCGTAGACTCTGTGGACGCCGACCCTCATCTTCTCCTTCCTTGACACGACGGAGGAAGTTTCCAGGCACACCGATAGGTGGTAACATTCCCGGAGGATATTCTTGTTCGTTAGAACCTTCAGAGTCCGCCTTTCGGAGGGATAAAGAGCTTCTTGACATGGATTGGACGCGCGGAAGTCGATTCATCCAAGACGGGCCCTCATCATTCGCAGTAGTATACGACAATGTAATGGTCAAAGTATTGATGCGTTTCCCAAGAGTGAAAACAGCAATTGAAGATCCATGCACAATAATCGATGCGATAACAAGGAAAGTGGTGATTGGCCAGATCAGCTGTACAATCAAATAATTCTCTTCGCCGGGACGAGGCATATCGGCCAGTGCTTGAGGTTCCGTGCTATCGTGTTCAAGCTCTGCTCGGGCCAGAATCGCAGCGAATATTGCACCGACACCTATCGGTCCGAAATGGCCAGCAAAGAGTGCCTCCCGCCATGTTTTTATATCCGGTATGATCGGCTTCAAAGCCATCATGATGGGGATCCGTCGGAAAAAGATAACAAGTATAGCGATGACAACGAGTCTCCAGGGAACCATACCAAGATCGGGCATATTATAAGAACTCCAGGGTATAATCGAACCAAAGTAAACAAAATACGCAAGATTGAGAAGCAAGTCAATGACGTTGGAAACGTGCGATTCTTCAGTTTTGGCGGTAAACCAACCGTCGTTACTGAATCCCACCCCAGCGGCGAATCCAATCAGAAGATCATCCATACCCAGGGTACTACCTGAACCAGCGCAGAATAAAGCCAGGACAAAATAGAACACCAGGAAGCTCTCCCGATCGATTAGATTCTTCTTTTCCGCAAACTTGATCATATGACGGGCGATGTACCCGACAAGAAAGCCATACACAGCACCAGCAACACATTCGTAGAGAATGGTATTGCAGATCCAGTGCAAAGCGACTTCATGAGGTACGTGCCGATACTTGATAATGCTCAAAGAAAGATAGATGAACGGAAACGCCATTCCATCGTTACAGCCAGATTCGGCGGAAAGAACATCTCGCAAATGCTTGGGCACGCGTTTGGCGAATTTACCTTTACCGACGACTGAGGACGCCAGAACAGGATCGGTGGCAGTGACACATGCAGCGCATGCTAAGCTTTCAAGCCAGGACAAAGGTGGAATCAGCCACCAGATGAAAAGGCTCGTTATAAGCCATCCATACGTCATGACTGGGACAAGCAGAAAGAAGACGGAGCGCCAGTGTCTTTCCATATAGGATTTGGGCAATTCAACTCCGACGGCGAAACATTGTACGACCAAGACAATGCGCGAGCATTCCAGCGTTATCTTATCCACATTTCCCCAGGTGTCCGGACTAAAGAGATTCGCCGCATACGGGCCAAATATAATACCGCAAAGCGTAGCAACTGTAGCTTCGCCGATGTAGAGCTTCTCCTTCACGAAAAGCGAGCAAAGCATGAACAGACTGGTGAAACCTCCCAGAATGATGTAAGCCCAGTGAGGTTTGTCTACTGACAGCTGGTCCCACGCCATGTTGTCCTGTCTGATCTGATTCGGAAGACGACAGCGAAAGGACTGCCAATTGCGGATCTCTATTAAGGGATCAAGCGAATGCCGAGTCTATCGAATTACTCGTACGCTGCTTTATCGGGTTTGACAGGGACGAACTCCAAGTTTAGGCGTGACCTCCGTTTCCAGTTGATGCTCTTATGCATATCTGTAGCTCACAGCCACTGAATCACGATACTACGCTTGTTGGAGATGATACTGCCCACACGAACATGAGTTAGCGCTTTAATTCAAAGAAGAGACGTGATCGTAGAAAACATAAGAGCAGAATCCGAAGGAAAGAAGAGCCCAAGAGGCCCAAGGCAGCGGAATCAGTGCGGCTGATGCGGGAAGGGAACAATGACCAAGGAAAGATAAAGACTTGGGAGGATACAGCGTACCAGAAATATGCCTGTTTCATGCCAATGCTCGCATTGACTGTTGTCTGGTGCGAGGTTGGATCTGTCGTCTTGGAGTTCTTGGTCTGAGTCGAAGTGGGGCGTACAAGAGGTGAGAATAGATAGCTGATGATATCTCCGAGAAATCACGGGCAGGCGCAAGGCATATTATTCTCCGGACGGACAATTGATTGCCGTATATATCGATAGGAAAATTACTATGTTGTGCAGGATAGCACTCGCACGGAGTAGTGTGATTGTCCTCAAAATTGAGAGACGAAGTAATCAATCAATTAAGAGAAGAGAAGATGACGAAGGAAAGAAAAAGTTCGGCACTGGCCAAGCCTTGGCGGGTCCAGTGATACGCCACTGGATTACTCTGAACTTGAGTGTAGATGGACAGTGAGATAGTTATTGATCTGTTCATTTATATTCTGATCGTGTCTGCCAGAAGCGGAAGTGGAGATATTCTTTTATTTTCTTTTCCCTGGATACATCGCCTTCCTCCAGTCCAGAATGTAATGTGTAATATTTCGTGTAATCGGTACGGTAAGCCACGCGTAAAATTACTGCAAGCGGGCTGGGCGGATATCGGATGACCGGGGCCAGCCTGCCAAGAGCGGAGCTTTTCTAACAATGGAAAATAATCAACGCCTAAACAATCCGGTCTGCGCAGCAGAAAGGACTCGAAGTTCCCTGCAAGAGCATGAGATCGTGACACTGCAGAAGAAAAAAAAGATTCATAAACGAACTACTTTACGCACTGCCGTACTACATCGCCTGTTATACACATCGTCCAAGTGTTCTTACCTTGCATGGGCCATGCGGCGATTGGGATCCTCCAATGATCTATTCATTCCCCGGACACCTAATCTCGGTTAGGGGTTACACCATACTCTCCGTATTCAGGCGTTCCGGGGTCTTGTTTAGCATGGCAGCCACACGCGCTAGGACTCCCTGGCTTCCCTAAGAGCCGCCGTGATACATACACTTAACTTACTTCGAGGGCATTGTTTCTATCTTCAAGACTGGAATGTGAAATTAACGTTCGGCTGGTGTGTGTATATCGAATCGACAATACGATGCATCGCCTGCTCGCTATAATGAACAAAACGATCTACACGGAAAGACACCCAACCCTTTCGCCGGCTTCTTATTGTCAAATTGCGAAGATATAGACTTATCTAGGTACGTGGTCAAAAAAGGAAACTGATATATCAGCTTTTGCCAGCACACTCTCGTGACTTTCTAGAATCCCATTGCGGCTACAGCGGCTAAGTCCTAACTACATGACCAACCGCATACGACGTGCTAGAACAACTGCTTCAATTCCTGCCTGTCGGTCAACTGTCGGAGTCCTACTGCATTGCTGATTGGTATATGCTAAAAATCATGTGTCTCGTGCTCTTCAGATTTTGACGTCTGGACTGTTCTACGGCTATGTTTTCATTATGTGCATGCGTCGGCGTGCCCTAAGTTGACTACTCCGCAGATCTACATGCTTGTGCTTGTATCTCCAAGGTGCAAAGGCCTCGTTCCTATAGGTACAGTCTAGACTCGTATTGAAAATGACTAATATCTCAAGTGCCGAGGTATGCATACGAACTATACGTAGTAAGATTAGAGCCCAAGCACAGGGTAGACAGAAACAAGCTTGTTTCGTCTAGATAAGTACATGAGGACCTAACTAGGTAGCGACCAAGTCTCAGCAATCAAACGGCACAGTGTTCCGGGCAGCTTGAAGAAAGATCACGAGAACTGAATCGGATGAGCCAATCAAGGGAAAACACAAGAATATCAATCACAACTGCACCCGTTGCACGACAAATATGACAGTAAATATCTTGATAAAATCGAGAGAAAAAGCCATTATCTGGTATTGTATGGACCACTGGGCGCCCCAAACAAGGCTTGACGACAGTGAGAAAAAAGCAGGAAAGCAAACATATATCCAATGACATTCAAAACAACCAATAGCAATTCAACAACCAAAAACAGGCCTGCATTGCAAAGCAAGAGGACAACAAAGACGACAAATGAGAAGCGTGGTATATGTATGCATCAAGCTGCGGTATGACCCTTTCAACATAAGAAAGCCCATTATATTTAGAGAAAATCGATTGGTTACTCTCCAGTCGGCATTCCTTCTACCTCTTCACTTAGTCCCCGCCAATTATCGGCCTGAAGCTCTGCATATTTGACTCGCTCCTGACTCCAGTCCTGATGCAGACGGCTGATATGGTATTGGCTGTGTTGGAAGTAAAGAAGCTCGTCACGAATGCATTCTTTGATGAAAACGCCGCGCGCGTGTTGCTGTACAATGGACTCTTTATCCTATTCCAAAAATTAGCTTGATTGTAAACGAAGGCATCCTGCAAGGTAATTGCCTACCTTGAAAATAGATTCTTCAATCTTCTCAATCTCTCCCGGCTTAACCGTTCCTTGAGGACGACTCCTCAAATCCTGTAATTTCCTCTCATTGGTCTCAATACGCTTTTCGAGTTGAGGAATGTTATCCTTTGCAAGACGATCCCTCCTATCGAACAGATCTCGCATGCTAACGACGCAGTCTCGCTGTTGTTTGAGGTCTTCGAGTACTCCGTCGGTCCACGCTCGTGCCTCGTCTTCTAGCAGACTCTGACTCACGGAGAGATGTCTTGCGGTTGCATTGATTCCTTCGTTCAGTAACGGCACATCATTCGTGTCCACGGCGTACGTATTCTTGGTAGCTTCGGTCAGAGACTGCAGAGCCAACGAAAATCGAAGATGATCCGCCGCTAAACCCTCATTGCGTTTCGCCAATCGCTCAAGTAATGCACAAAGATTGATAAATATTTCAGCTGAACGCTTGACGCCCGACCGGACGGTATCAAATGTCTCATTTAGAGTTGATGGTAATGAATCTTCGAGGTCAGGAGGTAATGTTTTGCCCGCAAACTCTTCTTGTACAGATATGGTCGCCTGCTTGCGCCATACCGATAATTCCTGAAATAGACTCAGTAAAACATGAAACGACAAGTGCTGAAGGCTGACTCACCGTAGGAACAGTCAAAAACATAACCACCAATTGCTCCTGATTCAAGACCGGATGTCTCACAAGAGCATTAGTAAACCGAACCAATCCACGACGACGCTTCTCAAGAAACGAATTTGAGTCCGCTGAAAGATGAGTACCATTGACTTTGATCAGAAAAAAGGAACTGTGAGCTGAATCTTAGGTTATAAGGGTAAGGTTCTTTGACGTACCTGCAACTCTCTTAGGAGGAAGAAGTGGCAATTGCCGGAATGGATATCGCTTGTGTAGACAATCGAGTAACCAGACAAAGTCACTATAACGTCTTACTACCGAGCTCCCTCGACGAGCGGACTTTACTTCGTAATTGCGATGCTGGAACATGAAGAGGCCTTCTTTTTCGGGTAATAATGTCACTGTTACAACCTCTTCTGCCCCTGGACCAGTCACTCGGCCACCTCCAAGAGATCGACCTTGAGGGTCGATGCCTTCTTGAGCATTACCCGGTTGTGGAAAGGCTTCAAATCCTGGTTGAGCGGTCGAGCCGAATGGAGCTGTTTGAGACGTGTTATTATATCCACCCCACCCTGACCCGGAGCTACTAGGAGGACCCTGTCCGTTCGATTGGACTGTACTTTGTGACTCGTTTGCAGTTGCAGCGGAGGTGGCAGTACCCCAGCCATTTGTAGACGAACGGACACTGCCGAAGCCATTGAGCGTGGACTCATGGGTAGATATATGACTGTGTCCACGGTGAAGATCCGGACTGCCCCAGGGATCTGCTTCTGGTGTACCAAATGATGTTTGTCGCGGTCGTGCGTGGACAGGCTGTTGTTGTGATCCGGGTTGTTGCGTCTCTCCTGGTTGCTGTGTGGTGGACGCGGGTTCGGCATTGGAGTGTCGCAGTTCGTCGAGATACGATATTTTAGGCTGGGGTAGTTCTAGCTTCACATCAGTATATTCTACATGTCAAACACCCGTTTTGTAAGACAAACGTACTGTTCCGCCGTTCATCCACAGCATCAAACGTAATCTCCTCACCCTCTTGAGCCAGACCTATCAAAGCCAGCAAGACATTGAATTCATTCCGACCCAATCCTTCAGACGACGCTTCCTGGCCTCCAGGTAGCACCAGATTAAGAATTTTAGCCTGATTCGCCGCAGTCAATCCACTGCTCGCAAGGATCTGTCGAGTTGTCGTAAGCCCGACCCCGGCGCCGCCTCGACCACTAGAATCCAGAACCAAGTCAAAACCATTTATATAACTATCCGGCACGTCCGACGCAGGAAGAAGGTTTTTGACCAAGTTCTGGCGCCCGCCTCTCTTAGGCGTGGGCATGTCCCATGGTGAGTCGCCGCCGTGATTATCGTCGGCAAAGAGCGCTGATCCGGACTGGCTGTGTGATGGCTCGTCATCGAAAAGGGAGGATTTGGATAGGCGAGAGGGATTGACTTCTGTAGATGTCTCGTCGGGCGACGTGCCGAAGAGCGACATGCTGGCTGAAGGCTGCTTGTTGTATTGTGTTTTGTTGCTCGCAGAGGTCTGCCTGCGTCACCGGTGGAGCGGGAGTTGGTCGCGACTTATCAAAACCAATGCGCAACTCCGATAATCTCGTCGGCTCTGTAAAATTGACTGTATGTGAGCATAAAAGATGGAAGAAACCTGCCAGAGAGGCGAACCTACACGGAATGACCCAGTTCAATTGCAGGAGCTCATACTGATAGCTGTGGTAGGTCTTGAGAGCGGGACGGCAGGCTGGCAGCGCTAGGGCCTACTAAGAACTAACTGCTCTGGTCAACGAAGCAACAGGCAGATAAAGAGCTCTCATAAGTACGACTACGTAACTATAGTTTTGTAACTAGCTAGAGCAATAAGAGACACTGATTACGCCACTGCGTTACTCTTAGAAGAGACCGCTGTGCATTTATTGTGTATTTATAAGGCATATATTGACTGGATATCAAGAGATCATAAAACATACTCGACAATGCACTTATCTCAGTAGCTATATCCTATGGGCTAGACAATCATGACAGCAGGAAGCATGTGGTGTGGTAGTTATGCCTGGTACCTAATAATAGGCTGACTACCCGTGGACGAAACCACCTCTTTGGAGCGCCGCATCTACAATTTCTCGTCACCTAATCACCCATTGGACCTGAAAGCACCGAATTAAAAACGATGCAGCAGTCTTGCGGAGATACACTACTCTCGATATCATAGAACCTGAAAAAGAAAAGAGTCAGCTGTCGCCACCGGTACACTTTTTAGTACATCTACAACTCGGACGCGATTCCGCACGCCGACACAATCGTACCGGGCCTTTCTCCCCGCGCTTCCTCCATTCTTTGCAGGCCTCTCTGCGTACAATAAAAAAAACTCAAGACGAACAAGGAGTCTGTCGGAGGAAAGATCACATCACATCTATCCCAATTATGCCCAGCGAAACAACTTTCTCTCCAGAGACCGTCGAGTCCGAAATTTACAACCATCTACTGTCAGACTCATCCACAGCCCTCGACGATCTCCATGCGAACCTCCTCTTCTCCCTACAACGAGCCGGCTGGACCGAGCGAGTTCAATCCTTGTCTCTAGAACTTTTGCGCGCGGGTCGCTGTACACATTTCGATGATATGGTCGATGTAGTCGTTACGCTTGCTACAGGCCAGACGCACCCTATTGTCCCTGAAGCGAATAATAACACGACAACAAATGGGCATGAGAAAAACAGTAGTAATGGTACTGCCACTGCTGCGAATGGGGTTAATAATGCGACCAGCTCAGAGTCATTTTTCAGAGATATCGATGTGCGAATACCCAAAGAGGTTGTGGAACAGGGCGTTAGATCTTTGAAAGACTCCTTAAGATCGTTTGCTACAATCGAGGATGACGACGACGGCGGGCCTGAGGTTGACGATAAGGAGCTTACGAACGGCAAGGCTTCGAAATCAGAGAAAGAGCAGACAAGTCAGTGGAAATAAAGTGTTCGAGTCCGGCCAAAATGCGGCTGGAGTCAAGGATAGAGTGAACCTGGCAAGGATTCCAAATAGATCACGCGCATGAAAGGGAGGACGGCTTATTGCGGTGTGTCATCTACAGGAGTTTGAAAGCATTGATGATGGAGTTTACGGCTTTGGATACTTCATGGTTAGCGTGTCGGAGACATATCATGGTGTCTATTTTCAGATCCAATCTTTGGAGGCGTTGGCAATGTACAATAAATGACATGCATAGAATCTACCTATGATTCATCTTACAGATCTGTTTGGATCATCCTACAAATGCGACGAGATTAAGCGAATCATCTCTATTTCAAGCACCTAAGATGTATAAAATACAAGAAAAGCACAGCTGTTACATAGGAAAGGCATCATCAAGAATAGAAAATAAATCCCTTCCCATATTTGGTCAATTCTAATCTGCTTGATGTGGTCCTAAATAATCTGGAAGAGCCAGTAACTCTTCCCAGGGATGAAGTGACAATCGAGCAAGCTTTCAGCACAAACTAGTCAACTTGATAAAGGTGAAAAGGGGGTAATTTGAATTTGAATAAGATTCGTCACCGTTAAGAGGCGTGCAGTAATTAGCGATCAAACTCTTAATCATACAAGCTGTCATCGTTGCCTGCATCACCGAATCCATTTTGCGCACCATCACCACTAGTAACCTCCTCAGCCGAGGGGAAACGGAAGAAAGCACTGCCACCCGAGTTCTTCATGCTCTGAGCAAAAGCCTCGTATCGACGAATTTCAACATCGCTGACGGATTTACGAGCAGAGGCCATGGCCTCTTCGAAGTGAGCACGGGTAAGTTCGGGGACAGGGTCCTCGCCCTCGGCCTCATCCATTTCCACGTCCTCACCAGCAGCCTCACGCTCGCGCTGGCGCTCAATGTCGAGGGCAATCGATTGCTTGATAGCAAGCTTGACGGCACGCTGGGTCACGAAGCCAAGATCGGCACCAGAGAAACCGTGTGTCTTGCTGGCAATGAAAGCAAGATCCACATCAGGAGCAACAGGAGTCTTGCGAAGCTGCGCCCTAAGAATACCCTCACGAGAAGCTTGGTCGGGAAGAGGAACGTAGACTAGTGTGTCGAGACGACCAGGTCGGCAAAGTGCAGGGTCAAGCTGCTCGGGTCGGTTGGTGGCACCGATGACGAAAACGTTCTTCTTTGAAGTCATACCGTCCATTTCTATTGTTCAAATGTCAGTTTAGACCAGAGACTTGATTTAACATCAGTACTTACCAGTCAAAAGCTGGTTGACGACACGGTCAGATGCACCGCCAGCATCTCCAACAGAACCACCACGTGCCTTAGCAATAGAATCGAGTTCATCCAAGAAGACAACACACGGAGCAGCGGCACGAGCTTTGTCAAAGATATCACGGATGTTGCTCTCAGATTCACCAAACCACATGCTAAGCAACTCAGGACCCTTCACGGAAATGAAGTTGGCAGAGCATTCATTGGCAACTGCCTTGGCCAGCATAGTTTTACCAGTACCGGGAGGACCATAGAAGAGAACACCACGTGAAGGTGATAGACCGAACTTGAGGAATTTTTCGGGATGTTCGACAGGGTATTGGACGCTCTCTGTTTGATTTGTCAGTACTTGCCGAAAGTAGTACGAGTTTTCACTTACCGATGAGCTCCTTCTTGACGTCCTCCAAACCACCAATGTCTTCCCAACGAACATTGGGCACCTCCACAACAGCAACTTCGCGAAGAGCAGAAGGGTTGGAAACACCAAGAGCAAATCGGAAGTTCTCCATGGTGACACCAAGCGAATCGAGGACCTCGGCATCAATGGTATCCTCATCGAGATCGATAAGGTCCATCTTCTCACGAATCTGTTGCATGGCAGCTTCCGAGCAAAGAGATGCAATATCCGAACCAACGTAACCGTGAGTCTCAGCAGCAATAGCCTCAAGGTCAACATCTTCGGCGAGTTTCATATTCTTTGTGTGAATCTGAAGAATCTCAAGACGACCAGTTGGGTCAGGAATGCCAATGTCGACCTCACGATCGAAACGACCAAAACGACGCAAAGCAGGGTCGATCGAGTTGGGTCGGTTCGTAGCAGCCATAACGACGATGTTTGAGCGAGCTTTCATACCGTCCATGAGGGTCAAAAGTTGAGAGACGACACGGCGCTCGACCTCTCCGTTGGTCTTCTCACGCTTGGGGGCGATGGAATCGATTTCATCAATGAAGATGATGGCAGGAGAGTTCTTCTCGGCTTCTTCGAAGGCCTTGCGCAAGTTGGACTCGGACTCACCGGCCATCTTGGACATGATCTCGGGACCGTTGATGAGGAAGAAGAAGGCACCGGTCTCGTTGGCGACGGCACGAGCCATCAAAGTCTTACCAGTACCGGGAGGACCGTACATGAGAATACCTCGGGGAGGCTTGATACCGATCGATTTGAACAACTGAGGATGACGAAGAGGCAATTCCACAAGCTCTCGGACTTGTGCCATTTGTTTCCTGCAACCACCAATATCATCATAGCCAACTTCATTAAGGTTTCCTTCTTCGTCTTCACGCTGAATAGGCTCGCCTTCGCAGTGGACGATTGTGTCCTGAGCAACGATACCGTACTCTGGAGGATCGACCTCCACCACCTTGAACTCTACTTGTCGCATACCCCCGCGAACTGTAAACAGATCGCCCTGTCGAACTGGGCGGTAAGCTTCGCGGAAGTAGGGCGCAAGAAAAACGTCGAACAGGGAACCGGTGAGACCCTCCACTGTGTCGGCGATGGGAAGAACGGCAATTCGCTTGGCCTGGAGTTGATAAGTGTTAGAGCTATACACTCAGAAAAGCCCATTGTTAACAGGTTCTCAACTTACATATTTGATATCTGGGCATGGGTGGACAGTGATGATGTCGCCGTGTTTCACACGGAGATTGTGTCGGACCACGCGGTTGATGCGAGCACTGCCATCATCAAGGTCATCATCGGCAAGGACAATCAGAACGGTGTCCTTTCGCTTCTTTCCCTTGACCAAGACTGTGTCACCACGGAAGAGCTGTAGAGTCTCCATGGTGTTGTTTGACAAAGCAATAATCGAGTTGTCATCGTTAACGGCATCGGTCACACTAAGCTCGTAATTAGTGGGATGTTGGGCTTATCTCCCTTGTCAACTGTTGAGATCACTTACATCAACGAGTTGGGCTTCTTCTTCTTTTTAAGAATAGCTGTAGCTGTATCCAACTCCTGTAAGAACATCGATGTTAGAATACCTTCTATATGGGTAAACTGAGGCGTAGACCTACTTCTTTCTTGTCGGCGCCCGAGGGATCACTATAATCCGACTGTCAGCAACTGCATGCAGAATCATCCAAAACCAGACAGAAAATCAAGAGAACTTACCTCAGATTCACCCTCTGCTTCGAATGAACGTGATCAGGCTCTGAAGACATTTTTCGATGAGCGTAGAGAAATGTGGCAAGTTGATCGCTAAGCTGGATCTAGATAGTGGTTCTAGACGTCACCCGAACTCAGTCGCTATGAGAGTGAGAACGACAAAAATAAGGAAACAAAAATGACTCCCAGATATGGGTAGAAATAGATGAAGCAACACAAGGAGAAGGTAAGATGAGAAAGATAGATGGTAGGGGTGAGTGTAGTAGATGGATGATGGATGGAGTGGTTGAGGTGGACAGCAGCTCCAACGGAAGAGGTGAGTGACGATACCGCACTAGCGCCAACGATGATTTGTTAGTAAGCTGGGCCACTCTGAAGCCCGGGCGAGGGCAACTCTATATACCTACACACTTGGACGCAGCTGAGAAGAAAAATGGATCAATCGCCCGGTTAATGAAGGAGGCAAACCTGAGCTTCCCTTCCAATTTGCTGAAGATAGATATGTGTCTTCTTCGTTGGGATTACTAAAGCTCTGTTTGTCGCCTTCTGCCTTTCACGCTTTGTTCCTGGAGAGCTTTCAGGGCCAATGAAGTCGCCACAATATTTCACCGCCTTGGAGAAGGACATGGAATCGACTCGACCGATCTCTCTCTGCTTACACCACAACGACATGTTCAGAGATATGCTCCCTGGACTAGTCGCCTAATCGCATATTGATCATCTGACATGGTGGCATTCCCGGTGTGCTTAAAGCGACATATTCTGAGCACGCCTCGTTGCCGTATTGGAAGTGTCCGGTCTGATGCAGTCTCTCGTCGCAGCTCGACTTGGAGGGGTTCTCGCGCTCATCCAGCGCAGTGCCAGCAGTGGATTGATGTTCTCAATTGCCTTTCTCGCTATATTCCATCATACTCGAAGTGTGTCCGGGCGACATCAGATTCGAGGCAATACAGCTCTATCGCGGTCAGTTGAGACGACATGCACTTCACTCGGGGGTTAGCCTACCGGTTTACGAGCTAGATGGACACTGCGGAGTCGACCTTCAGACTCTCAAAATCATATATATCATTCACCATTCTTGAACTCCCTTGTTCGGTGATCTGACCATATTAGCACGACATCGCCGTAACTAACTATAGGTAGGTAAGATTACGAGTGAAACACTGTTTCATGATTCCCTGGCTACTTTGAGTCCCTTCACTTTAGGAATTTTAGAGCTTGCAACCTATGCGCGGCTCACCACATTTATGGCTGGATCGAGAAATCTCACATGCAGGTCGACGTCGGCGACTCCTAAGATTCTTTTTTCCAGGCTATTCTTATTGCAAACCGGAGACAAACAGTACACTGCTTAGCTGATCAAGACCATGAAATGCGGTTGTCTTTTCTCGCCTTGTTCGCGCCACATACACGTCTGCAAAGTCCGAACTTGAGGCTATCTAATGCACCTGATTACTGAACCTAGGGACGCGCCGCTGCGTGTTATGACAAATTCTTTGAAGATCAGATTTACAGATAGTACTACATTCGGATAGTTGACATGACGTTCCATCGGTTGTGGACGAAGACCGTGATTCCCGCCACATGTACCATGCAACCACGGAGTAGATACACGTTCATTGATTCCTCGATTCCTCGAATAATACCGGCCCAGATCTTCACGCAACTAACCACTAGTTATACAGGATGGGCCAGGGGTCGGATATCGGTCAAGCTTCACTAACGCGGTTTGGCGTATTTAGTGACGGTAGTACACCATCAGTGGGTACGTTGTCTACCCAGTCAGCAGAAAGATGTTTAACTTGTGGCCTCCATCTCGAAAGGATCGTCATACCGAAATATCGATCGGGACAGATATCCAATTCATCTCTTGCACCTCGTGTTTGAACTCTCCAGCTATGTGTGGGGTCTTCATATCGTCGAATGATGATGTCCGTAAACCAAGTCCGGCATAGTTCAATGAAGAATGTGAATACTGTTCAAATGAGAGAATCGCATGTACGCATTACAGTCTTTCATCGAGCTAGCAGCCTCGTTCTCAGGCTACTTGCATCCAGAAGGGTGCAGATACACCATCCTTAACGGACCACAGTCGTGCGACAAGACTGCATGACCCAGATCGTATAGACCAAACAAACAATGAAACCACTTGGCACGGCTGGAGCCGGGTGACTAATTTGTCGTCGTAGATTAGTTGGACATTACATTTTGTCAGTCAAAAAGTATACAGATCAGGTGATTTATGAGGGGTAAGAGATAAAGTGAAACCCCTCCCGCGCATATAAAAACAAACCTCTTCACCCCCGGCTCGGAACAAGACTCTTCCTCGTCACAACAGAAATCAATTTGCTATTATCAAAGACATTTAAACAATATCAACAACCTCATCATTCAAAATGGGTACGTTTGTTCTACAAGTCCACTGCATGCTGTCTGTGTCTTGCAGCATTCCCAACCACCTGTGTACACCTTCATCAACCTCTCATCTACAACCAAGCCGCCACAATCCTTGAAATTAACACTGACCTGTCTTGATAGGCTCCGACCATACCTGCAGCTGTGGCTCTTCCTGCCAATGCCCTTCTGGATCCTGCCAGTGCCCTGTATGTATGCACTGATATCCTGATAAGACCGAAACTAATGCTATATCCGCCCGGTCCAGAAATAAATCTCTTCCAAGTCACACCCGGCTAGAACATGCCATCGTCAATTTGCAAATTCCCTCGCGTCTTTCGATAATGCGACCAGAGGCCAGGTTCTAGGGGTTATGAGAGATATGGGACTTTCTTTTGTTAGCATTGCCTCGTCGCGGTCTCCAGCTGTCAATCATGACGACTTGCGATAGAGTTAGTTTTAATATCAATTGCTAACTCAGAAATTTCTTTTATCTGATAAGTACAATCATAGATGTAGTTCTTCCTACATAGATGAACTTAGGTCCCATTTTGATGCCTGGAAACTGAGGCATTAGATTAATATTTAATTATTACACAGTTGGGTTCGTATTACATTCATGCCTTTTTATCCTTCACCTCCGACCCTTTAGATAACACCCTTCAGAAGGTAGGGTCCACCAACCATCTAGCTTTTAGTACTCCTTCTAAATAGTTGCTTGAAATGCCGCTTCTCAATCCCCAACGCAAGACTACTGCAAACAACAGATATACTGCTGAAAGCCATAGCTAGAGCTGCCCAAACAGGGCTCAGTCGAAAATGCTTATTAACAAGCACCACCCTGCCATCGATCACACACTCTCTCTGACCGATAACGACGGGATAGAGCACACCGGCCGCAATGGGAATGAGGCACACATTATACGCCAGTGCCCAGACGAAGTTGAATCTGACGCGACGGAACACTCGGCGGCTCAAGAGGACAAGCTCTAATATATTACCGATATCAGAATTCAGAAGTATGAAGCTTGCAGAACTTATTGCTACATCGGAGCCAGAGGCCATGGCAACGCTGACATCTGCAGCAGCAAGAGCAGGTGCATCGTTGACTCCGTCGCCGACGAAGGCGACTATTGATCGTGGACGGGCTTCGGACCTAGCTCTCTTGCCTCTTGCTGAGATTGATTGAAGCTCCAGTGTGCCTTGCTGCACTTGATTCACGAAGTCAGCCTTTTCGTTTGGCAAAACGTTCGCCATGATGTGGGTATGAGGAATGCCCAAGGTTTCTGCGACGGCCTGGGCAGTTGTCTGATTGTCGCCTGTGCACATGAAGACATCGACGTTATTATCCTGAAGTCTGGCGACAACCCTTGCTGCCTCGGGCCGAATGCTCTCGGAAACTGCAAACACGATGACTGGAGTGAGAGGAGTCCGTTCGGAGGGTTCTGGTGCATCACTTCGGCGAATCGAGAGTATCACCACGGACTTCCCTGTTGTTTTATACTTTGAAAGAAGTGAAGACAGATAGTAGGTGTCTGTACTCGGAGGCGAGAGTCGCTGTAGCAGACGCTCATTACCAATAGCAGCTTCATATTGAATATATTTCGCTGAAGAACCATCATCTGATCTCTCACCGTCGAGGTTCAGAGTGAATGTACCTTGCATTCCATGACCGGCGATTTCAGATATATCCGAATCAACAATGTGAACAAAAGGTGCTCCTTTGTCTTGACAAAACTGTCGGATTGCTGTGGCAATTGGATGTTTGCTTTGCTCCTCTAAGCTCTGGGCGATATTCCATGCAACAGACAGTTGCTCCAAATTTCCAGTGAGGACCTCATAATCGCTAATATGGAGGCTCCCACTATCCGTAAGTGTACCGGTCTTATCAAAGACAACGGCATTCAGACGACTTGCCTCCTGGAATGCTTCGCCACCACCCTTAACAAGGATACCATGCCTAGCGGCGACTCCTCCACCAACGAACAGAGCCGTGGGAGCAGCAAGGGCTAACCCACAGGGACAAGCAACTACAAACACAGCAATGGCAAATTCTAAGCTCCAAAAGGTCGAACTTATATGAGGAGAATCTAGGTAATCCCTCGGCAAAACACCTGCAGACGCTAGGGTTACCCAGGTGATAAACGTGATAATTGCAATCAGAGTGATGACAGGTACAAAGAGACTTGTGAGGGTATCCACAGCCCTCTCAATGGATGCTCGCTTGCTTTGACCTTCACGGACGACCATGATGATCTGATCTAGCATTGACAAACCTCCCACGCCAGTAAGCCGAACCTGCACAGGTGAACCAACGTTGATTGCACCGGCGAAAACTTGATCACCTGCACTTTTCTGGACTGGACTGGATTCACCAGTCAAAGAACTTTCGTCAAAGTGATAGGTGCCAGTACTAAGGATAGTCCCGTCCGCAGGCGGCAATGCACCATGAGGAACAGTGACAATGTCACCGATCTCCAAAAGATGGGTACTAATATTTTGAAATCTTTCTGAACTGAATGCTCCAAATTTTTCCACAAGAATTGCTTCGGAAGGAAGTAATTGACCGAGGGAAGCAACAGCATCATCCGTCCGCTCCTTACTGTACGTTTCCAGGCAGCGCCCTGCAAGTATGAAAAGGGTCAGAAACACCACAGAGTCAAAACATGTTGAGCGATGAGCGTCAGCTGCCGTGTCATAAACCGCGTCAAAGATCAGAGAAATCAACGATGCCACATATGCTACTGCAGTACCAGCAGAAATCAAAAGATTCATGCTTCCAAAGCGAAAGAATCTTTGTGCCAGAGGCGTGGGGCTTCCAAGCCGCCAAAGTGCGTATATCTCCTTGAAGGCTCGTTTATGAAACAAATCTGCACCATAAAACATGACTGGAGTAGTCAGGAAGAGTAGCGTCCAGTCCATTCGAGTGATTTGAAGCCATTGAGGTGCCTCCAGGTATTTTCGGATTTCGTTTTCTGGTGCTGCAAAGTTCATAAACACCATTCCAATAAGAAACGTGGGGATCGAGATGATAAAGACAAAAAGCAGGCGTCGAAGCAATTGGACTCGGGTTCTTTTTTGCATTAGTCGAGATCGTTCCTCGTTGCTAGGGGGACGGTAGACTTTTGCGTGGAAGGTCTTGTCGACCGAGTCGATGGTGTTGAGTATAGATCGTATGGTGAGAGAGGGAGGCTGTGGAAAGTATGTGATTGTTATGATTGGGTTGTTGAGAGATGGTCGCTCCTCAATTTTCAGCCCTGAGATATCGTTGAAAGACTCCACGACCAGATCGATGCAACGGTCATTGAACATCCCATCGATTCGGATAGATATAGTTCTGGCACCTGTTGGAGTAACAGTATCAGTGTCCGAATTGACAGGGCATATGCCATGAATTGAAGCATTATATCCCAAGTCCTCGATTTTCGCAATAATCGCGTGGGAATTTTCCCTGCCTTCAAACACGACCTTCCCGCTATGTGAAAGAAAATTGATTGCCACGTTCGTGACGAAAGGCAAACTTTGCAACCCTCTCGTGATGCTTTCCACACATGACCCGCAAGTCAAGCCGGTGATAGCCAAATCGACAACATATACATTCTGGTTACTTCGGGCCGAGACGGCTTTGCTATTGACATGGTCAAGAACAGCCTCAAAGCCCATATCTTCTATTTGCTCAATGATCTTGTTAACGTCTGATCGAGCTCCTGTCCAGCGCACCGCCGCGCTGTGAGTGAGGTTGTTGACGGAGATATCATCCACGAATTCGAAGTTTTCACGAACACCATTCGTAATTGAGTTGGAACATGCAACACAGCTCATGCCGCCAACATTGATAATGGCGGAAAATTTCTGACCATCAGGCCGAGCTTGTAATAGTTCTGGCATCATGTCTGATCTTGGACCATTCTGCAGGGCAGCGGCACCACTCTCGATATCACCATCGACCAGATTGATCAAAGGAGTTGACGGGTTCTCATTCAAGGTCGATGAGGTACTGTCATCATCATGAAATTCCTGGCCAAGAGGCATGATGGCTCTCGTATTTGCCTGTGAGGAATTCTCTTTGATTGTTTGTCTGGTTCTGGCTAACTGACACGGACATAAGATTCGACTTTATTAGGAACTATGCATACTCATATCACGCTGATATCAGTCAGGCAAGTTTGAAAGTACTTCATGAGCCCTGATTCGACATGCGTCCATAGTGCCGCCATAGCACACAAATGTCTCATTATCACTTCCATATTCGGCAGCTGGCCTGAGCTAAATCTGTAACAAATCATGTCCTGCTCGTACGCGCGCAGACGATCGATGCGCTTTCTCCAAATTCCTGTACATCGAGTCCGATACGAGCCTAGTACGGTACGTCCTCGGTATCCAGATGTGATTGGGTCAGAAGCACCGTGTCTCCATCGGATGGTAAATACCGTACGGTACGAGACTCGTCACAGTATTATTACCGATCTTACGAACTATGCAGCGATATGGATGGATACATACCAGAAGATATTTTCATCACTAGTCACAAAGGACGATCATAGACAATTTGGCAGTGGGTGGCTGACTGAACTATGGAGCACCTACGAGTCGCTACCGCAATCTCTGTCTCATAGTTTGCATCAAGCCGGGCTATGCTAAGACTCGTTGGAATTATGGAACATCTTACAGGACCTATCCCTCAATGACGAATGAGAAGGATATTTTGACTATCAAAGTCTGTGGCATTATTTACCTTGGATCTTCAGTGCTCACATGAAGCAGCGTTAGGGTCGAGATATCAGGTGGTGATGGTTAGCCATTGAAACATAAAGTGCTGAATGGAGAAGGTTCCAGTTCGCACTCCTCCTTCACTACCATTTCTAACAGGGTTAGTACCATATTTACTCAAAAATGACTTTTGAATATGACCCCACAGAGATCGTTCCCAAAGTTGTACAAGTCCTAAAGTCATTTTCTCAACACATCCGCAAGCCAGGCTCAGAAGAGAACTTTGAGAAAGTCCTCGATGCTGTCCAAGGCCGAATAAAAGAGTACATCGCCGAAAATGCCCCAATTACTATGGTCTTGCCCGCTTTTCCGTGGAAGAACCCCAACCTCGATAAGGTTTTGGGGCCTGATCCGGATTTGGGTGAGGAACTAGGGCTATCGAGGTTGAACGATATATGTCAAGAAATTTCAAAGTTCTATATTTATGGTGCACGGCTTTTGCTTATATGTGATGTACCGGTTTATAATGGTACGTACTATCTATCATGCTCGAAGTGCAATTGTTGATCTGTATTGTGGTAGATTTGGTGGGTATTCCAGACGATGAGGCCTATGACTACGGCCTGCGTCTCCGACAGCTAGCTCAGGAGAAAAAGTTCTCCTCCATACAATTCCTGCGGTCAATTGATTTAATGGGATTGGGAGATGGCGAGAAGATTTCCAGATCGGATTATTTGGAGTCGATTACTATGGTTAGAGAGAAGTTGATGTCGAGCGACTACTTTGATCAGAGCTTCAATATTGAAACTGAACTCGAGGCCAATCCGGACACTAAAGCTACATTCGATGGATTCTTCAGTCGGATTTCGGAAGACCTCAAATGGGGTAAGGGGATTGATGTAGCTGTAGTAGCTGACCAGGTTGCATACGACGCGGAGGTTGCAAGGGTAGTCAAAGTCATGATCCAGCGTCTTATTGTCAGTTACTATCTACATTTACTGTTTCTTCTGAGCGTTGATGACATGCTAATATCTCACGAAATTACAAAAGGCATACGAAAAGTTGATAAGCGTGACCTTGGGCGAACACATTCGCCTCTCAATTCACCCTTCAATAGGAAAGAACAAGATCTCAATCCCTCTTCTTCCCCACGCAGGGAAGTTTGGTGACATGCCTTGGCACGCCAGCGTGGTGGTTCTTTGTGATGGCGATATCATGAGTGGAGACGCAAAGGATTTCCGCGATCATTACGACGTTGTCATGAAAGATGGTAGACCATACTACTTCCGTGAGCGAAACCCGTTGTACGAGTGGTCTGTGCCGGTTTATATTCAGCATTCGTATAAGAGCTTGCTCTTCAAGAATCCGGGAGATGGGAAACAGATTCTGCAGGAGGACGATCGATTGAAACTTGCACGTTGTATTGTATTACACAAGGGTCACACTGTGCATGTAGAGGGATTTGCAGTACCGGAGGATCAAGTTGCATGAGCAGATCATACCTAGGAAGTCCAGTATTCGATGTTACATTATTAGTACTACTACTCTCGTAATGCTATTCGAGATCATAAATGCAGATCATGGTACCTGATCTTGAAAAAGGGTCAAAAATATTCATATGGAGAAATCATTTGGCTATCCGGTCAGTGTTTAGATGGGGTATAGCGGTCTGAGAACTTTCCCAGTCTACGACCTAGTCATTTCGGATTGGTAGACTAGGGTACATCACTGCATATGCGAGGTGGTCCAATACAGACCCACAGAGTTCGGTAAAATACCTAGGAATGCGATGCTCCGACGGGTTAGCATCAGGAAAATTAAGGAAAATAATGCCGCACGTATTCAGATCCATAATGTAGATTCACTAGGTACGTTGGGGATATTGATCAGCTGCATCCAGCATCAATATCTACCGGGCTAGGTAGGAATCTATGTAAACCTATTAGGAAGTTGCGATACTGCCTAAGACTTTGAATAGCAATTTCCAATCTTCTTACATGAACCACAGCATTCAGGACCAGATAACATCTAGGAGAATATCTCAAAGCAGAACTCGTTCAGAGACTACTACTCTCTCTACTCACAAAGCCAAGGAGGTTACCACTGGAGACCTGCCATACAAAATGACCCAATCAATATATGACGAGAGATCCCCTCTACTTCCTCGTTCGCCGGACGCAGTCGAATCTGCCAAAACTAAAGACTCTGATATCCCAAATGGAGGGACATGGGCCTGGCTACAAGTCCTAGCCGGGCATCTTGTGGTATTCAATGTTTGGGGTTATATTACCTCGTAAGTTGTTTCTCAAGTCTAGCTTCTTGACAACTGTTGTTCATTGACAAGAAAATTTAGATATGGGTTCTTCCAAGAATACTATGTCAAAAATCTCGAAATTAGTCCAGCTGATGCATCCTGGATTGGAGCAGTGCAAATGTTCATGGTCCATCTACTCGGCACTTTCTCTGGCCGTGCAATGGACGCTGGATATCTCCGAACCTGCATCGCAACAGGATGTTCGTTGCAAACACTGGGAGCGTTCGCCACCTCCTTCGGCACAAAACTGTGGCACTTTTGGCTTGCACAAGGTATCTGCAGCGGAATTGGTCATGGACTCGTTTTCAGCCCAATGATCTCGCTATACTCGACTTGGTTCACTAGTAAGCGAGTTATGGCCGTCTCATTGGCATCCTGTGGGGCTGCTACTGGTGGAATGGTTTTTCCTGCTATTGGATATTACTTGTTTGACAGACTGGGCTTTGCATGGACTGTGCGACTATTGGCCCTAATCATTGCTGTCAATGGGCTCGTGGTGTCTGCAGTGACGAGGGCAAGGATAGTGTCACGTAAATCTAGCCCATGGTTCGACTTCACTGCATTCAAAGAACTCTCGTACACCATGTTTTCGATTGGATCGTTCTTTATCTTCGAGGGTATTTACTTTGCATACATCTACGTCAGTGCACACCTTTCTTTTTTGCTTTTTCGATGTTGCAGACTGACAAATATGACAGGTGAGACAATTCGCCCAATCAAAAGCGAACTTTTCCTTCCAGGAGTCTCTTTTCTTGCTTTTCCTAATGAATGGCGTCGGATTACCGAGTCGTATATTGGTTGCCTACTTAGCCGACCGCTATTTAGGAGCAGTGAGAACTTGCGTTCTAGTCTCCATCCCCTGTGGAGCAATGCTCTTGTGCTGGATCGCTGTTGATTCACACCAAAGCATGGTGATTTGGGCTACGGTTTATGGAATCTTTGCCAACTGCGCATTGAGTCAAGTGCCAGCGTCCAATGCATATTTTGGAGCCAAAACCCCCGAAAAATCTGGGACTCGAGTCGGGACTATTACCACGATTAACAGCATACCTCTCTTGACTGGGCCGTACATTGCAGGGAAGCTCATCGCTTTGAATGGTGGAGACTACTTGTACGCACAGCTATTCGGTGGCCTCTGTATTATTATTGGGGCATTGTTTTTGGTCGGAGCCCAATGGGCGGATACTCGCAAGCTGAATCAGCTGTAGTGCCTAGGTAGTATGATTTATTGCTTTTGTGGTAGGAGACGATCATATACAAATTGATAGTAGTACATTACCAGCGTCAGAAAACCCTTAAAAAAAAGAACTTAACTTTTGAATCTGAAGGATCAGATAAGTTTTAGAAAAGAACCTCCGCTAAATCTCGGCGTAGGAACAATGAGCGAACCAAGCTAGACAGCTTTCTGCTCCATGTTGATTTATTTCCTAAAACAGCAAAAAGGGTCTCAATTAGGGTTTGTCATTGAAAAAGCAAGCTTCATTAGAAACAAGTCTAAACCGAGTTTGGTTTAACGTCCACACGGAGATCTAAGTGGTGAATCGGCAAAATCTCAGTGGATCTTTTGGTGTAGGTGATCGCGCTAGTAAATCGGCTTTATGCAAAGGCAGCGAGTCAGCGTCGACCGGCCTGAAGTTTGGCACGGCACGGTACGGGACGAGGACCCACATTACGCATAAGTTACAGATCTCCCAAACAAACTCCCGAAATGCACCATTGATCGATGTCATGACCGACAATAGTCATTGTAGGCTTGTAGCCCGTACGGAGTCCATAGGCAGACGTAGTCTAACTCGACAAGATCGGTAATCAAGTCAGCTCGCAGCTGCCGCCCCCGCTTAGAGTCGATCGAGAACGAACCCGTGCGTCCTTACATGAACCATATGTCTCCTCGACATACGATTTGATTTGCTCTCAAGTCAATGCTGTGTTGCTAATCTTTGACGTCTCATAAACCTTCCGGACGAGCTGACTGTAGCCAACGCAGTGGCTGGCGGTATTGACTTGGCACATCTCATGGAGGAACAATACTGAATCGCGCTTGAGAGGATCTGACTAGAGCAGTGGGCTTAGTACGTGAATACATGCACGGCTCGTACCAAAAGCACTTGATACTCCGTATCGTTTCGTCTGAACGTATAGTCTTTGACCCCTCCGAAAAATTTACATATTCACCCGCTTCGGTCACCCCTTAGTCTTCCTGACGGACAAATCGCCTTGACTTGAACTTTCCAGCGCAGTCACTGCGCTCTGCATCACAAGCACAGACCAATAATACCTAGCCTTGAATCACGATGACTGCTAGAGTTTGGACAGAGGCCCTGCTTCGTCCATTGGCGTTCGTTTCCCGAAATGGCATATACACAGCTCGGTCAAACACAAGCTGGGTATCTAGTTGCATCTCACCCAGCCGCCTACTGTCTACCACATCTGCGATGAAGATAGATCGGCCCAAGCCGCTTCACTTTCATGTCCCACTCTTTCCTGGCGTGCAGTTGCTGGATTTTACAGGACCATTGGATGTCCTCAGTCTGCGTTCCCAATACCCAGAGACATCCGGCCTTACATTGACCTTACTTTCATCGACGCTCGAACCAGTCTCAACAAAGCCAATACCCCCACCAAGTGCCAAGTGGAAGTTCAATCTTCCTCCGGGGACCAACACGAATTTCAACCCTAAGGTTGTCCCGGATGTGACTTTCCAAGACTATCTCTCAGCATTGGCTCGTGGCAAAATTTCGGATAATGGTGACGGATCACTCAAACCTATTGATGTCCTATTGATCCCTGGTGGCCCGGGCACACGGTTGGATCGTATCCACTCTGATCCAGAAGCAAAGATTTCAAATACGCAAGAAACGCAAGATTTCATCAAAGCAGTCGCATCACATGTCCGACACAGCGTCATTACAATATGCACAGGCAGCCATATCCTGGCTCAGACTGGGCTTCTCAATAACCTTGACGCCACTACGAACTCGGCCCGCTTCAAGGATGTTTCCACAGCAAATCATCCGCATAGTCGAAAAGTGAAGTGGCAAGCAAATAGACGATGGGTCCGAACTAGTGTACCCAATGCATCTATTAGTCGTAGCACCACGGGTCAGCTAGACAATGAAGGCTTGCGTCCTGGTATTGAAGTCTGGTCGTCGGCTGGCGTCACAGCTGGGTTAGACCTTCTGTTGGAGTTCGTAAAGGTGCATTATGGAGGAGAGGAGGTGGCTCAACAAACTGCTAAGCGTTTAGAATACCGCTGGGAACGAGACTAGAGCTGTCCCTTGATGCAGCGTGATCTGGTGCATTGGTGTCAATAGTCAAATACAGTAAGCATGCCGTACGAACCACAGCTAGTAGATTGTAAAGTCTGCTCCGTATAATTAGCCACTAATATAGATGATAAATCAGTCAATTCCACAATGAAGAGGTCACAAAGATCAGCAATGGTAGTCGAATCATATTCAGACGTCGGCTGATTTTCTTTTCTGGATGCGTGATTTTCGCTCGCCTGCTGCAGCCCCTCTCATTGAATACGCGTCTAATCCGTACGAAGTACACCGTAATAACGACCATTTCTGATACAGTATTGACATGTCTCAACCTGACTGTCGATCGTTCTCCTGGTTTAGATCGATTTCGTCATGTTGAATCGAGGTTCTCCGAGTCCTAGCAATTGTGGCAATCAATAGACACACTAGGTGATTGTAGAGCTCATAATAGGATGAAAGAGTAGGCAAATGTAATCACGTTCTGGTCATGGAGTAGAGATCGCAAGCCCTGCGTGATAATATCTCAGATGCTGATTGATTAGTCCAGATGCACCAGTGTAGGTACTCACTTACACCGTTGGAATCATTTTGAAGATCGAGAAGACTCTTGAGTGTTGACTTCCAAGGTTAATATCACATCTCTTGTCTCAGAGAAAAGCCCAGAGATCAAGCAGACTACTTATATCCATTCCTTGGAACTATACCAGGCCGGCAATCTCCCACATTCCCATTCACGCTGCCGGTAATCGCGAAAAGCGATTTTGAGAAGATTTGAGCAAATTAGGGCAAGATCCTTCAGCTTACATATACATACGTGTCAGGCACACAGTACTCTAGAAAGCATGCTTGCTACCGAAACCCTCCAACTTCAGTCAAATCACCTGCCTGCTGATTATGAGAGGCACAGGAATAGCATATTCGCGAACAAACAGCAAATATCCTTTCTACCTTGGCCACGACCAGCTCCGGTTCTGGTTGAGGATGTGCATTCAGAAGAACATGTGGAAATCGAAGAGAAACAGCTGCTGTTGCAGCCGGAAGTTCAGACAGAAAAACACCAGCAGCAAATGATATGCCCCTACACAGCGCAACTCAAGGCCGAAGAGGTCATGAACATAGTTGAAGGCTATGGATATCACGAAAAGACAGGTCCAGCAGGAGAAGCTTGGTTGGGACGAGAATCTTTCACTCCCCGAGTACAGAAACGTATCGTTGCCAACGAGATTATTCCTATGGTACTACCGGCTTTCCCGATGAAGAGTAACAACCGTATGGATAAGGTTTTGGCTGCACTACCTGATCTCGGAGAAGAGCTGGGACTGGCTCGATTGGCAAATCTTTGTTCTGATATCAAGGCTGTCTATCCCGCTGGAGCATTAGTGGTGATTGTCACTGATGGATTATGCTACAATGGTATGGTTATTTTCTACTTTCTGTGAAATTGAGTTAACTGAGGGGAACGACTAGACCTCGTTGGTATTTCTGATGGAGAAGTATGGGAATACGGACATCGTCTTCGACAAATTGCTCGAGAGAAAGGATACGCATGTATCCGCTTCAATCGTATCATGAACTTACTGGGCATTTATAGGGGTGCGGAGATCTCCAAAGGAGAATACACCCAGCTTTGCGATAAAGCTCGATCCGAACTCCATCGTCGTTATGGTCGTCCTGGATTTGATGTTGACACGTTCCTCAAAACTGATGAGGATTATTTGAGGACTTATAACGGTACGTTCGTGCAATTATGGAGACGATTGCACAACTGACAATACCAGGATATGACAAATTCATGAAGTCTGATCTTCGCTTCAGTCCGGTGACCAAGAACTGTCCAGGGCCGAAACAATACAAGAAGAAAGTCAAACTTATCGCAAAATCAATGATTGTACGAGGAGTGGTATGTACTCACATCTATATAAAGAGAATATTCAAGGTTAACTTATGCCGTTTAATACAGGAATTCGCCGAATTGGTTCGCCAAATTTACCCTGATAGCCTACGTCTCTCTATCCATCCTTCGTCCGGTCAAACCAAGCTTTCATGCCCACTTATCCCGCAGCCAAACTCATTCTCCATGAGTCCCTGGCACAGCACGGTGGCCGTGACAAGAAACGGCACGTTCATTACCGCACACAAGTCACAGCATCGGGAGGATGACAAGTATACACTTGTTTATCGAGATGATCAGCCGTACTATTTCCGCGAGAAATCTGACCTGTTTGAGTGGAAGAGCTCAAATGTGGAGTTTGAACATCACTATAAACAACACTTGGTGATTAGAGACAAGTCTGTACAGAAAGAAGAGTGCTTTTGTATAGATTGCTCCAATGGCTCGGTTTCGGATGGCAATCACTCCACCAGCCAAGCTGGGGAGCTCTCTGAAGCAGACCTGGACAAGTTGGCCAAGTTGACAATTCTGCATAAGAGTGTCAAGTTTATGTCCGACAAGTGATGACTCGCGATGTGATGGGAATTGTATTGTTATGTGGGTTGGGTAGAGGTAAAAGACGGACATGACTTTGCACAAGTACTAGTTGAAAGGAGTATGTGGTTAAACTTGTGTTATTTGTATCTATCTCAAGCACTGCCCAGGATAGTTTCCGCGTCTTCTTCATAATTCTGGATCCAGTATACTGCGTATCGTGTCTAGAGGTCACGCTAGGTAAAGTCGGGATGCGCAAAACTCGAAAGCCAGCAACAGCTGCAATTTTTGCACAAAAACAAGTAAACGGTTGCACTGCATAATCAAACAGAGCCCAGCTCCACCAAGATTAATAAACTAATTCAGCCCTCTGTGGTTGATCTGCAACATTTATTAGAGACGTGAATTCTCTTCTCTGGTTTTTAGGGCTCATCTTTCGTTTCCGCCCATATTACACAACACTATTGCCAAAAGGTCCGAGGATGCTGCTACAGATCATGATAAGAAAAACTCTCCGCTTTCTATTATTATACTTGCAGATAGTCACCTCTTCCGCGATTTTTACCAAGCAAATCATCCTGGGTGCCCAACAACCATCTCATGATGGTTTGCCTTATAACGCATCCCGAACCGTGATTTTCACAGGACACACGGTTACACTCGATGGCGTTCCATATTATGTACCACCTGAGCCTGCAACATCGATAATAGTTCCAGGTAATATAAAATTCAATCCTGGTTTGAGCCCTTTGACAGTCTTCAGACCGAGTGCTCTGCCTTTCCGTCAAGAAGAGCTTGAAGCTGCAGTTGAGAACTATTTGGATGAGGATGATGTTTTCACCACTTCGTTTTTGCGAGGTATGTCAACCAACTTCTCATTTGTAAGACCTTTTTGTATTGACCTTTGACAGGTATATACGTACGCTTGTTTGAGGAAACAGAGACGCCCATATCTATCTCAGAACTAGCAAGCTACGGCGTCGAAACCATTCTCATGGGATCGGCCAATCTTCCTGCTGGGCCTTACTTTATCTCATCTGAGGGACACGTATTCCAAGCCTTGAGACTATTCGCAGATACCCAAGGTGCTTTTTCTCAAAGCCTCGTAGCCAACACAGCAGACGGCTCATATTCACCGTTACCCGCGACTTTACCAGGTGTTGAATCAGCTATTGCTATACCGTCACGGCTCTATTTCACAAGAACCCCATCTCAACCATTAGCAGGTGTACGGCTTGCCGTTAAGGACATTTTTGATATTGAGGGTATTCGTACTTCGGCTGGTAGCCGAGCTTGGTATTATTTCTACCCTCCTGCGAACACCACGAGCCCAGTTGTGAATGCTCTCATTGAGGCAGGTGCTGTCGTTGTGGGAAAAGTCAAAGTATGTTCCTGCTCCCAAGTTGATAAATACTCGCACGCAGGACTAAAAAGCAAGCAGACATCTCAGTTCGCCAACGGACAATTAGCCACTGCAGACTGGATTGACTACCACTCCCCCTTCAACCCGCGAGGTGATGGGTATCAACAACCGTTTTCTTCGTCCACCGGCGCCGGTGTTGGTGTCGCTTCATATGACTGGTTGGATCTGGCATTGGGAACAGATACTGGAGGATCAATCCGTTTTCCTTCACAGTCCAACGGCGTATTTGGGATTCGAGCGTCCCACGGAGCTGCATTGTTGGAAAATGTCGTTCCACTGGCACCCCAGTTTGATACTGCTGGTCTTATTGCGCGTGATCCTACTGTGTGGAGGATTGCCAGTCAAGTAATCTACTCCAATACAACATTCGACTGGTCTGCGTATCCGAGGAAAATTCAAACAATCATCTCGAAACCGTTGGATTTGTCCGATCCGATTGATAGTATGGTGGACAAATTCCTGGAAGAATTGAGCGAGCATCTACCAGCCTCCTTGACATACCTTGACGTTCCTTCATTGTGGACAGAAACTCATCCATCTAATATGTCCTCAAACTTGACAGAAGCAATCAACAGGATCTACCCTACTATCATTGGCATTGAACAGGCACAGCTCGTCCGGGATGCTTTCTATGCCGACTACAAAACCAAACACTCGGGACGACGCCCCTTCGTGAACCCTGCACCTCGAATCCGCTGGGGATACGCCGACTCCCTACCCACCGGCACACTCGAAGAAGCAATCACAAACCAGACAGCATTCCAATCTTGGATTGATAATAACGTTCTCAAACCAAACGCCCAATCATGCTCAGATAGCCTGTTGGTTTACGTTGAACCGGCTACTCGAATGCCATTATACCGGGACTGTTACCGCAACGAACCTGCTATCCCTTTTGGTTCCGGTGCGAATATGATTAGTGTTTATGGTGGAGTGCCGGATATGGTAATACCAATTGGAGAGAAGACGTACGTTAGTCAAGTGACTGGGGTCGAGGAGAAGTCACCGGTCAGCGTAAATTTGGTGGCTGCGAAAGGCTGTGATGGGATGCTTTTTCGATTAGTCAATGAACTTGTGCAAAAGGGTATATTGCGAGAAGTCAAGGCTGGTCGGTCATTGGTTAATGGTGGTAATATTTTGTTTTGATCAACTTCGACCATTTGCATTAGTTCTTTCCAGCTGAAAATGCGATATGAGGGCAGTTATGATGTACATGTAGATCTATGAAAGAACGATAAGAGAGAACAGCAATCAAAGTAAAGCAGTAGCTTGCCAGGCATCATAAGTCCCCCATACACCAGCCAACAGACTAACGAACCCAGTCAAACTAGAAGGCACACCAATACCCTTCTCAAAGCTCCAGTGAGCGCACAGAGGAGCCCAAGCCAGGTTATTAACCAGACTCTTCCGCCAGCTGCGAATCTCAGCTTCTCGCGCCGCTTTCAACTCGGCGTCGGCCACAGCAATCGACTTCTCACCAGCCGAAACCTGTCGTTGCTCTTCTCGTTCCCTCTGGGCGAACAGGATAGACTCGCGCCAGAGTCGCACAAATTCAAGCAAGACATATCCGAACCAAGAGCGTATACTCCACAATTCCCATTTACCAATACCGCCCGTCCGCTTAATCAAGCTATCGCCTATCACACCATTAGATGCAAGATAAGTGGCATTCTCAAGAGCCTGATAAACCAGCATCGAGAGCACCTCTAGATAAGCAACGGCGCGCAGCACGGGATCTTTCGGCGGCGACTTATAAGTTGCTGAACCCCAACTCCACATGGAGACCAGCCCCAGAAGTCGAAGCGTATAGCGGGTTTTTGATATTAAATTGGAGAATGCTAATAGCGGGGGTTGTTGCGCGGATGCAATTTTAGTCGCCGGTGGTGGTGGGATGGAGGAAACGTTCCGGCCGAGTCTTCGTAAGAGCCATAGCCGTATAGTTAGGCGCAGTCTAGATATCGGAGACGAAGCGAGAAGGTAATGCAATGCATGAGACGTGTGATTGAGGTTGGAAAGCACAATGTCCTGGCCAGCTTTTGTGGACAGAAGCCTTTCGGAATTAGATATGATTCCAGTCTTATCAATTGAAATAGCTCACCTGTTCAATCTGAGTACCGTCTCATCCGTCTTTTGTATAGCAGATACAACAGCATCCGAGACAGCTTTTTGGCGGGGAATTATCTTTGGCGCGTCGCTCCGAGGCGCCGGAGACGTGTCCTCCGGCTTTTCTGATGATTGATTCGACATATCTGCCGTCATCTGCTATCTGCTATATGTTTCTGTGCCTGACCGAAAATCGGTAATTGAGATAAAAGCACGGGAGATGAGTATTATTTTATAAAAGTGTTGCACTGTAACAGTCCGGTCGATGAGCCGTCAGCCGAGGTCCAAGCATCCGCCCATGGCCCTACAGGCCCCATACTAGCTGGCTAGTAACCACTTATTCGTTGTTAAAATGTTCATCGTTCATATTACGTTCCAGGTTACTTATACACGACTTCTACGTAGTTAGTTTCAAGTCCAAAGCCAGGGCATTATTGACACGCTTCTATTTTCCTGGTTGTCGCTATGTGTGTTTAGTAGTCCCCGGCATATGATGCCGGCTGAGGACGGCTCTTTGTCCTCTTGCTTTCCTGTCTCAATTGATGAGGATTTTGCTTTCAGAGATATTAATGAAGAATCAAAATGCGCCCAATTCTGCACCCAGTCCGCAATTCTGTCATGTTTTTCCCTTGAGTAAGATAAGATAGTATGTGGACCTCGCGGAATTGGCCGAGGCTTGGATGGACTCATTGTCGTTGATGTTATGCAGCTCAACCCGACGCCAACGCATCCGGTAAAACAGGTAGAATCTCAATCTGCCATTGCTGGCATTACCTGGGTCTAGCATTACACTGTAGAAATTGATCAAATATCTAAAAAGAAAGTAGTGTAACTGGAGAGAAGTCTTAAGGCCGGTCGGAGCCATCCGTTGCTTGGCGCTCTCCCGTAAACAACAACAACAACTAACTTCACCACCAGCCTCCCTTTTACCTCTCCTCTTCGGCTCCCCACAGTCCCCCGTTACTTTCAGGTTCCCTCTCTTGTCGCGTGCCAATCTGATCCTCTGGAATGTGATTTGCGCATTCTAGCAATTGCATTTGACTGTCCTATTGTTCTCGATACTCACCTGCTTCGCGATATCGGACGCGATCGATCATACTCCCCTCCATTCTGTGATTGAAGCGGTAATCGAAAACGCACAACATGTCTGTCAAATTCCAACAAGAGACCATTCGCACCACTGGTGTCAAAGCAGAGGATTTGACACCAAAGGACCTGGTGCACAAGGTCGGCGAGCGCCTTACTGGTGGTGACACTCACACTGGCTATCTTGCTGTATGGCAATTCGACTACCTACCTACCTCAATGATGATCGCTAACGAAATACCGATATAGGCCTACCTGAAACAACTCCAAACAAACCCTCTCCGCACAAAGATGCTCACGTCCGGTGTCCTGTCAGCTCTGCAAGAATTCATCGCCTCGTGGCTCGCTCATGATGTCAGCAAGCATGGTCACTACTTCAGCTCCCGCGTGCCGAAGATGGCTCTCTACGGAATGTTCATCAGTGCACCCCTTGGCCACGTTCTCATCGGAATTCTGCAAAAGATTTTTGCGGGCCGGTCGAGTCTAAAGGCCAAGGTCTTGCAGATCTTGGTTAGCAATTTGATTGTGTGTATCCTCTCCGGGATTTGGGATCTTTCCGATGCTAATATTCAGTAGATTGCGCCCATCCAAAATTCCGTATACCTGGTCTCCATGGCTATTATCGCCGGTGCTCGCACTTTCCACCAAGTCCGTGCCACCGTTCGCGCAGGTTTCATGCCTGTCATGAAAGTCAGCTGGGTTACGTCCCCCGTCGCCCTGGCTTTTGCCCAATACTTCCTCCCCGAACACACCTGGGTTCCATTCTTCAACATCGTCGCATTCGTTATTGGTACTTATGTCAACACCCATACCAAGAAGAAGCGCCTCGAAGCCTTGCGACGACAGTACGACCAGCGACGTGGTGGACCTCCCCCTCCTGGAAGTGAATACGGTCGCCGCGACTATTAGGGTGTTGACTTTGTTTCATTTTCGACCGTAAATGATACCAAGGATGGGGAGAAGAAGGGTGGAAACAATTGTGGCATCTTTTGAGGTTACAACTGTTACGTGCTTTTGGAGCGGCGTCAATTTTCGATACGTATATACAACATACAAATACGTTGGCCAGTTTCGTGATTGATTTTCGACCATCAAACTGCGTATAGGGAAGGTTGATTAGTATCTAAATATGCCTTTTTTTCCTGTTTGTACGTTTTCTTGTCATGTATGTAATGTTTCCTTTGTATGGTTTATGATATTCTTTATGCTCGACTTCGACTTCCTGCCTAAGATCGATAATTCGACGTGTTATGATTGTAGAGGATATCCATATTCATAAGTTGCAACTTAACTGACGATCACTCAATATTCATCGCCTCCGCAGGCTTCCCACCACGTTTATCATGCTGCACATATTCCACAAACTCATCCAAGGTCCCCGGCCACGCGCCATCAGCACTCCACCATCCAAAATTCTCATCCTCAAGAGTCTTGCGCATAAACACCTCCGTCTGTTCCCACAAATCCTTATTAACAGGCCGCTGCCCTTTCGTTTTGAGGAACTCAAGGTACCAATCCAGCCAGGGAGTTGAAGGTGTTGACCAGTCTACGCCGCCGTTTTCGCTTGTGAAGAAGAGTTGCCATTGTTCCGAGGCGATTTCGAATGTGAGATTGCGCTGGCCTTGCATGCGACAGAGCGGGAAAGCGTACCGGTATACTTTGCGGAATGTGTCTGGTTGAGAGGATATTTGGTTTCGGAGAGTGGCGGCATGGGAGATCATTTGAGGTATTGATTCGACTCTTTTCTTATTGTTAGTGTGAAACTTCCACAAAGCTTCTATAGATGACGCACCCAACGCTCTTCCAGCCGTCAACGAATCCCGTGCGTGTAAATTCACCCATACTGGGCGACTTAAGTAGTTCCGCGATTCCTAAACATGCAACTTCATCTAGGCGCACTTGGATGGTCTCGAGAAATTTCATGGCCCCTTCAATGCCGATCGTGTCTGGGTTTTCTTTCGGATCATCTACTCCACGTTAGAATAGGTATATATCGGCGGAGGAGCAGGTATGGACCTCGATAGTCATCAAAGGTCTTATTCAGTGCAGGAACCGATGACGATGTGGCTGCATGTGAGGAGGAAAAGTATCTGTACAAATACGTGAAACATTAGCCCCTGTAGAACAGAGAGTGCAAATGAGAGATGTATTACTTACGCATCCACTGCTTGTTCAACATTCCACCCGCTTGCGCGCAAGAACTATTGCGAGTTCCAAGTTAGGAAATCCTGAGCAACACGTTCGAGAGAGACGACACTCACTTTGGCAGCAACAACATCTTTGGCCTGTGTAAAACTCACGAATTGTGATATGTAATGTTTCTGAGTTCCTGTATATGGTGGCATGGTTTCTTCTTCCTGTGGTTGTGGAGTTTGACACAAATCGAAGCTGGAACGTTATGGATGACGCACGCGGGGTAGCACGAGGACTAAAACAGAACTAAAGGACATACGATAATGACTGTTGTTCACAACAGCACTGACAAAAGAAAGTGCTCCAGGAAAGGAAAATATGAGCAGAAAACTCTGGACAGAGCCAACAAAGATCACACAGGAAGAGAGCAAGTGGAGAGAAACTGAGGAAGTTGTTCAGGCGGAGAGGAAGGACTACGCTCTCCCATTGGATGAAACGAGGCCCGCCGTCTTCTCTCCTTAAGAAGCACTACAATCTTCATTATTTATCTACTTTTACTTTCAACCACCATACTCTAGATAATCTCGATTCTGGTATAACAACTAAAGATATGGTACGTATCACTTTTTCTTGCATGACACCAAACACACTTCCTGAACGCCTATAAATGCGAGATATAAACGGAGAGCGAGTCGCATGACTATGTCGTGAACAACGAATCTTCCTATACCAGTTGTCAGATATAAAATCCAGAGGTTTTCTGTATCTGGAGTACTAACCTCTCTCAGATATTCGCCCACATCACCCTGGCGGAAGAGCACGATGGCGGTAGGCTCGAGTTTTCGTGTTTCTGCAGTTGATCGTGCGGTGACTCCGAAGCCCTACAATATTCCATCAGTCATATTTCAATAGGCTTCTTTCAGTCATAAATGACATACCAATGGAGTATCATCTTGAGAAAACACAACGCAGCCACTGTGCTCAGGGCAATCCTCAGACCATCGCAAGACATGGGCCTTCACAACGTTTCCACCATATAAGAACGGCATCTCTCCGTTTTGCTTGATGGTCACTTTATACCGCGCATAGGGAGCTATAAGATCGAGTCTACTCTCACAATTGTTAGTTAGTGATGTATCCTTATCTAGGTCTAACAGGAACCGCGTATGAGTGCGCAGACTTACGCAGTGATGTGCAACCTAAACTTCATGGTCTTGGTGAACTTTCCAACACAGACTCCCAAGCTCAGCAAATTGTCACGCGCAACACTTGTCGCAAGGTTCGCAATTGATTGCTTCACGTAGTAAACTCGAGAACCCTGGATTCGAAACACATAGCGCTCGTTATCTTCAGTAGGCTGGATGAGTTGGTTGAGGGATCGGCCTGTGTAGTTGGCGAGTTTTTGGAAAAGGGTTTTGGTTTCTTCTTCGGTAAGAGCCCTCATCTTGGATTATGTTTCTGTATCGTAGGCTAAATGACTTGTCGATAAGCAAATGTTAAAAAAAAATCTGGAGTTGAAGCTCCGCGGCCAGAAAAGTTAAAAGTGGGGCTGGTGCGGAGGCTTGGCGCTGCTGCCAAAAAAATAAATTATAAATTCACTAATAAAAAAATATTCAGTCCTTAACACAATCAGACACTACAACTCAGATTCGCAACATATCTACAGATATGGGCGTCGCACGAGAAACAAAAAGAAGGCGACTGTCGCCCTCTGATGATGACAATTCGTCAGCGGCACCGAAATCCAAAGCAAACAAAGTCTCTGCCAACATTCAGAATGCATTCTACAGTCGCGCAGCAGAGTGGGATCTAGAACAGGATTACGAACGTCGACCACGGAAGGGCAAGAACAAAAAAGAGAAAGAGAAGACCCGGTTACCTATCAAAACCTCCGAAGGACTTGTTCATGTCGAAGAGCCGGAAGAGGCTGCTGCGAGTGATGCGGATAGTTTTCTTGATACGGATTCCGATGGTGGAAATGGCAAGGATGAAAATGAGGAAGCAGAAACTGAAGAAGAGGAAGTCGAGTCGGCGCCCAAGGTACCCTTGAAGATACTTATCGTTCAAGCAAAAGAAGAAATGGCCAGAATCGCAACGTTGATCAATGAAGATCCCGAAGAACATATTGGATTGTTCAAGAAATTAGCAGACTTTGTGGATAAGGAAAAAACACATGTGGCCATTAGGAAGCTTGCTCTCGCTACACATGCTGCAGTTTTCAGGGATGTCATTCCAGGGTACAGAATTCGTCCTCTCGGCGAAGAGGTCAACAAAAACGAAAAGCTCTCAAAGGAAGTCCGAAAATTGCGAAGTTACGAACAATCATTGCTATCGTCTTATAAGCATTACGTTCAACAATTAACCAACCTATCGAAAGGTGGGAGCAAAGGCAGTGAAGACAACGCGGCAAATAGCATACGAACGGTCGCAATCAACTGTGCTTGTAACATGCTCCTCTCTGTACCTCATTTCAATTTCCGGACTGAACTCTTGAAAATCCTTGTCAATCGACTTTCCAAACGCCGTATAGATGCAAACTTCATCAAGAGCCGCGAAACGATGGAAGATATCTTTGCCAAAGACGACGATGGAATCGTCTCGCTTGAAGCAGTGAGCCTGTTATCCAAAATGATGAGAGCAAAGGACTTTAATGTCCATGAATCCGTCCTCAATACATTCCTGCATCTCCGTTTATTATCTGAGTTTTCATCCAAGGGTTCACGAGATCGCGTTGATCGTAACGAGGACGACGATCAGGGAGGTACTTCGTTGCAAGGCAAGAAAAAGAACAAAAAGGAGTTTCGCACTAAAAAGGAACGCAAGTTACTTCGGGATCGCAAGGCCGTTGAGAAGGATATGCGCGAAGCAGATGCGTTGGTGAGCCATGAAGCGCGCGAGAAGAATCAAGCTGAGACGCTGAAATTGGTCTTTGGCACGTACTTTCGAATTCTTAAATTGCGAACTGAGACAAAACTCATGGGAGCTGTGCTGGAAGGGTTGGCCAAATACGCACATCTGATCAATCAGGACTTCTTTGGTGATGTTCTCGAAGCTTTGAAAGAGCTTGTTGAGCAAATTGCAATCAAAGATGGAGCGGCAGGCGGAGATGAGAAAGCAAATGATGAAGGCCCTGATAATGACGAGGAGATAAACTATGAAGAAGAAGGATTGCTCACTTTAAGACAATCCACCCGCCAAGTCTTACTCTGCACAATCACTGCATTCGCACTTCTCGAAGGCCAAGATGTCAGCAAATCTGCTTCGTCACTCCATCTCGACCTCGGATTTTTCATCACCCATCTATATCGTACCCTGTATTCCCTTGCCCTCAACACCGATATCGAATACAACCCTGAAAAATCCCTCCGTCTCCCCGACCCAGGCACCTCAACCGCCAACTCTCAACCCGATAATAACGACGATAACAAGCGCAAAAACAAAATCAACTTCCAAACCCCAATGGTCCTCCTCCTCCGCTGTCTCCAATCAACTCTCCTCTCCCGCAGCCACGGCATCGCACCACCTATCCGTCTCGCAGGTTTCACAAAGAGACTAGTGACAACCTCCCTCCAACTCCCCGAGAAATCATCCATAGCGATGTTGGCTCTCCTCACCAAAGTGGTGAAGCAACATGCACGTAAGATTGCGCCGTTGTGGAATACGGAAGAACGGAAAGGGGATGGTGTTTTCAATCCCTTGGCGGCTGATGTTGAGAAGAGTAATGTGTTTGCGGCTACGGTTTGGGAAGGGGAGTTGTTGAGGATTCATTATTGTCCGGAAGTTAGAGAGGCGGCGTTGGGGATTGAAAAGTTGGTTGCTTCTGGGTAGTGTCCTCATTTATGTGTAGTGATCATATAAAAGTGCTTAAGAGTTCCCGGGCCATACAGAATAATGAAATTTACACGTGCAACAAATTTGAAAATATATGTATATTCATAAAAATCATTCGCTCATTACACATTGAGTAGCCAGATCGCTTATAAGTACATACACTCAAGCTGCATCACAGCATAGTCATCAAAATAACAGAAGAAACTCGTAATAACAAAGATAAAGAAAACACATCAATAGAGACAACTGTCTCAATGTCCACCTGTAAACACAAGCCGAACGTTTACTTTCCAGTGTCCACACATCCATATGTCAAAAACAGGGCTCGGGGGTATATCCACCAATTCCGGGATACTGGACGAGGTCAGGCCTGGTTAGGGTATCAAAATATACAGTCTCGGTGCAAACGAAAGCATCTCTCATATATACCACATGCAAAGTCCGAGAATGTCATGCATTCCTTTATGACTGACGGTGCTCATGTGCGTATGGGGATGTCCAAAATTTGCCCATGTTCTCTAAATGTTCAAGGGATAGAATTCCCTTCTTAGTTGGAATCCTTCTTTCGCCGGAATCCACTGAAAATTCCACCAAGAATCGTCGCCCAGATAGTACGGAATAGGGCCGTGAACCAATTGCTAGACTTCATGGACAGAGCTGTTGTTGATTGATTACCTGTAGATCGTGTCTCATCGTCTGGCTTCTTAGCGGCCGGTTCAGTGTCGGCAGTCTCTCCTGAAGTTATCTTTGAGACATCATTGTTTTCAGCGCCCTCAGCGTTCGGTGCCGAGCGGTTGGCAGCAGTATAGTGTTCGTCTTCTTCACAGTAAGACTGGACACGAGCACTTAGATCGGCGGGCTTTTTGTCTCCGTTCAGAAGGTTCAATGCAGAGACTGAACCTCCAAGCTGATTAAGAAGTGTCTCGCGATCCTTGGCAAGCATCCGAAGCGCTGCGTCGGCCTCGGGCTCTGGAGTAGGAGGTGCAACGATTTCCTGAGGTCCTTCTCCAGGCTTCAAGCCATCGGTTGAAGGCTCAACGACATGGACAGGTGCTGGTTGGTGCTCTTTATCTGCGTGAATAGCAACATTCTTAGGTTGCGAATCTTTTTGCGATGAGGTAAGTGCATGACCAGCTGCTGCTGCCGCCGCAGCGACAACACTAGCACCACCGACAATACCGGCAATCTCTCCAACACTGACGCCAATATCCTTAGACATGGGTTCGGTTTCGGGAACCTTTTCAGAAACTGGGGCGACCTCTTCGACTGGAATTGCTGCTTCTGTCTCGACCTCCTTGGCGGTGGACGCCTCGACTGGGCGACCCTCGCTTGACTTTAGGCCATTAACGACAGGAATGTCCTTTGTGGTTGATTCGGTGGCGTCTTTAGGCAGCTTAGAGGGTTCAGCTAGAGTATTTTCAACGATTTCGGGTATCGGAACTTCCTCAGTGGGAGCAGCTTCCTTGACAATCTCGATAGGGATATCCTTGGTTTCCACAGGTTCGTGATTTGAGGTTTCTTCTGAAGCGGCTGAAGCGGCTGCAACAGCAACGAGGCCAGCTACTGCTGCGGTGCCCGCCGCAACCGCTGCCTCAGTTACTGCGTGGTTATCCTTTTCAGTTTCAGCAGCTATGACTTCATTCGCGCCCTGCGAATCCTCCGTGATCTTGGAAGTCTCCTCAACCGCATCTGCGCTTCGGGTGGCCTCCTCTTGTGGCTTCTCATCCTCGTCAATGATCGTTCTAGAAGTCTCGAGTGGCTCAGGTACTTCTACAGCTGCCTCAGCAGGTGTCTCTTCAGGGAGGGATTCTTCGTTAGCTCCAGGCGGTGCTGAAACTTCGACCGATTCCTCAACAGGCACATCTGCAGACTTGGCAGGCTGCTCTTCCGTAGCATCCAAAGCTTCAGCAGCTGGTTCTTGAGTGTCCTCAACACTTTCAGTCGGCTCATTGATTTCAGCAGTATTGGCTTCTGAAACCTCTGGAACCTTGGGAGCTGAAGATTCAGCTGGCGCTGTGGTGGTGTCAGCTACAACCTCAACCGGTGCTTCTTCGACACTCTTAGGCGCCTCTTCTTCAACAGGCTCAACCGGAGTTTCTTCGACGGTTCCGGTAGTCCCTTCGGTAGCAGGTTCTGCAGGAGATTCTTCCACGACCTCAGTAACATCGGCAGGTGCTGCAGGGGTCTCAGGGACAACTTCTTCTGGGGTCTTCTCAACACCTGCAGCAGCCTCTTCTTCGACAGGCTCTACTAAGGTTTCAGCAACTAGTCCAGTGGGAATCTCTTGAGCACGTTCAGTAGGCTCCTCGGTGGTCTCGGCGGGAGTTTCAACGGTTGTCTTCACTGGAACATCTTCCACAGGCTCTGTAGCATCCTCGGCAGGAGATTCTTGAATAGCATCAACCGGGGCTTCTTCAACGAGATGAGCAGCCTCTTCGACGGCAGGCTCCGCAGAGGTTTCAGCTGTAGTTTCAGCTGTAGCTTCAGCTGGAGTTTCTTCGGCAGGTTCTGCAGGTGTCGCTTCAACGGGGACTTCCTCAGGCACTTCAGCAACCTCTTCAACTACTGGCTCCGCAGTGGTTTCAGTCACAGTTTCAACAGGAACTTCCTCTTCAACTTGAGAAGGCTCCTCTGCGGCAAGTTCTGTGGGGGTTTCTTCAACATCCTGAGAGACTTCTTCGGCAGCTTCTGTAGAATCCAGCTCAACCGGCGCTTCCTCAACCACTTCCACAACTTCCTTTTCGACAGGATCAGCAAGTGTTTCTTCAGCGGCAATGGCAGCTTGTTCTTCAGCAGGTTCTACCGAAGTTTCATTTACAGCCTCAACAGGAGCTTTGCTAACAACCTCAGCTGGTGTTTCTTCAACAGCTTCGACAAGCTCCTCGGGTGCGGTGGAAGCTGCCGCTTCGTTGGAAGTGAGAGTAGCAGGCTCCTCGATGTTTGACTCTTCCTGGGCCTCAGCGCTCTTTTCTTCTGTTGCATTGTCAACTGCAGTTTCAGCAGCCTCGGCAGTTTCTTCCCTGCCTTCGTCTACAGCGTTAACGGCGGGCTCTGCAACTGCTTCAGCAACCTCTTCTTTGACACTCTCAGTGACAGGCTCCTCAGCTACGGGATCTGCCTCAGTTGCGACAACCGGCTCCTCTACTGCTCCTGGTGAGGTTACTTCGGGTTCTGCAGCTATGACCGGTTCTTCCGGGAGGTCTTCCTTGGCGGTACTCGACGCGGTCTCCTCGATTGGTTTAACCTCCCAAGACTCCGTAGCTGGTTGCGAGTCGGTGACAGCGGGAACAGAGGCCTCTTCAACAGCCTCCGGCTCCGCGGGTGTCTCTTGGGCAGGCTCTGAAGCGGAAACTTCCTCCGTAGCAAGAGGTACTTCTTTTCCTGCTGCCAATGGGACATCCTCAACAGCAGTTTCGGTAGCCACATGAGTCTCCACAGCTGCGTTCTCCTCGACAGAAGGAGCCACATCGGGCTCTGCACCAGCCTCGGTATGGGGAAATTCTGTATCCTCCTCGGTTACAGCAGGCTCAACAGCAGGTTCTGCGACAGTTTCCACAGCGGCTTCTGCAATAGGTTCAGCAACTGGCAGGGGAGCAGTTTCAGCGACAGGCTCTGTGGTAGGTTCTGCACTCGGCTCAACGATATCCACGGCTGGTTCTGTGATATCAGCAACCTCTTCGACGGCAGACTCTGCGGTGGGCTCTGCAGCAGTTTCCACAGCAGCTTCTGCAGTAGGTTCAGCAACCGGTCCGGGAGCAGCTTCAGCGACAGGCTCTGTGGTAGACTCTGTGACCGGCTCAACTACTTCCGTAGCAGGTTCTGCAACATCTGCAGCAGCTTCAGCGGTAGGCTCTGCGGCTGTTTCCACAGCGGCTTCTGCAGTAGGTTCAGTAACTGATACGGGAGCAGATTCAGTGGCAGTTTCTGGAGTTGTCTCTGTGATAGACTCAGCAACGGGCTCTGTGGTAAGCTCTTCAACTGATTCAACAGCAGGCTCGGGAACAGATACAGGAGTAGATTCGGATTCCGCAGGAGCAGCAGCAGGCTCCTCAGTCGCTTCGATTGAATCAGCAGTTTCAGTCTCCACCGGCTCTTCGGACTTTGCTACATCGTCGATTTGTTCAACGGCGGCAACAGGCTGCTCATCAATCGCGGCGGTCTCAGGTTCGGTTGACTCGATGGGAGCTTCAGCAGCAACCGTCTCCTCATCTGTCTTTTCTTCAGCGGCCTGAACTGGCTCAGGAGTCGATTCCTCAGCCGCTACTTGTTCCGGTTCAGCAATAGCGGGAGTAGTATCTGCCAGCTCATGAGCCTCTTCGACTTTCTCCGCTGATGACTCGACTGAAGTAGACTCGGCAACTTCTGGAGAAGCAGTCACTGCTTCAGGCTGGGCCTCAGCAGGTTCCTCATGAGTGTTAATCTCCTTAGAGGGTTCTTCGTTCGAGGTTGTCGCTTCAGTGGTGTCTTCTGTTGTAGTAGCAACGGTTTCTGGTTCAGTTACAGCAGATTCCGCGACTGCTTCCTTCTCTTCAACGGCTTCTTCGACTGCGATCGGCGACTCCGTGGCTGTTCCATCTTCGACCTGGGAAGACTCCGGGGCAGTTTCTTCGGCGACCTCCGGGGTTTCAGGGGTAGACACTTCTGGAGCTTCAGCAGGAGCAGAGGCTGGCTCTTCGACTGCCTCGGGAGTCTTTGTCTCCGTAGTTACAGCCGCCGGCTCAGTCTCCGCCGGTGCAACTGTAGTTTCTTCCTCCGCTGGAGGCACGATCTTGACATCTGATCCTGATGCTGGAACAGCCTCGGCTTCTTTGGCCGCAGTCTCTACAGTAGTCTCCGCGGGTACGGCTTCCGGGACCTCAGTAGCGGTAACAGTCGGCTCTACAACATCAGCAGCCACTTCCACGGGTTCAGCTTCGATTTCCTTGGGCTGCTCAACCACAGAAGTGTCCTTCATTTCGGCTGCGGCAGGTTCATGAGGAAAAGTTTCTCTAGGTTCGGGCTCAGCCTCCTCGGGCTGTCCTTCCGTAGCAGATTCCTTCACCGACTCCACAACTTCCGAGACTTCAGTCTCAGCTGGCTTCTCTTCAACTGCCTTTTCCGTCGTGTCTTCCTTGACTTCATCGGCAGGTTCATGAGCAGGAGCTTCGACCTCCTCCTTTGCTGCTGTCTCCGGTTCAGGAGCGGATTCGGGAGCTGATTCCAGAGCAACAGGGACTTCGGCTTCTGTCGCTTCAGTTTGAGGCTTTGTGTCCTCCACAGCTTCAGCTGTCGTCGTTGCTGCAGGGACCTGCTCGGCTTCAACAGAATCCGTCTCAGCCTCTTTTTCGGTCTGAAATTCGGGTTCGGGAACTGTTTTAGCAGCCGGTTCAGCTTCTGTCGTTACAGTGTGAGGTTCTGCAGCTTGCTCTGAAGCTTCCGCGGTTGTTGTCAACTCAGACTCTTCCGCGACTTCCGTGGCGTCCTCCTTCGCCTCTTCTACTGGGGCCTCTGGCTCGACAACAGGGTCTGAAGTGTTTTCTGGAGCAGTGGGAATCTCGGTTTCAGTCGTCTCTGGCTGGGCCTCGGTAGCATGCTCTGTGGGTTCCACGGTTGCGGCTGTTGGTTCAGGCAGTGACTCTTCTGCTGCAGGCTCAGTCGCTTCGATGACAGGGCTAGTCTTAGTCTCGACGTCGGCTGTTGCCGAAGAGGACTCTACCTCAGTAGCAACGTCAGCTGCCGGTGTGTCTTCTGCAGCGGAGTCAACAACCTTCTCTTCGTGAGCCGCTGGCGGTTCTTCAACAGCTTCGGACCCAACATCGGCAGGTTTTGCTCCGGTTGCAGCGTCTTCCTCCGTGGCTACAACTGGTGCGGCGTCGTCTACCTCTTTGGCAGGGGTCTCTGTGGTCTCCTCCGCCACGGGAGCAACTTCCGGAGGAGCATGAGGCTCTGCCTCTGCAGACTTGTCGTTTTCGAGAGGAGCATCAATAGCAGTCTCTTCAGTCTTCTCCACTTCCTTCTCGTCCGGCTTTTCGGAGGAAGTAGTGTCATCGACAATGGTCTCGCCTGCAGCCTTTTCCGTCTTTTTCTCTCCAGTAGTATCCTCCAAAGCTGTGACAGATTCCTCTACAGCCTTGTCCTTCGCATCCTCAACGGTGGGAGCTTCTTCTACGGTAGGGTCATCGGTTTTGACAACGGCATCGACCGCGGTAGAGGTCGGCGCATCTTCGGGTGATTTCTCATCGGCATGGTTTATAGAAGATTCGCCAGTAGCTTCAGCCTCGACCGGCTCCCCTGCATCCTTCACAGAGGTCTCCTTTTCTTTAGATGGTGTGGCGTGTGCATCCAAAACTTCTGCGGGCTTAGCAGCAACGGCGAGTCCGTGCTTGATTTCATCAGTCACTATTGTAACATCAACGTCAGTTTTAGTCTGTCTCATTTTGCCTCGAAACAGCAGGGGCTTTAGAAATCCAAGCAGAAAACAATTGGCAAAAAACTTACCGGTTTCAGAAGGAGTAGCAAGCACAACGGGCTCTCCGACCTCGGCCATTATTCGGGATTCGCAAATTGTGGGGAGAGGGAAGAGATAAAAAAATAAGAAATATTAAATGTGAGAGCTCGACTGAACGGTATAACAGTCGACAATCGAGTAGTAGGAATAGAGGGGAGATAAAACAAGCAGGATGTTTTGCTCAGTCAGATATCAAAACTGGACAGACCAAGGCAAGAGGGAAGCACAGAGAAACGCGTACAAATACAGCAGCTCCTGAGCTATCAAGTTCAAAGTTGACAAGGACAAAAGACAAGAAATACAGAATTCACAATTGGGTATCACGTTCGTCTTCAATTATCATAACACTCGTAAAAGGGGGAATACTAAAAGGTAAGGGTGGGGTGGATGTAGTTAGCAGGTAGAGGAAAGAAGAGGGAAGAGAAAGAAAAGAAAATTTCTTTCCTTCCTCAGGCAGGAATATCGATTATAAACGGAGACTCCCCTACTAAAGGTCTCTCCACCATACAAAGTAGCATTCGAAGCTATGGCTTAGTTAGGCACCTAACTCTTTTCCTACGTTGCCGACGGACCATCCCCTCACGAGCTGTTCTACGTTCAAGTTCATGACATAGCTGGAACAAGCTCTACGGAGTGTATACTTTGCCAACAAATTCAGAAACCGTACCGGAGCTTTCCCAGTCTACAATCCAAATGATGCGCAGGAAAAACTTCACTTCTCCGAAGGACCATATCCTCTAACTAAAATCCTCAGACCCGGATGACATACCCATAAATTGGAGTCGGAACTAAGAGCTGTTAGTTCGCAGCTAATAAGGGCTACTAAACCCAGAAAGAGTAAGGAATAAGCCGGCTGGAGGGGCAAATCTTTCTGCTTCGTGCTTCGTTGTCACAGTGACCAAGTAGTTAGCGCCAAAAATTCAAAAGCTTTGGGCCGGGATTAGGTAGAAGCCGGTCGTATCCAGTGAGTCAGAACTTATGATCATTGAGTAGAAGGGGATGACTGAACCGGGCCGAGGGAGAGAAAGAGATAGAGAGAGGGAGTTCTGAACTTCTGATTTCGTTTTTATAAGGGATTGATTGCTGGCAGGGGTTTCATGAAACAGCGACAAGTCACCTGATACCCTACTGATTGGAGGTTAATGGGTTTATGCAGGGTTTCAAGATTTCTAGCTGCAGATATCTATGCGAGGGATTTACTACGTACTGACTGAACTACGGAGACTGAGTCTGATGGAGCTCTAGTTAGCCAATACAGTATGTGCCCACATGAGCTCTTTAGCGCAGAGTCCCGACGTTGAACCGTTTTTCTTCCCCTTTCTCTTTGGATCTTGTACCGTAAGAGCTTGGTCTCTGGTCTGAATCTGAATGATGACTATGACATGCTTTTCTGAGGGGATTAGTACAATAGTAGTACAATAGTCATAGATCATGGCGATGGATGAGTTGTTCATTGGGGAAAAAAAAATAAATATAAAAAAGGGACCAATTAGGAAAAATCCAAACATTTGATACGCAAGCCGCTATTCCTGATACGGTTAGACTAAAGAGCCTAAAAACTAAGGCTTTGGTGCGACTCTCTGATTGGTCAGGGTTGTTTCTTCACCGCTTCTGTCTGATCAAGATGTCACCGCCAAAAGTCTCACTCACATCGATATCTCGTCTCTACATAGCACAAGTGTAGCGGGGTTGAAGCTTTGATGCTCGTACATCAAGCAGTAGCACACATGGTTCGCATACGATCTCCATCCGACGTACAGTCCTTCTGAGCTCTGATCCAAATACGTCCTAATATCGGTGACATCGACGGATTAGGCGCATGCAACGCCATTATCACGGAATGACAAGTCAGCGGCCTGACTATTAGCCTAAACCCTTTCCTTGCACTTCCAGGACACGATCAGGAAGTAGATATACTGGATTCATATCAAGCCAATGAATGCAATCCACGTCCTCGTCCACGTCTATAGCTACGTCTTCATGCCGTAGATATACTGTTTCAAGTCGCTCGTACGTTGAGTCGTTGGTATGCATCACTGCCTGGCTTGTATTGCGGGTTGCATTGATTCGTCCACATGGATCCATGCAATCATGCACAACATTGTATTTGGCAAGTCCGTAGTCGTATCGATCGATGCCGATGGCGAGTTAGTTTAATTGAATATGCACAACAGGTTGGTAGTCGACCGCCATTTTAGTACTCGGTATATTCGTCTTGACTATCCTCAATATAGCTGCTAAGAATCTGGGTATCCCAACCTCGCTTCTAATGCTCTCAACTGCACAGGATGGATGAATTGACAAAATACGACAGGTGCAAAGATCGAATTAAGCTTAATCACATGTGACGGTCATGTTTCTTCCCGGGGAACATGACCGGGATGGGATTACCGAGAACTTCGTCTACTGTTGCGAATACTATTAAAGCACTCGACTTCCTTGAACCTGTTGATGCAGAGTGGATGGGCATAATGAGCACCCTTTCCGATGCGGGGTGAGGGGTCAAAAGATCACAATGAATCATGCTTTCCGAGATTGCTTGCATCTCTACTTGTCGGCGGCTTGTTACTGAAGAAATAAGAATTGGGCTTGGATTCCGCATGCCGGATCGTGCTTGTTCACTCGGCGCGACGAGTTACAGGACACCGGAAGAAGAAAAAAAAGGAAGATTGCAGAGACAGGAAGGAGAAAAACGAAATCGTCGCACATCTCGAAACGCCAGCCAGTAGAAACACTGAAACAGGTATCAGTCGTCAAATCTCCATTCACCATTTGCACAAAAAAAAAGAAGAAAAATGTCAAATACAAATGTCCCGAAAGAAAAAGTCAATCAATAATCCAAGTCACACGACCGGTTGATTTGTACATGAAACGAAAAGAAGAAAGTCGTCGACGTCGTCACAATAATCATAAACCAGCCACTTCAAAATATCTCGAGATCCTCAAATTCAACGACCAATCTATCTCCTCCACCGCCCATGGTGGTATCGTCTAATCGCATACCGTTCATTGCCTCCCACATTGTGCCTCCTCGCTGTATACTGGTTGGACGGCTGGCATATACTCCGACATGCACGCACTTGTCCTCAACCCCGTAGAAAAACCAGGTAACCTCGCGAAGCTTTTTCCATGTACTTCCAACTGCTCCCGGGGTCACGGCATACGGTGACAAGGACGGGATCTGATACCAGATCCACAGGGAATAACCGACTCTTTCGAGCTTAATGCGCAGGGAAGTGATGTTGGTCGGTATATTTGGCATGGCCAGAGGCGACAGGCACCAATCCGCCCCGTCGGATGTTGCGCTGACCGACGCTGCATTGACTGTGCCCGAAGAAAACTCCATGCCCGCTTTTACCCATTTGCAAGATTGCGATTGCGATGTCATCGTATTGAAGTTGCGCACGCCGGTTTCTGATGAGGATCGAAGCGATTCGGTTGGAATCGACTGACTAGGAGCATCTCCGGCGAAAATGACAAGTCCACCTTGATCCCATTCCATCTCCCAGTCGGCGCTGATGGTGACTTCTGCCACGACAAACGGCCGCCGCAACGAGGTGAAGACCATTGGCGCTGTTGAGGTATCTCCATTTGGCGGTTTCCTCCATAGATCTGTGTTGGGGCCGGCGGAAAGGGTGAAATAATCCATACATACCGGTAGCGAGAAAGTCGAAGGCAGATTCAAAGCCGTGAACGAGGAACGATCTGGGGGCATTTTGGAGACGATTCGATAAATTGAAATCTTCAAGTGGACGGATTGTTTTGAATTGATTCTCCTGTCTTGAGACTTGAGAGAATGAAAAGAATAACAGATAAACGAAATGGGAGACGACCCCGTCCAATGTGCAACCGGTACGACGCAACCTAATGCGACCCACGACGAATATCGCGCCTCGCAATTGCAGTCCCTAGGCGCAAGTGAGCTCCTAGACGGCACCCAGATGACTCTAGTAGTACCGCTAGAGAAGCGTGGGCGGCGCTGGGAGATCTGCAATAGCAGTGGCTCGTGAACTTCCGCTCCGAGATCCGATAGTCAAGATAGGGAAGACGTATTGAGAATCTCCTGAAGTTGACAAACAGATTGCCAAGTGACCAGTGCTCAAAACGCGCGAATCATATAACTAGGGGAGGCTAGTCGGTTAGAAAGTTGGGGGAACCGCGGCATTGACTTAATACGGGCAAAACAGCTAACTGGCTCGTCTTACGAAAAGTGAGGCTGCTGATAGCACTAAGGGGACAGGGAAGGACGCGATTGCTTTGCTTTTGCATGCGTTACAGGCTCGCCCTGGACTAAGGGTTTCTCCGCACCGAATAACCGCCGGGCCTGTTGAACTGTTGAATGTGTCAGAAAAGCCATAAGGGAAAAAAAAAGATGATAAGCAGTCGATTAACATGAAACAGCAGGGGAAAGGGAAGATTTAGCGTTGATGTCAGGGCCCAGCCGCCGTTAGAAGGGCGCGAAGCGGAGCAAAACACTGAGAAGAGGACGATGAAATAACTCGAAAACGGAAGCGCATATGGGGCTTAGCGTTTAGCCCAATGCGGCCGGATCACGAAACAGATGCAAAGCGGTACGAACTTCAGTCAGAGGATCCTAGCACACCACGGATATATCGAAGGATGTGTGCTGATGCAAGTTGTGCTTGTCCCCGGTAGCCAAAGCAGAAGCCCAGACGATATCAATTGGGCGGTTGTACGGCGACTGATAGGTATATCGGATATGACGGAGGAAAAGAAACAACAGAGGCAAATCAAGACAAATAGACAACCACCGGGATTGATGCCAATCCCACAGCGATTTACTAATCAGATGATAGATGGTAACGTGACCATTGACCATTGACCAGGAACTTGCAGAAACATCAGAAGCGTGCCCTACCTTGCGTTTTCGCGGCCCGAGTGGCTCTAGTGTAGCAATATGATCCGAGGTCAGTGAGCTTGTTGTCAGCAAGACACCGAACAGCGTTCTCTCAAGGATGGGTCGTGACGCCTAGGAATGCACAAGAGCAGTCCAAGGCTGCTGGCTATTCTCTGACCGAATTGACTAAGTCGACTGGATAGAGCTTCTAAGCAGCCGCTGAAAGAAAGCCCGAGCGTCTGTCTGGCTGACTCTCTGTCTTGGGTTGATGAGGTCGGCACAGACAATATATATATATATATATATATAGTAGATCTGATGATAGAGCTTGATCTCGTGCAAGTAAGATAGATGCTGAAAGAATGTCCTCTGCTGCAAATCAGTCTGCCGCAACACAAGCGGCAAAAGCAAAGTTTAACCATCTGGGCGAGTGGGTGTAGTTGTGGTTTTATTCTAGGGATCCATTCATTGTGGCGCACCGACTGAAAACGGCGAAGCAAGAGACAAAAGTGGTTGGCGCTGGCATGATTCAGGATGTGTCTGAAGCCAGCTGAAAACAAAACAGACGAAGCAGATAAATACTAAGAAGTAAACGAGGCGATCGCCACTCTGAAGGAGGTCGAGCTAATCAGGGCCCTTACGCGCCTTCCGCCAGGAACATCCATCCCCACTACATACTTCTTCGTCCTCAATACTAAGTGACTTATCTCTCTACACTTGTTCTTGTCCATCTTTATTCTTTGCAAGGACTACTCTGTATACAACTGCGCTCTCCCAGTTTCTGATTCTGATTCTGGGTGTTCATTGCGAAGAGCTGAAGTAAGCTTATGTTTGTTTACTCACCATCCTCGGCCGTTACCTAGGATCCCCGGCTAACAACACAATCCTTCCAATCCCGCCAGCAAACGGATCAATACTAGATCGCTCTGTACGTACGGACTTGCCGAACCGGCCGAACCGGTCGAACCACCTCTATGGTATCATATTGACCGTATCGAACATATAACAATCAAAATCTGTTTGCCTCAGTGAGCTACATCCTGCGTGGGACGGTGGACCGATACCCTAGTCTGTCCCAGAAGCCCAGTTACGGATACAGTGCTCACAGTGTTCAGTCTCGCAGGCAAAATCCACATACTAAATCAGAAACTACAGCGGAAAATTGAATAGCGCCGAGTTACTCATGCATTATGCAATTCCAGTCCACATTGAATTTTCGTCTGTTTTGCCGCCAGCTGAGATATAGCACTAGGCACGCTTTGATTGGCGTTGTTCCGGGAACGGAGGCGACAAAACAATCAACAGAGACGCCATCTCACTCTCACCGACATGGTCTCCACGTCAATAGTGCTGGCCTTTTGACTTTGGAATATTACGCGTGATCCCGAGTTTTCAACATTGATTGATTGATTTATTGATTTGAATGGTGGCATGGCGGGGCCAATCAAAAAAGCCCGACAACATACAAGTTGATGTGGGAATTTTTAGGTCTCTCTAAGCGCGACAAGTGGATCTCGCCGAGAAAGCGCTGTATCGGGATCTATTCGTCCAATATGCCAGGCTGAGAAGGCGGCGCCTCGACGGAGAAGTCTTGCAGTCTTCCTCACCAGCCACATCGATCTGTACACTTCCTTCAAGTCCCTTGCAAGCCGCACATTATATTTGATGTCATCCTGCATTGTTACTGGTGAGATCAGGGCGCCTCATCTGGGGAACCTGAGACTTTGCCATCTACGGCTTACTCTTTTAGGAAACACCCACCGAATGGGCTTCTGACGCATATCATCAGCAGCTTTTGACTTCTCACCATGGCGTGCATGAACACAATATCATCACCTGCAGAATGTGTTTCACTAATCGATCATGAAGACGGTCAGCTTGTTGTCGTAGAAAGGCTTCATGCTGGCCAGACATTTGCAGCATGGCAAACACTATGTGTTTGAAATGCATGAACATTTCAATCCTGACCGCCGAATCATGCACGCATTTCTAGAAGGCAATATTCGTCAGCCGTCGCCGGTAAGATTTCCAAGTACGGACTCAATTGAGTGAGACTTCCAAGGCAGAGATGTTCACATGGTCTGCTTGTGTATCACGATTTGGCCGAGAAGGTGTGTACCAGAAAAACCCTCGGCGAGAATCCGACCTGGATCGTGCTGTTGGAGTGCTGTCTCGGAAATTAACCAAATATAGAACCCAAGCAGAGTCAGATTCATCTGGTATATTAAATTCTAATTTACATGCACCAACAAAACCCAAACCGTTCTCTCCTGCTATACTACAAGAAGTGAAACAACAAGCAAACAGACTCAAAAACAGCGAGCGAGACCAATTACCGGTCCGCAAGCATATTCTTAACACTGCTATAATATTGCGGCAAGACAAACCTCTGAATCTCTTCCTTTGCGAGCCACTTAAAGTCCGCAATATCCAGTGTATTGGCCTGTAGATCAGCCTGACCGGCCATAATACGACTCTTTAGGAAAAAGGTCTTTTCGCCAGCAATGAGTTCCTTGGTGCCTTGGTCGGGTTTGGGCGTCTTGAATATATACGAGTAGTGACCGATTGGATGGAAGCCGACGAACCAGGTGTTCATGTTGACGCCTGCGGTTTCGGAGAGGGTACGTTCCGCAGCCTATCATGGAGTCAGTCTCAGCTGTCACACTCTGATTCAACCGGGTGACAAAAAGAGGTAACTCACCGAGCGCAAATTCTCATTCAAACCCACCGATGAACTAGGAAACTTCCAATATCCCTGCTTCGTCTTCACAAGCAAATACAACGTCCGCTGCAACAACCTATCCAAACTCTTCTGATCATTCTTCTTATCCGCCTCCGTGACTCGAAATGCCGGACGCTCAATCTCTACTTTTTTAGTCGTTGCCCCTTCCGACGAAGCAGTAGTGACAAGCTCTGCATCTCGTAGAAGCATTTCTACCTGATGCTCTGGTTCGGATTCAACAGCGCCCACAAGCAACTCATCATTCCATGCCTCGGGTGAATAGGCATTGTATTTACCAATGTCGCGAGAAGGGGTTAGCCGTTCTCTGAATTTCCTCTTCCAATCCTCATCGGCAGGTGTACCGCGTTTGAAGTAAAAATATCGCGTAAAGGGTAGCGCAAGCCGCTCATTGAGACGTTTCTGGTAAAAGTAGAATGATTTTTCAAAGGGGGTCAAGTCACGAGTTATTTGAGGCGGGCGAGAAAGGACAACGCCTGCTTTGATGTCGTAGGATGGAGACGTTGATGAGGCTTCGGAGCTGGAAGGAAGAGGAATCTCGGCTTTGGAGATGTCGCCTGATCCGCCGCCGATGACTGTGGATGCTGCTGATGCATAGTCGCGGCGGGTGATGGTGAGTGACTCCTGACAGCCTCTGCATACAGAGAAATTAGATGGCCGCACTGGATAAAAATTTCAGTTAGTCTTGTCGCTTGACAATTGAGAATTGACTTTGTCCAAAACATACACGCAACAGCAGCCATCCTCCTCGTTCCCCGTGATCCAGCCGACATTGCTATTTCTCAACTGTGGGAGTTCCTGACGTCCGCAAAAACACAGCAGTCGTCTTTTAATACTCAAGAAAAGTTCACAGCTCCGTCTCAACATCTCCCGACTCCGACAGACACTCTAGTCCGAAAACGGTTAGGCGTCCCGTGACCACATCAACAACTCAAAAAGAAAATCTTTTTTTCTTCTTCTCTTTCTTTTATTCTACAACCCAAGCATCTACCTTATCTTCACCTAGCTGCCTATTTTACTTCACCAGCTAGTTGACCATTTAATGGTGCTCAGATGAGCGTTGCAGCCATTTTTCGCTAGCGGTACCTTCTTGTCCAAGGCGTACAGTTAGATAGACGCTGCGTACATCTTTGCTTTTAATTATTCAATTTAATCGATTAACCTCATTATTCCATAGTCACTTCGTACCCACTACTAAGAATAAGACTGATCGGCCTGTCACGATCATATTCAGTCCAAAAATCGACTTTAAGCTCCAATTCGAATACCCTCATGCATCCCAAAAACCGCGCAGGCCCTGTTATGATCACATCCTCCCAAAATTGACCTCAATCCCCCAGTTCGAATACCCTTTCGTGCGTTCCAAAGACACGAAGCTTGTTTCCGTAGACTTTCCACACTGGTGACGAAAAGGGTGGGATGAGTTCATGACCACCATCGGGTATGGCCAATTTGTCGATGCTATTCTCCAACTCCGTTGTTTCAAACACTGAAAAGTTGGTACCAAATTTCTGTTTATGTCCGCCCTGATCATTAGTTGAGGTCTCCTTGGAGATATCCAGGGCAACACCACTTGTGTGTTGGACAGTAGGATTTCCCTTGCGAGTGGCCTGGGTAGGCTGCAGAATCGATCTTGTCCGGGCACCAGGCAATTGAACGGCTTGTTTGATGAAAACCTGAGCTGTCAAAAGACTGTCATATCCAGCTTCGTGCGGACAGGCTTTTTTTCGATATCTCGTGTGCAGATTGTCCATTACTAGCTCTGTCAGCCGATGCCTGTCATAATTTGGTAGAAACTTACTGATCTGCGGCTTCGCGATCCTTTTGCATGCTTCTGCAATTTTCTCCAATGTTGCCGCTGGATTCATATCGCCACAGTCATGAGTGAAGATGTATTTGGTATCAATCAACATAGGGAACTTCTCGTGGAGTAGCTGCGCAAAGTCCTCGACTCGATCAGGTAGATCACCGTAGAAGCATTGCCACAAATATGTAACATCCATAAACAGGTTGTGACCCACGATGGCTATCTGGCCATTCCTAGCTTTTAGTTTGGTAATAATCTGCGTTTTGTGATATTCTGCATCAGGTCCTTCGCCAATAACCAATGGTTCGAACATCTGAGATGTCATTTGGGATAAGTCACCTCCAGCCAACGCTTCGATCACCCAAGCAAAGCCACGATGATCTATTAGACGCTGCTGAACGCGGCTCATTTTCCCCTCATACTTCTTGTGTTCCTTCGCCTCGTCGTATTTCACAATTTTTATGGACTCACCCGACCTTATGGATGTGAGGGAGGGGTATTCTGTCTCTACGAGTTGGTGAATCAGTCTTTTTTCGAACCGTGTAAACGCGTGTCCATTCAATGCTGGAACATGCAGATAATCCGGCTTGTCCTGAAGAACATGTAAGTTATCATCTGCCTACGTCTTGGACACAATCTGTCTGCCGAGTGACTTACCCAGTCCGCGTTTAGCCATTCTTCAATATCTTTGCGTATGCCAGCAAGAAATGCTGCTGACTCTATGTCATCATCAGAGAGTATTATCTGAGCTCTTTTGGCTGTCTGCCACCGACTGCCGTGAAAACGGCGAGCTTCATCGAGTATTTCATCCACCTCCTTCTTTGAAAGATATGGTACACCATTCTCGCACGTTTCGCCGAGGTTAAACCCGATTTTGGCCAAAAAGTGGATGGCTATGAAGACAAAATTAATATACCATTTCAGAAAGTGGTAAGTTTACATACCATTGCTTGAAAGCCCAAACGTCCGGTCGACATGTAGAGACGGGTCGATCCACGGTGACAGAGGGATGTTGAAAGGTTTGACAGTGTATTTCCCTTTCTCTGTGTGAGCTGTTGTGGCAATGAGGGGATTATGTAGACCAGCTACTCACCTCTTAAAACGTCTTCCTTCACAATAGTAAGCCCTACCTGAAGAATCTGATAGGTTTTGGCTGCCTCTTTTACTTCTGCATATCTCTCCTGAAGACTCTGTGGACGCGATCCCGCCTGGTGGGATGGAATTCCAGAGAATTCAAAGTCCAGAGCAACAAAAGCACACTCACTAATGTCTCGAAGGATGCCTGGTAGGCGGAAACCCCAATCTTCGCCTATAACAATATCTTCTTGAAAGTCCATGTTGAGATGGGCTCAAGTGCTCTTCTTGCAAACATCCAGGAGCCTGGAGAGGTTGATGGTGGGAAAGAAAAAGGTATGAGTCACAAGACATAAGTACTGCATACAACTGAGCCCGATTTAGGTCTGTACTGAAAGAGTTGTGAAAGTGACGATGGTGTAGCCTGCTGAGATAATAATAAGCAGTTAACTCACTATGATATGCACAATACTCACCTCACTGTGGCATCCACTAAGACATAGTTGGCTGCAACTGCCATGATGCATTTTCCTTGCATGACTAAATAAAGAAATACATGACCACAATGTAAATAACAATGAGAATGGTGCTTTTTGTCGAAATATATCAAAAATGAGCTCGGATTTAGACCCCGGATGCCGCTAACGGCAGGCCAGAAGAGCTACCCCGAGCCGAGGGTAAAACTCCATCATAGCTTCTGAAGCTGCTTGTGCTTACCATTCTTGCTTATACATCAGATGGAATTTTGAAACAAGACCGACACATTCAATTCCTCTGCTACAGATCACTCTATCTAGTTACTATTATTCACCGTTCTACAGCATCGAAGCTGTGGAGTCCAGCCATCATGGCCGAGCAAGGCGGATCGCATCTGTCATCGTCGCAGACCCTCTACAACTCAACCTCGTCCCTCCCCAGTTCGAAACTATGTTCTCAAACATATAAATCAGCCTCGCAGCTGTTTCTGACACGTCGTCTTCAAGAATCCTTCAACACGCTTATCCCGATTATCACAGCACCAACGGCGTCCGATGACGTCCAGATCACGAATGGCGACGCCGACGGCAACACTTCCACACTTGCACCGATCGCATACGCATCAAGCAATGTCAGAATAAAAGTTTGGAATTTGTATATCACGCTGTTGAGCAATGTTATTGATTTGGGACCTGAAGAAGGGAAGAAAGAGTTTGGACAGAAAGAATGGAAGGCTCTGGTAGCCAAGGTCCGCGACGGGTCGATTTGGGAGGAGATTGTGCAAACTGGTTATCAGGGTCTAGAAGGCTCTGTTGATGCCGATGTAATTTACAATTTGTGAGTATCTCGTTTCACTCACAGGTGAGGATCTACTGGCTGACTTTGCTGCTTACAGAGGAACACTGCTACTGACGCACTCGCCATCGCAAACGCTCAATCAGCAGCGACTCGAAACATATCTCTCTGCCTACCGTCAGCCAGATTTAGACCTTGCCGCTTACATGGAGAACTCGGCGTCGGGTTCTCGACGACTGACCCGCAACGGAGGGACAGACACCCCCAAGGATTTAGCAGCACGGGTCAAGATCATTGAATTATTTACACTGCATGTTCTTCCGCAAAACGGAGAATGGGACTATGCCGCGGAATTCATAAGACTCAGTGAGGTACTAGACGAGGAACGGAAAGAAGTCTTCCTCCAGACTTTAGACGAACTCAAAGAGGAGAAGGAACGAGGCAATCAACGAGCAGCAGAACTGCAACGTGAGAAGGAAGCAGAGTTGGAGCGACAAGCACAAGAGGAGGAAGAAAGACGAAAAGAGGCGTCGGCAGCAGAAAAAGCGCAAAAGGCTTCTACTGGACATAGGAGGGCAAACAGCGAGGTAGATTACGGAATTGATAAGAGTCATCCCAATGGTGCTGCCAAAGGTCGATCTGTCAAAGGAGCCGACAAGCCAGGGCCGAGCAGTGATAATAAGAAGGCGCAATCAGCTACCACGAGGCGCACAGCGTTTCCACCGTCATCGTCATCGGTTTCAAAAAGTATCGGAGAGCGAGAAAAGTCTACCGTCTCGGTGTCGCGACGTATACGTGTTTTCTACAACGTATTACGAAATATTCTGGGGTATATTCAAAATTCTGTCGCTGGAAATCCGATGGCATTCATCCGCACTATTCTTTTCACACTTGGGTTTATTCTAGCGCTGAGTAGACAGGATGTTCGTGCCAGGATACAACGATTGACCAATTCGAGTTTGCAGAAGATCAGAGGGACGGTTGGAATGGGTGTGAAGGTTAGCTATATATGAGGACTGTGAAAATCGTGGACAAATTTTGGTACAAACTCATAGGTATATATTGGATAAAAATGTCTTCTTCCGTAGAAGCAGACCCATTCCATTCGAATTCTTTGATCGACGTTGACATAGATCATTCATATGAACGGTAACCCTAGTCAGCCCTAGTCTTTCACAAGCGTCGGCAATGTCGCCGATGGTGTGGACATTAAACGAGATTTTCTCTTGATTATTTAACAACTATGAAAAAGACTAGAAAGCTGTGTGTATACGTGCTGTCATAATGTCTTACGACTAGAAGAATTCAGTTAGTATTGACGATTTACTGGGGTAAAATGGGAACAGAGACGCAAGTCGTTTCTGATAATCCAGAAATGCAAGATATGTCTTTGCCGGACAGTCGTACATCAAATCGATGGACGGGCATACTAAAGAAAGCAGCATCCATAATACTAAGCCAATGGCTCATCATTGGCATGGGCATCGCCTGCCTACTAGCCTACCTATTCCCCAACCTCGCCAAACACGACGGCATAATCAGATCGCAAGACAGTATTCTCTACGGCGCCGTGGCACTCGTCTTTCTAGTCTCTGGGCTCAGTATCCCCCGCCAACAACTATACACGCACATGTTCAATTGGCATCTTCATGCTTTGGTGCAAGTTACGTCGTTCCTGTTTGTGCCTGCCGTGGTGCTGGCTGTTGTCCATTTGATTATTGCCACTGACCATGCGAGAGTGATTGATCCGGCTGTGTTGGCAGGGTATATTCTTACTTCTGCTATACCGACGACTATCGCGTCGAATGTGGTCATGACTCGATCTGCTGGTGGAGATGATGCCGCTGCACTGGTCGAGGTACTCATTGCGAACTTTCTAGGCCCGTTTATGACGGCCGGGTGGACGGTGGCCCTCATGCCAGAGGCTGAAGAATTTGAGCCGTGGAAGACTGGCGGAACTAGTGATATGAGTCAAATGTATAGAGGTGTGTTCAAGCAGCTTGGCCTAAGTGCGCTGTTGCCTCTGGTGATAGGCCAATTGATTCGATGGACATGGGAGAAGCAGGTTGCTTCTATGCTGCAAAAGCTCTATATCAATAAGTTAAGTACGGCGTGTATGATTCTGCTGGTCTGGACGACGTTTTCATCTGCTTTTGCGACTGATTCCCTCGAGGAACTCACGACACAAACCGTTATATTCACCGTATTCTTCAATGTCGCACTGTATCTCTTCCTGACTGTGGTCTGCTTCACATTATCCCGACCACCTCATACCCTGAGAAAGACCCGCTGGGGAAAACGCGTTTTCCGTGCAATGCCTCCCGAGGAAACGATTGCAGTCTGTTTCTGTGGACCGGCCAAGACAACTGCATTGGGAATTCCGTTGTTGTACGCCATGTACGATTCAATGGATCTTTATACAAAGTCCAAGACTTCGATTCCTGTGCTGTTGTATACGACAGAGCAGATTTTTGTGGCGCATTTTATGGTGTATGTTCTTCGGTGGTGGAAGGGGCGATTGGAGGCGGATGAAAAACGAGATGTTGAGTCTGATGTTGGGGGTCGTGGACGATAATTAGCTTGATATAATGATTTATGTTGATATATCGAGTAACAAGTAATAGATGATTTTGCACAGCTGTATGGCACGTGCTGATAAGCAGCTGTCCTTGCTTCCCCGCAAAACCGATAAGGATGATTCTCTCCAACATTCAACAGCTTAAGAACTGCTACCACAATCTCTTCTAGTTAATACGGACAATATGACTCATTCTGAATGTCATTATCTTTCTATTCCTTCCTTTCTACTCCGATCCCTCATTTACGAACATCAATGTTGTGATTTGACTCACCTCGCCGGTCCGAACTTCGGATATCCAAGCTCCCAAACAGCCTCGGTTCCGAACGATGGTCGTCAGAAATGCGTTTGCCCGAAATCACCCGTTACAAGAATCCAGATGATCAGAAGACAAGCTACTTGTTTCGTGAGAAAAGAAACATTTTCGTAGTCTATAATGCGCATGGATGATTGGTGCCTTAGGGAAATGCTACGTCAGGGTGATTGGACCATTCCTGCGAGGATAAGTCTTTCACATGATAGAACTCAGAACAGCTTCTTCTTTTTGATTGTGGTTGGCTAACATATTGCCATTCCAGAAGGTGTATATGTATGGTAACTCGAATACTAATTGCCGATTAACTGGTTAAATGACATCAACCATAGCCTCGGAATCTAGCCCGCCCAAGTACGGAAATATGGAGTAACTACATATATGGGGACACATTTGCTAGGAGATCCCATGGGATCCCTGGATGGATTAGCCGAAGAATTGAATGAGTCAATTCAATATAAGTTCTAGTGATCTGCCAGATTTTGTTTTCTCTGAAAATCCATTTTGTGCTGTTTTTACTTCCTTTGAACCGTCTGCGTGAATGTGCTGGTAGACTTCCGTTCGTCCAGACTCCAGACTGCTCTACGCGCCACCCCCATATTTCGAGCCACTCCTCGCCTTTCCTCGTTTTCTTTTTCTTTTTTTTGGGGGTATTTTTTCGTCTAAACATTTGAATTGCCTCGGATTCGATTTTCACTCATTGCACTTAGCAAGTTGAGCTGTCTGGCTCCGCTTCAGTTGATACAAGCTCGGTTTCTAGATATATTCTTGTGATGCAGCGGTGACACCGGGAGCGAACAAGATAGACCTAAATCAGTAGATACTGTATATCACGTCTTGAGAGGACGCGCTCCGAACAGTCCAACAACACATAAGCAAGATGTCTACAAAGACATCGAATGGCAATGGCAAAAAGGCGGCATCGCCTGCCACAAATCTCATAGGTATGGCTCGTTGAGTTCCTTGTTGACGAAATTGCTAAAGCAGGTTCTAGCTGGTGGTGGTGCTGGTATGATGGAAGCTCTCGTTTGTCATCCACTAGGTATGTCGAGAAAAGCATTGTGTCAGTCGTGTTCTAACCGACAATCACAGACACAATCAAAGTCCGAATGCAACTATCGCGGAGAGCAAGGGCACCTGGTGTATGTATAACCCCACAAATGATGGGGGACAATTGAGCTAATAGATACAGGTCAAACCGCGCGGATTCGTCGCGACTGGAGCCGAGATTGTCAGGCGCGAGACTGCAATGGGTCTGTACAAAGGTCTCGGGGCGGTTTTGGGTGGTATCATCCCGAAGATGGCTATCCGATTCACCTCATACGAGTGGTATAAGCAGCTACTGACCGACGAGAATGGTCATGTCACCCGCAAAGCGACATTCATAGGTGAGTATCAGTATCCTCTTTAAGGGTCATCATGCATACCAATTACCGTACTAACGTGGTCCAGCCGGTCTTGCCGCAGGTGTAACGGAAGCCGTGGCGGTGGTCAACCCGATGGAAGTCATCAAGATCCGTCTGCAAGCCCAACACCACTCCCTAGCCGATCCTCTCGACACCCCGAAATACCGCAGCGCACCCCACGCTCTCTTCACCGTCGTCCGCGAAGAAGGATTCGGAGCTCTATACCGCGGCGTCTCCCTCACAGCATTGCGGCAAGGCACAAACCAAGCAGCCAACTTCACAGCTTACACGGAACTGAAATCGGCGCTACAAAAATGGCAGCCGGAATATGCCAATAGCGAACTCCCGTCGTGGCAAACCACTATCATCGGATTGATCTCAGGAGCCGTGGGGCCCTTCTCCAATGCGCCGATTGATACCATCAAGACCCGTCTGCAGAGGACACCTGCCGAACCTGGACAGACTGCACTGGGTCGCATCACGATGATAGCGGGCGAGATGTTCAAGCAGGAGGGTGCCAAGGCATTTTACAAGGGTATCACACCGCGAGTGATGCGTGTTGCTCCAGGACAGGCGGTGACGTTTACCGTGTATGAGTTCCTGAAGGGCAAGTTGGAGAACAGTCGGTGGTCGATAGTCGGCGGAAAGTACGAGGAGTAAACTGTGTAAACCTGTATTCTAAGGCATCAAAAGAAATTGTTTAGTCATATTCCCAACCCAGTTAGACCGGCTGCTGCCTAGCAAACTATGTATCAAACAATGCAAACACATACCAAACCGTACTAGCTCAATATCTTCCGGCAGGGTATATAAAGCCAGCTCTCCCGCATTCTATCTTAATTTTTTCTTCTTCCTTTTCTCTCCCTATCCTAGTGCTCGGGCAGTTCGATTACCAGTGAGGATTTCATCCGAGGTATCGATTTTGCTAGTTGAAAACTACCTAGTTTGACCACTTCAACTGGCCTGCGGGTCGGTTGGGAATTTTTGATCACTCAATTCTCTTACTCTGTGGAGAGATTATACCAGCAGTATTTTTTGTCTGCTGTGTTGGTTCTCGGGAATTCTTCATTTCATTACTGGTTGTCCTTGCGATAGCTTGTGGAGAAGTGATCTTTTGACATTTATATGTAACTAGTTCAGTCAATCTAATTCTCGTCTCGTCGTTGGTATGGAGCTGTCGTCCGGGGCCCAATCCCATCACTCATATTTTCACATGGGAGCTTAAGCTCTGCTGGTGGCAACGATGACTATTTCATCCTACCTTATCTACATAGAATACTAGACATCTATTTCACACACCTGTGTATACGTATATACTGTATTCATATATAACATGTCTAAAGAATTCGACTTGGTCCTTCTAGGCCCGACAGGCTACACAGGCCAGTACACAGCAGAAAACATCTACAAAGGCTTCCCAACCACACTGAAATGGGCCGTCGCAGGTCGCTCAGCTTCGAAAATCGAAAGTCTTGTACAGAAATGGAGGCAGTTGGGTTATGACCGACCGGATCCAGGTATTTCACTCTTCTAGAACTTTAAAACTGTGCTAATCCCTGGTAGAAATTCTGATTGTCCAAATGAACTTGGATAATCTCCATGCTCTCGCAAAACGGACGCGTCTGATTATCAACTGCGTTGGTCCGTATCATTTGTATTCGACGCCTGTTGTCGACGCTTGTGCTGAGAATGGCACCCATTACGTTGATGTGTATGTCTTTTTCGTTGTTTTGTCGACCGGGATATCTAATTTGGACCTTTGGTACAGCACGGGTGAAACACCGTGGGTGAGAAAGGTGTTGCATCAATACCATGAAATTGCCGCGAAGAATGGGGCTATTGTACGTTCCTTTACTTTCATTTCTTCTTGAGTTTTACTGACCGGATAGATTATTCCATCTTGCGGCTTTGAAAGCGTACCACCCGACGTCGTGGCCTGGTACGCTGTGAACCATCTACGCACACAGCTCTCTGCCGAACCTACAGAAGCTGTAGGTTGTATATACGACATCAAGTAGGTTCGCTCTACCAGGCGGCAATTACAAAACTAACAGTCATAGGGCTGCCGGCGCAAGTGGCGGTACCTCCTACACCGTCATCAGCACGCTCGAAAGCGCCGACATCTCCGACCTCGTCAAATCCATGGACAGTTACTGTCTCGCCGCCTCCCCAATCCCGTCCACACGCACTACACCACGCAAATCCATCATCGAAACAATCTTCGGTATCCGCTCAGTCTCTGATCTGGGAACACTCACCTCCTCTCCTTCCGGAATGGTAGACGAAACTACCGTCATACGCAGCAGCACGCTCATGTCCAATCTCTACGGGCCAAATTTTTCGTATCGCGAATACTTTCGCGTGCGCAACGTTCTGCTAGGAGCTGTTTTTCATTTCGTACTGACTATTGGCGTCACTCTCCTCGTGTTTGCGCCGTTTCGCTGGATTGCGAAACGATTTGTCCCTGCACCTGGTCACGGACCGTCAAAGGAGGAGACCGTGAATGATTACTCCGAGCATCGGGTTCTGGTCTCTAGTAACCAAAAAGACTCGACAACCGGAAAAATGAAGAAAGTGCTAGGTAGTATTGCGTACAGAGGTGATCTGTACGGATTAACCGGTATCACGGTTTCTGCTGCGGCAAAGATTGTTCTGGAACACGAGAAGGAGATTAAAAATATATCAGCTGGGTTTGTGACGCCGGCGACGTTGGGGCAGGCGTATGTTGATGAGTTGGAGAGGGGAGGGTTCAACTTTGATGTGAAGGTTTTGAATTAGTTTGTTTTGAGTGACTTGAAGTATATACGCCCGGCGTATATAATTATGGATATACAGCTATATAATATTTGACTGATTACAAGCTACTCCTCTCCTTGTCCGGGAAATACTTGCCCAAAAAAAATTCAACAGCCTCATTGACACCCCTTGGATCCTCCGTCAACGCCCAATGAGACGTATTCAATTTCTTAACCGTTAGATCTGGAATCGCCTTACCCATGGACTTGCCCATAGTTTCTGGTGGCAAGGCCGGATCTCTCAGAGCCTGGATGAAGAGTAAAGGAACCTCAATCTTGGGTGTTGAGGCATACTGTTTCTCGTCGTTGAAGTTGATTTCTGTGAGTCTGTACCAGTTCAGTGGTCCATGGATGCCGTAGCGAGAGAATTCGGTGGCGTAGTATTCAAGATCCTAGATACAGTTTCAGCATCAGGTTTCAGGCAAGAAGAGAAATACATACCTCGCCTTTCAAGAGCGGCGACTCCCGAAAACTGCCCAGTTTATCTAGTTTAACTCCCTTTGAAGCTGACCATCCGCCTTCTCCCTCAGCAGTCCGTCCGCCATACATAATCGTTAAAAACTGCCGAACATCGTCTTTAGAACGAACAGCCTTCTCGACTTCTCCAGATCGGAATTGCAATTGATACCCAAGACTAGGCAGGAATTTGTCTACCAGCTCTTCTAATGGGATATAATTTGTGCGTGGAGGAGAGTAAGGCACGCAGACGGTTATGATATGTGAGATTAGGCTGTGCTGGTGGTGGTAGATCGAGTACGCTAATGCCGCACCCCTGTCGTTTTGTGAGATACATGATGTCAATATTGATTGATTGAGGGACGAACCAGTCATGAGCACAAAGCACAATCCGAGATTCTCCAAGTTGATGAGCAAGTTGTGCGAGATCAGCCGCTATTTTCTTGAAGGCGTATTCTTTGGGATCATCGGGGGCATCCTGTATTGATTAGCATTCATCTTGATATACCCGCTAGATCTTAGGATGAATGTACAGTCCGTCCATAACCAAGTTGATCAGGAGCAACGACTCTGAAGCCGAGATTGAGAAGATGGGGGATTTGATAGCGCCATCCTATGGCCAGATCTGGGAAACCATGCAGCTATTGCAGGATGTTAGTTCACTCCTGAGGCAAATCCGAGATGACAAACACAAACCAGGAAAACAGTAGCTTTCCATTTTCCAGATACCGGTTCGCCGTATATATACGCTTTGTCAAAATTCTCAGTGTTAGTAGAGGGCTACATCAACCTTGGAAACCGCGAGTAGGCATACCGTAATTGCGTCTATTCAGATTGGCATTCCGCCATTGGACTCGTGAATCCTCATTATAATTAATTCTGTCAATTTTGGATGCTATTTTGGATGTCATATTGCTTGCTACTGAGGTGTGTTGCATGTTGGAGAGTTGATGGAGCCTTCAACCCTAAATAGGGAGGTAAAGTGGAGTACTATAAGCCGAGGTTGTATCATCGTGAGGAGACGTCTCATGGTATTACTAAAATTGTATGCATGCAGTTGTTATAGATATTCCATCGATATGATCGGGAATGATCGTACGGGTGGCTGCTTGCAAGTTGCCTTACAGTAGACCATCATGCCGATATCGTATAACTAGCTAAGCAATGCAAGTCACATATAGTACACGCAATTGATCTGTCGAAGCGCCTCCAACAGTCAACATTAGTAGAGGACCATATCCTCCTTATCTTCTTCCATGACTTCCTCTCCCTCGTCGTCTTGGCGATGTGTCAATAAATTATGTGTAGCGTCTGTGCTCGGTTCGCCTGTGTCTGTTGTTGAAACATCCTGTTCACCGTTCTCTTCTTTCTGAGTTTCATGTTCTGATGGTTTGCTTGCATCGTTGTCAATATCTTGAGATGGCTCGGCTTGTTGGTTATTTGAATTCTCAGGTTTCCCGTTTTCGTGCAGTATCTTATTACCCTCCTGCTCTCTTTTGCGCCACCGTTCTTCAAATTCCGCTTCCTCCTTCACTATTGTCTCCTTGGCTTCCTGGCGCTGTCTGGAGATCATATCTTCGTCTTCTTCTATTAATTCAAATGGTCGCCATAACTGTACTCATTAGCCAAGAGACTCTCACAATCTTTGATCTCACGACTTACTAAAACTGGTTCCACCTTTGTGCGTAGGAACCCAGCTGCATGCAGCATATTTTGATGCCGTAGAGTCATCTAAATCGCATCAGCAAATCATCCTACCAAAATCCGCAATTGTAAAACTCACGGATGCGCGTTCTAAATCCTCCTGTTGACTCCTCCGCTCATCTAAAAGTTCCTCCTTCTTCCTCCTCTTCGTCTCACTATGCTGCTCATCCTGCAATTTGAGTTTCGCCTGCTGTCGCTGCTCAATATCCGCCCTTCGTTTCTGCGCTGTTGTCGACGATGTCTGAGATAATGTGCCTAACAGTCCGCCAAAGAGTCTTTGTCCCCGTTTCCGTTCTTCGGCGGCTGCAACGACTCTTCTTCCACCGGGTCTTGTAGGCTGTCGTGTGGTATTATTGTTGTCTGGTGAGTGGTTATCACCGCTAATGCGCCGGCGCTTACTTCCGTTTTCTGATACTGAGGATTGACGTCTTTTTTGACGTGCTTCTGGTGAAGCGCGGACTGGGTCTAGGTCTTCTGGCTGAGGTACTGAGACTGCGGAAGCTAGAGTTCTGTACTGTGTCAGTTATTTAATCAATTCGGGCAATGCGCGTTTCGAGGAGACTCACTCCTCCGCCATATTGGGTGGCGTAAACAATTACACGCGATGCGCAGCGCTGGCTGGAGTCAAGAGTAGTCGAATATAAGTAAATAATGTGGCTAGAATTGTCGTCGGAGAGCTGCGTGTTCAGTTGATCCAGTGAATTCTGGAGTGGCGCTCGGGCCAAGGCTGTGGAACCTCGAAAATCGTTTCTAAGCTTTTCTACTCTGTACCTCTCTCTCTCTTCAAACGCCACTGCATATAAATACCTACCTATCTCAACACTCCTACTCAACCGGATTACTATCGTCGATCAAACAATTACCAAACAAACGAAGATAGAAAGAAACAGAAAAAAATGTCTCGCCATCATCCCGATCTCGTCATGTGCCGCAAACAACCCGGCATCTCTATCGGCCGCGTCTGCGACAAATGCGATGGCAGATGTCCCGTCTGCGACTCGTACGTGCGCCCAACTACTCTTGTGCGCGTCTGCGACGAATGCTCTTTTGGAAACTATCAGAACAAATGCATTGTCTGTGGTGGGGAGGGGATCAGCGACGCCTTTTATTGTTTCCAGTGTACCCGTCTTGAGAAAGATCGCGACGGATGTCCGAAGATTATTAATCTGGGTAGTTCGAGGACGGATTTGTTTTACCAAAAGAAGAATTTTCGGAATCAGCAGTACTAGTCGTCCGATCTTCTACATATATGCGCTTGATACGGTTCATCAAGCTCGTCTTCATGAGACAGAAAAGTTCAAGCATAGCGGAATGGGATATGAAGGAATAACAAAGGCTATCTCAAATGCATACATCTACTCGCCTGACTGGATCTAACGACATCATCTACCGACCGGGACGCTTGGGTCTAGCGAATCCGCGTTTTGGTCCTTCGTCCTGTCGTGGAGTGACCTCTTCCTGCAGTCTTGCTGCAGTGATTTCGTCCGGCGAAGATCCTTCGATCTTTAATCATAGTCAGACATGGTATTAAATTCAATAATGGAGTTGAATGATCGTTACCTTGTTGTCAATTTGGATACCCTCGGCCTCGCCTATTTGAATCGCTACCCGACGCGTGCTTGCATACAGCATCTTTTCTTTGATTGATGATCCGGACGGACACGTGTAAATGAAGATTACAATGGTCGATCCAGGATAGCGGTAGAAAGTATATCGCGGCGAAGAGTCCGATATATGCGATGCCACAGCACTTGGCGAAACATTCGACTCGGTAGCGTTAAGTTTGATGCTTTCGGATTTGACATCAATGGACTAGATGTTGATTAGTATAGTGACAGTGAATAATAAACAGAGAATGTTTGAACTTACCAGCTGAACCAATCCTTCTTCCTGTATATTCCGCAACGCAGTCTTCGCATCTTCATCCACAGGCATATTTACCCTCATCCCACCCCCCGTAGCAATCCCACTAACTCGTCCCAAACTTCCACCAGTACCGACATCTCTTCCAGCCGTACCGTGTCTAGCCTCCTCTTCTGCGCGTCTAACAGCTTCCAACTCCCTCTCCTTTTCATCCATCAAGTCCTCCCTCTTGAACGACGCTGTAGATGTCCCATTTCCTTCTAGATCACGCTCCTTCCACGCATCTTCACCGTAAACTTCTTCCTCCTCTGTCGCAAAGATTGTAGTCGCGAACTTCTCACTGCCCAGTTCTCGCGTCAACGTTGCACGGGTCGATGCAAACAACGTCTTTGCTCTAACACCCGCATTCGAAGGGATGTAGGTTAATGCCAACAGGCCACTGACGGCGGGTGAATGATGACGCAGAACCAGGAAAAGCGGCGTTCTGGGTTCGAGGATAGATTGAAGTTGTGGTAGAGAGGAGTAGAAGGAGGACTCTGCGAAGGGGATTGGGGGTCGTGGCTGGAGGCTTTCGGAGTCGATGGTTATGGGTAATGCGAACGCCGAATCGTCGGAGGTGAATGCTTGGAAGGCATCGTGTAGATCTTGTGAGACTGTAGATTATAAGAGAATAGCGGTCAGTCTGAGCATTAGAGGTGATAATCGATATTGCGGGGCATGAATGAAGCTCTTTTGAAGGCGTAGTTATTGTACTCGATGTGCAATGGAAACGTACCAGATATGCCGGACTGCATTTTGTTTATTTTGCAGCAGCAGTACTGCGTATGAGTCTAGTGTTTACTGATGTTAAAGTGGTTGAAACTTGGAAGGTCGAGATGTGCCTGGTAGCTTACTCCACCGGCAACCCCCTCATGCCCCCATACAACGTTAATCAGGCATTGGCCTGCTTACTTCCACTCTAACAATCCGCTGTTTTACATAGCGACCATGTCTACACTTTTTACAACAGTACTACATGTGGGAATTAGAGGTTTGAAGAATAAGGCCATGTCAATAAATAAGTAGTAATCATTTGCTGGGCTGATCTCAGCTAATTAACTACAGATTTGATAGACCACAAATGAGCGAATTAGGTCAGTAGTAAGCACGAATCATCCTAGAACGAGTTCCAAGGTGGAAATTAAGCAGCAATCTCAAGTCGCTGGAAACCACCCTCGGCAGCAACCTTCTTCTGAAGCTCAGCCATACGCTTCTGGTCACCGATAGGGTCAGTGGAATCGGCATCGAGGGCCCAGGAAAGCAAGTCGTTGGTGTAGTTGGGCTGGAAGGATGCGTCCAGGATTCCCAAGCGCTTTCCATAGTTGGTGACCTTTTGCCAGTCACGAGGAACATTCTTCAAGTCACGGCTGAAATAAGCGTAGGATCGCTCGAAGATCTTGCGGTTGACTTCAGTGCCCATGACGGGTTTGAAATCAACGTATTCGTCGTAAGCCTTCTTGGGCTCAGCAATGACAAAGTCAGTAGCCCGCTTGACAGCACGCAGGAACTTCTTGACCTTATCAGCGTTGGCCGCGAGGAAGCTGTCATTGGCAATGTATAGGATTGAGCAGAAGCAGCAGCAGCCCAGTTCCGCAAGCTGGTCGATACGCAGCATCTGGACATCATCACGGGGACGGCCCTGAGATGCCAACCACTCCTCTAGCTCGACCATCTGGACATTCTCCAAGCCAATGCCAGCATCGATTTTGCCCTCAATGATGGCTTTGGTGACGTTCATGCCGCAGCGGACGGCAGTGTAGTCGTCAGGAGTCATACCGTAGTACTTAGTAAGCTCATCAATTTGGATCTATGGACGTCAGTTACGAATCTAGAAAAGTTCGCTAAAAGATTTACCTTGCCAAACTCTCCAACATAACCAATACGCTTGCCCTTGAGGGTTTTGAAGTCCGTGGTAATGCCGCTATCCTTAAGATAGACGACCCCGGTGAAAGGCTCATCCAAGAGAGAGCCGAAGGAGGTAACCGGGAAGTTGCGCGCTTTGGCCTGTTCTGGTGTTTAGCAGTGGCTTACATAGGCTCGTTCAAGTACGTACAGCCAGAGTGTGGATCATGGCTTTGAAACCCATGTCAACCTTGCCACTGCCAATGATCTCGGTCACATCTGACGGGTCATTGGGTTCGAGTAAGGCGACCTTGAGTCCCTCGTCCTTGAAGTAGCCCTTGCTCTGGGCAAGGTAGAGAGGCGCATGGTACGGGGTAGCATGCCTTGATAATATTAGCACGATTGAAACTCTCTATTCCCAAAAAGAAAAGCCAAAACTGGACTAATCATACCAGTTGGTCAAGAAGGTAATCTTATCGGTCGACATCTTGACAGGATTGATGGTATGATATCACTAGAGACAGTCAGCCAAAACGCAAAATCTGGCGTGCTGCTTTCAACGATAGAAACCAGTCACAGAGAGGGAGGTATCAAAGCCACGCATGTCCTTTCGCTAGTATTATCTAGATCAAGTTTTGACAGTATAATCTCAGAACAATCGGATTGAAATACATTGAACGATGCAAGAAAATGCACCGACCAAAGCATTGCAAAACAATTGAACACCTGTCATGCGGTGCAATGAATATTATACTATTGAAAATACCTTGACTAGTAGTGATAGCATCCATCCTGGATGATGATTATTTGGACATTGCGTAACTCGTACCCTTGCGCGGGGTCGTACCGAGTCAGTTGGTTTGCTACAAAGACATGTGTGACGGGTTAGCAGGTGATCGATCTATGGCATGGACCAGGATGATAAGTGACACATACTATCTTGAGAAGAGCCTTGTGTGATTGCAAAGGCAGTGATGGGAAGAAGAGAGAAGGAAGAAGGAAGAAGGAAAGAGACAACAGAGGAGGGGTAGATTTATATACCTCAGGAGTTACCTCACCGGCAGCAGCGGAACGGGGCCTCAGGCTCCACGTCAAGGCATGTATTTCCGAGTAATTTAGATAATATATTAACTATTATTGCAGAGACCAATAATGATTGTCCTGGATTTTGTTCCGGATGATGACTACGTGTGTCTAAGATGCTTCGTAGCACGGTAGCTTTCCGTACGGAGTATACGCTGTACACCTAGAGATGCCTACGCTTCACCACCATCCCGTCTCTCATCCCATCGTATATCCGATTGATTTCTACCGTTCAGACGAAGACAATCCATCTGATCTGAATCAGATGAAGAATGGCAGGCTGAAAAGGGTCACGTTGCCCATACCATTCCCGACTCGGCCTAGCGCCAAGCTTCAAAAAGGCTCAGCCAAGTCCAACGCTCAGTTGTTCTCCTCTTTCTTCTCTTCTCTTCCCTTCTCTTCATCACATCGTTGCTGGTCAATTGTTCTTCATGCCTTCTCTCGGCCGTTCATTTCTTCATCCCCTGTCCGATGGCCGACACCTGCATTGTGTGTTTAAACGACCTTGGCGGAGACGCTGTGTCGTCTCCCGTCGCCGCCGAATCTCCGCCAAGACCTGATAATGATAACGACGATGACGACGGCGCCAATCTCACGGCAAAGGCCTCGCTGCCACAACAGGATGTTGAGGATGCAGGCACTGCTTTACAGTTAGCTCGTCTGGTGCCGTGTCTCCATATGTTTCACAACGAATGTCTCAAACCATGGGTTGAAAGAGCGAACAGTTGTCCCGTCTGCCGGGCGAGTTTTAATGTAGTCGAGCTACTCGACAACCTTGGTGGTAAGTTTATTGCCTACTTCTTGATCTCTCATCTAGTGACTAACACGTGTATTCTAGGTCCCGTCGTCTCTACTTATAGCGTCCAAGATAAAGTTCAGGTCGCCGATATAGACCCCTTCATGATTTTCGAGGAAGAGGTCACAGACGATTCCGATACGCAACCCTGCCCGTTCTGCGGCGATAATGACAACGAGGAAGTCTTGTTGTTATGCGATGGGTGCGATGTCCCATCGCATACTTACTGTTTGGGGTTGGACGCGGTGCCTTCTGGCTCATGGTACTGTCGGGCGTGTGAAGCTCAGCGAGCTATTGGCGCTGTGTCTGACACACCAAGCAGATTTCCTCGCAGTCGCCGTCCTGAACGCCGGACTCGGGCACAACAGCGTTTGCTTCGGACTCACAACCAGGCCAACTCGCTACAGTGGGCAGCTGTGTGGCAATCCGTTTACGACCGGTTGAACCTTGATCTTGATTTTCCGTTCGATGACGAACAACAGCTCAGCCGATTTCATTCAAGGGTCACACCTCGCAGAGGCTCTCATCGTGCATGGCAGCGTCGTCTGGAGGTCGCAGAACGGCAAGGCGTTGGTCGAGTTTTCCGAGAACCAAGTGCTATTATAGATGAATATGTGCCTCGGCCGTCTCGGCCCCGTGTGCCGCGCGCCCCAACTCCCCAACCCGAGTCATTAGAAGAGATGAGGGCGTGGAATGCCTTTGAACGAGCGAGGGAGCTCGAGAATGATCCGAATGCAGCACGAAAGAGAAAGGAACCGACACTCTCGCCATCCCCCGAACCGACTGAACCTGAAAGAAAACTCAAACGACCACGTACTAGACGGACAGAAGAACTGGCTGCGTTAGCAACGCAAAATAGCAATGGTGAAGCATCGCGATCAGCCGCGCGGTTGAATAACGACTCCGCAGGAGGGCCTAGTTTCCTTCAGTCGTTACTCAAAGAAGTCGAAGAAGCTTCCAACTCTCCTCGAATTGACACTAATGGACCTCCGACATATGTGAATACACCCAACGAGTTTCATAGCGCCTCTGGCCCTTCGTCGCCATCACTGTCCCCGGCATCCTCAAACCGGTCGTCCCCCCGGCTATCGTCAAGAAGCCCTCCTCCTCACTCGCGAATACGTGCTGTATCACCAATACAGTTGTCTCCTAGTATCGATTCTCCATCTTCTCCATCTTCTCCATCTCCTCCATCTCCGGAATTCTCTCCGTCAGCCTCTCCCGCTCAGAGTCAAACGGATAATTCCGACTTTCAGCGCCAACCCGATTCTAGCCATCGTGATCCACGCCGGCAACGTCGGGCTGAAGGCATACGGTCTAGTGATGTATCCCCATCGCGACTTAGCCTTTCACTTTCCGCCAAATCAAGTATACAGAAACTGGTTAGCTCCGAACTCAAACCATATTATCGCCGCAAAGTCATCTCGAAAGATGATTATACAAACATCAACCGTACAATCTCCCGCAAATTATATGAACATGTAGAGGAAGGGGTAGAACTGCAAGAAGACCATTTACGGGAGCTCAAGGATAGTGCACGCAAGGCTGTGAAGGAAGCGGTTGATCTGATTCGAGAGGAGCCCTCAACGACGGATGACAAAACAGACTCCGGAAATGTACTAATAGGCGTGAATTAGTGGGATATGACTGTTACGACATATTCATGGCATGGCATGGCGTTGGTATATTTCCCCTTCTTTAGGTATACCTGTCTGATTTAGGATACTGATCATCTGGGAAATCTGGTTTTCTTGTATAATGTTGGAGTTTTGTTATATACCCTTTGGGAACATGTTATAAATAGTCATTCAATTCCAACTTCTCTTTTTTAAACCCAAGGCCGCGGGATTACCACTTTCTATATGTAAATATAATACAAGCCACAATATATACAACGAAAATAAATTCTTCCATGAACAAGATGAGACGAAGCGAGGTCAATTCTTCTGGCCTTCATCCTTCGCATTTTGCGATTCCTTCAAAGAAGCAGCTGCACGCTCATCCTCCAAACTCTTGATCTTCTCATCCAACAACGCAATCTCAACCTCAATACTGAGGACTTTTTCTTTCAAAATATTCCTAAAGTCGTCATCCGAAAGTGCACGTAACGGAATCCATTTGGATTCCGCCATTCTTTCCAGGATGGATTTTGGTTTTGAAGCTTCTTTCCCCTCGTTTTCTTGATGCCATCTTTCGGCTATATTCCAGCCTGATTGGCCTAGATAGCCTAGTAAAGAAAATACGACGAAGCCGGGTGTGAATTTTGCGCCTTTTCAGGCATGTTAGTTTATAGAAAGTTGGTTTGATGGATAGGTTGGTTTGTATACCTATTAATCTACCAACTATACCCCCCGAAAGGCCTCCAGATATAGCACTGACATACTTCCGCTGTTGTCGCGTGGCATCATCTTGATAGTGAAAGTGCAAAATATTGCTTCTTATAACTGATTCGAGGGTTGTCAATTTAACCTTTCTTCCCGGAAGCAACGCATGAGATTCGTTGCTTACACCAAAATGAAGTCCCCCATAGACCGAAATGAATTCCATGTGCGACTGTATGCACAATTGGATGTTTCGTTGCGCGTAAGATACCTGAAGTCCCACCGTAAAGGAGACCGGTACATCCTAAACTGAGTGGTTAGTTCTGTCTGTATGGGTGTGTTCGGGAGATGAACCAGGCTTACCACTTATGCCGCCGAACTTCAGGGATGATACGATGGTATCGGCATCCATTATGATAGCTTGACCGTCTGCTCCCCTTTACCTAGGACATTATGCGAGAATATGACTTGTGGATTTTGTGTTCTAGATTGATACATGGGAGGGTCGAAGCATGGGAAAAGAGTGCATGTTTGCACTGTTTGTTCCATCACGTGGACTGATAAGTCGAGTATGTCTATTATATACCTGCAGTCTGTATATACTAGTATAAGGTATTTTAAAAGATTCAATTTCTATGCAATAAATTATCAAATATATTCTCTCTTAAAAATCAAAGAAAGTGTTGTGAGTGCAGACATATCATTGGCTGGCAGGAGACACACGCACTTACCCCCATTAGTGCCTCAGGCTGGATTACCAAACTAAAATTTATCTTGACGATTTCCCCCTCTGTTGCATTGAACTACATACGGCGTCACACCACAAGCCTCGCATTCAACCATCTCCATCTCCTCCGGCCAGGCTCAGGGTAACACTTGGCCTACTCCTCGAAAACATTAATCAGTTACTTGAAATCTTCTCCTTCGCCTCGACTCGAGTCTTCTCGGCTAGCGAGAACAAGTGGGAAGAGAAAAAAAAAAAAAAGAGGGAAGAGTCGCGCACAACTAATCTGCGCGCTTTTCCTACGATAACCCCCCACTATCTGCAATCATGGGTTCGTCTTCGATTTTATGTCGTCTGTTATGCCAGTTAGCCTTTGGAAAGGGTCTGGCACACGAGGGAGACAGTCATGGCTGATTCATATGTGTAGCGCCCAAACAGAAAGCCCAGAAGATGTCCATCGGGACCTTCTTGGCGGATGAGAGTGAGTGGTCTCGCTACTGTCGGAGAATTGGATCAGAGATGGCTGACGGGGTTTATTGCTAGATTTCGGTTCTTGGGCTGATGAAATGGAGGATATGCCCTTGCCCGGTAAGCACTATTTCTCTAATGCGTTGTAAGGACTGCTCGCTAACATGAATCAATTTCCCAGCCGGTATGTCACCCGATTTTCTGTCATAACAAATATCCTGGATATCATCCGAATGCACACACGAATGAGAACGAGATAACTAACAGATTCCAGCCGCCCCAGAGCCGCGCTCAACCTATGGCGGAGAGCGTCGTGCCATAAGCTCGACTGCAGGTTTCGGAAATGGCTTCAACGGTATAGTTATCCTTCATTCTGTTTGTCTGGATGATTCCATCTGACCTGTCAAGACCGCGAGCGCCCAGCATTCTCTTCTCGTCCCGAACTACCTCTTCCCACCGAGCCTCCGTTTACCGCTCATATCGGCAACCTTTCCTTCGATGCCACCTCCAGCGACGTATCTCAATTGTTTGCCGATTGCGAAGTGACCAACGTCCGCATTGTCGAAGACAAGCTCAATCGCAGCCCCAAAGGTTTCGGCTATGTCGAGTTCGCTACGGTCGAGGGACTCAAGAAAGCACTTACCTTCTCCGGCACGACTCTTCAAGGCCGTGCTATCCGTGTTAGCATTGCAGAACCACGTATGGGTTATATACTCCCTCTAAAAGATATTCTACTGACCCTTAATAGCCAAGGATTCTGGCTCTTCTCGGGACTTCAGCGACTGGTCTCGCAAAGGCCCTCTACCAGACTTGCCACGCCGTGAAAGTAACCGCAGCTTCAACAGAGATTTCCCAGACAATGTTTCCGAATCTGGTAGTACTCGTGGTGGACGTCGATTTGAGAGCGACGGTAAAGTCCGTGACTTTGGTAACTGGGAGCGCAAGGGTCCCCTATCGCCCGTTGCTGCTGTTGCCGGACGCGAAGGTGGTCGTCCACGGAGCAACGAGGGCTCCAACTTCCGCAAGAACTCCCCCGCTTGGGGAGAGGGCCGTTCTCAGGACGGTTCCCGCCCACCCCGCCGTGAATTCCAAGAGCGACCAGAACGACCAGAGCGCACCCCTACTGCAGCTGAGATGGATAACCAATGGCGTGCACGAATGCGCCCTGACCCCCCTGCTCCGAAGGAACCCAGCGCTCCATCGTCCCCAGTTCCTACCCCTGCTGCTCCAGCAGTGCGACCAAAATTGAATTTGCAGAAGAGGACTGTGTCCGAGAATGTCCAGAGCCCGCCTCCCAGTGCTACTGGCGACTCAAAAGCAAGCCCATTCGGTGCTGCCCGACCCATCGACACTGCTGCCAGAGAACAAGAGGTTGTTGCAAAGCGCGAACGTGCTCGCAAAGAGGCTGAAGAGAAGGCCAAAGCCGAAAAGGCAGAAAAACAACGTCAATCAAAGGAAAAAGCCAAGGCAGAGAAGAGCGCAACCGGCGACTCAAACGGAACCAAGGAAACGGACCCAGATGCACCCAAGAAATCAAATTTCGAGGTCCTGAGACGGGCTGCAGATGAAGACGGCGGTGAAAATGAAGCAGAGGAATCCAAAGAGGAGTCGACCGCAGCCAAGGAGCAGCCCAAGGAAGCTGCTGATAGCAAGACGAACGGCAGTTGGAGAAAGGCTGAGCCTGCCGCCGCTGAAGCCGACGAGGAAGGCTGGAGCACTGTTTCTACAAACAAGCGCAACAAGGGACGTGGTCGTTATTAAACCTGAGACCCTGACTCTCCAATCTCTCGGAGTGTTCGCGTTTGTGCCATATGAATTCAAGATGCAAAAAAAGAGAATGGTGATTCGATTGTCCTCGCCTCCGTACCTCCCTTTTTTCTGATTCAAAAAATGTCGGCTATCTTTCAAACGACTGGAATATGAGCAACGAGTTACGCAAAATGACATTTTTAACACATAATGCAACCACCCCTCTGTCTCCTCTTCTTCTCATGAAAAAGGCAGCTCGATCTTTGACACCAACTTGAAGGCTGTTTTGGTTATGTATGGCGGATCGCACATATGATTTTTTCCCCTCTAGATTATCTTGACTTGTCTCTGTCTTTCTTACTTATTTTATCCCTCGACTATTGTCTAGGTATTAACGGTGTTTTTTCCTTTCTCTCTATGTTTGGGCTGATTCTATGGTGACGCTTTTTCTTTTTTCGCTTCCTTATTCTTTTCAAATTCCCCCTTCTAACCTCCTCTCTCCTGAAAGCGCAATGCAATTTTTCATTAAAAGTTTCCTCTTACTTGCTCTATTGTATTCAATATGATACTCTTAGATCACCATCTTCTTCCTTGTCTTTTTTTGTGGCCGAGTGAGCATGAAATTGTAGAAGAATGGGAAAAATAAAAAAAGAGCAAGAAATAAGAAGCATTTTACAAGTTTTTCCCTGTCTTCTAGATGCAACTAAAGACTATTTAACAAGGATCATGCATGAACGGTCATGGTAGATATGCAAACCCATACCCTTAAACAAGTTACTAATCATTGCAGGATCTAGAATGTTTTCTGGACTTTTTATCTTGGAGATTGGATTAGGTGCATATGCAAGATATAGTTACCCTGTTAAGTGTGCTTATTTGACTAGTCCATGAACCCCCGTTGACGATCAGCCGCTGCTGGAGATAACAAATGCCAGACCGCTTCTGATTGTGAGTCATACATGAGCGAGGGGCTTTCGTGTTCTCTAGAACAGAGATTGTTATCTCAAGGATACCTTACGGATGTCATTCTTGGGTCGTCTTTTTATATACAGACAAAATGCCGAATGTGTCTGTCGACGTGGTTGGGGAGAGCACAAAAGAGCAGTGGAGTACAACGTTTCGATCATCCAAAAGTTTTATCATTGTCGTTGTTTCAGTTGCTATTTTTGCAGTATATTCTAGATCTTCTTGTCCTATATGCGATGGATGACTGACGAATAATAGGATGTTTTCATATATGGGATGGTAATGAAATATTGTCGATATTCGTGGGCTCAGACTGATTCGACTAGGTCATACCCTTGATTCCGGCTATATTAAAGGATAGGCTTCACTTACCTGACGATCAACGTGAGTCGAATTCGAATCGTCATAGACGTGTGTCGCATCTGACATTGACTAGTTCAAACATGGATGGCGATTTTACTCGCGACATTCGGCGGTGCGCTGCTCGTTAGTTCTCGTAAGGGTTGACCCATTCAGATTGATTTTTTTCCCCCTGGGTCATTGATTTGTAATTACAGCTGTCGTTGGGTACTTCGCCGACAAAGGTTCTTCGCGAAAAGGTCCGTTTCTAGTCGGCTTGATTGCAGTCGCTGGCGCGACGATCATGTTCTGGCTTGCAAGGTCTCCCACAATGATGATCGTTGCGCGCATCTTGCAGGGAGTCGCTGAAGCCGCTATGTGGACTATCGGAAATGCCCTTGTGGTCGACACCATGAAAAAGGATCAATTGGGTGTGGCAATGGGGTATGTCTCCATGTCGATGAATATTGGCACTATGGCTGGCCCGGCGTTAGGTGGTATTCTGTATGTTCAGGTTCTCACGACGTCGTTGTTGAGGGTTCCTGGAGCTGATTGTATGAAGGGTGGACCGAGCAGGTTATGATTCGGTGTTCATGGTCGCTTTAGGTCTAATAGGCATTGACGTCGTGCTCCGGTATCTCATGATCGAGCCAAAGACTAAGCCACATGTTAAGGTCCTTGAAGGGGAGACTGAGCCCTTGCTGAATACCTCTTCGGTAGACTACCAGACTCATGATTCGGTCCAACAACCACAGTCGGATATAGATAACTCTCCACAGTCTTCGAGTCGCATCCCGCCTATTTTTCGTCTAGCAATGTCTGGCCAGCTTTTGGTATTGTTAATTGCAAGCATTGCCGACGCAGCGATTTGGACTACATTCGAGACGGTATGTTCTCATCACCTCTTTTGTTCGGATCAAGCTCATTGTTCCGTTAGACAGTTCCGGTATTCGTGATCCAGAAATTCCACTGGGGGTCTTCTGAAATCGGCATGTGCTTCTTGGTCTTGACCTTACCTAGTATAATTTCTCCGATTGTTGGTAAGTGACTTAACGACCAACCTCGAAGTTCGCTGTTGACTGATGGTAGGGTTAATCATCGACCGTTATGGCCCTCGCATCGTATCCGTCACCACATTCTCCTCTCTCATCCCGATCTTCATCCTATTCCAATTCGTCACGGACGATTCACTACAATCCCGGATCTTGTTCGTAGCATTACTGATAGCAGCCGGATTCTCCTTCTCAGCAGTACTTCTTCCTCTCATAGTGGAAATCAGCGAACCAATCGAACGAAAAGAGAAAGAATCCCCTGGCATATTTGGCGCAAAAGGTGCTAATGCACAAGCTTATGCTCTTCACGGTATGGCATGGGCTTCTGGACAGTTGCTGGGACCGATTATTGCGGGGACATTGGCCCAGACAGCTGGCTGGGGGGTCATGAATATTGTTATGGCAGTGATAAGCGGCTCAACAGCGCTGATGCTGGCGTGTACGAGTGAAAAGATTCGGGGAATGATTTCCATTCCACGGTCCAGCAAGGATCAGGATGTCGAATCAAGGGGTGAGATGGTATGAATGACACTTTGGTAGTTATATGTATGTGAAATGACGATTGATTGAAAACAGCGATCTCAAGCAAGGCATGATGAGACAATGCTGGGCGAACCTGAAAATTGACGATGTTAAAAGAAAGATAGACGGATGATGTTGTAGAGTCAAAATAAATGATATCATACGGTACCGTAACGCGGAGGTAATGACACCTTAAATACGGGGAAGTAAGGAAGGAGAGCCCACTCAATAAAACGGGGCCATCCCTGACATGCTGACAGCCTGACTTCAACTGAATCACCAGTCTCATCTCCCATGTCACTCCGACTAACGGTACCGAGTTAGTACGAGTAAGGCATCTTGAGGTGTATCTGTAACGGTACCTGATCGCCTCGTGTTTCGCATCCGCGGTCCTTGTGATTTAGCCTCTTTGAATTGTGTCAGCTGCCGGTTGGCTACAATGTGCTACAGAGCACACGGTCTGTTCACTTGACTTATTTCTTGGCCTTGACTGACTTTGACTTTTAGATTCTCGCATCTCATTGTTACCGTCTTTCCCACTGTCTTCTGTTTAACGTCGCTACTCTATCGGAACACAAGGCGGGATAACTAGTATCTGAGTACAGCAATGCAAACAGCTACATCCGTCTATACAGTTACGGCCGGAGTCAAAACTACACTGTTCGGAGAGGATTACGCGCCGATGAAGGACTCCTTGTCAGTGTCAGGCACAACTTGTCCGCATTGCGGCAACGACTTGGTCTCGCAGGACGCGATAGCTGCACAGCAACGGATACAGGAGCTGGAAGCTCAGCTTAAAATATACTCTGAGAAGGCGTCGGAGACAGGTATACCAAACTCTTTTTTTTTGGGAACTCAAGAGTCCAGTCGCTAAATGTGTTATAGCGGTGAGAATAGCGGACTACGAGAACGAAATACACAACTTGCGACAACAAGCACAGACATGGAATAATAACAATAATCATTACAACGAGGCTACTTCTACGACAGCAGCAGCAACTGAGCAAACTCACCCTCCCAAAACCCCCGATGCGAACTCCCAGCAACAGCAACAACAAGGGCGCTTCGCGAATTTCGCATCTTATTTCCCCTACCGTCGCACAGGATCACGAGCCGGTTCAAAAGATTCTAGTACACCGCCGCAAACATCTCATTCAAATTACACCAACAGCAGTCCAGGTGGGGGAGGACATACCAGTCCCACAAATAACACTAGTTTTCTCTCACATGACTCCTCATCAGACACGAATGCACTCGCACTCCAAACTGCGCTAAGCCGTGAACAAGGACTCCGAAAGGCCGCTGAAACACAACTTTCGCAGGCGCACTCGGAACTCGAAGAACTCACTGCGCAACTATTCAGTCAGGCTAATGAGATGGTTGCACAGGAACGTAAGGCGCGCGCGAAGCTAGAGGAGAGAGTTGCATTACTTGAGAAACGGGATGGAGAGAAGAGGAAGAGACTTGATCGGTTGGAGAAGGCGATTGTGAGAGTTGAGAGGGTTAGGGAGTTGATTAATTCTTGATCGTTGCGTTGCGTTGCGTTCGTCATTTGGGTAAAGAGATATGATATCCTACGAGTCACGATTTATTCAAGCATCTTAGGAGTTTTGTATGTTATCGGAATGTTGTTCCCTCTATATATGAAGTGTTCCGTCTGGATACTTTAATAACCTTGGAAATCGAACTGAGCATTTCAATGAATATAGGCGGCCTAGGATTCTAGTCCAGGTAAAATCATAGTCATTAAAGAGATCCCCACACTATGAAGACTCCTGTTTTTTCGCAAACACCTGACTAAGCAGCGGTGTCCAAAATGTGGATAGTAATGTTACTATCTCATCAGCTAGAGCACTCTAGCACCCATTTACCTACGTATACTTAATTCAAGCTTTTCCGTCTCGCGAGCGCAGCGAGAGCAGACAACTTTGTGAATTAGTCATTATCGATACTGCTCATCTAATAGCCCAGGCAAGTCATGAATCGTCCATTATAAGAGACCGCCATGGCCAGTGAAACACCCAGAATAATGACAGTTAGTAAAACATGTCTATCAAACGCCTTCAACCCACGGAAATTCGTATTCCGTAACTCTTCGTCCTTCTTTTCCCGCTCAAGTGCAACCACAAGGTCAATCTCGGAGACAATGTTCAGACAATGCTGAAACATCGCATTTGTCTCGCGGATCACATCCGCACATTCGTCTTGCGTCAAATACTTACGCGAGGCTTCCACAAACGCAGCCTTGAATGCGCGTTTGACATCTTCGCCATCTTCAGCGTCGTCAAAGAACCAGAATGATAGGAACGAAGGTCCGATAAGTGCATCTGCTTTGTCAATGTTTTCGTTTTGCTGAAACCAGAATTGTGGTCCGGCGTTGATGAGTTGGTCGCGTATCCAGCGTCCGCCGTTGAAGAGGGCCATGTACATGATCCATGAATATGCGAGGAGGACGTATGGTTTCTTGAGACATGTTTGAGTGACGTGAGTGACTGTATCACGGACGGCGACATCGTTTCCTTCCTGTGCGGTAGTGATATTGTCGCCCCATTCGGTTTTCAGGTTCGTCAAGTCGGATGTAAGCCGTTGACTGCGGGCTAAGGTGGATATGTATGCCTGGGAGAGTAGAGCATGGTACCTTGCTTGATCGTTTGTGCTGAGCTCGGCAGAGGAGCTGTGAGAAGATGTGCTGAGGTACTCGCGCCATGCGGTCTCAAAAACAGAATAGATCCTAGCAAAACGTGAAATGCCTAGTGCATATAAATGCGGAGAGTTGGTATTTGGTGGTATTGCGAGAAGTAAACGGCCAACTACACCGTGGTGTAACTTGTGATGAATTGCCCTGGATGGAGTCAGAGATATCTCCGAAGGCTTTCTCGTATGGCTTTCAAATGAGGATCGTCATAAAACTGGAATATCTTACCTAGAGGCCGCATGAATTCGCGTTGCAAGATCGACGTCATTCCGGTCAGATTGAGGGGAATCATTCGCATTTGCAGTATTACTGACAACGTTGCCACTGTGCAGAGTGGAGTGACTCTCATCTTGCGATGAGGAAAAAGAAAAACTCATGATCTGCAATCGGAGATAGTTCGTGGAATCATATTCTCTGACCGTTGACGAAGACAGCCACAAGCCACGGTGGAGATCGAAGCTGCCAAAACTCAATCAAAAAAAAAAACGAGTCAGTCTACCGTAGACTGGAGACGCCGGTCAAGTGTGTAAAAGTCCATGTACAAAAATACTAAGAAAAAAAGAAAGACAAGGAGAAAAGAAAAGAAATTCTATCTGTCCATTGCAAAGAGGAAATGAATGAAATCCATATCAGACAGCGAATTATCAAGAAGAAGACCAAAAAAAAAAGTGATGCTTTTGGAATCCTGCCCGTTGAGATCGAAATCTTGAAATTCGACGGGGATTAATCCCAGCGCTTTCCCGCTTTGGGCATTGGTCTCAGTCCAATGAATGGTCTAGCCGTATTCGGGCTAGTGTCACGTGTCACCAGGGACAGTAGGGATTTGTCATGTCAAGTGGGTCTGTCGACGCGACACTAAATTTTTGTCAGAATTGACAAAATTCCTTGTCAACTGCAGTGGGGTCCTTTACACGTTAGTAATTTATGACCAGTCTATAGCTTACTCTATTGGTCATAGCAATTATTATCTTATTTGATTGGCTGATAAATTACAGTTATGTAATATTGGCGGTATTGTCAAAGATGACATGACAAAGGGGCTGCATGTCAAAGTTTACATGACACTAAATTTTTGTAATTTTCCAACACCCTAAGGGACAGTCTATCTAGATTCTTCACTATTTCTCTGCAGAAGATTCACTCTTATGAGCATGATTCGATGCTGGTCGCCCACAATGGCACTCTGATTCTAAAATGTATCAAGTTACTTGTTGAAACGAATCTTCATATGCCGTTAGTACTAGTAGAAAATAAAAGAATGGGCTGAAGTCCATTGTGGAATATAGGATCCTTTGTATTTATTGTTCTATCTGTGAAACATGGTAGAGATGTGTCAAAAATGAATGAAGGGGTCATGAAACATAAAGCAAACTTCTACTACCCCACAGATTTCGTTGTCGAGCTGTCTGAAGAATATACTGTACTACAGACGACAGATGATTGTAGTTCTCCGGACACTGTCGGTAATAATCTCTATTAGTACTCCGTACTCCGTAGTAAGCGCCAAAACAACGGAATTTACAGATAAATCCATGTCGAGTCCGGCCTGGAGCTAAGTAGTCCATACATAGTACGGAGGTTGGAGTCAAAAGTATTGGCACGCGCTAATTTAGTTGTTTTTTTGGATACATAGCCTTACGCACTAATTACTATGGGAACTGATGCCCCCTACAAATTTTATACACGTCCATTAACATGGACTTTTCTCCCACCAATCCTCTATATTGAACAGGCCTAATATAGTAGATTTGAGGCTATTCGTAGTCTTCCCACTCTGTATTTGCCGCAGGCTCACTTGCTAGATAGGCCCTAAATGACAGTACCCCTTTCTGACGGCAGCGCTTCTTTGAATCCCCTCGAGGCCTACCTTCCTCATACTCATTCCCACCGTCAAGACGTATAATTTCTTCAATGTGAAAGGGGATTCTCTCAATCCAAGTACGGATCCGATCTTGTGGCAGCTCCTCCCAAGCCTTTAACCATGCCTTTTTAGCTGTTTCTCGATCTGCAGGTGCTCCTTGGAGAGTTGTACGTCTCTTTAACCAAAACCAGGCTGGTTCAATAGCATTCAAATCAGATGAATTACCAGGCCAAAGGAGGCGCTGGATCTCGTGCAAATCGTACACATCTTTTTGGTGGAAATGAGCATGCGCAGGGGCCCCATCCTCCATGACTAGTGTATGAGGTCTTGATTCCTTACATCTTGCTGCGAATGGAAGTAATTTAGGTAAAAGGACTTCCTATATAAAAGGTTAGTTCGTTCATCAAATTTATATGGAGATTACTACACCTTTTGATAGCGATACCAATCTACACCACCCTTTCCCTTCCGCTCCAATTTGCCATTTTTCGCAGTGAATTTAAACGTTGGTCGGCGGCCTTTTCTAGGCTCTAAGCGAAGCCGTGAAAAAGCATTATTTAATTCCCATTCTTCTCGTGCACGTTCTTCTCGTCCTCGGTTCACGATTTCTAACTCTTGTAGAGCCTTTTTCTTTGCTGCAGCGTTCTCCGGATCGTATATATGACATGGACCCTTGTAATCATATGAGAAGGCTCCCCAAAACATGAATTCAGAGGCATTCTTGAAACGCCCTACGAATAACTGTTGGATCATAGCATTCCCAAGAACGTCGCCAAACTCGGCTAGAGCCTCTCCGGTGTCCCAGGATTATTGATGTCTCGTCCGTCCGTATAATATTCTTCCAGTCCTCTAGAGTCCAATGCCGATGGCTCAGGGCGAAGGCGAGTCTTCTCTTTTTCATATCTTCTGTCAGACCAGGTTTCCAAGTAGGCTTGCATTTATTAAAAGAAAGAAATTTCAAAAGACGCAGGCAAGAAGATTCAGAAATACCAGCTTCAAAAGCAAGAACCTCAGCAGATTTCTCACGACCAGATCGATCCTTAGTTAGACTTGCCAATATTGAAGTTTCAATCTCCGGGGTTACTACCTTTGGACGTCCCGAGCGTGGTTTATCAACAATATGGCAATCATCAACTAGAGGCTTGACCGCGGGGTCATATCCTGCTGATTTAGCACGGTTTATAATGTTGTAAACACTTTTCTTAGGCATCTGTAGCAAATTGGCGACATCTGGAGGCTTCATATTGGCAAGAAACACCAAGGTTATAACCTGAGAGCGTTGAGCAATAGAGTATTCACTGCTTTTTACCATTTTGATTGAAGCGATGGAGAAATCAGTGTAGGAGTAGGCGTATAACGTAGCGACAGAGGTCAGGCTCCTATACAAATAGAATCAATTAGCAGATCAATCTACAATATAAAAAGCGGTGTATATATTATTGCACTCAATTATTATTTGTTGGGAATAGCTTCATATTTGAAAAAGCAATGTGTTGTCAAAAGGCGAGATAGTATTCCCCAACTTGTTGACTTCCGTTCGCTAGTGTTTTATTAGGAAAAGCCGATACCGTTTTTTTTGATAATTACGGTGCGCTAACAGGCACCAAATTTTAGCGCGTGCCAATACTTTTGACTCCAACCTCCGTACATGAGAGTTGGAATCGGAGGATCGGGGCAATCACGCCGATGCCGAGAGCCCTGTCGGCTATCGGCAAGTGGTGCTGGGATGTTATTGGGCCGGACTGAATAAGCCATGTGGGCTTGGCTTACTTTTGTCCTTGGCTTATGGCGTCACAATAGAGAATCCTCAGATTTGTAATTATCTCCGAGCCCGATCCAACAATACCTTTCTCCCGGGACTCTGATTGGTGGGCTTAAGAACAATTGCACACCATGATAGAGAGAGACGTAGACACCGCCAACATTGACCCTCTTGCTTACCAACATTTAACTCCGATCAGTACTAGAAAGAGCAAGCGCAAATTACAAATTGCAAAGTGCCTAAAAAAGGAGCAATCGTATGCAACATAGTACATAAAGGGGCGAGGACCCATGTCTGACACACACACAAAAAAAAGAAACTTAGATGATCAGAGAACAAAGAGAAGCTTGTTGTATACTATACAAGGGTTCAGGAACTGCCTCGTTTGTTGAGTTTGAGTTTCTTTGGCATACCCCGCTTGCTTTGTCCTGCAGTCGAGACTAGTGCGTACCTTCTACGTATCTACTATTAAATAGATCATTTCTTATAGCACAAGGGTTCGTCTGATCTCACACACAAGCTTACACTGAGACTGAGACTGACGCCCATCATGGATTTAGAGGCTATGTCGTTCTATGACTCGCAGACCACTACACCTACGAGGTCTAGCTTGGATTATAGCTACCAAAATGGCCACGACGATGAAATTAACCGTTTAGAGACTATACCGAGTGTGCTGGATAGCAATGGCGAAAAACACGTGCGCCGTCCCAGCCCTAGCCGCTCCCGAAGAAGCTCGGACACGAGGACCATACAACAAGAGGATGTGGAAAAACAAGCCGGATACACGACCGGAGACGGAAAAGAGAGCGAGACAAGCGACGATGCAGCTCCGGAGCCCACCAGAGACCCCAACTTAGTCGAATGGGACGGTCCTGATGACCCCGAAAACCCTCAGAATTTCCCTGTGGCCAGGAAGTGGACTATCACTATGCTACTTTCTTTCCTTACTATCTGGGTTACCTTCTCGACCAGCGTGTTTAGTCAGGCCACCCGAATCACGGCCGCTGAGTTTGGCGTGTCTGATGAGGTTATGATCCTGGCAACTAGTCTACCACTCTTTGTACGTTCCGGGATTCTTCTCCTTTTTTTTTTTTTACATTCTCTGACGCTAATAATCCGAACAGGGCTTTGCTCTCGGCCCGTTACTATGGGGCCCCTTTTCCGAGCTCTTCGGCAGAAAGAGACCATTGTTTTTCGGCTTCTTTGTCTTTATCATCTTCCAAATTCCCGTCGCCGTGGCTCAAAATGTCGAGACCATTATGCTTTCTCGCTTTTTCATCGGATTCTTTGGTTGTGCTCCCTTGGCGATTATCGGGGGTGCCCTAGCTGACCTTTGGGACCCTATCGATCGAGGTGTAGCGGTTGCCACGTTTGCTGGAGGTACCTTCGGCGGCCCTACTTTGGGCCCGATTCTGTAGGTTCCCGTTCATACATCGAATCAATCAATCTTTTTGGATTATACTAATATCTGTGATAGCGGTGGCTTCATTGTTCAGTCTCATCTGGGCTGGAGGTGGACAGCCTGGATCACCATGATTGCTGGCGGAGCCTTCATGATCATCGCCTTCATCTTTGTTCCCGAAACATACCCGCCCGTCCTCCTTCAGAGGCGAGCAGCTCGTCTACGTATAGAGACGAAGAACTGGGCGTACCACAGCAAGCTGGACGAGAACCCTCCCACGGCTGGAGACATTCTTACGCGCTATGTCGGGCGTCCTTTTGAGATGCTTTTCCTAGAACCTATCCTGCTTTGCATTACTATCTACCTTGCTCTGATCTACGGGATTCTGTACCTGCTTTTCGAGGCCTACCCCTACTCCTTCCAGGGAGTTCGTGGTTGGAAGAGCGCCGGAGTGGCTGCCTTGCCATTCTTGGGTATCTTGATTGGAGTCTTTCTTGGATGTGCTTATATCGTCTACTTAACCAAGACCAGATTTGCACGGAAAATGAGGAAACATGGCGTTGTCCCCGAAGAACGTCTCGTGCCCATGTTCCTTGGCTCCGTTCTCCTGCCTATTGGATTGTTCTGGTTTGGCTGGACATCAAACAAACATGTCAGCTGGGTGCCCCAAGTCCTTGCCGGCATCCCCATCGGAGCCGGTATCCTCATCATTTTCATGCAGGGATTGAACTACATGATCGATGTGTACTTGATGTTTGCCAATTCTGCCATTGCCGCCAACACCCTGTTCCGAAGCGCCTTGGGTGGTGGTTTCCCACTCTTTGCGACGCAGATGTACAAAACCCTCGGTGTCCCTTGGGCAACTAGTCTCTTGGGATTCTTGACTGCGGCCATGGTCCCTATCCCGGTTTTGTTCTATCTCTATGGAGCCAAGCTTCGCGCCCTGAGTCGCTTCAACCCGAGGTTGTGATTCGCTTTGTATCCTCTCTCGCATGGTCTAAAACACCATATATTGCACTGTATAATAGTTGGTTTGCATTGGGTCGGCTTCAGCGTCCTTTTTGATTTTGATTGCATGGCATTGATAGATTGCATGTATGATGAGCGGCATTATTGTAGGTGTACGCAATAATAAATATTCTCCTCTGTTAAATTTAAATTTAATCGATAACTGTAGAGCCAAGTACGATGATGACATGGATACTTAATCGGGAATTTGCTTACCAAGATTTGGCAATGCTAAGCTCATTGGCCAGCCCGGTTGCAACTTCCCGCGCGCGAAACGAACTACTACTCCAGACTCCAGACTCCAGACTCGCCATCTTCCTTTCCCCTCTTTGTTATATCCATCTCACATATTGTCACGATAACTTCCTCGTTGAGTACTCCGAACCGAGTGACCGGAGGCGGAATTAATTTCTGGTACGAACTATTGAACCCCTTAAGTGGCTCCCGCTTCTAGATCTTCGCATCGATCCGCCTAACTTAGCCTAGCTAAGCCCCATCGCTTACAGTTTACAGGAAATCCTTCTCAACTCAGCGAATCATCGGACGATGCGCGCGTGTCCCAGTCTTTATTCACTTCTTTGCAATTTGACACATCGTCGACGCACATCAACGGCGCTTGACAGACTTGAATATCCTCTCGTCAAAACCACCGGATTTCCATTAACCCGCTTATCCGTTGAAACGCCGTAATCGAATGATGAGCTTGAATCGCCGGAAAGGGATCACACTCGTTGATGGATCGAACCACAACATGGGAGGTCTTGCAATCTGAATGGATACAACCCACGCATTTTGAAGTCGTGTGCGAAAGCCAGTGGCCAGTTGCAGTAGCAGTTCGTCGCATCCCTTGAACAAAGCACTTGTTCCCGGGGCAAACTTGTCGGCCATGTCGCTTTACAACCCCACCACTATCCTGGTGGCATTACTGCTACTGTACATCTCCTCCTTTATCCTCTTCGCCTTCGTACGTGTTGCCACCGGAATTTCCATTCAACGAATCGGTTACTTTTCTCTGCGCCGAATTTCATACGCACCACGAGATGGCGTCCAGATCGACATCAGGGGCTTGGGACTCTCTTTACATCGACCCTCGTTCTCCCAGCCGACGTGGGTGCGACTCCGTTTGACCGATCTCAAAGTCACCATCGATTCAAAACAATTGAAAAATAATAGAAACGACGGCACCCATGCAAGTAACTCCTCATCCTCGTCCGCCGCGGCGTCTCAGAATAATTCTCCGGAGGTTCCGCAACATGCGACTTTTGGCGCACCGAAAAGCTCTAAACGGAGCGAGACTTGGAAACGGCTTACGAGGTTGAAGGAACGGATCAAACGGTTGCATAGTTATATACACTGGCTAGCTATGATTGACGTCCACGCCGCCAACACAACCCTGTCCTTTGTCGATGCTGGTTATATACAAGTTGGATCCTTGACGTTGGCGGTTGATACTCGGAGAAATATGGTGGACCGCGGTCGATTATTTCGTCATAAGAAAGAGCATTCGCAGGAATCGAGCCCGGCCGAATGGATTATGAATGTTAGGAATATCTTGCTTGCGGTCGACGGACGAGAGCCGTTGGAGTTGTTGGATAATTTCCAGGTGAATATCCATGGTCACCTCTATCGTGACCTCGAGGGACTTAGGGACACGTCCGTTGCCGTCAAGATTGGTCGACTGCACTTCCCCTACGACGATCTAATGACACTCAGCCAGCGGATTCGTCTAAGTCGGAAGTCGCATTCAAGACAAGATACATTCAGCGAAACCGAGGATGAAATATCATTCGCCGATTTCGTGGAAGAACTGGATAAGCCTGGATCAAGGGAGGAAGCCATTGTACAGACCGTTGCTGACTCAAAGGAATTTGTCAGTTCGATATTACGAGGAATCGAAGAAATCCAGGTTGCGCTGAGCTTCTTCCGGATTTCAAGGTCGTTCCAACCGTCTTTGAAAGAGCAGAAAGAAATGCAGCTAAATCTGGTCACCCATGAAATCGGTATCGATCTTCATCGCATGGACCCGAACTCTCCGGCTCATCGAATGTACTTTCAACAACGCGATGTGGCCCATCAAGCTTTACTAGCTGCCATATCGGTATCTGTGAGCATGGAAGATGGTTCCGGGACAGCGGATAGGCTTCTCTACATACCCATGGCTACAACAACTATCAAGACAACTCTGCCTTCGAAAACTGTGAGCTTCTCGGACAAACACGATGCCTCAGAGCGCAACAGCAATGTATTATTTGCCAACTTCGTCATAACATCTCCTTCCCTAGATATGGAGCCTCGCCATGTCTCCCAAGTCCTTCGACTAGCAGAAGCGAAGAAATCATCTCCCCGACGCAAGAAGCGAGACAATCACCGTATCATATCGCGCTTGCTCCCTAAAGCTAAAATCAACTTCTCGGTGCAGGAACCGGTCGTACGTTTCGTGCTCCCCATACCCAAAGAAGCTCCCGTCGACGGCGGCGATTACAACCTCCTTATATCATCCATCTCATCCGTGTCGCTGGACATTGAATCTTTTCATTCCGCCGAAGCTGGCTTTCATTATTCCCTCTCATCAACATACCGTGTTGCTTCGCACCAGCTTTATTATCAGACACCTGCCGGAATCAAACACAACTTGCTACAGACACAGGACATGGAACTGCGTGTGCATTTGAACGCAACTCCTGAAGTCTGCGTCTTTGTGTCGGGAAGTCTCAACTCCTTCTCGGTCCATATGGTAAATCCGGACGTCAATCGGGGCATCAAACAAGTCATTGAACAGATTCGGGCTCAAATGAAGCCGAGGAATCGCATGTCAACTTCAAACACGGAGCAGAAGTCCAGTTTCCTGCGCCGTCTTCCCCCCTGGCTGATGCGAGTACAGTTTGAGGCCAACGAATTGACTTTCGAGGTTGCTGGTCCCCCTCCTGGTTCATCAAAGACAAATCGCGGAGTCGCCCTCCATCTGGATTCTTGGACCGCAGACTACCGGGCTCAGAAGCTTGAGCTTACTAGATCCTCTACCCGAAGGCGAACGTCTAGTCATTCTCACACTGCTACTCTTGGAGATGATCCTCCGTTCCGTTTCCCTCCCACTTCGCCTCCACGAAGGACCGGCAATGGACATGCCGATGGACGAAGGCTAGCTATACACATTCGAGGATTGGAAGGCTTTGTAATTGAATCCGAGGATTACATGGAGCCGGAGTCTTTCCTTTCGCTACCTCGGTGCGAAGTTGCATTGACTACTCACAGTGACCTTCAAGGTCCCATTTTCCACATCAACTCTAGTGTCAAGGCTATTTTCCTTGAATTCTCCCTGTATCGGACCTATTCACTGGGAGTGGCGGTGAATGTCCTCTCAGAAACATTCATGCAATCTCCTGCTACGACACCCTATACTTCTCAATCTATGGATTTCTCGGCTTCGATACCTCCACCACCACGATCACTGTCGCAGCGCTCAGAGCTTACCACAGTTGACGTTCGTGTTGGACTTGTACGAGTTAAAGGTATCATGCCTAATGACCCACGTTTGATGTTGCAGCTATATACTGTGGCAGCCGGCAGTCATCGTTGGTCAGCTCCTTTCTTCAGATGCCAGCTTGCTCGTTTACATGTTGCGGCGCCCAAAGTTCAGAATGTGTGGGCACGAATACTCTCGATGAATACTGTCCGAGTCGATTTGCGAGAATCCAAACGTCGGCACGGCGAGGAACTGCGAGACGAACGTTCTGTTGATGTTTCGGCAGACTGGATCCGGATTGGTGTTCCGCATCACTTGATTATGCACCGGGTTTTCGACAATTTCACCGTGACTTTCAAGGCGTTAAAGACCTTATATCAACGATTCAAGACAAACTCGGATATAGATGTTCTTGAGAAGGAGCCAGAGGGACCAAAAATCGTACCGCGAATATCGCTGCGCAGTAAAACACTCGCATTCCAGCTAGAAGACGATGCATTTGAATGGAAGCTTGGATGCATATATCGTGCGGGACTCGTGGAACAACGGCACCGTCTCGCTCGAGAGGAAGCGTTTCGATTGAAGACTCAGAAAATTCGGGAAGCAGAAAATAGACGAACTCCATCACGGTTTCGTGCGCAATCTGCGCATCCAGAATCTCGTTTGGGACGACGGAGTGATGATCGGAGACGAAGTGCGAGTATAGGCCCGCGGGAATCTCGGCGATCGTTCGAGGACGATGCCGATAAATATGGATGTGCTCGGTACAGGACTGATGGCGCTGCGAGTATTTCATCATCCTCAAAGGTGTCTGAGAAAGAAGCATGGGCTCGTTTACAGGAATACAATGCTCGAACTTGGAAGTCGAAGATCGATGCAGCCATACAATTCCAATCAAAGTCTATCAGGGAATTACGGAATATCTTTGCCGGTGCCGATCAACCGCCAGAGGACGTCGAAGATGATGAGCCAATTCTCGCGATTCCTAATCGTCCTGCACTTATGTCGGCTCTGATCGGGGATGTGCATCTAGTTATTGATAAGCCATCTTTTCCGATCGAGGAATATTCACGGTTCCTGCATAGAATCGGCAAAGGCATGCCCGTTGATATGAAGTTCTCCCTATTGATACCTATGAGTATTCATCTTGACATGGGCGAAGCCAGGGTCACGCTTCGTGACTACCCTCTAGATTTGCTCCATATTCCTTCATTACGTTCGGGCCAGTCGTCCCGAGTGCCAAGTTGGTCTCTACAGACTGATTTTGTCATTGCAGAAGAATACCGCACACGTGAATCGACACGAGACGTGCAAGTTTGTGTCGTTCCTCCGAGTAAACTTGCCGACGGCCAAATGAGCGAAGGCTTTTATGTCACTGTACGGCGGACCATCGCTCCAGTCAAGACATACTCCGAGCCGACATTTGACATCAACACAAGCCTTCCGACAAGTATTACTTGGTGCATGTCTTACCAGCCCGTCATACAGGATATGATGAAGATCATTGAAGGATTTACAAAGCCTGAAATTGATCCGTCGGAACGAGTCGGATTCTGGGACAAGATCAGGTTGAGCTTCCACTCTCGAATCAAAGTACGATGGAAAGGTGACGGGGATGTTCATCTACGGTTGAAAGGATCTCGTGACCCGTATATCATTACCGGATTTGGAGCCGGGTTTGTGATGTGCTGGCGAAAAGATGTTCAGTGGGATATTCACCCTACAGACGACCCTAAAGAATTCATGACCGTCACCAGTGGTGAATATGTACTTGCAGTGCCGGATTACAGCCATGAGGCACGTTATTCGTACGAGCATGCATTGGAAAGTAACAAAAATCAACCATCCACTGGCCAAGCAAAGAACGCTGCCCATTTTAAGAAGGTGATGATGAAGTTGTCGGGTAGCGTCAAGTGGCTAGCAGGACTGGTGTTTGAGCGTAACGCGGATACTGGTCGATCATTTGATTTCAAATCACATTACGATGTGGTCTTGAGAAATCCCCATTATATTGATGAAGTGCAGAGAAAGGTAAGTCCTTAGAGGTGCGCTTTTTGCCTGAGAATCGAAACTAACTGATGTTGAACAGGATTACGACGCGTATCGTGGCTTCCGAAGCAATCACATCCATCTCTCCGTGGCAGTTATGGCTCCAAATAGTGCGGATCAGACCACACCAAACTATAACACCGTTCACCTCACCCCTCGGCTCTTTACTCATTTCTTCAACTGGTGGTCTCTATTTTCTGGGGTCATGTCACTTCCTGTCCGACAGGGTCCTCTTTGGCCTGGCATCACAAAAACAAGTAAGAAGTTCGGTCGTCACTTGGCTACCGTCAAATATAAGCTTTTGCTCTCACCTCTTTTTGCCTCGCATATCTACAAGCATAAAGATGCCGAGGAATATGGAGACGACGTGGTCACTGCTACTGGCATCAAAGTGCGCCTGGCCAATTTCAAATTCGACCTCCATCAGAGACGTGAGCGTGTACAGACCCCGATCAAAGGCCGTCTCAAGCAAATGAAATCTAGTGCCATGCGTATCAATCGGGCGGAACTGGACTTCGAGGCAGCTGACTTTAGGGCTGTTTCCGCTAGTATTGAAGGGACTGCATTAGATGATATTCTGGAAGACCAAGGCAACATCGTCGAGTCATTTCAACAACCTGTTCCTGCTGTTGATGTGTCGCGCTTTAATATCCCAGACCGAGACTATACCTGGATTGATATGGATGATTTTGTTGAATTGGACTGGATACTTCCTCAAGAGTCACAACCCAAGACTAAGATCTTGCCTCTTGCATATACGCCACGTTTTACATATTTTCGGCAGACTGATCACGGAAACGCGCCAGTTTTGGAAAATGGAATCAATCAATTCGGTGATGAACCGACGCATGAATGTGTGATGTCTCAGGGGAATGACCCATGGCAGGTGCAGATGGATCTTATCAAGGACCGTCTAGCGAATCTCGATATACAAGCGAAAAACCATGAGCTGCAACTCAGTGAGCATGAGCTTCAACTTGTCAAAGAAGGAGAAGATAATCCCGACTTGAAAGTGAAACATGAACTGCTCGTTCGTCAAGCAGAGGCTTTGGATAGGCGACGCAAGTTCCTTAACGCAGGGCTTCAGCGTCTAGAGAGGCTTTGTCTCGGACAAGAATCTGCCAACGACGCGCGAAGCCATGATGATCGAGGCAGCGAAGAATCATCATCTAGGACTGATAATGGATCCGAAAGCGACAAAGATGATCCTGCAATGGATACAAGTTATGAGGTTCCGGACCTGGATTCAGCCAATGACTTTAACAATCGCTTCACAATTCACAATCCTCAAGTTAAATGGAACAATGCTTTGCGAGATATTATGGTGAGGTATGGTCATCAAGTCAGCCAAAGGCGAGGATTTGTGTACTACATGTCACAACAAGCAGTCAAATTCATTTCGGATATTGTATCCGAGCAGAATAAGAACAATCGCCGACGAAGGGGATTGTTTGACGAGTCACCTACTCGCGAGGAGGAGGGAGAAAATGAGGATGATGAATACGTTCAGGACCGTATTGAACAGCTTTTGCATGACGCTAAAAGATACGTAAATGCGGATGATCCATCATCTACTTCTGCACCGGCTACTGAGCACACTCGTTCTCGCTCGGCTGATTTCAGTGATCATATATCGTCAGAGTTTACTCCTCAGCATAGTTACCATCTCCGTCTTATCGCGCCTCAGATTCAATTGCAAAGCGACAAGAACCCACGTTCTGTGACACTAGTGACTGCAAAGAGTATGACACTTGAAGTATTGTCTATCATGGACAAACGTCGAGTTAGCGATGACGTTAGCGGATTAGTCCAACGCCGGTTTTCCTTGGACATGGATGGTGCTCAATTTTTCGTCGCGACACAAAAGAACCTCAAAGCTCATTTGCAATTCTACGCGGGCAACAAGTATGGCAATGCACCCGGTTCAGCCTGGCCGCCTTGGCTCACTTTGGAAGCCATGTTTGATTTTGAGCTCCTCCCGTTCGGCTTTTCTAGAATTATTCAACGCACTTCGGCGAGTCTTCGATATGAGAAATTCAACAATCTTCGCCTCAAGTATAATGATGAGGTATCGCAAAACGAGGGTGACGCTGCGCAGTATCACGACACTACCAATGGACGTGTGGATCAAGTTTGGGTAGACTTTCCCAATGTCAGGGCTATCTGCGATTCTACCGAATACTATTCGATATATATCATTGTCCTGGATTTGTTGTTATACAACGAACCTCTGGAAAAGGTCAGAAGCGAAAAGTTGGAGAAGATCATGTTTGCTTCAGATTTCAGCGATCTACGGGGCGCGCCGGAGACTGTGTCCAGACTGCAAGAACGTATTCGCCAACTTGAAGAGATCAAGGAGCACTTCCAGATACAAGCCAATAGCCTTGATCCTCGGGGTTGGCAGGATAGAATCATCCTTGAAAGGGATTTGGCCAATTGCGAGGAAGAGTTGTTCTTCATCATGAAGGCAATCACAACTTCTCAGAGAAGGACGGATGAACGGGCTCTATCTCAATCTAGTGCTTCAATGCGATGGTGCATATCAGCTTCTGACGTTGTGTGGCACTTGATGAGAGACAGGAACGAGCCATTGGTGGAGTTTCAGTTACGCAATGCCTCATACGAGCGAACAGACTATACGGACGGATCCAACCATAATTTGATTGAGGTCCAACGTTTGTACGCGCTAAATCTGCTAGAGAACGCTATCTATCCGCAAATGATTGTTCCGTATATGGACCACAAGAGTCGTACTGAGATGAGCGGCGATATGATGCTTCGTGTGCAGTGGTACATGTTGGAAGCTGTTGCTGGTATACCGGTATTGGACCAGTTTGAGGTGAATTTGTTTCCACTCAAAGTTCAACTAGAGCGAGAATTAGGAAAGAAACTGTTCGAGTATATCTTCCCGGGCGTTGGATCCAACGCGTTCGAGAATGGTGGCTTCTCCCCGTTTATGGTCAAGCACATCAAACCCATGGACGAGGATGAGGACGAAGAAGCCAATGAAAGCGGGGCTGGAACTCCTGATTTTGTTTCCACGCCGCGTAGCCAGGGTAGTACATCGAATGGAGAAGACACACAGAATCTTACAGGAGCCGGTTCTATTGAGTTGAGGCTGCAACCCACGATGACACTTCCTGACAATAGTCGCAAACAAGCTCATGCAGCACGTCCAAACCGTCTCAAGGTGCCGCCGCTAACTCGATTCAATAAGAAAGATACCCAACGCCTGTCCCCGACGGATACATCAGGTCCTACTCTTCGCCCGGCTACTCATCATGGTATTAGTAAAAAGAAGTCCGCGGAGAGCTTGCGAGCTTTGACAAGAACATCCACTGAGAAGTCGCTCGGAGCGGCATCGACTGCATCTGGCAGCACGGGCGAAAGCAAACGATTCACACTTGGGAAAGGTTCGAAGAAAGAACAAACCGACGATCTGACTCAAATGATGTCGCGTGCGTCTAATTATATGATCCTCGCGCATGTCAAGATCAACGATGTTGTGCTTTGCTTGAGTTACAAAGGCAGAGGAGATCGCAACATTGAAGACGTACACGATTTTGTGTTCCGTTTACCCGTTCTCGAATACCGCAACAAGACATGGTCGAATCTTGAACTTGCGTTGCGCCTGAAGAAAGATGTCATCAAAGCATTGATCTCGCACGCGCCGGCAATCCTAGGCAACAAATTCTCCCATCCCCGTCCCAACAAACAACAACAGCAACGATTAAGGGAGCTAGCATCTTCTTCTCAAATGCTGCCTGCATCCGACACCGCTCTTAACAGCAGCAGCGTCAACCTGGCATCCACGGCACAGAGTGTGAGTAGTCGAGACTCGGCCAGCAGCAATCGAAACCATCTCGTCTCTACTTCTGCCTCTTCCTCCTCTGGCCACATTCAAGGCGGGCCCTCGTCATTGTCACAATCAAACAGCTCGGGGACCTATCCCCTCAAAAAATCCGTTTCGTACTCGTCGTCGAGCAACCTCAGTTTTTCCCGCGAGCCTAGTATTATGATTAATGATTCTCCTGTGACGAGAGACGATAGTTCGATTATTTCATCCAAGCGAGACTTGCAAGAAGGGCGCCCGCGGACTGCGCATAGCATTGGCGGGTTCTCGCAGGATGATAGGTATGTATTTCCTTTTTTTGTTTGAAAGCCTATTACTAACATTGTTATCAATAGTTCTAGGAGGAGTATTCGAAGTCTCGGTCGCAAGCTCCTTCATCGTCACGCCACGAATGATTGATCTCGTCAAAATCCATAAATAATACATATACACGACATAGACACAACCGAATACTCAATCGAAAACGATTGACTCACCTCGTCAAATATTTATGCCTATGCATACTTTCCCCTTATATCAAATCCATGTACTCCCCGGCGTTCCATTTCTTCCCGCCTTCAACCTATATACTTCAAGTGTATTTTGTTTGCATGTACATGACCTTGTTTTCTTTATATGGCATGTGTAACGGCCTAAGGCGCATGGTATATGCCCCTTATTTTTTATTCTTTATGTTCTTCATTTTGGGATACCTTTTCTCATTGGCACAGCTTGTGTTAGTTGTTTATTTGCTGGAGTGGACGCCTCTCTGCTTGCGCTGTATTGATTAGCTCAGCTAAGGGGTTAGGAATTTGGTAGACGGGACATATAGACAGGTTTTTTTCTTTTTCTATAAAATTCTGATAATGTAGTTACATTTATCTAATCGATTCCTATAGAGTTGGTTTAACTCTGGTAAATAAAACTTCAAAACGCTTGAATGACTTAGATCGAATACCTAAATAGATAAAACAAAAGTTTTGAGACAAATAGCAATTTCCGTGGTATCCATCCGTCCGTCCGCTCGTTGCATAAAATCGACTCCCTTCCAAGATCGAGGTCTTGTCAAAAGATGAAACCAATACAATAAAAAGAATGGAAAAAAACTGAAAATATAACTCCGCGCATACGGGCCCCATGGCTAGTAGCCATACCTAGGTATCTCCAAATATGTATATATGAAAGTGGTGAAAAGCGTTCTTGTAAAGGATATCGATGTATAATGTGTAAGTATAAGAGGGATACACAGGATGAAGTGTAGATGGACGCGAGGATAAGGATAATGCTGATTATCCCTGCTATTGCTATTGCTTTTCGAGGTCTCGACTGGGATCGGGGGTATTATCGGACTTATTATCATTATTGGTGGCTATTTCATGATCGTGACGAGATGCGCTTCTTTCAAGCCCACCGGCGCCTATAGTACCTTCTTCGGCAGTCACGGTGCCTACGAAATTCTCATCGTCGCCGGCAGGGGCTCTGGTGGTGTGGTCTGCGGGAATGTTCTCATTGTCCTGGGCGGACCCCGGTTCCTCTGCTATGGATGATTCTCTCTCTGGTGAAAGCTGTTTTTCGCGAGCGGTAAATGGTAAAATGCGTGCTTGGAATGAGTTCATGCGTGTGCGTGGATTGGCTGTGATGTCGTCTGTAAAGGGCTCTCCGCCGTCGTGTTGCTGTACAAGGTGCCATGTTTCCTTTTCGTGACGCAGTTCGGCTTGGACCCAGGGGAAAGTGATGAGGGTCCAGAGACCGGCCCAGGCGAATGGTAGTGACCAACCGAGCTGTTTATCCGGTTAGTTATTTTGCTCATGGAAGATGTCTTGAGGCGCATGGAACGTACGGTATAGGCCACATTAATCGGGGTAGTAAAGATAATGGCCGTAATGGCAGCCGCCGCAACTAAAGATCCACCAGCCCAGAAACAGTTCATTTCAAAAAGCATGCGCCGAAAATACGGGCTTGACAAGTACCGTCTTCGAAGGGCGTAGCGGTAGCTCTGGCCACCGCCTCCGTCCACGGCAACAATATCTTCGACGAGCACATAAAGGGCGGTAGGCATTACGGAGCCTTGAGGAGTCGAGGAAATTCGGAACGGAGCTTTGTGGCCGGACATGCGAAGAATGTCGAGGGTAAGGTGGACGCCACCAAAGTAGAACATGACGGTAGGAAGAGGCATGGCCAGGAGGCGAACTGGAAAGATCAGTAAGTAACTTGCAGCATGGTGATGTGAGGATATATAAAAAAGCATACTGTATGGGATGGTTGGGACGGTTCCACTATAAAATCATTAGTCTATGCAAGTACTGGGTTCGAGAAATGAAGCACTTACACAATCAATTCCACCGCCAGGATCAACCACACGATGGTGAAGTTGATTTGAAAAAAGTCAAGCTGGTCATATCAGCAGTGAATCCTCCGATTAAGACGAGGTCATAACTCACCCATGATTTGCGTGCATTGAGCGGTCTAGCCCGTGACTTGCTTCGCATCAAATTATACAATCGGAAGAAATATTCAAAGACGGAGACACCTCCCAACGCGGCCGTACTGATGGAGAAGACCAAATTCAACGACAGACTTGTTCCATATCGAAGCGCATAGTATAAAACGAGCGGTTGTATTAATGTATCGATAATGAACAGCGTCCAGAAGAAAGCAATGGAGCGTTTTCGCTGGCGTAGAGAGTAGGGCAACGGGGGAGGGCCGTCGGTGGTGGTCTCAACGGCGTCCGCCATGTGGCAACGATCGAATCAAGGGCAGTACTGATATCGATTGCTCTGATCGAACTTGAGTATATTTGAATGAACTCGACACCGGATTTAGCCGTTGGGTTTCTTGTTTATTCGATGAAAGCCAGGGCTGCGGTCATGATGATAGTGGTTGGTGGTGTATGTCTCGGCGCCAGTCTGAAAGCGAAGCCGCCTTTTGTTCCGGAGAAAATGCGACGGGAAATGGATCACTGACGAGTCAACAGTTGGCATACGTATTCGTAGGTTGTCGTGGTCTGATGGAGAAATGGAGATTTGATGGCAGTGGCAGCGCAGAGGAATAATTCAAGTGCCAAGCCGGGGATGCGATCATATGAACGTGACATCATCCTATTCTCAGCATTTAGTCCAGGATTCATACACCTATTGAGCGACTGCGATTCTTGTCCTCCCTGACTACTCTGTACGCAGCAGAAAAAAAGGCTGAATCAGCGTCATAGATCGCTTCGGGATCTGTCGTTTCTCCCTTTTTTTACGTCAAGAAGAGAAAAGGCCGTCGCATGTCGGCCGTAGCAGACACCGACCGGGCCATTATCTATCCGTGGGCCTCCGACACTGTCTTACTAAGGGTCTTAATCAGCCAACACGTAAGGCCTTATAAACCTAGGGGTTGGCATTGCACATAGCAACTGAAGAGAACTTAGAGAAGGAAGTGCTGATGGGGTCAACAAAATAGGAGGAGTTGGTATTCTTGTCAAATCGCAGAAGAAAAATATTAACCCTAACCCTAGTCAGACGTGCTTCATCATGTGATGTTAATCATAACGATCACGTGATGATAACCACTAACTGACTTAGTTGGTTAGTTAGTTACTCCGTAGTTAACTTAGTTAACTTAACTACACCGTACTATGTAACTAGTTACTTAACTAGTTAAGTTAGTGGTTACCTTATTGCTGTTGGAAGTATTCCCATCCAGATTAGGTTTAGCGTACCGACTATCGCTTATATAGGGGCTTCACGCCCGACCAGTAGAATAGTAGAATTTACTCCTGTGTGCTTCCATGCCATGTCTCTCAATTGCCTGAGGCCCTGAATGACGAACCGCCACGTGACCTAGCAAGCCCTACACGATGTCTTTCTCAGAGCTCTATTGGACTTACGAGGCTTGTTTCATGAATTACAAGACCCGAATACAAATGGATTGAGTACATGCGGTAGTGAATGTATCAGGTTTACAACCTGCCACTAGCTGTCTTACCATAGTCTAATTATGCCTCCTGGAATTTATACCACCCTCCGAAAAGTTCTACTATAGAATTTTAACGAGACAAGACAATCCAAAATCAACATGGCCTCCTCACTTTCTCGCCTCTCACCTGAGATACTGACCATCATCCTTCAGCATGCACCAGATCTCTCATCAGTCTATAAGTTCATCTGTGCATCTGCAAGCGCGAACGCGGCATTCAAACTCAGCCCAGCTCGTATCTTAGACACCGTGGTGGAACACTCCATTCCAGAGTTCAAGCATCTATCACGCATGGCTGCAGTCCTCGGCTCGTTCTCGGCGTCATCAACATACCCGACTTTTGCAAATTTGGGTCGATAAGTACAACACCGATCTACCAAAGGATGTACTTACTACAACGCCAGCATATTTTGCTTTTGTAAATGGCACGCCGGTTCGTCGATATCTCGTACTCACGGCCTACCGTATAGAGATTCTGCAGCATATATGCTTCGTCTCTCTTCTCCAGAATATTCATGAAGTAATATGGCCTGTTGCATCTACAAACTCTCTCAAGTCTATTAAAAAAAAAAAAAAAAAAAAAAAAAGGTTCATCCATTCGAGCAGTCCAAGGATAACATCCCCTTTTACGCGGCTGCCTGGTGGCCTTCTTCAGGGATTGGAAAAAAAGCGCATTATGAGAGCAGCCTGGAAACTGATGATTTACTGGAATACCCGGACCGCCTCTTCTGGCCTTACGAATGAATATGACTATATGTTTTCACAGTATAGTGCAAAATTCAGCAGATCAGCGCATGCATTGAACCAGATTTGGCAAGACTGACAAAGTTGTCGAGTTTGACGAATTTGGTGCGTTTGAGAAGCTGGAAAAACAGAAGATCCATAGAACTGTCTCATGAAGCCGAAGAGATGAAGCGCATACTCGCAGCTGCCCATGAGGTTTTGAGTTGTACAGCTTCTCAAGGTATTCCATTTGCATCCTTCACCTATCAGGATTTTCCTAAATTCCGGATCGAAAAATGGGCATCTTCCACTATTTTCAAGGATACTTCGCATTGGGGACTAGAAGAGCCTAAGCCTGTGCAACAAGTGCTCGAGGGTTTGCATAACGGGCAGGCACGCTACTGGTTAGATACAATAAACAGTGGCTACAGATTATTGTATTGGTATTTTTGGTTTAAAACCTGGCGTCCAGATTCTGAACCGAAGCCGCACTGCAATGGTTATCAGTTCCCGGACCACCTCATTCTCTGTATCTGGGACTACAAGCGGCAAGGTTACTTTGGACTTGCATATATGAAGCGCAACTTCCTGGATACGAGCTTACGACGATTAAGAAACTTTGAGAGCCCTCTTTTTACCAACTCACTGTTACCTGACCGATGGTGCAAGATATTCAGAAAAGAGTTGTGTGGGCCATCTAGATGGGAAATGCTATTGCATCCAGAGAGCATGGACATTCAAATCCCGGACTGGTACTGCATTCCATTGAGTCCGGCGCTCGATATTGATATTTGGCGCCAATGTATATCGTGTCGCCCTTATACGATAATAAGGAGTTTATGATAGAGTATAGCTGGAGGAATAGTATGAGTCTTTTGTATAGGCCCTTTACCAACGCTGTTCTAACCCGCCCGGCGTACATGGAAATGCAGGTGGCCAGATGCTTACTTTATCAAATCATCAAAGCCTTGAAAGACTGAACATAACTGACGGCGTGATACCATGTATTTTATATATGACTTGAAGTGGCCGAAATGCAAGTCAACAATCAGACTATTATTAGAATACAGGCATATAGGCAGTGTTCACGTAGTCAATATTACTATCAATGGATTCAATGCGTTCATGGCAAGTACCGAAAATCCGATCCCAAAGGCGTGTCTGCTTCCCGTAGTTGTGGCTCTTTCTCCATCCCTTCCGATGATGCAGATCATGGTCCTCTATGACGATCTCAGCACTCAGAATTGATAGCAGCCAACTCAACGTTGAAGGGGAAGTTAGATGGATGCGGAGTCCACTGTGACCGAATACTTCCGTGAAGGCGATATACTGATGACATACCCACCAGTCATAGAAACCCATTGGCAGACCCATCGCTTTTAGACTGATATATGTAAGAAATGGTATAACAGCCATGTCGAAGAATTCTTGTTCGTGATCGGCATAAGCTGATAGTAATGGATTGGGATGTTTGGTCAAGTGGTGAGTGCGATGGAACTTCCAAAGTGGATTGATATCATGCATGGCACGGTGATACCAATAGAACCAGAAATCAAGTACAATGCCATAAAGACCAATCTCCAAGGGAAGCCACCATATCCATCCGTTCAATGAAGTCAGGGGCTGTTGGGATTTGTTATATGTTAAGAAGACAGCCATGATCAGACGCGAGCCGGTGGTCTTGTAGAGTGATGCTGCTACTCGATGCACCGCGACGTCTGGGACGCCATCTCGCTCATGTTTATCGCCGTCTAGGAATCCGTACCGATGTGCTAGACGTCGAAGGATGTGCGTTTGTCGGATTATGATCGCGTTGAACGCGAAGAAATAGAGGTTGAAGGTAGCAAATTTACCAAGTCCGTCCGGATTGACGAATGTGACCCAAACTTGGTGTATAACAAGTGGTATCGAGGCATAAAACAGCACCCACATGTGTAATGACCAGGGTGGTAGGTATGGCACTTTGTCCTCCTTGGAGTGCACCGGAACATCCAAGTCAAGGCAGACATGGTGAACATTAAGCAGCTCTAATAACCAATGTGTGATGGTCCATTGATCTCGATTGGCTCGACGCCACGTCGACTTCATCGAATCTTTGGAGGGTGATTCATGGGTACTCATCTTGTGGTTTGTATCTGTTTTTCGAGACCGTTCGCTCTTGTCATTTCTCTTAGTACCATTTTTGCTCTAAGAAATGCTGGTGCTTAAATATATATGTAGTAATCAGTCGGGGCTATATGATTCTCGCTTGAATATGACGAAGAGACGTAGTAGTGACCTCGGCCGCTCAACAAAATCCCTGCAATACCTAAGAAGTCCATGTGAAAGGACGGAAATGCAGATCGAAGGTGTCGTTTGTGATGACGACAATGCGTACAGCTGATTGCACTGAGTATTCTGCTTTACTTTGGCCCAATCAATGGCTGTATCGTTCATCTGAATCCGAGGCATCTATTATTCAAGCACTTCCCCACGTCCCAACAAATCCACCCGACGATCCTCGATATATGGGGTTGGCGCATTATAATTTGCTCTAATCTGATAACTACTCCGTACTGCGTAGATGATGATATTTAGTTTATATAGTGGATATCCCTGCACATGATTTACATTCAGCCGAGGTTGATGGAGTAGTTAAAAGTAGTGAGCGTTGTTGACTGTCTGTTAACGCTTGAATTGAGGAGCTAAATTCCTATCGATATAGACTAGAGAAGTCAAACCTTACTCTCATTGGTTCTGCCATTGTCTGAGGCTATTCTACTCAGCAAAGTTGCTTTATGCTTTAGGGCTTCGGAAGTATTGACGGTTAGGACTATCTTAGAACAACGCCACATTCATTGTTGGCAAAATAGTGTAGAGGACTCCTACTTTACAATAGAATCTAAGCAGGCCTGCAGACCGAAGATGTCCGAGAAAGACATCTCCCACCTTTACTGTACTTAGAAGAGAAGAAGAATGACAACAAGGATCAAGGATTCCATATATCTTTGCATACATAATTTGATACGTTGAGATATACCGCTAAAGGTTGCTACGTACAATCCAACAGATCTAGCGTCAATGTAAGGTCATGTGATTTATGCGTCTGAGTAACTGAGATAAATGAGCTCATAGCCAAAATAGGTAACTGGATGGAGTTTTTTTTTTTTTTTTTTTTTTAAGCACCACCAGTAGCCACTTCCATAAAGAGTTTCTCACGCTAAGATAAACTGGTTAGTCACCAGTTGGAGCGACAGACAGGTATCAGAAACTTACCTTTAGGAAGACAGACAGGATAACACCAAGCGCACCAGCAACAATAAGGAGAATGTACCTAAAGGAGAAATGTCAGCCATCCACTTGCTCTTTAATTTTCCTGAGAAATACAAATAAACCATCCAGGGCAACGTACACATCATCGATAGCTTTGACAATAATATCGAGAGCCGCGGTCTGTTGCGCCTTTGGCAGCGATTTAAAGAATTCGCTCGCAGTGCCGCCAATGACATTCTTGATGGCGTCTAAATGAGCGTCCGGAAGCAACTTCATGAGACCGTGTGTGGACTTGTTAACGAAGATAGCACCAGCAATGCCCAGGCCCAAGACAATGCCCCCTAGTTGAGCTTTGTTAAGGAATTAGTTGTGCGTTGTAACATAGCAAGGGCAGACTGAGGAGTTAACTTACAAACCATCATGAATCCCAGGGCCCATGGTATCTCCATCTTCTTCACCTTAGCTTGAACCACGCTGTATCCGGCCTGGTTGAAAGCACCAACCCCGAGTGCCATGAGAGAGGTGTATCCATAGATGGCGCTAGCAGAGGTGTCGGTCTTGACGATATCTATAGATGGCAGTCAGGACAAAAGCGCCTGGAATTAGATCAAATCCGCAAGCAACTTACACATCAGTGAAGCAGCGATAAGCTCGCAAATGGAACCGAAGAGGTACCATGGAAGATAGTAACCGAACTTTGACATCATGTGGCCGTTTAAGATGATGGTAAAAATAAGAACTATCACGAAAGGAAGAATACGCAGTGATGCATGAACAGCCGTATCACCCTACGGCAATGTAAGTATAAATATATTCGAGACAGAGTTTAAAATCCTCACCTGAGTAAATTGGAAGAACAAGGGGATGTAATACACTGAGATAAACAACCCACTGCTGGCAGAGGCTAGGGATAATTAGCGTCGAAGGGGAAGGGCAAGGTCTAAGTTCCGGTTCGGTACTTACTGTTGAGAATAAAAAGCAGCAACAGTGAGCGCCTCTTCAGAAAGTGGACTGGGAACAGTCTATTCTGGTCGTTGCAGAGGATGTAGAAAGATTGCTGGATGCCGAACAGGATGAATAGAACACCAGAGACGATGAAAAGCGCAATCGACTGACCGCTGCGCCAAGCCCAATCCACTCCTCCAAAGTCAATACCCATGATCAAAGTCGCCAGTGCACCGATGAATAGGACAATGCCGACCCAGTCGATGTTCCTGGCTTTTTCCTTGGCGGTGGCATTGGGAAGGGGCTCGAACGAGGGCAGAAGAAAAACATAGACCGGCGCAAACACACCGCCTATAACAAGATTGATGTAGAAGGCCTGATTGGGAGGGGTTAGCAGATATGAATTTGTACCATGTAGTGGTAGAGTTGCTGTAAACATACCCAACGCCAAGTCGCAGAGCTCTCAGCGAATGCCCCTCCAATGGCAGGGCCAGTGGCAGTTCCAATACCCCATGAGACGGCGCTAGATGAAGAGAAAATATAATCAGCATTATTATAGAGGATTAAACTTCTGGTTACCACTTACGTCAATCCAATATAGAACGGACGTTCAGATACGGTCGTATTGACCGACAGTTGGGTCAAGACGCCGAAGTACATACCACTTCCCTAGGTCTGGTGTTAATGGGAGCTCTTATGTGTCAGAAAAGCGCACGATCAAACTTACTCCAGCGCCAGCTATGGCTCTTCCTACAATCATGGCATTCATATTCGGAGCGGCCCCGCAAAGAGCCGAGCCTGCCATGAACAGGATAACGCACTGTGGTGAGAGTATCAGTAACCTGCCTTTTATAGCGTATCTATTCTAAACACTCTGCACGTACCCCAATATAGAGCCATTTGGCATTGTAAGTGGCATAGGCTTTAGACCAAGGTAGCACAAGTGCAGATGAACAGAGGGAGAATCTTCGAAAATGTTTAGGAAAGTTGTTCAAATAATGGGGCTGGAAGTCAGTGCCTACCCGACAGAAAGCCAGGCTATCTGATTAGATTCTTGGAATTGCTCTAGAATAGCCTGTGAGTTTTATATTATTAGACGAGATTCCAGCTGAATAAGAGGGAACGGAATAAGTACCGGTTGAATGTTAGCAACAATGGTGTTGTCGAGGGCGAAGAGCATATGACTTGAGAGAATAGCAGTCACAACCAAGATCCACTACTCACATGTTAGCAGTTCTATAGCATGTAGAAAAATAGGTATCAGACTTGGCTTTACTTGCCTGGAATCCAGTAATAGTTCTAACTTCTTTCTTCGGCTCCTCGTCTGACATACCACGACTCTTCTCGCTGATCTGCGAACTTAAACTCGGGGTTTGCGCATCTGCCATCATGCCCACGGCGCCAGACTTATTTTCACCTCCGTTAAAGCAGACTGCCATTGTGATTTGACTGTGCGGTGTTGGTGCTGATCAATTGAGGTTATTCTGAGGCACAAACCGTTGCTGTCTGGCCAAGACAGGACTCAGGAGAAGGTGATGGTGGACGTTTCGAAGCCTTCTGGCAAGGGAGGATTTTTATAACCCTATAAGAACCCATTGAAGGAAGGATCTAGTCAGGCTGCGTTAAGTAAGCATTGGAAGGGATCGGAATTGTTCTGGATTATGACTAATGTTACTACATTGACTACCAACTCTACATGATGGGATGAGGACAGGCGGTTGCCATGTCTCGAGAGAACTAAATATCTGGGATACCGGTGAGATACCGTCCGTCCCGAACTGGTCTAACAATTATTGAATGAGCTGAATGATGGGATCCCCTGCTGGGATACCGACGGGATACGGGATCGGCCCGCTGTAGCTTAAGTTCTACAGAATCATCCAGACCCTTTTCTCGTCTAATCCTTTATCTCCCGGAGCAAGGCAAATCGGCTAATACGCCATCCCAGCACGGGAATAGATTATGTAGATGGTGTTCTCGTCATCACTTTTTTTTTGACGATTATAAGCGCATATTCAATCTCTAATGCAGCATTATCAATCGTTTCTCGTCTCCTATGACGAGCAATAGTTCGGAAGATCTCCCATGATCATTCATCGTGTCACTTTTTCCAATATCCCCAAACCGGAGGACATCGACGTCCTCCTGGCTGAATATTGCCGCCTAGCCCAGGAGGCACAAGAGGATATGCATTTTTTCTTGCCCACCGACCCATGTTACGATTGATAACCTGTTTTCATTTGGTATTGAGAATTCAGAACCCTATGTCCTTTCGGTCCAAGCCGGTCTCACACTACCGGATGCACGAACAAAAGGCTACACGTTGGCCGTCAAGACGACTTTTCGCAATTTCGATGATATGAACCTTTATGTTATGAGCTGACCTCATTGATGTGGTTCGGGCAAAGCCCTCACCAGAGAATCTGTATCGTTTTCACTCGCTTCTGCACCCAGGATGCTAGACCGCAGCCTGGCAGTTCGAAGTTATTTTTAGACGTTGAAGGTTCATTCTGATTGGTTGATTTGCCTTCTAACGGGGTGTCTATGGCTATACGGATATTCGGCGCCGAACAGCCCAGCGTGAGCGTTCCCCTTTTCTATATAAACTCGCATATACGACGAAATCTTGTTTGTCCTTTCCCATTCCTTTCCTCATGTTGTGTTTTTTATTCAAATATGCCTTATGGTGAGCATTAGGCGGGACTAACCCGTAACATTTTACGATCATGAGTGCGAAGCACATAAGCGTCTGAAGTCCGTTGCTCCACCGAGAGGGGAGAGTGATGTGTTTACTGCTTATTTTGAGGACGAGCTTGGAACTGCCGCCTAGAACTGAATAGGCTACGCGGCGTCGACTCGAGCTGTGGAATATTTGGTCTATCATTCTTATGTTAGCTATTGAGATTATGACTGTTATAGAGCAGCTTTTGAGCCTCCCTTGTCCTTTCTTCTCTCCTTAAGATGCCAAATAGGACGCATGTGTGCAAGCAGATTTTTGACAAGCCTAGGATAAATTCACCGTGCGCTGAAAGTACCATGAGTTTTCTTATATTTGTAGCTCCCACGGCCACTTGTGAAATTTATCAATTAGAATTCTGTTGGACAAACGCAGTCTTTTTTGTTCTTCTCCTTTGAGTATCTGGAACCATGGGAAAACCTCTTGAGTCACCCCAGTTTCGCCATGCCGCCTTCTTTATATTGCACGCGCCTATATAGAGCCCTTTTTGAACGTTGGTTCTGGAAAGCCCATTCCTAAAAACAACCTTGAGACCTATATTGAAGCGTACATCCCACACAGATGTTGCCATTAGCATCCGAGACTAGTAACCTAACATACTTTGGAGGGGGCAATAATTGAGCAAACGGAAGCCGAAATCAAGAGGAAAAACAATATAAACACTTTCAGATCCAATTAAACCCTCCAGGAGTCTGTAACAACCGCGCGGCCTGACAAATCCAATTCTCCTCGGCATTTTTCTCCCAATACGCGCATGCATTATCCGCCACTCGCGAGGCCAGATTCGAGCTTGCATGCCATAGTTCATCACTGTCAGGCAGTGCGAATTGCAGATCGGCCAACGAAAGAAGACTGCTGACCTGCGCACACAGTTTGATTTGGAGGTGAGAATCCATGCTACCACCGTATGAGAGCAGGGTGTCATGGACTCGGCAGCATCGGCACACTTTGTATAGGGCTAAGGCGAACCGCTTGGCTTCCTCAATTCCGAGCCAGATGTACACACCGGGCAGTGAGTCGGCATTGAATTGGGCGAGCATTGATGGATAGAATAACATCTCTCGCTTCCGACAGCAGTCCACTAGGGCGACAAGAAGCTGAGAGGGAATTTCGGAAAGTTGGTGCGTCAGTTGGAGGTCTAATTGTTTCCCATTCCCTTTTATAAGGGCGAAAGTGATGTGTAGGAGTATTCCCTGGTATGTTGCCATTGGCCACGGGGAGAGGGATCCAGGGGACATCTCATGCTGGTTTGACACATCCCATTTATCCTATCGGAGGGATATACATCAGTGAATAGGGAACATTGACACTGGAAAACAAGACAGCGGATTCAGGGCACGACAGAAGGTTTGCTATGGGACTCACCCTTTGTTGATGGATCAACAAGGTCAGTTCAGAGTGCAGATCCATCGCTGCAAGCTGGGCATTGTTTTCTCCTGTTAACCACAGACCCATCATCACGACAGACTGAACGAGGAGGGTTGGTTCACGGTCTACATCAAACGTCGCGCGGTGAAGAAACGGCCAGTTTGGATGAAATTTCTCGAAGTAGGCCTGGATATACGGTAACATTCTACATGGGCTTCTCTCGATTGAGTCCGAGTTGCGTATCAGATTCGAGGAAGCATATGCAGTATACTGATAGTTGGGCTCTCCGAGGGTTCCGGGGGTCGTACTGATGGTAGGACTGCGTTGTTGCTCTACTTTGGGGCGCGGAGAAGACCGTGCAAATGAGCATTGAATGCCTTTTCCTAGACAAGTTTCACAGGGCACCTTTCCGTCGCACCTTGACCTTCGCGAGCGACAGTAATTGCAGGCTCGGATTGCACGGCCTGAGTGTAATTCTCTGTTCTTATGGCGGATGCGGACATGCTGACGAAGAGTATCACTGCTGTCGAGTTAGTATCCATTCGATAATCCAGTATCTGTTTTTGGTTTCATAAGATTGAGATGGATGTTTGATGTTTTCATTTTCTTTTCTTTCTCCATTCTTTTTGCGAGGCTGCGCGGGTGATGACCGAGAAACTTACTTCCGAGCAAAGACTCGATCACAAAAGGGACATTCAAAAGATTCTGGCTGAAAATGGCGCCGTGCGTGTCGGGTCAGATGTTCTTTGCGCCGATAGCGCAAGCCACAACCCGGAAAGTGACATTGAAATGATGTCTCCCGTGCACTCATTGCAAGAAGCGACCAATTTGATTTATTTTTCTTTATTCTCCGAAGTTGTCTTGTGCCAAATTAGGGGTTAAGCAGCCAGCGAGTAGAGAGTGTATGCAATCAAGTAGCGGCGCTACAGAGAGAGGCGATTCCGTGGTCTGCGACATCAGATGATGGGATAGCGCTGGAATAACGATGGGATAGCGACGGGCAGCGGAGACATGGTGGGATGACGGATGGATGGGATGAAGCGATAATAAGAAATGGGACAATCGTGCCAAGCCGCCCTTTCAGCAGCGCTCCCGGGTGTTAGTGCTCACCGGCCAAAACGTACATTTTCACTATACACATCAAAATGAAGAATATATTCAAAATCCGAATTAAAAAATCAAGACATTGGCGCAAGGATTTGACGCGCCATATCGCCGCTTGTTGGCATGCGTCAATGGTCAAACTGCACTTCAGAATCATCCAGCTACGAATCGCATATTAACGGATGATCAAGAACGCGTTTATACACTCGATGACAGTAAGAGATTCTTGAGAAGATAGGCTAGAAATCCCTTTTGATGTTTTTAGGTATGCTGTGACCACTGCTTCCTTTTTCCCCTGTCCAACAATAAATCCAGTCTCGTCGAAGTTGTAAAGATTCGCGGGGGTAATTTTGAGGTCATCCATAACGATTTTAAGATCAAGAAACCACCGTTCGACCTGGCCATAATGCCCGGAAGCCGTACGATCAAGTTCTTGAGGTTTTTGAACGATTCGTTGATATTATTTTGGTAAACGTTTGAGGTATTGCTTCTGTGGCTGTCGACCATTTTACCTTTCAAGCATGGCCCATCGACATGCTGATTACTTTTTTCCTTGGCTGCTTGTTAAATTTGCTTCAACTTGTCTTCTCTCCTCGATCTAGTCTCTTTTCGAACGTTTTCGAAGTTGTCGTCACCATTCTTACATACTTTCTCGTACGTGCCTTTGGTAGTATTTGTTATGGCGTTGTAGACGACGGTATATAATAATACTACTTTTGCTGCTCATCCATGTCTCCTAGTCGATGCATTGTTAATGCCTAAGTGAAGCAGCTAGGAAAACCGGCCTGGACACGAAGGAGGATAAGGGTCAAGGGTGAGTGTCGGCGTTGAAGAGGTGAGCGAATCACCTTTGAAGGTGAGCAAATGATATCACTCACCCGGCTCACCCTCTTGAAGCGGCAATGACTGAAAGAGGAAAGAAAAGTGTCCTCGTAGATTTTTGAACGATATTATAACCTACCTAGGTACGCAGTGGAATATCTGCCATAACAATCCAAGGTCTTCTGGTCAGCAAGAATAATAAACTCTATTTGCAATGTTAAAAAGTGCATCTGGAAATACATCGTGACCCCTAACCGTTTCCAGACATATCATAAAAACCTAACCTTCAATTCCATACACGCTTAGGTCCGGATTCATTCCTGGAAGTGCATATACGGCGCTCTGTATACCATCAAAAGCTCGCAGAGTCAGCTCCCCTCTGAATTCTAGACCTATCTTTTCCAGGACACGGCGACTGGATATATTTTTCGCATCACAAAACCCAAATACCCCCGTTACTCCAAATTCGCGACGGGCATAGTTGATCAATGCAATGGCAGCCTCAGTGGCATAACCTTTCCCCCAATGTTCCGGAACGAAGGCATAGCCAATATCAGGGTGTGGGTAACCATTTGGAGGCTCTCTCAAGATCAAAGACACCAATCCGATATGCTTACTCTCAGCGAGCGATGCCTGAGGATGAGGCTTCAATGAGACCAGGAAACGACCATATCCGGCCCGGTTATATTCTGCTTGCACTTGATTCTTGATGAACACATCTACTTTTTCCAAAGTGTCGAGATCTCTCTTGCCGATAAATCTTTTAATCTCTTCAAGGTTCCAGACGTGCATAAAGAAAGAAGTGTGGTCGGGGTTTCCGGGTTGTATGTACGAGATGTGCAAGCGCTCCGTTGGAATGCTGAATGATGGTGGGGGTGAAAAGTCTGTCGGCATGGTGACTACCGAAAGAGCATCTAATACGCACAGAGTTTTGTTGTCTATTTTGTATGTCTTTCTTCGATCAATTCGAATTCACGGCCAACTGCCCAGGAGGATACGCTGATGCTCCTGTTCAAATATTGTCGAATAGATATTCTTGTGTTTGGGAAAGCCGGTATATTCTAGGGGTATACACATGAGTAGAAGAGACGTTCAGTATCTATGATCAGATGTTGAATATCTTGAAGACAAGATGAAATAGAAAATCTCTGTGGTGATGAGTCAAGCCTTATCATGGATGACTCATGCGCTTAGTGGGGTTAGGGTTATATTCTCTATATCGTGTATCCGTGGAACTTAGAATGAAGAAGACAATATCTCTGATCAAAATTACATCGTACCTTTACTTAAGACTTGAAGCAATCAAAAGAGGTTCCAGCGATTGCTTCTCTTGAGATGGTGCTGAGGAATGGAACTGAAATGCAGTAAACGTGGTTAAAAACGAAGAGCTGTCTGCATTTAAACAAGCTCATCTTTAATTGCTAATGTATTTGCTTGATGGGATTCATATTCCAAGGTTTGGCCCTTAACGGCACTTGATAGCGTTGCTACCGAAGTAGTGACTTTGCGGCCGATAAGCTGGATTGTTAGTACTCAAAGTTAGCTAAGAAATTTTTTCAACAACTAAATACCAATGATTGCATCGCCATAATATGAATCATGCGACGTCACCTACTAAAGCCTGCCAAAGGAATTCGGGCGGTCATCACCTATATAGTTCCGTTGTCTTCATAGGCGGCTCAGAAAACTAGTAATCTCATTAGGAAATCATCCAAGGTTGATGTTGCAGCCTGGCGGGGAACAGGATCAAATGATCTGCTGCATTACTACCACGCCAAAAATATGGCCTATTAGTGTCCAGTAATAGTCCTTCTCCTCAAACCTCTAAGGGCTCTTCCATCGGAGTCCAGAAAGCATAAATAGCAGAAGACGGGACTTGATCAAAATAATCGCAAAAGCGATATTTTTACGATGAAAGCGGCTGTTACCTCTAGTAGGCATTCATGAGAACTTGCTTAATTCATGAAATCAGTCTTGGTTCCATAAATTGGCGACAAGATCAACATGTTCGGCTTGAAAAGCCTCATTGCGGGGTTACTTCTATCCCCCCTCCAGACCCTAGCACAGCTCCATACATCTTCACGATGGATTCTGGATGCAGACAACAATCGCGTCAAATTGCGTTGTATCAATTGGGCAGGACATATTGACCTCAGGATTCCCGAAGGTCTGAATAAACAGCCTATTGATACGATAACCACATGGATTGCTGATAATGGCTTTAATTGTGTTCGCCTCACTTATTCGATTGATATGGCATTGGACCCAGAGCAGAGTGTTTCTGACTCGTTTACTGCAGCAGGCACAGCATGGGATGTTCAGTCTGAAATGACCGATGCATATAATGCCGCAGTCGCCCGAAATCCTTTTCTCTCGGGAGCATCGACTTTAGATACCTTTGCTATTGTCATTGACAGTCTTGAAAGTAAAGGTGTTATGACGATTTTGGACAACCATGTTTCCAAAGCGAGCTGGTGCTGCAATCTCACCGATGGAAATGGCTGGTGGGATACTGCATCTGGGTATATCGCGTCTAATAGTCGGTATTTTAATACCACAGAATGGCTTGCCGGTTTAGATGCCATGGCAACATTTGCACGAAGTCATCCAGGTGTCGTGGGAATGTCTATACGAAATGAACTTCGCCCTTTCCCACTGCTCCAAGATCTTACACATAGTGATTGGTACAACTACGTGACCCAGGGAGCACTTACAGTGCACAATGCGAACCCTGATGTTCTTATAATTATCGGCGGTTCTCAGTCGGCTACTGATCTGTCCTTTATCCGAAACTCAAACCTCGATTTCTCTCAATGGGCGGGCAAACACGTATGGGAATTTCACGCCTATTCTTTCACGGTCACTTTCCCCGGTAATACCGACTGCATGGTAGCCAGTGCCGAATATGGTCTATTCGACGGATTTCTACTTACCCAGGACAAGTCGTACACAGCTCCTTTACTCCTCTCTGAGTTCGGTGTTGGCCAATCCGGTGGGTCAAACTCTGGACTATCTGACTCGGACTACAACTACTTGCAATGCTTAGTCCAATATATGGAGTCCAACGATGCGGAATGGTCTGTGTGGGCTGTGCAAGGAAGCTATTACATCCGTGATGGTACTGTTGATTATGATGAAACGTGGGGTTTACTGAATCACGAATGGTCTGGCTGGAGAAATGGAAATTTCTCGGGGTTGCTCGGTAAGATGTGGGATGTAAACCAGTAATAGCTATTTCAGTAGTTAGAGTTATACTGTAAACATATTATGTGATTATAAGACGTTAAATATTGATCTCTGAAACCCACAGAGATCTTACAAGAAGTCTTATATGATATAGTAGTATTGACATTGACTGTATTGGTTCATCCTATGTTGAATAAGCCTACCTAGTACATAAACTACTGTAGATTCTGAGAAGAAATGAGCGAAAATAGTTAAACAACCATGCTAGCTAGTCTCAGTGGAGAGGTCCTCAACTGATATTTGGACTTGGAAATGTCAAATCAGAGCATACGAATGAGCTCTATATCTAGTAGACACTAATAACAATGTCATTCATATATCTAACTAATAATGTACCTATGTATATAGCATACAATACTTCCTTGGCCATTAATATTCACTTCACCATGGCTGGGACTGAGAATCCTGGAAATTCTACCTGGGCTCTAACAACACAAACATGTATCTTCACAGAATTTGGAATTACATGCAGTTGGTCTTAACAATGTCCCTCTTTGCAAATAGTAAACGCTGACTACTCGGGCGTCTAACATATACTTTCTTATGCAGGTAGTACTTTTGGCTCGAACCACTCACTCACAACTGTCCACGGGTCAACAGACTGATGGCCTCCACAAGAGTTAGGATTATGGCCGCTTGACAATTGGCCTGGCTGCTAAGCAGGTTTATCTAGATCTTAGGCAATTTAATCAAAGTTATCGAGATCTCGAGATTTGTGATTTGTATGGCTTACTCAAGCTAAACTTCTCTCTAGTAATACAGTGGCTATTGTCATTGAAGACTTGGGAGGCTTGCCTCGGTGTCTTTCATATGCACAGTTTAATCATAAAGTTTAAATCTTTGGGACGTATCAATGGACCGACTACCTAGGTAGTAACATGTTGTTCTCCATGTTATAGAATAATCCGACTCGAGGTAAGGTTTAATGAAGCAGTAGGCAGTGTCAGGTGTGGAAATGGCACAGGAATCCATATCTATTAGACGAGAGCATTTCGTACAAATTTATTAATATGTCCAGTTTAACCTCTCTCAGGCAACTTATCCATACTTCTGTCGCAAGCTTACTATTTGAAACCGATCTTACTAGGCGAAGAGTAAGTACGTCTCTTTAACTTCTTGCACAGCTCATATGGTCCGAGCTACATATTACTTAGGTACGCATGCAATCATAACAACTCTATAAATCAAGAACTCCAGATTATGCACCTGTGCAAAGCGCTCATCCAAGGCCAGAAGCCCTCACTTCCTAAAATGGAAATGGAAGTAGACTGAGCACTGTCATTGGTCAATTGAGCACCTGGCAACCACGCTATACCCGTTTGGAGCTCGCATCTCGCATTTCCATTTTGAGAATAGTTGGTTATTATGTGTATATAACCTGCTCCTGGGATGTTGAAAGAATAATTTTGTAAAATGCCCAATTCATTACCATCAGGACCTGTATATATTTGGCTGAGCAGCTCAAAATATTGTCCCCTTGATATCTCAAAGTTGTGAGTAGTGCACCGAAGCCATGACCTCTACAGAAAGCTCTCCTCTTCCGCCGCGGGGTTCCCCAATTGGGATATCTGCTCTTGTTGTAGGTGCCGGGGTTGCGGGACTGCTGGCCGCACTTGAGCTATGGCGTCAGGGCATCGATGTTCAGATTATCGACCGAGCTCCTTCTCGGCTCACTGGAGGTACGCATAACTGCCACTCGAAAATGAAGGGATCAACCCTATGTTAATATGAGACTGATAACACGCAGGTGATGGGTTTAGTATATCCTACAACATCATACGCTCGTTCCGTAATTGGCCGTATATGGCCAAGAAAAATGAAGAAATCACATTCCATCCATACCTCGCATGGCACAATATCAAAGGGGAGCGAGTCTCAGGACCGATAAAGGTAGAGATTGGGGATAAAGATGGAGAAGTCAATCAAGGACAGGAAGGTGGTCCGTCTGAGCAGCTATATCGTCACAGCCGTCCCAAGTTCCATCTCATGCTGGGGGAACAGCTAGAAATGACCGGTATGAAAGTACAGTATGGCAAGCGAGCCATACGCTATATTGATGCGGATCCCGATCAGAATAACAAGGCAAGTGTGGAACTAGACACTGGAGATATTATGGAAGCAGACATAGTCATTGCTGCGGATGGAATTGGTAGTCATTCCACAAAAGTTACGTTGGGTCACGAAGTTCCTGCCCGTTCAACGGGACTGGCCATATACAGAGCGGCGTTTTCTTTAGAAATTGCTCTGTCTGATCCTGAAATTGTAGAAAGATTCAAGCTACTCCCTGACGGTAGTCCAGTAGCTGAGTTATGGCTCGGGCAAGTCTTCCATATTTCGTTTATCGGTTGTCTTCTGCGGCACATCTGACCAATTGTCATCTAGGCCAGGTGTTGCTGCATCATTCATACGGAGCCAGGATGAGATAGCGTGGACTATCAATCACAAGGCATGTGAAATTTTTCCAGTCCTGCTTGAATAGCGTTGACAATATTTTCATACAGGCGTCCCGAAAAGCATTAGAGTCATGGTCGAGATCTATTCCACCTCAACAAGTGATCGATGATACTACCTCGAAACTCGAAGGCTGGCCAGACTATGCGAATCGAGTAATCCTCATGACGCCGAAGGATAAGCTTATTGACTTTGAGCTCGTCTGGCGTGATCCACAGCGCGTCTGGACATCGAATAGTGGACGTATAGTCCAGATTGGCGATGCCGCGCATACATTCCTTCCTACTTCTGGCAACGGGGCAAACCAAGGCATGGAAGACGCTATCTCACTTGCCAAATGCCTTAGAATTGCCGGTAAAGACAATATTGCCGAAGCGACTAGAGTGCACACCAAGCTGAGGTATGTGGCCTTCACCTACTTCAATTTTATGCAATCTCTCTAGATAGGGAAAAAAAACCCCAAGCTGAAAAACTGAACATAGGTTCGAACGTGTATCCTGTCTTCAAAAAGTAGGAATCTACAATCAAGCAACTCAATACGGCCAGAGGGGCGATGATAACCAACTTACCGGTGAATTAAAACCTATGCCCAAGTACCTACGTGCGCTGATGGCTCCATGGGTCGTGGAACATGACCCAGAGGAATACGCCGCAGAAAAGTACCATGAGGCACTGGCAGCACTGAAAAACGGAACTCCATTTCAGAATACGAATATACCACGAGGCCATGTTTACAAGCCGTGGAACTTTGAGGAACTTTTGAAGGTTGTAGAAGATGAGGGCGAAGTTGAGCTTGGTGGAGAATGGTATGACTGATATGGCTACAAAATCATACGGTTTGAGAACCTTTCCTGGAGAAAATGGGTACAGGCGAGGGAATGATAGTAGGAAGATGACTAAGGAGCTCTCATTCTGATTTCATTAAGTCTGCTATTTTTGCTTCTAGCTGAAACATCTTTGTTCTTTTCTTTTTGGTCCTTTTCTCAGGTTTAGTATCATAACGCGGAAACACATAAAAATTCTCAAAAAGCCACTATGCCCACCACCAATGCTCCAAGTATTGTTTGCTCCTAGAAATTCTCAGTCTTCCACCATTTCGAGAAGCTGATCCAAAAACCGGAATTTGACCTCTCATTCAATGTTCGAGTAATCCCAGTTCACGACGATAGGCCGCTTTCTCATCAGCCGACATCAGGGGAGCGACAGAATCAATGAATCTCACCAACCCCTTCGAGTCACGCCCGAAAGCACCCAGGCGACGTATAGTTGCTTTCATTGAAATTGATGCATGCACAAATTCGATTGCAAAATGAATCCATGCTACGCATTCACGCCAGTCGTCAACGGCAGGGGGGCTACGGAACTCAACGCGGCCGCGGATCAAGTCGGAGTCTGCGTCGGCTTCTAAATTGGTAAAATTCCAACTCCAACGCTTTGTTCCATTGTTCATGAGTTCCACAAGTCCCTCGACGTCGGTACAAGCATCGACTAGTGCAATGCGTGATTCTATCCCCGAAGTATTCTCGAAATGGGGATTCCAACGGGCTACTGTACTGGTTATTCGTGTGAGCAACCCGTTCCACTTGGCATAAGCGGTGTTTCTCCGGTGATAAGGCAAGAACGACCGGATAGCTCCCTCGAAATAGAGAATGGATTTTGCTAAGGACTTGACTTGATCCAAATTCTCCCATCCATAGTATTCGTTGGCTGACACACTGACCTGCAGGGAGCACTCGTCATCAGCGAGAACGATTGTGTTCTCGTGAAGAACACTGAAAAGTTTCTTGATAGAATTTAGCCATGGATACACATAAGGCCCGTCAACAATGCCGTTACCGGACAACATGTTCGAATAGTCAAAGATAGGTGACGCAAATTCCACAGGCCCTAGGAGGATTATTGTGAGTCTGAAGACATATAACAAGAGTGAGATTACAGATTATATTCACTTACAGCCATCACACTGTTCAACTCCGAACATGTATAGACTGCGGTCGTCGTGAATTTCCCAGACACAATTTATCTCCCAACGAGTAGGATATGACTCCACGATTTCTGTACCCCAGGGAGGACGTATCATAACTGGATACTTAACGCCCACTTCGCCTGGAGGAGAACCACCAGAGATAGCTTCATTGTAGAGCTGAACAATCTCGTCGGCTGCTCTGATCAGCTTGTCCCGCGCATTAATTTCTGTAGTTATTTCACGGGAGTCGCCAGACTTGAAGATGGCAAACATCTCGAGCTCAATACCAAAGTAGTAGATCGGCTTGTCGGACACGCCGTTGGTACAGACCATGATGATTAATGTCTCTAACGCTGAGTGGAATGCGAAAGTTGCAGGTCTGTATTAAGGGGAGAAGACACGATCCAAAGCGGAAAGGGAGACTTATTATTGACCAACATGAGCCAGTTGACTCGGCCTGAACGATGAGTATCAAGGAAGGCGCGGAGGGAGAGGAGAGGAAGACAAGTAGGAGGAGAGAAGGAAAGATAGAAAAATTTTCTCACAAATTCGTTGGGAAGAGTGCAATCACATTGTTGGAATTGTTTGTGTGAGTGCATTGCTTAGTCGTCAGAGGCAGGAAATCATTGAGGCTCGGCGATGTTGTGCAAGATACAAAGTATCAGTTGATGTTTTAACCGTGATAAAGAGCATGGAAGAAAATAGATTCAAAGAATCAGCCTGGACAATAAAAATTATGTGAATATTGAAAACATATAACAGCTTGCTTTATAAGTCTAGTAATAGTAATGCAAGTCGCAGTCAGTAGACAGTAGATATCGCCCCAAGAGTCTTAGGCATATTCTATATCGACCATCAATCAGACGCAAAATCTGAGTTCTATAGGCTTCGAACATGGAGTGCGCCAAGCCCAGGAATTTTGCCCAGATTACTCTGTCTGAATGTATCTTTGGTGATACAGAGTGGTCAAATACAGATGCAGACTATGACAAGAGATCGAAGGCCAATGATATGCACCTACCAATGTACTTGTACTCGGACTAGCATTTCTTTAAGATGGAATCGTACACAACCACCCTTGACGCATCCGCATTGAAGTATAAAATGAAACATGATAGATCATTACAGCTCTTGAGAACGAGAAAATAGGCCAGAAAGTGGTATCAAAGTATGTAAATGGAGAGCAGAGAACAGATTGACAGCAAGCTACATGACTATTTGAAATCTGCAATTTGCTTATCTGCAAATTCAAGAAAGATTGCAGCGACTCCATTGCCTCCTTCATCCTTGCTCTTCATCGTAGCAAGAAGATCCTGCCTGGGATTTGGATGAAGGCGCCCCCATGGGACAACATATTTGCCATTATCCTCTATCTTCAGGTCAGGTGACAGTCCAGCCCAGAGCTCAGTGTAGGCTCCTTTCCTAGCGTGGTGCAGCAGTGGACCGGCAAGTATGGCCACATAAGACGGAAGATGGCGAGTCAGATTGCTCTTCAAGTTTCCAGGGTTTTGCGTGACCGTCAAGATACCATCGCTACCTGCTTGCTTAGCGAGCCCATGAGCTAGATACCAGTTCCCGAGCTTAGAAAGGGTATAGTTGTGTTGCGGGTCCGAATGTGGTCTTTCGAGCTCTGATAGCTCAATTCCATTTTTGGGTGCTTGCAGCTGGTCCGCGATGGAGCTTGTCCAGATAACGCGTACGCTACCTGGAGGAAGCGATTTAGCAGTGTTTCGGAGTGTTGGTAGTAACAATTGAGTGAGCAGATGCGGTCCCAAGACGTTGGTGGCCAGTTGCAGTTCATGACCCTGCGCAGATACAGAGCCCGTGGGTGGGTTAGAGACACCTGCGTTGTTGAATAGAACGTCAAGTCTTGACTCAGCTGAGGTGAACTTTTCCACGGCAGGTTTGATGGTAGTTAGGTCATCAAGTGACAGATGCAGGAAAACAATTTCTCCGGTTTCCGACAGGTCTTTCTTCGTTGGTTGAGCCTTGATCTCGGCTATGGCAGCATTTGCTTTCTCTTCTGAGCGGCCCGCAAGGTACACTTTTGCTCCAGCCTGATATAAGATAGCGACAAGCTCATAACCAACGCCGGAGTAACCGCCGGTGACTATGAAGACCTTGCCCTTTTGACTGGGGAGGTTGGTCTCTGTCAGAGTTGGATGAGGTGGAAAAAATTGAGACCAGGTGGCACCCATGACTGGTGAGACGTAAAGTACTGATAGCGATGATGGTTTTCGACTGGTGGTAATTGTTGCGGTAGCTTTATACAACACCCAGAGAGCCGTAATTAAATACTTTTGATTTGAAAATTGTCGCTAGCGTCTATTTTAAATGCGGGAAATACATAACTTAGCTCAGCTCACTATTGTAACTACTACATGGACAGCCAATAAATGGTAGGACAGGGATATAGTATGTTAGTTACTACTAGTTAAGTATACACATTCCCCACCGAGGCTGCGACCTGGCAACTGAACAGCTGACTATCATGGAATTGACTCGCTAGTTGTAAGAGAGTATGTAACTTACAATGAGTGATCTGCATGCTGCATCGCCCCCAATTTTGAGGCTTCAAGAGAAAGAGGAAAGAAAAAGAAGAGGGCGCCGAATAGTGTGTTTTAAGTGGTGTAATTTATATAGTGTATTGTTTTGTAATATTATACGTTGACTGTCGAATCGCGAGGCACTGCCTGTTTATTACCGCGTATTGTTGGTGTACAGTGCCGTCCTTTTGTTCTCTGCACTCACAGTGAAACTCATCCTCTTTAATCATCTACATCGTCAACAGCAAACAACTGGAAGAATAGTCTATTTCATCTAATTAATTGGTTTACTCCTATGTCTTGAAGGCGAAGTCAATAACCGAGTCTTATATCGCAAATAGTAACTCTGATACGGTCAATAGCTGCGACCATGGCAGTCGCAGAATGGTTTGCTGTACCCAGTCTCTGGCTGTTAACCAAATCCCTATTTATCGGGTTTATCCCTTTGGTAAAACTTGCGAAGAACCAATCTCAAGACCCTCGCTGATAGTCTATTATAGTACTTTATCACGGTTATATGTAATGCTCTATACAATGTGTTTTTGCATCCTCTCCGGAAATATCCTGGTATGACCATCCAGCCTGCAGAGGCTAGTACCATGCTCCGCGCTGATATGCAGTCGAGTTGTGCTCGATTCTAATGTTTCACATCAGGCCCAACTCTAAGAGCCGCTTTTCAGCTACCGGATATGCTATCCTTACTAAGAGGTACCGCATACAAGGACACCAAGGCATTGCACGACAAATACGGCTCTGTAGTCAGACTGGCACCAAACACTCTATCTTACAACTCTTCTCAAGCTTGGAAAGGTTTGTAATTTCCAAAAATTGCTCAATCTGAGTAAGGGTTCTGATTGATCGTACTGATAGACATCTATGGCCTCAAGCCTGACCGGTCAGAACTAGACAAGCACCCGGCCTACTACAAGAGATCATCTCGGAACCTCCTTGGTAATACCCCAGCTTCTTTCCTGAACAGAAGTTCGTGGCATAAATCTAACACAGTTCTAAGTGGTTAACCAAGCTGATCACACCCGCATGCGCAAATTGATTGCTCACGCCTTTTCTGACACGGCTCTCCTTGAGCAAAGCCCTATATTAACCAAATACTTTGATCTTTTGGTCGAAAGACTGAAGCAGCAGATTGATGGACCTGAAAAGGGTCGACTGAATATAGCTGCGTGGTTTAATTTTACCACATTCGACATTATTGGGTATGGTGACACTTGTCTCACCGTTTCGTACAAATACTGATCTTAGGATGCTGCTGTTCAGAGATATGACCCTTGGCGAACCATTTGGGGCCTTGAAAACGGAGACTATACTCCATGGATGCGGTGCGTTTGTCTCTTGTTTGAATCATCGCTGAGCTACTAATGAAGTCCAGTAATGTCTTCTCGGCAATCAAATTTCTCGGAGTCATCCGGTTTGCCGAAACGTACCTCATCGTTGGGCTTCTCTTACTTTTACTGCAGAAAAGTATGCCTTCACTTGCAAAAAAAAGAGCCGCTCATCTAGAATACACCAAGAAAATGATCGACGCCCGTCTCGCTCGGGAAACTGACAGGAACGACTTTATGACATATGTAAGTCGCTTAGGGTAGTCGAGTTTCTATCATTGGTACTAATAGGAACTCCAGATACTCCGTCATAACGACGAGCGTGGCATGTCTTATCAGGAATTAGTTGGGACCTGTAGAGTCTTCCTCGTAGCTGGCTCTGAGACGACGGCGACTTTGCTTTCTGGAGCAATCTTCTATCTACTACAGAATCCAAGCTGCATGGATAAATTAAAGCGCGAAGTCCGAGAAGCCTTCCCAACCGCTAACGATATTACGATGCGTTCTGTCACTTCTTCCGGTCGACTTTCGTACATGGAAGCAGTTTTGCAAGAATCTTTTCGGTGTTATCCACCAGTTCCGTCTACTCTACCACGTATCACAGGGTCAGGGGGGGCAATTATAGATGGAAAATTTGTTCCACCTGGGGTATGACCTATTCTGCTACCCATAATAGCTTTTCGAAATCCAGACAAAGGATACTGACTGAAACCTTTTATTCGGGATGTAGACCTCTGTTGGCGTAAACCAGTGGTCGGCATACCGTAGCAGCAGCAACTTTGCTTCACCGAACACATTTGATCCCGGCCGATGGCTACCGGACGCCCCAGGAAAATATCGAGGGGATAACAAGGCTGTGCTCCAACCATTTACACTTGGTCCGCGTCAATGTATAGGCAAGGGGTAAGCAATGTTTCACTGGGCTCTTATTTGTGCTGATATACTGTTCCTAACTGACTTGTACTGTTGTAAAGACTGGCATATTTCGAGCTTCGATCTATTCTAAGTCGTATGATGTGGCATTTTGAGATAGAGTTGGATACAGACAGTAGAGGTTGGCTGGATAATCCGAGGGAGTTTGCGCTTTGGGACAAGCCACCATTGTGGGTGAGGTTGAGACACCGTACTGATTAGATTTAAGCTGAGGATTCTGGCTTGGAAAGTGTCGTTCCAGGTGATATTTTTTAACGATTTTCATGAGATCCAATTTAATGACTAGCACACATTACCATCTACTGATGGGATACCTAGACATCTATAGACATAACCTCCTTATATTTCCTCGAACCAACTAAGCAAGATATAAACATTCAGTCTAGATAAATTCAATACACTCTATCAAATAGGATACCACTCTCAGCCTCTAATGCTTATTAGTGTTTCTTTGTCCTACCGATTATGCATTCGACAGCATCATCCTCCAAAAGTCGCCCAATAACTCCCAAAATAAGCAGAATCAGTGTACTTAGTTGCAGCGGCAAATGGTCTCGCCTTAGAAGCAGGAAATTTCTTTCGTGGAAAGATTCTAAGAATGTGATCTATTATTTATCTTGCAGAACAGGGGACCACCCCTGAACCGGATGAGAATGAAACAGTAGAAAAGTATTCACAATGCCAAACCTAAACATAAAACATAAAACATACAGTATAGTCATAACTTGAATAACGAAACTGTTTCAGTAATTCGCTATATATGCTCAGAAATTGGTGACCGTATGCAAGCATGGACCTTAATGCACCGTGACACGAATACCTTTGGTATCTAGTCTCGGCAATGGCACCACATAATCATGGACATGATTCGTATCAGAAGTATCAGTCTCAAAAAGCTCTAAACGAGGGCCACCTGGCCTGAAGAAGACAGCTAGTGCCAGACTAAGCTCTGCCAGTGCTAAATTCTGACCGAGGCATCGACGGGAGCCTTCAAATCATACGAATGAGTCTTTTGGTATTCGTCGCAATTGGAAAATCTAGACTCACCTCTTGCGAATGGAACGAAGTTACGCATCATGTCCTGATTGAAGTTCTCGTCTAACCAGCGTTCTGGGATGAATTCAAAAGGCTTAGAATATACCGATGTATCCGTATGCATCAGATAAGGCGACATCGCAACAGCAACCTGGGAGACTATCAGCAACCACCGAGTAGAGACAATCTTGAACCTTAGAAGAAGGAGAATGCTTACCCCAGCGGGAATAGTCCATTGCTTGTATTGAATAGGAACATCTGGTGAAACTCGAGGCAAGGGATGCATCACAGCATAACTGTGTCTATTTACCGGATAACAAATCAGTCAATATGCCATTCATGGTGTATTCTCTATTAGTGTCGAGAGCAAATACTTACCGAAGACCCTCCTTGATTAGAGCCTGTAAGTACGGCAGTTCCTCAAGCTCAACCCATGAAGGAACTTTCGCCGGCCATTCTGCCATGATAGGGCCAAGTTCTTCAGTGAGACGTGCACGAATCTCCGGTCTAGATAAGATGTGACAGGTAATGTGACTCAAAGTGCGAGCAGTGCTGGTACTACCAGCCGACATGATGACCTGAGCTTCGTTGGCAAGACGTTGATCGTCCAACTCGGATTCAGGCATTTCACTGTTGACAATCCAGTGGAAAAGAGAAGGATACTTGCGTCTGAAAGGGTCACGTTCAGACTTGTCCAATTTAGCTTGTTTGGCAATTGCTACATTGCGCAGAGTCATCTTTTTTATTGGAGTCAGTTGAGAATGTTCACAAATAGTGATTTAACTTCAGGATGAAATACAGTACCTTATCAAAATCATCAAATACCAAAGCCTGGGGCAATAATCGAGCAATAAGAAATTTAGGCAGACTGTTGGCGGCTTGTGCAATCCATGGGAACATTTGAAATAGATAGATGGACTTTATAATGCCGTGGATAAGATTATACCTGTTTGAATATGTCAGTTCATTGATACTAAAACTGTTCCGGCATTGTGTCTGGAACTTACCATCCAGGAGAAAAGTTAGGCTCATCCAAAAAGTCCTCCTTTTCAGCCCAGCACAATTTACCGACCACATCACCAGACATGGCGAAGAAGGCATGATCTAGCCGTATGACAGCTCCAGTGCCTTTGGCCAAAGCAAAGCGAGAGTCAAGTTTCTCGATTGTCTCGGCCAACAAGGGCTGTAGACGGAGAATACCCGAGCGGGAGAAGAATGGCTCCAATGGCTTTCTTCTTCGTCGATGCAAATCATGTTCTTCGGTCAAGAAATGGGATCCTAAAATTTCTCTATTTTAGCTTCAACACATGCAAAACGGTGAATTGACTCACCGTCAAAACCCAATCCTTGACTAAATGGTTGGTAGTTGTTCGTCTTCCGTTTAGCCTCGGATACATATATCTCATCGTAAGCTTCAGGATCATTGATGCACAGAATTCCAGGATTGATTCGAACAATTGGTCCTTTATTCCGATTTAGTAAATCTTGAAATGCACTTTTTCCAGGCAACACAGTTGTTCGCTCTGGCAGGAACCTCCGGATGAGGGAGTTTAGGGTGTTCGCTGCTGGTAAGGAAGTGTATGTACCTACCATATTTTTGATGCATTCTCTCAACTTCATATATATATTTCCCTTGCAGCCAAAAATTATAATAAAACTCATACCAATGCGTGGCAGCTGCGACTTTAGGCCCAGGAAATCCCGCCAAAGGCGAGAAATACAGTCGATATATCACCAAACAGATCCCATATACAATATATGATACAGCTCCTACAACTGCCAGACTAGCGGCGGGATACGCCTGGACAATTGGTGGGAGGTAGGACTTAAGAGCATCCATGATGTGTTGATGATCTCCTCACGAGATCACTTTCATGGGAGTTGAAATTTGACGAAGGTTGAAGCGCTCCTGATTGGAAAATTAGATAAAGACAGTAGAGGAGAGACGGAAAAGACAAAGTAACTAGGAAGTAAGTAATTAGAATATGAACCGCGCAAGGCCGTATTCGACAGAACTATGGGAGAGGTTTCGTTTCCACTTGCGACTTAGTCGAGTTCGTTCCTCCTGCTTATTTTTAGTATCACCGATCAAAGTTCAAATCTTGGATGCGCTTTTTTATGAGAATTTATCTAAGTTTACTTAACGGTGCCTAACTTGCTGGTCAAAAACGCACCCTTGTCTGCGCGGCTGTATGAACTGTGGTCTCTCTAACTAATCAGGTGCAAGTGGATCCTGAAAATCAATGGTAACTTAATTGCAATTGACTCGTCGAGTAAGTGATAAATGGGATTACGATAGTAGTGTTACATACCTGCAATTGCGCGGCACATTTCCCCAGTTCAGCTAACTAGTGACTTACTTCCTACATACGAGCTAAGAGACCTTTTCACATTACCAACTTACGACTAACTTAGGCATGCATTGCTTACCCGCGTACTTACAATATACCCACGTACTTAGAGTCCTAAATACCAAAGTAGTGCTCCCTTGAAAGATCGTCTCATGAGATGTGGTTCCTACTCCGGAATCTTGCGAAGTTAAGATTGCCATGAGCTTCAGTACAACCAACCATGATCAGCAGACACAGGGATTTTGGCAGTTAACGGTGATTTACAAAGTGACCTGGGGTGTAGAACCCTGAAGATGGGTTGGTTATGTATTTGTTCCGGCAAATGCTTTGAATGATGATGAGATCTGGTGACAGATAGATACCCAGAATACGGAGTAGCCCGGAATCGTGCGATGAAAATAAATTGATGTGCAGCAAGCCTCGTCGTCACCTGAGGTGCAGTGCAGTGTAGTTAGTGATGATCAAGAACCAGCTTTTCGTTTTCCGAGATTCTATTGACACGTGTCTTGGATTAGGGTCACACCGACGTGCGCTTGTTGCTCCTGATTATCATATAGATTTTCTTAGTTCAACTGTTTATTTGAATTGGTAATAGTACGTACAAGTATTTTATGACTGCCGCTCCACTGAAAGTTTATGGGACCGTTTCTCACCGGATATCTTAGCGTAGTTAACCAGGAGTCCAGGACAGATCTGGAAAAAAAACCTTAAGTTGAGGTTCGGAGGTACCAAGCCCTATGCTCTGTATGTGCTCTTATGTACATCTGCACTGATTCCTGTAGGTGTGTCAGCTTCTTAGAATTCCCCCCAATTATCAAGAGTACTTAGAATTTACCAGTGAAAGTGGCTTTACGAAGCTTTCCTGACATAGGATTAGCGTCCAGTAAAACTCGTAATCCGCAGTCGAATACAAAACATCAATCCCGGTTGTTTAAGATCACATTTTGAGTTGCATGCGGGCATCGTGGCGGGCAATCAAAACCCTGCACACTGTCTTACTCAGCTACCTATATGACACGGACCATATGAACGGAAAGGGAAAATCAGCCCTTAGGCGATCCTTCGATTCCTTACCCACCCAATCCAGTGAATCTAGATTCTACAGTTGTGTCTCAGCAACTAGAAATGTACACCCTAGTTCCACTAAAAGCCCACACAAAACGAGTTGATTGACCTACCAACAGCGGATCTCGTATTTAGCTTTCATTTCTGTGCCAGCGTGCATAGCATGGCGTACCTGCTAGACTTACTACGAGTTGGCCTGGATTATACTGTTTTCGCTCTGCAAATTAGGCGGACCACGGTGGAGCAATTTGTCGAGTCTCGAATGGGGGCCAAAATTTCGTGATCTCTATCTCAAATCTGAACAGTGAGTAAATGAGGGACTTGAATCAGACTAGGGCGCAAGCACCTACGTAATTCGCAATTATGTCCACCAGAAGGGCAATCAACTGCCAATCATACACGCCAAATTTGGCATGTTGAAGCAACTCTTTCGTTTTCCGTGTCTATCACCATAACCGCCACCACCGAGGGGGTACACCGTCTTCACTAGCTCCATTTTGGCGCTGACATCGCGATAAGCTTCTCAAGGTTATTGAGCAGCAACGTGCACATTGCGAAGATACCGTACTAGTCTCCGTCCCGATCTGCGTAACGTGCCTCCCATGTCGGATGCAGGGATTGACTAGCAAGATTCCATGTAAGACCAAGGGATTCCTTCATCGGTAGGGTCTAACCCAAGTGCTATCATTCTGTTCCCGTTTGGAGTGAGGTCAGAGAGCATACAGTCGATCAGGGAGTATACGATAGCTGAAAGAAACATTTTCCTGACAAAGGAAGATTCTAATATCTGGTTAGATGGGTTGTTGGTTCCTTAATTATAGTAGTCTATTAGGGCTAACTAATTTTAGTGCCACTATGCAGACTTATCACAGAGATGCCTCTGATATTTCGCTATTTGGTCGCGGTTCCCGGGAAAAGTTCGTGATGAGTATCAAAATGACTTAGCTCCACAGAATTAGGTTTTGATTTGAGCTCTAGATACTAGCCCACACTGTCCATTGTCTAGTGCGAATGTCGTCCCACTTTCGAGGAGAAAGGTACCGGTATCGTCGGATACTAGAGCTGAAAACTCTGGATATCGTGGATTGGTCTCGTATCAGTAAGTTTACTTATCAAGGATAGATGCCACCGTAATCAAGTAGAGCACCAGCCAGGAACTTGGAAATACAAAGTCTATCATAAGATATCCGATAAACCTTCCGTACGGTATCTTGTTGAATATAGCATACAACTGACGTGATGGAGTTCCGCTACTCAGAGTACATTGATCCAACTACCTACGAGACTCATGGTCTCTGCGATGGCATTGACCTCCGCATCCATAAAGACCCCCATGGGGAAATCAGAGGTGCTTTAAGATGCCAGCATGATTGGACCAGACTGGTGGCTCCCGTGAAACAACCATTCTGGGGCACATTGGGTGATCCTTATAGCTTTGTTCGGGTGACTATTCCAGAGACGCTCCCCGAGAGACTTGAGATTTTGTCATACGCGAATGAATTTGCGTTCATATATGACGGTAGATCTCTCTTCTTCAACCAAACCAAAGATCATCAAATTGACATCTCTCGTTTGTGTACTTTCAGATGCCATTACAGAGGACTTAGATCAGAGATTGGTAAGCTTTCAATTAGCAGCAAACTTGAGTTGCTAGATTTATTGAGAATATTGCTAACCGATAAATTTATCAGGACTCGAGTAATCGCCGCGAGATCCTCGATGAGTTTGGATCGAGTAACTTTTCATTACAGCAGCAGAAGGACAGAGCTCACCACAACCAACAAGATGCGGCACTTCGGCGAGAGGGCGTGAAGCAGATTCAAGAACAAATTTTCAAAGAAATGCTTGCTATCGATAAGGAGCGAGCAATCACCACAATGAAAATGTGGCAAAAATTCGTCAAAGTTCAAAGTAGCCGGAAACGTTCGGAGCCATTCTCTGGTTTAGATGAATATTTACCTTATCGGATAAGTGATGCAGGAGAGCTGTAAGGCATTTCTTTCATTATTAGGATCTTCAAGGGTGATTACCAGGGATATTTCAACTAACCATACTCACAACATGAAAGATTCTGGTTTGGCTTAATTACATTCGGTATGGGTCTGACAATTCCGGAGCATGAAATGAGCCTTTGCAAGGAGCTGGATCAACCCGCTTGGGAAGCTCTAGCCCTAACCAACGATCTCTACTCCTGGGAAAAGGAGCGGGACGACGCAGCAAAAGCCGGGGAAGCGCTCGTCGTCAATGCGATTTGGATTTTGATGCAACAATATTCAGTTTCGGAAACCGAAGCTAAGGATCTCTGTCGACAGAAGATCAAGGAGTCTGTTTCCAGGGCAGTTCAGATTGCCGAAAGCACTAGAAACCGGACTGATTTGTCACTGGACTTGCGGCAATACACAGATGCCATTACATACAGTGTCAGTGGAAATCTGGTCTGGAGTATCTATTGCCCACGTTATCATGCAAAACAAGTGGAGAGAAACAATGTCTTTCTATCAGAATATCTTCGAGAGGAGAGTTTCGACCCGCAAGATCAGTTACATCAGCAGCCGCAGATGAGTCAATCGAATCATAATGCACAAGATAATAATCATGCTACGTCTGGGAGCTATAGCCACAACAAGTACACATCGAATAATTCAAGGGCTTCCTCTTCTTTCCAACTGCGGCAGAATTCTGACTTGTTAAACATCGCAGTGGGTAGGAAACAGTCATGATGCATTTCAGCGTTTGTCAGTTTCTCTTATCACCTCAACCAATGTTATCTTTACTCTGGTCATGAATTTCATTTGTTCTATTCTAGCGTCGTCTATAGTACCTAGAAGTAGAATTAGTTGATGTTGCAAGCTCTATTTGCTGTGGAGAAGCTCTAGCAATTAGTAGAAGCAGCAAGCCCAGGGTATAAGCGTCGATCTCATGAATAGTAAATACCTTTACCTTAGCCCTGTCATATATCCCTCTTTGAATTTTTTACGGTGGCAACAAGATGCGGCGCTTTGATTATAGACTGCCCTACAACTAACATGAATTATCTAGTCTACGGATACGTAGCAAGTAAACATGCGCATATGCGGGTGGTATTACGTGCATATCAGCACGGATCCAAGGGAGGTTAGTCTTGAATATAACACACATCTTTTCTGAGCAAGCTCTGAAACTTGACTATTGCACTTGACGAAATGTGCCTTCAGCTAAATGCAATCTCACAAGGGAAAGTTCGGCAATTATCACCCCTGCAAGCTTGGTCGGCAGAATTTGCTTTACAAATTCCCAGATTCCTGCTCTGCAATGAGTGTGTATGGTGCGGGAGTTTTTGTTGGAAACGTCCCACTCCGTAAAGCCATGTTTCAGAGTGGATAGCCAGGATCATTTAAGTGTCAGGCACACTGACCTGCCATCCCGTTTTTGAAACACAGGCGAATGATATGCATTGCTTACTATGCTTAGTATCCCGACAGCTGATCGTCTGATAATCTCGGAAGCCATTCGAGACGCATCGTCGCAAATCAGTAGTCTGATCGGCATGTTGAATGTCACGCACGGCGCCAAGGAGTGTAGCGGAGCCAAATATAAACACCGAGAGCGTACAGAGCACCTAAGAACAGTACTACCCTAAACGTTAACTATGTCTTCAGAAGTTCAGATCAAAGACCTAGCCTTAAAAGATCAATAAGCCCTCGCTGTAGTCACCAATCAACGGCATGGCAAAGATAAGAGGAAGTGGGTCCAATACGTTCAGCTAGAGAAACAACTGCAGATGCCATTGGTTGGATAATCGAACAGGGAGGTGGGACCACATTTCCACAAGGTTGTGGACCGTACCGCTAAGCCCAAAAAACGTCGGGAAATCAAAGCTTCTGTGTGGGTGAAAGAGCGGCTGAAGCCCACATTCATCGCTAAATATATATTAAGCTTCTTTTGCTCCTCATTTTATTGGTCAAAGTGGAATCCCAGTGTAACCTTGGAACGCACGGCATGCCAGTTTGAGCAGGGGTGGAGTCGTACAACTGAGGCACGATTTACCATTGGCCCGGTCCCGAAAGCTGCAGATCAACATGGCTTGGCCCCCATCCTTGGAAATTCATTGATACATACTCTGTACGTACCGTAACTTTGGTAAGCACGGCAAGTTATTTGGGGGCCGAATCAAGGCATTCTCAAGCGAAGAACGAAATTGATCCAAGCCAAGAAAATCATTAGCAGCCAGAATCAGGTCCAACTCTCAGATAGGCTAGGACAACTGCATGTTCCTTAGAGTGCGGACCACACTTCAATTCTTCAGCTTAGGCTGGCTAGACTTTCGAGACTATGTGCCTCGATTTAGATCTCTTACTCGTTGCTGGCCACCATCAGCAAATGATCTAAACCTTTCAACGGATTGATCTTCTGTTGGTCGTCGTACCTTGTGGCATTTTCTGCCAATGTTAAACCTTCTAGGGTTACTTCAGGACCGCAGTGATATTTGATGTGGATATTAGTGATGACCACTGTCGGTACATAGCGTCCCTAGTGCAAAGACTAAAGCTCTTCTCACAAACGTCACCATCAACTTCCAAATTCTATCCTCTCTCTTCATCGTTTATACGCAGTAATGATAGACTGCCGCTCGGTACACAGTAGTTATTCTTAACTACATGCTGGATTGGATGAACCGGAATATTCATAGGCGACAACCCGATATAGAGGTTGTGTGTGTGCGGGGGCGATAGAGAGGAACTCCATATCTTCACGACCAGCAGCCATTGGTAAACCGAATCTCCAGGAGCGGACACCGGTCCCAACTTCTACTTTGTGGAGATATAGCTGTCATCTATCCAGTATCTGTGTTTATTTTCGATACTTATTGCTCATTCTGCCAATCCTTACTGGAAATTCAATCTGTTTTCTTAGTTACGACTTTCCTGTCGAAACCTATTATCACCGATAACTTCAAGCTTCCGACAATTCTATCCGAATGATTTACACCACTCGATCGCTCTAGTCCTCATAATCATACTATAACGGAAACCATGTCGCCGTCCGGTCATCCAGCTGGCGTCAAGCCTCCTCCGCCAGGTCAGACAGCCAACTTTGTCAATCCACCAAATCAAAATACCCCAAATATCTCAATGTACACTATTCTTTTGGTAGTGTGTGCTCTATGTTTAGTAGTTCGCATATACACACGATCAACAATCAACCGCTCGTTTGGATTTGACGATGGTAAGTATCTCTTACCATACCTATGAATATACCAATTCAGTCGAGTATTTTGCTAAATGTGTCGAAAGCCTTTTGTATTACTGGTTTTGTGAGTCCTACTTCCGTGCAATCGATACAACAGCAAAACGATGAGCCTTGAGGGACTTGCAAACTGATTTCAACGAAACACAATTAGGCCTTCTTAGCAACATATGCAGGACTCATGCTGGATTGTACGTATTCAACTTCCGATCAAGAGAATGTGTAACGCTTGCAGCTGACACAGAAACTCCCTTCAGGCGGCAATTACTATGCAGGGCGCCATATTTGGGATATTACAGTTCCTATGCTAATTCATGGGGCAAGGGTATTTCCAACTAAGTTGCTATACGGAGTGGACGCACATGGCTAATACACATCAAATAGCTCGAGGTATGGGCTGAATGGTGTTACCTCGTAGTCTCCGGCACCGTGAAACTATCTTATCTTCTACTCTACATCCGGATATTCGGTCCCTTCCAGCGAGTCACCCCAGTCATGTGGACCGGTGTCGTGTTTGTCTCATTAATCTACGTCGTTTTGCTGATGATGTCGATTCTCGATTGTCAACCTATAAAGCATCATTGGGACAAGACCATTCCCGGACAATGCTTACCTGCAATGGTACTCGCGTATTCGTCCGGGGGATTCAACGTTGCGACTGATCTTTTTGTGCTCATCGTTCCAATGCCGACCGTTTGGTCTATGAACTTGAGCACGGCGAAAAAGATACGGGTGTCTGCTGTCTTTAGCGTGGGTATCATGTAAGTGATTCCTATTTTCTTCTCTGTCCATTACTTACTTGGATTATTAATGGTGGACCATCCCTTTGTTTTATTGAGATAATAAACCAGGCTAACAATTATTGTAGTGTGGTTGCTCTAAGCATAACCCGTCTTGCTAAGACTCCAATTGTTTTTAAATCCACTGACCCTTCATGGGACTTATCCAACTTTGCCATCTATTCGTAAGTCTTCTGGAATCTACCGCTAGAGAAAAAGGCGGGAGAGAATCCATATATAGATCAATACTTACGACAAAACAGGTTTCTCGAACTGAGTTTTGGCTTCATCTGCTGCTGCCTCCTTACTTTCCCTGCTTTCCTTGAGCAGCACGGCACTACCATGGCAACATGGCTAAGATCTCGTACCAACTCTTCAAGAGGAACGTACTCCAAAGGCACGCCATCTCCTCCTGGGTCAGAAAAAGGGGGAAACAGGCCTAAGACTGACGAACACGACCAATATTCCTTTAATTCGTATAATAATGCGGATGCCCGTCTCGCTTTTGCCCCAATACCCGCAGGGCTCACCCAGAATGTGGACATAGAAACAGGCGAACCCCATCATTCGCCCACCTCAAGATTATAACTGAAACATGTCACTATTTAAACACCCCTCTTCCTCTTCGTGCTTCTCCCATCCCGCTCAACTTTCTTATTAGCGCTGTTCGAATTCTTTCTTTACGATCGGAGTTATATCTGCATTGTGTGATGAATTTCGAATTCATGAAAATGATTTCTAGGGTTGGTGGACCTAGTCGCGTGTACATACATTGATGAGACATACACCGACGGAATAATGAAATGATGAATCTTTTGCCTTTTGGTAGTTATATCTCTACTCCCAAGGTTCATGTACGATTCATCTGGATTTTGGTCATACCATTGTATTTTCATTTGTATATTTGGGCAAGATTGTAACAGGCCTTCATCAAAGTAATTTCCAGATGACTATTCAAAAGTGCGCCTATTTCAGTATTCTTTATCTCGGCATGTTCCGCGCAAGTATCTATCTGGGCAATGAGGTGACATTGGCGTACCATCCACAACATGATAAGCCAATCGATTATATATATATGTTATACATAATTTTGACTTTTTAATTAATACTATAGATACCTCACTGCAAATACGTACAATTAAGAGCCGAATCGAGCGGCTATCCTTATCCGGGATGTCCACGTTCTGATCGTACCTGAATCGGGATGACCAATCGGGAACACCCGCAAAATTTACCGATTTAACCCCGCAGCTGTTTTGATAGTGCCTTTTCTTCAACAATTTCATTGACAGAGTTAAATCATCGTCAAGCTCATCCAGACACATTTATCTTTGGCTTCTATGGTCCATTAATTATCTGAGGGGAGGGCAACACAAACCTATACAAAGAGCATAGGAAGAAACAAAAAGTACCTCCAAATCATGCCCCGCCGAAAAGCACTTATCATCGGAATCAACTATTATGGCTCAGAGCATGCATTGAAAGGCTGCATTAATGATGCATATAATATTCGCCAATTCCTTGTCGAAGAACGCGGATTTTCACCCGATCAGCGTGACATGGTTATGCTGACAGACGAACCTAAAAATGAAGGAACACCTTTCTATCCTACGGGGCAGAATTTGATTGCCGCTTTTAAGTGGTTAGTATCATACAATAATCCTGGTGATTCGGTATGGTTATCGTACTCTGGTCATGGTGGTAGGTACGCGGTTGAGAAATTCATTGCACTACCCTTGGTTAACGTTTGTAAACAGGTCAGGTAGCGGACGATTACGGAGACAGAGAATCAGGGTATGAAGGCCCCCGGAAGATCAAGAAACGTTGGTTCATTGTTAACTGATACAGATTTAACGATACAATTTGTCCGGTCGATTTCGAGACAAACGGGCAAATCACCAGCAGTACAGTAAGTTACCCACGAGTACGTGGCTTATAGGATTAAAGAGCGACAGGCGATGATTGCGATATCCCTGCGCATATTGATAGAAGAAAGTGAATGGTGTGCTCATTTACTACACAGTTACATAAACTTATTATCTCACCGATGAACCCATATGCACGACTAACCATTCTCTTCGATTGTTGCCATTCTGGTTCAGCTGTAGAGCTTCCCTATACTTACCGTCCCGATGCTGACGGTAATATCAACCTGGTCAACAATCTTAAAGAGGGTGTGCATCTTGCTATGGAGGCATCCAACCTTCTCCAAGGGGGCTTTAGCATGGACAGACTTGACGATGCACGTTCGTTTGTAGCCGAAGCTGCGACCTTCTTTCACAGTTTGCATCATCAACCAGAGGAAGCTGATGAACAAGGTCTTGTGGATGAGGGCTTTCACGAAAATTGGCGTAATGAGGCCAAAGACGCCTGGATGTTTAGCGGGTGTGCGGATGGTCAGACATCTGCAGATACGAGTATACGAGGACGAGCAACGGGTGCCATGTCTTGGGCTTTCATGAACGTGATGAGGGAGAATCCACAGCAGTCCTATCTCGATGTAAGTCAACAACCCATGGTTAAACGTGGCCTCCTAAAAGGAAGTGGGCTTTCATTGCTCTACTCCTATTTATATCGAACTAAATACTTATATATTGTAGGTCCTGGCCAACACGAGATATCTAATTCAACAGCACTATTCGCAAATTCCTCAGCTATCAGTTGGTGGCGAGTATGACTTGAGTCAACCAGTTTCGGTAAGTACAACTTTTGTTTATCATATATCTGATAAGGAAGATTAATTTAAGAGTGACTAATAATCTTTAGTTCTAAAACGGTGGTTACACTAGCGAAACATCTATGGCAATATGCTAATCCTACCACTGATCACTTGGCTTGGATTAGAGGCTATCTCAAGGGATCGTGGGTATTCACTATCTTTGTCACATTTATATTGTGCATTTGACTAGCCTTGAAATTCTATGGTGCATATATAAGGGTAAATGTGTGCAAGGCTTACTATAGTAAAACCTCAATCCAAGATTCATCTAGACCGTGATAAGTAATATTCTGATCAACGGAGGGTCCGATCATGAGTAGGTGGGCGACCTCCCGTCAACAAGCATGCCAGCCAGCTTGAGAAGGCTCAGGACGTCCCTCTCCGAAGGATTCTGTAGTAGCGTCGTGTTTCATAAAAAAGAAAGACAACCTCGGCCAAGCAGAAATCTGTCTTCACGATCATCCGTGAAATCAGAAAGTCTTTTCCGGTAAGAAGTATGTAGACGCCCTTCATTCGTCTGTATCACGGAAACCTGTCGCCGTGGTCGAGTGACTGTTTATTTTGCCCTCTGCTTTGGCAGGAAGCCAACGCAAACTTCCTCTATAACCAATCGCCAAAAGAATAAGTATGAACCATGCAAAGTAGCCCTTGAATATTTGTTCTTTAATACCAGTGGCAAAAAGACTGGCGAACAGAGCAGGTGCAACGGTCCGAAGATCACTATTCAGTGTCAGGCTGATTGCGTTCACAGTACCCAAAGTCTCCGGAGAAGGTGAGATGTCATTGATGGCTAGTTGACAAGCAGCTGTTGAGGGAATTGACGTGGTTAGCTTCTGGATTACTGCATGTCGACAGCGCAATGATCTACAGATGATGTGCGAGGGGAAAACTTACTAAAAGCCATGGCAACACCACTTCCTCAAGTAGGAATGGTGCGAAAGTCCAGAATGCAGTATCCAGCCCAAGTCGTAGAAGATAGTTGGCTGCGGGAGTTGCAAAAAACCAAACTGGCATACAGAAGCACAGAATCGCATAACAGCACCAGCTCCAATGCGTCGTTGTAGCCTTGGGAAAATTAGGAGTAGCCATATAGCTTGAGAGAGGCCGCCAACTCCAATGAAAATTGAGATTTGGAATTCACTGAAGCCGTAGCCTCCCAATTTGACACTGGTAAAGTAGAAAACCGGCACGACTTGTTGTGGAATTTATCAGCGGCTATTTTTGACTAGATGACGGGAGACGGAAAATGAAAAGTTACTAGCTGTGTATGCGAGAGCGAGAAGCATGGTAAAAGTATATATAAATAAGACTCGCGAGACACCGGGCGATTTCATTATCTCGGTTATCGTCATTACTTTAGGTGGCAACCCGTTAACACCTTTTTTAGGCGTCTTTTTAAGTGTCTGCGAATGGAATCTCGATAAGCTTGCTTTTCCCTTGATAGAGCACATAGTGAACTATTGAATATTACTGACCTCTTTAATGAATAGAGCAGATATTACGCATGCAGTTGCGCCGATTAACCCAGTCGTAAAGGTTGGCAGAGCATAAGGATAGTCCCTGAAGAATTGGATCCTGCCAAAAACTGAAGGGTACTGGTCCGCTGGTCGAGAAAGGGCACCACCTAGCTTGATCAGTAAGAGAGTTTCATCACAGCTCTCTTATGAATGACATACCCATAAAGGGACCTAGAAAAATGCCCAGATTGTTTGAAAATGCGAAGTGGCCGAATGCTCGTGCTTGTGTTCTTGGTGTACTGTTTTCTGAAATAGACGCACGGACAGCACTTTGCTTGGTGTCAGCTTTTTGATAAACACCAAATTATACCAGAAAATATCAACAATTCAGGCTTAGGACGTACACAATAGACCCCGAGAATACTCCTGCAATAGACCGATACATGATCATCTGCCAGATGGATCGACTCGTTCCGAACAATGCACTCGTAACAGATAAACCAGCCATAGAAATGACGCGAACTAGTTTTCTTCCGAATTTGTCGGCGGCACGACCCCAGGGGATCATGTGGAGCATTTGGGTGAAGGAAAGAATAGACTCCTATATTGCTGTCAGTTATGTAGAATAACAAAGGAAGCGAAGCACCTCAAGAGACGATGATTTGCTGGACTTGCAGAAGAGATACGTACAATCAGACCACTATAAAAGCCAACTTCAGACTCATCAATCCCGGCTGCATCTTGAATCATCTGATTGATGAACGGAAAACGGAGAAGAAAGCAATGGGCTCAGTAATACGAGCAAAGCAGAGTAACATAATCTGCGCCATAGGCAGCTTCTCGGACTCCTCAGAATCCGAAGTTTGTGCTTCTACTTCGCCATTTTCAATTTCGTCTACCTTCGAGGTAGTGCCAGGCGCGATAAGAGGGGTAGTTTCATCCGCAACTCCTTTTTGGGGAGCTACGGTTCTATCTCTGATATTTGCCATTATCCACGTGCTTCGAAGGAATGAACAATGGTACTCATGAAGTTCAAAATGTTTGATAGATAGTGAATGGTAGCATTTAGAAAATCAGGTATTCAAGGAAGGATTGTGGTAATGCTCTCTGTGCTAGCTGTAGTAAGTGCTGAGACCAAATGATCAAAGAGTGGAATGGGTGTCATAAGATGTCGCTTCGAAGGTGATAAGCTTGCATATAGTCAGACAGAGGACCAATGGGGATATTTGCAAATAACTGGAAAGGAATTCACGTCTGGGTCCTAACTTCGAAAGACATTTCGACAGCGTTATCGGGGTATAAGTTAGGACTAGCTGAGGCGATTAATAATTTGATATTGATCCACTGGAGACTTAGCCAATCAGCTGTTATTCCGCTCCCATGAGCGTTACATAATTAGGGTCGGGAGCAACCAACCTGATTGGCCGATTGAACCAATATCTCGGAACATTCAAGAGATTTCCCGATTAGTTTTAACAAGATATTAACTATAGTGCTTGATATTGATCTACTACACCTTCATCCAATCTCATTGCATCTCCTGTCTTCTGTAAATCAGGGCTCAGAACGAGGGCCATATCATTGGTTCAGGTCATCGTCTTGATGACCAATCAGAGCATTTCTGGAGACTAAAGCACATCATTGGCTAACGGATTCGTATGGTCCCACTGGTTTCAAAGAGGCTGAGAACGTTCATTGCGTTCGTCAACCTACTCAATTTTGCAACACACAGATGCCTCACATACGTGCGTGATTTGGCGACTCAACAAAAGCTGCTGGAAACCTGAAAGTCTTTGGCGAAGGTTAAGACGTCACCCATGGTTGGAGTGCCAGGAAAGTCTAAAGGATGCAAAACCTGTCGCAAGCGCAAGATAGCTGTACGTGAATTTAAGACCACCTCTACCATGTTTGGCCATTCAATTCCCCTTCTGCTACTGATTCGCAAGGTTTTGCTAATTCTATGCGAAGTGTAATCTACAGCGACCGGTTTGTGGGCAGTGTATTAAATCAAAGCGAACTTGCCTAGGTTATGATAATGCTGTTCGCTTTATCCCTGTTCGGGCGCGGCTGGAAGATGAAAAACTTGTCGTGTCGAGCTCTTTTGATGCACTACATGAGAAGACATCAGAAACTGGTAAAGGATCAGATATCTTGCAGAACGAATTGGTCTCAACAAATGAACGGTTTGTCTCTGCCATATCCAGGCGTCAGGACCATTCCCCATTTCCGGCCTCGGATTTCCTTTGTAGACCAGCAAACCGTGAACAATTACTCGGTGTTTTTATCACCACGTGCATCCAAGCGAGCGCAGGTGATATGAATGGTGCTTCTGAAGGAGGAGGACCGTGGATGTTGCAACTACCTCGGCTGTTTATGCAAACACCTGCTCTACAAGCATCGGTTTCGGCCATAGCAGCTACTGTTCTTGGTAAGCAGCACAACGACCGTGATCTTCTTAACGAGAGTTTGCGGTTCTACACCAGTGGACTTCGTGAGCTTCAAAAATCGCTCTGGAATCCAGATGTCATGTACAACGATGAGATACTTGCTGCCTGTTTATGTCTGGGCTTGTACGAAGCTATGGAGTGCCCTGGGAATGGTAGACAGGCATACTACAATCATTGCGAAGGATGCATGAGACTTGTTGAGGCTCGTGGTGCAGGTCGACATATGTCGGGTGTGGCGCATGAGCTATTTTTAGGACTCCGGGCTCAAGGCGTAAGTTATGATAAAGAAGGATAAAAGCGAGATGGTTGGCCTTCTAACTCCTTATAAATATATAGGCTCTCTTTAGTATGGCGACACATGTTCCAAGCTTCCTGTCAAGCCCTCTGTGGATGACTAGGCCGTGGAAGCGACGCCCAAAACGCGCTATAGATCGGCTAGTAGACTGCATGTGCGAAGCATCATTGATATACCAAGAAAACGATCGTATACAGCACCTTGGGCCGATTGAAAAGCTTGAATCGTGGCTAGAGAGTCTCGCGAAATGCTGGCAAATGGATGCAATACTTGAAGATGTCTATAAAGAATTTGAGACAGACTTCCCACAACCCATGTATTGGCCAGTCTTGTCCAAAGAGCCCAACGCAGCGGATGATCCGATACGTGGAAAGGTATTTCCTGTTGCATATAGGTTCGTTAATATGGCTGTGGCTCGCTCATTTATGTTGTACTGGGCGATCGCACTTCTGGTATGGTCCGGTCTGTCCCTTCTTTATCAGGGAATAGCCAGTCTTGAAATCGACCCCAAAAATGCTCGTTGTTCGAATTTTCCAGATTGCGAAGCTTTTCATGATGATATGTGCCATTGCAAGTATCTACGGTTACAGCCATCGGGGACATACAACTACGATATATCTCATTTCCCATTACTCGGACATAGGGTAGATCCAAAATTCTTGATCAACAACGTTTGTCAGTCCATTGAATACTGCCTCGACTCTGAGATACCCGTGTGGGGAACGTGGTCAGCTGGAACGCCTCTAATACTGATTTATGAGACAGTCAAGTACGTTCCAGGGTTGGAAAGGGAGGTGTTATGGATGGAAGCAACACTACGAAAACTTCAGGGACGTGGGCTGCGACTTCTCAACTACACTACATCATTGAATCAGCCAACAGCTTCACCTTAAATCTATTGCAAGCTCCTGGTCTCAAGATATTTTATATCGATTCAGCCTTCGAATGCCCGTATTCGCATGTTGAATCCCAAAATGATCTAGCGTAGATCCAAGCCGCTGTGCCAAGGCTGTCCGATCTTGTAAGCTAAGCCCGAGCCCGAACGGTGCCCTATACCCGATTCGGATGCAACATGCGAAAAGTGAAGATGTTGGTATGGGAAATGTGCAAGATGTCGCGCTACTCGACAACAGACACAAAACTTTTGTGGGCGGACCGATTCGAAATGATGAGTGTCCGATAGCTATATAAAGCATCTCTTGTCTGGTCGAGGCAAATCTTTTCACCTCAACACTCGATTGTTGATCTGTCTGGTTTCAACTTTAGTGATTCCTATTTATACCGAGTCAAAATGCTCAACGAACATTCAAGACTAAGTATTGCACAGATTGTATTCTACAGCCCAGCTGTACTTGCAGCAATAGCTCTCCTATTCCTCCGGAAGGCAATACGAGCGCTTCCTCTATTCCCGTGGATCGTGCTTCTGATATTCACTCTTGGTATGTTTTTATATCCAATGTCATGAACTGCAGACATATAAGTTGAAATGCTGATGTTTGACCATTTTGAGTATAGTCCGCTTAGTTGGCGGTATAGTTGTGATCCTCTACGAAAATGATCCTTCAAGCACTGGTCTCCTGATCGCTACGTTGATCCTGCTGAATATTGGGGTGTTTCCTTGCATTGCAGCTACGATTGGATTAATCAACATCATGTAAGCGTGATTTGCTGTACGTTACTGCGATTACGTCAAGTCATTAATCTGATCTTTCGGACAAAACGCAGCACCTATGTCGATTTTCGCGAAAACAAAATTCTCACCAAGACCATTGTTTGCTCTCGGTTACTACTTCTTGCGGGTGTTGCTTTACTTGTTACTGGAGGCTCTCTTCAAGGCGATGATAGCCCAGATGACCAGGCAACAGGCACGAAGCTTGTACGAATCGGATACTGTATAGTGACAGTGTTCGTTGCTTGCCTATTTTCTTTCCAGCTATTCTTTTGGTCGCGAAGAAGCCAACTTAGTCGTACAAGCTTTTTTGTAAGTTCACGTGAACTCATTTATCCAATCGCGGTACTGGGACCCTTGACGGCAAGTGCTGATGACACTATGAATCCTCAGGTACTCCGCAGTGCGTCCATAGCGATGCCATTCTTTGTCGTACGCCTAACCTACGCTTTCCTTTCCATATACCACCAAGATCAGACATGGAACTCGTTGACTGGACCTGTTGTGCCATTCATTCTGATGGCGTTGCTGATGGAGTATTGCGTTGTACTTATTTATCTATATACTGGATTCAAGGTCAGGTTTCCGGAGGAACGCGCTCATGAGAGTGCTGACCGCCCAATTGAGTTGAAGTCTTGAACGAGCGGAGCAAAGGAACAGGGGCGGGCTCTGGCCATCCACTTTCCATTGGCTCAGTAGGACTCATTCGGTGGTGACAGCTTGATATAAAATTATTCAGGATTTGTGACGATGCTTTTTCTATCCGAGATTGGTCGAAGCGAAGCGCAGAAATACCATACATATCTAGCACCCCCATGCGGTGTTTTTGGTCCTTGTGGAAGCTAGAAGTGGTAGAATATGAGTAACTTAGGTACTGGTTTTCATGTGTTCCTATTCATCTTCCAAGACAGCTAATATAAAACTTACTGTCTGACTTTCTGGCAGCTTGTTGGTCTGTGATTTGTTTCTCCCACTGGGAAATCCTTGGAAATTGTTGAGTCTTGGTCTTTTGTCATTAACACTGCACTGCACATTCCAAGTTTCCAATATTCACAGTTACAGAGAGTTTCGAAATCGCTGTCACCATTTCACACACTCTTTAATTGACTATTCACCACTGTCAAGGTGTGCTATTTACACCATAGTACCAGCCTAGTTAGCACATTATTCTTACATAGTAGATATATGGCCGATGCTGTGATTTTTGCTGAAAACGTAATTAACAGACTAAGCTTGTTGCTGTTAGACTCTCACTGGAATGAGCAGTGTTATAAATTGTTTCAGAAGAAAACATGAAGTCAGCAATACTCATATAATACAATTCCTAGGGCTGGGACCCCGCACTGAAAGTGGGTCCAACTATAGACACAGGCGATTTCGAAACTCTCTGTACATCTACCCAAGTGTCTTTTGAATTCACCTCTACAATATATATACCTCTCACTGGCCAAGAATGTCGCCTACCAATAATATCGCCTTCACTACCCCCATAAACCCTCCGGGGGTCAGTCCCGTCCTCAAAAAAGAGCAAGTCTGGGCCGGCTTATTACTCAAAATCCGCTGTGCAGAAAAATTCATTCCAAACGCGATTGAATCAACTACAGTCATATCTGAGAGCAAGGATCCTTCCACGGGGAACATTGTCACTGTCCGTGAGGTGGTATTTCGCGAGCAACAAAGAAAGGTCAAAGAGACTGTGACGGCATACAAAGACGCTAGAGTCGACTTTGTGCAACCGGATGGAACATTTATCGGAAATATCATTAGTGAGGGCGCTAGTGGGGAGCTGTATATGACTTATGTCTTTGAATGGCATCATCCGGGAGCACCAGAGGAAGAGCTTCGTGCTTTCTATGTTAAGGAGAAGGGCGTGGCTCAGCACTCGGTTGAAGGTACGGTCGATGTTATTAGGAAGCTGGTCACGGAAGGGAAGTTGTGATTTATAAAGAGATATATCATAATTTGGAGTTACCATTATTACAGGTTCTCGGCGTTTGAAAGGTTGATGAGGAGAATTGTTTTTATATGACGGATATTTACATAGGTGCCTAGAGATGAACACCGCAGCATGGTGTAAAAGTAGCTGGTTGATGGCATGAGCTACCAATACACTCTTCAGAAGTCAAGTTGGTGATGATATTCGATGACCTTATGTCGAGCGTTTGACCCAAATTGCCATGTTTTTCTTCGCATCCCAAAATTCATAGATATTTATCAAAGAACTCGACCGCCTGATTATATCCCCTTTCAACCTCCGCTTTCACGCCTGGGTCGGAAAGGTCCCCACTGGTGACAGAACAAATCCATTAACGTCTAAACCCTTTGAGCTGGGGAAAAGAAACTTACCGTCCACTCATAAACCCATGTATCTGATCGTCGAATCTCTCCAAGAGCTTATACGGCGTGGGGATATTGTCATAGAATCGCTTCATAGTCGGTAAATCTTCATCTTTGGAGAGTATTAATGCCATTGGCACTGAGATATTCCTTGCTTCTTCGGGATCTGCCTTTGAAGGAGACGTCTGAACGGCCACTGCAAAGACACCATCCGAAGATTTCTGACATGCTATAGATGCGAGCTTGCCTCCCCAGCAAAATCCAAATATTCCCAAATTCTGAATGTTAGGGAGAATTGTTTGATGTTGCTTTAGGGCTTCGGCAAACTTGAGTACTCGGGGAACAACCAGTTCAGGCGCAGCTTTGGTTTTGATGAAGTTTCCTAACTTCGCCGCTTGATCGTCGGTAACAGGGGGCACCCAAGCTTTGTCAGCTACGGTGCCGTCAAACCAGTCTGGAATAAGTACGGTGACAGGACCTTTTGACGAGCTCAACAGATTTGCAGCAACAACATCCGCCCCTCGTAAAGTTTGTGGAGAATATCCAAAGATGTCAAAAACCCAGACAATAGCCCGATTAGCTGCCTTGTCACCGACGACGTCTTTCTCAATATAGTCAGTCTAATTTCATGGAATGAATTTATGTATGCACTAAGTACTTACACACTTTTTCGCCAAGGATGTCAAGCCATTCTCCTTGGGCCTGGTAATCTGCGACATTGTGTGGGACTGGTGTCTCACAGCAGGCGTTGGAGTATGTAGAGGCCATCATAATGAAGGTATAGTACGCTTGCTGGTGATATCAGGAGCAGTATATACTACAGAAGGAAAGAGGCAAATTTTTCAGTCAATTCCGCTGGGATAGAATGAGAAACGGACTGAGTGATGGCATGAACCAAGCTTCTATTTATATCCTTCATATCTACGAATCTAATTCGGACTTTGGGAAATCTCCCTAAGCTCCGTATGCCAACGTTGAGTCTCGTACAAGTCTTATTGTAAGCCTACCAAGACTCATACTTCTTAGTACTTGAGCTCTGATTGGCTGATACCTTATAAGCGTCAGATCGAGCCCCATTTCGCATTTTTTCCCTGATTTGATTAAGCGTGGTTATCCTGGCCAATCAAATACAATAGATAAATCGACTTGATTTCTTCAACTTCTTGACGCCTCTTTTCTTGTTTTGCTGATAAACTTACTGCCTCACCGAGAGAGCAAAAGAAACCTGCTGCTATATAGGCGAACCTTGCAAGAAGGCGAAACGATGGTTAGATGTGGCGGAAGAAGCAAAGCATGCGCGTCATGTCGACGCGCCAAAAAGAAGGTCAGTAGATATGGATTGATATTCTTTAAGGCGGAAAAATCACACGTATACGCAAATAAGAGCAAGGAATATGTAACTCGGTATCAAGTGAACTAATTCGGTCGAAGTGCGATGAGGTTTATCCACATTGTGGCCCTTGTATGGCCGCCAATCGACCATGCCCTGGTGCCGTGCAAGGAAATGTCTTTGTCAACACACATATATCTTCAATCATCAGCGCCAAACCTGCTGGACATGTGGGATCCACATTAACGAAAAATAATACTCTGGACCAGGGAGATGTCACTGTAATACTACGCCCATCTGGTCGTAGACCTGCACGACAAAGCCAAAAAGGATCCACCTCTTCAAGGGCCAGAAGGCCAAATGGGTCACATATTCTGTGTGTAACTTTTGCTTTCCATATTTTAACATGAAGCTTGATAATTAATATCCCACCTTCAGTTCTACCACATGGAAAGAGTTCCATAGCGTTCCGTTACACGACATACAGGTCATATCCAACCTAGTGCGATATTACAGCTTTTCAGGGCGAGGGCAAATGCGCAGTGGCCAAGGAAGACAATCGTGGTTGATACAACTTCCTAACCTGCTACAGCAAAATCTATCCATAAGGATGCGTGCTGCTTTACTGGCTCCGTCGTTGATACTTCTAGCTCTTCAATCCAAACAGCACAACGTATTGAAAGAGGCCTTGAAATGGTATGATCGAGGACTTAGCTACATGCGAACAAGATTAAAGAACCTCGACAATATTGTCCCGGACGAGGTGGAAGGCCACTTTTTGATTTGTGCGGCACTCTTCATGTCTATCTATGAGACCCTCCAAACTACTGTTGTTGGTGGATATGAGCAGCATGTTATAGGTGCTGTCACTTTACTGCAAGCTAAGGGGCCTGAGCTGTTTGCGAAGCGTGAATATCACGATTTATTTTTGGCGGTTCGGGGGCACGCTGTATGTCAATTCATCGAGATTGCCTCATAAGGGTGCCTGCCGCCGGTATGAATACTAATCACTTTACAGATTCACGTATCTTTGATAAAGGGCAAACCGACGTGTTTTGCTAATGATGAATGGTTATCCACCCCGTTTACTCAACTACCAAAGTCACTATCCGAGAGGATCAATGATATGCTCCTATTGATACCAAGATATCTCCACGAACTTCAAATTGAGCTGTTCAACACTTTTGATGAGCTTGAACGACACAATGTGAGAAAAGCGTTTATGCACAAGATTGGCTCCGTAAAGCGAGACTTGGACGAAATACGGAGACGTAAGTCTCAGTCTTTGAAACGGGTACGTTCAAGAGAAAGATCCGTGCCAAATAGTGAGGATGACGATAATCCACTTTACCACACCTCATATGAATATACCAGCCCAATACAAGCCAGGATTGTTGCGATGGAGGCTTGTGCCAGAATAATTATTATGAGTATAGAATTATCATCGACTACACGTACTCCTCCTTGGCCATGCTTCTTTCCGATTGAAGACTGGAATAATGAGAATCTTACAATTGAAGTTGAGGGCGCTTCCAGAGACATTATCTTTGCATCACAGTACCTTTCCCGGTTCATGATAGGCTGTGCATATATACGCATGATTCTGCCCTTGCAGGTGGTTGCCCAGATGAGCCCAAATCACGATCAACGGGTGACGGCGAGGAACATTTTGGAATCTTGGTACAAAGAGACGCCCATTAAGGGGTTGACTACACGAGCATTGCAGGCTATTGATGCGCCATCTAACCATCGTCTGGTCTCGGGATCCCTTGATGGTTAATATTTAGCCATATAGAAAGATGTGGTGAGTCTTTGGCTTCCAAGTGCCTCCCCGATTGGAAGTCCCCAAAATACTTTGTAATACTTCTTTACTATCCGGATACACGCATGTGCTTTAGCTGCATTGAGCCTTCGTACTCCATTCCAGAAGTAAAAGCCTCCTCAAGGGCGGCGTGAGCCATCCTTTGATCTATCTCAATTGTATAACCGACCTCGATCACAATTCATCGAGACATGACGACTAGACAAACATTCAGCGATATAAGCAGCTTAATGCTGAATGCAGATAGATCTAAGCAGATCGCCGAGCGACTCTTTATCTGGCCAGGGATAGAGAATACTCGATCGGAGGCGACCGGAGAAAACCTTTGAAACTTGGGCTTCTTCATGTGGGTCTACTTTGTCCTAGTGATGCACCAATAATTATCTAAACTCGTAGGTATTGAGGGTAGAGTCGTATATTCAGTAGTAGAGCTTGACAAGCTTTGCATATGCAGACATATCAAATATACCTCGTTGAGATATAACTAACGTAGTTAACTACTAATTAACTTATCTAAAGTCAATGCAGATCCCGGCCATGATTCACTGCTTCATCGAAATTGATTGATACGTACTGCATACACATATTCTGGGGTTTTGAGAGAAGGAGTGGAACATGTATGCACAACATAGTGCGTACAATGACTAAGTCAAGAATATTGTTAAACATTATAGAAATGCCGAGATTTGGGAACATCAAGCAGCTAACGCGGAAACCGAATCGAACCGCAAGATCTCAAGCCGTGAAGTGTGATCCCAGAGGACCCCGATAGACAAATCCCTGGTACAGGAACGCCGCGGTCCGAATAAACAAAAAGGAAATCCACGGAAAGTCTAAGATATTGCTTGCATCGATTGGCAGGGAACAATGTAACCACTGCTCGTACTTTTATGGTGAACGAATAGCAACAGTGTGTCTTCCTTTGCATTTTCCGGACAGCTGCCTGATTAGGAAATCTCACCAAACTTGTGGAGACTGAAACGGAGAGTAACCCTAAGACGATGATCCTTTTACTCTGAGTTACCTCCGTGCCACGTCTCTGAAACTCAGCCTGAGAAAAGCAATGTTTAGTGTACAGCCACCTGACATCACTGTTTAATGGTGTTATTATTAGATGCCGAGTTAACTAATATTGAGCTGAGATTAACGCTTACCATGCCTGTCTCTCCCAGGCAGCAGGCAGCAGATACGTACAAGCCTTTCGTTGGCAGCGCCCACGAAGCTATCTGTAAGAGTTTCTCCACAAATAATCCCCTCATTTATGGACCCCCTCGGCTTAGCATCTTAGCAGCTTTCCACGGGCCCACAAAGAGAAAATTCGGATACAGTGAATGGACACGTTGAGATCCCGGCTCGCTTCAGTGTCGCATCGTGGCTGATTTCTCGCAGGGCTAAGACACGATGATCGTCCACGCTAGGAAAGGGACAAATATCAGCAGATACAACGTCCATCAGAATCACTGGGCATTCTCCAGCTGTCCTAATTAGACCTCAGCCCCATCCGCATGTCAGGGGTCGGCGATTCCAGACCCCATCTCTTCCATGGGAAGGATTCCCTGGGTTCACACCTGAGCACAGTTTGGGCCAAAGAAATAATTCGTCGTGTTATGAGTGTTGGCCACTATTTCTAACGAGGCATTGCTTCTCAGCCGCCAATGATATGTGGAGGTCCAAAGTTGTGTGTTGAATCTCTTCGATGAGTCCATGTGAAGGCGCAAAATGCATACGTTCCGAGATAATGAAACGCTGCTCTAACTGCCCCCGGAGCAATTTGATGCGTTGTACTCTGATAATGCATGGCCATGAGATATTTCAGTGATACTAAATTAGTCTGATGAAACTAAACAATCAGGTACAATCCGCTAAATCTTCTCACCTACCGTATACAGTAAGTATCGTCTCACAGATAAGATTGTTTCTTCATACGACCATGAACCAGACTCGAAAGTTGGTCTTGATCATGGATTCATTGTTGGTCGATTTCGGGTATAAATAGGACCATCTACCCACATCTGATCCATTATTTCTTATCCAGACATCCAGACATCCAGTCCACTACAGAAAACCATACCTTTTCACTTCCTTCTTCTCTCTCACTCTAGAGATCATCCAAAATGAAGTTCGCTACCACTGCCAGTGCCCTTCTCCTTGCCGGCTCTGCCGTTGCCTCTCCTCTCGCCCAGCGCGTTGCTCGCCGCAACCGAAATGGGGTCAGCCGTCCTAATGCTCGTTTGACTGCCACCAACGAGAAGGATGACAGCCAAAGCACCAACTGGTCCGGTGCTGTCTTGGTTGACAGCGGATTCACCAAGGTCTCCGCCAGTGCTGTTGCTCCTACCCCGTCCATCCCCTCCGGTGGTGATGACAGCACTCAATACTGTGCCAGTGCCTGGGTCGGTATTGATGGTGACACCTGCCAATCTGCTCTCTTGCAGACTGGCTTCGACTTCTGTATCCAGGGAGGTTCCGTTACTTACGATGCCTGGTACGAGTGGATTCCCGACAATGCATATGACTTCTCCGGCATTGATATCTCTGCTGGTGACACCATTGAAATGAGCGTTGAGGCCACCAGCACAACCAGCGGTGTTGCCAAAATCACCAACCAGTCCAACGGTCAATCCGTTTCTCACACTTTCACCTCTAGCGAGGTCCAGAGCTCCCTTTGCCAGACCAATGCTGAGTGGATCGTTGAGGACTTCACTATAATCAGCGGCGGATCCCAGTCTCTTGCTCCTTTCCCTGCATTTGACACTGTCACTTTCACAGATGCCACCGCTACCAAGGGCGGCTCTTCTGTTAGCGTCTCTGGTGCTCAGATCATCGACTTAGTTGATCAGAACAACAATGTTGTTACCACTGCCAGCGCTTCTGGTAACCAGGTTGTCGTTACCTACCAGTAAATTTGATCTCGCATCGGTCAGGAGATGGGCGTGTCAATTCAAAGAATCTATGTGGACTAAAGCTTGGATGGTTATCTAGGAGAATAGGGTTCAATCCCGGAGGAAAATTATATTATTCCCGAAAGTACATACAGTATAATACACCCTTGTAAAACTGTCAACTGTCTTTTTTAGCGCGTATTATCATTCCTTCATGTCTAGTATCTACGTAACCAACAATTCTGTCAGCTTAGTTTTCGGTATGTTCCTACTGAAACCGGAATGACCAACCTTATATGCTGACTTGTTTTGCCATAACTCAGATGCAAGCACCTTGCAGAGTCCAAGCACCCTGAGGCTCCCAGCCACTCTTGGGAGGAACATAGCATCTCAATCCCTCGCAGCAGCTAAGCTGACCTTCGATACAGGCACCACCTTTGGGACTGCATGTAACACTTTCGACTTCCTTGTCGACACCGAGTGCGTCGGTACGGGTGTCAATGACAGCTCCGAGGGCCAATGTGACGAGGAAAAGGGTAGTGAGGTTCGTGAAGAACTGCATTTTTGCTGTTGGTATTGGTGGAGAGGTCGAGGTTTATATCTGTAGATATGTCAGACTTCACCGTTTATGTCTGGATGGAGACGGAGGAAATGTACCCTGATGTATGGTTTTGGGAGAGATGATTGGTATGGAATGTTGATTGATTGTGCTTTGTCGTTGATGAATGAGAAGACGGCAATGGGAGCTTCCTGGTTTTATAGCTTTTCATCTGGCGCAGGATCCTTCTCCTTTTATCTTGATTTTTATCACAGAGATGGCCATAAGGAGCGATATCTCATGATCTTCGGCAGAGTCAACTCATAACTACAAAAAGCAAGGGGGACTTGATATAGCTGCGTATCCTAATTAGAATATGCAGTAAACACATAGAGCTATTTTAATATAGTTTGATATTAAAACATATCTCCAAGAGACTTTTTTGGAGGCTCTACAGAGTCTACTTGGTGATCATTGATCTGCATTTGCATGCAAGTACTCCACTATCTCTTAAAATGTTAGAAGAGCGTCATATCAGAACGAAAGTCAAAGGAAACGAGCATTTTCTAAATAACTTACCCAGGTCTGATTTCTCCTAGCCTTGCAGGTCGCAAAATACGAGAAAGCATAAGATATAGCGATGTTGAAGTTCACCGAGCAAAATGTGAACTTGCATCTGACGTGTTTATTGAAACCCTGTAGTCTATATTGACAGCAGTACTTGATATACAAGTAGTGAACAAACCATAAAAATGCTCTAGAAGCCAGGTACTAGTCCATAGCGAGCAATTTAGATAAATAAAATAGGAGGAACATCAAAGTCAAGTTAGGGAACAGCTCGGATGATTTACCGACGCAAGGGGAGCTCCATATATGCAAAGTTCATAATGATCAGTCGAAAAGCTTCGGATTACATTATATCTTGCAGACTTTTCAGGAGTAATTCTTGCCGAATCGATAAAAGTGATTGATTTGTCATGATATCTTTTCGCTGTGTGACTTTTTTGTTTCGTATCTGAGACCTGCATACTGCAGTGGCATTGCCAAAGGCTTTGTTTACCATGAATTCCATTTTATCATTTCTTCCATTGTAACGAATATGGTATTGATATAGATGCGCTTTTCATTTGTCGAATTTGAAGACCGTCAGCCATCCCCGTTCATCCCCAGTACGTAGCATACTTGCTCCGACCCTCAACGACCTCAACAAATCGCTCCGCGATGATTGAATCCGTTTTCCAGGAAGGGTGAAGATAATTATACCACAGAAAAGATTCTTCATTTGGTAAACGAGAGCACTCCCCACGTGCATCACAGTGTTCAATGAATCCGGTGACATTGGCTGGCGAAGCGAGATATTGCTCAGGGTTGTAGTATATGTCGGAAATCTGGTTGATATGATTAGTACCATTCCTGTGTACACAACACTGGTTCGATAGAGGATGTCTTACAATGCTGTACATATCCATAAGAGCAAATTGAGCACCAGGATACCTGTTTCGAATCAACAACTCGAACGGAAGTTGATATTTGTAGATCTCGTTGACGGTCTTCACGCTCTCCCACATCCTGTACGAGGTCTCTGTGACATTCGGTGTCCCACTTGTGTCTCCATATGTAGCATATACACCGCCATTTTTTGGTGTTGCATAGAGAGGGACAAGTTGTAGCGGAATGACATTCTGAAGTACAAAGTACCGAGCACCATTCGCATAAATCTTATCTAATGCCGTGAATACGCACTCCGTATAATCTGGAAGGGATCTCCCGGGTACTTGAGAATCTGTTAGGAACGCATCTTCACCCAGGTCATTGGTTCCAATCCACATTGAATAAACAGTCCCCCAAGGTGGAATGTCCAGGAACGGAGATCCGTTCGTGACGAATTTGCTATCGGCAACGTAAGCTGGCACTTCATACTCGAGAACCGATGGAAAGTTGCCGTTGATAGAAGGGACATATCGAGGAGAGATCTCATTGGAGCAGACGGCACCATCAACAGCATAGTCGTAGAGATTGACGTTCGCAGAAATGGCAACATAACGGGCCCAAATGTATCCACCGGATGAAGTATTGTTGCTCTTTGAGTTATTAGACTTCTCATCTCACTCATACCCAAAACAAGCATGACCGAGACTAAAGGGAACCTACTATGGGATCGACCCAGCCAACTGGAGGCGCAGAGCCGTTGTGACTGGCAAAATAGCCATATCGACTTTCATCAGTGTAGCTATCTCCAAAGGTAACCAAGCTTTTGAACTTCTTCAGCCTCCATTTCGAACTATTCCCACCGGGATTCGGGAAAGCTGCCGCTGTGAGCTGGCTCAGCAACATTAGCACGTAAACAGACTTCATCGTCGATAAAATTCTGAAGCTTGAACGTCCAGATTTACTGAGGTCGAGCTAAAGAGATCAGTACCAGACGGGACTGACAGAAGTCGCCTTTTAAAGTTGTTGATCAATGCGGAGTAATACGAACGCATCTTGATCCCCGCAGTAAGAGTCTTATATGAACGTCAATCGGGAATCATAATGCAGGAATAATATCTGTGTGCTAATTGGCGTTGGAAAATTGTGTAAAACACCCTATTCTGCACTTAGTGCCACTGGGAGCTGCGATTTAACTTGTGGATAAAGTCAAAGCCATGGATCTGCACTACTCTCCGCATGTGATATAACCGGGAAAGCTTGTTAAGCCAGTTATACAGCAGGCAGGCTGGCTATTCGTTGGCGGATAATTATCTGCATTCAACAGGCTAATATAGACAGAGTCGATTCCGACTTTCCGGGGATACATCCCGCTATGCTTCAAAGGTTAGTACAGTGGAGCCTAGTTATAACGAACAGAATGCCTCTCGGGGCCGAAGTCAATATATCCAGAAGTGACTTCGATTTAGGGATGAAGGGCAACCCTCAATATATTAATCCATTTTACTATTAACAAAACGGATGCTCTTCAGTCCCGTATTAAAGATATCCAAGCTGATATCAGTAGAAATATGGAGTGACTTTTCTTTCGTTATAGCCAGGTTCTACTGTAGTCTCCAATAGAAATGACCATTGAGCCGGACAATTAGCCGTCTAGTGCACATCGTACCTACATTCATGATGCGGTACTGTCTGGAAGCCATGATGACGACTCCAAACTCCAAGCCAGTCATGGCACGAATGCAAATTCATCTTTCTTGCCAATCTTCTCATTTCCTAATCACTGATTTCGACGTCAAGATACATTCTCGACGACTTATACGGCTACATCTCCTTGTCTAATACCTGCTGGTACGGAGACAACTAAGTGGCCCAAGGGACAAGAGATGGGTAAGGTCTTGGGTTATCTAAATATACTCGGTTTACACTTCGCCTAGAAATTAGTGTAGCTTCGATTCTCTAGATGGGTAGCCCATATCACATTCCCCTCGAGATGCGGGCTATACCGCAATGGGAGGATACAAGCGAAGGTCTCTCAAAAACTCTTTCATTCAGGCACACTGTAAAATCCAGGCATCCTACTGATAAAGAAAAGAATGATCAAATGTGCTGCCTGACTATATTAACTGAATTCCATCACTTATTTTTCCATAGACTCGAAACTAATTCCTCGGTACCTTCTCCATCACAGAATTCGCACTTGCAGGTATAATATCTGTCTTCACCAGTTCCGCAACAAATATAATGAGCCAATCCTGACAATTATTTATCTTGACACGACCAGCGGGTGCCTATCTATCGTCAGTCTTGATAAATGCCTAGACTAAATGTTGGTATCACAGGGGTGTGCACACAGGTAAAGTGTAGGCTCGAGGTTGTTGTATTCAGTTGTGTCTTCCTCCAGTCTCCAAAGGAGCTCAGCTACCTAGGTGTAGGTAAACAAAGCCGAGCTAACCAAGCTAGGCTAACTACAGCTGCCGCCTCTAACTCACTTCCTTTTATCCCCCTTTTATCTCCTCCCATATTGAATACTTCGGGAATATGCTATTCCTACACTAAAACAGCCAAGTCGATTAGGATTCATACAGCATCTCTCGATGCAAAATTCAAACTCGGTCCAGGAGCAGGAATACCGAGCGCAATCTCCTCAATTCTATTCCTCGGAATCTTGTCGCACTCCTCTTCCCGTTCCTCGCCATCTTTCAATGCTGTATCATCATCGTCAACTTACCCAAGAATGATGACATGTTTTCGTGTACCGGCTGCCAAGTCATAATTTCTCACAAATTCATGCTCAGAATCTGAATGAACATCTCTGGTGATGTGAATGCGTATACCGAGGCTGGAGGGGTTCAGAATTCAGAGTGACCAGTGGGCTGGGAAGAGGGGTGAATTGTATACAATCAGGTACAATTTGCGTGACATTTCCGGAAGCTTGAAAGAGCGAGTATACGTACATTAACTTAGAAACAATTCATTGGGGTAGAAGAGGACTACATTGTATCCACTGATAACGTGCCCAGGTGGGTTTACCGTAGACATAGCCACTGAGCGGTCCGCGGAATGCAGGTCGATATTCCCCGAGCGCTTAACCCATCATGCAAACATCCAATAAATGCACTTATTTGAAGCTATCCCTCCATATAATCCCTGCTGCTACGCCGCAGTGTTGCACCATTATAACTTGATGCACGAACTCAGCTCAACGATCCGGCGGCGTTTATCCATCAGCCTAGCCGCCAGGGTCTTTCTTTGTCATTGACCTGATCTAACTAACTTGATATGTAGTCTCAACTAAGAAAAGCAAGCCAATACAAGCTACTACAATCCCTGTCCTAGGAATCAGATGTGACACTAAACGCCGTACGGACCGGTCTGTTGGCTGATAAAGCATTAAATTGACCGTGCTTTGAATAGAGTATGTATGACATGGTGACGCGATTTTGGACATACCTGTAGTTGAACCTGAATCAATCAGTGAGAGTTGAAATTTAAATAGCACTGATTTCCCAGATGCTTCTTTTCGTGGACTCGTCGATATAAACATTGCCGGAAATCTCCAGCACTCACACTTACTCTCTACCCGTCAAGTCAATATGTATTTCAAATCTACAACGACATACATCATCTTCCTGTGGTCTCTATTGATCTCAACAGCAGTGGCAGGACAGATGACTCCATGGATCACCTGTCCCTCTGGTGAAACCCCCACACCAACACCACCAGAGGAATACCCTGGAGGTTGCTTTGACTGGCAAGCACACAACTGTGAAGTGTTTAAATATTTGTGCCTAGACAGAGTTTGGCATCTACTTATGAAGTCTGAATGCGCTAGAACTTGTGGATTCTGTAAGCCAGGACAGACGTTGGGCCATGTGTAAGTTGAGTATATTCCAATGATTTACACGGGATGTTATTAACTTGATATCAATGACTTAGGGTACATTCATCGTGACACCATGTGCGATATTCTGGTCAAGAGATTCCTGATATATATGATGGCTAAGGACGATATCGTCAGAATGCATATTTCTGCTACCGGAACTTCACCTTCCTCGAGGGTTCGAAGCTATGGACAGGTTATTTCTGGTATTGTGTATTAATGGATGTGGTGTTGTGCAGATTTCAACGTTGTTACCTGCGTATATTATTCTCTATGTTGTTTCAATTCTCGGGACTCAGGTACATGATCTTGAACTCTCTTGGTTGGTTATAGTTGTCTTTGGGAGGTTTTGGTTTTGAATTTCTTGTCTATGAATTTTTGTAAGCATGTCGCTCTTTTACTTAGGTATAACGGAAAGTGAGCACATCGTTTTCCAAAGTTACTTCAACAGAGCTACAACAGAATGGAACCTCATCTTGTGTTTGCATTGAAATCATAACAATATGCACCTTGCTGTTAGAATTATACAAAATATAGAGTACAGACTATGAAGTCTAGGAAAATATATGCAAATTGTGTACTTACCCAGAGTTAGGACTACGACATTATTGTTACAAAGGAAATTAGGACCTTTTCAGTGGTTATGATTGGTATTTCTGACTCAAAAGTAGTACATACCTAGGTATAAATGATACAGTAATGATAGCTATAGTACAACCTTGGAAGATGAAACCTTCATACCTAGTAGTAACCCTAACACCAACAATGTTCGACATCGTCAACTTCTCCTTTGTTGAGCATGACAATAGCCGATAGTATTCCAAGGTTAGAAACAATTTATTCTATTGGATACTCTTGGAAACAATAAGCTTACCCGTAAAGTTTACGGCACGTTGCTGCAACCAGATCACAGCCTGATGGATGTTTGGACCGGAAGTTATCTCCAAGATCCATTCCGGGCCTCGTTCCGCACCACCATATCCTTGCCAGTGTAGGCGATTCATGCTATGGGCTATACTAGATAACAGTTTAAAAGAATTCCTATTGTGCTGAAGAGGTAAACGTTGAAAATGTTCTATACAGAGAGAGCCATCTATATCTATGGATAAATAAACGCTGATGTCCACTGAAAGTGGAAAGCAAACAGAATTAGGGTATGAAGATAAAACATACAGTATCTACAGTAACGTCATCATGAGACAAGACAACATCGCCTCGGATGACAATCTTAACAATTAAAATTAGAGTATCGACAAGAAACTACTATTGATTTTTCAAACCCTGCTCCATCAAATCGTCACTATCCGTACTCCGCACGCGACTGTGATGCGAACCAAGCCTAGACAAAAACCCACTCCGACCGCCCAAAGAAGATGACAGGCTCGGCCGTCCAGCAGCAGAACCCCTCGACTCCATCGATGCTCGGGGCCGATTCTCAAAGCCCGCAGGAGCAGGGTGCCGCGACGCAGACGAAAGAGACTCCCGTGACGCCGCGGCATCGTCTCGGATCCGCCGCTCCATCGCCTCACGATTGGCGTTGCGAACGACTTCTTCGAGCCGCGAGGGAGTTCGGTCTTCAAAGACGTCTCCCATAAGATCGTTGGTGACTAACGCGCTGTTGCCGAGGGAGAAATCGACGTGGCGGCCGGGACGGGATAGGGATTCTCCGCGTGCACGAGCGGCGGCTGTCATGGAGCCTTTGCGGAGGATAGAATGTTGCGGACGAATTGGTGCGTTGCTGCCGGAAGAGTATGCGGCATTTTCAGGGAAATTGGGTTCATGTTCCTCGAGGATAGTTTCAGATGATGATGATATCGGCTGTTGCTGGTTGGGACCCGGTCTAGTAGAGGCAGCGTAACTGGGTGGTTGTCCGTGGTGATTGACATGGAAGGGGTAGTCGACGTGAGCACCCTGGAGGTTCATGCGAGGTCCTTCGATTCCGATTTCTTGCATAGATAACATTAACATGCAAATAAACTTGTTACGTCTTTGGAGACGAAGACCTTCGTTCTGCCAATTGGACTTGTAGAAAAAAACCACGTTGAGAGTGAGTGAGAAAGCCTCGGTGACTTCTCTCAATTCCGTAAGAATGTTTGGCTGGTATTCGCGTTTCTCCGTACGGACAAACTCTAACAGACGTTGTCGTAGAGCGTCCATTTGTTCCATAGTGGTTCCGTACTTGATAATAACAGGCACAGCTTCGGCAAGACCACCCGAACGACGCTGATTTAGGATGAACAAGGTATTGAGATAGCTGTTCGGGGCTTGTACCACGTGACCCTGCATCTTTTTAAATTCGGTATACAGCAGAGAAATCTCCTTGACAAAGTAGTCGTCTCCCTTCATCATGTCACCTGTGTTACCATAAATAGTGACTCGGTCACCAACATCAAACGGGTGCTTGACAAAGACAAAGATGACGGATTGCAAAAACTCTTGAGCGGTAGCAGAAAACAACCAAGATAGCGCCAGAATAGTCGAACCGGCAGATGTCAACACACCGGCAGCAGAGGTTGAGATCAGGGACAAGAAAACCAACAGTGTGATGACACAAACAATGAAGAAGAGCACCGCATCGAGTCTTGACACGACCGAGTCCAAATCTTTCAACGACGCAGTGATTGACTTTCTTTCGCGACCAATCTCAACACATACGGCCTCCAGTTCTTCCATGGAAATATCTCCATTCATATCCTTGTCGAACATGGTAAAAGCGGCTTCTGCTTCTTCGTTATTATCGAATGCTGATTTCAAATCACCCGAAAAGATAGTCTCGAAGCCGTCACGAACAAAGGTGCGGTACAATCTCCTCGCCAATACCTGACCGCCTTTATTGGTGCTAAGCAAAGCGAGCACCACTTGGTGCGGGTGACTGCTCTTGTTGATCTTCTTGCCAGTAAAGTCGCCGGCAACCGCCCCAGCCATATCTCCAACCTTGTTTAACGTCTTTTTGCCAACTTTGAGGGCCGTCCCAGCAATATTTAGAGGTGTTTTGGCACCGGATTGTGTGCCGCTGGCGCGTTCCTCAAAATCCTCGTCCTTTTCAGAAATTCTTTCGCGAGAGAAGGCGTATAGTTTGGTCAGATTCGAGATTTGAAACTTGTTAATCTCAATTCGATCGGCATATGTCCGAGTGTGGAAGCTGATGGCAATCAACTGAATTATAATCTTCTCAATCAAGTTGAGAATAGCTCCGACAAATATCGAAACGATGACTTTGTTCATCGTGTTTTCCCATTCTTTGACTGATCTATTACCATCAACATGATGGTTGATCATGGTTGGCAGAAAAGACACCTCCACTCCCAACCACCAGAAAAATAGTGTCAAGGGCAACTCTAGTTCCCTCCCCAGATCCCGATATTTCTTGGAGTTATTGGTGAATATGGATGAGACAATTCCGAACACGGGAGGGAAACATTTTGCAGTGATCTGAACACGTTAGTGTTGGAAAGCCGCAGATTGTTAGATGAACATACTCTACCCGCCCAAAGAGTCAGCCAGAAAATTTCCAACCATATGGAAAACCACAGCAGTTGAACACCTCCAACATTGGCGGTCTTGAAAACCAAAGCACCCAGCAATAGTGGAATCAATATAATTAGCGTCAACGGCGTGATGTAGAAAAAGTAACGGACGAGGAAACTCGAGCTGTGAATCCTCTTCAAGGCTCGTGCTATATTGGTATGAGGATCTTCCGGCGCATTGTAGATTGCCGCGGTTTCGTGGAGCGGGTTCGTAGCAATATCAAATTCATCCACCGGTTCCGTCCGCGAGCGAAGTTGACGCAATGACGTGCCTTCGCTATGCTCTTCGCTTCGTTGCGTGCTTGATACTACTCGCTCGGCTTGCAGTACAGCTAGGTCATCATCTAGTCGTAGAGCTTGCTCACGGGTAGCCGACGGAGATGGATCCGTTCTATTGGACGAAGTTACGTTCAAAGTGTCCAGCCTCAGATTATCCCTGCCACGATATTCAGCGTCCTCGTCTTCGAATATATTCTCATTGCCGGGAAAACGAGTTGTGTTGGCTGAATATCTCGGCTCGTCAATTTCGTGTATCGGAGTAGACATTGTGCCGCTGGACGAACAAGGCTGGAATGACCAGAGCGATATTGAATTCTCCGTGCTATGGTGCATGTACAGTGACAGAGAGTAGAGACTGAAAAGTAAACGAATGTGATTGAGGGAGCGTGTGGCAGATTGCGAAAGCGCTCCACGTCGAGATACCTGAGAATTTAGTAACAAAGAAGATAAAAAGAATATACAAGTGAATGGAATATCAAGAATTGAAAGGAAAAACTAGTTGCATACAGGAGGAGAAAGAAGAAGCTGAAGAGGAAGAAAAAGATCACATCTAACTAAATCGAAGAGGCAACGTCAATGCGACGGTCCAGATCGTTTACATAGTAGGATAGAGTCCACAGCTCCACCACAGTGGCCGCTAATCATGATAGGCTTGCGTGTAGGGGTGGCCACTCAGCGAGTCCAGTATCTCTCCAGTGTCCACTGAATCAGTGGCCAGAAGCCACATCCCAGTTGGATCCCGACCGAACCTTCGGATCGACATTGTGTCAAATTCATGAATTGGGTGGATTCGCTGTCAGTCATCTGTAGTTAGTCAAATGTCAATGCATTTCCGTCTTTATCGAGCATATCATGAAGAAATTTTTAAAGAGGAAGAAGGGAAAAAAAAAAAAAAAAACTCCGACGACGGATCCTCTTGGCACTGCGTCATCATGCCTGAGGCAGAAACAGCCAATCACGTGGCGGTTATTTTGATACTCTCCTTTTTGATTTATCACTTGAAAAGTTGAAATGCTTTCGAGTCTCGATCTTTCTCTGTTTCAGACCTTGTATCTATATCACTCACTGCTATTCCGTGCGGCGCTATGAATAGATACACGTCCCCTCAGCCACACCTAAAATTTTCCTCGCCGGCAAAGTTACACTTACTTTTCTCCTTTTTCGTTTCTTCTCTCTGATCGCCTTGTTTCGTTCTTCCGTCGACTTCCGGTCCACTTTCTTGCATCTCTAGTTTGGATATATGACGTCGTTGTCGTCGTATGTACCTCGGAGAATCGCACAATATGTACTTTTACGGACTTGGCGGAGTACTAGGGACTGGAAAGCTGGAGTCGATAGGTTCGATCGTGGTTCAAGAGATCAATAGATCAAACCCCGCACTGAGTTGCCCCTATTTATGCAAATATAGATTGCTACGGAGTACTATCAGCCGTGTCCAACGCTTATCATACTCTTCGACTTATGCATGCGATGCGGATTGAGATGACTAGGTATAAGTCATTTCCCAATCCGCAGTCTTGATATGCGAGATCGACGTTGGATTTATTATTGCTCCACTAGAACTGAAACATGTAGAGTTAAGATGACTCTTGACCGTCAGAAAGACTCATTTTATACGTGGCTGTGGCCGCTCGGGCATTCTCTGCAGATCCGAGGTAGGCTATCAGGGTTAGGGTATGAACATTCGACAGGGTCAAGATGCCCCGTTCTCCTCACGTTCCCAAGCAAAATCATCTTTTCCTCTTCATCTTCCCAAAAATTCTCCGTCTCAATTTTCTTTATATCTGCCAAGCTCAAAACTGCGCCTTCAGACGTACAGGGGTAGTCACTTCCATAAAAGAGTCGATCTGTTTTGACGTATAATAACAGCTCGTGTAGCTTATCTGGGAATGGCAACCCGGCAAGATCAAAATAGAATTGTCGGGCAAATGTTTCTTTCATGGACTATGATGTTGGATTTTAGTCTGGCCCTAAGCACCGGCTGAATAGATGTGATGTTTGGACAGCGTGGGACGGTCCCTGAGGTAAAGAGGTTGATGACTGCTCGAGCCGTTTCAAATAGAAACTCTACTGGATTAGGAAATTGAGTTAATGTGGTCGCTGCAATGGCTTCGGTGCCATCGCGTCCACGAACAATCCATGGAGTGGTTGGATGAATAAAGACTTTTCCATGTCGTTTATTGAACTCCTCAAAAATATGGTCACTCTCTCATCACAGACGTATACTCCATGATGATTAGTCTCGATAGCAATACCGTTGGCATTAATTTGATCCTATGCGTGTACTATCTCCTCCAAACTCTCGAAGGGGCAAATCTGTTTTATATGACTGAGAATATTTCTGACACTAAGTTCATCCTGCGACTAACAGAAGCAAATAGAGCTCATCCACTGAACAATCTCTCGGTATTATCTGACTTCACACCCATCTCACCATGGCCAACTCAGAAGAATACAAAACTACGAATGTGGTAATCTGTGGATGCGGCCTAGCTGGTGCAATGCTCTCTGCGTATCTGGGTCAAACGTCTATCAAAAATGTTGTGGTAAAAAATAAGCCCGATATAACTACGGACCCGCGAGGCATTGCCCTAGATGAAGACGGAATTCGGCTATTGCAAGGTTTGGGTATTTACGAAGGCATTTGCTCGGAGATTGGAACAAGAATAAATTTATTATATTATAGAGAGGGCTAGGATTGCTGACACAATACAAAGACATGGGTTTATTCAAGTTTATTGATGGCATAGCGCTAGATCTGAGCAGGAAGCCGTTTTTCGAGATGGACTATAATACAGTGAGATAGTTCCTCATTCCTCTGGATTCTGATCATATGAGCCCGAGTATGACTCTTACTTGAGCAGAGAGTGGGTGACACGGCTCACGTCGGATTTATCTGTCACGACCAGCCGGTACTGGAAAGATACTTGTGCAACAAGATGGCAGCGAACGGACATAGTGACCTTCGCTCTGGTTGTACCGTAATATTGCTCACCCGACCTAGCTTTTTAGTCTCGAGAACGATGTGCAGTATCCGGAGGATTGTATCAAGGCCTTGAGATCCCGGCCTTTCAAATTTTCGGCTAGAAGCTGCAACAAATGGTCTGGTGGCCGCGTTGTTCTCTGTGGAGATGCTCACGTATTCCCACCGTGTGAGCATGGCCCTCAATCTAAAGGAGATATTTATTAATGTGCGCAATACTAGTTGCCGGACAGGGGATTGCTTCTGGACGCCTCTGCAAGCATCTATCCAAGGATTGACACTTCCTCATGAAAAGTTTCTCGCTGCCTGGTATCTGGAACGTAAACAACAATTCAAGAAATCATTAGCACTCACAATCCGGAATGCCAAAGTCGTTACCGAAAGTAACCCAATCAAAACCCTCTTTCGCAATTGGACACTGTGGTTCATGCAATTGAATCCCTCATGGCACCATCAGCTGCGTCAGGGTCCACGCGCGCCGAGAGGGTCTGATTCGATATCAACACTCTGAAGGGATGCTGTTCATACCGTCATTGAATGGGGGCATGTGTGTTCCTCAGGTGTATTGCAAATCCATCACACTGGGAAAGGTGTATTTCACCGACGACGTGATATTTGGCCAGAAGAAAGAATTGTTCCAGTTTCTTATCTATTTGACAGAGCCGGTGGACATAGCCATCGTGAGCAAAGGACATCTCTGACATCGAGACATTGTCGCAGGGACACATTTGTGAAACTGGTATTACATGCATAACTGAATGCGATCCGCATACACTGAGCGAGTCTGTTCAAAATAGGCCCTTATTCCTAACATATACCATCGCCACAGCAGAGGATTTCGCAAAATCGGACCTATGCAGCGGACGTCCGGAACCTCGATACTATGATCTGTATCGTTTAGCAAGAGAGTTAAAGTGAAAGAGATACATACCATTTTTCGCCCTGATCGGTTTGTATTTGCATCGTGTTCTACAAGAGACGATCTTGTGAAGGCCGTTGGGCCTCTCGTAGGTATCTAAATGGCGGCACATTGGAAACACAATCATAGTTGTACAATTGATCTCACTTGAAAGTCGCAACTTAAGCATGAATAATATTTCTTCCAGTCAGTAACCCTGGCATTAATTCAGCTATTGAACAATTCGGTGATAGGGGATTCGTGGTCTCGGTCCCCATGTAACTAGGTAACCACGCCAATGATGATGAGATTCTTACTTCACTTGGGATATCTCGATAAGTTAAGCGTATCGGCACGGATTGATCCCAACAGTGTCGATTCATGGCTCGCACCTTTGCTTATTATGCGGCTTACTGGCATAGTGTAGACTATAGCAAGGCAACCAATTTGAGAAGTTCTTAGGTAGATATTTCTGTCAAAGCGTGATTTAATGTTCATCCGCACTTGTCCGTTTGCTCTTGTATGTTGTATCCCAATACAAAACTTTTCCTATATTGACTACCTGGGTAGGGTTAGGGCTGAAGTTAGAGTAAGAAACGTCGTACACTGAGGTGAAAGAGGTTACCTAACACAATCATAAGATCGTGAGCTTTAGGCGACAACTCGACATGATTTCTATATACCTCCCATCCCGAGCCCATATAGAGCGTCGCAATAACGCCAATTTGACTGGCCCTGACCGATAACACTAGATAACCCTAGTCCTATGTTTGTTTGCCGAGGATACTTCAGTCTAGTTTAATATCAAGTTTTGCCTAATGAAATACTCAAGCTCTTCCAAAATGGCTCCCGAATATCACATAAGACATAGCCGTTGCATTGAGAACCAGCATACCTACTACGTACCTGGGTACTTCGGGATTAGGGCAAGCCCATGGGAAGACTCATTATGATTAATCCCGGTCCTTGGCACAACATGCGCACAGACAACGCCTCAAATCGATCGAACTGAGCGTGACATATTCGCGCACGTTGATTGGTTAGGCTTGAATAACCCTAAATCAACGTCAAGGTACGGAGTACAAAAAGAAAATTTACATCTCGTAAACTTTTCTTTTCTCTTCATCTTCCTCGTATGTCGCAGGTTACAGTGACAAGATGATGCACGCGACACCAATTACCCAGAATCTGTCGGCTCTGAAGTCGCTGATCCGCCGTCACCGTTCGAGACGGAGTGCGAGGATCGAGACTGGTGGCAAGGAATCTCTGCTTGCTCATCTTGTAGATGTCTTTCTTCGTACTTGGGACCTCGGTTTTACTGCTTTTGGAGGTCCACCTGTGCATTTCGGTATCTTCCATCGACGGTTCGTTGAAGGTTCCGATGGTGAGAAATGGGTAGATGAACAAACCGTGAGCTTCTCGTCGTGAGATATTCGTAGACTTCGAAGAATTAACTGAGTGTGCTGTTAGTACCAAGAATTGTTTGCAATATGCCAGGCTCTTCCAGGCCCTGGAAGCACGAAGATGCTATTCTGTCTGGCATTGTTGCATTCCGGCTTCATTCCTGCAATTGTGGTATTTCTCATATGGAGGTAAGGACCTCATGACAAGATGACAGGAAGATGGAATAGCGCTGACTCAATTCTAGTCTCCCCGGAGCTATTGGAATGTATGCATTATCCCTCGGTGTGCAGCACATCGGCGACACGCTCCCATCCCCGGTTTATGGACTTCTAACTGGCATGAATGCATCCACTGTCGGAATCATTGCTCTCGCGGCAGTCCAGTTAGCAGGCAAAGCCATCAAGGATAAATTCTCTCGTATTCTTGTGGTTTTTGGCGCTTGTGCTGGCATGTGCTATAGTGCCCTATGGTACTTTCCAGTTCTCATGGTGATTGGAGGTGTTGCAGCGGTCGTTTGGTATGGATGGATGATGCAGAGTATCCGAAAGCTGAAATCAAAGCTTAAGCGGCGAAAGTCAAATCCTGAGTCTCAAGTTGAAGAAGCAGCTGTTGAGAACACTGTCGCTTTAGAAGGAAGAGTCGAGTCAAGTGATACTACTATTGTGCAAAGAAGGAATGTGGCTTCCTCATCCACACCAATTCCAGATTCGAAGTCACCGCAGCAATCACCTCCGGCGCAGGAGCAATTACACCAGGAGCATGCTATCAAAGTTCGAGTGGGAATCGCTATTACAGTGACATTCTTCGGTAGGTAGTTCAAAGCATAAACTGGTGGTAATTTGTGTTAACAAGCTATAGCCTCTTTCATTGGCGTCATGGTCGGCCGCGGTGTCAAAGCTGCACCAGATATCACTCTCGACCTCTTTGCTAACATGTATCTCGCTGGTACCATCATATTCGGCGGAGGGCCAGTCGTGATTCCCCTCCTTCGCTCCTACGTCGTTGGTCCCGGCTGGGTTTCTGGTCGAGACTTTCTCATTGGTCTTGCAATTATCCAAGCCTGGCCTGGACCAAATTTCAATTTTGCTGTGTACCTTGGAGCACTTGCACTACGCGCTTCCCGATATCCAACCGTTCTCGGTGCTATCTTGGGATTTCTTGGTATTTTCATTCCTGGAATTACGCTGGCAGTCGCTGTGCAAAGCTTTTGGCGAGTCCTGCGTAAGAATAAATGGGTTGTTGATTTGTTGCATGGACTGAATGCCACCGCTGTTGGTTTGGTGTTCACGGCTGTTTATCGCTTGTGGAATATTGGATATCTTACCCCAGAGGCTACGAGTGGCCAGTCTCTCGCTTTGGATCCTTGGTGGGTGGTGGTAGCTACAGTAACGTACACCGAAAGTGCCTGGTTTGGTGTGCCGCCGGCTGCAGCTATTGTTATTGGTGCTGTTTTGGGTCTCTGTTGGTATGGAGTTGTGAGTACATAAGGTACACTGTCTGATTTTGTCCTGTTGCTCCAGTCTTTCTGGGCTATGGCGAGTCCTGACATCGTGGTAGCGTCCGTATCTTGTATTATAGTGATAACAAAGATAACCAACATATCGGGCGAACCGCTTAGGCGCTACTCCTCTCAAAATGGTCAAGAATCAAAAGCTATCTCTGTGCTGGTCAAGAGTAACAGGACATAATCAAAAAGAGAAAGAGAATTCGGAGCCTGAGGCCGCCAGATGGTATTTGAGGCCTCAGGGGAAGCATTATTATTGATCTGATTGGTCAGTGTGATATCCACTTTCCAAAACAGCACTAGTGCGACAAGCTTCTTCTACGTCCGCTCTGATTGGCTGCGCAGAGCTCATCCTAGTCTGTTTAGTCGATCGCCCCGGCACGGGCTCTCTTTCCTCCAATTCAGCGACTCCACGACGAAGTCGACACTCCAATTTCTTCTCTTTTCTGTCTTCTGTTGCTGTTACAGGTCGCCCTTTGTCCTCGCTTCATCTTTGCAGCTTCATATATCTCCAATCAGTCACAATGCGTGGTGAGGTAAGTCTGCAACTTTGAGTTGCGAGCCCTTGTTTACTCCCCCACTATGCCCCGTTCCCCTGAACCGTCCAAATAATGAGGACGGAGTCAGGCAATACACACTGCAGGGCCACGACCACGAGTGGTGTTGATACTTTATCCATATTTTATGTTTCTTGGGAGAATTCAATTAACTTGCGATACTCTAGATTTGCCATCTTCACATCGGCCAGGCTGGTACTCAGCTCGGTAACAGTGCTTGGGAGCTGTACGTCCTCACCGCCATTCTTACCTTCAGTCACACCATCGACAACTCGGATTGTTAAGCGAAATCTAATAACAATGCCATACATACAGTTACCTTCTTGAGCACGGCCTCAAGCCCGATGGAAGAATCGATCCCGAGGCCGCTGAAAATGTTGGCGATGCCGGTTCTTATGAGACTTTCTTCACGGAGACCAGCGGCGGCAAATATGTCCCTCGCTCCATCTTTGTGGACTTGGACCCATCTGTACGTTATGCTCGAGTCGAGTCTATGCTTGGCGATATGAATTGGTGATTAATTTTTACAGCCCATTGATGAGATCCGCACCGGTGATTACCGTTCGCTTTTCCACCCTGAGATGTTGATCAGCGGCAAGGAGGATGCTGCCAACAACTGTACGTCTGATATGGATGGTCGGTAGGGGAAGGATATTAATGTGTTATAGATGCTCGTGGCCACTACACCATTGGAAAGGAGTTGGTCGACAATGTTATTGACCGTATTCGCCGTGTTACCGGTTCGTCTCATACAAGCTCTAATTCGGAGGAATAATAGCTCACACATCGCAGACAACTGCTCTTCCCTCCAAGGCTTCCTGATCTTCCACTCTTTCGGCGGTGGCACTGGATCTGGTTTCGGTGCTCTTTTGCTCGAGCGCCTTGCTACTGACTACGCCAAGAAGTGCAAACTCGAATTCTCCGTTTACCCATCCCCTCGTGTCTCAACCGCCGTTGTTGAGCCTTACAACGCCGTTCTCTCCACCCACAGTACCATCGAAAACTCCGACTGCACCTTCTTAGTCGACAATGAAGCAGTTTACGACATTTGCCGTCGTAACTTGGACATCCCCCGTCCCAGCTATGAGCACTTGAACCGCCTGATCGCTCAGGTCGTCAGCTCCATCACCTCCTCTCTTCGCTTCGACGGCGCCCTTAACGTTGATTTGAACGAGTTCCAAACTAACTTGGTCCCTTTCCCACGTATCCACTACCCTCTTATCTCCTATGCTCCTGTCGTCTCTGCCAACCGCAGCTCTCACGAGAGCTTCAAGGTCAGTGACCTCACCTTCCAGTGCTTCGAGCCCAACAATCAGATGGTCGTCTGTGACCCCCGTAACGGCAAGTACATGGCTGTTGCGCTCCTCTACCGTGGCGATGTTGTCCCTCGTGACTGCACTGCTGCCATTGCCTCCGTCAAGGCTAAGGCTTCCTTCAACCTGGTTGAATGGTGCCCCACTGGCTTCAAGCTCGGAATCAACTACCAAAAGCCCCAGCGCGTTCCTGGTGGCGAGTTGGCCCCTGTCGACCGCTCCGTCAGCATGTTGTCCAATACTACCGCCATTGCCGAGGCCTGGAACCGTCTCGACCACAAGTTTGACCTCATGTACTCCAAGCGTGCTTTCGTTCATTGGTACGTTGGTGAGGGTATGGAGGAAGGTGAATTCTCTGAGGCCCGTGAGGACTTGGCTGCCCTCGAGAAGGACTACGAGGAGGTTGCCAGCGACGGTCTTGAGGAGGACGTTGAAGGTGACGCCGAGTACTAAACAAAAAGGACTGACTACCAAGAATTTCGTCCTTTCTTACCTTTTTTGTCAGATAACTTTATTCTTGCACCGCGTCTGTCTGTTTTTGGAACAAACAGAAAATGGTGCTGCACATATCCCCCTTTTGTTATAACGAGTTTCGTTTCTTGAGACCAATTACAGTCTTTATTAGCGTGAAATCTTTTCGATCATTGGAGACGAATAATTCCATGACAAGAAAGTATTGATTCCCAGATCCACAATTCATTCTTTTATTCAAAACCCATCCAGAAACAGTAAACATAAATTTGGTTGATGTTGTACAAGTACCCAACACCCCCGGCCCGTAACGCCCTCTACCCCAATACAAGTCTATCCCACCTCGTGTGTATGATCGAAAGAAATCTAACCGACTCAAGGAATGAGTAGATTACCGATCTACTCATTCTCCCGCATAATATTCAAAACCCTTTCATACGTCCACATCGTCACTGCACTCGCCGGCGCAGCCTTAACAAGACTAACCGTCAACCCACGATATAGACCACGTACCCCCTGCGTCTGGATAATAGTCACAATCGTCCCTGTAACACCATTGTATTCCGGAATATTATTATGCACATATCTCGACCGATGCGGTCCCTGGACTTGTAATCTCTTTCGCACGAGATCGAGTGGGAAAACGCCGGTTTTAGCAATTACGCTTGCTAATACTCCAGCAGCGGCATCGCTAGATCCGAAAGGTAAGAGAGTCGATAGTTCTCCCAGTGGTAGTCGGAGTGTTTCGTATGTAGCGAAGAATAAGCCCATATAAGGAACGATCTGAGCGACGGCGGCTGAGCAGCCCCTGAAAAAGCCGCGCGGTCCTTCGGTGCGATTTATATCACGAATTGAATCGAGGATGGAGGTGTATATCTTCTCGTTTCCCTGCGCGGCGAATCGGGTACGAAGTAAATCGAGTGGGTATGTGGATGCTGTTGCAATACCGCCAGCGACCGCGCCAGAGACGAAAGATTCCGCGGTTGATGGTAACCGGCGTGGTAGCTCTTCGAGTATTTGGGTTGTTGTTCGGTAGGTTACGAATTGGAGGCCGCCGTAACAGACGTATAGTAATTCGGCGGAGATGTTGCCTTTCCACAAGCCCTACAACTATTAACGTCGTAATTCGAGGATACTGTAAGAAATAACATACAGCTATCCCTTCTTCCCTAACGATGGCTTGCATCGTCCGAAGCGTCCCTTTGTATATCGGCCCCTTGATTCCATGATGCGAAACGGGGTCGGAGAGGGAATGAATTTGAAGCTGAAGACGGATTTTGACAACATCGAGAGGCGCGACGCAGAACCTACAACGAGTATCATTAACATTGTGTGGAACAGGTTTACGAGGCGAGAGGCGTACCTTGAAACTAGCCCTGCTATACCTCCGGCGATGACGACTTGCGTCCTTGTGCCTTCATCCTTGAGTCGCTCGCCGCCGGGAGACATACATTCAGATTGTTGGGGACGAGCGGTCTGGGGCCACTTTAACTTTTGGGAGAGCGATTGTTGGGGAGTATAAGGATGTTATAAGTCGTGTGGGAAAGTGATAAGAAAGTGAGATATTTTCTTGTTTAACTCCGTCAATAATTACGTAGCTGTTGGCCAATCAGCGTCTGTTTCGCCATAAGTTGTTCTCCTTCCCGTTTGGGAAGTTTGCCCTAGATTCAACGACAATCTCGCGACAAAAAAGACTTTTACTATAAAAACACCGAGCATCGGCTCGTGAACATATTTGTAGTGTGTGTAAAAGTGACGGAGGCATGCATTGAATAGGCGCCAAGATGTCACTAGGTGAGGTAGTTGCCGTAAGTATTTGCCCCTAATTGATGTCTGACTCAGGAAACATTTGGGTATTGCCAGGCAGATTATCGTCTCAACAAGCATTTTATCATTCATTACCATTTCCTTCGTTCCTGCCCGCAGAATTGTTTACAAAATGTATATTGTTTATTATGTTTTGATAACATCTGCTGTCCTATCTGGAAGCTTTATGATGTCCCAGGTGCAGCTTATAACCCGCCCATCCTGTCATGCACCTAGTCATACTGGAAATCAATCCTCTTTTTACTACATTCACATTTGCTGTCCTCGAGCCCATACTTGCCACTTAGTCTAATCTTGCCCTACGACAAGACACCTTTTAACAGTACCGACGCTCAAGTATCAAGAATGTCAACCAATTCGCATATCCAGGATGGTCGTGCATGTGAGGGCCCAATCAATATCATATTGGTAGGGCTCTCCATGGATAAGATCCATGAAAATTTAGCATATCCATATCCATATTCGTTAAATTTTAAGAGCACGGATATATCCGCGGATATTATCCATGAAAGAAATCCAATATTCATATTCATATCCATGATATCCATGGATATGTGTATAGTTTTATTTACAAAGAGAATCTTTCAGTATAAAAAGCTTCCTCATGGTTCCACTGCTCAAAGACCACCTCCGTAATCCAAGAAGATCCCGTCCAGTGTTGAATAGTCTCTCAATATCAACCTCTGCTGCTGGAACAGGTAAGTAATCCTGTGCAGCCGCTGCCATGCGTGGATATTTATCTATATAACCTCTCCACCATGTGTAAATCCAATCTCTCTTCTTCTTGTCAAATTCCACAACATCAGAGTTAAGATATTGTGCAATGTCGGAGGGCTTTTCTACAGATTTTTATGACTTTGCCTTGATCTTACTTATTATATCTGATACTATGGTCTTATGTGAATTTTGCAACGTGGCTAATGGTCCTGGTTCTTCTAATGCTGTAAAAAGTTCGGGCTTATGAGTTATAGGATATTAGGTCTCAAGCTACTCTTGCATAGCAGTAATAATATCCTAAGCTCTATCCTGTAACTCATGCTTAAGAACAAGTTTCTTAAATTAAGGATCCAAGAGCATTATAATATAGAGAATATCGCATGAATCATCCATAAGAGTATAGTACTTGTCGTATTTCCTCATGGAGCTCTTAGCTGCATTAGCGATATCTGCGTCAAAGTCCTTGAACTTTCCCTCCCTATCCTGAACTTCTTGAAGAAGATTGAAGAGTTGATAGTAGATAGCCAAAGATTGACTGATTTGTGGAATATCAGTAGAGAGCTCCAGTGTATATCTATCAAACTCTGCAAGGACTATCTGGATTTGTCCAAGCTGATTCCAGTCTTGGTCAGTAAAAGGAGGTAAGATATGATTCATCTTAAGATATTCCTGAATCTGAGGAGCGGCCTATTCAACGTTAGATGTATTCTTTTGTTCAAGGATTATTAAGACTCATACATTCCAAGCATCATTAAGTATGCAATAAGAGGAATTCCAGCGAGTAGTAACATTATACTGAATAAGTTTCGAATCCATCCCTTTTATCTGGCATAGATTCTGCCACTCTTTCTTTCGCTCTATGCTTGAAGTAATATATAAACTCAGAATGCGTATGCGAGAGAAAGCACTTTATGATTGTGCAAGAGATAGATTATTCTCCAAATCTTTAATAATCTGAAAGTCTCCTGTAATATCGCTAGCTTTCAAAACAGTAAGAAATTCCTTAACAATCAGATTTAGAATATGTGCAAGACAACGAATAAAGCTATCTTCTCCTTGATATCTCATTGTTTGCTGAGTATTGCCTTGTTCATAATTGGCTTTGAGCAAATCATGGAGAATTTCAGCCATTACTAAATTATTGCTTGCGTTATCGCTAGTAATGGAAATAAGCTTAGCTTTAATGTCTAGTTCGCATAGAACCTTATAGATAATAGACGCTAGATTCTCACTAGTATCAGGGCCTTCTATCTCTTGGAAGTCAAGAATTCTATGCTGAGGCTGAAAGTCTGCTGTAATCTAATAACCAATAATTGCAAAGATCTTGTAGCCATTTGCACTCTTCCATCCATCAAGAGAGTGTGCAATAGTACTGCAATTCTCTATTTTTCCAAGCTCATTCTTTAGTTATATCCGAGCCTTAGCAAATTCTTCGTCAACATGACAGGAAAATGAATTCAAAGATCCATATTTGCAAGAAAATCCTAGGAGATCACTCCAGATTTTCCTGAAAAGAGGGTCATCAAATGTTGAAAATGGCTGCATTGTTCCGATAGCCCAGTTGAAAATATTTTAATCGAGAAGTTCTTGAGGAGATTGTAAAGGTTGAGCTCTAATATAGGAAAGCATTGAACTTTGATATCTTAGCATATATATATATATATATAATAAATACCAGTAAAAATAGTCACCTAAAGAAGTGTCACTATCTTTATAGATACCATGCTTCTGCCCTAAATGCTTCTGCAAGTTGCTAGTTGAACCCTTAGTAACTGATTTAACAGTAGTCCATTCCTCTAGAGCTGTACAATGTAGATAAGAATACTGTATGTCTGCTTTTATCTTTCCAGTCTGTTTATCAAAGAAAGTCTTTCCTTGTAGTAAAGTTTGTTGAAAATGGGTATAGACCTATGAAGTTTCTTTTCGCTATCTCTTTAGCTTTGGAGACTCGAGAAAAGGATTAATTAGGGCAGATGACTGAATTTGTGAAGCTGAATCATTCGGAGTAAGAGAACTACTTTGTGATGTAGCATATTCAAGAGTACCAAGGCTTTCGATAGACTGACTTTCAATCTGATCTTCAAGACCAGCTTTGTTATTGCTACTACCATTTACAAGCTTCCAAAAGCCTGATTGGCGCGTATTCTCTTGATGGGGGCGAATAAATCTGTCCATTATGCCGGTAGGTTTTGAAGCTGAAGAAGCAGCCTAGAAGTTTTTCTCATGAAATCATGTCTCGGAGCGGAATAATAATTTTCCTGTTACACGTGACTCTATCCATGTGTTGGATATTTGATACGCTAATCCCAATTCGGATGTACTTACTAATCTTTGAATCCTCGGAAAAGCAACATATCCGCGAGAACAAGAGCGCCAACAAAGCAGACTACATTTTGGAGTCAGGATTGTTATTTATTCCGTAAATCCGTGATATTTCGCCACTACGTTTTGTATATAAAGAGGATCAGGATGTGTATCTAGAGGGGATTTTAGAGGACGTGCAAATCAGAGTCAATTATTCCTCACCCAAATTGTACGCTCCTATCACAGCCTAACCCCATTCAGACTAGTACCAAAAGATTCCAATACCATGAATATTCATGGATATTGCACCCAGATCCGTATCCATATCCATGAAATCTCGAGGTCAGGATATATCCATGGATATTATCCATGAAAAAAAAACGTATTCATATCCGTAAGATCCGTGGATATATCCATATCCGCTTATCCATGGAGAGAAGGAAGAAACTATCAACATAGAGCTATCTTAGGGGCTTGATATGTTGTCGCGCGACCACGTGACCAAGCTTTTACCCTCGTCCCGTAACCCTATCTCGGAACAACGTTCCTCCGGCTCCGTTGCCCTGCTTCTGAATAACGTCCTGCTCGGCCGTCACAGTGCATGGATGGAGTAGCAGTCAAACATCGTTCTTCAATCAGGCTATCAAGTGGATACCAAATTGTTGGTTTAACTACGGTCCGTATCACGAAGCATAGACGGTAGTAAGGCGCGAACACGAAGCGGCCTAATGAGCCTGACAATATGAAGATATCTTGATTCCTAATATTGTGACTTATCCCCAAGAACGAGGGGGAACGGGGGGATAGCTAGTTAGATATACACGCGGCACGCACGTGCCACGTGAGACTAAGTAGTCCGGTGCCGAAACGCGTAGAGTTTGATATTCACGTTCCGACACAAATTTTTCTGCCTTCCCTTGTGAGTTGATGCATATGGTGGCCGCCAACTTGCATACCACGGACCTCTGCAGATTGGCGGCGACATGTACTCGAACATGGGACATTCTCTGAGAGACATGTCATAAAGAGGCCTTACGATTTGCGGGATCATATACGATGAACATCGAAGGCGTTTATATGACCCTTCAAGCCCTGAGTGCGTAAGGAAAATGCACCTGATATGGGAAGAGCAAAGTTGGTTAATTGACGCCGTGTGTAACGGTCGGTTGAATGCCGTCCGCAGCTTTTTGGACAGCGGTGTCAATCTCAACTCATATAATGTTTGCGGTTTCCGACTCCTAAACCTGACCATGACTATGCTCAGGCTGCCTCGGGGGCCTGTGTATGGACTCTATTATTCAACTCTACGGCGTCGATACCATGGCCCAAGGCACATATAAATATTGGGAGCTAGGCTAATGTGACGCAGGAAGGTGCCCTAGGACAGCTTTGCAGATCTTGCAATACCAAAGCTTTATAGTGCGCATTGAACGTTGGCGGTAACATCAACGACATTGATGCTAAGGGTTCCAGGCTCCTTCATCACGCCGCCAACAACAAGGATTGCAATGCCATCCAATACCTTCTCCTATCAAGGCTTGCCAACCAAGTCAGCGCACACAATCATAGTGATAATACGCCATTATTAAAGACAATCATAACCGGAAGGACAGGCAGTGCCATCGTGCTGATCGAGCATGGAGCTAATATCAACAAGCATCCAGAGACTTGCAGCCGTTGCTGCATATAGCTTGTAAGCTTGGGATGTCATCCACGGTGAGCGGCCTGGTTCAATCTGGTGTAAATCTCAACAGTAAAACAACTCCTTGGAGTCGAGCAATTCACGTCGCCGTTGAGGTGGGTGCTGATGTAGTTCTTCCAGTTCTTGAAGCCGATAGGCCACTCGACATTGCCGTGCGCGACGACGCTGAGGATACAGCGTTGCATGTAGCCATGCACCCTTTGTGGCTTAAGTTCCGGAGGCGACAGATTGTCAGAATGCTGCTCGCCGCTGGAGCACCGGTGCGAGTGTAGATTTATGCTGGCTATTCGCTTATCAATCAGGCATTTGCATACGAGGAGTTCGAATTTGCGTATTGGATGGTTACCGGAGATTTAAGCTTCGATGCAAGGAGATCGACTATGAAGTGGTTAGCCGATAGTCAGATGGAATATGAAGAGTGGGAAGTTCTACGAGCTATCATATTCTAACTCTGGATCTGACTGTTAAGGGCGACATCGGTTACATCGCGTCTTGGAATGTCTATATATGCTGTTTAGTAGACGGATGATCTCGCGAATAATAGCCAACCTTGCCAGAATATAGGACTTCATAAAATCAAATTAGTCTTACCTACACTATGTCATTAACACATGATAAACGTAAGTAACATTGAATTTTAAAGTTTCATATGTGGTGTTCGTACCAATATTGCGACTATCGTGTCTGTAGAAGCGTGATATTTCTCTCAGCAAAATCTGCACATGGCTTTTGTGCGTAAGAATGTAAATATATCTAGATAGTCAACAATACAACATTCTGGAAAACGGCTTCTTAATCTCATCACCCTGGTCGTATCATCCCCTCTAAAATCTCACGTGAATCTAGGACCCCGGAGACATGATCTCATCCATGTCTATGTTTACACTGAGCACCTTCGGACCATCATCCAGATACGATTCTCCCTGCGGATTTCCAGCCAATACCAACTTTTTCAAGCCTTTGAAGTCCTCACTACACCAAAGAGGATACCCATCTTCATCGGTGCCCTCGGCTGTGCGCCCAGTTCGTGCTATTCCACCGTGGATAGTGTGATAAACTGCAACAGAGAACCCATTGCACACAGCTCCCGGGATATGAAGCACATTCTCAAGCACCAAAGTCCGAAAGGGGGATCCTTCTTCTAATTTGGGTTGCACCTTTAATTCAACGGTTCCAACTCCAGCAACGTATGTAGTCATTCCCTGTATCCAGCCAGTTGAAACATCTTTGCCGACTCGTCGATATTCTTTGAAAGATGACCTGTTCTTTGCATAGTGGCAGTTACCGCTAACGATCATCCAGTCCCAGCAGCGACGACGGGGTGCTTCCTCAGTTGTCTTTTTCTTGTTGTTTGTTGTTTGTTCTTTTTCGGCGCGTCTTCTCTTTCGATGCTCTCTTAGATTCCTGTAATGCTCGCCAATCTCTCCCATTTTTACTTTATGCGGTGTTCTCGGATTGAGTGAAGAAACTGTACGTCAATTACTAGTTGAATTCTCTCGCTTGGCTCGACAGAAAGGAAGTTAGGCCAGTATAATACTGGACACAGGCTCAGTAATATGTTTAAAGAATGAATCAAACGAGTAAATTTTAACCGGAGGCCTCGACTGTTGCAAATATGAATAACAATTCAAGAAAGAGTACAGTTATGTAGATTGAGGTAAGTAAGTGTTAGATACTGACGGGAAGTTCTCCTCCCTTGTTGTTGCAGCACCGCCTGCCGTATGTAGTTTAACGCCTCTGGGAGAAAGGGCATATCAACACTCCCTACTCCGTGGCGAGAGCTCCTTTCTCCCACGAGACAGTATCAGTTAGGGAAGCGATACACAGAGAATTCCTTGCTCCCATCTCTAAAGATTAGATATTTTTGGTGAAGCGCACAGCGCAATGAGACCCAACTGGCCTACCAATCCGGAAGAAATACGTATTAAAGCGAGGAGTTTCGATTCTTCATTATAGAGGACAATTCCCTGTTAGACACAGCACAACTTTGTCAACAAGAGACACGAGAGCATTCAATTGAGAAAATACAGTATCTTCTAGTTTCTATCAATTCCAGGAGAATGAGGGCAAAGTAAAGTAATGAAACCCGATAAGTCCAACCGTAAGTTTAGGGAGACTTTCAGGTTGAATATTGCCTGACTTTCGGGCGGCTCGGATTTAGACATGCTCGGGTGTTGTTGCTTCTCGGAAACTTGAAGGACAAAGCATAAGGTCATAGTATTAAATAGGGACAATAGAAATGATTTGAATTTTACATATGTAATTTCATTGTAACAATTCCTGGTCTAAAAGAAATGCTAGGCATGCATAGCATGGTGGGAAATTGGCGCTGCCCTAAGATGTTGCCCTAAGTCATGCCCTAACGAGCAAGTTTTCTATGCAGAGATCTCCTACATAGGGCACCATGAGATTCACGGGGTAATTTCAGATCTGGCTGGACCATAATATTCTTAAATTAATTGCTTCACAAGGGATGCCCTAAACGCATCTTGGGCCTCGAAAGTAGTTGCGAGAGGAATTTGTTCCTGGCTATGGTAAATGACCCTAACCCTCCATCCACTTACCTTTCTCCGCATTTCTCCATTTTTACGAGGGGTTAACATTTCAACAACATTCATTAAGTATCGTTTCAACAGCAAGAACTGACTATAAGCATGATTCGCCCTCGTATAACGATTGCTCGATTATGGACCTCTACTCCAGCAGTACGGTCCGTTCTTTCGTCACGAAGAAATGCAATTGCAACCTGGACAAGAGAATATTCTCAACCTCGGCAATCCGGAGATCAGGCTTCAACATCGCGTAACGATAACAAAGGCGTTGTGAAGCATATCGGTCAGAACAAAGCTACAATTCAGCTTCCCAAAACTGCATTGGATCAATCAGACGATAGAAATCTTGATGTTCACTATATCCAACTGCGTGATGCATGTCAATGTCCTCGCTGTGTTGATCCTCAGACAAAACAACGGTCTTTCCGGACAGGTGATATTCCTCGGGATATAGCTCCTCGTGAAATAAGATGGGTTAAGAAATCAGAGGTCTTGGAAATATCCTGGAATAAGGATATCGCAGGCTACGACGACAAGACACATGTGACAAGGCTTACTGCAGACGAAATCAAATACCCATCGGCATACTTCCACCATAAGTCTGTGGGTACTGGCAAAGGTCAAATATTCTGGGATCGAAAGGAAATGGAAAGAGATCAACCTTGGGTCGATTACAATGACTGGATGACAAATGACGACTTATTCCGGGACGCTCTTAACAAATTATCCCTGTACGGATTGCTCTTCGTGAATGACATCCCTGACTCACGCGAAATGGTAGCAAAAATAGCCACACGAATGGGTCCACTGCGCAACACCTTCTACGGTTCAACATGGGATGTACGAAACGATCCAAAGGCAAAGAATGTGGCTTATACCAACCTCAACCTCGGCTTTCATATGGACTTGCTCTATGTGCATAACCCTCCTGGATTTCAACTACTGCACTGTCTCAAGAACTCATGCAAGGGTGGAGAATCTCTCTTTGTTGATGCTTTCGGCGCGGCGAGGAATCTTGATCGAAAGTCATGGGATACGTTGGCATCGCATAAGGTTCCGTATCATTATGATCATAAGGAGAATTATTACCGCACTACGCGTCCTGTTCTTGAACTGCCAGAGGATAGCACCTGTCGAGATGATAGGACGTTGAGTCATATCAACTACTCCCCTCCTTTCCAGGGACCATACCATATCAGCCCGACAGAATCTCCTGAGTGGCCTCGAAAGATGAAAGAATACCTCTCCGCCATTCAAGAGTTTGAGAAGAGAATTGAAGACCCTGCTCGGATCTTTGAGTTGAAGTTAGAGCCAGGCCAATGCGTTATATTCGAGAATCGCCGGGTGCTGCATGCACGTCGCGCGTTTGATACGACTACCGGCGAAAGATGGTTGGCTGGAGCATATGTTGATGAAGACGCTGTGCATAGCAAGATGTTTACTTTGAGACGGAATAGTGGGGAGTTCAGCACCTCCGTGTAAATGCTGTATATGAATATGAAACGCCCTCCTAGGTTCCATGGGATCAATCGGCGGGTTGAAAGGATATAGCAATTAGCTGTCAATAGAATCTGAGATTTTAGGCTTATAAATTGTATTCATTCATCTGTCATTGTACAGCGCATAATGACTTGTCGGGGTATAACTATCCTTTTATAACTTTGTGACCATCTATCTATGCCGTAGCAGTCGGCCTTTGAACAGCATAAGCTTTCAAGAAATCAGGATCGGCGCTGAGTTCCTCCTTGACCTGTACAGATGAACTGATTAGCAAGCAGACATAAAAACATAGCATGAAGGAGACCAAACTCACAATATCCAATCCTCCAACAAGTTCGCCCTGAACCCATAACTGAGGGAACGTAGGCCAATCGGCAAACTCCTTCAAGCCCTGGCGTACATCTTCATCCGCAAGAATATTGAAAAATCCATACTTCACTCCGTTCTCTCGCAGTATTCCGACAAGCTGGCGACTGAAACCGCACTGGGGTTCGCTGGGTGTACCCTTCATGAAAAGCATGACTGGAGCGGCTTTGACGAGTTCGGCAAGACGTGCAAATAAAGCTTCTTTGGTTTCTTCGGCCGAGGTAGCTGGTGCAGCAGCAGCGGCGGCGACAGAAGGTGGAGCATTAGCAGGGGCAGTACCAGCGCTGGCGGGGGTCTCTGTAACTGCGCCCGAAGCAACGGGCTCACGCGGGGTGGCACTAAGAGCAGGAGGGATAGTCGATTTCGAGCCAGGCACGGATGATGAAGTTTTACCGGCGTGGCGCTCAATAGCATCGCGAACCTTGACTGCATCGCTTCCGCTTATAGACTCGAGTACCTTCTTGTCGCGGATTAAAACTAGGAATGGCACTGCAGTGACATCGTATTCTTCAGATATATCTGGAAGTTCTTCGGCGTTTACGCTAACGAAGGAGACGGTTGGTGGCGATGTGACTGGATATCCTGCAGCGAGAGTGCTGAGGATTGTGCGCATCTGGGTGCATGGTGCCGCCCATGGGGTGTGGAATGAGAGGACTAAAAGGGCAGAAGGATGAAGGGAGGAGAGATGTTGAGCGAACTCGGATTCAGAGGTAATATCTTGAAGAGTCGACATTTTCTCGAGACTATGCGACGACGAATACGGGAGGCAAGGAGAGGCGGGGCCTAGTAAGGCGGCGATGCTTGATAGACAACGATACCAGATAGTGAGAAGTGTCTATTTTATCCGTGTACTTGACGCTGTGAAATCAAACAAAAATATTGGTGACAGCAATTTTGGAGCATAAAAGAAACGATATGAAGTGAAGGTGAAAAACCCCGCGCCGTGACAGAAAAAGCGCTCGGCTCCGGAAAAGATTTCTTACGGCGTTGACGCCATTCATCGACCTGCTTCGACGACGGAGACATCTTAAGTAATTCGACTACATTATAACAATTTCACTATGTCCGAGGAATTGCTGATTACTGATCCGTGCAATAAAGATGATTAAATAGTAATAGCATGCCAGCAGATCGTGTGATTTAGATCGGTATTTATGCCGGAGTAAAAAGATGAGCGGCTTATCAATCTTATAAGATGGACTGGGGGTGTATCACTGGACGGCCCTATGGCGGGCTGTACCGTAATATTTCAGATGAAATACAAAGTAAATTACATGGCCGGAACTACGTTATTCCGACACTAACTGGCTGACTAACCCACATTCAGGAACAGGGGCCAATCACATGCCTCAGATTGCTGATAGTTGTTTCCCTAAATTTTGACTTGGCTTCAGAGTTCAATCTTCACTCCAGACATGCTTACCAGCTTTATTTACCTGTCTAATATCTCTAAAGAGCAATCGCGACCATGCCTCATGGCGCAAAACGAAAACGCGATCCTGATGACTACGCTGATCCGGTAATGGCATCCTCTGCCGGCGAAAGCGGATTTGGAATTGGCCAGACATTGTCACTATTACATGAATCGGCTCCCTCCCCCTCCAGCACAGTCGAGGAAGAATCAATAAGAGCGGAAACGACGCACAATGGGATATCTCACAAGAAGCGACGGAGGGGCGAAAATGGAGAAAAGACAAAGTATCCCACCTTGACGTACGTGGAGGGCAAGTTGCAATCTTCGATTCGCATTGCGGATTTACAAAGTTTGCTGTTGTATTGCTTTGCAGATGGAGTTGCGCCTCAATGGATCTCGATGAAACATTCTGGGCACGTCAGGAAGATTGTCGTTCTTATGGTCCCAGGATTAGAAATTGGCATGTTCGACGGGTCGATACCTTTAAGTGGCACCGCGGAAGCTACGAAAGTTGAATCAGGCAAGGCGGAGGGTGAAAAAGATACCCATGACGAAGATTTTGAACGATGGAAGAAAGGTCTACCGCTCCCAGACAGATCTTCTCGATTCAACCCCAGAAGCCTGAAGCGGGAAGATTTACCCGGGCCTCTCCAGGAGTTGGCCGACATGTTCCCTCATATATGGCCAGTCAAAGCACCTGGGGACACAAAATATAACAAAGTTCACTCTCCACTACAGGCGATACTACTATCCCAGCTACCGAAGACACAAGAAGAGGCCAAAATCAAAGGCCCTCGACCGCCACGAAACGAAAAACATTTTGTATCCAAACGAACACCCGTCACTGCATTCATTACTCCGAAACTTGAATTACGTGAAAATGACTATGTCCTGCATCCAGTATACTTCAAGACTGAGCCCGAGCAAGCGGCAGAACAGAGGATACGAGAACATTCCGGCACAACAGCCGAGCATGGCTGGGTAGATACAAAGGTTGAGTCACTGGCTGATGGGGAACCTCCCGAATCTGAAGTGCAGAAAGGAAGCATAACCGCTGGCCGGGAAGTGCTGGCTCTCGATTGTGAAATGTGTATTACCGAAGGTGGAAAGTCAGAACTCACCCGTATCAGTTTGGTCAACTGGGACGGCGAGGTCATTTTAGATAAACTCGTCAAGCCGGACTTGCCAATCATCAATTATTTGACACAATTCTCGGGTATTACGAAAGAAATGTTGGATCCTGTCACAACAACACTCGCAGATATACAGAAAGAACTTTTGGAGCTACTCACACCGCGAACGATACTTGTTGGACATTCTCTGAACTCCGACCTCACTGCGTTAAAATTAACGCATCCATTTATTATTGATACCGCAATCATATATCCACATCCCCGTGGACCTCCGTTGAAGAGTTCCCTGAAATGGCTCTGTCAGAAATATCTCGGCAAAGAAATCCAAAAGGGTCAAACAGGTCATGATTCCATCGAAGACGCTCGCGCAGTTCTCGAACTCGTGAAACAAAAATGCGAAAAGGGTGAGCGATGGGGTACCTCCGACGCGAACACGGAAAGTATCTTCCGCCGCTTAGGGCGAGCAGTCAAATCCGGTAAACCACAGGGCCGAACTGGCGCGATTATTGATTGGGGTAGTCCCGAGCGAGGGTTTGGTGCTCAGGCTACTGTCGCGATTGGTTGCGACAATGATGATCAAGTCGTCGATGGAGTCAGACTTGCCGTCCGTGGCGATGAATCAAATATGAGTATACCCGCTGATGGGGTCGATTTTGCTTGGGCGCGTCTCAGGGAACTCGAGGTTGCAAGGGGATGGTGTAATCGTCGCCCGGATCCGAATAATGCCAACGTTTCTACCGTTATAGCGCCTCCTGCTGAAGAGATAATACCTTTGGCCGATACGACAATGGACGATAAATCACTAGCATTGATAGTTTCCACGGCAGTCCGTAACATCAAACGAATCTATGACTCCCTGCCGTCCTGTACACTCTTCATCGTGTATTCGGGCACCGGCGATCCACGGGAAGTGTCCCGTTTACATGCCATGCACAAAACCTATCGGGAAGAATATAATAGCGCCCGCAAGAAGTGGGATGAGTTGACCGTTCAATGGACCGATAGAGAAGAGCAGATGTTGAAGAAGGCTTGTGAAAGGGCGAGGGAAGGCTGTGGGTTTATGTGTGTTAAATAGGCCATTCTTATGCAAGCATTAGATAAGTGATGAAGAAATATTTATCCCTTATAGAATAAGAAAAATACAATGAGCAATGTATGTTCGCTCCGGTCGTCGATGTGACGTTTCTATAAACCCTCTAATCTAACCATCAGCCATGGCCTCCTCCCTTTCCATGGCAGCTTTGACTATCATTTCCCTAGCAGCAACCCTAGCCTGGCGTTGCTCGCTGTCATCAGTAGTCTTCTCTCCTACATTTCCTGCCGACCCATCCTCCTCCTGAGGATGTCCTAGGCGGTTAAACAGATCATTCTCATTCACAACACTCTCCGGTGTCAATTCAGCTACATTCACCAAAATCTCAAACCCACCACCCCTCCGACCTGGTGGTTCGTTCCCAAGAGTCGGTTTCTCGGCTTGTTTACCACCATTCTCTTCAACTAATTTGGCGCTGTTGCGAGTTACCCTGGGAGACGCGGACCGTGCTCGTGAAGCCGCTTGCGAGTTAGAACGTGATGTCACCTTTCTCGATCTACGGTTCCCTGGTTTTCTTGCCGGTTGTGTATTCTCCGAATTGTCCGGGCGGTCTGTCACCCTCTCGTCTGCTGTTTGTATTTCTGTATTTGGCTGGTTGATTGTACTTGGATCGGATATTGACAGTGTTGATGGTGTTCGTGGGTGGGAAGCCGCTTGCAAAGACCTGCGCGACTCGCTTGGCCTGCCTCTTCTCTTACGCGGTACATGTGACTCAACATCAACGTTGGTATCGGAGCTCTCTGGATCTTCCGTCGACGAAATTCTGGGTCTTTTGGTAGCTGGTTCGCCAGATTCTCTCCGACGCCTAAATCCGGTTGGAACAGCTAGATCTTGCTCTTGTTGTGTGAGTTGTTTGGGGCCAGATAAGATGTCCGCAGCTGGTTTTAGGGGTACCTTCACTGGAGCAGTCGTGTGCTGAGCTACCTCAGGAGTCGTCGTATGCTCCATCGCTGGTTCATGGTCCTCAAATGAATCTGCTATTTGGAGTTGAGTACTAGCTCCCAGTAACCCTCTTTTCCCGCTTTCATTGAGAAAACCTGGGCTTTGCTCCTCGGGCATAGCAGCATCTTCAAGCATGCGAGGTGTCGTTGGTACAGCACTTAGCGGGCGGCCTTGCAAATATCGGGCCTTTAGCTTCAACGACTCGTTCTCCAATTTTAGCTTTTCTATTTCGTCGGACTTGGACTGAAGTTCCTTTAGCACTGTCCTTAGCATTTGCATAGCCTCATCCCCGTGATATTCCGGATTTCGGGCTGAAGGGGTTGTGTTTAACTCCAAACGTAATGCTTTAAATGATTGTTTGAGATCTGCCATTGTATCGTGAAGTTCCTCGACGGTATTGGAAATCCTGCTGAGACTTGCGCCTTGATTGTACAGAGTCTGGCTCAGTCTTGCTTCTGAATGGGTAGCGGAAAGGGGCGTATTGTTTGCGGATTCGTTTGGGGCGGGAGTTTGCTCGACGGGTGCTAGCAGCCACGATAGAGAGCCTTCGACGAACAGTGGATGTGACTCTCGCATTGATATGATCTCTCGAAACGACATTTTCGAAAGTTTCCAAAATACCTTCGTACTGCAGGGATCAGTGTGATGCACGTCGTACTCCTTAACAAGCCCCAGGACTCACTCTGATTCAAGATGGACAAGGCCGCCCAGTTTCTGGTGGCATAGTCTGCACACGATGTCCTGGACCACGCGACCCCGGACGAATCCAAGCTCGGATGATTGTGGAATCTGTTTCTTTTCTGACGAGACGTTGATCCGGTTCCTATCGATACTCAGCCATCCCGTCACCGTCGAGTACGTGTCGGACAGCTTAGCCCACTCATTTTCGCATGCTGCTACAGAGCTGGAGCAACGAGAGCACTGGCATAGTATCGACGGCCGACTGAGATGGGAGAGGATCATGTTGACTGATGGTGGACGGTAACAGCTACCTGCGAAATTCGCCATCCAGGTCGCACGGCAGCTATAAAGCAGGGCTCTCCAAGAGACTGTGCTCACTGTCAGAATTGAGTAGGGGCTGCAAACAACATTGGCAAAGGGGGAAAACAAGGAAAGTGGAAGATCGTCAATTTAGTTCGGGTTGCCGTTTCCAGCGCCTCCAGCCCAGGCGGTGATGCCTGGCAATGGTGCCGAGCTTGGCAGTGATAAGCTTGTTCTCGTCTGATAAGAAACTAATCCTTTCCTGGAGCCCGCGGAAAGAACCCCGAGGATATATCTACAACGTGCAGCATCTATGAGGAACGCTTTCTTTCTCAGTCGAGGATTCCATCGTCTGGCATTCTGCTTAATTATCCCAAAACCGATTCACTTGCGCAAATTTACAATGGGTTCTACGGATTTACAGTCTGCGGGTGGCAATGGCAAGACCAATACTTGGGAAGGCCTGGGGGCAGCAGAGTTTGACTTGAGAAGTGAGTGGCAGTCAACACATAGTCGTGGCCTGGCCACCGCAGCTAATGCCTAGTGTTAAGGCGACACAATGACAAAGCCGACCAAATCCATGCTCGAAGCGATTTCTCATGCCTCTCTTCTTGACGATGTCTTCAACGAAGACCCCACGACGAACTCGTTGCAACAGTATATCGCAGATCGCACAAAACATGAGGCCGCTCTTCTCGTCATGTCGGGCACCATGGGCAATCAAGTCGCCATTCGCACACATCTAAGCCAACCTCCGTATTCCGTGTTGTGCGATCACCGTTCCCATATTCTTCAGTATGAAGCCGGCGGGGTCAGCATGTGGACTGGGGCTACTGTCCAGGGCATCGAGCCCAAGAATGGCAGGTACCTCACACTGGAAGATCTTCAGGCCAAGTTTATCCCCCCAACGAACATCCACTACTGTCCGACCAGGTTGATCAGTCTGGAGAATACGCTTGACGGCATGGTAATGCCGCTGAGCGAGACCAAGAGAATTGTCGAATGGGCACATGCAAACGATGTAAAGGTTCATTTAGATGGAGCTAGATTGTGGGAAGCGGTTGCCTCCGGTGCAGGAAGTTTAGACGCGTATACCAGCTTGTTCGACAGTATTAGTCTCTGCTTTTCCAAAGGTCTTGGAGCACCAATTGGCAGTATCATCGTCGGCTCTAAAGACTTTATTGAACGAGCCCGGTGGTTCCGTAAGTCGATTGGTGGTGGCACCCGCCAAGCTGGTGTTATATCATCTGCTGCTAGGGTTGCCGTAGAAGAAACATTCGGATCTGGTCCTAATGGTGAAGGCGGTAAGCTGAAAGATACGCATACCAAGGCCAAGCGAGTTGGCGAGATGTGGACATCCAAAGGGGGGAAACTAGCCAATCCCGTGGAGACCAATATGGTATGGCTGGACCTTGCTGCCTCCAATGTTGGACCCAACGATCTTGCAGAAATCGGAAAGCAGAAAGGATTAAAGCTTCTTGGAAACAGACTCATTATCCATTACCGTGAGTCACAGCTCATTGTTGTACAAAGAAAGCATGCACATGCTGACTACTCGCAGAGGTCTCCGAGGAAGCGTTAAGTCGCCTGGACGAGTCTTCCAGGTGGCTTTGTCCGGTAAATTTGAACATAGCGCTGACACCAGCAAGCCGTATGGTTCTCGATAGGCGTACTCTAGAGTGAACAGATGTATATATCCTCTCGCTGGGCATGCATGTATATAGGAAGTGACCAAACATAAATCATTGACATACCGAATATGAGTTGTTGAAGTCATATCCCAGTGCAGAGAGACATGATACTGTTAAGCCTGGATCATCGAGTCTGTCAGTCTGTAAGAGTAGAAGGGGTAGGACAAATAAGCGGCTAGGACCAAAGAGGAAAGATGCTCTTTCTGGGGCGAAGGAGAGGCCCCACTCCACCCAGTGGAACAGAGCCGCCGGTTGGCCACCACCAGCCAGGAACCAGCCAATCACTGAGCTGCAATTGCTAGACGGAAGGCCCCGCTAAGTTTATATCACTGGCCTGAGGCCACCGAGGGTTGATGCCTGGGTCGCCGGAACGGATAAACAGTAATCGCGCCATTATTTATCGTACTGTCGTCCGATCTAAACTCCAAATCGACCAAGCTAGCCAGTCGAGAGGCTGAGCTTCGTCGTGTCTTCACAATCTCACCAGGCTCAAGACGCCGCCTTCCGCTCTTTATCCTCGGGCGTTTCTCGGACGACGAGACGACACTGACGACGGCGACCCTGCCAGACAACCACATCCCTCCCCGCCTTCTTTCATCTCTAGAGAAACAATATCCGGGTTTGGGACGATTCCTTTCGTGGACGACTGGCAGGGAAGTTGGGCGAGATCGTTGGATGGTTGATCTGTCCCAGGTATAAATAGCTGCCTCCCAATGCTCTGTCCCATAATTTCTTTTATCTTTGACAACGCTCTGACGTGATCGCATGTGCACAACAGATTACACCCTGAACGAATAGACGAAAGATCTACCCGTCCTATCTATCATGCTACAAATAATCAGCTAAGATAATATCAGGCGGAATCGAATCAGAGAACAGTTGTTTAGCATACCACAATTTGGGCCAAGGCTGTACATTATTGAAACATCGTGGGAAGCCATTGATGGTATTACATGATTTGCTTTGGAACCAACCACAACCCAGAACAAAAACAAAGTCACTGGAATATTTTTGGGCAAGCCACCTTTTAACCAGTGAGGTTTAGCTTCTCAATGGTGCTGCTGGCCGGACCGACGACAAACACAAGCTCACATCTAGTTCTCAATAACCCATTGTCCTCACATTCTCTCTTAGTCTCCACTGTCGTTATTCATTGACCAATCTCTACTGCTTTGTGGATCTCTTTCACATATCATACTCATCAAATACCTATCACTATGGAGGTGAATCCGACTCAGGAGTCAACTCAGCCATACTCCGATCCTCGTCGTATGGGCTCGCACAATTCAGGCTTACAAGATCAAGACGTTTCTGATATTATTTGCATTCTGCATCCGGGTTCTCATCCAGCTCATGAGGCCGTTGATGCCACATCTCGACATCCCAAGGGTTATCAGCATATCCTCCAGCGAGATGAGTTCCAATATGACTCGATGGATTCATCGTCCCGCGATATTGCTATCCGCATGTCATCCTCCGTTCATGATTTGTCGATGGGGTTCGTATTTGGGCGGAATCCAGCGCGATGTGACGTGCTTCTTAGCCCCGAAGTAGCATCTAAACACATTTCGAATATTCATTTTCGTATATTCATGAACGAGGATGGTATTCTGATGCTGCAAGACTTGTCCACAAATGGTACCGTGGTAGACGATACACGCCTGTGGAAGCGCAACGGACAAACTACCCGTATGCTCGTGAATGGCTCTGTCATTATTGTCGCCTCAGACAATAAACAGAACAGGGAAGTGCGTTTCGTCGTGCGGATCCCTTCTCGGGATGGGTTTCATGTACAATACACCCAGAACCTCATGGCATATCTGGAACGGGTTTCCAAACATAATGCAAAGTTCAAGAACTTACAAGCTCGGGCACCTCCGCCACAATCTGCTCTTCAGTGGACTTTGGGAAATCCTTACGGGATGCATTGGACTGGTGGATCGATTTATAACGTCACCGGGCAAATTGGAAAGGGCGCTTTCGCTACAGTATACAAATTGGCAACAAAACAAGATGGCATCGTCTACGCAGCCAAAGAACTTGACAAACGCCGCTTCATGAAGAATGGGATTCTCGATCAGAAAGTCGATAATGAGATGAAAATTATGAAAGATCTTCGCCACGTAAGTAACACCGCGTTCGACTCTCATTTTTTTACTAACTCTTCTGTATAAGCCGAATATTGTACAATATATTGATCATCATGAGCATGATCGTTGGATCTACATTATCATGGAATACATTGCCGGAGGCGAATTATCTTCGTATTTGGCAAGCAATGGAAAGATCGCTGAAGACATGGTCAAGAGTATCGCCCGACAGCTATTACATGCTCTACACTATCTACACAAGCGCAAGATCACTCATCGAGATATCAAGCCGGATAATATTCTCATATCCTCCATTGATCCTCTCAGGGTGAAACTGTCTGACTTTGGTCTTTCCAAGGTGGTGCAAGAGGAGACTTTCATGAAAACCTTTTGTGGCACTTTGCTCTATTGCGCCCCAGAAGTTTACCCTGAATATGACAGTTATAGGCAGGGCATGGCTAGGAAGCGCCGACGTATTGGTGACCCGTGCGTTCTCCTTGGTATACCCTGGTATGCAGCCGATTGACTAACGTCCTTACAGACCACCACGAACTTCCCCGTATGACCAGTCTGTTGATATGTGGTCGCTCGGAGCAGTACTTTTTCATCTTCTGTGCGGGTCACCACCGTTCACTGGCCGAGGAGATGACAGGGGAGCCCAAATGCTTCGTACAATCATGACGACAGAGGCAGACTATGATCTTCTTCGCGAAGAAGGAGTCTCCGAGCAAGCAATAGACTTTGTGTCAAGACTCTTACGTACAGATCCGCATGATCGTCCGAACGAAAGGGATCTCTTCAAACATCAATGGATTGTGAACGTTCAAGACATTGATGAATACTCCGATACTGAAGATTTTCTATTAGATGATGAACAGCTCGCTATGATCACAGAAGCCGCAGAGGAAGAGTTAGATGCCTCCCAGTTGTCAATAAATGACGATTTTGGCGATGATGGACTTAGAGTAGGTGGCGAGTTTGAAGAGACGCAGATGAAACGTCCGCGTCTTGATGAAGAAAAATCCATACACTATCCTTCGCTTCCCCACATCGACAGTTTCCCAGCACCTCCCAACTTGCAAGTTGCAACGCCGAATCGCCTTTTCGGCGAAGTTACATCGTCCGCTCTACGCAGCTCGGGCATCTTTCGCGGTCTGAGTTCTCGTGGTGTCGATGTGACGAGCGATAAATCTTCCGGTGAGTCGATGGAGGTGGATGCTGATGATCTGTCCGTTGGAGTGTATTCATTTCCCGTACCCAATTTTACTGGCTCAGCCGTCAGTCTTTTAGGAGCTGGTAGCCTGGTGGGACAGCTCAGGATGCCGCCTTCTGGCGATGGTTCTCCAAAAGAACTTGCAGCTGCAGATGACAAGCAGGGCACACCCCAAAGCCGTTCCGTACGAGAGGTGACGCCTGCTAATCAGGAACTGCCAGACCCAGCACAGGATGAACACACCGCAAACGAAGCTACCCCCAAGGCCCTACCTTTCCATCGTCGTATTGAGCTCCCACTTCCCGACACCGCCAGCGAAAGTTCGATTCAGCGAAGTGAATCTCCCAAGCATATCTTCAACGATAGTGCTAGTGATAACAAATATGACGAGCTAGCCGTGACAATTGACGCCCGTACAGGTCGAGAAATAGTTGACGAATTGCCCCATACTACGGATAATGACTACTCGGACCGCCCGCAACTGGATACCGAAACAATACCCAGTGAAATTCCTCAGAGCTTTACACTATCCAACTTTCTCAAACCCCGACGTTTGCTTGGTAAACTGGTGACTGTTCCTGGATCCATCTTTGAACTCTCTATACGATTGGAAGGCCGTATGACCTCATGGGGACGTGGTCCTTTGGCGACCATTGTTTTCCCGGACCGCATGGATACTCGAATTCCAGCATATGCGGTAGAAGTGACTTTTTGGTGTCCCGGCATAGAAGCACGAATCGCCCGAGGAGAGGATTGGATGGATATCCCAGATGTAATGACAATCCTATCGACGAAAACACGCAAATGCATCTGGGTGAATGGCGTTGAACTCCGTCGCGGTCCTCAGATGGATAACGGCACTGAAGCGTACCATTTCGGTAAAATCTACCACGGTGATATCATCACAATCTGGCAGGGCAACAACAAGTATCTTCGTTTTCGATGTGAACTGTATCATGGGGACAGTGCTCGACCTCGTCCTGAGAGCGAGAAGGGATTTATCGTGCGACAGGTCCTCCATCCAAAGAGCGATTCAAATCGGAATCGCCTAGCAAATAGACTTCACGATGATAAGTTATATGCATAAATCTTCTGCTCAACATGATGCAATTCGATGCAATCATTTTCTGGTGAGCACAATTTGGATTTGCATGGAGCATTGCATATTATTGAATAAAACATGCATTGAATCCCATTGTTCTTTTTTGCAGATACTTTTTTTTTGCCGCGATTGGTATTGTACGGTTTACTTGCGCATTGGCATTCATTGCAGCTCTGGGTTTGACTTGATTAGATATGCTTCCCAAACTCTACTTTTCATCTCGACTCAAATTTGTGTACAATTCTTTTCCTTTTGAATATTTGGGCATGTTCAGAATCGTTGCCGGAGGGATTGATTTTTCATTTCGGGTGACTCATTGTAGTCTATGTACTCATAAGTATTTCCCCTACACCAAATAGTATTCCACATTCAGATTGATACCCTCCTTATCTAGGCAGAGCATTTTCTAGGCCGGTCCAGAGATCATCTGGGTATTTAGCACATTCAAGTCGGGTCGTGATGATTTGTTGATTTTAATATATTATGATTTTATGCAAACATTGACTACTCAGGTACATTAATGAAACGTGCAGCATTGCTTTCCATGGTTTAGGCAGGATCAAAAAAGTGGCATTTGTGCATCACCTCTAAGGATGTGACGCACTTGGTCCCTGGCAGCCAAGATGTAGGCTAGAACTTCCCTCCAGATTGGGAGCAAGGCACATGCCAGAGTTATCGGACAAGCCACAGCAAAAAATATCTTGATTGGAGGACTAGGGTCTTGCAACTGCGAGACATTCATCCCAAATATGGAAGCTACAAAACTCAGTGGGATGAATAGGTAAGCCATGAATGTGAGCAGTCTCACTCTTTCAGTCTGCTCAATACTCTTTTTCGCGTTGCGAATGCTGATCATGTTCATTTCAATTCCAATCGAGTCTGTGCATTGTTCACGTAGTTTTGCTGACTCGGCTTGAAGGAGCTTGAAGTCGTCTCTCACCTGACAGAGTATTTTATCGACCTGTTCACGTTCGACAGAAGAGGAGCAGATCGGCTGGTTTAACGCATACCGGTGATCGAGGAGACATATGACATCCTCAAAGTACCGATAGGCACGGTCCAAAACTTCTTTGTCTCGGCGGAGTTGGTCTGCGATTTCTGTGCGGTTTTCTTGTTGTGTGCATTCATTCTTTATATGATGGAAGAAGGCAAAGAACTGTCGCCAACTCAAAGCCGAAGTCTTGAACAGGTCTGTAGCCAGCATTATCGGGTCTTGTAGGCACAGCTGCATCTCTTCCGAAGACATTGGCGTGCAATTATGTACGCGTGAAAGGCAAGGGTCAGGTCGCCGTTGGATGATTGTTTTCGTCGCAGCCACATTATCTGGAAGGTATGCTGGTACAAGAGGCAGGTTTCCAAATTCTTTGAGAGGTAGAAATCGTGGCGGGAAACGATTACCCTGGTACCATGGCGACTCGGAATGTTCAATTCCACTGTCATTAAGTATAATTGCAGACCAGAGCTTGCCATATTCTCTGCAGATGATCAAGCTGATTCTTTGCTCCACCGAAAAGAACCGGCAACCGTGCTGATTAACATGTCGACATTGCTGATAACCCCAATTGTTGTTCTCGAATAGACCTCGATTGTATGACTTTGTTTTTGCGTCGATCGTTCGTTGTTTAGGATGAGTCAACTCCTCTGGATGGTAAAACCCCAGCGATATCAAATTAACCTGAATTACCGGATTTGGGGCTGTTGGCAAAGGTCTAATTTCGAATGAAAGGGGATAAGGAAGATGACTTAGCAGGACATGAGGGTCGATATGAAGCTGCCTGCCCAAAAATTGCAGCACATTGTGATCTGGGAATCCCCGAATACAGACAATGAATTGTTCCTCTGCGCTAGTGCTGAAAGCTCCGATAGTGGCATCCTCCTGTTTGACTGTCTCATCTTCTGCACCTATCACCTTTATGTTACGGACATATTCCCGCAGAGAGTATATACATGCACTCTTCGACTGCCGAAGAGGCTGTAGGAAGCTTTGGGCCCATAAAGCCTTCATGGCAGCTTGGTTCGGACTGTGCTTGTTATGAAGGCTGGCATGGAGAGAGAACTCCTGGATCTTCTGATTCCACTCAGCTTGAGGTGTGATCGCTGACATGGCGGTAGGTGGTCCTAAGCCTGAGTAATTGTTTTGACGTCTTTACTAGAAGATACCCGGATTAGGATTTTATATATCACAATTGAGGCCAAAAGGCTGTATGGGGGATAGAATATCTAAGTAAATCCATTGCAGGTGTGGCTATGTCCTCCATACACTACGAAAAATGATTGGTACAGGTAACGCAAGGCTGTTATATACCAAATAAGAGTGGGAAGAATTATTGGTTAAACTATTGACCGGATACAGTAATCCGAGTTTCTACCTCCTTTTTTTATTTTTATTTTTTTTTCTTTGGATTTGCATTTGGGCTAATCCGAACTATTAAAGACCTTAGCAAAGCATATAATAAACACTATAGTTGCCAATGGCTTACAAGGTCGTCGTAGGACTCTAATCCGGTAGCTGAATGAAACTTATCCCCAAGAATGGTTTTCCTGATCTTCTCAGCCCTTGACAGAGCAATTTCAGCCTGTTCGTTCTTTCCCTTCTTTTGAAACAGCAGACTCAACTTATAATGCGCTCTGGCTATCTCAGCATGCCGATACTCACGATTCGAAGCATTTTGAAAAATTTTGAGAGCTTCGTCTAGTGAATTACTAGTTTTCCCATGTCAATACCATCTAACCAGCATGGCTAAATACATTCCACTTACATGGCAAGATCATCAAGCCCTCTCTGCTCTAAATGCCATGCGTATCTCATCCACGCATCAGCCGTCTTGTGGTGTTCTTCTCCAAGTGTTGCCCTGAGGCACTTCAGCGATTTGTAATGTGCATTGTAAGCATCATTAAGCCACAGTTTTCGTTGCTCTTCTGTTATAAGCGGGCTTGGGTCTTCTGCTTGGCAGATCCGGACATTGCCGAGTATGTAGAATGCCTGACCAGCCCTATTTGTGAAAATGTCCTATTGTTAGGATATCACTGCCCAATTTGAGTTAGCAATAAACAGATTCGCTTACAGGTAGTCCCTGGTGTCTTCCTTTCCATATTCTTGTTCTCGCCTCCTGATAAACTCCTCTACTCTCTCACTTGCCTCAGCATATCTAGCCGGACCTTGGTCATATAGAGCTCTACAGATATTTAGCTCATAATTAGAAAACTTGGTACTGTTTGGTTTTAGCTCCAAGCACTTTGTGTAGTACTCTTCGGCATCGACCTGTCGACGTAGCCCGCTGTACGAGTTTCCCAGTCCGCCGTAGATCACGTAAAGTCTGGGCAAGCCACGACGGTGGTTGTTGGTGGCAGCTTTATATAACTCGAGCGCTTTTTGGAAGTAAGTCAGGGACTCCATGAAATTGCCTAAGTCGGTGTGAATGCAGGCATGTTGGTAATGGTTCCAGACAACTTCAACCTCTAGGCATTCGGTCATCTCACCGCTGACCTGCATTACCTGGGACTGATTGTAGATGGCGTTTATTGTCTCAATAAAACGAAAAGCGGGGGTAAAGAAGTTTACTCGATAGCACCACCTTGAAATGTCAACGTCATCGCCTTTTCTGTGTGTTGATGGCTAAATACTGACCAAGATGTTTTTCGAAGAAGCTGCACTAATGCAGGTGTAGCAACCGGAAACTTGTTGTCCACCTTGGTTGGATCATCTGGCGCGAGCTCCCTTTGGTAATACTCCCAAAGAGCCTGAACATGTTGGAAATAAGATTTATTTCCCGCAAATTTGGGATCTCCACCTGTCACCACCCTTGCGTTGAGTAGGAGAGATGCAGATTCATATGCACTCTTCCGATCGTTCAGCTTCATTTCCATCTGGACGAATGCTCGAATCATGCGGTGGATGTGGAAACGCCTTGAGGATGACCGATGAGCTTCTGTTTCTGGACCTATTAAGCAGCTCTCTATTAGGTCTCGGATTAGACGGGCACGATGCTTTAGAAAGGGCAGTTGTACAGCCAATAAATCATTTCGCAACATTTCCTCGGGTATATGCTCGTCATCCATTAGAGAAAACACGTTTACTAGAGCTCTAGCGTCCAAATCCAAATTTTGAAGGGATTTGGCGAACAAATCACGCAACCCCTTATTGTAGCGAGCATCTCTCGAGTCAGCATATTTTACGTCTGATCTGTCAATGATGGTGCGTGGATCATTCCACTCCTTGTTGTAGTCATCAAGGGAGCAGCCGGCTTCTCTTATCAGGCCAACACTGGTTTTGATAGCGACAGGTAGACATCCGACACGCTGTACAATCGCTCGTGCCGCCTCAGTGTTGCGCAGGGAGTCCGGGACGGATGACTGCAAGAATTGAATAGCAGAGGCTTCGTCAAGTTGCAGAAGCTCTTTTCCTTGTCCGCAATAGTCTTCAGTAGCAAATATCCTCAGTTGCGTGGTGACGAGAATCGCACCACGTTTGTTCCGGGGCCAATAATCTAGAAATAAAGTAGGATCAACGGCATTATCGAATATTAATAACCAAGGCGTGTCTGGAGGAATTAGCACTGCTTGTTGTGGTAAGAAGGAGGTATCGTGTACCTGTTGTTTTGTACCATTGCATCAATCTCTCTGCATCGTTATGCGGATCGCGGCCTGCTTGATTTGGCACGATCCCAAGAAGAACTGCGTATTCCGATAGACTTTGAATGAGTTTATATTTTGTTTCTGCAGAAGCCCACAGAATCGATTTGAATGTCTGCTTGTGATTGTAGGCAAATTTTAATGCAGTTTGGGTCTTGCCTATACCCGGGATGCCATAAATAGCGTAGGCTCGATTCTCCGGCCTTGCTGCAAGTTCTGTCAAAGTTTGATCCAGCTCTTCCAATATATCAGACCTCCCTACAAAGCTCGTGTTTTCTGGGAAGTCGATTTTATACAGAGGGAGATTGACAGCATTTTGTTGGGATTGTAACTCTTGAGCACTGGAGACGACATGGGAAGCAGGCGTCGACGTGGGCCTTTCCATCCTGGAAATGGTCTCAAAGCCGGAGTGGGCTGCAGCAGCCTCTGTCAGGTCTTCGTAACTGTTAGTGGTCTCATGCAATGTTGAGTCTGAGAATTCGGCCAAGGCAGGAATATGAAGTCGCCTGTAACGCTCAACCATCGCGTTGATTTGATTGGAAAGGACCTGAAAAGATGACCTGTCAAGTTGTGCAAGGGAACTATGGTCTCGTTCCAGACCTATACAATCAGAACAAGCACTCTGAACGAGGTATCGAGGAACAAGCTTGTTTCAGTTAGTCATCAAGCACAGTGTCGTAATGGGCTTCATCTTACAATTCGTCGCTTGGAGGTGTATCTGCGGAGACCGTGTCCACGTAACAAAGACTCTCGCTTCTCAAAGAAAGAGAATATGGGAAATGCGCAATTATCAACTAAGCGCAAGAGTTCGTCGATCTCGTCCATTATGTCGTCCTCCAACGCTAGCTCCATTTGCTGAGGCTGTAGCTCTACAGAAAAGCAATCTTGAAGTATTCTTCTCATTGAACTTCGTTTCTGAGACACAAGAGGTGTGCCGTAGAATATGGCTCCTGCTAATTTTGAGGATAATCTTCGTTCTGCATCGCGCTCTTCGGACAATTTTAACGCCTGGATTGAGAGGTGAGAATGCATCCTTCAAAAAGGACAACGTACCTTACCTTTAATAGGATAAATCCTCCAAGTCCAAAACAATGGATTACAAGTGGTGCCTAGAAGTACTATGAGTATGGGTTACACAATGGCATCGAACTTCAAATGTATCTACCTTGGACATATAACCCTCTACCTCCTTAAGCATACTTTCGCCTTGTCGAAGGAGACTGCGCATCGATGGGTTGGAGATCAAACGATTACTGACAAGCAGGATACGTGTATTTGGCTGCAATAGCCTGTCTTGCAGCCAAAATTGATTATCTGAAGTCATCCAGTGTTGCCTGTCGTCTTGACAAAATCCGTTGACAGCGACATGACTGAAACTTTGTCAAAACTTGGTTAAAGCAGAAGTCTCATTATTGTAAAACATACTCAACCCCATCCTCACATTCTTGACCACCTTCCCGAAACTGGCCCTCAAACAACGTGGTGCATTCGCCGATATTGAGTGTCATTGCAGGGAAAATACAACATCATTCCATGAAAAGATGCGCGTACTTGGGACAGTTTGTCTCGGTTATCAAACACGATTCTCCTATCCCTCAGGATGCTATCGAACATCATGGCAAACTGACCAGGGTCAGGGACTGGGATATGATGTCGATTCAGTATCCGACAGGGAATTTCTGGATTGCCGCTCTAAGGAAATGATGTGTCTAATTATGGTGAAGCGTATTGGAACCAATACATGTCCGTCCAATTGAAACGGCATACCGCGTGATTCCTACAAGGAAGGGTTTGTGTAAGCCTCATTTTCTCAATTCCCTCAGGACGTGGCACCAGTTCTTTGAAAAAGAGGAGTAGGGGCGATAATAAAAAGAGCCAAGAATCCTCATGACAATCTTGTAGCCAATGATATTGAACGGGCCTTGGGAAGAGTGAGGCAACTGAGAGAGGAGATAGTACAGCCTGGATGAGAGGATCTCGATTAAGGGCCTCTCGCCCCCATCATTTTCAATACTAGGTATGCATGGGATAAAGGAAGCTCGGGCCTCGTCATCAGTTATTGGCTAGTGTACGAGGCTGCTCAGTCCAACAATGAGGGGGTATACGAGAGGAAACAAAAGAAAAGAAAAGAGGAGAAGGGAGAAAAAAAGGTAATTCGAACTTGGCAAACACCTCCCATCCCTTCCTGAATATAAATTTGTAGTCTCTCACCACCTTCTCTTCTAACTCTTTAACACCCAACCGTCGTCATTTCACACACGAGGTAAAACTCTAACCAGCCGTTTCACTCCATCGACTGAGAGCACAAGCTTCATAGATTAATAAAAATGGCACGTGCTCCTCGTCTTCAGCCTTGGAAGGCTTTTTGTGATCCCTCTTCTGCGTCTGCCCAGGCTGCTATTGCGAATGCTTCCGCAGCTGTTTCTTACAATGGCTCCAACGATGATGGTTGATAGCCTGAAGACAAATTCATTTCAAGTTCGTATGTTCATAAAACAGTAATGGACTTTCAATAATGTCTAATGCTTTGTGCAGCTAAAGCAATGGCCGACGCTGTTTGATTGGGTTTTAAGGTTTTCATTGATATCCTGCAGCTATATCCATGGATGTTTGACACATTGCTCTGAAGAATGCCGAAAGAGTGGTGGATGAGTAAAAGGGATAGCTAGTCTATGGCCGGATTATGAGAAATTATTCCTACTTCTGTTTCTATACTTTACAATAATTGGATTTATTTTGAAATTTCCAAATTAACGGCAACTATGTGGTTTCATTACTCAACTTCTAAATTAGTAAAAACATGCCACGCGAACCTCTATGCTCTTTCGAGGCACAGTATCTACTGAATGATGTTCGAATGAAGCATGAGCGCCAACTGATCATAGGTTAGTTTCGGTCATGCATTGTTCACTACATGTACTTACAGGGAATGTGAACTCCCCGAGAGTCTGTTTGTCGAAACATAATAACACTGTCCATCTGTTGCGTATCTAGGAAATACCACCGGTGGTTTGGATTCCAGTACAACAGCGTCTGTTCCCCAATGTAGGTACGATGAATGACATCTCCCTGCTCAATATCGTCTGAAATCGCAATAGTCTGGTAATCACACAGGGCCAGTGGCCAGTTCCGGGTCGGACCCTGTATAACGCGCCATACACTGAGGTCCCCTCAGCAGAGTCTGTACTAATATTGATTCACAAATACTTACTTTAGTATTTCGTAGTGCCTGTCTCTGTACTCGCGATGGGATCGGAAGTATTCCTCGAGTACTGAAGCTGCACCCGCCGGAGTGAAATCTGCCTTATTCTCAACGAGGGTCCCAAAATGAAGCCGGAAAGTTTAAGCACCCACCAGCATGCGCATTAGTTACCGGCTGATAGAGGCGATTGGGGACAACTAGATCCTTGCTTATAGATGCATCTCGTCTCTAGTACAGTAAGCGTATGAGCTAACTTGAGCATAATTAGTACATTGGCTTACTGTATGGGATAAGATGTGTACGTGGCTGACTTGCGGCCTTACAGCCTTAACCAATTCCACGACATCTGGATAATATCGGCTGACAATGGACAGATCACACTCGAAATCAGAGTGCGAAAGAAGAGTGGTATGTTGGAGGAACTGAAAGCCGTTAATTTCAAGGTCAAACACGTTTTGAATGTGGTCTGCGCTTTGAGCATTGATGTTGTGCTCAGTGAATTTATAATTGGTATCTTGTCCTCCTAGCTCTGTTGTGTCGAATGTCGTCATGTATGGTTTCTCTAATTCGTAAAGAGGGTCTCGCATCAAATAATTCACTGTTGGAGGTTTTGGTCTCTGCCTTGTTTCACCCTCACTTGATGGTACTTGCGTCGCCTCTTGGCTTGGGTGGTCTGCCATTTTGGTCGTCTTTCAGTCGTATCCCTTCAAGTCAGGCTTCTGGATTGAGCTGGACTCTGAAGTGGATAGCGACAACAATGTATACGAACAGGAACAGAAACGTTCGACATCCCAGTCAGGTGATTGAGTCGGAACCGTCAGTGCGGATGCTTCCCACTTACAGCGAGAATCAATGGCGGGGGAATTCATCGCTGATTCAACGTCTGTGTTACGAGGCTCAAACACGGGAAAATGGGTCATTTTTTCTATTTGATAATGTAATCCCTTAGCGTAATGTGATAACAATGCATAGTCAAGGCTGAAGGCGCAGCTGGGTTGGAAATCGTAGCCTTGTCTACGTATTCTAAAAGCGGCCATGTGAAGGAGCCTCATCTCTGGTGTCTGTCCAATGTTAGGCGACACAACCCCTCACTCAATTTCGACTACTGTCGCACCCCAAGAAAGTTAATATTTTAGTAGTTAAGAAATTGACAATTTGCAACAGACGCCAAATTACTGATGATGTTCCGATAAGTTCCTTGATACTCCTATGTTAGAACAAGTCCATCGAGTCTCTATATTCAGCCGTTTGAAAAGTCGTATTGGCTTGATACAGAGGAGAACAAAAATTTCCGCGAGAATTAATCATTGTCAAGGTGCCTCTATGACAGCTATGATGACCTCTGGGGAAGTATCCTATTATGTGAGGGATAGGGTCGAGGTGAATTGCCAAAGCTACTCCCCGCGGAATTGAAACCTGATTGTCTCGTCTTATCTAGCATACTATATCTAACTTGGATTCCATATTGAGCTCCTCAATCATTCCAGCAGTTGTCATACATGCTGAAGAAGATGATAACCTCGTCTCAGCTGCTTATATACAGGCAGTCCTGGAAAGATTCGGGGAGAAGGATGATGTGTTCACCCCCAAATTTGCAGACAGTGGTGTTTTGATAGTGATTTACGACACCAATCAGCCACCACTGTCTGCTGGTGATTCTTTCACAGAGTTCACGAGAGAACGCTTTGTGGGAGGAGTAATCTTTCAGAAAACAAAGAACAAGGCTCGTTGGCTCGAGGGGCCCTATTTCCTCCAGGGGAAGGACATACACCAAGCGTGGCGTCTTTATCCTGACTACCTAGGTGCCTTTACTACCGCCGTAGTCCCTGCAGAAAGTAGCTCTTTATTGTGAGGCTTAAAGAACATTTCATTCTGGAAGCGATGAGTTCTAATCATGGGTAGCTTCCAACCTCTGAAATGTATCTCGTCAGATGGGTTGCATCCGGCTGTCGCCGTGCCTTCGCGCCTTCATTCACCAATCAGCGCCGAGAAGCCCTTGAATGGATTGCGCATCGCCGTGAAAGACAATTATCACCTTGCTGGAACTGTAACGACTCACGGGAGCCGTTCCTACGCCAAATGCTATGGAGTTCAGAGCACCACATCAACTTATGTGGAGCGTCTGATAGAGATGGGATGTATTGTGGTCGGTAAAACTAAACTGTCCTCATTTGCAGGCACCGAAGTTCCCCCAAAAGGGCCTATCGACTATTTGGCCCCGTTTAATCCTAGAGGAGATTTATACCAGAACCCCGCTGGTAGTTCCATGGGCGCTGCGGCTGCTGTTGCAGGATATGACTGGTTAGACGTGTCTTTGGCTACAGATAGTGAGACTTATTTCGATTCCATCCCTCACTGTATCCCATCACCGTGAGCATTAGTTCTAACCTGAGCCTATAGCTACTGGAAGTACACGTGCACCAGCCGCCAACAATGGTGTATGGGGAATGAGGACTACCTGGGGCACATTCCCTATGGATGGAATCATACCCAGTGCGAAGTGAGATATCAACGGCTCCCATCAAACTTCAGCCTGGCATTTTACCGACTAACATTACCTAATAGACCATTTGACACTGTAGGCTTGCTGGCGAGGGACGCAGCAATCTTACATCAGCTTTTGAAGCCATATGAGCATGCCCTGATTTCTGGACATGTCAGAAACCCATATCTTGCCTTGTGAAAGACAACTGATTATTCTTTTGTAGCTTCCAACACAAATTTTGTACCCCACTGACTGGCTTCCCATCAAGAACGAAAAACAGCAAAAAATGATTGACAAATTCACATCTTGCCTGGAGACTTTCCTCGGGACAACACGCACGGAGATTTCGTTGTCAAATGAATGGACAAAGTCAGCACCTGAGCCTTTGAGGGGTACCAAACTGGCGGACTATCTGAGAAAGGTTAGTTTTGACTATAGGAGCATGGTCCATGGCATTTTTCCTGCTCACTGTAAACCTTTGTTCAGACTGGCTACTGGATCAATATGTATGATGGATACCATAATTTTGGCGAGTTCCGGGACCTGTACGAGCAAAAGTTTAACGAGGCACCATACATCAGTCCGGTTCAGACGAGCAAATGGTAAACCACTTCAAGCGGAAAGACTTTCTGATCTACATATTCAGAGTTGATAAAAATGATTACAGGGAATCCGGACGACTCGTCACACCGGAGCAACGAGCCGAAGCCGTAGAACAGAGCACGACTTTCAAGAATTGGATTAAAGAAAATATCATCAAAGATGGCACGACGATCATGGTAGTCGCAGTTGGAAATCCAGGACCAAGTTACCGTGATGAACTTCCTCCTCCGTAAGTATTTCACTTTCTACCAGTTGACACTTGGAATCAATCATAGTGACAATATCATGTACCTCAGGGTCCCTTCAGGACCAGGTGGCTCCTACAACGCGAATTTCTTTGCTACGATTCTTGGGTTGCCGCAAATAATTGTTCCAGGTAAGTCCGCCTCCAAAGTTGTAAGTACTGTGCTAAGCAGACAATCCCAGTCGGCCAACTCCCTTTCACATCTAAGGTGACCAAGCGTACTGAGTACATACCAGTTGTTGCTGGACTCGTTGGTGGAGCAGGTGAGAGAAATCTTTATTATTTGTCATGACTTGAGCTTATGGGCGTGCAGGTATGGATGATACCCTGGTTCGAGTTGCAATGGATGCCCTGAACAGAGCTGGCTGGCCTGTGAAGGTTCTTGCTGGTCGTAGGGCATTCGCTTTTAGTGATGAAAAAAGCGGTGCTGCTGGAGAAGACCAAATAGAGAGCGCAAAAATGTGACCTTGGAATATTTTTCAGCACAAGTAAAGGCAAAGATGTGTATCCACTTTTCCGCATACCGACAGCGCTCTTGTGGGCGTCTTTTTCCTAGGTTAGATCAATGTATGATTCAGAATAACATCTGGAGTTCAAACAAAATATATCCAAGTATATGTTTCATATATAGGTTAACTTGTCAACCTTGGAACTGGTGGGTTTCCCAAGGTTAGGCTACCTACCTAGGTCTGGGGTAGGTACCTGGGCAATCAGACTCGAGAGATACCTAGTGGATATACATATTTCTATCATTAAAAAAAGGCTCAGGGGCCCAAGAAATTATGTACACCGCCCCTTTGCTGGCCAGCGCTGCCTTACATGTCAAATTAATGCATGACTCTGAGCAGGTATAGGACTAGATGTGGGCTCTTCCCGATACTATATAGTCAAGATTTGGCGATATCCGGAATAGTATCGGCAAACCTAAGGCCTCGCCGATATTTGCCTATCCCCTACTCTGGGAGCTAGTGTACCCACTTATCTCCGAAATAGTCCTTAGTACGTTTTTTTGATGAATCTCTAGTCTCTTATTGGTTGTATGAGCGGTGGGGGCCGCTGGGAAAGGAATCCCTGGCTCCCATTGGTCTATTTAATAGCAGAGCCCTAGGGTCAAAAAACGGCAGAATATCGCGGGCACAGAACCCCCCTTTTACAGTCAAATACATTCACTTTGGCGCCGTATAAAAGCGTTAAAAAGACATGGAAACAGCACCTGCAAATAACGATATAGAAATACGTTTAGCTGGCTCAAATTCTCAGCCAAAATCAACGGGGAAAAGAGCTGAAGCAATGTCTATTCTAGCACAAATTCCGGAAGCCTATGATGTCCAATTCGAACCCTTACAAACCGATAAAAATCCCTCTCCCCAACTACGAATCCCTCCTAATATCGACGTTACAAACCTATATCAACTATTTAGCCTTTTCTTTACCGAATCCTTATGGAAAGTTCTCGCCACCAATACAAATTTATATGCATACGCGAAAGAATCAAAAAACCACAGTCTACACCACCGATCTTGGGCATAACTACACCGGAAGAACTCAAGGTTTTCATTGGCGCTCAAATTTATATGGGAATTACTAAGGAACCAGAGCTAAAAGACTATTGGGATGAGGGCCTTGAGAATGGCTCTGTTCATGCAAAGCACCCATTATCTGCTTATATAACGCAGTATCGATATGAGCAATTAAAACGATATTTTCATATATCCCCACCCCCCGAGATATCTGGAGGCTTTGCATCAACTTACTACCGCTCAGAGCCTACCCTGGAGCAAGAATTACAAATGAGCGAGGAGCAATTGAGCGGTATTTGGTGGCATAAAGTTCATATTGTGCTCGATATGCTACGAAGGACCTCAAAAGCTTTGTACGTTCCTTCATCAAACGTAGCCATTGATGAGGCAATGGTTAGAAGCCACGGAAGATCATCTCATACCTTTAAAATGCCTAATAAACCTATCAGCCAAGGCTTCAAGTTATTCGTTCTTGCAGATCACGGTTACGTTTACTACTTTTATCCAGCAAGCCGTACGCAGGGGGTCATCGAGGTGGCAAGGCCTTTTTCTCTTACAAAAACGGGCCAAATGGTATATTAGCTTATACAAACTCTACCAAGGAATGAGTTAACTTATAACTTGTACCTCGACAACTATTTTACTAGTGTTGATCTATTCAAAATGCTTTGTGATATACAAGTTGGAGCTTGTGGCACTACTCGGCATACTTCCTGCGGCAAAGATTTCCCGAATTTGCTCAAAAAACTTAAGGATTTGAGCAATTATATCCCATATCACAAAGTTTGTGCTATCCCGGTTGAAGACGTCCTCTGCTTTGCATGGCAGGATAATAATATTGTCCTTGGCCTCACTACAATTCATACTGTTAACAAGACAGAAGATTACGTTGAGCGTGAGCGCCGAAGGCCTCAAATAACTTCAACAAATGGCGCCTTAGTACGCCGTGAATTCGGGGATCAGGCCGTTAAAAATATGCTCATTCCACGCTTTATTGACGATTACAATAATTATATGGGGGCAGTGGATATAGCCAATCAGCATCGAGCTGCGTACGAGACTCACGTAAAGGCCTTTCGCTCATGGTGGCCTTTATGGAACTGGTGTTTAGATGTCAGTATTATCAATACCTGGAAACTGCATTCCTTACGCTGTACAGAGCTGGGAATAGCTTCATTATCTCATGCCACTTTCCGGAGGCGGCTTTCCAAGCAGCTCTTATCCTTTAGGCCTTTGAGTACGGTGTATCAAGTGAGGCCGATGAAGCGCAAGACGGAGGACCTACAACTGCCAGAACTACGATTGAATGATTCCTTACCACATATTGCTGTACGAAGTCCCGTGAGCGTTCAAAAACGCTGCATTTGGTGTCGATATAAGAATCCTAAACGCCAAAAAGGGGGTGGGATAGGGTTCACGTTATTTATATGTAAGGCCTGCGACCTGCCACTTTGTCGGCCGGGATCCGGGAAAACGTGTTTCCAGGACTTTCATACGCGTTAATTCTATTTTGATTACTTTTTCAGGAAATATGAGTAGCTTCAAGTCTATATTCTATATTTAATATTGAGGTCTTTGGTGTTTGATCCTTCTTTCTAGTAATTTGTATGAGACCGGAATCACCAAAGTAAAGTTGGCAGCAAGGGCGGTGAGAGCCCCCGAGGCGGTGATGCAAATCCAACCAATCAGATATCCTATATCCTTAACAAGTAAGTGGGTACACTAGCTCCCAGAGTAGGGGATACTATATAGTCAAAAATTGGCTTAGCCGATACTATATAGGCTAATATTAGAAAGTCAAATATAATCACGTGTTAAAATGCCTAACCAAATTAATTACCGATTATGATGTTATAAATCTCCTTTCATCCCTAATTTATGGCTCATATCTATTGTTCTGTACACAACAGAATGGCTACAAATACCCCTGACCGCATGGTTACTCGCCAAAACAGACCAGATTACCTTTTACTTAATGATGGGTTTGATGATAAAGCCTTATTTGAAGATTACATATCAGAAGCTCAATCTAAGATTAATTCTTTAACTGGTATCCCTTCCTCTGAAATTCTATCTTCGGAATCAGTTTCACAGACAGTTATTAATGCGACTACTATACCGAACTCTTCTTCCTCAAACATACCTCTATATCGCTCCCGGAAACGTTCGCGTCCTGCCTCTATTACAAATTGGTTATAGGATTACTTTCAGGTCACCCAAGTGAGTCGAGAATGGATAATGAAGAGGACCATGAAGTTGCAATCAGCGGATCAAGATATTCAATGTGTATATATTGATAGCAAGACTAGAATACAATGTGCCTAGAAACCAATAGATTTGCAACACCAAACATCTACCACTAATATGCAACGGCATCTTAAAAAACACTCAATTTTTTCACCTCCTCATCTTAATGGCAGGACCACTCAAAAAGAGCAATCTAGCATCCTTGATCTTCTAGCTAAAAAGTCACTCACACCTCAACAATTACTCGAAAAGAATCTTATTCACTGGATTATTAATGTTGGTTGCTTCATGCAATCGAGATGTGTCAGATAAGCTGGCTTTCCAATGAAGCCATCAAATGAAGCGATCAACCCGAAACTGTTATGTGTAAGAGAATGGTCTCAAGTTTACCCCATGGGATAGCTTACAAATCAGCTCAGGAGAAGGTCTATATAGACGCGGCTTTGGAACATGATGTACTTATAGAAGAGACACACAACTGAATGAATACCCATTGAAATTGACTCCATTGCTTCGTA